AATGCAGGATCAGATCAACAAGCTGGTTACCCGGCTTAAGGAGATTAGTGGTGGCGGAATTACGCTCGGTGACTCGACTCAGGCTCTTCTCCTTCTGTCGAAACTGCCAGAGTCATACCAGTCGATGATCTCTGCGCTCCTGGCGACGCAGACCCTCAAAGATCTAAAGGTCGACTCGGTCCAGAGCAAAATTCTTGCCGAAGAATCACTTCGCCGGTCCGGTATGGGACAGTCTGCGTCTAAGACATCCCAGGTCAAGCATAAATCCAAGGACCCCTGCGATCATTGCGGTGGGGCCCATGGTAGCGAGAATTGTTGGACCAAGTACCCGCATCTCCGCCCTCAGAATAAAGGTGGCGGAAAGGGGAAGAACAACAAGGGCAAGGGCAAGGGCAAAGGAAAGGGAAAGAGCGGAGGAAATGGTCAATCTAGTTCTGGTACTTCTAACACTGCATCTGCGTCGGACTCTTCGAATGTTGTAACTGTAGAATCCTCCTCGTCGTCTGCGAATACTATGACTGCTTCTTGGTATACTGCGGCTAACACCGCGTCAGGAAGAACGACTGATTGGATTATGGATTCTGGTGCATCCAAGACGATCACCAACGACATGGCTGATTTTTGGGATTACACTCCTTACGAGGAGCCCATGATTTTTAGCACAGCCGGCAAGAGTAAGATTGCAGCTTACGGTGAAGGCACTATCAAAGGCGTTGTGCATGTTGAAGGGAAACATATTGTGTCGACTATCACCAATGTCGCATATATCCCTGCCGCGTCTAATCGCCTATTTTCAACTGGAGTTATTGAACGTTCAGGTTTCACCCTTGTTCAAGGTGGAGGCCGTATGGTCATTTTCGACCAACCTATTTTGCATGGTTCTGACCGAATCCGTGGTAACAAGATCATGGAGGCGCATCACACGCCCTTCAACAATCTCTATATGTTGCACATGGAAATTATGAAACCGCAATTGGCTAAGTCTGCAGACAAGTCAAATTTTCGCCTTTGGCATCAACGCTTCGGACATTCGTCTGAAGAAGTTATCCGTCAACTACCCAAGCACACCAAGGGTGTGGATTCTATCGGTGACAAGGACAAGTCTCCTTGTGCAGGTTGTCAATGGGGCAAGTCTCATCGTGCTCCTTTTCCCGCGTCGGACAAGAGAGCTTCAAAACCTCTTGAAATTGTTCATACCGACGAAGATGGTCCTATGCGTACCACCGCTATTGGTGGATGGCGCTACTTCATCAGCTTTCTCGACGACTACTCCGGTCTTGGCCGCGCCTATTTCCTCAAACATAAGAATGATTCGACCCAAGCATTCGATGATTTCAAGGCATGGGCTGAGAACCAAACTGACGAGAAAATCAAAGCTGTACGCTCGGATCGAGGGGGAGAATATACCTCTGCAGAATTTACCGAACATTTGCGCAAATTTGGCATTGAACATCAGAAGACGATGCCATACTCTCCTCAACAGAATGGGAGAGCTGAGCGCTGGAATCGGACCATTGTCGAGAAGGCTATGTCTATGCTTCATCATGCTGGACTAAGCCATGGTTTCTGGCAATTGGCTGTTGACGCTGCGGTTCACATTTATAATCGGCAACCAATGCGACGCCTTAACTGGCAATGCCCCATTACCCTCTGGGATAGCACAGTCCCGGACATTTCGTATTTTAGGGTATTTGGGTGCAAGGCATATGTGCATGTGCAGAAGGAACAAAGAGCTGGGAAGCTCGACAAGAAGGCTGTCGAGATGATCTTTGTTGGCTATGAGTTAGGTTCCAAAGGGTATCGTTTCTGGAACCCGGCCACTCGAAGTATTGTTGTGTCTCGTGATGTGACCTTCGATGAAGAGACATTTCCTGCACGTAAAAATTTAGGCAATAATCCAAAATCCCTGGATAAGCCGTTTGATGAACCTCCTGAGGATGCGAACTCGGAGGATTCTGATTCTGAGGATTTACCTATTCCCGTTCCTATCCCAGAACATGAACCTGAACCTGAAGACCATCCAGAGCCAGTGGGAGACATTCCACAACCGCAACCTGATCCTGTACCTCCTCCGCAACCTCAGTACGAACGTCCACGTCGTCAAGGTGCTGGACAAAATCCTAAGAGGAACAAGGACAATGCCTATGGTGACGAGCCACCTGCGAATATTGATCGTCGTACCGATGCTCAAGGCCGTCAACAATCTGAGGCTGAAACTCTCATGTTTGTGCGGATGCTAGCAGAAGCAAACCATGGCGTTCCCCAGAGTCACAGGGAAGCTATGGAGTCTCAAGACAAGGCTAAATGGCATGCATCTGAAGGTTCTGAATACAAGTCACTTATGGACAACAAGACTTGGGTTCTAGTTCCACGGCCTAAAAACCGAAAGGTTATCAAGTGCCGGTGGGTTTATGCGATTAAACACGATGGTCGCTACAAAGCGCGTGTTGTTGCAAAGGGATTTACCCAAGTGTGGGGTCAAGACTATACCGAGACTTTTTCTCCTGTTGCACGGTTTGAATCCGTACGCTATCTATTGGCGCATGCAGCACTTGAAGATTGGGAGATTGAGTCTATGGATGTCAAGACGGCATTCCTTAACGGTGACCTTGACGAGGAAATCTACATGGAACAGCCCGAAGGATGGGCTGTACCTGGGAAGGAGAACTGGGTCTGTCTGCTCAAGAAGGCCATTTATGGCTTGAAGCAAGCGTCTCGTCAATGGAATGCTAAGATCCACAAGTCTCTCCTCGACTTAGGGTTTAAACGGACGTATTCGGATGCTGGAATTTATGTCTTCTCTCGTGAATCTGAAGGACACACCTGCTTAATCATTTTGTATGTCGACGACTTGCTCCTCATGGGCGACTCGAAATTGTTCATCGACAACATCAAGCAGAGACTGTCTTTGGAATACCAGATGACTGATCTGGGAGCTGTCCAGCGTTTCCTTGGTCTACACATTCGTCGAGAACGTCTTGCACGTCGTATCTTCGTTGACCAGGAAGACTATATTCAGTCTGTTTTGGAGAGGTTCCAAATGTCCAACTGCAAGTCTGCAAGGACACCTCTTCCCGCTGGAGCAGTATTAGAGAAGAACACCGACACTGCATCTGAAATTTTCCGAACCCGTTACCAGAGCATCATTGGCAGCATCATGTATGCTATGCTTGGTACTCGCCCAGACATCTCGTTCGCGGTCACGCGTCTGGCGAAGTTTTCTTCAAATCCGTCTAAAGAGCATATGAAGTTTGCGTACTATGTCCTGAGATATCTTCAAGGGACAAAGGAACTTGCACTTTGCTACGATGGAGGCTCAAACTCTGGTCTGATCGCCTACTCAGACTCAGACTGGGCTGAAGACCGTGATGATAGGCACTCTACATCTGGCTTTGTTTTCCTCATGGCCAATTGTGTCGTTTCTTGGGTGTCAAGACGCCAACCAACGGTATCTTTGTCTTCAACCGAAGCAGAGTATAAGGCCAGCTCCGACTGCTGTCGTCAGATGGCTTGGCTGCGTCATTTTGGAGAAGAACTGGGAGACAACATGTCTCATCCAACTCCACTTTGTCTTGACAACCAAGGCAACATTTTTCTTGCAGTGAACCCTGCTGTGGATCGCCGCACCAAGCACATAGAAATCCGGTATCACTACATTCGAGAGTTCTACGAACGTGGGGAGATGGACATCTATTTTGTCGCAAGTGAAGACCAACTTGCTGATGCCTTGACCAAGAATGTTCCCTTCAGCGGAATCGAGAAATTCAGGTCTTCGGTTGGCATGATGAGATACTCGACATCTTGAACAAGTGGGAGTGTTGAACTTCCGAGTTTTCAGTGTTCTTATCTTATCAGTTATGTACGGATATGGACTTATGTTCTGCGATGTCAGATTACATACATTCTTTGATGGACTTTGCCTAGATTACGTCATGTGACTTTAGTCCGGATCATTCCATGATATTCCACGACATTCCTTGATGTTCCATGACGTTCCATATCATTCCTTGATGTCCCATCACGTCCTATATCACTCTTTGATGTTCCATCATGTCTCATATTATTCCTGATGTTCCATCACGTTTCATGTATCTCTCCACATCAAACTCCGAGTTTTGGCTTACTCATGCTGCTTACCAGCTTACTCATATCCCCAAAACCTCGGACTTAGTGCTTACTGATGAACCACTGATACAGCATGTGACCTGTATCAAATGTGTATATATACTGGGCTGGTTTGCCCTGTAATGATAACGATCCTTCGTCCTCTCCTCTGCCTGCCAGCATAGGATCTTCCCTTTGGGACTGGTCTGTTCACTCACTCTTTAGTCCTTCACTGCCACTGGGCTTACTAAGCCTAAAACCTCTTTCTTCAACAACAGGGATCAAGATGCATAAACCCTGCGCGTCCGGAGGAAGCCATCCCCACGCACATAAGAATCGCGATGGACGGCGAAGCCGTGCGGATACTGGGGGCATGGATTGGGAATAAGGTCGACAATGTAGCGGTATGGGCCCCTACACTGCTTAAGGTTGACCGTTTCCTCGAGCGATGGGGTAAGTGCCACCCCTCGCTCACTGGCAAGCGCCACATAGTACAAATGGGCCCCAGTGGCATGACGCAGTATCTAACGGCTGTACAAGGGATGCCGAAGCAGGTAGAAGACGCCCTAACGGCAACGATCCGGTCATTCATATGGGATGGAGCAAAAACAGCCCCGGTGGCAATGGCCACTCTGACGCGGCCACTCGCGGAGGGAGGCCTAGGCCTAGTAGACATTGCAGCGAGAAACGAGGCAATAGAGCTGATGTGGATTAAACGGTACCTAACACTCACGGATGACAGACCACGATGGGCCTTTGCAGTTGACGTTCTGTTTGGACAAGCCGTGTCCAAGGATGCAGGAGCTATCCGGAAGAGCGCGCAGCTCAACACCTTCCTGCAAACCTGGTCGCCCGCGGTCCACAGCAAGTCACCGCTGCCGAAGTACCTCAAAAAGATGTTAACAACTGCAAAGAAACATAACGTGAGTTTCGCAGCCATTAAACTGAGTGCAAGCTTGAAAGAGGAACTACCGGTGTGGTATCATCTTGGCGCGACGAAGAAACTTCGCCAACTGAACAATACCAAAGTCAGTGATTGCCTACGCGATAACCACGACGTCCGCCTGGTAGCGGACCTCATGCCTCTCGCAAAACGGGAATGCTACAGCATTGCAAGAGCAGTGTCAAATGACTTCGTACCAACTGACTGCGCATGCCCGAATTGCGAGACCGACTCCGGCCGCGGATGCAAACACCCGATGAACTGCTGCAAGGCCGCGGCATACTTGCTAGCCCAAGTGCACCCTAAATGGCACCCGGACATAGAATCCCCGAAGGATGGATTGACCTTGACCCGGCGTAGAAAAGACAAGAACGAACAGGCCCTGGAAGAAGCGGAAGGCGACGTCGTCTTCGACCCATCCCTGACGAGCCGGGGTCATATTGCGGAAGCCTTCCGGGTTTTCGTGGACCCCAGAGTCCACGATGAACCCCCGGCAATCCGTGCCAAACGCGGCCGCATCGTGGAAGATGAGGCGGTCACGGCATACATCGTTGAATCGGTGGCTCAGGTCCACCTCCCCCGAGGCACCGACCCAATGCCACTTGACCACGGTTTCGTCTTCTACCCGGACAGCGGGCGGGGCGAGCTAGTATGGCCGGGCCACAATGCCCAAACTATGAGCCATCCTATGGGCGCGGCAGTGGCGGCCCTAAAGATCGTGAGCGATACACCACGAGACGCCCCCCTCCGAATCATCCTAAGCCGACAAACGCTGGCAAAAGACCTAACGAGACGCCTCCCGCGATGGGAGGACAGAGGGTGGATAGGGATAGCAGGCAGCCAGATCCTGAGAGCCTTGGTGAACAAGCTGCGGCAGCGGTGCGCCCCGACCGTCTTCGGCAAGGCATCCAATAGTCGAGAATACACAATACGCAACGACGCCAACGACATGGCTAAAGAGCACTTCCTCGCTCAAAAGGTAGTACCGGTGAGCCTCAGTATTGATAGGGCCTTCGATCTGTCAGGCGCGAAACTATCCGCGTTAACGCAAGCAATAGCGTACCGAGGTGTCCGCGTCAGGCTGCAGCTACAGGACCGCCCGCGCACGGCTGCGCAGACCCAGCGAACAGTTGAAAACACAAAGAGGCTGGGGATGAGAGCGGCCACACCAGCAGAGCTCTGGTCGAGTATACGACACAAGGACTTTCACAGGAAAATCGTTGACTTCCTGTGGAAAGGCATGCACGAGGCCCATAAAATCGGGCCCTTCTGGTCCCACATACAGGGCTATGAGTCCCGAGCGGACTGCCCGACGTGCGGCTGCAGAGAGACACTGCGGCATATATTGACAGAATGCCGCGCTCCCGAACAGGAATTGATCTGGCTACTCACCCGGAACACCTGGCGGCGAAGGTCCGAGACTTGGAGTAAGCCGTCGTTGGAAGACATCCTGGCAGTGGGCCTAGGACGCTACCCGCGTAAGGCATCCGAGAAACCGAGGGAATCCTTAGCACGACTATGGAGGATACTTGTGTCTGAAGCTGCGTACCTCATCTGGAAACTACGCTGTGAGCGAGTGATCGGACACGAGGATGACCCCGACTGGCATCACTCGCCTACCGCTACAATACGGCGATGGTACGCCTCCTTGAATAGGAGACTACAGCTCGACCTGGTGGCGACCAGGAAGAGTTTCGGCGCGCTAGCTATTTCACGGAGACTTGTCTGGTCCACATGGACGGCAACGATCGGTGACGAGCTTGGCCTACCGGAGGATTGGACTTTGGTCCCGCGGGTTTTAGTGGGTATTGACCCGGAAGTTTGTAGGATCGATGGCGATCCCGGGTAACTGAGCCCCACACTGGCCGTAAGAGCCGTGCGTAAATAAGCATTTTTCCCTGGTAAGCATTAGCGGGCTCTGCCCGCTCGCTGGCTGGACCGAAGGGGCCGACCTATTGTCGTCTGCCTAGGTCCATATAAAGCCATCCAAAAAAAAAAAAAAAAAAAAAAAAAATGACAGGTATGTTCCCAGAAGCTCACTCATTCTTCGAGGTGTCCCAAACCACACACCGACAGACTAGATGGGTTCAGGTGTGGAGATAGTGCAGCAGCGATGCGGAGGTAAGCGGTCCTGCCATGGGCATTCCATTCTGGAAGATCGCGACTGAGACCACAGATAGCGTGAAGAACCATAGTACTTACGAGCATCGGATGAGATACATCAATGGAATACAGACCAGAGGACTCAGTCAGCGGCCGAGCTCGAGTTATACATACATGGGAAGCCGTAGCTGCCTCGCTTGCTTTGCTTCCTAAGGCGAATGAGATTCCGGAAGATAGCTCCACACAAAGAGCACAACAGCACAGTGTCAGCACTGGACAAATCGCAAAGTCAAGTGGTTTATGATCTGCCAGCGAATGAAGGAAGTTGGGTCGTACAGTACATGGGCCTGGACAACGACGTTCACAGAAAGGTGTCGACGCGCGCTCGAGCGCCCGACCCGTCGTCGAGCAGCGCAGGCGTGACACGCCACTATACACCTGCTACGTGACCGCGTCTGCCTCTGACCATACCCATAATTACTGTCCACCATGGCCACCTACGACTCCCTCCACCGCCAATGCCGCACGCTCGAGTCGCTCTTCGACACGAAGCTCACAACGTACTCGCGCCTCGCGAGCACGATCTCGCGCAACCAGGACGACCTCGAGGCGGGCGGGTCCGCGGAGCGGTGGCGGGACTTGGAGGCGGAGGTCGACGAGCTGCTGGAGAAGGTGCGTCCGTATGTCGGGCATCACAGGGATCATGCTGAACGCGGTGCAGTTGGAGGAGATCAACGACCAGCTGTCGAGGCTCGCGGAGGACACGGAGAACCCGCCGTCGCAGTCGATGCTCCGTGCCATTCAGAGGCATCGGGAGGTGTACCAGGACTATTCGAGAGAGCTGCGGAGGACGAAGGTGCGTGAGTGCATTGTAGGGCTGTTGTCCCTGACTCTGGGAGGACGCTTTCCGGGGATGCTATGAGCATGCAGTCGCCGCCATGCTGCTGCGCAAGGAGTTATGGAGGACCCAAGGCACGTACTCCGGAGTACTCTCTCCCCGGATACACTGCCAATCATGCAACGATGAACACCCATGCTTGTCGCGTAAGTGCAGGCCGTGCTCGCTACTTGCGCAGGGTATCGCCAAAGTCGACGGGCGCAGCTCGCCGGTTCTCACTGTTCCTCGTCCAGGGTCGGGACAAGGCCAACCCAGTACACATGTCGGCCCACACGCTAACGCCTCCCCACCACAGACGAACGTACAAACAGCTCTAGACCAAGCGAATCTCCTCAGCGGCGTCCGGAATGACATCGAGTGAGCCTCCCCTCTTTGCCTATGTGCAAGGGCACTGACCAACAACCGCTGCGCAGCGCGTACAAGTCGTCAGCAGCAGACTCGCTTCTCGCCGAGCGCGGGCACATCGACAGCTCGCACCGCATGACGGACGACATCCTCGCGTGAGTCCACGAAGATCCCTCCGGCTCCTCTACGCTCACTCAAGGATACGACCACATAGCCAAGCGTACGAGACACGCTCCGAGTTCGCCCGCCAGAGACTGACCATATCCGGGATCAACACGCGCATGCAGAGCGTACTCAGTGCGTCCCATCATCCCTAACATCTCATCCGAGGACGCAGTGGTTGACCGTCGTGTGCGCATAGGTACGATTCCCGGAATCAACGGCGTGATTGGCATGATCAAGTCGCGCCGGAGACGAGACTCGATCATCGTCGGCTGCGTGATTGGGGTTTGCGTCGTGCTGCTGCTCATGTATGTCTTCTAGCGGAGGTCTCTGGACTATCTGTTGCTATTGCTACCCGGCGTCGCGTTGTTTGACTACGGACGGCTCCTCCGCGCACAGAGCTTTACTATGCGGAAGGCTCTATTTATTGGTCGCCAGATGAGCAAAACTGCGATTCTGCGTGACATTGTTGGTTTGCTTGTACTGTACTTGACCCGCGACGGACGTGTAATGTGTCATTGGTGTCATAGGCCTCTTACTCGCGACAAAGTTGAGTAAGTATGTTGCAGGCTAGTTTGAGGCCTTGCTCTACGGATGGGCGACGTTGCTTGGTATGTGATACTTACATCTACTACACGTCCGCGCTACTAGCCTCCTCGTCCGACTCCGATTCATCTAACAACAGCCGCCTCCTATCCCTCCTCTTCCTCGTCCGCGGCTTATGCCCGCCCTCCACAAACCGCCGCCAATTCTCCTCCAGTTTTTGCACTACACCGTCCTCGCCGTCGAGGTCCTCGGCGCTCCGCTCGACGGGCCACCCGCGCGCGTCCGCGATGCGGCAGACCATGTCCCAGACGTACGGCGCGCTGTAGGCGATGTCGTGGAAGTCGGACTCGACGAGGAGCCGGTCGGGCGAGCACGCGCGGATGAGGGCGGCGTGTGCGGGGGAGCGGGCGTTGATCGCGGTGGAGAGGGAGAGGAAGACGTTGCAGTGTGCTTTCTGCACACCCACCCGCTCAGCTCATAAGCGGTGATAAGCGGCTCGCGCACACGCACCTCAAGAGCGATCCACGTCTGCGCGCTCAACCCACAGCTATGCATATCGACGCTGATCGCGTCCCACGCGCGCCCATACCGCGCCCTCATCCGCGCGAGCAGCTCGAGCGTCGCCTGCTGCGCCTTCACGCTGTGCGTGCTCACGTTCCGCCGGAGCTCGACCGCGAGGGCGAGCTGCGCCTCGAGGACCGCCGCCTGGTGCGCGAGCGGGATCGTAAACGGGGAGAGCTCCCGCGCGCCGTCTGGTTCGGCTGAGGCGGAGGCGTACGGGGGGTCCGCGGGTGGGGTGAAGGGCACGCGGCAGACGCGGTCGAGCCCGACCTCGCCGAGCATGGCGGTGGGGAAGGACGCGAGGGAGGCGTGGAGGGAGGGGAGGACTTGAGAGAGGGGTGTGGGTGGGGGGAGCGAGGGGAGCAGCCGCGCGAATGCCGCTTCGTGCTCGGGCTTGGGGCTGTCATCGGGCAGGAAGAGTGCGCGGTAGTGAGACTCTTTGGAAGGGTTGTCGGTGAGCGAGATCCAGTGCGTGAACCAGGGGTGGTAGCCTGCGAGGACGGTGGTAGGGACGTGCGGTTATAGAGGATTGGAGCGGATCGGTTTACATACCGAAGCATGGTGTTACTTTGTCTGGATATCGACGTGCGAGGTCAGCGACTAGTTCTTGGTCTGTCCCTCGAGTCGCCATCGCACATATGTGATGTGGTAATGTCGAGAAAAGCTCATCGTCTATGGGGGAGTCGGTCGGGTGACAGTGTACGTCGACGACATGCGCTAGGACAGACGGGGAAGGCAGGGAGGGAAGGTCAGAGAAGTCGGGCATAGCAAGCAAAGAGAGCGTAGTGTTTTGAGGTGACCTGGGAGTTGCTGGTGAGATGAGTCGGGCACTGGCAAGCGATGGTGCGGAGTGTGGAGGCGATGGTTCAGTCCGGAGAGGGCGTCACTCACCTGGAGACCTGTCCGAAGTGAACAACCGCAGACAGGTCTCCACGCCAGCGACACGACATACGACGAGGATATCGTGACCCAGCCCACAGATGTTTGTTTTGGTGCCTCAGAGGACCGGGGACCATAAGCGAGATGGCGGGCGAGTAGACTCGCAAGCCAGTCCTTAGAGGCGCTTGTCCCCTTTTGTGCACTCCTCGTTTTGGTAATCGCTCATGTCCAAGAAAGGAGACGGAGTGCGATTGAATCTCGCCAGAGCGAGCTGGGAACGAGCCTAAGTATGCACTTACGGTCACGCACGGGCGCTTCCGACTTTGAGCAGGCTGCTGGGACCTGCCGGGTGACTCGAAGACGCAGAAAAGTGGACTAGCATGCTCGCTCGCCTCCGCCTCTTCCACCCGCCACCCCGTCTTCCTCCTCCCCGCCTCCCCACATTCACCATGGCTACCCACACGAAGGCCGACCTGTCGCCGCCCCTCCTCCGTGGCATGAAGGAGCTCGACCGCGCCGCGTTCCAGAAGACCATCCCCATCGTCGCCGCCAGGTTCCCCGCCCCAATGAGCGAGGCCGTCAGGAGTTCACCAGCTATCCGCAAGTGCGTGTGCATATTCGCTCTGCTTGGCCCTCTGGGCTGATCCGTCTGCGCCAGAGCTTCTATCTATGTCCGCTCTCCCCTCGAACGAGTGGGCGACGACCGCTTGATATTGCTCGATGCTCCGAATGAAGGCTCGTGTAGACGCTATCCTCCGTGCGTGCCTGCGGGGCGTTGATGTTTTGCAAACCAGATGCGCTGCCCCAGGAGACCAAGGACTATTGCAAGGAGCACTCCATCTCCATTGAACCTTACGGCCTCCACCTGGACTATGATCACTGGAACGTAGGTATGTTCGTGCACAAAATTCTTAGGTTCAGTTCACATGACCGCTTGACATTGCAGAGGAGATCTTGCACTCCATAATGCCCGAGGACCTGGAGAGCCCGTCGAGTTTCACATGTGTCGGGCATATGGGTGCGTGCACAGGTTCCCTCATCGAGCCGTGGCTAACTACGTGTAGCGCATCTCAACCTGCGCGACGAATTTCTGCCATGGAAGCACATTATCGGACAAGTCATTCTAGATGTATGTGCTCAAGCCTTCACTCAAGGAGTCTTGCTGAAATACTGCTACAGAAAAACCACAGGATCCGGACTGTCGTGAACAAGACGGACACAATCAGCCAGAATATCTATCGTGTCTTCCCCATGGAAATACTGGCAGGAGAGCCGACCACTATGGTGACACATGTACGTTGTCGCAGGCATGACAAGTCACCAGGAAGGATTGACATCGGTCGCGTTAGAAAGAAAGTGGCTGTAGTTTCATCTTCGACCTCGCCGAAGTTTACTGGAATTCTCGATTGTCTCATGAGCATGAACGCATATTAAACCAATTCAAGCCTGAAGACGTGGTAGCGGATATCTTTGCAGGTGTCGGCCCTTTCGCCCTGCCCGCCGCGAAGAAGGGGTGTGCTGTTTTGGCGAACGATCTGAACCCGAACAGCTATAAATCCTTGCGTCTTAACATCGAGAATAACAGGGTGCGCCTCGATAACCAGGTTTGGCACAGTTCGCGTGACTGATTTGTCTCTTCGTCCAGGTGTCAGAACTTGTAAGACCATCGTGTATGGACGGCCGCGATTTTATTCGGGATGTCTTCAACCGTTGTTACGATGAGCCCATGCCGCCCGTTCCCCCGCCGAAACTCAGCAGGGTCGAAAAGCGGGAGGCTCGCAAGAAGAGAGCGGAAAGGGATCTTCCGCCGGCCCCGGACGCGCGACGAGAGGCAGCACGGAGGACACGCATCACGCATGTCGTGATGAACCTGCCGGAGACGGCGATCGACTTCCTCAACGAGTTCAACGGCGTGCTGGGCCCTGTGAAGGCACAGGGGCGGGGATTGAGCGGGATATATGATAGCCCGGAGAACATGCCGATGATCCACTGCTATTGCTTCACAAAGATATTGGACTATGAGGCCGCGACGGTCGAGATTCGGCAGGTGAGTGGGGTGATGCCCCCGCAGATCCGACTGTATACTGACGATCTGCGGCTGGCTTGCAGAGGGTGGAAGCTGCTTTGGGGGGAAAGCTGGAGGGGGACGTGGAGTCGGTCGCGGTGAGGAGGGTCGCGCCACACAAAGACATGTACTGTCTGAGCTTCAGACTGCCGTACAAGGTTGCGTACGGAGGCACATAGGCCGTGGGCCCTGTTGCAGCGGCGACGTACAATAGTATTCACACAGTTTAGAGTCTCTCTGAGCGCGTGAGGAGCTTCGCCCGCTGCGACCGGAGGGTGGCCGTGGGGAGGAACGGCGCTGCCATATGCGGCGAAGAGTGCGCGCGTCTGTGCTTAGTCACCGGCTCTAACCCCGCACATGAATCGGGAGAGGCAGCGGCCGCGGGCTGCAGCGCTGCCTGCCAGCACATCCCCCTCCTTATATCCCTCCGGCCACCTGCCGCCCCGCGTCCTCCTTCCCTCGATAGACTACCCTACGCGCACACTACCCTAGTCCCTAGACCCCCTAGAGACGCGTCCGTGCACCCGTGTCCCGGTCTGCACGCCTATACCCCGGCCATACGCTACCTACCCAATACTGACTGACGCCTGCCCCGCACCGGCTCCGCTTACTACCCTTGCCACCATCTGCTATACTGACCGCACCGATCCGTGCCCGCCAGTATGTTCCCCCTGGATCTTCCGCGCGTGTTTCCGCGCGTGCACTGCGATGCGGACGAGACCGCGTCTGCCACGAGCACGACGGCGAAGGCGGTCACTATCAGCGCACTCAACAGCGTGAAGAACGTCATGAGCGTCCCCGAGACGGAGCTGAAGCGGTGGAGGAGGGTGTTTGACTCGCACGCGACGGCGGTGGCGGACGGGCAGAAGTGCGTGTGCAGTGGTCACTCTGTGTCTGTCGTTCTGACGAGTCCAATGATAATTTCGTTGCTGCGGAATGTATTCAGGTATCTGACCAAGGATCAGTTCGTGAACGCGATCGCGCCTGCGGGCGACCTGTCCAAGATAAGACGCGCACAGTTCGCGATCCTCTTCCGTGTGGCGGACACGAGCAAACGAGGAGTCGTCTCGTGGGAGGACTTTGTCGTGTTCGAGACGCTGCTCAAGAGGTCCGATGCAGACTATTGGATCGCATTCCAATATTTCGACGTGTGAGTCGTTGTCTGGATAGTCATACGACACCTTGGATGTTGAGACAAGGCAGTGATGACTCCGGGACCATCACCTACGATGAGTTCAAGAACGTCTTCAAGGAAAACGTGGGCCCAGACGCAATACCCTTTGACTTCGAATGGTATGCGATCTTAGCCGCGCCGAAATATTTTCACTGATTTTGATCCCAGTGACTGGGTTAAACTCTATCTTGGAACAAAAAACGGGCAGCATGTCCTTGGATGTATGTATCCGTGGTTATGGCATGATACATTCATTTGACGCGACCGCATCACCAACAGACAATGAGTTCACACAGCTCATGAAGGGTCTGCAAGGCGAGCGTCTGCGACAAGCGTTCAAGTACATCGACAAGGACCAGGATGGTTTCATCAGACCAGATGAGTTCAAGCGCATCATTTTGGTGCGTCGATCGCGCTGGGTCCAGTTTCTACAGGCAAGGAACTCAACGTAATGTTCAGGAAATTGCTGGACACAAACTCTCCGAGGCTGTCGCAGAGAGGTTGCCGTCGTTGACGACGGTGAACCACCCCAGCGGACGGATATCCTACTCAGAAGTCGTTGCGTTCCACAACATCGTTAGAGGTGGGCAGAATTTCCGCTTTGCATACAAACCCATGAGGAACGCAAACCCTTTCTGATAGATAGCGACATCCTTGAGCGGTGCGTTAGATCTCACTGTCATTCTTCTCGTCGCTTACGGGCTATGGATGTACTGCAGAGTGATTCGCGAAGCGATCGCAAAGTCCAAGGATGGGCGTATCGACCAGAGCGACTTCTTGAACTACTGCGAGACGAGCACACGCTACTCGCTTTTCACGCCCATGGAAGCGTCAATCATCTTCCACTTCGCAGGCCGGGGTAATTCGAGCCAGCGCCTGTCGCTCTACGACTTCGGGCAGCTGCTGGACCCGCGCTGGAGGGCGCCCCTGGATGTGTCGGAGAACCCGGCCACCACTACGAAGTCGGTCCTGCATCAGATCGCGCACTCCGCATACAATTTTGTCTTGGGAGGTGCGTGCTTTATCGATTCGGGAGACGGCAGCTATTGAATTTCGTATCAGGCATTGCCGGTGCATTGGGTGCTACCATCGTGTACCCAATTGATCTTGGTAAGTTGCTCGGCTGTTCTCAGTCATCGGCCTGCAGTACTGATGATTGCGTGGTTTGACAGTCAAGGTATGATTGATGCTATACGTCGTGAAAGGGTGTGAGAACTGACGTTGCACATGTTCACTGCTACCTGTAGACACGGTGAGCATCATTGGACCGCGTGATCGTGCTGTGGCTGAATTCTCACTGCAGGATGCAAAATCAGCGAAGTACTGTTGTCGGACAACTGCTTTACAAGAACAGCTTCGATTGCGTGAAGAAGGTCCTCCGGAACGAGGGCTTCGTAGGCTTCTACCGCGGCCTCGGCCCTCAGCTCATCGTCAGTAAACATTCCGTTCCGAGGCCGTTTGCGCGTGCGATGTTGACGCATCATCATGGCTTGACAGGGTGTCGCGCCTGAGAAGGCCATCAAACTCACGGTCAATGACTTCGTCCGTTCGCGTGCTATGGACCCAGAGACGGGTCGGATCAAGCTAATGTGGGAGCTCATCGCTGGCGGTACTGCAGGTGGTTGCCAAGTCGTACGTGTTCCGGGGTGTCTTGTCCGCTGTTGTAGCAGTTCTCATCTGTCGTTGACCGTCAGATCTTCACAAATCCATTGGAGATTGTGTGAGTAGGTTGCGAGAGCCGTGATGAAAGTGGGCGGAACTGATGCATTCCTGTGATTTTCCAGGAAGATCCGGCTACAGATGCAGGGAGAAGCCGCGAAGCTCGAAGGTGCCGCGCCAAAGGGTGCCGTGCACATCATTCGCCAGCTCGGGCTCGTCGGGCTGTACAAAGGTGCAAGCGCCTGCCTGCTCCGCGACATCCCGTTCTCCTCGATCTACTTTCCTGCATACGCGCACCTGAAGAAGGACGTGTTCCAGGAGGGCTACAACGGCAAGCAGCTGTCGTTCCTTGAGACGCTGGCGTCGGCCGCGATTGCGTGCGTATTTTTGGCTGGTGGCAGAGATGTCCTTTTCCCGAGGGCTGTGCCTGCCAGTATCGTGGTTAGTGCGGCAGTGTTGATAAGGGCGATCTTGTAGGGGCATGCCTGCGGCATACTTCACGACACCTGCAGGTGAGGTGCAGCCGAGCTGGTGGCCATGGGAAGACACTTATGACTGGATCTGACAGATGTGGTGAAGACAAGATTGCAGGTCGAGACGCGCACAGGCCAGACACATTACAAGGGCATGGGAGACGCGTTCGCCAAAATCTGTGAGTACGATCGCCAGGCGAAGACGGACATTGTCAATTAATGCCTCGCGCAGACCAGGAGGAAGGCTTCAAGGCGTTCTTCAAAGGTGGGCCTGCCCGAGTCATCCGAAGCAGTCCCCAGTTCGGGTTCACGCTCGTTGCGTACGAATACCTTCACAAGGTGAGATTGGCGTTCTCATAGAGACAGAGCGGAGGCTGATCGTCGGTGATTGGTCGGTGCAGTTCTTCCCGGTGAGTGAGGCGCCGCTATCCGGATTGGCCAGCGGACTGATTGGTCCGGCAGTACCCGTACAATGGCAACGGAGACGCGAAGGACGTGGAGACGGCTCTCACCACCAGCAGCCCCGAGGACCTGTCGAAGATTCGTGCGCGGAATGCGCTCAAGATCCTGCTGGACGTACACGGGGAGTTCGGGCGACGGACGGCATGACGATGCTGAGGATGCTTGATGGCCAAGTGGGCGGGCGGTGGCTGGTTCGCTTGGGGGGTCGTAGATGTAATAGTCGCGGAGCGGTGATTGGATGGCAATGGGATAAGTTATCACGGACGCCCGCTAAATAGGCGGCAGCGCAGGCGTGATGTGGCGGCCAATGGGAGCCGGCGGAGATCTCTGTGCCAAGTGCAAGGCCCGAGAATTGTCTCCTTGTCAACACGATCGAATCACTGATCATGTTCCTCGACGTGCATGTCAGGCGCGTGGGCGATGAGCCATATAGGCCGTCGCGTCCGCCTAGGCTTCGCACCCTCCTCCTTCCGTCTTCCGTTTTCGGTTTCTACTCCCTCTTTTTTTCTTTTAGCGGTGAGCCCCACGTTGTGTTTACTGTTTGCGAAGGCAGACATGCTCACTCGTGCTCGATTCCGCGTTTACAGAGTGCCCTGCGTTAACCGCAGAGCTTACCGCACCCCTTCGCCGCTGCTAGTCAGGCTCCAGCGTAGACCGCTACCGTCGTTCTTTCAAAGCCAACCCGTCGCCCTGGTCGTCGCAGTAACCAGCTATTCGTTCCACTAACTCGCCTCTTCGACACTTTCGAAATGCATTCGACTTCGCTCCTTCTCGGCCTGTCTCTCGCGACAGCGGCCGTCGCCCAGATTCAAGTGAACGGCGCAGGCAGCATCGCCGCAAGCTTGGTGACCGCGTCGGCGACGCCAGCTCCCGCCGCAGGCAGCAGCTCCGCGCCGGCTGTGTCCACCGCTGCTAGTCCAGCGTATTCTGCACCCGCTTCGCAGATCACCTCTGCGGCAACATACGATTCGTCTGCGTCCACAGACATCTACTCGATGATGCCGTACTCTTCTTTCATGGCTGGTGGCTACATGAGCTTGTCCTGTGGATACGGATATTCGAAGGCCAGCGACGGGTCCTGTCAACCGGAATCTTGGGTGCGTAGCGCACAAATGAGATTCCTGACTGAAGTTGAACGGTGAACGGTCTGCATAGTGGTCGACGCAGGGATGCTACGAGACAATTATTATCAACAACAGGTGAGTGCAGGTCGACGCTTTCGATCCTGATCAAACAGCTGATAGTCCTATAGTGGAGGAGGGGGCGGCTATGGCTACGGCGGAAGTAACAACAACTGTGGTTATGCTTCGGCCGCCACGGTTACCTCAACCGCATATGCCACCGTCACCGAGACAGCGCTCTCAACCATGACAGAGGTCGGTTCATCCCGCCAATTCGCTTACCTGCAGATACTGACGGATTTGCAGATACAGACACAGACTATGACCGAGACACAGACTCAGTCGATGACAGTCACCCAGTACCAGACTGTCACGCAAGTGATGACGGACGTCGAGTCGGTCACGCAGACACAGACCGACTTCATCACACAGACGTCGACGGAGCTCGTGCCGACAACACAGGTCTATGTATCGACCCAGGTCATCGACGAGACGCAGACGCTCGAGCAGACGTTGACCGCAACCATGACGCAGACGCAGGTCAACGTCTACACGCAGACTGCCACCGCGACACAGACTCAGACCGCGACTGCGACGAAGATCCAGGAGGAGACGACGACGGACTTCGCGACCCAGACGGTGCTCAGCACGGTCGTGCAGCCGACGACGTACGTCAGCGTATACGTCAGCACGCAAGTCATCAACAATGTAAATCCCTACGATTTGATTTTCTCGCCGTGATTTGACTGACGTCTGTTGCAGACACTGACGCAAGAGGTCACTCAGACTGCTACTCAGACCCAGGACATCACCTACGTCCAGACGCAGACCGCCACGGCCACTAAGACTGATGTTGAGATTCAGAGCGTGACCGTTACCTCGGTCAGCGTCTCCGTGCAGCCGACAACCTACGTTCAGACCATGGTCAGCACTCAGATCGTGGATGAGGTTCGTGGCACCCATTCCCCACTCGTGGGCACACTCGGTTCGCTAACATCGCGCGTGAAATAGACGCAGACCGTCGAGAACACCTTACTCTCGACCGTTGTGGAGAACAAGACGTACTTCCAGACCCAGACTCTTCTCTCCACTGCGACGCAGACTGCAACTCAGACACAGACGGACACCGCGACCGCGACTCAGACTGAGCTCGACACAGTCACGCAAACTCAGGAGATGACCGTCACCCAGCTCAGCACGGTCGTACAGCCGACGACGTACATTTCCTCGGTCGTCAGCATAGAGGTCGTCAACCAGGTGCGTCATGGACCCCGAATACGTCCAGACTTACCGTATTGACTGTATGCCACGATCAGACTCAGACAGTCGAGCATACCAACATCCAGACCATGACGGAGGATTTCACGTATGTGCAGACGCAGACGCTCCTCTCTACCGCGACTGCGACTGCGACCCAAACGGCGACGGCTACCGAGACGGACTTCGTGACCTACATGCAGACTGTGACGCAGGTCAGCACGATGGTGCAGCCGACGACATATGTCTCGACATCCATCAGTACGCAAGTCATCGACGAGGTGTGTATCTCCGTTGCAGCCATCAAACCTTCGCGGGCAAGCACTGATTGTGTATGACTTCGATTTCGTTACGTAGACGAACACGGTCGAGCAGACGATGATCCAGACTGTCACAGATAACATGACAGTCCTTCAGACCCAGACGCTCGTGTCGACTGCTACCGCCACTGCCACCGCTACTGTGACGGAGACGTCGACGCAGCTCGCGTCCTGCCTCCAATCCGTGCGTGCCACTATCCATTCCCTCGGCTGCATTATCCGCTGACTATATATGGGCACTACAGTGCCAGAGCGGTTACTCGATGACGAAGGGCAACGCCATGGGCTGGACGTACGCTACGAGCTCTGTTATGGCCACCGCGACTGCCGACGCAACGTCGGTTGCTGCGAGCAGCATGGCGATGGGGTACGGCGGGGCGAGCAATGCCGCAGCTAGCTCACCCGGTGGCTATGGCTACGCGGCTCCGAGCGCGGCGACCTCGTCGGCGATGGCTACTGAGGCCGCTGCTGCTGCCAGCTCAGCTGCATCTGGATATGGTGCGCCGGCCTCGTCATATGGGTCATCATCGAACGGGTCGTCGTACGGCAAGTCGAACTACGGCCGGGCATGGGCCTCAAAGTGGTCGAGGCGCGCTGCCACATCTCACTAAGCCCTCATTGCTCGTGCTTTGCCATGACCTGCCCTCATGCCCATGTCGTTATGATGTCTCCTCGTCTCTGCTGTCTCTCTGTGTGTAGATCGGACTGATGTGTGCGGACATGTGCGGACACTCGACGCTCGTCTCTATCTTACCGGTGCAATAGTTGTATCCCTGTCTCTGTCTCTGTCTTGTTCCCTTCCATGGACTCTCTTCCTTAGGGGAAATAGTAATAGCATACCTTCGCCTCCAGGTAGTTACCACCTACGGCTCTGGTTTTCGGACGCTTCATCATTTGGTAGCACTTCTTCCACTCTACCTGATACCTGACTTGGCGCGCTTGTACTTGGTACGTGGCAGGCCCGCTTGTTCGCTCTTGCTTTCCTCCGGGTACATATAGGAACTGCTGCTCGCGGCGCAAAGGATTGCTTCGAGTGATAATCCTCGGATGTGCACAACCGCCCGTAAGTGCTTTCCGACTAAGCTCGGAGGTGGTGCATGATAACTGGCCTGCCCGCGCGACGATACGGCCCGCACATAGACCGGACTTGTACGTACTGTCCAGGTACTACTTGGGTACTACTGGTCCGTAGCATTCGGCCTGGCCATGGGCAAGTTGTCTTCTGGCCGCGGGCGCAGTACTGTGCCGCATGTCGCCTCCTTTGCGTGATCTGCGTCGATATCTCGGGCGCAGTATGCCAGATTGCATCACTACCATGCAGGGTGAATCTCCACCTAAGAGAAGGTCCTTACTAGTTGGGAAGGCCCCCTGTCAATTTCTCACCTCGGTAGACGCGGGTCCGCGGTCAAGCTCCAGGCAGCCAGTAGCGGACCACACGAAGCGCCATTCAAGCGCGAGCTTTTCGCCGGAGGGCGGCATACTTCGGATTTGTATCGACCATATAAACCATCCGAGTCGAGGTCGGACACTCGCCAGCGCTTGAACTTGAACCATTCAGAGACGATCATGCCCATCCATGAAACGGAGGACCCGGCGCATCTGTCTGCGCTAGTGGGCGTTGACCATGCAGACTTTCTAGTCTTCTATTCATCTCGTGATGAGGTAGGAACGCTCTGGTGTCCGGTAAGAACTCATTCTGATACGAACTCGAGGCCGCTCATGCCTCTCTGAGCCGCACGCTGATAACATGCCCGCAGGACTGCCGTGAGGTTGATGGCCTCATCCGCAAGGTCTTCGGGCCGAGCGACAGCCCCTCAGCTCTCATCGTTTACGTTGGTCAACGAGCGGCGTACGTCCCTGTCGCGCAGTCTGTCACTCCGTGTTCCCCGGGCATTGACATGGCGCTTGCGGTCCCAGTTGGAAGGATCCGACGAACCCGTTCAGAGGAGAACCGTGGAAGGTCCAATCCGTTCCGACGATAATCAGAGCACGAGATGTGAGTGCTCCTTGGAGCCAATCTCGAGAATGCACCCCTTCTGATCAGCTCGCATTGTCTGACCAGGGCGCTCGGCTCGATGAGGAAATCGACACGCAGCTGGCCTCGTTCACTGAAGCATGATCCAATCGCGGGTGCACACCTCGGGCAGTGGGAATGTCCGGGCAATCCGGTGGGGGCATGACTTTGCCTCGTACCTCCGCCGAGTCTTGTAGGAGCGCCGTCTATGTCGCTGGAATTCAATCTTGAACCCGCGTCTAGTAGCGTGGAGTGTAGCTCATGAAACTTCTCAGCCAGATACAGTCCTTCATGAACCACCGCAATGTCCTCCATAGCGCCTGAAACCTCCGTGAAGGTAGTGGCATTTCGCCGAGAGTGGTTCATCAGCCAGCATTCGGTCCCGCGCTGCGCCCTCTATAGGAACTATGTCCTCGCCCATGGACGAGATTCAGGGCATTACGCCTTCCCGAAGGCGCTTAATGCGATTCGCTTGTATTGGTCAAATCGATCACCATCGCACACTGAGAAGAGTCTTTTCTATCTCCGGCCCACTCGTCAGCTAACTTAAACACTGCACGTAGGAAGATGCAGGGTCGAAGACCCTTCACACTCCCTCAGGTGCCGCACCTCCCTGATCATGTCTCCAGACGGTGACTTTCCCGGTCTTTACAGCAAGGATGGACCCGCCACGAATGCTGACACGTGCGACTGGAGAGAGGTAGCAGCCCACAAGAGAAGGGATAGACAGGCTCTTCTGGATCGACGACCGGAGTGGCGACTGAAGGAGCAGATACCCGAGTCGATGACAGATGTCTCGACCCTGGCAACGGCGCAACTCACTCCGCGGGAGTTCGAGATCGTGCATCTGGACGCTACGTCGCTTGTCGAACGCATCCGTCATCGTCGTTACACTTCGGCCGAGGTTCTCAAAGCTTTTTGCCACGTTGCTGCGATCGCACAGCGGCTTACGAACTGTCTGACGGAGATCATGTTCGAAGAAGGTCTGCAGAGGGCCACGGAACTTGATAGGTTTTTGGAAGAGAAGGGTCAGGTCGTCGGACCGTTACATGGCTTACCCGTGTCAATCAAGGATCACATACGTGTCAAGGGGCATGACACGGCGACAGGTTATATCGCATGGGCGTACAATAGAGTTGCTCATGAAGATGCGACAGTCGTTGATATACTGCGCAAAGCCGGCGCTGTGCTGTATGTGAAAACCGCCAATCCACAGACATTATTGGTTCGTCGTCGATGGTCATCAGTGACTCGCACAGACTGACGGCACCCCGCACAGTCCCTCGAAACCAATAACAATATTTATGGGCGCACGTGCAATCCGTTCAATCGATGTTCGTCCCCTCTACCGCTCCGCTCCAAGAGCTGATGTGAGGCTCATTCGCCGAATCGCAGCGCTCACTCCGGGCGGTAGTAGCGGAGGAGAGAGCTCCCTGATAGCTGTACGAGGAAGCCCGATGGGGATCGGTACAGATATTGGTGGCTCCATTGTAAGTCGTAGGCGTTTTCAGCGTAAAGTTAGACGTTCCCTGAGATCACATCCGCAGCGCGTACCAGCGGCGCATGCAGGACTTTACGGCCTCAAAGGATCAGTCGGCCGCATGCCCCATTCCGGGTTGGAAGGGTCGCATGACGGCATGGACGCGATTGTAGGGGCGCTCGGTCCCCTTGCAACCTCCGCGAGAGACCTGGCCTTGTTCTGTCGAGTCATGCTCCAGTACCAGCCCTGGACCGTAGAACCGCCTCTTCTGGAGATCCCGTGGAAGCAGACCGTAGCCGATGGTCAGGAACTTCCCGAGAAGCTCTCGATCGCCGTTCTGTGGGATGACGGCGTGGTCAAGCCTCATCCGCCCATTCTAGACGCTTTGAAGCGCACGAAGGACGCGTTGGTGGCTGCGGGCCATAATGTGATCTCCTGGGTGCCTGTGGATCACTGGGAGGCGTGGGATTTAATTGTGAGGAAGTCGTAGCCTAAAGTGCCTGTTTCTCAACGCTGACACACCTTGCATTGTCAGCTCAAGCTCTATTTCCTCGACGGAGGTGAAGAGTACCGAGACGCCATGGCCGGTGAGCCAATGGTCCCGCAGTCGGAGTGGATCCTACGCCAGGTGCCTAACGACGGCGGACCCTTCTCGGTGGCAGAGATTTTCAAACTGAACCGGGCGCGGGAGATGTTCCGGTCAAAGTTGATCGCACATTGGAATGGCACGGAGCGGAGGACCACGACAGGGAGGTCGATTGATGCCATCCTCAGTCCGGTTGCTCCGACGCTCGCCCCTCCGCACGACACGACGCGCTGGTGGGGATACACCTCTTACTGGAACTTGATGGACTTTCCGGCGGTGGTATTTCCAACGGGCAGATTCAGGGCACATAACTATACCCCGCTCGATGTCTCCGGAGAAGCCGTCAGTGGTACGCGTCCCCGCACACCGATGGAGGAGTACATCAAAAATCAGTGGGCGCCAGAAACGTACGATAACGCACCCGTGGCTCTGCAGCTCATCGGGAGGCGGTTGAACGAGGAGAAGCTGCTGGGCATGCTCTCCGTCGTCGAGCGGGAATTACATCGTTCGTATGGGTGAAGGACGGAATCAGTAGATATTGCATAATGCATGACGATATTGATGCACGATACCGCGGTGCCGACTTTAAATTCACTGTAAGAACTCGAATGCCACGACGACATACGGGGTTCCGTGAACTCATTCTCTCGTCCGCTGAACACTCGGTAATCACATGTACATGTCAAAGAACAACTCTCACTGACGGGCATCACCGCAATGAGATAACAACGCGTACAACGTGAAGCTTGGAGGCCGATGACGGCGTTTTCCATTCATGCCTGACTGCTGTCCTCGAGATGGAGTGGGTCTCATTCATCTCGCAACAGCAGCTTATGAATACGATGCGGGCATCTCGACATGCCGAAGCAGATGGATTGATCAATGCCGTACAAAAGGACCTAGGTAGAGTTGTGCGATAGGGAAGCCCACCTCGACGTGCGATCTCTGTTCAGTGGCTGGTGGTACATCAAAGATTGAGGAAATAGACTGGGCTACTATTAGGGTAGCCTCCCCGCTTCCTGGATAAGTGCGAGGGTCCGAGTAAGATTGCTTACAGGTCGCAGGGCAATGATATTCGTGTGAGATTATGGCGAACTTTCTCATGAAGGGCCATCAGTCTGTCACTATCTTCAGCACGACCAGGCCGACCCGCATGGTCATTTAATAATCGACACACCTGTGCAAGAGCTCGTGGCCTATCACTGCGGTCGTATGTGCTTATGAGGCGGAGAAACTCGACCCTCTGACGTATATGCCTAGTATAATTGCGCCAAGTCGGAATCGATAGTATAATACGACTGGAGATGACACTTACCGGACTCACCGCCACGCGCGCGCGCTGGCAGGCCTCGGGGCTCAAGACAGATCAGGCGGATCGCATACCTGACTCGAATCTCACCGAGCGGTGTTAGAGCATGTTGCGTACGTCACCCTCGTGTGGCCTCGAGGCTTCAGATTCAGACTAGTACCATTAAACGGTCCTGTGCCCGCGAGCGCACCTGGGCGCAGTACTTGAGATCATAGATCTTGGACTCGGCTGAGGCAAAAGGTGATCGGGATGTCGTTTCAAAGCATCTGGAGAGGAACGCGTCCGCAGCCATGCGGAGAAGCGGTGCAGCCCCGGTGTAGCAGCAGGTTTGTGAGTGTGAGGCAGTATGGCTGCTGAGACAGGCTGAATTGGGATGGCCGTGCGAAACATTTGGGCAGAGTCCCGTGGTGATGCGCTGTCTGTCGCCGCAGTTCACACCTATCCTCCTCACTGCATTTCGGCTTCCCATTGGGATGGGTCGTGACTGAAACACACCACTAGTGGATATGGCCGTCCATTCAGCGTACAGGGAAGCGGACACTCACTCGTCCCGAACTGATCAAGTTAAGTTCCACAAGCCCAGCCTGGCCTCTATTCGCCGCTGTCATCTGTGCTAATAGTTTTCTCGACAGGTTCGACGTGGCAGTCTGAGTGGTCAAAGCCCGTTCAGTCCGCGGATCCGCTACGATAGGCATGCTCTTTCGCATCTCCGCTAATTATCGCAACATTGACTGCTTATTACTCGGAGATGATGTCGAGCTATGCAACACCGAATGTCAGGAATGTCCTCAGCAGCGCGCTGTCCCGAGCGCCGACGTCGGAGATGATACGATTATTTGCTTAAGCGGCAAGTGGCAGAGTCTGTGCCTGCCAACCGGTCAGCTTGGGAAATGGCGGCTCGACTGAGATCCAAGTTGATGCAGAGTAGTGACGGTAGATGCCATGACTCCGCACGGGTTAACCTCCGTCTAAGGTTGCAGGCGCGCGGTGTACTTATTTGTCACTGAGACAGTTTGGAAATACATGCACCCTGACAGGTATAAGAGCCCAGGCAGTCTCATTGCAGACAACATTCCCAAAGTCACCACCTGCGTTCCTGTGCCCGTGCTATTGTACGCTGTAGCCTCTGCTAATTCGTACGTTCCCTCTTGTGTCCCTTGCTCTCTCTTTCTGACACCCACCACGCAGGCCCTCACAAGATGCCCGGACTAAATGCCTCGACGCACAGCATTCTCGTCCTCCAGCACGACAATGCCGAAGAGTTCCTGGAGTGCACGTACCCTACTCTAGAGCGCCACGAAACGTCGGCGAATATCATCCTCGCCCATGCGCTGAAGCGCGTCGGGGCCGAGGTCGCACTTGCCAGTTACCTCCCTTTCTTGACCGACGCACACGCGGAGGCAAGCTTGAGAAGACTCAACCATTCGAGCTACTCCCCACACCGAACCGACGATTCCTTCTGGCTAACGCTATGGAGTGCCACTCCCAGTGGCCACCCAGCACTCGAGCTCGTCCTTTCTTGCCTTAACTGGACGCTAGGCAACTATCCCGTCTTCCTCTGGACCCCCCGGCGACCCGGAACGTTCCCGTCTGATTGGCTCAACCCACGCATCGCTCAGTTGACCGAGCACTTGCGACTCTGCGTGCCTCCCGAGCGCGTCTTTTCCGTCTTCGGCATGACGCAGCTTGTCAAGACCTTTGCACGGCGTTGGTCGTCAGCGACGGGCTTCAGAGTTGACCCGGAACCTTTCTACGCAGCGCATTTCTCATACTGCGACCCGACCACTTTTCAAGCTGCGGACGTATGGTTGCCGCAGGGCCATGCGCTGCGAAAAGCGGGCTATCGCGACCTAGAAGCGGTTGCGCAACTCTGTAAGGAGTTTGCCGATGAATCTGTGAGAACTTTTTTGGTTCGCCGGTGTAGATCACAAACTCACTCGGTCTTTTTGTCGACCAGGTCTTCTTCCCGTTGACAACTGAACGGGCGACGATTGAGGCGCACGAATTAATTATGAAAGGCCAGATTTGGGTCTACGATGCCAGTGGTGACATCGCTACCGTATGCGCTGTCACGCGTAATTCGCTGCATGTGTCTGCCATTACCAAAGTTTACACCACGCCTGCCTGGCGGCGACATGGGTGCGCGGAGTTTCTTGTGCGAGAAGTCACTCGGAGGTATGTCACAAGATATGCTCACCCTCCTCGTCGGAACTAAAGATATCGTGCAGAATCTTGTTTGAGTCGGGCAAAGACTGCGTAGTCCTGTACGTGGGACACGATAATAACGCGCAGCGGGTCTATGACCGGGTCGGGTACGCCGGGCTGTGCGGCAAAGACAAGTCAGATCGTATCGAAGATTCTCTCGAGCTCGGCTTCGTCGGGGCTCACAGAGGACATTGGTGAACGTCCCTCTAGCTTATCACTTTATCTAATGCTACCGACTGAAACGCTATTCGAACCATGTATCCGTAGCACCGCTCTTGATTGCATATTGCACTGGCCTGACATTTTGATGAATTATTCAATAATACTCTTGCAAAGTCTCACATACTGTAGACTCTTCTTAATCGTAGAGGGTTCGTTGCGAGCTTCTCTTGCCCATAATGAACATACCAATCTCAGCTGCCTCGGACCAATCTTTTGGGAGTGTATCGCTACTGGGAGACTCGTCCGGGTATTGCATATACAACTGACCCGCCGCAACAAGAAGGCTACCACACGCAACCAGTCGGCGACGGTCCAGGTCGACGCATATCGCCCTAAGGTTAGCGTGCATCCAGTCCATGCGGGTGGACGACAAGAGCTGCGGTGTTCCCTCATAATGCCGAAACGCATGCGACAGCTCATGGTGTCCAGCATGGTGCCTCAGAGGTGTCTTTTGCTACAAACGTCGTGGCGGCGGAGAAAGATAGGTGTTAACAGGTCAACTACCGTGACTGAACCCTCTGGAAATCGCCGCTTTTACCACCCTCTTTTCTGGACACGACTACATCTCCAATAGTCATCTCCTGCCCGGCGACTGCCTTCAACATGTCCCAAACGGTCAGAAGGCCGATCGACACCGCCGTCAAAGCCTCCATCTCCACCCCGGTCTTCCCCTCGCAAGTAACGTCCGCACGACACTGGATACTGAACCTAGTCCGATCTACCCCGCGTTCCTGACATGTGGTTCCGACATCGGAATCTGAGACAGCCGCGGGGTACTGCGGTGCTTCCGACGCCGAGGATCCAGAAGCTGATCGATGCACTTCTGGCTGCAAGGTCACTGCGATATGAGTGAGCTGCAATGGGTGGCAGAGGGGTATTAGATCGGAAGTTCGCTTGCACGCCATGATGGCGGCCAATTTGGCTACCGTCAGGACATCGCCTTTCGATCGGGCTTTAGCTTTCGCCTTCTCGAGCGGCGTTAGCTGTTCCGCGGGGATAGGCTCCCCTGGGTCCGCCGCGGCGTAGGTCGTCGTCACCAATTCGTAAGCTATTGCTGGGATGTAGATCCGACCTGTCGCCACTGCGCGGCGTTTCGTGGGTTCTTTGTTGGAGATATCGACCATGGACGCTCTGCCGGAATCATCCAGGTGTGTGAGTCGCGAGTTAGGGTTGCCGGCATCCGATGCGGAGGGGCCTTTGGTACTGAATGAATGGGCGGCCAGAGAGGGCGGTCTCAGCAAAACCGGTCTTGCGTGGAATAGAGTTGGCCGGCGCATCGGTGATCGAGATGCGCCCCGCCGGGAAGGAGTCACAGCGACGTTGACGCTTGCTGTAAACGCACGGATCAGCACTGTATCGGTCAGGTAAGAACCAGGAACCAACATGTGGCAGAGGGGAAGAGACTCAACCTCCGATGAGAATCATAGGCCTATTTGTAACAACATCGATATCTTCCATTCCTGCATGCTTCGCTTTCTTGCCCTGAACAGCGAAGCCTATGGTCTGCAGTAGTTCTTCATCTGTAGCACCTGCTCGCATGCGATCGCGCAACGATATCTCTTTGGCGTCGAACAGGCAAACCTGACATGACCAACAGCAGACCGTGAGACCAGCGTCGGTGAGTAAAGTCATATAGATGCCAGATGACGAACGTACCTTGATCTGACCATCCGCAGTGAGTCTCAGGCGGTTGCATGAACTACAGAAGTGATCTGACATGCTGCTGATGAAACCAAAACTACCCTGGTATCCAGGGATGATGTAGGACCGTGCCGTATCGTTGAGCTCGTCGGGAGCTTTGGCGATATTCGGATGCCGTTGCCGGATGCGGGTCAATAGTTGGGTTGACGGGACCATCTTACATTTATCCCACTTGTTACCTGCAGATAGTGAGATGAGTAAATCAGATGCAGCGAAATCGGTAGTCATCACCTGTGAAAGGCATGAATTCGATGAACCGGACCGAAAGTTCCTTATTCCTGGTGAGCTCCAGGAAATCCAGTACCTCGTGGTCGTTCAGCCCTTGAACAACCACGATGTTGAGCTTCACAGACTGCAAGCCTGATGCTAGTGCGGCATCTAGACAGCGAAGTACGGCTTCGTGACCTCGTCGCCGGGTCATTATCTCAAACTTGAAAGGGTCAAGGGTGTCCAGGCTAAGGCGAGTACCACATCAGCCACGCGTCTCTGGCGGCTACGACAATTTGGAATACCGACCTTAAGTTGAGATGTGTAAGCCCATTCTCGACGAGCAACGGCAACCGGCGTTCTAAGGCTATGCCATTGCTGGTCATGCCCACGGATTCAAGCCCGAGTTGCCGAAGTCCATTTAATCGGGCTGGATAGGTGATGAGACGTGTTCGTGCTTCAGAATCCCGAGGCAAGCTGTGCTCACCAACGATGTCGCCGAGACCCTTCCTCACGGTTGGTTCGCCCCCGGTCAACCGAATCTTTGTAACCCCGCTTCGCACGAACAGCTTAGCAAGCCGGATAACTTCGTCGTCTGTGAGGATGTGGTCTCTGGGAGATAGTTCGACGCCTTCGCTTGGCATGCAATAGAAGCCTGTGCAGGAACTGTGTCAGAGGCCCGTCGTCATGTGTGACGAATAGTAGAGCACGTACATCGTAGATTGCATCTCTCTGTCAACGAGATCCGCAGGTAATTGTGCCTTCTCTGAAACGTGTCTACCAGGAAAGGAGAGAAAGGCCGCTCTGTGTCTATCTGAGCTAGTCTCTCCTGTAATGGTGCATAAGTTCCTGCATCACCGCCACAGATGAATATACGTGCCTTAGCCTGGGTGCGTGCCAACACACCGTCGGAGACTTCCTGTGCCAGCCCACAGATTGCTGTGGCCTTGAAACCACGATTCAACCTAGTACTACGTCCTATGGTGGCGCCGGCGCCGTTTGAGTGCAGTACGCGACATCCACGGAACATGACTCGGCCTGAAAGACGAAAGGTCGTCTACGCAGCTCAGTAGTAGGTTTCAGCGGCGACCAGATGGACGTTACGGTCCAAGGTGCTGCCTAGCACATACGACACACGCCGGCTGACTTGACTCGACGGCTTGAGCTTCTTGGTGGCGCCTAAGCCGCGCCTTTACTCAGACGAGCCGTGCAAGGCCGTGCATAGCCGCTCCTCCTAATCCAGTATGCACAGGCGCCCGTTAGCAGCGGTCGACCTTGGACTGTACTGTACGTCGACGTTCAACGTCAACGTTGAACGTTTGAACGTTGAACATCGAATTAGGAATCGCAGTAGCTTGGTGAGAGTGCTCGTATGGCAACTAAAAGTGAGCAGCCTCGTTTCGGGTCACAGGCGCGACAGATCGTGATTCAGATCTTACAGATCGTGATCTTATCTTACCATATCAGGCATGCAATCGCAGACCGGTGACACTCTGTCCACGCTGGGCCCCTTCGTTTGCTCAGGCCTGGCGATTATTGTACTCAGAGTATTGACGTCGTCTTTGAAACACAGAGCGATGAGATGAGTGCATGGGCGGGTGCTTAGTAGCTCATTTTGGCGAAGTTTGGGATTAGGCGCCCGTGCGGGTACTCAGCCTTGCGAGCGCTTCGGTCAACGGTCTCCGCAGTGACTATAGTGGCTATCATTCAAATATTCATGTCTTGAACAGTGCATGGATTGTAAGTTAGGTCGCGCATTTTGACCCGTGTATCCGTCACTGACTGGCAGCTTCCTGTGCTCATTACCCTCAGGATGGACCATTTCCGTTGCGGTGGGTAGCGCTGACCGCTAATGATAGCGGCAACCTGCTCACTCGCTCGGCCGCTCCCCAAACTTAACGACACATTGTAAGGAGGTGCCCTGTGCGGTGTGGTTGAGGTGAAAACTTGCGGGTTGTTTATCGGTATATGCACGGTGAGTAAGTAGATGCACTTGAATACAGCCTCTTCAAGTTCACGGATGCTCTCCGCTTGACCATGCTCCCGCTCTCGCACTTGTCCGCCGTCCGTTCCGAACACCTGTCCACTCCTCGGCCGCTCTGACACTTGTCCGCGTGCCGCTCACCATGGACATCTACGGTGTGTCCTTCGCGCTGCAATGCCTGCCCTGCCATCTCCGAGTAACTAGGCTTGGGCTTCGACCTGTAGATCAAGTTCTCTGCACCAGGGCGGACACTCGAGTATTCCTTCAAGTTCATTGCACATGATACGTCCCCGACTCTCAACACTCCAACATGAGGTGCGCGAATCCGCCCTTTCTCACATCCAGGCGATCAGCCTCCTCTCGCTGACCATCACCTACAACTCCTGTGCACCCCCGGGCCGCTCCGACCTTTGCGTACGCTCACTCGCAATGTCTCGCCGCCCACGCGCGCCGCCTGCCCATCTCCCAACCATCTCCCTCTGTGCGGACATCTGCAGGTTGTGTATGTCTGATACTGTGACGGCGGCGCTGAGGTGGTGCTGTTCACTGGACCCAACCCTGCGGATGATGGCCGCGGTCGACGTTATGCAGGGCAGTTACAGTGTGAATAGCAATGCCCTGCTGGAGCGTGCAGGTACGGTAGTGAATCTTTGGTGGACAGTGGTCGATAGATAAGTTTGCGAGGCTCCTCTTGTGACCTCTGACCCGGGTCGTTTGTATTATCTACATGTATACAAGCTGTGAGCGAACGTCTACATCACCCGCAGAGTCACCACCAGTAATTATTCGCACTTGCCTTTCACTCGCCCGCGTTGATCTGATCACTCGCCGCGTACTACTTCCACCTCTCGCTGCACTCTCGCCTGGACGACTCATCCCCGCTCCACGCGCTCCCTTTTCCGCCGTGCATGCAATCCTTACACAGCACAAGACAGTGGACTTCCCAATGCTTGTCACAAAATTCATTCTAGGATCGATCTACATACAATACTCGTGACAGCGCTGAGCCCAAACCTGATATGACTGGCATATGAGGTTCAAGGAGCATGGTTTGCCCATGTATATTTTCCCGTATGTGTGTAGATACATCCAAATGACAAGTACCCGCACGCGAGAGTCACTGAGAACGCTCGCAAGACTAAGTACCTGCACGGGCGCCTAATCCCAAACTTCGCCAAAATGAGCTACTAAGCACCCGCCCATGCACTCATCTCATCGCTCTGTGTTTTAAAGACGACGGCAATACTCTGAGTATAATAATCGCCAGGCCTGAGCAAACGAAGGGGCCCAGCGTGGACAGAGTGTCACCGGTCTGCGATTGCATGCCTGATATGGTAAGATAAGATCACGATCTGTAAGATCTGAATCACGATCTGTCACGCCTGTGACCCGAAACGAGGCTGCTCACTTTTAGTTGCCATAGCTCGAAATGGACGTCGCGTGAAATGTGATAAGGCGTTAGCAGAGGATATCATGAGCAAGGAGTCCATGATCGCTTCCCATTCTAGGTCGATCCAGAGCGCGACATTAAGCTTAAGCCCCACGATGGTCGCTGATATGTAGGTTCTATTATGCTGTAGCTAATTTGTACATCTTTGAGCTGTCCAATCTAAGAGTACTTGAGACTGAGGCGACAGACATGAAGCAGTATGGGCGCAAAATCCTCTACACAGCAACTACAGCCCTCTCAGCCACACTTCGAAAATTGTCCAAGGCCGCTGTCGGTCTTCTTGAAGCTTGGCTCGGAAATATCGACCAGTTGCTCGCAGATGCAAGTCAGTCGAGGCGAGAACGACTTGGACACTGCATTCTCGTTGGATTGCCTGCCCAGCACCATTGTCCTCGCCTAGTGTCGGTCCTCTCGCGTCGTCACAGAGCGGTTTGTGTAGTGTTTGCCGCTGCGTGATAGTCAGCACAAGCTACAAATGGAAAAACCGAAAACTTACCCAGTTTTGGTTGTCCATCGAATAATCAAACGCGCTCGCATTCAATGTTTCCTCGGTATCCGCATCAACGAGCCAGACCAGCTCGACTGCCTGCCATTCATGTGCGTCGCTGATATCCCCGAGGACGTCTAAGACGATCACATCGCCCGCCCGGGCATCTGTAACCGATAACAATGTCGACAATTTGTAACCCCTTCGGGCCCGTTGAATAGTGATCACTCACTTGCGAAGCTCCGGAATGCCGTATCTGGGCGGGTATCCACGGCATGCGACAGCGGATGATTTTCGTACTCTTGCTTGCCGGCGGTCCCCAAAATAACGAGATTTTGTTCCTCTATCGTAAGTATCTTCTCCGCGCTATCTGCGGTGCGAATAATAGCATCTGGGAACAGTCTGATATTGGTTTCGAGGACACACGAGGCACCGCCACATGCTGCACGCGACAATCGGGACCGGGGTGGGTGGTCGGCCAACGAGAGGTAGGGTATCTTCATTCTAGCTGGTTTCGACTGGGCTTCGGGTCCACATGAGGCGGCCCCACAACGCGTCAGAGAATCCAGATATTGCGTAGCCCTGAGCTAGATGCCGACCAGCTGATGAGTCTTGCAATCTCAGACGCGAAGGAGGACAGACGGACGGTATGCCTTGCGTTTCGTTGGTTCCCTTCCTCTCCGACTGTGAAAGCATTACCACCGCCGAGCCCAAAACTTTGGTCGAACCAGATTTCCGGCACGCGGTTGCTTAGGATGGTGAAGTAGTTGTCGGCCATCTTCATCTCGTCCGGTGAAGCCCGCAGGTAGCGCATCAAGGACAGGAATTCATCTGCCTGGGAGCGATGCATGATGGAGCCGTGGCCAAGCCATGCGAATGACGTGTGAATGTCCGAGATGTATGAAGGGTCTGGCTTAGGGACGTGAATCTCGCGCAGGGAGCTTGACAGGTGTTCATGCGATGGAAGCAGGTGAATGGTGTGAGGGTCATCCGAGCTGGCGAGGCGAGCGCGCAGAGACCTTATGATCTCTGCACGAACGAGGTAATCGTCATCCTATGACCCTGACATGTGAGCTTGCACAAGCGTAAGTTGGACAAGCTGACACGCATTCACCTGTATGTAGCAGTATGGTGTCTTAGCCGCGGCGCAGCCCAGGAAGCGGCCCTGAAAGTACGCGTTCCCCGGTGCGTTGTGAATGTATAGCTTATCCTTTGGACAGCCAGTATGTTTGAGATCCTAGAAGCCAGCACTCAGGGCACACATTACGAACCAACGAGCAATGCACTCACTTCGTACGTCAAGATCCTAGGACTGTTGTTCCATATCACAACTCCTGCAATCGTGTCTTGCAGCCAGGGACCGCATAACAGAGATGTGATGAGAAGGACGTTCGGGAAGCGTGCCCAATTCAATATGACGGCGGTCGTATCAGGGACGTTGGTAGTGACGTTCAATACCCGCTCATAGCTATGAAAATCAACTGAGTCTAGACGGTATGTCACCGGGTACGTTCTGGGGGTGAATCCAATGTCCTTTAGGACTGGCAGGTAGAGGGCGGGTGGGGGTTCTGGCTTCCGCTGCGAAGCGAAGTAGTTGACCACGATGGACAACAGTATCGGGACGGCGACAGTCTGCACAGCGCGAAAGACTGACCGCCAGCTCAACGAAGCCCTAACTTGTTGGAGAGCATCGTCCATAGTGCGCCGCTCAGGGACAGAAGGATATCGAGGCGGCTGAGCAGGTCGTCGACCAAATGTTCTTGCAAGCGGCGGGCTCGATCCCTCGACCAAAGCGCCTGGCCAATTGAGCCATGTGGCAGATAGACGCCCGTTTACCCCGCCCACGTCATCTGACTGTTGCAACGCGCTTGCGCACAAACGCCGCCACTGCGCCGTGCGAGGCCAGCGACCTTACCGCTGTCCGCCATCCTCGCTGTCCTCTATACTCGTCCGCTCTTTTACTTACCCTGGTGCTTCAGTATGCTCTCTTCTCGCAGTGCTCGAGTACTCAAGCCTCGCGTCGTGACATCTCAGGCTAGAAGAGCCATTTCCGTCCAGGTCTGTTGCCGTCGCGCTGCTAGCACGCGCTGAGGTGTTTACGCGTCTGGCCTGGTTGCCTTGCCATTCACGAAGTCAATATTGCATGGATCTCCGGAGGCAAAGCAGGAGGGCGATGTCCAGGTCCAGCAACACTCGAGAGTCGTGGCGCGAGGGAAGTACGTGCATGGCTTCGAGGGTGAGTAGCCGTCATAACGGGAATGAGTGTGTCATTGAATCCAACTATACTATTCCTAGTCCACAAAGTGAAGCCGGATGCCGTCGAGGAGTACAGGAAGGCAGCGTATGTTGTGTCCAGCGTCACATGTTCTTGCTCTCACGGGCGCATCTGTAGCGAGCAGTATTACTCTATCATCAAGGACGACCCGGAGCTGCACGTCAAGCTGACGGGTAGCTGGGAAACTGTTCTTGGGGAACAAGATACGTTCGGTAGGTGCTAGCATTACGCTCCGGGTGAGCGTTGTCTGACTGCGACGCGGCCGCAGTCCACATTCTGGAATACGAGAACTACAAGGGTTATGACATGACCACCAAGAAGATTCGAGATTCTGACGTGAGTGAATCCCCATTTCCTCTGATTGAGGTCCGCAGATCGGACAACTGAATGGACGCCGTACGATAGTACATCAAAGCATACCGAAAGATGTTACCTCATCTTGTCTCCCGCAGCTCGCAATTGAACCAGGAGTTTGCGATATTACCGACGGCACCGCCCCATTCTGAAGGTGGTATCTTCGAGCTTCGCACCTATCAATTGCATCCGGGAACCTTGCTTCAATGGGAACATACCTGGTAGGTCATTCTTATCTCCCATTCGCTAGCGTCGGTATTAATGAACTATCTCGGTTCTCGACCTCATAGGCGCAAAGGGATCGAGGCCCGACGAAAGTTTGTGGAACCTGTCGGTGCTTGGTTCTCCCAGGTCGGACGCCTTCACCAAGTTCATCACATGTGGCAATATCCGTACGTTACCGAGTAATGTCCGTTCTCATAGCCGTATGATCAGCTGTCTTCTCTAGTGACCTTCAGACCCGCAAGGAGACGCGGGAGAAGGCTTGGAAGCTGGATGGATGGGCCGAGACTGTGTCGAAGGTGAGCTATTTCCACAGGGTGCTGGATACAGAACCTAATACCGCCGTGACGCCAGACGGCCGAGTATTCCATGCTGATGGATGCGATAATACTGGAGCCGCTACCGTACAGCCCCTTGAAATGAACGCAGTCTGCATCCGGTGGGCTTCATTCGGCGTAGATGGATTGCCATTGGATAGCCAGGTTGGGATATAGCCACAGTATCGCGCTGCAGAGGAAAGGCAGGGGATTGCCTTGAATGGGCGAGGGCGGCGCACAGAGATATTTGGCGACTGGAATGTATGTAAAATATGAGTCACCCAAGCTCTGATTGCTGTTTGAGTTCACTTCCGAGACGACAACTCGGCACGACGCGATAAGAAGCCAATAGCGTGGGTGACAGTAGGTCCCAAGTAGGTCCAGGCCAGACCCTCTCGCTCCGCACAGGGGTGAATCGCGCTCGCGTTACGTTTGGGGCGTCATCTCGGAGGACACCAGACACGGAGACGCAGCGCTGGGTGGGCCTTGTGGGAAGCGGCTGGGTGGGGGAAGGTGATGCTGAGTGAGCGGGTGTAGCCTTCGCATGACCGGGAGTGCCGAAGAGTGACTGGTGTTGATATGATGCAGACGAGATAATCACAGCGGAATCGCACTGCCCGCATGATAATATACGAAGCCCGCTCTTGTGGTGGTGGGACCCCCACGCCAGACAAGGTAGTAGCGAGCGTCGGAAAGCCTGCCTAAACGGGCGCACCACGCGGGCGTCGTCAATGTTGAGAATCGGAGTTGCGGATCTGATAGAGCACAATAGGCGTGCGATGTAAAGGCGATGGACCCACAACCACAACCTATCCACAATCTCCTGTCCGACCCTCCTCAACAGCCACCCTCGCCAGCGGGGGTCCGCTGCATGCAACCACCCATGACCTCCCTCAACAACCTTCTCAATCCCGAGAGCACATATGAGTACAACCGCAGGTGAGTCTGAGGCCACGTCTTCCACCCCCGTCCCTATCGCGGCCCCGCTCTCGGCTGATGCAGCCTGCCAGGGTCACACAAGCTCACAGTAACGGCTCGCCCGCAAGCACGACGTCCTCGCCGCCAGCGACCATCTCCACCGAGCGCACCGTCGAGGAGAACTACTATGGACAGACCAATATCTCCATCACGCCGCATGAGCCACACCCCAACTGCCCCGACACCTTGACCTGCCTCCCCGACACCGATGGTCGTCCACAACACACCCTCCCCGTCATCCTCCGCTGTGCCATCCTCGGCAGCCCCAAGAGACGCCTCACAATTCGAGAGATATACGCGGCGATGGAGAAAAAGTATCCGTACTACAAGACGGCGGGGCCGGCATGGAAGGTGAATATCCAGCCTACTCCTCATGCATTCGTCTATCAGGGTTGAGACGTCTCGTCCTCCCCCCTCCAGCAATCAGTGAGGCATCACTTATCACTTAATCGACTCTTTGAGCGCCAACCGCGGCCAGCAACAGACCCAGGCTTTGGGTCGTACTGGACCGTCAACCTCGACGCTCCCCCGGGGACGAAGCGACCACGCAAGAGAGGCCGCGCCAACAAGGACGCCCCTGCAAACAACCTCCCTCTCGAAACCGACGCGCTGCAAGCCCCGCTGGGGCACTCGGCGCAAACGTCATTACCGCCTTCTGTCCCACCTTCGCATTCACACCCGTCTCTCCCTCAGTCGCTTTCTCATACATCGCTGCCGCACCCGCTGTCTCACCATCCCATACCGCCCCCGCTCCCGCATTCGACCTCCGCACCCTCGGTAACACCGTCTTTACCACCGCAACGACCGCCCTCAATATCACCCTCTGCACAGCCTCCCACACCCCATTCCGCCACTAACTCAGCTCCGTCCTCCGCTCAGTCATCAGCACCGACCTCAGCCCCGCCGTTTCCGAAGGTCCGGGAGCAAACTGCCGAGTCGGAGTATCGCTTGCAGGACCCTCCCATCGCAACGCTGCGCCCCGTGGACAGTAGGTCGTTCAATCAAGGATCTACGCTACGCTCTGCGAAGTACTACGATGAAGACGAGGACGAGGACGATATGGAGTGGGAGGAGGAGGGTACGCGAATGTCGGACTACGACAGCGCGGAGGACACACCATACCAGTACGACCCTCGACAGAAGCCTTCGACGTCGAGTTCACACCCTCCTCACTCGTTATCCTCTGTGAGCGGCAGACCCGCCCTCTATGGTGCGTTCTCGTCCTACGCAAGCAACCCGACGCACAGGAGCCCCGAAACACAACCCTACAAAGGCCCGGAACCTCCACCGCCGCCAGGGTACAAAGGCTCGGACGGACATGCGTACCGGGCGTCCGATAGCCAATCGTACAGGAGCTCCGATGGTCAATCGTACAGGAGCTCGGAGGGGCTGTCGTACAGAGTGTCCGAAGGACAAGCGTACAGAGGCCCTGATGGCCAGCTGTACCGAGGCGGCGACGGACAAGCATACAAAAGCCCAGAAGGACAGACTTTCAGGAGTTCTGAGGCGGGAGACCCTCTCATCGAGCGGTTGAAGATGGAGATGGCCGGCCTAAGGCGGCAATCGACTGATGCTGTCAACGCCTCGCTCCGTTTGTCTGCTCAACTGTCAGAGTCGCAGGCGGATACGTCGAGAGCGAGGTCAACAGTCAAGGTGTTGGAGAACCGGCTGGAGGAGGAGATAAGGCGACGGCGGGACGCGGAGCACATCGCGGAGGACGAGGCGCGGCTCAGGCTGGCGGCGGAGGACGCGCTCCGAGCATACCAGTTGCAGAGAAGACCACCGGGGTACACGTCATCCAGGCCATGACAATTACAGGGACCGTTGTATTATCTTGGATAGGCATGCTTCTCATGACTCACATAGGTTGTGTTACTCAACACCGGATTCTCCCTTTTGGTTACGCTCTCCTTATGGGCCGGTCTGTACATTCGTCTTGGTTCATCCTCGTGTATCGTTCGCTCCTTGTGTTTGCGTCTTGTCATGGGCCGTCAGTAGGGTCCCAGCTGTTTGATACATTTGTTAATACCGGATAAAACGATGTCTGGCTGTTCGGCGACTTCGGAGAGCGGATTCATACATGCCTACTAGTACCGATCTATGACCTGAGTAGTCGTTATGGCAACTTACATCGACATGATCCAATAAAAGCATCCTTCATGCCCAAACGTCGCTTCAATACAGAAAACACGCATGCACTCAAGACGACAGGTCTATGGGAGTTCACCGTCAACAAGGGGAAATGTACAGTCGTGAGACTCACACGCAGGTGGGAATGCCGCCCATTCCTCAATCTATTCTGTCAGACACGACGACAGAGCCTGAACAACATCGCTATGTATATGTATTCGCCCATGCATATGGGGGATTAGTTGAAATGCGCACGTCCGCCGCCGCGAGCGAATCTGACAGATGAAGCTTGAGTTAATCTGGGGTTCCGCGGCGTCCGACGGCTCTCTTCGCACGCTCAAAGGCCGCAGTGCGAGTGACGTCGTCTGACCAGAGCCGACGGGTGCGAAACGCGAGACGGCGGAGGGCAGTGGGGGACGCGAGCACGCAAGAGCAGGCAAGGGCACGCTGTGTGTGCATGTCCACGCCCCCAAGCGCCCACCCCGTGGCCCCTTCATTAGACGCCCGGGATCATACGCATACGGTGCCTCGATCGGGCGCTGGATCCCGGACCCGGGCGTCTGCCGGTAGAGGCTGTTGGTCAACAGACGCAAACAACCGCTCCCGGCGCGAAAAAGTTGGCAGACGGTAAGCGCCCGTAAGCTAACCATACACCATGGCGTCTTCAGCACGTCCCAAACTCAAAACAACGTATGTCGTGTCCGTATCATGCGCATATGCATCTGACTGTTGCTGTTTAGCTTCAAGAAGGCCAGGGTCATCGCCCCTCTGCACACGGAGGGCCCGGTAGCCATCTCTCAAGATGGGACCAGGCTCTTTACATGCGTGGGCGAGGAGGTCCTCATGACAGATATAAAAGAGGGGCGAGAGATTTGTCGGTTCTCGGGGGTGCGTCCGTATATTGTACGATATTGTGAGGGGATACTGACGTTCTTGTCAGGACACAGAGTCCATTACCTCGTTGTGTATAACGCCGTCCTCCACGCACCTGATGCTCTTCACATCGGCACTCGTACTGCGCATATATGAGGTACCGTCATCAGATGAATCATTGGCTAAACGTGTACATCCGATCAGGGTGGTTGCGCGTGCGCACGACGCGCCTGTCCATGTCTGCAAGGCCGACCCCACGTCCACATACCTCGCATCCGGCTCCGCGGACGGAACCGTGAAGGTATGGAACATCCTTCGCGGGTACGTCACGCACGTCTTCAAGGGACACGGCGGTGTGGTCAGCGCTCTTGCCTTCAACTATCCGTTCGATCCTTCGGCGGTGGAGCGCGAGACGAAGATGCAGTTAATCACCGGCTCTGTGGACACGCGCATCCGTATCTTCGACCTATCAGCAATCACCGCAAGAACAGGTGCTGCATTGAAGCCTGAGGCCATACTCGAAGGACATGTCTCCGTTCCCCGTGGTCTGGACGTATCTCCCGACGGTAAATGGCTCGTCAGCGGAGGTCGTGACTCCGTTGTGCTTGTGTGGGATATCTCATCCAAGGCTTCTTCCGCCACCAAAAGCAAAAGTAGCAAAGGGAAGGGCAAAGAGACGGCCTTCGCCCCCACCCTCGCCAAAACTGTCCCTGTCCTAGAGCGCGTAGAGGCTGTAGGATTCCTTCGGCCGGACGAAGACCTAGCTGGTTCCCCATCGGGACCTGGAAAGCTCCGTTTCTATACGGGTGGCCAAAAGGGCGTCGTGCGCATATGGGACGCGCGTGAAGGTACAGTGCTATTCACCTTGGGTCACGAACACGACGGCGGCGATGATCAAGAGGAACAACGTCAAATTGTTGACAGCATGTAAGTACGCTCGCTTTCGTGAACGTTTCCAGCCCTGACCCGAAACTCCTAGCTATGTTCCTGCCACGTCCACGATTGTCTCCGTGCACGCGGACCAGAACATCCTCTTCCACTCTCTCACCAGCAAGTCCCTCACGCAGCAGCTAATCGGCTTCAACGACGAAATCGTCGACGCGACCTTCCTCTCGCCTCACCTGCCCCCGCAAGCGAGCGCATCGTCTTCGAAGCTCACCGACACGCATATAGCACTCGCGACAAACTCTTCCCTCATCCGAATTTACTCCACGTCTTCCCTCGACGCGCGCCTACTCACTGGCCACTCCGAGATCGTGCTCTGCCTCGACCAAGGTGCGGGTGGGCGCGTGCTTGCTAGCGGGAGCAAGGATCGTTCAGCACGCATATGGGCCCCGGTGGCTTTGGGAGACTCTAGTGTTGCCGTCCTAGAATGGGGATGCGTCGCCGTGTGTGAAGGACATGCCGAGAGCGTAGGCGCGATCGCTATGTCGCGGAAGACGGACTCGGAATTGCGCTTCATGTTCACTGGTAGCCAGGACCGGACGATCAAGATGTGGGACTTATCGAACGTACCAATATCCCACACCCTCAGTAGAGTCGGCGCAGATGGAGACGACGAGGAGCCACGTACCCTCAAGCTGAAGAGTCTGACCACACACAAAGCGCACGACAAGGACATCAACTCGCTCGACGTCTCCCCCAACAACCGGCTGCTCGCCTCCGGCTCCCAAGACCGCACTGCGAAGATCTGGGAGATCGACTACGTCGCCACGGGCGCGAGCGTGCGCGGCGAGGTGCGCCTCCTCGGGACGTGCAAGGGCCACAAGCGCGGCGTGTGGTGCGTGCGCTTCGGGCGCACCGAGCGCGTGCTCGCGACGGGCAGCGGGGACAAGACGGTCAAGCTCTGGAGCCTGGACGACTTCACGTGCTTGAAGACGTTTGAGGGCCACACGAATTCGGTGCTAAGGGTCGACTTCGTGAATGCGGGGATGCAGTTGGTGAGCTCTGCGAGTGACGGACTGGTCAAGTTATGGAACGTCCGGGACGAAGAGTGCGTATCCACGATGGACAATCATGAAGACAAGGTAAGCCCAGCCTGCTCGACGCTTCTCGTTTTGAATGCCAAGGCTAAGCCACCAACAACATAGGTCTGGGCGCTCGCTGTGAGCCAGGACGAGTCGATGATTGTCTCCGGAGCAGCGGATTCAGTCGTCACGTTTTGGCAAGACTGCACAGAAGAGCAAGAGCTCGAGAAAGAGTCCAAGCGCGCAGAGCTCGTGCAAAAGTAAGCAACCGCGCTCAGCTTTACCCCGCCCGGCCAATCCTAACATTAACTCACCGCAGAGAGCAAGACTTCATGAACTACCTTACCCTGCACGACTACCGCAACGCCATCCAGCTCGCCCTCGCGATGGATCAGCCCGGCCGTCTGCTCAGCCTTTTCAGGGCCATCCAGTCAGAGTCCGCCGAAGAGTCAGAATCACACCTGCCATCATTCTCCGGCCATCCTTCAGTCGACACTGTCCTCCGCACGCTCGCGGCCTCCGACCTCACCCGCCTCCTGCGCTACATCCGCTTATGGAATGCAACCGCAAAGACAAGCGCCGTTGCACAGCGCGTATTGCACGCTTTGCTAAAGCTTCGGCCGGCAGACGACATATCCCAGGCGTTTGGTGACGACCTCAGCTCGGGTGCAGGAGTCTCAGAAACCGATGGCGCACTCACAGTCAGCATCGGCGCGAAGGGCGAAGGCCGAGGTGCCACCGGTCTGAAGGACTGGGTCGAGGCTGTCATTCCTTACACAGAGCGCCACCTTGCGAGGATGGAACGTCTGCTCCAAGACAGCTATGTAGTCGACTACCTGCTCGGTGAGATGGATGGTGGTTTGTTCGACGAGCTAGATGATCCCGAGGGAAACGATGGGATCGCAATGGAGGTCGATAGGGTAGTAGAAGTCACAGCTTAAGCCTTCAGTTTGATTGTATTCATAGCCGCCGTCCTGCTCCGCACACAACATTCGGGCGGCAATGATTGAACTTGCGTTCGAAGTGCATGCTACGTGATATACAGGACCTGCGGAGAGGAATCCTAGGTACGCGAAAGCGAGAGGTGCATGATACAGAGCGCGGCGGGCGATTGTGAGAATACAAGTGGGTAGAGTATAAAACAGTGCTCAAGCCATCTAATACTGACATCCAGTAGTTCTGCTTCATCGCAGTCCGTTTCCCTTCCATGATGTTGACGTTCGTCTCGCGCTGCTTTACGCGAAGCGGACCTTCTCTCCAGGACGGCCCTCGGAGAGCAGGACGACGGCCTACAGAGATACATGCGTCAGCACACAAGCTACTGTCGCTCCACCTGTCTTACGCACATATTTGCCACTGATCTTCCAGCCAGGCTCCTCTTTCTCGAGCTTGTCAGCGAGTGCATCGCCTTCCGGACCAAGACCAACAACGACATCACTCTTGATGGTCCGCATACTGCAGACACGGGGGGCACCAGCCGCAGAGGCCATCGGGCCAATAGCGATGTCGAACTCGGTCGACGGCGGAGCAGCGCAATCGTAGGTGAGCTTCCGGTGATTGAGATCGCCCTTGAAGATCACGAGATCCGACTTCGACAGGTGGAGGAACAGATCCGGAGCCTCGCTGTGCAAGTCCCAATAGGTGTAGCCAGTGCACCAGAATGGGTGTTGCTCGTACACCCATTTGCCCTCCTTTTCGTACTCCTGCAACACTCTGTCAGCACTGTATCGCACACCGAGCGGAACGTTCACTCACCTTCCATCGGAGGCCCAAGCGTCTCAAGCTCTCCATCTCGGCGTCAGAGACCTTCGGGAACAGATGACCGTACACCATCGAGTTGAGCAGCCAGTTCCAGTCCTTCTTGGTCACGTCCGAGACGAACCACGGGTACCGCTTCCCATGGAAGCGGACCTGCTTCGCCAACCCACTTTGAATCAGGAAGTCCGCTGTAAGAAAAGGATCAGGGCTGAATGTTAGTGCAACACGTGGGTTCGTCACGTACCGTAGACACAGTCGCAGTAGAGCTCAAAGCCGGCATTATCGAGCACAAAATCGACACGACCGCCGGTGTTCGTTCTGAGACCATTGACAACTTCCCAGAGACGAGCCATGTCATTCCCGAGAATATTCTTCTCGGTTGCAGCAAGGTTCTCGCCGCCAGTTGACTGCAAGGCCTTGATCTGCTCCTCAGTCATATTGATGAGCAGGGACAAGTCAGTCGAGTTCCCCCACAGACAGACTGAAGTAACTATGTCAGCGTCAGACATTGAAGCCATTGAAGCGGAACAGACCTTGCGTCAACTCCATGAACATCAAGCGCTCCGCCTCGAGCTTCTCCGTGTCGGACATTCCCTCCTTGTGCTTGAATGGCTCGATGAAACGCGTTGAGAGTTCGAATACAGCATCACCGGACCGAGAGAAAGTGTCACACTGTAGAGAAGTCATGAATGGGGACGATCCAGGAAGGTGACAATGCACCCATACCTTCTGACGGAAGAACACGTCGTAGTGTCGCCAGTGCTTGCTGACGCTAAAGCATTCGCGAAGTCGACGATACTTGTATGCCTCGGCAAACAGCCACGGGGCATTCATGAAGTCTTTCCCTGTTCGGTAGAGTAAGTAATTACGTTCCTACGGAGAACCCAAAAATGGCAGCGGTATTGCCCAACATGGTGCAGAAAGAAGCTACTGACCTTGGAAGAACTTCGCAATCTCCTTGTTCCAGAGCGCGACGTCCGCCTCACCATCGTCGATGACGGGGCGCAACTTGGCGTGCGACTCAAGATCAACCTTGAGCTTGTCCATGCGCTCCATGCACTCGACGAGGTCCTTGACACGGTCCTCCTCAGACTCCTGATTGAGCGTCTCGATTACATCGTCGATGGCCTTGCCCAGGATGGTTGGCAGACGGTGACCCATTGTGGCATATGCGAAGGAGTACCTGCGCACGTTCTGTGAGCCGGACGCCGAAAGAGCTACTGCATCAGTGAGTACGTACGTGTGATAGCCACGGAATGCGGGCCATGGCGGGTTGTTGGGGTCAATCTAGCGTCGTGGTGTCAGCACGTTTGCACCTTATGAAGATGGATTCAACAGGAGACGGTGAAGTACGCATACGGGCATCCGTAAGGTCGACCAACATAGCAGAAAGGCGAGTGTATGCGCCGAGCGCGCATACGCAGCAAGCGACTATTCGGAGTGAGATAAGGTGAACAGGGTAGGTACAAGCCGGGAGTATGTACGAAACAGAGATACGGAGCAGTGATGGAAGCAAGACACGTACAGATGAAGGCGTACGTGGGTAGACAACCTTGATGTCCTTCTTGCTAGGCAAGTGAGACAACTTGAGAGACATCTTGTTGGGCATGCCCTTGGTCTTGGTGGGCTCGTTCGGCGGGGGCGCCGCACCATTCGGAACGACTTCGTCAGGCATGTCTTCGGAGTGGTAGCCTTGGTCTTCTGATATGGTGCGAGGGAAATAGTCAGTCATGATGTCGCCCATGGTTGGAAGTGTGTAACGGGTGGCGTCGACAAGAGGGTTGGCAATGGGTATGTGCGGGTGACGGTATGGTGGCAAGCACGACAGAGATACGCACCTTTATATATGTTCTGCAGGCGAGAAGAAGGTCCCCAACACAAAAGTCAGGAGATGATGGGCGTTGCTGAACAAAGGCGTTTGACGCGTCTGTGCTGAAGAGCCCGTCGGCTGCCGTTTTGGGCGGAGCTCTTTGGTTTTCGAGACGGGTGACGTCACTGGCTGCCTTATCGAGTGACGGCCGGAGCTCGGGCGCCCGCCGTCGGCGAGCGTTGGCCTCTTTTGGGCGCGACGGCGCCGACGGTTATCTGATTCGGTCGCGTGGCTGCCGCCGCCGCTGCTTCCCGCCTTCTCGCCGCCGGCGATGGTGTGAGAGGGCGCGCTGTGGCAAGTGCCGGCATGCCGTGCGCTCATCCATCGCACATATCACTCCCCCATTTTCTGCTTCAAGCTTGCCGTGTTCGTCCTTCTTGCTCTGTTTGCCGGTGCCTGGCCGACGCCCACAGCGTCTTGCGGAACGACGAGGCCACCGCTCTCCACGACGGACTCGTCCAGACGGTGGCCATCGCCTCCAATTAGCACAACACCACCGTCGCCATCGGTCACCACCTTCGATTCCGGCCTGCTATCGACCAAGCCCGGATTATTCAGAACCCTGCTTGACATCATGTCAGCCAGCCAGCCGAACAGCGCTGCACGTTCGCAGCGGACGGGGTCCCTTTGTCAACGCACACGATGAGCAGCAAACACACGCACATGGTAATACGCGTTTTCTGTCACACACATTCTGCTCGACGGATTACGCGTAACTGAAAGCAGAACGGCGCCTGGCCTGATCACCCGTCTTCTGTGCTCCATCGTGAGTACAGAACACTTGTCTAGGACATAACCAAGACATAACTATGCAGGTAAGCTATTCCTAGTCGAGGCACGGCCAGTCTGATGCTGATGGAGGCTTCGAATCCTCGTAGTTTCACGAGGCGAGTGACGTCGATCACTGGTTACATACGTGTTTGTCTAGCTCTGCGATCTCAATCAGCATGCTCCTCTCGTTCGTACAAGCTTGTCGCCCCCCTCACAAATCGCCCCACCTGTGTTCTAGCGGCTAATACTAGACGGGTTCGTCGTCATACTAGCAACTGGTGAGCACCCTCGATCAACGTGCATCGCAATTTGTTACCTAACGCAACTATCGAGCGGACGCTGCTATGTACAATTTCGCTGATCCTTCATGTTTGTAGTTCCTATTGCGTGCTCCGCATGCCATATAGCTGGATGGTGTTCGTGAGCGTCCATGAGGATCAGCCATTATTACCGTGACGTCTCCGAGCCGCCTGCACTGGCATGGTACTCGTAACACCATTCGGTACGTTCCAACTGACATCTCTGATAGATTCCTAATAGATTCTCTGCAGTCGGGCTGAGCATTTCCTGCTGTGCCTCTGTACTGGCCGGTATGAGGCCGAGGAACGGCCGTCAATGCTTGAAGCTTCTCGGGTTGCTCCCCAGAGCTCAACAGGACCTCCATTACTGGCATGATTATTGCTGTCAGCTTGATTCGAATCGTGTCCGTGGAACACTCGCCCGCTAGCAAAGCGTTAAATCTAGGGCACGTAGTGCACCACATTGCTTAGATTCAGAAGCGCAGATCGAGCCGGGGAGGAGTTCGGTATGGCCATCCAACTTCCGTCCTGGCACCGTCATACCTCTGCAAAATGACTTATCCTCCACTCAGATGTGCGCCTTTCTCAGCCGGCTAGAGCTTGTAATGGGCGCAACCTCTCCATATACTGCGCTTCTGTCATCTTCCCCAGTGCGGGCGGCCAGGCGTAGTTTCGCCAGTGCTTCGTCGTTTATGTCAGTTCAATCTCTACTGCCGAGCTAGGCCTGGTCAGGCGGCCAAGGTTACAGTTGGTTCTGGCGTTTCTTGATTGTGTGTTGGCGGATTAGGCTGTTTCTCTTGTGCTACGCCCACACTCTCTCCACCTGCCCCTCGTGGCCTGAGTCTGGCCGGGACGAGCGGAATTCGAGACTTGGAACATCCTTCTCACGGTAGTTCAACCGTACGTGTACATGATCTTACAGCGGGTACGCTCCCTGAGGCAGGTGACATGCCCATGCCCAGCGGAGCTTTGCCCTGTGCATGGTACAGAGGGCAGCGTGGACAAAGTCCGGGTCGTGCACCCACTTCCAGCCACTTCTCTGTCGCTGCCGTTATCCAACAGTCGGAGTCGGTCAATGGTGTGATTGCAATGTGAAGCGGAGTATTACCCACTGCTTCCGCCGGCAGGGCAACGCTCGTCCCTGTAACGGCGACAACTTCAACATCTTCGGTCGCGCGAGTCTTTGTTCAAAGCTTAAAGACATCTCCCGGACCCGGTTGCTGAACATCAGATCCATAAGTTAACTTGCTATGAAAGTTAGCAGCCCGTATACGTCGGCCACTCTCGATATCAGTTACTATAGTGTCGTGCCGTTCAACAGGTACTCTTCATCGCGCGAACGCTGCCCACATGATTCACCTCGTGCGCGTCCATTTCACCTCCGCGACTGGTGTTCGATATCATCATGAACGTCCAATGAACGTCACATATGATGTGAAGGGGTTGCAGCATCCAACTCAGGCATAGGAGTGGCGGAGGTTCGTCGCTGCATGAACTAACTCACCTTCTTTGAGTCGATGACCCATGTATGATTATGCAGGTCTTTCAGGTCCTACGGAGCGACGCGTTCCAGGTGAGCCACCTATCGTCGAGGATATGTCATTAATGAGTCCCCACTTAGGATACCGACGACCCAGCTCGCGTTTGGCGGCGGATGAGATTGCCATAATGAACACTTCGCTGACACTCGTACAGTGCTCATCATTCCGAATTGGCGGAAGTGTCGTTCAATTGGTACACTATGAGACAAGGCCATATGCCGAGCTGAAGTGCCATCCGGTACAGTGCCTGGCACCCTACTGGCGCGATGAGTGTCGGTATCACCGCGGTAACTCAGATACGTACGTGTAACAAGAAGGATGATCGACACTCACCGACACCACGAGGCTGTCCCCAATGAAATGCTGGAATCATGACATTTCGGGCCGGTTGAGTGTCTTTTGAGTGTCTTATGCACACGATCGGACAGCAGATAGCTATAGACACGCGGCTGGAAATACACCCAATAGAACCTCGCACCTTTCAATTTCAGCCCTGGCGAGACGCTTCCGAGGGATAATACAGTGCAGCGCGTTTGTTCCTATTCATCGTTGTTATCGCAGGAAGCTGTCTTGCGGGAAGCGCTCCGTAGTGGAAGAAGAGCCTCATTCATTGAGTCCAATACCGTACAATGCAGAATGTTCGAGGCCGATAGCCTAGGGTCCGAGTCCGGCGTTAGTAATTTTTGCGCAGCCTGGTATGTACGTGACTTTGAATTGAGGAAGGAGGCTGTAGGTCAATACCATGCAGTAGTGACAGTACTTCGTTGAATGGTGTAGATCTGTTTCTCAAGCCAATGGGGCCTAGCACTCCAAATTTACGCACACTCAGCGCTCGGAATATACCTGAGATCAACCAGTAGCTAGGATGGATAGTCTCCCGTAGGCCGACCGCAAATCCGACCTTTTTGGAGTGGAGGAGGGCGGTCGTATTAGGCCATGGATGCCAATGGCAAGACCGCTACGAAAGGCAGAGTATCAATGCCGCTCAGAGGGGTTCTTCAACACGTCAGCATCCTATGAGGCTTACGGTTCTTCAGCCACTTCAGAAGGATCTCCCTATACGCCTTCTCGCGGTGCCACTCTGCTGCTGCGCATATCGCAGACAGAAAGCGATCAGAACGTGTGTCCATATATATAAGAGATAACATAGGTCGAAAGACTTACAGTGGCCAACATCATCAATGCTTACGAACGCAGTCACCTGGGCCCTCGCCGTCCGTGCGCACCCAGCCGATACAGGCCGATACCTGGCCAGTCCACGTCGGGCGCGGCATTGAAGGCATCGCGGTGTTTCTTCTTGAGCATCTTCATCTATGTATCTATGTGATCAATGGCAACGATGTTACAGTAGAGGGCCAAGACGTACCCACGCGAGACCACCTCGCCAGGTGCAGACACCATCCATGTGTTCAATGTGAAAAGCGCGACGAGCGAGGACGTGCGGCCGGACATGGCTATCAGGACGCGAGGTTCGAATGATGGCAAGGGCACAATTGAGCCATGATCAAGTAGGTTCATATGTTATTAGTGCCATATATGGCCAAGAAATCAACGTAGATGAGGCAAGGTACCGCAGTACTAACTTCATGAACATGGTCATGTCTTGATTCGCATTCCTCGGGCTTGTAGCTTGTCAAAGTCACTCCCCAGCAGGCCGCCTCACTAGGCGGCTGCAGGCTTTATGTTGGCGTTCACGATGTCCAGGTCAGCCTCAGACTTGCAAGCACAGAGCACAACGGACAAGACAGTCATCGTGTGGATGGAAGAGTCTGAAGACCGACGCACAAGTGACGGCTGAGCGCTGAGCGCTGAGGGTTGGCTAAGTAAGAGCAACCCGCGAACAGGCTTGCGTCGTGGTTATCGGGCGTCTGTCGTTCCCAGATAGGCAGGTCACTTACCATTGCGGGATGTGCTGGTGTGAAGAGTTGACTCGACGTGTTCTGCGCTACGTCCTGATTGTGAGACAAACAGTCAACTTAAGTTATGTCTCCCTTCACATAAGAACTTCGGCGTATAAGAGGATCAAACCCGCGGCCACTCGCACACCTTCATCCTCTCTTGACTCAGTGACGACTACTAGTGTTGAACCCGCTTTGCGCCATGGCCGACCAAGTGCACGTTTCAAACGTGAGTCTGGTGTACATTGGCCACGTCATGTTCTAACTTGTCATCGAACAGCCTCGTCACGATGCGTCCAAGTCGGGGGAGCTCGGCCAGTCAAACGACGGCGCCCAGCCCGCCGGCGACTCGGAGCAGCAGAGCAAGTGGGGGTCTTTCAAAGACAAAGTCGGAGATACCATCTCCTCGATGAGGGAGAACGCGCGCGACGAGGTAAGTCTTATTGACTTTGAATGGCAGACTCGAAGCTAACTATATTGCCGCAGTAAGTAGCACTCTTGGCTCACTGTCTGGGTCTCTCAATTCATGCGATCCCGGGACGCAATAGGCGTGAACTCGACGATTACACAGCCGAGGTATGGTGTTCTGTTGGCCTTGTGGTGAAACCTCTGATACATATCTGGATACATTCTTGCGTTACAGTGAGTGTCGATCGCCGCTCACGATGCGTTGCACACTGACGGACATCTCCCGGTTGCAGAGCGAAACTCGGACGGAACGAATTTCCTGACGAGTTCGGCGGACCTGTAGTATAACATCGAGCGCGATATTGAAAATGATGGTGGCCGACGGTCGTCTGAAGGGTACGTTCTCACCATCGTAGTTGAGAAAGGACTATCTCGCTCGATTACTGAGACCGCATTGTACAGGCAATGTGTTCACGACTAGAGACGATGTCAAAACAGCACTATAATACACAAACGTTGGCTTACAATGTCTTTATCGCATCCCAGAATGCGGTGTCCGCTGGCCTCAGGGCCACACTTACTGAAGCGCAGAGCCTATACGCCTGTCATGGAATATGGTGACGACTTTGCTGCCAGTACTCACAGCATTAAGCGATCGCCGAGCTCAGATGCATTGTGCGGGTCATAGTTGTGCGTCTCTTCGCTAGCCACGGAAGCGTTGAAGTCCTCCGGGTTCTCGGAGCCCTCAAATCCAGCGAGGGTGCGGCGGGAGTTGTCCTTCGCCTCCTCGGAGACGCTAGCGTTGTTCATCGCTGCCTTGTGGCCGCGAGTAACCTGCGACGGATCGATTATCAACGCTAACTCGAGGAAGGACAAGTTGAATGTACACCCCTTATGATTCTCAGACATGATTGAGGTTGTTGACAGTATGTCGTGTGTGGATGACTCGGAGAGATTCGAATCGATGCAGCATTGTATACGGTTCCGGCCGCTGCTCCCTGGCAACATTTCACGGCACTCATGACTACAGACAACGACAACCCCACCATCTTCTGTAGAAAATCCCACGCAAAGCGACAGCTCGCGCAACACCTCCCCAATCCCACGACGCCAAGTCTGACGGAGCGTGGCAGGCGGGGAACCGTTGGACAGCGCACGCCGTGGGGGATGCCGCTGGCACGACGCACTGGATCGAGCAGAACGCGACTCGCTTGGCGGGTGATGACGAGAAATCGAAGGGTGATGTGATGTTCCGGGGAGGTGGAGGGTAGCAGCGTACAAGCTGAGAATGGAAGTGGGCTTGCCTTATTGGGAGGTGCCCATCCCATTTGGTGCCGCCACATCCTCCGTAGGAGTCCTACTGTGGCGGTCCTCACCCACGGAAGCAAATATACTTCCGCGGAGAGGCACAAAGCGATGCGCTACGACGTGGTCAAGCAGCGCTACTACGACGATTGACTTACGGGCGGAGACTTGGTTCGATCAACTACCAAGGAGGTATTCCATGTGCGAACCAAGTTCATAGTTCGGACAGGACTATGTTGATACCTGTCCTTGCACGGTGCAGCAGCAGCAACAGAAGGTCACAGTACTACATGGAGTTACATCGGCGTATGCACCTGTTCTTTACCACATACCGTCCATCTTCACAAGTTGTCCATCATGTATCGAGCCTGTCAGAGCCGTACTCAAACCTCGTCGGCGATCTTCTTGACCGAGCGGCGGCGCCTCGTCTCCCTGCTCGCCTTGCGCTTCCGAATCTGCGAGCGCTTCCGCGAGGCATCGTCTTCGTCCTTCGGGAGGTACTTGATGCCGCTCGACTTGCACGAGCCGGCCTCGAAGGCATCTGGGTATGTTGTGAGCCATGCTGCTCAACGTCCCTGCGGAGAGATGCGGGCAGCTCACCAATGGCGACGAAGTCACCGCCGGAGACGGGTCCCTGGGCGTTGAACCAGTACTCGATTTGGTAGAGCTCGTTGTCATCGCAGTCAAACGAGGCGGTCACCTAAAGCCCGTCCTATCAGTATCTGAGAAGAGCGAACGGGGGAACGACGAGACGTACGCCGGCAGCACTCTGGACGGCCGCCTGGAGCTCCTTGAGCGTGTAGGTCTTGCTGCTTGAGGGCGTGATGCCCGCATTGGAGAGCCAGGTGTACGTCGGGAGCGTCTTGAAGAGGGTGACGACCGTCGTGAAGAACGTCACCGCCTGTCGGGCGAGGATGCACGTCAGATTGTGTGTTCTCAAGAGGAGGGCTGTATGGGGCGTACGTCCTGGCCCGTTTCATAGTCGCTGAAGCAGGAACTCTCCAGGGTGGTGTAGCACGTGCCATGTGTGTCCCATTCGTGCTGCGTGGTGGAGCATGTCAGAGGTATGGAGCGGAGGGCGGAGAGCGACACGCACCTCCCAGAACTTCTCGTTGGATTCGTCATCGCTGAGCCAGTACTACATCCCCCATAAGCTCAATTGCAGATGGAACCAGCGTGAAGCATACCGTGTTCATGTAGTCCAGGGTGTCGCTTGCACCCTGGTTTTGAAGCAGCTGTGTCGCGTCAATATATTTGTGTAGTTGAACGCAGCAGCCAGTCTTACCGAGGTGATGTCCGTGTAATCACGCGAGGAGTCGCAGTTCTCGGGGTAGTTACCATCGCAGCTGAACATGATTCCAGGTAAGGTCAGCCAGCGCGACGCATTAGGGCATCTACGCACTCGTTTGGCCAGAGACCATGGATCGTCCAGCTGTCCGAAGGGCCCGTGACCGGATCGGTGTCCCAAAACTACGACAGCATCTCAGAACGTCCAACGCGTTCCCCAGTAGGAGAATCACGCACCTGGACCTGTTGAATCAGACCCTATAGCGAGGTAGTGGTCAGTACGACAACGGCGAGGAGAACGGAGGTCGGAGGTCGTACCAGACCCTCGAAGCAGCAGAGGTCCGTCTCTGCGGTGGTATTTTGGCAGGACGCAGGGAGGGACGAACTGCAGCTACTAGCGGCGGGCGCGCTGAGCAAGCTCTCCGCGTCGCGGGCAGCCCTGAGCGACCGCTTCGCCGTGACGGAGTTGGCGGCGAGGGCACCAGCCACGAGTATAATCGGAGTCAACATCCTCGAGTCGAATGGTCGGACAGTCGGGGAGCGGGGGCGTGAAGCGAGCTATATACAGGCGAGCCTGGCAGGAGGGGGGACGTCGGGTTTAGAGACTGGGACGCTCCGAGGCGGTCCCGCGTTATGTAGCTGGGCAGTGCGGCAACGGACCTTCGGGTTCGCTGCCTTCTTTGGTGACATGCATATGCCCATGGGCGGATGGGGCCTCGGCAGATGTGGGACGGTGCTGGATCTGATGATGGAGACGGGTGGCTGCATATGGTGCGCGCACGCAACGAAGGGTGCACGCACGGTGGGTGCGCTGCGATAAGTCCCGCTCGGCATGGCACACGCTTCGGTGCCTCGTCGCTCCCGGAATGGAAGGGCGTCCTGTGTGTATTGGTGAGCTCGCATGCGGACGCTGTTGGAGCGGGGACGCGTCACAATAGAGCGTGCATCTTGAGCTTGCCGGACATGTGCAAAGGTAAGTATTTCTGCGCTGCACCCGCCGCCAAAGGCGCGCAGGCGTGGGCGATCGTGCATGTGGGGAGAGCTACTTAGGTGATTTTGAATTGCAGTGAGACAGAGATTCACGCGGTGGTGATTGTCATGACGTCGTCCTGATGCCGTCGCGACACGAATGCAGCTGAGACGCAGTGGGCGATCGAGGTGTACATAGACGAACGTTTGCAGGCGGGACGCTGGACACGCAATTGAGGTGCCCGGACGAGACTTGGGCTCGACGAGGAGGATAAGAACGTTCGTCGCGCGGAGAGGAGGCACGTAGCACGAGGAGCCATCCCAACTCAATTATGCTTCCGGCGGCCCGGCCCCTCTCCGATCCATCGACGCCACACTCGTCTCGATCACCTTCACTTTGGCAATTCAACCAACCGCCACGAGAACGTGTGCATCCACAGAGCGCCCTCATGGGGTTCCCAATGCCGGTGCGCTGCCGGGCGCGAGGCCAGTCTGCAGCGATACAGCGTTTGATTCGAAACACTCAGAAGTCGGCCACCCCGCGAGGTATATACAGCAGCTACTTAGATAGAAAGCAGAAAATGTGTCATACTATCATAAATCATCCATAATGTCGTTCTGCTCCGCGGCACGCCAGCAATAGACCAGCTATCTGCGTGCCGCCTGGATAAGTTGCGTGAGCGACTCTATCCGCGTCCGCCAGCCATCGCCATAGACGAAGCCGATCAGCCCGCTCACGAATTCCCTGCGAGTAAGGCCACATGAGCTGAGTCGGCTGCAGAGGGAAGGAACAGACGCACCAGCTCTCCTTGATGGAGGCGACGGGGTAGTCGAGTTGCTTTGGAATCGTCGTTTGGATGGCCCACCCGAAGCGGTCCTCTACGATCGCTTTTGTGGTCGTGAGCGCTCGCAGACCCTCGGGGCCCCCTGGAGGTGAGGTCAGGACGCATGCACGTTTGTTTGTCTGTCAACCGCTACGCACCAAACCTGCCATAGCCACTGGCCTTCGTGCCCCCGAAAGGAAGGTCCTGGCTGCAAGAGGCGAATCACGTCAGGGTCTAGCCTCGTCATCGCCTCTGTCACTCACTTCAACTGCGGAGAAGCTCATTCAGTGCGAGTTCCGGTGAGAAGAGATATCGTCACTTACATAGAACACGCCAAAGTCGTTGATAGAGACCATGCCGCACTCCAGCTGCCTCGCCACCTTGACGCACTGCTCCTGATCGGGGCCGAATACGCTCGCACCGAGACCGTAGCGTGTACCGTTGGCGATGTCGATGGCCTCCTGGACGGTATCATACTTCATGATGAGCGCAACGGGCGCGAACACTGCGAAATGGAAGCTCAGCACCATTACTGCGTCAAGCACGTTGCCAACCCACGTTCGCGCTGCGCGTATTCGGACTCGGGGTTCCCATTGCCGATGACCGTCGGCGTGAAGTATGCGCCGTGCTCGAGGTAGGGGTGCTTGTACCGCTCCCCGCCTTGGACGTCGATACCGGCATCCGACGCAAGCTGTACGAGCTCTTCCGTGTAGCGCACCCTGTCTTCGTTGATCATCGCACCGACGTCCACGGTAGGCACGAATCCGTCACCCGGGTTCGAGAGAGCCGAGCCCAGCCGCAGCTCCTCCGAGCGCCGCCGGATGATGTCGTGCAGCTCATCGTACTGGGAGCTGTGCACGATGAGTCTCTCAATGCCGATGCAGTTCTGCCCTGCGTTCTGGCTGAAATACCAAGAATCAAAATGGGCAGCAGACAACACGGGGAAAGCAACCTACAATATACCGCGCATCCAGAGACTGGCCCATTGCTGCAAGTTCGTGTGTTGCAGGATGATGGCTGGGTCTTTACCACCGAGCTCCAGAGTAACTGGCGTGAGGTGATCGGTCGCTGCGATTGCCACTTTACGCCCGACGTCCTCTGAACCAATGAAGGTGATGTGACGAATAATGGGAGACTTGGTGACGGCTTCAGCATCCTCCGGATAGCAGCACACGAGCTGCGTGTATCAAAGTCAGCATCATGACTTCGCTACGGCTATTCTCGATGCTCACCTGAATCAATTCAGGATCGCGGCCGCACGCGCGCAGACACTCCTTGATTGCGTTCACGAACCATGTAGTTGACCACACCACGTTTTCAGAACACTTGAGCACGATGGCATTGCCGGCAAAAAGGGCAGCAATAATGGGAGACCAGGCGTTGTGCAGGGCTGGAGAGATTGAAACACGGGTCAGCTTCATGGAGTCAGATAAATCGGCAAATAAACGCACGATAGTTCCAAGACACGATGGCCGCTACAACGCCGAGAGGCTCATAGCAAACCCAAGACTTCTTGTAGAACATGACGAGGTTGCCGCGTCTCCTTTCGGGTCGAAGGGACCGCTCTCCGTGGTTGACGAGCCAGTCCAACTTCGAGCATGTTGTTAGAACTTCTCCCAATGCAGCATCGAGCACTAGGAATTGAGTGAGGTTAGTGCGGTGTGTAAGCCCAAGTTTCGTCGGCAATGCTCACGGGTCTTCCCCGTATCCCGACAGGCAACCCTCGCACACGTCTCCTGGTTATCCACTAGCCATTTCTTCAGGCTGAGCATTACACGCCTGCGATCCCGGAACGAAGTCTCCTTCCATTCCTTCTGTGCATCCGCCGCACGCGCGATCTTGTTTGTAATCTCGCCTGCGGTGTCCGCCGCCATTGTGTCAAGATGGAAGCCAGTAGCCGGGTCGAAACAGGTGATATATCTTCTGCCTTCAATGAACATCGGAGGCCTGAGCTCCGGGTAGAGATTATGTGATTCCAGGTTAGGGTTTGGGATCTTGTGCGCCTCAAATCGTGGGCCTATTTGCTGTAATACAGTCACTGTAAGTTCCTTACAACGGCATGACAATGTGGCGTACAGGTGGTGATGCGATCCTGAATTGGACGGCACGGTTATGAAAACTCTGGAAGCGGTCAATGACAAGCCATATTCCCGCAGCAAAGAAGAGACAAAGCGGGAGCAGGAAGTTGAGACCCTCGTCGTCGTATTCGCCCATGGCGGCGTCGTGAGTGACCCGGAGGCCTCGTAGCAAGGTGGAGGAGGGTGAGCAGATTCGGACGAGTCGAACAATGGCAGTCGCGTGTCCGTGTCGCGTTGTGTGCGCGTGTTTGCACACCGCGTGCTGGGAATGGCAATGGCCGAGGCTGCGCCCGAGGAGGAGGCGAGCGGGGACACGGCGGACGTCATTCGCAGACTTGGTGGCTACCACCACTGCTGACTTGTACTGTTACGCTACACGACCTGCTACCCTCCCCCCCGCAACCGCGACGATGTCGAGCAGAGAACCGATGTGGTATTGTCATGAGGTGCCTGCGCAGCCATATCAAAGCGAGCACCGTGCTGAACTCAGCGTCGCCAGTGTCATGCAGAGATGAGGCCGCTCATGGTCAGTTCGCATGATACCCTCGGTGCGGACTACAGTGACAATTCCTTAGGTCCCAGATCCGCATTGCGCGTCGTGCAACGGGACATTTGTAGAGAAGGTACGATCGCTGTCAGCATCGTTCTGCGATCTTAGATGCGACCCACGGTCGTGCAGCTAGAGAACCCGGAGGACGACCCGCGCGAGTTCCAACACGTACACGATGGATTCGCCGATGACGGACTGCCCCCCAACATGGACGGCTTCCTTAGTAAGTCACTCGGAAACGTGTTGCCGTTGCGCGGGATTGAACATGCTCCGTGGCGCCTCCACCAGCTGGTCTCCGTGCTCTTTTCCAAGGGTCCGAGCCAGAACGGGCTCGGTCAACTTCACCCACTGCATCGCAAGGAAATCGGCTGGATGGTCCTGGCCCTGGTGCCGGTATAATAGGTTCGGTATGTCCTGAAGCGCCTCACGCTGCACGGGCCACTTACTAATGAGGCGCAGGGTGGCGGTAGAGGGCTCACCATACAGATACAAGGCTCGCCCGATGGGCGATCGCGTACGATGATTTTTGGTGGTAGAGGAAGCAGGCGGGACAGCCAGGGAGAAGGGAACCACCCCCCGCTGCTGTCAGAGTGAGTGCGCTCATTGCGATACCAAGAGTGATTCTGCAACTCTGCCACAGGTTCCTGAGAGGCCCGCCTGGTCCGCAAGACAGCGGCCCAGGGATCGCCGGCCCTCTGATGGCACAGTACCTGCTCGCTATACTGGGCAACAGGCCAGGTGCTGGTGGTATGGATGGATTCCCCCCCTTCATGGGCATGCCGGAAGGCGCAGAGAACGGCCGATGGGGAGACTATGTGTTCAACCAGGAGGCCTTGGACCAGATCATCAGCCAGATCATGGAGAACTCGAATGCTGGTCGTCCGGTACCCGCTACAGAACAGGTCATGGAGAAGCTCCCAAGAGAAGTGCTGGAGGAAGGCTGTACGTGTCCCAAATGCCTGACGCAATATATGATTGGTGAAACTTACTGGCCGTTGTTAGCACCCCTGTTGGAGAGAGACTGCGCTATTTGCAAGGACCAGTTCAAGACTGACACTGAGGATGCAGACGAGCTCATTGTCGTTACGTTGCCATGCAAACATCCGTTCCACGAGCCATGCATAATGCCTTGGCTCAAGGCTAGCGGGACATGTCCTGTCTGCCGGTATGTATCTCTGCGCTTGTCCTTTACTCGCAACTCAGCTCTGTTCCTCCAAGGTACCAACTCGTGCCACAGCCCGAGCAGCACGGTCCAGGGTCCCCACCACTGCGGGGAGCAACATCCAGTCGGCCTGGCGGCTCGTCATCGGCATCTCCACCAGGTGCCTTCCCGGGCTCCTCATCGAGCCCTCCGTCAAGCCCTCGTCAGAGGCCGGCGTCCCCCGGCAGCTCGTCCCACAACCGTAGTGGTTCCGGCGCCGGGGCGTCATCATTGCTGAGCAACCTATTTGGCAGCCTGGGGCGAGGGAGCGGGCACCGCAGGAATGATAGCGGAAGCAGCACGCATGGCGAGGGCGCGAACTCAAGCTCGAGTCCGAGAGACCACATACCGGGTAGCTGGGGCGATCCTGTTGACTGAGCGCGTAGCATGATCATTATGTAGGAATGGAAAAGAAGAAGTATCAAGTGTCAGCCTCAGGCGTCGCAGTTGTATCTGGTTCATCACGATTTGTATCCCCCGCGTACAGTGGCCCTCGGAGTGTATCTAATTCTGTAGCTGAATAGACTTGTTGTTATGTTGCAGGCGGAGATTCAGGACGACCTCGAAGGTCCTGATGTGCCTCATCGGTAGTGTTATCTAATCACACCAATGCAGGTTTGTCGCTCAGAACGCGTACAAAACCAGAGGGCGGAGATACAATTGTGTCACTCAGGCAACTGACGCTCCTTATAGGTACGTCAACCCAACATGATGATCATTGTTCTCGAATTCACCCAAGAATGTACAGAGCATTACAGACTTCGAGATCTTTCATCGACAACAACGCCATCTACCTTCGCTCGCCTCCGCCCAATGGTATATTGAGTCGAGCAGACTCAGTTGCTGGTCGCGCTCGTGTACTGCGTCTCCGCGAAGCCGACCTGCGAGTTGGTGGTGTCGTAGACGGAGTAGAAACGCTCGAGGAACGCGTAGCCGTTGATGAAGTCAAGGCCCTCGCCGGATGCGCTCCCGATGCTGTTCACGACGAGGTAGATGTCGTCCGCAGTGCCGCCAATCGCGGAGTTCAGCGAGCGCGGCCAGATCTGCGCGTTCGCCGTCAGGCCGTAGGTCGTCTGTCGGACCGATATCAGTGCACGTTGAAAAGGGGAGAGAGGACGAGACGTACGTCGCCGATCTTGAAGTTGAGGGTATCGAGGTTGCTGTACTGCGAGCTCGAGATGCGAAGGAGACCGGTGCTCTGGTCCTCGGTCCCACCAACAGCGGACTTGTACGCGCTGTACGCGTCTGCGGTGCATATTCGTCAGTGTCGTACCACTCGCGTTCACAGTGTTGAGCCACTTACCGCTAGCGATCAGGACAAGGGTGGTGCCGGTGTCGACGATGCCGGCAGTGCTGCTCAGGATCGACTTGGATCCATAGCTGATGGACTGGTCGATACCCCAGTACTCGCTTGCGGGGGAGGTAGACGTGATCGGACTACGACGCAGCAACGTTTATTAGCGATGACACGCGTGGCAGTGAGTTAATGGCCCGGGGCGAAGACGCACACGTAGTTGATCGAGCCGGTGAACTTGGAGGAGTCGGTACCACCGAAGGTGAGTTCGCCGTTGGCGTCACTCTCAGAGGTAGCCGGCTCGAAGGAGACCGCGAGGACCTCCGTGGAAATGGTGCCCTGCGAGAGCAAGTTGTCCGTGACTAAGGGAAGACAGGTGAATGAGTGTCATCGCTGCTGGAGAAACGGCCTGAACTAACCAGTGGGGATAGTGTCGTCGGAGCTCTGGAGAGTACCTTGAGTCAGAGCGACGGGACCAACGCTAAGCAACCATGCAGTTTAGCGTCATATCTGACGGAACGCAGCAGCAGTCTTCTCACCCAAGGATACCATCAACACCGGAGAAGCCCTGGGCCGAGCTGGCGACGCCAATGGATTGTCCGGTGATGGTCAGCCCGTCACCGAGCGTAACAGTGTCTGTGTACTCTTCGCCGGAGAAGCTGCCCGAGCCGTAGGTAACGGACTGTCCAGCGTGCGTAAGATGTGATACAGGGGTTTTGAGAGGGGATACTTACGACCTGGGAGCCGGTGTCTTTGCTAGTAGAGGTCTTGGTGTACTTCTTGTCAGCGCCAAGCCAAGTGTTGGAGGAGCCGGTGTCGACCAGGAGGGAGTCTATGGGACGGAGAACTCAGTTTCAAGTGCAGCATAGTGTCTTAGTTAGCAGATACGTACACTGGGTAGCAGGGGATCCGACACCGACCTAAGGGGACCACAGACGATGAGATCTGTTACTACAGGCAGAGTGTTCGTGATACTTACGCTGACGACGTAGGTGTCAACGACGTTGGTCGCCTCAACACTTGCCGCGCGGCCCTCGAGCTTGGCCTGGGCGCGCTCCTTGAGGTTACGGGCCCTCGCCTGGTCGTTCGCGAGCAAGTTGGAGAGGCCTGTGCTGTTCGTACGGCGCACCAACGGCAGGGAAACGAGGGGCTTGTTAACCTGTACCGGGCTCGCGGCGACGGCAAGCGCGAGGAGGACGGTGGTCAGGAGGGAGGAACCGAGTGCCATGGCGTGTCACTGCTTGTCTCTTGCGAAGGAGCGAGGAGGGCAGATGGCAGGTCGGTTAGTAGTGTTCGACGACAGGCGAACGCTGGTTTGGTGAGAGCGCAACAGGGCCTTATATATGTTGCCAAACAGCAGTGGCCATGCGTACAAGGAGTAACATCGAGCCTACTGCACAGCCGGTGCTCGTTTGAGGATCTACTATGGCAGGCGCAATCAGATCGCAGCCTAGCTAGACGGGCAAGAATAGGCATGAACGCACAAGATGGGGCCGGCACTACACATGGACGCAGTGTTCGGGAAAACAGTGCATTGACCGCGAAGGCCTGCTTGCGGAATGGCATGGCCGGACGACGAATAATGAGGAATGCAAGTCGACCAATTGCTTCATTCCGGCCTGGTGCGCAGGGCGTGTGGAAGGCGTACGCACGGCATGTGATGGCTTCGTCGAGTAATGACCAAGATCCGCGTCGAGAATCACTGTGTACCCATGTGGGCGAGTGTGAGACTAGAGCGCGAGGTAGCCTCGAGAATCGACGTCAGCCGTTCCTCTGGTTGCTTGCCCCCGCCGGCTACTGGGTGGTCCACGGATAGATACGGCACACCCTTGCACACCCCACAATAAAGAAGCATTGCTCACCAAGGATGCCCAAGGTGGCCCGTTTGCGTGGCGAATTGTTGCCCACCTCGTACACTGCCAAGGGTCGTCCGCGTGGAAGGATGAAGAGATGCATCAGACATGGGAACTGTAGAAGACGACATGTCGACAGCAAGTAAGTACTTGCGTAGTACCATCGAGGCGATCTGACTGACGTTCGTGAGAGTACGTCATGCTGCCCGTAAGCTCGCGAGCGCGACTGCTGTGCGTGGACGCAGTCGAAGCTGGGGCCGATGTCGTAAGTGGCGGGAGACGATGTCGAGCGCTGATGGTACCATTAGCAGCGTGATGTCCATGCGGGGCCCCGATAGATCATAGTACCAATTATTCCCGCTTCGTAAAGGATGGGCAATCTGGCGGGATAGCGTCACCGGCATCGCGACGGAGGCTCAGTGGTGCAAGCTGGGAGGCCTACATACTCTAGGATTAGCCGTGGCTATTTGCACTGTTTATCCGCTATCGAGACGTGATTGACCTGGACAATCCTATGAATGGAAGACATGGCGAGGACATGTGGTGAGCATCTCATCGTGGCGGCTGGAAGCACGCGAGCAGAGATAAGGCAGCAAAGGTGCGCCCAGCTGGGGTGCGTCTCCTTCCGTTCGGTACCAGACGCGATCACATGATCGCGACGCGTTTCTCGCCTGACATCCAACAAGTTCTGCTGTTCGACGGCCCCTTTACATATTCGTCACAGCATGCGCAATCTACGCCATGCCAGTGCGTGACAACCCTGCTGGCGTCGTATTTTCACAGGATGTGGTGCAACCGTGCAAGCAGTATCATAGTACATACTACCGTCACGCGCCGCGCACGGCGCTTTGCTACAGTAACGCTGCCTTGACTTGCTCTTGGACATCTACCCACACATCTCAGTCGCCTCTGCTTCAGTCGAACCCGTCAAACGTAGGTTTGCAACATAGCAGTCAACTTGGTCTTTCTCTATTTCTCGTGCGACTGAAGGGGACCAAGTAAAACATCATGGGAAAATCTGGCGTTCCTCAGTCCATCTTGTAACGCGGGTTGCACCCAGGTTCAGTCAGGACACTGCAATGAACATCATCCTCGGGTTCTCAAAAGAGTGTACAAGAAGTATTCGATTATCGAAGGCCCCTCTGTCTACGAGCTTCATGACAAACGTCAATAACTTGTAACTACCAATAGCATTTTCGAATATCGTCGAGTAGACCATCAACCTCAGTTGGTCGTCGCACTCGTGTACGAGGTCTCCGCAAAACCGACCTGTGAGTTGGTGGTATCGAACACGGAGTAGAAGCGCTCGAGGAACGCGTAGCCGTTGATGAAGTCAAGCCCCGAGCCTGACTCGCTCCCGATATCGCTCACGACGAGGTAGATGTCATCCGCACTCCCACCAATCGCGGTATTCAGCGAGCGTGGCCAAATCTGCGCGTTTGCGGTCAGGCCAAAGGTCGTCTGTTGAGCGAGTGTCAGATAGCCTTGCGAGAGAAGCAGCATGAGGGAGGGACGTACACCGCCGATATCGAAGCTGAGGGTCTCGAGGTTGCTGTACTGCGAACTCGAGATGCGCAGGAGACCAGTGCTCTCGTCTTCGGTCGCGCCCGTAGCGGACACGTACTTGTTGTACGCATCTGTAGTCCACGCGGTCTCAATTCTGGATTCTCCTATTCGACGGGGCTGCGGATCGCTTACCAGTAGCGATCAATACGAGAGTGGTGCCAGTGTCAACGATACCCGCGGTGGAGCTCAAGATCGACTCGGATCCGTAGCTGATGGACTCGTCGATACCCCAGTACTCGCTTGCGGGGGAGGTGGACGTAAGCGAACTACAACACAGAGCGTGAACATCAGCGCGAACGTGGATGGGCGACTTGGGAGGCAAGACGCACACGTAGGTGATCGAGCCAGTGTACTTGGAGGAGTCGGTGCCGCCGAAAGTGAGCTCGCCGTTAGTAACACTATCAGAGGTGGTCGGCTCGAAGGACACCGCGAGGACCTCTGTGGAGATTGTGCCCTGCGAGTACAGGTTGTCCGTGACTGAAGAAGATCACAGAGTAAGCTTCATTGTTGTCGATGTCGGAGTAATGGCTTGCACTGACCAGTGGGGATAGTGGCGTCGGAATCACCGAGGGTACCCTCGGTCAGATCGGTGGGGCCGACACTACACGGACAACAAACTTCAACAACACTCGTAGCAGATTGCTGGGACAGGGCTCTCACCCAAGGATGCCATCGACGCCGTCGAAGCCGGAGGAGGAGGAGGCGACACCAATGGACTGCTGTGTGATGGTCAATCCATCCCCGAGCGTGACGGTGTCGGTGTACTCTTCGCCTGAGAAATCGCCTGAACCGTAGGTGACAGACTGTCCGAAGTGTGAGACGTCATGTGTTTCTCTCGAAGGACGGCCTGAGGCATACCACAGTCTCGCCCGTGTCAGAGCTGGTAGATGTCTTGACATATGACTTGTTAGCACCGAGCCAGGTGTTGGAGGAGCCAGTGTCGACCAGGAGGGAATCTACGGGGCGAATCCATGAGTGTCGACACTCACTCGGTATCATAGTGATTACGTACAATAGGTTGCAGGGTCACCAACACCAACCTACAAGCTTGAGCGATTAAATTTTGCAACCTAGAACCATTGACTGTGATACACACGCTAACAACGTAAGTGTCAACGAGATTCGTTGCGTCAACGCTCGCGGCGCGGCCCGCGAGCTTCCCTTGGGCGCGGTCCTTGAGGTGGCGTGCCCTCGCCTGATCTTTCGCCAGTAGGTTGTCAAACCTGCTACTATTGGTGCGGCGAATCATTGGCAGAGAGACGACCGGCTTATCAACCCTCACTGGGTTCGCGGCGACCGCGAGAGCGAGGAAGGCCGCAACGAGGAGGGTCGAACCGAGTGCCATGGCGTGTCGCTACTGTCTTCTGCGGAGGAGCGCGGAGGGCAAATGGCAGGTCGATATGTAGTGTTCGGGCGACAAGCGACGAACACTGAGTTGGACGGAGAATTACGGGGCCTTATATGTTGTCCGAGAGACGAGGCTATGCGCGTACAGCGCGTCACGCCTGCGGCCGGGCTCGTAGAATACCTGGTGTTCTAATGGTGCTCGTGCGAACATCTATGATGGCGAAGCATCCCGAAGTCTGCGCGGACGAGAATAGGTATTACTGCACGAGGTGTGGTCAGCATTGCACATGGACGCAGCGGTTCAGAATAGTTTGTTTCCCCGGCCGCGAAGGCCTCCTTGAGGCAGAGTGAGTTTCGAACGACGAATGATGAAGAGCTTCAGTCGCGCCGCCCGGTGCTCCCACAGGGCGTGAGGAAGCGTATTACACAGCGCCCGTCGAGTTATCGCCAAGATCCGTGTTGAGAAGCACTACGTATCCATGAGAGAGCGAGAGAACTTCAGGAAGCGACCTCTTTTGTGGCTCGCGTGGTTTATTCCGCCTGCTACCGGATGGCGAGTCAATAGCAGAACCTACAACAGAGAAAGGTTGCTCACCGAGAACGGACACGAGGAACAGTGCCCAACTAACCTAGCTAAAGGGAGAAGGGAGAAGTGTAGGGATGGAGAGATGGTAGCACACACGATATGTGGAACAGAACAACTCAGCAGCAGATCCACTTGCGCCCCGTTACAAGGCGTTCCGACTTACGTCCGTGCGAGTACCGTGAGGAGTTATGCTGCGATACAAGCTTGGGTTGTACCGTCATGCATGCACGCGACCAGATAGACGATGTTCGGCGCCGTTACGAGTACGAGGGAGTGTACTAACCATGCGGTCTCCCACTGGCCCAGTCAAATTGTTGGTGAGCTCGGAGAATCGCGCGGCTGCGGGGTCAGTGGCTACTGAGTGTTGTTATCCGTCAATGTTCTGCAGGCAGCCATTACGGTACTGCCGATAAGTTGGAAGATACGACGCAGACCTGGAGCGATGTTCTGAGGACCGATAGCAACAGCCTGCAATAGCCTATAAGGCGCGTCTCCTTCCGTTTGGGGCAGGTGCGACGCGGTCACCTGATTGTGACGCGTGAGACGTTGCGCCTGGCATCCCTTTCGCTTCCTCTGCTTGACTGCTGCTCTGCCCGTCGTAGCGCCCGATCTCCCGCCGTATGACGTTGATACAGACGTCGCCCGCCTCGCGCGGGGGCGCATACTTATAGCCAACTGCCTCCTACGTGTAACTCCTCGCCATGCTCCCTCTGGTTTCTCTCCTTCGTCTTCCTAACAGTCGCATTTACGTTCAGTCAGGAGTCCGCACCTTCGTCGCAACGATGCCATCGAACAATATGGATTCCACAAATGCGTCAGGGCTCACTCCCAACGAGACCAAATCGCTGAAGGAACGCAGCCCCGAACCGTATGAGGAGAAGATACTCAAAGGAATTAAGGAGGTATGTAAAGCGTCTCGCTGATGCACATAATCCAGCTCACAAAACATGTACACAGCTGTACAGCTGCAAACCATCTGAGGTATGCGAATATGGCACGGTATCCACATGTCAACGTACTCACTGACACACGCAGGAAACGTACAAGATTTACACCGAGGATGCTGTCTTCCATGACCCCATCGGCATTGCGGAAGGTCTCAAGTCGATTCGTGCTCAATTCAACGGACTCGTGAAGGTCCGTCATCCCTCTCGCCATCCTAGTGACTGTATGCGTGCTCGCACCGCTCACGCACATGCATCGATCCAGGTCTTCCCGCGCGCCGACGTCAAACAGTTCCGCGTCCTCCAAAACCCGCCGTCTGTCCCAAAGAGCACCATCCTCGTGGATCAAGACGTCGCATACTACCGTGACCCCAACGGCTCTCCCACGAAGGTGCGCGGTAATGCTCCTCCACCACATGCATTGAGCTGATGCGGCACCGCGTTGCATGTGCGCCCGTCTAGACCATCAATTCACTGCTGACGCTGCAGACGAACGAACGGCACCTGGTCACGAAACATACCGAGGAATGGGATCATAAGCGCGAGACTTCGCGCGAGGACGGCTTCGTCGGCTTGCTGAACGAGCAGCGCAAGAGGATGACGGCGGGCATAACGGGCATGTTCGTTTCCCAGGAGCCGCCGGCGGGTAAGACTTCGAACTAGAACGTGACTATATGGGCGCATCCACGGACGCAGGGAACTGGAAGATACAAACACCGAGGCTCTGCAGTAGTATATTGTACATGTGAAATGGTGCAAAGCAAGAATGATAGGGACTGCAATATACCGCTTCATCGGTGTTGACGGTCACCTGTTGTCTGCCCGAAAAATACGACAACTGCAGACTGTCTGCCGAACAAGAGCTCAGAAACCGAACCATCTCTTTGCGGATTGCTGAGCAGCCATTTTTTGCGCCTGGGAGGAACATCAGGGCCGACACCACTACATACGTAGACATTGATCATACCTGCGCAACCATATTTTTGCTGCCCTGTTCCAGAGAATTGAACTGCTCTTCGAGGTTTCCAAGCATCTCCCTGCGCATAAGTCAGTGTTGACCAACCCCAGGTAGCTATGGTGATGACGCACCCTCGTTCTGCGAGCGCACTGCCTAGTCGGTTGTACAAGTCGCTCACACCGCTCGACATCTGCGCCGACGCCGCTTTCACTGACGACGCGCCCGCAGCACCCGTGTCCTTGTCTTTTCCCTTCTCGTCATGCTGCGCAGCGGGCAGGCGGCCCGTCGGGTCGTAGATCGACTTTGGCGGCTCCGGTCTGTCCGGACCTGCGACTACACGCGCACAATCACCGTCAGCGTTGCACCACGCAGCTTCATGGACTTTGCGGAAAGATACTCACGCAGCATGTCGATCTCAGCACCCGTCGTGACGCCGCGGCCGAGGTACCCGAGCACGGAGCCGATGACGGTCTGTGGCTCGAGCGGGACGGGCGCAGGCTGCGACGGCACGGAGCCGTGGCCAGCCATGAAGTCGACGAGGGGCGCAGCGTAGGGCGCGGACCGCCGTGTAGCGAAGAGTGTGCCGTAGACAGTTTGGCGGGCTATGCCTGTTGCGGTCATGGGCTCCAGAATGTGTGTGAGGTAGTCGCCGGTTGAGTCGGTGGAGATGTGTCTGGTGGGGATCCTATGAGAAGGGGCAGACGTAGGGGGAGGGGAAGATGGGACTTACGAGAGGGAGGTTTGTGGGAGTTGCAGCGTGTGGAGGTGTTCGAGGAACGGAAGCGAATAGATGAGTGCCTCTCCGCGGTCTGTGAACACGACCAACGCGCATCCACCTGCGTAGAAAATTAGTTGATAAGACACCTCAGCGATAATGCGTAAGAACAGAACGGCCTACCATTCTTCTCGACAACGTCGACACCCACTACTGCGCCCGCCTTCGACGGCCAATCCGCCTTGCCAAGCTTGTCGCCATCCAGGTCCGCGACGCACCGCGCGCCCTTTGTCCCCGCGCTTACCCATACACAGCGTCTGCCGACGCCCTCTGCGCCATTGGCCTCCAGGACTGTGGACAGCCCTTGCCGATCTGCAGCAACTCTCACTCCTGTTTTCGCATCAAGCACGAAGGAGCCAGAGGGAAGAGGGTGAGATGCAGCGTCGACGAATACAGGAGGATCTGGGATGGCGAATGCGCCAGACGACGAGCGAGAGACGGTGTATATTGATGCGGTTCCAGAGGATGTTGTGGCGATGAGACGGATGCGGGGAATAGGGTCTGTTTCAACGTTCAGTTAAAACAAGACGGGTCTGTATGCGGTCGCGCAAGGAAACAATACATACCTGATTCAATTGGACAGGCCGTCCATGTGAGGGCCACGATAGGTTCACGCTTCGCGCCGAGGAAAGAGTGACGGTGATCCTTCTTAGAGGTTGGCGCATTGCGAAGGATCACTCGAGGTCCCCGCATGTCGACGACGAGAAGCGCACCGGAGCTATACGCTACAGCGAGGAAGCCTGCGTAACCATTGTAAATCCATGTGTATGTAGTTTGGGAGGAAATAATTGACTTGCCGATGTCTGAGATCGCGCACGCGCTGACATGCCCCCGTCCGGCTCTGACCGCAAGGTAAGGACGATACCGCAGTTTGCTACGCACGGGAACATGGGTGAGGGAGACAAGCTCTTCATCGGAGATCTCTGACGAACTTGCAGCCCCCTCAGCGTCGAATCGGCTCAGAATGACGGCCCCATTGTTCATCACCGTAACACACTCTAGTGATTCGGGGGCGAGATGAATGGACTGCACAGCAGATGGTCTGGGCTCGATAGCGCTGGCTTCACCGCTCTTGGGTGATGTAGGGGATGCTGGTGATGGTTCAAGTTGTGAAGACTGTGCGGAGTGGAAAGAGTGTACAGTGTCAGCTGAACGGATAGACGCGGCCGATGATTGCAGAGCGGTGAGCCGGAGAGACGGGTCGTGCAGAAGAGGTCCAAGCTCAATCGTCAAGGCCGGCAAGGCACTCGGGAAGGAAGACTGCATAGGCGAGTCGGGGGAGCTGGTCAGCAGCTGTGCACTTAGGTCCTGGAAGCGGATGACCAAGTCGTGGTCGTGCGTCACCAGGATATGGTGCGGCTGAAACTAAAGGGACGTCAGATACTCGCCCAGTCGTCTCGGATATGCCTTCTCAGTATAACTCACCTTCAAGAGCTTCATCTGTCCCTCAGTGTCCTCGACCCAGGCTTTCCCTCCCTTGATAGGTAGCGCATCATCCAAGCTTTCCCCCTCCAGTCTCCTGTATGCTTCCTTGTCTACTTTGAAAAGCGCGCTTCCGGCCACCGTCCAGAAAGCCCACGGTAAGCGCAGCTGTCGCGGGTCTGAAGATAGAGACATGCTTTCCAGCGTCGTTGCCAACTCTTGGCTAAGCGCTACCGAGGGGTCGTCCAGGTCGTCGGCCCCAGGCGTCGATGGCACCATCAAAGACGCAATGAACGTAGGGGGCGGGAACTCGAACGCGTCGACGATACGCGTACTCCCAGTCGGGTCCAAATCACTGTCCGAGAGGAGCAGGATAGCATGCGGATCCCACGTACCAGAAAAGTGCGGGTTTGAACGCGGTATGAGCAGGAAGTCCTGTACTGCACTGGCGGTATGGTAGATGTGCGAATCCAAGGGAAACAGGGATTCTTGCATGGCGGCGCGAACGTCTGGATGCAGTGACGGCTGCGAAGGCATCTTGGTCGTTGCTGCATCAGGCGGTGCAGGAGGGTTGAGAGGAGACATGAGGAAGGTTGTCAGACCAGGCGGCGAGTTGGGGCTCAGACCACCGAGGATGGTGAGTACAGTGTCACCACCCCGCGGATCGCTAGAATTCGGAAAGCCGCTCCAAGCTAGCTTGAATATAGGTTCCCGGATCTCCGTGTGTCGCTCCGTTCCCTTAGAGTTGTCGCTGGCTGACAGGGCCGCTTCGAGCTTGGTGACATCCACTGCGAAGACATCCTCCTCCTCGTCCAACGTACGAACGAACAGTGGATGGTCTTCGTCCTCAAGCGCCCAATATGCGATGGTTCCGTCTGCATAACCTACCGCTAGGACATGGCCGGATGGGTGGATCGCAAGCGCCGTGACAGAAGGCCGACGGGGAAGGAGGATGTCCTAGGTATTTCTTCAGTGACAACGTCCGTGCTCTTGGGAACACATGCGTACCGGGGCAGTGTAACCTGTTCCGCCAGGCGCTCCTGGACCAAGTACCAGCTCATACGTACGGATGGTACTGCGTTGCTTCTATATGTCTAAGCGATGAGCATGAGAAGCACCTCAGAGTTTGATCACTTACGAGATCGGTCAGAATGACCCCGCCTGGACAAATCACTCAGCTCCGAATATGTCCGAGGGATGAGAGACCATACCTCCGTACGCAACGAAGAGCAGATTGAGATCTCTGGGATGAATGATCACATCCACGACTTGCTCTCTGAAAAACGTACCTCAGGATCAGTGTGCAATGACGGCAAGAGACACATACGACCCGGGTGTATGGATCACAGGCATCCCGCTCGCATGTACCTTCTCCTCGTATTGAGCCCATGCATCTGAAGGTATGTTGTACGGAGACATTCTCATGCAAAGGAGATCATATGTTTTGATCTCGCCATTCGCGAGGGCAATGAAAGCCTGTTCATGGAAGTGTAAGATTGCGGATAACGCCATGAGGAAGGTACTCACATGTGTATGTGAAGGAGACACAGTAAAGTAGCTAACGTTCTGCATGAATAAGTCGGTCATATGTTGTACTATCTAACCCACTTGACAGCTTGAGGCAGATGTACTACTTTCAGTAGTCTAGGTTTGCCGAGTGTCGAGAGATCCCAAATGTGTAGGCGATGGCGGTCATCTGGAGAGGTCGTATTAGATCACTGTAAGGCATTTTAGGCAACCACATATCGAACCGACACATAGCAATCGAAATAGTGTCTCAGCAAAGCTAAGGAAGCTTGCCCGTGCTCCGGGAGGATCCGATAGATGGAGAGTACACTCTACGCCCGGAGATCCATACAGGACGACCTGCCCTGAGATCAGACCTAGTATTCACGTCAATTCAGTTGTAATCCGGCAACAGTAAAGTTTTTGTGGCATACCGATTGCCAGTAGTCCTGAGACGGGCTCTGTGGCAAGGGCCGTGATATCCAGATGATGGCGGACGTGCCTTAGAGTACCAGCTTGCCAGTCGATCTCGTCAGAGAGCTCCAGGGAGAGATCAACATGCGACTTGTCATGTTTGAATAACATGGAGGTCAAAGTCAGGATCACGAAATGGAGTTGTAGACAAGAGACGGCGCCGCTGCGTCAGTTATTCAGTAGTAGCACTGTAGTAATGGGCTGTAGCCACTTGTCTCCAGACGCGCAACGACGCGTCTCCCGACGCCCACGTGAGCCGGCGGCAGTTGGCCACAACGCGATCACGTGTGATCGACCACCGATGTTGAACTCGGTGGTCGTCTTTGGCGCTCTGATCAAACCGCCATCGTGTGCTGCCCCCTCCCTCATTTCACACCCTAGGCACCGTCGCCAACACCATGTCGACCTGGGGAATTGGTGACGACCATGACTCCGACGAAGTACAGGCACTGAAGGAACAACTCCGTAACAAGGGTACGTGCTGTCGCTTCTGACGCTTTCAGGCATCTCAACCTCGCATGGCTAGATGCACAATACGCTACGCTGCACAGCCAGCTTCTCAAGGGAGAAGACGAAAGGCACGATTTGCGGGACTCTTTTGACGACGTTGTCACCAAAGTACGTGATGTACTGGGTCGTATCGTCCGAATCTGACGTTTTTGTGCAGCTTCGACGAGAAGCCGACCGAGCATTACAGCTTGATGCCACTATCACCCAACGAAATCAAGAATTACAGAACGAACGCATAACGCGTCAGAATGCCGATGCTGCTCTGGCCGCGACACAGCAGAAATTGAAGGCAGCCGAACAGACTTCGCATGAACTGCAGGGGACACTCGATTCACTCAGTAGGGGGATCCAGTCGACTTCTTCGCAGAAAGGAGCACTGGAAACCGAGAATTTTACCCTGAAGGCGAAGGTACGGTCTTTGCAAGCGGAGCTGGCTGCCAAGGATCACGCAGCGGAGACAAGTCTACGACAGAGTCGAAATGCGACGACTGGCCAGCGTGGCCGCCCACGGTCCTCGTCTGCGAACAACTTCCGAGTCACCGCGCTCGAGCGCGACTCTGCTGACTTGCATAGTCGCCTGGCTCAACAGAGTACGCAGTTACGCGAGGCCAAATCCCAGGCCGCACGCCTACAAGAGTCTCTGGTACAGAAGGAGAACGAGATGATGGCCATGCAGAAGCAACTTCGTAGGGAGCTCGACGAAGCTCGAAGCTCGCTCGAGGACCGTCAGGAGGAGTTGCGGATGATACAAGGCAGCGGTGGGGCCGACGCGGCTGCAAGGGAAGCTAGTCTCCTGGAGCGACTGGAGGATGAGGAACGAAGGGCCGCGATGCTCGAGGCCGAGCTCAAGCGTTCGAGTGGAACGCAGAACAAGAGGGAGCTCGCAATGCTACAGGGCGAAGTGCAGAGGACTCTGGATTTGCTGGAGGCTGAGAAGAGGAAGGTTCAGGGCGCGGAGGCAAGATTAGTTGAACTGGTTGCCGACAAGGAGTCTGCATTGGACGAGCGGGACGGCGCTTGCCAGCAAGCGCAACAGATGCAGGGATGTATCCGTGAGATGAGCATCAGGATACAGTACGTGACCGAACGCATGCATATGGCCATACTTGACGTAGCTCCTAGGGATCTGGAGAACCGTCTCGCGAGTTCTGTCCAGGGCTCCCTGGTCCCTTTGTCGCCAGGCAGAGATGCAGAGGCTGCGGCAACGATCGAGCGCCTGCTCAACAAGATCGAGAGTCTTCGCAGTGAGCGTGATGGTCTCCGTTACGAGCGCGACGATCTTCAGAAGGACTTCGACTTCCTAACAGACGAGAGCAGATTCACCATCGAGGATCTGCGAACGAAGCTCTCTGCTGCTTTGACAAGTACGAACGCCTCGTCTCATGCGCACGCCCTTGTTCCTCGGAACGCATCCGCCGGTTATCACAATGCACGCCTCGGGGGCCATGTACTCGTCTTCGCGCTTGTCGCTCAGTATTCAGCTGAGCAGGACGCAGATAACGTCGCGCGGATCGAGTTCTTGTCACACTCATTATCCATCGCCCGCGGCGAGTTGGCGTTCGCTCAGCAATCCTTGGTCGACAAGGAGACGCATATATCTGACATGAAAGCCGACATCGACGAGAAAGATGCCGGACTACACCAACTTCAAGCGACGCTCGCTGAAACTACACACAATCTACACCTCGCCGAGTCCACCATAGCCGCCTGCAAAGACATCATCTCTCGTCTGGAGGAAGAGCGTTCTCGCGATCGAGACCACCAGAACGACGCAGGCACAACCCTCACCCAAGCTGAGGCTCACCTCGAAGAGCTTTCGAAGGCCCTTCTTGAGGCCGAAACGCAGAGAGACGCTCTCGCGCTCCAGCTGCAGCACACTCAGCAGGACCTCGAGACCACCCGCCAGGAGCTAACGGAGGCTGAGGGGCGGTTCGCGCAACAACTGCGCTCCCTCTCTTCAGGGCAGTCCGATAAGGCGCTCAACGACCAGATCAGTGCTCTTGAGGAGCGCGTTGACCGACGAACACAGCAGATCGGGCTTCACCAGCACGATATCAAGCGCCTCGAAACCAACTTGCGGCTGCAGGAGGAGCGCGTTGCGGAGATGACTGCCGAGCTGGAGGTGATGATGGGCGAGAAGGAAGCGATGGTGGAGGATTGCAGGGCGAGTAGGGAAGATAGGGACGAGGCGCGTTCCCAGTGTGAGGCGCTCGAGGAGAAGGCGGAGCAACTCGAGGACGAACGGGGGGAGCTCCGGGCCGCATTGGAGAGCGTGAAGGCGGACGCCAGGAGTCTTACGGAGCAGATCCAGCAGCTCACGCAGCAGCGGGCGATGTCTGGGTCCGTGGAGGCCGAGTTGCAGTCGCGCTTCAACGAGGAACGCACATGCCTCTCGCAGGCCCTTGAAGAGAAGACACGTCTTGCGGAAGGCCTGCGTTATGAGGCGTCTCGATTGGAGAACGAGGCCATTCAAGCAACCGTCGCCCTCGCAACGGTCTATGCCGCCGTTCGTGCTACAGACGTGTCTAAACGTTGCGCAGAGGATGCTCGAGTCCTGGCGCAGCAGGAGTCCGCCCTTCTTCGGCGAGACGTAGAGGATAAGGAGGCGCAAATCACGTCGTTGCAGCAGCAGCTAGACGCGCTCCGAGAGCTACAAGCGGCCGCCGATGGCGAGAAGGAATCACAGCTTCTGGCAGAACAGACGAGACTCCAGGAAGAGCTTCAATCCTTGCGATCCGCTCATTCTGAAGTACGATTAACTCTCGAACGCGAGAGCCAGCGTTTCAGCCAGACTAGTGAAGAGTCCCAGCAGAAGCTTGCGGAGAGCGCTAGGACAGAGTCACGTCTTAGGGAGCAGCTCGCAGCGGTGGAGGCGGCCAAGGCTGAAGCCGTTCAGACTCTCCAGGTCCAACTCGACAAGGTCACTGCGGATCTCGAAGCTATCCAAGCATCGCACGAGCAGTTGAAGCAGTCGCACCTGGAAACCGAGACTGTCTTGATCGCCTCTAAGCGAGAGCTCGAACAGCAGCTTCAAGATGCCTTGGCACGCCTCCAGGAGACGGATCGCATCGGTGACGAGTTGACTGCCATTCGGGCGGACCAACAGAAGGAGCTGGATGACCTGTACGACGATTTTGAGCGCACCAAGGCTGCACTGGACGAAGCCAACTTCTCTCGCAAGGAGATCGATGTACAGTGCCAAGATCTTATTGGGGAGGTCGAGGCTCTCAAGGCGCAGCTATCGGAGCGGACGGAAGCTTATGAGGCCGCAGAGGCTGAATTCGAGCAGCTCCGCGACTGCGAGCTCAAGGAGATGAAGGTACGACTCGACAGCACGGCTCGTGAGGCAGAGCAGGCTCGGAGTGTCCTCTCTGACCTCGACCTCCGATACCAGCAGCTCTCTGAGGAGTCGTCTGCCGTGAAGAACGACCTGGAGAACCAGCTCACGTCTGCGCAGGACGAAGTCGATTACCTGAAGGCGACCCTTCGAGGCGAAATGGACTTACACTCTCGTACGCAGAAGGAGCACGAAGAGGAGGTCCGACTAGCTAAAGACAAGACGGCTGAAGCGGAACGGGAAAGCGGGCAGCTCCGGCAAGAGATCACCGCGCTCCGTACGCAGCTCGAGGAGGCGGAGACTTCCCTGCAGACCCTCGAGAACGAGCGGACAGCTTTGCAATTCGAAGCGACGAGTATGAGCGGCGAGGTACAACGGCTCAAATCTCTTCAACGCTACCTGGAGAGCCAGGTCAAGGACAGGTAAGGCTCATATGCTTGACATGACTCCTTGCTCATAGACTGCCACAGTGAGACGCGCATTCAGTCTCTGTCGGACGACCTTGACGAGGTGCGCTCGAAACTCGTGCAGTCGGAGAAAGCATTCCAAGGCTTGGAGGCTACGTCGTCTATGCGGGAGATCCAGCAAGAGCAGACTATTCACGCTCTCAAGCGTGATCTCCATGCATTGCGCTCGAATCCATCTCTGCAAGAGAAGATTGCCGACCTCGAAGAGCGCAACATGGATATGGAGGAGCTCCTACGTAACAAATGCATGGAGATTGAAGAGAACGATGATCGCTTCATTGAGTATGTTCAGTCCGGTGGCACGCAAGAGCATTTGACTGACAGTCGCCTCTTACAGGGTGCTCAAGGAGAAGAAGAAACTCACGAGCAAGATTGAGTCCCTCACGAGGAAGCTCCACGCACTGCAGAGCAAAGTTGCGGCCGGGGAAGCGGGCACATCCACACCGAAGGCGGGGGTTCAGGCAGGGCCCTCTGTTCCTGCGCTTCGTACGGCAAGACCATCAACCTCAACTGTGAACCTGCCTGTCGTTCCGAGGCTAGAGCGCGTAGCGCAGCCACAACCCCCATTGCCCACCCCTACCTACACGCCAACGACCCCCAATCCCCGCTCACGTATCGCCTCAGGGCCGTCTGCATTGCCGCGGCCCAAGACACCAGAGTCCCGGACGTCCCAGCCTACCGTATTCAGAGCGCGCACGCCAGAAGCGAGACGGACACCGTCGCATGCACCGCCTATGCCTCCGATCCCCGCAATGCCCATGGCGTCCTCATCGATGGAGACGACGAGCACCGCAGGCAAGAAGCGGCGAGCACCCGACGACTTCGACGACTGCGAGAGCCTCCCTCCGCAGGGCTTCACCGCGGATTGTCTGCCCGTCAACCAACCCACGACGCCTCGTGCCCGCAGAGCACTGCAGGCGGTGCGGACGGGCTTCACGCCTGTACGGCACCAGGTCGCGCAGCTGTCCCCGCGGAGGGCGACCACCGCCTCCCTCCCTCCCGTCATCGCGGACGTGACGAACAGCCCGCGCGGGAAGGCGTCCGCGCAGGAGGCGACGGCTGCGAAACGGGGATGGCTGGGGAAGATTAGGAATGGCTCGGGGCAGGCGAGGGCAGTGTCGTCCCGGCCAATGTTCGACCGCAGGTAACGATGCTCGATGCAGAATCTCAGTCTCAGGTTGTCGCCGGTCGGTCTGCATGACGTTCGATACCCACACTAGTGTACAATATCTCCGGTCGTACGAGCTTCAGGTCTATGTTATGTGGTATGCATGCATTGTACAGACTCTGTATCCTTAGCACGCATGGACTCTAGTCTCTCGAATACATTTTCTGATACTCTCCACCTGTTCACAGCGATGCGAGGGCCCACGGCAGTTACCGTGAGGTAGACGGCGCTTGTGTACAACGCACGCGTCACAGTGCCGCGCTTGAGCTTCAAGCTTCAAGCTTCAAGACTTGCTTCTACTCATCAGCATACACCTATGCATACATACTGCTACATCACTGTTACTACCTCGCTCAGTTCTTCAAGCTGCTTGCGATCAAGTCGGCCACCTCTTGCGCGGCGCCCCACGAGTTCTGGTATCCCGCAGCTCTGTCGAACACGTCGCGATTCACGTTCAGCACTGCCAGCCTACGTCCACGACTCAAGCCACGGACTCACCCGAATCCATACGCGTGCACAAGCAACACGCGTCCGTTCACGCGCCCATCGCTCTCCGGCAGCGGCAGCAGCTCGCTCTTCAGCGGTACGTCCGTCCACGCCGCCTCCACGCGCGGACCGCCCTTCCTCGCCGGCCGCAAGCCAACATTGTGTCTCAGGATACGCGTCTCCGCGTCTTTCAGCTGCGGCGCCAGCGCCGCGCACCGCTCCAGGATGCCCTTCGCCGTGGCGACGTCGACCGAGGTGTCCCAGTTGTCCGGCTGGAACGTCCCGCCGAGCAGGACCTCCCCAGGCGGGGACGGCCGTGGGATGATGTAGGTCGCCTCGCCGGGGTTGCCCGCCCCGAGCGGGAGCGAGACGAACTCTTTGAGGCCGGGCGCGTGCACGATGATGGTCTGCCCGCGGATGGGATGTACGTCTGCGTCTTCCACGCCGATCAGGGAGCGGGCGCCTAGAGGACCGAGTGTCAGGTCGATCGCGCGGAGGGGGCGTGTGCGCTGGGGCACGAGGCTACCGCACGCTGCACGCACCTATGCCTGTTGCGTTCACGAGGACGCTGTTCGGCCCCGCGAGCGCTGCTGCCTCGCCGAGGCTGTGCACCTTCCGGCGGACGAACTCCACGCCCCGCGCGAGCAGCTCGGATTGGAGCCAGGGAAGGTAGAGTTCCGGGTTGATGGAGAAGGTCTTAAACGCGATGCCGCCTTGCAGGCCTGCGGGGACTTCACTCGGGTCCAGGACACGGAACTGCGGGAGGGATGACGTCGGCGCGGTGAGCGAGGCTGGTGTTGCTGCGGGTGGGGGACTAACTGACGTCTTTGACTAGATCCTTGTACCACAATTGGCTGAGGTCTTCGTTCGTCGTGAAGAACACCCGGGAGGGTAGTTCCTGGGCAATTCAGATGGCTTGGTGATGCACAGCGTAATTCCGGACTCGTAGGACGTACCATGGCCAACCCTTGGGGTGTCAATTCCCACATCTTGTTGCTTCCCTGCCGTCATCATCCACCCCCTGACGATACGGCGAGAGACACAACTCACATTGTTGCCCGCTCCCATACCCGCGTCCTGTCGTTGGAGCCTCTCATCGGCGACCAGTTCGCCCCCTATCGGATCGACGATGTTACAGGACATCAGATTCCTCCTCACGATGGGCAGCCACCATACGCACCGCCCAAGGACTCGCGAACGCCTGCGAGCTCAAATCGTCAGGCATGTCTCTTGCGACGATCTTGATTTTGTATGCATTGGGAGAGGTGGTCAAGAGGGTGTAGGCGACAGTGAGGCCGATCACGCCTGCGCCGAGGATAACGACTTCAACTGGGCCGTCTTGTGGCATGGTGGAAGCGGTGCCAGAGTGTGGCCTTCAGAGACTGGTGTGCGATGACTCGCTATCCTAACCCTGACCTAGGGCTCCTCCCGTCACGTGCTCATTACGACATCGCCGACATTGCGAAGTCGCGGCGTCTCGCCTTCGACTTCGACGTCGACTCAGCTGTAAATGCAATACACTGGCCCCCTCTCATGAATCAGGTTGCCGGTCTTGCTACCTGCACTGCCGGCGGACGCCAGGTGGCGACAGCAATGGGAAGGAATTTATAGATGGGCAGGCGGTAGCCCATGGCACGCACATTTTGCAGGCGTGTCACCGAGACGACGTCTTAGGGAACACGCAACGGACGAGGTGAGTTGTACACATTGCTCAATGAATTGAGAGCTGCCATCGGTTGTTCACGAAACGGGGTCTGGACTGCCTTCTTCTAGCACCCCGCAAGGCGTCTGCAACGTGTTTTCTGTGCAGTTGGACGCCGCATACATGTTCGTTCAACGTGCTAGTGATAGACGTCGCGCACATTGTTCATATGCCTCTAAGGCACACTCACATGACCATTCATGTAACTCGGTCCTTCTGCACCTATTCGGTTGCTAATCTTGCCAGCCTGAACTGCTCGTGTCTACGTCCAGTCCACTGTACGGACCGAGGTATGCGGTGTTGCGGTGTAGGGCATCCTGCTTTGAGCCTTCTGCTATGACCTCGGAGACGCATCCCCACAACGTGCTCGCAGCAAGCCCACGGGTCCTCTGGACAATATGAATGCGCCCAGCGCAGTACGATCCTCCCAACCCATCGTTGTCCAGCACTCAGGTAGTCGCTTCCTCTGCATCCCCACACCAATCCGGTATTGGTTTCTCTTCCAACTATTGTCATGGCTCCCGAAGTCAAGTTCACTGCTTGGGGCATCCCGTATCTAGTGGAGTTCAAGAACGTCTCGTTCCGCGCGCGGGCGCGCTCCCACCCCCCGCCGCGCACCCCGCCCATCGACCGCGACTCCCGCTGCTTCTCCTACATCCTCGTCGACCACGCGCCCAGCTTCGACGACACCGCCTCCATCGCGAGCATCGCGACCGCCTCGTCGCAGACGCTCGCCTACCCCGGCGAGGACACCGGCGAGGGCGAGGGCCTCTTCATCCAGTTCGCGACGCAGCGCCGCGGGATGCGCCAGAAGCTCTCGAACACGCGGCTCTGGTGCCTGAAGCAGCGCATCGCGAAGGCGGTGTTGGCTGCCGGCATGGAGGGCTCGCCGGAGATGGAGAAGGCGAACCCGATGGACGTGCCGACGCTGTCGAGGTTGTCGTTTGGGAGCATCCGCTCGGACGTCTCGGTGCCCGTCCCTGAGGGCGCGCCTGGCTCCTTGTTCAGGGGCACGTATGGCCAGGTGATGACGGCGCTGCAGGCGGCGGGACTCGTCACGACTCCGTGTAAGGAGAGTGGCTTCGACGAAGGTGCGTGGAGCGTTATACGTTAAACTCTTGGAAGAGTCTACTCACATGTACTGTAGCTACCCGTTTGGGCGCGCTATTCGTGGCTAACCGCAAGGAGGACAGCAAGGTCGAGTTCACTAAGCTCACTCTGTGGGCATAGGCGTACCACGTGAGTACAGCAAACCTCAGCCACAATACTAGGGGACTGACAGCAGTCTGCCTGTAAAAGCGAACAGCAAGAGCATATTTATGCTTAACTTCTATTGAAGACACGTACAGCCCTCCGGTGGCTGTTATTTACCTCCAAGGCCATGGTTCGCGGCCAAGACCACGACCAGTGACAGCCCGGTGTACGATAGCCCGGTGTACTATAAGGGGTTGAGGGGGAGGCTGAAGGGGCGCATCCGGACGCTTTCCACCTGCATAGCTGCACAAGCCGGTACTAGGCAGTAAAGGATGCATATGAATGCCGTTCCTGCGCCATGGACGCAGGTCGGATATCTCAGACATTCGTGCTTGGTTGCGAGGGAGGGCATACCATGAGACTGGATGAACTGTCAACGTTCTGCAAGCACGACCCGATTCCTGAAGCACGCGCCCCGGTTAATCTGTACATGTACAGTGAGTGCATTATGGGAAGTCTATACTGGCTTTCGACGTCTGATGCGGTTATATGCTATTCTGCAGCCGTCCATGACGCGCATAGCAACAGAGAGGGATGGAGCACCCCAAATGACCTCGTATCATTCGGCAGTCACCACGGTATGTGCTCAATGCGACGTAAGGCGTGGTGCAAGAATTCCACATCGTCGTTCTCGCCAACCACAGGAACCGACAGACTGCGCAGTGCGCACGCTTGTGACCAGCACCACCGCCCGAACTCCGTCTCGAACGGCGCTGTTATAACTTAGCAGTACCTGAGAGTGCGTACCGGAACGCTCGATCGAGGGATGCCAATGGAGTTTGGATAAAGCAGTGCCCCAGTGTTACCCCGCATCCTGCCCATGCTGCAACCGATGTCAAAGTGGAATCTGTCTGGCAGTGTCCTAACGACCGCAGGGCCCAGGCGCAGACCCAGCCGGTACTTACCCTTTAATTACTGCACGTGCATCGCAGGGCCGGGTTTTAATTTTTAGGGGGACGCGGCCGCGGCCTCCCCGCCCTTGCCGCGGTAAGTAGCCGTCCGACGCCAGCCTCCGCCTACATTTCATGTCTCACATAACTCAATCTAGTTCCGCTCGATCGTAGAGGTTGGTCCGTGTGTGAGTAAACCTGGACATGTTGACTCCTGTGCTCTCTTTGACAATATTTAGCGTCGCCAGTTCGGAGCCCACGCTGTGAACTGGCGCAAACAACCCGCCCTGGACTTGATCCCCATGCCAGGGACAAGCCGAGCTCGAGGCCCGCATTAGCTCAGCACGGCCGACGGTTCTGTCGGTCCAGGGCAGGGGATGAGGCCTGAGGATGAACCACTTCCGCGGGTCGCGCTGCGCCCAAGCCGGATCGTGCCAGATCTGGCATGTAGCAACCGCCCGCCCCTGATCGAGATCACCTCCGCCGCCCGCCCTGCGCTGGGCCTTCGGCGCCACACAGTTTTCCCGCTTCCGGGGCCCACGATGTCCAGGATTGTTCCCGGTACGCTGCAATATAATGTTCGTGTCCCCGTGGGTGGTTGCCTTGGACGCTACTCCCACTCTCCCCCTCGTTATTCCGGTCTGTACAGGTTAGCATGGTCGGCGTGAATTTGCATCTCAACGATACGATGGGCTGCACGTTTATTGGAGTGCTGTTCGCCCTAGGGTAAGTGACGCGGCGTCTTCAGGAAATCTAGGGGGTTGCTGATCCATTTCAGTTTATACGGGGCTTCGTGCGCGCAGACGATATTCTACTATCATGAATATCCAAAGGACCACATAAGGCTGAAAGCGTTGGTGAGTCCAATTGCGAATCCAACCCTCAGCTCATCTAACAGACGGTCAGGTGGCTATACTCTGGTGTGTACGCTTCGCCGAATGGCACTAGAATTCCATCTGATCTCCGAAACAGGTTACTCGACACTGCCAGCACAATCCTCGATATCTGCGTACGTGCTGAATATGGTCCAAGCGATCACCGATACGATATTACTCCTTCAGTTTCTCTGGTACTGGTTGATCACATACCACTCGGACACTGGCGGTCTGTCTGTCCTTCCCGAGTAAGCGCGTTGGTCGTCCTTAACTGTTCGTCACTGAATCGGTACTTCACATCAGTGCGTTTACCGCGGAATTCTTTCTCGCAGTATGTGCCCACCTTTCTGTCAAAATGCTAAGCACTGAACTAGTTCTGCAGTCCTTGACCGTGTGCATCGTCCAATGGTAAGTAGTCTGCGTCATGCCACATGAGCAGCCATCTGAGTAAATCGACAGTTATTTCATATCAACGATCTGGAGGCGTAGGGATCTATCTCCTGCTTCCACCACTCGTGACTGACGGATGTAACTTTCGAAGTACTTGCGTCCAAGTGGTTTCAGTGGCCGCTGACGTCTATCATGGTAAGTGGACAGTATCATGCGCACTGCTGAGGTCGGGCTCACAGCGAAATTTAGATATTCCTCGCGGCGGCATCGTTTGGTATGTCGCCAATCATCACGCATGTGCAGTTGCATCGCTAAGCAGTCGTCCGCCATATAAAGTCGGAGGCATAGGTATGTAGCGCGACATTCTCTGTATTCAATCACTGACCCAGATGGGCGTAGTTACCGTATATCGGATGTGCGTCTTCCGTTGAAGCCAGCCGTTGGTGTATCGGCTTATGCGCTTCATTCTCAGAAACCTCAATACCCAGGCTACCGCGGCTGTCGTAGCTTCGACGGTTTGTCAACTATTTGAGCAACGCGATCACTTTTCTGACGGCGCCGTGCAGGTTCCGGCTTCAATACAAACGGTCACTGCATTCGTTGCAGACGCGTATATCACGACATCCCTTTGCGTGATCCTCTGGGGTCGGAAGACCGGGTTCAAAAGGTAGATCATTTCAGGTCCCATACGAGAGTCGACACTCAACGTTACTTCAGGACTGAGGTTTTGATCACCACGCTTATAGTCTATGCCATCCACCGGGGTATCTTCACGGGGTGAGTGAGCTGCTGTGGCATCGTGCCTGACGACTGAACGGATGTGTTCCAGCCTCATACAATTAGCGCACTTTACTACGGTACGTGCACGCCGAACAAGATTCGTTGTCGGTCTCATATTCGTTCTCTGCAGTATATCTCCACTATTCACTCTGACAGTTTGTACTGGATGCTATGGCACATCCCTGGAAGCAAAAGTGAGTGTACGGTTCCTCCTGCTCAGACAGTGGTGTTAACCCTGCGCTTGCAGTCTATGTCAATTCGCTCCTTGCAGTGTACGTTCAACGATTGATATGCCGTCTCCACGCGTGCTCACGACGATGGGCTCGTCAGATTGAATGTACGCCACCAACTACGCGAAGGGCCACCAGAAGCAGAATACTCCCTCGACGTCTTCTCTCTCGACTCAACACCGGGCCAGAGTGTTTCTGTTTCAAGGTGAGCAGTCGTCCACATCGCAATGTCACCGCCTCTGACGCCGTGTAATCTCAAAGGAGGAGATCGCGAGCAACACTCAATAAGACGACCCAATCTCGAACACACATCATGCTCACAAGAGAAGTCGTCCGAGATGATGGAGAGAGGACTCGTGTTCCTTCGCCTATCAATGAGACCGATGTAGGAGATAAAGTACCGTACTCATAGCACTCTGCTTCAGTGAGATGTACCACTAGTAATACACTGTTTGACTCGTTGTGGCACGCGCAAGGCCGCGGGCGACAGCGGCGGTGCAACCGTCAGCGCGTCAACGCTTCAGCTCTTAGCGGCGCGCCGACAGCCGTGGCCTAAGTAGTAGTCAGTATGAGTGTAGGTGCCACTTGCCAACCTGAGAGGTGGATCTTGTTCGTAGCTATCTTAGGCGCACTATGTACCGTTCAATCCGGACGTGTTCCATTCAGACATTTGCTCATAAAAAGCAAGGATTTGAACCATGTTCAGATTGACCGGCCGCAAAAGAATGAACCTGACCCGATTTGAACGGATGACCTTAAGGAAGCTCCACGTGATTCAACACTTAAAGTCACGTGACTGGAATCTTACGCGCTACCGCTGCGCCACAGGTCCTTGTGAAATCCTGTCCTTTGTCACCTCATAGTGGTAAAACCATGAACAAAGCACAAACTGGGATACATGTGGATGGCATTCAAGCTGAGACTTGAGCACAGTGAGTAGTATGTAGAGAGACCAAGGTCATGGCTGAGCTTTCATAATCATGTATGTGTATGATAGCTCAGCCATGACTTTGCTCTCTCTGCATACTCACTGTGCTCAAATCTCATCTTGAATGCCATCCACATGTATCCCAGTTTGTGTACTGTTCATGATCTTACCATATGCCACAGAGACTTTCATTGGTAATGACCAATTATTGGTGGACACTACCAAAAGCAACAATGAAGCAGCTACACAGATGTACAGCACTCATCAGTCTGTACCTTAAGTATGGGGGATTGAAAGAGAAAAGAGCTACTGACTTAGATGTGAAGGATTCTGTGGCACTGCCAGCCTTGACCAACTTGAACACAAGTCAGTCAGTATTGACTGTGTCAGGGTCGTGTAATTTCATTGCTGTGTGGAAGAGAAAGCATTCACCCATTCTTGGTCTCTAGCAGATTTCTTGTCAGATCCAGAGCTGCCACCTCACCAACAGATCAACTTGAAGGTATGTCATCGGCTCAGATCACCCACTCCAGCCATATTGAGACAACTTGAAGAGAGGGAAGATCATGGAGGAACAAGGGAAAGGTGTATCTGCCTGTGCACGGTGGGCAGGACCCTTTATATATGCCTGCAGCAGCTCCACATCTGCGTGCAGCCCAATATCATGGTGAGCATACTTCCCGATCCGTCAGTGATGCACGTCACGGTCATCGCGCTTCCCTGCTCAATCAAGTGCCTGGGCCTGCTTTTAGTAGGCAGTCGTCGGTGAGTTCCGTGCGGCCAGGCCCACAAGAGTGTTGCAGGCGCGAGGGACAGAGAGCAGTACTGAGGCAATAACGCAGTCACGACCGCTGTCCGCACGAGTATATGCTGACCTACATACCATTCAATCGTACTAGTCATAGCCGTGAGTCGGCATTCGGAGGCTACGCGTCGTCTCAGAAGAATCCTCAGAGGTTGAGTTTCATACGCACCTGAGCACAAGCCTCAGGGCCAGGCCGCCATACTACAGTGCGGAAGGTATTCCTTTCCGGAGCGAGGGAGGGGTTTAAGGACATCCATTGAAATTGAACCAGGTTCGATTCCTGGTTCTGCTTCTTCGAACGAAGGCCCACATCTGCACGTCGCATGTTTTGGGCCCTGCGCATTCAGAGGCGCGCGTGCCAGCGGCGATGGAATAAGCTCGAAACGCTTGAATCTCGAGAGATGATCGTACGGGCATCGGAGATGTTTGAGTACTGTCATACTCGAGGTGCAGGTGAAAGCTCTGCCATCTAGAATTGAAAGAGGAAGTGCAACATCATACAGTCAATACCGCCACGATGTCATTCACTGCATACGGTGAGGCAACACTCAAGGGGATTCTTCTGTCTGTTTCGGTGCTACGAAGGGCGTCGGCGTGTCCTCCACTCTGCCCGCTTGTAATATTTGTTTACCGACTCCAAGAGTGTCCTGCAGCAGATCTGCGCCATACATGCGCAAGTTTGCATCCGAGTCTCGGGTTTGCAGCCTGAGGCGCTCAGCGGGTGGCACGCCGAACACCGTCTCTTCCTCAGGTGGGCCGTCAAACTCGTTGTCGAACGAGTCATCGTCAAAGCTGTCGCCCTCGGGCGGATACTCCTCGATCGGAGCTCCAACGTCGTCATCAGCAAAGTCGTCCGTGTCGTCAGAGGCGAAGGAGTCGTCCTCGTCACAGTTGCCACCGCCCTGAGAGGCAAACAGAAACGCCGCAGAGGGATTGGCGGTGTTGTTTCCCTCGTAATCGCCAGAGTCCATCGAGTCAAGGGAGTCGTCCAGCCCGCCGTCATCCATCCCTCCATCCAGGTCGTCATCTCGGATATGTCTGAAATCATATTGCGGGGGAGGAGGTGTCTGGGGAGCTGGAGGTGGCGCTGCTGTGAAGGTCGGCGGTCTACTGGGGAATATGGAAGAAGACGTAGACGCAGACGATGATTTGGAATTCGTCTGTCCCCGATCTCGCATTGGAGGCCGGTCAGCAGACGTCTGCGACCCGTTTGTCCCCGAGTCGCTCATGATCCCCACCTGGCGCATCATCCTCTCGAGGCTAGCGTCGACGAGACTGCTGCCCGTGAGAGAAGGCTGAGGATCTGGCTGGTACCTCGAGAGCGAAGGAGGGGTAGGGATCGAGCTGCCACTTGGTTCTGCGCCATTCGTCTTTCCTCCCGCACGGGTCCCCGCAGCGGGCGGTGCGGCGAAAACTCCGCGCTTCTCAACGTCAAGGAGACCTTGGAAGATACGCTGGGCGGCTTCTTTCTTCGGTGTCTTGCCTAGCTTGGGCAGCCGAGCAAAGTCCATGGTGACAGGCGGGGACATGCCAAAGTCAACGTCAAGCGAGTCGTCACCGGCGTGCCGCGGAGTGGTCGACTGGGCATGCGAACCCGGACGTGCAGTGAGATCCAACGACGAAGACGATGTCGCAGCCTTCCGCGGAGTGGCGGACGATGGATCCGCAAGATCGACCACGCCCTTCCACTCGGTGGGCTTGCTCCCTGGCGGTAGATATGGGTTCAGCGTCTTCGCGACAGGCGTCTTTGGCTTCAGTTTCAGCGGAGAGTACGCAGGTTTCCTCGGGCTCGTAGTGTCAGTCAGGGTTGCGTTGCGACGCAAGACCCCTTGGAGCAATGGAGGCGGCATCTCGCGACCCTTGCCCTTGGCGGAGTCGCTTGGATTGTCTACGTGTGCGAATGACAGATGTGGAAGGGGGATCGCGCGCTGCGTCATGTCCTCGGAATCGTCGTTACCCGCAGTGTGTTCGGACACGGCAGATACCTCGTCTTGACCGAGAATCTGCACCTCTCCCGCCAACCGCAGAAGAGGTGACTCCAGAGATGCACTCCAGGACGGGGTGGGGTCTGTTTGTCCATCCGCGAAGCTTTCTTGGGATTTCGTCGTACGATGGCGGAATGCTGTGGCAGGCGTGGAGGACAAGGCCGCTTGGGGCATGAAGGAATCATCTGACGAACCATCTGAGGTATAGGTAGTGTGGTGGGAACGAGTGGGCGTAGCCTCGATGCCCTCTGCGCTGCTGCTGGACTGCTCCGCTTGCGCGGGATCAACGTCCGAGCTCGGCTCCGTTTCCTCCTGCTCATTCACGGAGCTGTACTCATCGTACGTGGGTACGCGTATCTGGGCTGCTTGCTCAAAGAAAGTGGTCCAGAACTACAGTGAATGAGTTTGTTGAGCGCGTGCGGAGAGCGTTGCGGCATACCCTGGCAGCCTCCCTCACTGGTTCTGTGCCGACCGCGTACCGCTTCACAGCGGGCAATATCCTGTTGGCCATTATATGCTGCATCTTGGAGAAGTTGGCATCAATGTTCTGCGTCTGGCGTTAGTAAAGTGACGCGTTATCGCAAACAAGGCGTACGAACCTGCAGCTTGATCGTTATGAGTTGCTCAATCTGCTCGATCTGATCATAGGCCGGCGCGTTGGTGTCGAGACCCGGAACAACAATGTCATTTGGGTCTGCAGTGGGCTCCCAGCGTTCAGGAAGTGGTTCAATTGGTTTGAGACCCGGAGGCATAGCGGCGACGCGTACGCAGTTGAATGTCTGAAGTCGAGTTGACCGAAGATCGCGACGCGGCGCGTCTCAGGCACGTGGTCTTTCTCATCGCGTCGACGCGTCTGTGGCGCAGCTAACCACAACAGTGCACATCCTCTGTTTCGCCATGCCCTCTGAGAAAACGGGGCCCTACATCGACCTGACAGCGATCCCGACATTTTAACAGCGTCTCTTGCGAGGATTTTTCGCTGTGGGCTCAAAGCCCGCGCTCTTTATGCGCGTTGCCAGTAAACTCGGTACACGTCATACACAGGGAACCAGGCGATATTCTTGCAGAGCCTCCAGCTACGTATCATTTGAGTGGTACATTTTATCTGTCTGCTAAGCATTGACTTATCTGCGCACAGTTTAGCAGGTCTGATGCAGATGAGTGATACGTTTTCGAGTGTCTCAAGAAGGATTGTTCTACTATTATGAAGCAAAAGTACTACAATACACGCGTACTTCATCGCTTGCATTTCGCTTGCATACCATCCTTCCTTCGATTAGGACTTTTAAGCGACTTTCTTTCTGCGTGCAACTGCCCGGAGAAGAGCTCGTTCGGATGTCATCCTCGGCGAATCAATGCAACCACAAACAGCAACCCGGTGCCCGGAGTTTTCAACCTCACACCAGTGAGTCTCAGCGCTACATTCACTTCAGGTACCTCACTATCCGGTGGTTACCCTTGTCGCGAGGACCTCGACAAGCCTCTTTTGTGTCCGCGGACACACTGTCCCAGTAAGTACGACCTCGACGCCTCGCCGGCATGGACTCGCCCAAATTAGCCGAACTCGGACACGAGCATCGCGGACGCGCTGCTGGGTGCATCGATTTCGAACCTTCTGGCGGGCACTCTGGAGCGAGATGCGCTGACGCTGAGGTCCACTGACGCATTCGCCTTCCCCTGAGCGTGGCGCTCGTCCACTACGATCTTGTGCGCTCAAGTCGTGCCTTAGGCCTTCCGACGACGCAGATCGCGCCTGCCCGCGAATCTGCGGCGACAAGTGGCGCGCATTAGTGAAATTAAGACACTAATGTCTGGACATATGCGGCGGCGGAAGTTCTGGATATTCGAAGCTTGTGGCCAGAACCTTACTGCAAGCGTGGGCGAGACACCGTGACCAGATGCAGCTCAATTCAAGCCCTACCGCCCCCGGCTACAACGAAGCTCGGACGTCTCCTGGTCTTCCGGCATCTCGAGCCTTCCTCCTGTGCAGCCGGACGATTAGCCATCACACCGTATTCTCCGCGATGGCTGCGGAGTCAAAGGTCTCAATAGGTGCTCTAGCTCCAGTCTTTCGCCGTTACCTACGGAACTCACATCAGCCCCGACAGCCATCGGGCTTGGTCTTGAAGTTGTAGTGATACCATTACCGGTTACTTCGGTACGTGAGTTACGTACCCACGAGCAGTCTGCTATCTGACGTGGTCGTTGACGCGGTCCGAGGCGACAGTTCATCTAACGCATCGCACTACAGCTCGATCGCCCAATCCGCCCGGAAAGGTATGCACCATACCTTTACCAGACAGTGACACCTGAGAAGCAACCCATCCGGTGAACAGATAACAGGCCTGACGCTGGTGTGCTTGGACAGCGACGTGGAAGTTGCATAGCTCCCTGGCATTTCGCCCAATTACATGACATAATCATCCCGTCCCTCGCGCTTCCTGGCAGTGACCGAGCAAAGGCGGACAAGATCTCAGGTACCGGTGAGTCCTCCTGCCAGGCGTTCCACCACACCCTGAATGTACCGTGTCAATGTCTGCAGCCGGATGACTGTACAGCTGCCCCGCTCAAGCCGCGCTGTCCGCTGTGAAGGAAGGGGGGTCACAGTTTCTTCCATACCTGCGAAGGTATGGACGGCTCTTCGGCCTGTTGGGAATTTCGTCCGCAGATGAACCTGAACCGCCGAATTTTGCTGACTTACTTCCGACTCTTGCGCAGGCAGATGGCCCGGTTGCCCTGCCGGAACCAGAGCATACGAGCGCGATGGCATGTGACACGCCGCCGGAGGACGAAGAGAAGCGTGTCGCGAGACGTCGTAACATGTGCAGCTGGAGTCTCGAGACACACACTCTTACCCAGGGCAAGGGTTTGTTCGGTGCGTTTCCAATCGGTGTCTATACGACGCCTTGGCCGATAGCATCGTGTGCGCTGTTACGATGTCGACATGTCGCGTTGCCGCCTGGCGATTACGGAACGGTCCACTTGGCTACCGCGGGACCCTCACAGGGATCGACTGTTCTGACCGGCGCACCTGCAATCGCCTCCGCACACCGGCCACTTCGACCACTTTCTTCCGCGTTGGGCGCAGCCTCTAGAAGATAGGTCAGGCCAGCTGACTAGGCATGCGCCTGAGAGGTAACCTATGAACCCGAGCTCATGAAGCGTTACCAAACCAGCGCCCTGGAGGGAGCCGGTGCGAGCGTCAGGGACTCCGAGAAGGTTCATGCTCCGTCATGCTCATCCCAGTCCGCCGCGCCGCTGTCTACCCATGCAGGACGAGGGATACCATTTCACCTCAGACTGGGGCCGTCCTCTAAAATCACAGGACCGCAATGTACTGACGATAATTGGGTGCCGAGGTCATGTAGCTCGTATGCGACGCGTGTCCGAAGATATACGAGAAAAGGGTAAAGAAAGAGTTTCTGCTTCGTTACAACCGCTTCTCACTGTTCTACCGTAGGTTCCCGAAAGCGCAACACAGGCGAGTACTTGTGAGACCATCTGATTCGCTTGGTCGTTGCCATACATCAACGCTTACCGCGTACATGTGCATGTGAGTATAGAGTATTTACATCAATGTTACACTAACGGGAAACCCATGGACAGTTTCGTACGTTGAATCTGCGTTGAATCGTTGGTCGAACGGCAAGCTTGATCGCCGCAGATTAGATTACTGGCGCTATCGACAGATCCCTGCACTTCATTTGCCGGAAGGTGACGACATCTTGGGGTCCGACGAAAACATGGAATGTCGAACTTCCTGGAGCTAGTAGTGGCACTGAAGACGAGAAGCCACGTCGGTACACGCCGACAGCAAAATAGTCTCGAGAGCGACAGATACCGGCGGACGCGAGAAGGGGAAGCGCGGTTCCCTAGTCAATTGAGCGACACCGAAGAGAACTCGTCCCGAGTGGATCGGAGGGTTGGTAGGAGTCTATCAGGGAACAGACGTCCAATACAACCCGCCACTCCAAAGGCAGGTCCGACGTGGCGGAGGCTCGGAACCGTCGTCCATTCAATGCCTATGGGATAGGAGACATTGCTCGTGCAGGTGGAGTTATGTATCGCGCCGCAAAGAGCGCATTTCCTTTGGTCGAGACCAAACGCCACGCGATATGAACGGTGTTGACGTTCTTCTTCTACAGAGGACAGGGGGCTTGTGAATATCGATTAGCATGTAAATTGCCGGTCATGGTTCAATCAGGATATGCGTCAGGGCGGAGGGGTGGCGGGACGTATATGGACGTTTGTTCTCGTGGACGATAGAAGCTAGACCGTATGTGCTGTTGTGCAGATATGGTCTGTGAAATTGATCGAAGTCATCCCGTTCCTGACGGAATGGTCAGAGTGTATTTGTCCTCTCACCAACACCTTGAATCAAAAACCTAGTATTATGCCGCGACGTCTCGCGACGTCCATGTACGGTCGCAGTACTACCACCCGTTCTGCTGCACGTGGGCAAGTGTACTATGCTAGAATTATAGACTCGCGTCGCGATTGCGCCGCGATCTGGTTGCGCGCGCGTCAGGCGACGCGTCCGGGCGGCGGGACGCATGTGTGACCCATGTACTCTCAGCTGCCAAAGTCGCGGGCCGTAAGTACCTAGAGGCCGACAGACCGCACCGGCGTTTCCCTGTCGCGGCTTCTACGACGCTGAGAGCTTCGCGGAAGCGAGTGAAGCCCTACCGTACGGAGAGAGCGTGACGTGGAGATGCCAGAGATGCCAGGAATGGCCACATGGGACCCGAGTATAGTGCATACGGTGAGGTGTAAGCGGTACGGAAGCATGCGTGTGCTCACGGCTTACCTCAAGGAAGCGCGAGAACGGCGGCGGCTTTGGGATCCTTGTGGCGCGAGTGGGGAGTTGCACGGAATTCCAATTCGGAGAGGGGCCGGGGGCGCTGGGGCCGCTGGACCGCATGAGAAGGGAAGGGGCGGACACGGCTGGACACGGCTGTCTGAACAGGACAGAGCGCGTTTGCGACCGGGATTCTGCGCAGAAGGTGCCTCGAGCTAAGGCTGGGGCTAAGGCTGAGTAAGCTATCGCGCTGGCGGTGCTTCTCGGGGGCTAGGGATTTATCAGATGGCGGCCGCGCGGGCGGTGGGGAGCGGGCGACGCGAGGGGGCAGTGGGCGAGGCTGGAGGTGCGGGCGAAGGAGGCGGGCGCGATAAGACGGGGCGTGATGTGTTGCCTGATTGGGCAGGTGCACGCGGACATACTGGGGCGATCTGCCCGCTGTGGCAGCCGGCTCAGCGAGGCCTGCGCCGTTTCTCATCCAGACGCAGTGTCACGCAGCCGCCTGGCATGGCCATCTCGCCCTGCCGCCCGCGTCCCCGCCCCTGCCCTGTCCTCTAGCACCCACCACGCGTCCTGCACTGGCCCGCACCGCTGTACAGCCCCTCGTCATTCCTTTGTCCCCAGCCGCCAAGCAGTGCTCTCCGCCACCAGCGCGCTCGCACCAGTGTCCGGATCACTGCCCTCCGCATTCGATACATTCAAATCCCCCGCACGCCCGTGTCACAGCACGGCTTCACCGTGCCTCTCTCGGGTACTCTCCGGAACTCATCTTCCTTCCCGGCCTTCTCGAAAGGTGCCCATTCCTCGTTCTCACACTACTTTCCCGGTTATGAGCGCCGGCGCTAACTCCCCGTTTTGAAACTGACCAGTTTAGCTATATTCTATCTCCTACAATTGCCATATCGCGTCCTTGCCTCCTCTCAGTCACTCGCGGCACGGCAGCGCTCCTATGGACCGACACATCGCCCAGTTGGCGTCCACCACTGGCCGCCGCCGGTCACTCTCCGACCCTCTCGCGGTGGCTCTCCAGCCTCCACCCAACGAGTCCCCCGAACAACGCCAGACCAGGTTGCAGGCTGAAGAGGATGCGAAGAGACGCAGCGACCGTATTGACAGAATGCTCAAGGAATCGCAGAAAGAACAGCAGAGGAAGAAAATAGTCAAGGTTCTCCTGCTCGGACAAAGTGAAAGCGGAAAGAGCACCACCCTCAAGCGTGAGTTATTTGGTGCTATGAGGACGGCATGGCAGTATCAGCTTCGCTCTCCTTGCCTATCACGCAACGCGTTCCTTCGCACCCTAAAGCGCGCTGTATCAGGATCCCTATTAGAAGGCTTACTGCGCTCGTTTGATTTCAATGTGTGTCGCGTCGGGTGCCCTGGATTGTACCGCCTTGGTGTACTCGTCCTTGATGCGGCTGGGGGCGGTCAGCCGCTGCGATCGACGCACATCACCTCCATTTGCTCAATTGTCGCCCGTAGCATGCTTCGTGGCCTGTTCCGAGAGCAGGCTGTGTTCCCGCGAACAGGTCGGAGCGTTATGTGCGTCGTTCCGGACGTACCAGTTGTTGCTACAGGCAGCGCCTTCTCGCGACTGATCGCTCTTAACAACCCCATCCGACAGCTTTCCTGAATACTGCCATGGTCGTCCTCGCGAATACATGACGCTGACTATCTGCTATTTCTCGCAGAGTTCATGCTTCTACACAGCCCTGTTAAGTTCAATGCAGAGCGGCTAGCATGGCGATTCGTCATTTATCTCAACCTCGTGCGATCTATCCGCCGGTACGTCTCACCTCACTCGCTTTGTAATTTTCTTGGGCGTCCTCAGGTTTGAACCACCAGAATACTGGAGGCTATCGCGCCGGAGCAAGACGGCGATGACACTGACGACCTCGATTCGACGGAAACAGCGAGCATCGTCGTTATCGGCGGGCGGCCCTCCTCAGCCGTCTCAGGCTGGATCACCGCCTACGATAGCTATCGCAGACGGCTGGCCCCCCTGCTCGACCTGGAGCAACGCCTCATACAGCTGCTCTCGGACCCCGAGGACAACGAGGAGCGAGAAGCCACCCACCTCCCCCGAGGTCAGTCGTCCCAGGGATCCTACGCGTCCGGCGGATATGCCGCAGTCTCACCGCCAACCTCACCGCCCCTCAGCGCGAGCCTCAGTACCAGCTTGCCCGCGCGCCCCACCCCCCGCATCACCATCCCGCACGGCTCGTACACCTCGCACCCGTCGCCCGTCGCCCTCTCGCCCGGGCACGAGGTCGCGATTCACCAGCGGTCGAACTGGAAGAAGGCCCTGGGCGTCATGAGCAGGAACCAGTCGCCGAAGAGTGCACACACGAACGAGATCCACGGCTGGTGGGAGGACCCGCACGACCCGGTGCACCTCATGAACCGCTGCGCGCCGACGATGACGGAGCTTTGGCGAGACCCGAAGGTGCTGCAGCGCCTCGCGGAGAGACGGCTCAGGCTCGAGGAGAGCAGCGGCTTGTGAGTGGGCATCCTTTGTCGTGCTCCGTGGATAGCGGATATTGACGGATGGCTTCTTCCCCATCTTTTGTCCGTGCGACGTACGTGCGGATGCACAGCTACTTGAATGAGATTGACCGTGTCACGGCGAAGATGTACTTCCCGACAGATGGTGCGTTGTCGTTTTCCGAATGCAGATATCGAATATTATTGCTCACGTTGCGGGCATCATAGCGGACGTACTCAAGGCGAGGCTCAAGACAACCGGTGTCGTCGAGCATTCCTTCGCTCTGGCCAAGAACAGCGAGTTTCGAGGCGGGGTCGAGTGGAAGATTTACGATGTGGGTGGTGCACGGCCGCAGAGACAGGCATGGGCTCCGTATTTTGACGACGGTGAGTGAACTTTGTTTACTACTACGAGGATTGTCGAAGGTGACATTGTCTGTCCTAGTGAACGCCATAATTTTCCTGGCTCCCATCAGTTCGTTTGACCAAGTGCTGGCGGAGGTCAGAAATACGTTATTTCCAGCTATATTTGACGGCTCAACTTCGGAAGCAGGACCCGAGAGTGAACCGCCTAGACGATTCCCTTCAGCTATGGCAGGCGGTCGTTACAAACCCTCTCCTTCAGAAAGTCAACATCATTCTTTTCCTCAATAAATGTGATCTGTTGAAGGCATGTTTTATCACCGCATACAGTAATTCATAGCTCTAACGAACCAACCCCCCCCCCTCTCCCCCCCCCCTTTGCAGCGGAAGCTAGAGAGCGGGGTACGATTGAACCATTACATGACTTCCTACAGGGACCGGCCGAACGACTACGAGACGGTCTCAAATTGTGGGTGCTTCGTACCAGTCAGGATCAGATCGATCGTTCTGATCTTCTCTGGATGCAGATTTCAGGCTCAAGTTTGGGGCTATGCACCATTCATACACACCAAATAAAGCGAGGGAGTGTTACAGTGCGTACCTATCTGGACACCGATATCGGGGCGCCTCCGCTGACCGGACCGCCATCGCTAGTTCACTTCACATGTGTGACAGATACCAGGAACACCCAGACGATCATTAGCAGCGGTAGGTTGATCAGCGTTCGTCTGTGTTTCACATGGCTGACAAGCGCATGGCTAGTGCGGGATTTCATACTTACAGGGAATCTAAGGTCGTCGTCTTTGATGTGAGAGCGCGGCACATCTCACCGTCTTGGAAGCCGTTGGTCAGGTCCGTGTCCCGTCCCCATCGCATGTTGATCTCCGCTGACGGCGCGTCTAGGGAAATCTGTATTGTAGCATACCCCGTAATGTTGTGGCTGTCTGTGTTGGTCTACTCCGAGTTGTCATTTGTGCTGTGATCTAGTTGCTACTCCCCCGGAGAATACCACTGACGCCCTGCGTCCCCACCAAACGTCGTACCCTACTGTGCTAGAACAATAATACATCTCACATGCTTGTATCACTACACTATCTTCATCATCTAGTTATTTGCTCGTATGAATCCATTTGTTTTGTTAGGAGACGATGTTGTGCACTAGACCGATTTGAGCGACGGGAGAACGACAACCGTTGTGCATACGCGTACCACGTGATCGTGTCTCATCGCGCGAACATCGCGAAGTGCCACGGACGCCCTGACTCGGGCAGACCGCTGCCATCCGGGACGCTGACCAAACGCTGATCCAGCCAGTCCAGTCCGGATGCAATCGATCGCTCGCTGCGCCACCGCTGCCGCTTGTCTTCCCCTGCACAGAGCAAGTCGCTCAGCTGTCCAGAACCTCACCACCGCCCAACGATTCGCCCCCAGCTTCGTCCCTATCCGCAAGATGTCCCTGTCCATCGTTTCGACTCCTGGTGAGCCGGGGTCGACGTGTTCGCACGCATCGCTTTGCTTGCTGATAACGCGTGTCCTGCAGATGCTCCCGCGGCCGTTGGCCCGTACAACCAGGCCATAAAGGCTGGTAACTTGCTCTTCGCCTCCGGCTCCCTCGGGATCAACCCTGCGACCGGAAAGCTGGCATGTCCTCTGAGTAAGGTCGTGAGACGCATTGCTGACTGGAGATTTAATAGGTGGACGGTGGTGTTGAGGCCCAGACGAAGCAGGCCCTCAAGAACATGAAGACAGTCATCGAGGCTGGCGGGGCGACGATTGACAAGGTGGTGAAGACCACGGTACGTCAACGCATGCTGCTCTTTCGTACCAGTATCATGGTCGTGGCGCTTATGATACGTTGTTGTCAGGTCTTCCTCGCCGACATGAATGACTTCGCAGCCATGAACGCTATCTACGCTGAGTTCTTCGGCGGTCACAAGCCCGCGCGGTCGGCGGTGCAGGTGGCACGTCTGCCGCTCGATGGTCGCTTTGAGATTGAGTGCATTGTCAGGTATGTGAATTATATAAAACCTTCTTCTCGTTCGTTCTGAGAGCTGACAGTGTCGTAGCCTTGCCTGAGACGACTGGGACGTCGCCGCGTTTGTAGAAGTTGTGCACCACATAAGACCCCTTGCTGCTGTGTACGATAGTTCTGTGCAGTGCAAATTGTATAAAATTTAGCCCTCTCCAGTGTACTATATCTCCTCGTTGCAAGCAGCCTGAGCTTCTTCTGGGGCGGCGTACGGACGAGATTCGAGGTTAGGGTTAGATACGCGTGCTACGCGACGCGCGTTCGGCGCCTGCTGCCCTTCAGCGCGCTCAGCACACCGCGTACGCAAGCCTCTCCATCCATCTCTCTCTACGCGTCCTCCAATTCCTGAGCCATGTTCTTGACAAGATCTGAGTATGGTGCGCTTGAATGGCCCGTGCTGAACGACATCGCACTCATGGCCTCGCATAGACCGTGGCGTCAACACCTTCTCTCCCGAGGGACGGCTGTTCCAAGGTATGTACAACCAAGTTCTATGAAGCGTTCCAGGAGTCGAATGGTGTTCTCTCAGTGGAGTATGCGATTGAGGCCATCAAGGTGCGCATACATTCTGCTGTGATCGCCACTCGCTCACTGCCCTATGCCCATATAGCTCGGCTCAACTACAGTCGGCGTGAAGACACCAGAGGGCGTCGTGCTCGCAGTGGAGAAGCGCGTACAGTCACCACTCCTGGAGTCGTCCTCCATCGAGAAGATCATGGAGATTGATGGCCACCTCGGATGCGCAATGTCTGGCCTCACCGCCGACGCACGCACAATGATCGACCATGCCCGAGTAACATCCCAGAACCATGCCTTCACATACGACGAGCGCATCAAGGTGGAGAGCGTGACGCAGGCGGTGTGCGATCTGGCTCTGCGCTTCGGAGAGAGTGTGCACGACGAGGATGCCATGATGAGTCGGCCATTCGGTGTTGCCCTCCTCATTGCGGGAATCGACGAACTCGGGCCTCAACTGTATGCTGCTGTTCCGCCATACACTCACGCTGTGCTTGCTAACAATAGGCTGCCAGATTTCACACCGACCCCTCTGGTACCTTCGTGCGATACGAGGCAAAAGCGATCGGATCTGGGTCAGAAGCCGCACAGACTGAACTCCAGGACAAATGGCATAGCGTGCGTTGTGTATTTGGCACGCGCACACTGACTTGTTTACTGAACGTAACTTTGTTAGCAAATGACACTGCGGGAGGCTCAGACACTGACGTTACGTGTGCTGAAACAAGTCATGGAGGAAAAGCTGGACCACCATAACGTTCAGCTTGCTCAGGTATGTGCTGTGCGGAGTATCATCTTGCTTCTCCATTCAGTCGCGCGAGTGGTCGGCTGACACTGCGGACAGGTCACACCGCAGGCAGGGTTCGAAATCCTAGACGAAGTGAGGCTAAAGGAGATTGTCGATGCTATGTAACAACTGGGACTCTACTGTCATACTTTTCTGACCTATCAGCTATCTTGCACCAGCACAGTTTGATGCCTGACTTCCGCCAACACCGGAAACTTATGAAGGCATGCGATATCGACTTCTTAGGACGTGGAGTACACAGAGATACAATACGATGTTCCAAAATCAGCTGGTGACGAGCGAAGTGACGTTTGGCAGTGAGAGAGTCCTCCTCTCTCTTCACCAGTGTCCTTCCTAGCTAGAAGCAAGCGGGCCGACGAAGTTACTGCATGCTTGATGTCTTGTGGCAACTGACCACCTTCGCATCGTGAGTTCCTCTCACGGAGGCCCGTCTTACTTATCACTTGGACGCAGCCCTTCCATTTGTATGGCGAGAAGCAAGATGAAGCATTGCGTCCGGCCGCCTTCAACAGTGTCTGGCTGTCTATCGGTAGTAGGAAGACACCAGACAGTACTACCATCACCACCACCACCACAACGCAAGTAACAAACACATAATCTGCGCCATGTGATCACACAAACCTCGAAGTCGATGGGGCGTCGGGGCGACGGCATCTGTAGCTCTGGCTCCACGCGAATGTCGAGTGCCGACGAGGAGACGCAGAGCCACCAGCGGCCGAGGGCTCGAAGGCCTTCTTGCTCCCAGAGTGTGCTATTCATTGCTGCGAAGTACAGTCTTCACTAAGCAGGCCTGCAGAGACGGAACTCCGGTCCCACTGGAGTTCAGGTTACTCCACGCTGGTTGTATGGTATATAGTTGCGGGTCCACATGACATTCAAATCGTGTCCCGTCGAACCTTGGACTGAGGATCATTAACTCGCGAACTCGAATACGCAGGCACGATGGGTGTGCCTACTAACCACAGGGCGATCCTGCTTGCAGGCTTCGTCGCATTCGGTGAGTTGATTGCCAGTATAATGGGAAGGCCTCTCACGGGATGAGCAGGAGGTGCGCGATTAACCGTTATCCCCGAGCATATTTCCAATTGTGAGTTCTTGAACAATCTATACAGAGGAATACGTTGACCAACTGTTGTCGACAGAGTTTGACTGAACAGGATTCATCTTCGGCTATGATATGGGGGTCATCTCGGTGGGTTCTTCTGTTACCGATGATCTTCGTGTTCGCTGAGGGTCACTGGCACTAGGGATGCCTAATCATGACCGACTTCGCTGCTCGTTTCGGGCAAGTCGCTTCTGACGGCGTCCCGTATCTATCCAGCTCGCGACAGTCGATCATCACGTCGTTGCTCTCCGTCGGGTACGTACATCCTCATCTCCAGATCGAGGTTGTTGTCGAGTGTGTCGACCCGCTTCTCACTGATGGCAATTAGCACGATCGTGGGGGCGATCGCGCAGGCGTTCACAGCGGATCGCTTCGGACGGCGTAGCTCCATCATCATATGGTCCGCGATCTTCACCGTTGGCACCGTCATCCAGACAGCGACGAACCGTGCGCTTGCGCAGCTCGTCTTTGGTCGCTTCGTGTCTGGTTTGGGCGTGGGAGGCTTGTCAGGTATGTTTCGGATCATTGAGCATATATTAGCATGAATTGTGGGAACATATCTAACGTTGCTGCAGCGCTCGTCCCTCTGTATAATGGCGAGACCGCGCCCAAGGCCTTCCGAGGAGCTCTCATTGTTGTTTATCAGGTCCAGATCTTTATGGGGTGCGTGTCCGCAGCTTTTGTGGAGATACTGTATGGCTCATGTGCGACTCCAGGATATTTATCAGCGATTGTATCGAGCTGGGCACACACAACATAAGCGGCTCTGCGTCGTGGCGTATCCCCATAGGTTTACAGATCTTATGGGGCCTTATTCTTATCTCAGGGATATTCTTCCTCCCCGAGTCACCGTGAGCTTTACTATGGTCGCTCGCTACCCAATAGTTTTGTCTGACGATACTCGTAGACGTCATCTCCTAGGCACCGGCAGAGAAGCCGAAGCCGTGACTGTCGTAGCAGAGCTCAATGGCCTTCCGGAAGACGACCCAGTTGTACAAGAAGCGATCGAGGAACTTGAGTACGGTATTAGAGCCGAGAATGAAGGCGGGAAAGTGACCTGGATGGAATGCTTCTCCAAGCGGAACATGCTGTGGAAGCGGACGATCAACGGCATGATGCTTCAGTTCATCCAACAACTGAACGGACAGAACTTCTACTGTGAGTCAACTTGTCACAATCCGTACGTGTGGTTCTCAACGGGAGCTTCCAGTCTATTATGGCGATACGTTCTTCCAGGTATGTGTTGGCCACTCCTCGACGCTTCGCCAATCGCTCACCATGTCTTCTTCAGAGCGCTGGTACTCAGTACGTTGTTTCCTGGCCTGATCTATAGGTGTTTTTCCAACGAAATTGCGAATCCTATAGGCTGTCTCCGTATGTCATCCAAACCATTCTCGGGGCGGTGGCTGTAGCAGGAGTGTTCCCTGCCCTCTACTTCATCGATGCTTGGGGTCGTCGAAGGGTACGTTCCGACGCAGTCCTGCTCAACTTTTCTGACACCAGGCGATGTAGTCTCTCCTCGTCGGCGCCTTGCTCGAGGCCGTCTGTGCGGTCATCGCGGGTCTCGCAGGACACTTCATGCTCGCGCCTTCGGGAACACCCGTCAGTGAGCTCACGCCGCGCAATCGGCAAGGCGGAGACGTCCTCATCGCGTTCGCGATCATGCACGTATTCACGTACGGTGCCTTCTGGGGGCCGACGCCTTGGTCAGTTTTTCCAATCCTTATTGACTACGCCTCCGCCTCATGTCATGATAAGGGTATACTTGGCAGAAAGCTTCCCCCTCCGAGTGAGACCAAAGTGTATCGCGCTGGGCAGCGCTGCGAGTAAGCGAACAGTCCAAATCCGCCCTCTCGCTGTTGCTGACTGTGAATAATAGACTGGGTGTGGAATTTCCTCCTGAGTTTCTGGTCACCACGCATCGCTGCGCGGATTGGCCCTCTCATCCTGCTGATCTTCTTCGGCATGCTGATCTTCGGTTGGCTCTATACCTACCTGTTCATTCCTGAGACGGTTGGCCTCACGCTTGAGGAGGTACGTTGAATGTCTGTCGCCACAAGTTCTATTCTGACATGGATGTTAATAGGTGGACGAGCTGTACCGGTCCGGTGTCAAGCCGTGGAACTCGCGCAAATGGCGTCCCAGTGAGAAGCATATTCACGACAAAGCGTCTGTTTCAGCCGAAATGGTAGAAGTCCAGGAGAAGAAGGATGAATCAGAGGCGTCGAGCCAAGCATAATTTCTCGCGCTCAGATACTTTGGGGAGGACTATAGCCCTACGCTTGCACATCAGTCGCGGAAGCATTGCTGTATGAGGACTACTAGTAGGCGCATTATCCGTCATATGTGTGACGATGTACCACAAGATGTGCATGTATGTATGCGAGTATACTTGCTACTTACTACTTGCGAGCTAGATACAGATCATACAACTGGAACCACATGCGAACTGATGTCATTGATGAGTTTGATCACCGCGAACGTGTCTTCTAATCGAACGTGGCCACGATCGGTGGCGTCAGTAGCTGTATATCCGGACCTGAGTGTGCTATCGCGATGAAGTGTCATTGCAACACACGTCTCGTCCACTCTCCGACCAGCCACCTGTACTGCGCTACTACCGTAAAACGATGCCCTCGACTGAGCTCTCTGCGGCTGATCTACAGTCTATCCTCGACTTCACCACCAAGCTCGCCCGGACCGCCGGTGAGCTAATCCTGCAAGGCTCGCAAGCCATTCGATCCTCCGGCAATGTGGACGAGAAGAAGAACTCGGTGGACCTTGTAACTGAGTACGACGTGAAGGTAGAAGAGCTGGTGAAGAAGGAGCTTGGGAACAAATACCCCGACTTCAAGTTGTAGGTCCCATCCTCGAGTGTCTGCTCTGAATATTGCCTCAGTCGTGAAGGGCTGTTCATCGTCTCCTCTGGTGTGATAGCGTGGTGTAGCATTGAAGGCTCATCAGGCGGGATACATCAGTATAGGTGAGGAGTCCTACGCCGCGGGCTCCAGGCCGCCACTGTCGGACGAGCCCACCTTCTGCGTTGATCCTATTGGTAAGTGTACCAGCAAACTCCGGCCAGATAGGAACTCAGGAAAATTCGGTTACATGATAACAGACGGGACGACCAACTTCGTGCACGGGTTCCCGCACGTTTGCATCTCCCTCGGCCTCATTTACAAGAAGGTCTCCGTCCTCGGTGTCATCTACAACCCGTTCCTAGAGCAATTGTACACTGCCATCGAAGGTCAAGGGGCGTACCTGACGCAAGGCAGCCGTGCTCCCGCGAAACTCCCGCTTGCGTTCCCTCGTCCGTTGCCGTCGCTCTCCCAAGCCCTCATTGGTACGTGCTGAGTAGGATCGAGAGACTCCACGACTCATTACCGTTACCCTGCCAGGTATCGAATGGGGTTCGGACCGCTCAAATGACATAGTTCGTGCCAAAGGCGACTCCTTCAAGCGTCTTGCAGGAAATCCCAAGGAAGGGGTAGTGGGTGGGCGGATGGCCCACTCCTTGCGTTCCCTCGGCAGTGCAGCGCTCAACTTCTCCATGGTCGCCCAAGGTGGTATGGACATCTACTGGTAAATACTGCCCTTTGTAGTAGATTCTGACACGGTGTTGACATCGCTTCTGCAGGGAGATCGGGTGTTGGTAAGTCCCAAAAGAAAGGCAGCATCTTCATATCCATTGAGATGCCATTGCTTAGGCCCTGGGATGTTTGTGCGGGTTCCGTGATAGCTCAAGAGGCCGGCTGCTTCCTCGCTGGCGCGCACGGCACACCTCTGGACAACGTAGCATCCGAAGCGTGGCTAAAGGGTAGGAAGCACTTCGTCATCCGTGCCATCGGCGATACAGAGGTATGTCCCCCTTCCTGTGACTACCCGTGCATCTTGTTGAGTGGGCATTGCTTTATCACCAGACGGAGAAAGGCGTCGACGCGCAGAAACGATTGGTCAAAGAGTTCTACGAGACTGTCGAGGACGTAGAAGCACATTGATTTAGTAGTCGAAGTCGAAAGTTGGCTGTACGATACGCTCACTGGTGACCGAGGAAATGTCTCTTCGGAAAGCGTCGGGTTGTGTATTTACTACTTACACGACGTTGACGGTATTGACAAACACGCTGTGTTTTTATGCAACAGTACACATCTTGGCTTCGGTCGTGAATATTGCTTTATTCGAGTGCTTCCGCGCGAGATGCTGTCGGCCTTTCGCTAACTTCTTGACATACGACCGTGCCAATGAAGCGTGCCAACACAGTGAATAACGTAGCAACGAAGCCAATGAAAAATTATAGGATTAACAGACAGAAAGTTCAACGCGCTGGATTATCCAAATCGAAGCCTCCCTCTACCTCTTCCATACCCATTTCCGAGCACACCACCGCGAAGGCCTGTTGACCGCTGCTCAGTTCGCTGAGGAGCAGCGGCTGCCGGACGTCGGGAGGACGACGCAAAGTCGATCTTAGTACGCTTTGCGCTGCCGTCCTGTGTAGACTGCTGTTCCGAGCGCGCCTTCTGTGCTTCGGCTGTCGGTGTTGGAAACACAAGAGGCCGGCGCATGAACCAGGGCCGTCAGGAAACGAGGGCGGGAGGGACGGCACAGGGATGGGGGGGGGGGGGGGGGGTATGACATGCACATATAGGAGTATGTCGGCCCAGAAGGGACGAAACACGAGAGCAGCGCGCCCGACAAGACGAGGAAAATGCATGAACAACAGCCCGACACACGACATAGGGGACTTACCGATGCGGTCCGCGTACCACTCTTCTCGCACGTCCGTCGGGTCCCAGAGCTCCTCCGGGAAGTTCGTCGCGCGCTCGTCGACATCCACGAATTCCACCAGCCGCGTGTACAGGTGCGGGTTGCGGAAGGAGCGGTTCGACATGAGGGAGTCGTTGAAGTGTTTGGGGTCATTCGGGTCTCGTTTGAGGGACATGAACTGCGTGAGTTTTGCCTGACATGCAGTAACATAACACATGAGCATACATGGTTGACACCATACAAAGTCTGTATGGGACGCACCTCCAATGCTGAGTCACACGGCGCCGACGGCGGCGGCGGCGGTATGCCCCAGTCCTCCACCCCAGGAATCTCGGCCGGTCGCAGGAGCCTCCGTATCTGGGTAAGCTCGTCGTCCGGCCCCTCCTCATCGTGCATAGTCATGCGTGAAGCAGTGTCCGGCAGGTCACCCGACTCCGAAGGCTCTGCGGGGGCCGACTCTGTGACCTCACCCTCGGCGTTGTCTGAGAACTGGCGGCGCAGACGGGGGCGCAACTTGACGTGTGCTGGGCGTCGAATTACGACTTGTGCGCCGCTCGAAGAGGATGCGCGCGGTTGTCCGTGTGCTGCAGCAAAGTTCAGTTTCTGCGGACATACTGAGGTAGGTCATGTGCGGATCGGTGCACTCACCGGCTTCTGGTTGGACGTCAGCACGCGCCTTCGTTGGCTTGTCCTAACCCAGCAGAAAGAAACAGCGCAGGAGGAGGGAAACGGCGGGAAAGCGAGGAGAGGATGGCTGCTCTTACATGAACTCTCTTCTTCTGCGAGTCTCCCGCATAGTCTTCGCGGTCACTCTGGGAATCTTCATCGTAGGCAACTAGTCCTGCGAGGGCCTTTAGCATATGATGGAAGAAAATAGATGGCCGTATGCGCACCCTTAAGCATGGCGATTGCAATGAATGCCACAATTCGGTAGTGGTGCGTGAACAAGACCAGGAACGACCTCCGAGGCTGCATACTGAGCGGAAAATTACGTAATCGCGTCCTCCTCAGGCTCCGGGCCTGATTTGGTAGGTCTAGTAGATCAACCAGTGACTCTCGTGAGTTCGGGGCCTGCAGTTGTCAAACGACACAAGAACGCACTACACCCGGGTCCTGATTCATCATGTATAGACCACCACACACCGTCCACGACTATCGTACATTTTTAACCTCCCTTTACAAAACCTTTTGCGTGAAGAGCGTCTTGATAACAACAATGGTACCCATTGCCCCAGCCGTCCAACCAAGTCCAGTACTCCAACCACTCGCGCCAAGTACGTTACGTTGGCCAACACAGACTCCCACGACATCATAGAGGAGAGTCAGGCCAAAGAACGGCGTAGAGACGGCCGTTGCAAGAGGGAAGAGTGCGTACGTGAGGCCTTTGACGAGTTTCGACGGTGGTGCCGTATAGCGCTACAAAACGGATGTTCAGATGAAGACGTCTAGTGTTAACGGTCCATACGTACACTCATCACACCCCCATTGTCGAGTAGGTCTAGGACTCCGATACCCGCGAAAGTCTTTGCAACCAGGTGGGTCAAAACCGTGAGCCTCGAGCTACCCGGCGTGACAGGCGGAAGACGAGCCACAGCAGCGAGCTGGACGAATGAGTTGATAGTGACTAGGAATTGCGACGCCGTAAACTCCTCGCGCAGCCAGAAAAAGAGCCACCCGGCTGTTCGGTGGTGAGCGTACGAAACAAGCACTACGAGGCGACCGACCAATGCAGAGGTTTCCCAGCGCGTAGATGGGTGCATACTCCGTCGCGGTCTGGACCGACGCGACTTCTTCGGCGGTGACCCCGTTTGTATCACCAGCGCCGATCTTCTCATATCCTGCAGGGTTCAGGGAGAAGAGCTTGCGGATCCAGGCCAACTGCAGGACGACTTGTCCGGAGAAGAACGCAGAGATGAACCATGGGTTCGGGGAGAAGGCGTAGTGGTTCTAGAGAGTTGTCAGTCGGGCATAAGCGACAGTAATGAGCTGATTTATCTGACCCGGTCTGCGACTTCCTTCATGTTGGGACTTGTGAGCATGCCGTACAGCTGCGTGCCGAAGTTGACGACGAAAGACCCTAGAGTGAGGTACTGGGCTCGAGAGACGTGGTTGCCCATGTCCGCAGATAATCGGTGTTTCGTGAGTGGTGGATGGGAGAAAGAGATGTGCGGTGTGGCCGAGAACATCGTCTGTACATATACTCGAGGCGACTGCCATTTGCAGCGACGTCATTGCGCTTGGTGACGTCGCAGACTGCAGACCGTCTGGCAGGAGATGCGCTACGGATGACAGCCGTGCCACCGGGTGGCGGGACACGCGCGCACGCTCCTCGGATGCCAGAACAAACACTGCCAGGTACCCAGTACATGCATTGGCATATCAATGCACACTTGTCGTCCTTGTATATATGTCTGGACGCAGCTGGTTGTCCTGGACATCGCTGCCTAAACGACTTGTCAGATCATCTGGACATGCATCGAGGATCACAACACGCACCTCAAGGCGCATTCTGCCCGGATAGGTGCATACTCAATTGTAATCTTAGCAGGTATCACACTCGGTAGCGGCAAAAACTATATTCACTGTCCTTCTGTAGTCTCACCATCCACATCGGCGCGCCAGCCTTCCCATTCCTTCAGTGCAGTGTGGAGGTCTTCGCCGGGAGACACATCCACCTCGCCCATCTTAACCCCATACACGCCCTCCACCAATGCCCTCCTCAGAAACGGAACGAACACCTTCACATACACCGTCCCCGCTGACTTGAGAGTCTCGATCTCTTTCTGATCTTCGTCTTCTACGGGCATATACTTCGGTTCGGATGTCCATGGCCGATCCCGAGCAAGACTCAGCAGTGTACCGAGTCCGCGCGCCAAGGATGCATCCAAGGCACGTAACAAGTCGTCCAGTAACTCGACAGGCGCTAGCAGACGCAGACCATTGAGTGCAGTCAGGATAGCGTTCGTGTATGTCGCTAGCGGCGGATACGACACAAGGATAGGCGGTGGAACGTTCGGAGGCCCGGACGAGAGCGCCTGCAGTTGGGTGTCCGTCGGTAGTGGAGGCGACAAAGCGGCGGCGGCGGCGACTATGAATCGCGAAGGCCTCTTGGAGGCCGTTTTGAATTTGTAGCTCGTGCTGGGCTTCAGCGCGTCACACCACCCATCCGCTGCCCCCTCCAGCTCGTTTTGTACGCCCATCCGTACCGCGTCTATGAAGATGGGAGCCAGTAGGCCCTTGAAGTCCATGCCAACCCGAGCAAACGAGTTCGCGCAGTACGTGAGTTGCGTAAGGAGCGACGTGAGCAGGGAGGGGTCCGGGATGTGAGGGAGCGTCTCGCGCAAGAGTGCCAGGAGCCGTTGCAGATGCAAGCCGGTGAAAGTCGTGAGGAGCATGTGCAACTGTGTCGGCGCCGCCCTCGACGTCGACGGCGCCCGCTCGAGGAAGATCGTCGTGTACTGCGTGACGACATCATACACACACTCCCTCCACAGGTCGACGTACTTCTTCAGATATCGCGCATACGCCTCCTTCTCGCGCTCCTTGTCTCCCTCGACGCCCTTCTTCTCGACCTCGACCGTCTTGAGCAGGCCGTCGAGGTACACGCCGCGGCCCGTGAGGAACGCGAGCGCGAGCTCGGGCTCGTCGAGCACGTCCATCTTGCGGAGGAAGCCGACCGCGCGGAAGAGCGCGGGGAGCTTCGCCTGCTCGCTGAGCATGCGCAGGAGCTGGCCGAGCATCGCCTGCACGCGCGCGTCGCACTCCGCCTTGACGCTCTGCACGAGCGCGTTCTCCGGGAAGCGCGCCGCGAGCCCCGCCGCGTGCTGTGCGAGCAGCAGCGCCTCGTTGTAGGTGTGGTTCCGCACGCAGGAGTCGAGCAGTGTGGGGAGCGAGAGGACGTCGTGCAGCTTGTCGTGGTGCTCGAGGACGAGCGCTGCTTTGCGCCTGTCCTTCTGGATGGAGCGCGTGTCTTCGGCGAAGGATTGTGCGGAGGACTCCAGGGATGGGAGGGATGAGATGAGGGCATCGAGGGAAGACGAGAAGGCAGAGAGCGAGGATGAGAGGGCGGAGGTTGACGAGTGGATGGAGAGGAAGGTCGGGTAGGACGTGTAGCATAGCGTCGTGAGCGCATTGGTGAGCTGCGCAGAAGACGACGAAAGCTCTGCAGGCTGGGACGTAAGCTCGGATAGCGGTAGAGTTGTAAGATGCGAAAGATACGCAGACGTGTCTGGCGAGGACAAGACCGACAAGGGAAGAGTGCCCGTCGAAGCAAGCAGCTCTGGCAGGGTGGGTATCTCAGGTTCCCCGGGTATACTTGCCACTAAGGCGTCCGTCATTGTGCCAACTGAGAGTACAATGAATCAAATGGAGGCAATGACATCGTTTGTAGCGGACGTACGTTTGGAACCTGCTTTCCCTCCGACACGATCGAGTCTGAGCTGAGGTCGCTGTAATGGGCGCTCATACCCGCGCGCTTCTCTGAGTCGCCACAAGCGCGCATTCATTGCGACCTCTTCCCCGAAGCGCACGTCTACACTCGACGCAAGTTGCACTCGTGCGCAATGACCATTGATACAGGATATCTGCTCATATTCGAGGCAATCTCCTGTTCTTAAATCAAGCATTCCATAATGCGCGCGCGCCCTCACTGGCACCGTTTGTCAAGAGTAGGTATCGAGTCATAACGCAACTCAATACAGGAACGACTCGCATTCCAGGCTTCTCGGCACATGCGACCATACGTCGGAGGTGGTCATGTCGGGCCGTGAAGGCCATTGCAAGCCGTTCCAGAGCCATTCGTATGGAAAGGAACGCATGCTATCTCAGCCAGGAGTCTCAGCTGATAGCGAGCGCAACCCTATACATATACCAACCTAAGACCTTAAGCTCCGTTCTCTTAGTCCTCCTCTTTCCTCCCTACCTTCCTCGATCGCATATCATCATGACGGACGCAGAAGGCCAGATCCACCAACCCATCCACCCCGACATCCTGAAGAAGCTCGATCCTGAGTTCGCAGCCTTCCACACCGCGACCTCCCTCTACCAGGTCCCGCTCCATCTCCTCCCCTGGGACCCCGCGGTCCGCAAGGGCAGCCCCGTCAACGGCGCCTCGGAGCCCCTGCCGGTCGGGAGCATCAAGGATATCCCACTGGGCAAGTTCAGCGTACGGGTGTTCACCCCGGAGGGATCTGCGCCTGATGCGGGCTGGCCGGTACTCATCTACTTCCACGGAGGCAAGGGTCTGCGCGTACCTTCATGATGTTGCGCTGCTGAGATGAGGGTGCCCAGGTGGCTGGACATTAGGCAACATCAACACCGAGAATGCATTCTGTACCAACATATGCAAGCGTGAGTTACATTGCGAGCACGTCGTCTACTCCGATCCTGTTGTCTCTGACGATCGACCACGATCACAGGCGCGAAAGCCGTCGTGGTCTCTGTCGACTACAGGCTCGCACCTGAGAACCCTTACCCCGCTGCGGTTGAAGATGCCGTAGAAACCTTGCAGTGGGTCTATGCCAACGGTAAAGCACAGCTGAACATCGACACCACAAAGATCGCCGTGGGCGGATCGTCCAGGTAAACCCACCCGCTATCGTCACGTACCATGAGCAGCCGCTGAAGTCGGACAGTGGTGGTAACCTCGCAGCCGTTGTCGCCCACAAAGCAGTCCAAGCGGTGCCTCCGATCCCCGTATTCTTCCAGCTCTTGGTAGTTCCCGTCACCGACAATACCGCCACGACGTCGGGCGTACCATACAAGTCCTGGGCGGAGAACGCGAACACCGTGCAGCTGACCCCAGGCAGGATGTTGTGGTTCCGGAACAACTACCTTCCAAACGAGAAAGATCGCACCGCCTGGGAGAGCTCTCCCATCTTCGCACCCGAAGAGTCGTTCAAGAAGCTGCCGAAAGCTTGGGTCGCCGTGATGGACCTGGACGTGCTGCGGGACGAGGGCATCGAGTACGCAAACAAGATGAAGGCTGCAGGAGTAGACGTCGAGGTGAAGCTGTATGAGACGGCGCCGCACCCTATATTGGCGATGGATGGTGAGTCCTCTTGCGTGTAGTCCATGCCAATGTTGACTGACAATCGATATTGCGTCCCCTCAGGGTAAGCACATTAACAGCTCAAGGCAGACAGTATGACTGACCGTTCTGTGCAGAGTATTGGAGATTGGCAGGAGATTCGTGACCGATGCGGTCAACGTAACAGCACAGGCCTTTGGCACCGCTTGAGCTCACGGTGGTACATCGTAGGAAAGCAGGTCCTCCACTAAGGATCGGTTAGCACATGTAAAAGGTGGTTGTACAGTCATAAATGGATGTTACATTAGTCTGCGCATGAACATGATCACAACCCTATCTCAGGCGAAGAGGGTCAAGCTGCCATCCATGTAGCGCAATCTGAATAAGTGACACATCGTCAGTACTCAATGTAAACGCATCCCGCGGCCGTTGGAGCCAGTCGCATGGTTCCTAGTTGGTGTGCGTCACTGTTCGTCAAGGAGTGAGAACAGATATCATCACCGTTCGCAGCAGCTACTCAGGAGGCAGAGCTTGCAGACGGGCCGAGGCTGTAAGACGAGCCGCGAGCTTAAGCCGACGCGTGTGGACGATTCCACCTAGAGCGGGTGTTCGTGCGAGATCGAAGTCGGTTCTGCACAAAGGAGTCACTTTGAGAAGTGGACCAAGAAATCGCATTGAACAAGCATAGGTGATACACCTGCCTCTGATCAAACTACCGTTTTTGATGCCCCGATGAGGACGACCTCAGGAGGCGATGTTATCTGCACAGCATAGATAGGCTTTCAGAACAACGGATATGGGCCATAGAAGCAGAAACAGCGGCTATACGATCGTACGTCTCGATAACCTGTATCATAGAGAAATTCAGTACTCGGCATTGAAGGATATCGTACTCTTGCTCTTGCATCCACCGGTTTACATATGGGCCTGCATGATGGCATCTGAGATGAAAGCAGCGGTGATGGGTCTCCCACCGAACCAACGGCCATTGAGGCCCTGGATGGCCTGCTTGGCGGCGTCGACGGAATCGAACTTGACATAGATCTCGCCCTATAGGTGGGAGGTTAGCGGGTCAATGCCCTTGGCATGCCTGGCATGCGCCTACCTGAGAGTCCTTTTCGACTTTGATGAAGTCAACGGGACCATACTTTGACTCGCTTTCGCTCTTGACATCCTCAGCGAGATCTTTGTCCCAGTCACGTTCAGTCTCCCTACGAGAGAGTCAACAATGGTTAGTATGAACAGACGAGCAAACATACTCTTCGGGATCAAACATATTCCTCAGCAAAACAGAACGAGACTCCATGGCCTGTGGAATGTTAGGCTTCATACTGCGACAACTCAACGATAAGTCGCTGTGCAACTCAAGAAGCTGAACCGACTGACATTGGTTGGGGCCGTACCGGTGCCTGATCGGTTCTGGCTAATTTCTGCATCAGCGCCTGTCGCGAAGCTGCGTTCAGATTACCACCTAAAAACAAACCAGGTCAGCGGGCAAATCCAAGATGGGGCATTGAATCATTAAAATTACCGCCGGCTTCATCCAGAGAGTCCTGCTGTGTGTACTTCGTCGTCCCCTTCTCGTGAACTGTGTTGACGCGCAACTAGACCAAAGGGTCAGGAGCCTGGATGGTTGACATAGACGAGAAACTCACAGTACGGCCCGCCAATTCGAAGCCTTCCATCTGCTCCAAGGCCATTCGGGCGTCCTCCGCACGTTTGTATCTGTGATGTCCTCGTTAATAGTGTCACGGAGAAGTATGTGGGAGACTACGTACTGCACGAACGCATAACCCTTACTGCGGCCCGTAGTAGGATCACGATGCAAATCAACGAACTCCAACTCCCCAAAGGGCTCGAAGACCTGCTTGATATCGGACTCGGTGAGGTTGAAATGAAGAGACCCAACATATAGTCTATGGGTGATTATTAAAACGCGAGTAACATGATATGGTAGCGAACTTACTGCATGCCGCCATGAGGGGCGCTGACGCCAGGCGGAAGGTTGAGGTTGCTATCGCACGCCGTCAATACTAGTCGGACAGACGCATACAAACCAACGCCGCACCTGTCTCCTGCATGGAGTCTGTTCCTCTCGGCTTCAGTATGCTGTATCTGGATAGGCAGACCCATTACGACAGTGCCACTGAGATTGATAGCCTTGTCGACAAGTTCGACCGTACGGAACTCGACATAACCAATTCTATAGAAATGTCAGTGCGGCCATAGGGGAAAATCCGAGAAACTGACCCCTTTGAACGCCTCGAGATCCTATCCGTTACTATGCGGGAGTCCATCACAGAGCCTTCTCCGAGGTGGTCCTCGAAGAAGTAACCCAAGTCACGAGCCGTGAGTCGTGCGGCAAGCTGAGAGACAAATACCGACCGAGCTTCAGAGTCGTCCTCTTTCAGTTCATCGGGATTCATCATAGGATCCTCGCTAGGCATTGTGTAGGTTGGGGATGGCCGCCTAGGGTATCGCATATAAACATGCGCGGATGAAACACTGAGGTCTCGATGCTCACCTAACTGGAGGAGTATCCTTGACCTCATCCATCGGCACAGATGGTCCTCGACTTCTGAGGCTCGGTTCACGCTCCCTCTCCCTATCGCGGCGATAGCGCGGCAGGTCGTCGAATTCGTCGCGAGGATCGCGTGCTCTTGGTGCCCTGCGGTCACGCTCCCGTGAGCTGTCTCTGCGACGGCGAGGACTGTCCGTCATTGGAGGGGGAGGAGGGGGAAGACCCGCCGACGCAGGAGGGGCAGGCAGTGACGACTCCTCTGGGCCGTCATCATGCCTCTTCCTCTTCAAACGTTCGTCTGCATCTATGCCGTCCTCCCCTTCGTCTCGCTTTCTGCGTCTGTCTCGAGACTCCCGTTCGTCTCGCTCCCTGTCGCGGTGACTGTGCCGGCTTTCCGCCCTTTCCTTCTCCGAGCGATGGCGCTCCCCATCGCGGTCGCGACGCCTCTCTCGGTCTCGATCCCTGTCATAATCTCTATCCCTATGCCTTTCTTTGTCATGGCGGTCGTCCCGGTCTTTGTATCTGTCGCGTCTTTCGTGGCTCTTGAGACGATCATCGTAGTCTTCGCGTTTGTCGCGCCTATCCCTGTCTCGCGAGTGAGACCGGTGAGAACGTTTCGTTCTATGCGTCTCGGTTGAGTGGTTTCGCGACCTACAAAACTTCGTCCAGCAAGCCTATCAGTAATGACATTGGAATACTTACGATTTCGACCGCCTATCAGGAGATTTCTCCTTGTCCACAACCATTTTACCGTTGAGAGACGACATGCTTCTCGAGATGAAGGTACAATGGGAGTGGGACTTTGAGCACTGTGTGGTACAGTCGAAGTCGCCGGCCACCCGGGCGCAGGGCCAAGTTGTGACAAAGATCACGTCCATGTCACACCCATGCCGTCACGCATCTCTCCAGACAACTGTCCAAGCGCCCGTAGACTCAGGCCCGCCGGAGGCTGCAGTACTATAAGTACTATGCCAACATGATTGGCGCCACACTCAGGGAAGCGAAGGTCTATTCCTCTGCAATCCAGTATCCTATGATACAGCTACACGGGTATTCGATACAACATCTATGTCTACAAGAGGTTGGCAAGCCTCGAGCGCACTCTCTTCTCTGCCTGCACGAGCTCCGTCTCCTCCGACTTCTTGTACAACACGTTCAGCGGGTTCTCATCACCCTCCTTCTCCAGGTCGGCCTCGATCTTGGTGAACTCGCCGCTGAACTTGCCGTTCAGGACCTGGACCGTGACTTCAATAAATGCACAACAATGAGTGACGCTCCTCCAATACCTGATTGTGCAGGATGTTCTTGAAGTGTTCCCGTGTTGCCGTACCATCCAGAGCAAGCGCGCCACTCAGTTGGCCGTATTGCGAAACAGTGGAATGGTGCTTTAATTGCGCGATGAAGCCGTCCTCCGCTGCACGCTCGAAAATCTCAGCAGGCTCCTTCGACATCCACCTAAACGGACAGGGTCAACGGTATGCTAGGAACACTATCAAGTCTAGCTCACATCTCGTAACAGAGCGCCTCGTCGGAGCACCCTGCATCCTTGAGGACACTGAAGGCCTCTCTGGGTGTGGCGTAAGTAGGTGTGACTTGTAGCGGAGGACGTCCTATACACACCTGAACAACATAATGATGTTCGGCCAGAGTGCTTGCTCGGCGAAGAGATCCATCGCAGTCTCCTCGTATACTGAGGAGTCGATCGCACCAGCCTTGGTTGCGCCGATGGCACGGGACAACGCAAGCGCAACTGCCAGGCCATTACCGGTACCATCTTGCTCGACCGAGACGAAGCAAGGGAAACCCTTGCCCTTAACATACAAACTGCGCACGGAGGAGCCGATCATCCTAGTGTCGTTACTCAGTGATCGATGTGCACAGCGAGGAATTTCCCGACAAACCTAGGAGCAACCATGACGACGTCTTGTGTGGGCTTGAATTTGAGAAGCTTGAAGAACACATTGTAGCCACTGGCAACGACGATCGCCGCGGTGTCCTTCAAATTAGGCGTGAAGGTCTCGTTAAAGACTCGTGGCTGGACTTGGTCGGGGACAAGGATGAAGACGACTACGAATCGCCGGTTCACCAGCTGCTCCTCTGGTTGAAGAACAACCTCACTCACCATCGGCGGCCTTCGCGGCCTTCACGAAGTCATGCTCAACTTTGAAGCCTTTCGCCTTCGCGTCCTCTGCGTACGAATCGGGCCTGTTCGCGATGAGAATCTGCTCGTTGGGAATTCCAGAGTCACGCAGGTTCTGGGCCTGTGCTGCGCCCTGGTTGCCGAAGCTGTCGTACTATGTGTGAGAAACGACACCGCCGGGGGTTCACATCATACGTACCCAAGGAATACGATGGTCTTGTCCTTCAGGACATTGAGGTCAGCATCTTGGTCGTAATAGCTACGAATGTGTATGTCAGCACCGGTGGACCAAGCAAAGTGTATGCGACTCACATCTTTGCGGACGGCATATTGGAGTGCTTAGGTGAGTAACAAGGACCACTTGTAAACGGAACTAACGGCGCCCACTCACTTATATATTCGGTATTCGCTGCCCTCGTCGGACATCAGGACCGTCAAGCGGGTACCCGGATGTTCTGCACAAGGATTCTTTGCACATATGACACGGTCACCGTGTCCTCTTGGACATAGCGCAATGTCCCTGTGACAGGAAGCGGAGCACACGGACCGTGCCTACGACGTCAGTGAACGGCTGAAGAGTCCCAGCGACCTGTCTACGCACGGTTCAAATGATGGCGAAATCAGATACCGAGGCGCACTCTGGCGCACTGGACGGACTACATAGCAGCTGGGCTCATGCACGCCCTAATAGCCAGACCCCAGCATCATCATGGCGGGACTTCTCTCAGGCAAGGTGGTGTGCATTACTGGCTCATCTCGCGGTATCGGACGCGCGTGCGCGGTCGAGTCTGCCAACCAGGGCGCACGGGGCCTTATCCTGCACTACTTTGGCGACGCGGTGACAGAGGCGGAGATCCGTACGCTGCAGGAGGAGGTGGAGAAGCGCTTCCCGGAATGCAAGGTAGCCACAACGCCCGGTGACATAGCCGATCCCGCCACCTCGTCCAAGGTATGGCCCTCTCACGTGCTCCCCCAAGTCCGCATCTCATCCACTCGATGGCGATAGATCGTTGAAGTAGGCGTCGCAGCGTTCGGCCGCATAGGTAGGACCGTAAACATGAGCTGCGGAAGCGGATCGCTGACGGTCGGCAGATGTACTCGTTAGCAATGTTGGGATATGCCCCTTCGCAGAATTCCTGACAATGCCCCACGCTACCTGGGAACGCACACGGGCGGTGAACCTAGATGGCTCGTTCTTCGTAACGCAAGGTCGGTACCGATATGCCAGCGGAAACCCTCAGTCTGATGGCATAAATTTATCATCAGCCGTAGCGAACCAAATGAAATCCCAAACGCCTCAGGGCGGATCCATCATCGGCATTTCGTCAATATCCGCGCTCGTAGGCGGCGAATTGCAATGGTATGCACACAACCGTCAACCAAGAAGCGCACCTCTGACGACTGACTGCCAGCCACTACACGCCGACAAAAGCCGGCATCCTATCGCTCATGCAGAGCTGCGCGGTCGCTCTCGGCAAGTACAACATCCGTGCCAATGCCATCCTGCCCGGGACAATCGCGACGGACATCAACAAGGAGGACCTCTCGGACGACGCGAAACGCGAGGCTATGGTCAAAAGGACATGCCTAGGCCGCCTCGGTCGTGAGTAAAAATTCATTCCCGATGCTACCAGATACTCACCCGCGCACGTAGAGCCGGACGACATCGCGGGGCCTGTTGTCTTCCTCGGCAGCGACCTAGCCAAGTATGTGACGGGAGCGTCGCTACTTGTAGACGGAGGACTATTCGTCAATTTGCAGTGAATCGAAATATAAATACAATGTGACTAGCAGCCCTTCCCCGGTTCCATCGGCTCCCCGTCTAACTGAAAGTCTCTGTGAAAGCCTGAGAGCACCGTCAGAACCGCGGAGGAAACTCCTATATATATATATCTCACCTTCAAAGCTTAATACACGCGCGGTTGGGTAAACGGACGCTCGTTTCACCTGCGACAACTCACGCCCTGATTTCTGTACCGAGTACCTTGTCACCAACCACAGCGGGCTTTGCATCGACCAACACAGTCACCCATCGCGTCCACCCCGGTCCCGGGTTCCTCCATGCGTGGATGGTACCACGCTGGATCACAACGTCGCCCGGAGTCTCGAAGAGCGTCTCGCTGCCATCCTCCATTTCCAGGATGATCTTCCCCTTGACTGATTGTGGACTGTGTGAATTGATGACCATCGCCTAGCAGCAGAACCACATACTAAGGACATTGTAGTCAAGAGACGTTGTCCTATGCTGTACATACACCCCATATCAGGATGATTGCGAGCAGCAAAGCAGAGACCCTGACTGTACCATCGGCACTCTCGTACCCGGAGCGAGATCGGTGTACCGCAGCGCTGTTCCGTTGTGCATGAATAACCCAAGGTCTCCGTCGGCGGTCCTTGTTGTCCCGTCCACACTAGCGCACTGTCAACACGGCACGTGCTGAGCATAGAGTAGAACGACACACGCACTCGCCGGTGTTGTCGTCCGTGGGCACCTTATCCGTAATCCAGAGCGGGTTGCCGCTGACCCCAGCGAAGCCAGATTCCTACAGGCTCCAACAGTGAGTGTGAAAAACAAAGATCATTGGAGGTATACCGTACTTTGCGAGGTACAGTGCCGTCAGAGCGAACGATCGCGATGCCAGCATCATTGTGGCCTGTCACCACACGGCGCAAATCTGGAAGAGGAGAAGCGTCAGAGCTGGACATGGTGCCGTCAATGCTGTCGTCGAGTGCAGCTTGGGGAACGCGTTTTGCTTATATCCTTGTTCGAGCAAAGTCCGCTTCGCAGCCTGTTCTCAGCCCTGCGCCCCCGCCTACAGACGGTTCTATCACGCAGACTCGGTATGCCGATTCCCCCTCGACCTCTTCACGTCATACCCGCACACATTCGCGATCGGCTACGCAGATAATCACACGCAGATCACTCGCGATAGTCCCCTGGGGCATGTCCTGTGACGTACCCCGCGCAACACGTCCAAGACCATCGCGGCTTCGGGGGGGCGGGCCGCCCCCCTCCGGCGAGGGCGTGGGGTTCCGTACGAGAGCGGGGTTCTCTGACTGACTGGGTTCTAGCCCAATGCACGGACCGAGGCTTGGAGTAGGCAAGCAAGCATGAATATCACATGGACTACGCGTAGACGATGAGACCGTATGAGAAGAACTAGGGTGCAGTGTCTGTTCGATGGCGTCAGCGACGCCGTTTGAGCGGAGGGAGGGGGATGAGGGGCAGTTGGGATGGATGACTCACAATAATGATACTCGTCGATCAACGGGACCCAGTCTCTCATCAACGCGCTGAACAGACCGAGCAGCGGCGCGTTCGCCGTCTTGTTCGCGAATGCCTCGAGCTTGGGCCTGAGACGCAGAATGAGCGCAGCGTACAGACATAAGAAGCATAAGAACGCACTTCGTCCACGACTCCCAGATCGAACCCCGGAGGATATACCAAAGCATGTCCCTGTCGCGGAGTGCATACTCGGCACGCTCCAGCTGGGCCGATCGCTGTGGTACGCGTCTCATGTTGCGAGCTAGAAGCTCCATCATGAGTATGACCATGAGTGGGTTGGTGTTCCTCCTCTTGCGCGAGAGCATCGTCGCTGGAGAGGTGAAATTAGTCAGGAGCGACAGGAGCGCTAGTCAAACAGGAGCAAATGCTTACCATAGACAAGAGGGCGGAGGATGTATATGATCTCCGAGAGCCAGTCTTTCGGCGAGGCGAGGGTCGCAATCAGTGCTGTAGGAGGCTTCACTGACGATGTGTTCAGAGCCTTGGGCAGAAGGAAGTCTTCTACTTGCTGCGGAGATTGTGTGGGAGGAGGTGGCGTCAAGAGAGGGTGGAGGGGTAGCGGCTCATGGTTGTTCTTGAGATGCTCGGGAGTCACGGGGAGAGACGACGGTGGCGAAGACGGCGCAAGAGTCGGGGACACTGCTTCCGCATCAAGAGGAATTGCAGAAGGATCGAACTCGCGTTCAGGGATGGGTGGTGTGAGTACAGGTCTCCTGGTGATCCGCAACAAGACTAGACGTGAGACCGCCCTACAGAATGTTGGTGAAGGATGCCTCGACGTCAAGGACGGACACTCACTTGATGACCTCCAAGAGCACGATACCTCTCCACCGGTTACGTTGCGAGACCTTCCTCCGCAAGCCCATCTCGATCAACAGTTCCGTGAAGCGAACCAATTGCAACACGCGAGCAGCCCACTTGTAAAGCGAGTCCTTTTCAGACCATGCACGGGTATACCGCGTGTGCAATGACGGAGGTATGAGGGCTTTGTACTTGGGATCCGCCTGGACAACCTTCTCCAGGAGCGTGTCATGATACATGCTCATAACATTGAGGGAGGCGGACACTGGAATGCGTACATCGCGCAGGCTCGTCAACTACACGGCAGTACGGGCACAAGACTGTACGAACAAGCCTCTGACGCCAACTCTGCATCTCTGAACCTGCCCGGCAGGATCCACGTAATAGACCTCAAGGTAGATTCGAGGGAAGAGATGGTGGAGACATTCTTGACGAGGAAGGACTCGTAGCGGGCGAAATGAGACGACATCGAAGAGAAAGACAAGCCCGGGCGAGGAGACCGCGGGAGGCCGCCTGAGGGAGAGGCAGCAGCCAGAGAGAGCTGGGTCAGGGTGTGGTGGGCAGCTTCGAACGCAGGAGCCATCCGCGCGCTGGGGGCCGCCTCGGCGTCGCCCCGAGGGCACTCCCAGAAAAGGCAATGCTGTAAACACTTGATATCCTCGCGGCTGCAGACCCTCCCGGTCCAAACACGCCTCTCGTCTGGCCACCATCCCCGCAGCATTGCAATGTGGCCTGCATGCAACAGCAATGGCAGGGTGTGCTTGCGGGGCAGCCACGTAATAATGGACAGGCTCTGCGCGTGTGAGACTCGTCTTCTCTGTGTGGTGGTATTGGTGGCACTTGGGCTCGCTCGCATCTCGAACGGGCCTGTACATCGATGGCCTGCTCAACGGACTGAGGACTCGGACCCTGACAGTCACAAGTCGAACCGCGGACGTCTATCTTCCTGACCACCCGGCCGGGACCAGGGCTGCTTCCGAGAGTTTGAATGGACTTCGCACAATAAGATGGACGCGATATGTACGCCTCAGCGAGCGAGCTGACCCCGGGGTTTCCGTCGAACGTAGGGCCCTGTATATACGTACTGCGCCAGTGTTCGGATGGCCACGAAGGGGGATTTGCCTGTTTCGAGCCGTCTGATCACGATCAGAGCGAGGGCGGGCATCCCCGCGCCGGAAGAGGAAGGCTCAATGTGCCTCAGCGCTGTCCGTTTTTCTGCACGTTGCAGAGTTAGCGACCCAGTGCAGGCCACGCCCCCCTCCATGCCCCCGTCATATCAATGCACCACAATCGCTGCTGACAAGACGTGTGCATCGGCTAATTTCCTGTTCCCATCGTGATTTTCCACCCTCCTACCCCGCCTTCCTGCTTCGACGCCCGATTCAGTCTCTGCCTGTTCTCGAGCTTGTCTTCTACGCTGTCCAGTCAGGATGAGCACGCCCCGGAGCCCCAGCCAGCCCCTCAACTACTTCCAGCAGAGTCCAGTTCGAGGGCAGCTGGAGAACCCGGATGGGCAATATGCGAGGAGCGGATGGCGGTATTTGCAGTGCACGGACACGCCAAATGAACTTAGGGTACGTACAACTACCCCCGCGTCGCGATGCGGCTCTTGACCGTTCCTAGGTACTCCTGCCTCCCCGCACGGCCCTCATCTACAGTCATCTCCTTCGTGCAGAGCTCATCGAGCTCCGCAAGGATCGCGATGCAGCCTGGGACCGCATCCTGCAGATCCGTCACCTCAAAGACCGGATGATCCGCAAATGCCAGCGACTCGCGAAGGAGTCCGCGCCCACGGGCAAGCCCGCCCCGCGCACCATGTTCTTCACCGTGCACGCCCCGCCCGACTACCGCTTGAAGGAGATGGAGCGTTGGTTCCGCGAGCAGGGCGCGCACTTCGGGTCGGACGTCGCGCAGGGGCACTCGCGCACGCCCTACTGCTGCAACAAGTGCATGCCGCCTGCACATACCAATCATCAGGGAACCCTCTCGCGTAAACCGTCTGCACAGGCTTACCGACACGGCCCTCCCCCGGACCGAGTGCCTGCGCGCCGCGGGGACTCAACGACGCACACGACCACCACTCTGCTCAACTCGTCCCCCCCTCCGGGCCAGCATCCCCGGCGACAGCCTCCACCTGGCTACAAAACGTCGGGGCGCGTGCCAGCAGTGGTGCGCGACCCCGACCATGCCTCGCCTCACCGCAAAACCACGGAGCGCAGACGGTCCGCAGGGTCAGACGTCAGCACCGGGACACGCTCCGCGCGGCTGAACGCGAAGTCGCCGGACCCGCTGCCCATTCCATTCCGCATGCACGATCCGAACGAGGAGCCTCCTTTCGTGGACTCGCCCGACGACAGCCTTGAGGACGAGCTGCCGTCCACGTCGCCAGAGCCGGAGGCACCGCACGAGGCAGCGCCCCTCCCCGCACTGAATGGCCAGCTGCCCACGATCCACGAGGCCTCCGAAGGGCAGGCCTCGGTCGCCGGCGAGGATGCCCAGCGCCCGATTCCCCGTCGACGCAGCAGCCTCAAGCGAGCGGGCAGCATCAGCAGGCTGAGCATAGCGAGCCAGACCAAGTCCGTCGCGTGGGCCATGGACCGGGATTGGATTGAGCAGATGTCGCAGTACATGAAGACCGCAAACGAGGCTGAGGTGCTTGGTGAGTCGGCGCTCGCTCTGCCGCTGGCACTGGTGCGTGTAGGGTCGCTGACGCCGGACTCGTCTCCCAGTGCACGAGCTCGAGGAGCTCCGGTCGGACTACCACAAGGAGGTGGACGCAATGAAGCGGATGTGCCGCGGCGTGTCGGAGGCGTCCGAGCGACTTCGTCTTGAGATGGAGAAGCTGCACAGAGACGAGGAGGCGGTGAGGAAGCAGGAGGACAGGCTCCTCCACACCATCGAGCAGCTGGAGCGGAAGGAGACGCAGTTCCGCGACAAAGGCATGTCCTGTTCTAACCTTGTACCAACACATGGTGTGCTGATGCGGTTCTCCCCGGTAGTCGTTTCGGTCCTCGAGGAAACCAAACGCGTCGTCCATCTCTGTGACAAGAAACGCGACATCCACGAACTATGATCTGCGTGACATACTTCGGAAAGTTCAGTTCTATTCGCGGGTGTCATCTACCTTGCTTTGTTCGCTATCTCTAGACGCATGACTGCACGCCACCTAACGGTTCGGAAACACCACTTCCTGTAGCATTAACCCTCTATTAAGTACTTCGCGGTAAATACCCTTGACGTATATGATATCCTACGCATGTATATATTGTTCTTCAGTTATGCTCTGGATGGATGGACGAATGCAAATGAGGATACTCACGACCAATCCAAGCGTGTAATGAATGCATGGTGTACAGTGTGAACATTGTCCAATAGTATGCAGGAATAAGTTACGTAGTGCAGGTACCAAGACGTAGGCTACGAAGCCGGTGCGGCGGCGCAATACCAGGCGAACAGCAACGCTCCCAATTACTGCGTCAATGCGGGCCCTGACCGCCACCTCCGCCGCTTAGACCATTTCCACCAGAGGCGTACAAAGTTAGCGTAGACGAAGAGAATCACGCTTGCCAGCGAGATCACGATGCCGAACACGTAGAAGCGGTTTCCAGCGAGGGAGTTGGCGGGGACTTGCGTGTTCATGGAGAACAGACCTAATGTGCAACTCTATCATGAGTTACACAACTCACGAAGCCCAGAGGATCACCTACCAATCAGGGTCTGAACCAAAAGGACACCCATACTGACTGTCGTGAGCGTGACGAGCGCAGTGTCTGTGCCTGATTGAGCCTGTGAGAGGGATAGACGCAGGTGGGATAGGTAGGTAGGTTGCGACGTGCTCAGGACACGTTCGTAGTGAACTAGTGACTGTTGCAAAGTCAAAATGTGATCTGATCGGAGCCGGGTTAGACCATGCATTTAACACCTTCCCAAAGGGCCACGTACCCTGGACATCACCCATGTACACGTAGACGTCGTGGTCATGTTTGGTGCCGTGTCCAAGTCCCCCTCCGACAGTCAGCAGTCGCTTCTGCAGCTGCGCAACGACCTCCGACTTGTGCGCTAAGACCCGGGTGAGCGACGTAACGAGTCTCCTCGTCTTCGCCATCCGGTGCACAGTGTTGGTAGTCTTCGCCGTCGGCGTGTGCCTGAACACGACACGAAAGTGTCGGTAGAAGCCTAGCACAGAGCGCTTGAGCCCCCGAAGGTGGGAGCGCCAGCCCGTAGGGAGTGCAAACTGTGTCTTCCGCTCCACCGTCTTAAGTGTCTCGCGCGTCTTCTCAGTGACCGTAATGCTGGATGCATCAGGGTTTTCATTGGTATCATGTGTCACAACCTTCTCAAGGTTGGGCTTAGTGGGTATATCAGCGGGAGGAGGAGGAGGATTGGTCGCCGCGGGGTCTCGCGTAACGTCTTCTGATACTAGAAGGCTTTCCATGTTGGCCACCTCCTTTTCGACTCCTTCCAAGAACGGGAAGAATGAATCCACAATGGAGTCCATGACTCCATGCGCAATCCAATCTTGCAAAAGGATGAGACCTTGCAGAAGTGGCTAGAGCTTACTTAGACTCACCGGAGCTCATGTTGACGCTCTGCGACAGTTTGAGGATCTTCTTGCGAACACGGTCGACATGTTCTGGGACTCGTCAAGCGGCAACTAACCCACGAGCATGGGGAAACTTACCTCCAATATCCGAGAAATGGAACTTGAGTAGAGAATCAGTATGCAGTGTGCCGCTGGGTAATTGACGGCGCACCGAACATATGCCTTCCCGGAAGACAATGAGGTATACATTGACCTCGCCGACGATGGCTTCTTCCATGGGCGACGCAGACGACACCGAGTTATCTCGAGGGTTGTGAAGGGCGCGCAGCCGTTCCCTGGTCTTCATGCTCTCTATCGCACGGAAAACTACGAAGTAGTATCCCAGCCTGGGAAAAACTTCCAGCTTCTCCCTCGGATCCTGCTGCAGGATATCCTCGAGAGTCAACGGATGTAGGTGCAGAAGCTTTGCGGTCATCAGATATGAATAGGAAGGACATGACTGAGCACAGCATACCTTGCCTATTGCGCGCATGTCTTCCCATGTAGGCGAGGATATATCTAGCCACCAGGCCTTCTCCGCATCGCCAGGCTCTGTCGCAGAGGACGAGGCATGAGACATGGGTGTTGCTGTCGGGAGCGCGGTTGCCCGTTTCTTCCCTTTCCTCGCTCTCCGCGGCGCAGTGGGCTCTTGTGTTGAGGAACTCGCTGAGGATATGAAATCCTCGGGCATCATATAGTGGTGGTGTAACATCGGAGGGGAAGGGACGCGGTGTTCCGGAGCGATGGTCTCTGTGCGCGCTCGTCTTGCTCTCTCGTTGCCCTTGAGAGCTGCACCAAGCTGGGCGATGATGAGAGGAAGGGAGTCCGTGTGGATGAAATGCCGATCTTCAGCGCCGGGCCCGGGACGACCTTCCTTGCCCAAGACATCGGGGTCCAGGGGGTTGGGGACATACAAATCAAAGGACCGCGGAACATATCTCCATTCTTCCCTGGCCCTGATGCGAGCTGCTATCTCGCGCTCAGATCGTCTGTTATGCACGTCTGCGACGCTCGGCCTGCGTCTGCGCGTGCGAGTCGCAAGGGACCTGGCCAGTGTCCTGAGGGACTGAGAGGACGAGGACGAGGACGAGGACGAGGATGTTGTCGACAAAGAAGACGAAGATGCCCAAGCACGAGCCCACGTAGCAATAGCATGTTCGACCACAGCTGAGATCGCTCCAAGACGTCCTCCAAAGACGGAGGACGCAGAAGAGCTGGACGAGGAGGACGAACTCTGGGATCTGATGGAAGGCGACCTTGGAGGTGCGGGAGGAGGCCCTCCTCGATAGATGTCCTGGTTGTCTTGTTCCCCCAGCGAGAGATGGTCCACTGTCTGGGTCTCCGGAACCAGGCCAATCGCCTCAGCAGTTTCGAGGGAATATGGGGATGATTCGGCGAGAGCTGCTGTACGGTCAGTGCTACTAGACTCTGGCCGCCCCGGTACAGCATCGACAGTAGCAGACATCTGGGGCGCGACCGCCCCTGCACAGACTTATGGGGCGAGGACCATGAGATGAGGGTGGAGGCTGAGGGACGCTGCAAGCCACTCGCACCCGCGCCCGTGCCACCGCTGGGCGGCCCGCAATTCTGGGGCTCTCATTGGTTCCCTCAGACACGCCCGTTACTGCAGCCGGACAGAGGTAAATTGACTGCACCGACACAGCATAGCTGTAGCACGGCGGTGGTATGTATTATAGTAGTCTGAAGCATCCACGGCTACTGCAGGCAGGCTAGCCGGCGCCCTGACGGCGACTTAAGAAGGAGGAAGGAGGTGAATGTAGACCGCGAGGCATCAACCTACCCGCCTACGTTTTTCGCTTCGCTGACTGTCGTCGCCATGAGCAGCACCAGATCGTTTCCGCTGTGGGACTCCAGAAGAACCGGGCGCAAACGGTCGACTCTTTTTCTCTTTCTGACCCGCCTTCTTCTGCCGCCTGTCTATGGCTTTCCTGACCGCCCTGCGCCCGCCTGACGCTGCCAAAGCCTCGTATTTCGCCCGCAGAAGAAGATCCTTCTTGTCCGCTGCAAATGAATGTCAGTCGCCAGTCAGGGCGGGTGAACAATGCTCTAATATACGCACAATCCTTCATGTACCATGCGCCCTTTCCTGCTTTCTGCTTCTGCTTCTCCTCCTGAGCCACTTTCTCGAGTGCCTCCTGCTCGATCTTCTCTCGTCGATCCTTGCTGACCATACTCTCAGCGCGTTTGTAAGCGCGTTCTAGTCGTTGAACCTCTTGTTCGCGTTCTTCCCGTAGATGTTTTGGGGAGTTTACCAGAAGTTTACGTGCACGCTTTAAATTATCCTTGAGGGTCTGCATCTCTTGAGTATGCAGGTTTGCGAGGAAGCCATATTGTGCACGGAAGCGTTTGTCTGAGAACTCCCCGGTCATGGGTAAGAAACGTGGATCTCGAGCTATCTAATGGACTTTCAGATGGTGGCCGCCAATGAATAGGGGCACCTACCGCTTTCTCTCCTTCGACAGCCGGCTTTTTCCTTGCTACAGGTTTCTTCGAAGTCACTTCTGTAGGACTATGAAGAACGTCAGCTCGCAGGTAGAAAATACAATGACTGATGCGTACGCATGTTTATGTGGGCGTTTCGGGATGTCTTTCTTAGGCTTTCTGGGCTCTTCCACTTCTTTTGCCTTGCCCTTGGGATCGTAGCGCGAAGGTGCCTGTTCCACCTCGTCTTCGTCTTCGTCAAGATTTGAATCTGAATCTCCGGCATCGAAGGCACTAGCGCGTGCTAACTCTCGTTGCGCTTTCCGCAGTGTGCCGAACGACAGAGAAGCGAGGGCTGTAGAGGGCGGTGTTCAGACCTGCAGTCACGCATACACAGCGGACACGACGCACCGTCCTCTGCTCGGTAAGTCTTCCAGGAGTGAGCCATGCATTAGCACCTCTCTTAAGCTAGAATGATTCCTGACATACCGGTTCCGCTTCCTCCTCAGACGCACTAGACTCCGCATCGCTCTCCTCTTCACTTATGTCCTCCACTTCCTCATCATCAACCCATTGAGCGACGCGCGCCCCATCGACATCGAGCTCCTCTAGCACATCATCTTCAATATCATCATCAGAGCCGTCGTCCAGCGACGCGGGATCTTCGTCCTCTTCCTGCTGGAAGAACCCTTCAGACTCGGATCCGGACGCCTCGGAGGCTTCAGACTCTCCAAGTTCGTCAAATTGCTGGAGTTGTCGGGCAAACTCGCGTTTCTCCTTTCCAGGTTCTTGTGGCTTCACTCTTGAAGGAAGAGGATGCTGCTCTGCGAGCACTGGGGGACGTCGGGAAGCGGGGCGAGGTCGTCGAGGCATGTCCTGAAGTTGTACGGATCCGAGTAAGATCTGAGATGCGGAAATGAGCTACGGGCGCTCGATCAATCGAGGTCGTAACCCCGTTCGTCTGAATCAGGCAAGTGCTGTGGTTCCAGCAACAAGGATCATCACATCGCACCTTCGTCGTGAGTATTACTATTACTTCAGTAGTTGTAAGCATGCGACCATAGAGGCCTTTTATGATTAGCTAGATACCTAAGACAGCATGTCGTACTAGTGTCATGTAGTCGGGGGTCTATATACCGCTACCCGCTCAGTAGAACCGGATAAACGGGAAGTGCAAACCAACAGCTAGCTAGCTGAACTTGAACGATAAAGGTCTCAGGCACAAATAATCCCATGGACACACGCATAAAAAGTATAAGCATGATTATGTCGTGTGTTACACAACTTTCGATCTTGTATCATAATCATCCGTGATTTGGGCTTCGAGACTATCCAATAGAACGTATCGTCCATTCTCCACGCGTACGTCAAGTGCGAGTCCCTTCGATTCCAGTCCAGAACGCCAGAATGGGCTGAGACCAAACCACACCGCCATCTTAGCAAGAAATGGTCGATGCTTTGGTTTCTTCTTCCTGAGTTCGTCGTCGAGGATGCCTTCCCAACGATAGTAGGGACGTGCACGGATGGACACGTCGTCATAGTCCGTGCCTGCTCCGGTACCGAGCGTTGACGGCTGCATCAGTGTCTTCATGTCGACCTCTTCCATGTCGAGCTCGGACGTGTCTTCTCCGAGGTGCAAAACATTGGCCTAGAACGCACTATTCAGTATGAGCGACGTAGAATCAATACAGTAATCGTACCCCATGTGAGCCGTGAAACACGATGTCGTTCATCCGCACATACATCTTATTGAGATAGCCGGCGTCGAAGAAGTCATTCCACTTCGCTTTCTTGTGTAATAGACCGCGCTGGGTCAGGAAGTTCTCGAGCGCTGCACGGGGAAGAGGGGTATACGCTATTGAGGAAGGGTGGTGCGGATCGAAATCCGATGCATGCTTCTGCAGAGCACCAATGGTGTTGTAGTTCCGCCTCCACAGGTCGTCCTAGATACATAGATAAGCATTCTCGTTACATGGCCAGATCGCAACATGCACAAAACCTACCCAGAAAACATACCACCATGTGGCCAACTCTGACGCAGAAACCCCAGACCACCTCTCATACGTGACCTCGAATATGGGTCGGCTCGTGCTCACCAAATCACGCACGCGCGAATCGTGCTCTAGCTCCTGAACGACATTCACGACGTCCGCAGGCAAGCGAGGCTGATTGTAGATGTCGGTGAGGAACTGATACGTGAGGACATCCGCTTTCCACTGGCACTCCCGTCTCATATGATGGCGGTAACTGCGCAGAACCATCTCCAGTGGTACGAGATGCTCTGCGATGAGTCGCTCGTTTATCGCCAAAAACCGAGCGAGCGGTTGCGTCAGGTCGAGATCGTCTGTAAGGCCTATGATAGAGCCGTCGACCGTGACACCCTTCGCGTATGTCATTTCGACCTCGAATCCGCTACCGAGGTCGGTGCCCTCCCAAGGCAAGGTCCCGCGTCGCTTGATGCGGAAAGTACAAGTCTTGTAATGTATGACGGCTTGAGCTCCGTACCGCTTGCGACAGCAGCACCAGCCTGTCTCTTCGCCGACATTCTTTCGGAGTAGTCAGAGTTGGAACGACCTAAATGAATTCGAACCCTCATACTCACCCGGACATAGTCGTACGGCCACATGACCACAAGCCCTTCCAAAGCCCGCAGAGCAAGTCGGATCTCACGCTTCCGACGAATATGATGACTTGAGTTCTGGGCAACATACTCTTCCAGCTGCAACAGGTCCTGAAGAGCTCGCAGAGGTCCATCGTCGTAGCGGATAACCTAGCAGTATGTATAAACACTTTGCGGGTGTCGGTCATACGTACGGAAGGCTTACCAAGGTGGGTGGGAAGGGAATCCACCACGCACTTCCGAAGAAATGACTACACTTAGGGAGCGGCGCACCCGGGGGCTTCCAATAGCAATCAGGGCCGACGAAGTGATCTTGGATATCTCTCTCCAGACGACGAAACGGCGCAGCGTCGGGCCCAGATATGAGAGCGACGGCCTTGTAGTAGGATATCGACCCCACTTCGCGGAGTAGCTAGCGGGGGTTTCGAACTCAACAGATTTACGTATACATCGCGATCAAGACATACCTTCAGATTCTCTACCATACGTTCCCCGGGCGTGCCCTTGAACTGGGTCAGATAGGGAGGGTACTCGCCGTCTCGAGCTTCCTTGAACTCCATCGGCTGTTCCTTGGGTATTTCGGTATTAGGACTGGTTAGGAACAGCGTCATGGTTGCTTCCTGCCAAATCCGTCGTCGTGTATGTGGGGACGATTGCGAGAGGTCAACTCTTCGTAGTGTTAGCACAAAGTCGCGCTAGGTAAAGGGAGAGCATACCGTGGAGAGAACATGTCAATGCCTGAAGAGGAGGGCGTGAGTAAAGAGCTCGACAGGGCAAAGTTGAGAACATACTGAAGTCGATGCGACGCGCCAGCCCTAGGCAGATACGGTCAGTCAATGCGGACAGACCACGACATTTGGCTTACTCTTCACGAGGCGACGTGCGATGTCCATATTGATGATGGTGAAATCTACATGCAGAATGTCAGAACTGATGTAGTCATAGGGAGCCCTAGAGTCACTCACAGAAGCTGAGTCCATAAGTTACTATGTAAATTCTGCGGCATCTGTCAGTGGCTCGCTCGAACCGATAGGAGGCTACGCTCACATATCAAGAACGACCCCATCCAATATGCTAGATCCGGGTATATTCAAAGCCACTCCAAGGGCTACTGCAGACGTAAGGACATAATTGAGTCGGGAGATCCATTCTGAAGCATTGTTGACAGGATTCAAGAAAGGTGCATAGATGCCTTGAAGGATGAAGTAGACGAGCATCGCGAGTAATAGAACGATTTGACGGGCAACCGCTACCCATTTGCTAGAGAGCGTGCGGAAGAGACAGTTGTCCGGGTCGATGACCGCTGTGATCAAGAGCGTCGTGAGTTTCGCGAGAAGGAACACCGATTCATATGTTCCCCATCCCCTGCGAAAGCCTAGACCCACGATGAAGCACACATACACAGTTGACGATGAGCAGAAGCACCTACCGCTGTACAAGAAGTTGAGAGGATTCTTGTCGCGATTCAATAAGCGCTGGTACTCGCGATTCATGTCGCTGTTGCTTCGAGGCGCGCCCAACTCCGTGTAACGGTCGACGATTGGGACGACTTTCTTGATCGTACGGTATAGATGAATAGGGAACCATATTGTCAACTAATAAACAGATGTCAGCTACAGCCAGCGCGCAGAGATATTGGCATACTCCGGCAATACACGCAGTCGCGAGAATGATCAGAATTGGCGCATAGTTGACTTCGTCGAGCTTCATGGTTGTCGTCCAACAGAAATCGAGAGGTGCGCGATACTCGTCTGAAGGACCCAAGGGTGCGACACTCGGTGGATTGGACGTCGAATTCGTGTACGGATTAGGAACCACCCAGAGATCGTCTGACCAGACCATAATATGCATCGCTATGGTGCTAACAGGTAGATAGATGACGGTCAACAAGAAGCTGACTAGTAGGATGAGCCAGGAGTGTTTGGGGTATCCCAGGGGCTGCTGGCCTTCAGGGACGCGGACGGTAGTACACTGAGAGGTTGCACGATAGAAGTAATATAGGAGCAGGCCGGACACGAGCATGCAAAGGACGAGGAAGACGGTAGACTCCGTGATTGTTGATGCGAAGTTCAAGGCTAGGATATTCGGGCTGTGCGCGTTCCGTTAGGTATGCCAGGGAGTGGAACCATCAGACATACATCTTGACCAGAAAGAGAGTCCGCCAACGGTCCTTGAATGTACCACTAGTTGACACTGTCCAATTCTTTCAGGGCCTGGTCGCTTAAAAGTTTAATGGGTTCTCACCGATGGTATTCAGGATGAGAGCAAATATTTGAAGGGTATCAAACAGCCCTTGAACACTGTAATAGGACGCAAGTGCACTCGATCCCTACCATTGAATGTCATCTCGTATACGGAAGGCATCGACTAGCTATGTACACACCGTTATACCAATCGTCAAACTGAGGACAGTGGAAAAGATCGAGTTACAGTTCCTCCACCCAGGTGCTACCGTCGCATTGTGCTCAAGATCCACCAATGTCTTCTTGGTATCCGCCAAATCTTGCATAGGAGGAAACATAGTCGGAGATGGTGCCTTGCCCTTGGACTGTTCCGTTGCCGCATATGACGGGGCCGGCAGGGAAGCGATAAAGTCATCCAGCCTGGGTAGATATAGCGGCGGCGCCTTCCTCGAAAAGACCGTCGTCAGCGGGATGGGGGTATGAGGCCCTAACTGCGTCCGTGGCACTGCAGTAGTGGTTGAACTGAGAGACTGCCTCTGCGAGTGCGATATTGCAGTCACCGAAGTTGCATCTAACCCTATAGGTAGGTGCACCGAAGGGGTCCGAGGAAGACCGTCTTCGTCCCGAATCCGCAAAGAGCCCATCTGGATGGCCTCCGGAATAGCCTTCATACTCGTGGATGGCACGCGCGAATTCGTATAGGATCGTCCAGACGCCATCGGCAATCCATCTGTCACGTCGATTGTGTGTTCATGTCCATACTGGCCATGGCTCGAGCTAGTGAGGGTGTCTTCCTGCCTCGTACCCGGAGCCTGCGCATGGGCGAGAAGTGCGACGTCCTCTCCATCGTCTTCAGCCTGACTTGGCTCCCGACGTCGCAGCAGAGGGTGTGCCAGGAACCTTGAGGGTGCATAAGCTCCGCTAGGGTCCGCAGGCTCGTTGGATGACTCGGTCAACCCATGGGTATCATCTGCAGGCCGTACCGAATCTGCGTGCGGTCTCGAGGTAGCAGGTCGCTTCGAAGACAGCTCTGGTTCGAACAGCTCGACCAGGTCCTTCACCGCCATGCGTGCAACAACCAGACTGGGATGAGAGAGGCGTCGTCAGCGTTCGGTCAGTGGGAGGATGTTGGGAGACGTGAGTGCCATCCCTTGGGGCAGACGAGCCAGGGCATGGGTGCTCTCAAGCGGTGGCAACAGTCGAAGGACGCTCATGATCGGTGCACGTGTGTCACTGTCGGGAACTGCTTGAACTGGCTTGAACTTTACCGAAACAGAGCTGCTCACTGGCAGTACTTGGCACGTCTTTGAGCGATTCAGTATTCAGTAAATTTGATGAGAAATATGAGTCAGTGAGGTGCTACATACTACAGAATAGTGGAATATGGTGGATACATGAACAATGAGACGTACTACGCGTCGGGAATGTGGAACAAGATTTACATGCGGGATACTCTGAGGTAATAATAATAGGCAGCTGCCAGTGCAACGGAAAACACCAGACTCCCTCCGACGTGGAAGTATCTTGGGATGATCACCGGTTGTTTTGACCAAGACATGATTGTATCCTATGATTGATATCAGAGATATTCTTTAGCAAAGGTAGCTACGCTGGTGCCTACCACCAAACCTCCAGATTTTCCCGCCCGCACAGCCCTGACGGCTTCGCTCAAGTACTGGTTGGAGGCAGTCTTCGTTGTCCCAGTGACCGTCCAACCTTTGTACAGCTCGTGCTCCAACGGCAGTAGCTGGCAAACAAGCGACGGGTTTCTCTTGAGGACTTCGGCGAGTTCGGGGATGATTATCTTCTGCTTGAGAAGCGAGGGGTGGATCGTTTCATGTGTCACATCATCTGTCTTCATTGGCAATTGGCGTTGTATTTTGTCTGCCACCTTGAACACCCCGACTATCGAGCTGCGAAAAACATGAGCACTCTGCGGACAATGTGAGAACACAGTCTACGCACTCGTGTGGAGGGAGCTCGCCCCATGGCGATACTGCTTCAAGACGTGATCCAAGGTAGTCAGTATCGACGTAGAGGATGTCGCCAACTTGTGCCTAGCTTCAGGTGAGTTTGAGTCAGATATGTAATAAGTCGGATCGCTTACAGCCATCCATGCAAGGGTTATATTCGCTAAATCTGGTTCTGGGTAGCCGCCGCCGATCTATGCAATACTATCTTAAGTGCCAATGTCAAGCAATAAAGCCCTCACACTCACATCTGAATGACACCCTATAGAAGGCGAAGTTCATCGTGATGAGCTATGTGCAACTTATCGGCGTTCAGAACTACGTACCTGCAAACCAACACTAAGAGGTCGTGAGTAACGTTCTAACGACGCTGAGTCGCGGAACCGTACCTGTCGCAATATCTGCCGCTTTCTCCGGCCCGCTTCCGTCTGTCTGAACTTGGCACAATTCTACGTCACGGAGTGAGCGATACTGTGCCAATCGACAGTACATGCGAGGCTTACGAAGTCCGCCCTTCGTTCATGGAGAGCTAATGCGTGATATGCTCGCTCGATGTGAGGACCAAGCTCGGTACTATGAAAGCCGAATACCGTCTTCGTCTTAGGATCCGACCGAGTCAGCTCCTCTGGCAGGCCGACTGATCCAACGGTGTCGAACACTCCAATACATCTGAAGACCACATGAGCGATCTAATTCAGTATGAGAAAGCCATGTTACTGACTTCACCGAGAACCCCTGAGGTCCACCGGTCGCGCGTTTGCATCCGGGACCGTTGGGCCCCGTCCATGGGGCAATGGTCTTCTCCAGCTCCGCTCTTTCTGTGTATGGATCATTGAGATCTCTGGACCAGGTGATACGGGCTGAACAAACCTTCAGGCTCGAGGTCGTCTTGATTTCCGAGTCGTTGTAGCGCTATGAAGATTTTCGCGAAATAATCCATATCCGTTCGGCTGAGCACCCCGATCTTGCCCTGGAAGATGTCTACATGGCGAAATACACGATCAAGATTCGAGATTCACGTACGATGAGCGAAGCTATCGTTCGGGCGGTATACGCGCCCTGATCGGTCCAGTAAGACAGACTGCATGAGCAAGCCATGCATCAATGGCGCTTACCCTAGAGAATCCGAAGAGGAAGATTTCATCGCCAGGGTGGTAGTTTCTGTCGAAGACGATACGCCTCAAAGAGTGTCCCCATCAAGAGTGGGGGGCAAACTTACTGGGTAATGAAGGCATAGGCCTCTTCAACCTTGTCCGCTACCAAAGTGGTTCAGTGCCTCGAACGACTGAGTTCTCTACTGGGCTTACCGAGTGATGCGCCAGTAGCACCTTAAGTTTAGACAACAGCAGGCGTCAGTTACTGTGCAGACAAACACGTGGTTGGTCTCACCGTCTATGAGCTGCGAGTAGATATTGTTCGCAGATCCAATGCCCGACTGATAAAACACGACCTGTGGAACAGGCGGATTGCTACGAACGTGTGTCAGCGTTGCGTGAAGCGCGAGGACATTGCTTCAAGCCAATGGCAGTACTCACACTCTTGTATCGACGTGTCGGATCGCTCGGGATAGACGCTACATGTCGGGAGGCTTGTTCAGCAAAAGTGCTGCTGACACAGACGATGCTACGCACCAGGATATTCGTATATTTCCATCGTGCATCCACGACGGTACCGTCCTGCCATGTACTGAGAACATGAGACCGCATCACAAGCACGTTTGTGCCAAAACCTACCCATCGCAACATACAATGATCCTCTTCTTAAGAACCGTCACGTCATGCGGGGGATACGTGGTAGTGCGTTTGGGGGTTAGCAATGACTGTGTGGCGAGGGCTTGGCGACTGGTACTTGCAATCCGTTCACCGTAACGATTGCCGTGGTCGACGGCGAACATTGCAGGCGGGCACTGGGCTACGGGGGATACTGTCATCGAGTCGAGCATTGCTGCAGTCGGTCTGGGTGGATTCTTGCCCCCCATATCATCACGCTGTCGCGCTTATATACGGAGTACGATCGAAATCCGGACCAGACGTCATGATCATGATACCTAAGTCAAGGTGAAAAGCCGAGCAACTCTGCGGTTCCGATGCCATCCTGTGCCCCATCCAAACCACAAACGCGCCGGGTGGCTGTCCGGCCGGAGGTCAAGTGAAACGCCTGGATGCCCTGGTACTAAGACAACATCATTCGAGTTGTGCATGCGGAGCACGGGCATAGCGGCGTGAACGTCAAAATACGGGAAAGAAGTAACACTAGATGAGTCCTATGAAGCTTGGAAGCGAAGCATCTTGAAGCTCGGATATGAACACTCCAGGTATGCCAGATGGTAGTCCCAGAGGATCCGAGGGGGAACAGGCTTGGAGCCACTCCGACGTCCGGATCTGGCAATATGTCCACGGCTAATACGGTACGGCAATTAAGTAAGTAGATCTCTACAGATCTCTACATGCACACGATGCATCTTAGTACCTTACGGTATACAGTAGGCTGACATGAGAGCATGCCACGTCATGACATGCATGGAAAATGACATACGAACCACCCCTTCAGTGATTATTTCTGAGTCCGAGATCGTATCCCGGCGCACAGCTGTGACTGATGCCAGAATGTTTGGATGATCGTTTGTTGCACTCCTTGTGCACTCCACTGAGCGCGGTGCACCGCCACCAATTCTGACAGCCCAAACGTATCTTCAGTGGTACGCCGATACATGTGAGTCAGTGTTGTGGCCGCTGCACAGGCCGTGACGGTGCGCGTACATGTAGAGGTTTTACTGTCCGACAAAGTTCGCGCTTGCAATAGGACCCGGCCAGACGCCGAGAGTGCTAGTGAATTCTGGTGTAACCGTGTAATTACGAGCACCTCAAACAATTGGGTAGATTCGGATCTACCGGTACGGTACAAGCCCGAGGATCACGATGATATCCTGGCCAGTTCTCCGTAACTTATGTAGTGGCTTTGCATTGAAGATCGCATTTATGATCACAAGCTCACTAGCACTGGCGCCCCCGAGCCCGAGCGGCGCGGGGAAGAGTCCGGAAGACTATCCTACGCACCTGAAGATAATTGAGCCACACCCAAGCCACACCAGGTACTTAACTGCCTGTCAAAGATGACATATCAGCAAGAGAAGGTGCTGTAATGATCAATGCACCAGACAAATTACCGCGACGTCTATTATCCGGAGTTCAAGCTAACGAAGTGTACATATTCCTAGCCCGTCAGATACCCCAATCGTCTGAACTTGAACAGGTCTTCCACGTATCTGTCGCGCGATCAGCCATTGCATTTACAAATTGTTATCACGTTATATACCTTGTGTGGGGTCAACGCAAGAGGTGCTTCATGACTGCGGCGGTGCTATTGTCCACGGCGAAATCCACCCATTTCTTCGCTTCGGACACAACCCGGTGCCCAGAACCTTCGTGATGTGCTGCCATGACGAACTCGCTGAGGGACACGCCTGCGTGGGCCTGTGCGCTCGCATTCTCGGCAGCCACATGCCATCGATGCCTGAGCTCCTCTTCTAGCGGAAGGAGAGCGCATATTAGGCGTGGATTCTTCTGAATATTCTCAGCTAGCTCGGGTAAGATGTGCGGCTGTTCCAAGACAGATAGGTGCACCGTTTCGTGGGTGACGTCGTCCGTGACAGTGGGCAATTTGCGCTGAATGGTCTTTGCGAGGCTGTAGACTCCTGTCAAGGGGCTGCGAGCTACTGTTAGCTCGAGAACTGGGCCACTTGTCCACATGAAGACTTACTCGTGTGGAGGCAGTTGTCCCCACGGCTTCACTGGTTGCGGCAGGGTCATCAAGTACTCAAGATTCAAGTCCAGCATGTCACCGATATTTGCCTGGAGCCAGCCAGTCAGACAACGTCAAATGCGATGGAAGAACGTGCGCATACCGCCATCCAAGTCAACGTCAAGTCGGAAAGGTCATGTTGCTGATACCCTCCACCAACCTGCATGTCACTGAGCTTATAGGAATCGATCTAAGGGATGATACGTACGTCTGAGTGACAGCCTAGATGGTGAGCGGATCAGCAAGCGGCTCGCTGCGGAACACAACAGGATATACCAGTAAACCAGCACTGCAATTGGCTGATTGTCAGCGACGATATATCACAGAAATAGTCTTACAGACCTGCTTCAGTATCTGTCCTTTCCGTCTTCCTGCTTCGGTTTGCTCAAACTTCGCACAGTCCTGACGAGACCCCCGTCAGGTTCCTCGTCATACAACGAGACACGAACGCACGAAGTCAGCGCGCGGCTCATTCAGAGCAAGAGCGTGACACGCCCTTTCGACGTGGGGCCCGAGCTTCTTATCACGGAAGCCAAGGAGGTTCTTTGTCTTCTCTGAATGGAGAGTCAGTTCTTCGGGCAGACCCACTGATCCGACTGTTTCGAAGACTCCGACGCATCTAGAGCATGTTGAGCGGTCGTCTCACGAATTTGATATGTGGAACACACTTGACAGAGAAGCCCTCTGGCCCGTGGTCTGTGCGTAGCATCCCAGGAGCTTGGGGGCCGGTCCATGGCGCCAGGATTGCATCGAGCTGTCCGATCTCTGGCGCAGAGGATGGGTGTCAGCAGACATAGAAACCTATATGGGACATGTTTTATACCGTCTGGGTCAGTAGACTTTGCTCGTTTCTGCAGAGAGACGAATATCTCCGCGAAATGGTCCATCTCCGTCCGGTCGAGGACACCAATGTCTCCCTGTTGCAATATTACGAAGTCATTCAGCTGCGATTGATAGACGCGTACTATGAGGGAAGCAATAGTGCGAGCAGTATACGCGCCCTGGTGAAACAATCAGGAGACACTCAGAGCACGACATAATTTATGCGGACCCGCGAGAACCCGAAGAGAAAAATCTATGTGCCGCAGTTAGTTTGAGAACGGCGGATTAATCTCGAGAACAAGTACCTCATCGCCAGGGTGGTAGTTCCTGTCTATCCATCAGTATCTCTCTGATGGCAAAGCGTATGGCTGACTGACTGAGCCAAGAAGGAGTATGCTTCCTCGAGTTTGTCACCTACGAGAATAGATGAGGGGATGTGGTATATTGGGTCGAGAGGCTTAAATACCTAGAGAGGCCCCCGTAGTACCTTGGAAAGAGTTAGCAATGCACTCATGAGTACTGCTAATGGTTCTCACCGTCGATGACCTCAGAGTAAAGGTTATGCGCAGATCCTATGCCGGACTGATAGAATACTATCTGAGCTACGGGCGGGTTTCTAGTAAATGCGTGAGCTCGCTGGTCTCTACTTCCCTGAATGCTTTGTACTGACAGCCTTTCGTCTGAATGCCTGATTGTCCTAGCAAGACGCTGCGCGTACTCGGGTTACAACGACACCCAACCACGAACATGGAGCTAAGAGGGATACACACCAAGACATTCGTGTACTTCCATTTAGCATTGACAACGATTCCATCCTGCCAGGTACTGTAAAAACATGGTAAGCTGTCCCTGCTCCTGTCTTGGCTCATGGCAACGCACCCATCGCAGCACACAATCAGTCGCTTGCCTGAGCTCATCGTGGGTGCGCTGTCGCGGCGGACCGAGGCATGTTCACTAGCATGGCCGGGCCGAAGGGACTGGGGAATAGTGTATGTCTCGGCCATGGTGGATGTTGTATCGCAGGTGAACGTGCTTCGCGGGGATCTCGCGATGAAGGAGCACACTCAGAATAGCATGATGGTGAGCGACGGACCTTTTGTGTTGTGTGAGTGCCTCGATGACAGATCGGTAGGATCAATCATTCCCCCTGTGTGATACAAACGCATGGCGGTCTCCGGGGATAACGAGAACAGGAACAGGTGGAGCGCCAGTCGCCGAATAGTTCATGCCGGTGCGGGGGGCAAACCACCGCGGTGTCGGCTCTGACGCGCGCTGTGCTGTTGTGCGGGTCCGCACCCAGCTGACTGCATAGCAAATGGCATGCCCCGGTCTTTGCACCGCGGACAATCACGCTAAGGATAGGAAAGTGCGCTGCCGCTCTCAGCCAGCGAGCGTACCGCTAGGCAAGGAAAAGGTTAGCCAGGAGTGACACAGATGGAGACATACCGCCCACTGAGCGACACATCGGTGTTCCTGTCGGAGACAACTAGGCTAGCTGCGAGCTGCTACAGAATTGAGTTCACACCCGTGTCAACCCGTTCATATACTCCGTTACGCTCGAGATAATGAAGACAGCTGGTCCATCGACCTCACACACGGCTAATGAGGCCAACTTGAATACGACACATTACTTGCCTAACCGCATCTCTGCAGCGGCGTACGTATCGAGTGCTTTTCTGAACTCAATCTCGTCCAGCGGCCTACCAGCAGTGCGCCGTTGATGACCCCACCCGCGCCACCATATATCCATGGGCTTATAATCGCTGTGGGCAGTGAATGGTAAGCACAAGTGCAGGTGTCTCATTGTGCACTTACTCAAACTCTGTGAGCCTTATTTGCCACGGAGGGAACCCATGGAGCTCCAGGAGATCGTTTGTGCTACTTGCAACCATGTGGTGGACAATCATCAAGTCAGGTTCAGGGAAGCCACCATCACCTGCGGATACGAATGAGCAAGATACGCGGTGAGGCAAAAACACAGATCCAACCTTGCAGCAGGGAAGTAACCTCGGTTTCCAATGACGCTGGCTGCCGATCGTTCTTATCCATACGACTTGAAGAGCGGTCCACAGATCGTCTTCGAAGAAGGGCATTTGCGACCTCGGCGATAGCAGGCTTCCCGGACTTTCGGCTTAGGATGTGTAGAGTGAAAGAGGTGGGTGTCGGCTCGCCCACTGAATGATTATCAGTACACGGAGAGTGACATGGTCAATGTCACTTACGAGTTGGACGACGACGCCTTGTTGTAGATTTCACACCCAGCGCCTTTCGCTTGCCCTTCTCTGCGTGTCCAGGGATCTGTACGGTTGTTACTTTGAGCTTGCATGGCGTAACTTCGGAGTCAGGAGATAGAGGCCTTGAGTCCGAGTCGTCGGACGACGGTGGGGTGAGGGGAAACTCAATCTCGGTTTCCAAGTCAGAGTCGGTTGAAGGAGTGGCAGGGCGTTTCACTAGGCGTTTCCGTATGTCAAGGGATAGTGTACTGAGAAGTCCTGCGGCACATTGGTCAATCGTGTATAGTTCCCGCACCGAGTCGTGTCTGGCGCACCTTCACGATCATATACCGTCAGTCTGTCAATCCCCGCAGCGCGACACCACGTTACCGCTCTCTCCACGCTCTCTATCATCGAGTCTTCCGTTGCATCGCTGTTATGGCGGTGGTCCGTTACCAGGAGTAAGGCCAAGTGCGAGGGGAGTTTCTGTCGCGCGGCGGCGAGTGGTAGTGGTTGGTCGGCGATAGTCAGGAGGCGCTTTGCTATAGTCACAAGCCAATACACAGCATGAAAAGCGGCGAGGGTAAACGATGCCAACCAAGACATCTACTTCAATTGTCCGCGATTCCGTGACGCAGCGCCGAAATATCCGGGGTAAATGCTCGTAGACTGCCCGCTGCGCGCAGAGGCGGCCTTGAGATAGATAAGAACCAGAATATAGGGTAGAGTTGAGGTGAACAGTAACACGTTTGAACACGTCTCCTCTGTTCCAGAGACCAGCGCGGGACGCGCAGCGCGCGATATCACGTGAGCCATGGTGGCGCTGCAACCGAAGTGACGGCGAAGTCCAAGCTTTGGATCGAGTAACGAGTTCTGACTTCGCGCATGCAACTTGTGGTAGACGATATGTAACGCAGGATTTAAGAGACGATAGTCACAAGTAATGCGGTGTCAATCGCTTACTAAAGCGCAATCCAAACGCAATCCAGTAATAGTGATAGTATATGAGTACATCGCGAGATTGTCCTGGCATCAATGGCATCGTATGGAGCATCAACAGCAGTCTAAGTAAGGCCAGGCTCGTCCTGGATGCCCCTCTTAATCTTCAACAAGATGTTGGTCTTCCAGTTGTCGAGCTTCGTGACCTGGTCATACTCGAACACCGCGCCGGTGAACGTCTCCATATCGCCAGCCTCGATTGCGTCAATGAGGATATTGACGAACTTGGCTTCGCGCGTCGAAGAGAACGTCGTGTCCAGAGACGAATACTTCGACAAGTTGCGCTTGGCTGTAACGGTGTCCTGTTGTGTGTCGAAGATGTCAAATGATACCGCGTAAGTACTGTCTTGAATGGTCGATTGAGACAGACGAACGTACCCCCATAGCCAAAGCGCACAGGCTAGCCCGCAGCCAGTACTCCTTCACGCTGTACTTCGTGAGGGCCGACCCTAGCGATCCATTCGCTACTTGCTCGTAGCGGGCAATGGCTTGTGGGTAGTTCTCCAGTTCGGCGTGGAGATCGGCGGCATCCTTGTAGCAAGCATTTGAAGTCCTGCCCGGCGACATGAGAACGACCTTTTCCACTACGACTGGCATACTCACGCAGTAGCATCCTCTTGAGCGTACCATTCGCCGGCACGCTCGAAGCTCTCGCAGGCTTTCCGAAGGTCGTTGAGCTCCGTGAGGTATATCTGACCTATCTCCTTCTCTCGATCTGCCGCCTGACGGAAGCGACCACTCTTGCATAAATGTGTGATCGTTTGCGTCAAAGCCTGGATGGCGACTTCGTGCCGCAGTCGGTACCACCATGCAGAGGATGTACTGACCACTTACGTTCTGGGTGTCCCCTCTTATACGCCTTGGCGGCATTCCACCACGCGTTCGCAGCCTCATTGATCTCGGAGCATTTCTCTCTGCACTCCGCCTCCCTCGCGTGCGCATCACCCGCCTCGCGGAAGAGCTTGTCAATCTTGAACGCGTTCGCGGCCTGCTGATAGAGATCGCCGGCCTCCTCATACTTGGTGTTCGATGAAGAAAACCAGCCACTTGTTGAGTTGGCCTTCTTGTCGGCCTTCTCCAGTAGCGACTGTGCTGGTGATTTGGAAGGCATCGTGGTAGGATAGGGATCGGGGCCAAGCGCCGTCCGCTGCGATGCTGCTGAACGCGGTGTATGACGCACGTGTCATCGGCTAAATTGCGCGCTAAGTTCACGCGTCTCAACCCCGTCGGGCTTATAGACCGCCGCATCCTCGTCTCTCTACTTCGCGCGTTCACCATCCGACTCTCCTGCTCGTCAAAAGTCAGCCACTATATTGTGCCTGCGATGTCCGATCTTCCTGTGCACGCGATCCGGACCCTGTCCGATCAGCATCCCAAGCCATCGCATATTCATTTCCAGTATGGAACGGCTGGGTTCAGGACAAAGTAGGTTGGCCATGCGTCTGCGGTCGAGAGCGATCTCATACATATTGTGCTGTAGAGGTGATACCCTCGACTCTGTCATGTTCAGGGTTGGGATCCTAGCCGGCCTGCGCAGCAAGAAGTGGGATGGCAAGACTATCGGTGTGATGGTTACTGCATCGCATAACCCTGAGCCTGTAAGAAGTCGGACTGTTCCATACCCTATAGGATCTACTCACTTTCAACGCTAGGACAATGGCGTGAAGCTCGTTGATCCCAGGGGTGAGATGCTCGAGACGTCATGGGAGGCACACGCTACTGCCCTTGCGAACGCACAAAGCACAGACGAGTTCATCGCAGCCCTTGACACGTTCACGACCACCATGAAGATCGATCTGTCAAAACCGGCAAAGGTGGTCTATGCAAGAGATACCCGGCCATCTGGCCCTGCGCTCGTTGCAGCCTTGGAAGACGGCATCAAAGCCATCGGTGCTGAAGAGCGCGACGCGGGCGTGACAACTACACCCGTCCTTCACTATCTGGTCAGGGCGATCAATACCAAGGGTACCAAGGAAGAGTACGGAGACGACTCGGAGGAAGGCTATCTTCGGAAACTCAGCACCGCTTTCAATAAGCTAGTGGTAAGTTGCATTACTCGAATGCATTCATTCATCTAGTGTCTCATCTGGGAACAAGGCTGGGAAGCCCTCTATCCCGCCTCTGGTTGTGGACTGTGCCAACGGCGTTGGCGCAAAATTAGCAAAGGAACTGGCGGAATATCTAGGCGACACGTTGCAGCTTATACCCGTCAACACGTCGACTACGACGCCCGGCGCTCTGAACAACGCTTGTGGCGCCGACTTCGTCAAAACTCAGCAGACGCTCCCTCCCTCATTGACAAGTGTCTTGAAGCCCGGGCAGCGAGCCTGCAGTCTAGACGGTGATGCCGATCGCTTGATGTACTACTATCTCGACGATCGCGGACAATTCCACATGCTGGATGGCGACAAGATTGCTGCTCTGTCGGCTGCGTTCATCGGCGAGCTGACCAAGTCTGCTGGGCTCGACAGCCAAATCAAGGTCGGCATCGTGCAGACTGCGTACGCTAACGGTGGATCAACAAAATACCTATCGGAGGTGAGTACGGTAGATCAAGTTACACTGTACACAGATGTCTTCAACGTCGCCATAGCGTCTTCCGGTGAAATGCGTACCAACTGGTGTCAAACATCTCCACCACGCCGCGGAAAAGTTCGATGTCGGCGTGTACTTTGAAGCCAACGGCCACGGCACGGTTATCTTCTCCCCGCAAAGTCTGGAGATAATATCCGCCTACCAACCCTCCACGCCAGCTCAGTCGACTGCTCTGAACCACCTCATCAACCTGACGGAAGTTATTAATCAAACTGTCGGCGATGCACTATCGGACATGCTGATGGTGGAGGCCGTGCTCGCGCACAAATCCTACAGCGGAGAGGAGTGGGACTCCCTCTACGTCGACCTGCCGAACCGCCTCGTTAAGGTCGTCGTGGCCGACAGGAACATCTTCAAGACCGAGGATGCGGAGCGCCGCTTGGTCAGCCCACCGGGCATTCAGGCGAAGATCGACGAGCTGGTTCGCCGGTACGAGGGCGGCCGCGCATTCGTGAGACCAAGTGGAACGGAGGATGTTGTGCGAGTGTATGCCGAAGCGACGGTCAGAACGCAGGCCGATGGTGAGTGGTGACGCGATTGAAGATCCGGTTCAAGGCATCTCATCTACTTCTCAGAGCTTGCATACCGCGTTGCGGGACTGGTTTACGACGAGACTGGCGGCCACCCTGCTCACCGCCCCCTCGAGTTTCTGTGAGACGGCCGGACTGGAGTGCGAAGGAAAACCGAAGTGGATTTAACCGTGGACATGTACTTGTAGCTTTTTACACGGACTGTGTACTGACACCGGCGGTCGCTGGCAATGTACACTATTGCATGCGTTAGCATCTAGTGCATCGGTGGTATTGGGCGCTTTCGAATACCGAGGCGTTGAGTGGCGGGAAGTTCCGGTGCGAGAGCGTCATCCCCGCCACCCACCAGATCTAGAATTAGGCGAACACGACGCTCGATGTCGACAGAATGTTGCATGCCCCGATGGCTCGTAACCTCTCTTTCTCCGTCTCTCTGTACTTAGCCACCACCATCTCCTCTGCGCTCGCAACACCCAGAGCACCCTCACCTCGATGTGCCGCTTCGTGATCTACAAGGGGACTTCCCCCGTGCAGCTTTCGCACTTGCTGACAAGACCGTGCCATTCGATCATCAACCAGGCGTTCGACTCGAGACTCAGGTTGGACCACAGAAGACCTATAAACGGCGATGGTTTTGGTGTCGGTGCGTACTGCGGCTTGATTGTATATTGAGTAGACAGTCTGATCGAGTATCAGGATGGTATGACTCTGTCCACGACGAGGAGCTTGGAAGTCAGCCGTGCATTTTCACATCTGTCACGCCGGTATGTGCTTCATCTTGCTCATGGGCATCTAATTGAGCTTTTCCAGGCCTGGAACAACGTTAACCTTACAAGACTCGCGGAGAAGATCAAGTCCCCACTAGTCTTGTGAGTATCTATGCCTGACTTCATGCGACCACGCTGACCATCCTGCAGTGCTCACGTTCGCGCGACGACAGCGGGTACACTGAGCCTCGACAACTGCCATCCATGGTCCTTTGGTAAACTCATGGTGCGTATAAGTTCCTCAGCTGCAGACGTAGACGTAGAGCTCATGGTCTACACAGTGGATGCACAATGGTGGGATCGCCGAGTTCTCAAAGATCAAGAGACGCCTGCAGTCAAACCTGCCGGATGAGCTGTTCAACTTCGTTACTGGGAACACGGATTCGCAGTGGGCTTTTGCTCTCTTCCTCTCCAAGGTGGGTGGTATACCAGACGTCCCTTTCAGCTTGCTCACGAGATTGTAGTTACCTGATCCGCACGCAAAGACATTTGCTCCCCATGTCTTGCGGAAAGCAATGATGGAGACGATCGCCCACATCAACTTGATGACCGATGCGGAGAACATCACAGAGGTTGGTACTCATCCCCCTGCTCACCGCACGAGGTATCTCACTTTGAATACTCCTATAGCCAAGCTTAATGAACTTCTGCGTCACTGACGGGGAGAGCGTGGTTGCAACGCGTTACATTTCGTCGCGACACGAAGAAGCCGCATCTTTGGTGAGTTGTCTGGCGTTAGTCTGCCGGTCACATTTGCTGAACTGCTTAATAGTGGTTCTCGTCTGGCACGACATTCAGCGAGTACGCGGAGGGTGGACACTACAAGATGTCGAAGGCGGACAAGCGCGAGAACATCATCATGGTCGCCAGCGAGCCGTTGACCTTTGAGAAAGGTTCGTTCTCTTTTCTTCCCTCAAGGAATGAGAGCTAAATAGAACGTTGGTAGCGGACTGGATGGAAATCAAGACAAACCACATGGTCGTCATTACCCCCAAGATGAACCTCTTGCAATTCCCTGTCGTTGACAAATACTATGTTCCACCATCCGACCCTGCAGCGCTCAACCGCGGGACCGAATTTGCCGCATCGAAGGGGTTCCTCAGTGCCCACCGAGCCGTGTCCATCCGACCACCTGTCGACTTGCAGGTGCCAGAGACTCAGAGCTTCCCGGTGCTCGTAGCGTAGTCGTGCCGTTACTCTAGACGTTTGTATTGCTGTCTTGTGCTTGTGCTTGCTCTACGTTGGACCGTGTATCTATATTGTACCAACCGTTCTCCTGTACCATAATTGACAGATTGTTGTACATTGTAGCAAGCTTGGGGGATGTGTGATGTCTCGTGCATGCGCGAAGTACACGTGTTTGCGGTTTTGAGACAAAGTGAGTCTTGACTGGGGTACGAGCAGGGTACGAGGCGTACCTTGGCGCCGCGTCTGGAGGGGTATGTCTCCGCCCTACTCGCGACCTTGAGTGCGCATCACTTTCCTCCCGGACTCTTCGGTCCCGGGCATCGAAATGACGATGTCGGGCCCCCGGTTGCTGTGGAGTGCCATAAGCAGCACATCCAGGTCAGTCCCGTCGTCGACGCACTCGCCCGCAGACGCGTACTAACCGTACTACCCCTCAGGCTATCTACCGTGCTCCAGATCCTCATCTTCCTCCCCCTCACGCTCTCGACGCTCTCGACGCCCGCCTTCCTACTGCTCTCGCTGCTATTGCTCGCGCATGCGCTCATCCATGGCACGCTCGTGCTCTTCTGGGGCTCGCCCGCGCTGTCGGTCATGCAGGTCCCGATGCACCCTTTCCTGCTACTCGTGTGCTTCAATGTCTTCTCGGAGAAGGTGCACCCGCTGCTCATGACGGCTGCATATTGGTGGGGGAAGATCCTGCATTGGTCGAGCCCAGGGTTCATCGTCATGGAGGGCCTCTCGAGCTTGCTCATTGTGCAGAAGCTAGGGCAGGTCGGGAAGGAGCTGGTTAGTGAAGGAGAGGGATACCAGTTCGGGTTGCTTGTCGCGGCCGCTGCTGCGTATGTCACGTCTGCTTGGTGGATCGTCTTGGTGCGTCCTTTGTCTGCGTGCTGGTCCTGCTGGAGCCTGACTGCGTATGTGCGAACGCTAGGGGTATCCTGCAGCGGCGACTTCTCCCCTCTCGTCTACCCTCCTAGGAGTGGCCCTGACGACTTTGATCTTCCTTACGCTCATTGGCTTCTTCCTACGGAGAACGAACGTTATTGAGTCTTCCGGCCTTGCATTGTTCGTTGCGTACAATGTCTGGCAATGCGGGTTCGACCAGCAGTCTTATGTGGACCCTGCTTCCTCCTAGTTCGTACCTCTTTTCTCTACTCTGTGTAACATTGTCTAAGCATGTTGTTTTCCTATCACAGCGCGCCTTTGTGGGACAACTTCCTCCCTCACATGCAAACACTGGTCAACTTCGTCACCAACACGCTGCCGCGACCTCTGCTTATCGCCCTGCTATATCGACTTGCCGTTCTGCATTTCGCGTCGCAAATACTGCCCACAATTGGAGCGGACAGCTGGGATGAAGACGCCGGGGTTGACGGCGGATGGGACGCACGTCCTGTATGTATGCGCTTGTTCCCGCAGGACTGTAGCTCACTTCGTGGCCTCCTGCCAGACATCCAAGCTAACCCATCTACTATTGACATACCGACAAGCAATCTTTGTCACTGTGTACTCTCATCTGCTGCGTTCGTACCAACCTCTGCCTTGTGAACGTGATCTGACCTTCCCCACAGTGCTCGATCATTCTTCTCAGGTCTGGTGGCGATGGATGAATATCCTCTTTACCATGGTGATCTGGTCAGTAGAGCTGCTCGTCAGCGGCGAGGACGACGACAGCGTCACAACGAAATGGAAGGTGGATTGATTGTTCCGAGACCTCGCCTCTCGCCCTCCGCGCACGACCCTATCTGCATGATTACGGTACGACATATAATGACACCACATCCAGCACTCCCACAGCGTCGGACTTCTATACTTCCCATCGCCATCTCGTATCTATTCATACAGTACTGTTTGCTTTCCACTCTGCGTCCTCCTCGCGCTCGCCCTCGTAAAACTCCCGCTTCCAGATCTGCACTTTCTGCTTCACTTCTTCTAGTATGAACTCGCAGGCTGCGAACGCCTCCTTGCGGTGCGGGGAGGATACCGCTATCACGATGGACGGCTCGCCGACGGGGACGGTCCCCAGACGGTGGTACACCGCGGACCGGATGAGCGATGTGACATGGGACTGCTCGGGGTGGTGAGAGGAGCGTGAATGGTTTGCGTGTGCGGCGCGGATGATGTCTGCCATCGTCTTGATGGCGAGCTTGCTGTAAGCCTGGTAGTCTAAGCGTGTAACGACTTGGCCTTCGTTGATACTGCTTGAGTTCCCGTCTCGATGTTTGTGAGTGCAGACGGCTCACCCTTGAAGTAATTGCGAGTCGTGCCGATGAAGACGGCCGTTGCGCCCGCGCGATCATCCCCTACTGACTGCACAATGTCGTTCACGCACAGAGCGTCGTGTGTGAGGACGCATACACCCTCCGATATCTGTAGCATCGCATCCGTCGAGGCAGACGGATTGTCCATCTCAATGCGCAGAGTAGACTGTAGAAGACAGCTCGCAGCCAGCTTATGGCATGGGACAGCACCTTTCAACGCAGACGATGCATCGATGAGCTCCTACATGCTACAGCTGACATACATATGCCATGAAGCCTGTCCCAATTCATTCTGCCCGTGCTCCCCCGCGTCCGAGCGCGTCGCGTTCCTAGCTTCTCTGTACCACGATCACGCTTCACTCGTCCGCGCCAGTGCTTGAAGCTTGCAGTTCGAAGCTTGAGAGCCAGCCTATAGCTAAAGGAGTCTGTACTCGCGTATGCTGTGCGGAAGACCATGAAGCGCATTCCTGTCCGTCGCACACAACCTCGATGGCGTACGAGCCCAGCACGACCATTCACCTCCTTGCAAACACTTGAGGCGCTTCGCAGTACCGGAGCACCCGTAGACGTCCACCCCGAGGTCCAGGATGCGCTCGCAGGCAAGAAGCCAGTTGTAGCATTAGAGACGACTATCATCACCCATGGAATGCCGCAGCCTGTCAACTTGCAGACGGCGCGGTCGGTGGAGAGCATTGTGCGGACTACAGGTGCGATTCCGGCGACCATAGGCATCATCGAGGGACGGGTCAAGATTGGGCTTGAGCCGAGCGAGCTGGAGCATCTGGCGGATGTGAAGAGTAACCCGTCTGTGGTCAAGGTATCGAGACGCGATATTGGGCCTGCTATTGCAACGAAGAGAGATGGTGTGAGTTACATTGCAGAGGGCAAGTTGCTGCCAGTATTGTGAGACTTGTTTGATACACAGGGAACGACATGCAGCGCGACTTTGATATTCGCGGCATTAGCTGGTATTAAGGTCGGTCTCTGGCACACTGGGAAGGTCTAATGAGCTCAGCAATGTGTGATCTCAGGTCTTCGCAACGGGAGGGTACAGCCGGTCTATCACATACTATGCCCCTCACCATGCTGAGCGTTATACAGTCTAGGAGGGGTTCATCGTGGAGGCGAATCATGTGTGTACTACAGAGCCTCCTCAATATATACGTCTTGAAGCTTAATTTCTTAGCCATGGATGTATCTGCGGATCTACATGAACTTACAAGGTGTCCCGTTGGATTGGTCTCCGCGGGCGTGAAGTCGATCTTGGATATAGGACGGTGAGTTGCCTCGTATGCCATCAAGTCCTTTGGTCTGATCCCACTGTCAGAACACTAGAATATCTTGTTAGTTTGTGTTTATGCGCTCTGCTAGGCTGGCTGCTAATGGTCTTCAGGAAACACTGGGGGTACCTGTCGTATCGTACGCGAAGACAGACGATTTCCCAGCGTTCTATAGTAGACGCAGTGGTTTCAAGGTATGCTCATATTATGCATGAGACTTCGCAACGCGTCCTCACAATTGACGTCTCAAAGAGTCCCTGGCGAGTAGATGATCCTACTACCGCAGCCCGCGTCCTCTGTGGGTAGCTTAGGATGTTCTCGATGGAACAGCTTGTGACACTTGCGCTCCAGATACCCAGGATCAGCTCGGAATGAAGACTGGAGTACTCTTCGGTGTTCCCATTCCTGAACAGTACCAGGCGATCGGCGAGAAGCTCCAAGAGTCCGTGGAACAAGCCGTAAGGGAGTCTGAAGGAAACGGCGTCAGCAAGCTCGGGAAGGAAGCGACGCCCTGGCTTCTCAAACGCGTCGGCGAACTCACGGCAGGGAAATCCCTCACCAGCAGTAGGTTGGCTTGCTCAATTACTGCCGAGAAATCTGACGACGAGGAACAGATGTGGCGCTCATTGAGAACACTGCACTCGTCGGTGCGTATTGTCGCCTTGTATGCTGAGGGCCATCACTTAAACTCGTCTAGGTGGCCAGATTGCAGTCGCCTATGCAGAGCTGGCAAACCAGAAGCTCCATGATTCTGGGAAGGTGACTGTCATGTTAGTGTAGCATTACCCAAGCACCTGACAACGGAGTAGGCATATGCTGTCCCTGCGCCGCAAGCTGCAGCGTTAGCAGCCGCAAAACCCACAGACTTGCCGAACAGTAGCCAAGCGGTGAGTCACTCAACCATGTTGTGTTCTTGCTACAATTAACCCATGTTATCCAGCCCGAGGCCGCACTGGTCGTCTTCGGCTGCGCTGCTGTCGACATCACCGCCCAAGCCGACCCATCGCTCGCGAACACCTCCGTCGCCGTCCACAGCACCGTCCCCGGAAGCGTCTCGCTAACGCTAGGCGGCGTGGGGCGCAACCTCGCCGAAGCCGCACACCGCGTACTGGAGTCGCAGTCTCCCGATGGAGCAAAGGACGTCGTCCTGGTCTCCGCTGTTGGAAATGACGCCTTCGGACGTTTGCTTGTCAATGAGACGGAAGGCATGGGGATGCGGACGGATGGGCTGATCACGTTAGACGGCGCACGTTCTGCTATCTGTAACATGGTGTTGGACAGCACTGGTGGGTTGACTACGGGTGTTGCCGACACAGATATCACGCTGTCGTTGGATCGAGAAGCGGTGCGTGGCTGAGTGGTGCGAACAGTTGGTCTTTCATGGCTAACGATTCTACATGCAAGACTCGCGAAGCAGTCCGCAAACATAGGCCTCGTATTGTCGCGATCGATGGCAACCTTTCACCAGAGACAGTCACGACGCTGGTGGATACATGTCGTCAAGACGGCATAGCAAGTACGTCCGGTGTCACAGACTCGATGACGGTCACTAACTACCTCTCAGCCTTCTAGTGAGTATCATTGACCTGCGTCTGTGATCATGATCAGCAACGCCTTTGCACGTAGTGAACCGACATCGGTCCCGAAGTCAACCAACATATTCCCGGCCATTGCAGCATCCCTTGGTCGCGTCGACTCAACGTCTTCGGTGATTTCGTACGCAGCACCCAACAGCCTAGAGCTAGCTCGCATGTACGAAGAGGCCGTCGCTGGGAAGCTCGAGCTCACCGCGCAGAGCCACTGGTGGAAGGTGGTCGACGACATGGCGATCGGCTCCGAGTTCCGCATGGACCTGCAGCACCTGGCACGGCTGGATGCATGCATTCACGACCGTGCTAAGGGTACACTATCGTTCCTAGTCGACAAGGGCATCGCCCAGATGGCCATCCATCTCCTTCCCTTCTTCCAGCACCTCATCATCAAGTGCGGCGACCGCGGTGTACTGACGGTCTTCCGTATCACCGGAGAGCAAGCGCAGTCGTCGCCGTGGATGCAAGAGCGCACCAATGTGCACAAACGTTGTGTCATTAGCAAGGGCAGGGAGGGATCAGGGGTCACTGTGATGAAGCATTATCCCGCGCTGATCGTGCCCAGCGAGAAGATCATCAACGTGACGGGAGCGGGCGATTCGTTTGTGGGGACGATGTTGGCGACATTAGTGCACAAGCCATCTGTCTTCCACCATCCAGATTCATTAGACGAGTTGGTCGCACAAGCACAGAAAGCCGCGGTACTCACGTTGCAGAGCCAACATGCGGTCTCGCATCTCCTTTCCAAACTGTACAGTACACATCTCCCTGCGCTTATGTAGTCCCAGAATTCTTTGCCCCAATTGCCATCTACAAGAGCCCCATTCTAGGTGGCGGGTAAGGGACCCACCCGAACGTGCTCTCTCGCAGCTCGCAGCTCCTCTTTGGCTCGAGCATTCTCAGCGCGTCGCTGTACCTCGGCTTTCTTCTCGTACCGCACCTGTCAAGAATAGGATAAGAAACCGCTGGCTGAGCTTAGCCTGTCAACGCACCTGGGCTCCGAATTTGATACGGCTGATGATATTAGCAGCCTCTCCCTTGGTCATATTCTCGATTCGGTCCTCGCTGCGCCCGTCGGGGTCCAGCAGCCCTGGCCGCGCCTTCCAGCGTTTCCTGACCATAGCTTTCTGGTTCTCTGTTGCAGGCTCACGCCGCCACCTCGCGTTTCGTCTGAGCCTGGAGCAATAATTAGAATAATTAGCCCAAGCTCCTATAACGCGAATCGGACACACCCAGAAGCAGTAGGTCCTTTGACCACCTTCTGGATTGCATACGTCTCGGCGCCGCGGATCGCTTCGGCCAGTGTCTGCGCTTTGAGGATTTCCCTACTTTTCTGGTAAGGCGATATCTTCAACATGAGGGCGGTAACCATGGGGAGCGTGGCTGGCGTGTAGTGCGCGACAAAGTGAGGTTCTTCCTCTTCTATATATGCGTTGTGAAGTGGATCAGTCAATGTCAACCATGTGAGGTGATGAGCGACAAACCGGACTCGTCCTGGCCCTTTTCGATGCGAATGTACCCTTTGCCGAGGCATTCCAAGATGTACACGTCGCCGCCGCAGCCAACCCATGCAAACTGACTTAGCTTGCGGATGTGCGGCGCACCGAACGCTTCGTCGACGAATGAAAACGGGTCTTCGTAGTCGACATAGGTGATGGACTTCGGATTTGGCACATTGGGGACATGGTGCTGAGGCGTCTTCTCTCGACTCGCGAGAATGCGTTCATCTGCTCGTTCCTCAAGCGACGTAAGGCTGTCGTCTACATGTATGTCAACCAATGAGCGGGACCGCATGTGAGAAAGGAGCTTACCGTCAATGACTTCGGATGGGTCGAGACCCAACAGTGTAGGGAGGGATACCACTCCCGAGACGCGGTTCTGTGAATCTACGAAGTCGATAACCCTGCAGTCCTCCTTGCCAGTCTCTGGCGATAACCTCATTCCTCGACCAATCTATTCAGCGATCCTGGGTTAGCAGCTCACATAGGATGACGTCATATGCAAACATACCATTTGGGCGAAGACATTGCGAGAACGCGAAGGCCTCGCAACAATGACACAGTCAATATTGGGAATATCGGCGCCCTCCGTCAAGACAGCTTGTAAGGTCCCGTCGTTCAGACGACGAACACTGGACACAGGGCTACGGACATACCGCAATTAATGAGGACCGGAAACTCGCCCTTCCTGAATGATTCCACTATGGCACGACGTTCCCTCGCTGGGGTCCTCGAATATATATAGCGTGCATCGATGCCTGCTTCTCGGAAGGTCTCGGTAAGGTTATGTACATGCGCAAGGTTGACGCAGAAAATGAGTGTGGACTTCCGCTCGGAGGCACGATCGAGCCATGTCTGCAAGACCAACTTGTTGATCGTCGGTGTGTTGATGACATGCGACAGGCTGGTAGCGTTGAAGTCGCCTGTGTGCGTGTTTATGGTGACATGGCTGAGGTCGATGTTGGCGCGAACACAGGTGAACCGGACGTTGCACAGCCTAAGAGACAGCAAGTCACACATCCGTCTCGCAGTGAAACTAGAGAAGCGCACCATTGCTCTTTGATCATCTCCAAGAAGTCTCGATGATAGACAATCCGCTCAAAGACGGAACCCAGGGCAAGCCCGTCATGCCGACTGAATGTCGCAGAGAACCCGAGAATCGCGATTGAATGTTTAAAATCTGGAGGCTGGAAGCCCTCGTCGGGATGCCGGATAGCAGGATGGAAGTGCGACAGTATGCGTAGATATCTGCAGGCATAAGCAAAGACTGTCACATTTACGGGATACTGAGTGCTCACGAAGGTGCGGCTGCGTGATGGGCCTCATCTACGATGATTGCCTTGAGCCCAGTGGGATTGAACTTCGCCAGTCGGTGCTCTCGGAGAAGAGTCTGGTACGTCGCGACAGTACTGGTTTAGGGAGTCCATGTCGGAATAACACAAGTCGTCAGTCTCCTACTGGACGGAACAGTACAGCAGAGAATTCGTACAGGTCTGCCTCCCCCGAAGCATGGTAATTCACTCCCTGCTCAATCTCAACCTTCCACTCTGGATGCAGCCTCTCAGCCTGTGCAGCCGCCTGCCTCGCCAGCTCAACGCTATTAACGACGACCAAGGCCCGCCTCGCATCTGGGTTCTCCGGCGGTGGATCAATGCGGCTCAGCAACGATATGAACACAGTTGTCTTCCCAGAGCCAGTGGGAAGCGAGACACCAATCCGAGAGGTCCCAGACTTCAGAGCTTTGAGACAAGCGTCGATAGAGGCCTCCTGGTAAGGGCGTAGTACCACCGAGTCGTCCGTAGGGACGCTGTAGAATCGCCGTTGGACACTAATCCCCGTCCAGAGTCGTCGTAGCAAGCATAGCATTGAACGGTGGGTGCAGGATGCAAGCTCATGCAGTCAACACCAAGACTATGTAGTACTCACTACGCTATAAACTTATGGTTCAAACGTGCGGTCATTCTTAGGTCATTCTCACAAACTGTCATCGGACGAATTGCGAGGCTTCGCAAGAGGGCTGTCTCTCTTTGATGTCACCACATGCGGTTGGGTATGATATCGTTGTTTTCGTGCCTACTACGCAAACACGGGAGGTATTGGCCCAGTGTGAGATCTTGCTCAAGACCGGTAAATGAGATATAACCAGAGTATCTAATGTGTATGGTCGTGCTAGCAAAATAAGTCGAGCTACTACGGTACTGTCCAACACCGTCCTCACGCTCAGCCAGAGCCACCGGAGTAGACCTTGCCGAAGAGGACCTCCTGGAGCTTGTCGTACAGCGACAGCACACCAGCACCAGCAACACCACGGAGGATGTTGGCACCAGCGCCCTTGAAGAGCGACTTCGTGCCCTCCTTCGCGACGATCTGCGAGGCGGCGTCGAACATCGACTTGTAGTGAGTGGTCGAACCAGACGTCATCATCATGCGACGACTAAACTAAGGGTCAGACGAGTCCGGGACAACACCCAAGCAGAAAACTCACCGGATGGTGTCCAGAGGGTAAGAAGCAAGACCAGCACCAGTGGTGACACCCCAACCGAGGAGGAAAGAGGCGAAGAAGGAGCCCTCGAGGGCACCGACGAGAACGACAGGCTCTGTTGATGCGGTTAGCAACTGGTAATACCGTAGTCACGAAATTAAACGTACTGAGTGAGTCGTAACCACCGAAGTAGAGACCACGGTACACAATGATACCAGCAACAGACGGGACGAAGCCACGGTAAAGACCAGCAAGACCATCAGAGGCAAGGGTCTTCTTGTAGACATCGACCAGGCCGTTGAACTGGCGAGCTCCTCCACCCTTGGAGGACTTGGCATCGTTGGCGAGACGCGTACGGGCGTAGTCGAGCGAGTACACGAAGAGCAGCGACGTGGCACCGGCGGCACCACCAGACGCGAGGTTACCACCGAACCACTTCCAGTAACCCTCCGAGCGCTTGAACGAGAACAAGGACTTGAAGTAGTCCTCTGCATGCCACGTCAGAGGGGACCAAATCGGAGACAGACGTAAACTTACTGAACGCAAAGTTCAGCGCCTGTGTGGGGAAGTACCGGATGACGTTGGCGGTGTTACCACGCCAGAGGGAGACAAGGCCCTCATCCTTGTACGTCCTGGCGAAGCAGTCGGCGATGCCCTTGTAGGGGGTAGCCAAACGACCCTGCTTGATCTGGAGGGGAAGGTCAGACGACTATAGAAAGTGACGTATACACGACGCCATACCATCTCATCCTGGTTCTGAACAAGGAGCTTGATACGCTCGATGGGCGCAGCAGACGTCTTTGCGACGGCCTATAGACAAGATTCCGTCAGCAACAGGTAACTGCTACTAGGAGGTAACACTACGCACAGCTGAGATACCACCCATCAAGAAGTCGGCTGTAAAAACATGCCAGGTCAGCAGGTGCTACCTCTCGCAGACCGCACCAACGGCATCGGGCGCGGCGATAGAGGGGGGCTACGGACCGGCGAACTCCTTGGGGGTCTTGGACTTTTTGGTCGACGCCATTGCGACGGAGGGATACCGGGAAGGGAAGGACTGAGTGGAGGTGGTGGAGGAGTTGAAGAAGAGAAAAACTGGCGTGCGACCGCTCAAGTACGATTCCGGCAGGCGCCGGAGCTTGCCGGCACGAGGCCCCCGGCCTGCACCGAGTACTTGCACAGGTCGGCCCGTTCGGGGCATGTCTGCCGGCCAATGGGAGCCCGCTACGTCTACAGCCACCGTCCAATCGACAGTGGCCATCGCACAGGCACCGCCCCTCGGACACTCTCCCCCCGACAGCCGTCGCCCGACACGTGCCCCGCACTCCTTCCATCGCGACATTGCACTTTTCTTCACGGAAATTACGACGTTCGCGCGTCTGTATAGCTAGGATGTACTACACACAGAGAGATAGTATACTACTACGACCATACACAACGAAGAGACAGGACACGAAAACACCACCCAGACCCGCTGCAGTCTAACGCCTCCAGTCCGGCGATCGCGGTGAGTACTGATTCGCAGGAGGCGGACGTCGGGCGCCGGGAGACACGGGGGGAGGCGCGTGATAACCAGGGTACTGAGTGGCAGGCGCGTACGACGACGATGTGTAGCGCGCTGTCGTGGATGAGCCGTTCGCGACCGGACGCGGAGGCAGCGACGCCTGTTGATAGCTCCAGCTAGCAGTAGACGATCCGCTGGTGACACTCGGAGGTGAAGAGGCTTCCGACCGGGATTTCTTCCAGATCTGCTCGGTGGGCGAGGCGATCTCATCCGTCGCCTTCCTCTTCTTCGACGGTGGTGCTGGGAGGTCTTCGTCATCCGAATCAAGCGTCAGGTCGATGACATCCGCGGTTGTATGCGTCTTAACAGGCGGAGGTACCGCCTTCGAAGACGCCGCGTGGAGTTCATTTGACGGAGACAACTCCCTCTTCACCCGGCCCTCGTCCTCGTCGTCAGAGTCCAGAATCACAATTTCGGCGTCGCTCGGCGGTGGCTGCCCATGACCGTTGACGCCGCTCGCAGATGATTTCGGCGGTGATCGAGGAGCGGCAGGTTGAGCGGCCTGAGCGACTTGCGCTGGTTTGGTCTCTGGATGTGTAGCCTTCCACTGAGCTGACCCGTATTTGTTATCTTCCGAATGCCACTGCCCATCCGCTTCGACGATCACATCCTCCAGATCTTCATGTGTTGAGCGCAGGATCTCGTCAAAGTATCTATCACGGACGTGAGCGGTGAATGTGCGAGATGCCCTTACAACACGTACCCATCGACTATCAGGTCATCCATATTGAGTGCCTTCTCGCAGACGGGACACAACCATGTCGTTGTCTGCTCCATGACAGAGTACCACGAGAATGCATCAAAACATTGCGAATGGACGCATTTCGTGGATCGACAAGGTGTGGCGATACGCATATAACTCAGCTGTCGAACTGCTGTCAGGAATTACAGACAGTTTAAAGTATTGCTTCACTCACTGGACACTTGAGCGACATCTTCTGATGGCCTGCAACGATATCGTCATCTTCAGAGGCCGCCTGGTTCACTGAATACGGCATGACGCATGAGATTTTGTCGAGGAGAGAAGGAGAGCTACGTACTCTGAGCAAGGATCTCTTGGCCGCTCTTGTATTTGCCCTTCTTCAACCGGTCAATCAATTGTTCGACGGTGGTGGTCTCGACCAACATGACCACAAGGTAGTATTTCTGATACACCCTGAGTATCGACTGACATCGTCCGGCCCGCAGCAGCATCGACGCACCTTGCTTTGGACCGGTTGTTGCTGGCTATTGACATAAACCATCTCGATACGATTTGAAGCTCCGTTCTGCATGCGGAGATTTTTCATAATGTCTGGAGGTGGTGCAGTCCCCGGCTTCTTCTTCATACCCTTCAAGTTCGCACTCAGAGCCACGCCGTTGACTCTGACTTCACACGTCGGTGGGAACTCGATGGGACATGCACTACTATGTGGTCGGAAACTTGACGACGAGTAGTATGTGGAGGATGTGCAGTAGAGACGGAGCTGATACTTTGGACTGTAACACAATAAGTACTAGGCAACTAGCCGTGGCGCCACTCAGGACTCACCTGGTCGAGTTCAACTTCGTGAGTACGTCGTTATTGATCGTAAAGCTCAAAGACTGTTGTCTCCGGTCCATCGAGCTGGTAGATTCTGCGTCTGTTCGTGAGTCACGTAGTCGGATGACAGACGCCACCGATTTACCTGGACATTCTACGATAGACGACACAGAGCGCTGTACTTTGAAGAAGGGAGAGGGACTGAAGTGAATGCCTGTGGGTAGGGTGTGAGATAGCGCAACGCCCGCGACAAGCGCGTTTAACAGACCTGGAGGGGCAACGGCTGCAGTCGCAGCAGAGGATGCAGGGGGTACGTTTGGCCGGCGCGGAGGTGCATAAGGGTCGTATCGCGGGATGGTACCAGAACTAGAGGTACCAGATGGGTAGCTGCTATGATTTGCGCCCACTGGGTATGCATGGCCCGACGGAGGGGCAGGGTATGAGTGCTCGGCTGACCGTTGCGGTGTGTAGCTAAGCGAACATGGCTCGAGTCAGTAAGAGGCGAGCAGTCAGGATCTCACTGACGCGAGTTGCGTCAAAATGAGCGCGAAGGGAGAGACATGAACATACCAGCCTGTAGATCGTACTTGGTTGATTATCGCCCGCCCCTTCACCCATTTGTCTACACTGTTGTTCGCCCTCCATGCCTCCATTTCGTTTGTGATGCGGTCAATGAGGTCCTGTTTCTTGCCCGACTTCGTGCAGTTGGCGAAGCACTCTTCGTTGAAGCCCGTGAGGATCTGTTTGAGACGTTCAACCGTGTTGGACTTGACGTTATGTCGCAAAGCCTGTGGGCCACCGCCATCCTTAGGTGAGCGCGATCGGAGACGGGATCTGAGAGTAAACATACGTCAAAGTCAGACCAGACGTTCGAACTGGCCATTGAAGTGTGGGCTTTTCGGCCTGTGCAGTGTCCTTAGGCCTCAGGGCCTTGGAGAGTGACCTGGGAGATAGGAGAACAAGAGAGCTCTAGCGATGTGTCGCTCTGCGGCCTCGACGGCGCTGCACTCTATTCCGGCGTGGGAAAATGGCGGGCAGAGACCACATGACCCACGCGTCACGGTCGTCACAGTCTTGACTTCGATCGTGAATCGCGATAGACTCCGTCTGAGCCTCAACTCTCCGCGCTGCCTCCGAACATATTCATTGCATAGCAGACCAACATGTCCACGGCAGAAGACTACGACAAGCTGAGCAAGGAGGAGCGGGAGGCCCGCGACAAGGCCGACCGCGAGCGGGAGGCGGCAGAGCAGGCCGGTGCGCACCTTCTCAATGAGCTCAATTCAGTCACCGACCTTCTTCAGCCCTCCCTTACAAGTGGAGGCAGGAACTCGGAGAAGTTGATTTCGTCGTGCCTGTGCCGAAAGGGACACGCGGGAGGGATCTGAATATCGTGCTTCATAAGAAGAAGCTCAGTGTCGGTTTCAAAGGCAAGGAGCCGATTATGGCGGGCGAGCTCTGCAAGGAGATCAAGGTCGAAGACAGCACATGGACACTCGGTACGTACATCTGCATACACAACGTGATTGGACGCTGATTAGCGTTGACACAGAGGACCAGGAGGCAGTCCATGTTCACCTGGAAAAGATCAATAAGCAGCAGTGGTGGGAGAACGTCCTTACCCACCACCCTAAGATCGACACTACGAAGATCCAGCCAGAGAACAGCAAACTCAGTGACCTTGACGGAGAGACAAGGTAGGGTCCTCGTTGACAGTTGCTATTTCATTTAGACTGAGCCTTCGCGCAGGGGAATGGTGGAAAAGATGATGGTATGCATCCGCTTGAGCAGCTTTTACATGATCAAACCTCACTTGTATCTGGCCGCCAGTTCGATAACCAGCAGAAGGTATGAGGCAGTTCGCCTTCTTAATTGGACGCGTTGTTGACGATGATTCGTTCCAGCAAATGGGCAAGCCAACTTCAGACGAACTCAAGAAGATGGAGGCCCTCAAGAAGTTCCAGGAGCAACACCCAGAGCTGGACTTCTCCAATGCGAAGATCTCATGAAGGTATCGCGCATCAGATGCAACGGTCGACTCACCAACAATACTCCAATGTAGCTCAAGCAGTCTTGTATAATGGCACATATCCTTATTCAATACGTCGGACGCACACTGCGAGCTGTGAAACAAGCCAATGATCATGCGTCTTCAGCAAACTACTGAGTGGGTGCATCACAGGACCTTCCTCCTCTTCCCAGCTCCAGAGTTATCAGCATTTGCGCTCTTCCGCTTCACCCTTTCAACCAAGCTTTTCAAATCCCCGCCCTTGTCTACACTCGTGCCTGAAGGAGCATCCTCCCCTCTCGAGCTCTTTGTCCTATGCCGCTTCGACCGCTCCTCAAGCAGAGTCTTCATGCTCTTGGTCTCTTTGAAGCTGTGATTCACATGTCAGCAAAGAGCACACGAGATCAAATAGAAACGAAGACGCACTGGGGATTGCTTGGGTCAATCGCGAACGCATGCTCGTCAAACACCGCCTTGAACCGGTCGTCGTTCACATTGATGCTGAAGTCCTCCTGCAGCTCGTTATCCTCCTCCGCGCCCTTCTTCCCCTTGCGCTTCTTGCCTTTCAGCTTCGCGCTCTTCTCGGCTTTAATCACCGCCTTCATGTTGAAGTGCTTCGGCTCGTTCGCGCCGTCGCCGGACGGCCCCGCGAGGAGGGCGAGTTCCTCTGCGGTGGAGACGTGCCGGGCGGGCGGGGGCGAGGCGGACTCGCGGCGGCTTTTCTTGCCCTTGCCCTTGTCTTTCTTATCCTTCTTCCCCTTCGTCGTCTGTTTCCTCTTCTCTGCTTCGTCGCCGCCTTCGCTACCCTCATCCTCACTGTCACCCGCGAAGAACTCGTCCCCAGTGACCTTCCTCTCGCTCCTGCCCTCGTCATCGTCGTCGTCGTCCCCACCACCCTTGGCCTTCCTCCGCTCCACCACCTCCTCCTTCCGCTTTTTCTTCTTGTCCTTCATCTTCCGCTTATACTTCTCCAGCGTCGTCTCCTCCCCGTCGTCCTTCCGCTCGCTCAGCCCGGGGGTGAACGTGATCTCCATGTCCACGTCCTCCTCGCCGCCGCGCTCGCCGCGGGGCAGGTCCTTCCCGCGGCCCCAGCCCTCCGGGAGTGTGTCATCGTCGCCCGCGAGCAGGAGCGCGCGGAGCTTCGCGCGCTCTGCGTCTTTCGACTTGCCCTTGCCCTTGGTGGGCGCGGCCTCGGCCTCGGACTCGGAGCCGGAGGTCGAGGAGGCGAGGTACGCCTTGAAGTCGTTCTCTTCGATCTCCTTGCGCGAGAGGGTGCGTCGGGTTAGTTGGATGCGCTCGGGGTCGTCTTCGTCCCAAGTTAGCTTGACTTTTGAGTGACGGAGGGCCTGTACACCGCTTTAGTAGGTGCGAAGGGTAATCGACGAATGAGACTTACAGCGGTAACGAATTCGAGCCCTTTATATGGGATGGAAAGGTCGTCCGTAGCCTCGTCTCTGCATTGATGCGTCAGCTAAGGACATGAGTTGGGGAGTTACGGGACGCACCGAGGCTCGTCGTCGAAGGTCATGTCATCCGGGACGAAGCTCAGGTCAAACACGTTCGCTGAACGCTCGAGCTCCGTGCCTTCCAGCTCGTTGTAGATGTGTGATGCAGCTTCTACGCCGTCGCATTCCACGATAGCGTAGTAGTATCTGCGAAGACCTTAGCTCATGCGTGTAGCGGTAGAAAAGGGAGTCTACACACCGTAGTCGCTCGAGCTGGTATTTCCTCAGTGCATCCTCGTCATAGTCCTCCTCGTCCCCGACTTCAAAGATGGTCTTCTCATTGATTTCTTCCTCGTCTTCGTCGCCCTTCTTCTTGAACAGCTCCGGGGGCGGCCCTTCTCTCTGCTCCCTCGCCATTCGCCCCTTGCCGAACTCGCTAGCGTAAACGCGCACGCTGAGGACCTTGCCTCGCACTGCCATCCCGATGCCCTTAGCCTTCGCTGCCTGCCCACTAGACGAAGACGAAGAGGCCGCAGCGGGTGCAGTTGGTGACACTAGAGAAGAGAAGATCTTGTAGAGGTGAATAGCACGGACATGGTCCCAATCAAGGTTCACGACAGCGATCCTTCGAGTGCGGCCCGCTTCGGGGTCAGCACCCTCTCCTTCCGGATGCTCCTTAGCATAGGCAGCGACCTGAGCGTCCAGCTCAGCAAATGTGTCCTCGTCAAGGTCGATCTCGGCGTCTTCGTCATCGCGGGGTACAGGGATGGGCTTTGAGACGTCGCGGCCGAGGACGAGCACGCCGTCCTCGGCTTCACTCTCATCCTCAGAGGCCGGCCTGTCGATTTCGTCCTCTTCGTCGGAGGACTCGAGGAGGACCTCTCCTCGTGCATAGTCTGGCCCTGCCTTCGGGGCCGGTTCATCCTCGCCTTCGAGACGATAGAACCGACGTAGATTATCCTGTTCGTGGGTGTCGGCTAACGGTCTGCCGTACTTGTCGACCCGTCCTGAAAGACATCATCAATACCACGGCCTGAGCTACAGCAGCGGCGTGACAGTAGGGACGCGACGACAGAACATGCAGCCATACGCATTTGAGGTTTGCGTCCGGCAGCCTACCGGCGCGTAGTCTGATGATCGCACGTACCTTTCTTGCCCTTGCCCTTCTTGTCCCCGTCAAAGAGCTGCTTGAAGCGGTCATCTACGACGACCTTCTGTTGTTCCTTCTTGACCCGCCGAAAGCGGGGGTCTGTCTTGAATCGTGCAAAGCGGGGATCGGACATGGCGGTGGGTAGAGGACGGAGAGACAGCAGCCAATCAGGACGCTCGCCCGCAGAAATTGAATGAGGGTCCGGATTGGGCGAGCGAGGAAGCCATCAGGGTGCCATGGAATCTGATTGGACGGCGACGGGCGTGTGCTCCCCTGGCGACCGTATCGACAGGCGCCCGCCCCGCCCGAATATATACTGGCCTCGCTGCCCGACTCCCCACGTCCACTCGCTCTCCGTCTCGCACCTTCGTTGTATGTCTGTGTCTTCCCCTCGTCCTCCCCTCTCCCGCTGATTATTTCTTGCAGTTTCATTCCTCCGCGCCAGGCCGCCGGACCCCTTCATTCCTTCGCGGTTGACCCGAAGTCCCAGCTACCCGCTCTTCACTACAGCCTTACACCTCTCTACCCTCACAGCCCCGCTTTCCAAGATGTTCTTCTCGTGCAAGTCCATTGTTCTCGCGATCGCCGTCGCTTTCGTCGGCCAGGCTGCCGCCGCGCCCCATGCCATGCCCATGCCCTTCCGCGTGCGTCCCCTTTCATCGCGACTCTCACTCAGACTGATGCTCACGTTAGCGCCCTACAAAGAACTTGCAGCGTGATGTCGTCGCCCGTGCCGACACCAACACCTTCCCCGAGAGCCAGCCTGCTATGGCCCTTGACGGCGGTGACGCGATAGCTTACCACAACAAGCGCATGCAGCCCGCGCCGGAGGACATCAACTGGATCCGTTCGGACGTCCCCACCGCTGCCGTCGACGGCTTCATCCGCGAGCTCCCCTACGATCGCCGCCAGGACACGAACACGTTCCCGGAAAGCCAGCCGGCGATGGCCCTTGACGGCGGTGACGCGATCGCTTACCACAACAAGCGCATGCAGCCTGCCCCCGAGGACGTTAACTGGATTCGCTCGGACATCCCTACGTCTGCTGTTGACGGGTTCATCCGCGAGCTGCCGTACGACAGGCGCCAGGACACGAACACCTTCCCGGAGAGCCAGCCCGCTATGGCCCTCGACGGCGGTGATGCCATCGCCTACTCCAACTCTGCGTGAGCGAATCACAACGAACTTCGGTGAGCATTGATCTCGCAAACATTGATGTGGCTATCAACTAATCGTATGTTGTGAAGACTTTGACTGGCTTCAACATTGTTACGGATATTTGAGCTGTTGTACGATAGAGGGCCTGGCCGTCCCCTTCCCGTGCTGGAGCGCGGTTGCTGGGCTGTTCTTGCGGAGTCCCCTCTGTTCCCCTCTTTCTTTGTGTCGTTAGCTCGTCACGTCTGGAATGCAATTGGTGCGAGACTGGACAACAGATGAACGTGTGTGATGTTCGTTGTGAGGCTACTTTCGACGTCTTGGTTGTAAAGCAGGGCGTCTGGTAATCCATAGCATAACTGCTCACCGTCGTACTCTGCCGTACCCATGACAGTGACAGGTGACACAATATGTCGATCCCCCGCATGTATCCCACGTATCCCACGTCAACCCGGTGTCGGGTTCAGTCCTTCAAGTTCGGTATCGCAGGAAACCAACAGCGACACGCAGCCTAACGACAGCACAATTATAGCACACGCCATCGCATGATCATCTCACCGTTCAATCCGCCAAACGTACAACGTCCCCTTCTCGCCCGCGCCCAAAATAACCTTCCCGCCCGAGGCGACCTCGCACGTCCTGATGTCCGGCAGCTCCGCGCGCCTCGCCGCGTCCACCGCCGCGAGGTCGATGTCCCAGCCCTCGACGGCCGTGAAGAGCTCCAACAGCCGGGAGCGGTGGCGCCCCATGTAGCCCTCCCTGTACGCGTCCCACTCAGGCGCATTGTCGGGCTGGTCCTCCTCGTCGGCTTCCTCGTCGGCTCGGTCTTCCTCCTCTCTCGGCGCGTCTTCCTCAAATACATTCAGCCTTTGCCCCGAGCCAGAAGCCGCACCGCCCTCCTCCGTCGGCTCATCCTCCTGGCCCTCGCCAAGCCGCATCCGCTTCGTGAGTGCGACGACCTCCTCTTCCTCAAGCGGGAACGGCACGGGCGGGCGCGGCTGGAAGTGCGTTATATTGAACACGCGCACGGTCTTGCCCACGGGCACGAGGAGCAGCGGGTCGTGCGTGTGCGTAGGCGAGGTGTAGACCGCGGCGTGGAGTGCGGTGAGCGGGAGGTGGTAGGCGGAGAGGATCTTAAAGGATTCTGTGCGGTAGGGATAGGGACTGCAGTGGGTATTAGTAGGTAGACTGGGAGGACGGGCGTACCGCTGTTTCGGTAGTCCTGTACGCAAGTGAGTATGTAGGGATATGAACGGATTGGATGCGAGATGGAACTCACGCTTGCAGTGCCTCGCATGACTTTCGGTATTGGCTTGTCGCCTCGATCGGGCGGGAAGAAGCGGTTGAAACCCAACCACTGCCAGACCTGGACTGTATACGCCGTCAGAGACAGGACTCAGCTGCAGAGGCTTAGGCGACTCGGGCTACCTGTGCCGTTCTCGGTGTACTGATCATCTGGCCGCTCACTCTGCCGCATGGGTGCAGGGGCGCTGTGGGATATCAGGATATCATGGCTCAGCCTGATATTCGGTCAGTATTACAACGGAGCAAACGATCCGGCGACAAACCATGCTATAGAGAGGACCCGGGCTTTATGAATGTAGTCCGTGCTGAAGAGCGGTTTGTCTTCCCTGGCTAAGCGGCCCTCCACAAGTGGAGGAATACGCCAAATCTTGACCGCGCGGTCCATCTGTGGACGAGATTCATGATCAAGCCTACCATGGAATGAATATGCACTGACGCCGCAGGTAGCTATGAGTGGTTCCGTCCTGTGAAATGCCTATATGTGGCCCCATCGTCAGCATTAAGTACGACTATACACAGATTAGATTCCACCACTGACAGCATAGAACACCGCACCTCGATGCCCGCCTGACCTCCCGCCCACAAGCACGGCAACACACTGGCCGATCCCGTCGCCCTCGCTCTCCGTCATCTGCAGCCCGAACGCCGGCCCTGCGAGACTAGGCTGCTTCGACGGCGGCCAATGCGGGTTGTCCGGGCGCTGCAGCGGGGTGCATGTCAGGTCGTATATCCGACTCGTGAAGTCACGCGAGGTCGTGCAGAAGAGGTAGGGGTGCGTAGGATGAATGGCTATCGACGTGATGGGCTTCCGATGATCTTAGAACGGTGTATAGTGGGAGGAGGGATAGACTCACGCCTCCGTGTCCTCGTAGGCGGCCGATAAGTCGGCGGCTCTTCACGTCGAGGATGAAGACAACGCTGGAGGGCGCAAAAACAATCAGAGGACCGGCAGGATGTCGCGGACTCAGCGCCCAAGCGACACTGTGCACGTCCCATGTTTTCTGACGAGGACAGTGGGAGACGTGCGTCAGCTGATGAACTCGAGAACGGGGTATGCATACATCAGGCAGGCGCACGCAGAACGGCTTAGCGGTAGCGAGTTTCGGAAAGACGTATACTGCGCCTGTACTGCCAATAGCGACAGAGCCTGCGTAGGCTTTCACTGTCTCTGCCCAGTCCGCAAGGATGTTTTCATCGGTTACGCGACCGTCCCATAATATGCTCATGGAGGATGATGTCCAGGGAAAGGCTGCAGTGCAATGGAAAGGGGGCGACGCTCCCTGAGTAGACTGCCAATAGACGCATATATATCACTCGTAGCAGGAGAAGAGGCTGAAGGGAGCTAACACTCAACACTTTCGACAGGACGAAGGGCTGAGCATCCGTTGGACCGCGATACCAGGGCAAACCTGTCGAGATGGCGTCCTCTTCAAATTCTGAATCCGCCATGAGAAGGACGCGTCTGCTATGCACCCCGGACAGTACAATGCACAGGCACAGCAGAAAGCATTCAGCATCGAGGTGGTCGAGGGCAATGCGCGTTGGACTGTGGACCAATGAGAGGCGGGCTATTCAACCTGCCGCCACCGGCCCAAACAGGCAAGTGCGGCGGCAAGGACCAGCTGGTCTACCGCGACGGCCTCCGGTTCGACACTCGCTACTCACATACTACCCCGCCCAGCCTGGTCCTGTTCTCCAATGTCTGAGAACGCCGGGTTGCCCGCCGCCGGGCCACACCCCACCGACCCGGCTCAGTACTCCCCCAAGCCCACCCTCGCCTACGCCTCCACCGTCGGATTCCAAGCCGCCGCCGTCGGCGCATTCGTCAGTACCATCCAGAATGCGCTGGGCACACACGGAGCAGGAGCAGCGGGTTTCCTGACAAGAACAGGAGGGACCATTGGGTTCTTCGGTACGTCTGCATGCCATGTCGATCGGGAGCACCCGGGACTGAGCTACGACGACTGCGCGACATCCTAGGTGCCATGGGCGTGACGTTCGCGCTCACGGAGGCGGTCGTAGCGAACACCAGGGAGAAGGACGACGCACTGAACGGCGCAGCGGGTGCTTGTGCTGCAGGCTTTTTGGCGGGCATACGGAGTAGGTCGCCCCATTTCTCTTAAACACCACACACTCATCGTACGTCACGTTACAGAACGCTCCATTCCAATAGCAGTCGCTTCGTGTGCTGTGATGGGTGCAGCAATGGGCACCTTCGACTACGGCGGAAAGAGTCTGCAAGGGTCGCTCGAGACCAAGGAAGAGCGACGGAAACGCTTCTTCAAGAACCCACCTCCGACGATGCCGGCGCATTCAGGAGGGGAGTCGGACTAGAGGACTGCTGTAGAGTATCTCGCAAAATGCTTTTTCTGCCAACATACAGTACATGTGTGCAAACCGATGGTAAGACAACAAAGGTACGCCCTTACGGTACGACTATGGATACAGTCCGTAAGTCGCGAACGAACTTCAACAAACATATAATCTAGGTCATAGGTGCTAGCGAGCCTTCATACGCATCTCCGTGTCGTACGTCCACTTGGGTAGATATGGCAAGCACAAATACCTCAACTGGCTTGTTGCTCAGAGGCATCCGTTTCCTTCATCAGGCGCTGGACAACATCATCAATGGCTTGACCGTGTTCTCCCCAGAATACATGCCACTCTTCCGCAGTGCGCGACGGGCGCTGTGCGCATACCATGAGGATCACGAACACATCGAGTAATATTGATCATACCTCTTTCGCCAGCAGCGCCCAGACTTCTGGGTCACTCCGGCCGTCCGCACCACCGTCCGCAAGAAACTGAGCGAAGAAATCGAAGTCGCGCGCATCTTCGGGTCCAAGCTGACTCCCGTTCTCCGGTGCGTTTGCAGGCGGCTCCGGCGGCGCCGTTTCGTTCAGCGTAGGTAGAGATGACTGAGGGGCTGCAGGCGTCGCATTCGTCTGTTCGTCACCGAGCTGAGGCACAGGCTTTTGCTGGGCAGCCTTTCGCCATTGGATATGGGCCCGTTTCCTTGCTTGTGCTATGGTTGACGACCTCGGGTCCTTGCCTATCCACGTCAGCCATGACATGATGGGATGATGGGGCATCTAGATGTCATCTTTCTCAGCCTCAATGCAAGTAACAGCCTTCGGATATACATACCTTGTCGTGCAACTTGCTGGCAATCGTATGCATGGACATATCCGGGTCCCGCGCGAACAATATGGGGATGTAGCGCTGGGCATACTCCCATTCCTCAGTGGTATAACGGTACCTTCCACTCTCCATCATCAGTGGGTTCTGCGGGGGCGGAGGTGATTGCGATGCGCGGACGGTTTGAGAGGAGGAAGCACGCTCCGGGACCTGCGGCTGCGGTTGGCTGGAGGGTCCAGCCGAGGTCGGTGCTTTGGTTTTTATGGGGCTCCTCTTCTTGCTGGCCTTCGTAGGTGTCGAAACCTGAGGATCTTTCCTCGGGCGCCCACGTTTTCGCTTCGGCACGTCTTCGAAACCGTATTCATCTGCGTCTAGCAAAGCGGATTGTTTGACGCTTTCATAAATATACCTTGACTGGACGACTGCTACATTGGCTTGTGTGGCAAGCTTGAGCCAGTGCTCGAAAGGCTTGGAGTTCTGTGCCAGGACGGCATAGTCTGCATCGAGGATCTCCGCGACTATTTTGCCCCCATTTCGCTACAGTCGACAGATCAGAGTTGCGTACGCAGCGCATTAGGCCAGACTTACCTTGATTATCTGTAACAAGTCGCCGCGTTGCTTCGTCTCCATCTGCACCCAGAAGACCAGCTGCTCCCCGCCATCGACGAAGACTTCATCCGAGTTTGGGAGCGGTCCAGAGGCCTGAGGGAGGGATGATTGCATCTCGTCGTCGTCCGAGTAGCTACCACTCCTGCGACTTTGTTTGAGAGGCGGCTCTGGAGAGTATGCGCGTTCTTTGCCCTTGTTACGCGATGACATGACGGAGGACGGTGTACCACCAGTGGACTTTCGACGCTTGCAAGGGATAGAACTAGGCGGATCGAGAGAAGAGTGGGATGGTCGTGGCGTTCGTGTGGCGGCTGTACTGGGGCTGGGATACATGAAATTCGACGCCTCGAGTCCCGGAGGAGGCAGCTGACCGCCCATGGCCGGCACAGAATGTGACAATGGGGCCGCGCTGAGCGTACCGGAGGCTTGAGTGGCTTGCGCGTGTAATTGCGTCAGAAAGGTCTGCAGATCTGCAGGGTTTGTGTTCTGAATGGCTTGCGACAAAGCAGTGAGGATCTCGGCGGGTGTATGTGCGGTGGGATTCTGGAGGCGAGGCAAGGGGACACCGTTGGCTTGTGGTTGGTAAGAAACAGCTACGCCAGACGGCAGCTGGGTTCCGGTGACGCCGGAGGCATCAAGACCTGTTGGCGGTACATTTTGGCCCTGAGATAGGGCTTGTAGAGCGGCTTGAAGAGACATATTGTTGGCGGGTTGAGATATAACAGCTATGTCCGGAGGGGGTGTGGGTAGGGGACTTCTTCTACGAGTCAGATACTGCATTTAGAGCCTACAATGCGGACGACTGACTGTTCATGGCCGGCTATAACCCCATGTCCACTGTTATCGGGCAGTTGGCGATACCCTCCCCAATTGTCGTTCGCTAGGAGAGCCCTGCCCAGCTGGGTGGACTTACGGGCCCACTCCCATCGCAACACCACCTTCCCTGATTCTGAGCCCCAATCGTGGACGAACTGTTGCCCGGCATTTGTTTCCATATCCACGAGAATGATCTGCGCGTCTGACGGATAATGGGCAATCATAGCACCGTCTCTCTGAGACCCACTGGTCAGAATTGATCAGCAACGACGAAGCTGAACAATACGCAACTCGCAGATCTCGAATGAGCTTCGGACGTTGGGCGAACTCGGAAGTCTCCACGAATATATGCAGAGGTCGTCCTGCCTCGTCGAAGAAAATGCTGGTTGGGAGCGCGTTGTCCGCCATTGGAGAGTTCTAGCTGCGAGGCCAGGAAACAAATAAGTCGACAAGACGAGGACAAGACGACGAGTGCTTGCCGCTGAGATGGGTGATGATGGCGAGAGTCGCGTAAGCACGGGGGTCGCGCGATCCCTGCCTCCATCAACGACCCACGTGGGGCGTGGCCGACTGGCGCCTCCCACGACGCGTCCCGGGACCCGCAAGGACCCGCGGCGTCCGCCGTCGATCTATACGCGTGACGCTTCTGAACTCTCACCGCTACCACACCTGTCTCGAAAGTTCCCACGGTTGGAACCTAGAGAAAAAAGCGCATGAAAAGAGCTATTGAGACCCAAGAGGGGGTCGGAGGGGATCATAGGCACCAGCCCTACCCACCACGACCGCACGAGGGCGAACCAAAAGGCCAAGGCCACACAGTCGAGGGGAACGCGCGGGGGAAGGGAGCGACCCCGGCGCCTACGCCGGCAACACCGAGTCGAGGACGTAAAGTACTCGACAGACTAGCTAACACCTTAAGTAGACCACCGAGACCTGCTGTAAGTATGGACGGCATAGAAAAGACACAGCAGGACGAGGAAAATGAACATGAGAGCACCATAGTAGAGTCGCCGACACCGACCGGCACCAGGGACCGGAACACCGACAGCCTGATGCGGGACACTACCGCAGACCTCTTCAGCCCGCAACGAGACCAGACACAACAAAGGAGGATGATCATCTTGGAGGAGGCACTCAGCAGGGCGACGGAGATTCTCAAGCAAATGTCCATCCACGCTGAGTACCCTGCATCCGTTTTGAAAGACGCACAGACGGTAGCGAGCAGACTGACTACATGGAAAGAACCACAGCCAGCCCCCGCTCCGATGCCCCCGAAACCCACCCAGACCGACACGACCATCCTCGAAAACATCGCCAAGGCCATCGACAGACTCGCGACCAGACTCGACCACATCGAGTCAAAGGACGCACCGACTACCACAATGCCGGAGTGGCCCGAAACGGACGACTCAGCAACAATCAGGACGACACGCACCAACAAGAACAACAAGACCAAGAAGACCGCGACCGTCATCACCGCCCACAGACCGGCCGTCCAAACGGTGATCGCGACTGCGCGGCCGATTGTCCCTGCACCTCGCGCACCCAAGCCGCTGCTCAACCCACTGGCGGCACACCACCCATCACGACTGATCGTCGAGATCAAGGATGGCCCGCCGGCGGGGGGACGGCCCAGCGAGGTGGAAATCGTGAAGTACATCAACGAAGTCCTCCAGGCGAGCGACGAGAGCAGACATCTGAGGGTGGTGAACGTTAAGTTCAACGCCCACAACAATTGTATTGTCTTCACACGCGCTGACCAGTCAGCCGGAGAGCTTGCAACGCACGCTCCGAGGTTTGTAGGCTTCTTTGCCGGCACGCGAGAAACACGCGTCCGACCCGACGAGAAGTGGTTCAAGGTCCAGCTCAACGGGGTAAGGACCTTCAACGACAAGTCGCACGCCATTGCAACACCACAAGAAATCGACCACGACCTAAGGAGCCTCAACCCCGACTACGAGAAGATGGAAACAGCCGACCTACCCCGATGGATGCGACACAGGGCCGATCTTGTCCACCTGACCTACTCGTCAGTGGTAATCGCACTCAAGTCCCAAGAGGACGCAGACCACCTGGTGAACCGGGTCAAGAACCTCGCGATTGCGGGGCAATTCGCGGAGGTGAGACGCTACGCTGACAAACCTCCCGTTATGCAGTGTAGCCGGTGCTGGCTATTTGGCCACACAAAGTCACGATGCAATGGGACGGAGAAGTGCCGCATCTGCGGGGACACCACGCACACCGAGGGAGACCACACCTGCAAGGAGTGCCACGAGGAACGGCCTGACGACGACATCAGTATGGACGACTGCACACACGAACAATACGAGTGTGCCAACTGTACCGGACCCCATACGGCGAACTGGCGACACTGCGCTTCTCGGGACCAGGCCCGAGGCATCACAAAGGCGACACCACGACCGAAGGGAGGCGCTAAGGCAACATCGGAGTGGAAGGAGGCCGGAGCACCAAAGAGACCAGCAGCGACCACGGCACCAGCGAAGCGAGCACAACCAAGCCAAGCACAGCGGAAGATAGCAACAGAGAGCGAGAACAGGTTCGCTACACTGGAGGCACTGGACGAAGAACGGAAGAAGGGTGACCTGGAACAGGCGTAAAGGTCATATTGATACATCAGGAGACTGTAATTACAGTACGGCCGTGATACATGTACGCCTGTAGCACAGACGAGGCCTGTCAATGTATCGCACAATACATTACAGATGTAGCTGTAATGTATCAAAGCACAGTGTGAGCATGTGCTTGCACCGCGCAGCTGATGCACTGCTGGTATGCCTATATCTGGCATAGATCTGGCGTGGATCTGGCGGGTATGATGCGCCCGCCCCGTTCCGCACCGCCAGTGGCAGCGCGCAGTTCTGACGCGGCTACTTACTATTCGGCTATGCACGTGGCTTGACCGCTTGAACTGGCAGCACGCGATATGTGGCTATACACGGCATTAGTATTACATAAGCGTCCAGTGACGGTGTGCTTACAATAATGCTCGTATTGGCTAGTATATAGGAACAGCTTGATAGAAGCAAGGATATGTATGGAGTTACAGTGGCATTGGTCTAGAATGTGAGGAGCCAAAGGAGGTGTAGTGGCACGCAGCGCTGTTGACCTTTACCGTATTCGGTATAGCCGAGGCGGGCAGATCGAGGTAGATCGCGGTAGATCACATTAGATCGCGTTAGCGCCCATCGTTTGGGCCAGTAAAACATGACATGGAGGGTCAGGCAGGCTTTGTATTGATACAATAGAGCCATTCATAGCTTTTTTTTATCATACTGTATATATACTCCCAACATCTTTCCGACAGAGTGAGGTGTTATGCTGTAGATCGCATCAGATCGTGGTAGATCGCGGTAGATCGCGTTAGCGCTCATCGTTCGGGCCACACTCCCAATAGAAAACATGACATGTAGGGTCGTGCGGGCTTTTCATTGACAGCATAGAGCCCGGTATAGCTTCCTTTTACATTACTGTGTATATTTATCCAAAATCTCACCGAGAGAATGAGGTGTTATCACTGCCACCGTGGACGGCATAGTAATATGCACTTCCTATTGTACAATGGAGTGTGTTCGAACATGAAACGTTGACTGTTAGTTGCCCATTTGTATTCCTCATTTAAATATCAGTAAATAAGGATACTATGGTGTATATGAGCCATCTCCATGACTAAACGAAGTGATTTAACCGCTATGAGTGCTAAACGAGTGTTGCAAAATTTTGCGCTGACCGTTATTCGCTTCCTGATTGGCTGAGCGATCCCTCGGTTTGCTTCGGCAGTACCTTGTGCGTACACTGTGCCGATTCTTGAGTGATTTTGTACTCGCTTAACGTTTTAATAGTTATATAATCAACTCGATTTGCATCAAATTCCGGTATTGCTATGTCCAAGGCCAGAATACGATTGTTTTGCTGTTTCGCAGGGCGGACGCCACAATCTTGCCAAATCGGGCAGGTGCTCTGGCGGTGGCGCCCAGCGCCTAGCCGGCTTGTGCCGTGCCCGAGCCCGCCACGTGGTCCAGACTGCCGGCTCATGCTGTGCCTGACTGCGCCCACCACGTGGCCCCGAGCGCGCCCGCCACGCAGCCCCGAGCGCGCCCGCCACGCAGCCCCGAGCGCGCCCGCCACGCAGCCCCGACCGCCCCGAATATCACGGAACCACCAGCGCCCGGTTCTATCATCGTGCCGCACCCCCGGAAAGGTCAACGTGGCACGTGCGATCCATTGCGCGGGCACTGACGAGAGCGTGTCGACCCATTGAACGTCTGCTACCCTCTATATACACAGTTGCGTGCCGTTTCGACAGGCAGCAGGGTGCCCAATACAGCAAGAAGCAGAGAAATCTCATGATTAGTAATCCAAATATACGGTAAGTGCCACATTGGGCTGGGATCTGTAATGTATGAGAGATTCCAGCTGTGATACATCACGGTATTCCTAATTGGGTGTCACCTGTAGAGCACAGTCGTGTATGTATCACGGCTGTACTCTAACTACAAGGGTTTATGTATCAGTATGCCAGCTCCAGGTGCCTGGAAGCGCTCCAAAAGCGCTTCCCGGACATAGATGAGGCACATATCCGATCATCCTATGCAACAATGGTTGACGACTTTGTAGCGACCGTGGCGTTCATCGAACGCGAGCTCTGCCCCGACCGACCCACCGACAATGAGACCGACCACGAGGTTGGATTATGAAGAACACAACCACACGACCAATCCGGATCTTACAACTCAACGCCAACCGACAGAACGCGGTCATACACGCCCTCCTCAACACAGCGACCTCAGCCGACACCGCCGACATCATACTCATCACGGAGCCGTGGTGGGGCAATATTGGCAACGACACCCAGGGCCCAGTATCTGAGGCGGGAGCAGGCTGGACCCCGATACTGCCCGTCTCAGCGGTTCCGAAGGACAAGAGACCAAGAGTGATGGCGTATACACGCAGACGCGGGGACTTCACGGTCACCCTCCGCTCTGACATCGCCAACGACCTAGACATTCAGGTCCTCGAGATCGCGCAGAACCCCCACCCGCCCACGATCATTGTTAACGTCTACAATGACGATCGAAAACAAGGCTCCCGGTCAGCTGCAAAGCGACTCCAGAGCCTCACCCTCCCCAGAGACGCCCCGACCATCCTGTCGGGCGACTGGAACCTGCACCACCCCCTATGGTCGCGCACGTCGGACCCACATCAGGATTTCGTGCAATTCCTCTGAGGGCCCTGTCAGGGGCTTCATAAGCGCTCAGAATGCTTCAGATCGCATCAGAACGGCTCATATGGCCAGTTCTCAAGGTGTCGACTTTTTGTGAATTGTCGTTGTCAGACAGAATTTTCAGAGTGCATCAGAGAGTGTCAGAGAACGTCAGAGTGGTCCAGAGTGGTCAGACAACACATCAGACACATCAGACTCTCAGTGATTCCAGATGACATGTTGAAAAACAATTTATTTCTGTCACTATAGACGGGTCTGATGGCATACTACTGTATATACATGGAGAGTGCACAATAGAACAAATCAAGGAACACATAGCGACACTACTCACAGTAAGCTCGCGCCCGGTGGGCACATGCATGTTGAGATTCTGTATGTCGAGCACTAATACATGAGCTTACACAAGCTCCGGCACGTACGGATTGTCTGTCGTGCTCGTGCATAGCTGGCCCATTGGGCTGGCGCGACGGTGCTCGGTGGCCTGGCTTCTCGAGCTAGAGGCGTGCTCATCTTCGGCGGGCCTATAAGGAATGGGCTGGGGGATACAGGTTTAGTTTCGGCGCGCTCATACACGTCGCGCGTTGGTGCACGACGGGTACCCTTGGGACGTGCGATCCTTGTCACCATAAGGCGAGCCCGGTCCGTGCCTCCCTCAGGACCTTGGTTGTCGTGTCCGTCGCCTTCTGCATGCCTCTGCCTGTGTGGATGTGTTTGCGTCGACGCCAATCGTTGCTGTGACCTGAGTGCGGTGGCAATGGTTTGGCTGCGCTCGTCAGGCACGGTCGCGAGACAACAAGGAGCATACTCACGCGATTGCTCTGCTGTTTAGCCGCAACATGTTTTCCTTCCTTTCTGCCCATCCTTCGCCCCCCCTCGGTGTTCTTTGCGCATTGCTGGAGCTCGTTGCGGCTGTTGGGCCAGGCGATCGTGGGGCGCGTGGCGGGTCGAGCCGACGTCTCTTGCGGACAGGCCCGGGCACATGTTCTCGCTGTAGGCGTTATGAAGGCTCTGACGAAGCGAAGTTGAGACAATGATGAGGTTTCTGAGGCCGAGAGCGGATGCGCGGTTAAGTGCAATGACTCAGAGAGCGAGAGGAAGGTGGCGAGCGCGCGTCAGTGCCAAGGCAGTCAGTGAGTTCGTGGTTGTTGCGCGGTCCTACTCGGCGGGCTGGGTGGCTACAACGCGCTGTTAGTCGTCGCATCCGTACGTTTGACGCACGGAGTATTTGGTGCGTATGAGGTGTGCTCACGGCGGTCATGCCCATGCGCGGCGCATCGAGATTCAGCCAGTCTATGCCTACCGCATGTGCTAGCGTAACGCACCTTTTATGCTAAGCCCTAGCAGCCAACCCCTTTCCCTCCTGCACGTCCGCCCGTTACGAGCCTCCAGCGATGGCCTTGACGTGTCGATGTAGCTTGTTGTGGTCGCGTGCCACGCCGTCTTCGGGCACGTGTGAGCCGATGCGTACCCACTCTCTTGCAGAGAGGTGCCTGTGCATGATGCAGGTTGGCGGCTGAAGACGAGACGTGAAGCGGATGTAAGAGGGAGGGAGGACATAGGGAGTAGGAGGCCGAAGGCAGACGACGGAAGTGGATGGAGCGCATCGCGAGAACCGTCAAGTGGCAAGCGCCGGCGCGTGTGGCGTGTCGTGGCAGAGGCGCTTAGCACTTCTGCGCCTGCAAGTCGTGACTCACCACATCAACAACGTCGACATCGACGCTACAGTCCAACACTGCAAGTAGGAACTTGTGCCAAACACGACGGGGATGCGAGGGTGGTACAGAGACTGGGATTCAGAGCATGGAAAGGACAGTACAAGTAAGTGCGAACGCTTGATATCTGCTTATTTCACCTCTTTTTTGCAGGCAAAGGAGTGAACGAGATGTTCGTTCCAATCACTCCACATACCCTGCCACTCGCCGTCGCCTGCACGCGCTGTCCACCGCTGCCCTCGTCTCCTCCGTGGCCGCCGATGTATGCTGCACCCTCCTGCACGACCCCGCCTGGATGGCGCCACGCCGCCGCACCGCTCGAACAATGCTCACGTCATGTGGCCAGTTGCCTTGCGCCCGCACTCGCTCACTCGCGCACCCACCCTTACCCGCCCCTCCGACCTGCTCTGCAGCGCCCGGCACGATCCCTTCGACAAGGCGGAGTTCTGCCGGTCGCTGCTCGACTTCCACGGGATGTTCCGCGCGTTGCCCACCTTCCGCCCGCGCGCGGACGCGCACGCAGGGAACGTCTTCCTCGACCGCTTCCTCGCGCTCTGCAGCACACCCCATAACATGGTCAAGGCGGCGCCGCAGTGGACGACTGGCACGCGTGGCTTCGGACGTACGGGCGCGGGTCGAGAGCGAGCGCGGGGAGTGGGGATGGTAGGATGTGCACGACTCGGAGTGCAAGATCGCCAGGTAAGTTGCTGCTCAATTCCTGTTTGCGCCGCTGCCCGCACTCTCTCGCAGCGCGTCCTCGAACGGGCACTGAGCTCGTGCAAGACCCGCGTCCACGTCGGAAACAAGCACCGCAGCGGGTCATGCACCCGACATGCGCGCCGCCGTGCCTTCATTGCCATATCCAACATGCCCCAGAGTCAGCGATACAGCACGGCGGCTTTCCTGCCTCCGAGCTACGGGCAGCCCTTGAGGTATGCGTCACCCGCATTCAAGCACGCTCCTCCCACATGGCCTTTGTACCACGTCAATCCAACGAGCTTCCGACGTCATTATAGCACGCATCTGGCCTATTGCCATTCACCTGGCGCCCGTCCTCCCCAGCTCGACGTGCCTCACTCGCCATGTCCCTTTACCTCTCCCTTGTCCGGACGGCCTCTCGACATGTCAAACGCCCCCGCAGCACAGCACTCAAGTACACTGCAAGATAACGCGGCACACTGTCTGCATATCTCGTAGCCGCTGCCGTCCTCTGACGTGACCAGCGAGGATTGCAGCCCTTGCCGCGGCGTCCGCACTCAATGCGAGGATGGAGAAGAATTTGGCGATGTATCGTGATGCTGCACCCTGACGTGTACATATGTATATTATGATGATTGTAGTAGCCCCTAAATACATCGTAATTGCGCCAATTTATATGCAGGAGGAGTTTCCTGACTCGATGTGTGATATCTATTGTCTGATGTACGGTGCTAACTGACTGTCTGGCACTCTGAGGCCAGATGAAATGATCTGATGGGTTGTGATGTCTGAAGTGCCCTGATACACTCTGAAGCTCTGAGGGCCGACTGTCAGACACACATACCGTCAGAGATTGCACAGTTTCCTGATGTGCGGCTTCGGCCTCTTCGTCGTCGTCTTGTTCCGCTGCTCCTTCCTCCGGGGCGGCGGGGGGTTCTCCCGTCTTCGTGAACGCGCCGCTCTTCGCGATGAAGCGCGCAAGCGCGTCGATGCCTTCGTCTGTGCCGAGGATGGTTGGTAGGTCGATTGGTTCGCTGGCGGCTCGCAGGAGGTGTCTGTGTGTCTCGTAGCGTGGGCACTCTTGGAGGATGTGGGCTCTCGACTGGTATTGCGCGCCGCAGGGGCACTCGACTGTCTCTGATGGGACGTGGTGGCGGTAGTACTCGCCCATGAAGCCGTGTCCGGAACGGCACTGTAGCACCCGTCCGAACACTTCGCGCGGTAGCTCGTTGAAGCTTTTCCGCGGCTTTGGTTTTGGTGGTAGGCGGTTGGCAGTCGCAAAACGACCCGTTGGTCTTGTTTGTTTCCACTCGTTCGTCCACGCCTGCATCGCTCGCTCCTTCGCTCTGCGAAGGGCGTTTGCGCGTGTGGATCTGTCGTTGTCTGGTTGCATGGCCGTCGCGTCTTTCGCGAGCTGGTCGGCTAGCTCATTGCCCGTGATCCCTTTGTGGCCTGGTGTCCACGCGATGGTGACCTTGGTGGTTGGGTTGGCTTCTAGGAGGCGGAGGATTACTTCGCGGAAGATGCGCGAGTGTCCCTGTGCTGGTCCCGGCTTCGCCTCGAAGATGGCGGAGATTGCGGAGGTGTTATCGGCGAAGAAGAAGATGTCGTGGATGGGGGGTGTGTCCGGCTGTTGCAGGTAGGCCTCTAGGTCCCTCGCTGCCCACGAGAGGCCCGCCATCTCCGCGTCGTAGACTTCGGCGCGTCGGCTCATCGGGATCCTCCTTCCAAAGAGGATGCTGTTGTGGCTGATTGCGACGTGGCTCGCGCCGACTCGTCTCTGGTTGTTCTCTGTGAGCAGAGAGCCGTCAGAGTACATAGTTATGACGTCCTTTCGTTTACTGAGAGTACTTAGCTTGGCGTTGTGTTCTTTTGCGGCGGCTTCTTTGGTGACCCCCTTCACCGCTGGGGTGATGGTGAGTCGGCCTTTGAAGTCCGCCGTCGTCTTCTTCCATGGCGGGACCGCAAGCGGTGTGATGCGCTCGTCCAAGGGGTCTGATCGCAGGGCCATTCGGCAGAGTCGGGTGGTCGCTGGGGGCTTCCTCCGGCGTGCCGTGGTCTGCTTGTGTGTCGGTCGTGGTGGCTGGGGTGTGTTGGATTGAGTGAACTGGCGCCATGCATCGGGGAGGCGTTGGAGGATCGGGCTGTGCGCGCTGAGTTTGTTCAGCCGGATCGCTGCCCGATCCTTGGTGAGTTCCAGGTGGTGGCGGATAGGCGGTATGGCTGCTTCCAGCTCCATGGCGATCGTCTGCGTCGTTCTGAATGCTGCGCATATCAGTCTCAGTGCGCGTCGTTGTACCTTTTCGAGAGCGTTCTCGTGGCTTTTCTTGCCTCGCCACCATGCGGGGCACGCGTACGTCATGATCGGACGTACGCACGCTGTGTAAAGGGTTCGTAAGTGCTCCTGTGAGAGTCCCCTTACGGTGTTGGCTAGCATGCCCATCCCATTTACCACTTTCTCCGCACGTCCGGCCATCTGTTTGACATGATGGTCGAAGTTCAGTCGCCTGTCGAGGTGTACGCCTAGCCACTTTGTTGAAGCGGTTGCTGCGATGGTGGTTTCGGCGCCGTTGGCGCCGGGGAGGGTGATGGTAGGTGAGTCGTTGTCCGTCCGGCGTCTGAGCGAGTAGTGCATCAGTTCCCTTTTGACCAGGTCGGGAGAGAGTCCGACGCTGGCCATCCAGGTGTCGACGCGTCCATAGGCAATCTTGAGAATCCGGGTGTTGGTGTCGAGGGAGTCCGAGGAGACGTAGAGCTTGCCGTCGTCTACGAACATGATCAGCTGGGTGGGGCCGGGGCTGTCGACCAGCTTCAGCTTGCTGTTGATGGCGTCGACGTGATCCCGCGCTGCCTTCTCGAAGATCTCAAGAAGTTCAGCGGCGTAGAGGATGGAGAGGATGGGCGATACCGGTGAGCCCTGGGGGATCCCATTCTCCACCGGTCTCATCTCCCCTCGTATCCCATCTAGACATATGGCTGCCTCTCGCTCCGAGAGGAAGGCAGCTGTCCATTGGACCAGGTGGAGGGGTAGGCGCTTCTCGCGCATGACGTTGAGGAGGCGTCGGTGGTTCACGAAGTCGAAGAAGCCCTTGATGTCAAACGTCAGTGCTGACGTGACTTTACCGTGATTGTGGGCTGCTTCGACGTCGTGAACAAAGGTGAGGATCGCGTCGTCGGTGGAGCTCGCAGGGCGTCCACCGAACTGGTTCGCAGGGACGAGGTTGTGTGTCGACACTAGGTAGGCGAGTCGGTTGGCAACGATGCGTTCCAAGGTCTTCCCGAGACACTCCAGCAATTGGATGAGTCGGTAGGCCCTGGGGTTGCTGTAGTCTGGCTTCCCCGGCTTGGGGATGGCGACCGCAATCGCCTTCCTCCACGCCTTGGGGTGGTAGCCTGCGCGTAAACAGTGGTTCATTAGCGCAGTGATGGTCGTGTCTGCCTCGGCCCATGCCCATCGTATGACTCTGAACTGGCACTGCGAGAGTCCCGGGGCCTTGTCTGCCCCCTGCTCGAAGATGGAACGCCTCACCTCGTCCTTCGTGACGTCTTCGTCAGCGAAGTCGTCTGGGTGAGGCTCCTCAAGGTCGTTCTCCGGGACGTCTTGTAGTGGTGGTGGTGGCTGGAAGAGTTCGTCCCGTAGCGCGTTGCACTTGTCTTCGTGCATGACGGCTGGCGGTTGGTCGGGGCCTCTCGATATGGCTGGCGACTGGTACGTTCGTACCCCTTTGCCCCACTTCGTGAAGCCCCAGATGTCGGCCGTGGTCGCTTCCTCGAGGGTCTCCGTAATCCACTTCTGGCGCGCTTTCTTGTAAAGCCGCCTGAAGTAGTTGCGGGATTTCTTTATCGTCGAGTTCGTGGTGCTCGCCTGCGTGCCCCACCTTTTCAGGTGGTTCAGGCTCTGCGTGCGTAGGTCGGCGATCTTCTTTGCGGCGTCGTGGAGATCGGCATTCCACCAGGGGCGCGCGCGGTCACTTGGTTTCTTGACCTTCGCAGCCGACGTGTTGGCGGCTTCCATCGCCGCCGTAAGGGCGTTAGCTGCTTTGTCGAGCTGGTCGGTGGTGAGTGTTGCCTGTTGGTTGGACAGGGGGGTTAGGTCGTGGTCATGGTCTCCCAGTGCTGCTCGGAAGGCGTCTCGCCACTCTGCGGGGTCGGTGTCTTTGAAGTTGTACCGTTCCCCCGCGAGATTCTCAATCGGGGTGGCGCCGTAGTCGATCTCCCATCGCAGGGCGAAGTGGTCCGATCCGAAGGCATACTCTCTGTCGATCCACCAGTGTTTGGCGGTATCGAGTTCGGAGGCTTTCGGGTTGGTGAAGGTGAGGTCGATCGTGGACCAGGTGTCGTGTGCGTGCGAGAAGAACGTGGGCGCGCCCTTCTCGTTTTTCAGCGTATACCCGTGTTGCGTCAGCCAGTCGACTGTCTGGTCTGTCGAGTCCTTCGCTGCATCAGGAAACTGTGCAATCTCTGACGGTATGTGTGTCTGACAGTCGGCCCTCAGAGCTTCAGAGTGTATCAGGGCACTTCAGACATCACAACCCATCAGATCATTTCATCTGGCCTCAGAGTGCCAGACAGTCAGTTAGCACCGTACATCAGACAATAGATATCACACATCGAGTCAGGAAACTCCTCCTGCATATAAATTGGCGCAATTACGATGTATTTAGGGGCTACTACAATCATCATAATATACATATGTACACGTCAGGGTGCAGCATCACGATACATCGCCAAATTCTTCTCCATCCTCGCATTGAGTGCGGACGCCGCGGCAAGGGCTGCAATCCTCGCTGGTCACGTCAGAGGACGGCAGCGGCTACGAGATATGCAGACAGTGTGCCGCGTTATCTTGCAGTGTACTTGAGTGCTGTGCTGCGGGGGCGTTTGACATGTCGAGAGGCCGTCCGGACAAGGGAGAGGTAAAGGGACATGGCGAGTGAGGCACGTCGAGCTGGGGAGGACGGGCGCCAGGTGAATGGCAATAGGCCAGATGCGTGCTATAATGACGTCGGAAGCTCGTTGGATTGACGTGGTACAAAGGCCATGTGGGAGGAGCGTGCTTGAATGCGGGTGACGCATACCTCAAGGGCTGCCCGTAGCTCGGAGGCAGGAAAGCCGCCGTGCTGTATCGCTGACTCTGGGGCATGTTGGATATGGCAATGAAGGCACGGCGGCGCGCATGTCGGGTGCATGACCCGCTGCGGTGCTTGTTTCCGACGTGGACGCGGGTCTTGCACGAGCTCAGTGCCCGTTCGAGGACGCGCTGCGAGAGAGTGCGGGCAGCGGCGCAAACAGGAATTGAGCAGCAACTTACCTGGCGATCTTGCACTCCGAGTCGTGCACATCCTACCATCCCCACTCCCCGCGCTCGCTCTCGACCCGCGCCCGTACGTCCGAAGCCACGCGTGCCAGTCGTCCACTGCGGCGCCGCCTTGACCATGTTATGGGGTGTGCTGCAGAGCGCGAGGAAGCGGTCGAGGAAGACGTTCCCTGCGTGCGCGTCCGCGCGCGGGCGGAAGGTGGGCAACGCGCGGAACATCCCGTGGAAGTCGAGCAGCGACCGGCAGAACTCCGCCTTGTCGAAGGGATCGTGCCGGGCGCTGCAGAGCAGGTCGGAGGGGCGGGTAAGGGTGGGTGCGCGAGTGAGCGAGTGCGGGCGCAAGGCAACTGGCCACATGACGTGAGCATTGTTCGAGCGGTGCGGCGGCGTGGCGCCATCCAGGCGGGGTCGTGCAGGAGGGTGCAGCATACATCGGCGGCCACGGAGGAGACGAGGGCAGCGGTGGACAGCGCGTGCAGGCGACGGCGAGTGGCAGGGTATGTGGAGTGATTGGAACGAACATCTCGTTCACTCCTTTGCCTGCAAAAAAGAGGTGAAATAAGCAGATATCAAGCGTTCGCACTTACTTGTACTGTCCTTTCCATGCTCTGAATCCCAGTCTCTGTACCACCCTCGCATCCCCGTCGTGTTTGGCACAAGTTCCTACTTGCAGTGTTGGACTGTAGCGTCGATGTCGACGTTGTTGATGTGGTGAGTCACGACTTGCAGGCGCAGAAGTGCTAAGCGCCTCTGCCACGACACGCCACACGCGCCGGCGCTTGCCACTTGACGGTTCTCGCGATGCGCTCCATCCACTTCCGTCGTCTGCCTTCGGCCTCCTACTCCCTATGTCCTCCCTCCCTCTTACATCCGCTTCACGTCTCGTCTTCAGCCGCCAACCTGTATCATGCACAGGCACCTCTCTGCAAGAGAGTGGGTACGCATCGGCTCACACGTGCCCGAAGACGGCGTGGCACGCGACCACAACAAGCTACATCGACACGTCAAGGCCATCGCTGGAGGCTCGTAACGGGCGGACGTGCAGGAGGGAAAGGGGTTGGCTGCTAGGGCTTAGCATAAAAGGTGCGTTACGCTAGCACATGCGGTAGGCATAGACTGGCTGAATCTCGATGCGCCGCGCATGGGCATGACCGCCGTGAGCACACCTCATACGCACCAAATACTCCGTGCGTCAAACGTACGGATGCGACGACTAACAGCGCGTTGTAGCCACCCAGCCCGCCGAGTAGGACCGCGCAACAACCACGAACTCACTGACTGCCTTGGCACTGACGCGCGCTCGCCACCTTCCTCTCGCTCTCTGAGTCATTGCACTTAACCGCGCATCCGCTCTCGGCCTCAGAAACCTCATCATTGTCTCAACTTCGCTTCGTCAGAGCCTTCATAACGCCTACAGCGAGAACATGTGCCCGGGCCTGTCCGCAAGAGACGTCGGCTCGACCCGCCACGCACCCCACGATCGCCTGGCCCAACAGCCGCAACGAGCTCCAGCAATGCGCAAAGAACACCGAGGGGGGGCGAAGGATGGGCAGAAAGGAAGGAAAACATGTTGCGGCTAAACAGCAGAGCAATCGCGTGAGTATGCTCCTTGTTGTCTCGCGACCGTGCCTGACGAGCGCAGCCAAACCATTGCCACCGCACTCAGGTCACAGCGACGATTGGCGTCGACGCAAACACATCCACACAGGCAGAGGCATGCAGAAGGCGACGGACACGACAACCAAGGTCCTGAGGGAGGCACGGACCGGGCTCGCCTTATGGTGACAAGGATCGCACGTCCCAAGGGTACCCGTCGTGCACCAACGCGCGACGTGTATGAGCGCGCCGAAACTAAACCTGTATCCCCCAGCCCATTCCTTATAGGCCCGCCGAAGATGAGCACGCCTCTAGCTCGAGAAGCCAGGCCACCGAGCACCGTCGCGCCAGCCCAATGGGCCAGCTATGCACGAGCACGACAGACAATCCGTACGTGCCGGAGCTTGTGTAAGCTCATGTATTAGTGCTCGACATACAGAATCTCAACATGCATGTGCCCACCGGGCGCGAGCTTACTGTGAGTAGTGTCGCTATGTGTTCCTTGATTTGTTCTATTGTGCACTCTCCATGTATATACAGTAGTATGCCATCAGACCCGTCTATAGTGACAGAAATAAATTGTTTTTCAACATGTCATCTGGAATCACTGAGAGTCTGATGTGTCTGATGTGTTGTCTGACCACTCTGGACCACTCTGACGTTCTCTGACACTCTCTGATGCACTCTGAAAATTCTGTCTGACAACGACAATTCACAAAAAGTCGACACCTTGAGAACTGGCCATATGAGCCGTTCTGATGCGATCTGAAGCATTCTGAGCGCTTATGAAGCCCCTGACAGGGCCCTCAGAGGAATTGCACGAAATCCTGATGCAGGAGACGAACGCGAAGGAGACGGACCAGAGCAAGAAGAAGACCCGGATGGACCGGCCGACGAGGATGAAGGATAGACGGTACTAGCTGCACGGCGAAGTACCGCCCCCAAACCCGACACCCCCCACACCCCCAACACCCACTCGTGCACTAGGGGAACAAATACGGCTTGCGCCCCTAGGAGAAGACGATGCGCCAACCGCGGAACGCGGAGTATGCAGGATTTCCCTTGACCCCTCACTTATGTTTATTTATTATGATCTATGCGACCTGGATTGACGAGTTGAACCACACACATAGTTACTACCATAGACTACAGAACGAGAACGACCCATTACTACCTACCCTTCCAGACGTTACTCTTACCATTACAGCCCCGAACTGGACGTCGGCCTGGGTGGCGCGTTTAAACGCCCACCACAGTACAGGCCGGCGTCCGCCGCGTCTTAGCACATGCTTGCTTGCAGCGGTTAATAAATGCAGAGATCATCATCATCATCATATACGCGTGACGCGTAACACGTCACATCGAAGTAGGTAAGTACGTCGACTTGTTGCGGCCCCCACATCGCACTGAGTGCATGAATCTTTACACAGCAGTTACACAGATACGGCAGGTGGTCCCGCCTACAAGTACTGAAGGCCTCGCTGATCTCTGCTAGAGCACAAATCCACTATGTCAATCGCCAAGCTGTAACGTAGACCATACAAATTACGATGACCATCCCCGCCGATTCAACGACTGATATCAATTCTCAACTCATAGCTAGAGATCTCGCTGCCGCTACTCGTATTCGCGTGCATATGAGCCATTGTTCGGCGCGCCACTTGGACCCCTTGATTGTGTTGAAAAATTGTACGCATGAGTATCACCACAATGGAAGCCGACTTGACACGGAGCAGTCTGCCAGCATGATGATCCCATTGAAACTCGTGATACAGGTTTGCATATTGCCATGGCATAGAGATAGGAGTGACGGAGGTACATGACAATGCAAAGCAAATCGACAGCCCGATGCGACCGTTCACCGGTAGCTAATGAAAAGAATCAATTAGCGAGACAGCGAGACAGACAAGGAGGACGACGCACGATTTCTGCCTGCGAGCACGGGCACCGTGACCACCGAACTTCTTCGGCTCGCATCTCCGCGGGTCCGCAATGAGGAGTGTCCTGTCGTAGGCGACGAGCTTCTTCTTGAGCTCCATCGCGCTGAACGCGTCGACGTACTTCGCGTAGTACGCAACGAGCGCCTTCGCGATGGCCTGGCGGATAGCGTACACTTGCGAGGTGTGTCCACCACCCTTGACACGGAGACGGATGTCAATCGCGCCGAACGCCTCCTCGCCGGCGACAAGGATCGGCTCGTAGACCTTCATGCGGAGGATCTCCGGCTGGAGGAGCGTGATGGGGGAGCCGTTGAGGTGGATGAGACCACGACCCTCCTTGGCGTGAGCGACCGCCGTAGCAGTCTAGTCAGTGATGCCCTGGTGGTCAGTTACGGTGTTTGGACGTAAGTTGAGCGACAAGTACCTTCTTTTTGCCGAAGGTCTGGACAGCCTTGGTTGTTGATGCCATTTTGAGAGTAGCGGTGAATGGGCGACTTGCTGGCTGGAGGGATAAAGCGTCAGTGTCAAGTCCCGAAAGTGAAATCTACAGGGAGGCCGGGTCGCAGGTGGCCAATGTCATCCAACTGCCTGTGTTTCAATCCACCTGTTCTGGCCGGATTTTCTCCACCCAAATCATCATACGAGGTCGACCCGGCCTTCCAGCAGCATACCAGACCAGCGAAGTAGTATAACTCACCCCTCCAGAGGTCTTGAGACGTTGGACGAGACGGTGTGGAGGAATTTGGTAACCTCGCTGTGCGCGCTACCGACCCGGCAAATTCCCACGGAACGCCCGGCGAGACCAGGTTTGGCGCCCAGCGTAGGCTCTCTTCCCGATCTCAATGCTGTCTGCAATCCGGCGTGCGCTGGGGCAAGTGAGTGGTTGTACCGGCCGCTCTCGTGCAAATTTGGTTAACGCATATTTCATAGACAGCCCCACGGGCGTGCCGCAGGCTGTCCACAGCGATCACGGCGGAGCCGTTGGTTGGATCGTCCTTGGCTGTTGACGTTGCGGAGTCGTCGACTCAGGTCCTCAAGAATGCGCTGCAAACAACTCGGGTGGCATCACCGTCGGGTAAGTTCATTCTTTCATCCGTATTGAAGTTTGAGCTAACCGTCTCCAAAGGTGTAGTCAACCCTCTCGCGTTGCCTGTATACTTGACTATGTCGTCCCTCATTCGGCCTTCTGAAGACGCTCCGCTGTCGTCCGAGAACGTCGTGGAACTCGACCCGACCGTCTTTGCTCATCCCATACGACGAGACATCTTGCATCTGTGCGTCGTCCATTACTTGGATTCCCTTCGGCAAGGGACAGCATCTACCAAGACGCGAGGCGAGGTGCGCGGTTCCGGGCGCAAAATCCGACCTCAGAAAGGGACAGGTCAAGCTCGACTGGGTGACGGACAGAGTCCGATGCTCCGAGGTGGAGGTGTCGCGTTTGGACCGAAGCCTCGAGACTTCGCAACGAAGCTCAACAGGAAGGTCATCCAGATGGGCATGCGCGTCGCACTGAGCGCACGTGTAAAGGAGAACTCCCTCGGTATCGTGGAGAGCCTAGACTGGCCCTCAGGGAAGACCAATGACCTTGCGAAGCGGATCGACGAGCTTGGATGGAGGAAGACACTGTTTGTGTCTGGACTTGATACGATGCCGGAGGGGCTCAGGAAGGCGAGCAGCAACATTCCCAGGGTGGCGACTGCGTCTGCGAAGGATGTGAACGTGTACGACGTGGTCAAGTGGGAGAGGGTGATCCTTGACTTGGCCGCTGTCGAGTGGTTCGAGCGTATGCTCAGTAAAACCGTTGCCCAGGCTCCCCCGCGGGCATACGATGTATGAGCTCCCTCATTAGGTGTAGAGGTCATATTTGGGATATGATTTACAGCACATCATAATTTTTTTCTGCTACCAATTACTTGCACTTGCCTCCAGAGCGATCGCTTGGCTCTCTGTTGACGTCGGTGCCGTCACTGCCGTGCAAGAACTTGAAGAAGTCAGTTCTGCCAAAAGTGGTTGGACGCGTTCACGTGAGATGTCACGACGCGTCACGCGTCTCGACGCGCAAACACCGTGCCGCGCTTGACAGCTCTTGCTCTTCAGCTTCATCTCCGACCTCGACCTCGACCCTCCTCCTCCTCCCCTTAAGGTCGGTCCTTGCCCTCAAGAATGTCTCAGTCGCAAGCATCTCAGCATGAAGAGGAAGAGGAAGTCCAGGCCTCGGGTCCTCTGCTCGTTCAGAAGCTCCAGGAGGCGGGAATCAATGCACAAGATATCAAGAAACTCGCAGAGAACGGACTGCACACCGTCGAAGCCGTCGCATACACTCCCAAGAAGACCCTCATGCAGATCAAGGGTATATCCGAACAGAAGGCAGACAAGATCTTAATTGAAGGTGTGCCTTATCCAACCTACCGCTCGACCTCTCAATTCCTTACGCGTACCTGCAGCACACAGGATTATACCGCTTGGATTTCAAAGCGCAACAGAAGTACACGCCCGCCGCTCCGAGCTCGTGCACATCACCACCGGCTCCAAGAACCTCGACGCGCTGCTCGGCGGGGGCATCGAGACGGGCGCCATCACTGAGCTCTTTGGCGAGTTCCGTACGGGCAAGTCGCAGATCTGCCACACTATCGCAGTGACCTGCCAGCTGCCCGTGGACATGGGCGGCGGTGAGGGGAAGTGCCTGTACATCGACACGGAAGGGACATTCCGCCCCGTGCGGTTGCTTTCGGTCGCAGAGCGCCTTGGGCTGAGTGGTGAGGAGGTGCTGGACAATGTGGCGTATGCGAGGGCGTACAACGCGGACCACCAGATGTCGCTCCTCACGCACGCGAGTGCGTTGATGTCTGAGTCGAGGTAGGAAATTGTGCTAGCCTGACTATATGCGCGCATATTGACGAGCCCCGTCGCCTTTGATGTAGGTTTTGTTTACTGATCGTCGATTCTTGCACCGCGCTCTACCGTACGGACTTCAGCGGTCGTGGAGAGCTCTCTGCACGGCAGGCGCACCTCGGAAAGTTTCTACGCACCTTGCAGCGGCTCGCGGACGAGGTAAGGTTGAGTGCCCTGTACACCATGCTCTAGGTCTAATGGTGCTGTGAACAGTTTGGCATCGCTGTCGTAATGACAAACCAAGTCATGTCCAACCCCGACGCGTCGGCTGGCCCATATGCCGCCAACGAGAAGAAACCAGTGGGTGGTAACATCCTGGCCCATGCATCCACTACTCGGTAAGAACAAGTTATGTCTCCATGCTACAACTGTACTCATCTGCCATCTTAGTGTGCAACTCAAGAAGGGCCGCGGCGCGAACCGGCAGGCCAAGATCTATGACTCGCCCTGTCTCCCTGAATCAGAAAGCACGTTCGCTATCCTGCAGAGTGGTATTGGCGACCCAGAGGAGGATTCGTAGAGCCCAAGTTGGATGTTTGGTTTCGCGGATTGTTTGTCCAACGTTTGTCACACACGCATAAATCGGATGTATCAACAGCACTGTTATTCAATTGATGTCAATCTTTGAGTCTATGTTCGCAGGTCGTGAAGCAATCACGCGCAGCCAGCAAGCTATTCATTGACAGGCCTATGGTTTATCTTGAACATACAATCCTTTCGTTCTAATTATACAGCATCTAGGTGGTCAGCATATACGTATAGTACAATAGCGAGTGTCTCCAGTTGAGTGGAATATCCAGTTGAGTGGACGGACGAGCAACACAACACGGCGTCGTCCTTTTGATACAGTGGCAATGCCAACCACCTGACGTACCCAGTGAACGCTCCGAACACTACACCAATAACCGCGTGAGGATGTTCGCGCTCGTCTTGCTGAGAAGCTCGCGGAGCTTGTTGATGTCGCTCGGGCTGACGTCCGCAATGTCCGCCATGAGGTACGCGACGTCGCCCTTGGAGTCTGAGAATTGCTTCTCGACGTTGTACGGCGAGAGGACCTCGTTGACCTGGCGCAGCACGCCGGGGATGTTGTTGTGCACATGGCAGACGCGGATGCCCTGCTGCTCCGCGGTGATCGCGCGCAGGTCGACCTCAGGGAAGTTGACCGCGCCCATTGTTGAGCCGTAGTTGAGGTAGCGTGTCAGCGCGGAGGAGACCTCCTCGCCGATCATGCGCTGCGCTTCCTCGGTGGACCCGCCGATGTGCGGCGTAAGGATGACGTTGGGGATGGAGCGGAGGGTGGACGACCAAGAGTTAAGCTGATCGTCGAAGGGCGAGCCGTTCGAGCCGGGCTCAGAGGGGTAGACGTCAAGGGCAGCGCCGGCGAGGTGGCCAGACTTGAGCGCATCGACGAGAGCAGGGATGTCGACCACCTTCCCTCGAGCGTTGTTGATCAGGTACGAACCCTTCTTCATTTCTGCCAACTGCGCTCCGGAAATCATGTTCAGGGTTTCCGGGAGCTCGGGAACGTGCAGTGTGACGAAGTCGGACTCGTTCAGGAGCGCGTTGAGCGACTCGACCTGCCGCGCCGATCCCAGAGGCATGATGTTGACCACATCATGGAAGAGGACGCGCATACCGAACGCCTCGGCCAGCACGGAGAGCTGCGAGCCAATGTGGCCGTACCCAACGACGCCGAGCGTCTTGCCACGGATCTCCCAGCAGCCTTTGGACTGCTTGTTCCAGATGCCCTCGCGCATCTCAAACGCGCGCTGAAAGTACTGTCGCGAGAGCGCGATGACTTCAGAAATGACGAGCTCGGCGACGGAACGCGAGTTGGAGAAGGGTGAGTTGAAGACGGGAATGCCAGCTTTGGCAGCGGTCTCGAGGTCGACCTGATTGGTGCCAATGCAGAAGCACCCAATGACCAGCAACTGTAATGCGGGTAGTTAGTGATATGGGCAGTGCAGTACGCACGGAGACATACCTTGGATGCTGCCTTGATGACTCGCTCGGTGATCTTCGTCTTACTGCGGATACCGATGGCATGGTACTGCCCGATCTTCTCTACGAGCTCGTCCTCCGACATGGCCTTCGTGTGGTGGTCAACATGGAAGCCTTGCGACTGGAAAGCCTTGACGGCCTCTTGGCTGATATTCTCCAGAATGAGGAGCCTAAGGTGCTCGTTGTCGACGGGATGCAAGACCTTGGCCTCGCGGATCTTGGAGTTGACAATAGAGTCCCGTCGGGCGGCCATCCTGTCGTGGAGGGTGGTGGTGGTGGTCGGGGAAGCGACGACCTGGTTGTGGGGCTTCGGGGCGGGGATGCTGACGGACTGAGACATTTTGTAATGGCGAACACGCCTCAAGTTGTCGGCAGAGAATGGGGTGGTCCGAGTTGCAAGCGGCCGGGGTGCGATGGACTCATTTTTGCAAAGCTGGGAGTCATGATGCTGGGTCTGGGGCTAGGCGCCCAGCCATCGCCTCGACGCCATCCCCGCGCCATTCTCACATTACTTATGATTACTGACTGGGTCACTATTGGCGTGTATGGCTTCTATTACTCTCACTCTGATTAGATTAGATTGCCTTGACTCACCAAGTCCAGGATGCGCTGCAAAGCACCCGGCGCAACAATTCCTGTTCCCCGACCGCCATGAGCTTCTACCTGCTCGACTACGGCGCAGGTAACGTCCAAAGCCTCGCCAACACCCTCACCAAACTCGGCTACGAGTTCAAGTGGATTGCCTCGCCGGACGACTTTGACAAGGCGACGGTGCGGGCTCGCTTCCTTTCCGCGTGCATCGGAAACCACTCACGTACGTTTGCAGAGCCTCATTTTCCCTGGTGTTGGCGCGTTCGGCAGCGCCATAGACGGCCTCAACTCGCGAGGCTATCTCGAGCCCCTACGTAAATACATTGCGTCCGGACGACCGTACTTCGGAATATGCATCGGACTGCAGGTCCTATTCCAGGCCTCTGCAGAGTCACCGTCCCACACCGGACTCGGCATTGTACCCTCTAGAATAGAAGAGTTCTCTAGCGCGGACAAGTCGGTCCCGCACATGGGATGGAACTCAGTCGAGTTCTTAGATCCTGAGCACAAGGCAAACGAGGGCCTGGACGAATCTTTGCACTACTATTACGTGCACTCATACCGCGCCAAGTATGACTGGACCCACCCCGAGTCTGCACAGTGGGTGCACAGCACGACGCAATACGGGCAGGAAGTCTTCGTCGCGTCGGTATGCAAAAATAACGTCTTCGCCACCCAATTCCACCCCGAGAAATCCGGCCCAGCAGGCCTTAAGCTCCTCGCGGGCTGGCTCAGCCAGCCCCAGTCGGGCCGCACCTCCGTCCCTCCTACACAGCCCATCCCCCGCGCACCAAAGTCGAAAGGTGGACTTACGAAGCGCATCGTAGCATGTATGGACGTCCGCTCGAACGATGATGGCGATCTCGTCGTGACAAAAGGCGACCAATACGATGTCCGCGAGAAGGCCCCGTCGACCTCCGACGGCACAATTACTGGCGGTCTCGCAACGCGCACCGCCGGCGCCGTCCGCAACCTCGGCAAGCCCGTCGCACTCGCCGCGCGATACTTCGCCGCCGGTGCGGACGAGCTCTGCCTCATGAATATTACCTCCTTCCGTCACTCACCCCTCCTCGACCAGCCAATGCTCGCCATTGTGCGCGCGGCGGCAGAAGAGGTCTTTGTACCGCTGACGATCGGCGGTGGGATCAAGGATACGGTCGACCCGGATGGCACACCGCATTCCGCGCTTGAGGTTGCTGGTACGTACTTCCGGGCGGGCGCGGACAAGGTCAGCGTCGCGACGGAGGCGGTGTTCGCGGTCGAGCGTATGCGCGAGCGCGCGAAGGATGGAGGCATCGGCGAAGGCGATGGCACGAGCGCCATCGAGACCATTGCCCATGCGTATGGACGCCAGGCCGTCGTCGTGTCGATTGATCCGCGGAGAGTGTACGTGGAGCCGGACTACGTTGGACCGTACAAGAACGAGCTCGTCTTCGGAAAGCCTGACGGCGCGGAGAAGGAGCGCGGAAAGGCATGGTGGTACCAGTGCACAGTGAAGGGCGGACGAGAGAACCGCCCACTCTCTGTGGTACAACTCGCTGAGGGCGTGGAGAAGCTCGGCGCTGGAGAGATCATCCTCAACAGCATCGACCGCGACGGCACTGGCCTCGGCTTCGACATCGACCTGGTGAAATTGGTGAGGAAGAGCGTCCGAATACCCGTCGTAGCAAGCAGCGGTGCGGGGAAGCCGGAGCACTTCGTCGAGGTGTTCGAGAAGACCGGCGTGGAGGCCGCATTGGCGGCTGGCATATTCCACCGCGAGGAGGTCAGGATACAGGACGTCAAAGAGACGTTGGCTACAGCCAATATCACTGTCAGGACTTAGAGGGCTCTCATATCTTAACGCTTATTTATGTAGATCTCGCGAGATGTAGCAGCTGGGATGGCAGTCATGAACACTTGTATGCATCGTGCGAACAATTGGCTACAGACACAATGTGTCGGTGACCTCGAATGCGCAAGTCATGCACGACGACTCGCGCCGAAGGAGAGACAGACAATTAGTGAGCGGTTCCGGACTGCTTTTCGAGAACGGCTCAGGCATCCCGCTCGGTCTGGAGAACAGCGCTCAGTACGAGCCGCCGTTGATCTGTGAATGGACGTTCAGGGGGCTGAAAGAATGGCCATATAAGATGAGTGGACGCACCTTAGCGTCGTTGGCAGAGACAGTGCCCTGTTTCCCGCCGGAGATGGTGAGCTCTTTGAAATCCCAGGTGCTAACCAAGGCAAAAGTCATTTTTATTCCAACGATTCGTTGATTTTGACAGCGTACCCGGTGCATTTGCCGCAATCGATGGTAAGACGGTAAGCGTTAGAGTCGACGGCAACAGTGGTGGCCTCGCCGTCGAAGTTCACATCGCTGTGCTCCTGATCAGAACCACACAACGTGTCGAGGCGAGAGTCGAATGTTACCTGATGGTGGTGTCCGTGCCAGGAGTACCATCATTGTCTGGGTAAGACTTGAGGAAAGGGTTAGGTCCATCGTGAGTGGCAGCTCAGCCAATCAACTTACCTGCGTGATCAGGACGCCGTACTCCGAGATGCCAGAGATCGTATTCCTGGCGACTACAGTTAGCTTGGGCACCGAGTCCTGAGTTCGTTGTTGGCTTACTGAGAGTAGGTGATGTCGCTGACGCTTCCGCTCGTGGCATCCTTGTCCACCTTGATGCGAATTCCGTACATCGAGTCCGTGACGGTGTTGCCTGCGAATGTCACGCCTGACACAGTCTTGCCCGATGCAATTGAACCAATCGACATGCCTGTTCGGCGATGCGTGTCAGGTCTCGTTTTCAAAAGGCACAGCAGATCACTGATTACCATGGCCGCCAGAGCAAGTGTTGTCCTCAAACACAATGCTCGAGCCTGAGTTGATAGCGATACAGTCATCCTGGTTCTTAACGACTAGTAAAACGTTTTCTTGAATACACCTGAATAGAGCCTCTGTTGATTTGACGTACCGCAGTTAGCGATCTTGACGTTGGAAGCCGAGACATCGAAACCCTGCATAATCCGGTGAGCCAACATCCAGCTCCGAGTAATTCTGGTTGCTAACGTCAGTGTTGTGCCCGAGGTCATCGGTATCTCCAGCGGAGTTGTCGACGGTAACCTTGCTGATGACCAATGTGTCATCGTTCCCTACTGAAATCGCCTGAGCAGGAGTGTTGAGAACCTAGCAACGCATAAGTTCCACAGGGAAAGAGCGAGTGAAAACGTGACTGGATGCGCACAGTAAAATCTTCGAAAGTCCCAGACGCCTTGATCCTGGCCCGACAGGTCAATCATGTGCGATCTTAGCTGGAATTTATGATGACTACTTCATGAAGGGGTGGGGCTTGGTCTTGCCACCGTTAGTACCCTTCCCATCCCAGTAGTCTGCGCCGTTGCCCTGCATCGAATGAAGTCAGGAGTCCGTTACAACGATTAGTCACGTTAGCGACTCACGTCGAAGGTGTAGTCACCACCGTTGAAGGTCACATCACTGCCCTCTAGAGAATGATACTGTCTATACTCATGCCCTGACACGGCGGAAGAGAAGCCAGAAACAAACCGAAAGTGATCAGAGGTCCAGATGCTAGAGAATGCAGGTATAAGAGGGATCGGAGGACATTGCAGAAATATGTATGACTTGCCCGTAGTACTTGCAAAGGTGACATCACCAGTCATGGTGACGGACGCGCTATCTGCGAACTGAACGTAGCTCAAATGAGCGGTGTGCGGGCAAAGGTAGAGGGATTTTACTTACACTCATTGTAATGGTATCTGTAACGGGCGAGTTGACTATTCAGTCACTACGCACATAGTGTACGAAACCGCCAAATACTCACCACCATCAGGCACAGTGAATTCTTTGATGACCACAGTTGAGCAGTCAGAAACGTCGTTCGCGGTTGAGACCGAGTCAACCGTGCAAGTCGCCCGCTTAGCTGTCTTCGTGCCCTCGGGCACGGCAACAGCGCGGAGGACGAGCAGGGCCACGAAGAGCAACGTCGTGCTGAACATGGTTCAAGAGGCTGCCTTTGTGAGTCTGGATGAATCACTGGTGGCCACAGAGCTCCAGCGATGTCCTTTTATGCGTTGGAGGGATATCGACACCATGCGGAACGTTCAAAGCCGTGGGTTGTACGATGATGCTTGGGTGCAATTCCTACATAGACGGACCGCGAAACTTGCTGAGGCTGAGGGCGTGGGCAGTCTCTGCGGGCCGGCGGCCACATAATTAGAAATACCCGAATGATCTTGAGGTTGTCTCAAAGAGCAGAGATTGGTCGCCAGGGCGATCACGATGACTTTGACGCATGCGCAACAACGCCTGGGAGCGGCGTTCACGATGGGATGAGCATACCATGACCGCGATCAACGGGCCTTCTCTATAGCTTCCTATTCAAATCTTCTCAACCCGACGGTCCGCTCCATCCCGACAGATGCGTGTGCCCTGCGGTACCGTCAATCATCGTCCGGCTTACCTGGTACGCCTTAGTCTCCCCTAGGCCTAGGCAGACCTGAAAGAAGACCTGACGGGAGGGGGGCGGTCTTCTAAGGGCTTCGTCGCAGCTTGAAGGTTCGACACGTCCGTTGAGTAACCGAATGGCCCGACATGGACTTCAGCGGTCGTTCTAGAGGCTAGTATGTACGCACTCCATGAATGATCTTGACCTCGTCGCAGGCTCTGAAAATGAAGGTGGAGAAGCTCACCAGTCGACGTTGACCTGTCCCAGAGATGCTTGCGCTGTACACTGCACCCGAGTCCAAATACGTATGGTTGTTACTGCGTTGGCGGCCCGGTTCACTGCGGTTCCGAAGCCTGAGCATAATATGTAACATATGCACTTTGCTACCGCGCATTTCTGGACCAACCCTCACCATCATAAGCAACATGCAAAACTTCTTACGCATCACACCCTATCCCTCGTTCCGGAAGTGTTGCAATTGGAAGCGCATGTGGGCGTACCGGCGTGAGGTTACCGTCGACACCGTGACAATGGCACTGAAATGCCAAACCGGCACGCTTGCTCTCGTAATGAGTTAGTACAGCCTCGGGTCAGCCTCCCGAGAGATACATGAACACGAACCTGACATCATGCATCACCACTCGTTCGGTCAGATGCTAATCCTTTTACGAAAGTCACGGAGAAATACCCACATTGTCATGAATAGGCTCCACTGCTGTTGGCGTGCGGCCCGGGAAATGGTAACTCGAGCATGTCATCGTATTCCGCTTCGGCGCGTCTTAGCTTCCCTCCCAGCCCATAGGCAAAGGGGGTACTAGACTCCAGGATCACGATGAGATGCGCGCCCGGACGGTCCTTGCCCGACTGCGTCGGGATGACCGCCCTCCCTGGAGGACTACACTACGAGACTACAGGCAACTACGCTGACAGGGCCAACAAGACCGCGCATCCCAAACAACGCCGACGCCCCGTCACAACGGTATTTCTCTTGGCGATGACATTACTTGGGCTGCTCACAGAGTAGCTACCATTGACCGACATGCCGTCGCGAACCACCCGCGACAGCACGCCGATCTAGAACAGAGCTATCTGGGATGGCCTTGGGCTGGCGGAGGCCCAAGACTGCGGGTCAGGCAGATCGTAGACCTGCCATGCGCTTAGGAAGCAATGAATACTCGTGTGAAGTGAGATTGAAGACGAGAACTCACTGGGACAAGAGCTCACCGCCACCCCCTTCGACTCGAGGGGATGGCGGTTGACAGCAACGGATCGAGCTTGTTGTATGGTATACGAGCGAGGGGGCTGACAACGGAGTGGCCAGCGTCCACGACGCATTACTCGCAACCCTGACTGTAGCTGTGTCAGCCTCACTGTTTGGTATTTCGCGACACACCCTAGCACACCCTTCGCGAACCGTGACAAAATCGAGTGGTGTGCTTGTGCCCAACTCGAGACGTATTCGTCGCCAGTTGTGACAGGATGCACCGTTCTCTTGCACGATGCAAGCGACGATGTTTCTGACGAAGCAACCATCACACAGCTGTGTTGAAGAGTCTCTCGAAATCGCAGATGCATGACTCATCGTGACAACGATAGGTGTGTGTTGTTGTCGGGTCTGCAAAGCCGACGTGTATGCGGACAATCTATGCAGAGTACGAGGACCCAGAGCACTGTTTCTTCAACACGTTTGCTCAGCATCGAGTGAAGCATACAAGGTGACAAAGCTCACCTTGAACTGGAAAATAATCCGAAGGTACGAGCACACGGTACCGAGCTCTCCGGATATTATTGTCGTTGAATATCCGAACATTGTGGCCCGCCAGATTGCATTGCGGCTCCGGATAGCAAACCTGCGTTGCCTTTAAGCACTTGCAACGCTGAGCCTTTTTGAGATCAGGCTGCCTTCACATCACTGGATCCTTTTCTGTTCTCATAAGCAGGACGCATGTGCACGTCGGGGCAAGACACAATGTTGGTACAGCCAACAACGACGCACTATCTCCGCACCACAAGGAGTATATATGGCTTCGGTAGCGACAACGCCCCTTGAAGTCAGACGACTTGAACGCACATCACGCCCACTGCCTGCATCGCGGTAATTACTCAACGTAGTCCTGGATGAGTGATCAATATCATGTTGAGCGGGAGGCAGTGCGACGTACCGTTACCTACGCCAAACCACTAGAGGCTGTCTCCCACCGCTGAGTAAGTAGCTAGTCTCAACTACAGAGTTGTATAGGACATAATGCGACGCGACAGCGGGTATGCACGCAGGATCTCGTCATTACAATACACACATATATACGGACTGATCACTGGTGGGGATTGCTACTGTGCGGACGCGATATGGAACGGAGAAGGAGAATACAAGCCGTACAATAGGGATGGTGGGGTTATGGAGAAGCAGCATGAAAAACGTAAACGAGTAGGGAACGTTTGGGTGACCGAGCCGCTGGGACAACAACGAAGGGAGGGAACAGAACAGGATGAATCGCGATGGGCCCGGTGTATTTACAAATTGGTCAGTCGACGGAAACACATGATTCCAGACGGCCCTGAAGACGAAGACAGCAAATCTACGGAGACAAAAGGCAGAAACGTGTTCACACGGTTCCAGCAATAATAGGAGCGCGGAAGGAGGGCATACAGTGACCATGGGGGACGTACCTCGCGGCACGCGAGGCTGTTGGGCGGGACGCCGTGTATATCATGCTATTCACTTGCCGCCTTTCACGACGCCCTTCATCTTCTTCATCAAGCTCGTCTTCCTTCCCAGGCCAGGCGAGCCGCCATCGATGGGGTCATCGAAGTAGTCTCGCTGGGGCTGCGCCCTCGGAGGAGCCGGTAGGTCCTTGTCCGTGTTCACTGGTACGGGATCCTCCACATAGACGTATCCACCCTCCTCGCTACCGGGCGAAAAGTCGTCCTTGCGAATGTTCGCGGCGCGACCGAAGCGACCAAGGAACGACTGCTGAGGCCGGTGCGTCGGGCGCGTGCCGTGACCAGGAGCGGACTGAGTTGTGATCGAGTTCTCTTCCGTGGAGGAAGTGGGCGAGGGATCGCGTTCACCGCCGCCCACCGGCACGTTTGGCGAGTCGCGCATCTGCCGGATGCGGCGCATGAGCGACTTGTTGCGCTTCGGTGTGCCGTTGCCAGTAGGGGAGGGAGGCTCCTGCTGTTCGAGCGGAACTTCCCCCTCCCCCTCCGGCACAAAAATTGGCTGGGGAGGAGGAAGGTTGCCGCGCCTAGAAGCCTGGCGGCGAGCATCGGGGCGCTCTTCACCGCGGGAACGGCCACTGCGATCAGTGCGCTTCCCGGCGCCGTTGCGGTTGCTGTACGTAGGATACTCCCCATTGGGTCTGGTTGCTCCACCGCCGGCCGAGAAATCCTCGAAGGGCTCTGGCTCATGAATACCCCAAGCCTCCGCGATGGCATCATGCCGCTTCTTGGGTGCTTCGTAGGGGACGTATACGTCAGGAGATGTAGGATACGGCGAGTCGCCTGCTCGGGGAAGTTCATGAGCGGCGGCGAGAGCAGCCTTATCACCCTCCGTGACGGCACTCCATGCCATCATCGGGGCCTTCGTACGGTGCTTGTTGCGGGATGGTGCGCAAGCATCGAAGGGGCCGTCATGATGGAACACTTTGAAACACAGTCAGCATCTGGCTCATCGGCCAAGGGGAGGCAGACGTACTAGGACCAACGCCAGAGAAATCGAGCCTATCAATGACATCGGCATGGGAGGATCCCTTCTTCGCCTTCGTACGAGAGCGCGGGCCATTCTTGTTCTTGTCGGCGTCGCGGCTCGTTGTCTGGATCCCCGAGTCTTGGGAGTGAGAGCGACGTGAGGCACCGGTTGATGGCCGCGTTGGACTATCGGAGGAGGAGACGAGGCAGAGAGAAAATTAGGGGTGGTGTCATTAGAATCTACGAGATGAGATAAGAGCTCGACGACGTACGCGGGGACCTCTGTGTTGCTCCTGCCCATCCGAGTGCGAGGAGAGCGATCGCCGGATCTTACTTGGACTGCATCGCGGACGGCTTCGACGACGTTGTTGTCTCGGCTCATATTCATGGGGACAGCAGGCTGAGCCCTCCTGATGGATGTTGATTTAGGGAGACTCTTGGGCGGAGGGGGCGGGGGGCGGTGAGACGCAGACTGAGGGGGAGCGTTGCGAGTGAGGGTCGGGACACCGTACGAGGAGTAGGCGGGAGTGTGAGAGTCGTTGAAGGGGTCAGAAGGAGTCGCTCTGTGGCGATGAGGTTTGGCCGCAACCTGCATGACTAGAAGCGAGGAGCTGATTCGCCTGTTTGGTCAGGCGATAGGCTCGGCAACTTACCGCCAGTCTGACACCTGTTGCCACGCCAAGTTTATTGGTTGATATATGCGATGCGACCGATTTCAGCAGCGAAGAATTGCGAGGAGATGGTGGTTGGAGATAAAGAGAGGCTGAGAGCGGGGCTGGGGACAGGAGCAGCGTATGTACGCGCGACGTTTGGGTTGGGAGTGCCCAGCGGACGGGGGCATCCGGCGCTAGCCCGAACAAACTCCACACCGTCAGCCTGCCCCCTATGGCAAGTCATGCGGCGCCTACGCCCTGCCCTGCCCCGCCCCCGCTGACCGACTCGGAATGCCTCCGTGCTTGCCCCATGTAGTTCATCACATTCGCTGATAGTAGCAATACAGGCTAGGACAGGTACAGCTCCCAACAGATGGGCTGTGTAACGCCTCGAACAATGGCTGTGGGCTGCACACGGCTGTCGTCCCATTCGAGCTCGGTAAAACTCCAAGTCGCGAGCTCGAACCGGAACTCAGACGGAACTCACGCCTCCTCTCCCCCGGGAAATCCACCCACGGTCCAGGCCTCGGACCCAGAGTCACCAACGGTGACCAACGATCACCCAAGCAATCATACCCAAATCTGCTTCGCGACCTCCACCACCAGCTCCAGCTTGCGTCGTTCCTCCTGTCGACATCATATCGCTCAGATCGACCATGAGAGTTACTGGCTGCGCAAGAAACACACCTCCTCGCTGATCGGGTTGCCCTCAAACACAGACGCAAAGCCGCATTGCGGGCTCAGACAGAGTCTGGTGGTCTCAGTCAGCCAACCTGCCTCGATGGTCAGCAAATCGTCCGCTTACTGATTCAACGCGTCCTGTCTCGAACGTTTCGGTTCCCCTTCTGAGACTATCATGGCAGCCTCCTCGATGCGTGCCTTGAGTTCCGCGATGTTTTCAAGCTAAGTTACCGGACAGCCGCATGGATTCAGCGACGTCACAGACCCTGCACATTGCATGACGGAACTGCGCGCACCTGAGGAACCTTCGTTGACACAAGCCCTAGCACGGCAATTTTGTTGCGCGGTAGAAATCGCAATGGCTCAAAGCCTCCCGAGCGTTCTGTGTCGTACTCTAGCTACGTAACCCAAGATTTCTAAGGTTGAGCTAGTGCATCGCAGGGGGCAATGACTGAACGACCCACGTAGTAGCAGTCGACGTCCAGATTTCTGAAATATTTCTCCGCTATTCTCTCGAGGCTACCCTCGCAATAGTGCATCCCCTAAAACGGGGTTCAACTTGTGCATCTGAACATCAGCGAGCGAGTGATGAATGGCACACCTTGAAGTTACCTCTGCACGTGTGGACGCCCACAGTGAGATCCCCCGGGCGCCCTGCAAGGATACGGTTATAGATCTCTATGTACATGTCCAGAAGGCCTTCGTGGTTGATGCCGGCCTGCTCCATGCCCGTGATCATCGATTCCGCACAGAAGAAGGCGAACGTTGGATCATCGAACTGAATGTTACGACATCCCAGCTGATACAGTTCGTCTATCTCCTCGCGATACGCCTTGATGAGGTCCTCGAAGTACTCGGCTAATGATATATGAATGGCATCGCCTGTATTCAGGGACCATCACTCACCGTCGGATGCATAGACGGATTTGTCGTACGTGTGTTCGGTGCCATGGCGAAGGTGCATCCAGGTAGGACCGCAGATGGGAATTTTGACGTACTTCACATCCTAATCATAGCTGAGAAGGCTGGGCGCCAGATGGATAGGAACACTGACTTCTGGCACAACGAGTCCCCTCAGGAACTTGAAGTCCTCGGTATGGACTCCTTTCGTCCGTTCAATTTTTCCCTGCAGTCATAGCGGCGTCAGAAATCACGGCCGCTTTATCGTATGCGTGATGAAATCACTCGCCGTTGTATAAATCGACGAGTACTCGGTGAGACCCATCATGTGGAAGATAGCCACGTAGGGAAGATATGCCTTGTAGAGGATATATGAGATGGTACGGAATGGAAAGAGTAAGTCGCCTGCGTCGCGGGGGTTCTTACCTTGAAAGTGGATAGAGAACCTTAGTATAAGCATTAGATAGTACTTCCACGGATTTCCGTTATCCTTACGCTCAGGGACGACCGTCATTCCGCCCAAAGTCTCGAACATGCCCTGATAAAAGGCGCCTCTGTGAAGGTATGAGTGACAATACTCAATACATTCGAAACTGCCGTACCTGCGCAATTCGCCGTCAGTTATGCTCTTGATTCCGACTTCTTGCTGTAGCTTGACGACTGCAGGGATACTGTCATTCTCCACCACCTGCAGGTCTTCGTGGCTACACTTCTGGCCCTCATACTCGAAGCGCTTAGCGATAAGCGTCTGCGGGCGGAGGAGCGAGCCTATATGCTCGGCGCGGCAGGGAGGATCGAGATGCAAAGCCATTGATGCAGGATACTGGGGGACCACTGTGGATAGCTGTCGCATAAATACTCGGCGGAAGAGCCGTAAGCTGCGAGACACTCGGATCGGAACCGTAATGTGGGTCCCTTCGAGAAGACACATCCATACACTTCGGGCAAGCGTAGCCAGCAGGCCCTGCGTTATGAGAGACGGATCGGCGCGATTCATATTGTCTATCGCGATTGAAGGCAATGTGGTCTTGACGCGGACGTAGGGATCCTCCGAGTGTCGCGGAGGCCCTGCAGAGGGTGCAGCTCGCCAGGCCGTTCTTTACGGACAAACCTAGTATATTTAGCAGAGGAGAAGCATAGAAAATTTTCCAGAGGGACGGGGCTTGTCATGAGAACGCGCTCAGTGGCAGCGGAAGGCAGATCGTGAGAGAGAGGGATAAGTTCATGACCATTCATGCCACACTGCACCTTGCTGCTTCTGGACGGCACCAAGGTGCACAGTGCATCTGCCCTAAGTACAGTACCACTGTTGTACCGCGTCGGCGACATTGTCTGCGATGCGAGGATGAACTGTGACCGAAAAGCAGAACCTCAGCGAATTGAAACCAAGGTGTCGTGGAACACTCACTGCCAGAAAGAACGCCCGATCCCTGACCCTACAGTACAAAGCCCCACGGGCAAAGTCGATTGCCACCCGAGCTAGAGCTTAAAGCCGTACCCTACAGAGACACCGTTGCCGCCGTGTGAGCGGTCCTAAGTACTGGTGCACACCTTGATGTGCGATGAGTGGCGCCAACACAGGAACTGACAGACGTCCGTATGCGAGGCGAAGTGAGGCTACAATACCAAATGTTCCAAAAGAGCTTAGATCTTGCTGAACGGACACTGGAGGGGTGTGCCAAGGGATAGTTTATGGGAGTGCTTGACCAGGAGTCGCGCGCCACTCTTCGCGTACCCGCCCAATGGTTTAGCGCTCGCAGCCACACGGCATTGACGCGCCGATGCAACGCCTCGCGATTTGCCGAGGCAACAAACTGAATTCCTCAGTGTTGCCCGACCCTCGTCAAGTCAACCCTCATCAAGGTCAGTATGCCCCTCTGTCGCCTGGAAAGCAGTCAGGAAGCCTCTATGACCTCTGCCTGGACGGCCTGTGTGGTCGAAATGCAGGATTTCGAGTGGGAAAGTGGTGGATGGGCCGTCCAAGCAGTGGATGTAGTGACGCCTGGCATTCTCGCGACGTCTCCACGAACCCTGCTAACAGTAATATCGCAACTTCCCTTCTAGATTCGCCATGGGTTTCGCGCACAACAACGGTCCGTCCGTGCTGCTAGAGATTTGTTGTTGAGGATGCTTACTTGAATGCCGCAGTCCTTCACGATAACCATTTCCGCAAGGACTGGCAGTCCCGCGTCCGCACCTGGTTCGACCAGCCCGGGCGCAAGCTCCGTCGCCGCCAGGCTCGCAAGACCAAGGCTGCTGCCCTTGGTGTGCGCCCGCTCACTCTCCTCCGCCCCGCCGTCCGCGCACAGACCGTGCGCTACAACAGGAAGGTCCGCGAGGGTCGTGGATTCACCCTGGGCGAGCTCAAGGAGGCCGGCATTGGCAAGAAGGAGGCCCGCGGCGTTGGCATTGTTGTCGACCACCGGAGGCGAAACCTGAGTGAGGAGGGCAAGGCGATCAACGTGGAGCGTCTCAAGGCGTACAAGGCGCGCCTCATTGTCTTCCCCCGCAACCTCAAGAAGCCCAAGAAGGGCGACTCTACCGTGCGTAAGACTCATTTACGATGTTACACATATGAGCTCAATCTTGGCTCTAGGGCGAGGAGCTCTCTGCCCCCACAACCCGGTCCAACCTCCCTCTCCCCGACCCGTACGCCCACGAGGCTCCCCGCCAAATCTCCGAGGAGGAGCGCGAGTTCCAGGCGTACCGCACCCTCCGCCAGGAGCGTGGGCGCGCTCGCAACGAGGGTCAGCGCAAGGTGCGGGAAGCCAAGGTGAGATCTATGGTTCACAGACTATGGACAGGTTCTAACGTCAAGCTATCACTCTGCAGAAGGCGGAGGAGGAGGCGAGCAAGAAGAAGTAAAGCGTTGCTTACTTGCATTCCCTCACATATCTCGTCCTCACGTCCTTTCCCTTTGCACTGCCTATGTACACAAAAATTGGCGACGCCCGGGGTTACTGCATTACATGCCCTATGCACCGATTATGACATGCTCTTGGTGGAGTATTCTCAAACACATCCTCCATGCTCTATCTCACTCGCGCGCGTGACATTGTCGTGAGATAAGTTTTCTACAACGACGTACATCATCATATTAAAAGGTTAGTAGCAATATCTTTGAATTCATCAATCGTGGCCCTTGATAGCCTCCGTGATCTCCGCATCCGCGACCATGCCCATAATCTTCATTTGGTCCGAGACCGCCTTCAGCACCCCCAAGACGTCTCCGTTACCCTCCACGAACCCAAACTCAGCGTACTCCAGGCCCTGCTCCTTGGCAAACTCCTTCACGAGCTCACTGGCCTTCCGCAGGTTGTGCCTTGACAGACGGGGGAACATGTGGTGCGTCACTTGGAGATGGAGACCACCGTGGATGAACTCGATCGAGGGAGAGCAGATGACATCCACCGTCGTCCGCAACTGGCGAGCGAAGAATGACTCGGTGACTCCCAGATCCTCGGTCGAACGCGAGAAGTGCGACAGGACGATCTGGCGAGGACATGATGTCAGCCCAAATAGTGTGGATTCTAAACACGTATTTACCTGAACGTGCACAGGGCTGGCAGCGATGTGACTAATCAGCAGGTAAAGCAGCGCCTTGCGCCATGTTCCGCATCCACTGAGGACGTTCAGGTACCAGCAGTAGAACAGGCCAAGACCGAATATCTCTGACCACCACCACCAGCGGCCGCCGACAGCGCGTTTCGGCTCGAAAGCCGTCTTAGCGAGGTAGGTGTAGGACAGGGCGTAGAGGTTGAACCGGGCCAGGGACAGTACGAAATAGTACAGCTTGTGCTGCACGGAAATGAGCAGCTTGCTGAAGCTGTCGAACACCATGACGCGCTTGTAGTAGGAGGAATAGAGTGACTTGAAGTATGCAGTGGAGATGGCGAAGAATGGTAGGTGTTGAATATCGGGGTCGCTAGTTGCATGCCGGCTTAGAGGTGATTACACACGCGTACGACGAGAAACTCACTGAGTTGGATGATTCGTAACGACTTGATGTACGGTCTGAGCATACTGACACAAATCTGTGAATGAACGACTCACGATGATGAACATTATGATTCTAAAGAGCGAATCAATTCGCTGCCCTCTACACACATTGTAGTGCACTTACGTTGACCCACCACCCGATACTGAGCCCACCGAGGAAGTCGGCAACGAAGATGGCGATAAGTCGATCGTATACCCAGTTGTGCGTTACACCGACATGACCCAAGTCATGGGCGAAAAACGTGAGTTGTTGCCAGAATAGCCCCAGACAAATCGCACTCGGTACGAGCCAGCCTTTCGAGTAGAAGAATGCAGCGAAGGCACCAAGCAGGGTGTATCTAACGACCTCGGGGCCATATCCAGTTAGGAAGGGTGTCTCATAGAGACCTGCGTCCACAACACGTTTGTGGAGTTCCTTGTACGCGGCCGAATGCTGAGCCTGCAACTTCGGCGTAAGAGTAGTGGGTGGAGGCTGAAGAGTGGAGAGTGAAGGGCCTTGTGAAGCCGGCGCGCAGTCGGCTCTTTTGATGAGTAGGATCTCGGAAGCTGGTGCAGAGGGCGTATGCTCAGAGGACTTCACCGCCGTAGCCTCGTTGTACCATTCCGGCTTCCCGTCTGCCCCAAGCCTTCTGACCCAGCCGTTCATGATGGGAGGGACCAGCGGTAGCCATCCACCGTCCCCGGTTTCTAAAATTCCGACCACATAGCCCTTCATCCTCCTGAGCGTTTCTTGAGAGTGGAATGCGTGAATCTCGTCCGTGGCATCGCGTCCAACGAAATGCAGTATAGCGAGGACGCCGCCGGGATGTGATGCGAGCCATGATGGAGGGACGCGGATGACCTGGTCGTCGAGGATGACGAGGGTCTCGCCCGCGAGGATGCGAGCTGCGACCTGTTCGCGGGTCCAGAGGGGCGAAGGGCGGCCCATCGCAGAGTCTGATGAGCAACTTTGAGCAACCGTCCGGACTCCCATCACTGCCTGCGACCTCACGCGTATATCGGTCACATGGAAGCGCCAGACAGCCACCGCTCCCACACATGCACAAACACACACCACGGTCTCGACGAATCGGGAACTCGAACCTCGTTCATCCTCCCGCCCTCAAGACCGCGCGAGACCCTTCCCAGGCGAGACCCGCGCCTCAAGCATTCACAGACTCGCAGCTGCCGTCGTGCGGCGAAGATGGTCAAGTACATCAAGCCTAAGCCTCCCACTCGGCGTGAGCTTCGCATCGCCGAGCGGGACGCGAAGAGGGCGCGTCGCGTCGGCCTGGCAGGGCAGCGCTCACCCAGATCCAAATCGCCGACTTTCTCCAAGGCTACCTCTATCCATACTACATTGAATGAGCTGGATGGGAACGTTTCACCGATTCTGATTGTGCGCTCACCATCGCCAGGCGGCTCTCCCAGGCGCAGAGGCATGTGGTCGCGTCCGGGTTCTCCCACTACGGGCCATCGCTCGGACAACCGGTATGACGCTCCCATTCATGATCGTCATCTCGTCTCAAGGTGTTCACAGACCTGCGGGAAGCCTTCAACTGATGACCAGCTGTATTCAGTTGTGTAACGCCAACTTAGAGCAGATGAAGCAGGTCAGCCAACGGTTAGACCTGTTACGAGATAGACCTCCATCTCCAAGTGCCGTCACCTCTGCCGACTGGAAGAGGCGCAGCCAGTTGTTGCAGAAGAAATACGGTGGCACCACCTCTCCCTTGTCGTCATCAAGCTCGTTCGGGCTCATCCAAACCAGCTCGGTGCTTCTGAATGGAGAACGCTCTCTGCTTGTTGCGAATGATCAGTCTTCTCCGTCCTGCTCGGCTGATACTGGCAGCAACTCTGGCTCTGTGGCTGCTCACGACGTACCTCTGGCCGCTGTTAAAACAGCCTCAAGCAAATCATCTGGAACAACTGGTCAACAAACCGCTTCGTCATGCACTCTTACAATCATCTCGAAGACCTCTGGTGCTACCAAGTCCTGCGACACACGCAATATCACTCCCGGCTTCAGCGCCCCTCCGCGACTTATTCCTAAGCGATCGTCGTCAAGCTCTCTGTCTTCGAACACTGCGGTACGATCGACTGGTTCTGTCTCCCCGATTCCAGATTCTGCCTCAAAGGCGACCTCGAAGACGATGCACGGGCCGTCTTCCTCCAGGCTCGATGGTCCTCCAGTCGCGACTGTGCAAGGGTCCAGGGCTCGCATAGCCTGTAGTACTAGCTTGAATAACGCTCGGCCTCAGCCTGGCCGTGCTCCATCTCCCGCTCGCACGGTCAGCGGTACTCGCCTTGCTGCTGCTCGACCTACTCCCATGCGATCTGCTAGCCCTACGGTCTCTGATGCGACTGGATGTGCTGCGAGTCCATCTGGCGCCAAGTTGGACAGCACACTGAAGACAGGACCTCCTACGGAGCGCAAGCCAGGTACTGTGCCGCGCTCGCGAACCCCAAGTAACAGTTCAGTATCCGCCATTCGTCAGCCTGCTGGTCCCGGACGAAGCAGCAATCTCGCAGCCGACCGACAGAGTCGCACTAGTACTTCGCCTGTTCCTAGGGCCACTGGTCCTCGCGCTCAGGTTGGGAAAGTTTCTGAACCATCCAAGGTCTCCCAACCCTCAGGCTCATCCAAGGCTTCCACTATCCCCGCCGGAGGCACTCCCAATATCACGGCACTGCGACTCTCCGTTCAGGCCATATCTCGCCCTGCCGCTGACACCCCGCGGGTGCCTGTCGTGACCGAGCGTCCGCGTACGTCGAGCGGTGCTGCTAGGATCCCTTCCACGGCCAGTGCTCAGTCTGGCTCCGGTGATCAACATCTTCGAACGGCTCGTGTGCTTAGTTCCCAGGTGAAGCCTTCTACGGTGGCCGAGAGGACGAGGACGAAGAGTGGACCTCAGCTCGCATCTGGCCTGGTCAATGACAATAATATCTCTCGGGCTTCGGTGGCTGCGGCACAAGTCTCTCCCGCACCTAGTACCACTGCCTCTACCTTGCGGACGCCGTCCTCTGGAGTTCGCCCCCGCTCGGTGACTGAGGTATCTTCCGCGAAGAACAGGGATCCTGCTAGGCTTGCGAGTCATCGTGCAAGGCAAACCTCCGCTTCTAGCTACGTCGTCGGGGCCTCTAGCACGGTCAACGGTTCCTCTCGGTCTACGGGAAAGGCCGCTGTGGGCAATGTCGACGCCAAGGTTAGGTCTATCCAACCTCCGCCGCCGCCGCCGCAGACGACTGCGACACCTGCTGGGGAAAGCACTGGGCCTCAGCCGACATCAGAGCTCCGCGCGAGCGCCGTTCCTGTTGCAGGGAAAGCCACGCACTCTGTAACCAGCACAAGCGCAAGTCGGCCTTCCGCATTGCAAGGCACGAATGGGCGACCGATCCTCCTGCCGAAGTTCAAGTTTGACCCCGATACCACTGCACGTCGTCGCCCAGATGACGCGGCCGCAAGGATGAATACTCGCCGAGCATCTCGCCCTTACCATCAGGTTCGTAGCAAATTCGAGATCACTGTCTCTACGTCTCCGAGACCAGATGCATCTCGGACTGCCTTGGCATCGACAGCAGCACAGGCGCGTAGGGCACGCTTGGTAGACAAGTTCGACATGGCGGAGGTCAAGGCTTGTCTCTTCGGCCGTACAGTGTCAACTGGCCCTCCACGCCCTTATACCGCTGCTCTCCGCCTGTGGCTCCGGCTTCTGCCTGGCGTGAACGCTCTGTTCAAGGTGCAGGGATTGACTGTCGTCGCGGACTTAGAAGCCAAGCCCCAGGTGTTTGCTGCGCGCAGGCTCAGGGGCGCCTCTCCCCCGTCTCGCTGTACAATCGCGGCATTCTTGAAGAGCAGGCCTGTTACTCAAAGCACGCTGGTCATCTCGCGCAGATTTGCTGGTGTCCCCGTCGAACGGTTTAGCATGGAGATCATGCCGTCACCCGAGCTTCCACAAAGTGTTTGGACGCCCGCTCCTCCCGCGACGTCTCCTCGCTTGGCGCCATGGACACCAGTAGTTCCTTGGCAAATGCCCGCATCCGTCGAGGACGTCTTCTTCCCTGGTGGTCCCTTCACTGAGGTGGCGGAAGAGGAGAAGCCGCTCATCCCTACGCCTGGGACGCAGAGGCCGCGCAAGCAGACCCTGACGAGGGCCCTCAATCGGATGTCTCGATTGGGCACCCCGACTCGTGCACCTCATCTTGCGCGTCCTCTCATAGGGGGTTCGAAGATGGATGCGTACTTGTTGGCGCTCGAGGCGCAGACCTTCGATGTTGGGGGGCCTGGAGGACGCGGCGCCATTGGATCGGCCACCCATGTACGCAGGGCTTTAATCAGGACGTTGAAGACGGCCTGTCGGGCTGCTTGTCGTGGCGCCACCAGACTGGTCCTCAGTCCGTGGAGGCTCCTCCTGCAAGTGCTCTTGCGCAAGTGATGTTCATGGCATGTGAATCGTTACTGTATGTCATGCACTGCCCTGTGGTTGAACGTTCTTGATCTCTGGATTTGGACTTGTTTGAGGTTGATCGTCACCGTGGTACTGTAATCCATTCATGTCGATCCACTCAGCTCTTGTTGGCGATTGTGTAGTTTGTATTCTCGATATGTGTGGCAGCATCGTGTAGCGTGTATCATTACTATGCATGTTCACTGGGTTTCTGTAGAATGTGAGGTTCGTTATCGACTTGTGGACGGCTACTGTACATCAGTCGAACAACGCGTGGACAGCTCAAGTACAGCGCAGGGCTGGAGAAGCGCCGGCAACGGGCAGCGCCCTGGCTGTCCTACTAATTGGCTGGGAGGCTCGTCCCTACCACCGTCTTCACTCGGCCTCGAGCCCTTCCTCCTCCCTGTCCCACCTTTTCTGCCCGCCGTCACCGGCCTCTGTGCCCTGGCCTGAGACTTTGCTGCATTCACTGGGCTTTCGTCGTCCGCTTACCTCGGTGCACGCTGCCCTTAGCCATCTCTAGCCTATGCTTCCAGCCATGCAGACGCGCTTATCTTTCCTGCTGGCCATAATATCCCTCGCAGTTCCTCAAGTCTGCGCATCTAATTTTACGTTCTTTTACGGAAATGCATCACAATGCGGAGACTTCGCCATTACATGGTCTGGTGGGTCGTGGCTGCGGCGCGGAATGTGACCGTGTACTGACCGGTGGCTTCGGCATATGCAGGAGGCACGGCACCCTACCAACTCACCCTGATCCCTGTAAGCACGTTCTTCGGCGAAGCTTGATTTACCTTGGGAGCTTACCGTCGGCGCGTGGACAGTCGTTCAACCGCCCTATCACGCACTCCATTCCGACGTCGAGCTACAGCAATGGCCAAGGATCCTATTCGCTGCAACTCCCAGTGAATTCCAGCCAGCAACTCGTTGCCGTGATGTCGGATGCCTCAGGTTTTGGGACAGGCGGGGTCTCGGAGGTCATGACAGTCGGTGCGGGAAGTTCTGACTGTAATAGGTCATGGCAAGGTATGGTATTCAACTCCTTCAATCTTTTCTCGACGCGTCATAACCTCCTCAAAAAGCGGTTGACTTCTATTACGACACCGATATGGCTCTCGATCAATGCCGGTAAGTCCAGAGGTGTTCAATATGGGAAAGAATATTCATGGTGTGCGTAGGACTTACTCATTCGCCAACTACACCGGAGCAGTGCAACCTGTCACCATCACTGTATGACCATTCTCATACTCTCTGTACGGGCTACACACCTAATTGCATGTACCCAGGGTATAATTCCGGGAGGCACGACCTTCGTGCTGAATCCTCCCACAGGCCCGACTGACTTCGAGTGGATCGTCGACGTTGCTTCCGGAACGGAGCTCATGTTCTTTATGACTGATTCGAAAGGACGATCTGGTGGAGCCTCACAGTTGGATGAAGTCGGTCTGTCTGGCGATCCATCCTGTCTTACGGGCGCCTATCCATCGTCCTTGTCGGTCCATCCGTCGGGCACAGCTACGGCAGCTGCTAGTGCCTCAGCGGCTGGTAACACAGGCACGTCGTCCTCGCCAACGGGAGCCATTGTTGGCGCGGTCGTTGGTGGCGTGGTAGGCCTCGGTCTCGTCGCCGCAGCTGTCTTCCTTTATCTGCGGAAAGAACGACGCAAAGGGCGTTACGGACAGAACGGCGCACTCCCGTATCGGGGAACGAGACCAAGGAGCGACGAAGTTGATCTCGCAGCAGACGGAGGAGATGACGTACCTCCCCCACATGTTGTCCAACCTTACCCGTTCTTCAACCCCACCGGGAGCATCCATTCGCAAGGGCAACAGTCCATCCAACCATACCCGTACTTCAACCCCACCGGCAGCGTTAACTCACAAGGACAGCAGTCCATCGGCGGTGCGCAATCGACAGTCAGTCTCATACGTCCGATGAGCTACGCTGAGTCGCAAGGCTACGCGCATCCAGACCAGTACACCCACGGCGTCGCGGTGCACTCGCGTAACAACTCCCTCGTCGACGGCAGATCCACGTTCGCAGGCACGCAGGCGGGTACACGCTTAAGTGGCATCTCGAATCCGCGAACGCTGGCATCGCAGACGCAAACCTCGCAAACGCCGACCACGCCGACCTCGCAGACGCCGTCGCAGGGCCTCTCATCTGCGTCCAGGCGAAAAGCTGCTATGGCGGGCGTCACGCCGTACCAGCCCGCGCCGCCGCGCTTCATCCTGCATACGGACGCAGAGGACGTCATCGAGCTGCCGCCGCAGTACACCTCCCTGCGCATGCCGTCCGCGCTCACGCAGGCGACGGACTCGGACGATCGCAGAGCGTCCGGGTCGGGGAACAAGCTCCCGCCCACTTATCCACCACCACCACTTTCCGTCAACCCAGAGGCCGCCCCACCGGACTCTGCTGGACCACCGTCAAGCATCATCGAGGAGGACCACCCCCATGCAGGTCTGCCGGAGCCCATGGCACCGTCCTCGGCGCGGTCACCCGCCTCCGCACCGCCGTCGTACGACTCAAGACCAACATAGCCTGCATCCCATCCCGGACAGTGGGAGACATACACTCACCCACGACTTGCATATTTAAAACAAACGGACACTGTTCTGTACCTGTCGCGCGTCCTTCTGCTCCGCTTATCTCCGTCTGGCATTCTGGTTCACTTCGTCTTCCGACTTCAAGCTTCATACCTCACCAGAGTCGTGCGCGGCTCCATCATTGGGCCGGTCTTCTATACTCATCTATCAGTACGATACGTTCCTTGTGTCTTGTCTGTCATTCATTTCATGTGCTATCTGCTTACGGTAGATTGTCTGTCTAGGGCAATGGACCTTAGTCTTCCCCGTGTCGATGTGGTGCGCCGCGTGAGCGAGCAATCGAATCTGTAGCGAATGGAGTTCCTCGAATGTGATGCATTACGGGCTTATGTGAGCCCAGTCTACTATTGCGGACTACAGCCGACGGATGTATGTACGTCGCGGCGGTCCAAGCATCAAAACGTAGGTGACGATGAATGTGGGGGACAGGTTGAGAGAAATGAGAAGCAAATACGAGGAGGATGACAATGAGACGGAGAGGATGAGGTGCTACTAGAAGACAGTTCCTCTGGATACATATGCAAGTGTGAGTAGAGCAGAGCAGGCGTACAGTGCGCGACGGCGGAGAGAGCGGATAATATACAGTTACACGAGGCTCTTGATTTCTGCGCGCTCCGGTGGTAGCGACCAGCGGCGTCCGTACATGTTATTACTGTAGTACGGCGACAGGCTCGGCCACGGCCATGGGTTGGTCCGCGGGCGTGTCGAGCCCTGTGCGTTCAAGCGCTGCCACAAGGGAGTCTGTCTCCTTGCGGCGCCTGTGACGCTTCCTCCGGTCGTCCTTGATCATGCGCGAGATGAGGCGACGATGCGCACCCTGTTGGCCAGCGTTGGAGGTGAACCGGCGGGAGTCGCAAGTTAGCTCGATGCTCGCGAGCAAGCGGAGGGTCTCCGAGTTGTTCTGAGCCTGCAGATTATTCAGACCGACATGTTTAGCGATGACGAATGTGCACGGAGGAGAGGAGGATGACTTACGTTGAAGGACCATGAGACTACACGCGTGCCCTCGACGCAACCCACCACGACAAAGTTGCCGCGTTTCTCTGCTTGGAGAGGGGCGTCCTACGAAATGTATTACTCATCGTGTGTGGCAGGCAATACAACCGAGGCTCACCTCTCCGAAGGTAGTCATAATCTTGCGAGAGGCAGCAGCACGCACGACTGCGAGTAAGGACGGGCATGAGCTTTAGTTAATCTAGAGGTAGGGCCACATACCAATGCGCGACTGCTCCTGAGCAACGAGTCCGCGACCCAGATACGTCCACGAATCCCTGTCTGGCCTACGAATGTGTACTTTCACTGAGATGTCCCGGAAGGGGTCGCGTGCTTGAGTTGCGTTGGCCACAATGTTGCGCATCTCTTCATATAGGCGATCCAGCTCGGTCAGCACTGGTGTTTGACGAGATGTAGAGCGCAGCGCAGAAGGCATGCATGCCACCTACCGTTGGAGGAGCTCGGGTCTTGGATCACAGGTAGCTGGCTGCTTGAGGGCGCAAAGGTGGTCTGAGGCTGCGGTGGGGGTACCGACCCGCCGACGTCCATGACGGTGTCCATGTCCATCTGCACTCGCGTCAGTAGACCGCTACGGAAGTGCCAGTTAGATGAGACACACATCTTCCGTCATTTTGGGCTGTATATACTGCGACACTTGTCGGATGAGTGTGGCTTTGAAGGAGGTCGTGCGAGGGAGGAAGAGACGAGGGTCCGGCTTCCAAGCCATGGGGAGGGGTCCGCAACACCCTCACGTGATGCCCATGTGTGGCCTGAGTTCAATTCAAACCCGCCAGGTCTCCCGTCCTGTCCACCTCCGCCACCCTACTACTGTGCCCGAAACGGTGCGCTGCAGTGCGTGGTCTGTATGCTGGCGAGAAACAATGTACTCATCCCTCAGATGGCGGGAGCACGCTCAACTGCGCTACACGCCTTGGACGCGATGTAATGACGCGACGCGACGCGTCTCGCGTAGCGGACCCATGGGCACGCGTATATCAAGCTCGGTCCGACGCAACGGCCTTCTCGAGTACGTACAATGCAGCTGTGTAAAGTCTACGAAAATGCCGCGTTGCCCCTTGCCACGCCTCTCCGTGTGTCGCATACGTCGTACAAAGACATGCCCCGGTGCGGCAACTGATGCATTGTGCTGACCGCGACGATGGTTCCCCGCCCAGAGCCATAGCGACCTGCAGGACTAGCTCACTCTTGTTCTTTAGGCACCGTGCCTGAGGCAGGCGACAATGGAATCCTCCTTGCCACTCACAGGACGCCGCTGCCACTGGTGGCATGCTAGTCCTTGAAAGGGCATGGGAGACCTCCCTCGTCGGTATAAAAGGACTCGTCAGCGCGGGCATGGTATGCAATATCTTCTCTACCCTCAAAGGACATCATCATGCCATACAATTCTGGCCCCCGGACCCTGCACCCGCGGTACCCAATGAACCAGGAGTCTCTGACACTGTCTCAAGAGGCCCGCGATCTGTCGCACGCCGAGGAGGTGAACCAACAGGTAGCTCAGATGACCATGGACAACGCAAGGCTTTATCGCGCTCAAGCCAGGGTCCGTACCACAAACAAGTCTGTCATCTTGCCTACTAACTCAATGCGATGACGATTAGGCGGAAGCGAAGGACGTCGACTGGAGCCCCAGTCAGCAAAGCAGCTTTAGTAGGACGGACTCAATGAGCAGCGACATCAGCGCGGACGACGACGACTTCTTCGACAACGGATCCCCATTCTCGGACGATCTCGCTGTGGTGTCCACGCCCGCGCGCTTGGGTTATTCGAAGTATGCGCAGAGCAGACGCATAACGAGCCCCCCGGGGAGCACGAACGGTGACGCGACCGAAGCAGACGACCTCAGCGAGCACGAGGACGATGACAGCAGCGAGACCGACACTGAGGCTACGCACAGTCTCGCCAGTCGTTTCCCCGAGGACAAGCTCGACGCGAGAAAGCTGCGCAAAATCGTCGAGGAGATCCTAGGGCGGCCGAATATCGAGAATCCTCATACGCAACTCGAGGAGATCGGGGAGAAGCACAAGCTGGATCGGGTGGACAGATTGAAGCTGAAGCAGTTCGTTGAGGATTACGGAGAGCAGGCGCTGGAGTGGGATGACGAGGAGCTGGTTGATGTCGCGCAGAGGGACTGGCCATTGCTTCTGGAGAACAGGTATTGAGGCTCAAGTCGGACATAGTGGATCTTAGTCTGGTGTACAACATGGCATAGCAGTATCAGCAGGGTATTACGATTATAGTCACATAATGGATACGTTCTTGAAGATCATCGCTGCTCGGGATTGAGATACGAACCCGCGACAAGGCACAGATTGCGAGGTGTGAACTGCACGTTGGTTATAGGCGTGCGTTTCGTCGGGAACGTCGCAAGCAGGTCCGACCTATTCACGATATTAGGATCTCCAGCATCGTGCAACAAGAGGACTGTAGACTCACGTCTCGATGCTTTCCTCTTCCTTGCCGTTCGTCGTGGGTGCGTCGCCGTTGACACCATTGGCGGTGTTCCCATTGGTGAGGACGCCATTCTCCTTGACCTTACTTTGGGGACCGCCCGCCGCGGCAATGTCCCAACACCGCACCGTCCAGTCTGCGCCGCCGGAGACGAGCATAGACGACTCCTCGCTGAATGCAAGCGAATATACAGACGCGGTGTGCCCCGTCATCTTCTTTATCCGTTTTCCAGAGCCAAGGTCCCACAGGTTGATGGCAAGATCCTCGCCTATCGGATGTGTTCGTCAGTTTTGGACACGACAGTGAGTACGAGGGGGTCATACCAGCAGTGGCGAGATACCGCCCGTTGGGACTGAAAGCGAGCGTCGAGACGATGCCTTGGTGCCCGATGAAGACTCGCACACATGACCCGCGCTGCACATCCCATAATCGTGCTGTCCAGTCGCTGGAGCCCGTCGCAAGGTAGATCGAGTTGGGATGGAAGCGCACACACTACAGGCATAATCATCAGCTCCCCGGAATACGTGGTGAAGAGAGGGGTACTCACGTCCACATCGCTCAAGTGCCCCGCGTACACCCGCAGAGTCGACGTCCTGTCCGTTGACCATAGTCTTGCTGTCCGGTCGCGACTCGCCGTCGCGAAGTAGATACCCATCGGGCCCCATTGTACATCCCACACAGGATTCTGGTGCCCCCGGTACGCGACAACGTTCGTCATCGTGTCGAGCGACCACAACCGTGCTGTCGCATCTGCCGACGAGGAAAGCAGGTATCGCGGGGGCGCGGCGGAGCCACTAGTGGGGTCGAAGGAAACGGAGTAGACGGGCCCACTGTGGCCGATGAGTTTGCGGGTCGTTGAACCGCCCTTCTCGCGGATCTTTTTCAGTGATGACACTAGGCGACAGCTCAAGTCGGCTCGGATAAACGAGGAGACGAGTACTCACTGTCACGTATTGAAGAGGCATTAAAGTCACTCCGGTAGCCTTTAAGCTTTTCGCCTTTAAGACTCCATAAACGGATATAGCTTTCAGAGAAGCCAGCGGCCATTAAGGACGTATCCTGTGAGAATGTGCAACATGGCACACTGAATGTCTGTCGTCAGACGGACAAGCGGTGTCTCGAGCAGCGGAAGGACTCACCCCTCACCGACGTCGTGTAATGTATATGCGCAAATACTCGGCAGCGGCTGATTCTTCACGACACCTTGTGTTGTTCGCACCTCCGTGCGTTCCAACCGTATGCGTTTTCGTGCATCGCGGACCTTCTCGACTTCCCTTTTGATATCCATCGTACGGAAAGACGGTGGATACGGTGGCAGTTCAGACTGGGGGACCCCGCCAGTTTCTTGTGTGGGGCGATTGTAAAGGATTTTGAGGTCGTCATGAACGCCGGGATCTCGCTCAACTAGGGCCTGATCTCTGAGCGCGCGGTCCGTCTCCGTACGCAGCTCTTCCGACATTGCTGGCATACCGAGCTTCAGCTCTCCTTTAGACGCATTGAATGACTGTGCATTTGTGAACGATGAAGAGCCGCTCGCTTGTGGGATGACGGACGTGAGGAGGCCAGTGGATTCCTCCCATGCATTCTCTGACACGGATGTCGTCGTCGACGATGTGACTGAGGCAAATAGTGAGGACAAGATCCCCGAGCCATGCAGATGTAATATAGGCTTACCGTCAAACCTGAGATGATTATTGACTACTCGCAGGACGGCGGCCCGTCCCCTCTTACCCCTCTTGCCGCTGAACCCCTCTCCCGAGCCCATCGGTTCTCCTCCAACTCCTTCGGTGAGCCAGCCGACCAGGAGGCCAAATCCTGACCGGCTCATACGCACTGTGTATTTCTCATTGCGGAAGCGCTGTGCGAGTTCATCATTCTGGACATGGAGGGGTAGGAGCAGTGTTGATAGATGATGCAAAGTAGGTGCATGGGTAGGTGCTAGAGACGGTGAGAACTCGGCGTAGAACTTCAAGGCTTGATGCCGGACGAGAAGGATTGTCAGTCATCATTCTCGACCACAGTCCCTTGCTTGCTCACCAGCTTCCTTGAATCCATGCTGGATGAGATCGAGATAGAAATGGCAGAAGATGGGGAATATTATGGGTCTGAATTCAGGCTAATGCGAGTTGAACATTTGTTTGGCATGCTAGTTACAGTGCATACTCACTCGGTACATGTCAAGAGATCCATCCACCCACGCCTCGAGCTCCCGAAAGCCCTCCTGCTTGTCGGTGGGATCGAGAGACAGTATCTCCTCTGCCCCAACAGCATCAATGCTAGATATGAGGTTCTGAATGGTGGCAGGGTTGCCCATCGAGGCAAGCTCCTGTAGGACACTCGCGGCATCCTTGAAGGCATTCTCGCCTGGACGGTTCGCCTTTTGCGCATACACAGATAATGCCTTGACCAGGTCCTCAGCGGATATTGTCGAGGAGGTCGAGGACGTTGAGGTGGATGCCTCCGGCTGTGTCTCTAGTGCAGTCAGGAACTCCTTCTCAGCACCCTTGTACCCCTTGTCTCGCAAGTAATCCAAGATGGCCTTGTTGACGCCATTAGCAGTCTCCGAGGTGGCCACATTTGTTCCAGAAGGAGATGTCACATCAGGGGTGGAGGGTGCAGGCGTGGCTGCCGACATAGTGGTTGGAGGAGTCGGTGTAACTGCCAGTGTATGTACTTGTGCCAGTGGCTGGCGAACGCGTTGAACGCGTCCCACGTGATGCCATTCCTCGTACGTACGCGGGTGTTCCGGTCCGCTTCGAACGGCAAGCACGAACTCCTCCCCTTCGACCCGCCCCGTACCCCGTCAACACAAACACTCCCTTCGACCTAATTAGCTTGTTGTAGGTTAATAGTGTACAGCAGTTTCTCTGCGAGGGTCGACGCTGCATGAGTCACCATTTCTCCAGATGATATGTATAGCGGGACACCTGAGTGCAAGTTCATCAAAGGCCTCCATCGCTTCAAGTACCAGTACAGCGCGAACGAACTGCGTAATACATCATGGTACACATATTGTTGTCTATCCGTACTCGATCCGGAGGACCGTATTCTTTCTGGTGTATGCTAGGTGTGAGGTAACAAGGCGTGAGGCATTCAGCATAGCCAACGACACCTCGGAGTCAAATCTAGTATCGGCGTCCTCGCGCACGCTTTGAGTACCCACCACGGTACGAGCTTCCCCCACTACTCGGGCGCGACGACGACGAGTATTGAGTATAGGTCCTTTTCTGCGTTGTCTTCGGGGGAGGCGGCGGCGGATCCTTGTTCACGTATCCGGCCTTCTTGCACTCCTTCTCGAACGCTTCGACTAACGCCTTGAAGTCTACGTGCACCATACTCCCGAACAGCGGATGTGCGGCGGACCATTTATTAACGGTGAGTCTTGGGGACGTGATACCGAAGGCCATCCGTGCGAGCAGACGCGGATCGTCACGGACAGTGCAGACGTCCAGGATTGCCCGGATCTGCCGCGGGTCGGGCTTGCTAACCGCTGTTGCCGCGAACTCGACACCAGACCCGATCAAGCAGAAGCTGCATTTGCCACACATCTGATTCGGCACTGCGTCATCATCACCGAAATACGAGGCGAGGGCATGCGCCAGGCCTGTCAGGGTACTGGTATTGAGACACAGCTCGGGAGACCGAACAATGGCGAACCTACAATCATCATTTGTAGCAAACTCCATAACTTGCCGGAGCTTCTGAACCGCCTCTTCCTCGCGGGCCAGCATCTTGTTGTACAGTTGATCTGCCAACACTTGGATCTCTTCAGGTGCCTTGGGTAAGGGCTTCAGGACTTGGTACCGCTGCAAGTGATTGTCGACGTCAACATCGTGCCTTTTGGCGAGTGCGGTACGACTCACAGCCCGGACTTGTGAAGCCTTGGTTGTCACGTGTCCTACGACGATGTACGATGAGGAACGTTGACCTCTGCAAGGAACAGTAGCTCACCTGCGAAATCCCACTCATTGATATACCTTGCAAGGTCGGCGCGACTAAGCCTCGAGTACTCTGCAGCCTTGGCCATATCGATCTGTGATGCAATACGTCTCGTGTCGACATGTATTGCGTTGCCCCACGCAATGCGTTCACGCACCTGATATCCAGTCCCTCTAGGCACCCAGCAAGACTTCAACGCTTGCGCCTGCTTGCTCTTATCTGAGAGGACCTTCTGCCAGCCCTCATTGGTGCGCGCCATGATATCGTACACGGAGTAGTAAGGCGTCACCGCACGGATGTAGCCGTGGTCGAGCTCGAGCTCGGCGAATGAGAGATTCAGCACGTTTTGCTGCGTACCTCAGTTCACGCTATTGTGCCATAGAACGATCTGATATAGGTACCCACCCGAATGTCATATCTATACGAGTATCAGAACCTATAAAACAACAATGAAAGGGACAGAGAGACGTACACCTTTGCCTGTTGGTAATGATTGAAGTCAATGCAACCGTCAGATGCGGGCTTCGCCATTGCAACCTCCTGCAGCCAGAGCTCAATGTCTCGCTTCGCGCAGGTATCACCACGCGCGAAGCCCTCGAGGACAGGGATATCAGCAGCAGAGAGGAACATGAGACATGTCGACTCCTGGCCGTCACGTCCGGCTCTCCCAACTTCCTGACTGTAGTTCTCGAGCGTCTTCGGCATGTGCAAGTGAATGACCTAAGTGGGGTTAGTTTTGACTGACACGTCACAGTAGCTGAAATGACCTGCCTGTCGGATATTCGCTGCACAAAGGATAGCATGAGTACGTGGGCGTGTTACATCGAGTTGTAATACTCACCTTTGTCAATGCCCATACCGAACGCGATCGTAGCGCATACGATGCCTTTCTCCGACTCCATAAACTGAAGTTGGATCCTCTCGCGGTCCTCCGCTGGTAGACCAGCGTGGTATACCATAGGTTCCAGCCCATGGGGTCGCAGATGGTCTGCTATTTCCTCCGCCTGCTTCTGCAGAGTGACATAAATGATGGCTGGGCCCGTCCTGGTCTGCAGCATGGGTAGAATGTGAGCCACTTTCTCGGCTGCGTTGTTCACCACTTGGGCTCTCAATGCAAGGCTGTCGCAGGGTGAGTCCAGCAGGGGCCTGACGAAAGCTAGGCGCGACTTACTTCGGGCGATAGACAGGGATGCGAAAGACACCCTCGGTCGGGTGGATGTAGAAGCTCTTGCAGATGTCCACTGCGACGTTCTTTGTTGCGGTAGCCGTCAAGCACAGAACACGCTCGACATCAAGCTCCTCCGCGAAACGCGCAATCTTCAGGTATTCGGGGCGGAAACTCGCGCCCCACTGGATGCTACGCGTGAGCACAGACCTGTCACGGTCCTTGGCGTAGATGCATACCTGGGAGATACAATGGGACTCATCGACCGCCAGCAGCGAGATCTTGACCTTCCGCATCAGCGCAATAAAAGACTCGTTGTTAAGTCTGCGGAGCAGGTGCCCGTTGAACGACGTGCGAACATTTCCGACTTGGAGCGCACGCACCTCTCCGGGGCTACATAGAGTATCTTCATCGACCCGGTCAGCACCTCTTGCTTGACCCACGCAGCCCTGTCTGCAGACAGGGTACTATCCAAGCTGGCTGCCTTCACATTCCGAGTGACAAGCGCGTCGACTTGGTCCTTCATGAGGGCGATTAAGGGTGAAATGACCAGCGTCAAGCCCTATACGATATATGAGCGGGAGTTCGCATACGTAGACCGAGCACATAGCGTACCTCCAGACAAAGCGCGGGTACTTGGTAACACAAACTTTTGCCGCCTAGAAGATTGCTCAGTACACTCGAGTGGGAAGAAAATGTTCGCCGTACCTCCAGTCGGGAAGAGAACGAGAGCATTATCGTTTTCTACGAGCAGCCTTCGGATAACCTACACTCTCCTCAGTCTTCCTGTACAATAGGAGAGCTCATAACAGTCAAATATACCTCCTCCTGGGTGTGGCGAAACCCAGGGAAGCCAAAGGTCTCTTTAAGAATCGCGTGCGCCTGCTCCATTACGTCTCCTCTTGAGGGAGAGAAGTACAGTACAAGAGGACCGGTCGTGCAAGAAGAGTGGGCGGTCAAAGAGAGCGCGGCGACGCCTTCAATGGACGCGCCCGGTCGCGTCCACGGGACTCGCAGTCACAGCCGCGTTACGCGACGCGCACTGTCACATGCTCGTGTACCTGGAGCCCGCTCAGTGCTCTTCGATCTTCAGGCCTTCAGGCTGGAAGTACAACTAATGCAAACATTGTCCATCACTCAACGCATGCCATCGATACGTTTCAGTCTAACGAATTCGGTTCACCTGTCACGCGCCAAAGTTTATGCCATTGCAAGAGTAAACGGTCTGTTATACAACACAGCAAGCAAACGACTTGGTCCACCACTCAAGAGCAGTCAACACTCTATACGACACACGACAGTCCATTTCTACCACCCTCCGTCTCGTGCCCAGGTATGGACTAGAAGTGCTCCTGCAGGGAGAGTCAGAAACGAATGCAGACATAGAGGGGGAGGCTCCGACTGACCTTGGCGAAGCTGAAGTTGATGTCCTTCGTGGTCTCAGCGACGGTCGCCTCCTTGATGGCCCTCGCAAGCACAGTCGGACCGCAGAAGTACGTCTGAAGAGCCGCCGCGCAATCAGCAAACGTCAACGCATCAAACGGAAAAACGGCGAGACGTACGCCCACGTTGGTCTTGAGCTGCGAGTTGATGCCAGGCAAGTATTGGCCGACCTCGATAGCCTGGCGCATCCGGCTGTAGATCGTCTTCCAGTCGGGCCTCCCGAACATCGTGCGCGTGCGGAGCAGCGTGAGCGGGTCGTACTCCGCGCCTGCGTCGTTCACTGCGATGTTCCAGAGCATGTCCTCACTGATCTTCTGTGTGAGGTAAATGTTGATGCGCAAGAAGTTGGCTGGAACCTGCGCTTAGCAACGGTCTGCATATGGCCTGATAAACGATAACTCACGGTCAATCTGAGCCTCCTCGACCTCCTGGAGGAGCGTCTGGAACCACCCGAACGACGGAGCATCACGGCACACCCAGAAGAACTCCACGCGCTTCAAGTTCATGAGCGTGCCCTTCTTCTGGCGGTACCAGATGTGCTTCAGGATAGACGCGAAAGGCGTCACACCTAAGAAGGGCCATGTTGAGTAAGCATGCAACAATCCGACCAGCAGTCCACGTACCAATACCGGCACCGATGAGCACCGCAACCTCGACGTTGAACACATCCTCAGCGGGAGCGCCGTACGGGCCATCAATACGGACCTCAGGCAGGTCCCGCGAGCCGCTGGCAAGCTCAACAAAGTTGCCACGGGTGCCGTAGCCATCCTCGTCCTTCTCCTGACCGGCCATTGCGGCCTTCGTCATAGCCTGGACGACAGACGGGCCGGCGCCTAGACGGTCTCCAAGGCCGAATGTCCAATCGCCGACCTGACGGATATGGACGGAGACGTACGGGTCCTCGGGCGCAGAGGTGATAGTGAACTGACATCGCTGTCAGCGGGCATGATTAACAGCAACCGAAACATGGCTTACGGGGTGCCACTGGTAGCTGGAGATCTCCGGGATGTTGATGAACAACCACTGGCCAGCGACATACTTGAAGCTTGGCTTGATGATACGGAGCTCCATAGCACCTGAGACAGATTCAATCAATGACATTCTCCCCGCAGATGCATGTCACGTACCGCTGGGGTGTACGAGCACCTTGGACAGCCGAGTCGCCCTCCTTGCGCGGATCTCCCTCCACACACGCTCAGCAAAGTACGCGATGCCCGGCCAGATCGTCCAGCGCCAGCTCTCATAGCCCAAGCAGAACTCGGTGTTGTAGAACGGGAACGTGTATGTGTACGCAGGTTCGACGGAGTCGCGCACGAAACAACCGGTAGCGTGCGCGTAGAGCCCGATGAACCAGAAGAACGCGAGGTGGTGGGTGTACCAGAAGGCCTCGAAGCACTGGTGGCGGACCTTGTGGTGCGCGGTCGTGTACATAAGCACCATGATGAGGAGCATGAAGTGCCCTGTGATACCGCCGGGCTGGGTGTAGTGGATGTCCAGAGCCTTCTCGACACGGACCTCTGAGAACGGTTGTCACGGTGAGCATGCCTGGCCCGCAGGCCGATTCCCATCAACAAAAGTATGGGATACGCACGGGTGCGCTCGACATTGAAGAAGTTGACGTAGTGGGCAGTGGTGTGCACCATGGACCAGAAGGCCAGCGCGTACGCGACCTGCCTGTGGAACCAGATGTTCTCATCCGCGGGGAAGAGCCAGGCGAGCTTGGGACGAATGATACGGATGACATTGCGCAACATGGGAAGGAGGATACATCCCCCGAGGAAGGCGAGGGTCAGGCCAGCACCTCGGGAGACCCAGACAGACCACTTAAGGCCGTTGAGTGCGGCGAGCTTCTGGTTCCTTTCCTGCACGCAAAGACTGGGGGTAAGGTTGTGACTGGGACAAAAGGACGCCGTCACTGACCTGGGAGAACCATCCGTAGCCGAAGAAGAATAGCTGGAGGCCGTAGAATAGGACATTGAAGATGAGGCGCCTCGGGGTGAGGAATTCGCGGCGGAACCAGCTCTCGGTCATTGTCGTATGCGAGAAGGGGACAGGTCAACTGCGGCGGTATCCGGTACCAAAAGAACTAGTGCGCAGGCCGGCCAGACGAGCGAAGAAAAAATGAAGGACAGGTCTCAGAGGAGACTAGACGGGAAGGGAGAGAGAGGGATGGCGGTGGCCGAGACGAAGGAGAGTAGGGATGAGATATAGCGCGTGTCGTGAGGCCGTGGCCATGGCAATCCGTATCGGGTCTCCACTTCATTTGAGCAACCCCAGCGCTTGGCTCTATTGCCCCCGCCCCGAGCATTCTGGCCGTTCCTGACGGGTCCCGTCCATTGTGCTGTGATACGCTGATCACACGGCAGTGGCACCAACAGCCAGCTGCTGCCCAACCGCTCGCAGGCACCTCCCGACCGCCACCCCATCCCGTCGCTGGCTCAACGACGCTCAGTCTTTCCCAGCCCAGCCGCGGGCACGTCGGGCACTCGCTAAAAGCACCGACGACTAAAAGCACCGACGCATCAGCGACGCGTATCGTCGCCTCGAATCGTCACGCGTCATCACCTGCGAGGCTGCGGCGCGGCCCTCAGTCGGAAGGCCTCACATCGCTGCGGGTACGGGCCTGTCGAGATCAGAGGCCGCACTCCCATGGCTGTCGCCCCGGTTGCGTGCGAGCAAGTCCACTTCCAATGATACAGCGATGCAAGAATAGCACAAGGAAACAATCAACATGCAGTCCATACCGGGCCCGGACACAATCACTACCACGCCGCCGATCGCGCGCACGCATGCCTACCCCTCATAGCGGTACGCGACCATGGCCTCGATCCGGTGCACGTCAGTGCTGAAGTTCCTCAGCTTCACCTGCTGGCTCTTGCTCGCCTCGATCGCCAGCGGGTCCGTGTCTACCCACTCGTCCGCGGGCACGTCCGCCGACTCCGTCGTGTACGTGAGAATGTTGAACACTGTCGGCTCGTCAATGACCGGCAGAAATGTCACTGTGGAGACGATTTGCTTGAGGATGTTGCGGATTTCTGCCTGGATCTCCGCTTCCGGCTTGACGGGAGCGCTGTGACAAAGGGCTAGATGAACAGGCAGTCCAACAACACAGCAGGCACCAAACGACGCACGGCTCTGACGTATTTGTTGGTTGCTCGACGAGGTTGATGTCAAACACCCATCGCTCCAGCGTTGTCCGGGAGTCTTTGGAGATGATTGCGAGTACGAGTTGCGTAACAGACCCGGTCAAAAGCCACTCTAGGGATAGACTTAGACACGGTCGAACAGTGAGACCACAACCGCCTCACTATTTACTTGTTTAAGGATTCTGCGTTTTCGTCAGCGTTCTTGACCACCGCAGTAACACGACAAAGGACATGCCTCTCCAGGTAGTTCTCGAGCGCCAGATCTTGAGTAACCAGAACTGTCTGGCCATACTTCTTGACCATGTGGAAGTCATCAGCGGGGTACACGCCTCGCTGGAACAGTATCCTGGCAACAGAAACATGTACACAGGTCAGCTCACACGGGACGATCGCCGACAATGGCTCGGACAAACGTGTTTGCAGCAAACTTGAAGAATTCTGTAACGAGGTTCGTGGATCCCTTGAGGGTAATCGCCTGGCGTGTCGGTGCTTGTTTCGTAGGCGCCATGCTTGCTGCTGTAGTTTTGGCCGTCAATAACGTCGTGGATGTAGTGGCGGTGTGCGAGTGGCGATCGGGTGGTAGGACGCGAACCACACGCGTCGCGTCGTTAATTGAACCATACCGCGTCAGTCACGTGACCATGTCTGCAGGCGGCTGGCACAAGTCATTGTTCTGCCCAGTGCCCACACTCTGGTACATAGTGTCCTCACTTGTCTTCGTGTCATAAAAGTCAACAGTCATCACCAATTTCCGTGCTCGATGGCTAGTCATCCACTGAGAAAATGACTTGAAACAATCTTATTAATGAGTCTGATGCAGCGAGTCGGCATACATATGCATGTCATACAAATCCATATTGTAGAAGAAAGAAGAACCCCCGATCCGCTATAGCCACGCCTTCAAGAGTAGATGATCAAGGCATCGGGGTCCAAATCCATGTCTGACTGGTTCGACCCGTCGTCCGATTCGTAGTCCGAGTTTGTACCGAGGTCCATCGTCACTTCTCCATTGTCTGACGAGGACTGCAGGTCCATGTCCGAGTCGATGTGCGCCGTGAGCATGTCCTCGAGCATCGCCTCTTCCTGCATCTCCTCGTCCTCGCCTTTCGGAGCTGAGGCAGACTGAGGACGAGCGACAGCCTTCGACGACGACGCCGACGAAGACGAGGCAGCTGTTGGACAACGAGCGCGAGGGTTCGGGGGTACTGACTCGTCATCACTTGAGTCCGATGTGAGCGTGAGATCGATGAAGACAGCTTTGGGCTTCGACTGTGCGACGGTCTTGCGCACGTTGACGGGAGTGCGCACTCTGGCAGGCGACATTCGGGACTTGACGACAGGCGACATGCGGGATTTGACAGGGGTGCGCGATATGGTCGTCTTGACTTTGACCGAATGGGATCCTGTTCTACTCTTGCTAGTCGCCTTGACAGATGTAGTGACGACCTGATATGTAGCTATCACATCACGAAGTGTCGGTAAAAGTATGAGCGTATAGGCCAGATACGCGATCGTAGGACGGTACGCACAGTTGGAGGGACGATCTGCACGGTTAGCATAGTTCTGAGAACCAAGAGGAACGGCATTCCGACGGAGAGGCTGCCTCGCCAGCTTGCGCCTCTTGCGATCCTCCTCGGCTTCGGCACGCATGCTGTAATCGTCGCATACGTATGGCCTTGCCCTCTTACCGTTGGGCAGCCTTTGACTGAGAACGAAAACATAAACCCGAGAGAGCAGCCACCAGAGTCCAGCCAGTCTCACCATTCGCGGAAAGCCCTCTCTGCCACAGCAATCAGGGGTTTGTAGATGCCTTGAACCCATTCACAGAGCGGACCGAAGCCCTTCTCGAGGTAGTAGGCGCCCAGGACAGTTTCGAACAGGTCAGCCGTCGCCTTGACTTCCGGTTTGGATTTGTTCGAGGCGGCTGACGCGCCCTCGCCAAAGTCCATCTTGGACAAGGCTCTCAGGACCACATCAGGGACCGCCAGGATGTCAAGCTTCTCGGCCACTTTCGTGAATACGGCATTAGAGTGCAGGACGCCACGAACATTCTATCAGACGTTGAGTTATATCTTCGAAGTCTTGACGAGAGTTGGCCGTTGGGTGCGTACCGTGTACAGATGGGGACTTCCGCTGGGTATCTGTTTGTAGAGAATCGTCCCAATCGTGGCGTACATGAGAGCGTCGCCCAGGAACTCGAGGCGCTCCCTCTCCATGAGGGCGGAATTTGCGAGCAACCTTGCCCATGTGGCGTCCGACAGAGGAGGCAGAGAAGCGTCAAACTCGGGCCTGCGGATAGCTTCGACTACTGCATCGAAGATGGCCCTGTGTAGTGCTATCATGGTGTCAGGATCACCAGCGACCAGGAGACGTAGAGTATGTTGAGAAAAGAAAGGACAGACGAAGAGGGAGAGACCGATAGAGATGCCTAGCAGGTTGTGGCACAAGTGGCACCGTCGAGGCTAGTCCGTAGTGAGCCTTGAGGCTTGAGGCCGGGTGCACTAGTCTGGTGTGTGGTAGGATGCAAGTTGAAGAGGGAGTGCGTCCGGATTTTGACCAGGACCAAGCGAGCGCGTCGAGGGCGCACGTGAGAGCCTGCCACAGACGCGTTCGGATTCTTGTTTTCCATTACATCGTGGCGTCCTGCCCAACGCTTTGCCCCTCCTTCCCCCTCTATTGCGTATGTTTTGACCGCTGCCGCCATCATCCCGGGCATAAAGGCAACAATGAACGGCCACGCTGAACCATCCTCAAGCATGCTGGGGGCATCCGCAAGCACGACAGGCCGACAACTCCAGGTCGCGCCGAAGCCCATCCCCGCACTTGACCTGCCCGCGCTCCAGAACGCTAGTCGCGTCCTACAGGAGCAGCTTCACAAGGACGCACAAATTTTGCCGGACTTAAATGAACTACTCACAGTTCGTACGTCGCATTGATCGCGCTGGTGTCGACGCGTCCACCTGACACCCTCGAGCAGCAGGCGTACCATCGTCCGCGTCATACAGTGTCTTTCCGGATGATTTCCGCGTCCCCTTCCAGAAGAGGAGGCTTGTTGGTATCCCGGAGGGGCTATTCCAATATTACAATAGTACGTCTTGTCTCATACATATACACATCCATGTTCATACCTCCGCAGCCACCAGCGTCACCTCACATATGGGGCTGATGCCTGAAATCGAGCGTGTATGGATCACGATTGACCATAACTTATTCTTGTGGGATTATGTTGAAGGGTGCGTGCTGTGCCAACATCGGCCGCCGTGGGTCTGACGCTACTCACCCAGCCAAGAGCTGAGTTCTTTCGTGGACCAGCCTGATGTTATAACACACGTCGCCCTCGTCAAGCCTAAGCCCGGCGTCTTCATAGACGAGATCACGTCTCTCCTGGTTATATGCACACCTCTCACCGTACTGCTCATTGGTGTCTCCACCACGCCAGTCACCGGGCCCAACAACCGTCCGCGCAAGGACATCAGGATGTACGCCACTGACATGTCGATACCTTGTGATGTGGAGATGACGTCCGTGTTTGGGACCGACGGTCGCATCTTCATGTGCGGCGTCCAAGATGGATGTCTTTATGAGTTGCATTACCAGGAGAAGGAGGGATGGTTCGGGAAGAGAGTTCAGATCATCAACCACTCAGTTGGAGGTGTGCAGAGCCTCATTCCCCGACTGTCTGCACCGAAGTTGGAAGGTGTGCTGCCCACTACCACGGTTGAACTTCACTCACTCATGTCATGTAGACCGCATCACATCTCTTGTTGTTGACAATTCTAGGAAATGCTTCTACGGGTTGACGACGAAGAATACCATCTTGGTGTACAGCACGAATGGCGAGAAGAGCGTGCAGCATCTTCAAACACTCTCCAACTTGTACAAGGCCGCACAAGACAAGGCGCCTGGTTCACCTGCGTTGACTCCTCAAAACTTCCAGATCATCTCGCTGCATGTCATTGATGCATCAGAAGCTCGATCCGGAGTCCAGCTGATGGCGATGACTACGAACGGTGTTCGACTATACTTTGCGCCCTCCTCTGGATTCTATGCGTATGGCTTCGCGAGTGCTAGCGGTGCTCCAACTAGCTCGCGTCCACTTCAGCTCATGCATGTGCGCCTTCCGCCTGCGAACCTGCTGCATCCGGACGAACAATCAAACCCGTATCGGCCTTCGGCCTCCAATTATGGGATGTCGCAGGCGCCGCCACCGTCCGCCTCACGACCATACATTGTCTCTTCCCTTGAGAATTCGTGCTACGACGCCGGACTCACCGTCGCTGCCCAGCCTGGCGATGTGGACGGCACCGACTTCGTTTTGTGCATGTCTCCCGACGTGACTCGAATTGGCACACTCGGACAACTCCACGGTCCCTCGCCTCAACAGCAGAACCCACAATACGCAAACACGTCCTATGGAGCTGCCCCTGGTCCCAGTCGACCACCGCTCATTGAACATGCTACTCTGCTGTCGATCCCCGGACGGACTTGGGCTATGGCACCTGTTCCTCGAAGTGCGGCTGCTGCGGCTGTCGCCGGGCCGTCCATTACACCCGCTCCAGTAGTGACGAGCGAGCTGGCGTATCAGTTCTCTGAGCCGACCCGGCAGTTCATGATCCTCACGAACGTCGGGCTGACATTCCTGGCCAAGCGAAGGTCGTTGGATTACCTGAAGGATGTCATCGAGGAGTTCCAGATCGAGGGCAACGCTCAACCGCTCATCGAGTTCCGCGACAGGTGAGCAATTCCCTACGTTCTCGCGATGCACTACGGTCACTCACGGAGTGCAGCTTCGGTCGAGATCAGACGTGCGCGATGCTCTTGGCCATTGCGAGCGGGAATACCTTCTTGGACCCTTCTGAGCCGTCCCCGCTAGGCAACATCAGCACTGTGAGCCCCGAGATTGCAATGGTCGCCAAGCAGGCTTTCTACGATTTCGGCGAGCGGCCGATGTGGTCAGAGCGCGTAACATATGGGACGAGCAGTGAGCGTTTTCCTCCATGATCCGGATCTTTACTGACTGGTCATCAGCTGAGGGATCTGGGACGTCAATCTTCAGTGGCCGGCGTGAGGGTCTTGCTATGTATTTCGCCCGATTAGTGAGGCCATTCTGGAAAGCCAGGTTGACTGCACCGGGGTGAGTGCTTTGAAATCATCTGTCGGTAGCGAACGCTAACACATCTCTATGGATAGCGCCTCGGGCCTCAGTGTACCTGACGATGTCCTGATTACTACCCAGAAGAACCTCTTCGCTTTGAAAGAGTTGCTGGACACAAATCCTCACCTCTTCCACTCTGCGCCAGGGGACCATGCTGGTGCGCGATCAACGACTGCCAGTGAACAAGAGGCCTGGAAGGTATGCCAGTCACTATAGTCACCCTGCCGGGTAACTCAAAATCGCCCTCTCGCAGGCGGAGCAAAGTTCAGTTTCCCAACTCACGTCTCTCCTTGGGCGGACTATCGAGGCGATATCCTTCATACTGCTGCTCAGCGACCACCGGCTAGGGGAGCTAATCCGACAGTGAGTCGCATGCATCCACTCGCGGGAACATCGCTCATTGAGTTTGAGCAGATGCGAACCTGACATCCAGCGACTCGTCACAAGTATGACCTTCGAAGACTTGATCACAGACGAGCAGGGCATCGCATCATCTAGAGCCTTGGTCAACGTCGTGATCAACCAGCAGATTGGTCAGCAAATCAGCGTGAGTGTCTTCATGGATTCGCAACTGAAGGCGCACTACTAAGTGCCAACGCAGGTGGATACTGTCAGCGAGGTCTTGCAGCAACGATGTGGCTCATTCTGCAGTGCCGACGATGTGATGCTCTACAAGGTAGGAGTATCTGCATCTCGAGATACATCTTGTTCATCATCTGCTGTAGGCAAGGGAGAACATCCGCAAGGCGATAGAGACGCGGAATCCTGCAGAGCGTCAGACTTGGCTTGGCGAGTCGCTAAAGTAGGTCTGCCCTGGTGTCATTGTCCTCGACACTCACATTCTGGGTAGGCTCTTCATGAAAGGCGCTCGCAACCTCGATTTCGAGAAGCTTCGGGAGATTTGTGGCGACTACCAGCAGCTTAGCTATGCGAAAGGTCCGTGGCATGTCTGTCAATACTCATCATGTGGTACAAACGATGAAATTTTGGACAGGCTCTGTGGAACTGCCGTTGCACTGTGCGCAAGCCTATGATGCCGATGGCCAAGGCCAGGAACACTGGCAAAGTGGCTGCCCTGCTAACGACCCTCGTGCGAAAGCATGGGAGCGGCGGTTACACTGCTATCAGCTGGTGCTGGACTCGCTGTCAGTGTTCGAGCAGCGGTGTCAACAGCAGAACATCTCCGACGAGGCCGAACGTGTCCGGAGTCATGCCTACGAGCTCGCATTCGAGGGCGAGGACGAGATGTTCCACTCGACGCTGTATGACTGGTTGATTGAGCGGAGGATGGCAGATGAGTTGCTCGAGGTACGTAGGCCGGATCTGCTTGCATGAACCATGACGCGACTCTCGATCCCCAGATGCGCCCGGCATATCTGGAAGCACATCTTAGACGGCATCCTCTCACGGTGTCCAAATTGCAACTACTCTGGCAGTTCTACGTCAAAGACGGCCAGCCATTACGGGCGGCAGAGGTGCTGGCCGCGTTGGCAGAGTCAACCGAGTAAGCTGGCTGTGACAGCCAAGAGCGGAAATGCTTGCTGACATCTACTTCCAGCTTCGACCTCCCACTCGATGCACGGTTGGAATATCTCACACTGGCAGTTGGCAATGCGAAGTCTCACCCCGTCTCCGCCGGGAGCAGACAAGAGACGGCGATCGCATTCCTCACAGACTTGGAAGAGAAGCTTGAGGTCGCTCAGGTGCAGCTTGAACTCCTCAACACACTCATGCCACACTTCAATGATTCGAGCGAGGCTGGCGAGAAGGTCAGGCTGCTATCCAACGGCCTCATGTCGATTACAGAGGTGTGCACTTCCGGACATGCAGCCGCCGCATGACTTCCTAATTGTCGTTTCAGCTGTATCAAGATTATGCCGTGGCATTTGACCTACCAGCCATCCAACTGCTCGTCCTTCATGTCTCTGAACACCGAGATGAGAGTGTCGTGCGCCCTATCTGGAACAGAATATTCGAGGAAGGTGAGGCCTGTCGTATGTAGTTGCAACGGCTGAGTTGTTGATGATGCCTGAAATTCATAGCCATCGACGACGCCGATACCGACGTTGCTGCCGACCGGATCGTGTCGAAAGTGGTGCCCCTCGGGCAACGGTTCTACCCATCAGAGAGCGCGTTCCCATTACGTGAGCAGCTGTTTCCACTCGTACATTGGGTTGAGGTCTGATCAGGACTTCAGGACACGTCGCCTCGTTGTTGGTGCGCTTCAGCTTGGCCCACAAAGGCGCGCTCCCGTATGGTTGGTCACCTCGAATATTGGTCCAGTGTGGTGTGCCATATCCCGAAGTCTGGGACATCCTATACGAGATGTATGAGTCTCAGGTGAGCCCTCTTACTAATAGTATACTCGAGACGCAAGCTGACGCAGGCCCGTTCGCTTCGAAGATCCCGCCATTCAACGAGCAGGCGAACGTGCAGTCCATCTCCTCGGACATCGCTGTGCTCCTCACAGACTGGCTGGAGGATGTCAAGCGACCACAGTCCGCCGCCTCTCGCAGCGAATTCCCCGTGTACCGCATCGACCAGGCGGTCGACCAGTATCTTGCCGAGCTCAACCCGAGCCGGACAGAAACAAAAGCAGCGTATGAGACTATCAAGCGCCAGTTGCGGCGGAACTGGTGATTATGCTGCATGTTGTACAGTATGGATATGCATCGGAAGTTACAATAAATAACACGGACTATACGAGCATGCAAAGATTCGGTACAATGTGAACTAGATCCAGCGTCCATGAAGGTGGAAGGTTTGAGTCAATGTACATCGTTTCAGTTGACCTCAAGGATCACGTCCTCCGCGCGCAAGAGAAGCTGCTTGACATACTTCTCTGTAAGCTTGTACACCTTGTACAGCGCTCTATGGCGAGTCAGTACGGTTCAAGGGATAGTGAGTATAATCAGCATCGTCGGACTTACCTCGCGGCGCCCATCAGAACTACAGCTAGTATCAGGAGCATCATCATGTCGCGCGAGTCGCGATTCCGAGTGTAACCTCTGAGGCGCAGCCAGTGGAATGGCAAGGGGACAGAGAGCAGCATGTGTGCGATGGAACCCGCACCAACAACGGGCAGACCAAGCAGGAAGCGACGCACAAGGCGTCGAATCAATCGTGGAGGCTTCGCGGGTGTGCGGATCTGAATGGGCCGGGCTTTGCTCCGCGAACCCTGGAGGACTGCCTCATCAAGCAGCCTGTCGTCGACAAAGATGCTGACGGTCGCTCTGACGAGGTTCTGGACGACCTCGAGAGGATTGTAGAAGCCATAGAAGAAGACCGTCGAGTCTCCATCGTCGGACAACAGTGAAGTCGTGACGAAGGAACTGCATAGCACGATAATGGTGAATAGAAGGGTAGACATCGCGGCGATGACGACTGGTACGAGTGTGAGGTGGTGCGTAAGAAAGACATTGTACCTAGCACTGACCTGGATTTGTAGCAATGCCTACCACTCGAGTACGGGCAAAGTGGTACCTATACCCGCATTGAGGACACGAATAGAATGCGCTCTGGCTGGCGGCTGCGTTCCGCCACCGTTGGAGGCATTTGACATGCACATGCTATGTCGGGGGGCAGTGTTAGGCACAAGCACATCTGCATAGGCGGTAGGAACGCTTACGCTTATAGTCCCCTTGCATAGACAAGGCCGAATGAGTCGTCCGAGCTGCGGGTCCTCGCCCTCGAAACATATCCGACACTGTTTCTCGCCCTGTGTGTCTGAGTCTGCCATACGTTGTTACCTGTGGGCTCAACAGCGGATATCGCGTGTGCTCAGTATGAGACCGGAGAGATCTGCGGGCCTAGAGATGAAGGCATGAGGAGACGGAAGACGCGGGAGGCTGAGTCGACGAGATGATGCAGATCGACCGAGCACGGCCGGCCCCCGAGCGCGCTGCCCATCCGCGATCACGTGCGGCACGCGATGTTCCCCACACCCGAGCGTGTCAGTCTTTGACTCTTTGTGCATTCCACTCAGCCAGCCAGCTTCATGTCCTCGAACAATCTCACCGACCTCTTGAGTGCTTTTCTACAGCAATCCAACCCCCAGCTGCTACAACCACAGCAGGCCCATGACGTCGCGCTCGCCGGCTTCCGACAACTGCTTGCACACAACGGTGCGGGGAATACGAGCCACCCACTGCCTAGTTCTCAGCTCTCCTACCAACCCGCCCCAACAATTCAGCCAGCCAATCTCACTGGAGGACCTGCGATAACATCATCCGATGCGCTACGACTGCTCACCCTACTCCAGCAAGGGTCACCGCAGTCGGCAACTCCCAGTAGTACGACCCCTTTCAACTCGCAGCCTCCGAGCCAGAGCACTACACTTGACAAGGCGGTGGGAGCCTTGCCTGACGATGAAAGGATTCTTGTGAATACCTTGTCGACTCGAAACCTCAAGGGCTGGACCGTTCGAGAGGCACTGGAAGCCTTGCACGGGGTTTGTAGTAGCATTCACTCAGTGGTCACTCCACTGACATGATTGTAGGTCAACAACCATACTGCCAGTTCATGGAAGGATTATTTCCTTGAAAACTACGAACGTCTTGCTCTGCATATCCCTCTCGCCAACGAGGAAGAGCGGCACGACGAGTCCCTGTCGGCTGCTACCCCTAGGGGAAGGACAGCCTCAAGGACTTGGGAGCGCTCTGCTAGTGGCCCTTCGAAGCCACCTGCGCGCCGTCATTCTGTGACTCGCTCGAGACGGGACAGCCAATCTCGAGGACAATCGGATTCTCGTGCACGTCCCCCTCGACATGTGCGTTTCTCTGAAACACCGTCGAGATCCCCTACACCCCCTCCCTCGGACAGTTCAGTCTCAATGAATGGGAAAAGATTCACGGAGGCAGAGGAAGAATTCCTCATCAAATCGGTCAGACGGCAGCTGAACAAAGATCCCTACGTCTCTTTCGCGCAGATGGCGAAGACGCTTGCCCAAAAGGTGAGGATAGATCTGTTCGCTATTCCATTTGCTCACCGTCTGAACTAGGCCCCAGGGCGGTCAGTAGACTCCTGGAGAGGGCATATCACCATGACTAGACGAGCAGATGTCGATCGCATGATCGCCGATGCCCGAGACAATCACAAGAGGGATGACCGGGACGAGACGTCAAGGACGTGCAGAGGAGATGATCGACGGGACTTGCACGATACGCCTCAGAAGATGACACGCGAGACTGGTGAGACACTCCGCGAAAGGTGCCGGAAAGTCTGCCTGACGTATCTGCCAGGCGATGACGAACCCGACACGGATGAGGACATCCTCAGCATGGGGGTGTCGGGCCAGCCATTCACGGAGGCTGACTTCCGCATGGCTGCTAGATATATTGCATCAGTAGCAAATTGGGACTCCACACCTTCCACCATCGCGCGATGGTCCGACTTCGCAATTCAGGTACGTGTTCATCGTACAGAGAAGGCTTGATCTCTCTCTCTGTCTATGTCTCACTATCAACTTTCAATGCAGCACCCGCAACGGGCTGACAAGTCTTGGGCGCAAGGCTATGTCAATCACCACCTAGGTAAGCTTCGAGCCTTCTGTGACGAGAGGTTCGCCGATATTCATTATCCATATCAGTCATAGATAGACTGGTGTCGAAGTATAGGGCACGGTACGCACGGCGCAAGGAAGAGTTTCTTCAGACCTCGCCCCGGGTGGACAATGCAGTCACGACAGCATCTTTGCCCCCGTTCCACAAGGCTAGCAAGCGTATCCATCAAGATAGTATTGAGGCCGATAGCGGAGAAGCGATCGTGAGCGGGAAGCGTCCGAGAGATTCCTACTAGGATCAATGGGCTGACACTGCATACCACGTCAATTTGCTTGTCCTCATATACTTCCAGTCATCCCCAGCATGCGAATTAACAACCCACTCCCTCAACTTACTGTGGGTTCTCCCTTAACTTACGTGAATCCTCTTCTAGTGCCACGTACCTTAGATCTTGAGCCGGGACCCCTACTGTATTATATATTGTGCTCGGTACCGGTGCGGTATGGTATGTTTAGAGCGTTATGGAAGTAAATATGCCAGTGTTCCAAGCTTCATAAGACGTAGTGCAATGTTCTCTTCTGATTAATATTAGTCGTAGTCGTCGGAAGTCCTACTACTAGTGCGGCCACTATCAAGCCACTACGTATACGTACGTACAGCGATCTGAATGAGATCTTGAGATCCCGCGAGTCCAAGCGGCTGCCCGTGCCTTCGCACATCAACAGCTGCAGTGTCTGCGGTGTCCTAGTGCCAGGCCTCTGAAGTTTGGAGCATCCGAGACACGACGATACTGCACAGAACAGGGCTTGCTAATCTGAGTCACTGTCTTCAGGGAGGGAAAGAAACCTTGCTATCGAAAAGTTGGCACACGCCTTCGCCTTCAAGTTGTATGGCCTCGGAATCATCTAGTAGCCACGGACATGTGCGCCTTGTAGGAGCTGTAGCAGGCGTCGGGAGCGGTGAGTTGCCGTCGTGTGGCGCAGTGTTTGCGCAAGAGCTAATTACAGCTGGCGGTCTTGCTCGTCTCCTCCTCCGATAGGATTAACAAAGGTGGGTGCCTAGAAGGTCACAGTTGCAGGCATTAGTTTGGCAGACTCAACCACTTATATGGCATAGGTAGCAGTTGGACACGGGTAAGAGTGGACACTTTCTGGGTAAGTCAACCTTCAAGTTGACGTCCAAACGGTTCAATTGCTGCAGCTAAGACCGTTGGCCTCGACGTTTTCTAGACATTGTCACCGTGACTGCACAGTTCGTAACACGTATGCAGATTCGATACCATCAAGACACGACTACAATGTTCACCCCCTGGTACTTATCGCGGAGCTGTCGACTGCATGCTCAGGATCGTGCGAAATGAAGTACGTGGTCCACTTCCCGCTACTAAGCAAGCCTATGCTAATTCATTCTACCGCCAACCAGTCCATATTCGCACTATACAAGGGTGCAACTCCACCAGCCGTGGCCTGGGCAGTCATTGACTCTGTCCTTCTCGGCTCATTGCACAACTACCGGCTGTTCCTCACCAGGCATGGGATGACAGAGACAGTACCCGAGAGCGGCACTCAAAGGCTTACTATAGCGGGGCATACGGTTGCAGGCCTTTTCGCAGGACTCACAAGGTAATGACCGCCTACTCCTCTGTTATCGGCGCGGTGACAATCTGTGTCAGTGCGTTTCTGGCGACGCCCATGGAGCATCTCAAAGGTCAGAGTCCTATGTTTCCCCTCCCGGATAATGTCGCTGAAGCTCGTAGAATTCCAGTCAAGCTGCAGATGCAATCCCAGAGGTCTGTAGCCGACAGACTGTATAAGGGGCCTATCGACTGCATCCGGCAAATCGTACACAGTCAAGGCGTTCCTGGACTGTGGACGGGCTTCACCGGTAGCCTTGCCTTCCGGAGCAATTTTGCCTGGCTCTTCGGGTCCTACGAGGTGAGAGTGACTTTCACAGACTTACCGTCGACCGCTAATCGATACACTTGAACGTACGTACCAGGTCTTCATGCGTGGATTCTCGAGACTGCAAGGAACGGCGTATGAGGCGAGATTGTTTTCTTCGCCTGAGATCATTTATCGAGCCGGCGTTCATCTGTCAGATTAATACGCCGACGGCGAACTTCCTCTCAGGAGGCCTGGGCGCGTTCGCGTTCTGGATCATGGGCATCCCAGCGGATAATATTAAAAAGTGCGCGTCCTCTCTTCTAGCAACTGTCCGGCACGCTCACATCATATCACACGACGTTGTACTGCGATCCGTCTGGTCAGTCGAATGATGGCGTTGCCTCACACAGGCGCGCGGCCGTCGTTCCTCGCGACTGTCCGTCATATACACGCGTCAGAGGGATTCAAGGGCTACTATCGTGGCCTCGGGCCCTCCCTGCTGCGTGCATTCCCCGTGAACGCCTCTGCGCTCTGGGTCTACGAAGGTCTCATGCGCCTCCTCGGTGCCGAGAAGGTGAGCAGCAGCCCGATCGACGAGAGAAGTCATGATTGTACTGAGATGGCAAAATCGTGATGTGACAATAGACGAGGCATTGAGCGGGGAGACAGTTGGCATCATTCTCATGTAGCTGCGGTCACTCACCCTCGTTGCTATGAGAAACATGAAACTCTTGCACAATTCACACCACGGATCCCTGCACCGCTATTGCCAAGGAATACTCACTATCTGTTTCTGTCCAAGTCAAGTCCAAGTTCTGCATTTTCTTTCATTGCGTCTCGGCTGTCGAGCCACGAGCTCAATAAATACCCGGTCACTCCAGATTCGGCTCCCCGGCCTCCATAATGAACCCGCCAAAGTCGAGATACAGGTTAGTCAAGATATGGACGCGGCGCAGCATATACAGAACAACAACGCCGTCACCTCCGCCAAAGCTTAGCAGGATTCAACCACTGCGCGATGTTCCCTCTCTTGCCTCGCGCCCCCGAGCGCGCGTCAGCCTCTGCCTGCTCGTCATCAGACAGCTTGATCGTAGTCGAGAATAGACCCTCGAGCCCGGTTGGCTCTTCGGGTGCGAAGAATCGCTGTGGCCGCAGCCACGAGCCGTCATCGTGGTAGCGAGCCTGCCCATTCGGCATCTGTGCTTGCTTCTGAGGGGACGGTATAGTGGGCGACCAGTCCATCGCATTTGGGTCTCGTCTCCGAGAGTCGCCTTCGTCGTCGTCATCTGTGTCCATGACGGTGTCTTGCCATGCGGCGCTGTCAGGTGTAGGTGTCGTGGGTTGGTTCAGGAACGACGGCATGCCGAAAATGGGGTTGGATGGCCCTGGTTGGAGGACAACGGGCTTTGAGGAAAGACTCAGAGGCGCGAGGAAGTCGGGCTCGATCGCCGGCGTGGCACCTCGCGAGGTCGGGGCCGACGCGAGGGATTGCATGCCTTGTGAGGCCGCTTCCGTCAGACGGACCGGCGGCGGTCGTTCCAAGCGAAGCGTCGTCAAGCACCGAATATAGATCTAGATGGTTTGTTGGTGAGGGAGTTGTGAATCATAAGCGGGGCACTCACGATGATTTCGAGCGCGAGGAATGTCGTACAATATCTCCTAGTGAGCGGTGAGTCAGGATCCGTCCATGGTTGCACTTTCTCCCATTCGGGCTTGAGCCAGGACATCGCGAGAAGAAGCGCGGTGCCGCATCTGGATAGCCAGGCTACCACTTGCAGAAGCTATGCAAGCACTTATCAACTGGATAGGTTCCACTAAAGAGCAGCACATACGTTGTGTTCTCTCTTGCCCCTTTGCCGTACCATGCGCCCTTGGAATGCCGCCCTCTTCAGGTTCCCATATGTCGGATCCCACGCAGTCCAGAGAATGGATAGCAACGCGAATAATGGTAGACCCGGTCTGATGCTGTCTGGCACAAGGAATTCGGCGTAGCCAGATGCAACTACCCGTTTCCTTTGGGTCAGGCAAGGTGCCTGAAAGCTTGATTGTCTTACCTGATGCATAGAAGGCCACCGTACACATGAGGCATGCGTACCAAAGGCATCCTCTGATTCTCCATAACGTTATTTGCCTTGTGAGCCTATCACGGTCACGTTGGGTTCGAGCGACCTGGCGTCGCTGTGGGTTACTGGAGCCGAGAAAGCCTCCGAGGGCTCGTGTACGGGCCATGTTGTCTCGTCTACGGATTTCCTCCTCTACGGCTGGCGCACAGTCGGCGCAGACGGGTGGGTAGCGTGTCTCAAGGGAACGGCGGTACTCCGGGAGCATAGCCGCACGGTTCTCGTATTCACGATGCTGAGGTTGGGCACATGAGAAGGGCAGTGCATAGATTGCGCAAAACAAGTAAGGCGCCGCGACATTGGTGCACATGAGCTACGGATGGAAGGTGATGTAACGACGTACGCACGTCCGGATGTGGGAGGTAGTTAGATAGAAGGTTGGCTAAGAGCATCTGGTTCGTCTGGCATGCATGACAGAAGGGTGCGCTCCCATACATGCTTGGCAGTCGGTCTTTGCGCGGAGAAGCTGTTGAATGAAGGGGCATGGTGAGACTGGAAACCGTTGGATATGTAGCTGTGGTATGTACCTCTTCTGGCAAAGGATTTCGTGTTGAGGTTCTCATCGTGCATTGCGGGTTCGTCCGAAACGATCTCGCCGTTTGTATCGAACCGATTCCAGCATTCGCAGTGTGGGCATTGGAAGGACCGGGGATTCCGGGGAGCTGGGATGATAGCTGACTGGCAGAAGAAGCAAATTACAGAGTTGTGTTGTTTGAAGATCTTGGACATGGGTCTTGAGCCGGGGGAGGAGGAGGAGGATGCGGAGGGAGTGGGAGTCGCCGCTCACGCCACGAACGCGCGCGCGATGTTGTTGCCTATTTTGCACGCGAGACGCGTCCCAAGCGCGCGTGCATGACGCGCTGAGTGCTGCGCGCAGCCTCCGAGTCTGCGACCGCGATGTCGACTGCTGCAGGCCCGTCTGCAGTCCGCGGCGACATCACTCTCCAGCCATCATATTTTACCTCCTCGCTCTACGTCGAGCCTCTTCGTGAGGACATATCAAACCTTGTCAACCTCTTCGCCGAGCGGTACGTAGAGACATGGCCGCCAAATCAGCCATTTACGCTCTTCAAGCGCCTCTGGTCAGAACAAGGATGGTGCTGGTTGCATTTCAAGGTGCTCGATGCTCGCGCAAGGGAGGCCTTCATAAACGTCACCCATAGGCTGCTTGTTGGTGCGAAAATCACTGCATCTTGGGTTGTATGCGTATTTATTTGCTTCCGCAGAACGCTTGGCAGACGGAGAGCCTCCGCTCACCCGGGTGGTCGTTCTCTTCGCGCTATACACATTCCACCTCAGCCAACCGGCCACTCAAAACCCGCCCATTTATTCGGTAGGGCACATCGCCATTCCAATAGGTACGTAAGTCATCCCGTCATCGTAGAATGCCCCCTGACATTATGTTAGACATTTATGATGCACTCCTGAGCCTACCGTCGAGCCTCACCAATCCCGAGCTACTTCCCCTTCAGCCGTACATTACCTACGTGCTCAAGGCGCTCGAGGAAGCGTTCCATATCCTGCCACGGACCGAATTGCGCCCATACAAACCGAGCATCTTGCCGCGAGAATTGTTCGTGACGGAGGAACACGAATCTGCCGTCATGGCTGCTCTAGCTGGCAGTGCCACGATGTCAAACGCGGGAGGCGGTGTATCCAAGAAGAAAGGCAGACCGTCACGGCGTGACAAGCAAAAGAAAGCGAAAGATGCGCTAGCTGCCCTAGAGAAGTACCTCGAGAAGAACACGACTACGCTAGCTCCTGAACCACCCCCCTCATCACAGTCTACAGCAGCCGCGGATCGTCTGCTTACGACTCATCGCATGGTCGCTCACCCTCCCAACGCGACACGCGAGCAATATCGTGCATACAAGGCGGAAGCCCTGGGAATGCTGGACCCCCATGGTGCGGGCCCGATAACGGAACACACGCGGGGAGTAAATGCCGGGCAAGAGGCATTACAGCGTGCGAACGACGCTGTCCTCGCACGTCTCAAGATGATCGATGAGATGGCCGCTGAACAGGGTTTAGAGGTGGGCGGTGAAGGTGGGGAGAAGACAGGCCTTGCGCGCGTCGAGCGCGCTGTGCAGCACCTCCGATTGTCGGGCGACCCGTCCGGGAGCGTGGGCATCCTGGGGCTGCTGGAGGGCGCGGGCCTGGACGAGCGCTGGGAGGTGTGACCCGAGTGTGACTGTGCCGGGGCGGGGTCGGGCGCGGCGATCTTACGCCTGGCGCGGCGTTGGAATCCCCGCTGCCGGAATGGACTCAAGGTATGTAAGGCCCCGTGAGGCGTCCTGGGCGCGTCGAGAATGGTTGGAGACTGACTTCGGCAAAAGCCAGGGCGGACGGCTTGAACGTTCAGATCACAAGCATCAATGCCAAGTCCAGCGTCCTCGGTCTCGGTACCCCTGGGAATTGACCGTGACAGGTCCGCCGCTCGATCAGGGATGGTAACGATACACAGGTGTTTATTGCCGCTTCAGAAGGACAGCCTAGCACGCGTTGGCCCATATGCCACATATGAGCACCTGTTCGGGCGGTGTACAAAACCATGCTCTGTCCGAAATGCGGATCATACGCGTCTCTCCCGCTGCCCCGTCTGTTGTCCTCGATCTGTGGCCCTTGACCAAGGTCCTCCCCAGCGATGCCCCTCTCGCGCAAGCCTCCCCTTGGTCCTGCTCACCCTGCCTCTCCTTCGCACACCGCTCTTTTGACTGCACGACCACGACCGAGCCCCCAACAGGCTGCATATGGGCAAGCGCCTAACTCGGTTTGTGCGCTTCTCGTGATGCCTTGATACCGGGGCTCAAGCTGGAATGGCAGAGTCGATTCTCCTCGCAGAGCGTGTCGTCGTCAGGGGTGACTGAGAAGGTTCGCCCGAACTTGAGAAGCATGATAGACTATTTGACGCAGGATTAATGAATGACTAGTTTAACCTCTCGCCCGATCCGCGGTCGTGGAACTCAGCTATCGCGCCGGGTATTGCGGAAGACGACGACTACATCCACAATCCCGACCCACGGAAACGAGGCAAAGACCGAGATTGGAACATCTTCACCTGGAGAGGTCTTGTGAATATTGGCAGTTTAGCAGTCCTTTTCTGTGGAATCCTCGCGCTCTTGTAGGTGGTCTCGTAGTGATCAGCGACCGTCCTCAAGCTTACGTCGTCGCCAGCGCTGGATACCCCATCATCTCTCACTTCACGCAGCATAAGCAGTCGAATAATGGTGGCTTCAACGTGGGCGGCATCAACGCATCGGGCCAAATACCAACGTTCATCGGCGGTTATGGTCTCATCGATCCTGAGACACCACAAGAAGTACGCACGAAGAAGGACTACGTGAACGGCAACGATTGGCAATTGGTCTTCAGCGACGAGTTCAACACTCCGGGGCGGACGTTCTGGCCGGGCGACGACCCGTACTGGGAGGCGGTCGACCTGCACTACTGGCAGACGGGTAACTTGGAATGGCTCGACCCCACGGCTGTCACGACGAAGGACGGCGCGCTCGAGATCACGATGTCGGAGAAGCCGAAGAATGGCTTGAACTACACGAGCTCCATGATCACGACGTGGAACAAGTTCTGCTTCCAGGGCGGCATGCTGGAGGTCAACGTGTCGCTTCCCGGTGCTCCCAACGTCGTCGGCCTGTGGCCAGCTATATGGACTATGGGCAACCTGGGGCGTGCAGGCTACGGTGCGAGTCTTGAGGGTATGGTGAGTTCGCGTTCGGTCTGCAGTCCCTACAATCGCTTATCTCGTATTCAGTGGCCATACTCGTACGACACGTGCGACGTAGGCACAGTTAAGAATCAGTCGCTGGGCGGCGTCCCTGACAACCCGGCCACCTTCTCCTGGTTGCCTGGACAGAAGCTCTCGCGGTGTACATGCCCAGGCGCATCTCACCCAGGACCTCTGCACGATGATGGGACGTACGTCGGACGGTCTGCACCTGAGATTGATGTGTTTGAGGGCTCGGTACGTAGCACGTCGGTCGCCTCCAGCGTGTCACTGACCTTCCACCATGTGCGTAGTCTGGAGGTGGTATTGGTCAGGTCTCCCAGTCTGCACAATGGGCGGTATGTCGTGACCTGGCTTGTCGACAGTACGGGCTTGGGCACTGATGCGCAGTTTGCCATAGCCGTTCGATTACAACCATCAGTATCAGAATGGCTCGGATTACATCGATATCGCAGACTCTAGCATCACGAGCCTGAACAGTTACACCGGTGGTTCATACCAAGAAGCGAGTTCCGGTGTAAGTAACACAGGTGAGGACTCTGCCCTTGGTGGAATTGGGTGTTGTTCATCCATGGTAATGCATAGTTCAAACTGCCTGGGAACTTGGGGGTGGTGGATATTCGATATACGGCTATCAATACGAGTATGGTTTCGATGACGCGGTAAGCTATGTGTCACTTTAAGGCATTCAGGATAAACTGACACATGGAACGCAGTATATCACCTGGGTCTCCAGCGGCGTAGTGTCGTGGTCGCTCAAGCAGTCTGCTGTCGGGCCAAGCGATAAAGTTGACATTGGTCAGAGACTGGTTTCGGTGGAACCAATGGTACGTTCTCTTGACTTCTGTTGGCTCTGGCTCTGAAGGAGTACTTTCTTTAGTACATCATCATCAACTTGGGTATATCTGAAGGCTTCGGAGGGTTCGTTGATGTTGCACACCTTGTGTTCCCGACGACGCTGCGCGTGGACTACGTTCGTGTCTATCAAGACCCGAACAACATCAAGACCAGCTGCGATCCTCCCGACGCACCGACCGCAACCTACATCAAGGCGTATGTGTCTGGTCATAACTGATGTGGTGGCGGTACTGATAGCAGAATCCATACAGGTATGAGCCCGCGTACACAAACCCGAACTACACGGACTGGCAAACACAGTATGGCGAGCCTTTCCCAGGGAACCACTGGGCTGGAGATTGTTGAGCTTTATGACGCGATGGACATTAACGGACTGTATGTATTCGTATACTATTAGTGTAGTGTGTGATGTCGCCGCTATTTCTGAGTTGCTTAATGGGATTAAGTTGGCCGTTCGTAGCTTCCGGTACCTCGTCGGTCGCGTTCCAGACTCCTGCACCACACGCAGCAGGGCGCAGCCCACTGGCCTGTCGAGCTTCGCAAGCCGTCTTCGTTGGAGGTCGCTCGTCGCCAACGGCCGCTTGGACCGGCATCTGCACATGGCGCACGACACGGCCATCTCAACCAGTGCAGGCATTTTGAGTCGCCGCGTGTTTGCCGGCCGAAAGAGACGGGCGTGCGGCAAGATGATTGGCCAGGAGGTGCGGCCCGTGCGGAGAGACAAGCGGGGCTGCAGCGGAGAGGAAGCGGTGGCGCTGGCAACAGTTGTTTCCATCGGGTGGATGTAGGCCAGAAACGCTTCCTCTCTGTATCGTCTCTCCCCTTATACCCTTCGTCGCTCCCCGCAGCCTCCTCCCCGCGTACGGCAGCAACCATGGCATCTCTGGGTCCCAACTCTCAGAGACGCTACATGCAATCCGACTCTCCTTCTACCACCAATCTCTTGGCACCGCAGTCGTCGAGAATGCCTCCAAACGGCGTGCAGGCCGCGTCAGGCTCTTCTCCCCGCTCGCTGCATAGCATGGCCAGTAACGCATCACTGGTGTGTAGCGCGCGGATCCAGAGCGGCCAGTGGTTGCTCACATAGTCATCCCGTCAGAACGATGGTCAGTCTCGCTATGCGGCTAGTGTAGCACCTTCGATATCGGACAAGGTGCGTTGCTACACCCGCTATTCATACTCAATGCTGTTCGTCTCACAGTTTCTGTGCAGTTCTCTCTTTCGCCGGATCCGACGTCTTGGGGCGCGTACCTTACGCCCGACGTGCCAGAAAGTGATGACTACCTCCACAACCCCGACCCCCGGCGCGACCGCAAGAATGACCAGGGTGGAAACATCTTCACGTACAGAGGAACCACCAACCTTGGCTGCTTGCTGATACTTGCAGTCGGCACGGTCACGCTTTTGTGCGTCCCACGACGTTTCTCCGGTGGTGCGCCTACTCACGCGTGTATTGCAGTGCGGGTTACCCGCTTATCAGCCATTTCACTAAGAAGTCGCAGTCGCGCGCAGGCGGCTTCAATTTGGGTGGAGTGAACGCATCGGGCCAGATTCCGTCTCTCATTGGCAACTACGGGATGGTTGACAAGCATACCCCTACGGAAGCGCGCACCAAGACTGATTATGTAAACGGGAAGACATTGGAGCTGATCTTCAGTGATGAATTCGAAGTGGAGGGACGTACGTTCTGGCCTGGTGATGATCCTTATTGGGAAGCGGTCGATATGCACTATTGGTCCACGAACAACCTGGAGTGGCTCGATCCGACAGCGATCACGACGAAGAATGGGAGCTTGGAGATCACCATGACCCAGAAAGCCAAGAATGGCCTCAACTTCACCAGCGGCATGATGACGACATGGAACAAGTTTTGCTTCACCGGCGGTCTTGTCGAGGCGAGCGTTTCACTCCCAGGCACCAATAACATCATGGGTTTCTGGCCTGCTGTCTGGATGATGGGCAATCTGGGTCGTGCGGGCTATGGTGCTTCGCTGGACGGCATGGTCAGTCTTGCAATAGCTTGTACATGTACTTTCCTGACCTGCAAACAGTGGCCTTACACGTATGATTCTTGCGACGTGGGCACTCTTGCGAATCAAACGAAGAACGGGCTTCCAATAGCTGCTACCGAGAATGGTGACCCGGCGTACGGCGATGTCCTCTCATATCAGCCTGGACAGCGGCTGTCCCGCTGCACTTGCGCCGGTTCATCGCATCCTGGACCTATGCACCAGGACGGCACTTACGTCGGGCGTGCTGCCCCCGAAATCGATATCTTCGAGGCTACGGTATGCGTGTAGTTTCCACTTACATCATGCCCCGATGCTCATTGCGCTCCGAACAGATCACCAATGGCATGGGTGCAGTTTCCCAGTCTGGACAGTGGGCAGTGCGTACGCTGTCTCAAAGGCATGCTATTCATACTAATGAATGTACAGCCCTACAACCACCAGTACCTGTGGTCCAACACTACGGATAACTACTCTATCAAGAACGAGACGGACACGTTTCTGAATAGCTACCTGGGTGGTGTCTACCAGCAAGCGACTTCGGCGGTAAGCTACACTGGTAAGTCCACCTATAGTCGATGTGATCCCTTTCTTGCCAGACCTAAACTCCTCACAGATCAGAATGCGTACGAGGAGACAGGTGGATACGCTGTCTACGGTGTTCAGTATAAGCCCGGGTTCGATGATGCGGTAGGTCTGGCCTTATTGAATGACATCTTCTCTGACCGTGCGTCGTAGTACATTTCCTGGATCAACAACAATCAAGTAGCATGGACGCTTCAGGCTGGAGGTGTCGGCGCCGACTCCGTGACTGAGATCAGCGCTCGTCCAATCCCTCAGGAGCCCATGGTATGTTCCGCGTTGCTTTGAACACCGCGGTTCGCTCATCTGTATACCTCAGTATCTCATCACGAACTTCGGTATGTCCGAGAACTTCGGCACCGTCGACTTCGCAAATCTGCCGTTCCCGTCCATCATGCGCATAGACTGGATTCGTGTCTACCAGGACCCTGACAACAAGAACTACGGCTGTGATCCGGACGACTTCCCTACGGCAGCGTACATCGAGACGTGAGTTTGTTTTTGATTCAGCGCGGAGTTTCGAGCACGACTGACACAACCGCAGATATCTCCCGGCTTACACTAACCCGAACCTTACGACTTGGGTTGACGACTTCGGCCAGGTCATCCCGAAGAACAGCCTAATCGACGACTGTTCATCATGATGTATGTCCATGCCTATATGTCTGTCACTCGTAGTTACTTGCATCTTCATAGTCGTCCGCTCGATACTCATACGTACGCCCTTGGTACCCTAATGGGACGCTCACTGTGCCCATCTGCCTTCATCCCTAGCATTACATGTTTCTGTCGCATTCGCTTCTTTCGCTCTCAACGATGCGCTACTAGTGCTTATTGTGTAAATATTCTCTGAATGAGGAGTGCCAGAATAGATTGCAGGCCTACTTTCCCTGGCCATGTACACATCGTGCACGATGGGATATTGAGGTTGCTCTATGATAAGTTGGACTACGAAAACAACAGCAGTGTGCTAAACAAATATCATGCGACGAAACATTCCCGAGACCCCAGACCTAGAACCGTGCGGCAGAGAGGTCGTTCAGCTCTGCGCGGCAGGCACCTTGGGAGGGGCGTCCAGAAGTGCCTGAAGCTTGGCTAGTGTCCGTTCCAATGCGATGATGCCTCCTCCGGTCAACCTCGGGACGGCGAGTTCCCGGTCGGCCTCCGTCTCCTCTTTCGAGGTCTTGCTCTTCTCAATCAATGCACGGGCGTCATTGAGCACTTTCGCCAGCTTGGCCTTCGTGTAGTAGAACCAGTGGATCTCCTTCTCTAGACCCCCCAATGGCATTTCGAGTGCCCGACGCACGAAACCGCGTGAGAGCACGTAGGCCTTTTCGCTGTACAGTCGACTGAGAACCGCCAATAATGAGCTCCGTGGTCGTGTGAGCGAACGCAGAACAAAAGACTGACCTGTTCACAATCCCCTCTTCTGTTCCCCTGAGCTTCTCATAGGCAGGCTCACAAAACCACCTACAGAACATCGGTCATCAGCGTTGAATGGCGAAATAGGAGATGCGCAACTTACGGCTCTTTCACGAGCACTAGCCCTTGTATTGAGACGAAGGCTTGCAGGAGAGACGATCTTGCAGCGCTCCACGTTTCGCTCTTGTCGCCGGCCCATGTACCGAGAATGGACAGGCAGACCTTACCCTCTTCGTAGAGATTACTGCAAACAATGAATATGAGTCAGCGTGGCAATTGTTGCGACCCATAGGCAGCCACGTACGGGTTCACTGAATCGACCATCAGTCATGCATTCAAATAAGTTTGCGACATGTCCACGCACCTCTGCCATTCCCGTTCGTCCAGCTCCAGAAGTGCGCGATAGGCGGAGATTGCGGGAAGTTCGAATCAAGCATCCAGTCGATCACGAAGGGCGCATCCTGGTATGGTGTGTTCTCCGGCCCAATGATCAGGCATCGCAGGAGGTCTGTCCGGTCCTCATACGCTCGGACGAGAATCGACTCTGTGAACTAGGTCAGATCGAGAACTGTGTCAGTAATCCGGGGGAAATACCTGGAAGACTGCTCTGCAGAGCACGGTATTCTCGCGATAGACGGGCCATGAACCCTCGCGAGGTCTGGGCCGGAGGCGACGTGTAGAAGGCATGGTCAGCAGGCGCAGATGATAGGACCTCGAATCGTTTCCAATGTGAGTCCGGCTCAGCTGTCTCCGCGTCATCCGTCTCCGTTGCGTCTTGTGGGACATCGGGAGTTTTTGGCCTCGTAGATCTAGAGGTGCCGTCCACTTTCTCGAGTGGCGAAACGGACGCGACGTCGGACGACACTGCGAGGGGTACCTCATGGTCTTGCCCGTGATGTACAGTGGGATCTGACGATGACCACCCTTCTTCGTCGTCGACGTCCATGTTGTTGTCTTCCTCGCCCTCGTCTGTCGACCAATCTCCGGTGTCTTCCTCATCATCCATCCCGACCCACTGCCCTTCTCCGTCCATCTCCCAGACCTCGACGTCCTCCTCGACGTCGATGTCGCTCCCCTCCTCGCCTTCTGAGATATCGTCGCCCCAGAGCTCTTCGATCTGTTCGAGACCGTCCGCGAGCTTGGTCAATCGCTGCAGCGGGAGGACCTGTGTGCTGCCACTTGGGAGGACAACCTCGACTGCTCCGTCCAGATGCAGCTGCACTTGATTGAGAAACGTAAGACGACACAGTCCAACTGGGTACTCACGTCCACAACCTCGCCAAACCAATCGAGATGCGTGTCTCCCTTGTGCGGGCGTTGCAGCTCGCCCTCCTCAATAGTTGGGTCCCTCCCGCGCCTCTCTGCTATCTTGTTCCCAATATCTGCCATCTCCCTCCTCCAGCCACCGAGATGGCCGGTTCCCGAGACTACAGGCGGCTCGCGGACCCACTCCTCCACCTCGCCTATCCGGGGGACCATTGGCGGCTCCGCGCCGTTCGTCGCGCCCGGCTTGTGGATGAAGACGAAGTCGCCGCGGTGGACGCCCAGCCCGTCTGTGGGCGCAACGGCGGACCAGTCGGACGTCCCGTGCGGATCGAGCTCGAGCAGGGAGGCGAGCTCGACTTGTTTGTTGTCTTCGCACCGGACCTGTGCGATCCTGTCGACGGCGTTGACGCTCTGGACGATTGCTGCTCGCCTTTGGTCTTCGGTCTTCCAAATGACATGGTCTCCCGGCCTGACAACATGATCATCAGCAATGAGGTTGATGTGCGCGTTCCACAGAACCCACCAGCAGTCGTACTCGTCGGGGTTCAGGTATGGGATAGTCTGCTTGGCATCCAGTGTTTCTCGGGTACCATCTTGCCAAAGTACATTCACGAGCGTTTGCGTCTCCTTGACAATGAACGTCCGCACTTCCAACAAATGACTGGGGTCGTCCTCTTTACCGTGCTTGGTCATTGGAACTCCTGTGGAGTCCCTCAGGACGACACGGTCTCCTACACGGATGGCTTGCTCTGCTCTCCGGCGCACGAGGGTTAGGTCGCTCAGTAACGGACCAGACCAAAAGCGTGCCGGACGCAGACGGGTCTGCGCTTCCTTTGGATCTAGCTGTGCATTCATAGGTGAGAGAAGGTTCGCGCCGGACAGCGAGGGACGTACGGATTGGTTGATAGCTAACCATGCGATGGCGAGTACTGTACGCTTGACGGCGACGACTGTATCTTGGTTGCTGGGACGTACATTGCCCAATAGGAACCCGAAGAGGCTTTGCACACCAGACATAGGTTGTGGTAGGACATCCTGCGGTATATCTGAGCACTGGTCAATGCAATGAGGCTACGATGCAGGTACTGACTTGTCCCTTCTCCCCCACGGCAAGCCGGGCACTCAACTCTGGAACGCGGACAAGGTTCCCATTTCCCATATCTATCACGGCCTCGTCAAACATCTGCGGTTGCCGTCAGCATACACTGTGGCCAGTCATGAACCGATGCATACCTCAACGACCTATTCAAGCAGTCAGCATCGCTCATCATTTGATTAGGGTGGATGCAGTCTCACCTGGCCGATCCAGTCATCGTACACGACGTAATCACCCATGTCTACGTCGATGGCGGTCTGCACTTCACTTGTGATCTTCCATTCTTGCAGTGGCTCTCCACTGATAGCGTGCTCGAGGCGACCCTTCACTTCGATCCTGGCGCGCGACGTAAGCTGCGTGCATGACCAGCTTGACAATATGCGCACCCTGTGACAACTCCCGAGGCCACATCGTCTATGCTACATTTGAGCAGATCGCCAGGCTGGTAATTTCGGTCGACGAGTTCGAGTTGGGATTCGGCCAGGATCTCACGCGAAGGACGAGGGAAGTAGGAGACGCCGACCTCGCCCTACAGACCATGTGGATGAGTCCAGAGAAGGATTGGTCCATGAGCTCGCTGCGACATACCGGCTGCAGTGGTCTCATCAGGGGGTCAGCATTCTCTGCGGGTGGTGGGAGGTCTTCAGCATCGTGCCAACATCGCTAACATGGGGGAGTCAGTATCGCAGCATGAGTCGCACAGAAAGGCTACGTACCAGCACGATACCATACAAGCCGGGGTCGTCCTTTCGCCTGACAATATCCTCCTGGTAGAACTAGATAACAGAACAGTTACTCACATTTTACTCACCAAGCGCAGGGACCTCATCGGAAACATCGGCTGGAGAGCCTCACCTTCGCGGTTACGCCACCACGACGACTTGCAGGTGGCATCTCGTCCTCGAGGCAAGGACACGTTCACGGAGGTTCGGTTGTGGGTCGCGACGGTGCTGGTGGCCAGCGGTCGAGTAGGGTATGATACAAGCGTGTTCCCGTCCGGCGCGTTCTGGGCTGCAATTATGGCGCAGATGACTGTTTACCGTGACTTCGGCGATCCTCCTGTGCGCTCCCATTCGCCGCGCTATCTTTGCTCCCACCTGCCCTCCTCCAGCCCACGGCGCACGTACTGCGGCGGGCGTGCGTCCGACTGCTGAATACTCGGCAGTAGGTGGTCAGTACACTGATTTGGGCGGGCTGAACGTGGCTCAGGAAATGCTGCATTGAGCCAAAGCCGTGTAGGGCAGTTGTTGACGCTGAGCCGCCGCTCACAATACTACCCGACATGTCTACTTCCTACAGGACCAGGCGAGCATCATGTTTGCCAGCCAGCCTACTGTCCGACTAGCCCTGAAGTACAGTACTGTCTATATCCTCCTGGTTTCGTCTGGCCACAACTGGTGGACAAAATTTGCGACGCGTCCATTGTCAACCGTCCAACATGGCATCAAAGGTGGACGAGCTACCTACAGAGCTCATCGTGCGCGTCTTCGCTGAACTCAACTGTGCCGACTTGGTGAGATACAGAGAGGTCAGTCACTGTTCATACCTCTCGGGCTACCACTGAGGTCGTGATATGGAACTGGAAGACAGGCGGCGTCTGCAAGCTCGTAAGCTCGCCGTTCCCCGGACTTCGCCCATGAAACGCTGATGCCCTCTTCACAGGATGTCCACAGCGCTACGTTGGCGATGCCAGGACATTGTACAGCTTTGCGTTCCTATCTGAGCGGCACGTCCTCCTCGGGCTCGCGCAGCGGAGTCTAACCCAGGCCGAGCTCCAGGCGAGAGATCGGACGGCGGAGGAGCCCCAGCTCCTAGTCGTCGACTTCCTTGCGGGCACTGGCGAACTGGTGAAAATGCACGAGGCCGACTTTCTCTGCGCGTTCTACTACCCTAGTATGGTGCGCGAAGCTGTGCCGTTGGGCATCACTATCCGTTCAGACTCTGAGCCTGGATGGACATCACATCCGGACTCCCCGGTCCCGTTCTTCACCGCCCGCGGAGACCGATTGTTGGTGATTACTTTTATTATTTTCTCCGGTTTGGGAGAGTTTATGCATTCGTTACTCTTCGTTCGGACGTCGACGCTCTCAAAGGCGAGACAAAGCGTCGGTTCAGTTGGGACGAATGGGGCCCGAACCAGACGCAAATGATACGCAAGCCCCGCCACCACTCTGATGTGTGGGCGCGCCACGTGTTCGGTATGCGGTTCGTCACCGCCAGCAAATGGCGCGGGATGCCGAAATGCATCGAGGTGTACGACTTTGGTCGATTTGCGCGCGATCGTCGAGCGGCACCGGAGCCGGGAGAAGGAGAAGAGGAAGGGGAAGACATTTGGTTCGGAAGACCATTGGATGAGCGACGAGACAGAAATGCCAGAGGGCATCTTTGGTGACAAGGTCGCGACGTCGCTGCCCTACCACATGCGCACCATGATTCCGCCCAGGGGCGACGGCGAGAAGGACTTCGAGTGCGTCATGCTCAGCGAGGACACTATAATAGTCGTCATGTGCAATGTGAGTGCCGGTCGTCTACGTTTGGCTATACCTCTCTGACCGCCCACAAGGACGAACGCCACCATCGCAACACTCGACTATTGACGTTCTGGATCCGGATGGGGATCTCGCTGGATGCGGTCATGAGGCGAATCACTACGGTTCTCCCCGTGATTCTGCTACACATATGAGGACGCCGACAGATGATCGTCAGGTCGTCCTGTGGTCGCAGCCAATACAGCTGCGGAGACTTTGCATTGCTAAGGCAGGCGTCCTACCGGATATCAGGAATGAAGTCCGCGCATCATGGCACGTTGACGCTGTTTGCAGAAACCTCCGTCCGTGCAGCGGAGGAATGTATCGAAGCCAATGTATCATAGACAGCGTAATGAGTTATAGTAGACATTGCGTGACGTGCTATAACTGAGCAACATGCGCCGTTGGGTGCAGTAGACGAGGGATTAAGGTCATAGGCTTGGGGCCATGAGCAGCTGGTCGAGCCGAACGGGAAGCTGAACGTCGTCGGTGTACATGTCCAATCAGGGCAGGCGAGCGTGCAGTGCCGCACGGGCGCCTCCGAGTCACCGAGCTGAAGATTGTCCTCACGCGCTCCCCCATTTACATACTCCCTACCATGCCCTCCTCATGAGACATATAAAACCCTTCCCGTTGTCAGTCTCCCCGCTCAGTCCCCCGCTCGTCTGAGACTATGATCCCACCCTCCGTCCGCCAGGGCACCTGCAGGATAGCGCCTGCGGCGAGCCAGTCTCGCTCCGCGCAGACGTTCAAAGCCTTCTATGCTGTAAGCCCGATATGCGCTCGTCAATGAGGACAAGGATTGACACCTGTACGGCAGACGATACGAAACAACTGGCGGCAGCCACCAGCCCCTGCAGAGCCCGAAGATGTCGATCCCTCCGACAAGGTTCGTGCGGGTCGTCGAGGTTCACGGCAGTCCTCTAACGACATAGCGCCCAGGACTTCATAATGTCTATCTTGCGCGCGAATCCCTCCCTGCGCGACACTCGGTCCTACCTCGCCTCATTCGGACCTCGTCCCAAGCCCCCATCGCCTGCCCCAGCGAAGTCGACGGAGGAGCCCGCCCCCACTGCCATCCAAGAACACAGCACGAAAGATGCTATTCCGCCGGACATCTCCCAGCAGCTCCAGAGCCCCGTCGTCGCGTCGATCCTCAATCCGATCGTGCGGCGCACGGCCTTGGTGAAGATCCAGGCGCCGTTCACAGACCGGCAGCTGGAGAGTATCGCGACTGGTATGGTCTACCTCGAGAAGCTGGGGCTTGTCAGCGTCATCGTCGTGGAGAACGACAGCCTGCCGAAGGGCGAGGCAGGCGAGCGCGCCGCGCTGTCGGAGGAGACGATGCGCGTCGTGAACGCACTCGAGAAGCAAGGCGCGAAGGCGCGTCCAGTGCTCGGCGCTGTCGTCCGTCTCGGCCCCAAACCAGGGGACGATGAACTGGCGGAGCAACAGCGAGGATTTGTCGTCCCAGAGGCACACACCTTCCCCTCCGACCTCGTCCACATTCGCTCTGCACTCCAAGCAGGGGAGATCCCTGTGCTCCCACCCCTTGCACTCGATTCGTTCTGCCGCTCCGTCAGGGTGGACGCGAGCGACGTCGTCGCTGCGCTTACCCGGGGTATGGTGGAAGCAGCGGCTCAGGATGGCCGCAGTCGGGACCCGGGCTTCGACGGACACTCGGAAGACATGGATTTGACACCGCTGCGTCTGATGATTATCAACAAAGAAGGCGGGGTCCCTTCTTACGCGCGCTCCGGGCTCCCTCACCTCCTGGTCAACCTCAACGCGGAGTATCCTTACATCCAAGACACATTCGATCCTCGTTGGCGTGCTTCGCACCCTACTGCATTGTCTAACCTGGCTCTCGCACGCACATGTCTCGAGTACATGCCGCCCTCTTCATCCGCCGTCATGGTATCCCACCGCTCACCGAGTTCGCTCATAGCGAACCTCATCACGAACAAGCCCGCGGTCAGCTCTAGTCTTCCGCACGCCCTGCTGCAAGGTAACCGCAAGCTCACGCCTGCGACCCCCACGCTCCTCCGGCGGGGGCTGCCCGTCCGTGTCATCCGTACCCTAGCGGATGTTGACAAGGTGAAGCTCAAGGCCCTCCTGGAGCAGTCCTTCCAGCGCATCCTAGATGAGGAGTCTTTCTGGCACCGCCTCGAAACTCACCTCGACTACGTGATCGTCGCAGGGGACTACGCCGGCGCTGCCGTCGTCACGCGCGAGGGCGGGCACGGCGCCGACGGCGAGCCCATCACGTACCTCGACAAGTTCGCGGTGCTGCCGAGCCACCAGGGCGACGGCACGGTGGACTTCCTCTGGGTCGCGCTGCACGACGAGTCGTACGGGCTCGGCCTGCCCTTCTCCGCGAACCCGAACGGGGGCAAGGAGGGCAAGGGCGAGGGACGCGACCTCGTCTGGCGGAGCCGCGCGGACAACCCCGTGAACAAGTGGTACTTCGAGCGCAGCTCCGGGCACATCCGCATGGGCCGCTGGGTGCTGTTCTGGTGCGACGCGGAGGTGCGCCTGAAGACGATAGAGGGCCGCCGCGGCAGCCAGGGACTGTCGTACGTGGAAGACTGGGAGCATGGCCGGCTCACGCACTGGGCTGAGGTCGTCGACAAGATACCTTCGAGCTGGAAAAAGTAGTGTACTCTGATTAATCGCTCTCAACATAGACTCGCTGGATCGAACGAAAGAAGGAGTTGTCACTTGCTGTTGCATTATCTCATTTTGTATCTCTATTTGCTTGTTGACCTGGACCATAGACCATGTACAGCCAACCTGTACTAACCCTGTTTTCCGCGTAATGAAGCAACATTGCATTAGTTCGTAACTATTACATACATACACATCCATAGATCATTCCATATCCGTTCCAAGAAATGCGAGAGCGAAGCAACATCACTGGTATTACAAACAGTGTGCACATACGATCATGGCTCAGCTTGAGCGAGGAACACGCCTCCTTGATCTGCGCTTTGGGGGCGAACTCGAGGGCGTGATTGATAGGCTTGGTCGCGGCGTGCCCTTGAGCTGGTGCGCGTTCGCGTTTGCCTCAAGCACTTTGGCGAGATCGCCCTTCCTCTTCCAGGGCACGAGCTGATGTCCCCGGAGGACGTCGACCTTGAGTTGCTCAATACCTTGGATGACACGGTCAAGGAAGCCGTTCACGGTCCAATGATCGAGTTTCTTGATGAGGAGGTAAACCTGGAGGATGTCGGCAGGCTCCTCTAGGTTCCACTCGTGGAAGACCCCGCTCGTCCGGCGGTTGCTTGGGTTTGTGCCCGCATACGCGGCAGAACGGATCATCTATGCGCAAGGGGACTGTTCAATACTTACGACTTCAGCATCGAAGTGACGACGTAAACTCACCAGCTGACCAGACCTGGGGTCGGTCTCCCACCAGTCGACATGAGCTCGGACCGTCCCCTGGGCCCACACGAGCCCGAAGACGGGCGCATTGATGCCTAGGGCATGCAGCTGTCTCACGGCACTCGCCGTCGCCATCCTGTTCTGGCGGTGCGCATCTTCGATGTATTGGTGCTTTTTGTCCTCCCAGTACGTGCTCGCAAATTCGAAGCCTTGGGTGTCTGGCAGTTTCGCGCACGGCGTGCTCTGAAAGCGGAAGGACGACTCGCCCCCGATGCTGCCGCTGGTGGACATCTTGCCTTTCGACAGCGACTGCAGCACCTTGTACGGGCTCTTTGAGCCGTACGACAGGTGGCTCATGTGACGCGCCGGAATGAAGATGGATGAGTCTGGTGAGGCGGTCTTGGCATTCAATACACGGAGGTCGCCAGCCTTGATGCGAGAAAGCGACAGTGGTTGAGGGAGCGCAATCGAGCATTGAGCGCTGTTGAAGTTCTTACTCCATTAAATTGTCATGCCAGAAGTGGGTACATACCGGTAGTCGCCTTGTTGCACGGCAGGACTGCGTATGACATTGTAGCTGAGAGTGTTTCTCAATCGCGACAACGTCATGGTAGTACAAGACAACCTACACATTTGCGGCAAAGTCTGCCTCTGACCACTTGCGGCTAGACTGACGCATCTTCCTGATACGGTTCCAAGCACTGAATACGATTTGCAGTTCGCTGAGTAGCTGCTTGCTGTCGTTCTCCGCTACCTGGGAGGTGAACAAGGCCGGGACTGCTTTACCGGCTGTGTTCATGAAACCTAGAAATTCGGGGGGAAGCACTGTTTTCATGCGTCGGGAGGTATCTGTCTGTCACTACTATGAGACAAAAGTACATTACTCGCGCCGCGGCCAAGGACGTACTGTGCCCAGCCACTCCTTGGGCAGCTGAGAGGTGATGTCAAAGACATTGTGCACGACGGTGCGCATCTCCCTTGGTACGTCGTCGTACCCGACTTCTTCACAGCCCTGATGAGCTGTCCAAAGCTCAAAGCTCTTGACATTCCGAGCAATTCTAGAATAAGCCAGGAGTCAGCAAGCGGCACCAGCGAGCTAAGCTAACATACTGGCAAGCAGATAGACATCTAGGCTTTCGTGCCTTGCCTCTGGTCGTGTTGTCGGACTCGTAGGATTGCCGACGTGACATCGTGCTTTGAGTGCTGTGGCTGCTCGTAGCCACTCAATTTGGAGTTGATGTTATACGTGCGCGTCCGCAACGCGTAGTGCAGAGAATAAAAAGTGGATAGCACTGTCCGGACGCGTAGTTCGTGAGAGGTCGTGAGGAGGGAAATTTAAATGGATGTTGGGAAGAGAAGGAGAGAAGAAGTTGACGCCCTTGAGGCGGTCATTCACACTGCCAACGCGACGCGATCCCAAACGGAACCAAATTGTAGTCACGGGACCGCGCACTGTGGCACAAAGCATCCAACTGCCCTGCCAGCAGTTAAAGCCAACGACTGGCAAGCTCAATACCCAGCGTGATGGATAGTCCTAGTCATTACTGGCTGTAGGGTCATCTACATACCTACAGAACGGCCTGAAATGGATTACCCAAGGGCGTGCCAACGAAATGGAGGCTCTATAGCTGAGACTCCGATCCGAGTCGGAAGCGAACTCTGCAGCAATAATGATAGCATTGATTGGTATCGTACATCGCTCCTGCTGATTTGCCTGAGATCGTCAGAAGTACTTGTCCATGAGTTTCCGTGAAGCCTCGACACCCAACTGTTGCAGTCGTCAGACAAATGCGCCAGCATAATAGGCAGAAGAGCACTCACGAATGTCGCAGCGTTTGCCGGGAATGCCTGAAGTTGACGTATGTCAGTGGATTACATGCTCAGAAGCCCACTGAGACTCACCCGAGCCATAGCTGGACCGAGGCCCTTCCACAATGCACCGACACCATCAGCAGCGATAGTCTTCCGTGCGCAATCCATGAAACCAGAGTATGTCCCGGTTGGCGCAGACTGAATTCTTGACTTCAACACCTAGTGGCACGCGCCCAGTCGTCAGTCAACTGCCAGCAAACAACCTTCAAACACCAACATCAGGAGGTATCGCGATGGACCACATCGCGACGCCAGCAGTCCCTCCAGCCATGATGATCGCGCCAAGGTTCAGATCCCCAGAGGACGAGCCGGCTGGGGTCAAAGCACGCTTCGTGAGCTCGTACGCCGCAAAGTATGCAGCGCTTCCAGGGCCGTCGCGTGCCACCGTGGCAGCGGAACCTCGGAATACGCTTCGAAGACCACCCTCCTTGTACAGATGCTTCACGACGTCGAACATGCCATTGTACTGAGGCCCACCGTGTCCCTGCCCTTGTACCTAGAATGTCTTGATCAGTCGAAGGTGCAATGACGTAGAGCAGGACGACTCACCTGAAGCAGGACCTTCGCACGCTCGACTGGCGCAGTGACGAGTGTGGTGGGTACCGCGGAGAGGAAGCCGGCAGTAGCAAGTTCGGATATTGATAGTGTTTGATCTTTACGGTTTGGCGTCACAGCAAGAATGAGTGCTTTCGACATATCGTAGGCCTTGAGGCCGTCTCAGCACACATGAGCCAAGGACGCAAGACCAATCGGACGTACCCAGAATGATACTGCAAATATGGGTGTCACGCCCAGTAACGGTGGAACGACACCGCGGTACAGTCTGCAAACAGGATCAATGCCAGTATTAGGATCAAAAGTCCGAGAGCGTACCCAGTGGCTCCATCTCTCGCCAGAGTCTTCCTGACCGCATCGACTGCTCCTGTGTACGTCCCCGGAGGTGCTGTCTGCAGTCGCGTCTTGATCAGGTCGAACGGATGACCTGTGAGCCCCAATCAGCTCCAGCGACTCATGCAAACAACTGCCCATTACTCACCTACGAGTACTGCGGCGACACCACCAAACCCTCCCGCAAGGAACGACTTGATCGAGTCCGCCGTCGACGTCGGCGCGTTCGCGATTACAAGCACCTCTTCGGACGACGTATCGCTCTGCCTCTGCGATGCGCGTTAGCACTCCCTCAGAGCACGACGCGTACTCACCATGGTGGTCTGTTACAGAGTGCGAACCCTGCGGAGGCGAGGACGTCCGTCGGAAATATAACAGGATGTGCGAAGGACTGCCGCAGACTGCATCTGGTCGGCTATAATGAGCTGCCAATGGGCGCTCGTGCTTGTCCGTGTCACTCGCGCGTGATTTCCTCCGCGTGTTTCCCCGCAATCCCAGTCCGGGGTACCGACCCGGTCGACCAGGGTCGACCTCATGCAATAACACACCCGGTTTATACCTTACCGTTATACGTACTCCAAGGGTCAGCCGAGTGGCCCTGACGGAATGTCTAATGTTTTGCCAATCATGATCGATCTCTTACTGTCACCGTCACGGCTAGTATGCTATACCAGACCAGACACTCACCTGAATACACGGCGACACCGAGACAATATGTATACACGCAAGCAATCGAACCCTCTATGGAACACTGACATACTAAAAGAACGCATTCATATCGAACTCTGGTACTGAGACATTCTGTTTAGCAGTCTTCATCAAACTACCCAGCCCAGCCTTCCGAGCGATCGTGTCTCCTTCCTCTTTCTCTGGCTCCTTTGGAGGTTGTGCGCCCAAGTCGACGACGTTGGATACAGGCGATGTTGATCGAGTAGATGGCGCAGTGACTGGGTCCATGTCGATGAACACCGACGCCCTGTGACGCAGCGCAGGCTCCAGTGCAAGACGCGTGGACACCGGGCTCGGAGGCTCAGTTTGGGCCAGAGGCTTCCTACCAGGGATGACAACAGATGGTCGCTGGAATGACCAGCTCCGGAGGAGGTCCAAGGCCAGAACATGACAGCCTGCGTAGCGAAATTAGGATGTATAGTGAGCGTCATTCAAGCGGCACTCACCCATCCTGCAGAACACGCGGGCAATCTGGAGCACAAAGTTGAACTCCGTTCGCCCAGAAATCTCACTGGTGCCTTTGGCCGTCTGCAGGGTCCGAGACTTCAGCTGCGAGAATAGCAATGCAAGACTGGGGTCATCATAGTGCGGATCGCCGATCGCCGTAATCCGCACGTCAAGCACGGACGCAACGTCTTGTAGGGGTGTCTGCGCAACCTCTCATCAATAGAAACCTCGGAAGGGGATATACGTTCTCTTACCAGCAAGATTCGTACGGCGAGGTCGCGTCGGTGAAGCAGCCAGAACGCCCAGCTGGCTAGCCACCTATTCCCGTCCCTGAATGCGACGGGCAACACAGTGTCCTTGAGCAATGCTTGAAGAATGGGGCCATCGTCACCGCCCTCGACAACTCTTGCTATAGCAACAGCCAGCTGGAAGTCATCGAGGTTCCTGATGCAAACATTCACTGCATCCTTCAAACTTCCACCGAGCAAGAAGAAGGCCGCGGCATACTCTGTATCGCACCTATGAAGAAGTGGAACCACCGCGGGCAACAAGTAGCACTCACCGAACCGTCGCTTGCTCAACAGCGCGAAGGCGTTCTTCAGAGCAGCAGTGCGCCAACGAGCCTGCGTGAAGTCATTGTTGAGGAACTTCAGCATTTGAGATTGCTCCTTATGCCAAGCCGCTTGTCGCCACAGGCCCAGCATGAGCTTCGATTTGCCCAGGGCGAAGTAGAAGAGACTGCATGCTGTTGGGTCACGATTGTCGCCTGCCATATACTGGTTGCGCGCAACGACTTCCATGTGTGCTTTCTGCAATGCAATACATGAGTCGCGGCGACAGAACGCGAGGGCGAGTACTCGCCATGGACTCGCAAGACCGCAGCCACAAGAACACACCCAAAGATCGGGCTTCAGACCACGTCATCTTGCCACTGCAAGCCGCCACGGATTGAGATAGCAACAGTTCTTGACTCTCACTATGGAACGCCCAGATCATGTCGCGATACCGCAAGCGTTGTCTCGGTCTGATGCGTTTGTCTATCGTGCCAGTCTTACCGGACGTAGGCGTGCTTGGGGCAGACAGTCGCTTATGGCTGATGTAGTACGCTCGCATGGAAATCAGGTATCGCACGCCGTTGGTGTCGAGGGCGCGTCGTTGCTCTTCGATCTACGCAGACTCAGTCAGGGCTTTCCGTCAGGTCATTGTCTGCTTACCTCCAAAGCTGTCTGGATCAATACCAGCAGAGACGCATGTTCATTGGGAGTTAGGTGAGGCAGCGGATTCTCTTCGAGTCGCTCGATCAAATGTTCGACCACAGATCGAGAGAACGGATCCTCATCATCGCTGGACTAAGGTCAGCTGCATGGATCGAGGGACATCCATAAGGATACTCACTCATTCTGCATTTCAGGTTCGCTGAAGAGCAGTGAGTACTGCGGCTTGCGTGATGCATGTGCCTGATACAAAGTGTTTGTCAGTGAAGACACACAGAACAGGGGAGACGAGCACTGACTGCCTTGACGACCTCGTCTTTCTTGAAGAAGTTTTCTAGAGGGAGTCGCTGCCATTCCCAAGGACTTCTTCCGCTCTCGAGGTTCTTGGCTAGATTGACGATGATTTGCTTCACGAGTTCGATTTTCTCTGTGGCATTGAACGGCATTAAAGTTCAGACAGTCGCAGCATGATTGCATGTGTCCTTACCCCACAGCAAGCATTGGAGCATCATCTGCGGATGATAATCGTCCAATGGGCCGTTCTGGCGCGCAACGAACTCGAACAGGCTCTCGTTGCGTTCGTCGCCTGTTTTCGACTTTGGCTGGCCAAAGATACAGAGGTGGTGTCCCGCGCCGACGAGCAATGACCCACGGGCCAACCATATCGAGTCACCAATTGGGTGCGGGAACGTCCTGATGATTGTGAGTTGTGGAGAATGGGTACTTTCTACCTACACTTACCTTCCGATATCGATGGTGTGGCAACGTCCCCAGCCAGGGGTGTCGTCGTAGTATGTCATGCGTTGTTGCGCCAACAGCTCGACGTGATGCGCGAAACCGATGGCGAGGATCGATTGTGCGTCGGGTGTGGCAGTCCAGTCCAGGTCGTTGATAGGATCTGATGAACTGGGTGTAACGTTATGAGTGGTGATAAGGTCTGCGATAGGCGGTCCGAATATACCTCAGTAATTCCTGATACTCAAGCCCTGAAGAGAACTCTGAGGTCTTCGAATCCCAAATTGTGAGTTCCTCGCCTTCAGGTGTAGGCACAACTGGATGGGAGCGGTGTTCACATGAGAGGATTGTCCACACCGACGACAGATTGCTTACCCAGAACTGATTTCTTCGCAGAGCTACACGCTGCCCTGCTGAGCCCTTTCCTCCCCGTCCGCACCCGCCCTGTACACCTCCACCCACTACTCTGCGTATCACCGTGGGCAACCGTACCATTAGGCTTCGTGCCATTAGCCTTCACGCCGTTCATCTGCTTGACCTCTCCACTCAGCAGGTCCAGCAACCCATTCTCAGGGACCCAGAAAGCGAGCTCCCCATCCTCGGATACCGACAACAGCGTATCGTGAGCATCTGCGCTCATCGCGGTCGCCTCCCCGCGCGTGCCGCTCCAGGCCATGGGGTCCACCGGGAGGATCATCCGCGGAGGGGTCGGTAGTGGGAGTGAGCTCTCGAGTCGGATGGCGAGGGCGGGTTCGGGGGATAGGTTGGCGTAGATGACAAGGATGGTATGAGTCTCTGTGACAGCTAGGATGGTGCGTGATAGGGAGGTTGGGGAGGAAGAGGGTACTGGCAGGGAGAAGAGGGCTACGAGGGGCGGGACGGATAGCGTGGCGGGTGCGGGTGTGTGGAGGGTAAGACGACCTGCCTGGGACGCGTACGTGACAAAACAAGTGCCTGTACATCGGCTCAGTCAATGGAGACAACAAGACCAGGGACTTGCGACGAACCTCCATCGAGCACTACGACCTGGTCGACTTTATCTGCCTCCTCACTTACGCGCCACTTCCCTCTCCTCTGCAGTCCGCCTCCGCCCCGCTTCAGGCACCAGACCTCGCCGCTCCCATCCGCATATACCGCCCCAACGCCTTCTCCCTCCGGTGTCCGTACAAACCTGACTACCTCGCGTCTGCTATGATCGACAGCCTCTCTGGGGTCCTGCAGTATCTGGTCAGCACCACGCGCGACGAGCCTGAGTCCATCTGCACGCGCATCGAAGAACGGGAGGGGCGAAAGGACGTAGGCGGCGAGAGGAGGGGAAGTAACCAATGTGAGCGTCCCAGGGTCAGATGGAGCGGGGAGGACGTAGAGGTGCGCTGGAGGAGGGGACGGGAGGAGTCCCGGAGGCGATTGAAGTAAGGTGAACTGCTTGAGCAGCGTGGGTGGGCGTCGGTCGATATTCTGGGGCGGCGGGTTACAAGTCTCAGTGAGAAGTGGGATGGATTCGCAGAAACAACACGCACAGCAACTGCTTGGACAACTAACGAACCGTCCGCGAGGACACGCAGGAACAAGTCCCACCCCTCCTCCGCGATCTCTCGTACCCGCCTGCTCCGCGCGTCCTCCTCCGCGCTCTGCGCGCCCCCACTCACGCCCTTCAGCATGCTGAGAACTGCATCACGGTCGAGCGGAAACACGCTACTCGATATCATCCTTCCGTCGCCTTCCAACGAATTCAACTGGGAGGAGAGCGGTATGGAGCTCGCCGCATCGAGAGCGGCGTGCAGCTGCACACGCTGCGGCGCATCAAGCACGGAGAGGAATACACGAAGAGTGCCATCCGTTGTGGTTGTGTATAGGATCGGATCGTCATTGCGGTTCTGTGCGTGTGTGCCAGGATTACGCCAGCGTATGTCGGAGACAGGTCGCGGGTGCGGAATAACCTGGGTTCGGCGGCCGGAGGTGGTAAGGTGTAGGCGGACAATAGTATCGTGCTGCAGACGGGCGAAAGAAGTCAGTGCCGCGTGTAAGAAGCATATATGCAGCAGTGCGTACGGTCGACGTGGTTGCAATGTACATTAAGGAGGGTGAGAATCGTACGCGAGCTAGTGATTTCGTACTGCGAATATGTCAAGACAGCCTCCGGTGTGATAGACGACAGGCTTACGGATATGTCCACTTTCGCGACCAAGTAGGCAGGTCGTTCTCTAAAATGAGTGTGTAGACAGATAGACTTGATTGTGTGCCGACGGCCAGCAGTCCTAGAACGCCTCAGCAAGGTTCGCGGGAAGGTAAGGCATGACTGACCAGACTTGCAATCTAGGGCCGTAACCTCTTGCTCCTGAGGGAGAACAAGTGAAGAGTGTAGTCGCCACGAGTCGTGCACCTGGTATCCTCCTGCAGTGGACAGCGACCAGACGGCGACACGAGAAGCCATAGAAGCCACGACCTAGCATATTCACTCAGTCTGACAGGAGCATGCATAGAGTTTCACCATGTCACATACAAGCTTCATTCCAGAATCTATGGTCAGACAACTGACAGATCCAGCGATGTGCCGGGTGCCTGGAAAGACCTCCCAGAAAGTGAGGGCACGGAGGAAGGCTAACGTGCGTGCATTAAGGATGATGATACTGTCTAGCGATGGGTGCAGCTGCAGTACGAGATCATGTCAGCGAACGTCTGGCCGTCAGTGATAGACACATGCCCACCAGCAGAGTCTCGCGGGGCAGGGCGAGGAATTGCAGGCCCGTGGTGGGGCAGCCCGTATAGGCCTGCAGGAGGTCCAGCATGGCTTCGGAAGTAATGTCCGCCGCTCAGAAGCAGCCCGGGCCTCTGTATTTTGCGAGCAGCACGGCAGACGGGAGCACGAAGAGGCTCAAGCGGACATGAGTGGTGGATGGATTTGGGATGGTCGCGCACGGCGGGCGCCTACGCGATGGGCGTGACGGGCGCCTGTTTATAGCAGGAACGTCATGTCGCGGGTGAGCAGCGCAGTCTCAGCCGCTTCCGAGTCTGTCCCGCCTTTCTCTCCTCGCCCACCATGCGGCCCTGGTCGGCCTTCCCGCTCGCCCTCCTCGCCCTCGCGCCCCTCGGGTGGTCCGCGCAGGTCCCCATCCACTCTGCACCCGTGCACACCCAGTCATCCAACATCCTCAACGCCCTCTACGCCGACCCGGACTACCTCTCCCTCGTCAAGCTCCTCCAGCGTGCAAAGCTCATCCCGACACTCAACAGAATCAATGGGAGCACTCTGTTTGCACCCACCAACGATGCCATCGCGAAACACGCGTTGTGGCAGGCTGCGCTGGACGCCCCTCACGACCTCCGCGACAACGTACAGGAGGAGCTGCGGCAACAGCTGTTCTACCACATCCTCAACTACACCATCCCCGCGCTTCCGACGGAGCAGTCAACTCAGACACACAAGACCCTTCTGTATCCACGTACTCCCACAGAACCTCCAACGCGGGAACCGCCACCCGGGCCACCATGGATGCCAATACCCGGAGGCACACTAGGCGGCGAGTCCCAGCGTCTGCGCGCAGCATATCGCGAGGATACGGTATGGGTAGGAGTCGATGCTTTCGGTAAGGGAGGTGCCGAGGTGGTCAAGGAGCTGGTCGAGGCTTCAAATGGCGTGGTCGTCGGAGTCAACCGTGTCCTGGACATGCCTCCAGACTTGGGTATGTTTAGTCTACTATCACAAGTCGCTCGTCTGCTGACCTTGGTCAGAGACTGTCATATCTCAACATCCATCATTATCCTACTTCCATAATGTGCTCACACCGGAGATTCACGACTTCCTGAACAGTACCTCCACGCTGACTCTTTTCTTGCCCGTCGACGCTGCATGGGAAGCACTACCCCACTACGAGCGACTGTATCTCCAGAGCAAATATGCGACGGATGACCTAACGCGTATCGTAAACATGCATGCGGTTGCGCGCAAGCATGTCAAATATGCGGACTCCTTCGCGTCGGACCTGAATCGTAAGCTACCCTTGCCGTTCCCCGGTTTATTCCACGCTAACTGTGGTATAGTCACGACTTTGGATGGGTCGGAGCTGCAGATAGTGACTTCTGACGACTCCAAGGTCAGAGTCTCTGGCGCTGAGCTCACTGAACCGGATATATATGCCTCGAACGGGGTCATCCATACCGTTTCATCGCTCCTCGTCCCTGAAGGCGCGCTCCAGCTGACACCGGAGAAGTATCTGCTCACGCTGAATTGCTCGTCCTTCGTGTCGATGCTGCACTCCGTAGACCTCGCGTCTTTGGTCAATGACACGGAGGCCGAGTGGACCATCCTCGCCCCAAGCGACGACGTGATGAACCTCTTTGGGGATGACGGGTCTATGCCGAACAATGGGACAGAGGAGCTCAAGAGGATGCTCAGGTATCATTTCCTGCCGGGGAAGTGGGCTCCGGATAAACTCAAGGACGGCATGCTGTTGGAGACCGCGCTCGAAGAAATCGGCTTAAATGGGGACAGGCAGGTGCTGTCTGTGGAGGTAAGCGGGAATGGCGCAAAGGTCGACAACAAAGGCAAGTCTGTCAGGTTTGGGGGAGCTGGGACCATAGGCGATCATGGTACGTGTTTCCCTCGTGCTGTGTTACATTGTAATGTCGATCACATTACTATTTCCCCAGTTGAGATCAACAACACGTTGATCTACTTCGTCTCGCGGCCGCTTGTTCCGCCTGCGGACGCGCTGCAGACGGCCCTGCCCGAGCTAGAACTGTCCTCCTTCCTCGCGGCTATTTTCTCCACGAGTCTGGCCGAGCGGCTGAAGACGACCCCTCGCACGACGCTCCTCATGCCGCCCAACAGCGCATTCAAGCGCCTGGGCATGCTCGTCTCCGCACACCTGCTCGCGGCGTCCTCGCGTTCGGACCTCGAGCGCGTCATCGAGCACCACGCGCTGCAAGGCGTCGAGTACGGCAGCAAGCTCGTGAATGGGAGCCAGCGCACCTTCGCCACGCTCGAGGGCTCCGACGTCCACGCGGAGCGCACGCCAAACGGCACGGTCATCCTGAGCGCCAGCGGCGGCTGGGCGGGCATGCAGGCTGCCCTCGTCCCGCGCGACATGCTCACGCACACGGGCGTCATCCACGAGGTGTCGGATATCATGATTCCGAGGAGTGTGCAGCTGACGATCGGGAAGCTCGTAAAGGCAGCGAAGGGCACAACTATGGCGACGATGATGACGAAGGCCGGGGTGGACTGGGTGCTGAATGGGACGGCACCCCCCACGGGCTCGCCTTGGGCTGAGCAAGGTCTCACTGGGTCCGGTTGGACGCTTTTGTGTCCGACTGACGACGCGTTCAAGCAGGTGAACCTCACTGCGCTGTATGCAGACGAGGACCGCCTCCGCGCCATCGTCAGCCAGCACCTCATCCCATCCCCGGAGTCGTCCTCGAAGGCCCCCGACTTGCAGGACGTCCTCAACAACAACCGCCCGCTCGGGATGGACGACAGCGCGTCTTACTCCACGCTCCATACGCTCTCGGAAGACACGCTGTACGGCGACATCGTCTTCCGTATGCTAGAGGGCGATGAGACCGGTACCATCGTTGGCGTGGACGGCGCGCACGGGGACAAGGGGAAGCGCGACTGGGCACGCGTCCTCTCTTGGGGCCGAGCGACGGCGGGCGGAGGCACCGGGGGAGTCGTACAGATCGACCGGCTACTTGTGCCGTACTACCCACCATGGTACATCCAATACGGCGCGCCCGGCGTAGTAGGCGTGCTCGGCGTGGCGCTCATCGGGGCGTTCTTCTACGGCGTAAGGATGATCTGGCGGAGAGACACGACAGAGGCGACGTATGAGCCGATAGGCGGGTTCGTCCAGGACGACGGGGAGGAGGCATGACGAACTTGTATGAGAGTGATGATCGTAGGGCTATTTATGCTGCGGCTTTAGATATTGCTGTCGGATTTGCTACAGAACATCCGGATAATTTGTACCTTGTACATACATGTGTATTGTATATTTCAGCTGCGTATGCACTGCAATCTCATAGAACGCTCGACATAGCATGTTGCTCTTCTGTCGTGTTGGTCCTACTACCAAGACTAGTGCACTACAGACTCTCAACGAGATCGGGCTAGCACACAGGCAGACAAATGCACTGATGTGTGAACTACGATGCATTGTAATCATTGTACAAATCTCCAGGAGCCAAAAACAAACTGCGTATTAAAGCGAACGACCTCCAGCACTAAACCTAAGCCTCTACCTCTACCTCCCTCTTCTTGAGCACGAGGTCCTTGCCCACGACGCGCTTCCAGACATCGTTGACTTCGTCGACGACAGTCTCGAAGTGGGAGGTGGCGTCATACGAACGCGTGATGAAGATCTGGTCGTCCTTGCCGGACGCGGTGGGTGTGTACACTGATGAAATGGTAACAAACCTGAAAAGATGGTCAGAACGGGTGATGCCTTGAGGTCGGAGTCAACTCACTTGTCGTAGATTGGGCCCAGGAGCTGGAGACCGGGCACGATCTCCTGCTCAGGCCTGTCAGTCTCGACGATCGTGCTGACAATCGCGACATAGACGTCCTTTGCGCAGACATTGTGCGTCGACGAGACCATCGCGACATAGATGTCTGCATGCGCTCAATCAGCATACTTCGATCCGACAGCTGCTACAGGGACTTACCATTCCGCCTGCCCACTTGGTTCTGAGGAATGATGATCTGAGCGCTGTCCGCGTCGTCGGTGCCAGGGATGGGGTGCTTTAGGAAGCAAATGGCCCGGATGACCTTGCCCTCCTCGATCACCCGAACCTTGCCGCCATCAGTGGGCTTTCCGGCGCCGAAGTAGCTCGGGTCACCGATGACCTGCTTCGCCTTGACGGTCTCGGTACCGCTGCGGACGCCGACGAACTTGCCGTTCGCGTCCGTGACAATCTCGTCGATGGACTTGTCGAGCATGTAGGTGCCACCGTAGATGGCGCTCAGACGGGCGAAGGATTGCGGCAGCTCGCCAAGGCCATAGAGGGGGTAGATGTAAGGGGACTTGCCATAGCGAGCCATGGAAGAGGTGTAAAGGACAATGCGCTCGTAAGCGGGGCGGGCGGGTTTGGTCTTGTAGCTAGTCAAGTGCCATTAGGCGGAGAGAGCAAGTGAGGATGCACGCCACGCACTCATCGTCAAGGTAAAGAGCCATGGCATGGCCAATGAAGTCTTGAGTTCCGGGCTCAAGACCGAACTTCTCGTAAACTGAGGCCATCGTATCCTTGTCTAGGTTGACGCCTTCCGTCGAGCGTGGTTACGCTTGGCATACATGCATGGATATAGACGACGTACCCTGGTGCGTAGCCGGATCCTCGTCCTTCCAGCTCTGCAAGAACTCGAAGAACTTCTTCGCTCTCCGCTTCTCGAAGAGACCCATCAAAGGGCTCTTGACCGCCTCCATCTCCGTGCTGGGCACCTTGGAGATCTTGCCATCGCGGTACACGAAGCTGCCTGCGATCTGCTTGAACTCAAGGTAGCGCGTCACGTCCGTGTGCACGAGAATGCGCGTGAGCTCGCCGGACGCGATGATGAACTTGGGGATCAGATCGACGGCATAGTCGCGGTCGCGTCCGAGCTCCGTCGGAGGAGCCTGGTCGGGCCTGAACTTGCGGTAGAGCTGTGTGTCGAGCTAGGAGTCGGCGACGACCCTGGACAGCGCGTCGGAGTGCCTACCTGGGTCAAGTTCAGACTCGCGCTGTCTCCACCGTAGTAGTCGTTCCTGTCCATATGCAGGACCTTCTTGCCCTCCACGGAGAGCAATCCGGAAAGGATACATTCCGTCAAGCCAGTGCCGAGAACAATGACCTGCCACCGCGTGTCAGTACATCCACTCTCCGCATGAGTAGTGTTACTCTTACGTCGTATTCTTCATCCATGGTCGTTCAATCAGCTATGCGTGGGTCTGTAGGAAAGCAGTGGGTGGACGAGGGCGGCGGATCCAGCTTGGGTTGTGAGGCGCCTCATATACGCGCCCATCCAGCATCGATCCGGGGACACGTGCTGGCCTCACGACAACGCCCATCGTCGAGACTCGAACACTGCCAGTACTCGTAGCTCGGGGTCGCAGATCATCAGTCGAACGGTAAGAACACAAATACAGTACAGATACATTAAACTGCTACCAGTACAGATCGTCTGACCACCCTGGTCCACCCTGTTAAATAGAACCATTGACAGCAAACCCATCAAGCTTTCAAGAGGCACTCGTCTTGCGGCGTTTCTCCGCATACAAGCTCTCTAGCGAGATTGGTCGTTCATGCTCCTCAGCCTTGCGTTTGTTATACGCCTCTCCAATGATATCCTCCTTTTCGTCCTCGCTGAGAAGAGAGATTTCCACTCGTTCGACCTTCATTTTAGGCGGCGGTGCCTTCTGCGATTTCTTTCGCTCCATGTAAGCGGAATACTGCCGCACCATACGGTCAATAGCTTTGCGGTCATTGCCGTTCATTAGTACGGGTTTCAGGCCGGTTGTGAAAGAGACGACATACTTTTCTTATTCTTCCCATGGGTGTAGTGACAAGCCTCCACCGTCCTCCTGTTGCTGTACTAGTATTGCAGAGAGCTCAGTCCACCAAATACCCCGGCAAGCCTGAACGCCAGCCTACCTTCCTCACAAAGCCTGAGTACTTCTCTCTGCGGGGCAAGTATTTCCAGTTCCGAGGTTGCCGCGCGATCCACCTCGCAAGCACACGCAAGTCCGTGTTACTCCAAACCTCGTTGTGCCCACCCATGTTAGCAACGTCCGCGTCCGTATCTGGATCGGCACGCCAGTCGGACAGCTCGCCGTCGGACTCCTCAGAGTCGGATCCCGCGCTCGCATCTTCGTCGTCGGACATATCTGGACCAGGAGGGTTGGGAAGGCTGCCCCGCCGGACACCTGAAGACCTTCGTGTTGCTTTCTCAGCGCTGGCCTTGGCAGTACGGTACACCTTGTCCGCGAGATCTGTGTTGCGAGCCCAATATCTATTCCAAGAAGCGGCATCATGATGAGGTGCCTACATCGCCCCAGTCAATCATCCCTCCAAAGTTGTAGTGCATAAGCTAGACACGTACCTTCTGTGCCAGCCGAGCGTACAGCTCGGTTTTGGTTAGGGATGCATCCTTTCCGACCTCCCAAAGGATGAAGTCGACAAAGAACTTCTTGTCCTCATCGGTGAATGTATTCCCGAGACCGTTTGGTGTTCTTACAGCATGGGTAGGAGGGGTGGGTGCGTGCAAAGGGCGTTGCGGAACACGAATCTCTGCGCTGTTCGGGTGAAGATTGAAATCTTCACTGGAGGCGTGGCGTCGAGGCGGCCTGGGGTTCTTCATAGGACAATCGGGAGAGTACGAGTCTCGACGTCCAGACGAGGTGAGCGGCGGCCTGCCCGGTGCGCGACCGCGGTCGGGTGCTCTAGAAGATATCGACTGCAATGAAGGCCTCAAGGGTGCAGCCGCCGGCTGCGTGGAGCGAGGAATAGGAGGGGGAGAAGCGGGCCTGATGTCGCGGCCCTCATCTCTGGTTGCAGACAAGAATGGTCGAGCGACAGGGGTGTTGCTAGCTGTAGCTGGAGGTGATGCCAGTTGGGTTGGCTGCCTCGGTGGCGCAGGGGGGACCGCGGCCTCGGCCGCGAGTTTATTGATCAAGCGGTGAATACGGCTGCCGTGGTCGAGGAAATAGTCCGTCCACTGGCCAGCAGAGTGCCCGTTTACCTAAGGCAAGGCGTGAGGACAGGATGCGAGCGTACAAACGAAAAGTGGCGCACTTCATTCAATGAGTCCAACGCCTGGCGGTAGGTCTGGCCGTTACTCTCGCTCTCATGCAAAGCCCGAACAAGGCGCGCGTCGTCGTCAGGATGGGCACCGACAGGGTTGCTCATCTTCAGAGCCTCGCTAATGAGGCTCTGGAGAGCGGTCAGCACCCCCGTCTGGGGTGCTGGCGGAACACCCTGAGGCGCCCCAAGTTGAGCGAGCAGTCCTTGAAGTTTGAGTTGATTACCATTCGCGCTGGGGCCGGGACCGTTGGTTGATATGAACGCTTGTGGGGTTGGCTGCGCGGGCACCGGCGGAACGTTGGAGGGGCCCGCTAATCCTAAGAGGCCCGTGCCCTGCTGCGCTCTGGGTGCTGCGTTGTTCGCTTGTGCGTTCTGTCCGGGTGCTGCGTTGTTCGCGCCCTGCGCGAGAGCCAACAAGATATTGGTGAGTGCAGATGGGTCGGAGGAAGCCATTTGGGCGGAGGAGGCGGTGGCTGCCTAGTCGTGATGAGGGTATCGAGAGGACGACAGAAAGCTGGTGATTGTCCCGGAGTACGCTTATTTACAAGAGTAGCGCGGCTTCACCCACACGGGCGCAGGGTGGGAGAGGGGGACTGTGGACGGAGACGGAGAGAGCGCGCCTGCGAGACCGAGAGGTCCGAGTCCACACTACCGTGTCCGATCAACACATGTACACGATCAACGACGCGTCGGTCACCTGACTCACTCATCAATGCGTCTCTGGGATCGCCGATTCCATCTCCTTCCATACCTCCGTATCCTCACGCCCATGGCCCCCTCGGTCCTCGTCGTCTGCCTAGGCAACATCTGCCGCTCGCCGATGGGCGACGCGGTCCTCAAGCACGTCGCTAAAGAGCGCGGGCTCGACCTCACCGTCGACTCCGCCGGGACATCGCGCTACCACATTGGCGAGGATCCGGACGATCGGTGAGCCATTGTCCTCAAGGTCAGTCGGCACATTAGAGGCTAACACCAGGCACTGTACTGGGCTCTGTGTGTGCTTGTGGGAGTAGGACGATCGCAGCGTGTCGCAAAGTGAGTAGTATCGCGCTCTTGGTGTAGACTGGACTACGAAAGCTAAGATGACTGTCTGCAGCACCAAGTTCCGATTCTGCACTCTGCACGACAAGTCACAGAGGAAGACTATCGACGCTTCACGCACATTCTAGCTGCAGACGAGGCCAACCTACGCTCTCTACAGCAGAAGAAACCCCGTAATGCCACGGCCGAGATCAGGCTGTGGGGCTCATACCTGGACAATAACCCTATTCAAGACCCGTATTACGGTGGAACTGTACGTCGACAGATGCTCGTGCCCAATCTATCCTTACGCCCACACGTTCCCACCCACAGAGGGACTTCGAGGAATGCTATCAACAATGTGTCCACTTGTCAAATGCCTTCCTCGACGAGGTGGTCGGGAAGGAGTCTCAGTCTTAGACCACTTGTGCGTCGGAGCGGCGAGAGGGACGTAGCCTTGTTGAACGTTGATACTTGGATCTCAATGATGGTATGCATCCTCTGCATAGACGCAGACTGTACAACAGCACTGTACATTCTGATATGAAGTATTACACTGCGGCTCGCAAGTCAAGTCCGCTTAAGAGACTTCTACACCTAGACACATTCCCGTAACCTGCACTTCTGTTGTTTACATGAACTTCGAGGCCTGTCCCCACACCCATTAGCACTCTCGACGAGAACGAAACGGTACGTCGACTTACCAGACCCATGAGGCTGCCCAAGCCACCGCTGTTGCTCCCGCCAGTCGCACCGCTGAACTTGCTCTGCACCACCATCTTCATCACCATCATCGCTGCGCTGTTGACCGCATCCTGCTTGTTGCCCGAAGATGCGCCGCCCGACGAGTCGAACAGCTTGCCCGCCTCGGACATCGCGAAGCTGATCAGGTCCGACGAGGAGCCGGAGCCACCGCCGCCGCCAGACGTGAACTTCTTCATGGCCTATGAGAAGTAAAGTGGTGCATCAATAAGACTGGAAGTCAGAAGAATGGGCGGCGATAGATGTACCTGAAGGGCGGCGGCACTGCCCATGGAGCTCGCGCCCAGGCTGCTGCCATTGCCCTGCTGGTATGCGACGTTGTGCGCCTGCTGCACACCCTCCTCATCGATGGGCTCGTTGCTCTGGCTCTAGACAAGTACACGCCTCTCGTCAGTTCGTCGGTCACAAGCCACACGCAATAACACTCACCGAGTGGTTTGTCACATGCTGCAGAGCAGAGTGGAAGAGCGACGGGTCCTGGCCGCTCTGCTGGCTCGCGTTGTTCGCGATGTTCTCGTGGTTTCCCACTACCAAACAGAATCAGATCGCAGTCAGCACTCTCCTGATGATGATCCCGCGCAGACATGCAAACGTACGATCCGGGCGCCATTGGTCCTGCGCGCCCGAGTGGGGCTGAGAAGTGTACTGCGGACCGCCAGACTGGCCGCTGTAGTGCTGCTGCTGCCCGCCACCCTGGCCGTAGTGCGACTGGGTACCACTGCCCTGCTGGGGACGCGAGCTGTGCTCGTCGTTCCCAGAGTCGTTGTAGTATGAGGCAGCTTGGCCGTGCTGCTGCTGCTGCTGCTGCTGACCGTAGCCTGCGCTCTGACCGCCGTAGCCCTGGTTTCCACCGGGCTGCTGACGACCCTCTGCACCGTAGCGCGAGGAGCTATAGCCCTCACTGCCTTCATAGGCAGGGCCATTTTGTGCATGGGGGCCAGAGGTGCCATATGCGCCCTGCTCGCTGCCATACGGGCGGCGGCCCTCGCTCTCGGACGGGTAGGGCGCAGCATAATCCTCCCCCGCCTCGCTCTTATACTGCCCGCCACCCTGCCCTTGGGGGCGCTGAGCGCCGTATCCCCCACCGCCGCTCTCGTACGCGGGACGCCGGCCGCCCTCAGAGTACTCTGAGCTTCCGTAGCCTCCTCCACTTTCATGCTGAGGACGACGTGCTTCGCCGTAGCCAGAAGCTCCATGATCAGAGCCTCCGCCGCCATACTCTGGGCGCGGCCCTCCACCGCCGTACGACGGCGCATAGCCTGAATCCTCCCCTTGGCGGCGATCAGGGTAGTACGGCGCGCCTCCTCCCCCTCCTCCTTCGAAGGGCGGCTGGCCTTCATGGTGGCCGTGGTGGTGGCTGTGCGGGCCCGGAGGAGGCGGGCCTCCATAGCCAGGCCCCTCGCCCTCGAAGGGAGGCCGTCCCCCTCCGCCAGGGTACTCCGGACGCGGCGGGCCGCCCTCGTAGTACTCTTCGCCGCCGGGGTGCTGGCGGCGGGGCGCGTTGTAGCCGTCGCGGCGGTCGTTGGCTTCAGAAAGGACGTGAGCATCGTGTCCGCGGACGAAACGATGGCGATCGGGCGCAGCCTGGGTACGCGGACGAGAGATCGTGTCTGTCTGTCCTACTTACATTGGCTCAAGATGAAATCCTACAGGACGGGGCTCGTCAGGCTGTGAGGGCCAGCTGGGTAGAGAGGGACTTACCATGGTGCTTGTGTTGGATGGTCGTGAGGCAAAGTGCGATAGCGAGGTCAATAAGTACTCGAGCTTGGTGGCTGTCCGAGTGAGCGCATCGCGATAGTCGTCACTTGCACAGATCAGCCACTCCAGGCACGCGTGCATACAGCGTCTATCTAATCTGCGATCCCAATGTCATGCCAAGCCACCAGGAACGTTTGCCTGAGCCTGGAATTTTGCTTGCAGACTTCGCACGTAGTATACGGGCTAACTGGCCAAACATTTGCTCCCGGTATGCATAATATACAAGTTGCAGCGATCGAATGTATCATCCAATTCCACGATGACTGCTCAATCGTGCGTCGGCATAGCCATAGAGGCCTGCCCTTTGAGAACATCTTCCTCCTTCCAGAGTGCAGTGGTAGTCTGAAAGACCAATATCAATGGCATATCGCAGCTCAAAACCGCCAGCACAAACCTTGTTCTGTGTGTAGAAGTCGATGCCACTGCACAACCCGATCATTCAGTAACATCTCACGATAGGGTGACTGAGAAGCAACGCACCCGCGTCCATAGAAAGGGACATCGCCGAGGAAGCTCGCCTTGTTCCCGCTCCAGGAGAACATCGGCAATGGCACAGGGATGGGGACGTTGATGCCGACCTGTCCGACCTCGACTTCACGCTCGAACTTGCGAGCCGTCGCCCCGCTCTTCGTGAAGATTGCCGTCCCATTACCGTACGGGTTAGCGTTGATAATCGCCAGAGCGTCTTCAACGGAGTCTGCCCTCAACACGACCAACACGGGACCGAAGATCTCTTCCCTGGAGACGAACCGATGTTAGTGAATGAATAGACCGCTGGACGTTGCCCGTACTTGTAGCATCGCATGTCCGCCGTCGCCTCAATGACCGTTGGACCAACCCAGTTCCCGTCAGGGTATCCGGGCACCTCGATCCCACGGCCATCCAAGGCAATGATGCCGCCCTGCTCCTCCGCAGACGCAATCAAGCCCGTAATGCGCTGCTTCGCAGCCGGAGAAATGACAGGGCCCAGGTCGGCATCCTGCTCGAAGCCCTGGTTCACCTTGAGCTTCGCGGCACGCTCGCACAGCTCTGGCAGCCAGCCCTGTGCGTTCCCGACAAGGACGGCGACAGATATTGCCATGCATCGCTGGCCAGCGGCACCGAAGGCGGCGCCCATGAGCGAGTTGAGTGCGTGGTTCTTGTTGGCGTCTGGCATAATGACAGCGTGGTTCTTTGCGCCCATGTTGCACTGGACACGTTTGCCTGTCTTGCGCCCCCTGCACCACGTCGTCATGAGCTACACTGTGAACAATCAAAGTATGTGGCCGCTGACCGTTCGTAGATGTGCTTGCCCGCACGATCACCACCAACGAAGGAAATGGCCTTGATCGAAGGGTGGTCGCAGATCGAGTTCACGGTCGGTACAGTCCCGTGTACAACGCTCAGCACGCCGTCTGGAAGTCCCGCGCGCTGGCACAGCTCCGCAATGATCATAGCGGCTCCAGGGTCACGCTCTGACGGTTTCACTATCAGAGTATTTCCTGTCGAAAGGGCCATGGGGATTGTCCAAAGAGGAATCATGCTACGCCGAATGTTCATTTATTAGTCGCAGTGGTACGCGTGAAAGACGCACGCAGGGAAGTTGAAGGGTGCGATGCTGCAAGAATTCAGTAAAGGCCGCGCCTTAGCTATGCATACTGTACGCACCTAGCGCAGACACCCAATGGCAGACGCCGTGTTGAAGTATCCATGTCCTTGCTGACTTGAGAAATACATCAGCGATGCAAACTAGAACCACGCAGATTTTTGCTGCACCTTCGATTGTGTCACCGAGCAATGCAGTAGGTACATTTGACGAGGTCTCAACGACCTGCAAACCGCGGAGCAGATCTCCATGCGCATCTGAGGCAGCATGAGACACCACATGAGAGAGCATGGCCACCAGGCGGACGTACCAGCAAGCGTCTTGCCCTGTTCCAGGACTATGCTATTCGCGACTGCATCTGCGTTCTTACGCAGCAAGTGCTGCAGTCTGACTTTTGCGTCAGGTACGGAGGCACAAGCAGATGAGGCAAGGACGCTCACTCCAGAACGAATCGCTGGCGAGTGAGAACACTCGATCGACTCCAGGTCTTGTACGCCTCCGATGCCGCAGCCACAGCCTGGTCAAACTCTGACGAAGTAGTCTCCGGTACACGCGTAAGCAGCGTCTGCGTCGCCTGTGTTCCGCAAATACATCAGGTCATCCGGATCCTCCCTTCCGCCGACGCACATACCGGGTCGACGACGTCGATCCACGACTCCGCGCTGCTCTCGACGAACGCGCCGCCAATGAAGTTCTTCGTCTTCTCCCCCGTCGCACTGGTGCCCTTCCAGTCGGCCGAGATCTGCTCCGCCTTCGCACGCGCCGTGGGAGTGAGTGCGCTCAGTGGGGGGCGCACCGAGGTCGCGTATGAGCGTCGGGCGAGGAAGCGGGCGGGGCGGGGCAGCTTGGGGGGCGGCATAGTATGACCACAGGCAGGATGAGAGGAACGGTGAACGGGCAGTAGTCCAAGGAGACGCAGGTTATGTATGACACGCTGAACAACGATTGCCCGGCGCGCCTACAGCCGATGCGGGGGTGGCGGGAACCCGCGAAGGCCTACGCGCGTGACGGTCATGCGACCCCGCACACGCTACACGTGCGGACTCTTCTCTCTCACGCACCACGACTGTCTCGAACTTTCCCAAAGAGAGACTCACTGCGCATGTCCAGAGGGCACACTCCCCAAGAGGGAGAAAAAGGCGGCGGAAACGCACGCTATCAGCCTTACACGGGCGGAACGTCGAGCAACACGTCGAAAGCAGCGAGCTTTAAGAGTGTAGGACACACGGTGGACAGCGCGCCCAGCCGAGCGCCTACGACGACGGTACCCACCCCGACCACGCCGACACGACGAGGAGGCTCTGTCCTCTCGCGCCTAACGGAAATGGTAACGAGGTCTCCAGCGTCCACGGGGCAAACGAGACCTGCCGCGACAACAGCTGCAGACGAAGACGAAACAATGCAGGACGCGCCAATCGACATCTTCAACCAAGACCTCGCGAGAGGGCAGGAGGAGACCGGAGCGGCGCAGACAAAGCTGCTGGAATTAGTGCTAGGGCAGGCAACGGATATCCTGAGGAAGATCTCAATACACGCTGAGTACCCGCCCATCGTCGTAGAACTCGCTGAGACCATCGCACAGAGGATCATTCCTAAAAAGGAAACCACGAACCCAGCCCCGACGGAGTCGAGCACAACAACGGACACGGTGCTTCAGGAGGTAGTGCGAACCATGGAGAGACTGACTTCCAGAATAGACAGCATGGAGGCCCGAGCAACGCAAAGGAACAACGGGCAGGAGACAACAGTGAACTGGGCCGACGACGTTGAGAACTCACTCGCCACCACGACGCCAGCCACCACCAAACGGAGCAATTCGAAGGCGGGCCCGCGCACGTCGAACGCAACCTCAAAGCCCATCACGCCGAAACCGCGGAAAGAAGCCCTCCCGCGCCCAGCTGTCACAAACCCATTGTCCGCCTACCACCCTTCACGTCTGATCGTCGAGATCGAAGACGGCCCAGGCCCGGGCGAACGATCAACGGAAGTGGAGATAGTCAAGCAGATAAACGAGGCCCTCCAGAGCAGTGACGAGAGCCGCCATCTGCGGGTGGTGAACGTTAAGTTCAACGCTCAGAACAACTGCATTGTCTTCACGCGAGCTGACCAATCTGCGGGGGACCTAGCACCCTTCGCAGAAAACTTCCTTGAGAGCATTACAGGGGGACGGCGCGCACGAGTACGACCTGACCAGAAATGGTACAAGGTGCAACTCAATGGTGTCCGAGTACACAATGACCGCACGGGGGAGATCATGACCCCACAGGAAATTGAAGACGAGCTCCGAGCACTCAACCCCGACTATGCGAAGATGGCGGTGCATGACCTACCACGCTGGATGCGACACCGCGCGGATCTAGGCCAGAACACACACTCGTCGGTTGTCCTCGCACTCACGACAGAAACTGACGCCAATTTCCTAGTGAACCGAGTGAGAAACCTCGCAATTTGCGGCAATTTCGTAGAAGCACGACGCTACGCTGACAAGCCACCAGTCATGCAATGCAGCCGATGCTGGGCGTACGGCCACACGCGAACCAGGTGCAAGAACCCCGAGAAATGTCGACTGTGTGGCAAGGAGGACCACAACGAGGCTACGCATGTATGTATTCAGTGCCCACTAATCCACAGAGAAGGCGAAGACGTAGACATGGACGTGCCGAAGCAATGCACTCACGACTTGCACTGCGCGAACTGCAGTGGGCCGCACTCAGCGACCTTCCGCAACTGCACCGCTAGGGGACGCGCAGCAGGAACAACGAAGTCGAAGCCGAGCAAAGGTAACACAGCCGCACAGAAACGGAACGATTGGATCGAGGTACAGCACGGGAAGCACGCCACGTCAAACCCGACGCCTAGTCAGGCTCAACGACGAGATGCACAAGAGCAGCAAAACAAGTTCGCGCTGCTAGAAGCGGAACGTGAGAAGCAGCGGGCGAATGACCTGGAGGCGCTCAAGAAACGCTACCCAAGCGTCTCGGAAGATAAGTGCAAAGCGACGCTAGAACTTGCTGACGGAAACTTTGCAAGGGCTGTCGCATACATGGAAGGCCTGGCAGAGAGCCCACCCCAGTCACCGCGCACGGTACAAACAGGACTCGAGGGTAATGGAAACTAAACCCATCCGAGTTGTACAGCTCAACGCCAATCGCCAGAATGCGGTGATCCATGCGCTATTGAACACTGCGACCGCCAACGATTCTGCTGACTTAATTCTTATCACAGAGCCGTGGTGGGGAAACATCGGGAACGACACACAGGGGCCAGTATCGGAAGCAGCAGCGGGATGGACCCCCATCCTACCTATCTCCTCCATTGCGAAGGGACAGCGCCCAAGAGCGATGGCATACACGCGCCGCAGAGAAGATTTCTCAGTCACGCTCCGTTCGGACATTGCTAACGACCTAGATATTCAGGTCTTGGAGGTAGCACAGGCACCACACCCGCCTACAATCCTCGTAAACATATACAACGACGAGAGGAAGCAAGGGAACAGGTCGGCAGTGAAACGGCTCCAACGGCTCACCCTCGCAGCGGACACGCCAACTGTCCTCTCGGGCGACTGGAACCTCCACCACCCGCTCTGGTCCAGGACAGCAGACCCGGCAAATGAATCGACAGAGCAGACAGTGGACTGGCTGGTGAGGAATGGCTACACGATCAAGAACGAGAAGGGTGCCCCAACATTCTTCTCGCACTCGCACCGGACATGGTCAACACTCGACCTCACGTTCACAAACCCGGCAGCCACTGAACTAGACGTAGCGAAGCACTGGCAGATCGACGAGGAAAGCTCATTCGGATCAGACCACTTCGCCCTACGCTGGACCATCGACTACGGTGCAGCCGAAGTCGAGAACGTGATGGGAGAGAAGTACAACTTCAAGGACACAGACCCAGCTGAGTGGCGCGACGTGTTCCGTCGTGCATTATACACTCACGCCGAACCACTACAGCCGCTACACCAGACAGACCGCACGCTAAGCGCAGATGAACTCGATGCAGCAGCGGAAGCCCTGACAAATGCAATGCAGGACGCTAACGCAGCTGCTGCGAAGGTTCGGAAGCCGAGCGACAAGGCTCGGCCATGGTGGAATCAGGAGCTCCATAATGCCGCAAAGATGATCGCTGACCTCCGCTCACAGAGTCTTGCGCATGCACAACGATGGGGTACGCAAGCGCAGGCTGTCAATGCGGCCATCAAGAAGTCGAGGAACTACTTCAAGCGACTCTACAAAAGAGCCAGGCAGAAGTGGATTACGGACACGCTGGAAGAGGCCGAAACGCCTGACATCTGGAAGTTCACGAAGTGGGGCAAGGGCGTGCGCACGTACAAGTCCCCAGCGATCTCACGAGGACAGGGCCAAGACCCAGCAGTAGACCACACAGACAAGTGCAACGCGCTCCGCGAGGAGCTCTTCCAGCCGCCGCCGCCCCTCGACGGGGTACCTGAAAACAACCTAGAAGGCCCACTCGATGGAGACTTCCCTCATGAGGATGTAACACGGGACGAGGTGAGAAGTTCCATATTCGAACAGGGCGCAGACAAAGCCCCTGGACTCTCCCAGTGCCAATTCCGCATCATTCGATGGGCGTGGGAAGCAGACCCGAGCACTATCCACGCACTGATGAACCATTGCCTTCGCGCAGGTTACCATCCGAAGTCTTGGCGAAAGGCAATTGCAGTCGCAATACCCAAACCTGGTAAACCTGACTACAGCAATCCACGCGCGTACCGACTCATCCAGCTCCTGGAATGCATGGGTAAGGTACTCGAGCGAATTGTAGCTAATCGCTTGGCGTACCTAGTGGCGAAGCACAACCTAGTCCCGGCCAACCAGTTTGGAGGACGACCAGCAAGTTCGACCGACGATGCAATCCTCACCTTTGTCCACGATGTCGAGGCCGCACACAACCACGAACGCGTCACCTCGGCACTAACCTTTGATATTAAAGGTTTCTTCGACTTTGTCAATCACCGCCGCCTCCTCAACGTCATGCGCGAGAAGCACATCCCTCTCCAACTCGTCCAATGGACAGCTAACTTCCTCAGTGACAGGGAAGCGGCGATATGCCTGGACGGCATCCGAGGAGAGATGCGACCGGTAGAAAACGGGATCCCACAAGGATCCCCGGTATCTCCCATCCTCTCGATCCTCTACGCTGCTGAACTACTTGAGATATTTGAACAGGATGCGAAGACACACGAGGCGGCGGTTGCGTCAGGACTGAGGCTACCTGATGACCCATCATCGACCCAGCTAATCATGTACATTGATGATGGCAAGATCTACGTGTCATCTCTGTCACTCGACACCAATGTTCAAATCCTCAAACGTGCGTATGACAAGGTGGACGCATGGCTGATCAGCGTAGGACTCGCACCTGACCTCGTCAAGAGGGAGCTGATGCATTACTCCAACCGCCGCCGAGACAAGAACTACTCGCCAACAATCACCCTGTCAGGAGCAAACGGAACGGACATGGTCATAGCTGCGTCAGCAGCGACTAAATGGCTAGGTGTCTACCTAGACCGAACACTCTCATTTGACTACCATGTTCGACAGATGGCGGCGAAGGCTGAACGAGCCGTCAATGGCATGGGACTGCTTGCAAACACAGTACGGGGCCTATCCCAAGAACATGTACGCAAACTGTACATGGCCTGTGTACGCCCAATCATGACGTATGCATGCCCGGCCTGGTGGCGGGGCAAGAAGAAGCACGAAACCGTGCTAGAGAAGGTACAGAACCGAGCCCTAAGACTGACGTGCGCAGCCTTCAGAACCACGCAAATCACAGCACTGGAGATTGAAGCAGCAATCCTGCCGATTCGACACCACCTCAACCTCGTGCGAGACAACGCCGCCATACGACTGAACAAGCTAGGGGACTTCAGCCCGATCATCCAGCGATTGCCCGAGACATGGCGAAGACACCGAGTTGACGCACCCCCTCCACCATGCCCGACGCACCGACGCGTCACCGCTCGAAGACGCAAGCCACCGGCGTCAACAAGGCTCAACAACCTCGCGAGCCTCTCCGACCCCCAGAACGAACGACTGGAACCGCTTGCGCTCCCGCCATGGCAACGAACACCAGCATCATTCAACGGCCGCCTCAGTATCACACCGGCAGCCAGAGGAGTCACGAAGGAAGAGGCAGCCAAGGCCCATAAAGCTAAGGCACACACACTCTCGAAGCTACCAAACTGCATTATGCTATACTCTGACGGTTCCCTCCTCACAGACCCAACTGGACGCCGGAGAGTCGGAGCAAGCCACGTTGCACTATCAAGGAACCACATGCTGTTCGGAAGACGCATCTCCATGAGCCCAAGGACCGAAGTATTTGACGCAGAGATGGCAGGCCTGTCGTGGGCCGCCCGGGACGTCATCAAATACATCGCTGACCACCCAGATCTGCAGATCCGACACCTATACTTCTTTGCAGACAATACGTCTGCAATCTCGACCATATTCAATGTTCGAACGTCAACGGCACAGGGACACTCCGCTGTTTTCCGCCAGCTCATATTGCAGTTCCTAGATGCAAACCCGGAGAACACAGTCACGGTAGAGTGGACGCCGGGACACGAGGGAATCACAGGAAACGAGATGGCTGACCAACTTGCAAAAGATGCAGCAAACGAGGCACCGCCGCACCAACTCGCATCGCGAGCAGCAGCCCGCCGTGAAGCGAAGGAACGCGCGCACAAAGCATGGGAAGACGAGTGGAAACGAAGCGCAGTGGGCGGTCGCTTCGCGACCGCCAACCGCCTCCCTCCAAAGGAGAAACCACGTACACACTTCAAAGACCTGAAAAGAGCAACGTTCGGACGGGTCACACAGTGTCGTACCGGACACGGTTACTTCGGCGAGTACTACCGTTATCACGTACCGTCCGAACCCGATGACTGCCCATGCGGCGCCCCCTTTCAGACGCGCAAGCACATCCTCCAAGACTGCCCGCGTTACGAACCCTCGCGACACCTCCTGCGAGTGGTAAGCGAGCAGGTCGACCTACCCACCATCCTTGGCACCGAGAAAGGCATAGCCGCCCTCGCAAAGTTCATCGAGCGCAGCGGCGCTTTCACGAAGTCAGGAGAGCCCCCAACGGATGAAGGCGGGCTACGAGAAGCAGACGAGCGAGAGCCTCAGGAGGTTCCGCCGGACGAAGAAGACGGAGCGGTCGGCGAGGTCGAATACTCCGATGAAGAAGACGAACGGTAAGCGGCGATCGTTGCACGGCGATCGCGCGCGCACACACACTCCCCACACGTTCCAGCACACTCGTGCACCCAGGGAACAATTCCGGCTTGGGCCCTGGGTAGAAGACACTGGAGTGCCGGGTATGGTCTATGGATATGGATATGGGTTTTTATTTTTCTTTATTTCTACTGTACATGCTTTATGGTCTGTAGCCGCACATAGTTGCGCCCACTGAACGCCTCGCCCCCTAGAACTTATCGTCGCCCCCCCATTACTACATACACATACTACACCACCTCGTACATACATAGAGTCGACCGGGGTGCCACCGCCCGCCTACGGGCGGGCCGGCGCCCGCCGCGTCTTAGCACCATTAGAGTTTGCTTGTTGCGGAATATAAGTGCAGAGTTCATCATCATCATCACGCTACACGTGCCCGACGCGTCGTGAACCGCGTAACCAGCGCTCCCGACCGCTGCCCAGATACTGACATACATCGATACTTACTGCTCTCACTAACCTGTACCCACCACACTATCCTACGGCACGATGCCTTCGCCGCCGATCCAGCTCTTCCTCACCACGATCGTCTCCTCTACTCAGCTCCGTCAACGGCAAGGTTCGCCTTGCGGTCGTCATGTGCGCCCGCGTTTCTAGGCTCACGCACCATCGGGATAGAATACATCTTGCGCATTCTCCAAGTGAAGAAGATACCATTTACATCCTATGACCTTGCTTCAGACGAGGATGCGAAGAAATTGTGGCGGAGGAAGGCTCCCAAAGGTACGCTGACTATTGGCCACAATCCACATCTACTAATCGTTGTATTGCTCGGTTCCTGTCAATAGACAAGCAGCAGATCCCCGGCATTCTGATTGGTGGAGAATATCCAGGAGTATGTCGCCCGTCGTAGTTGCACTCCGTGTTTACATTGATGTCTCTTCCTCAGGATTTCTCAGCGTTGTACGTCCCAGGATATTATGATCGGACAGCGCGTGCACCCGTGCTGATCCACCACATAGTGAAGAAGCCGTCGAGTTCAACGAGCTCGACCAGTTTTTGCGACTCAGCGAAGACTACAATCCCTTCGAAGACGAGAAAGAACTACTCCCATCCCAACCAATCGGCGTACCCGGAGCATACTCGCCCGCGCAGATGCACCCCCACCACCAAGCTACCCCATCACCACAGCCATCGCCCCTCAAGAACAAGCCAGTGAATAAGAGGGGACCGAACGAGGTTGACGCGGGCGAGGAGCTCGGCGATGCGCGGTTAGCCGGCGTGAATGTTACGGAGGACGACCTTCTGGCATTGGTGTCGGAGTTGGGCCTTGGAGGAGACGAGGCGAACGATCTGGTGAAGGGATTGACAGGTGATGGTCCGTCTGAGCAATTGGAGAATGTGGCGAAGGACGAGAGCGAGCAGAAACAGGAGCAGGTGGAACAGAAGAGCGAAGAAAAGAAGGCGGATACAGAGTTAGAGAAACTGGCAGAGAAGCCAACGGATGCGGCACAGGAGCAGGAGACAGAAGTGAAAGCAACGAACACCTCGACTGACCCTCCAGCAGCTGACAGCAAGTCGGCATAGGTATACCCACAGTAACTTAGACACTTCGCACTTGCTAGGGATACGGATGTACATGATCATCGGACTCTGATGAATGCGGTACTGAGGACGGTCGACGTTCACACTTCGGCGTGGGCCACGGTACTTGCTGAAGCACATACTGGATACAAATGGGTATGCTAGATGGTACATCCCGCGTCCGAGTCCTAATCCTCGTCCGAGTCCTGCAAGTTCAACGTCTGCCGCGACCGGCGGCGACGCGGGAACGCTCTCTGATCAAAGTCATCAGGTGAATGTACGCGGGGGACGGGCTGCACCGAGGGTGCGCCGCCCTCTTGTTGCGCAGCCACCTGCGCCGCTGCCCGAGCCAGATAGTACTGCTCTCGGAGATCAGATGGGAGGGTTTCGGGATCAATGCTTGGATCAAAGGGGTCGAGTTCCATGTCTTCGTCCTTGGGTACCAGCGGGTCAGGCGAACGCATCGAGTCCGTGCCGCTCCTGCTGCGGCCGTGGGTCACTCTAGGGGAACGCGGTGACTTCCCAGCGTCACTGCTCGTAGCAACGCTCGTGTGACGCCGTGACTGCCTGGGCCGGGGTGGAGGGGGGTCGTTGAAGTGAGGATCGCTGTCGAAGCGGAGCTCGAGTGCGGGGAGAAGACATGCTGCGAGGACGACGAAGGAGAGGAAGAGGAAAGTGCATGCTGCGATGACAGAGGTGAGGAGCGGAAAACGCGAGATGAGGCCGCTTTAGAAATGATCATTAATTCAGTAAATACTCTACGCAAGAGTGTAGATGCTTACCGAAGTCCCTTGTGAACTACGATGCCGCGCAAGATAGCAGCGTGGACAGTGAGCTCCCGGCCTTCCCCAGAGCCGATGCTCTTCCACTGGTCTCGACGGCCGAGTTCCACCCGAGCGAATGCGCGTTTGTTATCCAGAGAGAATGCCGACAGAAGTGGGATATCCAAATCAACGGTATGCAGTCCGGCATAGAGTAGACTTCGCAGTGGGTTCGATGGAGGGAGGACGATTGCCTTTGGCCTATGTATTCAGCAATATTCACTAAATCATAGATATTGTGCACTCACAGGTTTGCGGACGTATGCCAGGGTGTTATCCTTCTGAGGCGAGCTGATCAGAAGACTCGTCATGAAGTTCCCGAGGGCGAAGTTAGCCTGGGACGCGGGGACGGTGAGCTGTAGAGAGACATCGTAGGGCTGCCCTGCGACCAGGTTGGGCAGGGCAAACTCAGCATATGGAGGGATGCCATCGCTGGTACACGACTTCATTACAATGTGCGTGGATAGAACAACATGAAGGACGTACCCGTACTGAAGCACTACGTCCGTCTCCCAGCCTACGGCGACGCTCCTCCAGACGAGATATCCAGCGGACGCTGAGAGGAACGCGATGACGGGTATGGACAACAAGAAGACAACAAGAGGGATTAGGTTCGTCGTATACGGGCTCACGATCCTGAATATGGCTGCCATTATATCGCCCAGCCATTTGACGGGGTAGTAGATGGGCGAGCGGATGGCCGGGCTGGCGTTCGCATTCCTGGAGTTCTGCCGCCGAACCCTCGTCTTGTCGTCGCCGCGGGTCCTAGAGAACGTATCCATAACGTCGATGTAGCATGCAGAGAAGGTTGGTGTCCGCCTCTACCGACGCGCTGAGTATCATATGCCGGTGCCAGTGCTGCGACTCGCGAGCGACACGCGCGACACGCGCAGCTACGCGCTCTGCGTCACCACACGTGACCTTATATGTTCTTTGAGGATCTCAGTCGGTCCGTTTCCCATTCGTTTCGCCCTCGCCACGACCATGGCAGTACCTCCTTCGCACGACATTAAGCAACTGCTTGATCTACACCCATCATCGAATGAACTTGCGGGGCATATATCCGCCTTGGCCGCACTGGTCTCGAAACCCGACTCTACCATTCCTGAAGTAAAGTCCTACTCCGACGCGGTCTACTTCAACTACTTCGTGCTCGGGCTCAGCTTACTCTTCAAGCCAGTCAATGGTTACAAGCCCAAGACTGGGCTGAAGCGGGAGGAGCTGCGCGACTCCGATCTCGTACTGGACGGCATCGACATTTACAATGTCATCAAGCTGTCGAAGCCAGGGACCGCGAAGCCGTTCGCCGCGTACCCCATGTCCCCGCTCGTGCTCTCACTGTCATCTCAGCCTCCTGAGGAGAAAGACGCGCAGCCGCGTCCTTCTCAGTTCGAGGTCAAGTCTGAGACGACGGGCCAAGAATTCGTCGCCAGCATGGGCGAGCCGGACCGGAAGGGCGGCGGTGCAGGGCCATCCTCTGGGTCGATCGGAATATGGTGTGAATGGTCGAAAGATGGTGTCATGGTCGAGTTTGGTGGCGAAGAGAGTAGGGGCCCACAGGCTTGGGAAAGAGGGAAGGACGCGGTCTGGAAGGTCATCTCGGTATTCCCGCCTGGTGGGTCTACTTGATAGGATTGGGACAAGGTGAGTCGTCTGACGGATGCAGTCTCTTCGAATTCCCAAAGCTATTATTAGTGTGACTTAGTCCGTTTCGATGTAAACATGGCAGAGTCAAAGTCCGAGGAATGGCAGTTACACCGGTCCCTCTAGCAGGGAATCGTCAGTCCCATCGTTGACGTTGAGCAGGGAGGCTGTCGAACTCACGGTAATCGTAAATGAGTCGCAGGTTGATTTTCTCTCCGTTGGGACCCTGGAAGAATACGTGCCTCACGTATCGCCTCTCGCCGTTGATCATTTCAAAGCCCCATGTCTGCAGTCCGCTTAGCCCACGCCGTGGTGAACAGAAATACTGCCTGCTTACCTGGTCCGCCACCCAGTTCACACCGTTGTCCTCCTGCTTACTCTCCGCCCTCGTAAAGACCAGGCCGTGTTCCTCTGTGTCCGGCGTCCATCCAATCCTCAACCAATCGTTCTGGACATGATCAACACGGACGCGCCGCGATTTGGATGTGACCTTCCCAAAGGTATCGTCTTCGTGTGAGCGCGCGACCCAATCCAGTTCGCGGTTCTCATCTGTGTCGGAAAGTCCAGAGAGTGACTGGAGGATATTGATATGCTCGACGCCAGCGTCGTCGGTGAAGTGCCGGACGGTCAGGTAAAGCGTGCCCATTTTGATGATTCTCCGCTTCAGCCATCCAACGCCCTGTAGACGGAGGAGCTCGTCTGTGTCGTCGCTGAGCCGTTTGCTCTGGAGTGCACGTCAGAGACGCGCGACGGCGTGCACTGGTCGAAGTGCCCACCATGATATACTTGCCGGTCGTGTTCAACACGGGCATTTCAGCTGGCACAGCCATGGTCGATGGTTGAGAGGTGGGGCAGAATCAAGGTTGTGTGGGGTATTGCGCAGGTAAGCAAGAATGGCGGCGGGGCTGCTTTATAGTGAGATGAATGAACACCAGGTGATACAGTTGGAACCCGGGGGGACGGTCATGTCTTCGAAACGCAATATATAGATGGATTGCCACTGGTCGCTGTCGCTACATAAGATGAACAGCCTCGATGGCGCGCCAGAAAGCACGGACGGGTATGGGCAATCCGTGATGGCCGCGAACGACGGGGCTCGCATCGCCTTCTCATGCATCGACTCCTAGAGGACCATAGCATGCGCCAGCGCCGTCGCTTTCTCTCACACACACCTTCCTTTCCTTGCCTCCGATGGTGCCGTGGCACGACAATCGCTGCGGTCGCAAACAGATCCACAGTTCCGCCCAGGTTCCGCCGCGTGCGCGTGGCTCCGGAGTCCACCCATCCAAGTGCCTGGACTGTCGGATCCATCTAGGGATGCAACTGCGGGCGCTTCCCACACCTTGCCAGTCGACAGGCTGCACGACCAGCCGTCACCCTCCTGTATCATGCACAGCTCTGCTCTATAGCACCAAGACACTCGTTGCCGGGCCTCTGAATGGCCTCTGCGTCACCTCTCGATGTGCACATGGAGCTGGGCTCTGTCACAAGCTCGTCGCGCGCTACCCACGCAGAGACGGAGAGTTCGTTCGACACCGATAAACCTTCGCCCCAGCTGTCAAAGGAACCTTTCGAGGTCGAGGCGATCTACCAGGAGACAGCGAAGGCGCCTGCACCCTGGCACCGAAGACTGGTCAGGAGATTGGCTCCGAGATACCCTCGAGTCGCCCGTGTCGTACGTTATGTACAGGGGCCGCGCCCAAAAGTCGACCTGCCAGGTACGTCGCACCCTCTCACAGCTGTACAACACTGCGGGCGTCCTCACACGGCTTTCGAGCGCAGACCCGACGCCTTTCCTGAATCTCACACTCTACACCGGTCGCCGCTCGCGCAGCCTCTCGCTCGAGCCATTCCTGCGCCGGGTTACCAGACCCTTTACCAATCCCTGGCTATTCGTCATCCTAGCTGCGGTGTATATCATCGGGCTCGCCTTTTTTGCCCGGGCACAGTCGTTCTTGACGCCGTCGGATTCCTTCATTGGATGTACCGCGACGTACTGGGGTGCCAACAATGGTTGTGGGCTTAACGGCGAGAGCTGCGAACCGTTTACGGATTCGACGTTCGACTTCCGCTGTCCTGCGGCGTGCAGTTCAGTCGTGTTGGAGAACCCCAGAACTGTAGGCAACATTCAGGCCGACTACGTACCTCTCATCGTAGGCGGAGGCGATGCCAATCAGACATACAGGGGCGATACGTTCATTTGCGCTGCTGCGATACAAGCGTAAGTAGGACCCGAGTTGCCTAGACGAGAATAGCTTGCTGAAGGACCGTTCGGCCTGTATGCAGTAGTGGCCTTATCAGCAATTCCAAGGGCGGCTGCGCATCTTTGGCTCTTGTCGGCAACTACACGAACTACATACCCTTCACTGCCAATGGGCTGACCTCCCTCGGTTTCCCCACTGCCTTCCCCCTGTCATACCGCTTCTTGTCCAGCACGCCCTTACATCACTGCGAGGACCTCAGAACACCTGCGCTCGCTTGGAACATCATCGTCACCGCTCTCGTCTTCCTTGTCCTACGCCCGAAGCCTATCGTCACCTTCTGGTGTCTGGTTTGCATCGGCTTCTGGCATGTCGCGCTCTTCTCCCAACCAATGGCGACTCCGCCTCCTCTCGATAGCGCGTTTGGTGCCTTTCTCCCCGCACTCTTCGTCTGCTATGCATTTTGGCGTCTGGCAATCCGCTTCACGCTACCCGCATTCAGAAAGGCCCCTATCGAGGCTTCTGTCTGGTATCTGCCGACATTCTGGGCTGGCGTCCTGACGAACATCACCATGGACAAGATACCGATTAATCGCCTCGTAGCGTCGGATCTCAGCCAGCAGCCAGGGGCAATCACCGCGCTCATCGTCATCATCATTATAGTGCTGGTAATAGTCATCAACCAGGTCCGGGTCATACGCAAGACGGGCTGGCTACCGCACTACCTCGGATGGTATGTCGCTGGTGGCTTGGTCACTATGATCATCGCGCTGCTGCCCGGGCTCGAGTTCCGGCTGCACCATTACATCATCTCGATGGTCCTCATACCTGGGACGGCATTCCCGACGCGGCTCTCCGCTATCTACCAGGGCTTCTTGCTGGGTATGTTTCTCAATGGCGTCGCCGCCTGGGGCTTCGATTCTATCCTACAGACTGCTGCGGACGTACGTGATCAACCTATCTCTTTGAGACCAGTGAGTGCTCACGCTCGTTAATATTCAGCTGCAAGGCGATGGCGCATCGGGATCGGCGATGCCCTCGTTCATCACAAACTCGACCAACTGGAACGCATCCGTAGCGCTGCAGAACCAGACCGTCTCCTGGGCCGCGCTACCCTCTTCCGGCGGCTGGGATGGGTTCTCCCTCATTCTTGACGACGTGGAGCGTTATACGGGAACGGCCCTGAACTTCTCTCTGGCTGCATTGCAGAGCGGTCTTCCCCATTTCTTCCGCCTAGCTGTGAGTGCATCTTTACTCTCCTTGGACAAGACGCTCACGCGGAAGCATAGTATACGAGCTCAGACACAACAGGTGACTACACTATGCCCGCAACCTTATGGCCGAATGGGACATGGGTCGATCCTCTGCCTGGGACATCTACATGATTTCGTGGACATTGCCTTGTATTCGCTTCAGTTGTTGTAATTGCAGTCACACACCTTATATCTGTTACCTTCACACCTGTTACTGGGACGCACTAGAATGAAGATATGTATTGTAGATGGCCGATTCAGCTAATGGACAGTTCCCCATGGTCTGTCACTCTGTGGGCAATACTTCCTTGGTCCATAACATCGATTGAGCTAAGACCTACAGGTGGAGAGTCGAGTCTGTAATCCTCATTTACTGTCCAAGTTTGTCCTTGAATTACAGGCTGCAACCGCGATTCAGAAGGCACATGCATTGCCAGTGAAGCTGCCCGGCTTTCCGCTCGCCCCCTTCCTCAGTACCGGTGTATTCCCGAACCCTCCAGATGCGTACGAGGGTTCGTGGACTGCCGGTACGCGTGATCATGGTCCGTGGACCACGGTTGCACTAAGCACTTCATTGTTCAACATATCGGGAGGAGGAGGAGGTAATTCCATTCAGCCGGGAATATTCACGTGGCCGTGTATGTAATAGCTATAAATATGTTGAGATCCTGTGGCCACCGATCGATCTCTGAGTACTTACTCCAGGTGGCACTACAGCGCTAAAGCGCCTCTCTCCCCACTACCTCCCTTTCATCGCCTTACTCATACCCACATCTCTCTATACCCCAGCATGGTTCCCTCTCCGAAGTTCAAAAACACTCAACGTGAGTGGACTCCCGTCTAGACAAGCTGTTCACGCTTAGACACGTCGCAGATTTCAGCAAAGCCAGCGGCAAAGACCGCTGGTCTTGCAACATATGCACTCCCGCTGAACGTGCGGAGCAGGAGTCCATGACGCGTGCAGACGCGGTGCGCCATGAGCGCACAAGAGCTCACACTCGTCTCGTCGAGAAGGCCGAGCCGGACGAGTGGGCGCCCGGCTATGTCGACACATCTGGTTGGGCTAAAGCCTTCGAGTGGTTCACGTCCTGGGAAGGAACTGCACGGGCTGACAAGATGCCCGACTACATCCCGTTCTGGAGGGACGGAGTGCTAGCCGCCGAGAGAGGAGAGGAAGTTGGCAAGATGGAGGAGTTCCTCCATCGGCTCGACCGTGAAATCCACCGCCGCAACCCGGGGATCAGTGGACCCTGGGGTCGCAAACCCGGCCTCGACGTGTGGGGAGATTCTCCTGCACGTCCCGCACCGAACGCGTGGGGATCGAAGAAACAGAAGCTTCCGCAAAAGACTGGTCAATGGGAGACAGACGAGGCAGCTTGGGGCCCGGTTTGGGGGGCTGACCACTGGTCTGTCAGCGCCGGCGACTGGGGCGTGACGAACGAGAAGCCGACATGGGGAGAGACTGACCCAGCATGGAACGATGGGCGGGATCCCGATCACGGATGTGATATCTGGGGCGGCGACGGCGGCTGGGGAGTGCCCGCGGATCCGTCGGGTGTCGAGTGGGGAGTGCCCGCGGGCGGGGCCGTCGGAGAGGTCGGTTGGGGCATGTCCACAGCGACAGAGTCGTCTAGGAAGGATGACACTGCTGCAGCCGACGGTGCTCACTGCGGTCTTCCGGGCAGGGATTTGTCCATGTTCGCGGAGAAGGTTACGACCCAAGGGGATATGAGCCCAGCAAGACGCAAAAGGATGCTGCGGTTCTCCAAGGTCAGTCTCGTCGTTCTGTGCCCAGACAGCAGATCTGACATGTACATATTCAGCTATCGACGGAAGAGAAGATTCGCCAGATTCAGGATGCCGCACGGAGCCTTCGCACATTGTCTTAACTTCATCGGGACATTCCTCATCCACTAGCACCACTCTGGGCTCTACTTTACTGACGACGGCACGCTCTGGCAATTCTATCCACGCATAATTGTCGCATCCACTTATGTACGTCACATCCGCATCGTCTATTCTCACATCTCTATGCATGTATTCTTCCTGCTCTTCCTTGTATAGTAGCTGCATCGCAAAGGTTCAAAATTAATCAGCATACGACGTCAGCGCCGACCCGTCCCTGTTGCAATAACTTGAAGGTTGGAAGGTACGTCGCTCATGGACTGGATGGAATGGAGTCAAGAACATCCTAGGGCCGCCTACTTACTGGCAGTGCCTGTGACAGAACTGCAGTGCATGGCCGACGCGGCGGTATGTGGCTGTGGCTTTGCGCCGCGCCCCTATTGCCGCACCTGCGCATAGTTGAGCCTGGTGACATCAGCCCCCGGCGCTGCCATGCTAGGCTCTCTGTGGCGCAGCACTCCAGCCGGAACTCTAATTCTTGGTCATAAACTTGCTGGGACGCCCTGTTGCGTCCTTTCACCCTCGATACCTTGTCGATACCCTCTCCTACCCAGCAGACACCATGAGCTTCGATCTGCGAGACCTACCTGACGGTTGGATCCAAGAATTCGACCCGACCTCGAAACACCCATTCTGGGTAAGTTCGCCTGCGGAATACAGTGTGGCGTATAATCCTGATTTATCCTGCCTTTCAGGTCGATACCAGGGCAAAGCCACCGCGTCCGATATGGGTACATCCATACGAAGACGAGCAGTTCTTGCGCGAGCACCCCCACATTCGTGACAAGATCGCACGCGGTGGCCTTGCTCGTCAGAACAGCCAAGCCCCACCGGCATATTCACCCAGACGGCACTCTTACTCTGGGTCACGAGGACAGGGCAGCAGCAGCAATCTTGCTCCTCCTGTGACCGATACACGCCCTACCTCCCAGCCTAGTACGCCAGGCGAGAAGGGAATGTCGGGCGGGAGGAGGCATCACCAGGGATTCTTTGACAAACTGAAGAATGTGAGTAACAGCACTGCTTTCGTTTAGGAGGATAGGATTGAGAATACTTCACAGAAAATGCACCAATCCCGGCCTTCCTATGGCGGCGGATACGGCGGCGGTGGATACGGTGGCGGTGGATACGGGTACGGTCGACCATCATCCCAGCAGGCCTACGGACCATCGTATCAACAATACCAGCCTTCCTACGCGGCACCTGCAGGGGCGCCGTCATCCTCGAGCTTCAGGAGATATGCCCCGCTTGTCGGCGGCATGGGTGCTGGCTTCCTACTCGGCGAGATGCTCGATGGTCCAGGACTATTCGGAGGTCCTGGGTTTGGTGGTGGCTTCGGCGGTGGTGGATTTGGCGGTGGCGGCTTTGGCGGCGGCGGATTTGGCGGCGGCGGATTCGACGGCGGCTTTGGAGGTGGCGGATTCGACAATGGCTTTGGTGGCGGTGGATTCTTCTGAGCGTGGACTGTATCGTTGTTGCAATGGACACTTGGCTGCAGTTGCTGTATACTAGATCCACATATACGCGTACCTACGTCTTTGCCTATGGGACCTCCACGGACCACTGTATAGTATGGACTTCATGAAATAGTGATATGTTTCAGACATCCGATAGACATCAAAGTTAAACATACATTGCCTTGAAATATTCTATATGCAATGCAACGGGCCTGAGCCGCGCTGCTTGGTTGTCGACATGCAGGTCGTGCGTGAAGTGGACAGACGCCACGACATTGCCGGCACCATCGCGGCCACTGGCGCGCGCTCCCGCCAGGAACGTACTTCCTCACGAACGACCACTGTGCATCAGCTTTAGGTATCGGTCCTGTAGGGATTTCTGCTGCTCCGTGCACGCCTTCGGCGAGCCTTTAGACCTGGGATACCATGCCGCCGACGCTACCTGTCTCGCTGAGCCCTCATATCTGCGTACTAGCCTCGCCGGACGTGCATGAGCTCTTCGAGTCGTCTGGATTGCCTCCAATTACACAGACATTACAGTCCTTTGTTCCTTTACCAAATGGTACGTTCGACTTCTGTACAACATGAGTTGTTGCGGGTGCTGATTTGTTCCCAGTAACGACTAGGACTACCTCCCTTACATCCGTGGTACACAGTACCTTCGCGCTGCGTTTCTCAGACCTTGTAGATACCGAGAACTCCGCACACGAAGATGAAGATCGACGCGCCGCGCGTACCATGGACTGGATCAGCGCGCGCGTTTCTAACAGGGCCGCGGACTGGGTACGGGTCATGGAAGCCCAAGCATCTGGAGACGGGAGTGCCGGAGGAAAGGAAGGCATCTGGAAGGAGAAAACGCCCTGGTGGGAGGAGCTGAGGAGGTGTGTAGAGGGCGACTGCGTTCCGAACAGCGACGAGGGATGGAATCATCCTGCTGCGAGTGCGTACTCTGGGTACTTAGTGCTTATATGCTGCTTTACATATGCCTATCCATTTACAGTCATTCTCACCGTGTCTACTCGAGCTGTGAACCCCCTCCAGGCTTTGCAAGATCTAAATACGCGTCCCGTGGATTTCCCTCCATGGGTAGAGCCCACCGCGTTGCGGTATTACCTGATCATACATCCGGCCAACTCAGAATTGACAGACCCCATGTGAGTCTTCACTCCTTGATACGATCTATGGACCCGTTGCTGACATTATTTCAGAGCGGAAGCCTTGTTCAACGCCGTTAAGAAACAATATGGTCTACATAGCTATCTCCTCCCTCTCGTACTGCCTGCCGACCCGCTGCCTGCGCCCGTTCCAGTACCCGCCCTCCTCCCTCGTCTGCCTCCACCTCCACCACCCTCTTCAGCCTTTGACACGCCACCTCTGGCACCCGCCCCTACCCCCGCCGGACTGGTTGCCCCGAACACACCACGGGGCCTCATGTCGCCCATGCCCCGCTCTCCTGGGCCGTCTGTACTTGCACCAGGGCACAGAGACACATCATCTCAGGGCCTTTCGCAGACATCTCCTACTGGTTACGCGCTTCGTCTGAGTGAGGCCGACATCCAGCAGACCGGCAAGTTCGTGCGCGAGTTCGTGGTGATGAGCCTGATACCATGGATGGAGAAGTACGTCATCGACTGGAACGAGAACGTACGTCAATCTATGCAGCATATGCCTGTCGCTCATTGCATATATTTGTAGTTCTCATCATCTCGACGGCTACCTTCCCGCCTCTTCTCATCTACTAGACGCCTATTTGGCTCCGCTGCCCCATCTCCTGCAGTAACAACCCCCTCGACACCTGTTCATGGCCCAAATCCTTCCATATCATCAGTGTCGTCTAGGTTCAGAACACACCAAACTAATAGCTCAATCACCTCCATCACCTCCGTGTCATCTGCGGGAACGCTCGTAGATGGAACAGTCACTCAACAAAGACGGCTCGCCGAATTTGCCACTATGCTTGGTGACTACAAGTTAGCGACGTCGATCTGGGAGGCTCTGAGAAAAGAGGGGAGGGGCGGTTCGGTGAATTGATCAGCTGAGGGCGTACGTGAATCCCGTGCTGACATTGCTTCGTATGTAGGACGTGCTTCCTCTGCTCCTGGCACCCTCCCCTGCACTGTCACTCCATGCCGCGCATGCCCTCGCTGTCCTGCGTTCGCCATCGAACCCGCACTTCCAGTCACCTGGTCATGCACAGTTGCGCGCGCTATCATACGCAGTGCGGTGGGTGACGGGGATCGATAGACGCGACTTTCTCGGCCCTGTCCTGGAGGGCGAGAGGTGGTTGGTACAAGCTGCCGGTAGTGTACGTCTTTTCACCTCTGCAGCTTGCCTATGACCCTGCTGCCTGGACTATTCATGGCCATGGTGTCGCGGATAGCCGAGGCAGTGAGTCAATGGCGGCTGTGTATAGGCACTGGCTGAATGACTAAGGATTGTTCAAGGCAGAAGAGCCTCCAAGTATGATCTTATATGCGCATGCCGCTTTCCTGAGCGAGAGGAAGAACGCTCGAAGACGATCCGCTTTGTGGTATCTGCTCGCTGCTGACCACCTCGAGAAGGCGGGCACTGTGAGTCGAACAGCTTCTCGTTTGCCTTGGATCAACTGAAGCGAGACAAACAGAAATCACTCGCGATGTTCCTGTTTCGGAGAGCCCATGACCTGTACAAATCACAGGCGCCGAAGGAACTATCGCCTTCGTTCTGGGAAAGCGAAGCTCGGGACCCAGCTGATTGGACAGGATTTCCGTCCGTATTACCGGGCATCGAACATGAGCTAGGTAAGCATGACAACATGATTCGCAGCGTTCACAGTATAGCTTATGATCGTATAACTGGATAGGACGTCTGTTGTATACAACTGGTGACACAGAGGGTGCTGTCCGTTTTTTCCTTGGACTACTGCGAGGCGCCTCGGATCCAAGCGCGTCTCTATCAGACGAAGACAGAGCCGTTGGCAAGGCAGCAGTCGAGGACCAATTTACCACGGATAAGGTGTACTTGGAAGATTTCCGCGTGGCCGCGAAGGTGAGACTCTACAGTACCCGGAGACAGACGTTGGGAGCTCAGCGGCCGTGACATTCCTGTAGCATTTCAAGGCAACCGAACCAGAGAAGTGGAAGTCGGCATCACTTCAACTGCCAGTGTCTTTCTGTCAGCCCAAACAGACCAAAGTGCGGTTCCCCGGAAACAACTTCGAAGGCGATCCTAAGGAATGGACGAGGCGTGAAGAAGACTGGGCCGAATTTTGGGCATCAAGGGGCAAAGAGAAGCTCGAACGCAGTAGTAAAGCTGCAGTCGATGGTCAGTTTGATCCACTGGCAGTACACTGTTTCGTGTTGGACTAATTCGTGCAGAATACTTCTGGGTCGACCTGGGCATGCGCAATCCATTGGATGTTGAGGTAAACCTATCGGGCTTGTCTATCGTCGTCCGAGAAGCCTCTTCCCTGGATGCTTCATCTATGCCCGACTTCGTTGAAGTTGAAGTAGTTGACGGTGTCACGCTTGGTCCCAGAGAATATCGTACCGTGCGTGCTATACTGACTGACCTTGTTCCGCTCTCACCTACTTTACTTAGATCCCTGTCGCAGTGCGGTGTGGCCGACCGGCGTCTCTGCAAATCACTCATGTCGTCTTTGAATTCCTATCTTTACTGCCGGTTACAGAGTCGCTGGCTTTGCGCGGCCGGCGGTTGCATGACACTACCCAGCAGAGGCAAAACAAGGCATACGCATCTGATATTCTGATCGAGGTCGACGTGGAAGATGCTGGGCAGCGGTTGCGAGCGAGTTTTGTCGACGACAGGCATCTCATCCTCATTGAAGGAGAGTACAAGCGTCTCAAGCTTTGGATGACGAACTCGGGGTCAAGACCAATCAATGAAGCCTGGATGGTTTCGGGTAGAGAAGACGAGCTTTGGATAGACTCCGACGAGGCTGTGGCCGAAGAGACCCCTGCCGCGTCATCTTCGCAAGGTCCACTCACGGAAACGCTGGATTCCTCGAATTCGCTACGCCGACGGGAACCCTATGGGCTACCCTTGGGCGACTCCCAAGGGTCATCAGACTTGGCCCCTGGGGAGTCGATGCAGGTTACGTTGACACTCCATGCGTCCCAAGTCGGGGAAAGAGACCTTGGCCTGCTGTTCATTTTCCGTGAGGTAAGTTGTGTTAGGATTTCATTGGTACGTGACTCAGATTTATCAGGGGGCAGGCGCGCCATTTTGGTGCGTACGGGTTACAAGGCCGTATGAAGTAATACCTGTCTTCCGACTGGCCGCGTCAGCGGAGCCGAGCAGATCAGTGGATCACTCATACGGCTTAAGCCTTGAAGTCGAGAATCTGTCCGAGACTGGGAATCTACGCCTGACGCAAGTGACTACCATAAGCCCCTTGTGGGCGTCACAGTGTCTGGGGAAGTGCAATCTGTTCGTCAGCCGTATTTTTGAGCTTTGATGACAGCTGACGTCCGCGCGCATTGCAGCGACATTGTCCAGCCGCAACAGATCACAAAAATCCACCTCGGTATCGACCCATGGGAAGAGAGCGATGGAGTGCAGGCCACCCTGCAGTTCGTGTCCTCAAAACTTCAAGCAGTATTACACGGTGTACAACCGGATGACTCTGATCCGCCACCATTGCGCTTAGCTTGCAAGCATATATCGAAGGTATGCTTATCGTGGTGACCTGTCTTTGTGTATGTTTCATAACGCGGTGGAGCAGGGCACAGGGGCACGTTCGCTGGCAATCCCGTTAATGGCCCACTTCATTCATTGCGGTCAGCGAACATACAGCACTCACCGCGCACAGATGGCACATCGATACATACCATACGACAGCCATCCACGTATATTCCCATTGTTCAACCCCTATTCCATAGACGTCGTGCTCTTCTGGGAGCTCGACGGAGAAGGCCGCAGTGGACATATACTCGTGCCAGGACTAACACTCGGTGCCTCTCACGCTTACTTAGACAGTATGATCGATGAAGCGGAGAGCGCGAAGGTCAAACGATCCATGTACGCAGAGACACAGCGCGAGCGTTCAGACATCATACGGGCTATTCGGGAAAGCGAATGGAACGCCGAAATGGATCCTACGGTCGTAACCACTTGTGTCAAGGGTACAGTTAGGCATGACTTCTCTGACGGGTGAGTGATTCCCTTTTGTCTCCTGATGCGTTCATTGATGAATTGTCAGGCCATGCAGTGTATCCGTGAAGTACATCCTGAAGAATCTCTCACCTACACATTCGTCACGCGTCACTTTGCGGCTAGCAGCGGTCCCCCCAGATACAGAGACAACGTACGTACGAACTCTGTGTCTCCACGGAACCTCAACTAAATGATGTCGCAGTGCGCTGTTGTCACCTCGGTACGCAGGACGTCTAACCCACCGTAGAGAGATCGAGCCATATGGCACCGCAGTCATCTACAGCAAAGTATGGGCGACGCGACCCGGGAGTTTCAGGCTCGACGAGTGGGTAGCCGAGACGCAAGTGACTACATCTGGACGGACACATACAAGGCATCTTCGATACGTACAAGGACCTCCATTAGAACACCGTGTATGCTTCTCCGTCGTTGACGACTCGCGATCATGATTATGTATGTATGTATTGATTGTATTGCTCTGCCCGCATCGCTACAATGTGTTAAGACGCTGAAATTTGTCTAAATTATGCGCAGGACGGCGGGCCTGCACTGTACTGAACCTCTCGCGCACCCTACTGGCGTGCGAGATACCATACGAGGACGTGCTCGACCTCCCTGAACCAGTCATGCACCAGTGAGTTATCGAAAACGTTTCCATCCCAGCTTAGTAGAAAGGAAATACAACCCTGGGTTGTAATGGCGCCTAGGTAGAAGTATGCCGGCCTGACGTGGAGATGCGTTTCCCATGACATTACTCGAAGCAGTGATTTGGTCTGCCTGTCATGCGCAACGCTACTTGTTTCGGTCGTACAGGCGGTTTCTTCTTCACCGTCAGAGGGGAGCGGATAATCGGAAGGCTGTATCAAGTCGTACTGGAGGTGAGCAGATGTCAGACTATATATATTCCAGCAATATGGTGGCCCTTACGTTTCCACCGCTGGATACGCCGACGGTGTACGTGGTGTCCTCTCCAAATACGGCGGGTAGGATCTCGTCTGGATGCGTCTGTTCAGATGCATCTGTCTTCCAGTGGCATGCAATTCGTCTTCGTTTCGAAACAGATTGCTGCAGGCTGGCCTCCACTATCTCCAGGAAAAGCGGATGTTGCATGTAACTCGCCATCTGCTTCTTGATGAGGCGGCATCGCAAAAGGAAACGTTTGTCTGATAAAATGAGCTCGGATCCAGGGTTGTCGGGGGACGAGGCGTCGGCGCAGGTAGGCATGAAGGGCAGAGTGCAGTAGAAGAGGTTTACGGATAGGAAGACTTCTGACGAGCCTCCTTGGTCTAGCCACTCCTGTTCAAGATATGGCCGCAGGTTGGCAGGAAGAAAGAAGTGCATCGGCTCTCGCCTTCGGCGCTCCCATTCCACGTCGGACATCCGCCCTGCGCGATACTCCTTCTGCAGAATGCGTGCGGTCGCTACCTGAGCGACGACGGGAAGGGCCATCGTGAGCGTGATATCCTTCTCTCGGCAGGACCGCAGGATAGAGGAAGTTGTTTCGGCTGATAGACTATGTCGCAGATCCCTCTTGACGGCCGGAGTACAATAGGTCCCGCTGCTGAAGTTACCCGGTAGAGTATGTCCACCCTGTCAACCCATTGGTCTAAAGCTATTGTGACAGACGACGGGACACTGGACGTACCCGTAAAGCGGCTCTTCTAAGCCGGAAAATTACAGAACCGATGGCTCGCCTCCACCTTTGTGTCGCAACACTTGCACGTCTCGCAGGATTCAGCTCCTCGACAGGAACCACCATGGCGAGACGCTCGCCTACGTCGGGTATCGTTTCGGGCGATGGTCTCGATAGAATGTCGAAGAAAGCACGGCAAAGCATGATATGGGACACGCCGTCGGTGATGAAGTGAGTCGTATTGATAATAACGTGGTGAACGCTCTCCTCGTCTATTCGATCCAGGATAAACAGACGGGCGGGGATGTCGGCGAAGGTCCGCTGTACACCGTGTAAAATGTCGTGAATCGTCGTCAAGGCCTCGTCTGCATTGGCGATCGGCTTGCGGATGAGCTCTCCCGGACGCACTTGAGCCAACCGCGCAGGAGCGACCTCGAAGTGCAAGTCTTGCGAGCCATTGTCCGTGCGGACTCGCGAACCGAGGAGGGGGTACCTCTGTTTGAGAAGTATCCACGCTCGAGCGACATTGGCCTCGGTGTAAAGCTCTCGACCGGACTGGACGACGTAATGCCAAACGAGGTCCGTCGTTCCTTGGAAGCAGCTGTCCCAATAGTACCCGGTCTCGTTCAGGCTCAGCGGACGAGTGTAGGTGGGGCCGGAGTGCGTGTCCGAGTCGGCGGATGGACGGAGTGTCCAGGGAGTCATCGCAACGGCGTGGCAAGGCATCTCTGTCTTCCCGACATTGCTGTTCTTATCCCCACATTCCTAGTCCAAATGACAAAAGACGGGTTCGGTCGGGTATCTGACAAACGTCCCCGGGGCCGTAGTGCGGTCGCACGAGTGCATCGCGTTACCGCGAACAACGTTCACCAGACGACCCAAAGACGACCTGCTCCTGGATATCATATTCGCGGCACTTGAAAGACCTGGGACCTCGCGGGCCGCGCACAACCCCGAGCGCGTACCATGTAGGATGAATGCTACCGTACCGTGAGTTGTCCTCGGACCCGAGGGGTTCACGACATTCAATAACACATGACCCCCTTGAGGATTCGGCAAGCCAAGGCTCGTGGAAGTGAACTGCGCGGACAAGGCTTCGGTGATCCACCGAGGCCCGTTCCCCCTCCTCCTAGGACCGATCACAGCTGAACCCAGCAGTATCGGAAGAATCTGACAGACAGAATAATGCCCGCCACAGGCACAACGACAGTGTTGCTCACAGGCTGCAGTGCGAAAGCAGCTTCTTCAGCACAGCTGCCGGCTTGAGCCCTTCAGTCCTGCGCCTCTGATTGGCACTATGTCTGTAATCGGCTCAGAAGCACTAGAAGCACCAATCAGAGTGACGTACACTGAGAAGACAGTTCCAAGGTCGGGCCAGGTAACGCCTTTTGTAGTGGCTTGGAAGAGTGCAGTGCGTGATACGATCTCTCGCTCAACTCGATCTCGCCGCTGCCAGATTAGATCCACATGTTGCGATGGCCCGGGGTTGCCTGAGCCTCATGTGTAGCAGTACCAGTACCAAAGATGGCATTCAGGGTAAACATCTGGACTATGAACACGACGTGGCTCGCGGGAGAACAGCTGGCATGACCCGATGGTACCAATACAAGGCATCACTTCGGCTGCCGCTAGTCCTCCTGATCTTTCTTGGTCTTCTTCGCGTCCATGGCCATCCGTATCTTTTTCATCTTCGTATTGAAGTATGTCTGAGCGAGGATTAGCTAAATCTGATCCAACACACGGCAGAGGATTCGTCGCTTACCCCCGTGACGAATTGGACCAGGTTGATGAATGGCACCCAGAGCTCAGGAGCAAGGTATCTTTGCGCAATCACGATGGTAAGAGGGAGAGTCATCCATGTCACCTGTATAGGTCGGACGTCACGATGAGCTTGCAGTCATGAGCGCCTCGAGCACAAGATACATACGCGTAGAGCGTTCATGTAGCCCGCCTTGACTGTCTTCCGCACATCGTCCACTGTCCGCGCGCCGTTGATTACCGCCGTGCACGACAGATATACTGCAACCGTTCCGCGGAGATGTCAGAGTGGATGCCGCGCTCGACCGCACTAAGGCTCTAGCTCAACGCGAGACTCACCGGCGATCTGGATGGGCGCGACAATGAGGTTGCTTACGAGCAGCTGCCCCACCTTCGCTGCGAGACCAGTCTTGCCCACGAATAACTTCTGCGTTATACCCACCAGCGCGTGGCTCATCGGTGCCGACACGAGCATGCCGTACAGGGTCATCTTAGGAGCCTTAGACTCTATCTTAACACGCGCGAGGGCGTGCTCGTAGAAAGGTGCATCTTTGGGCACCCTCCTCGCGGGGACGCCTGCAAGGTGCGTCGCGAGCACCTCCTGGAAGAACTGCAGGACCCCTGAAGCGCAACATCCGAATCGACTGGACTGTCAGAGATGTGTCACGCATGCCGTCAAGACACGGCCACGTACCGCTCGTGATGGCCTTGGTCCGCAAGGGATGGGCAGCGAGGTTCGCTAGGTATGCGGCAAGGAGCGGGTTGACCTTCCTCGGTGCGGCGACGGTGCTCATCGTGCGTATCAATGTGTGGGTGGTGGTTCGTTCCAAACCGTGAGCTAGAACCAGAGTGCCCCTGTAGACTGTCTGGACGCCGGAAAGAGCGTGTTATACGCCCGGCGCGCCGAGGGCACCTGCTCACCGCTGTCTCGTGCGGTCCTGAGTACGCGTACGTATGGTGGAGACCGAATCACGGGAGCCGCGCGGTCCTGAGCTAACCTTTCCTGTATCACCAAAACGGCCGCAGCCATTCCCATCCACGCTGCGCGTTGAGGATGTTGAGAGCTTTGCCTGAACGACGCGTCTGTCGGCCCTCGTCGTCGCACCGACGTGAGATACTGAATTAGAAGATTCACAGTCATGCTTCCTGCCTGAGCTTCTCGGACCCCGTGTAATGGTCGCGTGGGATTCGAGAAGCATGGCACGTACTGAGAATTTGCATATGACCGAGTATTGAGTAAGTGTATGTCCGACGTTGGATGCAGGAGTCCTCCATGGAGAAAGCAATCCAATTGAAGCATGAATATGTGAGTAAGTATCGTAGCAATAAATCGGCATTGACATCCGCCCGTGAAGCGAGGGGTCCAATGTATCTAATCCAATACATACTGGCAGCATGCACGTTTACGTGCCTTTCATCCTGTAGGACACCGTCAGCTCCAGTAAGCTTATACAAATGATTCACTGGAGCTCACCAGATTTTGACATAGTCCGCGAACGAGACCATGCACACTGTCTGCCAGATGCCGAGGCCAATACGGGGTGTCACGCCACGGTAGAGACCCTTCAGACCATTCTCCCTGTAGACGTATTGGAGAGTGCTGAGGATAGTGGCCTTCTGGGGGCGCTTGGGGTCCAGGTTGGCCGACTTCGCCATAGATTGCATCTACACCGGGTCCTGACGTCAGCCGCCGCTATGGACGCTCAAGTGGACGGACCAACCTCTACTCGTACGACTTCGATGGGCTGGTTCCATGTTGCAAGCGCGCCACCTATTGACGACGAGGCGATCTTCTCGAGAGCCGTCAACTTGTCGTTCTCACCCTTGCCCTTGAACTTCTTGATGCTAGTCTCCGCTAACCGCGCGAAACCCATCCTATACGGATCTGTTTGGTTGCGGAGGTATAGGAGCAGTAGTCATCGACATACCGAGATCCCCAGTTGGTCATTTGCCGCACAGCGACAGCATTGACACCCTTGTTGATGCCCTTGACACCTTCCCGGCGGTAGATGTCCATGAAGACGACCCAAGTCGAAGGCGGCTTGACACCAGATGCAGCCTGCTTGTGCCGCGTAATTTCTGCGGTCTTCATACATGTGCAGAAGCCTGCAACCAGTATGAGCTCGGACGAGGGAAGCGAATTACATCAAAATACGCACCCATGGTCGCGTAGGCCTGCGCGACACCACCCGTCATGCCGCCAATCAGACCAGCTGCTCCTGGGCTCATCCCAAGGCCCACCACCTTGCTCTCAACCTCCGAAGCGGTGAAGAGGAGCACTGCACCCTTTGTCGACGCTTCAATCCATGCCTGCGATGACTTGGGGTGAGGGACCGGTGCGAGGCCGAAATCACATGCCACGCACCCATGGGATGAGTCCCTGGTAGAATCCCAGCACGCCTCCACGGCTCCATACTGTCTGGACAGCCTGGAACATGGATTGTGACCGGTTTGCTGCCATCTGAGTCTTCAAGACCTCAAGGGGCTGTCCTAATGTCGTGACCTATTCAAAGAGTAAGGAGACTGTACAACGCGCGAGCTTTTCAGCCACTTGCCTCCTGTACACGTCGTCAGTTAGGGTGTCTCGCACGACAAATGATGGCACTCACGAACTACATCACAGCAAGACGACCTAGAGGTCAGCTTCTGCATGTCAGTACACAGAAAACATACGCATTACCATGTTCATGATCGCGCCTGAATGCACAGCAGTCCGTGAGTCCGCGTGAACAGCTCAGCCACAGGCGCGTATACTGACCGACAGCAATATTAGACCAGTTGACTCCCTTCTGGCCGGGCAAGCTCTTTTCGATGGCCATGGTTGGTCGACACACGGAGGTGCTGAAGAGGTAGCGGCAGAGGGTGGGGAGAGGGGGGAGGTGGAGGTAGAGGATGAGCTGGCGAGAGCCTGAGACCTTGGGGATGTCCCGAAATGCGCAAGGGCCCACTATTTGGCCCCCACAAACACCGCGGGGTCTCCGTCATGCGCGCAGGCGCCCCCGCCCTGTGGCTGCAATCGTCCCACTTTCATCTCATGGTACGACACACTCCCGCCTTTCGTCGTCACAGCGGGCTGCACAATATGTTGCGCAAGACATATAGGAGGTGCCCTGAACAGTCAAGACAACGGTGACGAGCTGCAAGCCATCTACGAGGCGTCGAAGATCGGCTCTCCCAAAGGGGAAACTGCCGTGGCGGAAGCGCAGGAAGCCCGCTCCTGGTCAGGCAGGCATACATAGCGGATGCACGGGATGACCGCCCCTGCCACGTCGCTGGTCCGCAACAGCGCGCGATACTGGCCTGAAATCTCTGTGATAGTTGCGAGATGACCGGCATGTCTGATTCGAGTGGCAGTACCGAGGTGTCCGACAGCGAGCTAGCCATCTTGCGCGGTCGCAGCAAACAGCGCTCCGTGCTTGTGGCGGTGAGTGACATCCGTTTGATATGTGTGCGGAGCCGTTCTGACGGTTGCTCAGGAGAAGGCTACCATTGGCTCCCCGTAGCCTCCTCCACCGTGTGGCCTTTGGGATTTGGCGTCGAGGTTGCCTCATTGTGAGCTGCCGTTGTTCGCTAATCGACATAAGATTTGGCGAACCTGTACATCTGGTGATTTTACGTTATTATACGGGCATTTGTGATAGCCTGCTGCCCTCTTAGCCCGCACCAGGCGGAATTGGCCATGAAAGTTTCAACCGTCGTCACTTCCGGGCGTGCCGCCCACCGTTTGGACAAGTCCGACACCATCAGCGGACATGACCCCGCTTGTCTCGCGCTCTCACATATGGTATTTCGCCGTATACTTTAGTCGGGCGGAGGCAAATCTAGCCTGTGTTTTCCGGCCCCTGTCGGCCACACATCGTCCTTGCAGCTCTGTTATATCCATTTTGCGCCCGTCTTCCCCTGTCTGCACCTGAGCTCCCTTCACCACCCAGTACGCCTCTGCGCCCTACCTCACTCGTATGTCCTCATTTTGAGTGGTCATTGTAATGGCAGACTGATGAAGGCCGCAAATTAGGCTTGAGAAACATGCCTGTTGTACCACCGGAGCTCTGCGACTACGTTATTGACTATCTCCACAATGACAGGAAGTCCCTAACAGCCTGCAGCCTCACTTGCCGCGAATGGGTGCCGACGTCCCGTCATCACCTCTACTGCGAAGTCCTCCTACACAAACCTCAGCTGTTTATCGCATTCAAGCGGCTGCTACAGGCGCATCCCGTCTTAGGTTGCTATGTCCGCGTCCTCAAAATATCCAGGCTGGAGAAGGCTAGCAGCGCAGACCTCGCGCAGATTGAGGAGGTCCTTCCCATCCTTCTCCGTTACCTCCCCAACCTGGGGTCTCTCGGAGGGTCCCTGCTCTCAACGTCCGCAAGCATCCTGCGCAGCGTACCCGAAGAAACGCCCGTGACGGAGCTCTTCCTTCAATATTGCGACTTCCCTGCGCTCGAAGACTTCGCGCGGCTGTTCTACTCGTGTCCGAGGCTGCGGAGCCTCGCACTCTGCGGTGTGTCTTGGGCATCTACGACCTGTGATGTCCTGCCGCGCGCTCTCGATGCGCCTGGGCTGCGAAGATTGGTCCTAGGCAGGGACGTCGACTATGCCTCTGTCATTGGCCTACTGCTTCGGGGTGGCCATCATCGCAGCATTCACAGCCTGTCGGTCACCCTGACGTCCGAGGCTGATGCATACGCTCTCAGCGTCTTGCTGGAGAACATCGGAGAGTCGCTGACCGAGCTCGACATCGAATGGCACCCGATGCGTCCTGGGTCGAACGGTCAGTCGTCACTCTGCGCCCCACTCATCACGTCCGACTTACCAGCCGTCCAGTCGTCTTCTTGCCTAGCTCGCTCAGGATCCCCTCGACCGTCACGGTCGAGAGGCTGACCATCCGCAGTGCGATCTCGCACGCGTACTCCACGCCTTGGGTTACCAGCCTCCTGTCCGCGGTCGATCCCGCCCGCCTGCGCACGTTCGCGTTGGAGATCCGTCTGCTCGGGGAGCTCGACGCGCTTGACTGGAAGACCATCGAGAGCATCCTGGTGCCGGAGCAGTTTCGTAGCCTACGTGAGGTCGCGGTCAAGGTCAACATCTGGTCTGGGGTTCACATGGACCAACTGTCGGTCCGAAACCTAATACGTCATTACCTACCTCGATTGCACTCGAAGGGGATGCTTCGCTTCGCCTCTTAAGCCGTGTAGATACTTACGCAAAGTTTGGGTGTGCAAAAGATCCTCGCCGCATAGACACTACGATACTGTTGATTCTAGTTCGATATCTTATTGCTTACTCACTCTCAACTACTTGCTCTTTGATGGACGCGTCGTGAATCTCTGGGCTACATTCGATTATATTCGTTTGCACTGAACGATGCATAACGCGGGGGTATGTGATGAGGGTAACATACTAGCAAGGACAGGGTGAGATATCAAAGCACGAGCCTAACAGTAAGTTGAGAGGGAGCATTACGATGCCAATCGTACCGTACAAGTTAAGAAAGTCCCACCGGCATCCTAATAGCACGAACAACGCGAAACCCGGACGCGATCCAGCAGGCGGCATAGTGATGTGGACATGGCGATTGTCGTGAGGCGGGCCGGAGGGGTCGCCACGGGGTCGACACGCCGGTTCCTCATCGCTTTCATTCTTTGCTGTTCTGTTGTTCCAGACGTTCGAGGTCCTCCTTCAAGCTGTTGCGTGGATGCGGCATGGAAAAGCAGAAGAGTCCATGAGTATACGAGTGATAAGATAAGGCAGTAATAAATGAGCGATGAGGGCAAATGAGCGCGATGGATGAGATGAGTGGAAATGAGTGTGAGCAGATCGGTTGGAGACCAACGCAATCAAAACAGTCCGTATACGACGGCCAGCGTGCAAATAGCCCCAAGGAAACTCTTCAGTCCGAAAATCTTTACATACCGTGTAATCTGGTCCTGGCTATCCTCCTGGTCGGTCTCGAGATATTGGATCTCCATGGTCTTGCGCGCGACTTCCTGTTGCAGCTCCTCGGCCTTGGCAAGAGCGATGTCGTACTGCTCCCTCAAAGCCCTAATCTGTCGCTCCTGCTCCGCCTGGATATCATGGATCTTGAGATTGTGAGCCTCGTGGAGGCGCTGCAGCTCGTCTCGGGACACGCTCGAAGTACGCGCGTGCGCCGATCCGTTGCTCTTCGGAGAGGATACCGTCTCGGTAGCCAACGTCGCCTTGATGGTCGCCAGCTCACCCTCGAGATCAGATAGCTTCGTCTGGAGCTCGGACTTCTCGCTTGTCACAGCCAAGATCTCCTCCTGGTGCGCAGCGCGAAGCTTGGTAGCCTCCTCCGCACGGCCCTTCGCAGCCTCCTCCAGCTCCTTAATGTGATTCCTGGAGACCTCTGTAAGCGACTCTTTGGTAGCCACGAACATGTCTCTGAGGGACGCGTGGTCATCCCGAGCATTTGAGAGCTCCTTCTGCAAGCGAAAGATCACCTCGTCTTTGTCGGTCTTGTCGACAGCTGCAGCGACCGCGCGCGCCTCGTCGAGCTGGATCTTCAGAGACTCCAACTCGGCACTGGCAGATGCGACGGTGCCCTTCGCCTTCGCAAGATCTTCCTGCGTGGCTTTCAAGTCGAGAGCCTGCTTGCTAATCTCCTTCTCGAGCGACTTCACTTGACTCTCCAACGCAGTCTGATGCTCCGCTTTGAGGCCTTCAATAGTCGTCTGGTGAGCAGCGCGGAGCTGCTCGATCGTAGCCTGAGATTCGGCACGGAGGGCTTGCAGGTCTTGGCTGTGAGCAGAGCCCGCCTCATTCTGCGTGGCTTACAGTCAGTGTATACACGAGCACGGTGCACCTCGAATCCCACCTTGGCACGCTCGAACGCCTCCTCCAAGAGCTTCGCATGCTCTGCCTTTACGTCGTCGACCTTGGCATTGTACTTGGACTCCTGGCTCTGTTATGGGAGTGAGAATGCGTACTGCAACAATCAATGTGCCTGACGAACCTCGAGCTCGGTAGACACGGCCTTCAGCTCCTCCTGGAGTTTGTTCTCCTTCTCCTGGAACGACTCCTGAAGGCTCTCGACCTCGACCTTGTGCGCCTCGCTCTGGCTTGCCAACTCAGCCTTCGTAGCCTCCTGAGCGGCAACAGCCTCGGCGAGCTGACCCTCAAGTTCGCTGCAACGACTGGTGAGCTTGTCGATCTGCTCTCGAAGCTCGCCGATCTCCGCCTGCAACTTCGCGTTCTCCTCGTTCGCCTGGGCAAGATCGTCAGAGGCCTTCGCGTTGGCCTGCTCGACAGCCAGACGACCAGCCTCCTCGGCCTTCTTCAGGTCGTCTTCCAGCGCCTTGATGCGCTCGGAGGTCTGGGAGCGTTCGTCCTCTGATTTCTCCTGCTCCTCCTTCAGCTCCAAAATCTCGATCTCGAGCTCGGAGATCTTGTTAGACTTCTCCTCGCTCTCCGTCTTGAGCTCAGCGACCTGTGCCTCGAGAGGCTCGAGACGGGAAGCCTGCTCCTGGAGGGCGGTGATCTTCGCCTCCGCGTCAGCAGTAGCCTGGTCGCGAGCAGCTTTGAGGCTCTCAACCTCAGCCTGGATCGCGTCCAAGTCGGCTTTCGCCTTGAGGAGAGCGGCGTGTTCGACCTCGGCTGCAGCGGTAGCCGCTGCAGATGCATCTCCGGAAGACGAGCGAAGGACTTCAAGGTTCTCCTGAGCGGCTTTGACCTCAGTCTCGAGCTCCTCGATCCGCGACTGCAGGCTGGCTACGAGCTCCTTCAAAGAAGCAGAGTTTGACTTGGCTTCCTCGAGCTACGATCGCAGTGTCAGCACCAAATCAAGTATGCGCTGTACTTCACATACCTCCGTTCGGATCGTCTCTAGGCCGGGTTCGGTCCCAGACTCCGAGCTCTGAGCCGCAGCCAGACTCTCACGCGCAGCAGCCAACTCCTTCTCGGTCTCGCTCTTCGCTTCCTCGAGCGCCTGGAGCGTGGACTGCTTCGACTCGACATCCGCCAACGCAGAGTCCAGCGACGACTTCAGGCCGCTGACCTGATCCTCGAGCGCAGTGACAGCTTCGGTCTTGGATACCAGCGACGCGTTTGCGTCATTGAGCTGCGAACCGGATAAGCAACAAATGGTGGTGCCCAAGAGCGGTGTCACTCACCTTCTCCTGCAACTCCTCAACAGCCTTGCTCTTCCCATCATCCTTGACAACCTCCTTGATAGAAGAGATGGAACCGGAGCCAGGTGTCCTAGTAGGCCTGGTAGACGATGTACTCGGCGGTCGTGCGGAAGAAGCAGCAGCGCTGGTTCGAGAAGCCGTCGTCGTTCTCTTCACCTCACCGCTCACGGAAGCTCTTGGGCGGGGTGCTGATGCGGACGCCGCAGGCTTAGTGGACGATGCCAATGATGCCCTGGGAGCCGGCTTGGTGACACTGGGCGTAGGTGATTTGGCCGTAGTGGACGTCGGTGCCTTGGGCGTGACGGACTGACGCCGCGCGGCAGCGGTACTGGGAGCTGCGGCACCAGTGGTACTCGTCCTAGGCGGCATGGTCTGTTTGGCGGCGGCGGATGCGCCGCTGGTGGGTTTCCTGATTGACGATGCAGCGGAGGTAGGCTTCGTGGGACTTAAGGGAGTGCCAGTGGCCTTCGAGACCGCAGTCGGGGCGTGCTTGACCGCGCCAGACCCAAACGTGCCAGAGTTGATGATCTGAATTCACGTAACGCGCCACGACGCGCTCAGAACGCGTGTTCTGACGACCACAGGGACTGACGCACCTTCTTGACCAATGGCGTTCCTGGTGCGCCGGACGCAGGCCTGCTGGGCTTGACATTGATAGAGGGCTTGGCCGTGAGCTTCTTGGTCGGCGACGGGGGAGTCTTCAAGTTCTCCTTGGCCATGTCTTCCGTGAGTGGGGGCGCAGCCTCCTCAGCAGCAGAAGATACGGGTGTTGCATCCTCAATGGCCGGGGGCATCGTAGTAGTATCGGCTTCATGCACCACGCCCTCTTCAACGTGTCCGTCTGCCGCACCTTCGTCGGCAGGCTTCTCGTCAGTCGTACTTTCCGCTTCTGTTACGCTACCAGCCTCGTGAGCCTCGTGCTCTTCATGTTCAGGCTCTTCTGGATGGGTCTCCAGCTGCTCGGAACCTTCGGACCCTGCCACGTCTTCCTGATTCTCGAGCACGGGGCTCTGGGGTTGCTCCTCGTCCGCCATGGCGACTGGAGTGTGGTGGCAGTAAGCGGTACTGCACCGGGGTATCGGATATTACGAGGGGATGGAGTAGGACAGAGATACTGCTCAGGCTGCTGCACGCCTGGTGCAGAGATCTGCGCCCCGCGTTGGGCAAGCAAACAAAAACAAGACCGTGACGCGTACGCGACGCGTCCCACGCCACGACGCCCTCCCGCGCCCGTCGCGGTTTTCGGTGTGTAAGTGTGCACTACATATCATACAATGCGCCATTCTGCTTCTAGTCTCATACATTCGCCGTATCTACACCGGACTCGATATGTGTGGTACGAACGACGCCCTTATCCGGTCTACGCAGGCGGAGCATATAGGTTCAGTGCCGATAGAGCTGGCTCAGCTAGATTGCGGTGGTTGTAGCTCAAGACTGCGACCTGGAGCAAGGTAGTCAGCGGATATCATAATGGAAAGGCTACCGCAACACACCCCAGCAGGTTCGACATTGAAGTGTGTGCCTAGAGTATACGTGGTAAGTCATTACAGAAGACATGTACGAAATGAGCTGCTCTCTACCCAGGCACAGAGGGAAGTTGATCCAGCGGGAAATCAAGACTCGGTTGAAGTGACCATGCGCGATGATCACGACATCCCGACTGCCTCTGCCTTCTTCAAGCCATTGCCTGTGATGCTCCTTGACCTGTGACCTGTGCTAAGCCGACCGCGTTCCTGCTAGCCTTGTAAGGGCGATGCGCACCTTTGCGATAACGCTGTCGACTCTGTGACACATCTCCTCAGTGCTTTCTCCGTTCGGACATCTACATAACAGTGATGAGCACAACGTCGCATGGCTTCGTCAAGGGGACAGCTCACCCATCGTGCCATATCACCCATTTGGGGTTCCTCTCCTTAATCTCGGACGGCAACAGGCCCTCATAGTCACCATAGTCCCATTCTCGTACTTCCTCCGTAATGACATGGGGCGGGGGCGCCGGCAGATGATCAAACATCAAATGAAAGGTGCGGTGTGCACGGATCCTTGGAGAAACAAACGCATTGCATATGTTCTTCGGGTCAATGACCTCTTGCAAGAAGAAAGCACTACTGTTCAATAACATTCACGACACACATTGCGACACGACTTACTGCCTTCTCCTACAAGGACAAGCGCCGTCTCCTTCGTCTTCTCCTCGCCGTGCGCTGTGAGTGGAATATCTGAGCGGCCGGTCTGGAACGCAGCAATCAGTCTGGGCACTTCGAAGCCCTCCGCAGTAAGACAGCAGCAGCATCAACACTCACATGACGACTGGTACGGGCCAGTGGATTCGTGTCAGCGAGATCTTCTCAGTGCATGACAGAGTAAGCTCACTGACCCACTCAAGGACCACTCCGTCTCCCCTGCCGGATAGCATCATTGCGCATTCTATTGACTGGGCGATGGCACTCACCATGGCGGATAAGGATGAGACGAGGCACAGGACGTTGGCCAGACATGTTGTAGCGACTCTACTAGCGAGGGTCTAGACGGAGTGCAGCGGTAAGGAGAAGCCACTGACAGTGTCTAAATACGACGAGGCGCGCTCCGTATAAGACCGTCGGACACCGCAGTGATATCATCGCTATCGCGTGCGATCGTGCTGACGGACACCTCGACGGCCCACATCCCGCGACTGAACATATTGTCCATACGAGTGGACACGGTGTCCTGTGCCGTCGACCGTGTCGCTGCTCCTTGCGAATGCGAAGACACGAATTGTGCAACAGCCCTTGCTGTTCAAGGCTTCAAGCTGTGCTCTTGATTGATCGCAAACGGACTGAAGCAGGCGCTCTCGCGTTGATGGTCTGAAGACGTCCAAACAGATGCGGTATCGCCGAGGGGCATCCATTCGGGGGATTCTGGCCCGCAAGTCTAAAAAGTTTAGCGCTGGCCCCCGAACACCTGAGAGGCCACCACCAGTCCGATAAGACGCTAGATTAGATAACAGTCCACTACGAGTTACAATCGGTACAGGCGATCCTAGCGTCGGCGCGACTTAGGTCCTCCTCGTTCGACTACAGCTGTTGACTGTCGATTGCCAGCTGCAGTGGGATAGGAGGTAACTCGTCGTTGTCGGTACAATGCTCCTTCGCAAGGTGAAATAGTACGTTGTACTTCCAGATAGTGCACGGCTGCCCTGACGGACCAATCGGGCACAAAGGACAGTAGATCGGCACGTTTGTACACGGAGTGGCTTTGCTTACTGTCTTGGCTGCGCCGTAGCTCATCTGCAACCGAAATACTGCTGTTCTCTTTGGAGAGCTGAACAACACACCCATCCATTCCGCAAAAGCCGCAAGGCTCGACGCCGAGCTGATTGCAAAGTCGGCAGGTTAGATATCATGAAAGTCCATCCTCAAATACTAGTAATGAACTTACCTTCGCGACATACGGTACGTTCTCGACTATCCCTCGCATTGCATACAAGATATGGCGTCCAACGTGATTCCGCATGTTTTTGACTGCTTCTTTACTTCCACAGATCAAACAAGGGACGACATCCGAGCCGGTCTTCTTCTCAATTGTGAGCCAAGTTGGCACATCAAGGACGGTGAACGCGTCATTTCCTAGGAGCACGTCAGTACGTCCCAGTAGTCCGCCGTGATGATTCCTACCCAGCAACTCACCTATTGCGTCCTGATACGGCAAACTTTGTGTGGACACTGACGGTACGTGCTCGATATTTGCAATAATGTCTTCCGTGCCGGGGGAGAGTGACTCCCAAGCGAACGTCAGGATATCTTCGAGCTGTGTTCCTGGAATCGACCACGTCTTCGCAATCCGTGAGTCCTTGGCATATCTCGGGAGAATTGGCTGATTGACTTGATCGTTTGATAGACGTAGGGCGATGATAGTTGGACCAAGCGGATGAATCAGATGGCCAGGTATGTTGATGGTATGCATCCTGCCCTCCACTCGACAAGGATGCCTCTGCATCCCTCTCCCTCAGCGGGAGTGGGCCCTCTCTGTTCCAGATCTGCAGACTCGGAGCGTGAGGACGTAGCGCGGAGTGCCGATTCAGTTTCAATTGGAGCCAGTGTACTAGTCGCTTCCGCGGCTGCAGCAGGACTTGGCGATGAGGCCCGCAGGTCCGCAAATGACGTGGTTAGTTCGCCAGCTATCGAGTCGGCCTCAGGACTGACTGAGCCCGGATCACGGCTGAACAACTCGAATGATATTGGCTCGACACTTGCAACGCGGGACTCGGATCGAGATGGCTGGGGAGTGGGAGGTACTGTGTAAAGTGGTAGCGATGCCAGTGACATGGGTGGTGTGACTGGTTCGACTGGATGCACCTGAGTTGGCATGCCAAGCGAAGGATCGATGTTCAGACAGCTCGGGCCAGGCTGGGCCTGAGTGACGGTAGACTGTGTACCGAAGACTGCTGCATGGGTAGCTGCAGCCGCAGCTCGTTCTTGTTTCCGTAGGGCCTTTCGCTGCAGGTCATCACAGGTAGCAGACCCACGATGCTCGAATAGGGAATGGTTATGGCCATGTTCCGTCAACGCAATCCTTTTACCGCATAGATCGCAGGAGACCATATGTCTCCGCTTTCTCTCGTCCCATTCAGTTTCGAGGGTAGGACCTCCGGGAATAGAGATCGTATGAGGAGTAGAGAGATCGGAAGGGTTGTCCATGTAGTAGCACGGTGGAGATCTGATCCTGACTATACCGTGTATGTACCACAATCTATTCACTCAGCATGTATGCCGCACATGTACACAACCCACGATGAATCAAGTCTGCAGGTGGCTGTTGCTATATATGGAGTACGATCGATTGTACTTAAGCGCTTCCTCAAGGGAGGGTTTATATTCGACAGGCAATGCATACCGCTGAGTGGTCACCACAAGGGTGGTATACAGTGATTGATACAATCCTACCGAAGATATTCAATGAATACCGCACACAGAGAATGCGTCCACGACATGCAGCAGGTAATATGGTAGCTTCACGCGTGAAAAGCTCAAATCAGGACCCCGTACACCGATTTTGGACCACCACCACTAGGGTTGCGGCCGCGCCTTCGGCGCTTGGTTGCCCCCTGGGTATCGCATGAGAAAGCCCTCCGAACATTTGCCTTTAGGTTCCAATGACGGTGTGCCAGGCTGTTGCACACCTGGGAATGGCGGCAATACAAACGCGCGGAGCCGTGCCGGATTTGAGATTCGCAGAGCCTGGCATTCAGTCGCCCGGTACGATAATGCAGACATCCCTGAAGAGACCTAGTGCCCGCCGACGGTAGGCCTGTCGACGTCGAGGGAGGAGGCGGCTGCGCTGGGATGCGACGACGAAACAAACCGTGAGACATGGCTAGACGGATTTAGTCGCGCCGTGGCGAGCCGGTGGCCAGATGCGGCCATCTCGACAGCGCAATTCTATCCTCCTTCCCGGTTTCTTCTTCATTGCTCTCTCGCCTTGCAGCCGATACCACTCTGTTTCTGTTTGTTGACACTGTACCCATTTCTGCCCCGCCGCACACTTGAGGTAACGCCGTCGCTGCCTCATCCGTTAACTGCGATTTCTGATCACTTATCGCGTCTAATTCCCTCTACCGCCTGTCGCCTGCCTTGGCTCCTCCATCATTCGGCCTTCGGACGTGCCTTGCCTCTCCTCCAACGCCCACCTCGTCCAGTTCACTCATAGACACCCTGGAGAATTTCCACAATGCAGGCCATTAAGTGTACGTGCTGGGTGCCCCCACCCTGCTCTCACGGCCGCGTTGCTAACCTGGTCGTATAGGCGTTGTTGTAGGAGACGGTGCAGTCGGGAAGGTAAGCAACGCTTCTACGGTGCGGTATCCAAGGCTAATGGCTGCTTGTACATAGACATGTCTGCTCATCTCGTACACCACAAACGCCTTCCCGGTACGTTGTGCTTTGCTCAGCGGCTGTGTCCCATCACACTGATCCTGGGACACGTAGGGCGAATATATCCCTACCGGTACGCACACGCCCATTTCCTCCGCGCACATCCCAGTCTCATGACATGCGGCGACGCAGTGTTCGACAACTACTCGGCCAATGTAATGGTCGACGGTAAGACGATCTCGCTTGGTCTGTGGGATACGGCTGGGCAGGAAGATTACGACCGTCTCCGACCTCTCTCATACCCCCAAACGGACGTATTCCTCATCTGCTTCTCCCTGGTTAGCCCTCCCAGTTTCGAGAACGTGCGGACTAAGGTGCGCCCCTGCTCCTGTCGGGTGATTGATCTCCGGGCTCATGCGACCTCTTCGCTTAGTGGTACCCTGAAATCTCGCATCACGCGCCGTCTACGTCAATCGTCCTGGTTGGTACCAAGCTCGATCTTCGCGAGGATCCTGGCACTATTGAGAAGCTGAGGGAGCGGTATGCCACGCCGACGCCGCCGGAGATGCTCGTCTACTGACACGCTACCCAATCTAGTCGCATGGCGCCTATACAATACTCGCAGGGCGTGGCGATGATGAGGGACATCGGAGCCGTCAAGTACCTCGAATGTTCCGCATTGACGCAGAAGGGGCTCAAGAACGTTTTCGACGAGGCCATCCGCGCTGTTCGTGAGTGCAATTTTCGTGGTTCGGCGCTGGCAATTTTGATGCTCACACACGTATCAAAGTCAACCCTCCTGCGCAGCCCAAGAAGAAGGCAGACAAGAAGGGGTGCATCATCGCTTAATGCACGTCACGTTTCACGCGTCTCGGGCTCGGGATCCGCTGCAGCGCGTCTCTCTGCCATCTGCACGAATATACACCCACATTTACGACTGCGCACCATGCTCCTCGTCCGTTTCTCGGCCTACCCTTCGTTCGCAGACCCGCGGGGTGTTATGGCAGTTGGGTCGCCCTTAGTGATTAGGGACCCTGGCGTCGACTTCTCGGTGATTTCCCCGTCCCCATTCTTCTCCTTGTTTTCTTAGCTTCAGTTTGGAGATATCATATTGCATCTACTACGCCACGAGCGAACACTTGGATACTCAGTTCTTACAGCGCAATCACGCATGTCAACTTCAGTTCCTCAACTCACGGTTGTGAACGCTGTCGCCACGTGGATCACTATTGCTGCACTGCACCTGGTCGCTGCTGTATCAGTTTCCCTTGGGTCCGTCCTACTATGCTTGGGAGGGTTCATGCCTGTCAAAGACGTCATTGTGCTTCAGGGCCCAGTAGTTTCGTTTAGCAGACCCGAGCCGTGCGTATTACTTGTCCCACCTCATCATTGACACGCGGCCCAAACGCAGGCGGTGTACACCGGTCCTCGACTCTGCATCCGCTTCAACGACTTCTGCAGGTTGTAGATACATATGACTTTGTGAACAGCGAAGTTCACGGTGCAATTCTGTATCTCTAGGGCTGGGCCAATACATCGAGCAAACTACAGTTAGTCATATTACATACTGTCTGCTACCCCTTTACACATCCGATCCCGGAGCCCCAGGTACAGGCATCCTGCCTCTCTCCGTCATTTCACCGCCTGCATCAGCGATCATGCATGTCGATGCACGCTTCTGCAGCGCCAATTGCTAGTCTGTAACTGCCATGGCTTCGAATATATGACTCCGGGGCTAGGGCAAGTCCTGAAAGCACTCGCCTGCGTAACACTCCTGCCTCTTCGTCGGTGACCATTCACTACCGTGTGCCGCTTCGATGTCCTCCACTGAGGAATCCCTGCCCAAGCTTGCTTTCCTGGGCCCCTTGGGCTCGCATTCATATCAGGTCAGTATGAGTTTGACGTTCAGAGCCTAGATTGGCATAACATCGGTACCGCGAGGGTAGTGCGCAAAGAATGGATTCGGGACGAGTGTGGAGTACGTAGAGAGACTGAGCATCACGGGTGAGCCCTATCTCAATCACTCCGAGCACGAACCTGAGACGACCCCGCGCAGAGGTGTTCAAGGCCGTCTCGCCGGAGATCCCGTTCGGCCTGCTCCCGCAGGAAAACAGCGTGTTCGGGACGGTCACAGAGACGTACGACCTCCTGCGGCTGCCCGAGGTCGGCACGGAGAAGTTCGTCCGCGGCGAGCTCGTCCTCCCCGTCCGGCACTCGCTCCTCGTCCGCCGCGGCGTGCAGCTCGCGGACGTCGAGCGCGTGCTCAGCCACGAGCAGGCAAGTGCGCCTGCCAACCTCCCCTCCGTTCGTCCGGAGACTAACCCCGGCGTTAGGCCCTGGGCCAGTGCTCGCGGTTTCTGTCCGAGAAACTCCCGGGAGCTGCGCGGATCAAGACGCCGTCGACGTCCGCCGCGGCCAAGTCGCTCCTCGAGGACGAGGACGAGGACCGGGCGACGAGGAGCGCCGCGATATGCTCAGTAGCGTGCGCGACAGTCTTTGACGGGCTCGAGGTGCTCCAGGAAGGCATCCAAAACGTCGACAGTAAGCCTTCCCCTCCGACCCGGCTCTGCGGGTGGCAGCTTGCTGACGGACACCCCTCCCCCCGCTCCTCACAGCAAACCGGACCCGGTTCTACGTGCTCGCCACCTCCCCCGAGAGCAAGCTCCCCTCCGGGTTCCAGGCGCCCATCCCCAAGCACGCGCTCGTGCGGATCGGCCTCAAGCCCTCCCCCAGCCCCGTGAACGGGGACGCGTCCGCCTCGCCCTCGCCCGCCCCGCGCACGCGCGACCGCCTCGTCCACCTCGTCATGAGCACGCTCCTGACGACGTTCGGGCTCCCGACGAGCCGCGTCGACCGCCGGCCGTCGCTCACGGACGCGCCCTTCGAGGACGTGTACCTCGTCGAGCTCGAGGCGAGCAGCAGCCTATGCGAGTCCGCGGCGGGGGAGGAGTTCGCCGCGGCGAGCGCCGCGCTGTGGGCCAGGGTGAAGGCGGGCGTGGAGAAGATCGAGGCTGTGGGAGGGGAGGCTGCGGTGCTTGGGATTTGGTGAATGTCCTTCAAGTTCGTGTATCATAGGATCCGGATAATAGAAGATCTGTCTTGCTGAGTATGGGTAGCTGAGGGAACAACTCTTCATCTGTCTCACACGGCGGTGTTCCACAAGTCTCATCGTAAGCGTCGTAATATGATTGTAGGCTACATGGTCAAAATATGATACGGCATATGATATCGTCAACCGCCAACATAAGTCTCCCTCAGTCCGCATCCACCGACTGCTCAATGAGCCTCTTCGCCGCTCCCGAACGTGGTGTGATCCTACATGGGAACGGCGGCGGTCGGCTGATAGTATCGAGCGATCACAAGTCAGTCCAATCGTTGTGACCGAAGGGTTTACATGCACACCTGAGCATCGTAGACGTAAACTCGCCCGACGGCTCGATAGGCACGCCGTGCTCGTCCAGCTCCTTCGAGATATCGAACACCGCAGCGACAGTGGCGACTGCGATCCATATGTTGTCCATCGCGAGCCACCGTCCGGGGCATATCCTGCAGGCGCGGTCAACCACTCAGCACCATCCTATCACTAATAATACCGCAAAGCAACGAGGTTGAGGGCGGGTGCGCACCGTCTGCCGAACCCGAAGGCCGCGAGCGGCGGCTCGTTGACGCCGCGCTCCGCGTTCGTCTTCGCGTCTGCATAGCGCTCGGGGGCGAACCGGTGTGGGTCGGGGTACGCCGCCTCGTCGTGGAGGATACCCCTGCCAGTTATGCGCGCGTCGCGTCAGCGGGGGAGGGGGCGGAGTGCGGGGGCTAGTAAGTAAGTGTGCTGACCATGTGTTCGGGAGGACGGTCGTGCCCCCGGGGATCCGGTACCCGTCGTAGACGTCGTCCTCCGTCAGGCTGTGTGCGACGCCGAGCGGGGCGACTGTACCGTGCATCAGCGTTCTGGGGGCACGGCTCGGATGGACGGCGGCGCACCTGGGTTCCACCGGAGACACTCCCAGACGACCCAGTCGACGTACGGGAGCAGGTGCCGGTCTGCGAAGGTCGGCAGGCGGTCGGGCCCGACGACGCGGTCGAGCTCGGCCTGGCACCGCTTGTACATGTCGGGGTAGACGGTCGCGGCGAGGAAGAAGGCTTGGATCGCGGAGACGGTCTGCAGTCGAGCGGGGGTGCGTGCGTGCGCTGTTAGTGGGAGGACAGGCGCACAAGCAGAGCGGTGCGTACGGTGTCTGCGCCAGCTGTGTCATGTGTGAGATGCTTCGTCAGTATCTAGGCTCTGGGGTGAGGTGGGCGGGCGGCGAGATGAGTTATTACCTGCATATGCGGTCGCAGCGACGCCTTTGATTACCCGTTCGTGCTCCGGGTCTTGTCCAGACTGCACCCACCTCTCTACCTCCGCCGTCGCGAAGCATGGAACGGCGGTGCCGCGGGCCTTCCATGTCTTGTGAGTACTGTTGAACACGTCGACTACGGATAGCTGAGCTCACCGTCCGCTCCTTGACCATCGCGTACGGCTCGTTCAGCATCGCGCGGTTCAGTCTGCGCCATTCCAACGCCTTGCGCTTGAACGCCGCGCCCGGCATCCACGCAGGGACATATCTCACTGCATTGCAGAGGCAAATTTCCAAGTCAGCGAGCATCGCTGGAGGCAGGCGACGCGCGTACGTAGCGGGAGGTAGTCGACGAGGTACGTCCCGAAGATGCCGGCATGACCGAGCGTTTCCAGTGCGCGGTCGGCGAGGGTAACGAAGACGTCGCCCTCGGGAACGACGCTGTGACCATAGATGATTTGCATGATGATCGCCGCAGCGGTCCTGGTGCGGTGTTAGAGTTTGTGCTGACGTCTGGGTGGAGGCACAAACCGCCGGATGTGGTGGGCAAGGTTGTCGGGGGTCGTCAGTAGGTTCTGAAGCATCACGCAGGTCTCTTTGAACTGGACGGGGTGGTAGTTGGGGGCCGTGTTGGTGTTGAAGTACTGGTGGAAGAGTGTTCTGTGCTGCTTCCACCATGGGCCGTAGGGGACGGTGGAGAATAGCCAGTCCCAGCCCATACTATGAGTGTGTCAACTGAACATTCGCGGAGCCGTCTGTGTGCCACATACAGCTTGCTGACCATGGTCCTGTATGGCCTCGAGGAGTATATGCTGCTGCGCTTGTCGAGCAGGTCAGAGGCCGCCTTGGCCGAATTAACGACGAGGATCGGGTTCCCGAAGACGCGGATGTATATGAGATCGCCTGTCAAAGAAGTGCGGGTCGGGAGAGAAGCGCAGGAGGCCGGCGATCAGACGAACCGTACGTCTTGCGCCATTCAGCGTACACTTTCCACGGGTACAGCCTGGGGAGCGGGGACGCGAAGAGGGACGCCGTCGGGCCCGGGGGGAGCGGCGGGCGGCGGGCCTTCAGGTGGGCGGGGAGCAGCGCGTAGACGGCGGCGCAGAGGAGGAGGCCGAGGAGGGGCGCGAGGGAGAGCGAGTCGGGCATGGGGGGCGGAGGAGAGATGGGATGAACAGGGCGGGGCGATATGAGGCGGGGTGATGGGCAGCCTGGGTGGGCAGGCAGGGCCCAGCGCGGGGAGCGGTCGCATGGCAGACGATTGGCTGGCCACTCAGCCTGGCCTTGGCGAGAGGCTGCTAGCGGTGGCTGGCGTGGCCGTCGCGGATCCTTTTCCTCGATCGCCCTCGCCTGCCCGATCCGGCAGTCCGGTCTCTAACTCCCAGGCACGCGCTCGGCGTCGCCCGCACTTCGCCCGCCATTTGCCACCCACCGCCGGGCGCTTGCAGCGACGATGAGTCTCGCCGCGACAGCCACAAACCCCCTCGCAGGGCCCTCCCCGCTCCGCGACATCGTCCGGCCCCAGTTCCACCAGAACACCTTCGTCGAAGAGCTCTACGTCAAGAATGAACTCGGCATCAAGCTCGACAAGGGTGCGTCGCGTCCACCGAAATACCACATCACACTCACGAACACCTCCCAGACGACCAGATCTGCCGCCTCTCGCTCACACCAGCGGGCTGCCCCCTCGGGCCCCTCCACTGCCCTCTGAGGCACACCACGCCCTCCCCGGCCAACTTCCAGCCCCCCAAGCAGCTCCCGACGCATCCCCGCGAGCGCGAGCGACTCGCGACCGTGTGCAAGCACTGGCTCCGGGGGCTCTGCAAGAAGGGCGATGCGTGTGAGTTCCTGCACGAGTACAATCTCAGGCGCATGCCCGAGTGCTGGTGGTACGCAAAGTACGGCTATTGCTCGGCAGGAGACGAGTGCCTCTATGCCCACCCCAAGGAGCGCCGCATCGAGTGTCCGGACTACAACCGCGGCTTTTGTAAGCTTGGTGCGTGGCTCGCAGGAAGGCTCCAAGCTTCGTGAACCTAATCCGCACCAGGTCCCACTTGTCCTCGCAAGCACGTACGTAGAGTAGCATGCCAGCTCTACCTGACAGGGTTTTGCCCACTAGGACCCGAGTGCCCGCGCGGACAGTGCGTACTCTTCACGCTCCCTTCTTCATCCCGCTGACAGATCTGTGCAGCCCGAAGCCTGGCATTCCGTCTCCAGAGGCATACGAGCCACCACCGCAGCCGTCCATGCGCGAGCTCGGGCCCCCGCCACCGGGGTACGGTAGGTACGCTGACTTCGACGGCGGCGCTGGCAACTGGGCGGGCAACCGGCCGCCTGGCGGTGGCGGCTCTGGTGGCCCGCCGGGACCTCGGAGGAACATCGAGGACGTGGTCTGCTTCAAGGTCCGTGCTTCCCAACCCCATCCTCATATGTTCTCCCCCGTCTAATGATTTCTTGCTAGTGCGGAGAGAAGGGCCACTATGCGAACCATTGTCGGAACACCGGCCAGTACAGGAAACGGTAATGTTCGGTCGCGACGGAGCTGCGTTGCCAGGGTGCTGTCGCGGAGGCCGTGCAGGGTCGCGCAGTGCGGGCATGGTGCATCTACATACTGAACGTAAATAGCGTAGACATGTGTGTATGATACAGTCCGACTAGCGCGAATGCGACATGGCTACCCTAAGCCGCAGAAAGCAACAGCAGTATAGCTAGGAGAGCACTAAGCAAGTCGATCCGGAGCAGCAACGACGAAACCCGACGGTGAAAAGAAAATCTAATATACAGCAATCTCGAACCGAACAATGCAACACGAACCGTAAGCAACCAAACGCGGCCGAACGAACGTACGTGCACGCGCCAGAACACAGCAAAGAAGCAACATCTATCGATACATAATCCATTCCAGCAGCCCTGTGCACCCTCTCAGAACCCTCCGCCATAGGAGGTCCCCGACAGGATGGCCGGCCGCGCGTGCGCGTGCATGCCCGGCACCCCATGCTGCATATGCGCCATATGGCTCTGGCCCACATCCGTCCCCATCCCCGGTATACCAGCTGAGCCCGAGAGCGCGCCGTTCGCCGCGGTGGTGCGCGCGAGCGACCAGCCCATGACGCCGCCGGCTCCGCCCGCGGGGAGGAGCTCGCTCATGTGCGCGGCGACGGCCGCGGCGCCGACGTCGACGTGCGCGTAGTGGACGAGCGCGCCTGCGCCTGCGCCGTCGAACTCGAAGGAGCGCACGCCGGGGATCGGCGCGGGGACCTCGTTCTGCGAGGTGGCCTCCTTCGAGAAGAGCGACGCGTGCGAGAAGGGGTAGAGCGGCACCCCCGTCGTGAGCGGCTCGGGCTGGTTCGTGAGCCGGATGATCTCCTGCATGATGCCCTGCAGGAGCTTCTCTTGGCGCGCTGCGGGAGACAACGCGCGGTCAGTTAAGTCACTGAGCGGGGCGGAGGGGGTGTGGGGCGGGGAGGAGGTGACGTACTGCCGATGGGCGAGCGATTGCCGTAGGCCATCATGGCGAAGCGCAGGACGTTGATCTCGCCCCAGACGGTGCCCTCCCGCGAGGGGTCCCCGAGCTCGATGAAGTACTTGCAGAGCTGTACCTGGACCACCGCCGCGAGGTACCAACAGATCTGCGCGCACGCGGCGTGCGGTTCAGTGTGGTGCGATCGGGTGATGGTGTGGACGGGACACTCACGACGATGAACGGGTGGAGACGCGTCGTGTCGAGCGACGTCTCGGAGAGCTTGTGCAGCGCGTCGAGGATGGCGCGGGTGGCGTGGATGCAGCGCATCGTAGATACGCTCTGGTCGTTGGCGAAGTCAATGAAATTGTTGTGCAGCGTGATCATTGCCCTGCCCGACCACGATCAGTGTCTGCTGATACACTCACCAACTCAAAGCTGATCACAACTCACGCATACGGCACGATCCTCGCCATGTACAGATCGCTGTCAAAGTTCGCCATGTCCCCGCCGATGCCGAGGTGCTTGTACTGCTGCGGGAAGCTCTCCAGGAAGTCAGCGCACACGAGCCGGTCGAGCTCCTGGAACCCAGGAAGGTGGAACGGATTCTGATTTTTGCTCGGGAGGCCGCTGCGGAGCCGGTTGCGCGTGTTGAAGTCTGTGACACGCCCGAAGAGCATCACAGCCTTCAAAAAGAGGTTGAACGAGTCTGTGTATTGTGGCTCGTGCCGGGTGTACAGATGAAGGCTCGCGAGGTTCTGGGGGTTGGACGGGAAGTCGGACTGTCCAGTGGAACGACGTTCGTGAGCGCTCGTGCGGGTACCAGAGGTGAGGACGTCGGGGACTTACCTCGGACTCGAACTCTTCTGCGCGACACGGGAACTCTGTCCCAATGTCCTTCTCGTCGATCGCATGCAGCCACCCACCAACGCTCACAATCCTGTCGAACATGATCGTCATCCACCATGTCCGCCGTCTGTGCTCAAGCTCCTTGAAGTCAGAGGGCGGCGGCAAGTACGCCCCAGGCGCATTGCTCGTCTGGTGACTGAACGTCCCGGGAAAGTTCAGCCCGAGCGGGACGGCCACACGCGTCTGGAAGCCAGCGAAGATCCAGACCTCGACCCAGCGGCCCTCCTGGTAGAAGTACCACGAGAGGATGCTGCACGCCTGCATCACGGGGAAGATGTCCGAGCCCGTCGCCATCGTGCTGTCGATGTATTCGCGCGTTTTCGAGACGTGCAGCTCGGCGAACCTGTCCCGCCGCGTGCCGTCTGGGAGGATCATGCTATCACTGGAGGCATATCTTGACGCTGCGGCACACTGAGGGACCATCAAAATGAGCGGGGATACGGACTGGACTGCGCGACAACTCACCATTGCGTGTAGGATGGCAGAATGTGGAAATTTGGGGTCTCGTGGGTTTAGGTGCAGGGAGGCGAGGAATCCTGGTCTGTCGAACATCCTTGTACTGCACGGATCGCATCGGAAGAACACATCCACACTATCACACATCCGTCAAGTAAGGCACTGAGACCATGGAACAGTCCGCTCACTAATGGTTGAGGACAGACGGCTCTGGGAGATAGGGATCCCATCCTGCACAGAGCACGTCCATCAGCGGGTCCGGCCCGCTGCCAGGCCTGGTCATCTCCGGGCTGCTCGCAGAGCTCCGGCCCTGCGAATCGGGGCTGTTCGTCGACAAGCCGTTGCCATAGTCGAGCGATGGATGTGTTACGGCCATGCCCGAAACATTCGGGCTTCCTGCCGAGGAGCGACTGCTGGATGCGGATAGCGAGCCGGAGCCGCCATGGTGGTGGGTGAAGCGTGTGGCGGATGGAGGCGAGGCCGAGCCTGAGGCGAGCGTGCGCTGCTGCTGCTGCAACCGACTCTTGAGCTGCACTGCGACAGGACAGGGGTCAGTGCGGGCATGGACCGGCGGTAGACGCGCAGCACGTACGTATCTGGTCCTCTAGTTGACGTATTCGCTCCGCAGAGTCGAGCTCGGGTGCGACGGCCAGACCGTCAACGGGGTCATACGAGCATTGCGGTTCTGTCGGGTGGCTGGGGAGGCGTCAATGCATACGGAGGGCTTGCAGCGGATGTACTCACGCGTAGCCTACTGGTGGAGGGACACTGATGAGGGCCTGCCACTGCCTGTGTCGTCGGTCGTCAGCAGCAGGCGACGCACGTCGGGGATGGCACTCACTTGACACACGTCCCACAGTGAGGACGGGCGGCGTCGCATTTCTGGAGGCAGCACGCGTCAGATCGGGCGGGGGAGGGGGACAGGCCACCTACGAGTTTCCGTTTTCGACAGGCGAGGCAGGCCTGGCAGACCGGGGACGGGTGAGGACAGGCTGGGCGATCGAGGAGACTAAAGCACGCACCTGGTTCCTGCGCAGAGACGGTCGGGCCGAAGAGGAGCTCGCCTTGGGCATCTCGGGCGCGGCGATCAGGAATAGGGGCCGAGGTGGGGTGCGTGTGGGCGGGGCGACAGCGGGAGACGGCGTGTGGGGGAGGCGTGATTGAGCGTGGGCCAGGGGGCGAGGGAGACAGTGGGAGGATCGGCTGAGCGAAGAACGCGCCTTATTCAAGGAAGTGCGCGCCCAGCTCCCCTACAGCTCCCGCGGCAACTTCCTGTTTCTGGCCCACTCCCTTCTTCCTTCCGCGACGCGCCCTCCTCGCCCGCCTCATCCTGCCATCCACACCTGCGACTCATCCGCATCAGAACATCTCGACATATCACCGCGCAACACTGTGCGGTCCTCATCATCCCCCTGTTTGAGGCCACTTGCAGCCCAGTATCCCAGGCGCCACACTGCAACGTCTTAGGTCGCCGGCGGACAACCGCTCACTCGTCCGGCGAGCAAATAATGTCAAACCGAACTTAGTGCCAGTCGCTAGCGACCACTGGCCACAGAACATATCTGGCGAGCGTGCAAACGTTTCGATCATTCCGAATTCGAAGATCGGCGATGCGGCGGTGCTACGTCCTCTCCCGGTCCGCCTGCACGCTCCTGCACGCTCCGTCTCGCTCCGTGCACTCGCAAACGCGCACCTCACAAGTCGGCGCCCGTGCGCCGTCGGCACCTTCAGGCGCGGATGCGTATGCTGCTATGCATACGGCCCCCGAGCTTCTGAGGACGCCCAGGATTACAGTATGATACACCGATCTCTGGGTACTCTCCGATGGACCGGCGATTCTCGCGGCAGAACGCCCTTATCTGGTTGTCCCGTGAGCAAGATCCTCCCTTTCTCCTCGCGTACTCGCGTACCCAACACGTACCCCACCAAAGCAGTCGAGAATCTGTGCTCGGCTACGCATGCTCCGTAAGGATGTCAATAATCTTTCAACGTGGTAGAGGGACATCGTGCCGCGCACTCAATCTTCTGCTCAATCTTTTACACACCTTGTGGCAACCTTGTTGTCTCAAAAATACAAGACGTTGCACCGAGGATAGCCATGCACGCCACCATCGAAACCATACCATCTGTACCTGCGCCCACAGGGCTGCCAATCCATCAATTTCACTTCGTCCTTCTCGCACTGACAGCATCAATCGAATCGTACGCCAGTCCATTCTGCGACTTCCGTGACCCAGCCCTTGCTTCTACAAGATGCGCGCACACCACGCGCTGCGGAGCAGCTTCCATCGCGGCGGCCGCGACCGCGCCCGTACGGTGTGCTGCATTTGTTTTACGTTCTGAAGGGGCAAGAAATACGCAGCGTCAGCACATGGATGACGCCGCCCAGGGTGCACCTACGTGTGCATGCGGACAAGTCACGGTGCGAATGACTCACAAGATTGTCGCGACCACTCGCCGCTGGTGCGGCGCGTGCCGGAACTCGGTGAGGTAGATGCCTGTAAGTAAGAAGACGCACATCAGCTTGAAGTTCAGGCTTCCGTCGACGCCCAACGGGGGCGATCCGCCGGGGAATGTGGGGATTCTCGGATTCTGTAAATCCGTCAGGAAGCAGACACGCGTCTTGACTTGCATGGCAAGTCTGCCGCGGTCTTACTATCACAGGGTCCTTCCGCCAACAGCATGCGTACCGTCACGGCAGTGGCGAGCGCACCGAGGATATAGAGGAGGAATGCTTGATGCAGGGTCGGTACTCACCTTGCCAGGTCCCCAGGTTCAGCCGCCCATCTGTGATAGGTACACAGATCGACGTGCCCACGAGCGAAGTCTTCGTATGCGATACCCTGTGATTCGCGACGGCGATGTGACTTCCCCGTTCTTCCAACCACGCATCAACTAAGACACTCACGAATCACTGTGTCGGGACGGCGCAGCGGAATAGGCGGATCGCTAGTCAGACTGTATGCGTGTGCGGTCAGGAGTGTGAATACGCACTCGGGACCCTCGTCTGTGTGTACCCAGTTCAGAGACTCGGGGACGATCTTGTCGAGCGCCATGTCCATGTCTAAACCGGGCCTTGTCAGATCAGGACCCGGTCTTGTAGAGGGTGTTACAGGTACCTCGTCTAACGTCTGTACGCGACATCGTAGCCAGAACGACACTGTTAGAGGACATAAAACGAGCGGGAGAGAATAGATCGAGGCGCACCGGGGTCATAGTTCTCGTTGATCGTTAACGCCGCCGACGTATGCTGTCTAAGACGCAGCGTGTAAGCCAGGCGCGGTGCCCCAGCTCAGAGCGCAACCTACATGAACAGGTACAGCATGCCAATCTGCGCAGAAGGGCCCCGACCAGCTCGCGTAAGTTTCATCTTTTCCTGGACGGCCCCGAGCTATCGGAGGACGCGACCGCACGCACCTTCACGCCCTCCAGGCCAGGCCGGATGTGCGAGAGCACCTCCTCCGTCACGAGGTGGCACCCCTTCGGACGCCTGCCCAGTGTGAACGTCTTTTGCCAGCCCATAGTGCGAATGTGTTCAGTGTACTACGCGTTTGTGGCGACTCCGATGTTACTCTTCGGTCCCCGGAGAGATCGACCAAACCAAGCCTTCGATACAAAGTCTCAGCGCAACCCTGGAGCAGCGACGATCTGAGTCAAGGAGTCCTGCAACAGATGATGTCGGCCAGAGGAGCAGTCGCAGCCCGAGTCGCTCAGTCTGCACACGTAACAAGTCCGAGTCCAAGTCGCGTGCCGCTGACAGTAGAATGCACGTCCGCTCGCGAACGATGACCTCAGATCGTGGCGCTGAGATCTCGTGCGATCAATTGTGTGTGCACGCCTGTCCGGAGAGAAGTGCTGTCATTCAGGGCAATTGACTGGAGCCGGTGGGGGCGGCTGTGCTTGCTTCATTTCGCCGGCGACCTGTTATGGTCAAAGGCGCGTCGCGATCATGCTCAGTGGGTACGCTATGTATAGAGAGGCACGCATAGACGCGTCGTGCAGAGTCTGAATCAGCTCTGCGGGCAAGTCTCGGTGGCCGAGGGACGGTGTGGTATTGGTAGACGGCTATACTGTAAGGCACGCTGTATACTTATGCAGCGTATTGGGAGTAGGCTCGAGGTTCGACCACCCAATTGCGCACAAGGCATGCTAGTACAGCGATGGCAGACTACTGCACCAAATGTCCATTCACATTATTCGCACAACATATCATGACCCTCGGCCGCTCAGCCTCCTTTCCGCTTCCAACAACGCGTCAAACTGTGCTTGCTCATCCGTCCTGCTGGTCTCCTCCGCCGGTCGGCCCTCTGGCGTGTCGGTGTCGATCTTGTTTCGCTCATGACTCTGTCTGAGCACGTCCCAAGATGATTGTTGCGCCCCGCCGCGGGTGTTCGCTGCCCGGATATCCCCCCAACGACTCTTCGGTCTATTCTGGGCCTCTGACACTACACCCAAAAAGAATCAGCGTCTCAAGCAGATGTGCAGGAGTAGGACACCATGGAGGTCAGAAGCGCATGATTGCATGACCACTTACCGGTCGCAGGCGCAGGTCGACTAGCAGAGGCCGGAAGTGACACAGGCTGATCTCCTGCGACGGCCTCCGGAGACCAACCGTTATCCGAAGGTGTCTCAGAGTTGCCGTGCACATCCTCCCGCCGCGCGATTTCTCTCGCCCGCTGAAGCGTCCACCCCAGAGGCCTGACACCGCCTGTCCTCCGGTTCACGTTCTCGAGAGCCTGACTGAACGTGACGGGGTCATCCAGCAGGCTGGTGAAGGTCGCGTGAGCCTCTGCGCGCCGGAAATGACCCCATGCTGCACCCGCGAAGCCTGCAAAGGTGGCGAAGAGCGTTGTGCGATTTATTGACGCGGGGGGCTTGCGGTAGAAGCGTAGATAGCCCCCCAAGGCTGCGCTCCCCGCGACGGAGTAAACATACTGTGTATGACAAAGGAAATAAGCATTTCCTGGTCAAGAGGTACACAGGATGGTACGGACTGGCCAATATCGGTGGGACGCGGGGAGGAACGTGGTGGCTAAGGAGTAGTCGTGCGGGGTGATGAGGCCCGCCTCGAGGTCGGGCCGGAGGAGCTCTTCAGTTCTTGCACGCGAGCTGAACGTAGAGTCCAGCCACTGGATAGGATGGACCATGTTGAGTGTGAGGATGAGAGGACTGGCGGCGGGGTCACATCATAGGCCCAGGCGCGGTCTGCCTCTTTCGAGCTCGGAGCGGGTACGGTACGCGTCCGGTCACGTGCAGGGCCCTGTACGCGTTTCGAGGAGCAAGTGCTTGGCACTGGCAGTCCGTCCAGCGGGCCAGCAATCCCCAACCTCCGCTCTCGACGACCACCTCAGCCCGACACACGCCCTCCGCCGCACCTGGCCGCCTGTACGCTGCCCTGCCTCTCTCTCTGACCTGCCCATGAACGGCGATGCTGGTTTCGATCCGTCTAGCAAGCCCCTGCCGCCCCCGGCAGCCCACGAGAAATTGCCTTCTCTGCCACCGCGCGACTCGGGCGCAGAGTGGGCCCCACCCCCGCCTCCAGACAAGGATGTATCGCCCAGATCACCTGGTGTGAAGCTGTCGCGCTCGCAAGTCGATTTATCTCAATCTGTCAATGCGGAGCCTGGTAAGCTTATTCGTCTATCGGACTGCGCAGTACCTAAACTCGACTGCGCCCGCGCGGTATTTTTGGCACGTCCAGCCACGCCATCCACTCCGAGCAAGGGTGCCCAGTTTGCGACCGTACCGCCATCTCCGGGAGGTGATGCTAGAGGGAAGAAGGTCAACCCGCTTACGGACTTGATCGAGACAGAGAAGGAATATGTAGACCGGCTTGCGGGGATCATCCGCGTACGTGCCACCGAGAAGACAAACTATCTTGTCTACTGACAATGTCTATAGAAAGTTGCGGGTGCATGGTCCCGTTCAAATCTGCCTCCGCCAGACCTGGATACCATGTTCAGGAGCATTGAGAGCATATACAAGGCAAACAGGTCGTTGGTCTCGGTCAGCCATCCTTTCACTTCAGGTACGACCGCTCCGTGACAGGACTCCTCAGAAATTGAAAGATATTGGCGCGAACCCCTCGTCACCGAAGGCCCTTGGTGATCTGCTGATGCGATGGGTCGGTAGGGTACTTCCCTATTACATACACACGCTCACGTATCGCAGGTCGACGACCTCGAAACGCCATACACTGCCTACTGCACGAAATACGTCAAAGGCTTCGACACATGGGAGCCCGTCCAGAGCAACGACCGCCTACGCACAACCCTCGCTATCTACTCTGCATCGAACCCTCCTCCGCTACCCCCATCATCCCCGTTGCACCCCTCCGAACCGCCACTATGGACACTCGACCAATTGTTCCTTCTACCGAAGGAACGGCTCAATTACTACCGCAAGCTCTACTCACGCCTCTTGAAGGGTACATCACCAGGACGGAGTGACCACCGACTTCTCTCATCTGCTATGGACAAGCTCGGGAGGCTACTGAATACCCTAGACGACCGCCTACCCATGGATGTAGCTTCCGTGTCGACATACGTTAGCCCACCCCCAGCTCAAGAAACTGAGGACGAGGTCGTCATTGACATGCGTGGTCGGAAGAGCTTGGTACCGCACGGCACGCCTGTAGTGGCTGATGTCCCCCCACTTCCAACTCCTGGCAGCTCCGGACGCCCCGAACCGTCGAACTCAGTCTCTTCTAGCCAGACACCTCCGCGTCCAGAACCCTCAACGGTGGCCGCATTGGAGCGACGTCTCTCCGCTGAACGCACACTCGACATCTTCACGATGCAGCCTAGGGTAATTATCTGGACCGTCTCCATACAATATCGCGCTGACATTGACCTCGCGACTCTAGCAAATACGCCTGCAGCTGTCGCCTCCTACGCTACACTACACTAGAGAATTGCGGTTTTCTGTAGACGTGACGATGCGGTTCACACCGCGAAGCACCGGGACGGAAATGGTGCATGAACTCGGTCACGTCTTCATCCTCACCGATCTCCTCGTGCTTGCGGAGCGGATGAAGCCACGGGAACGCGCACAGTACGGGCCAGATGGCCCGGACATGTGGTTGGTGTATCCTCCTTTGGCTGGCAAGTACCTGCGCGTGTCCCCTGTCGGCGACTCAGGTGAGACAACGTGTATACAGAGGGTATGGTCGCCCAGTGCTAACGACTACATCCCATTAGAAACTGCATTGTCGGTCTCCATCTTAAGGAAGGAGAATATGACCCTGCACACTTCGACTCCTGCACTTCGTGACAGGCTGTACTCGGAATTCGCAGAATGCATTGATGCTGCAGCTAGTCGTAAGTGTTCATCTTCTCCGCTTTTCGCAGCGTAGTCATCGCCTGTAGTGTCGTCGTCCGCAAAGAGCCCGCCGGCGCCAGGACCGCCAGCGCTTCCGACAGACGGTTCACGACCTCCATCGGGCCCACACTCACCCATCAGTCGGCCTCCGTCAGGGCCTCAGGGCTCCAGCCGACCACCCTCCGCAGGGGTGCCTTCCGAGCGGTTTAGTGGTAGTATGAGCCCGTCTAGTGTTAGAACGCCTCATAGTGGCCCAGCATCACTACCAGGCGGTAGTCCTCCTGTGCGGTCGAGTTCGTCATCAGGAGACGTTCCGCCGATGGAGCATATGGTAAGACTAGCACTGGGCGATCCGCCTGCACACCGCCCAGCAGAACACCAACAGCCCGCGCCTTCGTACCCGTCTCGTACCACGTCGATGTCGTCGTGGACTTCCAATGATGGAACGGGGTCCGGCGGACTCTCGCGACAACCTTCCTTCAACGTCGGCCAGGTTATGCCCTCACAGCTCGGTGGCCAGCAGCCTCCCATGCCGTCGTTCCGGCCAGGTCAAGCCATGCCCCCACAAGGACCGCCGATGCATCCTGGGCCGCAGGGTCCTGGGGGACCTCCGCAAGGATTCGGACCAGGACAGGTCATGCCGCCGATGGGCGGTCGTCCTCCTGCCGGCTTACCCCAGTCGCCATATGGTCCGGGACGTGGTGGTATGCCTCCTCCAGGTGGTCCTCCATCCCAGTTTGGTCAACAAATGCCACCTGGACCAGGGCGGGGCATGCCGCCGCCCGGTCCTGGCATGGGTGGTCCGCAGGGATTCATGGGACCTGGTCCTCAACGCGGACCATCGCTACTGCGCTCAGCCTCCAGTGATCCTCCATATCGGAATCCAGCGCCCATGGGCATGCCCCCAGGTGCGGACCAGGGTCCCAACCCGCCGTTCGCACAGCCCCAGTACCGCGCGCCGTCGGATCCCTCCTTCCAGGGCGGCCTGCGGAAGTCGACATCGTCGCGCTCCCTCCGACCACAGTACGAGATGATGTCCACGGCGTCGGCGCCGCCTATGCCGCAGTATCCCGGAGACCTGCCATCGCCGAACCGACCGTTCGGACAACGCAATGGCTCCACGCCGTCACTCTACTCGCTGCCGTCACAGCCTACTGGTCCGCCTCAACCGCCCTTACTGCCTTCGGAACAGTTGAGGCTGGCAAAGCTTCAGTCGCAAGCTCAGTACGAGGAACCCAGTCCCCCGGCCTCCCCGGTGTTAGCGGAGGCTCCTCAAGCACTAGGGCCGACCAGTACTAGCGTCACCGCTCAGATGAAGTGCAAGGTCTTCTTGCAACAGCAGCACGCGCAGTGGAAATCGCTGGGCACCGCCAAGCTCAAGCTGTACCGCGAGTCACCAACAAACGTGAAACAGTTGGTCGTGGAGGCCGAAGACAAGAACAAATCTGTGCTCATCTCGACCATTGTGCTTGTGGACGGCGTTGAACGCGTTGGGAAGACGGGCGTGGCGGTGGAGCTCAGCGATCGAGGACGGCGCTCGGGGATGATCTACATGCTCCAGCTGCGCAACGAAAAATCCGCTGGTGGACTCTTCGACAGTCTGATAGCAGGATCGGATCGCTCGGCTGGGTAGGCTTGAACTCACTCAATTAGGGTTACTAGTACTTAGGGTAATTCTTCGGCGACTGTTCATATCTCACTCATAGACTGGAGGGTTACACAGTGACTACAGCGTCCTTTCCCTGAGTACTGTCACATCACCACATGCATGTATCCTACTGTAGCCACGATGTAGTTTGCGTATCTCATCTGTCGCGCCATCCTTTTACTTTGATTATTTGTCCATCTGTTTCTATCAATGCAGCGCTATGCAACTTCTAGCTTTGCCGAAAGCTTCGGCGGACGGCCATGAGCGGGTACAAGGGGAAAGGGAAGGAGAGGTAAGACAGAGAGAGGGCTTCGCCCTCATAACACAAAAGGGATTCAACAACTTCTCGCTTCTATGATGGAGATGGCAGGTAGAGTTCTGCGCCGAGGGAGATGTGGTCGCTCCCGCAAACACCTTTCAGCGGGATGCCCGGGGATACAGCTTCGGTTCGATGCGGCTTTGCCAATCTTGTAACAATAACCTTGCGTTGTGGCGGAGACAAAACAAACATGTAATCTGGAATGGTTGAGCGGCGCATCGCACGAAGGTGCCAGTACATACCTAAAACAGATTTCCAATACTGTCAGTAGTACTGTAGCATTAGCGAGGCACTGTTAAGTTTGAACCACGGATGGCTCACATGGGTGTAGCTCGTCCAATTTGGTTCGTACGCTCCATGCCGTTCCGCCGGTATGGGCGCGCGGTTCCCAAAGGTCAGCTCGCGCTCCAGGGTCGAAGCAGCGGTGCATATGCGCTGGCCTTCGTCATAAACACTCGTCGGCCTGTCGTACTGGCGCAGCATGTCAGCTAGTTCGGCATCTGTGAGAAGACCATCCGCAGGAAGAGCAGGTCGGGCGTTCGTGATAACTTTGTCTGGGTCACTCTCTGTAGCCGCCGCACCCTCATCTTCCTCTGCGCCTTCGGTCGCGGCTTCTGGCGCCACAGGGACGTTAGGGTCGATCGACTTGTGAACGACGCGCGAAGCAGCGAGGCGTGCTTCTTGTTCGGGCGACAACGGATCACCTGTGAGCAGAGAGTACGCAGCATCATCTGGGGGGAAATTGAAATCTGCTCCTCAGCTGGCGTTAGTTCTGCCTCGGACCCTGGATTAGGTGATGGGCCTACCTCCGGCGATAATGCAGGGCCAGGGACTCTCTGCTGGCGATAGCTCATCGCGAAACCTGCTTACTTCTCGAAGCAGTATAGCAGCCTGTCTGTTTACAACAACGGTCAGACACGTAGTGTTTCCGTAAACGACGATGAACACACCGCGCTCGCTCATACGTATATCTACCAGACATGCATCAGCGGAAGTCGCCCATCGAATCGGATGAACGTCTTACGATGGGTGCCAAAACAGGTGTGTAGTTGCTACCAAGACGCCTTCAGAGGGCGAGTCTGCTCGTCGCAGCCCGACTAAAGAGGCTATATTCCTTGTGCGAAAGCTACTGCCACGCTTGGCTGCTTCGTCTCCTGAGCGGATCTCTTGCAGGTCGTATTCTATCATCCTCTCGCCAGCGAGATCGAACGTGTCCTTCCGGAAGGCGATGAGACACCCATGTTTTTTGCCGGGTCCCGCCGCATATACATGATTATAGCCAGCCCCCTCGAGCACCGGCAGCAACTTTGTCAACCTGTCGACTTCCTGCATAGATCATGAGCTTACGTGCGGAGGACAATCGACGAATGCCGTCCCTGCATGCAGCATATATCCGCATTGTGGGAAAGGATTTCGCGGTAAATCATGTTCTCGCGTTGAGCAGCCTTAAGACAATCACTCTTGGGGAATAGTTCACGACCTGCACGCAAAAAATAGGCATATATTCACGACATACTCTATGGTTGTGAGACTCACGGACGAGGGTCTGAGCCAAGAGCTGAAACGGTATCACGAGGTCAATGTACGCCTGCTCAGCGCAAGATGACAGATAAAAGATTGCTAACATTCCATGTCATGACCCTTGTATGCCATCCTATGCCGGGTGCATCTTGTACGACAGCCCATTCTCTGGGCAAGATGCGACTCCTCTCCTCCGCCTCCTTCTCGAGTGCTGCTTGCCTTTGCTCTTTCTTGAGCCTCCGCTGTTCTGCAAGCGCAAGGGTCTGGGCCTCTTGTGATACCTCAGATCGCTCAGAGGACATGATGCGCGAAGAGACACCAGACATAGCGCGCCGGTGGCTTTGTAGCCTGAATGGCGTTCGAAGTAGCTGGGCTATCAGAATGGCGACTGTTCTACCAGTAAAGGCTGTGCAAAGACCGAGATGAAAAATGCCCGAGAAGGGATTGGCAGAGAGGATACGCGTGAGTGTGAATCAGAACCGGGACGCGACTTTGGACTGGGTGCATAGGGACACGTGACGACACTGACTGAGACGCGATGTTTTCGCGCCACGCGTCGCCACAGTCCCCGCCTCGGGAACTCCGTGCGAGAGGCCGTCAAACATCTTGCCCCTCTTCGTGACCGACCGCCCGACGCCCGTCGCGCCCATCATCGCTTGCTTGATTGCTGGATGTACCGCCTTTTCTTCATTCAACGACAGCTTCTTTCCCGGACGACTTATAAGACTGGGGTCACTCGCCGCGGCGCCTCTTCCGCACTCGCTTCCCGCTTTCGCTCTTTGCCCCTTAATCAGCGCCTCAGTCTGCATACGCAATCATCCATGGCATCCAAAGTGAACGGCAATGCTCCAGAGAGTTTTGGAAACTTTGACTTGGTGAAGCGTCTGAAGCTCGACTTCACTGACGTCCAAGTATCTAAGTGGAAGAGCAGAGAGACTGGGCTCTCCATCGTCCACCTTGACTATGAGGGTGCGTGACGTTTACGAGGATAATACCTCACAGATGGCTCACTCTGCAGATTCCCACAGCACCCATCGTGAACGGTTACTTTGTCATTGCCACCGAAAGTGCGTGCTCTTCCAGTTCAGGGTAGCCTTGATCCCGCCTTGGTGTCTAGGTCAAGGTACGTGTTTGCCTGTGAAACATTGCTGACAGGAGACCTCTGCATCATGAGACATGCGTCACTACACCGATCGGAATCCAGGCTGCCCGGCATTCCCTGTACACTTTAGCTGCTAATATATCACATCCCACATTAGTCTTCGATGATACTGGGTGTCCGCATACTCTGGAGCAGTTAGTCGTCTAAGTTAAGCATTCTGCATGTCCGCTCATTTTGGTCTCAGTTTAGTGTTTATGGGTTCGGAGAAATACCCTTACAAGGGGATCATCGATCATCTTGCGAATCGCGGTTATTCGAACGGCACGAACGCATGGACTGATACGGACCACACCGCATACACAGTGTCGACTGCAGGAGAACAGGGGTTTCTACAGATATTACCGGTCTATGTGGACCACATTCTGTACCCAACTCTGACGAAGGCTGGCTTCGTGACCGAGGTAGACGTGTCGACATTGTAATACTAAACAGAGCTGATACTTCTCAGGTTCACCATATTGATGGCAAGGGCGAGGACTCGGGTGTGGTCTACAGCGAGATGCAGGGCCGGGAGAACACGTCACAAGACCTCATGGCGCTTCAGTACGCTCCCTCTCATGCATGCTGAATGTCAACACTGACATAAAGACAGGCTACAGCGCTTGCTGAACCCGCCAGGTAGTGCATACAGCAGCGAAACCGGCGGTCTCATGAAGGCACTACGAGATTTAACGGTGGAACAGAGTAAGTGCACTGTCCTCGCATGTGTTCCTTGCATGTCTCACACACCCCTCCAGTCCGGGACTATCACCACAAGTACTACGTCCCACACAACCTATCCCTCATTGTCAGCGGCAAGCTCGCTTCCGGTACACAGTCCCTCCTCAAAGTGGTCCAAGAGAAAGTCGAACCCAGTATTATTGAGCACGGTCAGAAACACGGGTTCAGACCTGCAGAGTGGAAGCGTCCTTTCGTCGAGACACCGAGTGCGAACCGTGGACCTATTAAAGAGACGAAGCAGATGACTGTCGAGTTTCCCGAGAAGGACGAGAGCGTGGGTGAGGTGTATATGGGATTCATGGGTCCACCCCCGAATGCGTTCCTGGAGAGGAAGGTTTGTTGTGTCTATCTGTCACTGTGTTAAACAGATATTGACAAGGAACGTCAGGCGCTTGACATCCTAGCAACTTACCTTACGTCCTCGGCTGTGGCACCCCTCAATAAAGAGTACGTTGAGGTGGAGTCACCGCTATGGTATGCAGCATTTACTTGGCCTATCATGTTCCTGCTCATGTCGTGAAAATCAGCACATACATCTATCTCGGTGAAGATTCTAGGGCGACTCTGTGTGACCTGCCTGTATACATCGGTTCTGTGCCTACTGAGCACCTGGACTCGTTCCCCGAGAAGTTGAAGGCCAGTTTGATTCGGATCGCTGACGAGGGGATCGACATGGACCGGATGGGAATGGTCATCAATCGTGATGAGCGTCAGGTAGGAACATTTGATATCACGACAGTTGACAACTCACCTCGTTCGTAGCTCCGTAGCAAACTGGAGTCCGCGAAAGGAGAGACGTTCTCTGGCAACGTCATCGGTGATTTCCTCTACGGCGCAGAAGATGGCTCTGACCTCAAGGCCTCTATGGACGACATCGTATACTACGCCGAGCTAAGGACATGGAGCAGCAAGCAATGGACAGACTTGTTGCGACAGTAAGCAACGGACTCTACGTCTCACTGCCTGGAACTAATTGTAGCGTTAGATACTACATCACTCCCGCTCGCGCCATCGTGCGAGGAAAGCCATCAAGTGCGATGGTCGACAAGCTGAAGGAGGACGAGCAGGCCCGTATCGCTGCCCAGAAGGAGCGACTGGGTCCCGAGGGTCTCGCCAAAGCAACACAGGAGCTTGAAGAGGCGAAGAAGGAACACGACACGCCAATCCCTCAAGAGATTTTGACATCATTCCCCGTCCCCGACATCAAGACGATCTCCTTCATCGCGGTGCAGAGTCTGCAGGAGGTCGGCAGTGGAAAGGGTCGCAAGCGTACAGTAGAGCAAACCGGTAATGCTGAGCTTACCCGGCATGTCGCGAGTGACGGTGCGGAGCTGCCGTTCTTCGTGCAGTATGATCACGTCCAGGTAAGCTATCAGTTGGAGTGTTCTGTAGACGGACATTGATTTAGAGTGCATGCCAGTCTGACTTCGTCACTGTCAACGCCTACTTCTCAACGGCCAAACTCCCAAACAGGCTCCGTCCGCACATGCAGACCTACCTGTCCGCTTTCTTCTCGCTGCCCATCACGAGAAGCAACGGAGAGAAGCTCTCGCACGAGGAAGTGGTCACTAAGCTTGACAACGACACCGTGTCCTATGAGGCGGCGTATGGCGTCTCCAGTGCATTCTCGGAGAACGTGCGTGTGTCTATCAAGGTGGAAGTCGGAATGTACGAAGCCGCCATTGCCTGGCTCAAAGACCTGATTTACGGGAGCGTATTCGACAAGGAGCGGTAAGTCTTGATACTAACCATTGGTATCGGACACTCACGAGGAAAATAGACTACAGATCACCATCGCCAAGATCCAGCAAAGCCTGCCAGAGATGAAGCGGGATGGCGACACCGTGCTTGGCTCAGTGTCGGCTGAGCTGCTCTTCGACGAGACATCAATGTCTCGGATGACGATGGCGCTCCCTCAAACTGAGTTCATCCCCAAGCTCGCGGAGCAACTGCAACAGTCCCCAGAGGAGGTTGTGAAGGACTTCGAGGAGATCAGGCGACATCGTAAGGTTCCCCCTATGTGTTGATTGCGGCTAGTAAGCTCACTCTCTGTAGTCACGGATTCGTCCTGCGTACGGTTCTCGGTAGCAGGTGATGTATTGTCCATCAAACAGCCCCGGGAACCATGGGCGAAGTACTTCCAGCCTTTGCTGCAAGTGAGTCCTGTTTCATCTTTCACGAAGTTTGGCTTTGACCTCTTGTAGCCAAGCGATCTTCTTCCGGTTACGCTGTCCAAAGACACACTCAGCACAGTTGGTAAGAACCCAGTCAAGAAGGTGAGTCAGCATCTCTCCAGTGCGTGGTACGAGTTAACAAGACATGAATAGGCTGTGGTTGTCAGCCTCCCTACCATCGAGAGCTCCTACACATCCCATGTCACGAAAGGCATCCAAGGGTTCACGCATGATGAACGCCCCGCGTTCGTTGTAGCTGCTGAGGTGCTGAATGCAACTGAGAGCTACCTCTGGGTATGTGCACAATGAAACATGTGCGTAAGCATTCACTGACAATCTTCATAGCGCTATATTCGTGGCTCGGGGCTGGCATACGGCGCGACCGTCTACATAGATCTTGAAGGCGGTTTCCTGAGCTTCTCACTGTACAGGGTAGGTGCTCGAATTCAGCATGGTAAACGACGGAGATGCTCAACTACCCTAGACTTCGCAATACATGAAGGCTTATGAGCAAGCAAAATCCGTGATTCAGGGCCTCGTGGATGGTTCGGTACGTCCGTGTCTTACCCACCATCGGCGTTGGCATCTGACGTACTTTCGGTAGATACCACTTGAAGAGACAACCTTAGACGCGGCGAAGAGTAGCATTGTCTTCGGTGTGGCGAGGGGCGTCTCGACACCAGGTCGTGCGGTAAGTTTATTCAAGCCTCGGAGGCCGTCCTCATGTTCTCACCATCCATTCATAGGCCGTCGCTTCTTTCTTGAACCAAGCGTTCCGGGGCGTGCCTCAGAATTACAACATCGATCTCCTCGAGCGTTACCGTTCTGTCACAAAAGCGGACGTGCTTGCCGTGTTGCGCAAGTACTTCCTCGCCCTCTTCGACCCTTCGTCATCCGTCGCAGTCGTTGTCACCGCGCCAGGAAAGATCGCTGAGACTACAGAAGGCCTTACGAAGTTAGGCTTCGAGGTGGAACAGCGGTCATTGGAGGTGGATGCGGACGCAGACGGGTCTGAGAGTGGTAGCGAGGGCAGCGATTCCGACATGAGTGGCTCGGAGAGCGGCAGTGATAGGTAGTAGCAGCGTTAGTCGCAGGGGATTTGAGAGTAGGCGGACGGACGTAGATGATTATCATGACAATGCTTCACGCCGCCAGATGTAACTATTGTGGACATGTATACGACACAGGCATTATGAGGTAGAGTGGTTCTCTGCGTCTTCGGAGGACGCAGGTCGCGTCACGGTGGCTTCGAGCCCTTCCGTGCTGGATGTCCCAATAACTTCAATCATCCTGTCAGAGGCCTGTCCTGGCTTCAGCTCGACGTTGTCCAGGAAATCGTTGTCGACAAGAAAGCGAATGGCTTGGGATAAGTTAGACACGGTCATCCGGATCTCCGGGGTAAGCAGCTGAGACATTTGTATGTTAGAATATGTTTCACGCGATGCTGTAAGTGCACGTACATTCCGTAGTAAGGATGGGCGCGCAGCGAAAGGGTTATGCAATGGTTTTCGTGGTTGCCTAGCATGGCTCTTTTTCACTGGCCGAACCTGTTGTGATAAAGGCGGCCGAACCTCAACGCGAGGTTCCTCCATTTCCACGTCGTCACCCGAAGCGTCGATAGGTATGTGACTTTGCACATCAACTATCTCGGGAGCCGCCTTCGACGATACTACCTCGGGAGCACCATCGGACTCGGAGTCAGAATTGCTGTCCTCAGCGTAAGCAATGGGCAATGTGGCAGCCGGGCGTGCACCAGACGAGTTGGCAATTTCGGTAGCCACGTGCGATGATACGGAAGGCTTTGCGGGCAGCGAGTGAGGAACGCGAGGCTCTTGAGGAGCAGCACCGCCGCCGCGTCCCTGCCCTCCGCCCCCTCCTCTGCCCCGACCGCGACCACGACCCCGGCCTCTGCCATACGCCTCATTCCGGTCTCCATACTGCCCGTCCTGCACGTCGTCGTTCAGCCTCCGTTTCTTCCTGTTCGGAAAACGAACGTCCTGAGAAAGCAGTTGGCCGCGCGCTATAGCCTCCTCGAGTTTCTTCTCTTTCTCCTCCACGCGAGAAGCGGTGGGAAATCTCTTCTTGCGCTCAGCAATCCAAGCCTCAATGGCTTCTGGCGTGTCGAGCTTCATGGTCGTACCTTGGATAGGAATAGGCTTCCTGGTCCTCGACTCTTCAGCACGCACGCCATGCGAGAAATCGTGATGCCTCACCCTTTCAGACTGGGGTCTGCGTCCCAATCGTCTCTCGTCTTCCTCTGTTTCCACCCAGGAGGATAAATCAGGTGTCTGTCCATCATATGGATCTCCACGGCCTTCTTCGAGCCCGTGAAAGAGCACCCGGGTTTGCTGCAATGGCAATTACCTGGCTGATACCAATGCGCCTGCACAGGTCCACGAGGAGAGGGCTTCTGCGGTCCCGGTCGCTGCATACCAGCGGAGGCCGCCGAGGGACCGGTGTGAGAGCTAGAGACGTACGTGGAGGAGAGTGTGTAGCCTTCCGTGGTGAGATTGGGCATGGAAGTTCCTGGAGTGCGAAAGTGTGCATATGCCTGAGCATAGTGGGGAGCCTGAGGATACTGAAATTGCGCGTATGGATTGGACAAGGCTGCCGCTGCTGCCTGCGCTGCAGAGGCCCCGACGTTGGATGAATATTGGTACTGCGAAGGCCCAGGCATATTGCCGTTGACGTAGGGTGTCTGCGAGGATGAGCGGCCTTGCATGTTGCTGCTCAGCAGCTCAGGTGGAGGTCAGGTCAAGGACCGCGACTCGGAAGTTTTGGCGCGTCGACGCGTCTAAGCACGTGAAGACGTATAGACTGTGGTATGTTTGTCACGAGGCAGCCGTCGAGGCTCTCCTCCAACCCGCGCCATCATCAATCGCGCGTGTCGCAGCGGCCTGCCCTCCTGCCCAAGACCTTCAAGGACCATACCCATTCATCGCGGATCTACTGGCTAGAGTAAGTAACGCCCCTATTGTGCAATGAGTGAAGCAATTGAGATGGAGATGAGTTGAAAGACAGTACATATACCCAAATGGCAACTGAGGAACACATCACACTTGTGTCGAAGCTCTTCACAGACAGTCAATTTGACTACACAAATGATACTGACCACCGAGATATTGTTGGTAAGTTCATTTGCGCTGTCAGACAACTACGTGCACTGACTTTATGCTCTGGAGACCACATTTCCGTGACCATACTGCCACATGTGCCACATGGCTGTCCACCACCACCAGCCCTCATGTATGCAATCTGCAACATCATGAAGCCAAAGCTCCTACTAGGGCACATCCCTGAGCTGCTTGAAATCCTGGGACATGTCAACATAGTTCACAAGCAGTCAGTGAAGGAGGCCAAAGCCATCCTCACATGGAATCAGTACTACTCCAAGAACCCAAGTCCAACTGCCTCCACCTTGTCTTCTACACTGGAGGACCAGGTGCACAGCATGCTTGTGTATGCAACTGAAGAACAGAAGGTTTATAGGAGCATTGTAAACATGTTCTATGAGTTGGTGTGTAATTTCATTCAGGCATCTCCCCATTTACTGATGTCATTGCATCATACTATGGTAGGATATCCATCCTACATTCCTCCATGGATCACCAGAAGTGTTTTGGTTGAAGATGACAACATACTTCCCTGGCCAATTTTCTGATGCATCTGAAGACCCTGCCATGATCTCTGCAGATGAGGTGATGCACATGCATTCATTTCATTATGATCTATCAGCAGAAGAGCAACACGACAGCCAGCACACTGGTGTCTGCTGTGCAAAGTTTGCACGAGATGCTGCAAGACACATGGAGGATTCTGCTGCATATTGCATCCAAATTGGGTGAGTGCCCAGTCCATAAGATGTTTTGGAACCCTGGTTCATAAGATGTTCAGTGTTCCCATGCATACTACAATTGCCACTTTATTTCCACCTCCTGACGTACCCACTCTTGTAGACACAACAGACAGGTATCTAGCACATGTGCTCAAGCTAGCATCACTGCTGGAGAGGCACTTTGGTCTTCCCTGAGGCTGGGTTACAAGGCATTTGTATTATATCCACTAGCCAAATGCTCATGCTCTGCTACTAGTACAGCTGTACACCATGCCACTGCCATTTTATCCTTCTGTGTTGTGCCCACAAAGCCCTGGCCCTGGTCGTGCATGAGATTCAAAGGTATTGAGCAACAGAGCCCGACGCCATCTGAGCCCTGAGCGTTCTCTCGCGGGGCGTGCTGCGGGAAGCATATCTCATTTTCTCTTCAAAACCTCAGATTTTCCATCATTTGACGACTGGCTACTAGGCAGGGCTCGGTGTCTGCATTTGTCTCCCTTAACTGACCAATCAGATCTCAGAGGCCTCTCGTAGTATAGAAGATAGACCATAGAGCAGTATATTTTCTGCATCGACGACGATGCTATGTATTACGCTATGCATACTTTTCGAGTGTCTCTGACCGCACTAATGCAAGCAAGTACTATAATAGAGCACGACGTCGAGACGTGGACGTCACGACGCGTCAGTTGGGCTTCGGAGAGGGAGGGGTTTGGGAGCATCGAGCTGAAGAGAAGCTCGCTAGGAGCGAGAACGGAACGGGAAGCGGGAGAGGAGCGGGGCAGACAGCGAGGGGAGATGAGAGGGACGGAAGCGTGTGTGGCGAGAGTTTGGGATTTGGGAAGGCGTGCCAGGAAGTATGAACAGTCGGAGTGCCATGCAGACAAGAAGGCGAGGGCAGCGTGAGGCTGATTTTGCGAGGAGCGGATGAGTACGCAAGCACTCAAGGCATCCGGAAGCGCGGGTTTACGTGTCCGCAGTTTGCTGAGAAGACCTCGGGCACGGTGTGCGGCGGCACCCGATGCGATGTCAATTTGACATGGGAGCTCACGGCCGCTTACGGAGGTCCTAATCCTGCATTTCCTCCTGCTGTTGCTGGTCCCGTCCCACGCGCCTCTCCTTCTCGCTCTCGAGTTGGTTGTAGAGCAGAAACAGCGCCTTCTCGTTAGCCTCTGGTGTGCCGACAATGGTGAACATGCGCTCGCCGGTTTCGTCGTGGGGCTCTTTGGCGATGGAGATTTTAGACCCGGAGAGCCGCCGAATTTCAGTGATCTTGGTGCCGTTGCGGCCAATGATGCAGCCCACCATGTCGGAAGGGATGGAGATGTTTTGCGTCCGCAGGTTCGTCGGTGGTGGTGACGAAGCATTCGGAGAAGGAGAGGTTCGACCTCGGCCGTTCGGCGCGTCGCCGTAACGCCGGCTTGCGTTGGACGACCGTCGCCCCGACCTCTCGTCACCAACGCCTGGATGGAAGAGAACCGTTCCTGCCCCCCGCTCCCAGTCCTCCAGGAGACATCGGCCAATTTCCTCGATGGCGCGACCGATAGCCTCCGAGGCACCATGCACCTCCACGATACGCTCCGTGGATTGAGGGAGCATGTCTTTCGACGCCACCATGCGCGCACCCGACGAGTCTTGGATCGCCTTGATCTTCAGACCGTTACGACCAATCACGCTGCCCATGAGATTGTGGGAAATGAGAAGGCGTATGGAGGTATTCGGCGAGGAAGACATCGTGGTGGGGGATGAAGGGCTCGCTGACATCAGTTGGGACACGATGAGAGCATAGGCCTGATACATGGTGAGACTTGATGCATATGAGACAGCGATGAAGAGACCTGCCTTCGCCACACCCTCCACGGAACCACTCACAGTCAGAACGCGTTCGTGCACACCAGGAACGACTTTGCTGACCCCGGCTTTCACGCCAGTCTGGTCTCTGAGGTCAGCAACATTCTTGCCGGCTTTTCCAATGATGACACCAGCATCCTTGGTGCTGACGAGTGCGCGAAGCGTCAAGACCTCGTTTCCTGAGGGAGAAGGAGAACGAGACTGGGGAGATGCTGAACGCGATGACGGCTTAGCAAACGTGCTCTCTACGCGAGAAAGCAAGTGACTTACTCGCTTCGCGCTGGACTGGAGAGTCGGAGGGCATGGTGAGCTGTCGAGAGAGGAGGAGGAAGGGGGGGGATGAGGATGGTGTCAGTAAGCGTGCAAGGAGCCGGCCTAGGCCAGGCGCCCCGAGCGGCGGGGATTTGAGCAGTGTATTTAGTTTTGAAACTCCGATAACGCCAAACAAAGGGTCGTTCTGGTGTGCGTCCGCGCTCTGAACCGCCAGACGCTTCGCGGAGGTTGCGAGTCACTTGCGGGCACAGAGTCAAACGTAATGAGCGCGTACTTCCACCGTTTCAGATTGTCGACGCACACCGAGCTCATGCAAGCTATGTTTACAAACCGGAAGGAACTCTCGTCCATCGCGGCAATGACAATATCATATTCGAACGACTACCTCGCATAACACCACCACGGCACGGGCATAGAGAGCAGTAAAGCGTTACATGGAGTATCTCAAGGCATCTGGACATAGTAGAGCGCAAGCGGAGGATACGGCAATCCATGCAACCGGGACGTCTAGTAGCCGAGCTGTGTAAGGTTCTCGTAGGACGACGCGGTGTCAGCAACGGCTTTTTGACGCAGCTTAATCGCTGCGAGCTAAACAGAGGATGAGATATCGTCCACTATTGCTGTAGCAGAGATACACACCTTGCGCTCGTGGAAGGCCTGAGCCTTGATCTTCCTCTTCTCCTCCAGACGGTCCACAACATCCTTGTAGCCCCAGCCAACCTCATGCGAGAGGCGCTATCAGGCGCACACATTAGGAAAGTTGATTATCGACGTCAGTTGATTGCCCACCTTCACCGTGCAGTACTTGCGGCCAGGCTTCAATCGCAAGACCCTCAGGGCCTCGGGAACAACCATCCGCTTCTTGCGGTCGTAGGGAGGGGGGACACCCTCAAAGAGCTTGAGGCGCTCAAGGGCTGCCGCGCCGCGGGCAGTCTTGTGGGGGACCATACCGCGGATGGCCCGGTAGAGGATCTTGGATGGGGCGCGGTGGTGGAAGGGGCCAGACTTCTTCGGGTTGACGATGTGGCGTTTATGGAGGAAGTTGTGGTACCGCAGCTGCATACAACCTATGTGAGCGCGATGTAGGCGAACGTGTGGTTATACTGACCTTGTTGCGGAAGAAACTCCCCGAGATGTTGATCTCCTCGCACCGCACGACGACGATCTTCTGGCCGTTGAGGATCTGCTTCGAAATAATCGACGCCAGCCGACCAAGGAGGTGGCCCTTGCCGTCGATGACGATGGGGGTCGAGGAGAAGGTGGCCATGGCGAGTCTACCAAGCGTGTTATGTCTTCAGCACAAGAACATTTCACGGCAGCGAACAAGGAATACCGACCTGTTGAGGGAGGAGGGGCCGGGGCAAGTCACGGTATACGTTCAGAGGGCGTTTGGCCAGTACAATGAGTCTCTCACCTTGACGATCTTGCAGTCGTACAGTCGTAGTGGCTGAGAGCTGGGCCAGTGACAGCCACCGTGACTCGAGCTGCACAGTTCTTCCCGGCACTTTCCGGTCAAAGCCACCCTTGCGTTAGATCTAGCCAAGATCTTACATTCCTTCATTCGACCTCGATATCCCGGCACTGAAGTACTGACCACCTCGTTCATGTGTGACAATGTCCGTGATGTAGCGGCCTCTTCCATCATACAGTGGATTTCGCACGACGACGAACATTGGTGCGCACAGTTACAGTAGCTGACTCTGTGGGGTGGATCCTCTGCGCCAACGTCCTTGGTGCGGTCGTTGCTAATCTTGTAGGATGACCTTCCACTGCTCCATGCTGTATGTACGAGGTCTCATATTTCCTCCCATGGAAATGTATAGTATCAACCAGTGAACACGGGACAAACTCCTCGAATATAATGAGATTTATTCCTGGGCTCTCCATCCCTGCCTCGTTATCGCACTTGTCAGCCTCTGACTCCGATAGCAACGAAGTGTTGTGGGCTCGTGCCATCTGAGTGAACTGACAAAACGGTTGGCGAAACTACAAGTCTCCCTGTTGGCATCATCGCAAAAACATCCGGTCAATAGCGGGCCATTGCGCAACCAGTGTTGCCCAAGAGTTTAACTGCCTGCCTTCTGAATCGGGTAGCATGGTAAGCTGCTGCTAAGCCTGTCCCGACAACAACAGTGGACTCTGTGATACTAATGGTACAGTGAACACGCCCACGACGCCCACTATTAGTACTTAGAAGGGAGAACGAAGCCTATGAACAAGTGGAGAGTTCGATGAATGTCACGTGAGTGGGTGTGCGGGTCCTCGGCTGGTGCCGTCGGTGACGGAGGCCATCCCGAGCCCGCAACGTCGACAAGACCTACCTGCCTTCGTTCCTCTACTAGAATCATGTCCTTCCTTCGTCTCGCCGCGCGTAGTCTCCCCCGCTCTGGGGCTCTCCTCGCACCCCGGACAGCGACCGCTATCCCCCAATTTCGGGGCCGGGTCTTTCAAAGTGCTTTCTTCTCTGCTGAGGCTGGTCTGTCCAAAGGAGATATTACTGCGCGTGTCATAGACGTATTGAAGGGCTTTGAGAAGGTCAGCCCGGAAAAGGTACTGGTTTAGCCTTTGTGACGCGTATTTGCGCGTACTCATCGTTTGACAGCTCACCGAGACCTCGAGGTTCTCAGAAGACCTTGGCTTGGATAGTCTGGACGCGGTGGAGGTCGTAATGGCTGTGGAGGAGGTAAGTGACGTCCTTGTACTTACATGTGGGTACTGACTCGTGCCTGTGCGTATCACAGGAGTTCGCCATTGAAATTCCGGACGAGGAAGCGGACGAGATCAAAACTGTGCAGCAAGGTACGAGTCTCCGCTGTGTCACTGCAACTTCCAACTCATCGTATTGTTCAGCTATCGAATACATTGCCAAGACACCAGAAGGTAGGCTCACTAATCCTCTATCATGAGATGGCCGAGACTAATGTGTGGTGTATAGCGAAATAGGTCTGGTACACATGACGGGTTGTGGTCATGTATTTAGTGCCAATCGTCATTCGCATTTACTTTGTCTGATTGCAATTGACTCGTCCCTTCGGTTGACTTCGTGCAGTCCGGACCCTTCTTGCGCCATCCGATCGATATGACGTTAGTTGTCGACTCGCTAGTGCCAGAAGATGTCTCTGAATGCAGTTAGATAGTGAGACTGCCTACGAATAGTCAAGTTCGCGTCAATTCCGAGATGGACGCAAGATAACCTTGTGGTTCTCGCCTCGCCGAATGTCTGGAGGGATGAACGATTCCGAAGGCCTGACCCCACATGTCCCCCTGAATCCTCGATATGCCGCTTTCGGGTGCACCCGAGTTGTATATAAGCTACCCCGCAACGATCGGGGCGTCGAGGCCGCGCACTATGGGTCCACAACCTCGAACAATCACAGTTGAACAGCCGTTCCTGCGGACTGGCTGCAGTCTGGGCGAAGGTACCGTCGTTCTGTCTTGAACGCTCTAGTTTCGGATCTGTAACGACCTCCCGCATGTAGGGCCTCTGTATGATCCCAGAACGTCGACGTTACATTTCGTGGACATTGAATGCAATAAGGTATACAGTACACGTCATGCTTCGTAACACCGCCGCGCAGCTTTCCGTCTGGGCCCTTTTCAGCTGTACCACCTCGACACTCGTTCGTCCGAGATCAAAGTAGAGCAATTCGAAGAACCGCTGACATGTCTGTCCCTGCGCAAGGATGGAGGGGTGAATAGGCTCTTCCATCTTCGCCAGCTGCTGTCTCACAGTTCACGCCTGATAGTTGGCTTGTACAACGGCCAAAGGTTTCGCCGTTGTTGAAGATGGGCCTACGTTGCGCTACTTGTCTCAGCCGATTCCTGAGGAACATCAGCCCTTCACCCGCTTCAACGACGGTGCATGCGATAGCAAAGGACGTTATGTCGCCGGCACAATGGCATCAAAGGACCCATACATCCCCGGACAGCTGTACATATATGATCCTGCAGACAATTCCAGCAGAGTTATCGACCACGGGCCATTCACGGTGAAGCCATATCCTCTACAGGTAGGCACGATTTATTGACTGAGTCTGATTGGCTTCAGGACAGCAACGGCCTAGGCTGGAGCGCGGACGATAGAACCATGTGCGCACAGTCCCGTTTGCCGTACAGAGGCGTCCTGCTTAATGCTCCGTCCAGGTACTTCACCGACTCCCTGGTGAACAAGATATATGCGTATGATTACGAGGACGGGAGGCTGTCTGGGAGACGTGTGTTCGTCGATGCACTCTCCCATGGCCTGCTGGCAGAGGGAACGTACCCGGACGGTCTCTGCATCGATAACGCAGGGGGCATATGGTCTGCAAGGTCGGAGGGTCCCTTTGACACGCACACGAAAGCTACAATGCTGACTACGCCACGCATAGGTGGGGTGGATCCAGTATCGTTAGGTACACCCCCGATGGGGCTTTCGACCTGCAAGTCGTCTTCCCTACGGTGCTCAATGTCACCGCCTGTTGCTTCGGAGGTATGCTTTTACTCCTCCGCCGATATATGCAGGCACTCAGTCTACGCTATACAGGTGCCAACGAAGACCAGTTATATGTGACGACATCTCACTGCGGCGCATGCGGCGGCGACGCTAGTAGACAGGCCCAGTTTCCGGACTCCGGACACTTGTTCGTCGTCGACTTCTCTGGCCAGTTCAAAGGTGGCAAATGGCGCCACAACTTCACGGGATGAATGTCAAACAGGTGGACATCAGAAGAGCATTGAGGTTCCGCCGTTATGACACGACCTAGGCAGTTCCGTGGAGGACATTGAATGTATGATAGGATTGGGACAGGGGTAGCCAAGCGCATGCAGCTCGACGGTATTATTTTAAAGCGGCTTCACGAGTGTTTCTCATTTCTGAAACCAAATTGCGGATGCTATCACTGTGTGATACTGGCTGACATAGTCTGCGTGCAAGTCAACCTCGCGCATAACATGCTATGATTTCTCCGTGAACATAGGCATGAAGGATCGACGGACCGAATTGTGTGAGAACGCCTCGGAACCATTCCAAACATGAGCTCATTATGAGCTGTTCGATGAGGCACGGCGACCCAACGTTCGCGAACGCGGAGCGCCAAGGGAAGACGAGACGATTGTGCCGTCCGATACGGCGGCAGCGTGGTTATCATGACCGGCCCTGGTGCATTACAATCTTCTAGAACGCTGCGGTGAACACCTAGGAGGATTGGTAAGAATGTTATGACATGGCGCGCCGTCTTGACGTACTACTAGTACTCACGGCAGAACTACGAAGAGACTAGAGAGGAGTGCACAATTGCACCCTAGATCGCTGTCATAGGGCCAATGAGTGAATAGCTCGGCTACGTCGGCGGAATGAAGTGAAGCAGTACTCACTAACGATCGTTCTTTGTTCGGGGGCACATCCCGGTGTGTTTGAAACCTTAGGAGCTAGTGGGCGAGGAGAACGCAGGCCGCCTAGGCGTGTGCCATGCGGGACCATTCCCTGCCAAATCGCAATGCAAACCCATGAGCTGGAGTCAACAAATCAGAGCTCAGTGCATACGATCCCATGCATATTGGGTGGACTAATAGGGTGAGCAATCGTGCCGGAGCTCGAGACCAATGCTCGTGTGGTGTCACCATTCTGCGTCCGTACATCCCGGACCAAGAAGCGTGTATCGCTCTAGATCGTCCGGATGCAGTATCTTCTCCCGCGAATGCAAGGCAGCCAAGCCAAGGCCGGTAACTTTGGCACGAGAACTCGACCGCCGACCGGCACCAGACCCCCTGATGTTTACATGTGTGATAGTGCAAATGAACTTGTTCTGCAAAGAGATTCTTTCTGTCGTTACAGGTGTTGGTGGCTCTCGCGATAGCCATGCTGCGATAGATCAATCAGCTGCCACATGCGGGTGAACCCATCGTGAAATCAGGGGATGAGTCACGAACCTGCTCTACACTGTATATGATGCCCATTTCATCATCATGGGCTAGGTGACGTCTGGTTACATGTACACCGGAGAGTCTCCGAGCGGTGCTAGCATGGTGCTATGTCGCAGTATCCAGAATTGAGTCAGGGCGTTGTACAAGTTGAACTTGTGCCCGGGTCAGAGCGCAATGCTACTGACTGCGAGGCATGAGTCGAGATAACAACGATGTTTATGTCTCTCTGGAGTAGATCACAGATTATCAATATCAGTCTTCCAGTGGTATCAAAAGTTGATGCGCAGTAATAGAGGCCAAAGAGAGAGTTTAATAAGGTGCGCTGAGGGCGCGCCGCGCGTTCAACGTGATCGCGTCGAGCGACGGGATTCGGACTTGCCACTTCCGGCAATGCGGGCGCTCGGACGCCACTGCTCAATTTGGTAGCTGGCTTGTAGACAGCGCACTCATCCTGACGGCCCACCATGAAGCATGGGGTCGCGTTCCGCAAGTTCTCGAGGACATCCTCGCATAGGATGCTCATGCTGAGGTATGCTCATCTCTTAAACTTCATCCGAATACTCCGTCACCTCTTTCCACAGGAACCTCGTCACCTCGTTGTTCGAGCATGAGCAAATCAAGACAACCCTTCCGAAGGCGAAGGATACCGCGAGACTTGCAGAGAAGGCGAGTGCATAGCTTTTCACCCATCTTGCGCGTCTAACTTGGTTGGTACAGATCATCACCTTGGGCAAGAAGGGAGACCTGCACGCCTTCAAGCGCGCACAGCAGTTCCTCCTGCAGCCGCAGCTGGTCCCCAAGGTTTTCACCACTTTCGCCAAGCGCTATTCCGAGCGTCCAGGAGGATACACACGGATTCACAAGTTCGGCCGGCGGCAGGGCGACAACGCGCCGCACGCGATCCTCGAGCTCGTCGACAACCCGCGCGACCTCCGCTTCGAGATGACCGCTCGCGCGGTCGGCTGGGAGCTCCTCGGCAAGCGGCTCGACAACGATGGCCCTCGAAAGCTCGCGGAGACGGGTGTGAAGGGCGTGGAAGACGTCGTCAAGCAGGAGCGCACTAGCGAATCGAAGGGTTGGGACGGCGAGCTGCGCCCGAAAACGAGGTGGTATCTGAAGAAGGTGCTCAAGTACAGGGGCGAGGAAGCTGTTTCGGATTTGGCTCAGAAGGCGGAGGACCACCTCGTGCGTCGCATTCATTCTACTTCCGCACAAAGCTCACTTTCCGCAGGACACCTTGTTGGCCAAGCCCATGGCTCCCAAGGATGTTCTTGAGAAATCTTCCAAGAATGCTCTTGAAGAGGCTTCCGAGCAAACAGCTGAGACACCATATGCGAGCTTGAAGTCGATGCGACTGCGGGCTGGTCAAACCGTGCCGGGAGGTGTACGCAGTGCGTTGAACTTGGCCCAAGGTGACCTTGGGAAGACCTGGATGACGGGTGGTCGCCTGCGGTATCTCGAGCGAAGAAAGCTGGGTGTTGACAAAACTCCCCTTTGGGAGAACCCTTAATTCTCTACTGTATACACCGCTCAGCCCCATGCCGGCTTCTATTGCATCTCTGACTCCACCATGCATATTCGAGACGTCGGATAAACCGCGTAACGGCTTAATCATCGCATACTGTATAATGCCGAACATCCTTCGTTCAGCACGCATGCGCAGCTACCAACATGCCGATTGCCCGTGCGTGGTCTGTCGCCTTTTCTTGAACTTATTCTAGGCAGGCAGAAATTCTCTGCTCAAGACAAGCATATGGGAGGATACACGCGTCTTTCGCATTGTGCCCGCAGCCCATAAGTACCAACAAGGACACACGAACGACATGAGAATTACGGCATTACAGAATCGTACATCCATACTGGTACAGTGATACAAGCTACTTCCGTTCCGTTCAAACCGCTCACCCCTTAAACGCTCGGCCACTCTGACACCCGTGTCGTCTTCGGGAGCCCGGGGGCCGGCGGGTTCGAGAACTTGGTCTCGACGAAGACCTTCTCTACGCCGTTCTGACGCTTGTCAAAGGCCTCGTACAACTTCACGAAGTCGTCAATCGGCACACGGTGCGTAATCATGCTGTATCCCACACAAACGCAGTCAGTACCACACATCAACGATACAGGAATGGAAGTCGGAAGCCACGTACAAAGCGGGGTCAAATTTGCCGGGGATGATCCAGTCATAGAGGATCTCCTTCCAGTACTTGTGCACCGGCGCTTGGCCGTTCCCGATGAGGCGCACGCCCTTCTCCATGAGCGCACCGATGTTGAAGTGGTTCGTGTACCCGGCGTAGGCCGCGATGATGCCGCAGTTGCCACCCTTCTTGACGGACATGATCATCTCGTTGACGATCTCCGACACATCCGTCTCGAGCATGAGCGCCTTCTCGACCTTGTGGATGATGCTCTTCGGCTGGTGGAATGTGCCCGCATCGATGGCGACGTCGAGGCCGCCTGGCGCGATTTCCTGGAAGCGCTTCACGACGTCCTTGTGCTCGGAGAAGTCGATTGTGTCGATGCCTAGCTTGTTTTTGGCGAAAGCAAGACGCTCTGGGATGCGGTCCACGCCAATGACACGCTTTGCACCCTTCGCGAGTGCCCACTTGGCGACACATTGGCCAATTGGACCCAAACCCTGTGGAGCGAGTCAGCCACAGATTGCTCATGTGCATGCAACGAGTTGACCCACCCAGACACCGACGACGTCGCCTTCCTTGACGCCAGTGTCGAAGACGGCGTGATACGACGTGGGGAGAACGTCGGAGAGGTAAAGGGCCTTCTCGTCGGAGACACCCTCGGGAATGGGGAGCAAGTTCACGTTACCCTTGGGCACGCGGACGTACTCTGCTTGACCGCCTGCGAAGCCGCCGGTGAAGTGGGAGTATCCGAAGAACCCAGCGTCGCGGTGACCATACATCGCATTTTGCAGCCTTTTACGGTCGAGTAAGTCATCGGGAATTGTGTATGGCACAAATGGATTGCTTACGATGAGGGATTGGTACGATCGCAGAAGGAAGAGAGCTTCTGCTTGCAGTATTCGCACTCGCCGCATGCAATCTGGAATGAAGAGACGACACGTTGGCCGACCTGGAGGTTCTTCACGTTGGACCCGATGGCGTCGACGACACCCATGAACTGCCTGAGAGTCAGCACACGCTTATATGCGCGAGTGAAAGCATATACGGACTTCATGGCCCAGGATATCGCCCTTCTGAAGATTGACGATCTCGCCGTTGTAGAGGTGCAGGTCCGAGCCGCAAATGGTGGTCCCGGTGACACGGAGGATGACATCGTCAGGCTCGCTGATGTCTGGGATAGGAGCGTCGATGAGGCGAACGTCACGGGTGCCGAACCAGGCGAGGGCCTTCATGGTGCTGCCATCCTGGCGGACCTTGTACTCTGGGCGGACGACGGTGGGGAAGTCGCCCATGGCCTGTGGGACATCGGTGAGCAATGCAAAAGACGTCGTGCAGCAGTGCTAGACACGTACGCTCTGGGCTGCGTTCGATGCTGCCTGCATGGTGGTGGTGGTGGTGGTGGTGGTGGTGGTGGTGGTGGTGGTGGTGGTGGTGGTGGATTGAGATGTTATAGGTGGTCGGAAGAGGGTCGTGATCAAGGTGCGTCGTGAATTGTGTTCCCCAAAGCGAACCGTCGGTGTCTTATATATACTGTATGCCGCTCCATGGCTGGTGTGGGTGCAGGGAGGCGCGATGAACGCTGGCATGACGTTCCTCCTTCGTCGTCTGCTCCGTGACGTCACGCGCCGTCGTGCCGCATCGCTGTCGCGCCCCACGTGACCGTTCCCGACGCCCACCATAGCGTTCCGAGCTCTCCACTCAGCCAGATACATTCTTCAGGATCTCCTGGGGTTAACAGTTCAGACGTTCTTCCGGCTCGGCTCCGCGGTGGTTGGCCATAGTATGACCGCCGATTCCAGCGAACTCCACCTGGTCTGCTACTTACCGGCTCTCGGACGGTCACTACTACCGGCGCGCATCGTATCCATCTGCGGAAGACGGGAAACTTCGGCCGGTTTACTTTGTTTCTAGCCTATGTTGGCGGCCACTTGAAGCAGGATGTAATTGGACATGTCCCTTCAATTACCTCCCCTTTTCAAAAGATGTATACATTCATCTGTCAGACACAGCTCTGACATTCAGGTGACGCCGACTACGGCTCGGTGACCTTTGATGTTGACGGAGACGCGGCTCTCGCCGTCCACCAGTACATATCGTCGCCTGAAGTCGACGGACGAGTGTCTCTTTGTCAAATGTACACGGACGAGGTGAGCTCTGCTGGACCCGCTTCGCATTAGATCCGGATCCTTGTTGACCTTTCGTCAGACTCCGCGCCCAAACATCGGACGTTACCGCCGGTGAATTCAAGTGTCCCGCGTTCATTATCTAGACTCTCGATCGCCAGGTCTTGAGGTCCCATGGTCATTCGCAAGTTCCCTCAGTACTCACGGCGTTACCTTCTCCCTCTCACGCCCGTCAAGCACGTTTGGATTCAGATAGCCTGTTGCATTCATTGAAACAAACTCAAGGATTGCAAAGCCGCGCTCATCGACCACGAAAGGCCGGCCCCCACCGAAGCGTTGGCGATACCAGCACAGCCCAGTCGACGTCGCGACGCGAAGCAGATTTGTACTTGGTTGGTGTTCGTCAAGATATCCGAGGTGCTCGAGGTGCTATGAAGCATTGCACAGATGATCCTGGGCCTCAACGCTACAAACCGGCGGTACCGAAACCGGCGATCTCACTACGTCAGGCCCGCTGGAAGGCTTTCGCGGCTGCTCAAGAACCACAGCTTTCAAGGTTTCCCCGAGCATGAGGTACGAGTGCAGCAGCGACCCGTTGTTCTTTCCGGCAGCATAACGACCACAGACGCTCACAACACGCCACCTCGCGGTAGCCACGACCGTTCAGCGTTGCCAGTTGGTCATCCCAACCTTCCTGCGTTCCCAAGCGCATTCAATCCGACCCGTGTCATCACACACGCGACTGCCTCATTGCTGCAGCACCTCCAGCACGCGGATCGCGGACAGCCATGCCAGCAGCGGGCGGCGGCGACAGTGCGCCTGTTGTCCGTTATTTCGAGCGATAATATAACCTACGCACAGCAGTGTGGATATAGCAATTACAGTGCAGAGTAGCAAGCGATACGGTAATAATTGACTGGCACAGCGTCCGATGCAACGTCGCCCAAGTGCTCTCGATGCGGGATGCGCTCCCCTCCTGGACGTACAGACTGCAGGGTGTACGTCGTCATGCTAGGGAAGTAGACTGTCTTGGTATATGCGGTAAATAGGTGGCTCTCTGGCATCGATGTGGCGTGTCAGTGTCGAATACAATATGTTCAGTGGGACAAACCTACCAGAGCCAATGCTACGAGTCGTTCCACATGCAGAATCGCATGTCTCTCCATAACCGGTCGACGGTGATGCCGTGTACTGGTCTCCTTGGGTCTGACGAGGTTTGCGAGATGGTGTGTGAGCGGCTGGGGAAGAGCTGGGAAACAGCGCAGTTGACGTCTCGCCACGTCCGTGCTCTGGCGAAGCCATCAACAAGGTCAGAGGTTAGGCATCAGTGAGGAAGAGGAGGGAAGAGCAGCCAACACTCACGTTACGTTCGCAACCTTCGACCGTGTCTTTAGTGCGTATTGATAGACCGAGCCTGCGCCTTGCATCAGCGACCATACCATATCCATCGTAGTGCGACTGACCTGCGTCCAGGACGAGCGTGATGCTCTCGCCCGGATGTAGTAAGACGATCGCGCCCGAGTTCCGGCCATAGTTGCGCAATAGCTGCACGGTCGCGCAATCATGCGTGTCGTTCGTGAAGTCGAGCAGGACCTCATACTGGGTGCTCGCGGGCATGTTTGCGGCCGGTCAGCGGAAGACAAAGAGGCTGCGGTCTGTGGGCGGCGTCGGACAGGTGCAGCAGAAGCGAGCGTGTCAGTCTCGAGAAGGAGCGTGATATGGGGGCCGATAGTCGAGCGCGAGAAGACGAGAGAAAGAGCGTAACGCCAGAGAGGCACAGAGATGCTCGTCCTGGTGATGACGGTCGCTTCGAGCTTCTGCGGGCCGTTCGAGAATGAAGGTTACGGCACGGCTGGGCCTTCTCGGTTCTGAATCCTCCGGCGGGTACGCCCCCTGCGTGGCGTCAAGCTAGAGTCCGACTGCCAGAGCTGCTGTGCACGCCGCGGGACACAAATGAAATTGAGTGTATAAGGTAGGCGTGTCAGAGCGCAGGGACAGATGCCGGACCTGTTGCCACGTTGTGGGCGTGCTTATTGTGTGTGCAACGGCTCGCCGGCGCCCAGGACCCGCGCAGAGAATGGAGAGGGCCCAGAAGGGAGGCAGGTGCCTATAAGGAGGGAGGAGGGTGGGCGAGCGAGCGAGCACGCATGGGCAGCAAGGCCGCAGCGGAGGAGGCGAGTCGAGGAGGCGGCGGGGAGAAGGTGAGCAGGGAGCATCCGGCGCGCGCTGCCAGAGGCACTTGGCCCCGCAGCCACCGAAACGCGTTCATCCCGAGATTCACGCCCGATTTCCCCAGATCTCAGCCACCGGCGCGTCGCAGCCATATCTGGCAGCCCCTCCTACCGCTCTCGTTCTCCTCTCCCATCGCCCTCCCCCCCTGCTGCGAGCAGCCTAGTCCGGGACATGCACTCGTAACGGGTTTATAAAGTCGCCTATGACTTCCTCGTCTTAAACGCCGCTTACTGCGATGGCCACACCAACCTTTCTCGGAATCCCCGTGGAAGTGCGCTTGGTCATCTACGACATCTACTTGATGGCACACCAGAGGGTCAGGCAGAAACGCCAGCCGTCCGGCGGCCATCTCCGACTTCTGCGTACTTGCAGGCAGATACACGATGAGGCATGCCCAATTTTCTGGCGTTACGTCTCCTTGAGGAACGAGCTGGAGATTAATGCGTTCATCCTCAATGCGAACGAGGCCATGGCAGCTCGCGTCCTCTGGGCGGATGTTGCCAATGACGCACGTGTATTCATGCCGCTAGAGAAGGCGAAATCTATACAAGAGGTAGTGCCTATCGCTCACGTTGTGACAACTGTCTCATCGTTAAACAGGAAACGGGACGGCCGGCTCCTCTATCTAACTTACACCTCGCACTGCGGCGCATGCCCTCGTTGCAACGGCTGCGCGTTTTTCAATGTCGCCGTGGTCTTCCTGCCAACATACGAGGTGAGCATCCAGCGTACTATATCCGCACTACGGTTGCTAAGGAGCCGTTGTATATTTTGTTGTCTAGGCTCCAGAGAAGCGGGTCGCCTCGCGCTCGAATTCGAGTTTGCAATGTATCCCTCAGGATCGGCAACGCCTCTCTCGGCGTACGAGATATTCATGGACGCGGAGAGCCGTGTGCAGCCTTTTCAGGTCGTCTCACCGCGGTTCCTCGAGAAACTACGCCTATCGGGGGAGGTCCGCCTGCCCCCTTCCGTCGAGGCCCCGGCTCTGCGCCAGGTGACGCTCCACTCGATAACGGGCAACCACTTCGACCGCAATAGCATCGAGAACACCTTCCGTGGAGCTTCCCTCGAGTCCTTCCTGTACGCCCAAGGCCACCGGCTTGGGTTCGAGCTACGGAACCGGCACCTGGAGTCCGTGGTTGCTCTTTCTGGGTCGCGGCTACGCACGCTGGTGCTTCTCGGGTGCAGCCGTCTGTCCAGCGCGTGCATCGCGGGCTGTTTGGAACAGCTTCCCCTGCTGGAGGTCTTCGCGCTGAGCCTGGTGACGGTGGACGAGCTACGGACGAATTTCCTGCACTCCCTGCCGCTGACTGTCTCTGTCCTGAAGCTGCACGTTGTAAATGCCTGGTATGCGGTTCCTCTTCTAGCGGAGGAACGTGGTCTTTGCGATGCTCTGGAGAACTCTATCATGGTTCGTGAGAAGCCGCCGAAACGTATGGTATTGCATGTCCGGGAACGTCTGCTCACCGAAGAGGGGCGAGAAGAGAGGCTGTCGGGGCTTGCACGGCTTCATGATATTGATCTCTTTTTGAGCCCTTGGGAGAACGACTGCGAACATGCTTTGTAGCTTACATCGGTAGAGACGCGGTCCTGCGACATGCGACATATAATGCTAGCTCTAATGACGTTGACATACTCGTAGTTGGCGTCCGGATATTCCAGCGGGCTGTTGTACTTGTGGACAATGAATGCACACGCCTGGTATTGCACATCGTCAAAGGACTAGATATTGTTCAGGGGTAGATCCAGTCAATGGTCATATTCCAAGCCGCTAGCAATAGATTACGGCGTTGTCCATGGGCAAGTCCGTGGGGTACAGTAGGAACCAAGACAATGGGATAGCGAATAACGAATGTCTCTAGTCCGTGTCGTGGCGAATCATGGTGACGTTAGGCTATCCTTATAGTCGTAACCGTTTCCTATGTAAAGTGAACTGTTAGCACCGAAGGCCTGTCATGGGGACAGAGACTACGAACCCTGATAATATACATGCCTTTACTGGGTGAGCTGGACATACCAGGGCGGGCTCACGAGTGGTCAGGATAGTCTGTGCCACTATGGTAGCCATGGGTATAGCCGTCGTTCACCACCGCGGTCGAGCCAATGTTCTGTGCGCTTGTATCGGCATCGTGACGTTCTTCTGGCCTGTAGGACGTCTGACCGTAGCCATCGTATTCCCGGGGTTGATGAACTTTATTACCCATGACGGTGGAAACACTGTCAATGCTCTCTGACCTGTCATGGTACCCGCGAGGAGGAGAGTCCATGGATGTGTCCCAGGGGTCGGCGCGTTCGGTCAGCGGGATATCACTAGCAAGGGGCTTGGTGGCGTCGTACATGGAGTCGTACCGACTGTGGGCGAGCTCCTGACCCGCAATATAGGCGGAAAGGACGAAGTAGAGGTAGGCCTAGCGTCACACGGAATTAGGAGACATAGGGGCAGATTCCACGGAGTACGTGCCTGCATGATGGCCAGCAGGACCCAGAGGCCACCCATGATACCGACGTCAACCCATGGGAAGATGTCGCAGAGAGTAGTGGCCTCGTCCTGAAGGTCCGAGTCCGTGCCAAAGAACGTGGATTTGCATGCTGTGACCGCTTGACTGTGTCGGGCCGCTGACAGTATGATCCAAACTGCTGCAACGGAGAATGCACCCAGCGTTACGATGAGATGTAGTGTCGTGTAACGCCGGAACATCGTGGGCTTTTCCTGAAGCGAGTAATGCGAAGTTAGGCGATGCCCTAGCGAAGAGGAAGGTATGAGCTCACATTGCGGACTGCAGCGAATCCCATGAGCTGCAGGGCAGCTCCTACATAGCAGATGATAGCGGTAATCCATTTCGCTGCGGACGGTGTCGCAGATGCAGCACCAACGACTATAATCACACAGCACGACAGCGGTCAGTATATCAAGCATGCGTCTCGATCATGACACTCACTTGATGGTGTCGCTATTGAAAGCGTTCCAGCTACGATTCCGAGGACGAACTGCTCCGTCAACGCCGTGTAGATGCCCGTATAGATGACGGGGATTGCGCAGCAGCAGTATTCTCTGGGCTTCATGGTTGCGACCGCTTAGGCGAGTGTTCTCCCTGACGACCCAATATCGGGGTGGTAGGTATCCGGCTGCGAGTGGGGGGTGTCACTTGGATGTAGGGGAAGCTCTGCTGCTCGCCCGAGGATGAGAGTACGAAGCAGAGGTGGTGAGAACAGCAAAGGAAAGCGCAGCGCCAGCGCTCTATACAGGTGCAGAGCACGGCGCACAGCACGGAACCACCGCACCCCGATCGAGCAGGATGTTCCCACGCTATGCGTCACTGTCGGTGGCGTACCTAATCAGGCTCGCTTGAGGGCATGCTACCGAAGCGCGGCTCCTCCCCTCTTCGTTCTTAACCACCACCATATCCTCAGTCATGGCTCGCCTTGGATTCTTTGTACTTGTACTGTCTGCACTCGCATCTCTCAGCGGTGCAGTTCCTACGGAAGAACAGGTGGCTTTGGCAGCACCCGGCGACTGGAGTTGGAAGGACTGTGGTGCGTAGTCATTATACCCACGTCGAGCGGTCTGTTCAACTGGAATGTTAGGTGGCCCGTCCCATTTGATTCGCATTGACGACATCGCAATCACCCCTGACCCTCCACAGAAGGGACAGGAGATGAGTGTGACCGTCAAGGGCACCGCGAAGGATCAGATCGAGGTTAGTGTACCATTGCCCGACGCGTCACCCGTGGTTAACATCCTCGTCACGCAGGATGGTGCATACGTCGATGTCGTTGTGAAGGTTGGTGCAATCAAGATCCTGCAGAAGGAGTTCGATGTGTGCGAGGAGGCGTAAGTGCTATCGGCTAATCGTCGCGTATACCCCATGCTGAGCTTTCCGCAGGCGGAACGCGAACGCCAGCATCCAGTGTCCGGTACAGGAGGGGAAGCATGAGGTTACCCAGACGGTAGACTTGCCGAAGGAGATCCCTCCAGGTTTGTTGTTGCGTATCTCGCGCCCGTTCGCTGCTCACTCATATCCCCTTAGCGCCTTTCAAAGTCTCCATTCGTGGCTACACCGTGGATGACGAGGACTTGGCTTGCGTTGATATTGAGATTGACTTCCGTCCCAAGCGTGGCCTGCTGGGTCTGAGCTGGTAGGACGTTGATCATGCTCTGACTCGGCTAGCGGCTCTACAGTGACGTAAGGAGGACGACTGTTACGCTTTGAAGATCTGATTACTTTGCTTCCCTCGTGTATATCCTCACCTTGCATGTCTTGCTGTTGAATGAACCACAAGTCTTCATGGCTGCTTTATTGTGCGCTCAGTTGTTTACGAAGTGATTCTGAGTCAGCGGAACGACGCTACTGAGCTCACAAGGGGGCGCACAAGCGATGTGGGTGGCTGTTTGGGCGTTGTTGACAAATGTTCTGGCACACAATCCATGTGGCCGACGTGAACTCATTCGTAAATGACCATGCTGGTCGACACAGCAGATGGTATACAGCCTGATGAGCACCACGCTGAGACCCTTGCTCACGACTACGCGCTACACCTCCAGATCACTCACCCGGCCACTCTCTTCAAGATCGGTTCCATCGCGTGGCCCTAGAGCGGCCACATTATCAACGCATACCACCACACTCAGATCAACACTACCGAGATTCATGTCGGCATCACTGCGGTATCTTCTCATCCTCGATCTTGAGGCCACATGCGGTGACGATGTCGAGGGAGTAAACGAGATCATAGAGTTCCCGACCTTGGTGTATGACCTCCAGGAGGACAAGGTCCAATCCACGTTCCACGAATATGTCCGCCCTGTGGTTCATCCAAAATTGACGGATTTCTGCATAGACCTCACTGGAATAACGCAGGTAACTTGACACTGTTGTTCCTCCTCTTTTGGACTTCCACTAACGTCGCGAATCTGGCAGGATGTTGTGGACGCCGCAGAGCCATTCCCTGCCGTATGGGAACGCTATCAAAAGTTCCTCCGGGACAATGAACTCCTCGCAGACCCGGCATCCTTCGCCTTCCTGACATGTGGCAATTGGGATCTCCGCTCCATGCTCCCTCGCCAGCTAGACATCAGCGAGAGCGAGCACGGGCTCGACGCGTCCGGCAATCTGGTCGCGCCCTACAACCGCTTCATCAACGTCAAGGACGCGTTCCGGGCGCACTACAAATTGCGCTATCAGCAGGGCATGGCCCAGATGCTGCGCCGACTGAAGATGGAGCTCGAGGGGAGGCACCATTCCGGGATAGATGACTGCAGGAACATCTTGCGGATAGTGCAGCAGATGCTGGCGGACGGATGGCAGCCGCAGGGCTCGCTCAAGCCGTGATGGGAGTGATGGGAGTAGTGTATGTAGTATGATGCTCGTTGACTCGTCTCGATGCTTGCATGAAACACTAGCCATTTATACCCCCGCTCACCCCAAAGGCGTCCGTTTGACTCAGTCAGGTATGGCGGCCACATTGACCGAAACGTCAACCGGCGAAAGCTATGACAACTGCAGTACGGGTCTATCTGCAGCCGCGCGCCGCTACGTACATGCGGCAAACGTGATCAGTGCAAAGACAATAGAGAGCGCTCCACGTCGTGCGTCGCGAGAGCCATCCAGGCTCACATTCCCAGGCAGCCCCGCCTGCTCAATCGCGACGTCCTTGTTCGCCACGAACGCGCCAGGAATAGAAGGCTCAAACGCAACGAAGGGGGGGCCACGACCCTGTGCAGTGATCGGACGCCTTTCTTCAGCGTTCCTCTTTGGGAAGACAATAAAAGGCGCAGAGTCAACGCGGAAGCACCTCCATTCATTCTTGCCCGGACAGGAAGGTCCGAGCACAATGGGCCCTTGTGCCATTGAGCTACTTGAACCCTGAGACGCGCCCCGGCCAGCCAATATGCACGGCGGCCCCCCTCGCCCACCCTGAATCCGCGCCGATTATGCCCACCTCGACCGTGCCATACGAGATTCTGTTCGACTTTGTGAACGACACGGCTGAGCCGACGACGATACGAGTGCTACGACAGGACAACGGGACGCGGACCGGCGCGGCGATGCTGTTGCATGGCGGCGAGAACCTCTCGCTCGTCCTCACCGCCGGGACGCCATATAAATACGCGTTGGTGCAGGGAGGCACGGAGGCGATACTCTCGTAAGCGGATCTCATTTCGATAGCGAAGGGCGGAAGGTGAACTAGCCATATGGACGCAGCGTGAAGGTCTGGCAGGACACGCAGTACTGCACTTCGACCGCGTTCAGGAGATCGCGATCTGGGGGAGGGAAGGCGGGCGATCCGGGAAAGACGGCGATACAAGGCGTCGCTGTCGTATCATTAGACCACCATTATACGAACGGCAGCTGAGGGGTAAGTCCTCAGATTCTTCCATCAGATCACTGGCTTACGATGTGCAAACAGCCAAGCCCTTGTGTCCAAACACCCCATATCCACGCATCTGCGAGTGAGAGGCCATCGGGCGTCATTTCTCACTTCACAGCACCATAATGTATACCACATTAATTCATTTCGCATGTAACTGAGTCCATGTCCGATCAAGCCCTCCAGTCCTGCACGGTAGCAGCATCCCTAAACAAAGTCACGTAAGCCATGGCTGGTCGTACAGTGATTGGAGTCACATCACGACCACTTACACAAAAATGTCCCACACCGACGTCTGATTGGCGTAGACCGTGAAGCCTAAATAAACGAACTACGTCAGTCCGCTGTCGAACGTGAGACAATTCATTCGGAGCCTCACCGTCGTTCGGGGAAGCCTGCGTTATCGACGTGGTGTCAGCACGGAGGAAGATGTCCAGCATAATCTGGCAAAGACCACTCACCCCTTCGTAGATATCGTCGGTGTACTTGAGGACGCGGTTGCCACCGTCCTCAGTCAAGTTCAGCATGCCGAACTGCCATGGATGAATCCTGCAGACATCGCGTAAGCTCACGTCGAAAGCTCGTACAAGGGTTTTTGGAGGCTTACCCTCTAAGTAAGAGGGGTCAGTAACTGGACACATCATTCGATAGACAACAGGACTTACGCATGATTAGTAGCGATGGCGTAGCCGACCCACACGGGATAGATGGCCGTCTTATTCTCTGGTGGTCGGTGGAGTGAGCAAGTGTACTTCTACCACGCGAGCGACGATCCTACCTAGTCCCGTCACACCGAACTCTTCCATGATGACGGGCTTCCCGACATACGCAGAGGCTGAGTAGCGTGTAAGCCGCATGCAAGGATCGAGAGGAGTTGCGCAGTCGCAACGTACTGTTAGCATGAGCACCGATCCAGCCCAAGCCGAAGTCCCTGACAGAGAAGTTCGAGCCTGGGTAGTCCTATAGTGCCGCCCATGTCAACATCGGATCCACACTCTCAGATACGGTGCTGGACACATACGAGCTCTGGGTACCATGTTTGCGGATACAAGTGCTGGAACCCGACATCAGTAAGCCTACAGGAAGGAAGGGGGCATATACATTACGCACATAGGTCCCGAAGTCGATGTTCGGCAACGAAAGACTAGCCTCGAAGTCCTCCCCGGCTAGCCGGGATACCAGGTCTCAGTACCACTTGTCGCCCGAATCAAGCTCGTAATGCGTACCTTCTCCGTTAAAGTTGGAGTCACTAACCAGAGTGCCGTTGTACCAGCTGGTAACAAACGCTGTGAGTCGCCGGTAAATTTCTATGGAAAAAAACGAGCTCACTACTCGTCAGGCTGTGCCCAGTAAAATTGGCCTTCACCGCCGGTCGTGATCATGTGGTACGGGTCCCTGAGCAAGCATTTCAACCCGAGGACTCTGCGACTCGTCCCTTGCTACTCACAAGTTGCGCACAAAGTCTGACTGCAGCTGGTACCACGTCGTTAGCGTCTCCGATCCGGGCACGCAGTCAGGTCCGGAGGGGAGGCTGTCCCCGGCGCAGCGCGCCTCGTTCACGAGCTCCCAGGCGAAGACGGCAGAGGAGTCGGCGTAGCGGTTCACGATGGCCGTCACATAGCGCTCTGTGAGATGCGGTGGTTAAGGTTGGTGGCTGGAGGACGCGTAAGGACGTACGGTAGGAAGCGATGGTGGTGGGGTTGGTGTAGAACTCGTCATGGGTCGCGTCGTTGCCGATGATGTGGTAGACGTAGAGTTCTAGTCCCTGTTCCAATAAGTATCAGCAATAATTCCAGGCAGATATAATGGTTAATTTAAGGGCACGTACGCCGTATCCAATCCTGGGGTGATGTGAGTTGCCTCATATCTGGACTGTAGGACAGTACACGCACCAGTTGTTCGTGAATGTCAAGATGAGCTTGATGCCATGCTGTGCAGCGGACGAAACGACGTAGTCGAGACGCTGCAGGCCCTGCGGTCCCTCGTTCAGCGTCCAGTCGCTGTCATTCCAGACCTGGTAGTACGTCAGGTTGGTCGACAGCGCGGTCGACAGCTCTGTTTCGTTGATCGCGTTGAAGGCCTGCATAGGTACGGTGATGTGAGTTGCGCATGGCAAAGCACCGAAGTGTCTGACTGACCCAGGTACGCGCGACTTTGATGCCCGCGTCTGCCATTGTCTGGAAAGTAGCATCCACATCCTCGGGGCTAGTCAAGAGGGGAAGCCACTAGCGCAACCTTGAGGTTATAGAGCTAGATGTACAACACTGCTCACTCACGAAGGCATTGGTGCCCACGTAATACTGAAGTCATAATCAGGTGGCTGCTCGTCCATGTAGTGACTTAGTGGGACTCACAAAAGGCTGACCATCCAGTTCAAAGGCCTGTCCATTAGTAGTCACGAAACCTTCGGGCACGGCACGCTTTTGCGTCGCAGCCGTCGCCAAAGACACGAGCGAGGCCAGACAAGTGAGCGCAAGGAAACGCATGGTTGGGAACGATGAGGACAGCAAGCACCGCGCTACATCAACGGTATTTCTTCGCATTTATACGACAGGGAACACCGGCCTGAGCCAAATTGAGGCGGGGTGTCCTTCGAGGGGAAAATCATCGGACGAGGGTCAGGTGGTACCGACTCTATTCTCGCAGCGATGTGTGAATGGCAGGCAGCGGGGCTGACATCCGCCCCTGGTTTCGTGTCTGTGCCCATCTCTGTCGTGATGCGATGGTCGGCATCGAGCCGCAGTCAGGGAGAGGGAGCGGGCGTCGAGTGTCGCCAGTCAGTGTAGCACCGGTGGTTGAGTGAGCAGGTCATGAGCAAGGTACAAGGCCAGGCAAAACTGCACGTTGACGAGATGAAGAAGGCGCGGGTGATCTCCGGCGATATGCAATATTGCTGCACGGCGTCATACGCGCACGACGTCGAGGAGCAGAGAGCGGCGACCTGCGACGACCTTGGCGGCGGACTGGGGAAGGCGGGCATTGTTCGGGGATTCCCTGCACGTGGGCGAGTCGATCGTCGCGTGCAATCAATTTCCTGACAATTCCTGTGGCTGCTTCTCGCCACCGCTGGCCTCCGTCGCCGTCACGCTCCTGCTTCACCTCGCTGCCGCAAGGCACCTGAACACCAACGACTCTGCTGAGCTAGTTCCGCGAGGGTATCATCATGCCTAAAGCCACCAAAAAGCAAAAAGACAAGGCCGCCGACTTCTCTGTACGCTCCCTCTTCGGTCTATTCTGCCTACGCTTACACGGTTATAGAAAGCAAAACTAAAATTAGGCAAGGGCAAGAAAGCACCCACCAATGTTGTAGACACCTCCTACAAAGCGCGCTGTGCGTAACTGTTCTTCTGCAGCCTGCTTTTCTCTGACATGATGTCAGGCAGCCATTGCATTGCCCACGCAGAGCATCGTGCAATCCAAGGACTCGGAGGCACCTACGACCAGAAGGAGGCTAACATTCGACGACCTCATTGCGCAGCTCAAGCACTACAACGTCGGGACACGGAAAGGTGCGTGGGCGGGTATACAAACTCTGTGAGAGCCGGGTCCTCACTTCCGGCCAGATGCGATTCTCGGACTCCGGGAGCTACTTGACGGATACCCGACCTTGATCCAAACTCAACTCCCCTCGCTCGTCAGCAATTGCACTCGGCTCATAGCGGATGAGGTACGTCGTCTACAAACCGTCTGGCCAACTGCATGTCGACAATGCGGTATAGGATGCATCCGTTCGGCGTACACTGCTCTCATTCCTGGGATGGCTGTTGCCTCAGATCCCGCAAGTGAGCATCCTCGTCTCACAGTGACCGTACCGTATAGTGACAATTATCCACAGGAGGATCTAGTGCCTCATTCCCCCGTCCTCCTGCTGTTCACTACCTCCGCGCAGACCCACATATTTCCCGAGATCCGAATAGATGCTATCCGCTTTCTGGATCTCTTCCTCGAGCACATCCCAGACATTGTCACCGAGGGCTGGGCGCAGAGCAGTGGAAGCCATGGAAGAAGAGTCTTGGAAGGATACCTCGGTGTTCTGAACGCTGGCACCATTTTTGGGGAGGGGGGAGGTATGTACTTGATTCGTCGCATCGAGGCCATGATAACCATAGCTGTGTCACTGCAGACACAGGCCCGGTCCAAGCAACATCAGTTGCGAGTGTCGTGCTCTCAGCTTCGGTACGTGTCGGCGCATTGCTTGTGTACGCAACCCACATTCACGTCCGCATAGTCGAAGCTCGTCGTTCTCAAGTCATTATCATCCTTCCTGAACTGCGCGTTGTCCACACCGTCTGCATCGAACCACGCAGGGCCTTCCTCTTCGACATGCTCAATCCCCACATGGTTTTTGTCATCCTCCTTCACCTCTTCCGAAGCATTCGAAACCTTTGACTCATTACTGAAGCCAACATTACCCGCACGGGGCATCCTACCGCATGAAAAATGGAAGGAAGAAGTGGACATGGAACTCAACTTCGAGTCCTTCTATGGCGACTTCCGTCGAGCTTTCGCTCCGATAAACGAAGGGTGCTCGCTGCAAGAGTTGTGCGACATCGACGTAGCTGCGAGCGGCCAATCGTCTGACTCCTCCGCTCGCACGTCTTTCGTTGTGGTATGTCCTCGTGTTCTTCGTCTAATCATGTAGAGCTCACACCGACCTACAGCATCTCGCTCGGACTCTCCATCCAACATTGGTCTCGACGTTCCTCGATTGTGCACCGGCTGTGTTCTCGCCGAGCGGAGGTCCTCCAGAGACAGAGTTGCAGATGGTGCAGGCAGTCGGCGAGATATGTCGCTGTCTCTACGGGGCCATACTCCGTGAACCGCCAAATGTGCGTAGATCAATAGTCGTTCAGTCACTTCTAGGATTGCTCCTAAAATCTGGCATCGCGAACAGGCGACCAAGGCGTATTCCACCGCCATAGAAGACCTTGGTACCATCTTAGGTTACTTCTCGCCCTACTTCCCTTTTACGGCTGGCGGAACCGCGCTCGCGAAGCGCGATATCAAAGTAAGCAGCTTAAACCAGTGTGCCGTCGATCGCGAAGCTTATTAGCACGGTGCCTAACCTCTGTACCTAGGTCGAGCAGGCCTTCCAAGACCTCAACCTAATCTACTGCGAGCTCACCTCCTACCTCGTCCTCGCCGCCCCGCACACCCCAGGCGCGCCCCCGCCACAGAACGCCGGCAGTCACCGACGGCAGAAAGCACCGCGCGCCTCCGCGCCCGCGCAGACTCTGCGGGCATCGCGCGTGAGCGAGTACGTCGTGCAGCTCTTGCGCGGGGAGACGTCCGGGCCCGGCGCCTTGGCACGGCCCATCAGTCTCTCCGCGTACTCGGCGCTCCTTCCGACCATATGGTCGCTGCTCACCAGCGAAGCCAGCGGCGGGGGGGAGGGGCCCGTCCTGCGCGTGCTCGTCGAGCACGCCATGAAGGCCGGATCAACGTCCGCCGTGAAGCGCGCCACCATCGACTTCCTCGGCCGGCTCGTCCTCGTGAGTGCCCCTTCTAGTGGCAGTGCAATCCGACGGTGCGCTGACGATCGACGATCGACAGCTCGAACGCGAGGCGGAATACGTCGGCGCGTGGCGCGTCGGGCGCACTGAGGCGGACGACCGGCGGCTCGAGGACTGGCTCCTGCACCTCGCGCAGACCCTCTGGGAGCTCGGCGCGAGCAGCCTGCCCACGACGGAGGTACGTCCCCGCCCTTGCCCTTGCCCGCGCGATCGCCATCTCTCCCCTTCTTACCATCCGTGATGCTCACATGCGGTACAGACCATCCTCCGCGTCTTGCTCCGGCTCTGTCAGCGCAAATCGCCGCTAGTGCGCGATCAGGTGAGTGGGGCGGGCTGATGGCCGGGGCGCATATAAGGCTGACCTCCCGCGCGTTCACCAGGTCGTGTTCGCCCTCCGCTCGCGCATGGTGCCCTTTTTCATCGTGAACCACCCCACCAAGGGGAGGCTGCTCGGGCCATTCGCACGGTTGCTGTCTGCACCGTTGCGGCGCCTTGTGCTTGACGTCGTTGCCACCCTGGAAGGGCAGGACACGGACGGGTTGGAGAGCGCCGTCAACGAGGCAGTTACGGGCACGGAGGAGGAATCGTACTGGGCGTCGTTGAGTGTACCGGTAGTTGCTAAGTAGGACGTGCGGTACCATCTCGAAGCTGCGAGCACACGGCTTGTCGTGGCAATGTATTGTTAGCATCAGATGTGCACACCGCACTACATGTGGACAACTGCACTTCAATTCCATTCATCAACATCTCAACCAGGGATGTAACTATGACAGGCGCGGGCATAACCAGAGCTAACGACTGATACCAGGCATGCTTGATGCTAGATAATAATGCAACACGCACGTCCCTCCTAGCCTTCCGCCTCTCCGCACGCAGAGACAACCGAAAGGAACACCCGGGTGTGAGAGACGTACTGGGGTGCCAATAACAACGCAAATAGTGACCAACGGATATGTACGAGACAGCAACGTTGACTGAGATAGAATAGAAATATGGTATCTGTACCGCAGGGTTGACCGTGCGATACGCTTAAGCCCAAACCCAGGTCAAGTGAATGCGGCCAAGAGACTGGTCGGCCAGCTGCGAGAATGCAGTAGGCGTGAAGTCAATGCTCGTCGCATTGCAGCCGGTGCACCGGTCAGTGACGGTGACGGTGATAGACTTGCCCCCATCTATCAAGAAATTAATACCTGATATTACACGCTGAACGGTCATTGACGTACAAGTAGCAATAATCTGCTTGTTGCAGACAGGGTTGTTGTTGGGGTTTACACCGTCATAGCCACTAGAAAGCGTCAGCACACGCTTTCTGTAGAATGAGTTTGACACTACATACGGATAGTTGTCGAACAAATCCTCGGAGACCGCGATAATGTAGTCGCTATCACTGTTGGTGATACCGCAAGCACCAAGGCCGGCTGCGTGCGTAGAAGGTACCTGAATGGCAAATGCGCCGAATTTAATACCAGTCTTGCAAACGACGCAGCCATAGTACTCACCATCACCCCACTGCTCGCCGTACAACCACGACGGCCCGCTGCCCGAAGTAGGAGTGGGCGCGGGAGGAGACCAGGTCGTAGGATCATCGGTGGTGGTGGGGGCTACCCAGCTCCACGTGGGCGCAACCCAGCTCGAAGTGGGCAAGGCCCAAGTCGAGGGGTCAACCCAGGCGGAGGAATCGACCCAGCTGGAAGAGTCGCTAGAGGGGGCAACCCAGCTGGAGGTGGGAGCGACCCAGCTCGACGTGTCGGTCGGGACGTCGGAGGTGCTGTAGGAGGAAGAAAAAGAGACAGGCGTTGAGTCGGAAGTCGCAACGAAGGCCGAGAATGCAGCAGAACTGCTGGAAAAGTCGGACACTGACGTTGCGCTCGCCGAAACGGTGCTGTTAGCAGGGGCGCAACGCTTGTTGAGGCTGCGCTTGCGCTTCGGCTTGACCTTCACCTCGGGGAAGATGGGCTCGGACTCGGCGACGGGGGCGCGGTGAGCGAGTGCGCGGTGGTGGCCGCTGCGGGCGCCGTGGGGGACGCTGATCGCGGACGCTGAAAGCGCGAGAGCGAGGGCAATAACGGTCTTGGTGAACATCATGTCGACAAGGACGTGGAAAGAGTGGGGATGGAGTGTGGTATCGGGCGAGCAGGCCTCAAAACAAGCAGAACTAGCGAGGGGCGGTTATAAGGAGGGACGAGGGTGCTCGGACGGGCGGGACGCCTTTGTCGGGACAGGGACTGAACCACCAACGTGAGGATCGTGGACAAGGCGACCGCCGCGCGCACCCGTACGTTATATTCCCCGCGGGCGCTCCCACGCCACACTTTTTGCCCGCCGTGTGCTCGGCAGCTTGGCTCAGTCACGCAAGCACTGTCTTGGTACGTCGTGGTCACAGTCACGCTCCCGCCCTGGCCGCACAGCAGGGCACTGGCAGCACACGGCGACTGCGCCCGCAAGGCAGCTCCCAGCAGCTCCCGCACATGCACCCTGCATGCCCTCTGACACTACGCCAAACACGATCCACGCATGATGATTCGCCCTGCCAACCTGTCACACACTGCCATCACACCACACGTCGGCGCGGCCATCCTCCCCGCTCTACTGAACAGCCCCGTACATATCACACTCCCGAATTCGTCTTTGCCGCGTACATCTTCACAAGCCCTGTGCTCGACGTCTCGGCCAGTGCCTTCGAGTACGCATCGATCCGCCCCAGAAGTAGCATGCTCTCCAGCCGACTCGGCTCCGGCGGTATCTTGAACAACCTGTTCACGTTCTCCTCGGGCAGCGGCGCCAGGCCCTGCGCGACACGCGCCGCGTTCTCCTCCTTGCGCTTGTTGACATACGCATCGGCCTTCTGCTTCTCGCGCGCGATCTGGCGGTGCAGGTAGGCGAGGTTCCCTTCCTCCGTCTTGTACGCGTCCACCGCTTCGATGATGTGCTCGAGGTTCCGCGCCACACTCGCAGTCCCGAGATTCAGTGTCGAGAACGACGGGGGCAATGCTGCGGATGAACTTGCAGCTGACGGGTGTCCGCCGGCCACAGAGGGCGCCGATGGCTCAGTCAGTGTCCCCAGGAATGAGCTCAGGAGTGCGTTCGTCCGAATCTTGACAGGGAGTTCCTCCAGAATGGACGAGAACGTCAACCGGTGGTCAATCAAGCTGCGCAGGACAAAATTAGAGAACGGCCTGACCCGAACACCACTGTCACTGACCTCGTGGCGCTAAAGTTGTTCCTCTTCAATGCGTCCAAGAACGCTCTCGTAAGGCGAAACGCCCGGAAAGATGCGTTCCCTCGTGCGGTCTGTGACATGTCTGGACGCCAGTCAATTACGGGATTATGAAACGAGGGAACTCCCGTTACCATGTACAATCACGACACCTCCGTGTCGGAGTTTTTCTTGGTGGATTGCTTGCGTTTCGATCAGTGTCTGGTTGAAGAACGACCCCAGCGTCATGGCCTGGTAGAAGCCAACTATGCTATCATCTGCCTGAACGTCTTTCAAAGAACGCAGCATCGATGCCTGGTACCGAGCTGCATTGTCATCCGTGAGAATGCCGCAAACTTTGGGGAGGTAGAACTCACTAATGCCCTTGGCCGACTTATCGTCATCGTCGGGCGAGTGGTTTGGCATAGGAAAGGAGTTCGACACTTCCAGTGTCCCGTCGAGATCAATTCCAAGTACGAGGCCATGTGTGGTGGATCCTTGCGCATCTCGCGAGTGCTTTATGATCTTCGACACGACCTGCGATCAACATCGCCCGGTCAGTAATTCCGCACACCATGCCCGGAGTCATAAACACGGAAATAGCTGGCGAGTGCGAGCCTCGTTCTCAGTCTCAGTGAACGGAGTGAGACGCGGGAGAACCGTGGACGTTCGTAGGAGGTGCGGACTGAACGCGCGTATAAGGCCGGGCACTGCGCCGCCGAGCAGGGCCTGCAAGACAGAGCAGGCGATCGACACTCACCAAACCATCCAGCTGCACTGAATTCAAGGGGATCTCGCCCTCAAGGTCGATCACCTTCGACATGGACGCCGGGATGGCTTCATAGGTAGGGGCTGCTGGGGCAGGTGCGCTCGAGGGTGCAGGCAGGCTTGCAGCGAGAGCTGCTGCCATGGAGGTTGCGGCGGCCATTTTTGTTCTCTGCTTAGTGCGCAGCAAGCAGTAGAGATAGGAGCAGGACTACGAGTAGATCGGCCGCCTTTTGAATGGCAGCTGGAGGACGATTAGAGATGGGCAGTCGGCGACTGGAGCAGGCAGAAAAGTGCACGATCGAAGGCGCACACCCATTTCCAAAACGGGACAACTCGTCCAATCACCTGACTGGGGCTTCCATTAGGCGCTCGTTGGCCATCCACTGAGCGCGCTCAAGTGAACATACTTAGTCGGCCTGTATGTTGCTTCACGTCATAAGTTGAGACCGCACATCACCAACTACTTTCTTGTATATATGAAGGCATGAAATTGCTGTTAGAATTGGTTCGTCAGCGCTGTGCTACGATTCAGACCGCTGGCAGTCACTCTCGAGACAGCTAATTACTAAACCGTTCGATCCCACTGTGACCAATGTCTCTACTTCGCCGTCTGCCTTCGTATCAATGCAGTTATCTACGCGGAGGATGGAGCGTACTTAGAGTCACACTGTTGGCAAGGTCACGGCTTCTGTTCCATGCATGACGTTCGCTCGCTGACCCGAGTACGGGCGTATATCTGCGCAGGTGTTCTATGTCGGCGGAATCCATGAGGAGCAGAGCTTGCAGTGATTTTGAATACGCATCCATGCAGCAGCTACTTATAGAGGACCAGAAATGTGCTGCGGTCGGACGGTTCGGACCTCAGTCGGAGGACGTCTTGCACGCTAAAAGGCTAAGCGACGGTTATCTATAACATTATGGGACGACGGTGTTGCTGTGGCGCGCGTAACTCGCGTGGAACGCACATGGAGAGCACATGGCGTCCACGTTCGCCGCATGGCCTCAGCCACCTACCGGCCGGGCGCTCTCTCCTCCCCGGCGCCTGCGCCCCCCGCCCGAGCTGTCCCCGAGGCGGGATTTCCGCGCGCAATGCAGGACAACTCAGTACCGGGAAATAGGACCTGTGAGTACTGAGGGATGATAAATTAGTCAGCACCGGGAAAACATAACATATCAGTAGTGGGAAAACAGGACACATCAGTACCGGGCAATAGGGAATATCAGTACCGGGAAATAATAGGATGAAACAGTGGTGATATTCAAAACATCAGATCATATTCAAGAAGACAATTGCTGAATGTGTACCACAGGCCAGGAAACATTCAATTAAAGTGCAATCACAAGACTGAACATATTGTGAGCACCGGGAAATCAGTACCGGGCAATAGGATATCTGAGTAGTACCAGGAAAATGATACATAAATACCAGGACAATAGGGAATATCACACCAGCATCAGGAAATAGTAAGAAATGTCAGATTATATTCAACAAGACAAAGATATCACTGAACCACAGGCCGGGAAGCATGAAGACTAACACACAGCATTGAATGAACTAATGCTGCCAGCCCGTGGCGAAGCCATGGGCTGGCAATGCCCAAGCATATAACCTTCAAAGTAACATAAAGCACAGAATGAAAGAACCGCCGCCAGACCTGAGGCGAAGCCCAGGTCTGGCATTGCCTAAGCATGAAATCTTAAAAGTAACATGAAGCACAGAATAAAGAAATCACCTGCCATGGGCTGGCAATGCCCAAGCATATAACCTCCAAAGTAACACAAAACACAGAATGAAAGAACTGCCGCCAGACCTGAGGCGAAGCCCAGGTCTGGCATTGCATAAGCATGAAATCTTAAAAGTTACATGAAGCACAGAATGAAGAAATTGCCCCGTAAACCCGTGGCGAAGCCACGGGTTTGCGATGCTCGTCTGATAAGATGGGCCGAAATGACTGATCGGATCTACTTTTGGCACGTGGGTGCTCCATTGACAGAGCGAGCCACTCCCGCGTCGGCTCCCTCTTGCATTCTGTCACTCATATATCCTGCACGTCCGACGGCTGGCTTCCTGTCTCTTCTTCTTCTCCTCCCGCCATGAATCGCTCAGCCAGAATCATCATTCTCCTGGTCATAGATGTTCTCTTCTTTCTCCTCGAGCTCATCGTCGGTGCGTCGCGCTCGATCATCTTCCTGTGAGCTGAGATTAGCAGTGGCTGATCATTGCTTCAGGTAATGCTGTGGGCTCCCTGGCGCTCATCGCAGATAGTTTCCATATGTTGAAGTGAGTTCATATCCGTCCACGCTCGACCTGATGAATTGAACGGCGCTGCAGTGATATCCTGAGCCTCATCATTGCTCTATATGCGATCAAGGTAGAACAGTATACCGCGCTACTTGCGCGCATTCAGGACCTGATGACATTCATACGCAGCTCACGAACCAAACACAAACCGACTCTCGTTACTCCTATGGGTGGCATCGCGCCGAAATACTGGCTGCTCTTGTCAATGGTGTCTTCCTTCTTGCTCTCTGTTTCTCCATCTCCATAGAGGCTATCGGCCGATTCTTCTCTGCCCCGGGTAAGCACCGGAGCTCAGAGGCAACACATTAGCATATTGACCTCAGACCGTCGCAGAAATATCGAACCCCAAACTGATCACTATTGTGGGCTCGCTGGGGTTGTTGTCAAACGTCGTCGGGTTGTTCCTGTTCCATGGTTCGTCCACGCCGGAGCTGTTGACTTGTGGCATCGACTCATTGTGCATCAGAACATGGTCATGATCACGGCCACTCCCATGGCAAGACCACGCCGACATCGTCGAAACCCTCAAGCATCAGGTCTCACAGCGGTGAACACGTTCCCAAGGCGTCCACCACGCCGCCGCGCAACATCTCCCCGAGTCGCGCCCGTGCTCGAACAAACTCCTACTCGTCGCTATACGGCCACCCCGCAGCGACCCGTGCCTCACTGGTGCAGACAGCGCAAGAGATTGCGCTTGCTCGGTCGCCCTCCCCGCCTCCAAGGGGACTGCGGAGCAAGTCACGTCATCATCGTTCGCGCTCACGCTCTGCCATCGGCGACGCTGACCCCGACGGGACTCTCGTTGGTTCCTCAGCCGGCGATGCCCAGCCAGCAACAGAGTCTACGCCTTTGCTCTCCGAGACCGCTTCTGTGGACTCGCACTCGCATTCACACGATGCGGACGGAAACCACGACCATGGCAATGGCGGCCGCGACCATGGGCATTCACACGGGTCGATGAACATGCACGCACTATTGCTACACGTGCTGGGAGACGCACTGGGCAACGTGGGCGTCATCGCGACTGGGCTGGTCATTCTCTACTCGTCGTGGAGTTGGAAGTACTACTTCGACCCCCTCATCTCACTGGTGATTACGGTCATCATCTTCTCTTCCGCCTTACCGCTGGGTACGCATGTTTCTCGCTTGGACATGCACCCCATGCTAATTCATCCGCTCATTTAACTTGTTCAGTTCGCAGCACGTCGTTCATTTTGCTGCAGGGCGTTCCCTCGACCGTGTCCATCGAAGACGTGAAGGGCGCTATTCTCGCGGTCGACGGCGTGCTGTCTCTGCACGAATTGCATGTCTGGCAGCTCTCGGAGTCGAAGATCGTCGCTAGCGTGCACGTCATGGCGAGCCGGAATCACGACTTCATGCCCGTCGCAGCCGCGATAAGGAAGGCGCTTCACTACCAGGGCATCCACTCGAGCACCATTCAGCCGGAATACCATCCGCGAACGGCGCCGCCAGAAGAAAACTTGAAGACCTCAGCGGAGACGTCATGCTTGATCATGTGTCCTCCGGACCAGGAGTGCAATCCTGCAGAAAATGCTTGCTGCCGTGAGTAGATCACTAGCGTTGACTGTATTCTCATCGTCTTACGAAATTACCGCGCAGCACCGCCGGCGATGGACGTCTGAGCCTAGCCCTTATGTATCATTAGGAAGGAGAGTCATTGGCGACTACCAGTGAATACAGTATCCAAGTCTGTTTATATGCCCCTTGTAATTTGCACCGTCGGTCCCTATACACTACATTCCATCCTCATAGCTCTGCCATGAACGTAGGGAAGTTGGCAACGAAGGCAGGCGATGACGCCAACCTCTGCACGATGGCGCTACTGCTATTATGGCCACGCGCCATGCTCCGTAGCTCGCTCCCGAGATTACGCGCCATGGCGGCTGCAGATTGACCGAGCACCGAAGTTTTCTCGTTGCAGACGGTGAGCAGCGCACGCTCGAGATACAACGCCGCTGTCAACGCCGATGCGGCCACGGAGACAACTAGTTCCACCGTGATCGCCTGTTCCGAAGGTGGGAGGCTGTCGGCGCCGGTGACAATGCCAGGTAGATATGCGTGCAAGAAGATGGGCAGGAGCGGGGGCGAGTGCGAATGCCGCGGAGTCGTTAGAATGAAGGACGCCAGGCGTCTGGCCGCCTCCATCTCGCCCATCGTCGCGGCGACAGTAAGTTCCCTCCAGAGGACGTAAAGGAACCGAGCGGGAGTAACAGCCAGTAAACAGCGGTCGAGGTCGAGGGCCGGTGCTTTGCCCCCGCGCGCTGCAGCCAGAGCGTTTCGTACAGCATGCGTAGCGTGATCGACTTTCGGGCTTCCTTGGTTATTGAGAGAAAGCGGAGGTTGACTCGCATCTGTGATATTGCAATCCCATCAGTGGGCATTCGTGCGAACAAGGCAGGCAAGACACCCGCCTTCTACAAGAAGGCCTAGAGTTCGCAATGCAATGCGCCGGATTGGCGAAGGGTCAACAGGTCCCGTGCGACTGCGTTCTTGCTTGTGGGTGGATGGGAGCAGCCTCAAGATGCTCGGGGCGGATAGGCGGAGAATGGCGTGTGGGCATGATGGCGAAAGCAGAAGCGTCTGCAGGACTTCAAGATGCACAGGAGCATTGTACCTGCAGATCTTCAGTCTCAGTGGACGTTGCCGATGAGAGTCCTGACGTACCCTTTTTGTCGGATTTCTGTCAACAGCCACCTCACGGTCCCGGCCAGAGTCCAATTGAGAAGATTCCCAAAGAAGTACTGTATTCCGTTTACAAGGACGTCCTTCTCCATCTTCCGTTCCAAGCATAGGCTGATCGCATGCGCAAAAAGACTAGCTGTAATCCGCAACAGTGTCTTCGGTCGAGTATTCCTGTATGTTGCCCTTGTCAGTGCACGTTATCTTGCGCACCACGGTTCTCTTACCGGAGAATACTGTCCTCGATTCCTTCACTGTTCTTGTCGAAGAGGGCCTTATTCCATGCCTGGAAATCGGCCGCCGCTTCGTCTTGAAGCTCGTGAACTTGGTATACAGTGGCCACAGGAAGAATGAAATCGACGTTCAACTTGTGATCGCCGATGCTCGCGTTTGTACGTGTCCACTAGATAGAGCAGTATGTGAGTAGTGGTTGATGATAACCTATCGATTGATCTCGAACATTGTGTCGCGCAACCATCTCTTGTAGGAAAAGGACCACATCGCCTAGATGGCTGACCGCAGTCTGCGGGTCACCTGTATCAACAGTGTTAGTCTACTACAATCTACGAATGTTTATGGGTCTGCGTGCCTACTGTCTCGCAATCGTAGTCCTCCACGAAGGCTAGTGCCGACGCGAGAAGTTCTCGTAGACAAACATGAATCGAGATGATGTCGACGGCTGGTTCGCAGCGGCAAAGGACCTTGCAGATGTGACTGAGGGACTCGACGTCAGAAGGCTGGCTGAGGCTCGTGAATCTCTGGGGTAGGTATCAGCAATCATCACGACCAGTTTCCAAACAATGTTCACCTTGTGGACGACTGCAGCGAAATCTCCATGGCTGCATGCATCTCTGCATACCCTTTCTGCTAATGACACGGCCTCTTCGATGTCGGTGTTGTCCAAGATCAATTTGGCCTCGAGGTATGACTGTAACTGCGTCAGATGTGTTGACGAATTCATGAAGCATTCGTTGACCCACGGCGACATCCATGCTTGCGTCGCGAGCCTCGGTCGTGATACGAGGGGTAAAATTATTGGACAATGTTGGGTTGATAGTTGCGGCGAACGATGCGTCGACCAAGTCCGTGATGGCCATTTGATGTAGGAACTCTAGGGCAAATGGAGCCGGACTAAAGTAGCGTGAGGTTGCTGATTGAGAGCAGTCATTTTTTGAATTATGCACTCACTGAAGGGCTTTCTCTGCGCCCGACTCTCCACTCGTGCTCGGGAATGCCTGCACGTTATCACACTTCTCGAGGAGGTTCACTCGGAGGAGATTCATCAGCCCATATTGGATTGCTACGTGCTGGGGCCTAGGTAAGATGTAAACTGTTCGGAGTTACATGTGATTGACGTACCCAGCCACCGTCTAATAGACCCTCTGATTCCGCTATCTTTCTGAACATACCCAGTAATACCGGAAGCTGCAGTCAAAATGAGTGAGACTGCTCTTCTAGATGCCGCCGATTTCACTTACACGACCGACAACGAACGCACGCAAGATGATTGACGATGTTGACGAGGAGCTTGGGCTAGTACTTTGCGCTACGCAAGACACGGCCGCAAGAAGTAGCTGCGAGAAGAACACCGTGGGCGGCCACGATAGGCACCTGAACAAAGTCACAAGTACTGCAGCGGCATGTGTGCCATCTCCTGCACCAAAGTCGCCTGCTCGGTTCAATATCTACAGCCCCGTTAGATGAGCGAAATGACAACGTTCAAAGGGTATCAACATACGAAAGAATGTAGGACCAGACCGCAGGTCACCAGATCCGCCGTGTCAGAGCTTGGACCCATGATGTCCCCTTTGCTATACGCTAGTTGTAGAGTATGCATCATTTGTGCCTCTCGTGCGGCCTTCGCATCATCACCCAGCAACAAGCTCAATGACAGTGCGAATGTTTCGAGCTCTTGCTTGACGGCTGGGAGAAGACTCTGGATCTGTAGGATATCATTCGCCTCAGCACAATACACCATTGCTTGTGCTGTCGATATCTGTGATATATCTGCAGGGCTGACACAGGATATCAACAGAGTGAGGAGTTCAGACGCTGAAGTGATGAGTTGGTGGAAGTGAGATGGCGGGAGGTGATGCGCTGTCCGTAGCAAGGAGATGGCATTCTGTACTGTGCCCAAGAGGTCGGCGGGTGTCTCCGAATAAGGAACGATAGAACCAAGGGCTGGAAGACCCGTTGCATAGTGCACATCGAGAGCCACCCTGCATAGCATGTCAAGTGTGGCCGTATTATGCAGATCTGGCGATTGGGCGGCCGAGAGGAATGTCGTCACAAACTTCGGGAGCGTCAAGAGGTTGTCCTTTATTGCACATCTGAGGTAGCCTTGCAATGCAGGATCCCCTGGATAGTTTCGAAACAAAACTAGCACAGAATCTATTGTCGCAGGTCAATTGCTGCTGTAAGAACAGGCCGACTAACTAGATGGCCACTTACTGCTGATGTCGGTTTGAACATCCTCAGTAGCAGCATGGATGCCATTGTTCGTGAGAAGCAGTTTGCAAAGAGACGCCCACTAGATGCACGCTCAACATAACTGCCTCATCGAAGAGGGTGGTTTACTCACTTTCTTCGCGGATATGCCACTGTGGAACGCATTCCGTGTGAGTTCGCTCACAGACATACTTGCGTAGCATACAAGCGAATAGCGCAGTCACAGATGTTGAGAAGGTCGGTCGAGGGTCTGGGATCAACAGACGTGCTGACTGCCAACCAATGGCTTCAAGTTAGTTGAGAGCCGTGGTAAGTAGCCCAATCCGGTTCACACATCAACGTTTCAACGCCACAACGCGGTTGTTCCACAATAGGCAAGTACTGTGGTACACGCGTTCACGGCTGCCAGAAAACGCACGACTGTTGTCTGAACGTGTGGATGCTACGGCGTTCATCACGAATCCCAGTTCGAATGAATGTTATTATATATATATATATATAGATGGCAGCCAATGAGGTCAAGAAGTGAGAGTAGGTAAGTACGCTGTTTGATCACACTTTGGACACGAGTCGTCTCGTTTCCTGCGGAGTAAACCTCAAAATCGTAGACAAAATGCGCACAAGATGTGGCTGAATGATATGCGCCAGCTTCAGTTGCAAACTCGAGTACAATACATAGGAGGGGGAGACTGACCCTCATTTCCTTGTGTTCCAGGAACTGCAAGATGACGTTTCGCAGGTATTCGATGTTGAGCTCCTCGTCAGATTGTGAGAGAGCAGGCGAGCTAGGTCTGGATGGACTATCGCGACCATCCATGGACGACCTCGGTGAACGTTCGCCGGAAACATCTTGCCGCGAAGCCCAGTAACCCACACCCGGGTTTCGCTGCCGTTCGAGGAGCGCTGCAGACGATTGGACTTTGCGGAGCTCGTCACGCAAGGTCTGATGCGACATTAATGACAGTGGTGGCCATAAGTAGGGGCCATACCTTGTTGTTCGCGCGCAATTGGGCTTCTCTTGCTTTGCCTTCCTCAACGAGTTGCTGTAGAGCAATGATTCTCGCATTGAGGTCCGAAATCTGTGACTTGAAGCCATTCTATAATAGCAAGGGCGTAGGTGAGCTTGGTCGCATTGTACACACTCAAACGTACCTCAGATTCCGCAGCCCTGTCGGCTTGCGCACGCATATCAGATATACGTAGCTGATGCACTCGGACATCCTCCCTCAGCCTATCGATTTCTTCTTGAAGAGTTCCCACATTCTCGGATTCCTGCTCTCGGCTCTTCGCTGACGAGTTGAGTATCTCCCTCAGAGAATCCAGTTCTCGAGACTTATCCGCCAATTTCCGACTCCACAGCGCCTCGCCTTCTTCCCGCTCCCGCTCAACGGTGCTCAGCCTGTTGCGCAGATCGCTGATGCGTGCTTCGTACTTGGACTCAGCAGCGGAGAGTAACCGAGATACTTCCTCGGCGGAGGGACCAATGTTGAGAGCTTTCGTCTCCTGCTCTCGACGAGCATCCGAGAGTTCTTCCGTTAGGAGAGCGACGCGATCGGTGGCTTCGCGGAGCTGGTACTGGAATTCGGTCGTCTGGCCCTCAAGCGACTCTAGACGAGATCGCGACGACTCCAACTCTGCCTGCCGCAGTTGCAGCTGGTCGAAGAACTCGTCCTTCTCCCCTTCCAATGAGCGAACCAGACTCTGAAGATTCACGATCCGGGAGTCCCGGTTCTCGATGTCCTTCGCCAACGATGTCTGGAGAGGGACTATCAGCAAAGCGAAGCGGGCATCATAATCACTGGCATACCTTCGTCGTGATGGCCTCAAGCTCGAACTGACTCTTCATCGCGGCCAGCTCCCTCTCGTGCCTCTCCTTCAGAGTAGCTACCTCTTTGTCGAAGTGAGCCTTGAGACCGCTGAGAGCCGTCTCCCGTTCTGCATTTGCCCGCTCAACTTCGCGCTTCAACTCTGCCTTCTCTGCGCGCTCTTTCTCCAACTCTCCTTTGCCCTGATCTCTGACGCCCAGGATCTCCTTCAACGCATCGTCCCGGTCCTTCTCTGCTTTCACGAGCTTCTGCCGCACTGTCTTCAAGAGACCCACGGCCTTCACGCGCTTCTCCTCCTCGTCTTTGACAGCGCCCTTCATACGGTCCATATCTGTTTGCAAGCGTTCAATCTCGGCTTTGCGCTTCGCCGACTCTTCCTCAGCACGCGTTGTGGAAGATTGGGTTGCCTTCAGGAGAGCTTCTGCTTCGTCGATCTGGGCTTTAAGCTTATCGATCTGGTCCGATTGAGACTTGGACTCCAGTCGGTGGATGTCTCTGAGCTCGTCGATCCGCTCTTCTTGTCCTATGTTCCATCGGTCAACACTGTTACGAAAGACAACAAAGGAGGCTACACACTCGTAAGCTTGCCCGTGAGGCGTTTGATCTCGTCCTGAGTCATCTGAGTCCGTGTCAGGAAGTTCTTCCGATACTGCAGCGAACATCCAGCCTACCTCCGTCTTCATGTTCATGTTCTGGAGATAGTCGCGCAAAGATTCCACTTCCTGCATGCTTTGAAGGGGGGTGAGTTCTTGGAGGACCTTGTCCGTCGCGAGCTTTTCTGCTTGCAGCCGCTTGAACGATGTGGAGACGTCTAGCAGAGTGTTAGAACTACGGGCGATTCTATGCCTATTATGCGCACCTGCAAATCGTTGCTCCACCAGTTTCAATCGCTTCTGCAGACCTTCAACTAGACCATCACTCTCCGCATCATTCGGCAGTAAAGGTGTCACCGGCGTGGAGGGTAAGGCAGTGCGCGGTGTGTCGACTGAAGGAAATTCGCTGGCGTCTTGCGACACCAACTGGATCGCAGGCTTGTCCGGGACGTTCTGCGAGGGCAAAGCGGCGCGAGGTTCAGGCTCCCCCAACGAAGGAGCCGCGCTCTCTGTCGGAACACGCGGAGGTAACACAGTATCGGCCGGGGTATCTGGCAGTGACGGCACTTCAGATGGCACAGAGTCAAGCGCCTGTGCTGTTGTGGTGGACTGGGGTGTATCAGGCTCTGCGGGAGGCACGGTAAGGAGAGGGACGTCAACAGGAGATGGATGTATCTCCTCGCTCTCAATTTTGCTGCCTGTCGTGTTTGTATGGTCATCCGCAGGCGCAGCTGGCTCAACATCACTCGACTCGGTGTCCACAGCAACAGCTCCCGATGTCGTCCCCGCCTCCAGATTTGTGGTCTCCGTGGTAGGTTTCGTCTCCGGTATTGAAGCTAACAGTTCATCCTGCTGAAGAACAGGCGATGGAGACGGGGCCATGGCGGGCTTTGCGTCTGGCGCGTCTTCCATCTCCAAACCGTGCCCAGTGGCCTCAGGAGACTCTTGGAGACTCCCGTCGGTGACAAGAGAGTGTAGAGAAGTAGTTGTCGCAGGATGAGATGTATCGAGCGTCGGTGACACAGGTGGTGAATCAGGCAGAGGTGCAGAAGTCGGGGAAAGAGGATGCCAGACGGCGTCAACGCCAGCCGTGTATCCGTGCCTGGACGTTGCAGGTACTGGCGAGCGTATCTCTGGCTGCGTGGTTTGCGGGTCCGCAGGCGAGAGAGACCTTCCCTTAAGCGGGTCCCCACTACTGCCGGTTGACAGCGCCGGTGAGTCTGGCAAGGGTGTCGACGCGGGGGAAAGAGGAAAGTCGGGTCCTGTAGTAGAATTCGATCTAGTGGCAGATGAAGACGAGGGAGTACCGGCATTGGATGCCTCTGCGTTGGCAAGCTTCGCTCGAATCCGGTCTTCCAACGTAGAGCGCGGCCTCGGACCTCCATCTGTAGGCCTTCCCGCAGGACTTGCAGGGCGCTGCGAGTTCAGAGATGATTGGGAACCCCTGCGCGCCTTGTCTAGGGACGGTCGCGCCTGGCGGGCTTCAGCAGACAAGTCTTGGGAAGACTTCGGCGAGTGTTGTGCCAGGTTCTCGACTGCCTGAATCCATTGCGAGAACATGCTTGATTGAACGATGGGTATGGAATGGCCGGTTGACGTCCGTGGAAAGGAGTGGGATGAAGGTGAAGTAGATTGTAAATGGAAACAGTGCCGTCTTCCGCGCACTCACCGCGCTGTTCGCTGCTGCCAGCGACCGGAGACACGCTTCGCGCGTTTCCTGCTCAGTGAAGCACGTGCTGGACGCGTAGGAATGTAGACCGTGCTAGACGCCCACGCAGGACGTTCATGTACAGTTCGACCTAGGTTCGACCTCCCCGACCTCTCGGGCTCGGGCTCATACGTCTAATACAGCGGCGACTCTGGACCCGTTCTATGACACGGTGTGCGAAAGCAGCACTTCTCTCCTTTATGTGGTGACTTAGGACTCAGGGTTCAATATTCAGTCCTGGATACGGTCAGTTGAACATTGCGCAGATCTCGACTTGGCATAACCATCGGCATCCAATTTCTGTTAACTATCATTTGGAGCAAGCATTTCTGCGTCTCGGAGCCAAGGTCAGCCTGTACGAGGCGCGACATTTGATGTATGTGTTCGCATCCACTCTGCTAATTCTGTCAACGCTATCTTCAACTTCGCAAATGAATTGGATGACTGCATGGCCTCGCGTTCGGGGCGTGTGCTGCAGTCGGTGTGGCCAGGTGCGTCCCAAACGGTCCACATCCCATCTAATATTACACTATCTGATGGCGTTGAACAGGGACTATACCGGACCATGTTATATGAGCACATCTCCGTCGCGTTTCTGACAGCAAGTCACGTCAAAATACCATCATAACGATGCCCTATGTCTCCGAAGCAACGGTGTGCTATTCACTCACATCTTGCGTAGTCAGCCTCCGGACAACTGACTGGAGCTACGGCTCGACACATTGTGTCTATCGCCTCGCGACGTGTGTAAGACTCTCATACTTTCTCTTAACCTTCGCCGCTTCAGAAGCATCTTGTCTGTCGTTATGAATGCCGGATCAGATGTCTGACGTGCAACAGGCACTCTGGGACACCCGCAGATCGAATCGTACGCCTTCTTATGGTACGCTCCGTTGGTCCTCAATGGAGTGCTTGATCTCTCAGCTCGGATATCATAGGATGCGCAGCCGTTGTCTTTTGGATATATACTCCTTCTACAGGTGAGATAAGGGCTGAGTCTTCAAGTCTTGCATCGTCTCCCTAGTAGCGAGCCACTCCTATACACGATACACGATGTGCTTCGGTGAAAATTGCGCTCCCCAAGCAACTCAGTACATCAACGCTCAACTCGCTGTCCTCCACGCTAACGCTGCATCTTGCTTCCAAGAGCATGCGAACGCGCAAAAAGCTGAAGAGCAGTTTCGTATGTACCTAGTCAAATGTCCAAGGAACATCGCCGCTGACGTAGGCATGTAGGGTACTCCCATGCTCTTTACGACTTCGTGTATGGCAAGGTGGCAAGGCGACGCCAAAGCAAAGCTGGGTACGACACAGAATTTCATGCGACGTTCGACAAGCCAGATCTCGAGTTTATCTGTAACCATGATGTCATCCTTCGAATCAAAATCAAGACCGGGCATTACTATATGGACTCACTCGATCAGGGCGGCGTCCTCAGAAGTCCTAAAAGGTATGTGGTCAACCTCATTATCTCCCTCCACTGACTGATTGAGGAGTTGTATTTCGTGCAGTGACCGTGTCAGAGAGATACAACATCAAACGTTCGATTTACGTGTCGGCTTCGACATTCGTACAGCGTCCAGTGCGGATATACAAATCGGCAGCGCACCCGCTCTGATTCGGTTGATCACGTTGGACCTCCTCGGTAACTCGTACTATCCTGAGGTCCTGGCTTCGTAGGCATGCTGATATATCATGTCAGGGGCGGAATTTGTGTCCGCAACCCCAGCAATCGCGGAGGACAGAGACGTGATCCTCTCGTTTCTGCGCCGATACCTGGAGTTCTTACAGAAGGCGGGGAATCATATATTCTTCTCTCTTCCTAGCTTCGAAATCAGTCGCCTGCCTCTGCTCATCGACTACACTGCATCGCGGCGCGACACACGCTCGGACTGCTTCGAATTATATGGCATCCACGTGAACAAGATCAACGAGCAACTCAAGTTAGCTTGGACGAAAGCCGCTATCGCGACAGCGGCCGGCGGGACGACGACTTATACCGCAGCCACTGACTGGAAGGCCAACTCCGTTGCCGAGTATCTTGGATTGTGGTCAATATACCAGACTGATGTGCGATTCCACCTGAAATTCGGCCCTCCGACAGTGGAAGCGATATGTTCGCGCGAGGCGGTCCTGTACCTTATGCTTGACAAGATCTTCGTATTCGAAGAGGCCGGTCTTGACGGGTACGTCGTTTTCGCTGGAGTTTATAGATATCATGAATCTTATGGATTTGTCCTCCAGAGCACCGACGAGTGTACTCGACGGCTGGCGAATTCCCATCACGGTTGAAGTGATTCAAGAACAAGCCATCGAAACTCGTATCAGGGTCAACCTGAGCAGTGAGTTCGTTCTTGCTTTACCATTCTAACTGACCTAATGTACTGTCGTGCTCGGCCATGTATCTTAAGAGTCTAGAGTCAACGCCTCACTCCCGCCTGGCGACGAATCCGACGGCTACGAGCATTATAGGAGAGCTATTCTAGAATTTGTACAGAGGGAGTATCTCGCCGTGCTTGAGAGCGCAGGCTACCTCGTCCTCTACGACACGGGGCGCGCCGCTTCTGTCGGCAGCGTACAGCTCGCCATGACGCGGATAGAGACGTCCACCTTCTCCGCCTTCGAGGAATACGCAGAGACTACGCAGGCGTCCTGGACCGATATCATCGTAGATTCGGATATGCAAGGCTTTGACCAGGTCATCTCCGTCTCCCAAGGGTCGATAAACTCGCGCTTCACCCAGATCCACGAGGCGGCGAAGAGGACCGAGAGTTGGATATCTATGCTGGCAAAGTGGTCATACGAGCGGTACTTCTCTGCAACCTTCGAACCCCTCGCCGTGTACCTGCTCAGCAATGGACGTGCGCTCCTGTGGGTCCACCTGACTGACGGCTTTCTTCGTCCGCTGGTTGACATGAGACCCTCCCTCGAGTGTGTAGAACAGTTCAGGAGCGTCATGAAATGACTCATTGGACATTCTAACAGCGCTGAAGAATACGACTTCGAGGACCTCCGTCTGGCATTCGAGGTGAAACTCGAAATGATCGACGATGCTACTCTTCAAAGCACCAGCCCCGATTGGTTCTCGAATGCCTCTGGTTCTCAGGCGTACAAAACGCACGGCAACCAAGCAGATCGCACGTTCCGCCACCTATGTTTCGACACTAGCAGTGAGGCACAATATGTCATGTCACCCCGCACCCCCTAACCAGAACTATCAGGTGCCGAGTTCTTGTACGAATATTCGCAGATAGACGACCTACTTCACACGACGGGCTCGGAGCTCATCGACAAGCTGCAGGGCATGATCTACTACCTCCGCCAGCATTACTTCCCTGCTCTGGTGCACAACGGGTTACACGTTCTGCACACCATGCCTGTCTGGAGCGCACCGCCCTTGGACCTGTCGTATGCCTTGACAGACGTTGACTTCCAAGTCTACTCCAGCGTCGAGGTGACCCGCCACAACTGGGCACAGCTGTCGGCATCGGTCGAGCCAGTGCTCACGATCCTCGGGATGACCTCTCAGCATCCCCGACCTGGTCATAATCTCTCCTTCTGTACCAACTGGGTCGCGCGCGTTGAGAGAGGCTTCTCTCATGGGACCGTCGCGATATCCAACAAGGACCAGAATGTGCTTCATCGCCTGGCTCGCATCAATTCCCTTACATCTGTCATCCCCGTCTTGGTCGCTTCCGACACAACCGACGGCTGGCAGCTACAACTGACTACCATAGCTGCACGTCATGGACCGCGAATTTGCCCTTGGAAAGTTGAGAGGATCCAAGAGAACAGCTGCATTAAGTACGAATGGGACTACAACGTCTCAACTACGTATTCGCATGAAGGCAGCGGTATAACGAATGGCGCTTACGCGGTAACCTGTGAGGCGCCTGATCCCTTTTCACGGAAGTAGCCTTACCGTTCTTTTCTAGGTTCTACTCGCAACTATGTGGAGCTACCGACGGTCTACAGGAGTGGGAAGTTGGAGATCAAAGTATGGGGAGAGGTCACAGTGGAGATTGCTTACAAGGCAGGCTTGATCGAGGGCAGGTAAGCACCGCATATTCAAATCGGTCTCATCGAGCATTCGCTAAGCTTCCCTGATCGGCAGCGCGAGCGGAGTGGCCAGATGGGTTACGTCCATCAACATTCAGACCGATCTCTACAATGGCGTGAAGTGCGACGCACTCGATGAGATTCCTATCGTCTGCGAGAAGGTCGAGTACAAAGGGAACGCCCCCGCCACCAACTACCTCGACATCGCAGCGGAGCTGAAGGCTCAGCTACCGCAGTCGCTCGACTTCAAGGAGGTCGTTCAAGGGATGCGACAGTACGAAGGGGCGTGGCAGACATGCTATCCCGGCACCAATGCATATGTCCTCGCCAACCCGGTTTTCAACCGCCAGGGAGACCTGCTCTTCGAGCTGCGTCCTCATGGGCAGTGGAATGCTGCCATCGCGCCCCTTCGCCAAAACAGGGCGGCATCGCAGAGTCCTAAGAAGACCGAGGAGTCGCTAGTAGGTAGTAGCCAGGGGTCTAGTCCAATCTACGCCAATGACTCTGATGGTGCGTCTTGGCTGTCACATAACAATTGACTTTCTGACAATGTTGTAGATGCTGTTGATCTCGAGGAGAATGTGGAAGGGGTCCACGGTGAGATGAAACCCGAAGGTGATGGACAGGCGCCATCGTCAGAAGAGGATGAGGGGCTCGTGGCTGAGATGTAGCGTCTGAAGATTGCGATGAGTCGTCGCACACGACAACCTGCGTTTTTCTGTCTGTCATGATTCAAGCGCAATGGATATGTGTTCCCAGTAGTGGTATAGTATACAACGGCGACAAGCCTGGTACACGCACACTATGACTCTGGAGTAGAAGCATCGGATGGTACCTCCACCGCCTTTCCCTTTCCATTGGGCAACGGTGGGGACATAGACGGCGGCTGAGGTGATGGGATGCTGGTCGTGGTTGCAGAGGATGGAGCGGCGGCGAGCTGCCATGCTGGTATAGCGGGCTTACTGGGGACTATCGGTGTGGAGAAGCCACTCGGGGAAGATGGTCCGCGACTCAACAACAGTGCTTTCATTGATTTGAGCTCTTGCTGTAGTTCCGCGAGTGTCTGTTGTTGACTTTCCTTGTTCTTCTCCAACATCTACGAGCGTAGATGCGGTAAGCAACACGATACATCCCACAAAGTGCCGACGTTACCTTCGGTAACAGCTCCCGAACATTGTTCACCTCATCCCTTATCTCGCGCATCTCATCCCTCGCCCTCGCTTCACCTTCCCTCATCTCTTTCACTATCTCCTCTACCTCCTGCGCCGCCTTCTCGACCTTGTCACTCTGCTGTTCGACTGCAAGGCGGACAGCAGCTGATTCTTCTTGAATGTCTTTGAGCAGAGCCTCTGCTGCGTCGAATTGCGACGTCAACGCGTTTCTGTCGGCCTCATACGCGGTAGCAGATGGTGGCTGCAGATGCGGAAGAACGAATTTCTGTCACAAACGATGAGCGCAGTGCCGTCGTCGTAGCCGCATTACATACTCTGAACAGTGAAGCTGCCACATAGGCGACACTTCCAGAGACAACAGCAGTGATCTGAAGCGTGTCAGTGCCGAAGTAGAGATGCGTTTATGAGTGCTCACAAAGTAGTCTCTCCAATCCCATGGTTGCATAGGAGGTTGTGCGACGAAAGGCGATGGCCCGTACACAGGAGAATAGGATGGCCCATACGGAACGGAAGATGGACCAGGAGCCATCTGTCCTCCCTGCGATGCAGCCTGTCTCATGGCCTCGTCAATCTCCGCGCTGGTCAGACCCTTGGCCTCCAGGAACTGGACTCGCTGAGCGAATGGCGATGCTTGGGTCTTTACGGGCCACATTAATCACTGCCATTATGTGCGAGGTGAGATGCACACGCCTTTGGGTCAGCAAGAAAGAGGACTGCATTGCGAATGAGGTCTTGACGGTCTGGGGTCGCCATCCGGCCAGAGTGCGGGGCAGAGAGCGAGGGGAACAGGCGCCCGTACCCGCTGCCGCGGTGAGCCGGGCTGGGAGACACATAGACGCTGGAGCTCGCGTACATTTTCGAGCCGGTCGCCGCCAACGCACATCCATCTCTCAGTCCACCGTCATGTTCAGACCACAGCTGGCTTCGAGGGCAGTCTCCCGCCGCCTCGCCGGCTCACGAGGTCAGTGTCTCTGCCCCCCCGCAGGCTAGCATGTCGCTGAAGCCCTCTGATAACAGCGGCATCGTATTCCTCTTCCACATGCAGTCGCACTCTGCTCAGGAATCCTACGCGGGTCGTACCTCCAACGTTCTCGCATGCCAAAGTTGGCTGGGGTGCGTTGGATACATTCTCTGCCGACTTCGCTGACCTCGCCGGTGTCAATTGCAGTCAGTCGCAGGTCGCACTACGTGGATGGTCTATCTTCGAAGTACAATCGGGCGAAACCCCATCTGAACATCGGTACCATTGGTGGGTGTTCCTTGCCCGAGGCTCTTCGAATCGACGTCACAATGTATCGAAAACAGGTCACGTTGATCACGGCAAGACCACGTTGACTGCAGCCATCACCAAGGTTCTCGCTGAGCAGGGTGGTGCGATGTTCAGGGACTACTCTGAGATCGACAAGGCTCCCGAAGAAAAGGCCCGTGGTATCACTATCAACTCAGCCCACGTCGAGTACGAGAGTGCCAATCGTCACTATGGCCACATTGACTGTCCTGGACACGCTGATTGTAGGCGACTCTGATGTCTCTGTGCTCCCCCACACTGACATTGTCATCCAGACATCAAGAACATGATTACTGGAGCCGCTCAGATGGACGGTGCCATTATTGTTGTCTCCGCTCTAGATGGTCAGATGCCTCAGACCCGAGAGCACCTGCTCCTTGCCCGTCAAGTTGGCGTTAAGAAGTTGGTCGTGTTCATCAATAAGATTGATCAAGTCGAGGACGAGGAGATGCTCGAGCTCGTGGACATGGAGATGCGGGATCTCTTGTCGACATACAACTTCGACGGAGAGAACACTCCCATCATCATGGGCTCTGCCCTAGCAGCATTGCAAGGACAAACGCCCAAGATTGGCCGGGAGAAGATCCTTGAACTTGTTAAGGCTTGTGACGAATGGCTTGAAATCCCTCCTCGTACGTTTGTCGATGTCTATGATCCATAGGATGGCACTCACAGATGACCAGGTGACCTTGACAAGCCATTCCTCCTGCCCATCGAAGGTATGCCCACGTTGCCCAATGCTTCAGTCTCCACCAGCTCATCGATGCTTCAGAGGTCTTCAGTATCACTGGGCGTGGTACGGTTGCTACCGGTCGGGTACGGTAACTAGCCTCTGCTTGTGTCCCCATATTGACCGAACCGAACAAACAGAACGAGCGAGGTGTTTGCCATAAGGGTGACGAAGTGGAAATCGTCGGCTACGGAGCCAGGATCAAGACAACATTGAGCGGTATCGGTAAGTAGCGTATTGAGGTTGTACAGTACTCAAGTGCTGAGATCCTCATCAGAGATGTTCAAGAAGGAGCTTGACAGGGTGAGTCGTCCGTGCAACAGTGTTGCTCAAACAGCTCACTGGCACGCTTGCAGGGTGAAGCCGGTGACAACATGGGTGTCCTGCTCCGTGGCATCAAGCGTGAGCAGATCACTCGTGGCCAAGTCGTCGCTGCTCCCGGTACCATCAAGTCCGTCAGTAAGTTCCAGGCTCAGATCTACGTGCGTTGTTTAGTCGTCCTCAGAATGTCTATGATATTCACCGTAATTCACCTGATCACAGATCTTGACTAAGGATGAAGGTAAACACTAGCGTCATCGACTCATTCATTAGTGAGATTCTGAATACCCTACCCTAGGTGGTCGTTACACGCCCTTCACGGAGTCGTACTCGCCGCAACTCTTCGTTCGCACTGCTGATATCACATGTAAGCTGGGTTGGCCAGAGGGTGTTGCTGATGCCGCTGAGAAGATGGTAAGGGGTAGGATAGGCTATTCGTTGGGTCCGCTGTTAACCTCCTTGATTAGGTTATGCCTGGTGACAACGTCGAGATGACTTGCACGCTACGCAAAGATGTTGCAGCGGAGATTGGGACACGGTAAGCGCATCGTTACACAGTCAAGCCGGATCTTACATGCTAAAAATCGGCCCAGCTTCACGCTCCGTGAGGGTGGCAGGACTGGTGAGTTTAACAGTCGCTACAGGGAAGACCGTCGTTCTCACATTCTTCACAGTCGGCACTGGCATCATCACGAAGATAATCGACTATGCGTAGTGGGCTGGGAGGAATATATTTACGTACCGCTATACATACATGTCTATAATGCTCATCATCGCCATCCCCACTCGCAAACGTAGAAGTTGGCTGACTACATCTTGCTTTCGTCGTATTGCATGCACACATCTCGCTTAGTGCCTCATCTGTTCTTTCTCCAACTATGCTAGTCCCACGATAGCAAGCATTAAAGCATGACCCAATAATGTATGCATCGTGGAACACATTGCGCGGCTCGACGTCGGCCTTAGTGAACGATGTGCCGTGCGGTGTCTTGACGTACTATAAGAGGTAGAGCCTCGGCGGGAGTCCGTCGGCTCCCTTGCGAGCTGAGAACATTTCTTTTTCTGAACAGCCGCGGTCGTACGTGCTCATACTCAGACTGCGAGTGCTCGTCATCTCTACGACCTGTCAACGAAGATGCTCCCTGCTCTCCGGCAAATCTCTCGTCCTGCGGCATTCGCGCTTCGTGCTGCCCGACGGCCAGCAGCATATGGAGGTGCTAGGCTTACCCCGTTCACGCGGACGATTGTCAGTGAGTGTCGTGACGGCTGGCCGCATGAGTCTAGGGGGTGACGGAGGACATATCCTTCAGCCAAAAGGTATACACAGGACCATGAGGTCGTCGTGTTCGACGACGCTACGATGAATGGCACGGTGCACATCACGAACTACGCCCAGTCGAGCCTCGGGGATGTCGTTTTCGTCGAGTTGCCTACGGAGGGCACAGAGGTCACTCAGGGTGGTGAGTGTCGTCCACATCGTTCGCCGTCCTCCGTCGTTGACAGACGAGCCGTTTTCAGACCAGATTGGTGCGGTGGAGAGCGTGAAGGCTGCTTCGGACATCGTTGAGTGTTCTCGCCGCACGGCGTGGTCTATCTACTGATACGGCATTGTTGTGCCATTACAGTATGCCCCTGTATCAGGAGTGGTCGAGGAGGTCAACACCAAGCTCGCTGACCAGCCGGGCCTCCTGAACAAGTCACCAGAGGACCAGGGCTGGCTTTGCCGGATCAAAGTCAAGGATGCCGCTGAGGTATGCATTTCTCCCTCGTCTTCCAACCGTGCTTTTGCCCACAAACTTCATAGGTTGAGAAATTGATGGACGAGGAGGCATACAAGGCGCACTGCGAGTCATGAACCTCCTGATGACCATGACACTGTACACTCCGGCTTCAACTGCCGTAGACATAGAGCTATTGAGGTACCTGATTTGCTGTTCTCGACCTACACTGGCGCAGCGTAGAGCAATATGTATATCACACAATAATATGGGATGCTGTGTCTAGCGTTGTAAAGCGATATGATTCGAGCGTGCAGAGCGAGAGTCGCAGACGTTGAGTGTAAATCAAGGATAGTCGGTCTTCTCTCCTCGCGCTTCCATCCGGCTCTTCGCCTCGTTGTACGCCCATGTTGACAGACTGCGCCGGAGTGTTAGCAAACAAGCACATCACGACGTAGGCGAAATACACGCACCTCGTGTCAGGCTTGTAGTAGAGGAGAACGCCCGCCAGCAGCATCGTCCCATACATCCCCGCATACCAAACGCTCTCCCAGTCCTCTTTCTTACGCTTCTCGCCCGGCGGTAGTGGCTGCGGTTCGCAAGTTCGCCAGGAAAATGGCACCAACGCATTCGGTCAGCTTGTGCGAATCTATGCTCAGCCAGCCATACGTACCTTCTCGCCAAACAGGTAGCCAGAAGGCTCGTTGTACTTCGGACCGCTACCGTGTGATGCGTATCGTCTGCATGCTGGGATGCTACGCTGCGTGGCGCGATGCGCCGTCCGCACCAGCGAGGTCGACAACATGGAGGAGTACTGGTTCAACACCGTTGTGTTCTTGAGCCGACCCCGGACTGTCCGGTTGTCACCGCAAGACCTGAATTAGGGTTACACAAGCGCTCGTAAGCGTCTGCCTTTGAGAAGTTGAGGCGCGATGCGACTCGGATGAGTTGAGAACTGTACTTTTGTCAACGACATGCACGCCAATTTATGGAGTATGTCTACATCTACTCATTCCAACACTAGACCCCGTATCCGTCCTTAATCGATAGGTAATGACAAGATTTCATAGTCATACTCTTCCCTTTCTTCATCACTCGACTCTGAGCCCTCCTCGCCGGAGTCAGGATATTCTGGTGACGTTGGATCGACTTCAAACCTGGGGGTATTCGCAGATGGTATGAGAGAAACGGCCGAGGCATACACCAAGGTTGCAACATACCCCAAGGCGTTGTACAAGCTGCGCGCTGCCACATTCGCTGTTGACAGACGTGAGTTTACTGCCTGTAGCATGAGAACACAGAGCCTACACTTGAACACCGTCAGCATGATCATCTGCATTTTCCATCGTTTGCCGATGGATACAAGCTGCTTCATCAGACATCCTCCCAGTCCGGAGCGTCTAGATTGCTGATGTACTTGAACCTCGTAGCTGCCACGTTCAGAGTCTGTAAGATATACACAGCGTATCCTAAAATAAGACGCACCAATAGACCACGTCTTTTCGTTCTTCTACCTCGAATCGGAACATTGAGTACGCAACTATCGTCGCAGGCACAGAAGTGCTAGAAACCTCCGGGGTATTGCGCACAACAATGAATCGTGACAATTCATGGAAGAGCTCCGCTTGCTTCTCAACCGGTTTCCATCCGAAAGAGGAACGTGCGTATCTGCAAACCAGGTCAGACAAGTCAATTGGGTGGAGGCTATTGGTGTGCGGCTCACGCATCCTTCATGTTGTTCTCGAGGATTGACCATATTTCGTTTCTATCCTCCGGACTGAATTCTGACGCAGCAAAGACCTCAAAAGATAGTTTTCTGGCCCCATATCGACAGATCTACCGGAGAATAGCAGAGGCACCTTGACTGTCACTCACTTGTGTTGTTCAGCCAATGTGGCACTGTCTAAAGAGGCTTTTAATTCGGAAGATGAAACCTACTATCGTCATGGTTTGACGCGACTCCTCGATAAAACGCATGACAGCGCACTTTGTTTGCCTTCTGCACTTTGGTTCGAGCACGGGTTGACTTCCTGCGCGCGGGCGCCATGTCACTGGGGGTCAGTGGTCATCAATGTAATTGAGCTGATATTTTCGTGGTGCCTTGTTCGCGACTGACCTGAAGATGGGGGCCTCTCACCCCGTGTGCAGGCTTACGACAGCTTACGACGAGGATGTATGTAGAGTGAGTGGATGAGAGTGAATGGACGCGGCCGCAGTGGCTGGCAACGTGACTCGGGCCGTGACTCTAGTGGCTACCAGACGGTCAAGATTCGATCGTTACTGAACGCCCGGCGAAGCTTCGGAAGTTGAAGTCACTGGCGATTCAACTTCAAGTTCATCATGATTTGGAGACACATATATTTCGAGGGAGTACAATCCCGTTGCTCCCGTGTGATGTAATAAATACCGTGGCACACTTTCAGTGTTCATGTATAGTACTGCGTCCGAGCGTAAGTACTGTCATGGCAGCATTCCGTCGAAAATGGCGTCGGTTGACTACTATGCAGCGCGTGGAGTATATCAGGGAACAATCAATGATCACCTCCCGCTTTCCCCTCTGGGCGCCTTGTCTTGAATAAGCCCCTTTCTCGGACTGTCTGGAAAATCTGCTTCGCTCGATGCTCGTATTCTGCGAGTTGTGCAACGCCATCATCCGACGTCCTCGTCCTCCCTTGACACAGTAAGTTAAAGATCACGGACCACCCAGTGCTACGCGTACCAATGATAGCCCAGTTCCTTGTGCTTGGTATCCTCAGCGCCTCGCATTCTACTTCCCATCCCAGGTGCAAGCTCAACGAAGCAAGCCAGATCCGGTAGGATGAGTACGAGCTGGTGTTGCTTCCTTCACCGCCGAGGTTTAGACTTTCCACGAAGCCATCTGGCATTGGGTAAGCTGTATTTCTGGAGCGTTCATAGCGCATGTCGAAGGTCCAAGCACAACAGGGGATAGACAGGTATCCTGACGCAGAGCATAGAGCGGACAGCACTGGAACCCAAGGCGTGAGTTCATCTGCGTGGTTGCCTATGACGAAGACCCCTGGACATAAGTACGGGTGAGAGGACAGCGTCGCTGGGTCGTCTAGCTCGGTGGGATCCAGAGCCTCCACACGAAGCTGTGCCTGAGTGGGCGCAGGATAGTGCGACCAGGAAGTGCGTGCTCGCAGGTCGATACCCATACCCTCATAGCCCTCGGCAGTGAGTATGTGAGTGAGAAGTCCATTCCCGCACCTAGAGCCGGCGAATGAGTGAAAGACGGTATCAAATGCGATGGACGCTACCCTAGGTCGAGAAACCCAGCAGGCGGACGAGGCCAGCTCTTCCAAGGCTCCGTCGCGTTTGGCTCCGATGCGGGTTGGGGCGTAGAATCAGCGTACGTATCTTTCCATAGAAGCATCAGAAAGGTTGCGATTCCTATGTCCTACTCGGCGTGAGCGGCGACCCGGAGGGCACTAAGCATACATACCTCGAAGACATGCTTGAGTGGGTCAGTGATTTCCTGCCAAGTGTTCACCAGATGCTTGTGTCGTTCTCGCATAATGAGGTATAGATCTTGGTACGGCTCCCGAGGAATGATACAGTCATGCAGCACCCGCTTCTTATAGTTCGTCATAGCGCCCCATCCGTAGCGGTGCAATGTCTCCAAGAGCGCCAGACATGTCCGGTATAATCTGGAGTTGATATCCGTTGGTGTGCCTGAAAGCGGGAGCACTTCGATGCGTAAGATCGGAGGATCCTGTACGAGATATCGGAACGCGAGATGAGAAACGGCTGGATGGTAGTATGGTAGCGTTGCCGCTGCCGCCTTGAAGATAGGGGTGAGGACAAGGGTAGTCGGTATGTCATCGGCTGCGTCTCCTTCTCCTTCGGGTGCGTAGAGCGTACAATGCTGTTCCAAGCCAGCATCACGTCCCGGACGACGAGGAAGCAATCTCCTGTGGATGGTCCTCACTGTCCGCAAGCTCCTGAGCGCAGGTATCGCGGAACTGAAGCTGGACGTCGATTCTGAGACGGTTTCGGATCGAAGGATCAGAGTCGAGTTGTATTCCGGATGGTGGATGAGCTGTGACACCGCCGTCTCAAACTGACGAAAGTGTTTGATATTCGAAAAAGTTTACTACGAAAGGTTCGTCACTCACCAGCTCGGCAGGGAAATCAGCAGGACACCAAACAAGCGAAGTCCACCTGGTGTCATCGTCGACCGATGCCAAAGGGCTCGAGTGAGCCGTATCGGTCTGCTCCGCGACATAAGCGACCGGTGCAAATCGAGGGCGTTGCATTTGTGCCATTTAAGTCGAGCCGTAATATTGATAGTGCCTTCAAGCGTTTCGCAACGCGTTTTCCGCCAGGACGGCGGACGCTTTCCTCGTCAATCCTTGTCTCGATCACAGCCTGAGCCTGAGCACGATCGGCTGCTAGTGTATATCGCAGATGGTCCACGGACAGGAAGGCCTGGAGGTTTGATTCTAGAATGGCCATCTTGTAGAGTGTGGGGTTATGAATGGTACTCACAGTGACTCGAATGAACGCACAGAGAGCAACGTCCAGCGAGCTATTTGTTTGTCGCTATAGGTCCTCGCATAAGCGCCCGTTAGCGCTCCACTACCCACGTCTCGGATGGACCGCAGGCAGTTGCGGATTCGCGCGTAACAGTATGATACTGTCAGGGCATGCTGCAGCATGTCTCAGATGCAGGTCGGCCATGACGAAAATGTCGTTGCGAGTCACACGAAGCAGATACATGGTCGTCATATACCGTGATATAAGCACATACATCACTCGTCAATCACACAACTGTCCGAAGAGGAGGTAGTACAACGTCGTGACGCTCTCAGTCCACGGGGTATCCTAGAACAGGTTCATCGTTCTTACCATCGCGCCCGGCGCGCTTCACTCAGCGATCTCCTGGTACGGGGGAGGCGTCTCACCGCCATCTTGGTCTTCTGACTGGCGCCGCTGTGCTGATCCGCTCCCACCTGCAGCGAGAACGCGCTCCCTCTCCTCCCGTTCGAGGCGCTTCTTCTCATCCTCTGCAGACTCCCACTGATCCGTCTTCTCATCCGTTGGGGGAGGCAAGGTCTCGCCACCATTCGGAACACCATCAGTGCCGAACGGCCCCTTGGTGTCCTGACCAGCGATGGGGCTCTTCCAGGTGACAGGGGACGGTGAAGGCTGCTTCAGGTCGCGGAGGTTACCTGTCGCTGGGCCGGGGTCAGCAGACTTGGGGACACCTGTTTCAGCTACAGTGGGCGAAACCGAGGGGAACTTCTGGGAAGGATCAGCCGGGTTGGGGGCAACAACAGGAGACGCTGCTACGGTGGCAGAAATGGAAGGGATCGGAGCTGGAGCCTGGTTCAACGCTGCGGGGTTGAGTGGCGGAGACTGAGAACCTAGTGGAGGGGAGGAAGCCTTCGTCGTAGACGATGTCCGCTTATTCACATTCGGAGGGGACACACGCGACGGAATGGCAGGGGGTGGGGAGGCTGAGCTTGGGCCCACCGGCGCCGCGTAGGAGATAGGCGAGTTCGTACCATACGATGGTGCAGTTGGAAGTGCATTGCCTCCTGCGGTTGGCGGTGGCGTCACAGGAATGCTCGGTGCAGAGGAGGTACCATCCGTGTTGATCTTGGCGAGCTCGTGGGCATGGGTTTGGCCAAAGCTACGCGTGTCTGACCTGCGGAGATCGGCGGCGGATGTGGTGAGGGGCAGCGTCACATCGCCAGGCTTGTAGTTGTCAAGAGCGGATTGCAGGGAAGCCCTCACGGAAGCGGTTGCTTGTGCGCCGTGATATTGCTTGTCCGATGGGGGAACAGACGGCAGTGCTTGAAGAGCTGCGTTCGCCGCTTGCGAAAGAAGTACCAACTTCTCTCCGTACTGAGCACGACTATCAGATCATGAGACAAGAGTAGCCAACACTAAGCCACAAACCTCTCGCATAGCCTCCCACTTCGCCCGTTCGCTATCCCGTATTGCCTTCCTCTTCAACAGTTCGTACTCGACTTCGAGCGGCTGGTCATCAGCCTCGGCCTTCGCGAGCTGCTGCTTCAGCTCTGCGAGCTTCAGCTCGTAACCGCGAGACTGGTCGTGTTCGATCCGCCCGATCTGGTTTGCCAACCCCGCGCGAATGGTCCGCCGAGCATTGAGCGCAGTCTCGGCATCGCGCAGCACTTTGAACGAGGCGCGAGAGGCGTTGAGGTTCCCTGCGAGTGTGCGTGCTAGAGCGCCCTCGATGAAGTTAATCCATCCCAACCGATCGGTGACTGAAGGCCTTGTGAAAAACTGACAGGAGCTTGCGCGAGCGCGACGCACCATCCTTGATATCAGCCTCCTCAGTCTGACCCCACGTGTACAATTCCTTGCTGTGAGCTTGTGTATCCCCTGCGAGGCCATCGTAGTCGAGAGCGATGCCTTTCTGTGTCGTGATGATCCTCTGGACAGGCGTTACGGAGCTCCTAGATGGGTAGATGCGACGTTAGTTCGATGTACGTCCGCAGAATGCAACTGCAATCGCGTACGAGTATTGTTGCTGGAAATTGCGCAGCTGATGGTGGATGGACTCGAATGCATGCGACTTGAGGATGCCGCCGCCATGGCCACTCGCCTGGTCGGCGGTGCCGGTCAAGCCAGCCTGCGCGCTGCTGAGTGCACTCTGCGCCTTGCCTTTGAGTGAGGAGAGGAAGTCGGACATGATGGTTGAGATTGGAGGGGCACCGAACGCGGCATCGCGATATGTATTGTCGGGCAGTGCGCAATCACGCTGTGGCTGGCTGCGACCGACGTCATACCGCACGCGCACCGGCGGCAGTGCGCTCAGCCTACAGGGCCGCAGTCGCGCCCGCATGCGCACCAGTCCCCTCACCACTTATTTGGAGATTGCATTAACTTACTGCGCGACTAATGAAGCTGCACCGGGGTAAATAGAATGTCATAAATGAACACAGCGTGTCGACGCAGCACGCCCACAGCGCCTGGTCCGCCCAAGATACTACACGGTCATCGGCTTCTTCGACTGCTTCCCCTTCTTCTCCGAGTCCTTGTGCGAGAGGAACTCCACCTCTGTCGCGAGCGGTCCAGCCAGCTTCTGCGACTCCGGGAATCCCAGCACCGCCGTCTTGAAGTGCTTCCCGACCGACTCAATCCGCTTCCGCAACTCCTCGTCGTCGGGCCCAGGCGCAATCCGTGTCCAGATGGATATTCGGTAGAACTGAGGACGAGTCGACACAATGACACCCGTAATCAGAGACTGTGGTGCCGAGTCTTCGGACTCGGCCTCAGTCAGTGCTGGGTCAAAAGTCTCTCCAATGGCGGCCAACATCTACGTGACGCCACATATAGGTCATCGAGGCATACACACGCAGAAACATGAAGGTATGTACCGTGTTGAGCCACATGTCGTCGATCTTATGCCTGTTCTTGTCTTTGGGGAGCTGGATGCTCCACTTGCCTCCGTTTTTGTTGGCCTCGTCCTCCCATGCAGGAATGATACTCTCCTACGTTCCATGAGGTCATAAAACCGGACAGAAGTGGAGATGAAGTGTTAGAACGTACCTTGAAGAGGTAGTAGTTTGCCTTTGGGGGCAGCTCGGAGGGCTTTATGATGTTGTTGTACAGCCTAGCACTGTGTCAGAGGGCGCGGATCATGAAGCAAGAAAGATCACGCACCCCCAGAACTCCTCAACACTGTCAAAGCCGATCACCCGCTTAATATCTTCCATCCACCCCGCCGCTGCAACACTCGGGGTCTGCGGCAGTGGCGTCTGGGGGAATGACGACATCGGGGTCTGAGGCAGGTTGCGGCCCTTCGTCGCCGGCGAGTCAAACCAGAGGGCCCATGGGGAGTAGAGGGGGTGCTGTATCATCCGTTAGCATATCATGCAATACGCATGCGGAGCACCAACAACACGACACCACAGATGTCGTCTACGCGTCTGATCTGTGCACTCACCTTCACGTTGAAGTTAGTCGGGTCATTGAAGACGGTGCGGATGCTCTCCGCATGGGCCTGCATGTCCACCTCCACCTCCTGGATCTCTCCCGGCTCCAGACCGTTTTCTCCGTTCATTCCATTTGGCTTGTTCTCCGCAATGGAGTCGGCGATGGCCGCCTGGGAAGCCTCAAGAGAAGACATGGTCGTGCAAAATATGCTTTTCACGCAGGAACCTCAGAATCAGCGAGAGGACGTCAGCGGCTCCGGGCACGGTAAGTGTGCGTCTGGCAAGACGGGGAATTCGCGAGCTTAGTGGAGTATACCCAACGAGCGTAACGCCGACTAGCAGTGCTTGTATGTAAGAGACGGAGAGAAACGGAGGGCAGGACGCGAGAGAAGGGTAGTGGTCGTCGTTTGTAGTGAGCAGTAATAATCTGTGCGATTCGATAGCCCCAGGTCCGAGTTCGCTCCTTATTCGGTCATTTTCTCATGATCGGACGCCGCCCGGCGCACACGTGATGCTGACATCGACGCGACCGTGACGTGCCTCTCGAAAGAGACGACCTTGATCTACCTTGATTTTGACTTTGAAAATACGTCTGCGCGGCTGCCGTGTGTCTTTCCGACTCAGTCGATTGCCTTCTGTTCCGCAACAAATACCTTTTGAGCATCCGAAAAATATACGTTCAGTAGGCGGGGCACTGTAGAAGACGACCATCGATGGATGTCACTGCGAGATATGCACTGTGCACATACGTGGCTCCGTCAAGTCCCAGGCAACCACGATCATTCTGTCTGTTACAGCCTCAGTGCCCATGGTGAGCACGGTCTTGGCACCCACAATTGTAGAGCAACGTACTCACGAAACCTCGATATCTAATCGCGAAGCCTCCGAGCGACCGACGCGGATACCTCGGGATTGCTGTCTTGCTGCTGTCTCAACGTGTCCAAAATAACCAACTCTAACAGCGACTTCCGAGACGTCTGGCACGAAGGCGAAAGGTTAAGTTCAGCGTCGCTGAGTGACGACCGTGCGTTCGGTGCCCGAACGCTGTGTCGAGACTCGTGAGAGAGATGTCGCGCGCATCTACCTGGAAGCACACACCAACCAAGTCGCCGTGAGCGCGCGGACGGAGTGGTTCCAGTCACCTCAAGGCCTCACCAACCCTGCACGAATTCGCACCCCCAAAACTATTCTAGCGACCCCTCGCGCATCGGGCCCTGCCAGTGCGCTCTTCTCGGACGACCCCTCTAAGTACGCGGCGCGCTTTCTACGTATCGGTGCTAGCACCGCCTGCCCGATGCGTAATCGCCGCCGCCGCTCTACAAGCACACAGCGCACCCGCGCACCAGTCACGAATGCGCGTACCTCCGTCCCTGCGAGCTGCGCGAGCTTATTCTTCAAAGATCGAGCGGCGGGTGGGCTCGTATCGCATGGACCTGACTAGAACCCTGCTGACAGACTGTATAGAGCAGCACCTTGGGAAGCCACGTTATTGATCTCCGCGGCGTTCCTCTTTGACCTTTGCGACATTGGAGTCGGGCCTCGCGCCAGAATGGTTCAAATCCAGACAATGCGGTAGGGTATAGTATACTGACATCGATGGATGGAGCACGAACCTCCCGCTCTCAATAATTTTATGTTGCCTAACACACGCAGCGTTTAGGTAGGATGACGGCAGTCCCCACGAGCATAATCTCGTACCGGTACCGTGTTCTTGACAATCTAATCTAGTCAGTGCCTTCCTCTGATCTTGGTGGAAGCTCGGACTTATGAATGGCTCTTGCCGTACATTCATATGTCTTCTAGCCCTGCGTTGATTTATTCTTGCGACAGCGCTTGAAAGTGCGCAGCGATCATCATCCTCAGGTGAGTTCGGTTTGCATGGGATGTCCAATGACGCATGGATGCTAACAATTATATAGCTGCTCAATGCAATTTCATATCATACATGAGACACAGGCACAGCGAACGTCCATGCAGTGAAGGACAAAAATACAACACTACGATGAAATTACAGACGGAGCATGCCCGCGCGCCGCCGGGATTGTCCGCCAAAATTTGAACTCGGGAGACGTAAGGAGGAGATGCGGTGACCAACGTAAACCCTAACAACATGGATGACCCTGTGAACGCTCTAGGACACGCCTTGACAAATTGAAGGTTCCATAGCCCGGGGGCAGGTCCGATTTTTCGAGTACCGAACAGCCACTACTCAATCCAGAGAATGCCGCCGCATCGCGATCGCCGTATGGTGCATCTGCGCGTGGGGATACGCCTGTGGAACAGCCGGCTGAGCGTAGAGCTGACTGCGAAGGCTATGCATCTATATGCGTGTCAGCCTTATCGCCAGAGAGCAAGGAGAAGCAGGCTCACCGCACGCTCAAGCTCGAGACGCTTCACGCGTAGCTCGGCCGCATCGCGGTGAAGACCAGCCACCATACTCTGGGTACCGCAGTGTGAGCATGAGTCAACGTTCTATTCGCGATGTGATGCGCCACTAACCTTGGCTGTTTTTGTGTTTAGACCACGGAAACAGTCGAGCTTCTCGAACGGGACGGGGAAAAGGGCGTGGGTCAGCAGCTGCGCATGAAGGCGGTCGATGTGCGCTTCGAGGCTCGCAGTATAGATGGTCCGTCGCTGCGGAGCTCCCATGGTCGAGCTATTGCGGAGCGTCAGCGGTCAAGATTCGGGGAAGAGCAGGTTGGACATACATTTCCTGTGGCGTGAATAGTGACTTCTCAAGGGCATGGTTCCACATCTTGCGCCGCTTCGCGCCCTCTTTGCGGGTGTATAGACGAGCGTAGGGGTGCGCCGGATCGAACGGCGCGCTGCTGTCAAGCGGGGACGCGGGTCCGGCTGAGGTTGTGGCCTTTGCGCGTGTCCTTGACGGACCCGCCCGCTGCTTGGACGGAGAAACGCGGTAGTCGTCCTCGGGTTGCTTTGTCCCCTCGCCTTCGGACGGGGATGCAGACGCGGAAGCTTCCGACGTGAGAGCAGACATGGGCAGCAGCGTCGGGATGACGGGCACCGTGTGGACATGGGGCCGTGACGCATCGCCATAGCCGGTGGAGAAGAACTCGCTGTCGGTAGGAGACGAAGAATAGTTGAACGGAGGGCCGCCACTCTGGTAGAGCTGACCATGGGACTTTAGGCCGAAAGATGCAGGCGCGCAAGAGTCGGACTGGGGAGAATCGGGAGGAGGCGAGGCGCTCTCGGAGCCGCTCCTGTTGGCCTCGGCAGTGTACTGGAGATCGAGAGGGTACGGCGGGACCGCCTCGGACGACGGAGGGCGGGTTATGAGGACCTCGATGGGTGCGGTCGGAGACATGGTGGTCGAAGAAGAGAGGTGTGCACAGGCAGTCTCTGGCGGGGATGCGGGAGCGGCTCGCGGCGATCCTGTTCGCGGACGGGTCTCGTACTTAAGCGGGACTCGACGGGGAGCGCGACGGTTTCCCCAAATGGAAGAGTGGCAGAAGCGAGCCAGACGGCCGGACAGCTTGGATCAGCACCGAAATCCCCGTTGGAACTTGGAAGGTGACGAGAGTGATTGCATGCCTGGTGCGCGGACGTAAGTGGCAACTGCTGTCTGCACTTTAGCCTCGCGGTCACCCATCCGCTCGATTGGGCCCTCTGCTGACCCTTCAGCGCGGGCACATTAATATTCTGGTGCGCCCGCAAAATCCACGCGGGGAAGGCCTGTGACGTACCCACGCCCGTCCAGGCTGCTCGCAGCCTTGTGCTGGTGTCTGCCGGTGCCTCCCGCACGCACATGGCCGGAGGCAGCGAGTATGCAGTGTGCTGATCTAGGTTGTGGGACCATGTTGGCACTGTCGGCGGGAGGCCACCGTTCGCGAGCCGGGCGGGCGTGTGCGAGATTCGAATCTGGCGCATCCGCGAGCTAGTCGCAGCTCGTTCCCTTCACGCGCCCTTCACGGCGTGCGCCGACCTGCCGCGGCCAGCTGGCAGCGGTTCCGACGGACTGGTCCCGCCCATCGACAGCCAAACGGCGGTCCAGGCCCCGCCCCGCTGGGCGCGTTCCCTTCCTCTTCGGGCGGCTGTCAACAGGATCACCGCGCCCGCGCCGTGTCGCGCGCTGCAACCGGACTCTTGCCTTTTGCTCACTGTCTGTGACGGCCTCACGTGCAGCAGGTGCATGTCACTCCTGCAGGCGACTTCTTCGCTCCTCCTGGCATCCTCGTTCGTCTTCAGTGCCCCACGTCCGTGTGTGGCGCGCGGGGCCCGTAGGCATGCCTCCAATCGTCTCCCGTCCCTGATCACTCCCCAGGTGACGCGGAAACCCCCGTCCCGCAGGCCCCGTGGCGTCCCTGGATGCTGGACTGAATACCCCCGGAGGCAGAACGCCTAGCGTGTACGTGTGCACGCTAACCACTGTGCCCGCGCTCGACAGCACGCCTGTTCGTGATGCGCCGGCGAGAACTGCGATGGGAGCGGAGGACGGTGCCGTACGCGGAGGGTCGAGCTGGGGCGTGGACGACGAGAACCAGTGACGGCGACAGGGTCTCTGGCGCGAAGGCCGAGCAGCCCGAGGAGTGGCAGACTGGCGCATTGGGCATGAATTACAGCTGGATGGAGCAGACGATCTGGGAATGAACCACAGAGTGGCGCCACATCTCCGATCCTGGATCTTCTCTGCGCCCCGTTCTGTCGCCTGCCTAATCCGGCCGCCAGCCGCCCCGCTGCACACTGGCTGACGATCCCATCTCTATGCGTCGGTGCGCCCTGTCGCCTCTGTGCGACGTATCTCCGCCGCGTTCTATTGGCCCCGCCGTCTTCTCCCGCTCGACTGTCCTCTCGTTATAAGGCACCATGCAGCCCGACAAAGTCCACCAACGACGCACCGATGGACCCCTACGCCTACTCGCAAGATCGCGCATACGCGGCGCCCAACCATGGCCCTGTTCAGGTAAACAGAATCCGTCCGTCCTCGATATCCACTCAACCGGCCGTGATTTCTAGGCCAATCAGTTCACCACTGACCACACCGCGATGTCAATGAACAGCCCAGCGTACGGGTTGCACTACAACTACGTCACGCATCCTGCATATGCCCACCACCCATATCAGGAGTCGATGTACATCCAACCGCAGACGTTCGCTGATTACTCCTTCCCTTCCTCCGCTGCTGCGCTCGCACCCCCGGCTTCTGAACCTATCTATCACCCCGCTGTGCCCCTCCACGCACCTGTACCAGTCTCTCCTTTCAGCACTCTCATCTCCCCAGTTTCGCCGATCTCTCAGGCAGCTAGTGACAGCGCCCCGGCCCCGCCGCTCCCTGCAGAATCAAACGATGCAAACGTCAGGACAGTGTCACCGACGTCTACGCCGCCGATGGTTCCGTCGGCCCCCGCCGTGAGCCCTAGTACGACGGCGGCACCGGTCACTGCAGAGCAAAGCCCGCTCGAGTATTATGGGAACGCGACGCAGGTCATGTTCCCGACCCCGAGCGAGCTGCTCACCGAGCTCAGTGCGCGCGACGTTGCTGGGACAGGCGGAGAGCCGAGTCGGAAGGCGTCAGTCTCCGGACCCTCTGCGCCGCAGGTTAACGTACCGGCCGCTTCTGTGAAAGTGAGCAAAATCAAGGAGAGTGTCGATGCGGCGCCGGTCCCTGCGAAGGCTCAGCCGGAGACGCAGCGCAAGGCGTATTTCCGTCGCGTCGCTGAGGCCGTTGGGTTCAACCCCACAGATCCGTAAGTCAGCCTCACGTCGTCGATGTGGAGTTATTGAATGTAGCGCTTACAGGGACTCGATCACGTCGCATGACAAGAAGAGGAGCTACCTAGAGTGTCTCGAGCAATACGTTCAATGGTTGCACGAGCAAACCCGGCTTGTCGGGCGTGAACCAGTAGCTCTCGAGCGTGTTCAGCAATATAGGGGCCCGAGCAGCCGCTCAATACGGGTATGTCAGCCGTAAATACCACGCTGAGTTTCTCTGACGCTCTCATCATCAGACGTTGCTCGTGCACATGCAAGACGAAGTCCGCGAGTTGCATCAGCAAATGGTAGAAGATGAGCGCGCTGTAAGCTGCTTCATACTGTCGCGTATTCAGTTGCTGATCCCGCCGCTGTCAGTATATGGATTTGCAGACGCAGATTCAGATGCAGCACGCAGCAGCAGCGGCGCATCACCTGCGGCGACATTCGGTCGCTGCTTGTGGGTTCAGCGACGCATCGCTCTCGTCTGCGCCATTCCTGCAGCCGTATCCCATCACCGCTCCCAGCCATCACGCACCAGGAACATACCAGCAATACTGAAAGGGCTGCGATCCGCTGCCTCACGAGGTCTGAAAGTCCGTCCGTATCCCGGCAAGTCGCTCTTTTCCGCGAAGGCTAAATTCTTCGTCGAAAATCACTTCCTTCCATTCATTTCATTCGGTTCCCTCGAGGTCTGATTCGGGTAGTTCGTATAGAGTGTAGTATATCAGATAAAAACGCATCTTCGGATACATTTGCCAGCTGTCAATCGTCCCCAGCTCATTCGGGTCACGCGTGGCGGCGCTGTCAATGCGTCATCGCCGCGGAGTTGGCGCCTGCGCCACCTCTGCGGTCGATTGCATTCGATTGCCCAGATCCGGACGAGATCTCGCATCGAAGGACGCCAGAGTCTGGCCTCGTCGGGCTTCCCATTTAGAGTTTGCCTTGACTGTCCGGATAAGGTGCGGTTCCACTACCAGAACGTCGGGCCTCGGCACGGTGTCCCTGGGCTATAGGGTCCGACGCTCGAATGCTGGACGTGAACCGAGGGCGGCGGACGGCGGTTGCTGGCTCGAAAGTCTGCATCGGCAGAGAGCCTCCATTCGACAGCCTGGTAGCGCTCTCAGGCAGCCCACGCATGGCCCACGCTCGCACCGTCTGCCTTAGCCGTGCCGCTGTGCCGGTGATCCCAACGACGTGCAAACTTCAACTCGAAATGCACCCTTCACACAATTTGCCCGTAATCACGTCTGCCTGCCTAGGTTCTGTCAGAGTGGCCGATTTGGGAAAGCATTCGCCTCGCGGTTTGTGCTGTTCGTGTGAGGGGCCAATCGCGGGAGGGGCCCGGGTGGGGCTGCTACGACTCATTGTCGATGCCATCGCGACGGGCGTATGGGGCCGTGACCGTGACTGTCGAATATTTGAATGTGTGGCACGAATATGGTTTGCATATTTGGACGGGCACGGTACGCAGCTAAATTGTATTGAGCATCGGGCGATACCAACGCCGAAATCATTGGTGCTGAGCCGCTGTACGGCGCGGCGGCCCCAGGCTGACAGAAAATAGAATGGGACTGAGAATCGCTGCGCAGGCTGTGGACGGTAGCTTACAGGGAACGGTGGGAGGCCCGCGATATCAAGAAATGGAGAACGATAATTTAGAAACGATAGCGTTCCCGGTCCTCCGAGTCTATTGCTGTCGCTGCTCCCGTCGTTTTTCTAAAGACGGCCCGCCTTGGTGGCAAGCAGATCATAAAGGACACGGAGAAGACGTATCGAGCGGGAGAAGGTGACGATCTACGAGTCCATGCCACGTCGTACGCGCAAATGTATCGGTGACCTGTATGCGCACGGGCCATCGATGGGCCGTCGGCGTTGGAAATCTGGGTCGAGGTGAGTATCATCGGCGACTGGCGTGGTCGAGTGGATTCAATCGATCTAGAACAGTTCTTCTTGAGATGGACGACCCCGTTCACAGCTCCGGGATCTGGGTATTGGTGCCGACGGGCAGACGTGCTGATGTGTGGGGCCAGCAGTGGGGCGGTTCAAAGGTTCGCACGTCGAGGTGCAAAACCAGCGTGGGGTGGGTGACAGAGCTCGCCTGGTTCGTGTGATACGGCGGGTGGTCCACATCTCGGGAAACGAGCGATGAGCATGTAACTGCAGCTGGTATACTGGCGCCAACTATACACTTACAAGGATACTGCGCAAATGGCGAGACATCGCGGTCGAGGTTCCAGGCGCAATTGTGCGCGCAGGGTGGCTCATGTGTATAGACTACACCGGCCGATCAGTTGACTGTTTGCAGTGCGAAATAGATAGTCGACATCAATACATGCTTACGGGGGTTCAAATTTGTGAGCAGCGCAATGGCAAGCATGGCTTTACTTGGGAGCCGCCGGGAGCTGAGTATAGAGCTTCGATAAAAATCTATTCATAAACCGAGCCATTGAACGCTCCAAAGCTATGGCTATGACTATCAGTGAGACTATCGGTGTTATTGTCTATGAAAAAGTTGCAGGGAGTCGTCGCGCAAGTCTTCGCAACGAGCGAAATTGCGGTGACTTGCGGATCAATAGTCCGCTACTGCTCACGGATGCGTGGGTTTTTGAGGAGGGTAATTTGTTATTATGCGCGCTGCATCGTACACTGGTCATAGAGCACGTTGACTGAACACCAAGTTTGGTCAGTGCACGCCTGAAATGTCAACCTGCAAGACTCACGCTGTAGACCTGAAACGTCGGCTGAGGATCGTTTGCCTACAGATGCCTGCATTGCCGGTCGGACTCGAGGCCTTGGTGGCCAGCCCAGATGGTCCCTACAAATATTCGGTGAGCCCTGTGCGTTCAAATTTCAGTCCCTGACATTGCATCCCGCGAAGCAGCGGAGGACCGCGGAATTCGGCCCCGCTGAGATCTGTGGTCAAATCACTCAGATAACCTATGCATGAAGTAGGCTCGCTCGGGCGAATAAGCATCTCCGCGGGAGTGAGGTAATCTCCAGGTTCCTGCAATCGCCCCCGAGTCCCTGGTGCGCGCGTTTGAGACGGCTAAGGGCTCCATGTAACGTGTGGGAGTGAGGTGAACCGAAGGTGCTAATCCCGATGAGGGTCGGGACAGCGGCGCTCCGCTTCTCGACCTGAAGGCATTGCGTCGCGAAGAAGATCGATGAAGAGGTGAGGATCTACAAAAATGGATGAGATGTGCATGGCACATGGGTGATTGCCAGGTCTACTAGGCAGATGGGTGGACGCGGATATTTAGCTTGCATAACCAACCAGACCGGAAAATCTTCGCTGGGACGAGGCCCTGGGCCCGTCAAAATCGGCGACAGTGGCAACGGGAGAAGTTGACACGCATGAATCCAAGAGGCTCGCGATTTCCTGGCTAGTTCAACAAATAAGTCCCAATTGCAGCAGAAGGGTTTAAAAGACGCTTCCACCTCTGTTCGCAAGAGTGATTCATGATTTTTGATTCTGAACTCAGTCAGTAGACGTGGCTGCTGTTGAGGATGCGATGCTTACTTTGCCAATGAGGTTCTTCTTGTGAGCCACGGGCATTCTCGGGCGATGAGCTCACCGTGCGATGAACAACGTCGTACGAGCCGCCAAGGGCAGGCCTCTGGTTACAGCTTGCCACTGGCGACTTCGAGCGACAGGAGCGGTCGGATGGGCCAATTTCGCGCACCATGCCATCAGGGGTGCCAAACGACGACAAAAGTCAAAAGCAAGAGCGGTATGTCGCTTTATACAACATAAGTGATGGTGCGACAGCAACGACATGGCCGACGCCAGCCGACGCCACCGCCGCGGTGGTCTTGGTGGACTGCTCGCGCACAGTCACGTCGGGGTCGTCGATCGTGGCGGCGGCCCGATCATTTCCCACGCACCGTGACCGCGCTTGTCCGTTGGGCAGCGCCCGTCGAGTCGTCCGGTCGTCCGTCTCAGCCACTGCTGCACCTCGTCCATCCTATATCCCTGCCACCGCCTGCGGATCCCACTACCACACACAAACATCATGGACAAGGCAGACCTCGAGACTTACCAGGTCCAGCTCTCGCAAGTCGAGCAGGCCCTCGCCTCTGATCCTGAGAACACCGAACTCACCTCCCTCCGCGACGAGCTGAAAGAGCTTATCGAGCTCACACAGGCAGCGCTCGCACAGCAGGAGGCAGCAGCGTCCTCGTCGAAAGCGGAGTCCTCACGGAAGACGGCGGCGGTCGCCAGCACTGCACGGACATGGGGCGCGGGCGACGACTGTCTCGCCAAGTACTCCGGCGACGGGCAGTGGTACCCCGCACGAATCACGTCCGTGGGCGGGTCGGCCGACAACCGGGTGTACAGCGTCATGTTCAAGGGGTACAACTCCACGGAGCTCGTCAACTCGTCGCAGCTGAAGCCGCTCCCGTCGAACCACCAGTCGGCGGGCCCTTCCGCGGGGAACAAGCGCAAGCTGTCGAAGGTGGAGGAGGAGGAGCGGGAGAAGAAGAAGAAGAAGAACGAGAAGAAGGTCGAGGCGAAGGCGGCGAAGGCGAAGGAGCAGACGGAGAAGCAGGCGAGCTGGCAGAAGTTCGCGAAGAAGAGCGAGAAGAAGGGGATACATATCGCGGGCGTGTCAGGGACAAGTATCTTCAAGACGCCAGAAAACCCGCTTGGACGGGGTGCGTGCTTCATTACTGTGCCGAGCCACGGAGAGCTTAAGTTTGGGTAGTCGGTGTCACTGGGAGCGGAAAGGGTATGACGGGGACCGCTCCGAGAATAAAACACAAATTCGAAGCTAAAGATGACCCGAATGCTTGAGTGCGGTGAGTCGTTCCTTGCAGTGTATTTTTGGCAACCGTTGAGACGGCGCCACAGCATACGAACGCGCAATGCGGTATCGTTTTGTACATGCTATATTGTACTCTATGGTCAACGTCTCGACACGGCATGGCCACCAAACGTAACATATAACGGTTCACTGTCTCCAAGACCTGCTGGCATCGCAGATGACGGAGCGTGGGGGGTTCCAGGGCACAGAACAGAGGCTAGGCGTTGTGTTATTTCTCTTTCTTCCCGCATACAGTATGATTCTCAACGCGATTCCTTTTGTCATGTCAAACACAGCTAGGATGCCGTCATAAGGCGTGATCCAGGCCTGTCTGCCCACCCTCGAGGTGCCGTCGTACGTCGTGTGTGCATTCTGCGGAATCGCTCGTTCACTCACGTAAACGCCTTGGGATCGCCTCGATCAACTGCGTCGAGCCTGCTCCTGCCGTAACTGGTGTGTCGATCGAAACTTAATTGATTAACTTCGCATGATGCGGGCACCCCCGACTTCCCCTCGTTCCTGGCAACATGCGTGCCCAGGGCGTTCGACATGTACATATTTCAAGGCACCAAAACACCGCGACAGACCCAGGCCAACGGTGTATGGCTCTCCCGACCTGTCATCTGTAGCTCCAGGCAGGAGGCCCATATGTTTACCGTGACATCCGGAATCTGATACAGGTCAACCGTGCGTGGTTTCTGATTATCTTACGGCTGTACGTCAGTCCGTGTCTCAAGGACTCAGCTAGTAGTTCTGGAACCCGTCCGTCTGTCGTCGGCCCTGTCATGGACCCGTGTATGTTTCAGTCATCCTTTACGCCACGCCGGTATATCTGTATTCACCGCAGGTTCCTCGCTATCTTCAGACAGAGTTGGCCGCCCGTCGAGCAAGGAGCATGCGTGCTGCGCCTGACTGGACGCTCACGGTGTTTCTGGCGGAGCCTTCTGCTTTGTAGCGGTGGTTCTGCGTCCCTCGTTGGTCGACCATTGCATGGGCACGGTTCGTCGCTGGCTTCATCACTGTGCGTTGCTTCGCGTTCGCGGCACTGCGGGCGGGGACGCGATACGATGCCCCTTCTATTCACCGTATTAATTGCCTTCGCCGTGTGTTCATAAATGGTGCGGTCACCCGTCATGTCACCCCAGTGTGTCTGCATTCACTGCAGATTCTTGACTTTCTCCATACGGGGATAGAGCGAGGTCCACACGTGTTGCGTGCGACTGGACGTTTACAGAATTGTGTGCAAGCATCGTTGCGGTGATACTGTGCCCTGCGTGGGCCAGTGCACCGTGGTGACACTCGGTACGTCGCGGCATGCATATGTAGCAGTGGCTCCATGGCATTTCAGGCGAAAATGCGATACGGTGCCCGGTTTGCTCACTGCCAGGGACACGTTGCGTCCGTTGGGCCCATGCGTGTCGCAAAAGACGGCAAAGCAACGTGCGGCATATCTCATTATTTTTGACCGCCTCTCCGACCATGAATGATATTGACAGACAGGCTGGACCGTCTCCGACACAACCGTCGCTACGGCTTGAGACCGTGTGTGTATGTATAGGGGTTTGCCGCGCAGGCGAAGTTTGCAGCATCGGATGTTGCAACCTTTGAACGTGAACGTTTGACCGTCCACCCGCATTCGAATTATTCGGCAGGTTTGTCATTCTTCCATGACGAGTATTCCAGTGAGCTCACTGGTCGTGCAGTAGCGGTCGCATTGCAGCCTTCTCGTTGACGCAGCTGGAGGCCTGCTCGTTCGTCACGCTGATTGCCTTCGCGAAGTCTCATGCGATGTGTCCAGGAATAATTCCGCACGTAGACTCTGTCACTGTCAGGAGCTGGCGAGGGGAAGGTGCTTCGTTACTCATACCGCCTTACTCACGCTGTGCGCCTCAGTTCGGCTCGCCTTCCGGAGATACCATCGCGGAAGGTTTATGTGATCAAGTTCGTCTGCAGATCGTGCATTGCTGACTTGTCGACGGAAGGCGAAGAACATCAACTCGCTCGACAAATGTGGATAACGCGAACTACGGTGCGGGATTTCGCAGATCACATTGAAGGAACCCACACGCAGGCCGCCCGTCGTGTTGCCTTCTCTCGGTCGTCAGCATCAGTTAATCGCAGACGTCTTCTACGGCCCATTGCTGTTCCTGGCTGGCACATAAGTGCATATTGCGGCACAGTGCACGACCGCGAGGACAGCACTGAACCGGTGGCATGTTTTCCTTACCCGTGCAGAGACGATACAGGCCGACGCGATCCACGCCGCCCAGACAGAGATGGGGTAGGTGCGGGGCCCCGACCGCCCGATCGGGCAATGGTACTGACCGTTGGCGGGCGGTGACAGCGCTTCCAGGCCGTCGACTGGCACATCTGGGGCCCGGGTGATCTTGGGCAGGGGATCTGGCCAATCTCGGTCGGCTCTCCTCCGCCGACCGTCCCATGGGCAACGCGATCTTCTGGCCATCTTCTGCTCGACGATCGCGAACCTAATTGCCAGTGTGCGTCCTTCCGCTTTGGGACGGTGGAGTGGCTCGGCCGCTGTGCAGACCACTCCAGAGTTACCCAGCGACTGGATCTGGTGTGCATGGTCGTTGACGACAAGTTCCAGTCTGCAATGCAGTTCTGCAGGCATCTTCTCCAGGAGTGAGTTCCACCCGCGCACATTCTCCTTGAACTGACCGTCATCTCCACCAGGTCACTGTCCTCCACCTCGCCCATCCAGGCATCACACGCACCGCCCACGTTCAACCCAATCGGGGCTTGCTGGCCATGAACGTCTAAATTGCGGCCGTGTGATGCTCTTTCGAAGAACAAATATCGCCGAGGCTAGGATATATTGAAGGTCGGTGAGCGACCGAATTCGCAGGTCCCAAGAGTGCTAAGGTAACGAAGCTGCAGCTTGAAGTTGATCATCTCACCAACAACGGCGCGGCGGCATTTGCACGGCGAGCTCGTCTCGATCCACAACCAAACCACATCGGGCTACCGCGGGGCGGTGTATCATGATGTTCCCCAGAGTGATCTGCGCACAGGTCGACCCAACGGTCCTTTGCCTTCCCCCGCGGAAATAAGCTCTTCTGCCGCAGGATCGTCTCTGCTCTGTGGTGGTTCCTCGCACTCCGGCTCCGAGCTCCGCATGCGTGGCTACCGACATTCAGGCTCTGTTGTTCTCGTCCCACCCATCTACCACCTTCGAACACTACATGGAGACAGCGTCGAGGGCGCCACTCACGTCGTGACCCAGTTCGCTGACTTCTGGCCGGCCTGTTCAACGAGCATGCCAGCCCGATTTATCAAGGTGTGATGTCGATATCCCCTCATAATCCTGGAATGGATGACGGCCTTCTGCCCCTAGCTGACCATCTCTCCCTGGCTCCGGGTCCGAGAACCTCCGCCTTTCATCTTGTTCACCGTATCGATGACGACGATATGTGCCGCCGGTACGCCTGACAGGATGGAGTACACAATTCTGCTGCTAGAGTGTTGACCTTCTCAGCCAGATGTCCCGGGTATAGACCACGCTAGCCAATGGCCGTGAGCATGTTCAACGTACCTATTCAGATAGTACTCAGATCAAATTTTAGAGTCAGGCCTTCGCGGATGCGACCTAGTAACAGCACATGCTTAGAGGCAAACCGCGTTCGCCCATCAAGTGGGGCTCCAATGAGCTAATCAGGTCAGATTGAGTACTGTCCCCTCAGTTACAGACTCACTGAACAGGAAGCCATTGACAATACAATACAGACACCAATACAAACTAGAACACAATTAAGACATCCCGCACGACAAGCGGACTCCCATATTGGCGTCACGCCCATGCATCCGAATTTTGAGTGCCGAACTCAATCCCAGAAGCCGCCGCCGTCCACCTTGACCCGCGTGTCCTGCTTCGCCTTGCTGCCCTGCGGCCGCCCGATGCGCCGCGCGCCCCTCTTCGAGTGGTACTTGCGCACCTCCCTTGCGCGCCGCTTCGAGACCTCCGAGTGCACCTTCTCCTTGACGTCCTCGCTCGTCCCACGCATCGGTGCCTTTGACGAGGACGGGTGCTCGGATGCTGAGAGCGAGAGGCCGGCGGTGCGGTCGGCGAGGGAGGACGGGGACACGGAGCGAGAACGGGAACGGGAGCTTGGTGAGGGCGCGAGAGAGCGGCTGCGTGAGCGCGTGGATGCGTCGTCTGTGTCCGAGGCTGAGTCTGAGTCTGGTGGAGGGTGTTGTGATTGGTCGTCGATGCTCTGCTGACCGCCCCCTCTCTCCCCCTCCTTTCCTTCTTCTGCTTCTTCTTCTTCTTCTTCCTCCTCCTCCTCCTCTTCGTCCTCGCTACCGTCTGGCTCCTGATTTGATACAGTGTTCATGTACTAGATCGGGCACTTGTTCAGTACCGTGTAACAGCGCGAAAGCAGATATCCACATGCATACCTCTTCTAAAGTTTCCTGATCCCGCTGCTTGAACCCACTCGCAGCCACAACGACATCCAGCCGGAAGTCCTCGCCCTCCTGGCCCTCTCCCGTCTTCTTTGAGCTCGAAAACTTCGGGTATATGCTGCTCTCATATCGGAACCGCTTACGGAAGAACTTCCGGATGCACTGCACGTCGCGGTTGAAGTACCTGCACATCAGACGTGAGATACAGCGTGAGACTGGAAATCGTATGGACGGCGTACATTTCCGCGTTGAGATGCGATGTGCTGACCATCTGTGGGAAGTCGATGACGATGGCCTCGCCTGTGTCCCGCCGAATGAGGATATTGAACTCGTTGAAGTCGCCGTGAATGAGCCCGGCGCGAGCGAAGCGTACGATGAGATCCATCAGGTCGCTGTAGAGCCTGCCGGGCGATGGGACGTCTGCTACCTGGCGGCTACGAAAAACGGATGAGTCTCAGACACGCAGCAGTATGGCGTGAAAGACGTACAGAGGGTATGCATCGATGAACTCCATAAGGATACAGTGTCTCGCGTGGTCGACCGGCCGGGGCACGGGGAAGCCGTGCTCGTGCAGTACGCACATGAATGCCCATTCTTTCTCGGCGGCGAGCCGGGACATGTACATCCAGGACGCGGACTTGCGCTTTCCCATGTAGTCTCGTTTCTCTTTAATCGCGCGGAAGGATACGCGGCCGAGGCTGGGGGTGTGTTCAAGGTTAGGGGGCAGAGGAAGGATGGTGCAGGCAACGTACCGGTGCAACTTGAGAACCATTTCCTTTCCTTCCGAGTCCGCGACGATGTAGATATCTGATGGCGTCCATAATAAGTACACACATTGCTCATGAACAACCATTCGACTTACCAGACTCCTTGCCCACCCCGATCTGGTTCCCCACCGAGTACATCGAGTCCCGCTTCGAGAGCGCCCTCATTGCGAGGTAGTCATAACCGCCGTACGTCAACCTGTATCCGTCATCTATCATGGCGTCCAGCGTGGTTCGGGTGAGGGCAGGGAGCGGTGGACGTACATCTGGCGTTCTGCACGCGCGCGACGAGGTTGCGCTTGGCGAGGGAACCAAGGTTCTTGTTCACGCCTCCGTTGCGGAGGCCGGAGATCTGAACGATCAGTTGTGTTGGGACGATTTCGTGGTTCTTCGAGCCCATTTCTACCTACGGCCAGCGTTCAAATTTAGGATTGAGTGAATGGGGAGGGCCATGGACTTACCGCTGTGAGCACCCGGAACTCGTCGGTGGTGACGTACCGCAAGTCGGTAGCATCGAGCTTCATGTTGGCAATGAAGTGGGATCCGTGGCTATTGCGTTAGTGCTGCGTCTTGCGGCCGTGTTACAGACGATGAAGTATGAAAAACAGGACATGCTGCTTCAAGGTCGCGGAAACTTCTGCACGTGATGTGGCCCGTACAATCTCGATCTCGATCATCGAAAGCATGACTCGCCGGGACGATACTCATCACTGCAGCACCAGCCGGACAGAAGCAGACTCATTGTGATGTTCACTACATTTTCTCTACATTGAAACATACGAGACACGACCCGAGTATGAGGATTGAGGAAAGTAGCTCGGAATTTCCTCGTCACCCATTGGCCACACACGTGACATGACGCGACAGAATAACAGGATCTCGATTTGACGCGCATCGACGAGTTGAACCACGTTGGCGAGCTTCGCCGAGTCCGCGATGCGCCATGGCAGCAGACCTCCCTGCAGAAGTCTGGCTCCAGATATTCCACTATGCCTCCGACGACGATGAACTCTTCGACCACGCTCTGCCCACCTCCGTGGCAGAGTCGTCCTGGTACAAGATGATCTTTGGCGACTGGACGCTGCGGTCGCCGAACGAGGGTCTGAATGCGATGCAGAGACGGAGCTATGCTACCAAGAAGGTACTCACAAAGCTGCAGATTCGTGATGAGACTGTAACATGCTGTCCAGGCTATCATGGCTACGTGTAGAACCTGGCGGCAACTGGGCCAGGAGTTCATGTACAGGTTCCTCTTCATCAACGACCCAACCAATCTCGTGCGATTACGTCCGCTACTAGATCGGTACCGCCCACTCGGATGGTGGACTAGACGTCTTCACATCGCACGCTTCTACAGCGGTTTGGGTGTCTCCATCGACGAGCTGGAACGATCACTCGTGTCGATCATCCGACGCTGCCCCAATCTCGAGATATTCATCATGGACTGGCCCATCAGAGATTCGTTGCTCTCGGTCGCCAATGCTCTATGCAAATACTGTCCTACCAGTCTACGCACACTCCACCTCAATGTACCGAACTCCTCGCTTGCTAAAGTCATTCTCATACTAGATGGCTTACCGGCCTTGACCTGTCTGCATCTCACATTCGATGCCCCAACGCCCGACAACTTCCACCTCGGTGCTGCCGCAGACCTCGCTCTCACTCTCGGTTCGCTGGAACAGCTCGCTCTTTGCGGACCCTTCCAAGACTTCTTCGAGCAGCTGATGGGTTGGGAACTCCCCGCGCTCCGCTCTCTCTCCCTTGACTTCCTCAGCTATCGCGAAGACCTCCCGGATATCATCGAGTTCCTCACCCAGCACGGTTCCGCCCTCACCTTCCTCGACATCAACTGTATCCCCGTGCTCGACATCCCTACGATCCTCGACCTCTGCCCGCAGCTGCAGACGATCGCGTTTAACTTCGACTGGCGCCTCGACAGCGCGGAGGGCGAGGCGTGGGGCGTCGGCTCGCTCGTCAACCGGCCGCACGCGCACATCACCACGATCGGCTGCCACTGGCTGCACCACGCGTTCGGCGTCGGCGACGCCGCGAAGTACGCCGCGGTCGACCCACTCGTCACGCACATCATCCGCCGCCGGAACGACATGAACTTCTCCGCGATCAACAAGGAGAGCTTCCCGAAGCTCCAGCGCGTGCGCGTGCTTGACCGGATGCTGCTGAGGGATCTCGAGGCGGCGGACGGTCCGAGTCCGGATTGCTTCGAGCGGTGGGAGCGGTGGTGGAATCAGTGCGCGTCGCAGGGCGTTAGGCTCGAAGACTGCACGGGTGCGCTACTGGGCACCTTGCCTGATGACGAACCGGAGGTGGATGAGAGCGAAGAGGAAGAGGAGGGCAGGGAGGATTTGCGGGACTTGATCCGTCAATGCAGGGAGATGACTGCAACTAGAGACTCGCCATACTACGGGTACCCCCCTGGGTATCGCCGACGAAGCGGGGCGTTTGGACAGCAACATACCTGAGTGAAATCACGGAGCAATATCATTTCTGTCACATACAATCGTAAGCCCTCATTCCCTTTCGTCTACGCTGTCATGACTGACTGACAACCGCACAGACATCCTACTGCTATCCAGAATCGCTGTTCATGCTATCGGAATGCCACATCGCCGCAAGAGCTCTCGAATCACTGTTACGAACGTCACGAATACGCCACGACATTCTAGCTCACGTCCGCTCGCGGACGCAGATATTCCATTCTTCTATCTTATGCGATGTCGTGTAGCATCGAGCAATGTACAGCTGGATCATTCACACTATACAGCAAGTCACTGTCTCAGAAATCATACAGGTCCGGCCTATCGGATACAAAGCCAACTTTCTTCTTTGCTTTCAACTTCTTGACAGTGGCCGGAGGGGTCTCTGTCTCCAGCTTGTCGCTCTGACCGGCCTGTGGTACAGTGGTCTTCACCTGCTCCAGCTCAACCACAATCGCGGCACCAGCACCGCCGGATGCAGCAGCAGCGATGTCCCCCGGTCTCAAACCCGCAGCATGAACTGATGTGGCCGCCTCATTGAGCGCACTCGCGCTGCTCGAAGGCGTGGTCCTACGATCGCCAACTCCGCCCTCGAGGTCGAGGTGCAGCGTCTCAAACACCATCCGCTTGCGCATACACTTGAACGCGAGGTTGTTCTCGCCGCTCGAGGAGAGCCCGCGCAGGGTCGAGAATTTGTCGCTCGGTGAGAGGAGGGTGGTCGGCGCGGGAAGGGAGTGGATGTGGACCATGCCATGGTGCGAGGGGAACATAGCTGTGAGGGATGGATCGGCTGTGTGAGAGGAAATGGCGTGTCAGAATAAGGATACGGGGGCATATATGGTGTATGACGTACCGGTAAACGCTGCGAGTGTGATGGAAGCATCGACCAGCCAGCCGAGTTTCTGCACCCAGCCAGGTCCGCCCCACGAGTCTGCACAGAGATGTGGAGGGAGAGATATTGAGGCGCAGGCAGTTGGGTGGCGCCGCAGCAAGTTCCGCATCCACAGCAAGAAATAACATATGTCCTAGTTCGTACCAACGTGAGTTCTACGACTAATCCTGAGGACACATGGCGTACCTGCTGGGTGAAATCTCCCCACTCAGCCGACCCAAGACAGGGAACACAGATCCGAACTGGAACGGATGGGCCCTCCCGCTGGTCATGCTCTGCCAATATCTTCTCCAGTGCACTCAGAACAGAGCTTCCTGGCCTGGAGTCCTCCTCAGACTGGACGGGCGCAGACATGAGCTGGCCGGAGCTCTTCGCGCTCTTGAGGATGTCCTCCGGTATGCGACACGTCAAGTCAAAGACGCGACAATAGTCTTCGCTTGACCTTGCGTCGAGATCATTCACTCATCGCCCGACGAATGCAAGAAGAACTCACAACATACTGGTTCTGGGCAGGCACCGTGGTCTGGAACTGCTTCATCTGCTCGTAGCGCCATGCAATCTTGATCTTCGCGTCCTCTCCGCTGGCTTTCGCCTCGTCTTCGTCGTCCGCTGCTGGTGCGGGAACGGGGTTGGACGCGGCGCCGGGAGTCCACATGCACTCGGAGAGGAACCCGTCGACACCCTCGTCAACGATACAGACTTTCTGTCCGCACGCGAGGCCCTGAGCAACGAAGTACTTTTGTACGAGCTCGCCATACGCGGAGTGCGCATCTGGTGCGAGGGTGAGCATAGAACACGACAGTGGCAGGCCGCCGCCAAGGATGTCATCCAGCGACGGGATGCCTGTCGACGTGATGAAGCTCGATGTTGCGCCGGGCGATATACGCGCTCCGACGGGTGTGGGGGCTTGTTTTGTGGTCGTTCGTCGCTTGAAGGAGGACATGGTGGCGGTCGGGTGCAAGGTCTGCTGAAGCCAAGTCTGAGGAGCGCGAAAGCAAATCTGAAGATTGCGATCTTCGATCACTGAGCGCGGTCCGAGGCGCGTGCCACGCCGAGCAGTGTCTGCGCGCACCTGCATGCGCCTCGAGTCTCTCCGTCCAAGACCCCCCCCCCTGGGCAGTGATGGTCAATGTCTGGCTCACGCCTTGCTAATGCTGCACGCACATTTGCCCGTCGCATACGAGACAATCCGGATGAGGTTCTCAACTTGGCGACGCGGGTGGCCAAGTCCTCCGCGCTCGCAACCCTGCACGTCCGTACAGAAGTGCCTTCGTCTACGCCTTGCTCACGACTAGATAGGTGGTAAACGCGGTATGCGTGGCACACCTATTCGCAAACCACGTCGGGTGGATCAATATGGTGAGCACACTCTTTCCAAATCCGCGTCACGTACCAAACTGTTCCGGGACCTATAGGTGGACGGCCCGTCTATGCTGCCCACCATGAGCGTCAGCGGCGAATGGGTGCTCGAGAACAAGATGATCAAGCCTCAGAATGTCCAGCGGGGCGACCTCGTCACCTACCTCTCCCCGCTCGACCCGAGCCGCATCGTCTGCAAGCGCGTCGTCGGTCTGCCCGGGGACATCATTTGCGTGGACCCCACGGGCGAGCTCGCACCGTCGACAGAGCACGTCATCATACCGAGGAACCACGTTTGGCTGAGCGGAGACAACGCTGCGATGTCGAGGGACTCGAGAGTGTATGGACCGGTCTCGATGGCGCTCATAAAAGGGAAGCTAGTTGCTAGGGTGAGTGGAACAGGCATTGTACTGAGTCCTCTCTGATGATGGTGCAGGTTTGGCCTCTGTCGAGGATAACTGTCTTCCGCAATAACTTTGATTATATAGACTAGAGGTACAGTGCCGTGTCATAATACTCCGTGATCTGTCCGTCGTGTGCAATACTGTAACACCCTGCAAGTTTCACCTCGTGCTTGGTCTTTTAGGTCCATTCACCACTACCGGACAAAGTTCATCGAGTATCCGCCTTCTCCGTTTGGAGTGAACTGGAAGTTGTCCGTCGACATGCCAAACCGCCCTATAACGCAGTGTCAAGTGCCGCATCGTGAGCCGCACGTATTCACGCACCGAGGATGTTGTTTCCCAATCCTTTGAGCTTGTCAAGCATCTCGGCGGTCTCTGCTTTCTGCGCTGCTTCTACTCGAGGCTTGAGCGACGCAAGGGCCCGGTTGATGGCTACTCGTTGAGGCGAGTCAGATGGAAGGATCGTTAGGAGGGTGTTGTAGTCTGTATGCACACGCGTGAGCATTTGTGCGGCAAGGATCCGAATGAAGGTGACGACCTACCCTCTTGTGCTGAGGATAATGAGGACCAGCTCCCGATCCTCTCGTTCGCCAATGCTCGTCGTTGCAAAGCTTTCATGTAATTTGGGTCATCCTTGAGGGCTGCCAACGCCATCTCAGCATACACCAACGTTTGGCGGAACATACACACGAACCTTCCGAACATGTAGACACGGCGTCCTTCCACTCCTCCTACACAGGATGTTAAGCAACCAGGCGAGTATTTGAGGCCAATGCACTACTCACAAGCTTCACGTAGCACGCTCCAATATTCGCGTTCATGATCGCTCTCGCACGCGCACACTCCAGCTCAGCCTCGATAGACGGCGGCTGTACAGGCTCGTCCGCCTTCTCCTCTACCTCCTCTGCCTTCCCCTTCCCCTTAGCCTCCTTATCCTCCCCGCTATCGCCATCTCCGCTACGTTCGTCTCCATCATCCCCATCAACCGCCTCCCTTTCCTCACCCCTCTCCGTCTCCAGCGGCCGCCTCTTCGGCAGACGGCCCAAGCCCGCGCGGTACGCCGCCAACGCCTCACTCCACCGCTTCGCGCGGAAGTGCTCGTTCCCGTCCTGCTTCAGCTCATCCGCGTCGCGTAGGCATTTCTACGGTCGTTCGGTGGGTGGGTCAGCGCGTGTGCGGGGAAGGACGGCTTACCTGGACGCGGGCCTCTTCGTCTTGTGCCGCTTCGAGTTCGTCTGCATCTTGCAGGACGGCTTCGGGAGTCGATGTTGGGTGGGATGTTGGGTCTGCCATGTTTGTCGTGTTGAGGAGCAAAGCGGAAAGTTGGGCCGAACGGAGGGGACTTGAGGGTTCTCCGAGTCGCTGCTGCTTTGAATCGCCCGCCACCAGGCTCATCTCGATCAAGGATCTCACTCATGTTTCGAGATAAGATTAGATGGAATCGCAGCTGGCATCGAGGAGTCGGAGTACTCGTATGCAAGCGTAGCTAGTCGAATAGCAGTATCTAGTACAAGACAACCAGGGCAACACGGTGGCGGGAGGTTCATGAACAGTAAGATCAGCCTCTCCGCAGAGCATCAAGCCGAGCTTGCAAGGCATCCTCATCCGACATCCCACCGGCGCCGCCACCGCCTGCCCCGCTGTCGTCTCCAGAACCATGATGCGACGGTCCTCCTGAATCGCCCAGTACCACAGCTTGCCTTGGCTCCGTAAGCGACGAAGAGACCGCGAGTCCAGACGGCGCGTCCGTGAGCTGCGCACGAAGTCAGCGTTGAATGGCGAGGTGGAGCGGAAAGGGGACGCACCTGCTGCGAGAGGTCGACACCGATCTCGTCGAGCACCTGCTTGAGGATCGTGTCGCCCTCTGCCTCCTCGTCCTCGAGTTCGTCGTCCATGACGTCGTCGACCGCGTCGGACATCATCTCTTCCTTCATGTCCATCGTCGCGCTCTCTCGCTCAAACTCGTTCATGATCCGTTGTATTTGCGGGAGGTTCAGGCCGCGATTCATCATGCCCATTGCCTGATATTGAGTATGATGATGAGAGGTGGTCCCGAGCCACGGGAACGATCCTAACAGAGCGACGCAGAGAACGTACACGAGTCGCGCCGCGCATCGCGTCCGCCATCTGCTGGTTGCTCCTGAGTGTCTGTATCCGGAGCCCGACGGCCTGCAGCTGTGTCCGCATCTGGTAGAACTTCTGGACGTATCGCCGGGTCCGTACGAGGTCCTTCGCCATGACCTTGCACGCATTCTAGGTTGCGCAGTGAATGAGGATGCTCAGCATGCACGACGCGACAGCGCGCACCATCTGCCCCGCCTTCGCGCTCTTCTTGATGTCCATGATGAGCTTCTTCTCCTGCTGCTCGAGCTTCGTCCTCTCCCTGTCGAGCTCGCGCTGGGCCTTCGCGAGGGCGCGCTGGTGTTGCCGCAGCCGCTCGGCGGGGGTGACTGTCCGCCCAAACAGTGTTTCCTACGTTCCCATACTGAGTGCCGATCCCGTCGCACGAAGCCAGTACGTACTATGATGTTCATGTCGTCTGCTCGGAGCAGGATGTGGGAGGAGGGTGTGGTGGCGGTGGCAGAGAGCTGTGGCCGCGGTACGATCGCGCAGCCAAATGCGGATTGGCAAGCCACCCGCCGTCGCCGTCGCCGTCGCGCGGAGGATGGGCGCCTGTAGGAATAGTACACGATCGGCGGAGGATGTGCGTCATCGTGCTCTCCCCACTGACAAATGTCCCAGTGGCAGAGCAGTCTGCCTGGCTCGCAGGGGACCCACCGCGCCCCCGCTATCAGATCTCTCTATATAGCCCGCGCCGCACGGGCTACAGCCTCAGCCCATCCCCCATGTCCAACCCCGCCACCATCTCTGACTGCAGGTCTGTCCTTGTCATTGGCGCGACCGCCGGCCTCGGCCGCGCTCTCGCCCTCGCCATCCATGGTCTCCCGTCGAAGCCGACCGTCATCGCCGCCGGGAGGCGGCAGGAGAGGCTGGACGATTTGGCGAAGCAGGGCGAGAGAATCCAGACGGTCAAGTTCGACGTGAACGCGAGCCGCGACGCGCTCAAGAGTGCCGTGCAGGATGTGTACCAGAAGTACCCCGACGTGGGTAATGTCGCCACGTGCGAGTATATGCGCTGAAGAACTGCATATTCGTTCAGCTTGATGCCGTCCTCTTCGTGTCTGGTATTCAGCACTTGTTCGACTTCAAGAAGCCGGAGAGCATCAACCTGGATAGTGAGCACTCGTCGCATTGAACCAACTTGCAATCCAATGTTCATGGCCTGAGACAGCGCTTGAGGAGGAACTGAACACAAACTACACTTCGATCATCCGCATGGCGACCTTCTTCCTCCCTCACTTCCTGAAGCTCAGTGTGAGTTCATTGGTCTCTCCATGGCCTCTGACGGTAGACTGATGTTGGATGCTTAGGAACAAGGCCGGCCGTCCCTCATGATCACTGTCACTTCCGGGCTCGCCATCGTTCCCGGCCCTTGGGTACCGAACTACTGCGCTACCAAGGCGGCTCTCCACAGTTTCACGCTGTCCCTCCACACGCAGCTCAAGTCTACCAAGGTCAAGGTCATGGAGATCTTCCCACCGTATGCCATCTTATGCTTGCTTATCCTCACAGGACCATACTGACATCGCACCCACAGACTGGTGGAATCGGAGTTGCACGATCGTTCGTATGGCTCCACTCTTCGCTGTACATGATACTAAGCGCGACTTTACAGACCAAGGCACGACCCCGGCCTTGTCCAAGTTGTGGATGCCGCTCGACGAGTTCACGAAGGAAGCCATGGAGGGTCTCCAGCGTGGAGACGTCGAGATACCCGTCGGCAAGTCGGCGCAGCAGTGGGAGGCGTTCGAGAAGGGCAAGCTCGAGAAAGCCGAGGGCGCGCAGAAGCTCTTTTCCGCTCCGAAGTAGACTGTAGGCAAGCCGTACTCGCGTACAGCAGCTAAGAAGTGAACCGGATAATAGGAGGAATGTATACTATATACAGCGCGAGATCGAAAGCAGAGCGACAAGGAACCCAAGAAAGATAACAGCTATGTCACAAACACGATAGCAAACGATCTACGCGAACATCGTGGTCAGTCAAATTCCGGAATTGAGGACCAAGCACAGAACGACTCACAGCACAGCAAAGATCCCGTCAGTAACACGACTCAGACATCCCCATCCTCACCATTATACTCCGTACTAGAATCAGAGGACACCCCGTCCTCGTCTTCGTCTGCATCGACCGTCTTGGAGCCGTTCGGCTGCGGCTTCGTCGAGAGCCTCCCCGATCGTCTCATCGATGTTCGCGCGCCATTACTCGCTGGCGGGCCCATGGGCGTCCGACGTCGCTTCGGCGACGAAGGGCCCTCCTGTGCTTGCGCCTGCCCGCCTTCCTCCTCGTCTTCAATACCCTCGACATGGAACCTATTCTCCGCCGGGCGCTTCTTCCCCCTCTTCGCGACCGGCGCAGGAGCAGGCGAAGCAGACGGTGCCTGAGAAGCAGACGGCGCGGGTGCGGGCGCATTCACCATGCCGAACGCGGCGTTGTACGTGTGCGCGGCGTCGACGAGCTCGCGGTAGAACTCGGTGTCGAAGCCGATGCACTTGAGGAGCACGCAGGGCGCGCGCAGCGTGCCGGCGCGGTAGTCCTGGAGGATGTCCTCGGGGTTCCTGTTCCTGTGCTCTTTCTCCTTGTCCCTCGTCGTCTCGGAGTACTCGTATTGCGACTGGCGGGCACGGGACGGTCAGCACGAACGACGCCAGCGCGCGAGCGAGACTACCTTCTCGGGGAGGGTCAGCCACTCCTCCGCCGTGAGCCTCTCGACCCTCTTCAGCTCGTACGTCCCGAAGTACCTGAACTGGCTCGCCGCACCGACGAACACCGGCCGGACCTCGGCGTCCTCGAAGCGCACGCGGTCGCGGTCGCCCAGGCCGACCTGCATGTACCCGTGCGCGCCGGGCTTGGTGGGCAGCCACGAGTTCTGGTTGAGGTTCGGGCAGAGGAACTCGCCGATGTCGTACTTCACGGCGAGCGGCCGCGCGCTCTTGGTCACACTGGGCAGGGGAAAGAGGTTAGTATGCGCTTCGCGCGCGACGGTGAGGGTGGGGCGTACCGGACGAAGAGACCTTGGGTACTCCCGCCGAGGAGCTGGGAGAGTTCGGTCTTGGTGAACGAGACGTAGCCCGCTAGCTCGGGTGGCAGGGCAGGGTCGATTTCGGGGTAACTGGCAAGTATAGCCTGTCGAGTTGGAGGAATTGGAGACGCATAGTTGGCGAAGTCCACAGGTCCCCCATCTTTCTTCCCGGCGCGTTTCTTCTTCGCGGGCTGCCTATCGGTAAGTTAGCTCCAATATTGTCCGAGATGGAAGTTACGCTAGAGGACGAGACTTACGAAGCCACAGTTCTGCTCGCAGAAGCCTGTGGACGCTGAGCTGCGATCAGCAACATTGGAGTGACCTGAAATGCGTTACTCACCTCCGCACCTGAGCGCTGCAGGGCAGCAACTGTGCCCGATTGTACCTACGAAAACGCAATCAGATCAGTAGCTGACACCCAAGGCAAGAACCTGGTACCGCGGCTTACCGCTGCCTCTAGCAATGCAACCTTCGCCTTCAAATCGTCGGTTTCTTTCTGGGCCACAGCCAGCTACCCAATAGCGAACACCGTCAACCGCGTGTTCCGCAACGCTCGCCCTCCGCAACCCACCTGTCCGCGGAGCGTACTACGCTCCTGCAGCATAGCCTCATACGCCATCTCCTGGCCCACCGCGTCGAGCTGCGACTGGGTGGACGACCGCGTCTCTGCTGTCAGTGCATTCTGCGCCTACAACCATACCGGACCCACGCGTCAACACCGCATCTCACACCTGCCACAGCAACTAATGACCTTTTCGATGTCCGCCTGAAGTGCTCGGACCGTTTCGCTGAGTTCACGGACCTCGCTTTCTTTGCCTTCGAGCCCCGCGCGCAGGGTAGCTACCGTGTTCTGGAGCTCGTTGCGCTAGGGGGTTGTCAAGTCTGAGTCAGAATGGAATTGCGCATGAATTACCTCTATGACTAGAGCCAAGTCTTGCACCGATAGGTCCTCTCCCCTGCGCATCACCTCTTCTTTGAGCTTGGCATTGTCTGCTGATAGAGCGGTATGCTGTGAGAGCAGCTGTTCTGTCGCTTCTTCCGCGACAACACGCTGTTTTCACAGACCTTGCATGTAGTATAAAGAGCACGAGATTCTTGAGAGGCGCACCTTCTCTTTCTCTGCGTCTACTTCGCCATGCAGCGCGTACACTTGCGCCTGCGCCTCGACGAGTTGTGTTTTCAGCGCTGCATGTTCTTCGGCAGCAGCGTTCCCGGGCATGCGCAGCGACGACACCTGCTGCTCTGCTGCCTTAGCCCTGCGTATCCATTCTCTCATCTAACGAAGTACTCAGTGCACCGCTCACTGCTCAGTCAGGTCGCGTCATCAATTCAACTTACTGTCTTCAGTAGGCGGACATTCTCCGCCGTAACTTTCCTTAAAATCTCCGCCTGAAGGTTTCGGGCCTCAGCTTCGAATATCGCGGCCTCCATGTCTAGCGACGCGACTCTTGAGGAGCATGTAGGGGGTAGAGACCGCGCGCGGGTGCAGTGGGGATGGGAACAACTCTGTCTTGCGACACGTAAGGTTTCGGTCGTCAGCGCGCTTCAGCCACAGACGCGTCGCATCGAGATCCCAGATCCGTCACGACCCCGCGCCAACCCGGAGTCAATGCGTTCTTCGTCCTCCCCAGGCCAACACCTCATAAAATGATCATAGCATGGCCATAGCAACAGTAGAATAGCCCAATATAACCCCACTGGTTGGCCAGGAATCAGAGAAACATTATATACCGGCACTAAGCGTAGTAGCGATAGCAGTCTATGGGGACGTCGTCACGACAAGTGTTTTATCCAATTCACGCCTTCCTCAGAGCATGAACGTCAGCGGGTTCTCGAGGTAACCCTTGAATGCGGACAACCACCGTGCACCGACAGCGCCGTCAACAGTCCGGTGGTCCGCGCTGAGCGTGACCTTCATGATGTTCGCCACCTTGAACCCGCGCTCCTCCTCTGGTGCGGGCACCAGCGTCGCTTGCGTTGCGCCGACAGCAAGGATACATGATTGTGGCGGGTTGATGATAGCCGTGAAGTGGCTGATGCCGAACATGCCCAGGTTGGAGACGGTGAAGGTACCGCCCTACGAGTTATATATGTCAGAGGGTGTCCTGCATGGGTCAACGTGATGAACATACCTGGTACTCCTGAGGCTGAAGCTTGCCATCACGCGCCTTCTTCGCCAGAGTCTTGCCTTCTGACGAGATGGAGGCAAGGCCCTTCGCACCGACATCCTTGATGATGGGAGTAATGAGGCCGGTGGGAGTAGCAACAGCAACCGAGATGTCAGCCTTCTTGTACCTGATTTCCCGAGGACATGAATCAGCAGAGAACACAGCAGTGAGAAAGGACAGTCATACTGTCTGATAACCTCGCCCATCCATGCCGAGTTGGCCTCCGGGACGTCGGCAAGTGCACATGCGACCCCCTTGAGCACGAAGTCGTTCACACTCAGCTTAGCCGCCTTATCCTTCTCACCCAGCGTCTTGTTGAAGACTTCCCGCAGCTTCAGGACCTTGTCCATGTTGATGTCAAGCGTCAAGTAGTAGTGCGGGATCTCCTGCTTCGACTGCGTGAGACGGGTACCAATCGTGCGGCGCATGTTGGTGATCGGCGTGTCGACGTAGTCCGGCAGAGGGGCAGTAGGCGAGGGGAAAGACGTCGTCGGTGCAGCAGCACCGGCGGTTGCAGAGGGTTGGTACTTCTCGACATCCTCCCGGATAATACGACCCTCGGGGCCCGAGCCCTTGACTTTTGCGAGAGGGATTCCGCGCTCGAGGGCAATCTTCTTCGCAATGGGTGATGCAAAGATACGGTCGCCCTTGGGGATGTCGGGTTTTGTCTCAGCCTTGGGTGCAGGCTCGGAGGACTTGGGAGTTGGCTCGGGCTTGGGAGGCTCCGGAGCCTTCTCCTCCTTCGGAGCAGGCGTTTCGGACGCAGCCTCGGAAGCCAGCTTGTCAGCACCGGAAAGGTCGTCGCCCTCTTCAGCCACGATGGCAATGGTTGCTCCGATCGGGATGTTCTTCGCACCGTCCTGGGCCTGAGAGCAGGGATGGAACACTTAGCAGCATACAATACACTAGATCCAAGGAGACATACAATGATCTTTGCCATCACACCCTCATCCTGGGCCTCCACGTCGATGGTAGCCTTGTCCGTTTCCTGTGACGAGCGAACAGTCAAGCCCGCCAGACACAGCGTTACAGCGTGTACGCACGATTTCCAAAATGACATCGCCCGCGGAGAAGGTCTCGCCCTCCTTCTTCTTCCAAGACGCGATACCGCCCTCCGTCATCGTCGGACTCATGGCAGGCATAGTGAATTTTGACAGGGCATTTCGCCGTGCAGAGACGTGCAGGCCTGGCTCGGAAGTGAGTGACGTCGTTCAACCCAAGCCAACGAGACAATGCTGCACGTACGCCTGGTGAGAATGCTGCGGGCAATGCTGGAAGCCATGGCGGTCAGTGTCCTCGACGACGGAGGAGGGTACGGTAGGAAAGGGACAGTGAGAGTGTTTACGAAGACGAGCGTGCAAACAGGCACAAATGCGCTGGCGAGCCGCAACGGAGGCCGCACGATCGGCAAGTCTCGGGGTCGCGCGGTACAGACGCGCACGCACGACTCTCATCTCGCAGCATTTCTCATTTTCCCCCCCACGGCCCGCATTCATGTCGTCCGATCTCGTTCTCCCTGGTCAGCCTATTCCTCTCCCCCGCGGCCCCGTCCCACAGCTCGGGAGCGGCATCTATTCTAGGGATGGCAATATCAGAGCAAGCCTCGTTGGCATCCCGGGCTACGAAGGATCTGTTGGTCTCCCCTCTCTTCTCATCTCTGGCTGCCTTGAATAATATGTGTGCGATGGTCTCATCTATTTGACCGCGCTCTGGGGTGCAGACTTTGTCAATATCGCGTACACGACCGCATGCACCCTCTTCGAACTCTATCGTGCTCGGTTCAATAACGCGGCTTTCGCCCCAGCAAGCCACACTCTCTATATCCGTCGTTGATGGTGTACCCTTGCCTCCAGGCGAAGAATTCACAGGAGTGATCCGTGTACAAGACGTCAGGGCAACCGAAAAGGATAGGGTGAAGATTGCTGACTGCTTCCGGGGCGGCGATGTCGTGAAAGGGCTTGTCGTGAGTAGACATCCTTACTCGATCAACAAGCGCATACGTTGAGCTGTTTGCAGATATCATTGGGTGATGCACGTAGCTACTATGTGACGACTGCTCGCAATGATCTAGGCGTTATCTTCGCGACTAGTGAATCAGGTACGAATTATTGCCTTTCGATCAGTCCTTTTTAGTTCATCTTGCGAGTAGGTGCAACCATGGAGCCCGTCTCGTGGCAGGAAATGCGGTGTCCACGGACAGGGAGGATCGAAAAACGCAAGTGCGCTAAACCAGAGGGTCTGTAGACTTAGTCACATCAGCAGTTGCAGACATGCCATCTTGTCCTCTGAGCAGCATGTATCATACGCTTGTATCGATGTTTTTGTAGCACCCATGTCCCTAGTAGTAGTCTCCTCCAGCGAGTATCAATGTGGGTGGACCTTGAAGCCTCAGGAATCGAAGGTGGCATTGCGGAGATCAAGAACGAGAATACTGCTCTACGAGACGCGACACCAACGGCAAATGCTTCCATCGAAGGAGCGCGAGGCTGACGGGAGCTGTCTCGTCGATATTAAGACTTCGCAAGTTCTCTCGCCAGTGGACTCGAGATCAGTAGAATTTAATAAAGCGGTACGTCGACGTCACTATGGCCATAGCGCGTGATTCTGCACAATGAGGTGCTATTAGCAACACGTACAGAATATTGTGACCCAACAGCGTACGTGGAACGAAAGTTAAAGCTAGTTGAGAGACAGAATGTACACTGTTCGTTGCGCAACGCAGAGTGGGAGGAGCAAGTACTAGTGCCAACTACTGGACCTACCTAAAACGGCGAACGGCCGGTGACCGCGTGGCAGCTCGACAACTGAACCTCCCACTCTGGGCGCCTCTGTCATCCTATCGTCGCCTCTCCGCTCAGGCTCTGGCACCGGTGCTGGCCCTCGCTTTGTACTCTACTCTGTGACATGACTGCGGTCCTTCAAGCGAGTGATGTACTGAACAGGAACAGGACTATGGCCTCGCTTGACGACAACACAATCAAGTAAACGGTTCCTGCTGTCATCCGCGGTCGCTTCGCTAATTGTGCATGGTAGTTATGCCTCCTCCACCGACTGGAAGGCGAAGTACATGGAGGTCGCGGATATGCTGGCAGAAACCCGCGCGGAGCTCGATGACTTCCATGGTTCCAGCAAGGAGTTGGAGGAGGAGTTGGAGAGAGAGCTGGAGCGGACCGAGAAAGCGCAGCAGGATCTCAAGGTCAAGGTAGCCAGAGCCGAGCATGAGAGAGACGAGTGGAAGGTCAGCATCTGCATGGGGGGTGCTTATATGCGTCTCGCTGAAAGGCATGATTCAGTCCAAATTCATGTCGCTGCAAACGACCCACAACATGACAACGACGTCGTTGCAGCGCGAACTCGACACATTGCGTGGGGAGCATCAGAAGATCAAAGTCCAACTCCGCGAATTGGAGATGGGTAATGACGACTTGGAACGGAATGAACGAGCCATTTCATCAAGTCTTGCCGATGTTGAAAGCAAGTATGGGCGGGTCCTGGAGGAGAAGATCCTACTCGAACACGAGCTTATGGACAAGGCTAATGTAGAGGAGGAATGTCAACGGCTGAAGGACGAGCTCCGAGGTGTGTCGCTCATGCGCCTGCTAGTGGCATTGCGTTTTGTTACCTTATGCCGCTTGTAGATGCGAACGAGGAGATCAACATCATGAAGGACCAGCTCGCCGCTGCACAATCGCGCCCTCCTACAATGACAGACACCGAGTCATCCGCACGGTCTGTTACATCTACCGCACCCTCTTCCATCTCAGACGACAACCTCCTTAGCGTCGCGGCACCCTCAGACCTCTGCTTAGCAGACCTCTCACCGGACTCCGAGACCTCAGCTAGGGAGACCAAGGAGACTCCGAAATACGCAACACCTCGACCCATCAGATCACCTACCATCCCCGGCTACACTCCATCACCGCTGCTTCACAGGTCTACTTACAAAGTGTCGCGTCTGGCGACGCCACCGACCAGCTCCTCGCCCTCCATGGCTCGCTCGAGCACTGTGCCGTCATTATCTACGCCGTCACGTCTACCCCCCCGTACGCCCGTCCCGAGACCGACCGCCAGCCGCAATGTGTCGAGTTTCAGCTCTACAAGCACCAGCAGTGGTGTTCCTGGGACAACGTCAAGGAGCAAGGGCGTGCAAATGGTGTCGGAGATGAGGGCTCGCGTCAAGGTGCTGGAACAGAAGATCCACACTCGCGTTCCCAGGTTGCGCATGGGCAGTACAATCAGTCGAACCACAGGGATGCCGCCACCTCCGCCACCGAAGGCGGGACCTTCGTTCGTGTCTGTCTCGCCTGCGCCCTCGACATCGTCTACGCGATCAATGAGCAACGACGAAAGACTATCGCCGTCCAAACCGCGTCGATTGAGCATAGATTCCGAAAGGGATCGCAAGCGTGCGTCTGGAGGTGACTCTTCGGGATGGGTCCTCATCATGGACGACTCCCCGTCTCCTGCGAAGGATAAGGACAAGGAGCGGAAGCGCGCGTCGAGCCCTTCAGCACCTTCCGCCTTCCGACCACTTCCTGCAACACCTCACGACTCACCATCGCCGACCGGTATACCTAGGGCCCCGAGTGCGCTTTCACAGAGCACGATGCATACTGGTATTCGCCGGCCGCAGTCAACAGTGTCGGAGGGACGGAGCAGTATCAGCACCAACGCTACTACGAGCACGGCTAGTTCGATCCCCACACCTTCCTCACGCCCGACAACCCCTACTTATCTTCCCTTACCAACATACGGAGGTCCCGGGCATGGGCTGAAGCTCTCGACAGGACTGGGCTCAGGGCCATACCAATTGAAGCGGTCTTCTCTGGGAGCTCCCGCCAGATCGTCCCCTATAGCTACATCCCCTCCTGCGAACATCACAACGCGCCCGATGCCGAAGTCTTCCATCGCCAACTCAATGTCGCAGAGTCGAATCGGGAAACCAACGACTCACTCGGCCGGACGGAGGAGTGTGGGCGAGGCCTCAGGAGACGAGATGCTGACTGTTCGAGACCTCTCACGAGCGAGGTCTGGGAGCACCACGGCTCTGTATGGGAAGAAAGGTGGATAGTGGAAGTTGCTGTCTGTGTCTATACTCCCGAGTTCCTTGTGCCATTCTTCTGCGCTAATTTCGGCCCCCTCCAGTCTTTCTATCTTCCACAAGCATAATGAACTGACGATTTACGATGCAGTCGCAGTTTGTGTCCGCTCTTGCGGCTGTACATCCATGCTCCCTATATCCCATGACTTATGATGATATCCCGGCCGGCCTGATTATTATATAAGTAGAGCTTCAACCCGACCTTGTTCATTCCTTTAGCGCCACCCTGTGCATCTGAGTTATAGCAACCGTACTAATGTTGTGTAAAGCGTACCTTCCTTCATTCCGTTTCCTGTAGCTTTCATTGGAGAAGAATCCAACTATTTATTGTGGACATGGTGTGATGGAGGGTGTGAGCGAGACTAAGCGAGTCACTCCAGTTCGAGCATAGTTCGAGATCCAAGATACATATGTAGGCGCCCATGGCGTCACGCAGGATGTGGACGCGTCCAAGCGCCCACAGCCACTTCGACTTGCACACTCAGGATCGCCCACTCTGCAACCCGCTATGTCGACACCCACACCTTCCTCCAGCGCACAGTCAGAGCGCTCCCTGAACAGACAGTTGGTTCTAGATGAAGACGAATACACGGAAGCTCTCTCTCATATCATTGCCCGCGACTTCTTCCCGTCTCTTGTCCATCTCGAGACAACAAACGATTACCTGGATGCTCTGCGGTCGAAAGACCCACAACTCATACAGGCGTCTGTCCGTCGAATGGAGGGATTGTCTACTCCTATGAGCTACCGCAGTCGGCCATGGGAGACACCTTCGCAGACTCCATACCGGGCGGGGCCCTCGGAGACACCTCTACGCACGCCCCGGGACGAACCACCAGCGAAACGAGTGCGGTACGACACAGACATGAGCCTGGACACATTCCAAGCGAAGTACACGTCGGAAGATAACTCGAGCTTTACGCATATTCTGGATGACGAGAACAGGCAGCGGAGGGAGCGGTGGTCGTGGGCATGGGAGGCGCAGAAGAGGGTGGAGGAACAGCGGGGGAAGATGCTGGAGGGCAGGGAAAGGCTGCTGATTGAGGGCCCTGTGGCGACTGGTGTCCGGGAGAAGTTCCGCATAGAGGCACCTACGCCTGCCGGGCTGCTCACCGACGGGTCTATGGATGAAGCGAAGGACAATGCACAGGAGAAGGGGGCTGAGGTGACCGTCAGGGAGAAGGGCAAAGAGGTAGCCGTCAAAGAGAAAGGAGGCGAGGAAGAGGAAAAGGTAGTGGACGTCATGGCTCCGAAGAAGGACACGCGACCAGCAGGGGTAGATGCTTGGAAGTTCAAGGTGTGCACAATCAACAGGCTTGCTACTTGCGAGAGTCTGACCTATTCTGTCGCAGACGCGGAACGCACTCATGTTCTCTCCAGACGCGGATGTGTCTCCGTACCACGCCCCCGCCGCTAAGGCACCTGTGGAAGTAAAGGGCGAACCGAAGGCCATCAAACATGGTAACACCCGTCTCCCGGAGCAAGACGACACACCTTCACGATCAATGTCCGCGCCTGCAAGTCCTACGCAGTCTCGTATAGACGCGGCCATCGCCGGCACACCATGTAAGAGTTGCGCTGCGCCAACGGTGTCACACATTACTGATTGCTGTGTTGTACAGACCGGCCGAAGTCGCCAACTGGTGACAACTTTCCACTCGTCCCTTCAGTACCATCGCCTACGCCCTCGGAACTTGGCCCGGCCGCCGTGAAACAGCTCATGACTTGGGGGACATTGACCGCCACCCCGCGTATCCTGTCCCAGTCGGACGACCCTGCGGAAGCCTCGTCCGGCATGCCTCCCCCGAGCACACCGTTCCACATAACAGCGCCGAGTGCCCGCGAGCGCATCTCACATAAGCTGTCATCAAACGCAGCCAAGAGCTTGCGGGCAAAGGCAGGTCTGCTCAATGTTCCGGGAATCTCGCGGACATCGGCGAGTTCGAGTGCGCGGAAGAGCGCCATGCCGCCGCCTTCGTGGACGCCGCGCAGAGTTGAAGCTGCTGGCGGATTAACACCAGCTGCGAAAAGGTTGCTGGATAGATCAACGATGGGAACGGCAGCCGCTAGGAGGGCCGAGGCTATGGGGAGGATGGCTGGGTGGGAGGGCAGTAGTGCTAAGAAAGAGAAGGACTTGAACCGTATTCGATGGACTCCTAGTCCTGTGTCGAGGAGACCATAGCAGAGTATCTACCTGTATACCTAGTTTCGGCCTGCCATGTATGCGGTTTGTATTTCACTGATGCGGATGTCGAGCGGATGTCAAGATTTCTGACGCACAATGCTTGCATGGTCAATTAACGCGTCAACATGCCTACTATACAGGTGGGGCCCACGAATGACAGAAGGAAAGAGCGGATTAGCCTTTCGATTCGGATACCCTCCTGCGTTTAGGGTCGCGCTCAGCGTCGTCCTTGGGAGGCGATGTTTCGCTTTCTTTACGTTTGGTTTGTGACTGAGCGTCCGAGTTCGTCTTCAGACCACCATCTGTCTCGAGCGGCGAAGATGCAGCTGGCTTTGATTTCTTCTTGACGAGTACACCTTTGAGAGACTTCTTGAGGTCTTTCTTGGCTGCCGGCGCCGGTGCCTTACTCTTGACTGGTGCAGGCTGTGGGGGAGATGAAGTTGACGCGACCCCTACCGCGGGCTTGCTTGCGGCAGTCTCTCGCGCAGCAACAGCTCTGTATTGATGGTCAAAATATGAACGCAGTCGCACAGCTCGAGACGCACTCTCTGAAGCTCTTCAGCTCCTTCCCGTCCATCTCTTCACGGAGGCGCTCCTCCTCGCGTTGCTTCTCAAGCACAGAATCGAGGAAGAGTACCTCATCTTCTTCCAATGCGCGGAACTGGTTACCTGCCCCTCGAGGTCAGTGAACCGCAAACTCAACGACAGATACGACATGCCTAGTTTATTGCGCTCCTCCCACTCTTCTTGTTTGGCTGCCTGAAGCGCGTAAGAACCAACCCATCAGCGCGGCGCGCCGTTGCTTACTCTATTGGCAGCCAGTTTCTGGAGTGCTGCGTAAGAACCTCGCTGAATGTATAGCAAAGTGACTGCGGTACCTCAGCCAGACTACGCCCGTCGAATGCATCTTCTGCTGGGGGCGGTGGAGGCTCCTGCCCGAGCCTAAGAGCTGCATGAGATCAAACGAGCAGTGCAACGGCGGGGGCTGGTACCTTGCATATGCGGCCTTCCACTGCTCGTCGCGGCGCGCCTTTGCGGTGTCGATGTCATTCTGAGTGACAAAGCGGGAGCCGACTGCGCCAGAGGAAATTGAGGGAATAGCGTCGAGGTCGTCCATAATGGAACGGGGGAGAGTGATGGGCGGTTGTTCGGCCGGGCGGCAGCTGGTGTGAGGCGAGGGCCAGTGTCCTTTAACTCCTCCTACCGCCTCCTGTCCGCCGTCCACCGACGGTCGCTCACTCGCTGCCCAGCAGCGGCAGGATCAGCGCCCGCTCCTTACGCCTTATACCCCTCGCCCCTTTTTCCTAGGTTTTGGGCTGCAGATGCTGTCTGACGGCGAGCCGCAGCCCACAGCGTCAACACCCTCTGTGGCCAGTTTCGCAAAGTCCCATAGCGTCCGAAGCTCTCGTGCCGCGCCGTCTACTATCAGAACTGTTGTCACCGCTCCTCGTTCGTACCTATCTTCTGTCGTGCGGAGGTTGTTTGCTGAGTCGTGTCGTCTGACCCCATCAGCCTGGGCGCGAGATGAGCCACCCTCGCCCACAGAGGACGATCCCCGGCCTGCAGCGTCACGAGAGAATGTACAACGTCCAACAGACTCACGCCTCTCAGACGTATTCTCCTACCAATCCTCCATTCCCGACGACCCCGGTCCGTCTCGTTGGTGGGCCTTCACGCGACATCGACCAACATCACCGTCCCAGTCGACCCCACTGACTGGACAGCCAACATCGCCCGCGCGTAGCCGACCACTACGTGAATGGGAAAGGTCGCTGTCTATTCCTTGGTTGAGTCGCTCCCAACAGGGGAGCCCGGCGATCCCGCAGGCGAATGCCCCGAGCGGCCTGCACGGACAAGAGCAGGAACAACCAGACGACACAATCCCTGCCGACCCTCTGCACGTTGACATACCTCCTCCTCCGACCACACCTTACACCATTGCGCAGAATGCGACACCTGGTTGGGACAGTCCATGGAGCGCACGTCCGCTGGACTTCACAATCCGAAGTAACCGTTCGGGCGAAGAGGTACAGCGTTTGTCACCTGTGGACGAGCATGATAGCGAGAAAGAAAAATTGGGAAACTGGGCCAGGAGGCGGAAGAGGATCAGAGCTTACATGTTGTACAACCCATATGTTCCTCTGGTACGATCTTTTTCTGTCATTGTTTGTTGGCTCGACTGACGTCGGGCCAAGCTTTTCCGCTTCATCAACATCGCCTTCACGGCAGCAGCTTTGGCTATAGCCATTCGCATTCGTCATCTGGAGAAGCGAAGCGGTATCATGGGCGCTGTCGGCTCGTCTCCGTATGTTCTTTTTTTGACACTGGGATCACATTCTAACGCGCAGGCGATAGAACCCTTGTCATTATCTTCGCGAGCTTGACGCTCGTTCACGTTATGGTGGCCATCTACACCGAATACTTCGGACGTCCAGTAGGGCTGTGGCACACCTCCAGCAAGCTGGCCTACACCCTCATCGAGGTTGTCTTCATCTGCGCGTGGTCCGCGGCGCTCGCGCTCACCTTCGACAACTTCTTCACATCTTTGATTCCTTGCGCCTCACTGTCCAGCATTTCTTGGTACAACGAACTCCCTCGAGCAACACTGCCCGACCTTACTGGGCAGCTGGGCATAGAGGGGGATCACATCTGTGATAACCAGCTCGCGCTCATCTGCCTGGTCGGGGTGGGCCTTATCATGTACTGCTTCAACCTCGTCATCAGCCTCTTCCGCGTCTTCGAGAGGATCAAGTACCACACAGCGTCCGTGCTTCCGACATGATAGCGAACCACTTACGAACATTCCCTTGCGGCACGCCCCTGCGTTCCTACGATACTAGATGCTTTAATTCGCCATCATTTGCCGCAAGCAACATACATGTTCTGGTTGGAGACATACACACACGGGGACTGTGATCGATGCCTGTCCTGTCTGCTTCTGCGTTTCTTCTCCCGTTTTCCGACGCGCTACCTCGACATGTATTGATATATGAAGCCACGCTACGTACAAACGCTGTATAAATGAATGCAAGAGCTGATTTCGGAATTTTGCGCGTCTGAGAACGGCATGCATGCAGTGCACCGGACCGCGCCGCTGGCCTCTTTGTCGCAGCGGAGATGCGAACTCATGTCTCTTGTGAACATCGCTGCAAGTTGTGGTTCGGGAATGACAAACCCATCCATTCAGGCCCCAGTCGGGTTTCTGAGTCTGCAACGGAGGCCACTCCCATGGACACTGTCAAATCAGGGCGACAGCACCGTGCCCCATTGTTGACCACGAAGAGGAATGTTTTGGCCCCGGCTGGCTACACCTAATCAAGTTGAAATTGTAGTGGACCGACCTCGAGCTCGCTGGCAGGGGTAGTTCCCTCCTCCGGCTCGCTCGTGCCGGGATTACTCAATACCTGCCACATTCAACACCTGCCAGGATATGCTACGTATGTCACCGAGATGTACACGTACCTGCGATAGTAGGTGATAGACTCCGACACCGACGGCGACGGCGAAACGCCCAAATGCACCTACGACTATGACTTGAAGACCAGAGGTATCTTCCGCGTTTGCTAGAGATTGCTCATCACCGCGAGCAGGCGGCTACCGTCCTGTCAAGTCGGCACAGCAATAGCTCTCCACGTCGAACCTGACGCCAGGAGAAATGGACGCCCGTCCATTGGACAAAGTTGGTGGAGGTGTGGTCTGATGAAGCACGTCAATGACTTCGAGCAACTGTTAGCGTTCGTTCATGGGCAGCATCGCGCGGACATCTCACCGAGTCCGCCGATGAGACCAGCAGCAGCAGTGCGTGCGCATCCGCAGAGTTACTGCTGTATCCATGGCTGTGTCCGTGATCATCCTTCGTCAGGTAGCGGCGGTGCATAAGATCCTGCAAGCGGAGCGAGGTTGGCTGTGTATCCGAAGCCCACCATAAACGATCGTCTGAGTACAGGCCCTTGCATGTGCGTAGACGCGGATGCCGAGGACTGCGCGAAGCTTGTATACGTTTCGCATGCCAGTGCCCGAAGAGAGCCTCGTGCAACGCTCCGACGTCGGACGTGCAGTTGGTGGGTATGTTGGGTCCGGAATAGCGCTCGCCGTCAGACACTGTTATGATAATTTGATTGTTCCGATCATAATCGACTGTTGTCGACGAGGGTGTGGGACCTGGTCGATCGGATGCCAGAGCGAGGACGTTGTGGAGGCCATGCATTGGCAGATGGGCCGATTTGCTTCTCCCGTAAGTCGCTCCTGCATGAGACCGACCACGGAAGGCTTGACTTGACCGAACGTGCTGCGCAGTGTTACTTCAAGGTATTAGGACTGGTACTTGAACAATGGGATGAGACGCATGGACTCTGCATAACAGTGCCTCGGACGGTATTCTCGGTATGATTCTCGGACATGATGCGACTGCGGGGCAAGAGGACAGCCACCTCAGCAACACCTCAGAGGCCTCTCCGATGCGGCACTGCATGCAAACGAAGAACACCCGAGGTCAGCTTCTTCGTGACCGCGATCGCCGGAGAGCAACAGATGCACTCGAAGTGGCCATCCGAGGAGAACGCGTACTCGGCTCGTCAAGCCTAGGGACCTGGGGATCTGCCAATAACCCGGAGTTATCATGTAACGCACTGCGTCGGAGAGGAGTAAGAAGAACCCTTCCAGTCAAGTGTCGCCGCCAACGTTTCTGACGCGAGGGCGCTACAGTGGGTGTATTGCGTTGGGCGGGTGTCCGAGAACTAGTAGAGGCTTGATTCAGACATATGTGGCGTAGTTCATCCCGTGCCTTTGTCTAGGCTAGAATGCACCATAAGCGCGAACCATTTCAGATGTAGTTGAGTCCGGGATGACGTACAGGAAATGCAAATGCCGCAGCCTCACGGAACCAGATATGTAGATGCATTGGATCTATGTGGCGTAAGAACCTACAGAAGTAACGTCGAGCTCGAGGCCTCGGTCTAGGATGGCCACCACGCGTCGAGACGAATTACTACAGACCTCATCATGGCAGCAGGCTCCGGCAAAGCTCTAGGCTGATACTAGGCTGAGTGAGCTTGTGTTTCAGCGACATATGTTTTTGAGCGAGGTTCCGGTGTCGACCGGATAGTGACAACGCAGCGTCGTCAATACAACATACAAGTGTGATGGTGGCTTCCTGAGAGATATTGGGTGTGATTCGCGTATTGCGCAGATGGGATCAGCAGTTGGGCAGAGTAGCGCGGATTTGTCGGGTGCCCACGACATCGGAGCAGGCTACAAGGAGGAGTGGCGTGGCGAGTTGAGGAAAGAAGTGACACGAGCCGCCGGGACGAGCGAGACGCAGGTGTTGATGTGCGCTTCTTGTCCTTTCCGCGATCTCGGAGGCTGCACTGACCATCAGAAACGCCTTCTCCGAGCCGAAGTCGTCGGGGTGGTGGCTCCCTCCGTCGTACATAATAAGCAGCCTCACTCGGCCATCTTGTTCTCCATCCTGCATGCCCTGCATCGTCCTCAACCTCCCACTTCTCAAGCCGTGTTGTAGCAATGGCCTCCACCATGACCTGGAATGCCCTCCCGGTAGAAATGAAACTGTCCGTCGTCGATCTCCTTGATTTTCACAACGTCAAATCCCTCTCGCTGGTGAACCGGGAGGCCTACTCGTATACTGTGCCGTCTATTTTCAGGGTATGCCTCCTCGTGCTCCTGCCACTCACTGGCGCTGAGCGCTGATATCCATACGGTTCACAGCATGTGAAAATACCCGACTACGGGGCGTTGCACACCTATCTGTCGTCCGTTCCCAAATCGCACAACCAGTACATCCGCCGACTGCACGTATGCACGACGAACACTGTTGGGCAGATGGCTGCCCCATCCCCATCTGTCGATGGCCGTCCCGTCACGGACGCACTGGCAGAGCTGCTTGCTCACTGCTCCCAGGTGGAACAGCTGACGCTCGACCTGGCAGCCTCACTGCACCGCTCAATCATACCTGTATTCCGACACCTGAGATCCCTCACCAGCCTCACCATCAATCATTGCGGAGATGAGGAGCGGACACCATTGTCAGTCGCCTTCCTTCTTCTGTTGCGACAAGCGCGGAGCACTCATCCGTATTTGTCTCTAGGAGCGAACGCCTCGTCGTAGCCATTGCGGCGTCCGTACCCAGCCTTTCGCAGCTGTCTCTCGACAGAATTACTCGGTCCGCTCTCCATGCCCCCGAACTCGTCGGCGTGTACCCCTTCGTTCCGCTCGTAACGGGCGATGAGGACATCACCGACCACCCGCTCCTTGGCTCGGAGCTTCGCCTACCTTCTCTGCTCCGTCTGCCCACCCTCAAAAGGCTCCGTATCCGCGACACCCACTTGGGCGACCCGCAATGGTCCTCTGCGCCCGTCGCATGCGCACTCGAGGTGCTCGACCTCGGCAGTTGCTACCACGCCTCGCCGGACTTCAACCGGGAGTGCACCGAACGCATCATGGGCAATGTCGGCCACACGGTCGGCGAGTTCGCGCTCAACACCGCCCTCACGCCGCAGACGTTCCAGTACGCGCAGCACGCCGAGACGCCGCTCAAGCGCCTCCGGAAGATCCACCTCACGCCCCTCTTCCCCGTGGAGAACGTCGTCGATACTCTCAGCACACTGTCTGACTCGCCCGTCGAGCAGCTGAGCGTACAGTGCTACGAAGACGATGTGCTCGATATCTGCTCCGCGCTGTCCGACTTCCTCAGTTTGCGGGCGGAGCGCGGCGAGCAGGCGTTCTACAAGCACCTCACGGAGATCACTGTGAAAACCGTGAGCGATCTCGCGGACGGGCTGTACGGCCCGTTCGCGCTGGACACCAAATCCTCCGCCGCACTCCCGCAGGAGTGCGCGAAAGCTGTTCGCGAGCTGCAGGACTTCCTCCGTGACCTGCGTAGCGCTGGCGAAGACCGTCTGACGTCGGGCCCCGCGCAATCGACGAGCGCAGCTGACGTCGACATTGAGAAGCCGTCGCCGCCACAGGGCGACCAAACCCCCACGGAAGCATGAACTATGTATACCCCTTGTTTAGATCCTCGGTCTTTCAGTGCACTGTACGTCAACCTGTAACTTAAGCAGAGTAGAAGCCCTGAGGCAGTGATACCCTTTATTCATTCTTGTACACAATCTCCACTACTGCGCCCTGGGCCATAACATGGTAGTTGCGGAGCGACGGTATGAAACATCTATGAGTGCTTAGAGCCACTGCTGCGGACCTGCACTAGGAACGGTAAGCCCGTCATAAGTAGGTCCCATGTACTCCAGTGCTCACTCGGGCCCCCTAGTTCGACCTAATCAGATCTACGCATTGTGAGACCGTCCATGGCCGGAACGTGGAGGACCCTTTGTTCAGCTCGCCCCTGCTCCCACCCTTCCACGCTGCCGGTGAAGTAGATGAGGTTCGTAGGGGCACCATGGTGCATGCCCCAGTCGTCGATGCCAACCCAGTACGCATAGCAGCTCATGTGTTTCAGGCCATTCACTGGCGGCGTTCCTGTGTCCAGGCTGCACAGACCAGTGTCAAAGAGAGTTTCCATTGAGTAGAAACACACACTAGGCACGAATATGACGCACCGCAGTTCATCCCGCCGACCAGTCGGCCGCAGGGCGAAGCGCTTCCCGCGCTTGCCCTGCACGACCTCTGGAGGCCCGTTGAATGCGTTGAACGTATCCATCGCATTCGTGCCGTTCAGCACGAATTCCTCTGCGAAGAGTGTCCCACGATCTATTGTGATTGTCGCAGCGCTCATCCCATCTGGGCTCGTCCACCGACCGACATACATGGCCGTCGCGAGCTCCGCGAGCACGCTGTCGATGTACGGCTGCATGATCTCGAAGATGTGGTAGGTGATTGCGGCGGCGTCCATGTACGCCCCAGCCATGAAGACTACGACGCCGTAGGACGTCCCTGGGTGTATGGCGATGGCACTGTGGTAGTTGTATAGCTCTCCGACTGTGCATTAGATGCTCAGTGCCCGGCGACGTGCTTCGAACAAGTCCAATAACTCACGTTTCCAGTAAACCCTACGTAACCGGTTATTCGAGTCCGTCGCTTTGATGATCTCCCAGATGAGACCCGATTCTGTCCAGTCGTCCTCTTCGAAAGAGTGTGTCGCGTGCAACCAGTTGCGCATCGTGTACGGCGTCAGGACACTCTTGGGGTTACGGGGATTGAGTAACGTCGATGTGAAGGTGATTGCGTCGGAAAGTGAGCACCATTGCCCTCCTGCACCGTTCATGGCGTCCAAGAAGTCGAAGTCCTGGTCACGGCATGAGCACAATCTCTGTCTAATCGCCACAAAGACGCGAATGACTTACAGCAAGAGAAGACTCAAACGAAGGCACGACAAGTAAATGCTTGTTTTCCTCCGTCGCCAGGAAATGGCTGCCATTAAGACCCATAGGATCGAACACATCCCGCTTTACGAGATCAGCATACTGGGACGGCTCTTTGCTAGGATCACTCGAAGCAACGCGATTTGCAGCGACGAGCACAGGGCCTAACATACCCGTAGCAGTGTTGGAATACGAGGGGTAGAAACCCGGGAGATATATCAAGCGGTTGGCAGCGACGGAAGCCAGGACAGCTTCGATGGTAGGAAATGGCAGTCCGTTTGTTGGCGGAGCACCAGCTCCTTCGACTGAGGAAGGCCATTGAGAGACATCACCGGGAGGCCAGTCGTGACCCAGTCCAGACAGATGGGTAGCGAGGTGGCGCAGAGTAATTGGCTCTTCCTCCAGAGGCGGACCGGCATTACTAGGTGAATATCCATCCAAGCGATAGGTGAAGTCGGGTAGGTATTTGGACACTGGATCATCCCTAGGTGACGAGCCAAGTTCTTAGTTGGTATGCTACGCATCTACAGAGTGGATTGAGCTGCTCACCACGAGAGAGCACCTTTCTGCCTGAGGGCATGCGCTTCAACAGCCTCAAATAGCTTGGACACGCTCGCCATCCGGTACATCGCATGGCTGCTAGTGGGTGGCGAGGACGCACGGTCGACATCTGAGCCGTTGTTCCTCAACTTCCCTAGATTGTTCTCGTATATGGCCCCTTGTGATGTTACTACGGCCACAGAGATGCTCTCTATGTCGCCCGCGCCTGACTGGAAGCGGTCGCGCAAGTACGCATCCACCTTCGCCGAGGCCTCTTGCATCAACGGGTGTGCAGCCGATGCAGGTGTGTCCTGGAACAGGTCAGGTAGGAAAGGGTAGCAATGCAGTGATTCAGGTGTCTTTCCGGGCGCGAGACCTCTGCCATACTGAACCAGTGTTGTAGCGAGAGCGGAGACCACCGTAGACAAGGCCGTGATACCGAACATAGCTGCGAGGGGAGGTATCGCCGCCAATAAGGCGTAGTTGAGTCGCCCTCCCTGTCGAGCACGTATAATTATGTATGGGCTTTGTCAACGGGAGGGATTTGATCCGCAGGTGGTTTGATCGATGCCCGAGTTTGAAACCGCTCTTGCCTTGTCTTAGAGTCGAACCACACAAGAGAGTGCGTGCGCGGGCGGAATGTGCCTGACAAGGTCCGTCATTGCGAGTTGTAGCGGGCTCGTACACGAGTAGGCTTTTTGTGGTATTTCGTGGGAAGTGTGTTCGTATTCTTGAAGAGCATTCGAGTTGTCGGCGAGAACGGCCATGGCACGGTCACATGGGTCGTGTACCACCGCGTCGCACACGTGGGGTCACGCGTACCGGTCTGCGCGTCTATCGCGGTCATGGTAGCACTCAACTCAAGACCGTCATTTACTTATGGACATACTCTGCCGCATCGCAACTGTGCAACTGTCTCATAGAATCTAGGGGGCACTTAAACTCACGACGTAACCCTCGTCTCTAGGACGCGACCACATGGTCGCGACGCGTGGGGACTCAGCACTCTGTGACTCGGAGTTGCAGGTTCGCGGTCGCCACGCTCGTTCCATGACCGTGCGCCAGGATGATGCTCGTTGCAATTCTATTTGCACAGATCAGATTTACTCTCTCGCGGAGCTCTCCCACCGAATATGCTTGTTCTGAATTTGTGAGCCACGTTCAGTTTGATCATATGATTCATATCTGTGTGGATGGGCCGGCTCAGTCGGGTCTCAGGAACGCAGGCATGATCAAGACATCGCTATTTCTGCTACAACGAAGTCGTGTGATATAGTATCAAGTGATCGTTTACTGGTGAGGTCCTCGACCAGACTCCACAGTGAAGCAGAACCAATGAGCCTCAAGGGAGAATATAGTCGTTCGTCTGAGCTTGGACCAATAGTGCGTACATATATGGTCCCATTCTTTGAGTGCTTTGCGCGCGCTGAGTTACTAGATCGTGCGTTTCAGACCACGGCGGATGATGCGATGCGGTGTTCTCGGGAGAAGAACCGCACCCAACGCATCTCTCAAACTTGAAAAGTCGGATATCGAGGCGTACTAGGCAGCAAGGAAACCATGACAATAGAACGGCTTTGTCGTCTGGGCCGATATATAAGAGCGACTGGACATGACTCGGATCTCAAGCTCTCTTTTCTTTGAGCTCAACATTCGGTGCAGGCCAGTGAGTAGTATCTGTTGCTCTATGGCCGGCATGTGTTCAGGACTAAATGCGTGGTCTGAATAGCCTCTTTTACACGACTCGTACACGACTCACACAACCATGCTCTTCTCTGCCGCGCTCCCTTTGGTTGTTGCCGCGGTCTCTGTGGTACCCAGCGTGCTCGCTGTCACGGTTCCGAGCGACTCGTACGTTCATCTTCTTCGTCTGATTGGCCGAGCTAGGGGTGCTCAACATGTCCCCAGCTACTCTACAGCTCTCCACCGTAGTCAGATCGATCAGGTATCTGCACGGGATGTAGAAGGACTATATGGACGTGCCCGTGAGCATGGCATTTTTCTCATCCGACGGCTTTGAATTCAATCCGTATCCTTAGGTCATTCCAGTCACTACGGCCCTTACGTCATTCCCCAGGCAGTAATTCCCCAGGCAGTAATTCCCCAGGCAGTCATTCCTCAGGCAGTCATTCCCCATGCTGTCATTCCCCCCGTCATTCCTCATGTGGTTCCTCCAAGGGTGCCCAGCGGCCCCAAGATCCACCAGCCGAAACCTGTCAAAGCGGCCAGCAAACCGGCTTGGCTGAGGAGCAACCACCAGAGCCGTGAGCTTCTCATTCGGGAGTTAGTGGGCGAGCTGATGCAGCGAGAGTACGATGACTTGTGGGCTCGGATGGATGAAGTGGATGGGCTCGACTGAGACTTCCTAACTACCTGATTGCCCTGTGTGATATGGAAGCCTTCACGTAGGCTACATTATTCAATCATGCCACCGGCTCTTTGAACGAGACAGTGCGGGAAGCCATGCGTTGTTCAGTTCTCATGCCATGAGACAGTGACGATTGAGGTTGACGCCAGGCGCAGACTCATGCGGAAGTCATCCGTGCGAGAGGCCGTGTATGATTGCTGTCGTGCAATTCGTCGGTAACATACGGGACATTCGTGACGGACGCGGTACAAGCTGGGACTTTCGATCGCAGTCGCGACGCCGCCGCCGCGGTCATCACTTGTATGCGGAATGGTGGGATTAGCTGAAGGTAAGCTGTGAAGCTTTGAAGGCGTACGGACAACTCACGGCCGACGCGTCTTACCGTGGCAGTAGACAGGATGTCTAGCCCGGCCTTCCAAATGTTCAGAACGAGCTGACCACTCAACATATGAGACATTTGAGGGAGACGTTGTGGACGCGCTTCCCGGTCCTCACTGCACCAGCGAGTAATTGAGGCTATCATTCTGGACCTCTACGTACCACCGTTTTGTCAACGTCTTCATATACTCAGGATAGCCTGGCCCGGCCCCTATGCGCCATAGCGACATATTGCAGCGCTGCCTTTGTGGCGTGACAGCCGCACGGGTTCCTTCAAGGTGTCCAACAACTCATCAGTGATGAGCGTCATGTTTGGACGTGACTGACCACGCTACTGTATGATGGCCAGCACAGGATCACTGCATCCTTCACTGTAACAGCACCTGAACAGCACCATGAACCGTGTTTGCGTGAGCTTGAAGAGAGCCAGAGACGAATACGAGGTGATTCGAGAAATATACGTAAGTACGTGTATCACACGGGAACCATAGGCACCGTGTCAGTTGGGTCGGAAGTCTGACCGACTCCTTCCCGGGGTTGGAGCTGGATATGGAGACACTACAATTAGCGGTGTTCGCTTTCAGAAATTTGGTAGACGCGCAACGCCCACGCACGCACGAACAACGCTGTAACCCGTGAAACTGCATATCATCGAGGTTATGTCGAGCCGTCAGTAGACTGCGCTTGACTCCTTTGACCGGATCTCTGGAGATGTGCCAATGGGTCTGCTTGGTGTCAGGTCATTGAAGTAGACTGCTTCGGCAGTTCACCGGACACTGTCCGAGCGGGTGAGAAATGACTGTCAAAACGTCACAAGCAGAGCTATGTCTTTTCTAGCCACCACTGTAGTGACCCAAAACATCCTATCGCATATGCGGAGCCATCACCTAGTGAGCTACACTCACGCTCTTCCAATGCTGGCTCCCGACGTACCTCCTATTTGATGTGCGAGTGTTCTGATGTATCGTAGTACGGCGAGACGCGGTGAGCTAGACCCTCGCCGCGAGTCATCGGGAGAAGGAATGACTCTCCGTTGACCCGATCACGGAGGCGAAGTCGAAGGCATTGGTACACCGATCTGTACTTGGGCAATGAGCTCAACTACGCTGATGCTCGTGCTTCGATCATTGTTCAAACTGCATTGGCGTGCGCAACAGCCCGTCATAGGTCACTGGCTTCTAGTGCAGTAGCTGTTCTAGTGGAATATAGACTTACTCACGGCTCTTGCGCTACGTCTTATGCAGTGACCTCATGGGAAGACGGCTAGACGTCGCCGCGAAACGAGGCTCCTTGCGATACCTACAAGGAGTTGGCGCATAGCCTGAGCATCCTTTGTAGGTACAGAGCCACGTACGTGCTGTATCGGGCTTGATGTGTCTCCACGATCAAGTGCACAGTTCTTGAATGACCGCGGACTCACTGTAGGCAGTGATAGAATGGCGTCTTCTATCACACTTGATCCTATACTCTGAATGAAATGATGTCTTGCGCGGGCTTAAAAGCTGGCATCCGCAGCGACTGGTCCTGCAACAACTCCTTCAGACCGGTCTATTCCGTCCAAACATCGCATGCCGCTCAGAACACACCTCACAGTGCTACAATGGACTGCAGCGTTGTACGCCGACTCCGTTGTCTTCAAGGTCCCCAGGTCTATCAGCGGTAGTGGCTCAGTCCAGTACCTCTGGGACAACATCACATACCGACAATTTCTCCTCGACGTGGAAAGGTCGGCTCGTTTCTGGTCCTCCGTGCTGGTCAAGGAGAATCTGCCGCAACGCACCGTGGTCGGCCTTTGGTGAGATTTATGCTGTAGATTCAGAGGGTATCAAACCTGATGCAGACTCGAAGGCTCAGCGGATTGACTTACATGGACGTCCTACACATTTATGGCGTCGCCAGAGCCGGTTACATTCCCCAGCTCTTCTCCTTGCGACTCCCAAGCCCAGAGATCATCTTCGAGCTCATGCATCGTGCTGGTGCCAAGGCCCTCATCTACGATATCTCATACGCGTCAATAGTCCACGGCTGCGAAGTGACGACGTTCACCGCCGTAGATATTTTCTCCGCTCCCGACGTCCAGGAGCCTCTGGCGGCAATCGTCGCACCGGAGAATGGGAACGACATAGCCATGGTCTTCCACACGTCCGGTTCAACCCTAGGGTCACCAAAGCTCGTCCCTTGTACGTACGGATGGCTCGACACTATCGTATCCAAGGCGAATACCATTAGCACACCATGTCGACCGGGACAGCAGGATGTGCTTGTCTGCATGTAAGTTTGACAGCGACACTCCTTAGGCTCAACACCTGACGGCCAATGTTCATTAATTTATCAGGGGGAGCATGTGTCACATCGGGCAGACACTCACCCTGATCGGCGCACTACAGAACGGAACCTGCACGGTCCAGCCCACCCAAATCGCATTCTCATCAACCGAGCTGGTCGAGATGATCCGTCAGTGCGGGTTGAACCGCCTCACCCAATTCGCCACATTCCTCTCTATGCATCTCCGAAATTCCCGCAACGACCCCGACCTTCTCGCTCATCTGAATGGCCTCGACGAGATCTTGTTCGCGGGTATAGCACTCCCACAAGAAGACGAGGACTGGGCGCGGCGTCACGGCCTGCCTCTCCGAAACCTGTTCGGCAACACGGAGTGTGGGGCCATGTTGATCTCTGTGGGTGGCCGAGGCAGTGATTCCCTATTGCTACGCCCGATCGAAGGCACGCGGTACGACTTTACCCCCATTACCTCATCTTCCGCCGGAGGCGAGACGACGCACCATAACGCCAACGCCACACTTCTCGAGCTTGTCATCCTCGACGAGTCTGGTGACTGCCCCCACCCGTCGCTTCGTCAGGCCGATGGGCACTTCCACACGGGGGATCTCTTCAGCGAGGTTGCCCCGGGACGCTTCCTCTTCCGCGGTCGTGACGACGATTGGATCAAGAGCGAGAACTCGCTGCGGTGCGACACGCGTGCGATCGAGGACAACGTCCGTACTATGTGCGGCGACCTCGTGGCGGAGTGCGTCGTGGTCGGCTACGGCAGACCGTCACCTGCCCTCTTCGTCGAGCCAAAGGTGGAGATCGAGGGCGGGAAGCTGAGAAAGGACATCATCCGTCGCACACGACACTTCCATTCGAGGCGCTACATGCACGAACGAATTGTCGACCCGAAGTTCGTGGTCGTGGTTCCGAAGGGTACCCTGCCAAGAACCGCCACCAAGGGGAATATCCGTAGGCGTGCAGTCGAGGAGAAGTTCAAGGCCGAACTTGATTGTATCTACGGCACCAATTCCTGTTCAGCACACTAGGTCCTGATATGCCCGGAACCCCTCTATAGTAGATTCCAATAGTCACCACTAGTACCCTTCATCATATAGGTATGCCGTACCGTATTTATTTCCGTTGAGCACATACATGGCTCGTTTTGTATGAATTGTCCTGTGCAATACTGCAATGTCGACGCAGCCCGCAACGGATAGATAGGACAAGCCACTCACTGAGGGACCGATGGCAAGACAACCACGCCTCAAATTCCGTCGAGATCGTTGATGTACACGAATCCGGCTGGGTGTATTTGACTTGACGAGAACAACCACGGTGCGCTGTATTCCTACTGCCGCTCAAGATACAAAGCTTCGATATAGCGAATATGAAACAGCTGAGCGAGGATAACTCACCAAAGTCTTCACAGACTGTGGAAGTCGTTCCCCTCGCGGATATATCACCGTGTCAGACTGTTAACGCCTGCGACAGCACGAATCATCCCTGTGCCACGGATGAAACAGCGGAGGTTCTGAGGTACGATGACTTGAAGCGCCGCAAGTGTTGACTGCCTCGCAACAATGATAGGCAAGGGGTCAACAATATATCAAGGAGCATGTATTGTGACAATGGGAGGATGATAATAGCTGCCAAACGGAAACACTAGACTGTCGATAAATGTAACGACTGTCTGTGAACTGACATGCTTGAACGCATGGGAGTGCACGTACGTCCGAGTACTTCCCGCAATGACAGTTGCCCATCGCGCACCTACACTTCGGCCGACGGCTCAAAGACGATGTCATCTTCGGTGACACGGAAGGCGAAACGTGTTGCTAGTACACTTGCCGGCGTTCTGACCAGTCCTTGGTGAGTAACTGTGTGCGGCGCAATGACAGAACTTGGGTGAGAGTCGCCCTTGATCTCGGAGAGTGTGAGCGATGCAGGGTAGGGCTCTGCGAGTGATGGATAGAGCGTTATGTGATGCGTAATCGAGAACAATTGTCTGGTCTCCGACGAGCCCGAGGGCTCGAATGCGTCTTGACCCTCAGTAGGACAAACGGGGCCTGCAGAAGTTTGCGGTTGGGCGGGGACTGGACGGATACGAGGGGGCAAGGCAGTGGCCACCGTAGTGTCGAAGGGGGCTGGGAAGGGATGCAGATGCTGCTTATAGAGCGGATATGCTTGCTCCCCGAGGTCAGCGGGCCTCTTGGAAGGGTTGAGGCCCCAGTTCGTCAAGACGGTCAGAGGCCCGCGCAATGCACGGACCCTTTGCACAGCGGCAACGACATGGCGCATTGGACTGGCAAGTTCCGTGGGTATCGGAGTAGTGGAAGCGGCATTCCCGGAGGTAGTACGCCATTGTTCGACCAGAAATCGGTCACCCCAGTAGAAGGCGCTAAGGGAATCAATGGCGAGAAGACCAATTTCGTGTGATCGGAGAGAAGGGTGCGTTGAGTGGTAGTCAGGTAGATGGACCAGAGTCGCAGCCAATTGTGCAGAAGATGATGGTCTGAAGACATGCAGTCGGGACAAGCATAGGCCCAAGATGTCTTCCAGTGTTTGATCATCAACGGCAGGTAGTGCGGTATCTTGGGTGACGCGAAGTTTGGACAGACGAGAAGTGAGTAGGCGGCGGAACCTCTTGATGTTGAACTTGCCGTCGGTATCGAGCAATACTGCAGCGCACTCCCAACCGCCGATACAGACAGAATGATGCGCGACAGGTAGGACACAAGTAGTCAGGAGATGATAGAGCAAATGACTCTTGCCACTAGCAGCGGGCCCCTGGATTTCGACAACGTCTCCTCGCCTAAGCGGAGTAGGCTGCTGTGAGTTAAGGCTGGAGACATGATCATCCAAGGCTGGGATGCTGGAGCCGAGCGGGGAGGCTGCAAGTTGCCGGTTAGTAGACTCGATTTTGCGAGAGTGTGCACTCACGTACCATGATGTCGATGAGAAGCAAGAAGCTAACATGTATCATAGCTTGGTGAGCGTTCACAAACTTGAGACAGAATGCTCACCGTCTGCATGGATTCCGCCGGTACCTGTACGAGGAGTTCATCCGCGGTCGGAAATGATTCCATCCTGTGCACGCTTTTGACAGAAATCGGCTTCGCGCCCGAACAGGAACGCGCTTCTAGACCTCAACGATGTTGACAGACGAAGATGATCTCCCCAAATTCTCGGGGCTTCGTTGTGTTCATCAACGCGCCATTCTTCTTCGTAGATTGGAGATGGTATAAGGGGAAGACGGAGGGGTCGTAGAGGAGGGGAGTGCGCGTTGAAACAACCTGAGGCAAGTGTCAACCTGCGGGATGGGCGGCACGTGTCCGCCAGTGATGGCCCGTTTTAGCGTGATGTGCTGCCATCCAGCACTGCAGCGGACGCAGCCTATGCCTTAGCGACCACCTCCCTCGCCCTCCATACGCTCTTCTTCTACTCCTCTGAGGGCAGGCCCATCTCCTTTTGCGTATTGAACATCATTGACGCGCTCTAACACCATGGCTACCGCCGCCCCCGCGAGAGCTACGCCCGCGTCGCGACGCTCGTCCTCAGTGACCTCAACGGGTCCCACCACGCCTTCCGCCTCCATTGCCAGAGGCGCGACCGCTCGCTCAGCTGTCTCGCCACGCGTAACGGCCTCCATGAATAGTACCGCCGCCGCCCGTCGAGGTTCTCTCAAAGGCGCCACGCCGCCTGCGAGCATTGTCAATGGGGAGGCGCGAGAAACGCGCGAGTCCTTGTCGGCTTCCCTGAAGGAAGAGACAGAAAAGAAAGAACAGGTGGACATGATCATGCCCACCCCCTGAGCGTTGTTGACCTGCCGCCTGTAGCTCCTGGTCCAATTGCAGGACAAGGACCAGACGATCGCTACTCTTACGACCGACAATGACAACGTCAATTCGGCGCTCAAGACTGCCGAAACCCGCCTTGCGGAGATGTATGCTGAGCAGAATCGCATGGAGGAGGAGATGGCGGCTCGTATCGACATTGCCGAGAAATTACGGACTCAAGTCCGCGACCTCGAGAAAGACAAACGTGACATCCAACGACGGTATAACGAACAGGTCCGTGATTCTCTCCTAGTATCATTACACACAACTGAAGTGATATCAAGGCTACGACATTCGAGGCAGAGCGCCAGGCGTTCTATGACAACGAGCAACATTTGAAATCTCGTATACAATCCCTCACTTCAGCTCGCAAGCAACCAGCTCCTCCATTGACATCGCCTTCTGTGGCATCTATTGCCGAGACCGAGACAGAAGAGGATGCCGACACGGAGGCCGACACGCAAGAGGACCCCAACGCCTCGCAGGCCGATGGACAAGATATCAACGACCCCGAACAGGAACCTGCCGAGATGACCGCGCTTAAACTCGAGTTATCTACCCTTTCCACGTCGTACTCTTCCCTCCAACAGACTCTGGTCCTCTTGCAGACGCAGCTCCAGGATCTGAAGCGCGTCAACAACGAGCTCCAAGAGGAGAACGAGTCCTACAACATCCTCCTTCGTGAGAGGACGTTGAATGGCCAATTCGACATCTTGCGCATGGGTGGTGGCACGAGCGTCAGCGAGGCGAGTGCCAGCGAGACAGGCGACGACGACGAAGCAGAGGGTGACAGCAGGGATGGCGAAAGTCTCAGGAGCCGAAACACTGGCCGGAGCGTGCTTGACCCCGTGGAAGAGCTGGTTGAAAGCGAGCTCGATCCGGCCTTTAAGCTGGATGGCGAACAGGACCAAGAAGGCTCAGAGGAGGGCGAGCGCGCCTCCAACGTTCGTAGACACGCTCGCAAGCGGTCCAAGTCACACTCCCCTCAGCCACGCGGGGAGTCGCTTGCGAATTTGCCCATTACTGGTCCTGGACTGGACTTGGCTGCCGAGCTTGGGCGTGCCGAGAACAAGGATATCCTGGAAGGTCGTGTACCGCTGGAGAACGAGCGGGTCGTTCCCGGTGGCCGGAACAAGAAGGGGAGGAAGGCCTCCGACACAACTCGGAAAGTCTCGATGGCATCCGAGCCCGGTATGGAATTCGGTGGGGTGGACGATATCGACGCACTACGGAACGAAGTTAAGAGTCTCAAGGACGCCAACAAGGCCTTGTCGCTCTACGCTTCCAAGATCATCGACCGCATCATCTCCCAGGAAGGCTTCGAGCATGTCCTTGCTGTCGATTACGATAGCAAGGCTCCCATGACGCCTAACACGGCAGCTACGTTCACGACCTTCAGCAAGCCCCCTGCAGGGAACGCGCAGCCATCCAAGAAGGGCCGCCCTCAGTCAGCTATCTTCTCCTTCTCTTCCTCCAGTCCGAACCCGCCTCAGTCGCCGGGACTGACTACGTTTAATTCCCCGCCCACTCCGAACACGGCGAGCCCGCCGAAGCCTCCTGCGTCAGCGCGGGCCTCTCGTCGCTCGCTGTCTTTCGACTGGAAGAGCTTCAGCATGTTCGGCGGTAGTGACAAGAAGCCTGAGCAGAACCCGAACCTCAGGCCGCTCACATTACGAGCGGGCAGCAGCCCCGTCGTGACGGGTGGGCGCAAGCTCGACACACAAGAGGACGAGGAGGATCGGAAAGAGCGGGAGCGGCTCAACGCGACCATGAAGCTCATGGGCATAGAGAAGCCTCCAGCGGTCCAGAAGAGTTACTCTACGTCGTCAGACCCTACGCGTCCGGCCGCGATCGACACCTCGAACTTGAACTCGCCGGCCACGGCTAGCACTGCGACCCCGTTGCCGCCGACGCCATCGTCCCGCTTCTCGCTCTTCCGGCGTACGCCGTCGATGACCACATCCGACGCTTCCTCTGGGCGGTCGTCTGGGCAGGGAAGTCCGTATACTAACGGCGGGAACACCCCTAACCTGACGCAGGAGGCCCTGGAACAGGCCGAGGCTGAAGGGGCTATTGCTGCGCTGGAAGCCCATGAGCGGCATCTGAGCGCTGAGATTGCCAAGGGTAGCCCGGGCGGATTCACGGAGATCCCGAGACGCAGCAGTGATCGTCGCAGCAGCAGGAAGAGCGGCAGCGGCAGCACTGTCTGGAGCGCCGGGATGAGCAAAGGCGAGGACGGGGACGATTGAAAGTTGGACGACGGCTTGCGGACCGTCTTGTACAATGGATAAAGGTCTGAATCGGCATTTGGGGGATCTCGTTCGCTTGCATTTATGGTTATACCCTCACTTCGTTGCACACGCAACATCTACATATGACATTTCGCATCTTGCCATGCATCTCCGAACTCGCATTCGGGTTGTTATCATCGGTTATACCAGTATCGTACATACCGCCTGTGTAGTACCACCACTAATGTCGCTCTAGAGGGTCACTGTCTCACTGCCCAACTCTACGATGGTGTGACGACGAAATCCATTGAGGTCATAGGACCGCCGTGTTCTCAACGTCACGCAAACGCGTAGGTTTGCCCATGTGGTGCCGAGGGAGTAGTATGAGGCTGGTTGACGTGCAGTATCCAACGACGATGGCACGTCTCGAGGAAACCACGGATGGTGCGGGGGCCGTGAGGCAACAGACCACGCTGACAGTTTTCATTCCTCAGCGGAGGGCTTCTGAGATGGTTCGTGCTTCAACAGAGTGTTTTGCGCGTGAGTGCGTATCGTCTGGAATGGGTTGGAAGCGAACTCTGGATTGGAGATGATCATGGGTATTCGCATCTTCTCCAGTTGGCTGCGGATATGTCAGGCCACGATCAAGACGACCGGCCGGATGTACGCACAGTGCTCGTTTTCTTTGGTTCTTACTCAAAGGCGCGCCCTTTCCCTCTCCAATAAGACCTGGAGTTGGGCGTGCTTTCTTTGCTTTGGACGGCTGTTCCTCGTCGTCCTGCACGGTGGTGGACTGGACCACAGCTGGCGGCAGCTCATCGTCCAGGGCTGCTATTGCAGCCTGCATCTCGCCAAGGCCGCCAGCGACTTGCTCTTTTGCCTTCCGCTTTAGACGTCGCTCATGGGACTTGGAATACGGCGAACGGGACGCCTCCAGACCTATGCACGTCAAGTTCAGACGAACCGCGCCGAGCACATCTGACGGGCACACACGGACGTTTGAGGAAGATTTCGTGCTTCAGAGCCTGCTTTTCTTTCTTCTTCAGCGCGATAGATGGTTCTTCTTGTTCCGTCAAGGACTGGATGATCTCCGTCCCCTGCACAATCACCGCTGTCAGCACTGAAACGCGATGAAGTGGGGACACCTGTACTCACGGATGCCTCCGCCTGAGAACCTATGTCGACGTGCTCCGTTGCATTGTCTTGCACCGAAAAACGTCGCTTCGTGGGTCGGACGGGTTGCTCATGCCCTTGATGGCGTGAACGTTTGGCCTTAGGCTGCCTTGCGAATCTTTCTGAGTACTGTCGCGAAAGAACAGACGGTGGCAGATCGAAACTGACCATTTCTCAGACGTGTTCTTGTGAGAATGGTTCTGTTTGATTGCAGACCCACACAACTATTGCAAGTGTGCTGTAGAACAATCGTGGACGTTGAGTACAAAATCGAGTGTTCGACGTTCCGCTCCGAGCTGCTTGGCGTCTACCAGCACCTGCCCCGCTGCGCCAGCCAATCAGAAGCGAGATCCTAGCTACATTGCATCCTGCGTGAAGTGCGTGAAGACGAGCGAATGAGTCGCAATGGAAAGGAAAATTTATGTCCGATTGCTGCTACGATTCCCCTGGTCAATGAGAGCACCCATACCCTGACTCAGGGTGTGCAAACAGCAACAGACAATACACCTTCGATGCGAAACAGATGCAACGCATGCAAGTTCCGAAGGTCCTGTATATTACACTCACATCTACTAATAAACCAACAACAAGAAAATAGGTGACAGGGAGCTCAAGCACTCGAACTGCGTTCCTCCTCTAGTCTAACAGCCCCTTCTGACGACTCGCTGTCTAAGGGCGCGCCGCTGAGCATATCCTGTTCCCGATCATTTCGAGAATCCTCAAGTCCGACCATGACGAAACTACACAACACGACCACCGCTCCTACAATGACTTGGGCCTTGGCGGGCTTGGAGAGGAAGAAGTCTCCGATGACGGCAAGGGGCATCGTCAGACTGAGGCCGACCGTGACGACGAGCGGCGTTGTCTTCAGCATTGCCAGGACGTAGATGAAGTCGCTCGATAGCGTAATGGCCATCTGTTCCAATGGTGAGCTACGGGACACACAAGGCGAGGCACGACGTACATTGATGAGGAGAGCCAATATGGCCTTGTTAGTATATGGCAGTTCAAGTCGTTCGACGCCGATGAGGTGGAGGACGATACCGATGGGCCAGCATGCCAGGATATTGAACAGACCGACAAAACCAAAGAACAGTTGCATGTCGATGCGTGACTCCTCTTTGATGCGCACCTTCAAGAGGATGACATAGAGGGCATAGAAGAGGGCAGAGAGCAATGCGAGTAAGTCCCCGAATATATGGGCGGATGCGAACGTTGTGATGGGATTCTCCGTTGTAGGTGGAGGCTCGACCGATGGTGATGTGGGCGGAGGGGTTGACTGTTGAGAGTCGGATAGCGAGACGAGTACTACTCCCCCGAAGCTACGCTCGGACGTTAGCGACGTTGCTGTTCCTCGATCACAGCCTTCTACCTTGTCACGACTGCACCCAGCTTAACCAGCGTAAGCGTCTCCACCCGAAACAGGCGGCCGAGGCCCAATGTGAAGAAGCCTTGAAGCTGATAGTCAGAACCTCGCACATCGTTGTAATATTCACGACGAACCGCTCATGCTCGAAAGGATCGTTGCGCTTGCTACGCTGGTATAGTCCAATGACGCATTCACCGACCAGTTCGCTATGAACCATAGCGGACAGAACAGGGCAGCTAGCTGGGCTGTCTCCCTCGTATTCAGTCGATCAACGGCTGAAGAGACCGGGCTCGATTCCTGTATCGCTCATTGATGAAGAACGCGTGCAATCGCCCATAAATAACAAGACATACTGTGGATGCAAGAATCTCTGCCGCGTCTGCCTCTGTCGCGAGGGGCTCGTAATCACTCTGGGACCTGTGCCCGGGTGAATTGTGCGTATGTCAGGACAGACAGCAGCGTACCTAGTGTTCCCTCTCACGTTGTCTCGGCGGAATCGCTCCATCGTCCGCCTTATCAGGTAGGGGAGGAGATACACTGAGAAAGCACTCGTGTTGAGGTATGTGACGCTGAGAAGGGCATGGTATTACGTTCGGCATCATGGTCTCAGCCTGAAGTGAACCGCGAGACGCACAGGAAAGGCTTCTCATAGCCGTCCTCGAAGAGATCCTAGTACGATCCACCTTCAGCATGAGACCTTGACTGTTCAGTGTTGTGTCCGTACCTGGGTCAGGAAATTGCTCCCTGTCCACAATACGACTACCACAAGCAGGAGACATATGCCAATGACATAGTCTGTCTTGCCCTCGGGCCTGGTACGCGAGCGTGATTTCCCCCTGGATCGTTCGCGGTACGCCGGTGGAGATGTGGTATCCATTGCACGTATTATGGTAGGGTAGAGCTCAGGAATGCAACATACCAGGCCGGCAGCTGGGAGCAGCAGTGGACAGTGCGAGAGAGGCGGCGCCGTGGCACCATTGAAGGCGGTACGCGAGAGCACGCAAGTCGGGCCCGAGGCGGCAGCACGTGGCTGAGGCTTCGATCGACTCAGGTACCCCGATCACAGCCCCTCTCTCGATCCTCGCCACCTCGTTCTTGCGTTCTTCGCGTAATGATCCCATACATATGCTCCCCGCCATTCAGGGCAGCCAAATGTGCGAGACTGGTAGTGATGGGTCAATGTAATATTAGGGCCAATCTGTCGCAGTAGATACATTGAGGGACGCATTCGGGAGAGTATATTACGCTGTCTGATCCAAGAAAGTGCTTCGGCAATATGAATATGGTGGAAATTAATATGGTAGAAGCAGAACAAAGGATGTAGGGGTAGCTCGTGTGGCATAGATGACCAAGAAAGGACGCAGTTCGACATTAGTATTACCAATAACTTTATCATTAGAAGGCGAAGAATTAATGCACCACCCCAAACAGGCGATCAAGCTCAGCTTTGAACGCCTGCTCTACCGCGCGTCTCCTGATGTTTCCCTTCGTCGCCGTGCGGGGAAGCACACCTCGGTCCACGACGAAAATAGAGTCGGCAGATGCTACGCGCTCGTGGAGATAGCGACGTGCATGGAAGGGCCTAATCCTCCGGAAAATCTCCTGCCGCAATTTTTGTGCGTCACCGTCTCTCGCGGGCTCGACGAAGAGCGCGGGGGTCGGCCTGCCATTCCCGACGACGACGCAGTTGCTGACAAGGTCGTCGCACACAATGCGAACGTTGTCCTCGATGGCCTTGGTATCGCAGCGCAGCGAGTTCTCGCTTTTGATCCAGTCGTCGTCGCGGCCGCAGAAAACATATCCGCCCGGAGCCACCTCCAAGAACAGGTCACCCGTGTGATAGTCCCCGTCTGCGTGGCGTAGAGACACGTCAGGACAGTCCGGGGAGTCCGCCAATACGATGAGCTCGACCAGGTGGGCGTGGATATTTTGGTAGCCAGACTCTGAGGCGGCGGCGGCCGGTATGATGGGCATGAACTTGTAAGAGCCACCACTGTTTGGTCGCAACGGGGGCAGCCTGTTACCCTCGACGCCCCGATCGGATGTCATCATGATGGCTACCTCCGTGCTGGCGTAGCAGTCCAAGACTTTGATGCCCTGACTTTGGACCCACTGCTGGTCTTCCTGCGACATCGTGAGACCAGCGATGAGAATTTGATCAAGGCCCTGCAGTGCCGCAAGGACCACAGGATCCTTGCGAGAGTTACGAAGGTGGACCGCGAGCAGAGGGGGGAAGATGTTGACACGGGTAACTCCACAGCGGTTGACCATGTCCAGAAATTCCTCCGTCGGGTACGCTTGTTGCGTGCTCTGAACCATGCAGGAGCCGTGCTGGAGGGTACCGACGAGCATGAAGGCTTGTGCCATGTGGCAAAGGCTTCCCCTAGAGCAACGATCAGCGCTCCGCTCGTCGGAGGGAAACATGAGAAACTAACATCCAGACGAAAACGTCTCGGGCGTCAGGTTGGGAGCGCTTCGGACGCAAAACGGTCGCTGCCTTCGCCATCATGTTCGCCCACCACGAGTGACTGCATGGCACCAACTTCGGGCGACCCGACGTAGACCCCGACGTGTGGAAGATCATCACAGGATCCTCGCTGCGTGAGCCCTCTTCGATCGGCGGTAGGGGCACGTCGGACACGGTGATATCGCGTGGGTCGACGGCGACATGCATCGGGACGGACCCTGGACGCACTACCGCAGAGAACGAGGTGTCGTAGATGAGTGCTCTGCCTCCCGATTGCTCTAGTAGCTCGAGGATGACGTCGGGGTTCGGGAGGCGGAGCGACATGAGCTGCGGCACATATCCTGCCCTAGATATGCCGTAGATGTGCAGGGCGTCGACGTAAGTCATCCCGCTAAGCCTGTGCACACGTGAGCCGATGCATCTGACTGAACTGAAATACTACGCACCAGAGACCTACGACAGAAGGGGGATGGACGCCCTCAGCCGTCAGCACTTCCGTCCAATATGCTGCGGTATGTTCGACATCGCGAAGGAACTGCGAGTAGGTAATCGCGCGCCAGCTGCGGATGGTGTTGGTGCCCGTCTCTACCTCCGGGACACGGAAAGCATTAGCTGAGGGATGTAAGATAGCAGCTGTTTGAAGTACGGTGAGGTGGGTCGGGTAGAACGGCATGTCGGGTGTAACGCGGTTTCCTCGAGGAGAGTGCGCGGGTTCATATATATTCGGACGCGAGCGTGAAGTGATGGACCAGAGACGATTGCGAATAGGTGTTGTCAGGTCGCAATCAACGATGCGTATTTTCCGGACACGGCGCAGTATTTAGTAACGCCGTGGCCACAACCTTGGCATAACGTACCGGCACCGCTGAAGGAATGCCCACATCGCGCGCAGCGTACTGGGATCTGATCAGCTGTTGAGGGGGACTGCCACCATAACGCCTACACCCCCTGACACATTCTACTGACAGGCAGTGAAGCCATGATGGGCAGGGGACACTTACCATTCTCCTCTGGACCAGTCTGGCAACAAGGGCCGGACATGTCTACTTGCATTAGACGGCCAACGATTCCACCGGCCCTGCATTGAGATGGGAATGTTACGTGCACACGTACCCATCGGCCTAGGGCGCCATGTCCAGGCTGCGTCGACTCGAGTCAACTGCCAGTGCCAGTGCAAGAGTCGCAGGTTGGCAGCTGTTCTGGCACGCTGTGCCTGATGTGACTTTGTTTAGCCGGTGCATTGCGGGTCAAACCTCCGCAAAATACAACAATCGAGTCAGAACGAGACGGGTGGAGGGGACAGGCACCGAGTTTGTAGCAGGATTACCCTTCTAAGTAGCTGAACGAGAAAACAAGCACCGCTCAGCTCCCGGTAACCGCCCACACAATCATCGCGATGTCCCCCATCACCGATCCAAACGAGATGGAATCAGGGCTTCCAGTGTTACGTCGCGTACGTACGCGTATACGCCTGTGTTCCGCCGGCACTTGCCGGGCCACAGTCCGAGTCTTTCAGTCACACCGTTCAGAACCACTGACCCGGCCGTTGTGACATGTCTTCATAGCTAAATCACTCGCGGCTCGACGCGCTCGTCACGCTCTTTATGCTCGCTCACACTCATGTCAAGCCCACCGAAGTGGGTTACATTGTCAGGTCTCTCGAGCCGATCAAGTCGCGCGCGCCTAATACACCTTGAATGTCTCTTCAGGGATACGTCGACATGCACAGGTACGCCCAACATGATGAATCCAAGCTGTGTAAGGGCCCACAGGACACGCTGTCCCCGATGTTGATGAAAGAGCCAAAACCTTCGCGGACCCAATGCCAGTGGTGGGTGTCCGCTTCCAAGTAGCACTGGTCCGCGATTTGTCAACAACCACTGGCATGTGGTGCAATCGTTGCTCAGCCTTTCGGCCATTTGTTGCGGACACTTGTTCCTCCGGCTTCTCATATACGCACTGATTTTGTCTCGTGAGCAGGCAAAGGGCGGGCCGAGTGCATGAACATGCACATGCCCAAGGACAACCTCGAGAACGTTGTTGACGTGGAATGATAGCTTCGGGTCAAAACCCGTGCTTCGAACTCAAGGACAAAAGCGGAATAGAAGATGGTAATTTACAAACTCCCTGTCAGTGAGTAGACCATCGCACACCATATGAGGCAATACCACTACGCTTGGTTCATTTTCATCGAAGGTTCCTTGCAATCGCCCGAGACAGCATCGTTCGCGCTCAATCATATGATAGTGGGGAAGGATAATTGACAATCGCGCGACAAATCTGCGCTACTATGACGTCTCAGTCGGTGCGTTGGCCGCCGTGATGGGCCGTCCAGGCTGTCGAGACAGCAGTGCGATATACATGAATACCCCTGCCCTTGCACGTACTCGCTTCCCCCCATCACCGTACGTTAGTCAGATTGATTTGGGGGGCAGACCCTTGCATGCTGTGGCCTATGCGTTTAGCTGAGTGTCTGTCGGACTAGCGTGAACATAAATGGTCAAGGCAGCACAGTGCCCAGTTGTTCGGGAAGAACGGGTCAAATTTGGTCAGCACCGCTTGTACTGCACTATTCTCCCCTATGCAACAGCATATTATCGAGCGAAAGTGCGAGATATCCTTATGACGTCTCTATTATGTAGTATGAGGAATTAAACCGCCAGTTCGAGCGAGGCGCGGGCTGGCGTTGAGGGAACTTCAGGACCTTCCTAATCTGGCGGCCACCTCGGGCTCGGCCGGTGACCGCGACGGCGTCCAGAGCGAAAAGTCGAAGCTCCAGAACGGGCGTGCACGGTGGCCAACGTCTGCTCGCTGCTCGTCGGCCCTTGTCTTCCTCGTACATGCTTGAACGCAACCCGCCAGCTTCATAGCACATATCTTCTGGCATCAGTGAGTATTCACGTCGTCGGCATGATCGCTCGGAGGGATGTGACGTGACGTTCTCTGCAGCTCAGGGCGGGTTGAGGGAGGCCACTCTTCACGTCAACCCGACTGTCGATGCCCTGGAGAGTTGGCCAGGTATACGGGCACCTCAAACGAACGGCGTTACTCCACGCATCTGCGCCTCGAACTGTCGTATGCAGGTCATTCCTGGTCGTCCAGTCGTTCCACCAGTCTATCGCATGGAAATGGCCCGCAGCTGCAGCTGCTCTGAGTGTACGGACTTCCTCTCTTGGTCACACACGGAGCACCGAGGACGTCGAGAGCTTGACGGGCGAACCCATGGTGGACGGAGGAGTACGCGTGCTACCAAGCAACCCTCGGGATCCGAAAGCGAAACGTGGTCGGGGTGCCGGTGGTGGGGGTTCCAAGGATCATCCCCTCGGGGCTGCCATAGACAGCATGTTCGACTCCCTATCCAGAACAGGCAGTCTATCCGACGCACAGGAGGGCAGCAAATGGACAGAGCTGCGGGAACATCTGGGCTACTGGTTCCGAGCCAGGGATCTCGCAGAGCAGATGGTGGATTCGCCCAAGCCGCACCGCGCCCTTCAAGTGCTCATCCTGTCCCATTTCCTCGGCTGCAAGCTCCAACAAAACGTATACGAATGTGTGGCGCATCGACTAGCCAGTGCAAGACAGTGGTTGCTAGTCACTTCCTTTGTCGAGTCGGCTCGCCGTCAGTCTGGTCAGACGACAGTCCGATTGCTCAATTTGCGAGCCCGCGCTCTTGTCAACATGCAAGACTTCGCTGCCCTCGATCGTGTCCTGGACGTTTTCGAGCAGGAACAAGTGTGCCCGAACCGCAGAACTTTCCATATACTCGTTTCGGGCCACCTTCGCAATCGCGATCTCGCCCGCGCGAAGCGGTGCCTTGCGATCATGGCAGAGGCCGGAATAGAAGCCGATGCGTCCACCCATGCACTCATCATTTCCTCTTACCGTCAATTCGGTCTTGCCCACTCCGTGAAGACGAAGGCGCTGCACGTGTTACACGAAAGCGACGATCGCTCTGCCACCAATATCATCAACAGTCTTGTTCAGCAGACCCTAGACAGGGACGACGTCCAGGGTGCTCTGGACTATCTCGCCTTGTTCGAGCCCAACCCCACGTCCCCTGCCAACGATGGTGGTTCCATCCACCGAGACGGAGACACGGCGTCTATGCAGTCGGCGCGGCCCAGGACCCTGCCCCCTCCTCAGGACGCGTACACCTTCACGATTCTCATCAACCATTTGGCCAAGCAGGCTGATCTTCCTCGTGCTCTCCGGCTACTCGACGGCATGCGGGAGGCTGGTGTACAGCCGGATAGTAGCACCGCTGCTGCTCTCGTTCGCGCTCATTTTGCTGCTGGGCAGGCTCCCGCCGCTATTCGCATAGTCGCAGATATGTGCCAGGGGGTGCGCATCCGAGAAGCATGGTTTCGGCAGCTTGGACTAACCGCTAGTGGGAACGACGGGCCGTCCTTGCTGCCTGCTGGTATCCCTCCCGCGGTGGAAGTCTTCAATGCGTTAAGCCGAGGGGTTCTGACAACGCACGGGATTAACGGCATGCGTTTTGTCCTGCGCATGATGCAGTTGTGCGATGTCATGCCGGACGAGACCACGGCTCATATCCTGTTATTACACCTTGACAAGGTCGAGGGTGCGTCGCCCCGGGACATCATGCGACAATTGCGACGCCTCCTCTCTCACCAGATGATACCGACAATCCAACATCTGAACGTCATCTTGCATTCCATCCTGCGTCGCGAAGACAGCCTGCGTCGTCACCTGGATCATAACCCATCCCCACAGTTTCCAACATCATTTGAAGACGACGAGACGGGTTCATCCGCGTGGGACAGGATCTCAGGGACTGAGGAGTCATTTGACCCTGCGGCAGGTCTGAAACTGCCCGAACGATCCTCCTACCGCAGACAGATGCAACCCATCCTGCAGTCCCTGGAGGAGCGCGGGGTGCGCAGCGATAGGGCGACGTATGCGCTCAGGATTAGACACGACGCCGTCATTAAGCGCGATATGGAAATGGCGAAGCAATCATTCCAGGCAATGATCAACCGTGGCTTGCATCCGAACGTATACCACTTCGCGGCACTCATGGAGGGTTACGCAGTCGTCGGAGACGTAGATGGCGCGGTGGCAGTCATGGATTCGGCACTCAAGGAAGGCATTCGGCCGAGCGTCAAGCTATACACCATCCTCATCACCGCCTGCGTCCAACAAAAGAACGCGGAGCGTGCCCTCCGGATATTCCAGAACATGCTTGCTGCGGACCTTCAGCCCGATGCCATTGCCCTGCACGCGTTGGCGCAGTCATTCATTGCCGCGCGAGGGAAAGCGGCGGCGCGACGTATCTTGCTAGAGCTATGGCCGACGATGGGCGAGCTCCAGCAGGACTTGCATGCTGCTCCGATGGTGCGTCTTATGGATACCCTGGCGTCGCTCGGCGCAAAAGAGAGCAAGAACAAGGCCAACAAGCCACTCAGCGGGCGGAAGGCGCGGCTGCTGAGGTGGAAGGTGAACAGACTAGTGCGGGTGATCACAGGAGGTCCTCGTCGTCAGTCTGGGGATGGGTCATAAGTCTAGTTCGCGTCCTGTATTGTTACGCCGTTCCAATGAGAGTTGCGAGGCTTGAGCTTGAACGTTTGACCTCAATCCGAGGCGCTTTCAATCCTCTCTCCGAGTCGCGCGCCCCCTGCATGCAGTACAGACTTGGAGCATATGTGCAGAGCATACAAGACGGTGGCTTGGTGTCTTTCATTTTGGTTGAAGTGGCTACCTACGACATACAATAACGTACAGAACGGTGATACAGACTCAAGACATATAGGTGTTCTGGCGAGTAGATAGAGGGAACTTTGCGTCCAAGAGCCTCAGAGCATCACGAACTCCGTCAGCCATAACTTCGCGTACCCGCTGACGACCACAGCTGATGAGAACCTCCTGAGGAACCAATTGCGGTGGTGGCGACCGCGCGGTCGACACGCCCATACCCTGCCTCGCGTCGTATGGCGCGCGTGGGTCCGACAGCAGAACAGACTGACCGTTCTCGGCGTGCGATGAGGAGATGGCAGGAGAAAGGCCCCGCTCTGGCGTGACCGCACCTGGCGCAGGCACGATCTCGACACGCGGGCCACTGCACTTCGATCGCCGTGCAACGACGTCCGCGAGCAGGCTGAGATCCGTGAAGGCGACGTTGGGATGGGCTTTGATCTCACGCCAGGCGATGTCGCAAGAGACGGTTTCAGAAGGGCCTTGTGCGTCGGTCATCGTGTTGTCCTGCTGTGGAACAACAGGTGTCGCTGGGGCACATGAAACGACGCCGCCGCACGCCATTGGGTCACCACAGCAACCACCACTAGTTGGAGCGGATGGCACGCTCTCAGTGGCCTGTGTGGAGTCCGGGCAGTAGCCGCAGCCGGATGAGGTCGAAGCGACAGACTTGCCGATGGCATCGCAGAAGGCCTTTCCGAAGGCGTCGTCAGCACATGCCAAACAGTTGGAGGGATCACCCGAGCAGGACGCTGCCGACGTCGAGGACGAGGCGGGTGGCGGGGCGACGGGGAAGACGGCGGCGCGGCCAGAGTTCGCGGGAGAGCGGCGACGGAGCGGTACCGGGGCCTGGTACTGGGGAAGGTTGTCGAGAATGGAAGGCTGCAACGAAGTGTCGCGCCGCGCGCCGAGATGCGGCGCAGATACATTATGCGAAGGCGGATCAGAAAGCCTCAACTGTTCCGAGACTTGGTTCTGCAGAGCCAACTCCTTGCAAACACATGATGTCGTCTCGTTGCAGAACCCACACGATAGCATCCCTCCGTCGTACAACTCGCTCTTGCCGTTCGAGATATCGAACATGCTGTTCGACATGCGCGAGTCCTGGGTAGGCAGCGGCGAAAAGCTCGTGTGGGAAGACGGTTGCGATGAAGACACGGATGACGCAGGGGAAGGTGCGTCGTACGAGCCACCGGGAGACATGGAGGTTGCGAGCCTGCTCGGAGGTTCGGGGGTGACCTTAGACTTCTTCCTAGACAACTGCGCGGACGGAAGGCTCGGAGACCGTTGGATAGAGTCATGCCGAGTCCTCTTCTTCGAGTTGTCTGGCGGCCCGACGGTGTCCTCGAGCTGAGAGAGTTTTTCCTTGAGAAGAATGTTCTCCTCGCGAAGCTTCTCGTTGTCCTCCTTGAGCCGCTTGGCGATGTTCTGCAGGGCGACGTTGCGCTCGATCTCGCCCTGCTCGAACTGCTGGACACGGGCCTGGAGCTCCGCGAGTTGGGACTGCTTGCGCTCACGGAAGGCACGCTGCGCAGCCCTAGTGAAGGGACATGTTAGCGCGATCACGAGTAGGTATAGAGACGGCGACGTGCCTGTTCTGTACGCGGCGGCCCTTGCTGTCTGTCTGTTCCGTCCAAAGGGATGTTAGCGAGGCCATGAGTAGGTGGGGGCGTGAGTCTGACCTCGGAAGTGTCCTGGGCGACTGGAGCGCTGTCTTTCTTCGGCTTGCGGCCAGGCTTCGGTTTGGCCGGGATCACCCATTCCTTTGAAGCTATCCTCCAATGAGCGAACGGATCGCGACTCGGCAAATGTGGGTGCACGTTACCTGTGGCCCATAGGGTGGTGGCCTGGGGCGTGGCTGCCACTGTGCTCATGCTGGCGAGACAGACGGGTGCAGCTGCGACGGATGCACGGTGTAGGAAGGCAGAGAAGGCGGCGGCGGGCTGGGAACGGCGGCGAGCGGGTGGGAGCTTGGACGGAGGAGGCGAGGATGTGCGGTGGTCTGATAAGATAACTCGGAGGATCTCCGTTTTATCTCTCCAGCCCCGGGAGGCGCCGACGGGCGATCTTGGCTTTCGGCGGCGCGTGATCGGTTTGGCCTGCGCCTCCTCGTCCAATCCGTCCGAATATCATTCGAGCCCTGCTCGCTATCCCATATACTACTCGCTACCACACCAGACAACAACGGGGGCAAACCCTGATCCATCCCTTCTGCGTAGCACCAACGCGAGGTTTCGGGGTACTGCCTCCTTTTCCTACTCATTCATCTCACCGCCCGCGTTCTACTGCCACCACGGGTGCCAATACGTTGCATGTCGCCCCATCCGGCATAGTCCCTCGCGAGCATCCCCAACTCATCGTCCCAATATTGCAAGTCGCGACGTTCGGACCCTCACAGTGCCGCACCTTCTGCGTGCAGTCGTTCCCCGCCGTCCCGAAATACCGATGATGTCTTCAGAAGTTCATATCCAAGATGGGGGACTGCATCCACCCTGCAGGTCACCCACGCACACCTTCTCCGTCTCGAGAACAACAGCAACGCGTGCGCGCTCAAAGTCTCTCCTCTTGCCTTTTCCGTCTTGTCTGCATGCCACTGCGCCCTGTGGTAGTTACCACTGTCTTGTTCTCTAACTGACTTTTGAAGGACAATAGGATATGTTCTCGGGCACTGACAGCCTGAGGGAATGGCGCATGCCTGATCCCCTGGGTCTCGATCCCGGGGTGCACGCACCGGCAGCGGGAACCCATGCCATTTGTATTGCCTCCTTCCGTGCTAACTTAACACTGCAATTATCAGCTACCAGGAGATATGGATAGCGTCTTATCGGGGATGCGCTGGCTCTCATCATGGTCATACGTGGTGTAGTATGAACTGGCACGTTGATTGTTCCTACGCTTCACCTTCTGCATGACCTTTTGCACGTTGCCCGACCTAGATGCAGTGGGAAATCATCCGCTGTAGCAGACGAGGTGGCGCCTTGACAGTCTCCTAGACCGGTTCAAGAAGTATACCGGCGGCTGCAGTCTGTCCTTGCGACGTGCCATGCGTCCTGCGGCTTGCTTCTCTCACCTAGCCTACATGTCAGCCTCGTAGGCGTGATCGACATTACCCCCAAACTATTGCTCGAAGCTGGGCTGCGTGCAGGTCTTCCCTGTCCTTGCCGCTCTTCCTCCGCCGATATTTGGAGTCTCTAATCTGAATGCTCAGCTTCTTGTGGCGTTGTTCTCTTCCCTCGAGTCCCACGCGAGGTCACGGGTAAGCCCTCCAACAATCCCCTCATCCGCCACTGATGTGCTGAGCCGCTGACCCGTATGATGCGCGAATATGCCTCAAGGGTCTATTGCGTTGATCATTTCTCGTCCGCACAGAAAGCAGGCAGGTCCAATCTCAGCCCAAGCGGGATCGTGCCAAGAAGCCATGATTGTCGTATACAGTTACGGTGCCGAGTGTTGCTGATAACATTTTGAATAACCGCTGGGCACAGGCGGCCAATATCAACGTGGTCGGCTGGGTCCCATAGCTTACAGCATGCTTACACAGACTGGTTTCTGGTTTTCGGCGGATTGTATGTGCATTCTGGACCGCACTGCGCGCGCTGCTGTTCGCTGAAGTGTTGTCTGAAATTGAATTACTATACGCTGTCGCGGGCAGGCCGACAAACTCTAGATAACCGGCAGACAAGCATCGTGAACGGTGAGTCGAAGTAAATTCAGTCATTGGGTTTTCAGACTGAAGCTATTCCGCCGTCAGCCGCGACAGTCATTTGCCCTCAAGAATCTTGGAGCCGTTCGGCACGATGTTATGTCTTTGAATTGGGCAGTTAAGCTCATATTCTCAATCTACAAGCCCGTCGACTTGGTCGTGGAGCGACGGAGAAGCACTGTGAGGACCCTCTTCCAGCGAGGTTCTGACCTCGCCTTCATCTCACGCACTCAGGACACCGTTCGTGCCTCCCCCCGCACCATTCGATTAGCCCTGGCTGAGAAGCTCTACTTGCACGCATTTATCATTTTTGTCACATCCGCTGAGCGATCTATCGCGCAGTATGTCCAGCAGCAGCGATAACCGCGTGGCAGAAGGCTGGTTACGTTAGGACAATCCCATAGCCCTCTTCGGTTGATAGTGATATCAGGTGCGCCCATGACCATCTCGTCCTACTTTAGCCCAATCTCTCGTCGATTATTCAGGGATACGACCAGTGCCTACGCCTTGCCAGATGTAGCCTTATTTCGGGGGCCAACATGGCCCTTCCTGAACCCTACCTGCTAGGCTGTGGCGCGCGGCGTCAAGACCCTCCCTCCGATTATACAGTAACATCTGGTCGATCGGTCTCGGATTGTTTTGCGCGGTATCTGATTGGGTCGCTCGAGGCAAAGTCATTCCAACGACTCTCGTCACCAGTCACCGTCAGTGGGCCTGACATCGTGGCATAGCCTCTCGAGACATCGGCTCTGAAGTCTCCGCTCAACGGTGATGAGGCACTATACCCTTGCCTCCCAGTTGTCAACATGGCGCATCAGACGGCGACTGTTGTGGATCCTGGGCACAGTACTTAGGCGCGTCGGGATGAACCAGGTGTGTGAATTGCTGTGGTCGTGAAGGTGTCGGACGCCCTCAAGCTGATGCGATTTGAGCGCAGACTACCCGGAGGTCCGTCGGGAACCTAGATGCTGTTCTAACCTCTCTTTGCCTAGATGTGCCAGCGGCCTCAGGCGGTGGCTGCAGAGTCGAAAGGTCATCCGAACAGGGTCATCAGTCAAACGTGTCCTAAGAGCCACCATATGAGCTCCCGGACGCAATACGATATGCTTCCAGGCCGAGTCTGTCCGGCGCAGCCGCTGCTGCATGGGGGACGCCTAACCCCTCGAATTCTTTATCGCCGGTCATAGTCAACGTCTGGAGATAGTCTTGGGAGATACCAGGTAACAGACCTCACCTTCTACCGCGTCGACTGTTCCTTGACTGATGTACGCAGTGATTAGGAGCTCGCCTCGAGTGAATACATCGGGTCCGCTCTGGCCACAGTCATGCGGGTAACGCTAGGGTAACGTGCAGGTACCGGCGGCAGGCCTTGGGTATCATTATGTCCGAAGATCACGGGTGAGGGATCTCGTATGTTTTACGGAGAGCGGGAGCAGGTGCATTTGAAAATGCGGACACCCGAGGTGCGGGGGTGAGAGCCCCAGAGGACGAGAAAGTCAACTTTTTATACCAACGCTGATGAATAGCTCGACAGGAGTTGGCTGCAGCTCTAGCGCCACAGGCACAAGTGGACGTGCTGCGGACTATGCGATTGTATACGGCGCGTAGACCGATCGACTTCTTGAATTGACTTCGCGACAGCGGAAGCTTCCAATTTCAACGGCGATGGTAGTCTAAAGTCGGCTGCCGAAAGCACCCGGCTGTCAGCCTGACGAGTGTAGACCCTTGCCAGCCGTGAATAGGCAGTGCTGAACACCAGGACATTATGCCTCAGGACAATGTCAGAGTAGCCTTGGCCCGAGTGCCATTGCGGTTCGCCCAGGGTACTGAGACACCCTGACACCCTGATACAGCACCGTCAGGAGGACATTTGGTCCGAACTGAAGGCTTCCAAGGTGATGTACTACCATTACAGTAATCGTTTAGAGTTCGAATACATGACACTCACTGTGAATATTGTACATCACGCTGATCGGGTGTCGTGCAGATATCTGAAACGTCCACGGCATGGGGTTTCCTGAGGTGTCAAGGGGAATATGAACCTTTCGTTTTTTTTTTGGTAGAGCGCTGCGCCCGAAGGGCGCTGGGTCTGGCAGCGTCTCCAGATACCCCGCTGACGGTCATGGGGAATTAAAACCCCATAAGTAATATGAACCTTTCGTCGACAAGGGAAGCTGCGACCGATGGTAGTCGTTCATTGATTGCAGTAAGTATTCCGCATAGCTGAACGACGAAAGCAAAATCAACCAGGCACAATATGATGTTCAGTCGATAAACGTTGAGTGTGCACCATATCAAAGCAATACGGTTTGAAAACGCGACGCATCATCAAGGAATGAGATGGAATATAGCTAAAAGGTAGGGTATACTACTTTTCGCACGTCGCTTGGAGTGTAAAGTTCCGTCGGGATCTCAGAACGGTCGACCTGCCTGGTCCTGACTGGACGGGTCACGTGCCACATTGCGCCGCTGGATTTTTGTGAACGCGAGAGTTGGGCGAGTGAACGTCGATGTCGGCACGGATTCTGCGACAAATCCGAGTCGCTCAGACCATCCCATCTCCTGCTCTCGTTCTTCCTGCTCGTAGATGCTATGCTGTTCTAGCCTACAGCCCGTCTCTCGCTTATGACGCACAGCAGGTAGCTGGCCCAAGCACCAGCAGGACAACGCAGAACGAATCTCGGTCCAGTATATCCGAGGACAATAGCCATGATGTCTCTGTCTCTTCGGCATTGCAAGCCGCTGTTGTGCAGGACGACACTCCACCGCAGCCCGCTTCCGGTCGCCCCGAGGTGCAGTCGGCCTTTCCGAAGGGTGTCGAGGAGCACCTTGCATCGGTCACTGCTGCTGGTTTGGAACCCACTCAGAGTGACTTGGAGAAGTGCCGACCAGCCGAGCATGCGCCTCCGGACTCTCCCATGTATGCAAAAGAGTACCACGCAGTAGTGGACACGCTATGTCGTTGTTTCAGCAAAGCGCAGCTGCGCAAGTTCCTTGCAGAGTGGGATGTCAACTCCCCCCTGTTTTCACCCAACCGCAACAAAGTCGACCACGCGGAGTCAATCGTGGAGAAGATGTGGGGCTGGCCGAGCTTAAAGGAGATGGAACGTGCAAAAAGGGATCGTACCGAAGTCACGACGAAGTGTGCGTCACGATTTGTGCTTGCTTCTGTACATACTCATTCGCGCCCCATAGCCTTCCCCGTGGATGCAAGTCAGATGTTCCTCATCATGGGCAAGGGTCCGTATGCATTGCGTACTTGCGCAGAGTGATGTATTGACCATTGCTAGATGGAGCCGATATATTGGAACTGTCGAGGGCATATAATGTCCACATCTCCCTTAAGACAGACCCGTTCGCACTACATGTGGAGGGAGTGCGTACTTCCATAAAGAAGGTTGCTGAACGCATCAGCACGATCAAGAAAGTGAGCAGCATGACGCTGTCTTGTGACATGACTACAACTCAGTGTCATTGGTAGTCTATCATTAAGGAGACGTTCCGCGTCCCAACAAAAGCTCCCATCCCCCCGGATCTTGCACAACGGATATCGCGATTGACCGGAGCTCTGCTGGAGACTCTAGGTTTCAAGGGTACAGTAAGTGAATCTTGACGTGAATGTTCTCATCTCACACTTGTTGTGTAGGTGCGAATATCTGCGAAGACCGCACGCAGTCTAGAGATCACAAAGAGGTTGGTGGCTCGCGCTAGTCATGAGGTATAGCAATAATTTTGATCCCTGTCAACGTGGGCTTCGCTCACATCCTGCTTAGCTACAACTGGAACGCTTGCGAGAACGTCTGGCCTATCAATCCCCGCTTGCTGTTGAGAGTTTTGCGCCTGGCTCACTTACCCCCAGTACCTATGCGTTTTATCCGTTCCTGTCTCCCCACCCGCTGCCATGGACGATGAATGCTAGCGCGACGTTCCGTATGAGGCGTGTCGGGACTTGGTTACAGCAGAACCTCGATGAAGACATCCGTGCCACGAATGCATTGGCAGGCGGCAAGGGACATTTACTCAGCATGAGCCGGTACGATTTTTGAAACTCATCGTCCATAATAGCCACTGAGTGTCGCAGAGAGCCTATTGACTTACAGGAACTACTTCTGCGAGATCTACCCAGTAATTCTGAGGATCAGCCACCTGGCAGACGAATGGTTAAGGCCTCGTGGGTGTTGATTAATGCGCCTCTCAACTGTCTCTGCTGACCCAGCTATAGAACGGGACATGTGCTTGTGACAACATCTTCTGCACAGCGCGCATCGCTCGTTCCACCGCTCACGGGGAGTCATGCTCTCCGCGAGCTGCTAGAATGGATGTCTGTTCGCAGCGCCAGCATTGGCTTCGTGCCGAGGTACGGTGTCAGCACTGATTGACGCTACTATTGAAATTCATCGGATGCAATTCAGTTTACCTGCCCGTTTGGTCCATTCATCTCCGGCAACGGAGAAGATCATCCATAGGCTGGTCTACCGTGCAGTCCAGCCTCCGCCCGCAGGAGGCGCACATCATGCTCGTGTCAAGAAGTTCTTGTCTTTCGAAGTCCCCCTGCTCCAGCCTCGGGACGGTCTCCCCGATGCCGGGCAGTCCGAGAATACACCCACTACAGAATCGGGAGCTGCACATGCAGCGGGCGAAGTGGACGACTGGACTCCCTCGGCGCTCTCTTCCGAGCCAGAATGTATCACTGGTATCGAGAACGAAATCGACGTTATGCTCCCCGATCGGTGCGCTGTCTTATCCTACCGCTACACGTATTTGCTGACCAGGTGTAGACCCACGGATATGCAATTATCCTCTCGGAGCTCAACGTTGATCACTTCCGGCCAGGAGCCTCCGGAGTTGGGAGCATACATGACCAGCCTGCGAGAATTGTATGTTCAACGGATCAGTGAAGAGATTCCTTGCCACTGACCAGCTGTCGAGCAGCCTGAAAGTTGTCAATGCCGACGGCAAGCAACCAGACCCACCCCAAATGTTCACCTTTGGTGGCGATACCTGGATTCTGCACTCCAGTGCCAGCGTGCGACGGAGCATCGAAATAATCACGGTACCTTATGGGACGCCTGCGGCGGGAGAAGCAAGCCATGCCATGAGGGTGGTCAGCGAGAGCATCCTGGATCTCGAAAGCAATCAGAAGTCCACGCACTGCGAGGTCAGTACAGTCTGTCGATCTAGAGATCCGGATGTGTCATCTGAACCTCATTTCCCGAAGGTCGTCTGCGATGATCCCACATCTATAGAATCCTGGGGGCGTTTCCTATCCAGCTGCGACGCCCTCACATCAGTCACCTATCAACCAATGAATAGCGCTGCATTAGGGGACTCCGGGAGATGATAGTATTGCAATCTAGAGGCTAATAATGGAATAGTGCGCATGCAAGCATCGGAACCATGGAGTGAGAATAGCACCAGCGACGAGACAGTGACGGGACTGCTAATCAGTTTCGTTTTCGCTTTTTGTTGGCACGCTCTTTTCTCTTCTCTGCGCGGACCTGGGACACTCGTGAGCCACACGAAACGAAGAAGCCAGAGCATAAGCAACGTACCTCTTTCTTCATCCTGGAATCCACCATCACATAGCGTCCCTTGACTCCTTTGGGCCTACCTTTTAGACCCTTGTGAGCGCCCTTCGCCACGACGACTTTGATATCCTTCTTCTGCTTCTTCGCAGCCCCCTTCTGCATGAGCTTCTCAATCTGCTTCGCCTTCTCTCGCTCTGTCATGTCGGAGGTCTCGTTGACACCCTCAGCTTTCTTCATGGCCTTCTCGAGCCGCTGCGCAGCCTTGAACTTCTTCCGTGCCTTTGCCTCGGCGACCTTCTTTATCGGACGCGCGTCGAGGGCACGCATCTTGGCACGCAGCGCGGCGACGGCCTCTTTAGTGACGGGAATGTTGGCCTTGTAATGTTTCTCCTCATCGTCGAGGAACCAGGACGGGAGACCGTCCTTTGCGTTAAGGGAATGACGATTGAAGCCGTCGTTGATTAAGTGGGTCCGCGTCTTCTCCCTGTTGACCAGCTGTTGTGCAATCGTGACCGCTTCAGGGGTGACAAGGCCATGCTCTGTGCAAAGACGTGAGCTCGTTGCAAACTTCCGTGGCGTGTCGGACTTACGCTTAATGTGTGCTTGCTTAAGCTCGTCCTGGTTCTCGTCCTCGACGTCCCACATCTCTTCGTCGGCATCATCCGGCTCCTGAGGAACGACCTCGAAATCGTCTTCGTCTTCGCTCGACTGGATTCGTTAGACGTGTCAGTGAACGAGGTCGATAATAATAGCCGGAAAGCTGACCTCCATTTGGACGTCGCTATCCTCAGCCGGGACGTCCGCGTCTTCGTCTGACTCTCCGTCTTCGCCTTCTTTGTCTGAAATATCAATATCCGCTCCCGCGAAGCAGTCTTGACTGAACCAGACTTGCGCTGCCCGGCTAAGCGGCCCTGTCGCCGATGGTGCCTCTGCAAGACGGGCTTTCTTCCTACTTCGTGTGTCGCTCGGAGCATCTCCTGATATCCGCCGTTTCTTCACAGGTGCGAGGGAGGTCGCCTGCGCGTTGTCTTCCTCGTCGCTCGAATCCCCGTCCGAGCTCGAGTCTTCGCCTGCGCGCTCCTTCGCCGCCTCAAACTTATCCCAGCCGCCTTCCTCGTCGCTCTCTTCGTCACTTTCGTCGTCGCTCCCCTTCTCCTTGATACCACCCCACTCTTCCCGGTGCTTGGCGTTCTTCCGCGCCTCCTTTACCTTGTACTTCGCGTCACGCTCCCGTAGGTGATCCTGGTACGCGTCGTACAGACCGTCCAGCTGAGCCTCGAGGTCCGCGACCTTGCGTTCCTCTTCCTCGTCCGAGTCGAGGGCGACATCCTCATCCTCATCCTCCTCAGTACTGGCCTCGTCGCTCTCGGCGTCATCTTCCTCAGCCAGTCGTGCAGCACCACCCTTGCGCTTCAGCGCCTTGGCGGCGTTGTCCAGATCGAACACATCATCCTGACCGAGGCTCAACGTTGCATCAGTCTGCTCCAGACCGATGTCGAGCGGAGCGGTCATCTGGAGCTGCATGCGCTGGATTGTACGCTGCTTGATCTCATTGGCTCGTCGACGCTCGCGCTTCGTGCGAGCAGTGGCCTCGGCGTTTAGACGTTCGAGCTGTTACATGTTCTTGAGTAATGTGAGACAGCCACCGAGGAAGATAAGCATACCTCGTTCTGGATCTCCGCCTCCTCGTCGACTTCTTCCGTGATCTCTACTGTCTCCGTGAGCTCTTCTGTAGGCTTGGTCTTCACCTCGATACCGATCTATGCCGAAAAAGGTGGTTATGTAGGAGTCAGCTAACGTACATGGAGGAACACACCTCTTCGCGCAGACTTGTCCGCCACCTGATGAGCGCCTTAAAGTCACCTTTGCCGAGCACCTTGAGATCCTCGCAGTTTGCGACAACATCCGCCGTCGTGACATCCATCTTGAGCCACCTGCACATGACCATGCATTGAGATGCAGTGTTCGAAAGCATAACACGCGACTCACTCCTTCTCTTCCTCGGTCTCGAAGGTGATTTTGTTCACACTCCCGAGGAACGCAATGGCATCAGGGCACCGGATGAATTCGGCAGCGCCTGCCCTCTTGAAGAGGGTATAGTCTCCCTCGTCATAACCGTCACGATTCCGACGCTTCTTTTCGGGCTGGAACACGCTGGCTTGGTAGTTCTTCGACGATGTCCCCTTTTCACCGTCTTCAGGTAATGAGGACGAGAGGTCCTTGAAGACATGCTTGGGGTCAAAAAACTTGGGGTCAATGTGCTTAGGTGCCAGGAAATCTCTGCAGACGACGAAGATTTCTGCGGAGACATTTCTAAGGGCATGTCAGTCGCAATGTAGTAGTGGACGTGCAGCACATACCTGGAAGACGGTGGCTTCGTTGCCTCGACCTTGCCGAAGAGCTGGTTGAACACCCAGATGAGGTTGTTGTAGTCCGCACTCCGGAAGACCTTCGTTACGAACGTCCCGCCCTTGATGAGGAACTCCGCCGCGAGCTTCATACTCATAAGCACGAGCTCGGACTGACTGTACGCATCCTGGACCCAGGCCGTACCGACGTTCGGTGCACCGTCGTGCAGCACGACGTCGGCCTTCCAGTCCTTCAACTCGCCCCGGATCAAATTCCGACATTGTGGTGTGGTGATGTCGGAGGCAAAAGTGACGACACGGGGTATAGGCTTGATAGGGACCAAGTCAACGCCTGATGCGACGTAGAATGTTCAGAAATCATGCAGGGCCGCAAAGACTGCGTACGCACCGACTATCACGCTGTTTTGCGGCATGTACTTGCTCGCCACCTGCAACCAACCACCAGGAGCAGCGCAAAGATCTATACAACATCTTGCAGACTCCAGAAATGAGTACTTCTTGTTCAGCTGGATGAGCTTGAACGCCGAACGGGCACGGTAACCCTGCTCTCTGGGATCAAAAGATTGAGCACGCTAAGCTCCTGGATTCCCGATAGCAACTCACTTTGCGAGCTTGTAGTACTTGTCGAGACGACCCTTTCCTGTCTTCTTCTGCGCCTTACCCATGGTGAACGACTAAGCCGAGGCGAGGCGAGGCGGACTCAAAGTTTTGGTCTACCAATTCCAGAAGTCGTCGATCGAGATCTGCTACAGGCTGTTGACATGTGTTTTGATCTGATCGCATTAGGCATGCAACGCCTCATGGGCGCCATGGCTGCATCCTGTGGATGATCCTGTCGCTGACAGTGAGTATCGTCGAGCACTAGGCTTGCACTCATTGACGTGAGCTTCAGCATAGTATTGTCTACATTGCAGGGAGCTCACGCATCAATTTGTCTTACTTCAAGCCGAACACATTTCTATGCCCGAGCCTACGGCCTCTACACCGCTTCTTGGTAACATGGCGTCGTCTTTCGTGAACTCCAGGGTTCTGTGGAGGACCGGTGCTCTCTTCAGTTAGTCCATCGGCGCAGACTGTCTTTCAGGAGATCCATTGGGAGCTGATGCGCATAAACTACCAGCTGCCGTCGGTATGCTCGCTGGCGCATTCGGGGCTCACGGACTGCAGAAGAGGCCCGGTGTCACGCCGGAGAACATCCGTGCATGGGGTACTGCAGCTCAATATGCGGTGAGTATGCTAAAACCTTCTATATTGGTACACCAAGCTAGCAGTGTTGTCTTGGAGGTGTACAGGGCATATCGGCGACGAAGTATTGGTAACAGCAGTTACTGGTGCAGCATTGCCGTGCCGCCCTGTATACAGACTGTCAGGACCAGTTTCTGCTGCGTCACTCATCATACTATCTTGTGCCGGACGTACGCAGGTATTCAATGGGCTCGGTTTGCTATTGATTTCGATGCATCCGCGTTTTGCGACCCATAAATTCGCCGGGCCCGCGATCGCTGCAGGAGGTTTCATCTTCTCCAGCAGCATTGTTGCCTTGGTGCTCGCTCGGGACAAGTAAGTTTGTAACTTCACTTGTCTGCAGTGATCTCAAATGCGACGCTTGCCTTGCTTAGGTTCAGGTGGTTGGGCCCGTTCACTCCGCTCGGTGGCTCTCTTATGATCGCGGGGTGAGTGCAAAGTCTAGGCCGCTGAGAGCTGGAATTAACTGCACGTCCCCACAGGTACATTGCCTTGGCATTGTAAGGACCCCGTTGAGAGGATGTGAGGGTCCTGACGCAACATGGCCAGCCTGTGGAGCTGCTCAGCTCGAGTGTCTGTTTGGAAGTAGTCTGCTTTGTCGTTCGCAATGCATCCCCTCTCGTCGTATACAATAGAAATAGGAAGAAAGCATCGCGTTCTGGTTGCGTTGCCAGTGGGGCGGTTGGAACGCAGAAGAACAAAGACAGCCCAATGCGGGGATGGCCTGGGCGCGTGAGGCCACGCGCGGGAAAACGAGGCCAAGTTGAAACGATCACATGACTTGCTGCACAACGTGTCTTCTCCGCTTGAAACGGCGGTGGTGGCCACGGGCGACTCTTTCCACCCTGTTCGCGACCACCCATCACCTCTCCCGCCAGCGACGTCCCTCCCGCTCCCTGTCCCCCGCCCCCTCGGCCGCCCACATCTCTTCCCGCTCAATACACTCCACAACACATACCGGGTGAGCTTCGACGTCTTGCATTCTCACACATGGCCTCATTTTCCCATTTAGCGCCCCCTCCACTAAGATGGCCGATCTTAACAACTCTGCGTCACTGCAACCTTCATATTCATATCCTCCGCCTCACCTTGTTCACTACACCACACGCCCCATGAAGCGACGTGGCAGCGATCCACAGTTTATCCCGGCCGAAGCGACTTTCAATCCGCGCCCATATCACCCGGTGAGCTCGCAGCAGTCCCAACCCCGCCAACACTCCCAGGCACCCACTTCGTCCGCATCGTCATCCCGCCCCAATACATCGAGAAATCGCGGGAACCTGAACCTCGATCCCACCCCGGACGACTCTGACGCGCTCTTTATCCATCCGCCGTTCGACGACTTCCCCAACGCCGATAGTTACAAGGATGGGCTGACCTACAACATCATGGCTGACCATCTGGACTGGTTCCTGGATGCCAATGATTTCATACATCCGGATAACCACAACGAGCGGGCGATCGGCTATCCTTCCAAGTTGGAACCGCCCCGCGGGTGGTGCCCGCAGAGGAAGAGCAAGGAAGGCTGGCCCGAGGGTGAAGAGCCACGCTTGCGCTGCACATTTTGTCGTCGAAGCTATTCAGGCACAAATGCCAAAAGCATGTGGCGGCGACATGTACTGGAGAAGCACAAAATCGCAATGGCAAACCGGCGAGAGAACACAACTGGGAGAGGTGGCCGTGCTGCGAACAGTGAGTGTCTCAGCTATAGCTTATGTTTTAGTGCTCATCCATGTACACAGAAGAGAACCGTACTGCTAGCGGTAGTGATAGCAGGCGCACCGATGAAGGTTCAACGCAGCCCGCCTCTACTACTGAGGCATCGACTAGCGCTCACGCGCTTGACTCGTCGGACGATGAGGCGGAGCAACCTGCACACCTCCCGCCTCGATCCGACGAACCCGACGTGTTTGGTGCTATCAACACTTCTAGCACGCCGCCTTTGACCCCCGGAGGCCCGTCTCCTTCTCGTTCGACACACAGGAACAATGGAGGCTTCGATTCACCGTACGACCCCCTCGCGACTCCTGCCTTCCGGCACTCCCCGCGAGTATCTCGTCAGCCGTGGCGATTCCCCAGCCCCAGCCACCCGCTGTACGCGAGCAAAGACAAGGAGCTTCCCCTAGCCATGCTGGTTCGAGGTTTCACGAGCCCTATGGTCCACGGCTCAGACAACAGCCCCTTTTTCCCGATGCCCGGGAGCGAGCACAAGAAGAGGAGCGTGTTCAGCAGTCCGTTTGTCTCGAAAGACACAGACAGGATCAGCTTCCTGGACGAGTCGCCCGCACGTCTGGTATTCGATGGCACGCCTCTGAGTGCGCGCTTAACACGCTCTCCGTTTGAAGCTCGCAGCGCGGACTCGCCCCTTGGCCAGTCTCAACGCGGTAGTCTTCGCGTTTCGTCCTGGACGGAAGCCACCAAGAAATGGCAAGCCGAAGCGGCCGCGGGCTCCCCTCGCAAGACCACCGCTGAGGGATCGGGTCTGTTGGCCCCCATCGAGTTGCAAGGAGACGATGTCTTTACCGACGGCATGTACAGTTCTTTCATCGACTTCAACCCCAAAGGCGAAGGAAGCACCCGTAGCCCCTCGCGCGCGACGGTCGCCGAAAGCCCGGTCGTGCGCACTCAGCCGCAAACAAGCCTTTCCGCCGTCACGAAGGGCAGTTCCGGTCTGATGAGTTTCGGCTCGGGCCTCATGGACGCTTTCTTGTCCGGAAAGACCAAGGTCAAAGCGAGGCGAGCCGAGTCGTCTGACGATGACTCCGACTCAGACATGAGCGGGCCTAGCCATGGGTCGCCCATCCGCGTGGGCAAGAAGACCAGGCGTGCCTTGTCCAGTACCTGGTCTAAGGACGACGACGGGGACACGGAGATGACGGATCATCACCCGAAGAAACGTCGCAGGACCTTCAGCGGACGCGACTAGACTCGCTGTCGCCATCCATAGCTGCCTCCTCCGCATAGACGGCTCCACCCTTTAAAGATAGACCGGCACGCACCGTCTTGACTCCCCCACGCCTATCCTCCATCTCGTCAATCTCAACGTTGTTTTGTCCGCTCTGAAGGTTGCTTTGTCATCGCTCTCTGGACAGCGCACGCCGACGATCGTCGCCTACATTGTTTGTGATAGGCCTCGGTCGCCGTCGGTCCGCTGCGGTCTTGTCCAAGTACAGTATATGCACTCCCCTTTCTGTATAACATCGTACACTATCCCGAGCGCCGTAGTTTCTTGTCTCTCCTCCATCTCGCCAAGTATTTATCGACAGATGTCGCCCCTTGGTTCCTCGATTGTATCCGTTCTGAATGAGCAGCCAAGTCCATTTTGCGATCGCGTCTCCTCCCCCAGTATGCCTACCTCTCTTCTATTGTACACTTAAGGACTATCGTCTGAGCCGCGGCTAGCATACGTACGATGACTAGTCGTCTGGGTTGGGTTGTTTGTGGTGCATCTTGCCTGATGCCGTGTACCTTGTGGTTTTGGGGATGTATCGAAAGCGAATATATCGGGTTTTTCTGACACTCCAATAGTCACGCACGTCGATGTGCTCGCGACCGAGTCTTTGGGTTTGAACGTATGCTTGCATAACCATAGCTGCCTCATACATGACAAGTCAAGGGGACTAAACGAGATAGATACCGATGTGGAAGTGAAAATGCGCAAAACAAGAAAGCACAGCGAAGGTGAAGAGAGGGCGGGTGGGGGTAGGGGGACTAGTGGAGGGGGCAGGCATGATAATTGTGGTATGGCACACAATATTTTCGTAGCCAGGATAAAAGAGGAAAGAGATGTACGAGAAGGAACGGTGACAGAGGGAGGTCATGACGGTCATAAACACAAATTGGAAACATAGTAAACGAGGGGAAGTTGGCGGACCTAGTACTGACGACATGCAAGCGCACGAATCTCGTACAAATACGTTCGGTCGGGCTCGCCAGAGGGGTCTGTCCGTGTGAGTGAGAGCCAGCCCTTCATCTCGGCGCGATGTCGCTCCTGTGCGACGCGGCAGTTGTCCGCAAAGGACGCGTCGACGTCGCACACCATAGATGCGCGCGAACCGCGGTCGCTTTCGCTCCCGGAACGTGTCCGCGAATGGCTCCGTGCCGGGCTGGGCGGCTGAGTCCGTGTTGCCTCACTGGAGGCTGCGGAAGGTTGCTGGCTGGCACGGATTGTGCCGCCTTTCGCCTCCCAATCATCTTCGTCTTCGTCGTCCGCAAGGTCGGCGAAGACATCGGGCTCTTCCTCGTCCGGCGGTAGCGTCGATATCCAGCACATGCGCGAGGGGTCGAAAATCATTGTGCCCACTACGCGTGCACCTGCTGCGAACGAGCTTACCGGCGAACCCATGGAAGAGCCAGTCAAGTGTGTAATTAGTGCAGGTCGGGTGGAGGAGCCGACTGCTGAGTCGAAGTCGCGGAGGGCTTGGTCGTTGCCCTCCCAGCGCAAGGTGCTGGGATTCCACTTCATCTCGCCGACGACTGACACACGGATTAGTACCTGCGAGATGTTGCGCGCATTTGACATAATTACTCACCTTTCGGGGCTCCTGTGCCGCCTAGGTTCCGAATCAAAGTCGGCTTCCTTCGTGTTTGCACTGCGGAGGGCGAAGATAAAGTTCTCCTCTTCTTTACGTTCAACTCCTCGGAGTGCTTCGACAACATCGCAGCTGACGTGGGCTCGGGTTTTGAAGGGAAGTCAATGCGGCCCGTACGCTTCAGCGTCTTGGCAGGCGGTGCGCCTTTTGAGAGCTCTAAACAAAGGCAACGCCACGCGAGGACTCAGCGACAATCCAACAACAATGAAACAAAGCACGTACCATAACTACTTGAGGACAGCTCGCGTTTGCCCTTTCTACGCAACGTGCCCTTACCCGATGTCGAGTCGGCCAAGTTGGAAGACGCGGCCTTCGCATATGTTGCGCCCGGTACACGGTTGCCATACCCTTTGGGCTCGACCCGATAATGTTCCTCTTTGTCTCGGTCAAGAGGAAGATCATCGAACCCATCGAGTTCTGCGCCATCGCCATACGTCCGTTGCCGCTTTGGACGCTTCATGACTTTCGGTGCTGGTAGGGGTAGACTCTTCGTCTGGCTGTGCCCGAGCCGAGACTTCATAGAGGAGGCCGATGGCGGTCGTGGAGGAGGCAGAGGAGATTGCGAACGTGGAGCGACCGCGCTCGTAGGGGTAGGAAAGACAGAAGAGATGGGAGTCCGTGACTTGAGCCGTGATGACGACGTGGGCATGGTCAGGCGTAGCGCCACCGGATTTGACGATGGTGTTGAGGGGCGCGTCGGGGGCACAGTGTACTCGAGGCCATAGATCCGACTCGCAGAGTTCGTCTGCACCTTGGCCCGGGAAGATGCAGTCGGCGCGTTATAACCGGCTGGCATCGCGCTCGAGCCCGACCCAGAGCCTGACGCTTCGGCGTTATGTGTGGACTCAGAGAGCGACGGCAAGGATGCCTTCCGTCCCAGCTTGTGCGCTGACGATGGAGATGTCGTCGGCTTGAGGCCAGAATGAGACTTCTGTACTCGTAGGCTGCCAGGCTTGGGCGTAAGGAAAGACACTGGGGAAGTGGGACCAGCGGCAAGCGCTTGGCTGTAAGTTTGTGACCGTATGGGTTGACCAGGCCGTGACGGTGGGGATGGTGGCGTTCCAATCTTTCGCAGCTGCGACGCAGACGAGATCGGCGGGTTATTCGGTGATTTCGCGCGATCTGACTTGAGCCGTGACGGTGGCCGCACCGTCGTTGCGGGACGAGGGGGCGCACTCCTGCTGCGATTGCCTGGTGTAGCACGGTTGGTGGTCTTGGTGATGAGCAGTCGACTGGGGCTCAGTTCGACGTCATTATCGATTACGAGACCCATCTCGAAGTCGTCTTCGGGGTCAAGGTTCGCAACCTTGACGCGCTCGTCGGTGAATGCGGTCTTCTTCTTGATCTCGAGGATCTTGGCAAGCTTCTTGCCTCCTGACTGGGTCTCGAAGAGACCTGTAGGGATGACAAGGCCATCGAGCTCGCCGTCCTCGTCCTCATCTTCGTCCTCCGTCTCGGTCTCCGGCAGCGACGCAGACGTGTAATTAGATGATGATGCGTTGTCGGCGAAGCCCAGCGTGGAGTAAGCATCGGAGGACTGAGAGGAAGAGGTTTGATCTCGGTCGCCCCATTCGAGGGACGCCTTGGAGGAACGATGGGAAATTGGGCGCAAGGAAAGTTGTGTCAGTTCGGATGGGAGGGCAAAGTCGTCCTCAAAATCTTCGTCGATGGCGGGGGGAGGAGGGCGGGTGGATGCTTTCGGTAATGCGGCGACCTTGATGGTAGACACGCCCTCCTCATCCTCGTCGTCTGGTGGGGTGGGAAGCGGTGGCCGGATGGTGAACATCTGGGAGGACTTCCTCGAGGACTCGGCGCGCGCAGCTATGCCGTCCAGGACACTTTGTGCCTTCGCGCCTCCGGTCTTCCCGAGGTCCATCTCGACGTCCCAGTCCTCGTCGGCGTCGTCCTTATCGTCCTCCGCATCGGACGCGTGGATCGGATCGCCGTCGGGGAAGTCAAAGTCGGCCTCGGGCCATTCTTCCTTGGAGAGCACGATGGAAGGTGCAGGTATGGCGGTCATTTCGAAGACCAGGGTCAGCGAAGTAGAGAATTAGGCCCAAGCGTAGGGGCAAGAGGTACTAGAGTGTCGACGAGATTAGGTAGAGAGAGCAAGAAAGACTAGTGCGCAAACATCGAAGGGGGCGCGGGGGTACGGGTAGCGAGAGGCGGGCCTGTGCTGGTTAGAGCGAGGCGAGTACTTGTGCGGCGATGCGAAGGGGCGGGCGGCCTCGTGTCGACGGCATCCAGTCCTCTCACAACAGATCCGCTGACCCGTGTACAAACACCGTCGCCAAACACAAATACTGGTAAATACACCCGCCACAGGCGCGTCTAGTACGGCCTCAGGCGCCGCAGCTCCCGCGCGTTGTGCTCGATCTCGTCCTCCGTGTCCGTCTCCTCCGCCCTATTATCTCCGCCCTCTTCTGTCCACCCCTCCAGCGCCTCGTCCAGGCCCCGCCGCATCCGAATACCCCGTTCCGCCATTGTCTCCGCCCACCCATTGAGCTCCCGGCCACTGAATGCCTTCCGCAGTGGCCCAAACGCGAGCAGATAGAGTTCTGCCCACGATCATATCAGCTCAGCATGCAGTCATACAACAGGCGTTCCCAAGCCACGCACCTTTCGCGAGGGGACATTCACCCACGGCTCGGAACAACAACTTCTTGGCTCGCTCTACGTGGCCCGTCCTCACCTCGAACTGCACGTACAGCTGCCAGAGCGCGGTGCTGCCGCGTGTGCTGTACAATGGTCATATCGGTGACAATTAGCTCTGAATACACACAGGATGACTCGGAGGACGCAATAGACGTACCGTTCGCTCTGCACCGCGGCGGACAGCCCGCCTCGTGTCCGCTCCTGCTCCGCTTCCCAACGGCCCTTCTCCCAGCTAGCCAGCCACACCTCCGCAGCCCTTCGCGATAGGTCTTTATCTCGCATGCCCGCTTCCGCACCCTCTCCAAACAGGGTCTTGACCCGTCCCCAGATGGCCTGACCCTTCTGGGCTTCCAGGAACATGCCTAGCACGATCGTGTTGCTCGGGTGCTGCTCGATAACGCGCTCGGCTCGCTCCCGCAACAGTGCCGGAGGCATGGGATTCCGTAGTACGATCCCGTGGACATAGAGCAGTGACAAGGACACGACGACCAAGCTCTCGTGCGGGAGTGTCCCAGGGTCCAGCGCGCTGAGGTGTACGTCAAGTGTCGATAGCGCGGACTCCGGTGACGCTGTGAGGAGTTCGAGTAGTGTCCAGAGCTTCATGATGTATTCGCGCTCCTTCCAGGCCGTAGACGGTACGGTGATAGCTTCTTGTAACTGTCGCTTCGCTCGTAGAATGGGAATGCCACCTGTGCCTTGAGAGCCTGTGGATCGAAGAATGACTTCGGTCGCACTTTCGGGGCGACCAGCAAGCCACTCCATCTCCGCCCAGTCCCACCACAGCTGGCGATGAGCGGCAGAGGTCGAATTCGAGCTGCCGAGGATGGTTTGGTAAACCTTGCGCGCGTCATCGAGGCGACCTCGCAGTCGTTGCAGTCGAGCATGCGCAGCCCACAGTGGCAGGGAATTCTGCGCAGAGGCCAGCATCTTCTTTGACTGTGCTACAGCGCTGTAGACACTCAGTCCAGTTGTCTGACGATGTGACATTTTATACACACCTCTTCAAATTGCAAGCACCCTCGAAGGCGAGCGAGAGTACATCCCACTCCGTGTCGTCCCCAGTTCGACACTGAGCGAAGACTTCTCGAACCAAGTCAATGCTCACGTCCGCGACGTCTTCAGGACCCCACATAGTCCATCGCGTACCAGGCACTGCTTCCAGCGCCCCAAGCACACCATAGCCCCAGTTCTTCACAGGCCCGAAGGCATTAGAGTACTCGCGCTCCCGCCCTATGAGTACACCAGCTTGTGCGTCAGCTGTGATCCGTCTTGCGGCACTGTTAGCTTCAGACGGCACGATGGCGGCTAAGTGGGAAGGCGACGCGAGATGCGCGCACGCCCACCGGTCGTCCGTACTCTCCTGCGACAACGACGTGAGGGTCGCCAGAAAGCCAGGGACGTGCAGGCCAAGGAAGGCGAGCCAGATCCGTCTGAATATGTCTTTCGCTTTCGCGCTGCGGATGTCGACGAGCAACGGCCGAATGTCTGCGAAGAGGATCGTTGCATACGGGTCCTCGTCTGCAGCGCCGTCGAACGAACGCGTGGGCAGCTGGTACGCACGATCGGAGAGCGACTCGGACGCCGCCCATCGACGAAAGGGGTCGCGTTCTCTCGCAGAGATGTTCGCAGCCTTGCGGGGTGAGACCAAGTTCGTTACATCGCCGATAGGGTTTGTTGTCCAATATGGCACACCCTTTGTATTGGCTTCGCCCATGCGAGGTGCCTCCGACTCCCAGAACTCCTCCAGGGCGTCTAGCTGTCTCTCGAAGGGCTGTCGAGCCATGTCAGGATGTGTCCTGTACGTCCTGCAATATGACTCAAATTAGCACCGTGCGCAAATGCGAAATACAACAATGGCGTACAATTCAGCTTGCGCCTGGAAGAGAGCAGTGGCTCGCTCCACGTAGCCTGCATCCCGGAAACCAACGGCCACCCGCCAGAGGACTCTGAGCATACCAATTTCGTCCCCTATGACTGCACCGAGAACACGCTTCGCATCTTCGACAATGCCTTCCACGCCCTTCTCGCCCTTCCTGATCCTCCAATCGAGCCACTCCATCCACATCTCGATGCCCCCTACCTTCAGCGCATCTTCCCATTCCGCGCGCAGTTTGCTTTCGTGCCAGGTCTCTTCACCGGCTTTGATGTACCGGAGCCTGAGCACCTTGGACGACGCGTTCTGCGGGTGGGCAGATAGAGCTCGCTGTAAGATGGACAGAGTGATCTCCGAGCGCGCCTTCGGTGCGTTCTTCGATGTGATAGGGACGGTGGAGAGCGTATGTGAGAGGAGGGAGAGCCATGTTGGAACTGAGGCGGGGTCGGCGGACAAACGCTCCTCAAGCGACTTGAGGGTTACTTGAAGCGATGTCATGGGAGTCGTATCCGAGTCGTCGCCTGAGCTCTCCTCCCCTTCATCCTCGGACGACTCACTTTCGTCGGCATTGGCATCATGTCTCGACGCTGTGATCGACCGGTATGACGGGTCACCTTTCCGCTCGCGCCCCGAGGAGATGCGTAGGAAGCCTTCGACCTCGTCGTACTTATACTTGTCCTCCGACGAAGCCAGGAGTCTGCGAGTTGGAGGTGCATGCAGCAGATGTCGCGCACTGGAGTCCGTCAGCCCAGGCATCTAGATAATACGTGAGCCCAGCAACACCAAACATTGACGACAGATGCACAGACCTTGCGCTTTCCGCCCACAGCAACTTCGACACCTTTGCGACCTCTGTGCACCACCCTCCATCCATGCTCCAAACCTAGGATCGTCTTACCGCCTTCCGCTTGGTTAGATGTCTCCGAAACAAATGCGAAGTAACTCACCACCGACTAGGTAGTAGCGCGGAACGCTCCCAGCGTACAGTCCACCGTACTGTGTATTTAGCGGATCGCCTTTGCGGTCTGTAAAATACAGAAGCTGCTCGCTATGTGATGCTTTCTCCGCGCGCAAGAAAACGTCCTCTTGCGCCTTGAGGCGTTCGTCATCAAAACCCGCATAGGGACTATCCTCCTTGTGCTTCTTGGATCGGTCTGTGCGACGTTCCCTACTGTCGTACTCAGCCCTGTCATGTTTGTGCTGACGCCCCTTCCGTTCCTTTTCTTCCCTATCTTTCTTCTTCTTCTTCTTCTTCCTCGCGTCGGCAGACTGTTCTGCGGGAGTAGCAGGACGCTTGCTCGGACCGGGATCAAGGACCGGGAACGACGAGAACGATGAAGGAAAAGAGGAGAACGATGGCGCTGACATTGTATATCTTGTAAATACGGGCTTCGTGTGCAGACAATTCGTGTGTAGGTTGCTGGATCGAGGGTGACCAAAGCGTGCAGCTCGAGGTCGACGAGCACCTGGCAGGTTGTGGCGAAGCTATGAATTCAGGCGCCCACCGATCAGTCGCGTTCGGTGACGCGGACCACGTGCCGCAATATGCTGCCCCGAAATGGTAATCAGAGCGGTCTTCACTTTTTCTTCTGCAGCCAGGTACTCTTGCCCGGGCCTTGACCATTGTTCCAACCCCCAGCGCATACTCTGCTGACTGGATCTGTACCTTCTTTGTTCATCATGCGGCCGTTGACCGAAGAAGAGAGCAAGGCTGTCTTCACGAAGCTGGCGAACTACGTCGTGCGTTATGTTCCACGAGCTTCAATCATCCTCTAACCCACCGCTCAGGGCAAAAACCTTGTTCATCTCGTCGACAGGCCAGATGAGCCGTATTGCTTCAGACTGCAAAAGGATCGCGTCTTCTATGTGTCGGAGTCCTCCATGCGACTGGGCATATCTGTGGCTCGTCCAAATCTCGTCAGCCTTGGGACATGTTTTGGAAAATTCTCAAGGAGTGGGAAGTTCAAGCTTCACATCACTGCTTTGGACTACTTGGCGCAGTATGCCAAATACAAGGTACGCTGCATTACCGACATGACGTTCAGCACTCCTCATTGTGTTGCAGGTCTGGATCAAACCGAATGGAGAGATGCCATTCTTATACGGCAACCATGTGCTGAAGGCGCACCTTGGAAGAATCACGGAGGATACGCCCGAGCACCAGGGAGTTGTCGTGTTCAGCATGAACGACATACCATTAGTGCGTTTCACTACCTGCGAAGATACCCTTGAATTGACAAGTCGTGCAGGGGTTTGGTGTCACGGCGCGCTCTACTATTGATACCCGTAAATTAGACCCAACGGCAATTATTGTATTCCACCAAGCGGATGTTGGTGAATACCTTCGTGATGAAGTGAGTGTCGGATGATTGTGTACGGCGGCGCCCTGCTGACCGCATTCGCGTACAGGAGACATTGTTCTGAGACTCTACGTCTTACATGTCTTTCCACTGGTCTTTCATTAAGAGGCCAGAGTCATTCTCTATTCCGCGTAATGAAGTGCTCGGCCGGTTATAGGGACGCCAAAAGTACACCTCGTATCTGTTCGCATGGGACTTGTCGTTGCTTGTATCATATGGGGTATTTCACGCATGTAGAACAATGTACAACATTTGCGTGGTAGACTTGAGGCCTTGAGGACGCGTCTTCGGCAGGCAGTCGGAGAGTATGGGCAAGATGAATTATCTCCTGAGGCGCCTGTGCACTGCGCGCCTTGTGTCGTCACGATTGCGGCTTTCCCCTGGGCCCGCATGCACGTGTCAGACACGGAATGGCGTCCACCTCGACCTCCACGTCCCCGACAGACCTTTGTGCGCAATGGACAGCACTAGCGGATGAGAACATCACTACCAACAAGGTCGACGAGCTCCTGCGACCCGTTTCCAATGACTTGTGGGTCGCCGCCGCTTGTACGGACCGCGTTCTGGAGGACGCGACTACACAGAAGTCGGTCTTGGGCTTAGGAATCGAACGGACTGCTTCCACTCTCAAAAGGGCGCATGAGGCGTACTTCCGCCCTTCGCCGTATCAGGGAGACGAATCGCCGGAGGATGAATCTGCGAAGGACTCAACTGCAGAGGGAGAGGCTCAGGATGGCCAGGCTAGGCACGCTTCACTCGTCTCACACTTCCGCGACGAACCCACAGACGCACAGCTATGTCGCATACGTGCGGTTCTGCTGGACCGGCTGGACCGGCTGTCTACATTCTTGGAGATATGTAAGGAGGCGCCTCCCAGGGCAACGGAGGAAACGGTCGATGAAGACTGGGAGGACGACCCGTGGGCGGACGAAGCCAACGACACCACGGCAGAACCATCATCGTCTACCGTGGAACCACCACTTCCCCTATCCACCTTCCTCACTACAGACCTTCTGCATCTAGCATGCCTGCTTGCGTCTTTGGAACATGCTTCCGCACTCCGTATACTCATGAACCGACACGGGCATCATCTATGGCCATACCGGTTCTCGATCATCGACTGTATCCCAGAACATGCACTTGCCACTGAATTTCGTGGCGTGCTACCAGTCTATGACCCTTCAGACGACAAGGAGCAAAGGCCGGACCCGGACCCGTGGAGAACTGAACCGGACTTCTCGGAAAGCGCGACACTCTCTGCTGCCCTCGCAGACGCTGAAGTTCCTCTGAAGTTCTCCGTTCTAGCCCCCGTCACAACGGATCTGCCTACACGAACAGAGCCCCTGTCCTCGCAGGATTTGGCGACATGGTACCAGGATCGAATAGACCTCATCGTCTCGTCAACTGGTATGGTCGATGCTGCCCTGTTGCTGGTACAACACGCGGCCTCGCAGGGGCTCCCAGGGCTTGACGAAGTAGGCGAGGAGCTCAGTCTACTATCCCGCTTGGTGTACGATGCCCCCTCAGCGCCAGCCGACGCAGATGAAGACTGGACACTGGACCGATGGAGGTCAATGGAACCGTCAGCTGTGGTGCGTGCATACCTCGCGCATTCCATACCGGAGACGGTCGCAAAAGATATCAGCAGACTCGTCATGCCGTATCTCTTCGTACTGGAATCGCGAGCAGAGCGAGCGGGAACACCAGATCCATCCCTGCCCAGACGGCTCCTATACGGGTACATCCTGAATGCCCCTCTCGAGATTGTAGCGGCCATCTTCGAGGCATCGAAGCCAACTCTACCTCCCGCTCAGCGACTCATACGCAATGACGAGGACATAGCACGTCTCGCCTTAGCGTGCCTATATGGGAGCGATAGCCTGGACGAATGGTCGACCATGAGCCGCATTTTCGAATGTCTCCCTGCCTGGGATACCGCCAACGATGAAGACGAAGCAGACGAAGCAGACACCACCATCGCTTCGTTAGGTGCCTTCGTCATTCCCTCCACTACCCGACCCCGCGCCACACCAACGGATCTCATGCTCTTCTTCCAACCCCTCCCTTCGTCTGCCCTGTCACGCGCTTTGGACGTCCTGGACGTCCATCTTGAGTCTGGAGAGATTCTGGCGCGATGGGAGGTCCCAGCGCCCCTCCGTTGGTTCTTACAAAGCAACGGTAGCATCGCCGAGCAGCGATCATGGGCCAACCGGATGGCGAGGCGAGCCGGAGGCACCGACAGACTCGAGACGCAAGAAGATTGGGAATGGCTTTTGGAGGATATGCTCAAGCTCTCGGAGTCGGGCGATAGCGGAGCCTGGAGCGCATTATGTCTGCTATCCGAGGACGATATCGTTCGTATCTACTTCAGCGGTCTGCTGAGCACAGGCAGTAAGCTATGGCATATTGTTTGCTATGCACTCTGCTTACCTCTCACTAGGATTCGACATAGCGAAACGCTTGTTACATTCTTCTGGCATTAGCGTGTCGCTGGAGCCATCCGTCATCGAAGATATATGTCTCACATGTTCTCAAGAGTTCTATGACAACGCAAGCTCTGGCAACTACCATTTCGGCGACATGAAACTTGCCTATGACTGGTGAGCTGTACGTCGGACGCTGTTGACTTCGTGTTGCTGAAGATGCCTTGTAGCCTTGACATTCCCGCGCCTTCCGACCGAATCACCAGGGAGAAAGAGTTCATTGAGGCCACCACTCGCCTCTGCTCTTTCAATCTGATGTCGCGCCCGGGCATTCCGATTACTCCTCTTGAGATCCGTCTAACCAAGGATCGCTTGTCCCTTGTATCTCGGGTACTCTCCAGCAACACTGACGCCTTCAAGCATACACAAGTGATACTCGACCTTGTCCACAAGCTCGGATTCAGAGGGGACGTTGTTGCTGAGGCCAAGACCATGGCCATGCTTGTCGAAAGCGCAGTACAAGCCGAAGACTTTACGCGTGCATTCGAGACAAGCCAAAGTATGATCGACACTGTCCTCAACCTCCGATCGACGGTACCGTCTGGCCTGCATGACTCTAATGTAGACGAGGCAAGTGAGGTCTGCTGGGTCGCTTGCTACCAACTCGGGCGGCATCCGGAGTTTGAAGACGTACAAAAGAAGCTCACGCTACTAGGGCGTGCCCTCGAGCTATGTCCGGCGGATAGGATGGCGGATGTCTTAGCGATATGGCACCGTTCAGAAGACGAAGACCTGGAGCAACGACGCGCGCGACTCGAAAATCGTCGCAAAGGTGGTCGGACAGTGCATGCACGCAAACGTGCGCCTACAGAGCATGATCCTGTTGCATCCCTTGCGGCTCGCTTGCAGCAGCTCCGGATGCCTGACTTCCAGATACCGCATTCTCCGCTCACGGGCGCGGAGGATGCGGCGGCGCTAGCAGGCAAGGCGTTCAACCGCGTTGCGGCGAATTTCCCGTTCACCGTTGGCAACCGAGGCCGTACGCTGACAGGCGAGAACGTCAATGGATGGAGTAGCAGAGAAGGTAGCAGAGCACGCGAAGACGGACCAGACGTTTCGGTTCAGGCCTCTCGTGTTTTGCAGGCTGGTATCGGTTGGTTATTGGGTGGAGATGACGATGCTTAACGTACTCTGCGGACATTTGGGACGATCACATTATTTGCCCATGCTCCATGCACGTATCCCTTCATCTGTTCTTCTCTGTTCTTCTACACTCGCAGAGTAATGATAGTCCTTCATGCCATCCAACGCGGGAGGCGATTCTCAGTCAACCTTTCCTGTACTTCCTGAGCACACCGATCTGTTGCTACACCTGCATCCGCGGCACATACCACCTGTGTTGCGGTTGCGGTTGCGGTTGCGGTTGCGGTTGCGGAGACGTTTCCAATTGGAGGAATTTGTACGGCTGGGATCGCGCCATAGTGAGTCCTGGCCTACTGTATGACCAGAATGTTGCTTACCATCTACGAGCGCCCTGTTATTGAGACTTAGGGTTTCAAGCTCACCCTGAGTCTTCAAGTAGAATATCATGGTGCCAGTCTTCCACAGAGGCATAGTCAGCTATGTTTGTTTTCCCTTTAGGGTCACTGAGGGCGAAGCCCTATGTGTATCTAAAGGCATCCTGAGATCGTCCATCCTGTCCCTTCCTCTTCCTATCCTTCCCTGCGCATGTCCCATAGTCAGCTTACTTGTATGCGGTGCACAAGTAGATTGTATAGGCGACGTCGGCCGAGTGATTGTCATCGAACTTCCTTGCAAGCACTCGGCCGCATCATGTCTTCCAAGCAGCCGGGCGGCGCCCGGAGGCTGGTGGCATGGATAAGGAAGGACTCTGAAAACAACATCAAGGCCAGCTTCGCGTCTTCCGTGATTGCGGTTAATGCGCCTTCCGTGACCTTCTCGCCTTCACAGGAATGAAGCTCGCCCCAGCCCGGAGAGTCGCTAGTATGCCGACGACATACTCAATGGAGTGGCGTATGACGAGACAAACGCGGGAACCTCGCTGAGCCCCCTGCGCTTGCAACCGAGCGGCCAGCCGCCCATATAGCATCAACAGTGACATGGACAGTCGCCCGTACGATGTCGCACTGCAGCCCAAGTCCACGACAGCGTCGTGGCGCGGGTGGCACAGCGTCTGTACCAAAAATGCGTAAACGGGAGGCTGCAGTTGAGACCTAGCAGCTGGAGAGTGACCTGGTCTGCAGTGTATGCAGTACTTGTCGCTGTCTTGCGGCGAATGTGGCACGTCCGGAAGGTGCTGTGCAAGGCGAGAATGAGCCACTTCCATGTCCATGGGTGATTGCTACGGCAACAAGGCGAACCAAAGTGTCATAGCGAGTCCACGAGACGACATACCTTGTAGGTTAGCTGAGTCGTCGTGAATACAAGGCATACCAATCTATGTCCTAGTTCCACTTGATGTCTTCGCCGCGTCGTTCGTCTGGCTGAGCACTGTTCGTCGGCATGCAGTCATGTGTGTATCCTCCATGACGATGCCGGAGAAGTTGCACTTAACGGAGAGAATGGGTTTGCCACGATAGTGGCTCGCTGAACGGCTGAGTCCGTGTCGGGCAAGTCCTAACTGTGGTCAAGCTCGGTGATCAATGAAACCTCCATGCGATGAGTCCATTCATCAGTGACAGTTGTAGTGAGATCGCACAGGCTCCGAACAGGATTGCGGAGAAGATGGCAGGGAGTCCATTCTCAATCTTCAGCATCAGGCTGCGGTGGTGTGAGTTCGCGTGCTTACCACTTGTACGGCTTCTGAGATGGGAGTTGGTCAACACTTGATTCCCGCTCAGCTTGTGACTGTTTGAACAGCGATTGCGAACTTCGCAGAGCAGTACATTATCGTCGGCTTGCCCGGAACAGCAATGCAACTACTGCGGTCCTGGGTGGCATCTTGTCAGACATCCAATCATCACTAGCGGTGCACTGGTGTCCCAGGCAACTCAGCGACGATGATGAACATACCAAGGTTCCTCGCCTGCGAGGGCTCCGGTAATCCTGCAGACCAGAACAGGCATCAGCGTCCGAAGCTGTAGGCACTCACCTGGATTTAAAAGGGCGGCGAAATGATGGCAAATGATCGGGCGCCGTAGTGGATCCAAAGACCGAGTGGGGACTGCTATTACCCAACATTGCGAGTCGATCGCAGGATACAAAATCGTAAGTAGTCGTGACGAGATATTCGAGATGTGAGGTGTGGGGAGAGGAGGGAGTGGAACCGGAAGCCAAGTGGCAAAAGAGAGTGGTGCGTGTACGTTGCAACGTACTGAGTGCGGCTGTAACAACAACAATAGGGCGAAAGGTGTACGGTGCGGCACATTACGGCGCGGTCTATATGCAATACGGTGGCAGAAAGAGGAAATCATGAACGTGAAGGCAGAGGCTGAAGATGTATGCACAGAACAATGACAACAAACAGGATGCAATGCAGACCGCGGGATAGTGATAGGAATAAAGAGGCGCGTGTAAACTTCCAGCCGACGACAGTAGATAAAGATAAAAAGTCCGGATGTGTTCTACACTACCTGTTGTACAATGAGACTGCGAGCGGCGGGACGGGAGAAAGAGCGGGAAAGCACCAACGCGGTCGGCCATCCGTAAATAGAGATCCGTCGAGCGGGCCAGGTCTACGTGCCGCTGGCGAAGCGAGAGCCGACGCCCGTGCGAGCCCGTGGGCGGTTGACTACACCAACCTTGACACCGGCCTTCCTCAAGTCGTCGACATACCCAACGTTGTCGGCATTAGGGCGACCCAGGTTGCCCCTCCCGCATGCGGAGCAGTACGGAGCCGAGTTTTCCGTCATGCGAAGCTCCTCCACCTCGGCCTTGAGGTCGCGCACCTGTCCCTCGAGCTCCCAGATCTGCCTCTGCCACGCGCGACGCGCAACGAGGATCTGATCCTGCAACGCATCGACCATGGAGGACTGGTCGTCCTGAGAGATCATGGGCGCGGACTTGCCGTCCTCCTGAAGCCCCGCATAACCCTGGAGCTGCAGCGGGAACTCCGTGCTGAGCGGAGATATGGCCGTTGCGGCCGTAGTAGGTGTGCCCATATCCGAGTCCATCGTGACAGGACTGACGAGCTGCTCACCAAAGTTATTGCTGAAAAGGGTGGAGACAGGACGGAGGCTCAACCCGACGAAGTCGGAAGACCCCGGCGGGGCGCTGCTGGGTGGTAGCGTGCCTGCAGCGACGCTGGAGAACGAATCACTCGCGGTCGGCGTGATGGTGATGGTATGCCCATGCGAGGATGTCTTCTCGCTCATCGCCGACTGGGGAGCAGAAAGCTTGGAGGGATGACCCGACGTGTTAATCGACAAGCCCCGCGCGTTACGCCTACTACCGAGCTGGCGCTCCCTCGAAACCAGTGATTCTTTGCTCGTCGGCGAGCCGTTATGCGACTCAGACGAGCTTCTTGAACCGCCAGTAGCAGCGTCGCCATCCAACAGCGAAGGAGAGAGCGAAGGAACTGGGACACGATGGGTCGATCCCTTGCGCTGCCTGGTCCCCGACTGATACTGCGACTGGGACGATATAGACGCAACGTCGGACGCCAACGCAGGAACCGGTGGCGGCGGGGAGTACATGCCCCTCTCCTTCTCCTTCCCATTGAACAACCTCATGAATCCGCTCTTCTTGCGTTGAACAGACCTCTGCGGTACACTCCCCTGGGAAGGCGTGTGCCCAGGGAGAGGCGGCCGTTGGCTTGATTCCGTCCGAGCCCTCCCACCGGTGCTTGCGGACCGCGTCCTCGAACCCGAAGCCTGGGCTTCGAACTCCTGGTCAAACGACGTCGCCTGTGACTTCGGAGCCGTGTAATCGCTCGAGATGACCGGATTGGTAGTGGCACTTCTTGCGCGCTCTCGCGCCTGTGCCTGCGCCTGCTCCAAGGATATGAGCTTGATGGACGAGCCTGCAGGGCTCTCTCCAAAGCCCATGAATGCCGAATTGTTGACCAGCTTGTCATTGGGCTTCATTCTAGGACTAGCCGGGCCTTGGGCATGGGGCGCGCCACCGCCAATGCCATTCATCACCGACAGCGACGAAAATGACGGTTTGTTGACAAGCACAGGTCCCGAAATACCTTTGCCACGGGGGTTGAGGGGCGAAAGGTCTTTAGGTCCCGCTTCGACGGAAGACAGAGAAGTGACAGGGGTCAGCAATACGGTAGTATTGGATCGCGACTGAAACATGCTGCTGTTCGCTGTGCTTTCCGTGAGCGTCGCATTCGAGTCGCTTCTGTTGACGAGAGACGTTGGACTGGGAAGAGGCGGCTGGATAATAGATTTTGGCGACGAGATCGACTTCGGTTTGTCGTACGTGCGGCGGACTAGATCTGGATTTGCGTAGGGATGCGTGTACTCGCCGTAGGAGCTGGGAGTCGGCGAACGAGAGGTAGGCTGGTCAAACGACGACTCCAGGGGAGATATCGGTGTCGGGGAAGCCGTATGCACATAGCGAGACATCGGAGATGCCGGTGATTGTGTAGGGAACGGAGAGGGTCTGGTGTCAATAGGATCTAGCGTGGTAGGATGGGCACTCGACGGAGTCCTGGGTCGCAGCCGCGAGAGCGACAGCTTGTCACGTAGCGTGGGCTGTGGAGAGCTAACGGCGAGCGACGTAGAAGACATCGACGCCTGGGCCAAGGCGCTGTAGTATGGGTGAGCATCAGTGGATGATAAGAAAGGCGGAATAACTGACAGGAGAGCGCTGCCATTCCCTGATTCCATAGACGGCTTCGACCGATTCGAGTCGGTGCTCGGTCTCTTTTCGCTCTGCCTGTCGGTGCTTGATTTTCCCAAAGCCCACACCCGCTTGCCCCCATCTTTCTTATTTCCGGGGCGTTTCTTGCTTGAGCCTGACGAGCGGAGCTCATCCTGCCCCGATGTGTCATCTTCACCAAGCTCCCAGGGTGCGCGAGAGTGGACGGTCATCTTGGGACCATACGTGCTTATCCTAGGCAGCTCCTCCTCGCTTGACACAGGAGACCCATCGTCGTCCTGCGGGGGACCGTTGGATGAGCATTGCGAGTCGTCGTCGAGATCGAGACAGCTTGCATTCGGGAAGTTGAGCCGCTCCCTGTCGAACATGGGGGAGCGAGGCTCGGATGGTGGACCCCGCGGTGGGAGAACGAACTCGTAGGTGCCCGCACTGGCGTCGGCTGGAGTGCCGTTAGGCCTGGGGGAGAAATAGGGGCGGCTATAAACAGAGGGAGAGTCAGAGAACTCGGACAGGGAGGGGAACCGGCCATGTAGGTCAGCGCGGGCAGCACGCTGGTCGAGGAGGTGGCGGAGGTGGTCCTCTCGAGAGTGGATGTCGGGGGAGTTCATGACGCTCATAAGCAAGGACGGTGGGGAGTTGGACGGGGCCGGGCAGCTGGACGCCAGCGACGGAGGGCGTCGCGGTGGAAGAGCAGGCGTCGCGCATCCGCCTGAACTGAACTCCTTCCGGCTAGCATGGCGGCCAAACACGCGTCAACACCGTCTATCATCCGCCCGATTCACGATTCTCCTTCTAGCCTGCAGCGTGTCTGCGCCAGTTCTAAATTCGCCGAGAACGACGCATCGTTGCCAGGCTGCTCTCGCGCGAACACGTCTGTGTGAACCGCACCGCGCAGATGGACATGAACACGCAGAGCGGACTCATCATCATGCTCACTCCATCCCTAACGAATGGAGGACGAATACGCGACGTTCGCCCGCGAGCCAATCTGACGCTGATCGACTCATCGGATCCTGAGGCGGGCGCCTGTGGCGTTCAGTGGCCAGTGCCCCATCTGCAGCTGTTATACGCCAGTGCTCGGTATCGCGACGACCTGGCGATTGAAATATTGAGGTCGGCGGCTCGAGCCATTTTAGGCCCACAGGGCGACGGTGGGCCTGTCCCAGTGTCTGCGCTGGACACGCAACAGATGGGCTGTGGCGGGAGATCGAGTTGGGCAGATACGCCCGATGGATCTAACGCATCGGGCACGCACGCTCTATCCCAGATTGGGCCGAGCGCCGTCTTAGCGCCCTCCACAACGCCCTCCGGTCTTTTCGCAGGACTCTCGGCGCTCCCCCTCTTTGGCACCCTCTATTTGTCTCCCTTGACATATTTTGGCCCCCGCATACGACCTTCTCGCCACGGAATCTCATGATGTCAATCCAAGAAGCCACACTACACTCACAGCCTCAGCAAGGCAACTCTTCATCCGACCCATCAACTTCCGCGATTCCTCTTGTCCCCTCTGCCGCCGGTCGTGTATCCGGTAAGCCATGGAAGCAGCCAAAATCTGCAACAGTGTATGTGCCCGCCAGTACTACTCGCGAACCTTCGTGTCTCACCCTCACATTTGTCCAGGCGTACGTTGCTCCCAGACGGCCTCAAGTCGAAGAGCTGGGAAGATCGCATGCAAAAGACGCAGAAGGAGAAAGCCATCAAGAAATTGCAGGCTGAGCTTAGCGAGGAGAAGAGGGTTGAGAAGGAGCGGTAAGCAGCGCGCATATCGCCTACTCCCGCTTTTTGATGCTGACGGACGACGCTGGGCAGTCGGAGACAGATCACCTTGGACCGCAAAAAGGCCGCGGAGGAGCGCCTTAGACTAGAGGAGGACAAGGCCAAGGTGCGTAACGTTTTGCCTTCTGTCATGTCCTCATCTGACTGGTCGCATGTAGATGGGCGCACGGAAGGCTGCGCGTATGCGTCGGAAGGCCGGTCGCACCAAAAAGATCAATCATTGAAATGTTGGTGTACACGGATGTCGACACGGCGGGGAACAGACACGGGCTTTCGTGCCCTACACATGGCTGTGGTTCCACTTCAAATGACGCAGTGTTATGCGTTACCAGCTGTCATGCTTGCTTGGGATCGTCGAGGAATGGGAACTGCTCGCCCGTTGTGCGTGAGGCGCGGCTGCTGGAGGGACGAATTCGAATAGACTGGCCATGTATCTTGTTAGAGCATACTGACTCTATTCCAATAGTGGAGCGGACCGACGAACTCCTGTACACGAACTGCGATGGTCTAGACATCGATATAGCGCGCAGTAATTGACAATCGTGTCCAATACATGCAATTTACCCGGGCTATGGCTGGCCGTTGCCACCGTAAGCGTCAGAGGTGACATTGTCATTTCGCATGATACACAATCCGTTTCATATACAGACCGACTCAGACTGTGGCGTATCGTGCCTTCACACAGTATGCTTTGTGCCCTCAACACGTCGAGCTTCCGGCCTTGGAGGTTACTCCAGATAGACAATACCGCCGAGATGTAACAGGCACATAATAGATTAGTGTGATGAACGGCCTTGAACGGCACGCATACATGAGGTACAGTGTCCGGCTAGTGGACACCCACGTACGTCGAACAAAGTGAAACGACTCACAGCCATGTCCTAGTCAGTACGTGCCAACGACTCCAAGAGCTCTGGTGAGCGCACGGTGATATTACACGCAAAATTCTCCGCATGGCTGCCGTCAGCGCCGTCAGAATTAGATTCCCAGGGGATCAGTGGGAAGAAGGGACGTACGATGTGAGACGAGACGTCCACCGCACGTCTGGCTCGATCTCTCTCCCTTTCTCGTCGACCGCCTTCGCGATGTTGAACACCGCGAGGAGGCTCGATACATTCAGAAAGAGGGACGTCTCGGCGAAGTGCTGGCCTAAACACCATGCGCGCACTTCGTCAGGTATGCGTTCAACTGAGAGACAGGGAAGCGGCGTACCTGGACAGACTCGCCGTCCGAACCCAAATACGAACTTACGCGGATCGAATTGCGGCTCAGGGCCAAGGAACCGGTTGGGATCAAACGCGAATGGAGAAGGGTACATTGTCTCATCATGTGCGATAGCCCTGCGAAGCCAATGTAAACCTCCACTCGCAACACACGACTTGCTACTAGACTTACCAGATGTTTGCCAGAACCGTTACGCCCTTCGGTATGAGGTATCCCTCGTACATATCGTCCTGAGTCACGACATGCGGTAGGCCTATCTCCTCGTGATCAGTCTACAATTCCAGAAATCTAGATTTCGAACCGCACGAACCCAAGGGTGCTACTGGATTCCACCGCATCACCTCCTTGATCATTGCGCCGACGTAAGGCATATTCGGCTCGTCATCCCAGGTGGGAAGTCTACCCTCACAGACGCGGTCGACCTCCTCTTGAGCACGCCGTTGCACCTCCGGATGCAGCGTCATCAAGAGAACAAATGAGATCAAGATGCCCACAGTCTACCACCGCATCAGCCAGTCCACGAGCTCCACGTCGAGGATGAATCGTACCGTGTCAGAAGCCCCTGCATACAAGGCAGAACTGCACCACCGGAGGATGTCGTCTTCTTCCTGCGATATGCCATCCGGTCGCAGGTTCAGGGAAACGAAGGACTCGACATAATCACCCGTTTTCTTGCAGTCCATTTGAGTCAGCATGGGACTCATGTAAAGAACGACTTGAAGGCAAGCCGTCAGTCAACCAGGCTCACTATCTGATCCTTCGCCCACGTATACAGCAGCGAGTCTACCCGCTTATATTGCTCCTTGTAGTAGGCCGCCACACGTTTGAACTCGGCGAACGGGAACCATGACGGGATGAAGCGCACTGGTACAGGTATTCGTTATTAGCACATGATCATTTACACGGATTGGAACCTACAGATGGGGTACGTGTTCACCAACCACTGTCCAGGCCTCACAAGATGCGCCTGCGTTGCGACTGCGTCTTCGACGACCTTGACGAAGTAGTCAATTTGATCTTCAGAAGTGCGTCCATATGAGATCTGAAGAATCAAGGAGGCTGCATTCCTGGAAATGATCAGTTCAACGAGGTGCCCTGGGATGATCGTAATTCACCGCGTACTTCCGAATATGGCTCACGAATTGCTCAGGAGACACAGCGAAGTTCAACAACATCTTCCTGGAGTGCTCCTGCATGATCGGCCGGTAAGCCCGCGTAGGGCGCGGGTTCAATCCGCTGTGCATCGTCTTCCTGTATCTCTTGAACCAAGGATGGGAAGCCAGAATGCTGAAGGCTGTCAGGCGTCTGCCTGCGAGTTCGGTGTACATCCACTGTACTGGACGGTCGGAATAGATAGAAGAACGAGAGTCAAACAGATCCGAGGCCGCCTTGAGAGTGTTCAGGACAACTGTCGTTGTTGTGTGCACCCGGAACGATGTAACGGGGCCTAAGGGATTGTTTCTGAGCCAGAGCAGAGTGACCTGATCCGCATCAGGATACGCACCATAGAGATGTCCCCATTCAGCATACGTTTTCCAGGGATGACTTGACGGGAGCTGATGAAGATTACCTGACCACCAGCGCGGCGTGGGGCCAGGCGGTAGTGGCGGTTGCCTACGGCGGCGAACGTAAAGACCAAATGCAGCAAGGGCTGCAGCAACAACGAAGAATAGGAGGTCAATCATCACTTTGGCGGCGTTCGGGATGTGCCAGTGACGGCGGAACACGCAGTGGTTCGTGTTTCTCGAGGCTCCTTCTTATGCTCGGAATGCTTCCGGGTCTCGATCCTTGATGACCAAGCGACGCGAGACATAAACACACGCGGTGGTCCCAAGGTGGTCCAAACAACTGAGACTCATGGCGCTGACCTACTGCCGGAGCCCCATAGGCCGGGCATGGGTCAGGGCTGTTACGAGATTGGTGGGAAATCGGGAGGGCAAGTAAGGTGGGGAGTGTCATGACGATGAGGCCGAGGATCATGGGGTGACAGACGAGTGTGGCACGAGCATCATGGTGCACTGCTAGTCCATCGGAGTCAGTACTCCCTACACTGAAGATTCGGGTATCCGACTGCTCACCGATCGAAGTCCGCAAGAAGCATCTCGGGATGTTGCCGTATAGCACCCAAACAGCACCTGCAACACGTAACAGCACTCGCCAACGCCTTTTTATACTTCAATGGATGTGAATTGATGGCGATTATCATTGGATGCTGCTCAGCGACCATGCTAAATACCGAAATCATCGGGACCATTGACTCATTCCGATGTTCTCGGGCGCGCGGTACAGCGCACTGCCACTTATTGCCGACTTGGTGGGCGACAATGCGTTAGAGGTTGAATGGGGCATTCCTGCTCTTCAGGTATATGGTGTTTGTTACAGAGAAAGACTAAGCAATGAGAGGACCACCTACCTCCTGTGCCCGTGACGGAGCTAACTTACCCGCATCAGTTCTGAGAGATGCAACGCTGCTCGTCCCGAGGCCCCGAATAAGCATCCCGAGCTGCTGTGCATTGCCCAGCTTGAGTGCACGGCGATCGTTTCAGTCGTGTAACGACACCCTCATGCCACCGGAGCCTGTTTGACTGGAAGGAGCTCAGTTAACCCACGTATGTGCTGGATAGGTCGGCGGGCTTGTGCCCCCGGTAAGGGAAGCCTGTGCATTAGAGCAGTCAATGATTAGAGCAGTAACGAGGAAACGCAAAAGATAATCAAGAGTAACGAGGAAAGACCGCCGCTATCAACCTCATAATGTCCAGCTCGAATCCACTTCTCCCAGCTGTACGAACGGCCTGTCCAGACCAGCGACGACGCTCTCGCACAACGGACAGCTGGCAGCGAGTACGTCTTCCAGCTCCTTGCGCATTCGCTCGATCTTGGCCGCATCCTTCTCGCCACCGACGCGCTTCGTGGCACCAGTTCCGATGCCAGGTATCCAGCCAGCAGGCGCAGTGACTACGCTGGCGAGTGCGTCCGGAATGATCAGGTCTCGCAGGCGATCTCCGGCGGACAGGAGATTGCGCCCGAGCGAGGCAGCACCGCGAGTGCCGTTCTGACCAACGCCGAAGTTGGCGGACAAGAGTGTTCGCTGTGACGTAGGTTGTCGAGGTGCAGTTGAGGGGTTCATACTGTTGGTCCGGTCCAATGCGCCTTTCTGCGTCAACTTCATGAGTTCCGTCTGCAGGTTGACGATACGCCGTAGTGCGTGCGCAGGAAGATACTCCTTCGTCTAGAAGAACGTTAGGGGTCTGCACACGACGGATGAACAGCATTTTAGACTCACAAGACCAATGAGACAGTCAGCGTGGAAGGTATGTCGGCACGGGAAGACGTAGAACTGTCTTGTGAAGAGCGCCTGATGGCATACAGAGCATTGCTCTGTAGAGTCGATGGTGATGAAGCGCTTCTGCAGTGCTGCAATGTCCTGCTTGATGGCTTCAGCGTTGCGAGTTGCTTCATCCATCTCTGCCTTCAATGTGTCGATGTGCGCCGAGTAGTCCTCGAGGGCGGTACAGATCTCGTCCTTGAAGTCGTCAATGACAACGAAGTCGGGGAAGAAGGGCAGAATGTCTTCGATTTTCAGCAGCTCGGTATTCTCGAGGAACCGCATGGCCCTATATGCATGAATCGTGAGTGATGTGCGAGGAAGAACGCTACGGTCACATACATCTTGATGTCTTGCTTATCCTGAACCACGTATTTCGCGATCTTCAGCCAGAGCTTCTTCCGTAGCTGGTCGTCATCCTCGGGCATGTCCGCGTTGATCTTCGCCAGCTCCAGATCGCCCTTCTCGAGCGCAAGGTCGACGCTGCTTTCGTAAAGGCCCATCTTGGAGTAGATATGCACACAAGGCTGTGTGCGGCCAGCCTGCTTGCATAGCCGTAGTGCGTAATCCAGGTCGTAGTATGGCTTGCCAGTGAGAGCGTCTGACGGTGCCGACGACAGAAAACGCAGCAGGGGTGCATCGTCGTCGGGGTGGGTTGCCCCGGAGGAGCTGGACGATGACTGAGGAGAAGGGGAAGCGTGGAAAGTGACGATGAGGTTATGGATAGTGGGCGCGGTGTTGCCCTGTTCGAAGATGACGTGGTTGAGGTAACGGATGGCCTGGTTTGGGGAGAGGGGATCGCGGGGTGTGTGTTGTAGTTGTAGCAATGCAGGGATGAGGCGGATGGGATCGAGGGATGGCTGCCGTAACCAAGACTCGACCGTCTCCTTTGGCGCATGGCGAATGAGAACAGGGCCGAAGCGATAGTACAAGTCCAGATTTGCCTGAATGTTACTGAATTAGCAACATTCGACACCAGAGACCCAGGTAGCTCACCTGTCTGGCGATGATATCGATGGCTTTAGTCCAATTTTCTTCGAGAACCCAATGCTCGACCACTCTTTCGTAATCACCTACAACTATTGCGTAGTGAAGGTACATATCGGTCCGTCCGTGCCCTTGGATCATATCATACACCGTCCTGGGATCCAAATTCGCCTTGTATGTCTGGAAGAACTGACGTAGGTCGTCCTCCAAAATGGCACGTTCGGCTTGCAGGTTGTCAACGTCATGGGTCACCGACTCTGACGCAATGAGGTCGTCGAGTTCGTTGCACTTGCTGAGATAGAACTCCACCAGCCACGTCGCGAGCATCATCCTTTGGGACAGGTCCTGGGGTTGTCGAGTCAGCTCTTGATCGCCAGCCTGTGTACTCGGTCTACTCACCGTCTTTCTGGTACGTTCCAAGCGAGACGTGATGTATGAGCGAAGTGCATCCTTCTCGCCAACATCGAGGAACTTGAGAGTCACTTCTTCGAAGCTGACCGAGCACTGAGAATAGCACTGTGCAGACTGGAAATATCGTCCCTCATCGAAGAATGCCTTCGCCTGAGCCGACATGACGTGGTCTCGTTGTGCTGCCGTCTGTCGGAGAACGTCAGCCTGGACATACCAAGTATGACACCCGTTACGCACTGTGGTATACTGGAGGGCCAAGTCATACTTGCCCTTCTCCAAGTAAATCTTCCACACGTCCCGATGCTCATTCGTGACCACGAGTTCGAACAGCGATTGGTCCGTGTATACCCAGTACGTCTTCCGCACAGGATCTGCAGTCACTCCGCGGATCTCCTCGTTGGGTTTCTTGCGACACAGATCAGTTAACACTCCAGTAGTAGAGTGGAGCAAATTGGCTGTACCAGGGGCAGCATTTCTTCGTATGTCAATTGTTCATTGAGATTCGAGATGCCGATAATCCTATCCCTGTAGAGGAGCATGAAATGGAACTCGGTTAACGCTATCGACAGCGGCATTCCTGAGGCCATGACACTCGGATAAGGCAGTAATTGAGCACCGTCGATGAGATCGTCAGAGGTGGACTCATAGTTCAGCGCCCCATGATAAATGCCAGGTTCTGATGAAGGACTACATAAGAAAGGATGGTGCATGACTGAGACGATAGACCTACGAGTCATCCATCCGAGGTACTCAGGCAAGGAGTGTGCTTGATCCGCATTGGAGCCATACGTGTGGAGTTCCGAATGGTCGATACTGCCAGGAAGCTCAGAGATCGCTTAGTTGTGCAATATCAGTACCATTCACCACCTTCCGAGGAGATGACTGACTCGGTGCCGAATCCCTGTAACTCGCGAACAAGCCAAGGAATACCCTCCCCCCGTCGTCGCCTTTCCTGTCGGGTACTCCCACGAACTGGTATATTCTCGTCGGCGTGGTGATAATGACATGGGCCTTCCGTGGGTCCGAGGGCGGGAAGAAGTCAAACTTGAGACCAGTGACAGGCTGACGTTCCGGAAGGCTGTAAACCGGCTGTAGGTACCTCTCCTGCGACTTGAAAAAGTCTTCCTCAGCGTCGAGTACTGCCTCGAAGACCGCACCACTCTTGGTGCCAACGAGCATCTCACGCGTGGAGGTAGAGTGGGAGGAGGAAAGCAGCGCAGCCTTGTTCCAAGCAATGCTCTCGACGACCATCTTCCACGACTTGAGCTGCCGTGGTTTCTTCCATCCTCTGTAGAGGTACCAGTTCTCTCCTTGAAGGGAGGTCACAACGAGGTGCCTCCCCGACGGGTCCAGGAAGAGTTTGTAGACGGAGAACTCGGTCGGCTTGCGAGGAATCTGGATCCTGACGACCTGCTCGGAGCGCGAGAGTTCGATTTGGACAACGACGTTGTTGGCGAGTCCCATGGTGAGCACGTCGGACGAAACCGCAAGGGCCAGTAGCGGCGCGGGCAGTGTGTACTGTACACGACCGAGTTCGAAGAGCGGCGCAGCAGGTGCTGCAGCCTCAACCTGGACAAGTGTGCTTAGCTTAGAGTACAACCGTAAAGGTGCGGTAGCTTACTGATGCTCCAAGACCTTCTACCACTGCCTCATCCTCGTAAGGCATTGGCTCGAAGCCCTCGTACTGCACCTGCGGCAGGGATGCTGGTGCGTGTGGGAGACCGGGCAGCCCAGCATGCTCAACATCTGCGCCGGAACATCAGTTTTCTCAACTTGACCACAAGAGTCTCAGAACGCGTACAGTCGTCGAGCATCTCCGTGAAGTGAGGCAGGCACTAGCGTAGATGCTGCTCAGTGCTGTCAGCGTCGCGGTCGGGGCGTGTGGCGGCGGCATCCGTACACAGGGCGCGTCAGGATCACGTGCGCCGTTATCACGGCGCGTCGCGGGCGGCGGACGATCTCTCTCTAAGACTCTGCGTCGATGTTAGTTTGACATGGTCGCCCGCTAAGCCCCAGCGTGCAGCACTTCCTCAGTCTCAACACAATAACTTTGTTCGCCCCGAGGATGGATCCGGGCACAGGACGGATTGTCCTCCGGAAACATGGCTCTGAAGCGACCTTCTCCGAGCTGTCCTATGTCTACCCTCTCAAGTTGCTTTCGCCGCGTCTCTCACCGCAGAACGCCAACGCAGTATATGTTTTGACATACGGCGGCGGGTTAGTGGGAGGTGATCGCGTCGAACTGTCGGTCGTCGTGGACGCAGGGGCAGCTCTGGTTATGTTGACTCAGGTTCGTCTATTACCATATCTCAGACTCTCCCTAACCCACATCTCGTGCACAAAGGGCTCTACGAAGGTCTTCAAGAACAGACCTGGGCACAGATTATCTGCCCGCTCGCAGGGGACGCTTTCGGACGCCGTCACTACACAAAGCCTAGAAGTCTCTGTTGCACGCGAAGGCGCACTGTTCTTGCTCCCTGATCCGGTGACATGCTTTCGGTCGGCAGCATACAACCAGGTACAAATCTTCCGGATCGACACCTCCGCATCCCTCGTCCTCTTAGACTGGGTGACGTCTGGTCGCAAGTCGCTCGGAGAGGAATGGGCCTTCTCGCGATACTACAGCATGAACGAGGTTTGGATATGCGATCGACCATTGGCGAAGGACGTCCGGAAGGCGAAGGACGCCCGGAAGGAAAAGGACGTCCGATTGGTGAAGGACGTCATGCTTCTGGAGGAGCAAGAGCCAGTCCATTCCTTGCCACTACGGACGCTGGCCGACTCCCTCGCACCGTATTCATGTTATGCCACCCTCATTATGTGCGGACCACTGGTACAGAGCACGTTGCGCTCCCTCTCAACGGAATACGCTCAGGTGACCGTGTTCAAGCATGCTTCTCCCCCAGACTTGCTATGGTCGTTCAGCGTGATAGGAGACGGTACAGCTTGTGTGGTGCGGGTGGCAGGAACGGAGACGGAGACGGTCAAGGACTGGCTGGGTGAAAGGCTGGCGCCGTTCGAGGGTGCGATGGGTCCTGACCTGTATCACAGGGCCTTTGGATAAACGAGCAGGCTCGGAGGGAAATCGAAGAGCATGAAGACCACCCCGTCGGTATCTCTTCGATCTACATCTACGATCATGCCGCCGCACAGATCCAGATCCTCCGTCGTGCGCTCGTCCGACCGTCAGTGCCGTTCGAACAGAGTAGACAAGGTTCACTACCACTCGTAGGTGCGATGAACTGGCCACCTGCTAGATCTGATCACGTACAACGCCCCCACTACTTGTGCATGTACACCAGCATGACATCGGGAAGGAGACTGTGGCGGCGTCTAGTAGTCCCCGGTATCCTGGATCTTCGTTGATCTCGCCAAGCGCACTGCTGCCACTGGCCTGGTGGGCCTCAGCGCACCGCTGGCTCCTTCTACTTATCGTCGTGCAGACTCCACGATCCCCCTTATCAACCCCATGACACCATAAGAATGGCTCCCCGCAAACCCGTTCCGTAGGGTCCTGCTGCTCGCCTCCTCGCCGTGTTCCCTACAGTCATGTCACCATCATTGAAGACTGTGTCTGACGAGAAGGTACTCGCCGACCCGGAGGTCGTCTCAGTTGCGCAGGAGAATGTCTACCGCCCCGAGGTGGACACTTCCGGTGTGAATGAGCGTAAGCTCATGTGGAAGATCGACTGGCACACCGTCCCATGGTTGGCGTTCCTCTACTTCCTCAACTCCCTTGACCGGGGGAATATCGGCAATGCTAAGGTCAGCAGTAAAATCATCACGGCTAACTTAGAAGCGTCGTTAACGGTCAATGTCTTACAGTTGTATGGCCTCGAGAGCGCTCTTCATATAACGGACAAGCAGTACCTGATCGCGCTTACGGTCTTCTTCTTTCCCTATGCTCTGTTTGAGCTGCCCAGCAACTTGGTGCTCAAGCGGTTGCGGCCGTCACGATGGCTGGCTTTCATTATGTTCGTCTGGGGTATAGCAACGACACTTCACGGAGTCGCTCATAACTATGGTGGTCTCGTCGGTGGGTGGCCAACGAACCTTCCAGCAAGCCGGGTATCTGACTCTTTGGTAGCTCTGCGTGTAATCCTTGGATTGGCGGAAGCAGGGTTGTATCCCGGCATTGTCTACTACCTGTCCTGGTATGTACACCCACCTCACAGTTTGGTACCCATTCTGACGGGTTTGTAGCTGGTACAAACGCACCGAGCTAGGCACGCGAGTCGCTGTATTCTTCACGTCTGCCACCATTGCTGGTGCCTTCAGCGGCTTCCTTGCCGTCGCCATTAATAAGATGGATGGCATCGGGGGCAAGCCTGGCTGGGCATGGATCTTCATCCTCGAGGGTCTCTTCACCGTCTGCTGCGCCGTCGCGACGTACTTCATCCTCTCCGACTTCCCGGACACCGCCAAGTTCTTGAGCGAGACGGAGCGCGTCTGGGTCATCCGCAAGCTACGCGCGGATATGAAGTTCAGCGCCGGCGGCGAGAAATTCAAGGCGAAGTATGTCAAGCAGAGCTTGCTGGACTGGAAGACGTGGATCGCTATGGGTATCTACATGGGCTTCGACGGTCCGCTCTTCGCCTTCTCGCTTTTCACACCGACAATCATCAACCAGCTCGGGTACACCTCGACTACTGCGAACCTGCTCTCCGTCCCTGTCTACGTGTGGGGGTGCATCGTGACGGTCGTTGTGGGCTTCCTGGGTGACCGTCTGGGCAAGCGAGCGTTCATTAACCTGTATGCTGTGTCAGGTCTTCGCTGCTACTCATTGATACTTACGCGGCTCCGGTCAGGGCTTTATTCACGACGGGCTTGGTAGGATACATCATCCTGATCACCTCGAGGAGCGCCCCTCTATCCTACTTCGCTGTCTTCCTAGCCATAGCCTCGATTTACCCCACTGTTCGTGAGTGTCATCGTAGCGGGGACCATGACCTCGTACTGACTTCGCTTCGCCTTACAGCTAATTCCGTGGCATGGGTGTCTAGCAACGTCGAGGGCTCGTACAAACGTGGAGCGACGCTGGCAATGGCCATCGGCTGGGGCAACCTTAATGGTGCGGTTAGCTCGAACATCTACCGCGCCGTCGACAAGCCATGGTACCGGCTCGGCCACGGCATCGTCCTCGCATATATCTCCATCGGCTGGATATGCTCACTGGCCTTCTACTTCCTTCTCAAGCGCGAGAACGCACGCAGGGCGGCCGGCGAGCGCGACGAGGTCATTGACGGTGTCGACAACAAGCACGCGCGCGAGGAGAACGGTCATTTCGCGAGCGTCGAGCAGGCGAGGGAAGAGAAGGGCGACCAGTGGAGCGGGTTCAAGTACTCATTGTAGTACCTGCAGGCCTGTAACGACTGTACGACTGAGGGGAGGATAGGCAGTATCCTTATTCGTAGATCTATCACAAAACCAAGATATTTCGCTCTTGTCAGTGTAAGATATCCGGCGTGTTGTTGAGGGCTGCCAGGACACACTCACTCGGCAATCCCAGCGGTGTGCACAACGAAAGTGAATTGCTCATGAGTAGTGTTTATGTGCTATATGCTATCTACAGATGCAATTTGGTACAAATGCGACCAGTCCAACGGGAGAACCATCCAACATGACCACAGGCAACAGGACAGCGTATTCAGTCGACGATGCTATAGCCTTGGCTCCTCCACCCGTGATGTTGCTGCTGGTGCAGGCGCCTTCTCATCGGGTGTCTCGAGTGGTGGCGGCGCACTGCTCTCCCGACTCCGGTTCTCGTCGAGCCACTTGTCCATGTCGTCCTTGCGGTTTGCGAATGGTCGTGGGCCGAGGAGCCTGATCATGTCCTCGCTAGAAGAACGGTCAGTCGATCTCACTCTCAAGCTGTTGGACATGAACGAACCGAGTGATAACTTCGCGCACTAGCAGCAGCTTGGCCACCTTGTCAACATCCTCCTTGTGCTTCGTGAGGAGTCCTGTCGTCCGCTGATGCGCATTCCTGAGGTGTTTGAGTCAGCCACATGTTCCTGTGTACCAGAGACAACACGTACACAATCATCTTGCGGACCTCCGCATCCAGCATCTCGCCGGTCTTCTCACTGAACGGCTTCTGCAACCGCTCGTCCGAGGCACTCGCACCACCATAGCTGACGGGTCCGACGACATCGTTCATACCATAGTTCGATACGGCCTCGAACGCCATCCGGGTGATCTTCTGGAGATCGTCCTGCGCGCCCGTGGTGACGTTCCCAACGCCAAAGAAGATCTCCTCTGATACACGTCCACCAAGCGTCATGCATATCCGGTCCAGCATTTGTGGGATGGAGAGGAGATAGCGGTCAGGGGGGAGATACTGTTGAGATGTCAATCAGTCGCCAGAGTCGCCAGAGATAAAACCGCGACAGACTCACCTGCGCATATCCAAGTGCGCCAACGCCTCTTGGAATGATGCTGACCTTCAGCAGAGGGTCTGCGTGCTCCAAGAACCAACCGCAGATTGCGTGGCCAGCTTCGTGGTACGCAACCGTCTTCTTCTCGTCGGGGCTCAGCAATCTGCTCTTCCTCTCCAAGCCGACGATCACCCGCTCGATCGCACTCTCGAAGTCCGACTCCTCCACCACTTCGTGCGAGTTACGGGCTGCGTGCAGCGCGGCCTCGTTACACACGTTGGCGATGTCGGCACCGGAGAAGCCAGGCGTAAGCACGGCGAGCTTATGCGCGAATGTATCGATCTCCGGGAGTCTCTCCGACAGCTTCAGCGGCTTGAGATGCACCAGGAAGATGCCCTTCCGTCCGCCAACGTCGGGCCGGTCAATGGCAATGTGCCGGTCAAACCGACCTGGACGCATGAGTGCAGGGTCGAGTACGTCTGCCCTGTTCGTACCGGCAAGTACGACGATGTGCTCGTTCGTGCCGAACCCATCCATCTCGACGAGGAGCTGGTTGAGCGTGTTCTCCCGCTCATCGTTACCGCCCATTGACCGCTTGCCCCCACGAGCCTTACCAATGGCGTCGATCTCGTCAATGAAGACGATGGCCGGTGCGTTCTTCTTCGCCGTTGCGAAAAGGTCGCGAACCCGAGACGACCCGACACCAACAAACATCTCCACGAACTCTGAGCCGGATACAGAGAAGAAGGGAACGTTCGCCTCTCCCGCAGTCGCCTTGGCCAGAAGGGTCTTACCGGTACCAGGAGGCCCGGATAGGATAGCACCGCGAGGGATCTTTGCACCGAGCTTCTCGTACTTGGCGGGCTCCTTCAGGAAAGATACGAACTCCATGACCTCCTGTTTGGCCTCGTCCATACCCGCTACGTCCTTGAACTTGACCTTCACGGCCGTGTCCTGGTTGAACATCTTTGCACGAGACTTCCCAAAGCCCAAAACACCGCCGCCGCCTCCGGTCCCACCGGCCTTCCGTGACAGGTATAAGAGGACACCCGCGAAGAGGAGTGTGGGCGCGAAGTTCATCAGGTAGCTGAAAGCAGAGACCTCGTCTTGGTATGCGACAGGTATCCGCTCGTGCGAAGGGATACCCAGCTCGCGCTGTGCCTCATCGAGTTTGCGTTCGAACGCCTCCACGGACCCTATGGAGAAGTGGTAGTCCCCGCCGCCCAGAGCCGCGCTGGGGTACATCGTGCCCGTCGCATTGGAATGCAGCTTGACGCGGACCTTGGTCCGGTTCACGACGGTGAGCTTGTCTACCAAGCCCTTGTCAAGGAATGCGGTGCGGAACTCTTGCCAGGTGATCTCGCGGGAGGAAGAGTTGGATGAATTGAGAGCGTACAATACGGCGGCGGTCGTGGCGAGGATGACGAGTTGGTTGCCGTTGAAGTTGGGTTCGTTGTCCGGTGGAGGGGGTGGTCGCTGTTCGTTCTGGTTGGAGTCCTTGTCGTCCCGACGGTTCTCCTCGTTCTCGTTGGGCCTCTGCTGCTGCTGTTGGTGGTATCGCTGGAAAAAGCCTTCGAGGCCCTTCAACGGCTCCTCCTTCCGCTGCTCAGCCGCACTCTGCTGCTCCTCCGACGGCTTCTCCTCATCCTTAACCTCGCCATCCTTCTTCCCCTCCGTCTTCTTGTCCGAGGGCGGCTTCTGCTCCGGCGAGGGCTTGTGGTCGCCGGGAGTAGCGAACGTGCGAGCGAATCTTGTCCGTGCTACGGGGGCCAATCGCCCGCGCCCGAGGGCGGAGGCACGGAGAGCACGAGTAAGCATGGAGGTAGGGGAGCAAGAGTAGGATGGAGGACGTTCCCGCCCTCACGCACGCAACCCAGCGGCTTGGACCCGACTCTGCCCCGAAATGACTAACGCCGCCCCTAGTCTAGGGTTTCTCGGCACATGACCGCGTAAGCACGGCGCGCTCACAACGCATGCGCCATCCCTCGAGTCAGAAACTCTCTTCAATTGCATTCACGCAGAGTGGATCGCAGGCCCATAGAGTTCATTTCATGCGCTTCGTCTCTATAATACTAGCATCTCAATCCATCATGCTATTCCGCTCCCCTCCTTTTCACTTCAGCATTCGGCCGTCAATGATCGTGTCCGCGCTCAGCGCCGGTGGGGTGTAGTTCGCGTAGCAATCGTACACGAAATTGACCTCTTCGATGCGCTCCAGCATGCCCTCGATGAAGTTATCGAGTAGGCATAGGCCATTCGAGTCAGGTGTCTCGCAGTGAGAGATACCGGTGAGTGGCACGACGCCGTCGTTCAGCAGGAAGCGGATATAGGACGCAGACTTCTTAGCAGAGCCTGTCTCCGCAGTCGGGCTGACGGAGGCCGGGCAGGATACCACCTGCGCAACGAGGTTCGACGTGAAAGGTGCGATGTCGTGGACGTGGTAGGTCTGCACCACCGTGAGTCAGGCAGAGAGACACTTGTGACGACGAGAACTCACTTGGTACGCAGGGATGCGATCAATCGGGAGAGGGCCATTGGCAGCCAGAGTCGTGAAGTTCAATGCAGTGATGACTGCGAAGAAGTATCAGCACGCCGTCCGAAGATACGGAGTGTCGTCCAGTGAACGACTTACTACTTGCAATCACCGTGTCATGACTGGCGTCCACATATATGGGTTGGGTCAACGGGAAAGTTATGTTGCTGCCGTCGAGGGTACCGTTCGTAGACGTGTCGAAGGTTGTCAGAGGCGTCTTCGTCAAGCGTGCGACGAGCTCCTGGACGTAACCGATACCTTGGGCTGCCGCGGCGGGATTTCCGGGGCCGTCGCCATACCAGAACGAAAGGTCTGCGGGGATGATCGTCAGTATGTCATCGTCTCCGCAAATCCATAGTCCCAGTCACCAATAGAGTAGTCAAAGCCTCGCCACTCTTCGTCGGTGAAGAGACCGCAAAACTGCGAATAGCCAAGGGCTACGGTCTCATAGGCGCATAGTTGCTGCATCGCGTACACATCGCTGGTCGTGAGGTTCAACCCCGTGATGTATTGCTGGAGTCTGGAAGTCGTCGCGTTGAGGTAGACTTGCGTCCAGTTGCCGGATGCGTAGCCGCCGAGGTCTCCTGCAACAGCGTCGTTCGAGTTGGGGCAGGCGTTCCAAGGAGCGAGCGTGTTGTTGAAGCCAGACGACTCGATGATGATCTCTTGGTGGTAAGAAGTCTGATAGTCCGGAACGCCAAAGAAGCCGGCAGCGAAGTGGATACTGCAGCGGTTCCGTTCAGCTATTCGCCATAGCTCAGATTTGACGACTTACGCGCTCTCGACCATCCTGTCTGTTGTAGATTTGAGATTTTGTAATGTAACTTTGTACAGGAAGTGTAAACTCACTCTCTGAAGTCGTACGGAAGACAGGCAGGTCCTTGAATTCCGTCAGCAACTGACCATACTTGACCCTGAAACCAACGCCGAGATCAAATCTATGGGAGGATATCAATACCAGACACGCCGGAAACAATGACACCCAGCTTACGGTTGCTGACGACCGAAAGGTGTTAGGATCTCGGCTCCGAGCTTGTACGTCCAAGTATTCAAGAACTCCAAGGGACCAGTCGCGGAGAAACCAGAGCCCGATGCTGCACTCTGAACAGTCGCCGCAAACGAGGCCGGGGCAGAGCCTGAGGTTGGATACCGAGCACCGTGCCTATGCAACAGGTGAACTTGTTCGAGCTCGCATCCTGATGGGATCTGAGGATCGGCAGTGGGGAGGCCAAAGGCATCGCTCCCGACCGAGAACCAGGGACTGAGGTTACCCCAGGACCGAATGACCTGGAACGGGGTACCTGTACCACTGTACGGAGTCTGCGGTGCTACAAGCGGGTATGCGTTCGTGTTCAGCGCGGCCACGGGTGCAGTGGCAATGGCCTCGGCCTCGGCACCAGCTTGACATACGGTTAGTGATCACGGACTTCAGCTTCAGTAGTGAATGATAAACATACTTGGAGTAGGTCCGGGATAGCCGACTTGCTCAGCGTCCGGGAAGTACGACTCATCCGTGGTGACTGTTGCCCCAGGAGGAGGGTACACAGCGGACATGGTCGACCCCGCGAACGCTGAGGCGGACTCCGCGGCGGGTGCGGCGAATGCAAGCGGCAGTACGCTCAGGAGCAGGAAGGCAGTGACCATCTTAGATGTATCTGGGACTCGGGAGAGCTGAGAACCACGGCATGAAGCATCGTTCTGTGTGTATTTATGCTTTCGCGGCGTGCATCGAGCCGCGAAGCCCAAGACTACTGTGTGCGACGTGAGATGCGCGGGCCGAACCTGATGATGAAAGCCTATTACCTCGAGCTGATGAAAAGGTACGGACCGAGGGTCTAGTAGTACGCACGAGCGTCGACAGGGCCAATCACAGTTGATGACGCCCACACGTAGGACTTTCTAGGGGAGATGTGTCTCCTAGATGGCCGCAGTGAGAGACAGCGCGTGGGTGATTTCACTCTCGTGCTTAAAATTACAAAGTTCCAGGGAAGTTGCAGTACTGACGCCGTCATAGACGTACCGCTTGCGTAGGCTACGCTCTGGCCTGGCACGCGATAGACATTAATTGCTTATTCCATCCTATTTTGAGAGTATCATAAGCCTTTCGTGAAACCAAGACGGGGGTAGAAACAGACCATAAAGCCGACGAACGTGCGTGCAGCCACTGGCATTCGGGTGATGAGACTGTAACACATAATGGTTAATGTTGTTTGATGCCGTTGAAATGGGACAGGGAGATGCGAGCATAAACATTCGACGGGTGTCCTCGACTTGACTGTGCAGAAGGAGAGGAACGGACTAGCAGTGCAAGTGTGCAAGATGGTTGAGACGAAGTTGGAGGTACAGGCAAGTCCGCGAATCGCGGAGGTGTGTGCACGCGCCCACGTGGGTGCGAAGAGCGCGACGCGTTCAGCCATGTCTGAACAGTGTTCCGTGAAGGCATCTCGGGATTCAACATGACAGCCTTCCGGCGCGTCCACGGAGTACTGCCCAATCGTAGGAGCCAATCGAAAGGCACAACTCATTCGTGACATTTTTGATAGACACACGTTCCCTGCTATTCCGTTATTGTTAACTTAGTACTGGACCTTTGCTCGCATCCCTTTGTTCCGCCATGTCTGAGCAGCCCGATGTTACTGAGGTGCTCGGCCGTCGATGATGTTGTCTGAGCCTGGCAATGGTGCGGTGTAGTTGCCGTAGCAGTCATAAACGAAGTCGACCTCCGCAATGCGTTCCTGCATGCCCTGAATGAAGTTGTCAAGCAGGCACAAGCCGTTCGGATCAGGTGTCTCGCAGTGCGAGATCCCTGTCAGTGGCACGACACCGTCATTCAGCAAGAAGCGGATGTACGATGCCGAGCCGGCGGCTGCGCTAGTGTTGCTGACAACACCCAAGGATGCAGGGCAGGACAACACCTGCGCGACGAGATTGGTCGCAAAGGGTGCAATATCGTGAACGTGGTATGTCTGACCGGTTTTTGAGTCCTCTGAACAGCTGAGGGAAGTGGACATTACGCACCTGGAAGGCAGGGATGTGATCGATCGGGAGAGGACCATTGGCCGCGAGGGTCGTGAAGTTCAAAGCAGTGATGACTGCGCAGAAATGGTTCAGCCTGCGTTATGGTGACGAGGTAGCTAGCTCGAGCTAGGAAATCTTACTGGTGGAGATAGCCGTGTCATGGCTAGCATCAACGTATATAGGCTGGTTCAAAGGGAATGTGATGTTGCTGCCATCGAGCGTGCTGTTCATGGACGTGTCAAACGTGGTGAGAGGCGTCTTCGTCAGGCGAGCCACCAGCTCTTGAACCCAACCAATGCCCTGTGCTGCGGCAGTCGGATTGCCAGGGCCGGACCCGTACCAGAAATCAAGATCTGCGCACGAGTGATTAGCATTGCGTATGACGGAGACATCGTCCGCAATCACCGAACGAATAATCGAACCCTCTCCACTCCTCTTCGGTAAACAACCCACAGAACGCCGAGTACCCGAGAGCGACGGTCTCGTATGCACACAGCTGCTGCATGGCGTAGATGTAGGTCGCGTTGAGGTTGAGGCCCGTCACGTACTGTTGCAGCCGCGATGCCGTCATATTAAGGTAGACAAGTGCCCATCTTTCCGTGGCGTTGAGACCGAGGAGCCCTGCGACGTTGTTATCGGAATTGGGGCAGGAGGGGTTAGGCGAGAGCGTGCTGTTGAAACCACCACTCTCGATGATGATTTCTTGGTGATAGGAAGTCTGGTAATCTGGAACACCGAAGAACCCAGCAGCGAAGTTGAGGCTATACGACATATGGGTAATCCATTGATTTGGCTGCACTGCCCAAAGGATACTCACGCGCTCTCAACCATCCTATCTAGATTTCCGAATCATTACATGAGATTGGTGGTTCACTTTACTGTTGCGAATACACTCACAATTGGAGGTCGTACGAAACACAGGCAGATCAATGAATCCATTCAATAGTTCGCCGTATTTGACCCTGAAGCCGACGCCCAATTGGAACCTATGAACGGAGAGATGCATCAGTTGCACCATATTTACTAGCTAGTTCACTAGACTCACAGCTGCTCACGGCCGAATGGTGTCAGGAGCTCGGCGCCGAGTTTATATGTCCAGGTGTTCAGAAACTCCAGCGGCCCAGTAGCGGAGAACCCGGTACTATTGGCCGCGGCGTGAAGGTGCGCCGCGAATAAAGTAGGTAGATCGCTAGAAGTCGGATATCGAGCGCCATGCCGATGAAGCAAATGAACTTGCTCGAGCTCGCAGCCGGCTGGGACTTGAGGGTTGGCTGTCGCAAGACCAAAGGCGTTGCTTCCCACGGAAAACCAAGGACTGAGATTTCCCCACGAGCGGATGACTTCGAACGGTGCGCCTGTGCCGCTGTATGGAGTTTGTGGGGCTAGCAGCGGATATATGTTACTGTTCAGTGCTGCAGCAGGTGCAGTGGCGATGGCCTCCAGTTCAGCGCCAGCTGAAAATACCACACGTCAGCTTGAGGATGGTGGGGTTTGGTACGTGGTGATACATACTCGGGGTGGGTCCAGCATATTCAACCTGTGACGCATCAGGGAAGTACGATTGATCGGCAGTTATGGTAGCCCCAGGAGGAGGGAACACATCAGACACAGTTGAACCAGCGAATGAAGAAGCAGACTCCGAGGCAGCGACAGTAAGCGCAAGCGGTAGTGCACTACACAGCAGGTAAGCTAGCACCATCTCGTACATGCGAGGAGCCTGGGGATGATGATACTGCTGGACACTCACATATCATCACTGCCTTATATACCTGCACGTAGACGAAGACACGGGGTCAAGGGTTCTGTTGTGCTGTGGCGCGTGATGGGTGTCAGAAAGGACGCGCTGTTCGATGTAGGACACGGGCCGGGGATGGCATTCCAAATAATTCCGTTTTGTTGTACCCCTCGCCAAAAAAGGAGGGCGTCGGGCCTTTGCCCGGCATTGTATTTGGGTGTCCCACACGCTTTGCCGATTGACCTCGCCCACCAACCCCGGTCTGAGTCGCTTTGAACGGTACTATGAAATCTAGTGGAATTTTGATGAAAACACATTGATGATATCGAGTTCGACTTGTCACGCTTTTCACGGAGGGTCCTAGCCAAATGGAATTAGCTGTCATCCATCGTGGTGAATAGCTATGCTACAACTCGGCGAAGACGAGGTGGGGTGCATGTAGCCGATCATAAGTAGTTGGGGACGCTCACTCACGAGAGATACAGAGGTTCAGTACGACGTGTCCATGTGCGCCGCGGAATCAAGCCGCAAACGGGAGCGTTCGAATACACTTCCCGCAGTGACGGAGTTACAGTGTTTCTAGAGTTGTGAGAAGTTTCCGATGGCACGGTCGATCGACAAATACCACATGAACCCGTATGTCATCCCCCATACTTAGTTCAAAGCAGTTGACTTGATGGGCATGCGGTGGGCTACAACTGTCCGGCAGAGGCTGGCCGTCAAATCAACGGCCAATTAACGGCATACGGCACCGGCCTAGTCATGCGCCCAGAAGAGACTCCATCCAAGCCTGGGGTGATATTGTCACCGTACGCCTGCACTTGGGTGTGAGTAGCACGAACTTTGAGGCGAGGCTCACATTCAGAGTACTCACTGGCAGGGAGCCGATGTCGACCGAGTCTCAAGAGTCAAGACCTCATGGATCTCTTCCACAGGTTGCGGACTCGGAGTCGCTATGTGGTACTGGTACACACGTCCAGCGGAGAAGTCAAGGCCGCCGAGTCACGCGCTGAAACAAGTTCGAGCGAGCGTAGTTGCTGCCGTCCGTAGTGTGTATACTCGTGCACGAACAGCGCAATGTCGTGCATGAGGCGAGATGAGCACCCAGAGCACAGTCTGACAATGAGGTCGTCGTCCAGTCCGAGTCGTCCGACTCTCCGAATCCCGCGAGTCGCGGAGGCGCACGTGCACGTGGGCGCGACGCGTTTCCCCGCGTCTGCTTTCCGTTGACGAAGCAGCGGCCGGCTGCACACACCCTGTATCCTCTCCTCGTCGGCCGTGACGGTGAGGGTCCTCCTGTGCGCCAACCGCAACTGTTTCCATGCCGCGGTCGATGGACACGTTACGCGCGCATGGCTCTACAACTCCCACCTCTTCTACGGCAGACAAGGACTCCTCTCTTTCCTCTCAGTCGACTCGGCGGCATTGCTCGGTACCACGATTACATCCGCTTCTCGGCACCTAGTGCGTGTGTCTATGGACAGAGATATGTGACAGGCTTACAGCATAGGCCCTATCAGATGGTTCCGCTCGCATCCCCCTCAACAGCTCGAAAGTCATAGGCGTGGCAAATTCTCGAGGCGAGAGAGGGTATGATGGATTGACAAGGACTAGATGCGTCTGCTGAGCGGTGTACCTCGCAGCTATCAAGAAGACTTCTACGCTTGCTCAGCGCTCTCTCTCGACCCCGAAGAGCTTCGCCTGAGCCTCAAGAAGGCGCATCATATCGACTGGGATCCCTCTGCGCTCCCGCCTGCACTCGCACGTCAGGTTCTCTTCGCAGGGGTATACGATGGCCACGGCGGCTCTACTGTATCTCAATTCCTACGTCAAGAACTGCATGGGCTCTTTGAGAATGTGCACAAGTCTCAGATACCCGAACTATACGAATGGACGCTTGAGCTAGGAGGATACTTCAGACGGTGGAGGGGTGGGGCCCTTGCACCCTGGATAGACCCCGACGCCCCGAGCGCCCAGTCAGAGCTCGATCTGGAGGCGAGGGCTACGCTTGCGTTCTTCGAGGTCCGTACTGATGCCATTGGACCGTGTTTCAGTGCTTACAGAAACTTCGGTGCTCCCATTAGGTTGACAAAGCTCTCTTCGGGGAGCATGCAGCAAGGGACTGTGGTGCTACGGCCTCAGTAGTCCTACTGCAATGTCTGGACAATCCCGTCACTCCATTCTTCACCGCTCAAAAAGTCGCTCTTACAGTCGCTCACGTCGGGTCAGTGCATCCTCCAGCTTACCTGTCGACCCTCCCCCCCTCTGACAGCGGCGAACGATACAGCGACACTCGGGTCTTGTTAACCTCCACTAAGAACGGCGATGTCATGCCCATGACCGAAAACCACCACGTCGACGCTCGAGTGGAAGCAACTCGGCTGCGTCGGATGATGGGTAGCGGTCAGTCCATGGACTCGTTCGGTGAGACTAGGTGAATACAATCTTCATAAATGTTACGCTCCCTTCTGATTGAAGCGACTTAGGTGGATGGGTGCCTTGGCAAACACTCGCAGGTCTGTTGATGTCCCGGTGCACGATATCCGCATCATTGACAAATCCATTCTCATATACAGCCTGGGCGACCTGAAATATAAGCGCTTCGGCGTGACACCGGAGCCCGAGGTGCGGACCAAGCTATTGAACGGTAAACATACCTACCATTTGCTTTATACCACTGAGTCCTCACATCCTAATAGGCCCTGAGTATTCGCATATTACCCTGCTCTCCGACGGCATCTCGTCAGTATGCTCGGATCAAGAAATCTCCGACCTCGTTCGTGGCTGCCCCACGCCAGAGTACGCCGCGAAACGCATCCTCCGCTACGCAGAGGACATGGGCAGCGACGACAATCTGACGGCCATTGTGGTGCCTCTCGCGGGCTGGGGCGGGATGACTGGCGAAGACCGTACGCGAGACCTGCGACAATATCGCCGGAAACAGATGGAGGGCTCGGAGAGGCACAAGCCTCGGTGGATGTGAACCCTTGTGGCCAAGCCCTTCGGCGCCGATCTGGCTGTCGCTGATATGCTCACTTGTCGACTGTACTCCCAAACCCATGTTGTAACCTCCAAACAATCTCGGACTGCCTAGGCATATTCTTCTACCCATATCTACACTCTAGCCGCATACACTACGCACACGGATACATTTTCATCCTGTTTATACATTCACAACCAAGATATGCATCAGACCTCCCGTCTAACCCATACAGTATTCCCTTGCGACTAGATCTGAGGCGAGGCATGCCCGTCCGCGCGCATATCCGACCCAGCACCCCAGACGGTCTTCCCCGACGGGTCGACAATTTTCTGGATGACCTGTCCGCGCCCAAACATACCACGTCCGGCGCCGGTCACCGTGCGCGCGTCGTGTCCCATCGCTTCACTCAGAACGTGAGCCCAGAAATCGCAGCCATAGGAAAACGGACGTACCGCGGAGCTTGTCGACAACCTCGGTAGCGATACCATCCTCGAAGTATACTTCGCTGTTGACGTCGCCTGCCTGCCCACCCGCAAGCGAGTCGGGGCTCCCGGCTGAGATGCAGAAGCGCGGGGCGTCGAGCGAGGCTTGCGCCGTGAACCCGCGGAGCATGTTGAGCAGAACTTGGACGTGACCTTGGGGCTGGACATTGGCGAGGATTCAGTCGACGCGTCGCAAGTACATTTGAGAGGGGACAAACCTGCATGAATCCACCCATGACGCCGTAGCAGAGGAAGAGTTCATCACCACGCAGCGCCATCGCAGGAATAATGGTATGGTATGGGCGCTTGCCACCCTAGCAAAGAAGGAATGATGAGCACATTCCGTCCCTGGGATGATACGGGAAAGCGGAACGCACCTGCAGTGCGTTGGGGTGACCAGGGGTCAGGTAGAAGTTGCTACCACGGTTCTGCAGAGTGAACCCACAGCCCTTCGGGACAGCTGTGTGCATCGACGGATCGACGGAGTTAATCCTCAGGCTCCCTTACACGGAGCTCAGTCTCACCTCCAGTGCCGAAGCCTCCATCACGGTTGCCCTGTTCTCAGTTCTGAGCCAAGTCATGTGCTACAGTCAGACTCACCGGCATAGTTGCTCTGGATGTAGCTGCAGGCGTTGCCCCATCGGTCCGTTACTGGAGAGCGCAGTCGGAATCAGCTCTGCATGCAGTGTAGATAATGAGGGGTCAGTAACCAGAGAAGTAGACCGTGTCGGATGAGAACATGGGGTTTCCCTGTGCGTCTCTACTTCAGCTTCAAATGAGATTCCAGTCAAGAGAGCGCACATACGTGGACGACATTGTGGTTGCATTTTTCTGGATCAAACAACCGTGCCCGAGTAGCGAGATATTCCTATACGCATGACATGTTAACACAGAAGACGACCGGCGCGGTCAATACGAGAGCACCTTGCCCAGCATCTCCTTGACGGGGATGGTTAGAACGTCTGGATCGGTGACGTAGTGCTGGCTGTCTGTAGTGTCATTCCAGTCAAGCAAGGTTTCCTCCGTATACGAAGGTCAGACGCACCTGCGAATGCCAAGCTATTTCACGGTGATTGGTTGAATGTTTGTTTGCATGTCGCCTATTATATGACGGCGACACTCACCGAAGGGACTCGACGAGTGCATGGAGGTACTCGGCAGAGTTGTGCTCCATCTCGAGCAATGACTTGATCTTGCCTTGCGCTTCCATCTGCTCTAGGATACCCAGAGCCATCAAGGCCGTAATGCCTTGACCGTTCGGAGGGCACTAATTTGCCGCTCAGTCTCTGCCTCCAGGACAACCACTAAATTATGAGGCTAACCTCGTAGAGGGTCACTTCATTGTGGAAATTGTAGCTGATGGGCTCCACGAATGATGTTTCGTGTTTCGCCAGATCTTCAAGTTCCATGACACCGCCCTTGCTTTGGATGAGCTCGACGATCGCCTCAGCTACGCGCCCTTTGTAGAAGCCATCCTTGCCCTGCTCGGCGAGGGCGCGGAACGTCTTCGCGAGGTTAGGCAGCTGTACTATTTGTCCGGGGAGCGGTGCCTTCCCGTTCAGAAGCATCTCGTCCGCGTTCGGAGAGGCATTCTTGATCAGGTCCTCTGATCGTTTCCACTGTGCATTTGTTTAGACTTGCCTCCCGTTCGTCAGATGCAAAGTAATCCCCGACTCACGGCGAATGCGTGGATCTCGGACACGGGCACCCTAGGATCCTGTTAATACGAGTTTGTCTTCTAACGTTATCAAACGTACCCTTCCTCCGCGAGCCTGATGGCTGGGTCCAGAACCTCTGCCATTGTGACCGTTCCACTACCGAACTTCTCGACGGTGTCGACCCACGCGGCCGCCGCACCTATATTCGTCGTTTGAGAGGATCCCTTCGGCCTCGCCACTGCACTGACCTGGTACGGTCACGCTGTTGAGGTCGGTGACTGGGATAGATCGCCCAGTTACGCCCCGTTCGCGCATGTACTCGATAGACAGCTTCGCGGGAGCGCGCCCAGAGCCATTCATGGCCTGAACGGTCTTCTTCTGCGCATCGTAGAAAAGACAGAAGGCGTCGCTGCAATGTCGCGCTCAGTATGGGCGAGAATGAATGGCTGCGAAGGATCGCACCCGCCGATGCCACAGCAGCTGGGCTCGGAGACGTTGAGCGCGGCAGAGACAGCGACGGCCGCATCAGCTGATCGTGATCAGGCGCGACACGGCCCGCGTAAGGAGTCGGTCAGCACGCGTCCTTGCCCAGAGCAGCCATCCTCTCTCACCCGCGTTGCCCCCCTTCCGCAGGATCTCCAGCCCAGCCTCCACCGCAAGCGGCTGCGACGCCGCAACCATGCCCTTCGTGGCGTAAACCTGCGATCGCCGGCTTGCGAACCGTTGGAACACAATGTCCGGCTGATTGACCTTCGTCCAGTCGACCTTCATCTTTGCGACCGTCGGGGATGTGTCCTAGTGGTGGAAAGAAGGTTGTGTCGTCGAGGTGCACAGCTGACTGCTCCTCAAGTCGGTGAGATATCCGCTCACAGATAAGTCTTGTGGCCGTCATGGTGCATAATCTATAGACCCACCGAGTCATTCACTCGGCCTCCCGCTTCCCTGTCTGCCGCCGGCGGCGAATAACTATCCGCGATCTCGCGGTACAAGACGCTATCCCCGCGTGTCGACTGCCATTAAGTTGTCAAAGATTTCAATGCACTATACACTCGTTGCTCATCGTCTCGTGTCTTGGACTCAATATTACCAGAACTCTGGCCTGATATATTGTCTATGATGGAGACAGGCGCTGCGGTCATGTATAAATCCTCTGGTTTCAGGGAGGTGGTCGACATGATGGCCTCGGCATTCAGCTCGCTCTCAACTTGCTTCCTGGTGGTCACGGCGGCATTCTTCAGCCATGGCATCGCCGTGTCTGGAGAGGTCATTGCACCGAATGCCACCGCTCTGAACGGGACATACGTTGGTCGCTACGTCGCAGAGTACGACCAAGACTTCTTCCTGGGGATACCGTTTGCGCAGCCTCCTCTCGGAGATCTGAGGTTTGCGCATCCTCATTCACTCAATACGTCGTTCGACGGCACTCGGGACGCGACATCTTACAGCTCCGAGTGCGTCGGGTACGGTGTGAGTGCCACAGTTGTAATGATTGGAGAGTTGAGATCCCTAAAAATAGTTCATGCAGTCCGACCAATGGAATTATCCCATCAGCGAGGATTGCCTGTACTTGAACGTAGTCCGACCTGCAAATTACTCCGCCTATGAGCCATTGCCAGTGGGCGTATGGATCCATGTGAGTGCTGATTGGCGTGTCGTGTATGTAGACTGGTGACTGAGATACACTCAGGGAGGCGGATTCTTTGAGGGTGGCTCCCCAGACCAACGTTACAACTTGTCCTTCATTGTTCAGAACAGCGTGGAGATAGACAAGCCCTTCATTGGCGTCTCATTCAATTATCGCCTTTCGGCATGGTTAGCAGAGTGCTGACTGATGCAGTGATATTTGTACTCACTTGTGCGCTAGGGGCTTCCTCGCTTCTGGTCAACTTGCGGGAGAGGGTACCACCAATGTCGCTCTTAGAGACCAACGGCTGGCTTTGCACTGGATCCAAGAAAACATTCGCGGATTCGGAGGTGCGTCCCCTACTGCTGGCGAGTCGTCGCAAATCGCTCACTATCTCCCTTAGGTGACCCAACGAAGGTCACGATATGGGGTGAGCTCCTAGTCGCTAAAGTACGGTGTGCACGAGTAGTCATGCCGTCTGCATATAGGTGAGAGTGCGGGCGCGATTTCTGTGGGTTTCCATCTCGTTGCATACAACGGGCGGGACGACAAGCTCTTCCGCGGTGCTATCATGGAGTCCGGCAATTCCGTCCAGCAGCAGGGCATGTGGACTGCAGATCACTACGACGCCCCTTACCAAGCCCTCGTCGACAACGTGGGCTGTACGGACTCGATTGACGTGCTTGGCTGCCTGCGCAGCGTGCCCTTCGTCACGCTCAACGCGGCGATCAACACGACGAATGCGACGGTGTGGTCCCCCATAATCGACGGCGACTTCGTGGCGAAGCTCGCGAGCTACCAGCTCGAGGCGGGCGACTACGTGCACGTACCCATCATATCCGGTGCGAACACCGACGAGGGAACTGCGTTTGGTCCCATGGGCATCAATACCACCGAGGAGTTCTTGACTTACATCACGAGTGAGCAATCTAATGAGAATAATTTGTACCGTGTGCAGATGGCTGACGCGTGCCTACATAGACGGCACGGGGCTCCCCCGTACCCCACTAGCTCCTGCTCTAGCTGAACAGATCCTCAATGCATACCCTGATGCTCCCTGTGAGGGCATTCCGGCCGACCTTGAGTGCAAGAGGCTGAACGGTACCTATGGATTGCAGTATGCATATGACTCACCTTGGAAAACCTACAACCATTGACACGCACCGCTAGGTACCGCCGCACGTCTGCATATGCAGGGGACGTAGTGTTCATCGCGTCGCGCCGCCTACAATGCCACACCTGGGCAGCAGGCGGCACCCCCGCATACTGCTACCGTTTCAACACGCGCCCGAACGGCATCTCCCTCGAGTCGGGCGTGACGCACTTCCAGGAGGTCGCCTTCGTCTTCGACAACACGAACGGGTACGGGTACGACATGGTGCCGGACCCGTTCGACGGCGTGCCCGAGAGCTACTTCACGCTCGCGAAACTCATGAGCAGGTCATGGGCGAGCTTCATATACGACTTGGACCCGAACAGCTTCAGGCCGAACGACACCGTCACGCTGCAGTGGCCGGTCTACGACACTGCCAACCCGCAGGACTTCGTGTGGGATGCGGATCTCACGGAGCTCGCGTTTCCTGAGCCGGACAACTATCGCGCTGATGGAATTTCGACGATCATCTCGTTGAACCGCGCTGTCCATCGCTGAAGACACCGGCGGGATTTACCTCCAGCGTCACGGACTTGATCACGAATGAGTGGCCGGGAGCGGAGGTGGCAAAGAGAGTGTCTTTTAGCGAAAACACGTACTACTGACTTCTCAGAGTTGTACTTATCCGATTCATTGCGCACGTCGATGTGGCGGCCCAGGGATGCCATGGACGGCCTATTGGTGTGATTGCACAGGGTCGAGTTGGAGCAAACCGGTAACTAACCGGCAACTGCACCCTGCAAGTCGAAGCGCTGTACAACAGGGTTCCTTCCATGTGGTTCAGCACGGTCGCAGATATTCTGACAGGGTAGACGGCGATGGACAAGCACAGCTACACACATCGACGAAGCGCAGTCACCTGGCAACATACTTATCATGAGCAGTCGATATGCTTTCGACTTGTAAGTACGTATACTCGGGGAGAATTACTGGCGAGGCCGAAGCAAGAACCGCAGAAGTAGCAACTCATCATGAGCACAGTAGCGCAAACGCACCGACAGGGAGAAGATGACGCGAATCCCGACCCGGGGGACTCGTCGTTCAATCGAGCTATAGCCGACAAAGCTTCGGCACATCTGACAACATTCGGTACTATGAGACGTTTCAAGCACGCAGCTCTTACAAAAGTTGGACAGGACAGCCTTGGGATGCCGGACGCGTGGCTGAAATGACCCTCCCTAGACAGGACGGGGTGGCATTCCTCAGTGCTTGAGCGCCGGTGACTAAGTGTCCCGCACCATAGGCCGATTTGTCTGCTAGCGAGCTGTCGTAAGTGAGGTCGCGATTTCTTGCCGAACGATCCGTGCGCAGAGAGAGTAAGTACTGCCACCAGGAGTGTGCTGGCCGTTGGGTGGCCGCAAGGTGGCCGATGGTATTTGTGAGCTTGCGGCTGTGGATGCACAACGCACGCGATCGGCGGGAGATGACAGGCCGATCCCATCGGAGCGCCCGTTGGTATGCCCGGTATGGCAGGCGTCTAGGCGGAGAGTCGGCTGTTCGATGGCTCTCGCGACCTAAAGCCCCCAACCGGTGGCACCACCCACCGTTCTTCCAAACATTCAGCGACGCGTCCATTCACGACCTCAGCAGGCAGACGGAAATGCCCAAGGCTACCAGCTCGGCGTCCCGTACAAGCGGGGATCACTCATTTCAAGCCGCCCACGCATTGCGGCGTAATCAGGTAGGCCACCGATGCCCGAGTCTCTCGCCCGTCACAGCGTGGCCGACGCAGTTTGTCCCAGGCATGTCACCAGTGTCGAAGGCGGAAGCTGGTAAGTCTCGGAGCCTGGTGCGAGCAGACCAGACACTGACCGGAACCTACTCGGACAGAAATGGTCCGTGGCCGTGGCCGATGCCCGAGGCATCCTGGCTTCCTGTACGGTAACTGACCTTGATGCAATAGCGATGCGAAGCGGCCCTGCTCGACATGCATTCGATCGCATTCATACGCAGTTGCGCATGCACCAGCAGGCGCAGAGCTTCCGCCCCACCCTCAATGCACGTTCGACGAAGGTACCGTAGCCACGCAATCACCCGTAGCACCTTCGTGCTGAAGTACCACCCCCCAGTCTCAGAGGGCGAGAGTAGCCCGGAAGTATTCGAGAACCCGAAAGCTCGATTCGAGCGTCTCGAGAGCAGGATAAGTGAGCAAAAGCTAATCGTATGAAGCTTCACGTGGCTGATCAGTCCATGCTGCCCGCACTATCTAGATGAACTCGAGACTCTCTTGCGAGAGCAGGACAAGGATACGGCACCTCAATCCAGTAGGGAATCTCACCGAACGAACGGGACCCATACCATAGACAGCGTCACTCCTGGGAGGCAGTCGGATAGCGCCATTCACTTGTCATCGAGCTATGCAGGTGATCTGTACAACACTGACCAGACGATGGCTATCGACCCTGCCTTGAGCTTGCCAGAGTTCCAGATAGGGTCTCCTCTCGACAATCTAGCAGGAGTCGCAAGCCTCATGGGTGCACCCGGGCCTTCACGCATCACCAACGGCTCTCCTATTGCTGAGCGAAGCACAACCTCAGAAGTCCCCAGCTCTGACCATGGTCTCGATATTATGTACAGCTCCTGGCCGCGTAACCTGCCCACACCGAACTTTTTGCGACATTTGTGCGTGGTCTGTTGTGTTGCTTTCCAATGTGCTCACAAACCTTCCAGAGTCGATGCATTTTTCTCATATCACCCTGACGCGACGCGCATGTTCCACCAGCGCACATTTCTCTCCACACTACTGCTACCCCCCACGCACCCAAGATTCCCTTCCTTAGGTCTCCTACATGCCATATGCGCTGTAGGCAGCATGTACACGGCTGCAATCCCCAGTCCTGCGATACCGTCAGGCCCTGAATTCTCTCCCTGTAAGCGATCATCCGTGGTGTCCTACGCAATTCTTCTTGACATTCATATACGTAGACGACGTGTTTCCGGACAAATGGAGGGACCGCGAGGGCATCGTTGACTCTTTCCCGGAAATGCAGGCAAAATTCGCCAAATCAGCGATCGATGCGTCGATGCAGGACGGCGGGAGGCTATTCCAGACGGTCCAAGGTAAATATCCACGCCTTCGTCTCGTTGTACTTGCGCTGATGGGAGGGTAGCTGTTACTCTCCTCGCATGGTGGTATTGGGCCAATGCAAAGTAAGCGTGACATACTGCTCAGTCTTTATGCTCGCACTCACACCAGCTTTCTTCAGGTGGGCCGACGTAAGCCGTATATGTGTACATTAACGCATCGCAGGGCGCTGACCATAGCATAGGCGTATTTGACCACATCTCATGCACTGCGCTACGCCATTCCGTGCGGAATAAACGTCTGCCCTCCGTTCAACACGATCGCGGAGCCTATAAGACCACCCTCACTGCTGCCACCGGCTGCGACTGTCGTCGAAGATGAGATGAGGCGGAACACATTTTGGATAGGTCAGCTAATTCGAGAATACGGTCCCGGTCTGTATGAGTGTCGCTGACCCGAGTGCAGCCTACGCTATTGAACGTTGCCACGGGACAGCAAACGGCTGGGCGATGACCCTCGATGATCAAGACGTCTCGCAGCTGCTACCGCTTCGTCGGGACCAATACGAGCAAGGCGTACGACATCCTCTTATTAACTTGGGTCCTTTACGCTGACATGTATGTCTCTGTCAGATCCTGGTCCTCCCGCAGGAACGACAATGGTCGCACGACCAGGGCACGCTCATCAAGCACCCTGAGGACCAAGTGGACGGGTTCATCCTCTATATCAAGGCGACTATGATCCTCTCGCGCGTCAAGAACTTCAATATGCGCTTCCGGTCGAGGCACCACTCCGGCGAGCCGTCCGCGCAGATCATCGACATACCGATCCCTCAGCCGCAGCCACAGGCATTCAAGTACAGCGGCCCCGACGGCGAGCCGATCGACCCCCGCCAGACGACGGCGTTCGTCCAACTGGACCAGCTCACGACGGCGTTCAAGTCGTCGTTCCCTGTTCATCTGAGGAACCCGGCGAAGGAGCAGATCGACCCGCATTTGTTCGCTGCTTGTACTGCTGCGCATCTGTATGCACCCTGTCCATGTTCTGTTGTGCGCTGTTGCTCACTTAGCCTGTATAGTGCGGATATTCTCTTGCATGAGTCCCACGCGGTCATCGGCAGGAGTAAGTGTATCTCGTCATGCCGGATCCTAACAGCCTCGCGCGCGATCCTGGATCTGCTGTACCAGGTCAATTCGACCAGCTACGACCTCTCGTTCCTGGGTGTGTTCCCTGTAGTGCGTCTGTTCTCGCCCTCTCTCGTGATAGCATAGCCGAGACACTTGCTTTGCAGATGTGTTGGTTCATGGCCGGAAGGGTCTTTGTGCGATTCCTGCATGCAGCGATGAGCGAAAACAGTGAGGAACAGTGCTTGACTATCTGGGCCGAGGTGGATTATATCCGGTGAGCCGACCTGCAGGGGGACGACGTCTCTAGACCCGCTCACGTCTTTGCTTCAGAATGGCCATGTTCCGTGTGGGCGCACACGTTCCATTAGCTCGTACGTATTGCAACTTGCCATCAAGGTATCTAACTAATGCTGTTCGTAGACCGGTACGCCTCGATGCTACACGACCTCCTCGTGCAGACCTGCGGCGACCGATATGCTGGTCCCGCGCCCATGCTGACGGAGAGCATGCAAGACATTGACCTCATCGCATCGCAGAACAATATGTATATGGGAGCTAGTCTGCAGGCGATCCCGACGCCGCCGTCGTGAGTTGTACTCTACTGTAACAGGTCTATGTTGGGGATGGACGGATGTGTTGTGCGATATTTAACTTATCTTTCGCTGCTGTATGTACTTTTTGTCGTGGATCACCGTGACGGTTGTGGACGGTTGTGAAAGTATTGTGCACCCAGCCTCCAGGGCAGCCGCTGGCAGAACGACTACGGGGATAGCCACCGATATCACCGCCGGCGTCACAGCGCGCCTCTGAAGCGGTGTAATGATCGACTCGCCACACTGTGACTTGGAAGCAGGCTCAGCCGCTCTGGCAGTCGCAGGGACCGACGCGTCTTGTTCGCAAATCATCTCTCCATCCTAGTGTCTTCTATCGATTTCGGGTAGTAGACGTCTCGACATGGGCAACGGTCCTTCAGCGCCGAAGATCACCAAACAAGACCGTGCTATCCTAGAGTACGTACCCGCTCCTGAACCCGAACTCAGTCAGTGTCGACCTGTTGCGCCAGTCTCAAGTTGCAGCGCGACAAAGTGAGACAATATCAGAAGAAGGTGAGCCGTTACACTTCTCGCTCAGATCTCGTGGGGAACAGCTGACAAGTAGGACTCCGGAAGATCCAAGAGGTCCTCAACAGGGAACATGATATAGCGAAGCAGCAATTAGCAGCGGGGAACAAGGACCGCGCCCTGCTGACACTCCGGAAACGCAAGTACCAGGAGGGATTATTGGCCAAGACAGACGCGCAGCTGGAGAACCTGGACAAGCTGGTGTGTTGCACTTGCGCTTCCGCCTGAACTCTATGTAACAGACATGGCTTTGCGCAGGTGTCGACGATCGAGTTCTCCTTGATCGAGGTTTCCGTGCTGCACGGGTTGCAGCAAGGCAATGAGGTCCTGAAGCAAATTCACAAGGAGATGAATGTCGAGGCTGTGGAGAAGCTACTAGAGGAGACGGCTGAGGCACGAGAGTACCAACGGGTATGTCGCTGCTGGCCTATCGTCAAAGTTTCTGCGTCCTCATGCCCTATCAGGAAATCGACGAAATGCTCTCGAATACATTGTCTGTCGAGGAAGAAGAGGCGGTACAGAGCGAGCTGCAGGCCTTGCGGGACGAAGTGGTATGTCTAATTGACTTCTTGCTGAGAATGGGTGTCATGTACTCATTGTTCACAACACACAGCTGGCCCCGGAAGACGCATCGCGTCGGGCCCAGGAACTGCCGTCTGTACCTGCCACAGCACCAGCAGGTTTGTTGCCGTCGCGAGTATCTATGATTTGGTTATTCTCAACGCTCAATTACAGCGCCAGAGCAAGAGCAGGAGCCAGAACCGGAGCGCCCCACAGAACGAGAGGAGAGGGAACGCGTGCCTGTTGCAGCATAGTGCCGGTACCCTGCAGGACATCATCCAGTCTCTTAGAAGCACATGTATCATACTCTATTGTACAGCCTAATGCGTTGGACCCATATATTCTACCACCCCTCGAAGTTACCAAAGCCGGTCCTCCTCTTTTTCTTCGTATCGTCTGGGATACCGACGTCACTGAACCGCGACGACTGTTCAGGCGCTGGCCGCTTCATCCCAGCATTGAGGTACTTGCCGACACCTCCACCGCCGTCACCACCGAAAACTTGCCTCCCCGAGCCTACTTTCGTGCCGAACCAGTTGATGTCGTCCTTCTCGGACGTCTGGTCACTCTCAACACGGTTCTGAGTCTGTTCGGCTCTCTTTGCGATCTTCTTGTCTCGCCGAGCCTTGTATTCCTCGAAGGGATCTTGATAACTGCACAGATGGATGAGTACACAGAGATGACTCTGTAGCTGCAGCGACGTACATAATGACCTCAGTGATTCGGATTGGCTTCGCGGGCCTCTCTGTACCAGGCTTGACCGGCACTGCTTCCAGGGCGTCGAGGACATCTTCTCCACCGACGAGCTTGCCAAAGACAGTGTGCTTCTTGTCAAGATGTGGAGTCGCTTTAAATGTTATATAAAATTGCGACCTGTCCCATGACTGTTTAGCAACAACGATAGTTCTCAATCGAACGCACTCTGTACATACCCATTGGTTGCTGGTCCCTTGTTAGCCATAGCAATGACGCCACGAGAATCATGCTTCGCAGCATTGCGCATGTCGTATTCATCCCGGAACGGAGTGCCCCAGTATGACTGACCGCCGGATCCTGTCCCAGTGGGATCTCCAGTCTGGACCTGTACAACACGTCAATTGGGTAAACGGAATAAGTCAGACGCATAGAACACGCACCATGAATCCGGGTACGAGGCGGTGAAATAGGCAGTCACTGTATTTGCCTGCTTTAGCTAGCTGGAGGAAGTTGTAGCACGTCTTTGGAGCCTGCCAAAGATGTCAATTTGACTGTTACTGACCACCTGAATGCAGCAGCGCACCTTTTCGCAGAACAATTCAATATTGAGACTGCCACCTCCGAGCGTGGTGACAACTCGGACGTAAGCGCGCCGCTTGCCTACGTCCTTTTCTTTGCCTTTGCCTTTTGCTGGAGTGGCGAAGTCGTCGAACATGAGTTCCTCCTATGACGAAATGAGGCATTGTGTACTACGCATGCGTTAGGGTGCATACCTCATCCCAAACCAGCTGAGACGATTGCGTTTGCGGATCGACGGACGTGGAGGTCAATGAGGCTCCGGGCAAGCCTGTGGAGTACGGAGAGATGTTCCCTGCATGTTTGTTAGTAAGTGCGGCCGAATGAGTAGCCGAAGGTGAACTCACAAGGTACTGGGGCCTTCACCTTGGATGGTCCTGCAGCTGTGCCCACCTTCGCGATAGCTTTGTTCTCGGGTACAGCATCCTTCGCTACTGGCGCTTTGGACACGGATTCAGTGGGAAAGCCGTGGGTGTTCTGCAACGTGATGACGTCCTCCCTGCGACTGAGCGTCAGACCAAATGTTCACCGAAACATGAATAATACGCACTTCTTGAACTTCACGTCAACGATCAAGTCACGGCCACCCTTGATACTCTCTGCAAGGAATACGTTTCCAGTAGAAGCGATGGCCACTATGTGTGAGTGCTCGCTGAACGGCTTGAACGAGATAGGGTCGTGAATGTCCCCGTTGGGCTTTCGGGAATAGTGCAACGTTATGAGATCGGATGGAGCTAATGGCTCCTGGGTAATGGGATTCTTGTTGTTGTGTTGCCTACATTGAAGGTCAGGTTGCACGGGTAATGCTAAGCTGCAGTACATAACACGCACTTGAGCCAAGGGATGATGTTGGTGAGTTCGAAGACAAGGCCTGTACCATCTGCATTCCGCGCGCATACGGGGTGGGTGAACGGCTGGAATGAGAGCGCGCAGCAATCAAAGGGAGTTACAGCGGCAGGATGAGGCCCCTGGTTCTTCCTGCAAAGCGATGAATAAGACCCAATTCAGGTCCGAACAGGCCACTTACGCCTTCGCACCCGCAGAAGAAGCGGTATGCTGGCCAAACATACCAGAGTGTTCCGCATGGGTAACATAGAGCTTGTTCGAGTTTCCGTGGCCCATCCTGCAAGCAGATCAGAGTGATGGTCGGAGGGATGGAGAGGTGCCGAAGGACGGATGGGTGTCGACTGCAGTACAGCGAGAACAAGTTACTCCATGTTACAGGCGCTTACTTACTTCGACTATGTTGCACGTGATCGATCAATCCTTGCGTCGGGCGCTTGAGCGCTAATGGACTTCGTCCGAAGTCAGCTCGAATACGTCGAGACTTGTGCTGGGTACATACCCGTCAGTCTCCCCCCGCTCACCAACAGCGGAAAACAACACGGGAAGCGTTCTTGGATTGCCTCTGCTGCAGGTGTAAGTGAGTGTTCGTTCAGCCGTCTGCTTTTCTTACGACGACACTCTAGAGCTCATTGCGGGTCTTCGTATGCTCGCTCGACATACAGGTCATCGTGCCGCGTCCTTCATCTCCCTCCACTTTCTGGAACCGCGTCTGCTATGCAGGCAGAACTCAACAATTCCCACTTTAGCTCGAGTAGGCGGTAGCAATGGCCCTAGCCGCCCCGTAGCATCGTCATCCGCATCTACCCTGGACCCAGCGAAGCTCATCGGTCGCCTCGACAAGCAATTGCAGCGACCGCACTCGCAACCGCACGATGGGCTCACCCCGAACGAGGTACAAGTCTTCAACGAAACGTTCATAATGTTGAAGCACGCCGTCGATTCGGCCGACCCGCGTCAGGCATGGCACGTCTGGAGGGTCCTTAGCGATCGCCACATGCTGCGCTTCCTCGGACCCGTCCAAACGGACATGTTCTCCAGACTCGTGGTCACCATCTGCGCGAAGAGGGGTCAATATTCGGCTTGGTCGGACCTGGAGAAGAAGGCGTTACCGGAGTTCGCACTGTGCGCGGCGGGGAGTGGGGTGTCCCACGGGCTCAGGCAGTGTATGCTCGCCCACATCTTGGATAATAACTCCCAGGCCGTCATCGAGCTATACGAACGCTACTGGGCGTTGCTGGAGACGAAGGCACCGTCGCTGGAGATGTTCCGGGAAGAAGACCAGGGTTCTGCGGAACCAGAACATGACGGCGACAGTCCTACGGGTTCCCCACGAAGCCCGGCTGCGAAATTTGTCCGCAGTGACATCTTCCTCGCCACTATTACTGCCTTCGCCATGCAGAATTCCTTTGCTGGCGCTTTGCGGATGGCTCTACAGACTACAGTTCGTGCACCTCACAAACATACCCTCCCCTGGCTGAAGCTGCTCCCCGACGAGTTGAGGAAGCGAGTCGAGATCTTCGTGCGCCGCCTCGACGCCGCAAAACTACTCGCCCGTCCCTCCGCTCTCGCGAAGCAGTTCTCTAACCTCACGAGAGACCAAGCGCTGCAGGCCATACAACAACTCTATCGCCGTATCATGGAAGGTCTGACGGGACCTGACCGATGGTTAACCGTCTCGCAAACCCAGAAAGACGCAGACAAGCTGCTCGTCGTTCCCGAGCTCACATGGCCATCTTTCATTACGGCGTTCATGCGTTGTCGCCGCACGGACCTCGTGCAGAAGCTATGGGACGACGTAACCCGACTGGGCATCCGACCTCCCTTGCCGATGTGGACGGCTCTCATCGAAGGGTACGCCGAACTCAAGGCGCCGCACGACGCTCTGAGTACATGGAACCTCATGCTCAACCAAGGCGTGAAGCCGGACGCGTTGGCTTATCGTGCTGTCATTTACGCGTCGTATCATTCGGGCGAGGTTGACGATGCTCTGAAGCGGTTCGAAAACTTTCAGCATGAACTGCCGAAGATGTCCCCGCCTCCTGAAGAGGGGACCGTGTTGGTCGTCTATAACACGATACTACATGGCCTGCTCTTTTACAATCGGGATGAACAAGCGCGCGCTCTGCTAGAACACATGCTATCCAAGGGTCCTCACCCTGACATCGTGACCTACAACACCTTCCTCCGCTGGTACGCGCGGAATGATCAACTGAAGTCACTCGCCGAGGTTCTGCAGATGCTCGAACCCACCGGATTAAAGGGAGATGTGTACACGTTCTCGATTGTCCTCTCCGCTCTCATGAAGGTCCGGGACGACGCAGCGCAGATCATGCTCAATCTCATGCACAGACACGGCGTCCAACCGAATACGGCCACCATGACTTCCATCATCGATCACCAGATGAAGACGCAAACCGAGGTTGGCTTCCGCTCGGCGTTCGACCTTCTGGGTAGGATGGAAAGAGGCGAAATCGAGGACGCGAAGCCAAATGATGTGACGTACACGGCAATGCTCACAGCGATCCACCGCAGCGACTGGCTCGGCAAGGAGGTCATCGATGAATACCGTCAGACGATGTGGGACCGAATGAAGGATCGGGGTATCAGACCGAAGAGGGCGACATACAATCTTCTCATTAACGCGTGTCTGGACAACCAGGACCCGGACGGCGTGCAGCAGGCTATGCGGTACTATCGGGATATGACGAGGAAGGATGGGTTCATAGCGAGCGATACGTGGTACATCCTGTTGCGGGGCCTTGTGCGCCGGCGGGAATGGGCGGTGGCGAACGAGCTTGTGGAGGATATGCGGCAGAGAGGGTTTGAGGCACCGGGTGCGCTTGCAGAGTTGATACGTAGAGTTAGGATGCAGGCTAGCCAGGCTGGCGAGAGAAAGGCGGGGCCGGCGAGCCACTTCTGATTCGCAGACAGGAGGTGTCATGACGCATTGAGCTCGCCAAAAAAGAAGGACGTGCCGAGTCCCACTCTCAGGTACCTGGCATACGCTGTGGCCGGATGAGCTCAGGGGGGGAGGTGATGTTCACGGCCATACGCACCCCAGTAGCTCCACTTCCTGCCCAACCAGCGGCCAAAAATGGGCATGAGGACGACGGCGAGGAGCTGCTGCAGCTGGCCGAGGCTCTCGCGCCACTCCTGCTCTGCGAGGCGGTCGTCGTCGTCTGTGCCGTACGAGGCGTCGGAGGCGACGGAGACGCTGTCGAGGGAGTCGACGGAGTGGGACATGGCGAGTGCGGACACTGGGGCAGCCTGAGTGTGCGCAGGAGGCGGCGGCGTCATCGGACCCGCGGAGGCGCTGGCCGGCCGGACATCTCCAGCCACGCCGGCTCGCGCACCGTCGCCTCGCGAGCGACATCGCATTCGCCAGTGATCCCTCCTGGCCCCGTCCACCACCCGCCTCTCGTCCCCGCCAACATCAGATGCATCATGGACGCGACCGCCTCCCCCTCGCGACGCAAGCTCGTCGGCCAGCCTCTCCTCTATGCCATCTCCGTCTTCGCCAGTCTCGGCGTCTTCTTGGTGAGTCGCTCCTCCGTCCAGGCCAGCGTGGTCGCTGACCATCCTCGCAGTTTGGCTATGATCAAGGGTAACAGCGGCCCACAGCATTGCCACGTATCCCACACTAATATGGGCATCGCAGCGTCATGTCTGGGGTCATCACAGGGCCCCATTTCCGCAAATTCTTCAACAACCCCGGCCCCGTTGAGGTCGGCACGATGGTCGCCGTCCTTGAGATCGGCGCATTCAGTGAGCTCCTTGCATCAGTCCGAATGCAACATCTCATATCTGCTCTTTCTAGTCACGTCTGTCGCGGCTGGTCGCGTTGGAGATCTCGTCGGTCGGCGGGGGACCCTCTTAATCGGTGCTCTGGTATTCGCCGTCGGAGGCGCCGTTCAGACCTTCACTCCAGGCTTTTGGGTCATGGTCGTGGGTCGTGTCATTGCCGGCTTCGGCGTTGGTTTGCTATCGTATGTCTCAGCGTCTCCTAGTGCTTTGCGCGATGTTGAATGCCCTGCATTTGCCAGAACGATTGTACCTATATACCAGAGTGAAATATCGCCGCCGAGCCATGTACGTCCAACGAGGTGCCGTAGCGCCCACTATCTGACCGTGCCTGCAGAGAGGGGCACTGGCTTGCATGGAATTCACTGGGAACATCTTCGGCTACGCTTCTTCAGTCGTACGTAATGCACTCTCGTCGTTGGTTCTCCTTGTGCTAAGTATCGTCATCAGTGGATCGACTACTTCTGCTCGTTCATTGATTCTGACATGGCCTGGCGTATCCCGTTGTTCATCCAATGCGTGATCGGGGTTCTGCTTGCAGCTGGTACTGCCTTCATGCCGGAGAGTCCTCGGTCAGTCGGGATACTGACGTCCTACACTTGTCGCTCACAATTTTGACTACTAGATGGCTTATCGATACTGACCAGGATGACGAAGGGTTGCAAGTGCTGGTCGACCTGCACGGTGGCGACCCTCACGATGAGATTGCTAACGCCGAGTATCAAGAAATCAAAGAGCGAGTCATGATCGAGGTTAGTCTGATGTTCGTGGACTGGCATCCCAAGCTGATTTCTTTCTTAGCGCGAGAGTGGAGAGGCCCGGTCTTACAGCGTGATGTGGCAGAAATACAAGCGCCGTGTCCTGCTTGCTATGTCTTCGCAGGCGTTCGCACAACTCGTGAGTGAGCCCTCCATTCGCGACGCCTGCATGATTATTTACTTGGAACTCGTTGCAGAATGGAATCAATGGTAAAGACAACATTTTTGCGTGCCCTGTGCTGGTCTGACGATGCTACTTCCAGTGATCTCGTACTACGCTCGTAAGGCGGACTACACATCATCCGATTATTTGTACTAACTGATTTTGCCTCGACCAAAGCTCGTGTGTTTGAAGGTACGTTGCTTGTGGCTTTAGGTGAATTGCTTCTGAACCCTTCTTGCAGAGGCGGGATGGGTAGGCCGTGATGCCATTCTCATGACTGGAATCAACGCAATTATCTACCTTCTCAGCACTCTGCCAACGTCAGTATTCTCTTAATCTGCCTAGCCATGCTAGAGGATGCTAATAGCAGGAACACAGGTGGGTACTGGTTGACCGCCTGGGTCGTCGTCCCATTCTGCTTTCTGGTGCCGTTGTGGTGAGTCTCCTTTCTCAGCATGTACGTGATCGGTAATAATGTGCCTTGTAGATGGCCGTCGCACTTGGTCTTACTGGCTGGTGGATGTACATCGACGTACCGGAGACGCCTAACGCCGTCGTCATCTGTGTTATCATCTTTAACGCTGCGTTCGGTTTCAGGTCAGTTAATCACCAATTGTAAGTCGTCGGTGTACTGACATTACTTGCAGTTGGGGTCCCATCCCATGGCTCTTGTAGGACTTCCATTATTGACAGTCGTGTGCTTCCGCTAACTCACTTCCTCAGCCCTCCTGAGATCATGCCTCTCACGGTTCGCGCTAAGGGTGTTTCGATTTCCACCGCGACGAACTGGGCTTTCAATTTCCTTGTCGGTGAGGTGACACCGTTCTTGCAAGAGCACATCGAGTGGCGCCTGTATCCTATGCACGGCTTCTTCTGTGTTTGCAGTTTTGTTGTAGGTGAGTATGGATGTTCGTTCACCACACAGAAATTCCATGCTGATTGACTTTCCCTGAACAGTATACTTCCGTGAGTCATCATGTTTACACCGCAGATCCTTCTATTGACGGTCCACCAGTATACCCTGAGACTAGGGGTGTGCCCCTGGAGGAGATGGATGCTGTGTTCGGTGAAGGTAAGTCGACTGACAATTCTGGATCACATCCTTGCTCATTGCGACACCTGCAGAGGAACTAGAAGAACGTTTGGAAGACGAGGAGTCCGAAAGAGCCTCTCTTGTATCGAGACGTTCATCTCGCAGCAGACGGTCTCGCCTGAGTGTGTCTCGGCCGACCCCCGAGGGCCGTGGCGTGCTCAGTCGTCTACTCAACCAGCGCAACCGCGGTAACTACCAACCGATCGACGCTGATGAATAGGAACTCCCGAGGATGGGCAATGGGGCAGCTGAGGAGCGTCATGAAGACAACGAGGAGTCGCAGCCGCTCACGCGGGCGGAGGACGAGGAAGCTTCATGATGCGTTGTTGGTGACGATGTCGTGGTAGTGGTGACTCGTTCCTTGGCTTTTCCCGTGCTCCATCCTCACCCAGTTCAAGTCTACTACTACTCTATCACACATCTAAACCGAACTTTCCTCTCGCTCCCACACACTCTACCATCGTGCAATATTTATCGTACGAACCACTAGTCGTCGAATCTCCATGTGCAATGACAAAGTTGCGTCTGTCCCGATTGCGAACGTGCCTATTGCGAGTCTGTCCCAGCTATAGTTTTTTCAACGGTTGGAACGAGCGTCTACATAGACTCAAAGTAGAGTAACACTTGGGCGCCTATTTGCGCACTTCTTGCATGCGACCCTCCAGGTGGCCTCGGCCTTTGCTCTCAGCGCAGCGTCCTCTGCTCTTCGAGCCACGGCCGTCGTGCCGTCTCCCACATTGCCGCTATAGGCTCAACAGCACCGCTCCTTCTCCAGTTGATACCCAAGGTCGTACAGTCTATTATGAACCTCCCTCTACATACCTTGGAACGGACGAACGCATACCGTTTGATCGTTGGTTACAGCCAGGACTCGTGTCAGCTCTGCGGGAGACATTCCCAGCTGTGAAGTATGCGACCAAGACGCAGCGTGAGCTGTTCAAAGCGGTGATGCTGGGGCAGGACGTCATGCTGCAGACACCGACGGGGAGCGGAAAGTGCGTGCTCTGACAATGCTCCATTGTATTCCGCGTGTTTTTGACACGGAGCATTTGCAGGTCGTTTTCTCTCATGCTGGCGACGCTCTCCAAAGAGCCCCAGGCCCTCGATGCGCAGAACATAACGTCTCTCATTATCGTCCCGCATAGAGATTTGGCGTACCAATATTATCGCTGGATCCAGCGAATCCATGAAGCCATCCCTGAGATAGGTTCCCTGGACTCTGTCGCTCAAATACTCGTACGGGGTGCCTCAGTCCCGCTCGAGGACCGTCTGCGTGTATTGCGTGAAGAACCCCCGCACATCCTCATTGGCACCCCGCAAGCTCTGCTGGAGGCTTACCAGTCGTCTCCCGAGACGCTCATGCTCGACAGACTGTCCGCCGTGGTCGTGGACGAGGTCGACTATCTCCTCGAATGGACAACACAGACGCGCGACAAGTACAAACGACTGAAGGCGGAACGTATGCTGCGTAAGCACCCCACGCCGACCCGCCAGCTACTGGACGCTATCTACCAGCCTGTGCGGCTGCCTCTCAGCGGGAAAAAGCGAATAAAGGCTGAAAAGACGATACAGCCCAAGCCACCGGGAGACTATCGCCCACAGCTGGTCATGGCGAGCGCAACGTTTCGGGCAACCTTCCGACAGTCCATCCTAGGCGGCGGGTGGTTCCGAGAGGCGGGCGGTTGGGTGAAAATCGCGGATAACCTCAAGAAGGACAAGGACATCCATGCTCAGGAGGACATTCGCGCGGTTTGGTCACTGGGCGGCACATCGATCAAGCACCATGTTTTGGTCGTGTCGGAGACGGGGAAAGTTGAAAACCTCCGTGCCGGCGAGACAACTGAGGGCAGCCCCGATGCGAAAACCGAAGTGCGTCGTGTGGATGGCGAAGCACTGAAGTCAACTGTAGGAAACCCTAAATCCGACGCGCCCGAAAGTGCAGAACCACATCGTGCGTCACGAGCGTCTTGTGTCATGAGAATGCCTCTGACATAACCTAACCACAGAAGACGATATGGACACTGATCCATTCAATCCTCACCTGCTAGAAGCCATAGCGGAAGCATTCGCGCTGGATGTTCCACGCCTAGCTCTGTTGGTTTTGCCGGCATCTGCGCCTGTGCGTCAAATTATAGGCGAACTTCGCAAGCTCGGGGTCAACGCCCAAGGGCTGGACGTCCTCGAGGAAGCAGGGGGAGGTGCATACCTGACTCAAGAGGCTCCCGAAGAGGTCACGGAAACACCTACCTTGTTCGTGTCCACCCTTGCCACGACCCGAGGACTGGATCTGCCGAGTCTCACTCATGTGTTCATTCTCGGCCTGCCGAAGGACCGACCGGGGGACGCGTACATGCACGCTGGTGGGCGTGTAGGGCGGTTCGGGCGCAGCGGGAAGGTCATCACGGTTATCGAGAAGCAATGCCTAATCACTACTCGCAAAGGAGAGAAACGATGGGTGGACCAGGCCAACATCATTCGTAAAGCACTGACGCAGATGGGTATCGTGCCCACGAAACTGTCGCATTTCGCATAGAGTTCCGGGGCTTTTGGGCACCCAAAACATCGTCGCTACGTTGCTGCGCGCGTCCCACAATGACTGTGGGAGCTTGGAGCTGCCGGACGCAGATGGCATGGAGTGGGGAAGACGGAGAAACCAGGGACGTTTGGGTGGGAGCGGTCAGCCTCATGGATAGCAAGCTTGTTGTATATCCGACCTTCGTACAGACGGGTCCCTTGCGAGCTCTTGCGAGGGGACAATGGATGATGCCTGGAGTCTTCTAACGCGTTGAGCAGCAAGAAAGTGGTGCTGATAAGACGCTAAGCGATGAAGATAGACGGGCTGCTACACTGGTGCAGTGATGAGGTCGGCAGGCGTAGCGCGTAGCTATAGCTGATTGGGACCCACGTGGAAGCGCCTTCCAGCCTCCGTTCGCGTGCGGCCATGAAAGCCCCCCGACGAGCCAGGACATGCTCTGTCTCCGACCACTCTCTGCTCCGATCCCCTTCCTTCCTTCCCCCTCTCCCTCCCCGCCCTTCCCGACATGCTGGCTGCAGCGCGCACGCGCCGGCCTCTAGTCTTTCTGCTTGCAGCCGTTTGCCTTGTCAGCGCCGTAACAGCCGCCGGTTCGTCCTCAGCCGCATCGTCGACCACCACACCCTCCGCCTCCACTTCGCTCTCCTTGACCACGAGCTACACGCCCCTCGTCACGACCATCCGGTCCGGAGGTAACAACATCACCATTTCCACGTCCGTTCCGGTCTCTACCTTCAATGTCACCGTCACCCCGACGTCTACCGCAAGCGCGTCCGCCTCGAGCAATAGCTCCGCGGCTGCCGCAGCTGCCTCTGCGTCCGCTGAGGCGTTGCGTACCCTGGACACGCAAATCGACCCTGCCTTTGGTGTCCTCGGAGCTCTGCTCATCTTGACTGGCCTGCCAAGTGCCTTCCTCGGACACAAGAACCGGTGGACTTCGTTCTTCCTTATCGGCGTGTACACCTTCGCACTCGTCTGCTTCTCGCTCATCATCCGCTTTGGCGTTCTTCAAGCCGTGAACCCGCCGACCAAGGCCGTGCGCGGGCTCTTCATGCTCGCGTGCGGCGTCTCTGGGATTGCCGGTGGTGGCATTGCTATCTTCTTCTGGCAGGCAACCAGGTATTTCGTCGGCGCGTGGGGAGGCTTCGTGGTTGCATTGTGGATACAGTGCTTCAGAGACGGCGGGCTCATTTCCCCGATTGGGCTTAGGTGGATTCTGTATATCGGTGAGACCAGCCCGTTCATCATGTTTCGATAAACGCTCAAACAAACACCACTTCTCCTTCAGCGCTCGGAGTGATTGGCTTCGTGCTATGTACCATTCCAAAGATCCACTATCATGTCCTTCTCCTCTCCACTTCGTTCGTGGGCGCTACGTCCGTAATTCTGGGGATCGATTGTTTTACTACGGGGGACCTCAAGGAGGTATGTGTGCGTTTATTGCTACAAAGAGCAAGTCTGACAAGCGATGCGCTGCTAGTTCTATGTCTGGAACCTGGGCTTCACCGCCTTGTTCCCCAAGTTCACGAACAACGGTATCAAATTTCCCGTCAACCAGACGATGGAGATCGAGCTCGGTCTCATCGGTGCGGTCTCACTCATGGGCATCGCAGTTCAGTTCCAAGTCCTCAAGGTGCTTCAGCGGAAGCTCAAGGAAATCAAGGAAGCGGCCAGGCGACCGAATGAGGAGCTCGAGAATCGCGCTGCCCTTGCTTTCGCCGAATTGGAGAAGGAGAAAGCAGAGTGGGACCGTGAGCATCCTGCCCTTGCCAAGCATGGTCGCATGGACAGCGAGTTTTCCTCGTTGCTCAAGGATACAGAATCGCTGTCGCCCTCACCGCGCCAGCGGTACCAGTCAGGCGTATCCGACTTCATCGTTGCTCCTAACGAGGAGATGCACCGCTCCACTTCGAAACTTCTGCAAAGCCCTGGCGCTCTTCCTGTGCTCGATTTGGGTCTTGGCATCGAGAATGACGTACCCAAGGTCTACATTGCTGAGTCCAGCAAGAGCCCCAAGGCCAAGGACGCTCCGATGACCCAGGTAGAGCTTGAAGACCTCAAACGCAAAGAGGAGCTCTTGACGGAGATCCAGACTATCCGGAAGTCTATTGAGATCCTCAAGACCGAGGCCACGGACCCCTCTAGCTCGTCTGGCTCGCGTCACCAATCTTTCACGTCTCGTCGTACGCTCAGTCAAGACATTGGTTCCCTCATGCCCGCAGCTCCTGCACACTTGCGTCCCCCTCGCCAAGCGGACCCTCGTGCTCGTGTGCAGTCAATGGAGCTGTCAGTCATGTCCTCCGGCATCGGTGCGTCGATCGGCAGACCGACTAGTGCACCTCTACGCGACGATGACTGGGACGCGTATGTCCGTGAACGCAAGCTCTTGCAGCCCCCGTCTGGCGTTACACCGCCCATCGCCACCACGCCGATAAGCCCTACTCCCCGTGTTCCCGTATCCCCAGCAGTGGAAGAGGCGCTGATGAAGCGGCACAGAATCGAGAGCCACTATTCAGCAAACGGCCTCGAGTGGACGGCTGCAGACGGTGCGCGGCGGCCTTCACCCGTCCAAAAGGTTGCGTCCACCGGTCACGATATACCCACTGTACTGCGAACACCTCACGCGACACATGCGAGGTCGCATTCACAAGGTGGTGTGCCGGTTACAATTCTGCCACCGCAGAAGCCGGCTGCCTCGCGCTCTCCCCAGCCTGCGGAGACGCCGGTACCATGGACGACGCGCACGCTCACGTTCGAAGCACTCGATGAACGTCATCGTGAGAAGATCCGGGAGCTGCAGGAGCCAGTGACGCGTGCTGAGAAAGAGCAGCTGGAGATCGCAGAGGCGAAAGCTCGGTGGGAGAGGGCGAAAGCGTCGGAGAAGCAGGCTGTGGCTAAGCGCCAGGCTGAGAAGGCCGCCGCAGTCAGCAAGGACGCCGCGAAGCAGCACAAATCCGGCGAGCCCGCTGGTACGTCCGACAAGCGCAAGTCACGGACGATGGAGCAGCAGCAGCAGCCAGGTAGCTCCCGCCAACACTCGCGGACGCTGAGCGCGGACATTCTCGCGCATGTGCCCGGCACGGCGTCCTCGAAGCGGATGTCGACGATGAAGGTGGAGGACTGGCAGAAGCACCAGCAGGACGTCGAGCTGGGCTTCCGGCCGGAGGAGCAGCGTGCGTCGCGACGGCGGTCCGCTGTTCCCTTCCCTGAGACGCACGACCGGCCTGCCGATGGGAGGGACGCCCGGCGGCTCTCTCGGACGCCGCGCGACATGCTCAGCTGAGGCAGATGAAGGCTATCCGGCCTGCTGCAGCTGCCTGATTGTCGTAACGACCGGTCACGATCTTGTACCATATCGTCAGATGGACTTCGTCTTGACACGCATCGGCACTCTTGTTTCTTGTTCACGAACGGTGGAGTATAATGGACTTCTTTGCATGCACGGACTCGATATCATACATCCTCCAACTCTGTTTACCATTCCCTCATCCATCTCGTCCTGTCTGTTGGCTGCCATATGCATGTCTATCACTATATAGTACGGTACGTGCTCGCCAATTAACGGCGTCTGTTGTGTCCATCACCGTTCGTTGTCCACTCAGTTGTGCTCATATGTCTAGGTGTGTATAGGATTGTTTTCCGAATCTCGACCCCCGGAGGCCTAGGCCTTGGGATTGCAGGCTTGCTCCGATGTGTTCCGTAGGGGCATGCTAGCAGCTCCATCATCAATGTCGAGTTGGATCTGATGGCGGGACGTGACCTCAGACCCTCGACCGGATCGGGGAGTGGTGGCTGCCCCGCCAGTGCGTCGAGCGGCCAAGTCCGGTCCAGCCCAACTCTCTCCACCTTTCAATTGACGCGCTCCTCGCGTCGAGGCCATTCCTTCTCCTATAAAGCCTATACACCTCCTTCACCCGCCGGAAAGCAATCCCACTCTCGTTCATTCTACTGCCATGTTTATTCCCCGCTCAAAATCCACACCCCATGTGAATGGCGGAGCCATCAACGGCCCTCATACTCGGGAACAGCAGCGGCCGTCTCGTCCTCATCTGCCCCGCAGCAAAAGTGTCCTTGCACACCACGACCTGACATCCCCCATCGTGCGCTCGCCGTCTGGGGAACGCGAAGATCCATTCAGTCTGTTCAACTTCTTCCCTTCTTCCCTCGGTCTGGGGGAACGCGACGACGGATGGAAATGGCTGCAGGATGATGCCATCCGAGCTGAGCGCTCTCCTACTCGCTCGGGCTACTCTACGCCGTTCGCAGAGGAAGACGAATGGCTCCCTACCACACCGCCAGATGGAGAGCTGTACGCACAGCCACTAGACGAAGAGTTGGCCGAGGAGGCTATCCAGCGCGAGGATAAGTTTGGAATCCTGACCTTCGGTACGCCGTCGAAACGCGGGAGAGCTTGCGCTGATATGGTCGATACAGGTGACTTCCTAGCCTCGCGGCGTGCCGGCAACAAGTACTCGGACGACCAATTGATGTCGCCGTATTCGGAGTACGACCTCACTGATGACGAGGCGCTCTATCACGCGTTGTCTGCGCTGCGTGCGTCGCGGGGGCTGGCGATGGAACGCGAGGGTGCAGATCAGTTGAGCGTGCGGTCAGACGAGCTGTTTGCCGCTGGGGCCACGGAGGGCATCCTGGAGGGACTGACGGCCGGACACTCGCTGTTGCTGGGTGCGATGGATTTGTTTGACAGGCGTTTCTAGTCGCTGTGGATGTCATAACATATGGGATGCTGTTTGCCAGTGAATCGCGCGGGCAGAGTGCGGGGAAACCTCGTGGGCCGAGAAGCCGGGGGACCCCGGGGGCGGGTTTCGGGGGCAGCCCACGGGTTTGTGCGGTCGCTATAAGATGGCCGCGCGTGGGTAAAAAGGAGGTTTCTTCCCACTCCCACACTCGACATTTCCCACAGCTTCACGAACGCGCTCTTTAGACCCAAGTCCGCTATGCGAACTATAGTCCCGTTCGCAAGTCCCCTGCAGCTGCAGATGGCCTCCGCTACCACCGCGCCCAGCCAGGATCACCTTCCTCCTCCTCACCAGCACGAGCCCTCGCGTTCGGGCTCCCCCCAGCACCCGGATTTGAGCCTGCTGGTGAAACTCAATTGCACCCACTACTTCACGCGTCAGTTCTAAACCGCGATACAGGTTCACAGCCATAACAGCGCTCCTCACCCGCCTAGCGTGTCCCAGAGCCCCCGGATCGATATGGCTGCCGCGGAACAGAGTCTGCAGACTATCCTAGACGCAGCAAAGCAAGCACCTCCACCTCCTCCGATCTCCAACGGTCCGGCTCTCAGTTGGATGCCCCCTCAGGCAGGGCCGGATAACAGCCACCCCGTGGCTGGTCCATCGACACCTGTCCAGGTGAGTTCGCACGTCCGCAGCATTTCGTCATGCGCCAACATCTGCGTTAGCGTACGAGCACCAAGCGTCGACTCGAGGACTCGGACATGAGCGACCCTCATCGCAAGATTCGACGCGTCGTCCAGGACCATGTTTCCAACGATCCCGCACGCGTCATGCCCATGACAACCGTAGTCTGCCTACATGCAGCCGTGGCGCAGAAGTCCTATGGTAGCGAGAAGCGCTTCTTGTGCCCGCCCCCCGTCGTACACATAGAAGGTCCAGTATGGAACCTGAAGTCACAGCAATTGGCGATGGCCGTGGTCACCGAGAACGGAGATCGTACCTTTGAGCAGAAGGCACCCTTGGATCACAATGTGAACGCCAGCTTTAAATTCCTGCATGTATCGGGCACCGCAAAGACGAAGAGCTTCCAGCTATCTCTTGATATCGCGGAGCCCCCGGCTACTGGTCCTGATGGCACCGAGCAAGGCAACGGGCGCGTTTGGGCGTCGTTCGACTCTGCGCCGGTGACTATCATCTCGAAGCCATCGAAGAAGACGGCCAAGACGCGTAGCATCGCATCTTGTATCCTCGCGGGCGGCCCAGTATCATTATTTAATCGCATCAATTCGCAGACTGTACGCACCAAATACATGACTGTTGACCGCGGTCAGCTTTGCGCAAGTAACGTCGCCTGGTCCGCGTTTACCGTGAACGTCATAACCCGACCTGTTACAGCGGACAGCGAAACACCCATCGGTGCGTCCCACGTGATCCTGGAATCTTGCTCGACTCGTTACTCACGACTCGGGGCTGAGCAGTTCCTGGCCCGCAGACGGTGCTGTATGGCAGTAAGATTGTCTTGACAGACAATGTCACCGGTACCCCGACACCACCACTCATCATCCGGAAGGTGGATAAGGGCAGAATCACGCAGGACGATGGCGGCCCCGTGAGCCAGATGCAGAAGATCGCGCTGCAAAGGGTCAATGCTGACGGTACACGACATTATCTGTCGGCGGCAGGACCGATGCCTGGCACTCCTGGTGTCGTCGTGCCGCCCACTCCCGGCCTGGCCAATCAAGCAGGCTCGCACCCGTTGTTGTTCCAGGCACCTCGTGTGCGCGACGAAGTCACGAACGGACAGAACATGATTATCGACGAAGTCGACGACTACTTGTGCTGGACAATCGTTGGGATCTGTACGTCACCTCCCACACCGTGTTATCTCCGCTCATTGCTGACGACATCTATCAATACAGCTAAGTTTCAATACACGTTCTTCGACGCATTCGGCCAGAACAACAAGATTCCCGACCTCCCCATAACCCCCTTCCCCACCCTCTTCACCGCTCCACGCTATGTGCCCAACACCGACTACAACGCGCAGCCGCCGCGAGAGTTGCTCGAGCTAACAGCGGCCAACTTCTTCTATCATAATCCTACGACAGCGACGGTCGAGCCGTTAGACGTTTACATCGGTCCTCTGGGTCCACTCCGGACACGCATCTTCCAGGCCACTCACACTCCATTCAGCGGGACTGTTCAGCCGTTTATCGCCACTACTGCCGTACAGGGGCAGTTAAAGTTTGTCCCGACGGCGGGTACGCTGACGGACGTCAGTCATACGCCTCCGGTGCATGGACCTCTCCACACTCTGGTCCTTGTCGAGCTGCCACCGAAGGGTGATGTCCTGAAGGCTCTGGAGGAGGATGCGGTGCCGACGAGTGGCGAGAACGAGTCTGGTGCCCCGACCAAGTCTCGGTCAAGAGTCGAGATCATCAGCGGAAGGAGCCTTCCGTTGCTCTTCATCCGCGCGTATGATGGCGTAGGCTACCACTCTGGCCGTGCGGTTGCTTGTGAATACCTCTTCAAGAATATGAACATCGATGCCGTGAGCGGCGAGAAGAGGAGCTGGATATCAGAGCACGCCGCACATGCCGTCGAGCAGAGCTTGAACAACTGGGCTTGGAGGATTATATGAAGACGCGGAGATGATGCGCCATCCTGGCTGCTGCCAATGTGTATCAATTGTATCGCTTTAGTGTTTGTTACTCCGGACCTTGTCGCTGACATTACTGCTGTCGTCACAGTCTACTTGTGGTATCGTGCTCGCCTTGCTTTGGATAGTTGTGTAGATTATTAGCCACGTTCCAGTACACGTTCGAATGCATATTCGTCCGTTCCAGCTCAGAGTCATGGCATCAGCATGTGTCTCGGGCATCCTGGGCTCGTCGACACACTATCTGAGCAGGCCGTATGCGCTGCTCGGCGAAAGTCTAAGGCCAATCTGAGGCCGTCGCAGCCGTCTTGCCCTGACTGACACAGCAGGATTCCAAATTCCGCAAATAGCGGATGAGTTCCGAGCTATCGATGACTGGCTGCTGTCCACATTTCTGAATCACGACGCGGATGCCCCATCGGCGCTCGTTTCGAGCCTCATAAAGACGAGACGAGCCATCTTTCCACATCCCGCCATCTCCACCGCCTCAAAAAATCCCTGGGACGCGTCGCCGAACGCTCCTACCCGTCTCCGCTGCGTATAAAAACATCGTTGATACTTGTGAGTAGCATCAGTGCCGCACGTCGCCGCGGACGCGAGGGACGCATGTGGCGCACGGTGGTACGGCGCGTACGCCCGTACAGTGGCATTTCTGCATCGCTTTTAGCCGTCCATCGTACCACCGCTTCCCCTCTAGCTCCGCCGCTTCCCTTTTCTTTCGTCTATCCACCTATAAAAAGTCTTCGCCTGCCCACTCGCACTGCTCACCATCTCACTTAGGACCAGTAAACATGGCCGCCGCTCCCGTCACATCGCGTCTCCAATGGTTCGCAGCGCAGGACACCAGGAATGCTCCTGTGCCTACGGAGGATACCAAGTTCCACCGTAAAGTACGCACTTCTTCCGCGCCCGGGGTTATAGTTGTCTGACGCTGCTCATAGACTGCCATCATCGCGACCATTGGTGGGTCGCTCGGCGTCGCGATAGAGGTCGCAGTATGCTGATGTTGCGTTAGGTCCCAAGGTCAACAATGTTGAGATGCTGGGCAAGCTCGTCCGCGCGGGCGTGAACATTGGTGCGTTAGGACTGCCATTCGTCTTCCTTCGAAGCACTGAGACGCCAACAGTCCGCATGAACTTCTCGCACGGTTCATACGAGTACCACCAGAGCGTCATTGACAACACCAGGAAGATGGTCAAAGGCAAGTCTTGTCTGCGCGTCCCATCTCTCCGTGCGCTCATGGCTATGTTTTGACAGCCACTCCTGGAGTTCGCCCCATTGCGATTGCCCTCGACACTGTACGTTGACGCTACAAACGGAGTTTTCGATGCACTCATGGGCGCTCTTTCACTGTGCAGAAAGGTCCCGAGATTCGTACAGGTAACATGAGGAACGACCAGGACGTGAGTGTGCATTCGTCCGTCTGTGCCGATCGCATAACAAACCGATCATTCTGCTAGATAAAAATTCCCGCTGGCCACGAGTTTACCGTCTCTGTTGACCGCAAGTACTATGACATCTGCGATGACAAAGTCCTCTTCATGGATTACGTGCGTCACTCTATCTTCTTGGGTTATCATTGGTTGTGCGAACTATGCTTTCGCAGGCGAACCTTCCGAAGGTCACGGCTCCGGGCAAGTTGATTTACGTCGATGATGGTACAGTAAGCTCTCCATGAGGATGAGTGAGGAATCTCACGTGTTTTTAGGTATTCTGTCACTCCTCGTCCTTTCCATTGACGGCACGAATGTTCGCGTCCGTGCCATCAACAATGGTACCCTCTCGTCCCACAAGGGTGTCAACCTCCCCAACACCCCAGTTGACCTCCCCGCTCTGTCCGACAAGGACAAGGCGGACCTCCGCTTCGGTGTCAAGAATGGCGTTGACATGATCTTCGCTTCATTCATCCGTCGCGCCGAGGACGTTCGCGACATTCGTCAGGTCCTCGGGCCCGACGGCGCTAACATCAAGATCATTGTCAAAATCGAGAACCAGCAGGGTGTCGACAACTTCGACGAGATCTTGGCGGAGACCGACGGCGTCATGGTCGCCCGTGGTGACCTTGGTATCGAGATCCCTCCGAGCCAGGTCTTCCTCGCTCAGAAGATGATGATTGCGAAGTGCAACATGGCGGGCAAGCCTATCATTGTGGCTACACAGATGCTCGACGTAAGTGCGCTAATGCAGTCTAAGCCGCCAATGCTCACCGGCATTTGTAGTCAATGATGAACAACCCCAGGCCGACTCGTGCTGAAGTCAGCGACGTTGCCAACGCTGTTCTGGATGGCGCTGACTGTGTCATGTTGTCTGGCGAGAGTGCCAAGGGTGCTTACCCCCTCGAATCCGGTATGCAGTGTCCGCTCTGACGCCGCCCTACCTTGTATATTGACCCTCGCTGCTCTAGTACTCATGATGGCGGAGTGCTGCTTGCTCGCGGAGTCGATGATCTGCTACCCTCCTCTCTACGACGAGCTCCGTCTTACCACGCCTCGTCCTACTGAGACTACTGAGACCGTGGCCGTCTCGGCGGTCGGTGCGGCTCTCGAGCAGAGCGCCAATGCCATCGTCGTCCTTTCCACGAGTGGGAACACGGCTCGCCTTATCTCCAAGTACCGTCCTAACGTCCCAATCATCACCGGTGAGTGCTAGCCGGTATGAAGACGTTGCCCGCCATCTGACACTTGTGGTCAGTTACCCGTAACGAGCAGACCGCCCGCCAAATTCACCTGCACCGCGGCTGCTATCCGTTCTGGTACCCTGAGCCCCGTGGCATCGAGGCTCACCAATGGCAGACGGACGTGAGTATTGTCGCCACTATTCCTGGATTGATTCTCATCACGGCGTGTTTCGTCCAGGTCGACAACCGCATCCGCTTTGGCCTGCGCAATGCACTGAAGATGAACATCATCAAGCCTGGCGGTACTATCATCGCTGTGCAGGGCTGGAAGGGTGGCTTGGGTCACACAAACACGCTCCGTGTTCTGTCTGTGCCGACCGACCCCGTTGACCTCGAGCAGCAGCCGTTGAGCGGATGAGTTGCTTTGTGGATGTCGTTGTAATTGCAATCCTGGGGTCGATGCCATGTATGAGTGCAGTAAATAGAAGTCAATGTATAGATTTTGCTGTGTTTTCTGAGAGTGGCTGTCTGCGTGATCTGCGATCTGGGACGGGCAACGTAGCGCCTTCACGTGGCAGCACTGAGATCGCGCCTGCGCCTGCGGTACTGGTCGACCTTTCACGAGACAGCAACTCTCCCCAGCCTCCTCTCGCTCCCCGGCCAACGCCATCCTCGCAGAACCTCTCCTGCTGGCCACGTAGAAGAGATCACGCCGCCAGCATGGCGTCCTCGTCCGTGTACTACCAGCAGAACGGGAACGGCTACTCCGACAAGCCGCTGTACAATGGCCTCCCAACGCATTCCACCGCCGTCCGCGAAAAGTGGCACAGACACCACCATACGTCCTCCTGGCTGCTTCCACTCTCCCTCCCCATCCCAGGCGTGCGCACGCGTCGTCTGCGGATCATGACCCCCAACCCTGCACGACTGCACCAATTCACCGTCACTCGGTTCGGCCGGAGACGAGGGCCGCTTGTGCTGTTCATAGGTGTCATCGTCACCGTGTTCACCATCTTCGCGCTACACAAGCGGTTTGCGACACCAGAAAAAAATTGGCCGACGCTCTCGCCTGGAGACCCGTCCACGTTGGTCTATAAGCGCGAAGACCTCCAGCGAATATGGGAATGGGAGATTGCCGCAGGGCACTATCCGAGCAGCCAGAAGCGTGCGTCTACCTGAACTGGCTGTCAGCAGCGCGAACTAACCTTGCATGCAGTTCCCAAGCAATTAGGCTTGTCCGCGCCACCATACAACCCGGCACTCCCTGCCAAGAAGTCAGCTACGATACCCTCACGATACAGGTCGCCTACCGCGACTGACACGATCGGGACTGGCTCACAGCGCGTGTACCTCGATATACAGTCGAAAGCGCCCAGCGTCGCTTACCCGCCCAGGCCTGTGTCAGGGAGCGTGGCGGACTTGGATGTCGTGATGGAGCATTGCGAGTTCCCCAAGAAGGTATGTTGTTACCCCCGTACTCTTCATGGTGCTAAAGTTCACTATGCGCCCACAGTACGTCAGGGACTGCTTGGAAGTACTCCGCATAGGAGCTGGTCTGGATAACCAGGCACGCCTCCGGAGAGGGAAGATGGACGACTGGAAGTATGTTTTCCTCGAGGACGGCCCAGGGGACAATGTCACAGACTCCGATGCTATCAGACCGAACTACCCGCACAAGGCGCATGCTGACTCCGACGTCAGCTCAGACTTCCCGAAGAAGCGTGGTGCTGAATGGGAGCTACCTATAAGGTTGGGCACACCTCCTAAGTACCGGCCTTACAACGACCAGCCGGCTTCCTGTGACGATGAGAACCCTCGCTATTTCCACATGTTCTGGACCGGGTCGTTCACCGACAAGCCATATCTCGCACTGCTCTCCTACTTGTTCACGCAGAACCTGGGACTGCATCTCGACAACGAGCACCTCGACCCGAAGGTCTGCCGCCCCAAGTTCATCCTGTGGATCAGCCCGGGTCCTGCAGCAGTGCCCCCTGGTCCCAATGCCCTGCGCGAGATGTACGACGGCCTCAAAGCTAACCCATGGGCATCGCCATTTCTCCATCCGCGGTTCAAGGACATCATCGAGTTCAGACTGTGGAACACTACGGAACAGCTGGACGGTATCCCCGAGCTCAAGGACGAGTGGAGGGCTATGCGTGAGAGCCTCTTCAACTCGGGAGGTTTCGTGGAGAAGGTCCCTGTCAACGCCGTACAGGAGCAGAGCACGGAGACTGCCGGCGAAGACGAGGATGCGACCGTCGCTGCTGCCCCTGCTCCTACCACCGGCGGCAGCGGCCACGAAGACAAGGTGAACCGTGTCGGGTCGAAGTCGGCTTCAGAGTATGATCGGCTGTCCGTCATTCTTTCGGACATGGCGCGCTTCGTGCTCTGTCACCGCTTTGGAGGCATCTACCTCGACGCGGACACTATTTTCCTCCGCGATTGGGAGGAGTTGTGGGGATGGCGGGGCGCGTTCGCCTACAGGTGGTCTCGTCTGGAGAAGTACAACACTGCGGTCCTCCGGATGAACAAGAATTCCGCCCTGGGCACGTTCCTCTTCCGGACGGCACTGAAGAACGGTCTGGACTTCCACCCGATGACGGTTTCGCGATACACGAAGGATGCTTATCTGGAGGGTCTACTTTTGCGTCTCCCGGATGCGCTGTTCGATTCGGCCTGGCTGAATACCGAGTACTATCAGCGGGATCGTCCGCCTCAGCCCTACTTGGCCGAGTACGTGTGCAGAATTGTCTCTCCATTACAATGCCTCATGTTTTCGCAGCTTCAGCCACCTCTTCGACACTCCACGGGATCTGAGTGCTGCCCCAGGGGCACTTGGGTTTGACGGCTTCTATAAGGGCGCGTACTCGTATCATTTCCACAACTTTTGGTGAGCGCCTTTCTTTGCGTGTTATTTCGCCACGTTGACGGCGTCCCCGCAGGTGGAGACCATTTGATCCATCTCGCAATTGGCCCGACTTGGGCGAGCGCTTCATCAACGGTGAGCGCATCGCTCGCGCGACCGCGGCTGCGGAATCCGGTCAGATCATTCCCGACCAGGAGGACGATGTAGTGGGGAACGACAAGCGCGACCTCGACTGGGCGGCCGTGCTGAAGCGGACGTTCGAGGCATACATCCGGGGGGAGAGGCCGAACATGTACGGAGAGTGGCTGCGGTGGTGAGTCGCCCCTGGACATCGAACAGTAACTTGCGCTCCACGTCCGCCGGGCTTGAGGCTGTCGGCTTGGTGCGTGGACCCCGGGAGAGGTCCGTGCTGGCGTGGCGGCCATGTGTTGCGTTACGGCCCTGTAGTGCGGGGTCGCTATAGAGAACACCTAGCTTCGACGGCTCTTCTATAATGTCTCTTCGCTTTACCACTAGCTTTCTGTAATGTACTGGAACTATGACGCTCGTTTGGATATGCTGTGGCAGGACTGGACTACTAGTGGGGTTCATCTTATGTCGAGCGAGCATGGATTCAGTAGCATATATAAGTAAATCGAATATGTTTATGCAGTCGTCAAGCAGTCCAGAGTATGATACCCGATACGTAAACACAGTTTATTTCATGCAGTCCGAATATGTAGTAGCTACAGATGTTGTGGTAACTTCGTCTGGCGGCTCGCTGGAACCGTGTTGGGTATGTCGCGCCTCTATTTCGCTGCCGCGATCTTCGCTTGCGCAGTATCCACAGTCTGCTTCAATAGCGAGATGACCTCGTCTGGGTTCTCCGCGCCAAAGATGGCAGTGCCCGCCACGATGACGTTGCTTCCTGTTCGCCGCACAGCATTTGCATCTAACCAGCTGCGCAGTTGACACGGGGGCGAGCACTCACCTGCGTCTGCACAGACATCGATCGTCTTCGGCCCCACACCGCCGTCGACCTCGATATCCTTGTCCGGGAAGCGTGCGCGCAGCTCGGCCACCTTGGGAACGCAGCGGTCGAGGAATTTCTGGCCGCCGCGACCTGCATAGCATGACCTCAGTAATTGACCCGCGCACGTCCGGACACAGATCGCTGCCGTAATGGAGACGCACCCGGATAGACCGTCATGACGAGGAGCATGTCCGCTGCCTGAGCGACCTCGTCGGAGATGGCGGTGGAGGGCGTGTCGGGCGAGATGGCGACGCCGGCCTTCATCTTGCGCTCATGGATCGCCTGGATGAGCGGGAGGGGATCCGCTGTCGGGGGGATTCGTGCGGGGAACCGGGGCCTGTATGAGTAGGAGGTGCTTACATGTTGCCTCGAGGTGGAAGCAGTAGAGCGAGCCGCCTGCGTCGGCGATGTCGTTGACCCACTGCGGGCGCTCCGTGCGTGAACGTTCCGTGATATGCTTCAGCAGGCTGGGGAGGGCGGCGTACCTTCTCTGGTTGGGCGACCATCATATGGCAGTCCATGAAGATGCCTGGTACGCCCTTTGACACACATGACAAGATGGGAGCACCTGTGCTATGATGAGCAGAGGTTGCATAGGTTCGAGGGATGGGTCGGACGTACCCATGGTAATGTTTGGCACGAAGTGGCTTGGGCGCAAGGGTCAGTGCCGCAAGCCCCGTGTGTGCTCAATGGGCTCACCCGTCCATGACATCTGCAGCGATGTGTGGTTGATCAACGCGTTGTGCACGGCCTTGCATTCCGCGACGCACCCATGTGCAGCCATTCTGCGCCGCTCTTGATCATCCGCTTGCACTCTGCGGTGAGCTGGCCGAAGTCGGACGCGAGGACAGAGGGGGAGATGATTGCGCGAGGCATGGCTGGGTAGCTGGGTGGTGGAGGGCGAGTGAGTGTGGATGCGGATGCTGAGTGTATTCTGCGGCCGATGAGAATGGGCTCACTGAGAATGCCCGATCGCGACGATAGCGCGTGCGGCCGAGCGGGGTCACGTGGGGCGCGCCGCGCTGCACCGGAGTGGGGAGTCGGGACCCTGGACAGTGGGCACTGGGCGGGCGACGTCGCCGCTCCACTCGCAGCGCGGATCGGCGCACACCCATCACAGCCCGCTGACCTGACCGACAGTAGAACCGCAGCCAATCCCAGCCCGTGCACTGCCTCGAATACCCTGGGTCCTAAGTATATAAGCCCAGGCATGCAGAAAGCATGTGCATCTCATAGCAACCCCTCTTCGATCTTTTCCTTCTAACGCCCTTTACGCCGCCCACCATGTTCGCAAAAACATCCCAACTTGTCCTCGGTCTCCTCTGCGCCGCAGCTGTAGTGAATGCTTCGCCCTACCAGGAGAAGCGTGATCGTAAGTACAGCACACCGGATGGTAGGACATAGCTGATCGACTTCGTATGATGCAGTGAGCAGCGTCTTCAGCTCGGTCACATCCGTGATCGGCTCCGTAGCTACTCAAGCCACCTCTGCTGGTATGTCCGTCTGCGCCTCTTCATTCCTCTCTTCTGACACGCTTCCCAGCTGGTTCCATATTCACCGACGCAACGTCTTTCGATGGCAGCATTGCCAGTGGTGCGACGTCTTTGGGTGGCAGCATTGCCAGTGAGGCTACTTCACTAGGAGGTAGCATTGCCAGTGAAGCTACTTCTGCCGCCGGCAGCATCGCTACTGAAGTCACCTGTAAGTGTCACTGGCACTTTGTTGTGTTGACCCGTACTGACCCTTCAATTCAGCTCTTGGTGGACAAGCCTACACCATCGTTACCTCCGAGGGCGGCGAAGCTATCACGCTCGCGACTAGCGGTGCCGGCGTCGCCACCAGCTTCGCTGGCTCTTATTACACTGCCGTTGCTGCTGCGAGCGGCGGAACTTCCTCGAACGCCGCTCTGGGCATGCATTCGCTCACCGTATCGGTGCCCCTCCTCACGAGTCTGCTTGTTGCTTTCAGCGGGGTGTTCTTGGGTGCCTGGGTTACGCTCTAAGCTTACTTTTGTTGCATCATTTATATGCTTTGCGCCTCACATGTTCGCGCACCACATACCTTACACTTCGATCTTCTTCTGACCTACTATAAGTTGCAAGACGCACAGACACTTCTCTCATAATGAGGAATGATGTATATCCAGGTCGGACATGACATAGGCGGGCGAGCTGCGGTACGGTGCCTCGATCGGCCTCGGTCAAGCCAGTAAGCGGGCTGTTGATGGTGGTTCCTTGCCAGACTCGCCGAGAATCAGTGCAGTATTCGAGGCCTTCGGGGACCGTACAGCCATCTACTCCTCCTCCTCCTCCATGTTCTTCTGGGTCTGTACGGGGCGTCAGACGAGCCGGAAGGAGCCAGCAAAGGGTACCCACATGAGGGTTGAAGAAGAGCGAGTTATTGCCCCAGGGGAACGGTCCGCTCTCTGTGCGTCATACGGTCAATGACACTCCAGTCTTGGACGCAAAATACGACATACTACGCATGTTAATGTACTCGTAATTGGGGACGGGGGGAAGCTTGCCGCCATTCTCGGCCTTGAGGTGCTCAAAGTGCTCCATATGCTCAGTCTCAACCTTGTAGACCCAGATCGAAGTCACGATGACTAAAGGACTCGGCGTGAATACAACTGCATCGCGTCACGGTGCCTACAGACAACACTCACCGGCGGGAATGCAAACGTAGTAGCTTGCGCAGACCACGACGTGAGGCCACAAGAACTTCTTCATTTTATTCGACTTACCTGATCTTGCGCCAGAGCTCAGAGGTCTCTGTATAGCACACGTCAGGAGCCAATCCCCGACGCGACCAAAGGCGACCTACGACCAGCGTGCTCGCTCTCGGCGGCCTGCTTCTCCCAAAACCGCTTGACAGCATCCATATTCACATCATTAGAAAGACCGCGAGAGCGGGGGAGTGCGCGCAGCGCAAGGCGGCGGGCGAGGAGGGACGTCGACATCGTCGAGGATTTGAATCGGGCAGGATAACAGCGGTACGGGTAAGGACTGGAGGAACACGGGAGGCGGCAAGCGCTCGCGGGCGAGGACAGCGTGCTTACGTCATTTGCGGCACGTGAGGCGCACGAAGGCTGCACTGACGCGTCGCGCGAGTACGCAAGTGCGCCTGCAAGGCTTTCTCTCTCGTTGCTCGCAGAATATGGTCCGCCCACAGTCCTCCGCCGCCGGCGTGCTCGCCCTCCTCTCGGAGCCCGAGCCCCTGCTCAAGCAGCATGCGCTGAAGCGGCTGAATGACATCGTTCCCCAGTTCTGGGCGGAGATCTCGGAGTACATCGCTCTTATGTGCGTATGCCTGCTGGGTTTTCGCGTTTCTTGACTGACGGCGGGCGTGGTTCAGTGAGTCGCTCTCGGAGAGCGACGAAATCTCGCGGGAAGCACGGGATCTGGCTGCGCTGTTGGCGAGCAAGGTCTACTACTACCTCGGGGAGTATGACGAAGCTCTCTCGTTCGCGCTTGCGGCGGGGGGCGCGTTCGAGGCTACCGCGGCCACTCCTGGTGCAGGCGAATACGTGGAGACTGTAATATGTGAGTAACGGACATGACATGGCGGTTGTTCTCTTCGTGAAGCTGACCGGTTCTGCGTTGTAGCCAAGGCCATTGACCGCTACATCAGTCAACGATTGGCAGAGCAAGCGGGAGAGGGCAAGGTTGACCCCAAGCTTCAAAGCATCATTGAGGGCATCTTCACGCGCTGTATCTCGGACGGCGAATTGAAGCAGGTTGGTGAAGATTACCGTGCTGTACCTGTGTATGCCTGACCAGTTGCTTGTATAGGCAATAGGCATTGCGCTTGAGTCGCGACGTCTAGACGTGATCAAGCACATCTACAATACAACCCACGATGTCAACCTCCTCTCCTACACGATGGAGGCCGTGCTTGACACGGCATTCCCCCTCGCATACCGCGATCAGGTCCTACGATTCATTCTCCCATTATTCCCCTCTCTCTCAAGCGAGAACAAGTCTCCTCATGTCTATTCTGTCACTCGACTGCTCGTCACTCTGAGCTCTGCCGAGCTCACCGTCCCTCTTATCAACTCGCTGGTGCCCAAGGACAGTTTGCTCGCGTACCAGATGGCGTTTGACTTGGTAGAGGGTGGCGCGCAAGACTACCTGGAGAGTGTGCGCAAGGAGTTGCCGGAAGGCGAGGGAGTACGTCCCGACAAAATTAGGTTGCAGGCGTAATGACTGACAGTGCATCAGGACTCGAAAGCAATATATGACAAGCTACGCCGGATTCTGCTTGGCCAGGAGTCCATCAAGCTTTACCTTGAGTTCCTCAAGCGCAACAACAAGACTGATATGCTCATTCTCAAGAACACGAAGGTTAGTTCAACGGCATCTCATTTGGCCCGCATATTTACGCGGCGATTTTGCGACAGGATTCCTTGGAAGCACGATCGTCCGTATACCACGTCGCCCTGACTCTTCAGAACGCATTCATGCACTCGGGGACAACATCAGATGCCTTCCTGCGGGAGAACCTCGAATGGCTTGGTCTGGCCACGAACTGGGCCAAGTTTTCCGCGACCGCTGCCCTCGGTGTGATCCACAAGGGTCACTTCGAGGAGAGCATGAACATCCTCGGTCCCTATCTTCCTCAGCAGGGTGGCAACGACAGTGGCATCCCCGGTGCACAGTACTCGGAAGGTGGCGCACTCTACGCTCTCGGCCTCGTCAACGCCGGCGTCGGTAGCGGCCGCCAGGTGGAGGAGTACCTCCGGAACATGCTCCGGGAGTCTCAGAACGACGTCGTGCAGCATGGCGCGGCGCTCGGCCTCGGTGTCGCGGGCATGGGTGGCAAGAACGCGGAGACGTACGAGGAGCTCAAGCAGGCGTTGTTCCGCGAGGACTCGGCTGTTGCGGGTGAGGCGGCTGGGTATGCTATGGGTCTGATCATGCTCGGTACGGCGGATGCTACGGCGTCGGAGGAGATGCTGCAGTACGCGAGGGAGACGGAGCATGAGAAGATCATCCGGGGTATTGCTATCGGTATTGCTTTTATCTACTACGGCAAGCAGGAGGAGGCCGACAGCATCGTGAAGGTCCTCTTGGCTGAGAAGGTGGGCTGAGCGCATTTGCTTCCTGGAGAACGGATGATTGACCTGTTGACAGGGTGGTGACTGGCGAACGGCCATCCTCCGGTACGGCGGTGTCTTTACACTTGCTCTTGCGTACGCGGGGACATCGAACAACAATGCAATGCGGCAACTCTTGCACATCGCTGTGTCCGACACCTCGGATGATGTGCGGAGAGCTGCCGTCGTCTCATTAGCGTTCGTGCTGTTCAAGAACCCCGCACAGGTGCCTCGTATCGTGCAACTGCTGAGTGAGAGTTATAATCCTCACGTGCGGTGCGGTGCGACCCTTGCGCTGGGTATTGCTTGCGCGGGCACTGGCCTCCAAGTATGTTTACCGCCATTCCTCGCGTATATACTATGCTCATTGCCACGTTACAGGATGCTGTAGACATTTTGGAGCCCATGACCAAGGACAGCGTCGACTTCGTACGCCAAGGCGCCCTCATCGCACTCGGCATGGTCTTGGTCGAGCAGTCGGAGGCGTCAACCCCGTCGCTCGCTTCGACGCGCGCTCTGTACGCGAAGATCGTTGCCGACAAGCACGAGGACCCCATGGCTCGGTTCGGCGCTGCTCTGGGACAAGGCTTAATCGACGCGGGTGGTCGCAACGTCACCATCAGCTTGCAGAGCCGTGCCGGTAGCCGCAACACGAACGCCATCGTCGGTATGGTGCTATTTTGCCAGTTCTGGTACTGGTACCCTCTTGCGCACTGTGCATGCCTTGCGTTCGACCCAACGGCCATCATTGGGTTGGATGGCACTCTCCAGGTGGGTGGTTTGGTGACTGTAGCGGAGAGGCATGCATGCTGATTGACTTTTGCAGGCACCGAAGTTCGAATTCATCTCCAATGCTCGCCCGACTCTGTTCGCTTACCCCGCACCCACAAAACCGCCAAAGAAGGAGGCTGTCGCTAAGGTTGCGACTGCTGTTCTTTCCACGACTGCCCGTGCGAAGGCGAGGGAAAAGAAGAAAGCTGCCGAAGGCGAGACCGGGGTAGTGGTACGTATCCTGCTGCATATCATTGTTCACTTTGTTGACCTTGGGGCAGGATGAGAAGCCGGAGGCAAAGAAAGACGGTGACGTCGAGATGAAGGACAGCGAGGCATCCACATCTACACCCAAGCGCAAGGAGTCAACTTTCGAGAAGCTGCCCAACTTCTCTCGTGTTGTACCTGCCCAGGTACCTTACATCAGCTTCCCGCAAGATAGCAGGTATCAGCCAGTCAGGGTGGTGTCGACACGAAGTAGCCCTTCGGCGAAGGGTAACAAGGCGCCGAAATCGTCCCTTGTACCAGGCCTCACATCGGAACGATACGCGGGTGGTGGTGGCATCCTGATCCTTGCAGACCAGCGTCCTGACGAGGAGCCCGACTACATCGAGTTCGAGACGCAGGCCATTATCGCTGCGAACCAGGCTGTCGCCGCTGCCGATGATCGTGCAGCACATGTCTCAGAGGGCCGCCACATCGCACTCGACGAAAATGCTCCTGAAGTGACATCCCCACCAGAATCGTTCGAGGTGCGTCAAAATCTTCTATGCTTCCTCGTCATGCTAAGATTTGGCTTCAGTACCCATTTGATAATGACACATGAACACTTTCGCTGTAACGTCGGATATATGTGTACTCGTCGCAATTGCATTTCGTTGAGCTCTCGTTTGTTCTTGTGTGCCCTGGTCTCGTGAAGCTGACGTGCTTTTGTTGCTGAATGATTCGTTCGGCGTCCCTTTGAAGTGCTGACTGATAAGGTTTTTATCTGACGTCAACTTCGGGAACACATATATTCTTGCTCTGGTCCTGTCCAGAGACTCCCTGCCACGGACCGTCATGTCGCTGATCAATGGTGTTCGCATTGCGATCCTAGACGACTATCAGTCAGTTGCTCTCACGAGTGCAGACTGGTCTCCTCTTGCAGGCAAGGTCCAAATCGACGTGTACCATGACACGCTTGCCGACGAAGATGCCCTTGTCCGCCGGCTGGAGCCCTATGCCATCATATGCGCTATGAGAGAGCGCACGAAGTTCACGGCGTCTCTACTCGACAGGTTGCCGAATCTCAGGCTCATAGCCACTACGGGGCCGCGTAATGCTGGCATAGATGTTGCTCATGCCAAAACAAGAGGAGTTGTCGTCTCTGGGACATCGGGCAGAGGCAATTCTACCTTGGAGCATATATGGGCTCTGATCTTGGCCACGGCCAGATATGTGGCCATCGAAGACGCGAATACGAAGCAAGGCAAGCCTCAGTGGCAGTCGTTTGTGCCCATGGGGCTCAAGGGCAAGACCCTTGGTCTGGTGGGACTGGGCAACCTTGGGGCCCGTACTGCAAATGTTAGTCTCACCATGCAGAGTGATTCGCGATTGACTGGCTTCTGTAGATCGCCAAGGCATTCGAGATGAATGTCATCGCCTGGTCACCGCACCTCACTCCTGAGCGAGCCGCCGCGGGAGGGGCTACGTACATACCGACCAAAGAAGAGCTGTTCAGACGCAGCGATGTTGTGTCGGTTCATATGGTCCTCTCAGAGCGCACCCGTCGTCTCGTCACGGGCGCGGACTTGGCCCTGATGAAGCCTACCGCGTTCTTCATCAACACGTCTCGGGGACCGATCGTGGACGAGGGTGCTTTGGTTGAGGTCTTGCGGCAGAGGGGGATTGCTGGTGCCGGGTTAGACGTGTTCAACGTCGAGCCTCTGCCTCTGGACCACCCACTCCGCAGGCTGGACAATGTAACCCTCACTCCCCACACAGGGTACGTGAGCGACGATAATTACGCGGTGAGTTGACGGCTATCGCAAAGTTCATCCCAGTTGCGTTCTCTAATCAGTCAAACATAGGCATTCTGGTCTGACACGGTGGACAATATTACCAGCTTCCTGGATGGCAAGCCCAAACGGGTGTTAGAGCAGTGAAATCAGAGAGTCCAGTGTATTTCTCCTTTCCACGGGGCGCCCACAACAATATATGTTCATACACCGTACCATTGTACATGGGCATTGCACTCAGAAGTAAATATAAACGCGCTCGTAGATACTTAACGGAAGTCAACTGAGTGACTCATTCTCGCGGATGCGTCACTGCGTGATGACAGACATGTGACCGTGACAGTCCACGCGCCGCTCTTTGTCGAGCGAGATCGTCTTCCGCGCGTTTCTTGTCTTTTCACTCGTTACTGCCCACCACATCTTCGCTCATCATGGACGCGTCTCGTATGGCCCATCGTAAGAACGGTGAGTATGATGAAATGGCAGACGACGCGTATAATAAACCCGTGCTGCAGAATACAAAAACAAGGGCGGTCTGAAGCAGGAAGACCTGCGGCGTAGACGCGAGGAGCAGCAGGTTGAGATTAGACGACAGAAGAGAGAGGAGAACATCAGCAAGAGGCGTAATTTCCTACCGTCGACTACTGGCGACTCCGATGATGAGGGTGGTCCTACGTCCTGGGAGACCCCGGTAAGTGTCCATCGTCGGTATCTGTGGCTCTCAAGCTAATGATATCGCAGCTGGCTGAGGACTTGATCACCAACGTCTTCTCCGATGACCCCGATCTTCAATTGGACGCTACCACCAAGTTCCGCAAGCTCCTGTCGAAGGAGAAGAACCCTCCGATCGAGCGCGTCATTGAATGCGGGGTAGTGCCGCGTTTCGTTCAATTCTTGCAGGGCGACAACCCTATGCTCCAGGTTTGTACAATGAGCTCACACCTCATTATAACATTGTGCTCATCATGACCTTAGTTCGAGGCAGCATGGGCGCTTACTAACATCGCGTCGGGCACAGCAGAGCATACTCAAGTCGTTATCAACGCAGGCGCCGTGCCCGAGTTCATCAAGTTGCTCTCGTCGTCGGTGTTGGACGTTAGGGAGCAGGCTGTCTGGGCCCTGGGGAACATTGCTGGCGACAGTCCGCAATGCAGAGATTATGTCCTTCAGCAGGGCGCTCTCCGACCGCTTCTGCAGCTACTCAGCGAAAACCATAAGCTCAGCATGCTGAGAAACGCCACCTGGACACTCAGCAACTTCTGCAGGGGCAAGTCACCGCAGCCGGATTGGGAACTCGTAAGCTTTCGCGTTGTGGTCAAGAGCAAGCACGATACTGACATTCTGACTTCTTAGATCTCACCAGCATTGACGGTTCTCACGAAGTTGATCTATTCTTTGGACGACGAGATTTTGATCGACGCGTGCTGGGCCATCTCCTACCTTTCTGATGGTTCCAACGACAAGATCCAAGCCGTCATCGAGTCCGGTGTCTGCAGGCGACTCGTGGATCTCCTCATGCACCCCTCGACTTCGGTGCAGACACCCGCCTTGCGGTCTGTCGGAAACATCGTGACTGGTGACGACCTGCAGACGCAAGTCGTGATCACGTCCGGTGCCCTCCCTGCTCTCTTGTCGCTGCTATCTTCTCCCAAGGAGGGCATCCGCAAGGAGTCATGCTGGACGATCTCCAACGTCACGGCTGGGTCCCCGCCGCAGATCCAGGCCGTCATCGACGCGAACATTATCCCTCCTCTCATCAACATCCTTCAGAACGCCGACTTTAAGACGCGGAAGGAGGCGTGCTGGGCGATTTCGAACGCCACATCCGGTGGCCTCCAGGAGCCGTCTCAAATTCGGTACCTCGTCTCTCAGGGCTGCATCAAGCCGCTGTGCGAGCTCCTCACCATGATGGACAACAAGATCATCCAGGTGGCACTGGACGGTCTCGACAACATCCTCAAGGTGGGAGAGATGGACAAGCAGGCGGCTGGTCCTGGGGCCCTCAACCAATACGCGGTGTATGTTGAGGAGGCGGGAGGCATGGTTACCATCCACAACCTCCAGCAGCACGACAACCTGGAGATCTACAAGAAGGCGTTCAACATCATGGACAAGTACTTCCCTGACGACGAGGAGGTCGATGCCGGCATCAGCGCGGCCAATGTTGATGCTTCGGGTGCTTTCGCGGTACGTATCATGTTCTCTTCCACCGCTTCAATGACTCACATCCACTTGCTGCAGTTCAACCAAGAGGGTGCTGCTCCCCCTCCGGGTGGTTTCAGCTTCGGTCAGTAATTTAGACATGTGTCAGGTTTCTTTTGGTGCGAACGATACGCGCCGTTCAGTATCATGGATTGCTAGTGCCAAGTTTGTAATCGTACGCCTCAGACCGAATATCCCATCACCTCCCCATCATCGCACATATTGTTACAGCTCAAATACCATGTTTTATTATGCGTACGATTGTGAACCGACCGACAATGCATGTGTTTCATTGACAGACAGGTCAGGGACATACGGCGAGAGTCGCGAGACCAGGAGAGGTGCTGTAAGTCAGGGGAATATTTGTCTTCGGCATGCTCTACAGTCTCATTTACACATACATGTACAATGGGTCTTCATGTAAGCCTCATTGTTCATATTATCCTGCCTCCGGCTGTCTGTGACAAACATCCCTCAAGGCTCTCTCGTCCCCGTGTCGCCGACGAGCTCACGCGGCAACGCGCCTGACGTTTGCCAGTTGTATATCAAGGTCATCGAACCCAATTCGTTGCCATGAACGGGCACTAAACATCCTCAGGACCGGAACTGCCAGGAATCAACTGGATGGATTGGGAAATGATCATTAACTGGCAGACCAGGCAAAGACATTGGGGCGTACCATGCATATATTGTTCCCGTTCAGCAATGTCTGGGCTAGCTTTGTCTTCTTTTTGCCCTGGGGCGTTGCCTCACTGTATCAATGGAATGCGCGTCAGGACGCGGACATGTAAGCATGAACATCTGTACACTGACTATTCTGTCACATCTTCGAGGACCATATCTGTGCAGATCATCAGAGCAAGGTCTGCTGTTCGGGATGGTTGACGACTTACTGACGAAGTCGTCGAAACCGAGGAGCGTACCGGTAAATTCGCGCTCGCTCTTCATGATCACCCATATCCGTGACCCGATACACCGGTCAATCAGCTCTACATCCATTATCAGCTCAATGAAATACAATGAGCGCAATGCATGGATTCACATACCCAAAGGAAGGACTTGTGAAGCCATCGTGCTTGACAAGGCTTGACACTCAAGGTCGCGGTCGTCTGCCTACTCGCCCTGGGGCCTGCAATGCGCGCCTCCAGGCGCGCTCACGCGAGGCGCGCTTGTGTGACAAGCACGCTCTTCGTGACTGTGCGTGACATCCCGTATACGCGGGAAGACAGCCGGCGGCTTCGACAACTCGTCCACATCTCCTCCATGGTCGTCCGCCTCCGCATCTCGTTACACGGCCCCCGGAACAACAAAACCCATCGGCTCGTCGCCATCGATGGGAGCGCGAGGCGCAATGCCCACCCCATCGAGGTCCTAGGCATGTGGAATCCGCGCACACAGCTGGGCGAGACCACCAAAACAGTTCGCTGGAGTGTGGAACGGATACGGTACTGGTTAGGAGTGGGTGCACAGCCGTCAAAGACGGTGCAAGAGCTGCTGGACTTGGTGAGTACGGGATGTGTGGAAGCATGAGGCGTCCATTGACATTGGCTGGTGGACAGGCTCGCATTCAGCCTCCGGCCGCGAAAACCTCACATAGCGAAGCTTCTGAAGCCTCAAAACCGGCTCAGAGCTCATGACACGATAACAGTTCATGCCATCGCCAGCATCATCTTGTCGAAGTCTCAGGTTCATGGGTTTGATGCGACCATTAGGGGATTTCGAAGAGAGGCAGGAGATGTTTCGGCTTGGCATGGTTGCACACACATATTCGCAGTAGCGTATGCATTCAGTCATCTCCCCATATCCCCATATCTCTAATTCACACAGCCTTTAGCACACCTATTATTTCATCATGTCCGGATACCTCTGCAAGCTCCTTCGCAGTGAGGTCATCGTCGTCCTTGGGCTCCGTCAGGGATGTCTAGTATGCTAGAACACTGGCAGTTACCTTTATGCTCGGATTAGCGCCCCGCTCGAGCAAGAGGCGCACCACTTCTGCACGGCCTCTGTCGCATGCCAAATGTAATGGTGTGTAGCCCTGGACTGTGATTCAATACACAAGCAACACAACATGGGTTCCCTACTCACATTCTCGTCCTTTGCGTTGACATCGACGCCCGGATTTGCGTCGAGGAATGCCCGCAATGCGGGTGTATTCCCAGCAATGGCGAGATCGTTGAGGGCGCTCCCGCTCCTCTCGTCGGACGTGCTCATCGTACTGACAGACATAGCGAAGCCATATTCTCCTCCTCCCTGACTTGACCCAGCAGCTTCGCCATCATCTGCATCCAAGTCGAGCTCGCCCACAGGCGTAGGAGCTTTGTCTTCTGACCAGCCCAGCTCCCGGGCTAGAGCGATGTAGCGAGCCTCCGCTTCGTTAGCGCGGTCACCATACGTCTTGCTAGTAGCATTCCAAGCATCCCATTTTGCTCTCCCAGTCATGTCAAATATGGATGGCTTCGATGTGTTTGGTGTATGCGATACTGTGAGGTACTTGTAGAGGCCATAGAGCTGGTTTGCGTGTGCATGGTGCGGGGCGGCACGCGGAGGTCGTCAGAACGCGTCCAAGTGGCAAACAAAAATGGCAACCTCAAGCTTGATCGCATTGGACACCGAGGACAGGGATGCTGCCGTTGATAAATAGCTGGCTGCATTATCGAATGTCGGGGACGACGTGTAGGACGACATGGGGTGCGGAGACAAGCAGGGTTATCCCATAAGTAAGTAATTGCTGCAAGAAGAGACGCTAGCAGTGTCTAGTGAACTCTATTACGTAACTACGCCGATTGTATGCACGGTATCCGTTCCAAGTGACGGTGTGTAAGTAACAACAGAGTCCTCTACGCCAGCCCTGCAGCCTTCATGGCCTGTGATACGGAGTGAGCAAACGTTGTAGAGGGAGAGCAGCAAAGACTAACCTTCAACATCTCAGGCCCGATTTGTGCGGGGCTGTCGGTCACGATGACACCCGCCTTTCGGAGTGCATCGACCTTCGCAGTCGCAGTTCCTGAGAGAGTGTGTGAGCGATCGTCGGAGCGTAAACTGATTGCGCATGGTCTCACCTTTGCCACCAGAGATGATAGCACCAGCATGACCCATCCGCCTGCCTGGGGGAGCTGTGCGCCCAGCGATGAAGCCGACGACAGGCTTGGGGTTGGTGCGCGTCTTGTTGTACTGTTCGAGGTACTCTGCCGCGTCCTCCTCCATGGAGCCACCAATTTCACCGATGATCACGATACCTGGAACCGAAGGTTAATTGCCTATCGCGGCGGATTGCAAGATGCTAACCCTCTGTCTTCGGGTCATCTAGGAAGAGCTTGATGACATCCACATGCTTGGTACCCGGGTATGGGTCACCACCGACGCCGATGCAGAGGGACTGACCGAGACCGACGCTCGTGGTCTGTGCGACGGCCTCATAGGTCAGCGTACCGGACCGTGAAACAATCCCTGCGCAAAGATTGTTTAATCGCCAGAGCACAATCTCGACGTGCAGCGAACATACCGATCTTTCCGGGCATGTGGATGTGACCGGGCTGAATGCCCATCTTGCATCCCTCCGGGTTGATGACACCCGGGCAGTTCGGGCCCACGAGACGCGACTTGGATTGGCTCTTGAGCGCGTTTGCGACCTTTGTTCACGTATTTAGCCCATGTGTTGTTAGGCAGTGCGAGAAACACACCTTGATTTCATCGGCCTGGGGGATACCCTCCGTGATGCACACAATCAACCCAATCTCGTTCTCAATGGCCTCGAGGATAGCGTCCGCAGCATGTGGGGGCGGTACATAGAGGACGGTGGCATCCGGTTGCACTTCACGAACGGCCTGATTGGACTGTCAGAGGGGGCACATCAACAGACGCCATAACCCACTCACCTCCTTCACGGAGCCAAAAATCGGGAGTCCCAAATGTGTCTGGCCCGCCTTGGTCGGCGAGACACCGCCCACCATCCGGGTGCCATACGCGAGGGCCTCTTTCGTGTGGAAAGTACCCTTCCGACGCGTCAACAGCGACGAAATCCCTCGGTCGCGTCACTCACTGTCTTTCCAGTCAGCCCCTGGCAGAGCACCTTCGTGTCTTTGTGGATGAGGAGGTTCTTGATCGTGTCTTCATAACTGTGTCGGGCTGCAGACTGCGAAAAGGACCGGCGTCCGGCTAATGACAACGCCTGTACTCAGCGAGGACCGGCGATAAGACGACGAGCAGGGCATACCGGCGGATAGGAGCGAGGGTCCAGCGCGAGAAAGCATGGCGGGAGGGAGGCCGGAGAGGGGCTAAGGAGTGGGCTAGTAAGGGCACTGTAAGCGCTTCTTGTTTGCTGGCAGAGGCGGTTGGCGCGTCTGAGGCGTTGCGGCCGTATATGGCACATCACCCTCGTTCGCTGTCGAGCATGTGTTATTTATCGGCCACGTTCGCCTCAGCTCTCGCCGCTCCAGACAGTGAATATATCCATTGCACACGGCTTCCTACGATACAACAACAAAATACTACTTCTCCCTGCGCTCTATCACCCCTACGCCTCAAACGGCGCAGCTCGTCTCCGGTCGCGCGCCTTACGCGAGGCCCGGTGCAACGACAGGATCGCACGTTTCACCCGATCGTACTCGGCCGACTGGATCGCGCTGTGAACCATTAGTGAGACCGCGCGTCACATTTCCCACTCGCATGTAATCCTCACCTGCTCATATCCGTAAGAAACTGCGTTTTCGACTGGTCAGGCACAGCGGTCACCGGCAGCTGTTGCAGGACCATAGGCAGCCACGAGAGCAGCTCCCGCTGCCAGAGCGCGGCCAGTTGCCGGAATATAGTGACGACCATCGATGTCGACTCCTCGGGGAAGTCCCCCACCATGCCTGACAGGAGGTAGCCCGTCAGCTCCGGGCCATCCTTCTGAACGACGGGATTAATGGCGGCGGCGTAAATCGGAAACTTGGGCGGTGGTAGTGCGGATGCGGGCGGAACGAGGCACTCATGAGTGACGATCCCGCGAATAAGGTCTAGAGCTGCGTAGATGATATCAGTATGCACAACGGTGAGCGCTGCCAATGCAGCTTTGAATGCGACAGGGAAGGCGGGCGAGGGGAAGAAGACGTCGGGGGCATAGTCAAGCATTTGGAGCAGCATGTGCAGGTAGTCTTCCATGACTGGCAAGACAAGGTCAGCACGCTGAGTATGCTGAAAGGCACCGTTCGGCTACTGACCATCCGGAATACTAGCGGGAGTCTTCTCTTGGAGCAATTGAACGAGCTTGTTCGATGAATGCTCAAACACTTCCTTCAACGCTGCACGCAACGCAGGATCCTCGTCGTTCCCAAAGCGGCCGATGATCTTCCCAACTATCCACAGGTAGCTCGAGAATCCTGTGACCTCGAACGCATCTGACATCCGCTTCAATACGAATGGTAGGATCGGTCGCGCCCTTCCCCCGAAGAACGTGAGAGCGAGCCTGAGGACTCGTGTGATACGCTCGCAAATTGCGTAGTCCGACCCATACTTCACGATGAACGGATCGAAGAAGCTCCAGCCTTCTTGTACGCTGTTTTGGCAAGCCACTGGGAGATCTTCACCGAAGGTCTGGATGACACCCAACATGACCTCGAGGCTCTCGAGGGCGTCTGCGCAGGTACGTCAATTGAGGCGTTGTTGAGTGAGTGAAATACAAGGACTTACTGCAGACGGATTGTAGCTCCTCCTTCGTTGCAGGAGTCGGCTTAGCAGCGATTGTATGCACTTGGGCCAGGATGTCAGAAGAGAAGGTGCGCAGAGACTGGGCAGCCTGCTCCATTGGCATAGCCGAAATGACATGTGCAATCGCTTCATACACCATGAGCCTGTCGTCTTGCACCAGCTTCGGCCCAACTGTTGCGAGGAACTGGTGCAACTGTGGAAGGAAGTCGACAAGATGCTACAAACAGACCCTGTCAGTAACTGACACTCGAACCGACGGGATACCGCATACCTGCTTGCAATCTTCGCACAAGTACTTCAGCGCTTGTCCCGCTGCTGCATTCACCTCGGTATCGGTATCATCGAAGCCAGCAGAGATGTACTGCAGCTGGTACGGGATGTAGTCCGGGTGTCTGTTGATCCACTGCGTGTACCGCGAGATGATGAGGAGTGCGGCGTAGCGAACACGGGGATGCGCTGGTAGCGACGGGATGAGGTCCATAATCTTCGGGACCGCCTTGTCGTCTGCGGGATCAACCTCGGCCCCCATTGACCTCATCGAAAAGAGCGGTGCTTCGATCTCTTGCCAGGAAATCGCGTTCGGACCCCGCGCGAGTGCCGCAGTGATCATGTCGTACGTAGCGAGGAGGCAGGCGTCTGCACCGAGCACGTAGCAGCAGTCTTTTAGCGTGTCGCCCATTACATGCCGGAACGAGCGGAAGTTCTCTGCCTCCTGCCCGGTTAGGGTGCTGAAATCCTTCGGGAAGTGGAGATGCTGGATGATCACACCCATAAGGGCCTTGTACGCATCGAGGAACGGGGCAGGAACGGAGGGCTTCTTGCCGATGTTCTGCGCGAGCCGCATCCAGAAGTGGAAGGTAATCGGGACGATGTCCAAGTCTGGATATGCAGTACAGTCGCCGATGGCTTCGACAATGGGGAAGAATGTCTCTGGATGATGGAGCAGGAGGCTGCGGTATGTCTCCCCTGCCTCGGTGAAGATGCGGGCCAATCCACGGATTTTATCGGGGTCTTCTTTGTACTCCGTCAGCTTGGGCCGCAGCGCAATGATGCGAGGAACGAGCTGCTCGATCATCGGCATGTTCTCCTCAACCTCCTGGGTCTCATGGATGAGGTCGCAGATCACGTTCACCGCGGTATCGAATAGCTCATCTGACACCAGTGCATCGAAAGCGAATCCTGGTAGCGGACTGTCAACCAAAGACACGGCCGTGACCTCCCCAGCAGCAAGCCAGCTGCTGAGACAAGCAAAGATCTGAGCCTGTATTGTGCTCGTAACACCTGCGAATGAAGGGACGGTTCGTTCCATTGACCTTAGACACACATACATGCACATACCTGGTGCTTGCAAGTACATCGAGAGTAGGTCCACCACCGTCTTTGCCTTGGAAGTGAGCAGCGTGTTAGCTCGCTCCTTGTATTCATCGTCCTGTGGCGAACAGGTCAGAACAACCGGCGCTTCATGGGCAAGGGCAGACGCTCACCGTGACAGGGATTTTAGTGTTCGTGCAAAGCTCCTCGGGCAAGATAGTGAGGAATTGCAGCAACGCGGGGACTGTAGCCGGATTCCTTCCGAACGAATCGATCATGTTCTGCACCGGGTCCTCCCACGCAGGGAGTTGGAGGGCCAGCCCCGAGATCGCGAGACAGAGCTGCACCATGATCGTACGAGGGCCGGCATGGTATGTCTCCAGAGCTGTTACGAGGGTATCGCGAAGACGGAAGATGTCCGCTGGATCCATCTCGTAGAGATCATATGTCACCTAGAACCACAAAGGGAAATCAATCGACTGCCCCACGGTACGCGATGGAACTCAGAGCTGACCTTCGCCCGGAATGTCTGCGCTGCGAAGAGCTTCGCCGCCGGAGGCGCGTCCGGAGACAGCAGCAGTACGTTGCAGGTCGCCCATGCATCGCGCTGGGGGCGGCCGAATGGACAGTCAGACGTCGAGCCCGGAAGACCGCAGGAGGCGAGAGGTATTTACGGAATGCTGGAAATCTTGTAGCCAGGTATTGGCTTGATCTAGGGCCGCTTTGTCTGGTGCACGGCCGAAGACATCGAGAGCAGAGAGCACAGCCTGAACCGCCGCCATGATTGTCGCAGCGCACTCAGAAAGCGAAGGTCGTGAACAAAAAGTCGGCTCTCGCCACTTCAGCCACTGGTGGCTGATACACACGAGTTTGCTGGTGTTGACGTCGACAACTCTCAACGTTCGACCGTTTGCTTAAACTCATTCGGCTCCAGATCTGAGACGCAGCGGTATACGGGTATTGCGAAGAAAAGAACCACTGCACTACAGCCCAATATAATAGCCTCGCATATTGAGAACATCTCGTCACTACGGAGAGAAAAGACCGGACATGTGCATGATTCAAAACCTGGTATCCGAATAAGGAGCGACAAAGCGGTTGGACGCGCTACGAACATTAGGTGTGTCATTGTAGCGAAAATGTACGATAAGACGCGACGCGTAGGTCGAAGCAGACGAGACCGGTGAGGATGAGCTTGAAATAAATCAAGGACACAGGCGCGCAGGAGGTATCCAGGGAGGAACAACAGAAGATACAGCAGAGGGGATCACGGGCGACCCAGGAAACGGTTCTTCTTACCAGTCTGTTACAGGCGTGATTAGGACTTGTCTGCCAGGAAGAGTACTGCCAACTTACCGATGTCTTGCCCTCCGGAGTCAACGGACGACCGTTCTCGATTCTCCTCTTCTTGTCCTCGAGATCCAGCCGCTGCTTCTCCAGCGCCTCCTTCATCTCCCGATGCCGGGCATACAGCTCCTCCTCTGACTGCTTGAGCTTGGCCTCCTTTTCTTGCACCTTCTGCTGGAAGACCATCTTCATCTCGGCCTCCATCTTGGCAAGCTTGGCCTCGTGCATGATGCGCTCTTCCTGTATCCTGATGGCCGGGCTGCAGAAGAGATGAGCAGCAGTCAAACAAAACACACGGTTTCACTTACTTGACCTCCTTGAACACACTGGAGTCTTGCACGACGCCCATGCTGAGAAGCTTCTCTGTCCGCCAGTTCTCGTACAGAACGGTGTTGGTGTACTCCCTGAGCTCCTCCATGTACGTGCGAACCAACATTTGCCGGAGTTTCACGAAGTCGCAGTGATCCTCGTTGTCCACCTCGACGACACCCCACGGGTACGCACGACCGCGTACCTTACGACCATCGGGAGTAGTGACCTCCTTATCCGAGCCGACGACTGCGAAGGGAATCTTGCTAGCAATCTCCTCCGCTTCGGCAATTGCCTCGTCGTCCTCGTTCTCGTACGTGGGGGCTTGGAAGATGTGGATGTTGTGGTGAGCAATGTCCGCAAGGATCTACATAACTGTATAAGACGTCTGGTGATGCAAGGATTCTCTGTACATACCCTGGCCTTGAACTCAGCCACCTCTTCGTCCGTAAGAGTGTCCGCCTTCGCAATAATCGGAATCAGGTTGACCCTCGTGTGAAGCTGACGCATGACCTCGACGTCAATGGGCTTCAACCTAGAAGACGAAGATCCGCCCTGTTAGTGTCGTCAGCGACCACGTTGTACCATACTCACGCGTGGCCGGTCGGCTGAATGAAGTATAAACAAGCATGGATGCGGTTGTCCATGATTTTTTGACGATTCACCCGGTTCTCCTGCTCTAGGTAAGAGTCGAATCGGGCTTCGATGTTCTCAACGATCGGCCTCCAGCTGTGGGCGTATCAGCACGTGACGCCAGAAATGCGCGTCGAGGGTACCGTACCACTCATCGTTGTTTACAAAGTCCCCAAAACCTGGGGTGTCGACGACTGTAAGCCGAAGGCGAACGCCGCTCTCCTCAATGTCTGCGGTACCGAGGTGGTCGTACGTAAACGGAACGTTCCGTAGAAGGAATTAACCGAGATAGCTCACCGGCGCTTATACTCTCGATGGCGACGGTCGAGGGTCTCTCAGCGCTGGGAGGCAGAGTCTCCTTCGGGGGGTACAATGTCGTGTTGAACAAAGTGTTGATGAGCGTCGACTTCCCCAAGCCGGACTCCCCTTGCACGGACATGAGATGACGGCCTGACGCGTTGACATGTGTGACACGTACCGACGACCATGGCAGTGAACTGGAACCCCTTCCGCACGCTCTTCCTGTGGACCTGGTTGGGGAGGTTGGCGAAGCCCACAAAGCCCATGAGCTTTTTGCGGATGATGGGGGCGGTGCCAACTTCGTTGGAACCCGCCGGAAGGGACGGGCTGGAACCGTTCATCCTGCTGGACCCATTGGGGGCGTCGCCGTTGCCAGTGGAAGCGTATGAGTCCGACATCTTGGGAGGAGCAGAGGGTGAGGAGGGAAAGACGGCAGACTCGCGAGACGTGGCTCACCTCGAGGGTCGGCGAGGAATGGAAGGGGGGAAGAATCGCGTCTGGTCGCGAGAGGTGCTCTTGTTTGGCGTTGATTGACCGCGTGGCGTCAACTTCTAGTCGCGGTTTGGGCAACAGCAACGTCTGCAGCCGCCCCCGCCTTAGCCTCCTCGCCCCCGCTCAGTCTCAGCACCACTCACCCATGCAACAGGCCGTTCCGGCGTCGGAGAGGTCGACCTGAGAGAGGACATTGCGCAGGCCGACCTCGCCGTCTCCAACCTCCTCCATCTTATCAGCACCCATGAGGCCGCCAACAGTCTCACAGATCCGCGCTTCTAGACTTTACCAGCCACGCTAACTACAGTCGTCATCCTGCCAGTGCTCCTACTGACAAGTACTCAAGTACACGTCCATGACAGGCAAGTGAGACTGTAACACCTGTACGCCGCCAGTGTCTTTACTACAATGGTCTGTCCAATTAACGGTCTGTCTCAACGAGTAGGCTGCGGCATGATCCGATACCCAACCTCGGTGTTTCATCACAATAGACGTCCGTCCAGGGCTTCTGACTGCCCTGGGGAAGCCAGACATTGCAGGTTGACAATCTGTTCGGTAACGCTTCGCAGTCTAGTCGCTCGTAAGCAGAGTTCAGCGCAATAGACTGGGCATGCAATCGAAAAGGAGTTGGAACGGGCCCGAGTGGTCGGACATACTAGCCAGCCTGTGAACACGTACTTAGTAGTACGTCGCAGACCATGCCAATGATCAGGCCTGTACCCATGAGGTGTGAACGCAGCAGTACATGGGCCAGAATCAATCCAGAGCAGTCATAACTTATAGATATATTTGATGCTTGGTACGATGCAGGCATCTGGCCCGGGAGGAGTTAGACGGTCATCCTGTCCTTCATCTCCGGATGCTTCCCTAGATCTGGCTTTCTCTGCGAACGTGTTCAGCGTGGGACCATGAGCTCATGGGGTGAAGGAACTGGAGACAATACATGCGCATCGAAACCTCTCTGAATAAAGTATTGAGTGGTGAGGTCTCTGTGCCACGAGGCTCTCGAAGAAACAAATTAGAATCGAAAGCAGTGTGTAGATACTACTGGGACTGAGGTGAGTCGGAGGTAGCGTTCTGGTCGACAGCCGGCAACCACTCCTTCGGGAAGTCTCTGAGAGACGGTCGTACACGCCTGCGACCGTACAAATGGTCTCCCTTCGCCTCCTTTCGCTGCTTCGACTCAATATGACGCGTGTCAAGCGGGATATCCTCGAAGCTGTCTTTTGTGTTCTGACCAGCGTATGTCAGGGAAGCGCAAGAAGCACATAATACCGTCACAACTCACATTGGCCTCCGTGAGCAACCTGTCTAGAGCGTCGCTAGCCCACTTCAGGTTCTGGGCACCCACGGGGAAGTCCTCGCAGGAGATACTGAAGTAACCGTGCTCCTGGGTCTCTTCGAGGGGCGAAACGCCGGAGTTCGCTGGCGGTTCTGGCGTCCATCGGGTTCCGGCGAGGAGCTTGAACTTGTGTATCGCAGCCTCGTCTTTCAAGGGCAGACGAGCGACCGGTACGACGACGGTGCGCTTGCGTATCGCAGGGTGGTCTTCACCGCCGTATGCTATTGAGCGCACGACCAGTGGCGTAGCCGGACTCGGAGGCACGAACGGCTTCCGGTACGCTTGACCTGAATTGAGCACTTGGATAACTCTGCTGAGCGGTGGACCCACCGACTAGATGGGGGATCTCATGCTCGATGAGACGCCAATAGTACAACACGCGGCGGTGCTGCTGCAGCTTGAGATGGCCTGCAGCACTCGAGTCCTCATCATTTTCGGTTTCGATAAGCAGACCATCGTCCAAATCCTCCAGGCCTTGTAGACGGCTATAGCCTGATCTGGTATTGGTAGTTGGGCTGTTGTGACGGTGACGGCGAAGGTGCATCTCGAGAGCAGGAGCTCGGAGCACTCTGCGTGCCCTGTGAACCGTGAGCATGTTGGGGGAGCGAGGGAGACGCTGCGGGGCGGCGACGAGCAACAGTCGGGGACTGCAGTCGGGGAGCAGAGAAAGGCCAGCGCGCAAAGCGCCTCGGGTTGATGCGCCCATCTCAGATCCCGATCGCGGACTCCGTTCACCGGGCGCCTCTTTCTCGCGCCCACTCCCATACTGATAGCTCCAGCCTGTTCACCATGGTCGTAAGTCGCAATCATACGGTAGTGATCATCATCTTGAGGTGTATTAGCGTCTGCTGCTTTCCATCAGAGCCGAGCTGGAGAATGTCACCGAGCTCGTTCCCGCCCCAGACTCTTCAAGTTTCGAGTACTTCTTCGAAGTAACCAACCATTCGTCTCCTCAGGTCTCCGTGTCCATTCTAACATCCGAAGCCAGGTAAAGTGCACAAGCTGTAATGAAGTGCATCCAAAGTTTGTATCAGTCAACAGTGTGGTATGTCCTGCCACGCTCGCCAGCGGTCGCATATCTGATCAGGAGCACCGCCTGTAGGAGGAGCACCAGGTGACATCCGGCAAGGGCAACACAGCACACTTCGTCTGGCGATGTGGCCTCTGCAAACGGGAGTCGTCCGCCAAGTTTGATCCTGGCTTCAAGCCTCAGCCATATTCAGCCGACGCCAATGGCCAGCTCGCACCTTTCCTGACCATTGATTGTCGCGGCTTGGAGTTCATCGGATTCGATCCCAGGGTATGAGTACATAATCCACTCGGATATCCCTTTGCATGCTGAAATGAGACACGTAGGGGACATGGCGATGTGTGGGGGCAGAGTCAGGCACTGTCTTTAACGAAGTAGAATTAGATGAAGGCGAATGGGTTGACTATGATGAGAAGGTTGTTTCTATACCCCTGTCATCCGGCTCGTATTGATCGACATGCTCCGCAGGCTGCCCTACCAGTTGGCGTGTCCAATATCGAATGCAAGTGGACAAGGGCGTAAAGAGGAACCCGACGAAAACAAACATTGTAAGATATATAGTCGATGTCCGCCCAGCCGAAGACATCCGTTTGGTGTCGTGTACTCTGCGCAGCTATCTGGCCATGCACAGCAGAGATGACATCCAACGTGCCAGAGATAAATCGATCTTTGCTCAGAGTATGTATGGTACACATGCATCCGACGTACTAACAAACTCGCAACTGCAAGAGCGATACAAACGCGAAGTGATATCATATAAGAGGTTTGATTAGGTCAAGTATCATGCTACATGTGCGAAAGAAACGGACGCGATGTGAACGAGGGTCGAGGAGAGACGTAAGACAAATGTGTTTCGTGGGGGACTAGTATAAAGCATGCAACGGAGACACGGTGATGGGGCGGTGTCCGAAGGACGATTGAGAGGGAAAGTGGATATAGACGAGTACTGCTGACACATGATATACACACAGGGTTGCCCTACTGGAAACCAGGGAACTTCCAGCCCGGCTGGAGTTCGAGATATGGGTGTTGCCGCAGTTCAGCTGCACTCGGTCGTAGTGCGGGGTCCCTGTGTGCAAAATGCGTTCATGGGCTCGCTGCAGCGACGATTATACCAAAAGAACTCACATAGCAAAACATTTCTGACGGAAGTCATCAGCCAACGGAGACAGCGTGATGGTCTCAGGCAGGGGTGGAGATTGACGATTTTGGTACAACTGCAGGACATCGTCAGCACCGGAATGCCACGATGAGAGTATTCGACCCACGTGAAGCAAAACTGCCATCGCCTCTTGACCGTTCCAAGGCCTTTGTCCTGTCCACATCTCGTAGACGACACAGCCAACACTCCAAATGTCGACCTTGGAGTTGTACCCTCCCTTCTGGGAGTTGATGACCTCAGGCGCCATCCAGAACACCGTACCCTGCATCGACGTGTAGTTGCCAGCCTGGTTGACATCGTCTGTGCGCTTCGAAATGCCGAAGTCGGAGATCTTGCAGATGCCGTTCGTCTCGACTAGGATGTTGTCCGCTTTCAGATCCTATCGTATGGTCAGTACAAACGATGCTACGTGAGAAATCGTTGCACGCACTCGATGCAAAATGCCTTTGCCGTGGAGGTATTCCAAGCCAGACAAGATTTGGCTCATAAAAGACTTCGTGACTTCTTCCTCGAACTTGCCGTATCTGCGTAGGCAGCTGGCAATAGATCCACCAGGAACGTACTCCAAGAAGCTATAGGCACATCAGCAACCCAGAACATACGGCCAAGAAACAAATCACGCACATGCTCAAGAACGTCGGCGTTTCTTCGAACCCAAGGTACTGCACGATATTCGGGTGGTCCAGATCTTTCAATGTCTCGCTTTCTAGCTTCAATGCTTCTACAACGGTGACCTGGCGCGTGTCGCTGATGTCGCTGGCGGTTCTAGGTATCTCTACTTGCTTGACAGCAATCATCTCGCCAGTCGTAGCGTTGAGTGCGAGGTACACCTTGCCGTATGTGCCCTTTCCGATCAGTTCACCACGGATCCACCGGAAGATCGCTGTAATTCCTTGTGTCAATATCCGTAGGGCTCGAGAATATGGGAACACGTACGCTTGACAGCACCCCCAGGCGACGCCTCGCAAGGCACAGGAGCCACCTCAGCCTCCGTCGTGACTTCCTCGACCTTGCTGCCCCACAGCTTGGTGTTCCGCTTCCGCAAAACAGCAGGCACAGAGGACTCCATCCGCGACGCGCGTTTCTTGAGCTCCGCGGCCACAACACGAATAGACTTCTTGTGCTTGTTGCGCTGCGGCGCCGGGATGGGGTTCTCAGTGGTAGTGGGGGACGTGCCGCCCGAAGGCATCTCAATGACCGGTCGATCGAGATCATGAGCCGGGAAGAAGTCCTCGATGCGCTCGAGGACAGCTTCTGGCGGCGGACGGGGAGCCCACGTCGTATCGACATCGTCGTCAAACGTGCTTTTACGCACGTCCTTGTTGCTTCCAATGTCGAGATGCGGGTATTGCCGCCGTGGAGTCTGACCAGGGAACGGAGGAGGGGGGAAGTCAGGCGGCGGAGGGAAGTTCGCCGGAGGGGTCCTGGACGAGTCGTAACTTCCGGGGGGCGACGGTGCGTCAGATGGGGGAGGTTGCGGGAAGAAAAACTCGTCATCACTGTCCGTGTCCGAAGCGGAACCAGCATCGACAGGGCGCGCAGCAGGCGGCATTGCCTTGGGAGGCCTGATTGTGCCATCTTCGCTCTCATTGACCAGTCTGAACGCCCACACCTCCATCTCAGACCGTAGTGGTGTCAGCTCAGATGCAGTCCTGTCTCCCGACATAACACGGTCTGGCAACGATCTCCCGTACTGCTCGAGAGCATACTGGGAGCCATAAGGACCATAGGGACTCCGTGGAGGCGTACGAGACACGGGCTTCACCGCAGGTATCGGTCTCTCGGGAAGAGGGTTGTCGAACGACGCGTCTTCGCGGAGCATTACGCCAGTCGGAGACGTCATAATATGCGGAGGGACATGCGGCGAGCGACCTGGACGAGCTGTCGAGCGATCGTCGTTGGGACTGACGACCGTCGGATGGTTCGACGTGTGTCCTCTATCCTGGGCAGAGCGCGGTCTGGGGAAAGGCTCCATAGCAGGCGGTGAAGTAGGCGTTAAGTGTGAAGCGGATGAACCAGGAGAGTGGCTGTATGGAGGAGACGTCACAGTACGAGCCGAGGGTGTGGCAGGCGACATTCCTCCACGACGTGGATCGTACATCCGACGTGTCGCTTCACGATCGAAATCGACATACGTAGAGGATCCCGTCTCCCCGGAAGTCGATGGGCGACTACTCGACGACGGTAGCGGAGGCTGAGGATGAGTACGTGCTAACCGAGCACCGGGGACAAGGCTGGGAGGGAGCTGTTGGTCCTTGTAAGCCGTTGCTCTCAAGTTGGGGTTGCTCTTCATGCCCAATAGGCGTGGATGAGGTGGCCCCGGGGACGTTTTCGGAGTATCGTAGGTCCCGCTGACGAGATAGCTCTTCGGGACCATCTGCTTGTTCTTCTTCTTGCTCTTAGGATCGCCTGGTACGTGGTTACGGGAGAAGTAGGACTGTATACCGGTGCCATAATGTGGAGGAGATAGGCCGTCTTGAGGTGTGCGCGGACGGCCTTTCTTCTGATTCTGAGAAGATTGGTCCTTGTGTCGTAACCGCTCTTCTCGAGGACGGTCCCGCCGAGCGTCGTTCCGCAGCACTGGCGACTCGACAGAGTCATTGACGTCCGAGGCAGGCAGCCTAGGCCGGACGACGGTGTCGTCATGATCGTGTGTCACAGACGGCGACCAGCGTGAGGAACTGTCGTATCTTGCGTGTGAGTACGAGGGGACAGATGCAGGTGACATGTAGTCGCTGCGCGGGATATCGCCTCGGATGGTAGGCGACTCGGGGCCTTTCGCGGCCACCGGGATCTCAGGCGAAAGAATCCGGTTCGGCGACCTCGGGCGAAGAGGTGCTGGAGAACGAGCTCGCTGTGAAGCCTTTTGCACCGCAGAATGGACAAGGGGCACGGGCGGTCTGCGCATCTGAACATCTCGATCGCCGTTGTTGAGATCGTCAGACACCGACGGTTCATAACCGGGATCTTCGACGGGCACGCGCTCGCTCGCAGATGACTGGCTGCCGTGCCTGGACCTCGACCTTGAACGTCGTGGCTTCGGGTTCAAGCCGTACTGGGGCAATGTTGGAGGAGGTATCGTATGCTCCATTAATGTTCCAGGATCTTGGTCGTGTGGAGGTTCGTGCACGAAGGCGGAAGAATGAGAAACCAGCAGCTTCAGAGTCCCCGTCTCGTCGCCCTGCTGGCGACACAAGCTAAATAGCTCTTCGTCCGTGAGGGCATCGCCGATGGCAAACTTTGCCACCTCCGTGCGATAAATGGAATAACTCGACTGTGCTTCATCTGACACCAGCAACTACGGAAATAGATGATCAACGAATCTGAAGACCAACAACTTTGGAGCGCATACCTTGGAGAATATTCGTTCCCGAATGAAAGCGCCAGTCATCGCACCGCTGGCATCGACAAGGGTAAAGTTGTCGGCATTCGTAGTGACCAGCAAGGCCACCTTCTCAATAGGCTTCGCCGCGACCTTTGGAAAGTGGTGGGGCAGGTAGAAACTGGGCGCAGACGTGCCCGGCTGGAATGAGGCATACGCCGCAGAGTAAGAGTCAGATGCACTACTGGTGGGCTGGACTTGAGAGTGGGGCGTGTAAGCGTCGGGTGTCGAGCTTGTCGGCGACTAGCGGAGAGCTCAGTCAGCGAAACAATGGGTAGAATTGGCGTACGCACGCTTGACGGCCTGCTATTCTGCGAAGATCTCCGGACATGAGGGCGACGCGAAAATGGAGACTTGAGGGTATCAACTATCCGTGCCGCCGAGCGCTGGCAGAACGCGTCGTTGCGATCTGGAGAGGCAAGCGCAACCATCTCCGGCCGGAGGGTGCCCTCGCCCGACAAGTCCACAGACGGTGCACTTTGCCCAGGTGTGCTGGGGGGTGGCGTCGACTCGACGGCAGGCGAGCTGGTGCTTGAAGGAGACGACAGGGCTGGATTCGATGGATTCGAATGATAACCCTTCTGGTCTGGAAATTGAATGTCCGTAGTGAGCGGAGGAGGGAGAGGGACACGGCTCGTAGACGGCTGCGGTCTCTCCACCGCTGCACTGCGCCCAGGACTCGGGAGAGGTCGGCGACTGTAGTCAGGTTTGTGCGAGTTGGAAGTCTGTTTCATCTCCTCTGAGTCGCTGCTGGAATCCGGGCCTGGATTGTTGACGACCAGGATGCGCGGACGCGGGGGCTTGCGGCTCTTGCTGCTCACGTTTGTGCTCGATCTTGTGTCGTCCGACATGGGAGCAAACGAATGTTGAGACGTGAATGCAGAGGTCGGGACGGGCTGCAGACCTGTTGACGATAGGGAAAGAAAGGAAGGGGCGTCGACAGAGACCAGCCCGGGACAAGCACAGGCAGCCAGGGGAGTGTGCGAGGGATCCTGATGGGCGCGGTGGAGGCAGACGAGCGGAAGAGAGCGTCGTCGAGCGGGACGGCGAAGGCGACCGAGAAAGCGCGTTGCGCCGAGTGCCAGGCACCTTTGCTGGAGGAGCGCTGACTAAGCGCCTTAACCGAGGGAGCGTCTCGCCTCGGTCGACGGATGCCCAAAGAGGCAGGTCGCCCGTCTTCTGCCTCTCGCGCCGGACGCTTTCGCGGTGCGTCTCCTGCGCAGGCCTTCTGAACCTCTCTTCCGCCTCCTCGCAGGCTGCGTGCTGCGCCCCATTCATCGCCCTTCTATCTCGAAAACACCTGCTCGCCACACCCCTTCATATCTTCTAATCGGAGCCTCAAGGCCGGCCAAGGCCCGCCGCCATTCATTCCGCCGCGGTCTGGCCAGCCGACCCCATCTCCGGAGCGACACCTTTTGTAACACATCCACCCGAGCGCGCACACGTCTGCGTTGCATCCGCGATATGATTGTCGCGACAGAGGCTGTTTCAACGACCATCGACGTCGGACAGCCCTTGCATCAATCCGCACGCATCCGCGGCCTGCGCGACCGCCGAGCGTCTGTTTCCCGCGCTGGCACGCGATCCCAACACGGAGCGTGCCTTCTGGAGATGAATACACCGAACGCCGGAAGGACGGTCCATAATGGAAGGTCGCACTCTAGTCACACTCCCACCGGATCAAGGACACACATTTCGATGCGAACCGACTCAGCGCTTGCGGGCACCAAGCACCGCGTCCGCCCACAATCAGGCGTACATCAGTTAAAGTACATACATTCCACAGAACGAGCAATACAGAGTCCGCGAACATAACTAACATTAACGTATACAAAATCACTTGCCACCGTACTGGAATGTACCCTCGCCGAGGTCCAGCTAATGGTGGCGCATCATTAACGAGAGCGTGGAGAAAACACGAACACGCCGCACCTTGGGAAATTCCGCGTGCTCGCCGAGCATGTTCTCCCCCCAGCACAGAAGTCGAAGGAGGCCTACCAGTTTCGCCTCCTTGCCCTGGCTTAGGCTCTCGAGAATCGCGGAGTTCACCTCACTGGCAGTTTTCATTCTCTGCGCGGGTGATAGAAGCTCGCTGATCGCTGGAGGAGCCGACGGGGACGACTCGAACGCCAGAAGCGCCATGGTCCGCTCGAGTTCAGACAGGAACTCTGGGCTCTCTTCGCCCCTCGGAGCCAGTTCCTCCTGAGCGAATCGGAGCGCCTCTGCTGTGTGACCTTGCTTAATGTACTCGATGAGCTTCTGTTGCTGTAGGCGGAAGTAGAGTGCCGGATTCGTGTCTAGAAGCTGCGAAGCAAAGTCTATCAGCGGATATTCGTCGAGATAGAGTGTGCGAAATAGGCAGATCATATTGAAGACTGAAGTTTGGTGTAAAGAGTATCATCACAGACCCCATGGGTCTATGCGTGGTGCATGAAATTTTTAATCCTTCGTACCCACAGAAGGGGATGAATGGCGGAGCAAGACGCAGACGCTCACCTCTGGGTTGAGATCATTCACACGAGTGATCGCATCGCTCACGTCTCCTCGCTGCAACGCCTCACGGATGTTCGTCCTGCTCTCGATGCTCTCAAAGTCCACCGGCGAGTCCAATCCAGCCTCGCGAGAGAACTGCTCCGCGGCTGTCTTGTAACCCTCGATGACGAGGTAATCCATGACGAGGCGGTTCAAGTCACTACCGAAAGCAAAGCGTCAGCAGATGGTCTCCTTCAAAGAAGACGGGCACGGTAAAGGCATCAGATAATACATGCAATATCAATTTTTCTCATCTCATATGTTCAGAGAGATTCCCAATGAGTTGTTCATCCCATAGCCCTTCACCGGCACAGATGGAACAGACGGATACTCACCGTTTCGATACCTTCACGTCGTGCAGACGCCGCTCCCATTCTTCTTGGAAGATAGTCTGCGAAGGCTGGACAGGAGATTAACATGAGTAGGTCCTGACGAGCAGGGGCGGGTATACTGACCATAGGGAGAACGGCGAGCAAAGGTAGCAGAGATTTATGCGGGAAAAGCGCGTTTAGGGCAGGCTCATGAGCAAGCACGTTCTGGCGCCTGCGATGGACCAATGACGTCCCGAACGTCCGTCCGACTGGACCGACCTCCATCGCGAAGTCGTGCGTTTCATCACCTTGACCCATGAAACGAACACCTCTCTCAATGAGGATGAGGATACACTGAGAACTCAGAACTCCATGATACATCATCAAGAGGTCAGATTCCGAGTCATTTCTTTTGAGTGGTACCATTTCGTAGGACCAGACTTTTGAGGTTTGGTCCTACGAACTGTTACCGCTCAACAACAGAAATGACTACACAGCATCAGCGAACGGCGCGATCTAGAGCGGCGGCTGTCAGACAACATCTCTGGTGCAGGGTCAAACCTCCGTGCAGTCGTTCCCTCGTTGCGCGCGTAGTCACAGAGGTCTACGACTCTACATACTATATCGTACGTGAGGCACATGTAATATTTAAGCCTTCGAGACGATGCCGCCGGAACGGATGATATCCAGAAAATCGTCTTGACCCAGAGTTGCTAACAGAGTTCGTCAGCTGAGCCATTCTGCGTTTCAGCACCCGAAGATTGCACGTACATTCTTTTGCTCTTCCGATGACATTGTCCTTCTGTTTGCCCTTCTTCGGCGTTTTCTTTTTATCGAGTACATCGAGTACAGGTGCAGGCAATGTGGGCTTTCCTGACCCTCTGTGCGCCTTCACCTCTTCAGCAGCAACAGAGCTCGCCGCCTGTGACTGCTGTATGGCGTTGAATAGCTTCACGACTGCACGACGTCCGGATGGTCAGAATCTGCTAGGTAGATAAGACGGACAGACGCACCTCCTCTCTGAGCGACCTTCCGCAGTGCTCGCTCGCCTTCGCCTCCCCATCCTCCAATGACGTCCCTGATGTGTCCCTTTTCCTCCTTTTCCTTTCTTTCTACCTCCAGTACCTTCTTTCCCTTCGTCTCTAGCTTCTCATCCTTCCGCTTCCTTGCGACGGACGGCTTGAGAGACAACGGTAGGGCAGACGGTGCATCGGTGCTCAGTAGTGTTTGCAGGGTAGCACCGAAGCGGGTGGCGTCCGTAGCTCGGCGTTTGCGCTTCAAGGTCTTCTTCGACTTCGTCCTCTTCGCGCCTGCGATCTCGTCCTCTGTATCAGGGGACGATCCAGCGTCGCTTCCAGACCCTTCATCTTCAGAGTCTGCCTCGTGCAAGGTGTCGTTAGCATCGCCCGAGTGCTGACTCTCTTCCGCGTCTGAGAACTCTTCCTCCGGGCGGGGCGTCAGCTTTCTGCGTTTTGTGGGAGGCGCCGCGGCAGCGGTGGCGGGTTTCTTGCCCATGCTATTTTCGTCCGGCGTGCAGCGAGGGGGCAGGCTGGCGGTGGTGAAAAGAAGATGGAGGGCAAGTACGAAGACTACAGACTGCCGAAAGCGGCAAGTGATCGACTGGTACGCTACAGGCGCCCATATGGCGAGCGTGCGCGGGGCTGACACCCACTTCCTCCGACGCGCTGCAACTCCAGACTGCCCTCCGCCGTCCTCAAGCCTCGGCAACACTCGCTTCACCTGCTGCGGCGACCGCAGTCCCACCGTCAAGGGCTCCGCTGTCTCCCCTCTGTCGCGAGCCACGCCAATCGACGTATCCGATCTGCAGTGCACGCTGTTGCCCGGCCGTCCGCGCGTTCCTGCAGGTGTGCGGTGACGAGTGGGCACGCGACGGCCCTGCCAATCTCCTTCGCAAGACACACGACCGGACATCATCGATCCCAGCAAACAGCGACGCGGTCAGGGCGACTCCATGGCTTCGTCTTCAGTCTCGCCAGTCGATCTGGCGGTGGAACCCGACCTACAACCTCTCTATCCAACGCCGGCCCAGATCGCTCACCTCCTGTCGCCATATGTCGGCCTCGCACCGCAACAGAAGGCAGAGCTCGTCTCTCACTGCTTGATGCGCGCCTGTCAATTCGGAGACATGCTGATAATGTCTCACCTGCTCACCGACCCGAACGCACATCCATTCGTAGACCTAGCAAAGAAGGAGGAGGACGGCCTGGGCCTGATCAGCACGACTATCCTTAGCTTTGTCGCGGAGTCCGAGAGAGAGATCGAGAGGGAGGAATGTGTCCGGCTGCTCGTCTCGGAGGGTTGTGATGTGAACAGTGCAGATCATGGTACGTAACTACCCTTGAACGCGCCCTGGACTGCATGTTCATGCCCACATCAGATGGCTGGACACCCCTGCACTATGCCTCTCTGCTAGCTCCCGCGACTCTTGTATCCTTCCTCTTGACTCACGGCGCATCCGCTTTCGCCTTGACGCGTCGACGGCTCACGGCTCTAGACATCGTCACTGCGCATACCATCGTCCCTGGCCGAGAAGATGTAGCATTGATCCTCCAAGAGGCAATGCGTGGTGAGGGATGGAAGGGGGGAAGAATGGAGGAGCAACGGCGGCTCATAGGAAGACGCGCTCGTCGCATGGGCAGGCGGAGAAACGTCCAACTCGACATCGAGAAGGTGCTTGGTATAAGCGCACGATGGTGGGGTGACGAACTGTCGGACCCAAATTTCGACCCCGAAGAGGAGGACGAGGACGAAGTACCGGATGAAACCATTTATGTGAGTTTACCTCGTATGCTGTTCTTACAGCCGCCTCAATTGATTAACAGACACCACCGCCTGACTACAACTCGATGCTTGTCTTCTCTCCTATGTCGCTGCCAGACATTTTCCAATCGCTCATCACTGATTTCGAACCGTCACTACGGAATGCAGAACCAGCCAACGCTCTGTACATGCTCGCGCGCTTCGCCTGCATTAATTGCGATCACAATTGGCTCGAGGATCTCATTCTGGGAGCGTGCGATGCCATCGAAGAGACATTCTTTGTAAGCATGCTCGTCGCTGTCAGATACAGCTTACTCACGGCATGGTAGAACCGCGCGGACGATGCTACCACGTTGATCTTCTGGCTCTATAACACCACTGTGTGGCTTCACCTGATGCGCTGCGACAATGCCATCAACGAGACACTAGAAATGCTCGGTTCCTTTGCGCTCATTGAAGAGATACTGAACTCTGATTTTGGTGTGTCTTCCCTCGGTATCACGGTCTACTTAGTATCTTGACGAACAGTGTAGTCTTCATCATCCGTCTCGCTGAGAGAAGGATCGACCAGCTTCTAGACGCTGCGTTACTAGACTACACGCCGCTCTCTAAGGAGTTCGAATCCGTAGAATTTGAATCAGAGTGGTCTTTCCTCCGCACATTCGGCGGCGGAAAGAAGAAGTCTCCCGCCCCGAACGGGAACGCACAGAAGAATGGCACTCCGAGCACTCCGAAGCTCGGAAGCAGGCCGCCCTCGCCGAACCCTCCCGCGTCCACGTCGCCCACGAACCAGCGGAGCTTCGCGTCTTTGCGGCAGACCTTCTCCCGCACGCGGACTCCGTCCAACACACCTCTGCAGTCAATGTTTGCAGACCCGGCTGCGACCCCTCCACCACCCTCACCGAAAGACATCACGTCCTTCATCACAGCCCTACATACCCTTCTCACGCTATCTGGGATCAATCCTGCTATCATCATCCAGCTATGGTCGCAAGTGATGTATTGGACGGCATGTAGGACGCAATCCGTTCGTGCTCATGTTCCGTTGGACTGACATCGTGTTAGGTGAAACGTTCAATAGGGTTTTGACACGGAAAAAGTACATTTGCCGGTACGTCGTCACGATGCACTGTTATTTTGGGAGGCTATCTGATTCCGGGAGTGCAGATCGCGAGCTGTCCAGATCAGCATGAACCTCAGTGTTCTGGAAGAGTGGATCGGCGAGATGCAACTTCCTCGTGGCATTGGTTCGCACTTTGCCCCTGTGAAGGACCTCTTGACGTGGTTGCAGGTGAGAACGTCTGTAGGTCAACAGTTGGACTGGTTCTGATATCATTGCAGAGTTTGTCGTCAATCACGGAGTTCCCCAACCTGATCGCAACTATACAGACGTTGCGGAATCTTAATCCACTTCAGGTACGGTCACTTGCGACCAAGATCGCTGCACGAGTGCTCATCGTTGTTCCCAGATGCGCCGTGCTGTCCGCGACTATCGGTATGAGGTTAACGAGGCCAGGATGACAGACGAGTGCAACCAGTACCTCGCACAACTGCAGAAGGACTGGGAGAGACATCGGATCAAACTGGGTGTCGAGGCTCTGCGGAAAGAGGTGCGCTGTCACAGACCAGGGGTATCGCAAACTGACTGGGACCCAACAGATTGGCGAGCGCGAGCGAGATCGCGAAGAGGGTCTCAGCGTCTCTCCGTCGCTCCACGACGTGCCAATTGGTGATGGCAGGCAATCTCCAGTCCCATCTCAAGAAACCTCAGCCGCTCAGCGCAACATAGACGCGCTTTTCGATCGGGCCTGGGAGAAGTCGTCCTGGGAGCCTGCCAGAGCTCCGGAACCCCTGGGCGAACTCCTCGACTCCAGGCACATGTTGCCGTTGCTCTTCCCGTCGGACCCGAAGATGCTCGGTGCTCTTCCTGCCAACCGCACGACGCCGGAAGAGGACAAGCGTAGCAGCAGCCGCCTGAGTCAAGACTCGTCTGCAAGTCGAGCCAGCTTCGGGACTCGCGGTGCGATGACCTGGCGGCTAAAGACCAAGAAGCTGCGCGACGTCAGTGCGATCACCCTCCAATTCGTGGATGGGTCCAGAGCTGCCCGGCGGTGGACAAGACCGGCCGAGATCGAGGAAGAGGAGGAATGGGAAGAGCTGCCGCCTTACCCTACCGCGGACGCACAGTCTCCGGACGCGTTGCGGGTGGAAACTCACTTCACTCCGCTAACAAGAAAGCCATCCGCACGCAGCAGGGGGCGAGGAAGCAGTGCGGTAGAAGAGGTGCTGACGCCCGCCGCCGAAGAGGATTCAGACCAGCCAAAACCTGTATAATGGACTCTGCTTTCTGCTCATCGTCTGTACTCTGCATTGCTTTGGATTCTATCTGTAGTGTGCTCGTCATCTCATGCAAGTTGTATATTTAATGGCCACCCATAGCAGTACCTATCGTCGCTAGTCTAAGAGTATATATCCCATTCCTCCTCGTGGCCGCTGCGTGTGCTTGAATAGCAGAGTTGAGCCCGCCGAGGCGCACTGGCCAAAGTGTAGCTAAACTATAACGGTGACGGAAGGATATCACAATCGAAACAGATCTGGATCATGGACAATTGGAACTCAGCGGCACTGCACAGGTCGTTGCAGCCAGTCGCCCGCGTTTCCGCGTCTTAGACTTGAGGCTTGCCCAGCGCAGAGTCGCTGCGCACAAACGCCATCGTACTGCCTTCTGTCCTCTATCCTACTCAGCTGTTTTACTTTCTCCCATTATTGCCCCAATTCTACGAACGGTCATGATTATCGAAGACATGGCGTCCTCTCAGACGACCCTCCACGACCCACCAGAGTACCCAGGCGATGCCAAGTCCGGATCCTTGCGACACGGCCACAGCTACAGCATGTCCACCGCCAAACTACTACCAGACGAAGAAGCGGGCCACAAAGCTGCAGGACCATCTGATGCGGCCTACGACGCGTCGTACAGGGAACCGTACAACGAAGCAGCGTACAACCCATCATACAGACCCGCCTTTCCGGAGGCCGAGGCGGATTACTCGTATAATCCGGGCGCGTACGCGACGGACGCCATTGACGACAAGCAGGAGATTCCATACGCGAAGACACCTGAACAGTACGGCATGCGCAACTACCAGAATATGGGTGAGTTGCGTGTCCTGTTATCGCGTTACGCAGCCAATAAACCAGTGAGCGCTCTGTGGACACATAGGCTACGATGAACCCCTCCCCAAACCTCCCCGAGAGCGACCGAATACTTTCAAGCGGATCTTCGGACTGTACCCTCTTGAAGACAGGATCGCTGACAAGAAGGCCGGCCGAGGTGTTCAGAGGCGACCATACATCGGTATGTCTTCAGTGTTCAACTCGTTCGGCCACGTTGGATAACGAGTTACAGTCTGGCTCCTTACGCTGATAATGCTCGCCGTGCTGATATATGAGCTTGTGGTGAATCAGAAGGCCCAAGGCACACCGGTGTCGTTCCACGTACGTGTTGCGTTTGTCTTCCCGAGGTTATTCGGCTCACTTGACATAGCCAACGGTCAACCCAATGTTGGGGCCTTCGGAAAGCGCACTGATCAACGTCGGCGCACGTTTTCCTGCCTGTATGAAGAATGTCTCATCGATACCATTGACCACTGAGTTTGCATGTGCGTAGGACACGAACGCAAATTGCGGCCACTGCTGACACCGCCACAGGTTTGAATGACACGGCGAACCCGGTTACTGAGGCGTGCCCACTGGAGAACATCTGTGGCTTCGGCGGCTTCCACGACGAAACACCTAATCAATGGTTCCGGTAAGCGGTCCCGCTCAAAGCGTCGTGCTCAATGCTCATCAGGAGTATGGGACAGCTTCATCACGCCCGTGTTCCTGCACGCCGGGATCGTTCACTTCCTATTGAATATGTTGGCGCAGCTGACTGTTTCTGCCCAAGTGCGTCTCCACCACGGCAGATTCTGACCTCCAAACTGATCGGGCCTTCGGCAGGTTGAGCGAGAGATGGGGTCTCCCTTCTTCCTCGTTCTATACATGGCTGCAGGAATCTTTGGGTCAGTACACTCGTGACCTTATCTGGCATCCGGAACTAACACAGCTGTGCAGTAATGTTCTCGGAGGGAACTTCGCTCTCGTTGGCGTTCCGTCCGTTGGTGCCAGTGGTGCCATCTTCGGCACGACTGCTGTAAGTTGATCATGAGGCGATCTTAGGACGATGTGTTAACCTCAGACCCAGGTTGCATGGATAGATCTGTTCGCGCACTGGCGGTACCAATACCAGCCGGGGAAAAAGGTGCGGCTGTTCACAATCATACATACAGTGTCCTAGATTCGCTGACGTTACGTAGCTCGCGTGGATGATCGCGGAGTTAATTATCGGTATTGCTCTTGGTTTCATCCCATGTACGTGACAATACTCCTCCGCGATGTTCTTCGCTAACTTGGCGCGTCAGTCGTCGATAATTTTGGTACATTGTATTTCCTGTCTAACAACTCACAGGGACTAACTGTCTCCACAGCGCATCTTGGAGGATTGCTCATGGGTTTGCTTGTGGGAATGGCCTTCTACCCCATTATCAGCCCGTCGCTCAGGCATCGATCAATCGTCCTCGGTCTCCGCCTGGGTGCGGTGGCTCTGGGCCTTGTCCTCTACATCGTGCTCATCCACAATTTCTACACCTCAAATCCATACGCAGGTCTGTATTATCTCCGGATCATCGGGACACGGACTGATGATTTCCTAGCTTGCTCATGGTGTCGATATCTGTCTTGCATCCCGACTTCCTCGAACAATTATTGCAAAGGGTACGTTCTAGACCGTCGTGCCTCACTGACACACCGATTCATTGCACCATTCACAGGACCGGGCTGTCCACTTCGTCAGCCTTCTAATATGAGTGCCGCGTGCAGATGTTTTACGTTTGCCGATCTATTACATTTACCTCTCGGAGCTGGCCGCCACATTGTCTTTACATGATACCAACGTCACTGATCGGACTACAATCGGACGGAACACAAGGACTTTATATATTATCCTCCGTTTTGTGTACCTATGCTCGCACTCCTTTTCCTGACTCAATGCTATCAGCGCTTGGACGCTTCCTTCCGTACTTGGTTTATCGCAATGGCGGTGGGGTCGATTGGCATTCCCCTTGATGGTGCGTGGCGAAGTAATGGTGCTGGTCCGCCACCATGCCCTTCTCCGGGAATCCGCAGCATGCTTCTGTGCTGCCTTTGTCAGGAAAAACTGTGCCCAGATGGATATTGGGGAGCATATAGGCTCCCTGTAATCCAAAAAAACGCGTGTTTTGCAATGTGTAACTGAAATACTGTGAAACCAGAACACTGCGATTCCAGCGCAACGGCTAACGTTGATACGCACCAAATCCGAGGCACCGGCACAAGGGCTAGTCGATACACGGTAACGACGCAAACCTTATATTGACGCAAGTCGGGCGACCGTCCGCGGACCACTCGCATTACGAAATGAGAAAGCTAGAACGTTACTCTTTGATCTGCACATGACAGGATCCACTGCGAATCTGACGGCGACACGTACTTCGGGCAAGTGTGGCTACCGGCTGCGAAGCAGTGTACGCGAAGTCGCTCGAGCTGGAGACTTCAATATTCAATGGAGAGACTGCCATGGGCTCGCACAAACCGTGCATGAGGCTCCCCTGTAAGCTGAACGTCGGCGACAACGCGGTACTGTATCAGCTCAATTTCAAACCGCCAAGGACTCGCGTGACGGAACATACACGGTTTGAGTTCACGAGCGAGTTCATGGGCCAACTCGCACCCGGTGAGAACTGTACTAATAGTCCGTTGTTCGGACACTCCGTACGGGGCAGTTCATCCCGATGTTCTTCTTGTCGCCCCAAGCCGAACAAGCTATGACGGAAACGACGCAATGTCCGGTGCTAGAACATGACAACCCTGAGTACAATAGTGATAAACGTGTAGAAAATGCGTTAAGGGTTCGCAACGTGCGAGGGCGCATCGGAGGCAGGGCTGTCAGGGAACACAGGCTCGCGCTCAGACTCGTCCTGAAGCACGGCCGCTTGCCCAGATATTGACGTATTTCGCTGTCGCGGTCTCGCCCCAGAGTCCTTGGTGTTGCCCCGACTATTGGCAAACTCCATGACAGGCGTAGGCAGTGCGTGGAAGGTGGTCAAGGCCTGGGATAAGTCGTCGAGCTATGACGACGAGTGATGTTCCTGAGTCAAGCTGGGACGCCGATCGGGAGGAACGGAATGCTGACCTTGTTCATGATACCATCTATCGCCGCACGCCGTCCCTTGAACGTCTCGGCAAGGGTTGCAAACTCTGCATCGCGCGCGGCCTTGCGCTGCTCCTCCGCCTCGCCCGGATCGTCCCACTCCTCTGTCGCGCGCCTTGTCGCCCCCGCAGCACGCCTCGCGCTCCGAGCGTCGCTAGAGCCTATGCCTTCCATTTGTAGGTGCATCCCTGCGATCTCACTCTGTAGCTCGCGTATCCGTGAGAGGTGAACCCAGAGCTCGTCGCGTGTGTGGTCGAAGTCAGCGCCGGACATCGCTTGACTGCCCTCGTGGTCTTGCGCGGGCGGCGTCATGAAGCCAGCGAGGGCACCGGTGAAGGGGTCGTATATGGGTTCGTGGGCAGAGTTTGGGCTAGCGGACGTCGAGCGCAGGCCTGCACCCTGAGATGGGGTTGCTGTCCGCTCGGAGCGATAGAACGAGCTCGTGGTTCCATCTATGCTAATCTTCGGAAGTGCTTGCCTAGAATCGGGACCGTCTACAGGGGCTGCGCTTTCCTGGCTTGCGCTCTCCCGCTGACCCAGCAGCTCAGACAGGACAGCGTCGTGGGGCGTCGAGAGCGGGGCTGTGACTGTGCGCTCTAACGACGGCCTAGCGTTGAGAGTCTCGTCGGCGTCGCCCCGTTGTGGGGAACGTGGTCGAGCGTCGGGGGGATGTTGGAGGTCGGGGGGAGAGGGCTTGCGGGTGGCCCGCCAGGATGGGAGCATGGTCGTTCGAGGACAACTGCCAAATATGGATAGTGATCCCAGTTGCAGCGGTGGCGCGGAGGCTTTAGAAGCGAACTCGGTTAGAATCCCCACTACAGACGCCACACGCGTGCTCAATATGGGCATGTCCCCCTCCTCACACCAGTTCCCAAGCTGTATACATGGTACTACTCAAGCATCTGCTGGCGAAGTTCAATGCATATTTAGATCACATACATGCCAAACATTCACTAGCAGAGCCACGAATTACCGTCAGTCGCTGACAGCAGGCGTGTTAAATCTGTGACTGACAGCCTGAGTACATAGACCGTGACCTTCCCGGTGTTCCCACACTTACTGAATAACAGTACGCCTAGCGTCCTCAAGCACGGTTTCATCGGCAAGTCTGCCAACTGATTTTTATGACAAGACATTTTGACGTCGCTAGTTCAGTAACCCGCAGAACAGCGTTTAACATGACAGCCTCCTCGACGAAACGCACAATCGGTGAACAGGGAAGGTCACCGCGCATTGACTTCTGGTAATCCGTAGCCTCTGCCGTTTGTCCTCACCCACTCGCCAAGGTCTGGCTGAGTCTGGCCGCTCTGCCTTTTGCAGGACAACCTTGATGGGCATACTGACTCCACCTCTGCGCGGTTCCAGATACAGGGTACCATCGTTTTGGAAACAGCTGAAATGCCTCGACTTTCAGGCTGGGCGGTGGGCGGTTCAAAAGCAATGCAGACCGTGCATCACTATATGCGCTGTCGACGAGTGCCTGCGGTGAGCAGGTACTATGACAGACCTCACGTAACTCACAGCCGCGCACGATAAGCAGCCCAGCTTGATGCGATATATGGTCCATCCGAAGCACAGTCAGCCCGCGATATTAGCAACTGGTAGCAAGTCACGGGATGGGTAAGCATATAGCGTAGTGACTAGCGACCCGGCATCGAAGCTCACCTGTTGGCAGTCCAGGTTGATATCCTCGGACCATGAATCGGCGCTGATAGGGATGTGGCAGCGTTGAGCAGCTGGCAGCTACCGTGTTCTCGGTGTTATTAGACAGCGTGGCAAGCCAGGCCAATCGACGCAGAATGAAGCAGGACCATGCGGTAATTGACCCCTTTGAAATCCAGTACGGTTCGTTGACACATTTTTGCTGGCAGGCAATATGGGTAGGAGCATTTGCGTTGCGATGATACATTTCAAGATCCAAGAAAAGTATCTGTACGATTAGGGTGAGTGACTACTCTACCAAGCCGCAGCAGCACTGCGGTCAACATCAAGGAGTGCCAATGACTCGTAGGTGAGTCAGCGGAGACTATGTGAAGAATAGCAAGTATATACACATCGGTCTATCAGCGGTTCAGATGTCTCCTCGGTCCCTTTCATCTAATATAGGCTTGGACAGAACCATATCGCGTCGGCCCGGGCAGATTAGCATGCACATCTTCACGTAAAGCATCGAGAGAACTGGGACGGCGGCAAGGAGCAAGGCCACTGCCCTTTCGACACAGCACCCTCCCACTCAGTGCCATGCGAGCGGTACAAGTCGACCACCGCGCGTGCGTTCTCGAGCTGAAGATCGCGCCGACGTCAGCGTGCGGTATAAGCGCTACTCGATAATCCAACAGGCGAGGGGGCGCGAAGGGGCACTCACTGCATCGATTTTTCCGTCCTGGACGCGGCGGCGCATGAGATGCCACATGAGGGTTTGCAGACCAATCACCTGGTTGGCCGACCCGCGAAGCGCGTTTTTGAACGGTTGGTAGAGCGCCACATCGCGTGTATTAACCGCGGGATGCGGTATCCCGAGTACTGTCCAAGTCAAGACACAGGTCAGAGACTCATCTCCGCGCTGGCAAGCCCCGGAATGGTGCGGGGGGCACTGCAATGACGCGCGTACCGGAGAGATCCAGCCAAAGGGAGTGGCCGACGACGACTTTGCCTTTAATGAAGTGGGCGGCTTGCTTCTGCACCTCAAGGAAGGCCTTAGCCCCATTGGCTGCACACCACGAAATTAGCGATGGGTCATTGGACGGCAGGCAAGTCTCCAGCTTCCAATGTTGCTCTACATACCCGGATCTAGGTGCCCCGGCTCTATGCCCGTAGTGCCTGTGCGATAGTCAGAGACCTGGGTGGTCGGCTGCACGTAAGTGTCATACACCGCCTGGCCCTGGTAATTGACGATTGCGACTCGGCTAAAATGTGTGTTAGGGTTCGGGCAATGCTTAGACTATACGACGGAGTCCGCACGCTACCATGGAGGTGCCGCCGCCGGGACCGCACCCAACACAAGTGCACGAGATGCCGATTATTTGTTCTGTTGTAGGCATTGGGAACTTGGCCGACATTCAGCTGTACGCAGAGACTCTGGGATATGCAGTTCATCTGATCGCTGCCCCCACCGGTTTATGAGGACGCATTCTAGGGCATTGATGCATTCAAGGACCCGGCGGGGGGCGGGCAAGACTCCCTAAAAATGTCAAGCAAGACGAGCAAGAAGACGAAGATGGGGTGAAGGTCATTGCACGTACGTATTGTGGCACACTGACAGATAATTTACTAGGAACGATGGCGTCCAGCGAGGATACTCTCTTGGGCGAGCACCGAAACGTGGAATATCTTCTTTTTCTGCGTTTACGGCGAGGAAGATGCACCAAAAACCACACATGTGGCAAGGGCCCGACCGGGGCGGGCTTTGGAGGCAGAGATGGAACATTCGTGGACTTGGCCGCAAGTCATCGTATGGTGTCCCGAGGCAATGGAGACGTAGTCATACCGGCTACCATGCTAGAGAGGTACGCTGGCATAGTGGGTCCTGTTGATGAGATCGTTAACACCCTGAATCTAAGTTAGAAGATCCAGTCAGCGAGTGCCATCTGGACTGAGATGAGCCGACAAAGATCTTGAACTCAGGAAGAATGTAGTCGGTCACCTCGGGGTCAATGTTGACAGGTATGCCAGATCCACTGCCGCAAAGTGATCGTCTTGAGCAATGTATCGCGCCCGCCTGCTAGAGCCAGCGACCGCGTGCTGCAATACATAATTTACCTTGCGAACTTCCCGAACTGAGCCGCTTGCCCGCTTCCCTGTTGGTGGACCAGAAAGGCATGCGACTAGCAACGACCTATATGTCGATGAGCTACTAGGTTCTTGAGCAGTTCAGCTAGAAGGGGGGCGCACAGGTGGCTCACAGCTAGCAGAAGTAGTGCCGTCTGTCACGTTCGATCAACCAATGCAAGAATTATGGCTACTTCACGCCATTCACTAGTGGCGCTGCGGGGAACAGATTCAAGATCGGCAGCGCCGCAGCGAAGCTTCGGCAGACCGGAGGCGAACGTACCTAAGTTCTTTGGCCACCGGGGCCTTGGAAGTTGGATATATACTAAGCGCCTAGGACGGGTACCTCGCCTCTAGGCCTTACGTTGGGCATCACCCATTCCCGTCGTCTTCCGTGCCGTCAGTGGCCACTGCGCAGCCCACTTTTCCACTAGAATTATTCATGACACACCTCCGATTGACTCCAGTCTTCGCTCGTCTTGGTCAAGGTCTAGACACACAGCGTCATGCAACAGCGCTACAGCGCACTATAGGTACCGAGAACATAGCGAGAACAGTGCGAATGCCTCGCAGCCATGTCCGCGGAGGCCGATAATTGAATCAGAGTCAACGCTCGCATTTATATGGCTTCCTGCGTACTGCAACACATATACATTGACCGTCGCGCAGATCAAGCAAACGGAACCGACGGACACAACTCTCCACCCGCCCGAGCCTTCGCAACATATTGCATCCGCATGCCCCAGTATAGGGTCCGTACCCGTCTTCGGAGGATCCCATCGTAAGTGTAGTGTTCCCTGCCAAAGTGCCTGCTCCTGCCGGCGGACCAGAATTTAATGATCCCCCTTGGTAGCCGGCAGCGAGGGTCCTCGCCCGACGGGCAACTCGCGCAGGGGTCCTGTCTAGTCGCCGGGAGAGCATTAACACGTCCGAAGGCGGTAGACAGATATGGGGTGTGATCGGGGCACCGCGCGTCGGGGCCACCCTCGCTGTTGGCCTTGATTTGCAGGGCGTTGGTGGAGCCTCGCACGTACAGGTCGTTGGAGTACACCGACAGGCTAGGCCTATGGGCCCCGAGAAGCCCGCCGCGCCTGCTGCTGTAGGATCTTTCGTCGTAGGCGCCGCCGTAGCAATCGCCACCTCCAGAGTTCTGCGCTCCTGCGCTGGAAAACATACCGGGCATGGGCAGGGGCAGGAGCGCGGCGAACACGTGCAGGGCGGGAATCGCGAAATGTCACCTCCTCCTCCGTGGCTGCAGCCTTGCGCCATAACTCCACGTTGTTCTGGGCGTGCACTATAGCGGCACAGGCGGATAACCGGCCTTGCGTCAAGAGGAGCGTCGCAAGACGTCGCCGAACCTGGTCGTCCACGACACTCGGGCCCCATCGACGAACGAAAGTCTTCACCAGGTGTGTTGCAGTGGAACCACCTTGCGCTCGCAGGAACGGCCGCAACGGCCGCAATGGCCGCATGAGCAGGCGAAGCGTGGTTGCATTCGGTCGTAAGTCACTGTGCATGGCCAGAAATCGGTACATGAGTTTCCGTAGCATGAAATGCCCCCTCTGTCCACGCCGACGAAGCGGTAACAGGTGCAGGTGAATGACAGCGAGACACCGTTCACGCGTATTCTCGTCCAGGCGGCCCGGTAGATCGATGAAGGATGCCTTCGTGACATCAAAGGCAAGCTGGGGTTGGTCTGCACGGATCAAGTGCCGTACGACACGATAGACCACCGCGATCGGTGTCCTTGCTAGTTTCTGGGCCCTAAGGGCAGGCATATTCTGCATGAGGATTCGGAACCGGCTTTGCAGCGTTTCAGGGTCGGCGGGCTTCACCGGCTCGAGCGCATATTCGCCAGTGGCATCGTTGCGCTGCATTTTCCGAGTCGCGCCTTCCTTCTCGGTGCCAAGGAATTCTAGCCAGACCATGAACGGTAAGGGTTTGTTTTCCTCGCGTGACAGCTCCATTTGCTCCGTCCACGCTCGCTGCCAGCCTCCTTCTTCAAGCCTAATCAAGAAGCGCACCCGAAGTTGACGAGTATGTGAATTCGGGCGAATAGCCTCCTTCTCCATCTGGATGAAGAGCGAGGCTGCTGTTCCCCGACGCGCCATACGAATAGCGAGGGCGAGCAGGAAGTTGAACGTCGCCGTTGAATGGTGTTCGCGAAAGTTGGCATGGTATCGTATGAGCCATTCTAATGACGCCGGTGGGCGGAGTGTCTGGAAGAAGACGAGCTTGTCGCAGAGATCCTCGGACGAGGTGGGCAGCGGCACGGACGAGGTGCCAGAATATTCAAAGGGGCCGTAATGCACCACGCACGGGCGCGATCCGGAGGCGGACAAGGCCTCGGCGATCTCGGGCCATGGAGGGTCGGTCTTGTACGAATGGTAGGCCCGCCCTCGATCCTTGGCCAACAGCTCCCGCATTGGAACAGAGTCGACATGGAACTCGATGACAGGCGTCCTCCATGGGTTATGCCATACAAGCGGCCGTAGCGGTCGGCCTGCGCGAAACGCGCGAAACGTCGCCATTCGTGCCGCACTCTCTGCGACGTGAGTGGACAAGCCTCCCGACCCTTGGAAATTGGTCCTAGCGTCCTTACGCGAGAGGACTTCCGACTCTGCACGCTTCGCAGACAAGTGAGAGACAGACCGGCCGCGTGTCACAATATTTCTGGAGGCATCGCCCTTAACTCCGGTGAAGAGCGACGTGCTGGAATTTACGAGTATTGCTTAGCATCGTAGACACATCAGAGAGACGGGTACGTACGACGGTCCAGCTTCTTCCACGTCCTCCACAAGTGCTCCGCTGGTTTTCTGGAACCGACGACCGCCCTTCCGCTGTGCTTCTGACGCGGTAGCGTATCCCCGAACAGACCCACCAAGCGGTACGCGTCCTGGCTTCGTCCTGGTCCACGCTCGACTAGCTGCTGCGAGGAGAATCGACGGGAAGCTGGCCGGGAGGTTGGGCACGAAAGACGCGGCATGAATCATGCACGGGGAGCCCAGCGCGGAAGGCAGATACGTAGACACACTATGGCGAACCCAGTGGGCCAGTGCGATTGACCTGGCACTGGACGGATTCCTCAAGCGAGCACGGCACGGTGGCGGAAAATTTGCCACGTGCCCTTCGCGCGCCCTCCCGGCGTCTGTCAGTGTCTACCGGCTCCGAAGCCCGAAGCGGCTGGCGAGCAGCATGTTCCAAAGGCATGTATTCGAGACGGCGCAATAAGAGCCCAACTAACATAGCAACAATTCCAGACGAGGATGCAACGGCGAGAGTACACGTGCGGATAAGCAAGGGAATCAATGATTATCGGTCATGAGAGATCGTCAAATGAGCGTACGGGGATTGCAGACAGCATGAATGTGGTGAATGAGAGTGGACAGAAGCAATACCTACGCATAAGCAATAGAAGTCATACCAGAGACACGGGAGGCCACAATGGCTCTAGCAACAACTACAGCTCCTGCATCGGCTGCCTCCCCACTAACCATCCGACTCGCATCACCCAGTGGTCGCGTAGCTGCTGCAGGATCTCCAGACCGTTTCCTTGCGCCTGCGCGAACTCGTCCAAGCACCTCTCCCACGTCCGTACAGTCTCTGAGCCAAACATCCCACTTTCACGATTGACAACCTGGTCGACACGATCAAGCCAGGCTTTCCACTCCTCGACGAGACGGGGGAGGATCATGGGCACCAGTGCCGACTGCGTGAGCGCCGGCTGATTGAGAACGTGTGCCGTAAGCGACGAGAGGAGTAGGAAGGTTTCTGTGGGATGCGAGCGGTCCTTGTGCTGGGACTGCAAAGCGGCAGCATGCGACTGCATGTTCGTCTTCGGCGAGGCGGATGCGGTCGAGGTCATCGCGGCGGGTGCAGTTACGTAGGAGAAATAAGGGAGGTATGATTGGCATGCAGCCACAAAGTCATTGATGTGTGGGCGGAGACGAGACAGGATATATTCATCTCGCATGCCGCCTGATTGGCCGGATGCTACGAAGCCAGATGTTGATGAGGGGCGACCGAAGCCGAAACCTGTGGCGGATTGTGCGTTCGAGCGATTGTTACCAAAGCCTCCTGACCCTAAGCCAAATGATGAAGGCCCAGGCTGCGAGAAAGGCGTGTTCGAGTAGGGGTACGCGTCTCGCAGCTTGTTTGCCGCGTGGTCAAGGGCTTGGGTGGCGGTATCAAGCGTAGGCCTTGGAATGAGCGAGAGAACCGTGAGTTTGAGCGATGGCTGAGCAGCCAGCAACGATGTGAGCAGTGGGAGCAGAGACTGGGGAGGGAGGCTCGCTATGGAACCTTCCGTGAGTACTGCACCTGAAACGAGTTGGGCCGAACGTACCTAGCAACACTCCCACATCCACGTCGTTCTCGTCATTCGCCGATGACCTGTTCGCCTTGCCGCCCTTCTCATCTTTGGCAGTCGAGACTGCGGGCGTGGTGCGTGCACGTTTCGGTACGGCTCGTTTGGGGCGCTCTGGGGTGGGGCTTCTGTCCATTTCATCATCCCTCGAATGCCTATTCTCGCTCTCTTCATCGGGTTCGTGTCGTCTCTTCTGGGGGCGGGGCGCAGCGGATTGTGCACTGGTGGCGAGATGCCATGGGGATGACGGCGCATGGGATGGCGTGGCCGCCCAGCCTGCCATAGAAGGTGTGGTGGAGAGCCCGAAGCCGAATCCCAGAGGGGCGTGCGAGGGGTTCACGGGGCGGGGGAAGTCGACCTGAAGGTGCGGATGGGTAACTACGTTGGCCATGATTGCGGTCGGGAAGTGCAGGCGGAGTCGCCACCGCTCGAATGAGAGAGCTGAAGGGGACGATGCAGCAAGTTCGCGCCCAAGAAAGGCAGCGCCATCACGGCCAAACTCCGCCTGCCCTAATGATGGCACGTGATCGAGTCGTCCAGAGGCTTTTTCAGCGCGCCGTTCCTGTGTCTTCGTGTCCTCCTCCTCCCACTCTCATTCCCTACACTGCTTTCATATTTGGTGTTCTCTGGTCAACAGACTGATCCAAGAATGTATATAGCTCGCTGATAGGTGAGCATATTGTTGTGTGACCGCGTCCAGCGGTGACGAGAACAAATGAATCGCTACTTCGAAGCCCGTACTCGGGCTGATGAACGTACATCATATACCCAAATTTCCGAGCCTTCATGGACGCGTATTGTTGTGCTCTATACTGACATCTGTTTTCACTAGAATTGTCCGAATGGTGTGTGATTCAGATCGTCAGATCTCGTACCGCAGACGCGTTCAAGAACACTTTTGGTGAGCATCCTTCCACGTCAAGTCCGAGTGATGAATAGTTATAGAGTCAAGTCCTGATCCCCTCTAAAGGAGGGGTAATGACGAACATACCATGCTAATTCTGACGTCTTTGTTGTCTCCATAATGCTTGATCATTGAGCTAACTCTTGTTTCGTCAGGTTGCATGGTCAGTGTTGATTCCCCACGCCCGATATGATTATACTATTGCTGCGTTCTATCTGAGAACATCGCACTATGCTGGTGTTCACTTGATGACCTGCAAATATGTCTTCAACCAGATGATTTTCGCTTCTGTTGTGTGTTGCGCACACGACTGACTGACATTTTGCCTTTAGCCTACCCAATTGGTGATGCAGTCTTTGACCGGAACGAGCAGATAATTAGGGTCATGTATCAAAATTACTGTACAATATCGTGTATCTAGCAGAATGCAATCGTGTCGATGGACAGTTTCCGAGCATCATGGGTATGGCCACATTACGTTCAGCAACCACAGCACGACTGCTGCAATGCCCAGCTTCGTCTTCACGCCTGGCTTCCACTCCGTCTCCCCATACCACACCCTGAAGCCAGGAGCTGACGGGGTGGATGGCGACGTGCTCTCCGCGAGCCGGTCGACCCACCGTCGTTGTGGGCGCGAAGGCGTGTCTGCGCCTGGCGTCTCCTCGTCCTTCAAAGCTTCTGCGTTTTGCTGCACGAGGAAGATCGTCTCGCCCCCGCTCGCCGGCGTTGGAAGGTGACTGCGCCGGCCAGACATAGCACTGTTGTCCGCTACCGTCGGGAGTGCCTGAGGTTTCGCTGAACCGCACACCCAGTTCGTAATCTCGCCTGTGGCCTGTGCGACGCGATGGGAGACGTATATGAAGACGATCGTCGTGAGGATGAGATTGACTGGTCGCCAACGCGTGCCGGGGATGACGAGCAGGACGCCCTTGGTATCTCCCGCAAGCCAAAGGTGGTACTGGATGATGAACGTCTCCAGCGAGCACGTTCCGATGAACGCAAACGCTCTTGACGATGCCGACCGCAGAATCACGTTCGCATTCCGAAGCACGATGAACGCCCCGACAGGGAGGAACGAGATGTAGGGGTGCCACGAGTTGTACGCGAACTTGTCTGGCTGGTACAGCTCGAACGCGAAGAACCACAGGAGGACAACGCCTGAGAGACCGATGGCGCCCTTGACGGCGAGCGGCCACTGCGGGTGGTCGGTCAGCCGGTGCTCGCGGATCTTGATGACCGCGAGCGAGGCGAGCATGCCGAAGTAGACGATCCACATGTCGAGGTTCACGCGGAAGGCCCACTCGCGCGCGGACCAGTGGATCCCACATACGCGAGAGAGGAAGTCGAAAATGGTCTCGAGGATCCACTGCTCGGACATGAACCAGGTGAAGAACCCCATTGAGAGCAAGATCTTGACCAGGACGAAGGCAGTGCGGTCGTTGTATTGCGAGCCAGCGAACATCGTGCCATAGATGATGAGGAACCACCAGGAGACGAGGGGTGCGAAGTAGTAGGAGAGGTAGTCAGTGTTCATGGTGTATGCAAGAAGGAGGGTAAGAAGGTTCAGTCGGATCATGACCTGAGCGATTCGCAAGAATCCGAAATCGGCTTTCTTGATGTAGAAGGTCGTATGACCGTATCCGGTCATGAAGAGGTAAGAGGCGACCAAGACGCGAATGACGTTGTAAATGCCAGAGATCTTCGATGCCCCGGTATAATGATAGATGAGGATAGCGACTAAGGGGATTGTTTTCAACAATTTTAGGTCCATCATGATATGAGAACTCACTCTGCATCCAGCCTTTCCATTCGTCGGTCTGCTCGCGGTTCAGGAAGCCAAGGTCCTTGTCAGCTTGCTGCATTGTGCACAGACCGAAGGCAAGACTCAGCAGGGAGAGGAACGAGAACACCCATGGGCTGAACTGTTTCTGCTCCTTCAACCAGAACCCGGTTCGGTCAGCCAAGTATATCAACGCGGCAGCCACGCTCATGACAACAGCAGGCATCTCCTGTTCCCCGATGAACGGTGCCCCGTTAGGTCGCGGAGCTTGTAGTCTGTCAGCTATGAACCGCCTCCACCTTCACAAAACGGCTCACCAACTCTTCTAGCGAGCAGCACGCATGCAGGTCCCCACAGCACCGCAACGGCAAGCACCAACGAGTGCAGCGGACTCGGCCAAGGGTACCTTCTACAGCACGTCTTGTCCATCGGGAACTTCTTCGGCATCACATCATTGCACGCCAAGTTCAGCAGCACCTGCGCCTGCATGCCCACCACCGCGGTCGAGAAATGCAGCCCATCCTCCGTCTGGCTCGCGTCCAGCATCGCATTGAACACGAACGGGAGCGCCACGGGAGGGTCGCCAAACCCGCCTCGGCGGACGGGTGGCGCAGGCAGGAGCGAGAAGCCCGCGGGCGGCGGCGGGTGCACGCGGTGCCGCAGGTCCGAGTTCATCGCGTCGATGTCCGCGCCGCGCATCGTCTCCGCGCGCTCGCGCGACAGCTTCGTGGAGACGACGTCGGACACGGGCAGGAGGACGACCGTGTCGGCGGGCGGGGCGTGCACGCGATTGAGTGCGCTCAGTGTGCTCTCCATCTTGGCCTCCCAGGCGGGCAGCCCACCGGACTCGGCGTAGCGGAGGTACCAGAGTCCTGAGCCGAGGACGAGTAACGCGGGCCGGTCGGGTGCGTCCGTGAGGGAGGGCATGCTGGGTCCGCTGGGGACGGGGTTGATGTAGGATTGCGCATGCGAAGAGTTGAGGTAGGGATCCCAGATGAAGGAGAGGTGCACGGAGGACGAGGCGGCAGTATAGGTGTAGTCCGCGTGCTTATGCTCGTCATCCGAAGGTGTGGTAGGCAGTGTGGAGTCGACGGTGTGTGCGAACTGGAAGAACAGTTGTCGAGTAACTGAGTCGCCGATGAAGACAGCTCGCCGGTCGCGCATGCATGTTGGGATGTCTTTGGAGCCATAGGTGTGCATCATGCAGCCTGCAGGCGGCAGGCAGCTGGTCAGAACCGGTATTACAACCAATCGAGGCATCAGAGAACACACCTTCTGGCTGCCAGTTTTTGAACTTGTCATCCAACCATTGTCCCTCCGTCAAGAGTGCATCGCAATGCGATGGGTCTGCACGGTCTGTCCACCCAATACACCCGTTAGATCCTCCATCAGTTCCTTACAGAGTGGCACACACCGATGACAAAGTAGCGCACAAGCCCCAGCAATAGAGCCAATCCAAGAGATGCTATGGAGACATAATGCGTCCACTGCGGATTGACAGACAGTGAGAACCGTCTTGGAGGCATTCCGACTTGGACGGTCTCCGGGTTCGGTAGCAAGCAACTTCCAACGTCGAAGGACTAGCAAAGCAGCATGGAGCGTAGATGATTCCAGCAAAGAGCTAAGAAAAATCAGCACGGAAACAGTAAGGCTCGTTTGGAGGCTAAGTGAATGCAGTCGTGGAGGCGTGTGCAACAGGAACAGCACCTTGGAGCCGAGTCGGTACAGCAGCGGGGATAGGCGCCCGATAACACCGCCGGGCTGACTCAGCCAGATCCCGATCTACGCAAACCACGATCGATCTGCGTGGCATCTGGGCGCCTGGTCTGCCAAGACCAAGCCCAGGTGCATTGCTCGACTGAACGATAGGTAGATGCTCCAATGGTATGTTGTTGTCAGTTATCATGCTTTCTGAATTATTTAAAGAACTCATGTACGTAGTTAGCACAGCATAGAATACAACATTTCACTTCAACCCGGCAGGCTCCAAATCCTTCCCTCAGAGTCGGCCCCCGTCCGATGTCGACATCTAGCCACCCAACAGCCTCAGCGCAGCTCTCAGCTCTTTCCTCGCCTGCTCCGCATCTTCATAGTCCAATGCGGACATAGCAAACCGGCAATGCTTCTGCGCCCGCGCGATGAGCACTGGAGTTAGTTCCACAGGCACCGCCGTCGCCGTCGTATCCAGAACGGGTACTGGCGCAACGGGGAAGACTGGCGCAAGAGGCGGGGCAACAGGTAAAATTGGTGGCGGAGCAGCAGGAACGGATGGACCCGAAGGTAGGACGGGCGCGTGTGGGGAAAGGGGAACTGGCGGGGGACGCGTGGATGAGTAGGTCGTGATTGGCGGTGGCACTGATGGCGCACCAGGAGGTACTTCTGTATAAGAAGCCGATGGCCCATCGACCTCGTCCGCTGGTGCACTCGGAACGAAACCAGGCGGGAGGTCCTCCATCGGAGGCGCGCTCGGGTCGGGGTCGATCTGCTCGGGGACGAAGCCCGGTGGCAGGCCTGTTTCCTCTGAATCCGCGGGTGGAGGTAGAGTCGTGAGATTGGTGGGGGGAGAAACGCCGCCCGTCACGGACGGCGTGAACCGCACTGCTTTCCCGCTCGGCGACTCGTCGACGGGCGTGATCTCGCCATCGGACTGACCCTCGAGCTCACCGCTCACTCGGGCTTGTAGATTATTGCGCGACTTTGCATCGAGCGGGCGCCCTGGTGTGCCTGGGGTCGCTGCAGTGCTCCAGGCGGGGCTTCGCACGGAGGAGGATGCCCCAGGGAGGGTGTGTGCGAGTAGCTCGTCAGGGACGTGTCCAGGAGGTGGTGGTTGTTGAAAGAAGGCGCCTTTCTGAGGACTAGGCAAGTCGGTGATAGTTGGTGGAGGCGGTGTCGTCCGTGAGAGGGAAGGTGCGTCGACGGGAGGTGATGGCGGGGCAGGAGCAGGCTCGGGCTCAGAACCTGCGGGTCCCGGGGTGGGTTTGCGGCCCTCGCGGAAGGCTTTGGCAATCTCGGCAGCCTTCCACTTCGCGTAGCGGATCTTCTCTTCGGCGGAATCGGGGGCGGGTGATGCAGCGTCTGGCCTTTCTTTGTCGAACGTGCGGAGGATCTCGAGGAAGTTGGCAGCAGCGAGGAACTTCTTAGCCGTTCCACTATCGTATATGATGTGTAGGGATTGCATGCAGAAGACGACAATGTCTTAGAAACCATTGAGCGAAGTGGGATAGGAACGCGAGCGGACGTACCGAGAGGCGTCTCCCTGCCTGTCCTCATTGTCCGCCATCGCAAACACCTTCAGCGCAAAGTTCTCAACATACGCACTCGCAGCGGATTCATCATGGACTGCGTCGTTGTCGCCGATCTGGCTCTTCAGACGTTCGAGTGCATCGAGGAGATTGATGAGGTAGGCTCGCGACACTGTGGCCTTCGCCCTCAGGGTGATGCCGATTTGCGCAGCATAATATGCACCTGTGACTAGCATAAGTCGGGTCTCCGCATGATGGTGAGGCGACCTACACCAGTAGGACATGACGGGATCGGTTGTGAATAGCTCGTTGGCTCGCTGGATGTACGGTGTGGTGGCCTTGAGCTCTGGCGGCACAGCAGGGAGGTCCATGAACGCCATGATAGTCAATATTTCGTAAGTATCTTCGCGGTGCACGCTAGAATGTTGCTCGGAGATGTAGTTGTATGTAATGAGGACCAGGTTGGATGCGAGTGGCGTAACTGCGGCGACCGCAGCGGACGGGATGTTCGCAGCAGAGGCGTGTGAGGGACGGCGCGCAGAGTGGATGGTGGCCGCAGAAGAGATGTGGGCAGACGGAGGCAGCGGCGCCCTCGAACCCTAACCCATCTCTGATGTCACCACGTCGCCCAATGGGGCAGGTCGCCTGCCCCTTTCGTGCGCGCCTCCCGACGACGTCCGGACGACGGTGCGCTCTTCTCTGCACACGGCGGCCACAGACGACATCCTCGTGCTCCTGCACGTCGCCATGTCTGACGCCGCAAAGTCCTCCCTCCAAGCTCGCGGTGACGCGTAGGTGACGCACTGACGTCACCCGCGCCGTTGCTCCTCCGCTCTGTTCAGAGCACATCCATATAAAATGGACGCGTTCGGTGCGTCCCCTTCATTCCAAACATCCCCCCTCCTCATAATTGACCACATTCACGACGACGACATGAAGTACATTGAGCAGTTCCAGAAAGGTTACAAGCCCCCCTTCCAGGAGCAGGGCTCTGCTCCCGGCCTGCAGGCCAAACTCGACCCTCAGCCTCTCAACGATGTCACTGCGGACGGCAAACCTTACAAGGCCGCCAACAAACTTGAAGGCCAGAGCGTCATTGTCACTGGCGGTGACAGTGGCATTGGTTTGGCCACTGCACTTCTCTTCGGTAAGTCTATGTATGCGCGTATCTGTGAAACTGGATGTCTCAAAGTGTAGTGTAGCACTTGAGGGAGCCGATATCACGTTTACTTATACGACGAAGGAGAGGGAAGAAGGAAAGGCCGCAGAGCAGGAGATCAAGAAAAAGACGAACGGCAAAGTGAAACTGCAGAGCCTTGAGCTCGACCTTCGCAAGGAGGAGCAATGCATCGTCCTGGTTGAGAAGCATCTTGCCTTCCATGGAAAGCTCGATGCACTGTAAGTATGCTAGCTCCTGTCCGCATGTGCGATAGTACTCACATCCGCGAAGCGTACTCAATCACGGAACTCAGAACGCCAACACCTACCTCCCCACCCTCCCGACTGAACAATGGCATAACACCTTCGATACCAACCTCCATTCGTTCTTCTACATCTGCAAGGTATGTATGCTCCCATTATCTCACTCTCGACCCTGGGTCTGAACGACTCTGCCTGGGCAGGCGGCCATCCCGCATATGCCTCCAGGTGCAACGATCAACTTCAACGCGTCCATCAACATGGCTGTCGGTCATCCCGAGCTCATCGACTACACAGCAACAAAGGGTGCTATGATCGGCTTCATGCGCGCACTCTCCAATCAGATCGTTGGAGAGAAAGGCATCCGCTGCAATGCCGTCGCGCCCGGTCCCATCTGGACGCCGCTCATGTATGTCCACTACCTGTATCCTTGCGAGGTGCTCGGGGAAGGTTCTAACTAATATCTCACAGCCCTGCGACGATGTCCAAAAAATCAATTGAGACGTTCGGGACGACGGTTCCTATGGGACGCGCAGGCCAGCCGGTCGAGATCGCGACTGCGTTTGTCTTCCTCGCGTCGCCCGATTCGAGCTACATCAGGTACGTAGTGCACTTCTCGCATCTGAACCATCGCTCACATACTATACCCAATGCAGCGGTCAGATCATCCACATTAACGGCGGTACTGTCATCGAGTGAAATGTTCTACGCTGGTATGGAAGGATAGAAGTGCATTATCATTTGTACACTACGCACGCAATACACAGTACGCATTCTCTGTATTTTGGGGGACATTCTGGGGGACATTCTGAGACTACCGGTGTTCTACACGCAAGCCGCAAGTGTATATTTTGATAAATTGAATGTGACTCATGTCCGAAGAAGTCCCAGCCATGAAGCTTGCCGCTTGATGCATGAAGCTAAAGGGAGGCATGATACGTTATTTCGTGGTTCGTTGATTCATCGGAGACCTGCAGAAGCTTCGGAGACATTATTGACTCGCAATCGGGGGAAGCAGCATCGCAGACAGGACCAATCACTGCCCATCGAGATAGGATCGTGCGCTGTACAGAGGACCGCGACGCCCGTCGCTTCGCGTTGCGCAAGGAGCAGCGTTGACATGTTATAGCGAAGGTCAGTGAATGACTTCTAGCTGAAGCTTGTGCAGAGGCCCCGATCTCCGAATATCGGCGAGACGCCAGGCTTGAAGTCTACGATTACCGGCTCCGGCACGCCAGAAGGGCTTATGGCAGTACAAGGAAGTTCTGGCCCTCGGTTCTGGTGCGAGTCTAATTAAGTGCTTGTGTTCGGACGCCAACCTTTTGGCAGCCCCCCAGTAAGTTGCCAGTGAAATTCCGATGGTCTGCGGACAGAATTACGAATTCCCCACAGACACCTGAAACTTCTATAGCATCGCATCGCAAGCTCGTGTGTCCTTGCTCCGAGGGAAGCAGCCGCAGTGCGGGATGCCGTCAAGTGGGTGTTCTCCCGCAGATGCCAATCGAGCACTGCTACCACTGGTGGGCACTTGGCGTAGCACAATGACGCTGAGACGTGTGTCCGAGTCGGAGACAAGTCGTAGATGAGGTGAGAATCAGCGCTGGACATGCCTCTATACTTACGGAGAAATGCGCGCATGCCCACTTTCGATGAAGGGACACCGCAGGGCTGGGACCACATCGCCGCTGGACAAACCCACCGCTGACAGAACACGCATGACAAATTCACGCTCGTCATTCATACGGATGGACCATACGGTGGTACATACAGACAGCGACGGGACAGCGGCGTACCTCGGACGCACGATGCACACGCGAACCCCGTCTAGGCCGGACTACACAAACGCACTCGAGACGGGCCGCACGCACTTGACGCGGTCCTCAAATTCATTGACAGCGATGCGCCCCCGCACCGGGACGGCGCTCTCGGACGCGCCCGCCATCCGCATGCCCACCGTCGACGTCGGGCGCCCGCCGTCGTCCACAGAGTGTACCGAGGTCATCGACGTCTCGTACGAGTAGCCACTATCGTACCCGGAGCTGGACGTGGATGCGGACGAGCTCGATTCGGATCGCGATGCATTGCCAACAAAGGCGTGAACGGTTCTCCCGCGAAGGCCTGTGCCGTCGTGTTCCTGCGAAACCGTGTCTACGTGGAAGACGGATTGCATGTCTGGCGGGTGACAACCGACACCACTATCGGAAGGTGTTGGCACGTAACCACCGCCTCCAGTCACGGAAACGGCTTGTTGAGACCGAGCGATTGGAAATGTCTCAACAGTTGAGGGTCCGTCGTAGATTGGAGGTCCCACGGGTGGTGCGTTGGGCGCTGTTGATGCCATATGCCCAGATTCCACACTGGCTGTTGATATGTTCACCGGGGGACGAGGTAGTGCCCGCGACCTCCGCACCGAATGTTGAGAAAAGGCCGAACCGGAAACAGATGTAGCATCTACTGCGGTACCCATGCCAACAGCAGCGCAGTCTTGACTGCCAGTAGGAAAGGTTCCGTTGCCACTCGGAGCAGGTGTGCGTCTAGCAGGATTGCGTGAGGGGCGCAGAGGACGTACTGATACCTGGGGGATATCACTGCGATCCTGGACGAGGCGAGGGGTAGCGTCCATGTCGGTTATTGCGCCGTCAGAGCTGTGCACGGAGTCCGCTGGATCATGTCTGTCACGTCTGCGCAAGCCACGAAGTGACGTAGCAGCTAGAAGTCGTTCATTCACGCCCTCGACAAAGCTTTCCCTCGCCCTGCGCTCCGTTTCATCACGGACATTCCTGTATTCCCTTGGGGGAAGAGCACCAACATTGATCGTGTTCCGCCTTTGGATGGGGCGGACGTCGCGTGCTCGTCCCCTGTCTCGTCCGGCTCTGCTGCCGGAGCGCGGACCCATGGGCCGCGGTACAATGGCACGCGAGGAACCGTACTCTGGCCCAGCAATCGTGGGATCCTCCGTGTCTTCCAGAGGGGCAGAGCCAACCACAAACCCAACCTCCTCGTCGGAATCAGGGTCCTCAAGATCGAGATTGCCCAGTCCACGCGAAATCTGAGTCTCTGAGGAGGACGCAAGTTCGTCCATGCTTGATTGACAGCTTTCGTCCGAGGAATACATGCTCGCGTCGCTATCCGAGGTTGTGATTGTGGAGGACACCTGGTCAGGATTTGTGAGGCGCAATGAATGCTCTCTCGTCCACGCATCGGATACGGAGCGAGGCGAGCCACGATTCGACTGCTGCTGAAAGATAGCTGGATCGTGGGCATCGGCGTCGACGAGTCCATCTGCACGCATTGCTGTCCGCGATATAGATGCGCGCGGCACTGGATCCAATTCGCCATCGATGGAACGGCGACGCTTCAGCGGATGCACAGGCTCCGCGAGCAACGAACGTGAGGGCTCGCTTGGGATAGGATCGATGGACAGGAAGTTGATGACCCTGATAGGCAGTGTAACGTAAACGTCTGGAGTGAGTGACCCCGCGCTGAGCGTGACACGGATGGAGTATTCGACCTCGAGGAAACGCGACCGAGTGACGGAGAGTGCTTCAGGCTTATGGGGAATGAGTACCGCACTATGCTACTGAGACAGGCAAGACATGGACTTACTGGGATAAGGATGTAATGCGAGAACGACAGCTCCTTGCCAGGGCCCACCCCAGTCCACCAGCCCTTGGCACTTGCGCGACCCTTGGTACCCGACTGAGCCATCTCCAAGACGGTCTCTCCAACCACCTTGTGCAGTGTTGTCGTCTGGCATGCATCAGGATCGACACTGCGAGCACGCCCAGTATCCAGCTCGGGGCTAGGTCTGAACATCGTCGTCGAGCGTACGAGCGTCAACGTGAGCGTCTTCACGATCTTCTTTGTGTCGTTCGCTACCGAGACGCTAATGTAGCAGCGTTGTCCCGCGATCCAAGTCAAGCGATGTAGCTGAGCCGTGAGCTTGACCTTCCTATCGCTGCTGAGCATAGCGAGGCTCTTGCTGGTGGTAGCTTGAAGCGGTCTCGGGGCGGAGGCGAGAAGGATGGAGGCGCTAAGTCGTGGCCAAACCTCGCAATTCCTGTAGAAGTGCGCGATGGACCTTTTCTCTGTCTTCGGGTCTTTTACTTTGATAGAACTGTAGGGATGCGTTCGAGCCTGATCATAGAATGATGCAGCGGGATCGGTAACTTACATCATGGCTATATATTGCACAGTTACTCCGGAGTGCAGGTTTAGTACGCCCTTAGCGGCACCAAATTTGCTGTCCGTGGGCAGGCGCATGGCAAATGGGAAGGTGTGAAGGCCTTCTACTGCACGCGCGAAGCCGTCTGAGCCCGTGGGCGTATCGAAAAGGCGATCCACGCCATCCGTAATTGTCGATAACGGCGAAGCGCATTGATAGAAAGTATGACGCTCGCTCTGCCCTGGAATGCACTCGAACCCGATGACGCGGACCTTCGGATCAGCTAGGCAGACGTGGTCTTCCTTCCTCGACCGCTTGCGGACCCGAACCTTGACATGCCCTTTCATGAACCCACCTTGAACGAAGGTATCGCTGTCGAGGACGATGTCTACTTCTACTCGGCTTCGTGATTTAGCCTGTTCCAATGCGACCGCGTCCACCTGCGTGTCATCGGAACCTTGTTCAGTCCTTCTGGAGGCAACGTGTACCGTCGCTCCAGCCTTCAACCGAGAATTGGAATTGCCCATGAGAGCCTTTAGCTCGGCCGCATTCCGCGTTTGAGACCGACCAAAACTGAGGAGAGTATCGGACCGAACGAAATGGCCAGACAACCCGGCCTCCGTGTTCATTGAGGAGGACGTGCTCGTATGGCTCGGTAGAGAGGGACGCGAGGTGCTCGCCGTGAGTCCTTCCGTAGCTGCCTCGCACGCAGGACCGAACGCGCCTCTCGTTGGCTCGGGGACTCCTGCTGCTGAGCGTACCGCATCCGAAGGTCCAGCCACGCAGTCTGCAGACTCCGATATATTTTTCCCGAAGGCCGCTGAAGAGTGTCCCTGCAGGTGTAAGCCGGATGGCCCTTGTTCCACGTGGTGAGGAGGCTCAGCTGCCGAGTCGACTGCAATACCCAGCCCAGAAGCCATCGGTGACGAGGGCGTATGGGGAATCAGCGAGGGGGGAGAGAGCAATGGACGAAAGCCGTGGCCTAAACAGAAATGCGGCAGACCAGCACACTGTTGCGGACCGGGCTGATACGTAATGACAGTGAACCCATGGCTCGTCATGCGCGGACGCGGCAGATCAGCGCGACTGAATGGCTTCCTCTGTCGGGCAGAAATTATGCTAAGTCGAAAGGACCTTCTTACCCGGTAAATCTGGAGTCTGCAGCTTCATGAGTGCGTCGGGGACGGTCAGCGTGATGGGAGTAACAGTGAACGAAGTGCGCGGAACTATTTGGGCGCCTATCAAATCGCATTCAACAACCACTAAGTAGCTCACGATTACAAGCTTGAGGCTGCCGAGTGGGGCGACCTGAGCGACGGGTCATAATGAGGCGGTAGAATATTCTTGGGAGCAATATACGATAGTCATTGAAGATTATAGGCACTGTAAGTAGTGTATACTCCACAATATTGTTGCTACATTATCTGAACGCATTGAGTCTAATTATTGGCCGACTACTACTGGTAACGAAGCGGAGACTTTATGCAAGAAGAGTAAGCAGAAAACTTAAATAGTACGATTCATTGCCCGTGATTATCCGTTACCAGTGTCCAAGCTGGACCTTTTTTTGGTCGAATCCCAGCTCTAGCCAAGGATCGACCCCTTCGAGGGGTGCGTCGTTTTGAGATAAGCCCACGAACCCGACTCTGCGGTACACTTTCGCAGCAGTGGGGTTGTTGTGCGCCACATAGAGGACAACGCTCTCTTTGGTTTGGAGGAGTCTGGGGGGCATGTGAGTACTTGGCACCGACTACGGCAATATTGCAATTCGGCTCACTGTTGGCAGACGTGCCGGACAAGCCGTTCGGCGCACCCCCGTTGTCTCCACCTCGGGTTCGTGAATACCTTCGTAATCCCCGCCACGGTGTCGCTAGTCCGCGTGACTGCGACTATGGACGCAATCTCTGGACGCTGATCATGACCGCGAGCACATATCTCATGGACCCACACTTGTCCGCTTTGAATGAGCAACCGTGCCTCGGTTGTAGCTCTGCTCATGGATAATGTAAACGGTTCCTGTCGAACGCGATGAGTTCTCAGGAGACACCAACATGATAATAGAAGGAGCGTACCGACGTCTCCGCGAAGCCACTGCACAGCTCAGCAACATTGTGAAGATCGCTTTCGCGAGCAGGCCTCAAGTCGTAAGCCACATCGCGAAGCGGAGCGAGCTGGCCCGACTGTAAAGTGGTCTTGGTGCAGTACGTGAATTTTGCCGCGTAGTACTCCGGGTCCTTATCCAGCGAGATCCCAGTCGCCTTCGTCCAGAGGGAGGCGAAGTCACGGGCGACGGGCTCGAGGGCGAAGATGGAGAACACCCGTTCTGGAGGTACCGACTGTTGGAGCCTCTTGACAAGGCTCCGAAGGCGAGGGAGGTAGAACTGAGCGGACAGCTGGGAAAGGGGGATGGGTGTGAAGATGAACAGTGGATATGATCCGAGTGACCCTTCAGTACAAGAAAGTACGAAGTCGACTGATGCAGTGAGAGAACCTGGTGCCGACGTTGAACAGACGAGCCAGACGTTCGAACCAGCAGAACCAGGATAACGGTCTGGGTTGTATCGCGCCTTCTTTGCGTAGGGCAGCATGATGTTCGCGTTCCTCGGATTTTCGTGGAACGCGATCCAAACCTCTTGAGGAAGGTCCCGGGCAGACGTGTAGACCGCGACCTTGTGGGAGGATGTGTTGGAAGGCATGGCGAGAGTGGGGCTGTCTAGGGACTGCAAGGGCAACAGATTATATATATGCGGAAGTGGGGGGAGCGGCGAGCTGCGTTAGGCAGATCGTGTGCAGTACTTCACTCTATACGCCGTCATGTGGTGAGTGGATTGTCAGTGATCGGGTCAGAGACTACGTACGGAAGCAGGCGTGTTCAACGGTCAAGACGAACCACTTTGCAATGGCAGGACACCATGTCTGTTCTCTCTTATACTCGACGGACGGAAGGTGACAGACGCCACCATAACACCGCCCGAATGATGCATGTCCGGACACCCAATTCAATAACATACCGAGTCACTTGCCATCACAATGAAATCCTATTCTCCGTAGGGCGTTATGTGCGAAGCCATATGCGTAGATCCAGTCTTCCGACTAGTGGCTGCTGAGTTTGAGTCAAAACATCCAGCGATGAAACCTGATCTTCCGCCGAAGCTGTACGGACTTTGGATGCAACAGATGCGTTCGCACTTCGCAAGCAATCTAGAAAGCCGGTTTGATGCACCGACCACGGTATCATACAGGAGACGAGTGGGCGACGTGTGCCACGTAGCTCCGCTGGTCATGCCGCGTTGGTAAGAGAAACACGATGCGACTTAAAGCGGCTGAAGAACACTCGGTACCCAACAGCCTCCTTTCTTGGCCTTCGGGCCAATCGCCCGTTGCCTCTGTTGCATAAGCGAACATTGGCGCTCCGGAACGGAATGACTGACTTTCCCGCAGGTAATAAACGCTTCTGGTTTGGCAATAGCGCTGCGAGATATCTCAAGGCGCCTAGCAGCAAGTTCCCGCCGTTTCTGGTGGTGTCGCCTCGGGAAAGAAGAACACACTTACCATCGCTGCGACGTTCGATGCGTGACGTTCGATGGCGCGACCTACCCGGTCTGCACGGTAAGCTTTGGAGGGACCAGCGCATCATTCAGTGCGGTATATGATTGTCAGAGGATGCATCAGCCGCTATCCAAGTGAGGAAGGTGGACGCTTACACGGCAGTGGGGGTTCGTTTGTCATGGTTCTCTCAACTTGGCACCGTGACACTGACAAATGCAGCCGGCGTGCCAACCGTTGGTGCACGTCTATTTGTTAATAGGAGCCGCATGGCACCATGGTAAGCTGTGCTCTATATCATCAATTCAATGCGAGTTAGTGCTAGTGCAACCACGCAATATCGATAGACCACGACACGGGCACACCGGTCACCTCCCGTCGGTCCCTCCCGATCCGATCGAGGTACACTTCGACCCCCTGGGCTTCCGTCCGAGACGGAGACAGTTCTCCTGTGATATATAACTGATCGATAATGGCAGCCAGGTAGCTCGATTACTTACGTGCAGCAGCGTCAGCCATTGATGCGCACTGGACGCGAGTTCATCACGGCTCCGACAGCCTGCAATGTCCATCAGTCATCGCGCAAATCGGAGGTCGGCGTCGGGCTCATGGAGTCATGGCGCGTACGCTCTGGGAGTAAGGCTGTATTCAGTGCTGAGGCACGCGTTGTATGAGGGAGGTATTGAGGTCGAGCAGTGCCAGCGGCTATGTGGTGCACGAGAACAAGTTCGTGCATCCCGACAGCCGCCCGATCCCATCTCCGGACCACGCCAGCGTCTACGCATCGGCTCGAAGATACCAGGTACCACGCCGTCGCGACTACATCCCAGGCCGTCCTTTCGTCCCGCCATCAAACCACATACCTCTTCCGGGATCGCGGAGTGTACTATCTCCATGGCCGACAAGCTCGTCCGAACGCACACGAACCAGTCGAACCGCGCAAAGGCTAAGGACGCGCTTGAGCGGAAGGTTGTATTCCGGAGCGTGTTAGACAACCCATTTCGAGTGCAATGGTGCGTGAACGCCGTGTCCTCAACAATCACTTCTCACACCACACAGGCCAAGTATACCGATCAATATCCAGAACGCCATCTTGGCTCGGTTCATCGACATGGTCCAAGGTGTCTCGGAGTATCACGTTGAACGTGAGATACGCAGTCGCAAAAGAAAATCATCTCGCGCCGCTACTACTACGCGGGCTACAAAAAGGCCCCGGTGGGCACATAAACCCAGGGTAGTAGACGGCATCGTGGCTGGGTCCGCCCCCTTGGAACAATCTCAGACAGCAGACAGCGTAACTGCTGATGGCGAACACGATGTTGTCAAACCACGCCCTGACGTTCTCAATCATTTGACGTTCGGCATAAATGAAGTTACCAAGTTATTGGAGAAGACATCACGCTCGTATTCCCGCACCACTGTGTCCGCCTCTTCCACACAAGAGCCACCATCAGATGACCGACCCAGGATCATTCTCGTCTGTCGTGGTGACGTATCTCCCCCCGCCCTTCTTCAACATATACCACATGTTGTCGCTGCATGCAACACTCGCGGCATGGGAAAAGGTACGGACGGCATCCACCTGGTGACTCTCTCCAAAGGGGCAGAGGCGTCTTTGGCAGAGGCGGTCGGTCTCAGACGGATATCTGTGGTTGCGGTGCACGTAAGTGTGGCCTATAATTGTACCGTCCAATTCCTGAATGAAAAATCTCTATGGCTGTTGCGTTGCAGGTTGACGCACCCAGCATATCCGAACTTACATCACTTCTCGAAAACATCCCGCCGCCGACGGCGTCTTGGCTGGCAGCACCTATGGACACAACCGTATCATTGATCCCCACGCATATTAAGCAGTTACGGACTACTGCGCCAAAGGATATGAAGGCTGCGAAAGAGCAGAGGTCGCGAGGTCGAGCCGCAGCGAAGCTCAGAAAGAAGGAACGGATCAAGGGCTCCCAGAAAGCCGGGGTCCCGGCGGCGGAGGCGTAATTTGCACTATAGTCGTTGTCAACGACAGTTTTGTAAATTATATGGAACTTGTACAACATCGCACGACCTATGAGGGCCACTATACTGCTCACCAAGCCGTTGTCCGAGTCTGCAGTTGAGACCGCGTAGATGAACGGAGTAGATCGTGTACACGATCGTTGGTTTGCTCGGGAATCTCAGATCCAGATTCGCACCAGTGATCAGCTCCATCACGCAACCCTGTCGAGTGCAAGCTGTTGACCACTGCTTCGCCTGAAGATCCCACTACACTAGCCAAACGCAGCACCATTCATTGCTCCTGAACAACATCAGACACTGACCATTATCACACGGCCTCACACGGCGCGTTGTCAAAGGCGCTAGCGTGGTGTGAACTCGCGTGAAGACCGTAATAGACCGCCGAGCCGCTGGATTGACTCTCTTTCACCATAGCCGGCCGATCATCATGTTCGTCGCAATCGTCGGAACGCGCGCCTCAGGGAAATCGACCGTCGTACAGTACCTCGTGAACAGGAAGGGGTTTATTTCCATCACGTTGACGGTGCGTCCGACATACTATTTGTGCGAATACAAGTCGAACAGCTCTCCGCATTTGAAGAATCGTGAGGATGGCCTCGATCGGGACTCGACGTACGATACCGAAGCGGATGAGGTCGACATCCGCACAAATTACCGCTATGATGACAACAGGCTATCGTTCCTGCAAATGTCTCCGCCGACATCCACTCTTCCTTCGCCAGCTCCGGACGCAGACTTCCAGGTCACATTGACGAGGCCCCTCGTCTTCTCTTCGCCGGCTTCTCTTTTGCAACATGTGACAAAGTATTGGCGGACAAATTTTGTAACCATGGATCTCCGGACGAAGGAGCTACTGGAGCCTTTTACAACAAGGCCGTTCTTCCTGGTCGTCTCCGTTGACGCACCTCTGCTAATCCGATTTAGACGGTAAGTAGGGATGGCGCTTGAGCGAAAGCTACATACTAATATGATTTTATAGCTGTGAGGACTCAGGGTTCTCATTGGAGGAATTTGTTCGGGAACATGACAATCACTACTACGGCACGAGCGACGCCGGCTTCGAGACGCCACGGAAGGTGACTTTCGAACAGACAGCAGGCTGTCCTGCACTATCCGACCTGAACCACCTCGTGAACCTTCACGTCGTCAATTCTTTCGACTCGATGCAGGCACTGCATTTCCACCTAGACCAACTGGATCTCCTGGACCCGGAACGCATGAGACCGGGATGGGATGCATATTTCATGCAGCTGGCGACACTCGCCTCGCGAAGATCCAATTGTATGAAACGCAGGGTGGGAGCTATTTTGGTCAGGAACAAGCGCATCCTCGCTACCGGGTTGGTGCATGCGTGGCGGGGCCGATACATCACTCATGATGCTGTCAGGTATAACGGCACCCCACGTGGTGTGCTCAATTGCAACGAAGGCGGATGCACTCGGTGTAACAGCGCCAGCGAAACATCGGACGAATGTGTCTGCCTCCACGCGGAAGAGAATGCGCTGCTGGAGGCAGGCAGAGAGCGCGTGGGAGACGGTGCAGTGCTCTACTGCAATACGTTCGTCCGCCTCGCTTCTGTCTGTCGCCTGACACCTCACATATCCCACCGGACAGATGTCCGTGCCTCAAGTGTACCATCAAAATCATACAGACGGGTGTGAAAGAAGTGGTGTACAATTTGAGTTACAAGATGTCAGTAATGATCTATTGCCTCACGTCGCCGCATCCAAATGTTCATTGTTCAGGGACGACTCCTCCGCCGCATTGTTTCACGAAGCAGGGGTGGTTCTCCGGAGACATGCGACGCCAGCCTGACGCGTGGCTACGGGCATACAAGAGTACCTCATCGTAGGAGGAGAAGGAGGAGAGATACAATTTAGCCACCGGCCGTAGGCGATCCTCGGCGTCTTGACGGCGACAACAGATCGCACTGGTAGAGGACGTCCGTTCGAATTTTTAGGCCCCGACGTTGTCATCTGGCCCTAGGACCGCGCGAACATTCTCCCTGATTCCCCACTTCGGTTGCGATAGGAAATCCATCGTGCGGTCTGATTTGCCCTGAGTGGCTGACAGGACCAACCACACAGCATCTTCGTTGTTGACAGTGATGGCTGCGTAGAGGTCCCTCGCGCATGCTTGCAGCTCTTCGTGCGCTTGGCTTTGCAGAAATCTGCGGAACAAGACGGTCACGTCCCAAAGCGCAGAATCCTGGCCACGAACGGCCACGACGGCCGCAGTCATCGTCTTCAGCATTGATCGGTAGAGCCGGTGAGAGACTGTATACGCCGACTCGGTGCCCACCGCGCCCGATCCGCGCCTTGCCAGAGCGCTGTCCGCGTCTGAGGCCCGGAGCTTCTCCAGCATCTTCCGGAAACGTGGCCATATGTCGTCCCAGATCCTGCGGTGCATGAACTCTCCAACATGTGCGGACAACGATTCAATGAGTGCTGCGGCCGCGCTGACGACGAAGGGTTCCTGATCGCTGAGGCGGTTCAAAATGAATGGCCAGGCGTGATGAATCGACGGAAGCAGTGCAGACTCAGGTAACACCGGGACAGCCGAGCTGAGCACGAGCAATATCCTCGCCCGTATTGTGGGCGCCCCATGAGTCAGGAAATATAGTGAGCGCGAGACAATTTGTTTTGTGAGGGCCTGCGAAGGCGTCGGCGGAGGCTCCGCGGTTGGATCTGGAACAGGTTCTGTCTGTTCCGTCTGTCCTCCGGCGTCAGCGGCTTTGCCCCAGGCTTCTCGAGGATAGGAATCATCACGCGAACTTTCGTGCTCCTCCTCGACGTGGTCATGTCTATGCGCGTACCATTTGAAGAAGGCTTCCATGTGCGCATCGTCAGGAGGAGCAGGGGGCTCAGTCGCCTTCGGCCCTTTATGAAATCTGTTGTCGTCGTCCTCTTCCACAATTTTCACGACCTCTGATAAAACTTCGATGAGCCCGTCGACGATGACTTCGTACCCGTGGTATTCGTCTAGGCGATCAAAGCACTCCTCCACCACGTCGCCGGCCTTCTGCACGGCATCACGACCGACTAAGCGTACAAGCGCGACCAGCACTTTGGTGGCATCGACGTCTAGCCACCGACGGCTGAGACGGCGTGAGACGGCGTCGAGAGCGTAGTCGAAATTGGAAAGTAGCATGTTGGCCGGGGAAGCGTACGAGGTAATGGTCGCGACGAAGTTCAGAGTCGCCATGCCGGTGGTGGAGACGAGCGGCGACTCCGAGACGACGGAGTGCAGGATGGGATAGAGTGTGTGGAGTAGTAAGGAAGCAAAACGGGCCTCCAGAATCCCGGCCGTGATGGAAAGCAGTTGCAGTGAGACTGCTTTGTGCAATAAGAGCTGATCTGCCGGACGTGGGCGAGCTGGTCGAGACGGCTTCGACTCCGAGTCGACCGTGGCACGGATGGTCAGGAAGCCCTTGACGTGCTCTACGAGCACAGAATCCTCGTCGGCGCCCGGTGGCTTGCTATCTTGCTGCTGTAGAACCTCTTCATCGTCGAAGTCCGTCCAAGACTCTGCAACTCTCTTTGCGATCCCTCGGGCCAGTTTCTCTAGACGCTTACTACGTGTATGCGTCGGGGAGCGGTCGAGAGATGCGGCCAGATCCAGGGTGACCCCGGCCACGCCCTCCAGAAGTCTACAAGCACACCACAATGCAGACACTGCTGGTGGTCCTCGTCCGTTCTGGCCCACACCCAGGAACCATTCGACAGCAAACAAGCCGTCGTCTCCGGCAGCAGAACCCATTGCGCGGAGCATCCGCTCTATCGCTGAATGCGCGGCGCGAGACGTGACGTTGTTCAGAACCAAGGGCGGGAACGGAATCGACCCCGTGTCTTCAGTGGTCTCCAGCAGCCCTTGGGCCCCATGAGTCCTGGTCACCGTGATCGGTGCGTCGCCGAAGACCAACACTGAGAGCAGGCTCCAACCCCACTTCTCGATCCCGCCAGTGGGCCCGAGGAGCTTCCCGACACCGGTGCTGATGACACTGATCCCGGGGCGTTCGGCGTCGGTGGTGATCGCCAATTTGCAGACACTCTCGACAAGATTGGCGAGGTGCTCGACTTTCGAGTCTGAATGCGCGGCGATAAGTCTGGGAAGGGATGCCAAGCTGTCTCTAGAGATGTGCAAGAGCGCTTGAAGGAGGGAATGTCGGGCATTGGACGTAGGGGATAGGAGGCGTCTCAGTGCAGCGCTTGCTCTACTGGCGACATTGGTGTATTGAGACCCGGATAGCGAGAGGAGGAAGGATAGGAGAAGACCCTGAGACTGCGGCACGGTCAATGTAGTCGCGGATAGGACGGCCTCGGAGAACGAGGCCAAAGCGAGCGTAGCTGATGGTGTTGGGTGATTCACAAGGGGCGCGAGCGCGTTCATGGCAATGTGCAACTGCGAGGCTGTCCCACGCAGCCAATTTTCCGTACGGACCGTAGAGTACGGCGAGGGCGCAGTGACGGGCGGGACTTCCTGACTCGAGTTATCTGCCGCTGCAAGCAAGTCTTCTAGGCTGTCCAGACTCCGTACAGCCCCGTGTCGAAGGCAGACCTCATCGCCGACAGATTGGACGATGACAATTTGCATGACACCAAGCGCCGCAGAGACGATATCGCCATTCGACCAGCCCTTGTGCGAGTCGACGCCCAGCGCGATTTTACTTGTTGCGCTGATCACCCCGGGAAGGACGGAAGGCACGAAGTCTTCCGGGAGATAGAGTTCTGTGAGTACACGAAGAACCTCGAGCGAGATTTTTTGTAACGGGATATGCGACGATTCAGCCGTGGACAGAAGCGAATTGACTGTCTGACCCAGGATCGGAATGAACGTCTTGGTCCTCGCGTGCGACCGGAACCTCGCAAGAATCCTTTCGCTGCGTGGAGGGACGACGACACCAACAGGATCTTCCTCCGGGGTTCGCTCGCGCAGCAAGGCGTATAGGCAACGGGTGGCGGCTTCTCTCGTCTCCTCGTCCCTCATCTTGCCCTTCCCCTTGCTATCGATACCTCCAAGGACGGCACCGCACAGCATAAAGATTTGTTCCCACGTTGTTTCGTCGAAGTCCCACCACCAGCTCTCGCATATAATACTGAGCACGATAAAAACCTTCTCCATTATTTGGTCGGGGATCGAGGAGAGGGTGTTCCTGCGCATGATGGTAGATAAAGGGAAGAAGATATACGATATGATGGACGGGCGTAGGGCGGCATTTGAAGCTTCCACCTGGCGCAAGATGGCAATGAGCTCCGCCAGTAACTTTGACACCACCGGCGTGGACGTCGGCGAGAGCTGCGAGTTGCCCATGAGAGGCACGCATACATTTTTCAGCTGTAGCCATGATTAGCATGAGAGGTACGTGATGGGATGGCTCTACATACCGCCTTGAACGTAGCCTGGGACGCATCTTCATCCTGTAGTATGGGCATTCCGACTCGGAGTGTTTTTGTCCGCGAACTGGAACGGGTGCAGCCTGCGGTGTACACTCGCTCAGCTCGCAACATGTCAAGGCCATATCACACACAAAAACGTACCGATCAGTGCTCCAGGAGCTGTTGTGTGACCCAGGCAGCATGGGACTGCCGCTCCGACGGGCCTCAAAGGAGCGGAGGCGTGATGTGACTGACCGCGTCTGTCACGCGACGGAAAGCAAAGCGTGACATGGCGCGATCGAGATTTTGCAGCTGAGTCCCATCCGCCGAGTTGGGCCGTGGCCTCCCGGGGAGTTGCTCATTTCCACTGCGTCGCACCGTCCATGACTGCTCTTTTTCTCTGCTTTCTCTAATTTATTGCTCCTTCACCCTCTCTTTCGCCCCTCAGCATGACAGTCACTACGCCCGCTGCCGGACCTCGCATCCTACTCATCGACTCATACGATTCCTTCACCTACAAGTAAGCCTAGTCCGGGCAATGTCCGCTTTCGCTGAATGATTGTCCGGTAGTCTCGCGGCGCTTTGCAGGACATCCATACCTGACTGCCACGTTCATATCATCAAGAATGACGATCTGACCATTGACGAACTTCGTCCTTACCTTGAACATTTCTCCGCGGTTGTCGTGGGTCCTGGGCCAGGATCCCCAGACAATGACAGCGACGTCGGTGTTGTCCGCGACATATGGAGACTTCCAGACGATCACATTCTTCCCGTCTTCGGTGTCTGCCTGGGTCTGCAGAGCTTTGCGATCGAGTTCGGGGCCGAATTGCGCAGACTGAACGTCGTCAAACATGGACAAATCTCCGCAATCCAACATCGCGGCACGGACATCTTCTCCGGCGTCGGCGACGTTGCCGCCGTGCGTTACCACTCTCTGCACGTCTCGACTGACGGATGCGACACCGTTGAGGCTCTGGCATGGGCCGATGACGGAGAGGAGAACGGGAAGGTGGTCATGGCTGCGAAGCATCGGACCCAGCCATTCTGGGCTGTTCAATACCACCCGGAATCTGTACGCACGGAAGGTGGAGGCGCGGATGTTCTCCGCAATTTCTGGCAGCTCGCTGCGGCCTGGACAAACAAGCAGCGTCGTACAGTCCGCCCTTGGAATGCCGCGGCGGAACGCACTCTAGGACCATCATGGCCGCCACCTCAGCTCCCTCGTCACTTATCAACGGCCTCGGCTTCGAGAGTGACTACTGGCGTTGTCGAGGTACCCGGCGTTATGCCCATCAGCATTTGCGAGAAGCTGGGTGTACAGGACGAGTCAGCAGATTTCGTTCTACTGGACTCAGCAGCTCAACCTGGCCGTTTCTCTGTCGTGGGGTGTCTGACCGCATCCTCTATGAAGATCACCCATTACTTGGGTCGCGACCACATCGACGTACACGAGAATGGCGCTGCACGATCCGAGAATCTCGGAGCCTCCCCTGCATGGGACTGGCTTGCAGACTTCATGCGAACAAGGAGAGCCGAGGGTGGTATCAGGGAAGTTCCCTTCTGGGGTGGGTTGGTCGGTTACTTGAGCTACGAGCTTGGCACCGAGACTTTGTCTCCCAGTCCGACTCAAGAAGCCTGTAACACTTCTTGTCGCAACCCTGATGTCAATCTGGTATTCGTCGAGCGAAGCATTGTCATCGACACCGTCTCGGGGAAGGTATACATCCAGACACTCCTACCGGATGACGAGGCTTGGGTGCAGGAGATGTCACTGCTCGTCAAGGAGTGCCCTCGTTCAAACCCGGAGAGCAGGCGTACGTCCCCCGCCAAACGTCGGCGGAAGAGCACCACGACCTTGCCACCGGTGGTGACTCTGCCAGACCGCGGGCAGTACATCTCTCGCATCCGCGAAGCCAAGGAGTACCTCTTCTCCGGTGACTCATACGAACTCTGTCTAACCGCCCCCACCCACATCTCCGTCCCGAAGGCTGTCCGTGGTACTCCTGAGAAGAGCTCGTCGTGGGAGCTATACAAGGTCCTACGCTCACGCAATGCTGCACCACACTCGGCTTACATCCGTCTTCACCCATCAACACTTTTGTCATCCTCCCCGGAGCGCTTCCTCTCCTACTCCAGACCCCCGCATTTAACCTGCCAGCTCCGCCCCATCAAAGGCACCGTGCGCAAGGCGCCTGGGATAACGCGCGCCGTCGCGGAGCAGGCCCTTTCAGGCAGCGTCAAGGAGGTCGCCGAGAATCTGATGATCGTCGACCTCATCCGGCACGACCTCCACGGCGTCGTCGGCGAGGACGTGGCGGTGCAGCAATTCTGCAAGGTCGAGGAGTACAAGACCGTCTGGCAGCTCGTGAGCGTCATCGAGGGGAAGCTCCCCAGCAGCGAGCACGGCCCGCGGGAGATGGACCTCGGGTGGGAGGTGTTGCGCAGGAGCCTACCGCCTGGCAGTATGACGGGCGCGCCGAAGAAGCGTAGCGTGGAGATCCTGCGTACGCTCGAAGATCACCCCAGGGGCATCTACTCTGGGGTGTTCGGGTACTGGGACGTCGGCGGTGGCGGGGATTGGTCCGTGACGATCCGTAGTTGCTTCAAACACGCCTCGGGCGCTGCGTGTTCTGCGGCACAGAAGGACTCCTCAACGCGGGTCGGGGCCACTACGGAGCAGTGGACGCTCGGTGCGGGCGGTGCCATAACGGCGCTGTCGGACCCCGAGGCCGAGTGGGAGGAGATGATCGTGAAAGTCGAGAGCGTCATTCGAGCGTTTGGGGAGGTCGAGTTTTCGTGAGGGTCCTCGTCATAACGCTGTCTAGTGGATCTTATTCTTATGTACATCGGGGCACATTGCTTAAGGCGGGCTTCATCGTCCGCCACTTCATTCCTTCGACTGGCATTTCAACTCCGGTCATTGCATTGGTAGACATTCAACATACTGTAGCGTTAGAGTACACATGGTTCAACCCTGCATCACATAGAGTACAACACATCAACCCAATTGATACATCCACCCAGTAAATCGGAACGCAACGGACGATTCAGCAGACTTATTTGATGCAACTGCTCACGCTAGTAATGCGATGTGCCTCAGTTCACTGGGATGCAGAGTCAGCACAGGCCGTATCGGACACGCGACTCGAATACTGACTTCTGCACCTGCTGTCCCACCTTCATCGGCTCGTAGGCGGTCTCATCCAGATCGACCTTTCCGAGGTTGATTGTATCCGCTCTGATAGCCTTTGCACGAGCTGACAACGATGGATTGGGAGCCAGGTCGTAGTCCGATGACAAATGCCAGAAAAATGTGGACGAGATGCGGATCGGTGGACGGTCCGGGAATTGTGTCTTCCGTCGTTCCACAGCCTAGTGGGTGAGTGGACACAGTCAGCACCACGAACCAACAGCCTGAGTGCAGCGCAACACGCACTTCCAGTGTGGCTTCATTTACCACCACCTCGTGATAACCGGCCTTGATCAAGCCACCACTGAGGTGTTCCAGCTGCTTGCCCGCCTGCACGAGCAGGTAGCGGCCAGTCGGTGGAAACTTGACGGGGATACGCTTCCCAGTATTCCGTGCCCAGATGTTGAGACCGGGATAGCGGGAGCGACCGTGGATGGTAAGGAAGTTGAGATCCGTGTGGAAACCGGCAAGTATGGTGTCCTTCTGACCATATTTTCCGAGATCCGATGCCGTGGGCGCGAGGAGATGCGGGCTGGACACAACGAGGTTGAGTAGTGTGGGCCTTCGAGGCGTGGATAGCTGACATACCCATAGCGTCCAGCGTCTCTGAACGTCTCCCGGGGCAGTCCTAGTCCGATGCATACCAATTCGCCCACATCCTCAACGCTAGAGAAAGGTTATTCCTGCACCACGTTTTTCAGACCATACAGGTAACAGGACGTACGCATTTTTCATCGATGTACCCCACTTCTCCATGATTGGGGTCCACCTGTCCCGGATGCTATCCGCTTGTGGGACGACGTTGGGAGCATTCAGTCCAGGGTAAGCAGTCTCATACGGCGGCTTCTCGCTCATCTTCCAGAAGAACCTGCATTTGGGGTCGGGGCTGTGGGCCATGATGTCCAGCGGCCGTTCTGCAGGCTCGAGGCGTGCGATAACGTTCAGACACGGCTCGTCGACCGCACACTTAGGCTTCTCCGTGTTTTCTAGTGTAACTCCAACCTTATACACAAATACCTCAGAGACATAGTCATCGGATACAGTGCTCTGAGCTACCTGATACCCCAATTCCGGACGTTCATCTTGCTTGAGAGCGGCCTCAGGTTGAGCAAAGTAAACCTCGAGCAAATCAAGGAATGTGCTATTGTCATCCTCCGACACGCGTGAGTCGTGAAGCAAAAGTGCTCCGTGCGTGATCAACGCGTCTGCAGCCTTACCACACGGATCAGAGGCGAAGACTCAAGTATACAGTAGGATGCCAAATACCTTCCTGCATTCCTCTGCCACCGCCTGCGAACGCGGCGGCTCGCTGAGATACACGTCTAGGTCGATGACTGGCAGTGTCGGCATAGACATGTTCTAGTGTAACTTGGCTGGAGGGGCGATGAGCCTTAGAACGCAGAGGCGGTGTGAGCGCGTGAGGCGAGGCAGGAGGCGCGCGAGTCGGAAGCACCGAGACAGATTCCTTTTTCGGACGGACTGATGGGCGATCGCGTCTTCCACGTGATCTGGTACAGGCACATAATCCCAGCGCTTCTTCGAGTCGCGCACTTACCGCGAGCCGCTACAGCCACACCCTTGTGCACAGTAGAGCCCTCAACATGATTAAGGTGTGTTGTAATAAGTATTGACTCCAATGCCATTGAATCACTGTCTGCATTGCTAGATATGGAGCATGAAGAAGAACGAGGATGCGGCGGCGAGGAGGAAGCCAAAGACTAGTGCAGCGCAGATCCGAGTACAGAAGGGTGAGTGAGGTTGGCTTGCCGGAAGCGTGTTTGGAATCTAATCCATGAATGGACTCCATAGACCTCACAGAGCTGGAGCTATCGTCAACGATGAAGACCCACTTCCCAGATCCTGCTGATCTCCTTAACTTCACACTCACTATCACTCCGGATGAAGGTGGGGGATAGCCCAGGGTCCTCCACAAGTATGTGGTTGCTGACGTAGCAGACACCAGGCATGTACAAAGGTGGCGCATTTGTGTTCTCCGTGAACATCAACACCAATTATCCACATGAGCCTCCAAAGGTCAAATGCACACAAACCGTAAGTCCCGGCGTCTCGTCTACTTTCCGCGGAGAATTACCCTGACATATGGTGTGCACATCATAGATCTACCATCCGAATGTTGATCTCGAGGGCAATGTCTGCTTGAACATCTTGCGAGAGGATTGGAAGCCCGTGCTTAATCTGAACTCTGTCCTCGTCGGTCTCCAATACCTCTTTCTCGAGCCCAACGCGGACGATCCACTGAACAAAGGTATGTATGCGTCATGATCGGTCTATGCGGGGGCTTACGAATCCATGCCCCAGATGCCGCCGAGGAGCTGCGCAAGAATCGGGAGCAGTTCCTACAGAACGTGAAGGCCTCGATGCGAGGAGGGAACATCCGAGGCGTGCAGTATGACAAGCTCGCGGTGCAATGATGAGCCAGTGGCATGGTGCCTACGGTCCGTCCTGGCTGATCCTTGGGCGTGAGTCATGCTCTATGTAGCCAAGTAGCCGGTGGGGCGGAAATGGATTAGAGGTGTAATATGCTGTTCACATAATCTTCGTGTATCTCTGCGCACGCACACTGTGGTAGATCTCTCTCATTCTCGCATATCTCCTTCTACATTGCAGTTGGGTCAGTAAGCCAGCGATGGGTCTCTCGTCTTGAATCCACCGAGGCCCAGTAATCGCGTGGAGGCACTGTACATATATTGAGTGGACCTGTGGATCGCACACGATGAATTCGGATGACCTTGGCCTGTCACGCGCCCACGTGGGAACGAAGGACGGATCAGTTCTCCTCGATCACTCCTCCGCATTCTCATCCGCCACCTGCCATAACCTGCTCTCTGCTCTGCGCTTGTGTCATCGCTGCGCCGGTCCAGCGCGTCCCTTCAAATACCACCCTCTTCATCATACGCGGGTCTCCAATGAGCTCAGCTCAAAAGCTCACCAAGAAGCAGAAGAAAGCGCTCGCCTTCCGCGAGCGCAAGGGCAAGAGCAAGGCAAAGGTAGAAGACGAAGACGAAGACAACGATGTTCCTGTCCTCGAAGAGCAAGATACTCTGGAGGCTGAAGGTGCGGCTGGCGCTGTGGAGGATGAGGCGAAACCTGCGCGGCATGCAGCTACAGCACGCGCGAAGGATGAGGGCGTTCTGGGCAGCGATCAGTCTACGAAGCCTAAGAAACGGAAGCGGGAAGAGGAGGGCGAAGCGGCGCTCGACGATGGCGCAAAGCAGAAGCAGAAGAAAAAGAAGCGGAGGGTCGCTGACGGCGAAGATGGCGCTGCTGTCGCCGACGGGATCAAACAGGAAGCAGGGGAGCAGGACGGTGAGGGGAAGGGGAAGACAAAGCAGCGGTTTATCCTTTTTATCGGTACGTCTACAGAGAAGAATGTGATGATACTACTAGTCAGCTAACGATTATACAGGGAATTTGAAGTACACTACGTCCAAGGAAGCGATAGATAAACATTTCTCTGCGTGCGGTGCGTCCCACGTCGCTTCACCCTGCGCTGTCTGCTGATCGTCGCTGTAGACCCACCACCTACAGTGCGACTGCTTACACAGAAAGCCACGCCGAATGGCAGGCAAGCCACAAAGTCAAAGGGCTGTGCGTTCTTGGAGTTCACGGTAAAGAGTGCACTCCAACAAGCTCTGAAGCTACACCAGTCCGAGTTGGATGGGCGCATGATCAATGTGGAACTCACAGCGGGGGGCGGTGGCAAGAGTGAGACTCGTATAGAGAAGGTGAAGAAGCGCAACAAAGAGCTTCACGAACAGAGGGTGCGTGCATCTCGTTCAATCCCCAAGATTCCGCGTATCTTACGCTCCTGATTTCTGCAGCGGAAACGTCTCGAGAAGGAGACCAAGAAACCTAAAGCGGATGTGGATGCAGGCTCGATGCATGTACCGAGGCCACAGCGATATTCAGCGACCTCTGGCGTCGAACAAGTTCCTTTGAAGAAACGGACATGGACCATAGGAGAGCCAGACGACGAAGATGCGGCAAAGAAGTCAAAAAAGAGAGGGAAGCGTCCGCCACGCGCGCTGGGCACAGGTGTCAATGCGATCCCTGTCGGTTGATGTTGGAGCAATCATTATTTTCTGCATGGCCTACGGTATCATAATGCTGCGAAGTACGTCCAGAGGAAGGGGAAGTGTGGTCCATGTCTAGGTATATATAAGTGAGCCTGCTCGTCCTGGAGACCCGGAGGATCATGAAACAAGAATGAAGATGAGGAACTGGCGTCGGTCGTCGTTAGCAAGCCTTTCGCCTCGAGACACGGAGGACGACGCACGAATACGATCAAAACACCGAACACCTTCAGCATTAGCCATCGGTTGCTCGATATGCTGGCATAGTATTTGAGCAGTTCTCGTTGCGCGCCGCTGACATTCGATGCAATGTCCACCGTATCTGCGTCGATCCGCTGTACCGTCTCCCGTTGTTCCGCAACCATCTGTGCTAGTTGCGTGAAGATCTGCCCTAGCTCCGCAATGGTAGACTCGATGGACTCGATCGCAGTAGACCGTGACTGAATGTAGTTATCCTGTAGCCAGTACTGTGAGCGAAATTCAGTTTCAATGGCCGCATGCCACGCACCTGCTGTTCTACCAGTTGCATCTGCATGAACGCATCGCCCGTCGCCGAACCCTGCCCTTCTTCCGCTGCGCCCAAATCAAGGGCGAGGATATCGCTATTAGGCTGTGCACGGCCCTTGCCCTTGATGTCCAACCGTGGAGATAGAGCTGTACCGTCACCCATTGGGTCTTGCTGACGCTGTGAGTTTCCAAACAGGAGCGAGTCTGTAGTCGTGGCCCGTCAGAGAAATTGTAACGCGACGGAGGGGCGACGTACTTGAAGGCGCTTGACTCGCTGCCGCTGACGTCGAGTGCATGAACTGTTCCGTCCGGTCTTTCGACTCCTTCATGTTCTACGGCCGAGTGGAGTTGGTTACGAGTGGTATCATAGCAAGCAGGGCACTCACTTGCGTCCGAACCTCCAGAACGTCCTTGAACGTCATACTGGTATCGGCCAGCTTGCTCTGCAGTAGCATGACAACGTTATGGTTGTGCTCGTCCAGCTGCTTCCCCTCCGGCGACTTGTTGTTCTGGGCATTGCGCTGCTTCACGTATGCCTGCAGCGAGGCTATTTGCTTGTTGATGTTCGCAATGTCTTGTTTGATGATGTAGGTAAGCTCCTGGTGACGAGCATGGCGTCGATACCTCGGGCATAGGATGGTATGTTGGGAGAGCACGTACGCTAATCTCTATTGGTCTATCGTCGAAAAGGGTCTTCCTCTTGGCCACTTCGAATAATGAGGTCAGATTCACAAGCTTCGCAAACCAACTACTCACGTTGCGCCAGCTTCCCCAACTTTATCGTCGTGCTGCTGATATCCTTGGCAATGGACGACGCCGTCCGACTGAACTCGGACTTGCTCTCCGGACCCTTGCCATTCGTCAACAAGCGCTGCTTTGCCTCCGCGCCGCGCTGAGGGAAGGAAGACCGGTTGCGTATGGATTCTACACATGCCCGGAATTCGTTCGTCCGGTCTTGGACAGGCATGGTATGAGGCACAATAAGAATATGATTAAAGCAGCGGGTAAGGTTCAGCGAGACTGGTGGAAAGGAATGGTGGAAGCGAGAGAGGGGTAAGAGATGATGTTTAGGTTCGAGGGAGGACGCTAGAGCACAATAATCCGAGGGACGTGTCCTGGGAGGATGGCGAGGCCTGTGTGACCTAATGGGCGCTTAGAAGTCGCGCGCTGAGGTACTCTGAGCCTCCTCTTTACTTACCTGTTACTTACACAGCGACTGTACTACATGGTACTCAGACTTCGGCACTTGCAGTAGATGACATCAAACATCCTGTAACACAGACCGTGCTACGCTACCCTACAGCTCAACGAACTCATACATTCGCGGTACATATACAACGTATCGAGACTAGTACGTATGTGACTCTGCCAGCGACACAGACTATGGCACTTACACTATCGACGTAGGGATGGCCAAATCTCAGCGGTGGTTTCGGGTTTCATCACGTAGCTGATATCTTTGCTTCGTGCCTAGTCTACATGTGCACACCCTAGTGAGAGATGACCGACTATGTCTGAGGTAGAACTTACGTGGGGATACTGTCCTGACGCTACTTAGTACAATCCCCGAAGCGATGGACCCAATGGACCACTTGGTGCCTCTATCACCTCATTTTCATGGGTGACTGACCAGAGAAGGGAAGGCTCCGCGCTCGACCGCCTGAACGCGAGTCCGCGCATGCCATACACATGGATAGCAAATTGCTTGTCGTGGGTCTTTTGAAGACGTCTTTGCGTTCGGGCATTCTGCTCCCAGATTACCCAACCTACACGAGCGTCACGTTGTCATCGAGGGGTATCGAGGAGCTGGGATTAAGAAGACACTCACCCGCTGGGTATCCGCCTCCCATTAGCCTATCTTGCTCTCCAATATTGACTGTGACAGAGTCGAGCTTTCCCCTGTTTCCTTCGGTACCATCAGGGGCGATCAGAGTACGCGATTTTGAGGCGATTCGGGGTTTCCCCGAGACTCGATGTTGGGACGATTTGAACAGCGCCAGAATCGCCCGAAACCGTGAATTTGGGTTGCCTAAGCTCGGATCCAGAATTGCAGGGGCGTGGCGTTGGAGGTTGTCCAAAAGATTTGTTGACTCATGCTTTTCTAGACTTAGTCCTCGCAACGGAGCGCGCTGTTTCATGATGCCGAGGGGAGTCCAAAGTGTGATGTGCCGCAGGGCAGGGAAGAAGATTTTCGAGTTCACAACTGTGGCAAGTGACTCGCCCTACGTACGCGGAGCATGAGCAAACGTCGTATGAGATCAGCGATCGACGTAGACTCACACCTGAACTTCCCGGAAGAGAATAATCTGCTTCCACATCTATGCCCAGATGCTCGAGGACCACGCAGTGTTTCCCCAGCGTGATCAGGTCGGAGAGTTGGAGTGTGGTCCTCTGCGGCTCCTGAGCACGTTCATGTTCGTGAACCACCAGCGACCGCAACGTCTGACCATGGCACTTTGTAATGACCGGGACTAGGGGCTGCCAAGGCCCTGCGAGGTGCAGGTCGCGTAGCCCGGGGGCCATTGTCAAGAATTGCTTGAGGGTATCCAGGTACTGTTGGTGTCGCTGGCCGTCACGCATATACCACGTTACCAGCTTGAAGTCCTCGAGCGCGGGCAGTGTCTCGCGCGCAGGGATACAGCCCTGCAAGAGCGCGAACCCGTTGCCGCGCAGCAGCTCCAAGCGGCGCAGGTGCGACCAACGCATCGTCTGGAGACAGACGCGGGCACCATGCTCGCTCCACCCGAAGTCGCGTATGGTGAGCTCTTCAATCAGTGGGTAAGCCTTCTGGGAGGCCGCAGCGTGCGGGTCGTACCGCAAAAATGGTGGCGCTTCGTAGTGGTGCATCACGCAGCCCCTCTGCTGATACGCCGCCACGTCCAAGACGCGAAGTTGGGGCGAGCGCAGCAGGACGGGCTGGAATCCGAGCAACGGATCGGCGTGCAGATGGACGACAGACCTCAGGGTGGTCAGGGTGGGCATCGGTGACAGGAAGTTGCCCGTGTACTTCGAGACAACCCAGGTGCAATTAGGGAACGCTGTCTGGACGGTTTCTGAGAAGGAGGCAGGTATCTCTTGTTCGGCTTCCCACCTGGAGTGATGGTCAGTTATTGCCAGTGTTCTTGGACGGAAATGTCACCCGACGTACTCCAACTTCTTGAGACCTGTTCTGAATAGGCCATCTTTGATAACATTCTCGAGGAATTTAATGGGAGGTACAGATGGTGCACCCTCTGTCTCTCTGTATGAGGCGGAGCATCGCGAGCTGATGACAAGTTCCTTTATGTAGCCGCACACATCGGGCCTATGCCGCAGGAAGTCTAGCTTGCTGTGGAACCACTCATCCTCGTCGATGTTCATGGCGATTCGCCTGAATATGAGGGACCGCGAGATGTCTGCAAATTCGTGATTGACTAGTGAAGTTGATTCAAGATCTCGCTGGGTCACCTATGTGGAACGTTAGCTCCTAGACCTACGTCGATTAAGGCTATACTTGACGTACATGAGGTAGGATACAGTGTATGATGTCCCTGGGTAGGCCAGAGGTCCACTCGGTCTGCGGAAGACTCGACATCAAGAGTGAGCTATAGGGAGACGCTGAGGACGGTGTTGTCGTTTATAAGTATGCCTGCGGGACTCGTTGGAGCGACTCACATACAATCGATCGCAAGCGGTATCGCCGACGGAGCTATCATGGTCAAGAGTCATCCAATGCTCTACATGCCTACTCCGCAGTGTACTTGGCAGTCCATCACGACAGGTTCTCACACTGCCACTGTGCGGCTGACAGAAACGTCCATGCCTTCCGAGTCGGGGCAATTCCTTCGCATAGCTACGGTCATGATAGTGTGAACTGACAACGTATGTCAGTGTGTCAAGGGGCGGTGCTCTACGACAACTCAGTTGGCACTCAAGTCCCGTATGCAACGCGTCGAGTGAGTGTGACAACATACTTATACGGCAACTCACATATCACTCGAAATGCCGCCAGCGATGGCGTGCCAGCCTTGCTCGGAGTACAGGAGCGTACGAGCCTTATTTCGTTCTTCGTTTCTTGCGTTGTTGTGAATGCGTTCACATTGGTCGTGCATCATATGGAGCCGAAACTCTTGCCCGTGCGCATCCGCACCCCCGCACTCAACTGCTGCCCCGCTGCAGATCGACGTAAGATGAGGAGGCATCGCGGCGCGCCACTTTCTCGCGGGTCGAACGCACGGACATCAAACGTTCACTTGTGCATTTTTGCATGATGCTCGACCGACTCTCCACTGCTGAGGCGGGCCGAAATCATTCAGTCAAGCAAGTCATGGCGCAGCTAAGTACGAGCAGGATGAGACGCAGGTCGCGTGAGGTGTCAGGTTGGACGATGATGACGACACAAGGCACCCTAAGACTGGTATGGCGAGAAATACAAACAACGAACAACAACGGTCGAAAGGGGTAGCGTTCATTTCGACCTGCGAGAGCCTTGCTCTCCGAGCAAGGGATGCATTGCCCGACTTAAGCGTCTGTGCTCTATCTGACCACGCATCTTGAGATCACATGGTTCAATATGTATGTCCAAGTATTCATGGAGCTCTGCAACATTCATTAGATACCACCATCAGTCTTGGGTCCCTAGTCCATCACGCCGGGACACTAATTCCAGTCTCATACCAAAGCTATGGGATTAGTGGCAATCAACGACACTTGCAGCGACTCACCTATTGTATGTAGTTCAAAATGAACTCCATGCCGAGCACCTGGTCCTTCCGCCCACAACGTAGTGCGCTTGCGAGCTATCCTCGACTTGACGGCAGCAGTCGTTGAAGAACAAGATCGACATCGATATTGTCCGCGACGCCAGGCTTTGGCCAATGCTCTTCGGGTGACACGGCATCCTCAGGGAGGATGGACCAGTTCGGCGAGGGAGTAGGTCGAATGTGGGAGAAATCTTGGACCGTCAGAGTACTCTACAACACAGGAGTGAGCGGCGAACATGCAAAGAGATGGTACCGACGAGATTACGCACTGGATACTCATCGCCAGCCCTTTGGAGGAACCGAGGATAGTTTGCGAAGCGTATCTCTTTGCAGTGCTCGATGACGGGGTTAGATGCGAGGGAGATGTAAACATCCGTTTGCGTCGAGGTGTGCATACGATACTACCAAATAATCAGCTGACATATCTTGAGTAAATTGCGACGAACACGAACCTGGTGGCAGCCGAGCGCGAGCACACATTGCGATACGTCGTGGAGCAGCGCGCTACCCTCGATCATGGGCATGATCAACACGCTATTCCTGACATTACGAGCATGAAGAGCTGTGATTCTGACGTCGCGTGCAGTGTCGTCTTCAAGCCCAGGCCTGGGGAGCATATACAACACGCAATGATCCAGATCAGAGATGATGAGGTCTGTAGCGGAGACCGAAGGCGGGAGAGACGAGAGGTCGATAAACTCGTGGCTGCGACCAGATATCGTTACCCCAGTAGACGGTGTTGCGTTGCTGGAAGTTACGACTACCGCCTTTTCGGGAGCATCCCTCGAGGCGGGCGAAGCGGTTGGTAAAGGCGACTGTACGGAGGGAACCGCTTTGCGCTTGAAGGCGAACTTCGGTTTGGGGGCAGCGGCCGTCCTCAGCTTCTCTAGAGAACCTTCAACTTCTTTCAATTGCTACGGATATTTGAGCTCGTCTCCGTTTCAGTGTCAGAACCGCATTGATCAACTCACGAGTTCACATTGCCTCTGATTGTAAGGGGGCAAAAAGTTCGTCGCATCGGTCAGTTCCTTCCTCAGCTTTGCGAAGTCAGTCGATAACTGCTGCACAGCTTTCGAATCTGCGCTACCCGCACTGAGACCGCTCATCCGTGATGCGAGTTCTGTCGAGACTGCAATTTAGGGAAAGTCGTGCAGGCTGACACAAAGCAGCAGACCAGAATGCGCTGCATTGAAGTGGACGTAGAATTCCTGCGTGAGTTCCTGGTTTGTTTTTTCCATTCTGTGTAGATGGCCTGAGATGAAGGACTGAAGACCTTCGAGGCTGTCTTGCAAGTATCTAGAACAAAAGCACTTTGTTAGGCGCAACCCGAGCGGTAGCACTGGCAGTGGCAGTGGCAGGAAGTTGGGACGGGTACTCTGTCACGGTCACTGTCACGCGCATAAGGCGCGAAGGCGCGCGGATGTGGCGCTTACACAGGTTCGCTGCTCGCTTTGTCCACCGTCGTCGCATCTGTTTCCCTTCCACCTCTCCTAGACCACCTCATACACATAGGAACTAGAGATGGCCGACGCTGAGATGGACGTTGATCCCCCGGCCACCTCGATTGGCAAGGCCGTCGACAAAGGCGATGCTAAGAAGCGATTTGAGGTCAAGAAGGTACGCGAGGCATCCGCGAGACTCCTAGCAGTATCGAATGCTGATACGTATGGTTGACTTGTCGGCATTGACAACAGTGGAACGCTGTTTCATTGTGGGCTTGGGGTGCGTGAAGGTTGGACAACCCGTCGCGTGCGGCTTGCTGACGAAGCGCGCTCTTTGCAGACATCGTCGTCGACAATTGCGCCATCTGCAGGAACCATATCATGGATCTCTGTGCGTGGAACAGTCCACAGTCACTCTATCTCGCAGTATTTGACGTGGGATGAATAGGCATTGATTGTCAAGCCAATCAAGTATCTGCCACTAGTGAGGAGTGCAACGCAGCATGGGGGATTTGCAACGTATGTGATATCACCACATATCTGACGCCTTAAACTCAACGACGATCATGCTCAGCATGCATTCCACTTCCATTGCATCTCCCGGTGGTTGAAGACGAGGAACGTCTGCCCATTGGACAACCGAGAGTGGGAGCTGCAGAAGTCCGTCGAATGTCTTCTTCATAGTGACTTCGATTCACTGATGATTTTCCAGGTACGGTCGCTAAACGCAGATCTTTCTCTGTCCCTAGAACTTGCGCTTCGGATTTTGTACATCAGCTCTCGATCTCGCTCATCCGGTACGACAAATGTATAACATGCACGATTATCTTGCACATTGGAAGTCTTCTATACTGATTTGCAGTTCCCAAACGAACGTATATATACTAACCGCAAGACCCTCTGAGGAGTCGTAAGGCCAGTCGAGAGATATTCTACGATTCCTTGGAGTCTGCATGATTTTTGAATGAGTGTCCGATCACTGCAGGTCTCTCATTTCGACGCACCATGAGGTATGTAACCAGCCCGCGGTCGTTTGTACTGCATGCTCACGAGCGCTCTGAAACGAGATCTACATACGAGACTTGGGCATAACATCCTGCTTGCCGCAACCAATGTCTACATCGATGTCGATGCGAGTTACGCGGCGTTTCAGGTCATGTATTGAGAGGTGACTAGTGACTCATTATCTTTGCAGCACCTGGGCGTGCAGCTATTGACACTGGTGAGTCGAATATTGGATTTGGCGATATAACTTCTCTCCTTCGGTATGGCTATACTACGTGACTTGGGCACCGGAGATTATTCAGTCTACTGGGTCTGTTCCTCTCCACGTACTCAAGGAACATATGGACTTCGTCATCTCCCCGACATTGATAATGCCTCCGCAGGCCTCCGCGCCTCTTCGCAGCAACAGAGGTCGTCAAAATGGGAAAGCTGCACACAGTCGACGTTGTCATTACTGGGTAGCAGGATAGTGGACGGGCATAGGACGCAATGCGAGTAATAGGTACATCCCACTGCCGATGCCTGTTTGATACTCACGAAGTCAGACAGGGAGGCTGTGTGATTTGCGTTCATAATTAACGCTGAGGGCGGTCTCTCGTCATGAGAAGACGATGGTCAAAGTGTTTCGGCTTGTGTTGTTCTTCTCTAGGAGAGGTGATGCAGCCACGTAGTATACCAATTGGATGGATGAAGACATGATTTCCGAGGCCACATATGGACATGTCCCGATTGTGTACGACATTCGCTCACGAGCTTTGATCTCGCAATGACTCTCGTTCTTTGTTGCGTCATGCAATGGCATCTCCGGCGTGCAATGTACTAGGTGCGTACAGTGATGCATAAGTGCATGCGATGTATCCAAAACTTATTTGCTGTAGGCGCCTGTTTTGTCACAAGCAACTGGTAAGATCTCAGCCCGCGACCGCGAATCAAAATGGATCGGCATGCAGACGAAGCTGCGAGCCTTTGGACGCACGGTCGTTTGACCGGGGCCTACGTCCTTCTAGCGGGCTGTCTGACAGGTCGCAGACTCGTAGTCTACTCACGGCCGGATTCTTCTGTGATGGCGTTACACAGTTCCTCGGCCGAGAGGTTGCGTATAGTACATGCCGGCGTACAGTCGATACTCCGTCCATCCGTATGACCCCAGATAGTATATATACTGGTGTGGGTTGCCTGTATCATTGCCACAACAAGACCAGCGGAACCGTGATACCAAACATCCTTACACCTGCTAACGCTACTAGCCATTGACATGTCAACCCCGTCCGTCATCGAGAGACAACGTCCTCTCTCTGACCTTGACGAAAGTTACTATCGCCTCGATGGCGAAGAGCTGGCCTTCTTCAGACAACAGACAGGACTACACGACGACGAAGCGCTCAAGCTGCACATAATGAAGGTTCAAAAGGATGCATACCAGGTAGGCACTCTCCTGCGTACAACACAGCTGCCGCTCACTAACGTGGAAATGGAAAAAGACGAAGCCCTATACGTGTATTCGCTGGTTCACGTTCACAGAGTACGTCTTGGGACTGAAACGCGGCCGTTGGTGACATTAGTTCAGAAACTCATGTTCGTTTCGCACTTACAGGCTCCAGTTAGCAAGGTTCCCAGCGTACGGCCAACTGCTGAAGCTAGGCAAGGAGCGCGAAGGGGCTGTATTCCTCGAAATAGGATGCTGCTGTCTGTCTCTATAGCCATTCCAAGTTCTATAGCTGCTAATGACCAACTTCAGTCGGTAACGACATCCGGAAGGCCGTTGCGGATGGTTATCCGCTGCAGAACTGCATTGTGTCAGACATTGAGCCTGGTAGGCATAAAGGCGATCATACCAATCCATGATGCTGAGTCAGTCTTGACAGCCCTCTGGGACTATGGCTTCCAACTATTCAAGGACACCCCCGAGACCTTCCCTGTTCCCTTCGTCGCAGGTGATTCCCTCGACCCCACCTTCCTCGAGCCTGTCCCCCCTTTCACGTCGCCTCCATCCACCCCGGCTCCCCCTCTCGCCTCAGTCAAGCGTTTATCCGAGCTGCAGGGTCACGTCTCCGCCATCCACCTTTCCGCTGTATTCCACCTCTTCCCGGAGGAGAAACAGCTTCACCTCGCCCGCGCCCTCGCAGGCCTTCTCTCGCCCGCCTCAGGCTCGATGATCCTCGGTTGGCACGCCGGCCTCCCACAGAAAGGCGTGTTCGAAGGACGGGAGCGCCCAGATAGCCAGCATATCGATCTCTTCTGCCACTCACCGGAGACGTGGAAGGAGCTGTGGGACGGGGTGGTCTTCCCGAAGGGCACGGTGCGCGTCGAGGCGGAGCTGAGGGAGCTTGAGGGCGGCCCGCCGAGACCAGCAGGTAAGGTGTACTGGAAGCTCGTTTGGTCGGTGACTAGGCTATGAGCGCGCAGCCGGTCCATGCCTTCAACAGGTGTATCATAGAATCCTCGTAACGCACGCATCTCATCGAGAGATCAACACGGTCTCGATAGCAGAGGCACTCTGTATCAATTAGTCTATACACCGCTATCTCACTCGAATACGAGGCAATTTTCTGAACTAATCACGAACCGATCGACACAGTCGGCAACTGTCCGATTCTCAATCTCGTCCCGCCAAACGGCCGCAGCGTGACATTGAATGCATCGCCCAAACACGCATTAGGGCTCTGAGGCGGCCAGTCAGCGTCGCCCGACGCGACGGGCCAGTCGATCTCACACGCGAGCGCAGTCATGGACTGCGGCTGCGCGCCGGTATCCCAGACATAGTAGGGCAGCTCGTCGACACTCTCCTCGTGGAAAGTGAGTGTGGAGGGGTCGATAGCGATGTTCCACGGGGCAGTAGGGAGCCAGGTGTGGTCATGCGTGTTATTGTCGTACTATGAACAATGGCGTTGTGAGCTGAGAGCTCGTCCCATGCGGATGAAGGATTCACGTACCTGAGTAAGGTCTGACGCAGGAACATTTGGTAGCGTCTCGAGGAAGTCCAATGGGCCGGTAGACCTACACACATCACACCCGATTTCAGACGACTCCATCACGACTCATAGCGAACGACTCAAGGCTCACCTAAGAGCTGCCGTCTCAGTGTCATTGTATGCAAGATCAACCGCGTAAAACAGCGGCCCCCGGTGGATTGCGATGCTCCCGTTCAACCCTTCCTCAATCTCTGTTTGCATTTCGAGGTACAGCTCCACGGTGGTCTCGCCGGCGCCGACGTACACGCTCTGCAACGTGGAGGAGGCATCTTGGGAGAGCGGGGAGGCCGCCGCACCATTGACACTGATGCTGCTGGCGTTCTGCGCCCAACTGGGGATTCGGATGTAGAACGTGAATGGCGCGGAGGCGGTGATGTTGTACGAGAGCGTTGAGCCGAAGGGGTAGAGCGTGTCGACGGTTACTAGGACATGTCATTTGAGCTGGCTGTGCCTAGCGAGTGCAGACGATACGTACCATCCGCGGTTGTGCCGTTCGCTAGGGTCGTTGAGACGGTCGCAGGTCCAAGGAATGCGTGCACGAGCGATGTTCCATTATCGGCGAGCAAGAAGCTGTTCGCCCAGAACTTAGGCCATCCCTGTGGGTGATTTACCGTGCCTAGCCATTGCATCAGCCACAGTGCACTGTTGTCCACAGGATGGGAGCAAGCATACAGCAAGGGTAATTCGGTTCCATTCCCATCACGTTGCTGTAGGACCCATCCGTTGCCCACGCCATCCCGTCTGTATGGTTCCTCACCCAGATCTGGTTCGTCTGCTGGAGGTACTGGTGTCCCCACCAATCCGGCGTACTCTGTCGACAGATAGCCGTCTCCTCGTCAGCAGGACAGAGTGGCAGGAAGAACGGGACGAAAGCGCACCTGCGCGGGCAAGGAGTTGTACGTGATCTTCTCAGTGAGGTCTGCCCACTCGGGGTTTCCGAGAATAGCGTATATGAGCTCCAGGGAGAACATCGTCTCCACGCTCGTGCAGTATTCGGACCTGTGGAATCCTCAGCTTCTCGGTCGGATCTGACACGCTTTCAACACTGACCCTCTGGAGGGGCCAAGCCCTGCAAGGTGTTCGTCCGTGCCAAAGATGCCTTGCGGGCGACCATGGTACTGCCAGAGCATGTCGATGCGGTCGTACGTGCTGTCGATGTCGCTCTGCTCGCCTGTCATGCGCCAAGCTAAGGCCTCGGACTTGAGCGCTACCAAGCAATCAATGTTCCTGCACTCGCCCCAGAATCATTGGGGCCTTACATTCACCAACATTGACGCCATGGCTGCGAATAGTAGCCGAAATGAGTCCAGTCGCAAATGGACAGGGCCTCAGTGTAGACTCACTTGTGCATGCCAGAGTCAGCTGCGGACACGGCCTCCCTCGGGAAAGTACCGTTGTCGACGTAAAAGTCGTCCTTCCACGAGTACCCTTGTGCGCGCGCAGCTTGCATCAAAGATATGAGCTGCTGCTCTTCTCCCCGAGGGTCGTTGTCGTACAGCCATTGCAAGACGAGCACGAGCTGCACGCGTGTTGACGTCAATGACGAACTCTGAGAACGGCTCGCACATGACGCACCTCCTCCCATCTGACTTGCTGGTAGCCATACTGCTCGCCGAGGTCTTCCGTACCGAGGTCGCCAGCCGCGAATCGCTCCGCTGCGTAGGAGACGAAGTTGTGCATGAGGTCGTTGATGGCAGTTGCCTGGCTCGGATCTGCTTCTGCATGTTGCTGGGGATGCCGCGAGGACAGTGAGTATAGTGGAGATCTGCGCACGCAGAAGCTGATCGACGCACGATGAGCCCCAGCATGATCATGTATCTCGGCCAGAGGAGGACCGGGAGGGATGTATTGAAGGGCGGTGGGCCGAAGTTGCCGGAGGACTCTTGCGAGTCGAGCACGTAGTCGAGGAAAGTTTGCGTGTAGTTGAGGAGCGTCTCGTTCTGGAGCTGGTACGCGAGTCCGACCCATCCGTTGCTAGACACGAGTTATGATTTCGGCCAGTCTTAGACAGTATGTTCCACTTACTACCAGTACGGCGCAGCTTCCTGCATTTCGCTGTACTCCAGCATCCCTCCGAACCAGACTGAGTCTCTGACACTGCGGATGGTCAGACCGTGATCTCGGAAGATGCAATCTTCAAACTGACTAGCTGAACCATATTGGCTGCTGGGATGCAAGCCCGTTCGCCTGTACTTGAGCCATGTTCAATGCCCATCCGTAAGGTTTGACGGCTCCGGTCGGAAGCCGAGTATATAACGGATCGAGCACTGTGCACACAGGCCAATGAGTATCCTGACTGACAATACCAAACACGAGAACTCACGAGTCGAATTGTCCGGGTTAGCCGCATGTGTGCTGGGAACACTAGAGGTGAGGAGAGAAAGCGGGCCAAGCCAGGCCAGCAGAGGCCGCCGAGCGATATCGAGTAGGCGCATCCTGACTGTGTCCGCGAATGATGTTACTCCGCTCCAGACGTATGCGTGCACGAAGCAGTCATCATTAGTCCCCGTCTGCTTTATACCTCCAAGCGCATCCAGAACTGCCGAGACTTCCGCCTGTGAGACAAGTCAGCTGTCGTTGAACGGGAGCAGAGCTGGAGGTCTACGGGCCGTCAGCGAAGGCATTATAGCGGCGGGGAGCAATGCCGTTGGGTCGCGGAGGTCATGCGAGCGATCACCGCGCTCGCTATGACAGAATCAAACCGTGGAGAAGGCAGCGATATGTGCGAAGCGCACGGTAGCGCATGGCCGTTCGCATGTTATAAGTTAGTCCGTGACGACATCAACTATAGCTGACTCGTGACATAGAGGCGAACGGTGCATGACGTTGATACAGAGCGCAGATTGCTGCCCGCAAAAGTGTCTCTAATATCTGAGATTCCCTCAACATACATTATGTCATAGGTGTATACGAGTGTATACGCCAACACTATGATGTTGTGTATAGGGAGAGTGTGCTGGACGCACAATCGACGTGTCAGAGAGCGACTGTCGTCACATAGATGTGAAGCGCACCACGCAAAGCCCATTCTCGTGGTGAGATATGTATTTTACATCATCGCACACAAGGTTGTACTGCTGAGAGGCACAGGACGTGGTCGCGCAAGACTGTTGAGTAGAATGTGGGCTGGGGGGCAGACAGGGAGAAGATCGCACAAGCGCTCAGCAGACCGTGGGGCACAGATCTCAAGATCTTTCACGTGGCCCTGCGCGCCCTGACGCGGACGCGTCGACGTCAACACGCGGATGGCTCGCGACCAACGCCGAACTCTACTACCGACTCTACAATACTCGAAGGATTAGACCTGGAGATACTCACGCAGCATTCTAGGTTATTTTTCAGGCCATACGGACTGGTTGAACTACTACTAAGGTTTCGGTGGTAGCCCCGAGTCCAGACCTGTCTATAGTCGCTGTGGGGCTGCATTGCATGAGGCCACTTACGTCTATTGCCAAACGCACTGTCTTAAGCCTCCCAACACCCTTCCGTCGTCTACCCCACCCCCACTCGGCGCCGCTAGCATTCGTTCGACACAGGACTTCCGGACTCCGTTGGGTCAAGCCTACCAAGTTTCCCCTCCCGCCCTCCTTTGCTATGGACGTCGATCGATCGAAAGTACTCGTATTTGGGGCGGGGAACTTCGGCAGCTGTCTAGCTGACCACCTCGCGGACTCATATCACACCGTGTTCTTGTGGTCTCGCTACGAGAACGCAGTTCGCCAAATTAATGAAACCCACCGCAGCGATGTCTTCAAAGACCATGTATTCCCCGACACGGTCAAGGCCGTTGGCCCAGAATTCCCATCGCGAGAACTCATCAAAAGCGTCGATGTGCTGCTCTTTGCTATTCCCACCGAGGGTGTGAGGTATCGTTTAGCTCCTTTCGGCCTCTCAATCCACCGAGTTGACTATGACCCGCAGAGAAACGCTCACGAATTTGAGACCACTGCTCGACGAGGGGAATCTCCCGCTGTTGATATTCGTCAACAAGGGTATTGAGATCGCAACCAATGCCCTGACGCTGGAAATCATCGCCGACACATGTGGACCTGCCATCGCGAACGTCGCAACGTTCATCGTCAGTTCCTAGGCCAAAATCGTGGGTCAGAGGCATGTCTGACTTCCCTTCCCAGTCGGGGCCATCCTTTGCAAAAGAGAGTACGTGATTCTCGATGCACCGATTCTACTATGGGGTCTCATTCAACGTAGTCATTAAACGCCAGCCGACGTCGGTCTCCGTCGTATCTCTATCAGTTGCACACGCGCAGAGAGCCTCGCACCTATTTCATCAGCCATGGTTCCGCTGGTACGTGGGCTTAGGGTAAGACAGCTCATTGCATTAATTTCCCTCCATAGTTACACAGGAGAAGATCCTATTGGCGTCGAGCTGGCCGGCGCGCTCAAGAACGTTTATGCCATCGCTTCCGGGATGGCAGATGGCCTTGGATTCGAGAATAATACGAGAGCTAGTGAGTTGTCTCCGCGTTGAGCTACTGACTCCCTTGCTAATAATTTCTGCGTAGGTTTGATCACGCGTGGTCTCGCAGAGATGACCAGAATAGGAACGACCTATGGCGCATCACCGCTCACATTTCTTAGCCTCGCTGGGGTCGGCGATCTCTTTCTGACCTGCAGCTCGTCCACGAGTAGAAACTACACCGTGGGGTATCGCCTGGGCAAAGGAGAGAAGTTGGACCACATCATCAAGACGCTGGGTAGTGTGGCCGAAGGTGTTACGACAACGAAGGCATTACATACGCTGATCAGTCGATTGGGTGTGAACGCACCGATTGCGACTGGGGTAAGTCCGCCACGGCATACGTTGTTTCTCCGCCTGATTATCTTGATGATACTTTGCCCGCTGTAGATCTATGAGGTGCTCTACGAAGGTGTGTCCCTATCCGATGAATCTCTTCTGTCGTCGATGGGTTGAGCGTGGCCTTGTGACAGACGCAGATGTTGCGGAAAAGGCGAAGTGGCTGATGGCTCTGCCCCCGGTGCGCGAGCTGGAGTTGCCGGAGGGGACGGGGAAGCCCGCCGAGCAGCTACTGAAGAAGCTGGAACTCCCTGGTGCAGTGTAGTGCGCGCGCAGAATATAGATGTAATACATGTTCGTGCCTGCAATCCTCTTCCGCGTGCGTTGGGTGCGTCGGGGACGGACGGCGTACGGTCTGACGGATCGGAGGCAGTGGCCGAGCGTCGGAGGCCGGGACGAGGACACACAATTGATGACTCGACGACTACACCTGCCATATCCGGGCTGATCATCAGGATCGGATTACGTAACGCGTTCCGATTTTTTTTCTTGGGCGAAGTGTAAATTCGGGTGGCCAGCGCTGTGGCCCGCGTCCCGGCTGTCCTTCGCGTATTCATCTGCTCCTCACCGCCAGCCCGTCAGGTTCGCGTCTTTCTCCGCGCTGTTTCCCTCCTTGGCCTCACCAATCCCTCAAGGCTCCTCCGCCCCGTCCCCCGCGCCCGCATCCATGGTCTCTGCTCTCTGGAAGGCTTGTTCTGAGGGCAACCTCGAAAATGTTAACGAGCTTCTCAAGGAGTCATCGTCTGCGGAGATTGAGACTCAAGGTGCGCAGATCCGTCCGCGTGTATGCTGCGAGTTTTTAGCGTGCAGTGTGCAGCCCGGATTCGCCCTCCATTGACACGTTTCGCCTGCCAGATCAAAACGGTGTGACGCCTCTCATTGAAGCAGTCAAGAATGGTCACGTCGAGGTTGTCAAAGCGCTCTTGGACAAAGGTGCGTATAGTTTAATGAGGTGCAACTCTTGTACCCACCTGTCCTCACTAATCCCCTAACGCCTGGTGTTCAGGCGCGGACCCCACGAACGCTTCCGCCGAAGGCCTCCCAGAGTCGTACACGGACGCGACCATCTTGGAGCTGCTTGAGGCTGCAAAGAACAAGGTAAATGCCAACGGAGTCGCACCACAGCCAAACTACTCGCACGACCCCAACATGGATCCTAGCAAAGGCTACTACCCCCCTCCGCCCGGTGCCTACTACTACCCTGGCATCCCCGTCGGCGCCCCCATGATGCCCGATGGCTCCGTTGCCTACTACCCACCTCCGCCTGTGTCTTCGGACCAGAACCCAGGCGGTATGGGCAACCTGCCTCCGCCCGAAGTGGCTCGCATGATACCTTGCCGGTATTATCCTGCGTGCCGCTACGGATCTTCTTGCATTTTTGCCCACCCGCAGGCTCCTTATTTGCAGGGCCCGCTACCCCCTCCAGCGCAATATCCCGCTCCCTACGATCCCATGGCGCCTTCGCCGTACCCACCGCCAACGTATTACGCGGTGCCACCACCCTCGTTCCCCACTTCGCCTAATGGTGCACCAATGAACGTAATGTCTCCGCCACCAGGCGGCCACCCTGCTCCCCCGCCTATGACCCACTCAAGGTCAGCTTCGGAGGTCATGTCTCCGGTGCAGGCTCCCTTCAGCCCGAACGGTGTACCTCCACCGATGCCCTACGGCGTGCCTCCCATGTCGCCCACGTACGGTCATCCCGGTCAGGTACCTATTCCGATCTCCATTCCTCCTCTGCCGCCTCTCAACGGTGGCCCGCAGTCTCCCCAGCAGCCACACGGTATGTACCCACCGATGTCGCCGACAGGACAAGGCGCTGTACCGGCTTACCCCGCGTCTCGTGAAGCTGGACCATATGCGCCTCAGGGTACGCTTCCTAATGATGTTATTGTTGGTAATGTCAATTTACCAACGTCTCTGTCAGCTCTTCCGCAGGCGGATGGCTATGGCCCTGGGCCTGGCCCCATGCACAGGGATGGCATGTCCCACCATCGTCGGGGAAGTGCACGTAGACCCTCTTTCGGCGGGCCAGGCAGGAAGCCTCCGTGTCTCTTCTTCCCTGTCGGAAGGTGCAGGAATGGGTAAGTCAGTTCATGAGGAGGTTCGCGTTCCCACGTCTGAAATTTTTCTTGCAGGGATGATTGTCGATTCCCCCACATCATGCCGGAAAACCAACTTCCGTACCATCCTGCGCACCATCCCCCTCATTTCGGAGGACGTGGCGGTCACCGTCCGCGTCCGTCTGCTCCCGTCAATGGTTTCGGCTCGCTTGAAGACAAATTCTCTGCGATGACGGTTCAGGACGTACGTATACACTCTCAAACACGTATCCGCAATGCTCATGTTCTCACAGCATCAGCAGCAGGCTGATGGTCAGCTGAATCATGCGCGAAGCAGCACGAATGGAACGACGGCGACGGCGACTTCGAGCCGATCGCAGTCCAGCGATCCCGGCAGCAGGAGAGGTCCTCCGGGCTACCGCCCGAACCACGTCCCTAACGGTGTACGTCCGGAAAAGAGGTCTATGCCGTCGAAGCCTCAGCGTGTGCCCAACGCCGACGAGTTCCCCGTCCTCACGAGCACTACCCCTCCTTTGCGCAGCCCCGCGTTGCATGGACCGAATGGCAATGGGTGGGTTGGACCGACTGCTGCTCAGGTCCTCCAGGCGCCACCACCTCGCAAGGAGGGCCCGGCCTCTGCTCGTGGCACCACGCCTGAACAGGTTGCTACCCGCCCAAGCTCAAAGGTGTGTTGTATTGCGCATCTATGGCTAAGGTGTGCCTAATAGCTGCTCGTTCTAGGACGGGAAGCCTGAAATCAACGGTACCCAACCGGAGCTCCCTGTCAGCAAGCTACCTGTCTCGTTCGCTGCTGCCGCCACCGCCGCACCAGACGCTGCCAAAGAAGTCGCCGTCACGGCCTAAAACGGACAATGCTTGTCCGGTGATCACGCCTTCCGTGCCCTACGCCCTTCATTCCCTCACGACTACTCATATGTTCCCCGCGCATCCCGGGCTCTCTGCTGCTGTATCCTGTATCCTCTTTCGCGCACTCGTCATGTCTATAGTGAGGACCCTCCGTCGCTGTCAGCATATTATATCGGACCCTCCACTCCGTCCATCGAGCATACATAGCTTCCTCACGGATCCTGCATAGTCTCTGCCTCCCTAGACTCCATGTCCTCTCTGTGCTCTCTGCTTCATCTTGGTTATTATCCTTCATCTCCGCTGTTGTCTTCGCTGTTGTGTTACAACTCAAAATTCGCTCGCTTCCGGCCAAGCCATATTGCGATTCATCCACTATTGCAAAACCACTTGCTTTCATTCACTTCTTCATTCAGTCGCTGCTTCTATCACGTATACGTTACATTCGCGATAACTTATGCCGTAGCGGCACGCCTGCGATGTCTGTTACTACATTACTTTTAATCCATCGATACAGCTGCAGGTCTACTGTAACTGTACCATGCCGTCAGCTGCATGTAATACTCTGTTGTCGGATTAATCTCGCACCTAGAGCTACACCTTCCACGCATCCAGATTTTGCATGTGTACCCCGCTCGCGGCGGTCACCGCGCCGATCTTATACACGTCGGGCTCTCCCGCCTCGCGCAGCAGCCGAATCACCTCGTCGACATTCTTCGCGTCGACGATGAGCACCATACCGATGCCGTTGTTGAACGTGCGCGCCATCTCGAGCGGCGCGACGCCGCCGTGCTGCATGAGGAAGCGGAAGACGGGTGGGAGCTCCCACGATGATGCATCGATATGGCATCCTAGGCCCTTGGGCAGCACGCGGGGGACGTTCTCGATAAAGCCGCCGCCGGTGATGTGCGACATGCCTTTGATCAGGCCCGCCTGCGCGGCGCGGAGGAGGGATTTGACGTAGATGCGGGTGGGCTCGAGGAGCGCACGCCCGAGCGTGGTTTGTGCGTCCCAAGGACAAGGGCTTGCGTAGGTGAGTCCGGACAGCGCGATGACCTTGCGGACGAGGGAGAAGCCATTGGAGTGCAGGCCTGAGGACGGGATACCGAGGAGCACGTCGCCCGCAACGATGTTAGGCTGGGGAAGGATTAGATGCCGCTCAACCGCCCCGACTGCAAAGCCGGCGAGATCATAATCCCCTACAGAGTACTCATTCAGAGCTGTCTTTGGGAACGAGTGAGGAATTGACAGACCATCATGATACATCCCGGGCATCTCTGCAGTCTCTCCCCCGATGAGAGCGCATGCTGCTTGCCGGCAGCCTTCAGCAACACCCTTGATGACCTGAGTTGCGACAGGTACGTCGAGTTTGCTACACGCGTAGTAATCCAAGAAATACAAAGGCTCTGCGCCCTGTACGAGCAGGTCGTTCACCGACATCGCAACCAGGTCAATTCCTACCTTAACATGAGCTGACGTGGACATGGACGTGACAGATGCGACCCACCAACGGTGTCGTGGATACCAGCGTCCATCGCCACGCGCAGCTTGGTCCCAACGCCATCTGTGCCACTGACGAGCACGGGGTCGGTGTAGCCCACCGCCTTCAGGTCGAACACGCCCCCGAAGCCGCCAATCTCCGCATCCGCGCCCGCACGGCGCGTCGAGCGGACGAGTGGCTTGATCGCGTCTACGAGCGAGTTGCCCGCGTCGACCGAGACGCCCGCCTGTGCGTACGTCAGGCCCGGCTTATTTGCCTCGGCCGTGAGTGCACTAATAGTAAAGGGGGAACGCGGGAGCAGACCGCAGTATCAGTAGGCGATTGTGGGTGACGTGCTGTGCCGTGACACATACCGGTGTGCGATGTCCCGTCTGTAAGCCTTGCCTTCAAACGAGACTTTTTCGACACCTGCGTACGCCAGGTCGAGCGCCTCGCGCAGCGTTGGCGCGTATGCTGTTACCGCCATGACTCGACCACCCGATGTGACGACTTGATCGCCTTTTTGGCTCGTACCGGCGTGGAAAGCCACAACACCTGTGCACAGTGAGTGTCAATCCGCCTGTGGTGCGTGAGTATGTACCTGAGGGCAAGTCCCCAACAGTAATTTGCTTGCCCTTGGCATAGCTTCCGGGATAGCCTGCGGAGGCGAGGATGACGGAGACACTGAAGCCCGGTCGCGTGTTTACCTGCACGGAGTCGAGACGACGCTCAGCACAGGCCTACGGACGCTGCATTCAGTATCAGCGCCCAGGGACCTGAGCAAGTGACCTTACAAGCAGGACAGCGGCGAGGTCGGTGTCGTCACTCAGGAGTAGCATCAACGCCTCGGTCTCGGGATCACCAAAGCGCACATTGTACTCGAGCACCTTGGGCCCGGAGGGTGTCAGCATGAGGCCCGTGAACAGCATGCCGACGAAAGGGAAGCCTAGCGTGTGCGCGTCTCAGAGAGGGTCGGGTGTTCATCGGGACCGGGACACGCACCCTCCTTGCGCATCCCCGAGATGGTAGGCTGCAGGACTTCTTTCATTATTTGATCCATGACCGCAGGTGTCGCAACCGGAGCAGGTGCGTACGCGCCCATACCACCCGTATTTGGCCCCGTGTCGCCCTCACCGATGCGTTTGTGGTCCTGCGCGGCTGGGAGGGGCACGATCGTGTATCCATCCGCGAACGCGAGCACAGAGACCTCGGGGCCCGTGAGCAATTCCTCAACGACAACTTCGCTGCCTGAGATGCAACACAAATATTATTTCTCGCGGTATAATGTACACATCGGGCGGGGCGCAGACCTGCTGCTCCGAACACATGATCGACCAGCATCTCGCGTAGGCCAGCGATTGCGTCGTCGACGGTCTCCGGGATGAGGACGCCCTTGCCTGCAGCCAGCCCGCTGGCCTTGAGGACGGTCTTGAAGCCGCACGTCTTGACATATTCGATGGCTTGCTCGACCTCTTCCGCCTTGAAGACCTTGAATTGGGCGGTGGGGATCTTATGCCGCGCCATGAAGTCCTTTGAGAATGCCTTTGAGCCCTCCATGCGGGCGGCCAGGGCGGACGGACCAAAGACGGGGATGCCGACTGATCGCAACACGCTTCATATTGGCACACATGTGGTAGCTAGACTGTTACCTTTGCGGAATGGCTCCTCGATGCCATCGACGAGAGGCTGTTCGGGGCCGGGGAGGACGAGCGAGACCTTGTATTGCAGGGTGTTAACGGGGATACTGTGCGCAGTAGAACGAGTGATAGCTTACGTTGTTGGCGACCGCGAGGCTGACCAGGGCGGGGAAGTCTGTTGCCGAGATATCGACGTTGGTGGACTTAAGCTCGTGCGCAGTTCCGCCGTTGCCAGGGCAGACAAAGACGTGATCGACGAGGGGCGAGCGTGCGAGCCGCCAAGCGAGGGCGTGCTCGCGTCCGCCGCTGCCGACGATGAGGACGCGGAGAGACATGGTGGGCAGAGGAGCGCGACGTTGAGCGAGTCGCGGTTGTGGCAGGCTGTGGGCGGGCAAATTTCTGGGGCCCCCGGGGACCGCGAGCACGCGGTGGCGGGGCTTGGGAGGAGGAGGTTGGACGGCAGAAGACGAGGAGCTTGAGACCAAGTCCTGAGTCGCCCGTTGGCAGCCGTTGGCCCGCCTGTTCTTTGTTCGAATGCACATTCGCTGCCCACCGTCGCACAACGATAGCATATCGCCTGCGCACTAGTTCTCGCTTGCCATGCGATGGCATGTACAAGAGGCAAGTCGTATCATCCCGGCCCATCACGTTTCGCTTCCTTTTAGCCGGCGCGCTCACTTCCTCACAGGCTCGCGCTCGGCAACCTCATCCACACTCTCCTCCACCACCTCCGTCCAACTCGTCTGCCCGTCCTCCCTCCAGCACCATGGGCGTAGGCGCGAGAATCCTGGGTCGCGCAAAGTCGCAGGCAAAGGCCAATGGAGGGAAAGGCCCTTTGTCGCGCAAGGCTCCCCCCAAGAACGCGGACCCTTCCAACCCCTCCCTCTCCGAGAAGCCCTCCCTCACGCCCTCCGAGTCCCGCAGCAGCACGAGTGGCAAGGATAAGGAGTCCTCCTCCTCCTCCTCCCACAGCGACGACCAACACTTTTACAACCGTCTCTTTTCCCACCTTCCTCCCAATTCCCTTATTCCCGATCCCCTCGCCGAGCTCCCACCATGGTTCAAGACCGACACCGAGGCTTGGAACGTTGCCTCGCTCATCTCATTCCGGTCGCGATACCCCATGCACAACACGGCAGGCCCCCGTTGGTACCAGAACGTCCACCTCTTGCCCCCTCCGGAGAAGGACTCGTCCCAGTTTTCTACCTCTTTCCCTCCCATACCTACCGCTGCGGAACGTTCCCAGGAGTCGACACGCTTGCGCACGCCTTCCGCGTCGCCTCTGCCGACGCCCAACTCATCCCAGCTGCGCATCGTCGATCCCATTGGTCGCGTCAGGACGCGTAAGATCTCGCAGACCGATAATGTCGACGCGCTCGACGGCACCGACCCGTGGGGTCAGCAGTGGCACCACGACTCGCCCTACGATATCGGTGGATTGAACCGCGATGCGTCGCCCGACCCAGAGGTACGTCAGTGTATGCTCCCGTTTCTGGGCCTTCATTTACGTGGCGCTAGGATCGTCGGAGGAGCCTCACCATGACTGGGAATCGTCACAAGAGTGTGACACCCTCTCCACTGTCCCAGTCGACATCTGCCGTGCACCTGCACATGTCGGAACCGATGGGCGCAGATCTGCCTCGTCGCCTCAGCAAACGGCGCAAACCCTTCAGTGGCTTGTTCGGGTCCCAGAGCCAAGACAACTTTCATCCCAAGCATGCGTCCGCGCCGCATGAGCCTCTGTCGCCCCTTACTGCGGAGAGCGTGCAACGACAGAAGGTGCTCCGTCGCAGGTCGACGGCCGGCCCGCCGCCACCGTCACCCTCCGCCTTGCTCAGCGCAGACATGGCGTCTGGCAAGAAGGAGAAGCACACTAGCTTCATGGGACGCCTTGCACGACGGTTCAGTGTCATGCGTAAGCCCGACCCAGCGAACGCAAACGGTACCGGCGGTGATCCCTCCCTTGATGGCGCTAATGCCGAGTCTAGTGAGACGGCAGCCAATAGCACCCGCAGCGGCGAGCTCTCGAGGCGCGTACCCCCGCCATCACTAGACGTCGACCCTTCATCTGTGGACCGTACGCAATCGAGTGCGGACAACCGTGTGTCGGTCTTGGACTCTGCTGATGATGAAGAGCCTGTGCCAAGCAAGCTCACCGTCATCAATCCGGATGAGCCTGAGAGCTCGGTGGGGGCTTCACCTGTTGAGCTGGTTGCTGATGCACCGTCTGAGCAGTCGGCTGCGGAGACCGAGTCGTCTTCCAAGGCAGACGCAGATGTCTCGGAGATGGATGACCGCACGGAGGGCACTGACTTCCCTGCGATGTCCTCATCTGCCACGATCAACGAGACCCCCGCGTCGCCCCCCACAATCCCGACGATCTCGACGGCGTCTCTGGAGCCAGCCTCTCCCCCACAGGGCCCTGCGTACTCTCCGTCGCAGCCCCTCCCGGAGATGTCTAAGCAGACGCTAGCCTCCGCGCTGAATTTGGACCACTCGTTACCTCCCACGCCCCGGACAGAGAGGGCGCTTTCTCTGGTATCGGAGCGGACAGAGCCGTCCACAGCCTTCATGTCTTCGCCACGCACCCAGACGCAGGAGACGAACTTTTCATACTCCAGCACCAACTTGACTGCGTACGCACCTTCTTCGGTGACTTCTCCAGATGACCCTGCGCTCGTCCGTGCCTCGATCGTTGCGAACCCCGGGACTCCCCATGTGAGGCCCATGGTGATCTTCCCATCCGCGAAGGCGACGCAAGTCCCCGTGTCGTCGTCTCCTGTTGAGCTGTCGCCCAAGCCTCGTGATGGGTCGCCCAAGAAGGAGGGCCACCACAAGTCGTCGAGCCAGACGAAACGGAGGGAGACGGAGACGTACACGCTGGTGCGTAGCCCATCGGGCACTTCTCGTGCCTCGGGTGAGGTGTTCTCGGCCATGGGAGAGCAGTGGGAGGTGGTTCAGTCGCAGGCTGATGAGGGCACGCGCAAGAGCCGGAGGAAGGAGCGGAGCGGGTCCAAGGAGGTCGAGAACTCCATCCGAGAGGAAAGCGAGAGTCACCAGCATCGGCGGCAGCGCTCTATCAACGAGCAGCGCCCCGCTGCGGAGCCGATGACCGCCTCCTCGAGCAGGTCGACGCGCACGCCGAGTGTGGATACTGAGCGTCGCCCGCATGGCACCATTTCTTCACGCAAGGAGCGCCGTTCGTCCTCCAGGCATAGGGAGAGCGATGCTGAGGCTAGCTACAGCGCCAAGGCTACCTCGGTTCCGAACCACCCCTACCGCCACGAACGGGCTCTCTCTGCCGGTGCCCGCCCGGCGTCCGACCTCCAGTTCGATCCCATGGTCCTCAAGGCCAAGGATGCCTGGGAGAAGGACAGGCTCTGGAAGGCCAACAGCGTGTCGTATGCTCACGACGGCACCCCCATTGTGTCTACGCCGCCGACCATCGGCGACGGCTCGCGCACATCGACCGTCGTCAGCGCCGACATGCAGATGGCCGGTGCGATCCCCAGCACGAGCGACCTGCACCTGCACCGCGCCACGACGCTTCCCTCTCCTAATGCGCCCCCGCACGGCTCCAACCACACGTACTTCACGATCGGCCCGTACCAGGGTAGCCATACCATTCCCCCCGTCTACGTGCCCTCCCCCGTCCCCGCCTCCCAGAACGCATCTGGACCGGCCAGGCGGCGCCAGGTTTCGCGCTCCTTCTCTGAACGTGTGCCATTCTCCATCAACGACCAGCGGAACGACCCTCCCTCCCTCACGCGCAATTACATCGGCAACCCGCTCCCGGACCCGCCGCGCATCTCGCCCTTCCAGGCTGCCCCGCTGCCGCCCTCGCTCGTGGGCCCGCTCGGGACCGCGAACGCGCAGTACGCTGGGGTGCCGACACGATACTGATTCACCTCCTGATACCATCTCCCGCATTCATATCCCTGACGCTGCATCCATATATTTCACGGACACTCCTAATAGACTTCAATCCTTTGACCGCATCCTATGCACTCATTTTCTCGCTTTCTCACTTCTGGTTCACCCCGTCCTCCGGTAGCTAACTTGGCCAATTATTCCTGCTTGTAATCGGAACACTTCTGAGAGATAGAAGAAGGGTTTGGCAAGTGCTGTATCTCACTCTGGATTCTACATGCATGTCCTGGTCAGTTCGTAGTTAGTCACGATAAAGCGATGTTACGTTGCCGCGTTAGCGTTCGCATTGAATTGAATTGCAGGCCTTGCGCCTTAAGTACCGTTAATGAACCTAGACAGACATGACGAGCGACATTGCGAGGTATCGAAAGGAGACTTGTATGTAGCAGTAATATAGTTACAGATGGTGCAGATTCATGACAAGACATTGAAAGAGAAGAACACACCCGGGCCCACATACAGACCGAGATAAACACACAACCAGACAGACGGCTCAAGGAGAAACGCAGGTCCAGAACGCGGCTACTCCGCGCCATGCTTATATGGGTCAATAGGGAAAGTCGTTTCGGGGTAATCATTCCACTGGTGGTCGCCATCGAGGAACCGCCGCAGGCGCACGACCTGGTTGCAGAGATAGAGGATGATGATCTGCATGTCGACCTTGATGTTCGTCTTGAGGAGCTTGACGATCTCCTCGCACGTCCGGAGAGCCTGCGTGCGGGTCGCGACGAACATGTTGCCCTCGAAGCCGAGGACCTTCAATGCGTCGATCATCTCGCTGAACTCGGAGCTCCATGCGAGGACGCCGAGCTGTGGAGCGACGCGGCAGTCAGCGGACCGTCCGATCCCGCGGTGCGCGGAGGGAAGCAGGCATTACTGACCTGGCCGTACTGCTTGTACCTCGCGTAGAGGACATTGGGTGCGCTCTTGAGCGCAAAATCAAACATCGCGTTCTGATGCATGGCCGCCTGGTCGGGCATCGCAGGCATCGGCTGCGGCGGCGCAGGCTAGAAGGGCATCTGATCAGCCACAGGACACCAGCACGGCAGCCATAATGACACAAAGGCACACGTACCTCAGGCCGTGGCGGGGGGTCCTTGAACCACTCATAGCCGTTGTAGTCGTAGTCCTCGCCCCAGTCGACAGTGTCGTTGGGCTTGTCGTAAGTTGCGGCCATTGCAGACATGATGCTCGGGTCGCGGATGGCAGCTAGTAGGTATGCGGGGAAGGGAATCTGGTCGGGTGCAGGTTCCTGCGAGGCTGGCTGGTTTGGGATAAGGATACGGAGCGAAGGCTTCGGGGGCTTCGAAGCAGGAGCAGCTGGATGTAAGGTCCGAGAAAGACGGGCGTCAGAGCTTTCTGGAAGGCTGGCGGAGGCGTGGTCTGTGAACGAAAGAGAGTGGCCCCCGCGCTCAGCACATACACGAGGAGGACACGATGCGTGGTGGCGTACCAGAGTAAAGCGGCTCGGAGTCCGGAAGGGAAAGGTGTGTCTGGGGTCCTGGCGAGGGGTTGGGGAAGAGGACGATGAGAGAGGATCGCTGATGCAAGACCAAACATGACTAGCTCAGTATTATCACACGCGTGTCGTGAGCTAAGAACAGCTCACCTGCGAATGTGCGGTACCGGGGCCAAGGGAGCTATATGTGAGAAGGAAGCGCGAATTTCCGGTGTCGGTGAGGGATTGGCGGTTGTAGATCACAGAGAGACGATTGGTGACGGCCGATGGAGGACGCGAACGGGGGTAGAAGGATGATCGGACTGGCGATGCAGCGTTCGAAGCGACGAAGAGCGTGACGGAGGACGAAGTGGAACGCGGGCTTTCTGGTACGTCCGGATGGTCAGCACACGACTGAATGCTCGATCGGTGAGTTGTTGGAATAGGGGGAGACGACCCGGGCAAGCTTACCTGAGACTCAGCAAGGCTAGTCCTAGAGCGAATGGGAAGGAATGATCGCGGAAGGATGGGCAGCGGGCGAGGTGACGGGGGTGGGATGGGGATAGGGTCAGGTGATCGAGGTGCTTGTAACGAAGTTTCTCTGTCCGAGTAGAACTCGAGGTCCTTGACGTTACGCGAGAGCCAGGAAGGCGATGGAGGAGGTAGAGGTGATGCGGCCGGTGAATAACCGATGATAGTCGAGGTTCGCGAAGACGCAGTTAGATCTCGAGGATCGACGCGCTCGTAGCGATATACCTGAAGGTGGGAGATGTACTTGGAGAGAGCAGGATCCAATTGCTGAACAGTCTGAAGAGGAGATTGAGGCTCCTTGGGCGGTACAGCAGGCGGAGCTGGTGATTCCTCCTCGTCTTCCTCAAAGATGGGTTCACAGTCGAAGTGCTCAAATGAGAGCTCCGGAATATAGTCTGTGACTACTTCGGCGACGACAGGACGAGATGGTAGGGGCTCGGGAAGGGCAGGCTCTTGTTCGCTAGTTGTAGACTTTCGGGAGCCGAATAAGCTGAGCTTCGAAAGACTCTTTAGACGCTTTAGAGGCCTAATCGAACGGATGCTGGTCTGGTCGGAGACAAGGGTGGTGGAAGAAGAGGAACGTGCGTCACGTTGCGAATGGTAACTGGGGTAACTGGGTTCGGAGCACTCGATGACTGCTTGCAACGAGGAGCGTAGTTCAGGGAATTCTGACTCAGAAGGGGACTCGACCTTGCGGAAGGGGTCTTCGTCGTAGAAGGCGGATGAAGTATCCTCTACCGGCGCGGTGTCAGTGGATGACCTCGCACGGGATGTCGGAGAGACTGAAGGCGGCGGTGATGCCGACACAAACGCGGGGCGCTCTGCCTGGAGTGAGTGGTGAGATTGACTTGGACTGGACGCTGGCGAAGGGCTAGACGGTCTCCGGGGCCGCTTGAGCGATAGTCTCGAAAGTTTTCTAAGCCTGTCTCGGGACCGAGAGAGGATAGAAGACTGAGCTTGGTAGTCTGTTCAAGCTCGTCAGAGAAGCCCGGTGCACGCGCGGAGCGCACATAAGCGGGCACTCACCGGTGGTGGAGAATGCGTAGGACGGATCGGCGAGGAGAAGGGTACGGCGGAATTCGTCGTACGAGATCTGCTCAAATTCGTCCGACCACGACGCTGGTCGAGTGAGGGGCTCCTCTGGGAGAGAAGGTAAGGCTCGGGCGGGCGGCGGGGGGCGTCGGTGACCTGTAAAGGGCGTCAGCGCGGTGCTCGATGAGCTCGCGATGAGCTTCGCGGAGGCACGGAGGGTGCCGGGGAGGATGGGTGCGAGGCGCGAGGGGGTGCGAGGGCTGGATGAATGCATGGTGACTCACAGGGCCTCCAAGCGTGGATGCAGCGGGAGAGGTGGTCGGGTGAGGCTAAGTAGACGAGAGACAATCAGCGTGAGGGGCGCGTGCAGGAGGGCTGGCTTCGGCACCCACAGATATTCCAGTCTTCGCGTGCAGAGAGGGGTCCGAGGCCGGCGAGACAGACGGGCGAGAGTAGGCACTTACCTGGTCCTCGAGCCTCTTCACGTACGACGCGGACAGACCAAGGTCTCCGCGAATTTGACTGCCTCGAGGCCGCTGCATTTCCGCTTCCGGCTACCCGGCGCCTACCACCGCTGCATTGTCCGTTGTTTGGCCGCCGTCCCTTTGCTCAACGCCAGCGCGAGCACAGGCAAACAGACAGCCCTCTCGCTGTCCATTCTCATTCTTCTCAGGACAATCCTCAGTCTGCTGTATTGTCCATCTCCGTCTCTGGCACCGACATGATGCGGCTGCAAGCTGCGCATCCTCATTGAGACCGCGAGGAGTATACAGTTTCAGTTTCATGATTCTCGCAGACATCGGTAACTCGACTCAATGACGATTTACGCAGCAAAGTTCTCCCCAGTTGGGTAAGGGCACCGGAGACACCAGCGATCTTGACGCGTTATTGAGTTTGCGGAGTCCTCTCCATTTTCAGACGGGTTTCGCATGCAGTATGCGGGGCAGCCTGGACTACACACGGAGTGCACGTTACGGCAGTAACGTGGATAACTGCGCTCAAGTCTTCTCTGTTCAGTCGTATATTATACCTCTCGTGCATACCGTGCGGAACGCATTAGGAAGCAGTTTGGTGCCCGGCCTTGGGATGTTGTGGACGCCCCCTTGCGTTTCGTAGCAGAAGTAGAAGGATGCAATTCGCGAGTACAACGACGAGTCTGCGACGCGAGTCTAGACCGGGTGAGGCACACCTGCAACCTCTTGTGTATAGTACACGAACACGCACATCCTGGGCCCTATACACGCGCGTTCAATCTGAGCAATGCAAATCACGAAAGCAGAAAAACTATCCGAGAGCAAACGAAGCATACGAAGACCTGCGTACTTGACTGATCATGATGGCGGGACTTGTCAGGGTCTGTTCTTCATCCGAGGAGAGGTGCCTCGTCCGCCGCCCGCTGAGCACGCCTCTTCTTGATGAGCCTGATCAAGGCACCCGCCTTCCCTCCAAAGGCCACCAACCCAACCTCCAAAACCGCCCCAATACCAGTAACACCCCACACGGCCGCGAGAGCGACGTACGCGCCGCCCGCAGCGAACATCGTGCGCCGCTCGTCGTACGGATACGGTGTACCAATTCTCCTGAGCCACGATCCCTGGCCGACCTGCATGTACTCCTGCATGCCCCTCCCCGCGACGCCGCTCACGCCGCCCTCGCCTCCGTCGCACCAGAGGACCGTCGTCCCGAGCTCCTCCGCGCGCGCGCGTGCCTGCTCCCACATGGCGACGCCGACGCCGACGTGCCAGGTGCGCGCAGGCGCGAAGACGAGCGCGGGGCGCGTGTCGAGCGCGCCGAAGGATGCGGCGGACGAGAAGTCGAGGCAGATGGATGCCGTAACGGAGATGGGCCGTGTCCCGTCGGGGCCCCAGCCTGTCTTTGACCAGTCGCTGTGCGCCGGCATGTCCCACGTGTAGATGCTCGGAGGCTCTGACGAGGGAGTCAGGGAGAACGATTCTGCGACTGCGAAAGTTCCGCTTAGATGAACGACGATCGTGAGCGGGAGGGGTAGAAGACGTACCAGGCACGAGCATGCGTTTCGTGTAATTTAACACTGGCTCCTTCGACTCGAACCTCAGCAGTGCAAACGAGTTCTGCCTGATGCCTGGGCCATGTTCGCCCTTGGATCGGTCGGGGAGGACGTACTCTTCGTAGCTCACGCCGACGAGCTTCTTACCTCCAGCGACCTTCCTGATCCTGGCGAAAGCCTCTCGCTTATCTTTCTCCGTCTCAAACCTGACTGCGCTCTCCGGCCAGAGGAATATGTCACCAGTTGAACGGATCTGGTCCAATTCATTGATGTAGTCGTCCAGCGTGGGCGCCTGGGTGCTTTCGCCGTTTCGGTGCGGGAAGGGGAGGACACACCCCACAGTGAGTGGGGTCGTGTTCGCAGACAGAGACGTATCAGGGAGGGGTGACATGAGCAGCGGCGGCATCGCGAGCGCAACCAGCAGCACGGCCAACACGGACCTCGCCCGTGCCCTAGCCGACATGGGTGTCTCCCTCGGTGCGGGTGCAGCTGAGGTGCCAGTGAGGTCCGGGACGTCGTCCGCCGCAAACGAGACGATCTGCTCCTGCTCCGGTGTTGCGTCGAGATCATCCCCAGCTGGTCCGACCAACCAGTTGCCGATGGTCTCTGCGCAGACAACAGCCCAGGCGGCCACGATCCAGTCGATGCCCCACTGCCCGAGGATCGGGCGGATCCACTCGTACGGGCCCAGTCCGACGGAGGGGCTCCAGGTGATGAGGCGGCCGACGGGGCTGATGTATGCGATGGTACCCCAGACGGTCGCCCATACCGCGGGGAACAGCGTGAGCTTCGACCACGGTGTACTCACAGCTCTGTTTGCGTAGTACGAGAGGACGATAGTCGCCAGCGAGACGAGGCTCGTTAGCGCGCTGAGGGCGGCGAGCAAGAGAATGGACACAGCGCGTGTGGACAGCGCGTCCAGCGATGCTCCGAGATGGGCTAAGCTTGCGGCGAGCGACAAGAGAACTACTTGCGTCCCGCCATGAGAGATGAGATATCCTCTCGGTAAGATAGTATGGACGTGTAGATGTAACACGGATAGAAGTACGGTCAGAGGGATAAGGGGTGGTGTCGTAGACAAGGCTGCTAAGCCAATGACTGGTGCGGCTCCTAACCATACGGAGGGGTGCCGTACAACAAAGGCGTTGAGGGCCATCGTGAGGGTTTGCGAGGAGGGATGCTGGCCGATGGATGGTGGGACAGAGCAAGCTCCCGTGCGAAGGCACAAAGAACAGGCGTTATTTGGGGAGGCCTGGCCGCTGCAGCGTTACTGCGGCGCATGCAATTGACCGAGATGACTCACTTCTTAAGCTTTCGTGTATAGCAGATGCACCCCAGCTGATGGCCGCGCCCTGTGGTCAGAGGGTCGATGTTGAGGTGAACAGCCGCGCTACTGAGCTCGTGTAAGTACGCGCGACCACTGGGGCTTGTACGAGAGAGCCCCGCACGTGGGTATTTGCCTCCGAGATCGCGCGCCTGATGAGCGCTCCCCCCACAAAATGTCCATAAATGTAATTTCTGAACGAGTCCGGATCCATCTCTCTCCAATCTCCGTCTACAGCGCGTTCACGAACAACAGTCATCGGCCTTACCGCTAGCTCTGCTAGTCACAGTGCGCACCTGGTGACGCTCGGACAACGTGCATGGATCCTTCACACAAACGGCACATCCATGGCGGGAAGAGTCGTGTTGTTATACAGTTATCGATACACGCGGCTCCTCCAGTGTTACATGCTCCGGTCTCAACATACACACCCAACCCTGAGAATGTTACAGCCCCGTCGTCGACCAAGAGCGAGGCAGTGCGGCGTTCTAGTAGAGGATCGTCAGAGGGGGGCCCTCGTCGAGGCAATGGATGCTCACCATGTAGGCAGCGGTGTCGCAGAGGCGAGCTTACTTGCTCTTGGGCGGCTCGGCGCAGCCGCACGACGGCCAAGCGCAGGCACCGCCGTTCTTCTCAGTGGTAGCGCACTTCACGGTGTCCTGTCGACCATGTCAATCCCCACTGCACAAGGAAGTGTGTCATCGCTACTCACAGACATCGTTAGAGAGAGTTGGTGGGTGAGACGAGTGAGGTGGGGAGTCGAGTGGTAGTCGAAGACTGAGGTTATCTGACGACCGGTGCTATCTTTTATACATACGCCCTTCGTCCCTCGGCGTGACTTATCACTATCATCAGGAGGCCGCTCAGCTGCCTGCAGGCGCATGCGCCTCGCTAGCGGCGGTCTGGAGGCCACCCTGCATCTCCACCGAACAAGTCCATCCGAGTGCTCTTTCGATATCACATCAACCGATATCTTATCAGATTTAGGCCTTCCCGGCTTGATCTAATCAGACAACCGAGCCGACCCCCTTGGAGTTCGGAGGACGGCCATGCAAGCCTCGAGGACCGAGTGCACACCATCCGTTCTCCGCTACCACAGAGCACATTGCACCAGGGACCGGTTTGACATGACGTACGATGCCCGTCTGACATCAGGGGGAAGGCTGTTATCGAAGACTTGTGCCCGTGTATCAGTGAGAGCCGGTTCCGGACCACTGCGGCAGTGGATGCAACCCACCTAGTCCGATCGTTGGACGGTGTGTAACTACGTCACGCAAAGTAGTCAGAACGGAAGCTGAAAGATGACGCCCTACGTACGAGCGATTGAGAAAGGATAGATTACGAAACCGGAAGCCTTCGGAGTGCAGGGCGACACGACATGCTGTCCACGCAGCAGCATGCTGAGGTTCGTGCCCTCGCTTCCACAGTTCGACCTGAGAGCGAGTAGGAGCGAGGCCAATTGAGTCTCAGAGGGCGCGGGAGAATGAAAACTTACACTGCGGTCATGCAGCATTCCGGCCGGTCCCGCCAAGCCCTAGACAATCGCATTCCGTCTCGATGCAAGGGCCCGAGTCCGTCAACTTCGCCCTGTATGATCACAGACATCTCTAAGCCCCGGTGTCTCAGTAAACAGACTCGTCGCCGGGACGCTTCTGACCTACAGACGCACCGCAGATCATTGACTCGTGACATGCAGGCGATGATTGTATCTGCGTCAATGAGCCTGTTGTTTCCGCAGAGGAAATGGCCCGGTCCAATGTGTGCACACTGATTTCGAGGAAGATCTATCAGGTGGCCTGAAACTGCCGTGGCGTTAGTCGGGGTCAGAGTAACACGTTTGACTCTGCACTAGACGTGTTCCAGGGACGCAAGCACCTTTGGCGGACACTTCGCGGACGTTACATGGAGATTGTATCTCACAATTAGGAAGGCTATGTTGGAAGAGTGAGCATTTAATGTTGCCCTCGTCACTCTATTCGCGAACCGATGCTTGAGTCATACATACGTATGCCGAGGAATACGAAGAGCATACTCACCTGACCATCCTGTCATTTCCGGTGTGGGTGAGAGCCATACACACCTCGGGCTCTGCACGCAACACCGCAGACACGACACTGATCAAACATACTGCGTGGCGCTCCTGTACATGTCAAATGTAAAGCAGCTCTTGCTATTGGCTGGGTTTAACTCTGCAACATGTCAAGCTCGTAACACGTGCGGGGCCGACTAGAACGATTCTAACAGCGGATCTGCCAGCCCCAATTATATGTCTGACCAAATGAGGGGACAACGTTTCCAGACCAAAATCCGCGCGCGCCGCCCGAGGAGCAATTGAAATCTTCTGGCGGTGGAAACTTACCTCCAAACCGACGGTGCAGTCTCCACGTTCGAGGTTCCGAACCTCAGGTGTTCGTAATCCAGGACTCCCAAAATTGACAGGAGGGAGTCGAACGAGGCTCGTCGTGCGCATGCCCATATGGTCGCCGTTCCGCTCGTACAGCGCGTGTACATGAGGTAGAGCCATTCTTGCCTGGCAGAGGCGAAAGACCTGGAGAACCGAATTACCGGAGAGATAAACAAACTGGAATAGCAATGCCAAGTAGGCGTACCATGGCGGCGAAGCAAACTGCACGGATTTAGACAGGTTCCACAGCGCAGGGAGATCGCGACAAGATCAATCAGTGTCAAGAAGCTCCGGGAATTTCGAAGGGCACCGCTCACCGTCGCCTCACGCCTACCAATCGTCGTGCGCGGATTCCAATTAGATGCCCAAAGTGGGTTAGATCGTGACGCCAGGCCGGCCAGCGATCTGGGACGCTGTGCATTCTCCGCAGTGGTACAGCGTTCTGTGACGAGGCCGTATATTTATAACGGCGCTCGAGTAAAGGCCAGAGCAACGGGAGGACGGTGTCGACCTTGACCTCGACTTCTACCAAGTGGCTAGGCGGCAGGTGTGGCTTCGCTGACTGGATAGCAATGCGTAGCATGAGAATGGCCCTGGTGAGAAGAGCGCGAGAAGGGCTGCGTCAGCTGTCGTGAAACCCATTGAATAAATTCGGACGAGTGAACAAGAGGACGAAATAGACGGTCCGGCATATGATACGGCTAACCCGAGATGGCGCTGACAGCGACAGCGACCGACCGTATGCAAGCTTAAAAGAGGGGATTCTCCCCGGACGAACCAGACCTCCCCTGCCCCTCCATAAGGCATACTTATCTCAGCGCACCTGAAGCGAAAGCTCCTCTTCCTCATTCGCCATGATCTTCAACAGCCGAATGCCCGCGCAGACCACCTTCCACCCTTCCCCCCATACAATCTGGGCGATTGAGGCAACAACGATGTCCGTAAGTGGTGCACGGCCCTTCGCTCTTCGGACGCTCTTCTGACGACCGTGCCACCAGGAGACCGTGAGCTGCGCAACCACAGAAGTTAGCGGCGGGACATGTTCCTGGCCAAGCTGCGGCTGCTCGGAACCACCGAGAAGTAAATAGGCCCTCTTCGCTCTGCAGCCCTCAGAGGTGAGCGCAACGTCGCGTTATGTGACCGGCACTGACCAAACAACAGGCCACTCAGGACACTACTCAGATTATGTATTGGCTTTCTGACGTCTTGTCGCAAAACCTGCGTGCACAACGATGCCCTACATTACTGCCACACTATTTCATGCGACCTGCACTGTACTCTTTGCCAGCTAGTGATCTACGTCGTTTAGTCGTGACCGTAGTCGGGCACGATCAACTAGTTACATTGTGATTTGCGCATGCACATACCTGTCCCTGGATCGTCCATATCGAGGGGGTGTGAGACAAAGTTGAACAGCAAGTGCAGCCCTGCGCTGATGGGGCGGCGACCAGGGACGCCCCGAAGGCGAGAGGGGACGCGCTGGACGCGACGCGACGCGCCTCGTCGCGCAGGAGTGTGTGCGAGTGTTTGTGCGGTGGCTGGAGCATCCACTGGAGCGGGCGCGAAGGTCGCCGTGGCGGTCTCGCAGTGAAAAGTCGATGGCCAAACGCATCGCGACCCAGGTCCACAAGACGGCCTCGCGTCTCCTCCGCGAAAACTACTTCCCCAAGGAGCCAGCATGGTTCCAGGCCGTCCTTGACCACCCTCCTATCGCCGTCCCGCCCAGAGACACTGCATCCCGGACGAGCTTCGACTTGCCCCAGCACCGCTCTGCCACCACCCAGAAGTCTCGCTCATCCGCCCGCCCTCCAGCCCGGCCGTCAAGCATCCAGTACATTGAGGACCAGATCCGGAGGCAGTTCTTCAGTGACCATCCCTTCGAGGCTTTCAGGCCGACGACCCTCGTTGAAGGGTTGACCATAGAGGATGAGCACCCCATACGGGGCGAGCAGTGGACCAGGCTTAGGCAGCGGGGTCGCAATCCCACCCCAGAGGAGTAAGCACCTGCCTCCCTACATTGCTAGTACCGCCATCGCTCACCGACTCGCAGTGCTGTCCGCTTCGCTGTCAATCTGTACACGCACCATGGCGTGCCCATTTCGCCCGCGTACGCAATGGCCGTAGCGCAGTTCCGGTCTTTACGCTCGGAGCAGCAATTTGCGAGGCGGTTCGCGCTCCTGGAGGCGAAGCACCACGGTGTAGAGTTCGGGCCATCCCAAACCGAGATCACTTTCCAGAAGGAAGACAAGGCATTGAACACTTGGGAAAACACCGAAAAACAACATCTCGAGGAGGCTATTGCAAGGAAGAAGTGGAGGGCTATTGTGGAGAGAGATTCGCCGCCCACGCCCTGGACGAAAGGGCAGGAGTATACGCGGCTGTGGCAGGAGGGGGTGCGGCCGTCGTACGCTCCGCTGCAAATCGCACCGTCAGTCGCTACACCGGCGGGGGCAGCGTTGACACCAGATGAGCAAGTGCAGATTGCTATGCAAAATCGGTTACGCAAACGGGACAGCTTCAGGGTGTTGCCAAGTCTTGCACCTGCACGCAAATAATGCGTACTCCTCCGTCCTACCACATACTTATGCACTGAACAATGATCGATGGGCTGTCGTGGTTCATTTCGCTTTAACACATCAGGTTGGTGCAATTACAACAGTAAGTGGTCCATTGCGATACGAGACATAACAGGGTACGCTACATATAAGATGCCACCTATGCCTTCACCGCTCTTGACTGTGCTGCCTGTGCGGCATTGACACCCATCCATGTCTTCTCGACAAGACTCAAGAGTCGTTGCATGTCGGAGCTCCAGTCGTTCATGACGTCCTCTGCGCTCTTGCCCTTCCGGAAGTTCACTGTACCTGTCGGTCGATCTATCTTGGCCCATACGGTGCCGGACACTACTAGCCTGCAGAGCGTCTCCTCAGCCTTCTCCTGTGAAAGGTCAAGCAGCTGTGTCAGGCGAGTGAGGGTAATGCGCGTGTAGTATTGAGAGACGATGCGGATATTCTGGTGACAGAGTAAGACTCGGCGGAACGAAAGGAGTTTGTCCTACTCACGTGCTCGATAACCCTTGTATGAAGGTCATCCCAGAGCTTGTCGCTCTTGAAGATGGTGTTAGGCCGAAGGTGTGGGCCGTACATGGTTTCAACACCCGGCCATCTCATCAATTCCGGAGTCGTGAAGCTCTTGAGCAGTTCGCTGGGAGCAAATCAGCTGTGTTGCCATTGAACGTAGCAGATAGACCTACTAGTGCAATGGCATTTTCTCCACTTCGGAGTACCGGAAGATGCGATGGAGCATGTCAGACTGCTCGTTATCGTGAGGGGCGAGCACGATGTAGTAAGCGATGTGTTCGAGAGCCTGCACGCGTGTGAGTTGAAGTCCAGGGAGGAGTTGGACGCCATACCTCCTGACCACGTATCTTCTCGTCCGCCTTGACGGAAGGCGTCTCCCAGACCGTGTGGTAGTACTTTGCAACGTCGAGATAGGCATCGTGTTTGAGGGCATAGAGAATCATCATCTCGTAGTACTTCATCTTGAGGTCCTGTTCACGTAGGTGAGCACGATAGCGTTGAACCCCTCATAATGACGAACCTCGTTTGCCTCTTCCTTCAGAAACCCCTCGTTGATCTTCCTACTGGCGACGCGAACCTTGACCCATTCTGCCTCGCCACCTCCCATCGTGCCCTTCTTTTCCGAGGCAGCATCCTCTACGTCCTTCACTTGCGCCAAGACAATCAGCACGCGCATTTGCTCCATGATGAACTCGGTCTTCTCTCGGCGCTCCATCGAAGAGTATGTCTCGACCTGCAAGTCGCTAATGAGGTCGGTTGCCTTCTGCAGATGCTCTCTTCGCTTCGCAGGGTCCTCAGTAGGGCGAGCAAGCGACTCATAGTAGTGTGTAAGCTTGAGGGTTACCCGAGCTCGTGGTGTCTCCAAGAAGATCTAGTCCGTTGTTGGTGAGGGCTGCAGACACGCAGTGGGTGACGGGCAACATACCTTGCCCTCTGTGACTGTGCGCAATGTCTCGATCAACTCCAGCCACTTCTCATCGCCCTCCCGAGTCCGAAGTTCATCCAACCATTCCATGGCCTGTTCGACCATTGCCTGCGTAGAAGCTTTGAACTGACCATGCTTCTTGCTTAACGTGTTGATGCTTGAATTCAGGAGAGCGTAATTCCGGGCATCGTAACACAATTGTGAGATCTCCTTCACGAGACGGGTGGTGGACGCTGCATCTGAAGCCTTTATACAAAGGTTAGGGACCATGGCACATATATTCGATGATCACATACGTTTCTTGTCTGCTTCTCAAATGCGAACAACTTGTCCAGGGCTTCTTGCAGCTTGCCCGCCTGGCTTTCGCAGACACGGTCACCACAGTACGCGTACACCACCGCGGAACACGCACCTGGGCGAGAGACTTCGTCTCCGGGAGTAGCTCGTCAACCTCCTTCGTGAAGTCCTTCTCCTGTTTTCGTTGCTCAGCCATATCGTATGTCCGCGTGAGTGTGGTGGGAAAGGTCGACTGGCGAGCGGTGCGGGTGGTAGAGTCGTAATGGCTGCACTGACGCGTCGCGCTTACGTCTGTACGCGAATTGCCTTTCTCGGCGCTCCCATTACACTCGTGCACGTGATCGCTAACGCTTACTCCCTCAGCTGCAGCAGGCTGTCGCGATTGGTCGGACTCAGTATCAGGTTGTCGACTGTCTGGTTCATGCTGAGGTGACGAGGAAGGGACGACACCATCTGGCTGAACCTCAGCGGCGAGTCCTCGCTGCATCGCGTTCACAGAGGAAGGCTGGGAGGTGTCAGCTGAGGAAGTGGAATGCATAGCGGCATAAGCAGTGTCCTACGTGCGTGCGAGAACATAATACATGTAAGCATAGTGCATAATCTAGAGCAAGAGAATCAGAGACCGACAGGAGAGACGTCCAAGATCTGCGCGTAGTCCGTCGATATCCCATTCTCTTGTTTTTCAGACTCGGCCTCATGCTCCATTCCTCCAGGGATAGGTGACTTCGGTTCCGAGTCGATCTGCGGAGACGATGACCATGAGAGTGGCGGCAAGAAGGAGAACATGTATCGGAGTGGATACGTGTAGAAACGGTAGACGGCAACGGTGAGGGAGAGCACACTCATCGCCGGTGGAGGCATGTGCGCCAGCACGGATGGCTTTTCGCTTGTCTGGGTCGACGCTGTTTCGGAGAGGATTTCGTCGTCCACGCCGGTGGCCTTCTCTTCGAAGTCCGGGTGCGCATCAACGGCATGCTCTGCGACCGCTGGAATGACCATGACACCTGTGTCGATGAGCAACGGTGTGGCATCGATGGACACGGACTCCACTTCGGGGCTCATCTGCACGCCCATTTCCACAAGCTCGACTTCGGCTTGGACACCCTCATCCTCGACTTCAGGTAATGCTAGCGTGCCCTGGTCCACAGTAACCACTGTCGCGTCGACTGCTTTCTCGACAGTCGGCGGAGGCACGTAGACGGGGGCGGGCGGAGGCGCCTGCTGCTGCCTCTCTCGGAGTCGGATGTCCTGAAGGTAGGGCAGGAACTCGGATACCTTCTGCCACGACGCAGCGTTGACCTCGATAACTCCTGCGCGGTTCTTCTCGTGGAACCACCTGAGGATGTCAAGGTGAGGAGCGAGATGGCTGAGAAGCACGGCGACCTGCAGCGGATCCCTGATGTAGGAATGGCCCACATTCAAACGGAGAAGCGAGCGAGATGAGACAGCACGGGTCGAAAACGTGGCTTCCGTCCCTTCGGTTGCGTTTACAACGACTGCCAGCGTGTGCAGCCCACGGCAATTCTGGGTGAGAGGCGCAAGTCCATTGAGCGTCAGAGGTGGCGGGCCGACTGATGGAGGGAAGCGGGCCGAAGGGCAAAGTCGTAGGATCTCAAGCGATGGACATATGTTCGCCAGATGGGCCACGTCCTCTTGAGAGAATACGACCGACTCAGGCAGGTCGATGTCGAGGCAGATGAGGCGAGGAAGGTAAGACAAGTGGCTGAGAGGGAGGTACCGTGTAGGAGCATCGCCACCTCTGGACGTCGAGCGGACCAGCTCCGAGAACCGCGAAGCAGAAGATGCGCTCACGCGGAAGTTCTGGAGGGTGTATCCAAATTGCTCGCACACGAGCCCGCAGACGTCCTGCCAGTCCTCGGACGCCGGTGGATCATCTATGACGATCTCGAGGGTCGTGAGCGGGCTAGTGATATGCTTCAGGAAGGTAGCGACGTTAGCCGCGTCCCCGGACAGCTTCAAATTCGATAGAGCCGCGAAGGCGCCATGGCGAGGCCCGTCTCGTGTAAGGCGCGCCGCAGACTTGCGGACCTCGGAGAAGTCGAACTCCTCTCCAGAGAAGACACCGCTGTCCGTCCCGCCCACAGAGCTCGGCGTCGAGTAGCCTGAGCCAGGACTGATGTCGTCGAAGAAACCTTCCACTGCGGTCGTCGTCCGACCAGTAAGGTCGATCTGGAGGCTATGCAGAGCGGGCAATGATGCAGTCCACTTGCCCACACGCGAGGCGAGCGCGCCAGGCGCGGCGATGCACACCTTCTCGAGTGCGATGTTGTTCTGGAAAATGTCGGTGAAATGGTCGGGGAGGTTCGTGTGCAGCGTGAAGGAAAGCGCCGAGAGGCGTGCATGCGACGCGACTTCCACGAGTAGGTCGTGCAGCTTGGGGTGCTTTGTGCCGACTTCCATGGTAAGACTACGCAGCTCTGGGCCCAGAAAGAGCCTGCACCTCTCGAGGCCCGCGGATGTCTCCGACTTCCAGGTGAGCGAGGTGAGGTTTGGAAGGAGCCAGTTCTTGGGACGGAGTTCCTCGAAGACGGGGAAGATGGTCGGGGAGACGCTCCCGGAGCTCTCCACATAGGAGATGCTGCGTACGCGTTCGCCGTATGCAAGAAGTCGGGCCCAGTCGTCGGGCTCTGGGTTCCTCGCCTAGTTTGATTTTAACTGAGCACCGATGCAGAAGACGGTACAATTCAAAAGCATACCAGACCGAGACCAGGACGACGAGCCCGCTTGAGGAGCGTGGCCGGGAAAAGCCCGATCAGAGGGTTGAACGAGTCAAGGTCGCGCCAAATAATGTCGAGTACTGGCTCTGAGAATGCCTTGCAAGTGCGCGCCAGGCGCGAGAGGGATCGACGTCCTCCCGGTGTCTCGAGGATAGCCTCCAATAGTTTATTGGTCGCATCAGGGTCGCGGAGGATGGTTGGATACATAGTTTGTTGGTAGACTGAATAAGGCTGATAAGAATTGCGGCGTGAATTGGTGCCGTTCAGAGAAGCGTCGGACTCGCGAGAGCGCAGGCTCGGGAGACGGGGTCGTTTGGTCGGAAGCGCAGATGAGAAGCGGTTTGCGAGAGAAGAGTGTCGCGAAAGACTCGGTGGGGGAGACATGGTCCTTCGGACAGCGACTGGATACTTATTCTCGACGAAGCGCGTGGATGGGTGTGGATCGTCAGGAGATGGCTCGGTGGTCGGCAGGCTTGCGGATCGTAGCAAGGTGGGAAAGTCAGTGAACGAACTGAGCGCAGATTAATAGTAGGCGCACGTCGAGAGCAGTGTGCAGGCGCATTGTGGGGCAGTGAAGCAGCGAGGCGAGGTGTGCGGGATGAAGGACACGAGCAATGTCTGTGAGTCTTGGCATACATTGGCCTATGGTGGGCCAAAGATATAGATAGTCCGTTGTGAAGAGCAGGAAGATGGCCGGCATATCTTGTCTGCATGCTGTATCAATGAGGCAGGAGCCGTCGAAACGAGTCCGCGCGAGCAGGTCGCGACGCGTCGAAGACGGATAACCGCCCATAACACGGTGCACGTGCACCGCGCAGGTCGCGACACGCTACGGACGCGTTCTCAGTCGACGGGTAGGGTCGAAAGGCGGTCGGCTCATTCGCTCGAGCAAACAAAAACGATACAGTACGAGCAACGCCTACAGGTACACATGGGACAAGGCTGTACCTAGATCATTAGCCGAGGAGTCTGCAGGCCGAAGACGGACGTACGACATTTGCCTTGCTGCTCTGACAGGTGTTCATCCCCTCAGATGCACGTTGACCATAACGCCTGCTATCCTACAGCTCTCCGACCTCCCACGGAACGGGCTCGCCCTCCCAATCATCTTCTCCATCTCCACTCATCCCTTCAGCTCCTTCGCTCATCTCACCTACGTCCCATACCTCCATTCCTTTGGCATCATAGTGGCTCTCGCGCCTACCGTAGAGTACCGCATCCGCGAGCTTTCTCTCCTCTGCCTCGGTCCGCTTATGTGGTGACAAAGAGAGAATGCGCTTCAAGTCGTCCCTCAAGTGCACCTCCACGGTGCCCTCCTTGGCCACAAGAGAATCCACGGAAGGAGAGTCAGGAGGATGCGCGGGGTGAGCAGGCCATTCGAACTCTGGGTCATCCAGTTCGTCGGCAAGTGCGGATGACGTTCTTCTTACTGCATTCCAACTGTGTTCCTTGAGCTTCACATGGCTGTCATCCTCTTCACTATCCGCGCTGTCGTCACTGATTCCATCGCCACCCAGCTGCTCAAGCAGCCTCGCCTTCTTCCGACTGAACACGGCGGCGGCCTTGCCTTTGCCTTTATCGTTCGCGATGCCCGGCCTCGAATGTGTGGTGTCGGCGCGGGGCGGAGTAGGAGGCAGAAACGGTACGTGGTCGATGCTTTTCGTTTCGCGGAGGCCATCTGTGATGTCCATTGTTGTGGGAACATCTCGACCGTCAGGACGGGCTCGTTTGCCAATTAATCGGCCTGCGCTACTGGCGTCAACAGGTCCCAAAGGCGTCTTCCCCCTGGGAAGCGGGCCCTTGGGAGCTGGACCTTTCAGAGGTCCCTTCTCCGACCGCAAGTCATCTTTGCCTGGCAGCATAGCTGAAGGAAGCACCGACTTCCCAGGTCCATTGGATGGCCTCTTGGGCTGCAGGGAAGGGCTTTTGACAACATGGAGAGTGTTGGCGGACGTCATGAGACTCTTGAGTTTAGTCCCGTTCTCCCAGTCGTCACCTTCATCTTCAGAAGATGACGGCGACATGGCTCGTGATCGGGCCCGTTTGTTGCTGAAGCCGTTCGGCTTGGAGGCCGCCGACATGGTCCGTGAGAGGGTGCGGTTGGTGGGCTGCCGCGAGGCCACCTGCGCGGTCGGAAGGACCTCATCGAAGAGGACCCGAAACGACCTACCGCCCGGTGGAGGCTTCATAGGGGTTGCCTCGAGGAATGTCTCCTCTGCGGCCCCGACAGTATGCTGGGTGTCATCATCATCGCTGTCTAGAAGCGTGCTCGAGAGGTTGAGCGCGCGCTGAGAGCCGACGCGTGCCCTCTTCTCTTTGACAGGAGAGGGCGAAACCGGCTCTCCACGGAGACGCTTGCGAGCGCGGGTCACGGCGGATTTGCTGGAGGGGGTGCGCGCAGCAGAAGGGGAATGGGAGGCCTGAGAGACCTGTATAAGGGGAAAGGGATCCGGGGAGGGGCTCCGACGCGGGGCAGAGGGCTTTGGTTTCGTAGATGACTTGTTCTTGGTAGGAGTCGTAAATGGGTTGAAGTGAGGGGCGTGTTCTGATAGCTTCGTTGATGAAGCCGCAGATGGCGAGCCAGAATCCGCTGACCGGGGCTTCTTCTTGACAGGAGAAAACGGATTTGTGGTTTGTATTGGTGGGTCGACCTTGACGGCGCGGGCCTTCGGCAGCAAGGAGGACGTGGATGGACGGGTACTCTGACGCGACTGCGATCTGGGAGGCGTAGATGAACGCGCGGGGGGCGGCTTTGCAACGAATGACGATGTGGCCGATTTGGACACAGACTTGTAGAGTTTGTATTTGGCAGCTGCAGGGGCGTCCGAGGTCAGGCTCGGAGATGAAGGCTGAGGGGACGACGTACCTATGGCCGGCTGGTCCTTGATCTCCTCGACAGTCGGATTACGAGAATGCTTGCTCCTGAAGTCGCGTTCCCATGCCTTCAGTTCCGCGCGAAGGACAGCAGCGTCCATGACAGAGCCGAGCAAGGATGAGCGATGGACGCGTTTGGCGAGAGAGAGCGCGCGTGGACGCGTTCGGGGGAGCACGTGGCCACTGCCTGAAACGATGTGAACGCGGTCGCGAAGCCCGGGCGCCTGGCGGACAGTACCCATGCTCGACCGCCTGCAGCCAGTGCAGTGCGCCCTTCGCTAGCCTCACGTTCTCTGCCCTTGCCCTCCCGCCGCCGTCATGGCCCGCAGTGGACCAATCATGTACGTATACAATCACCTCGATGTCCTCCAAAACCACCCGGACGCAGTCGCGGATCCGGACTTCCTCGATTATGTAGGCCATGAATTTGACTATCCCGACCGTAACTACCCGCCGCGTGGGTCTGCGTCGTCGCCTCCTCCTCCGTACCAGCCTATATCTTATCCACTGCCCTCGCCCTTGCCTTCCCCTGCATTTCCTGTCCACTCGACTACGACCGCTACGATCGCGGACGCGCGCCTCCACCCCGCCCCGCTGCACCAACTTCATGACCGTTCCTTCTCGCCTGATCCTCGCGACAATCCGCACTTCATCATGACCGCCAACGAACAGTTTCGTGCTGCTCCAGCACCCCCTCGTGAGTTGCACCTGCTCTCTCTGCCTGCACTCCACTGACTTCACTCCGCGTGGTGGCTAGCGCGCGAGCCCACTTCCTTGCGACAGATCCCGCCATCCCTCCAACCAGGCCGTGCCCCGATGTATCATTCGTCAAGTTCGACACACCATAGGCAGTCGCGATCAACTCCATATGTATCCTCGAGCCCCCCGGTCCCGCCGAAGGATTATCATCTAGCCCCTCCACGACAAGCCGGACCGCCCCCTCCTTTGATGTCACAGCGCATGATTTCCGCTTCGTCTATGTTTCCTCATCATGCCGTGTGGCAACCGCCTGTTTCGTATGCCTCCAGTGCAGAGTCAGGTTCGAGCACGAGCAGCCACTCCTCTTCCCTACAACATACGCCTGGAGCGTCCCCGCCATCATCGACCGTTTCTTCGCCTCGCAACTCCTCTGTACCAACAACACCATCCGCATCTTCAGCCAATCTACCCAGGGAGGATAATACACCGTCCGTCCCTCCCGTCCCAGCACCGGCCGAGGTTCCTGTACCGGTTACGGCGCCTCCAGCCCGTGTCAATCCTCCTCCTCGGACCTCCTCCGTCGGCCTTCCCCGCTCTCGCACTCCTGCTCAGGCGCCGGTGCCTATTCCGGGTACGAGCGCCGACTTACCGCCTGCTACGACGGCTCGCCCACCTCGACCCTCACACAACCATTCCGCTCCAGAACTTCATGTACGACCCCCGCCGCCTCCCACGCTCGTGCGATCTGCTACAGTGCCATCTCCAGCACCAGTGACAAGCCAACCCCAATTGCCCAACAGAAGCCTGTCTCAGTCACAGCCTGGCGATCAACCACAGAGAGGCCGAAGCAGGGAACAGCAGCCCGGCCAGGCCGTGAAACGGCAGCGCAGTAGGCGCCCGAGTATTACCGCGCCGCGCGACCTGGACCGTATCGACGAACTAGACGAGACGGACCCGCGTGGCGTTGCGTGGCACCATGAGAGTCCGTATGAGCTCGTCACACGTTCGCTCAGCCAGCGGAGGAAGGAGGGGGATGGCCATGGCGCCGCCTCTAGGAACGACGGTTCGGACAGGCCGGTACGTGTTTGCCATTTCGTGATTCATCGTGGACCTGACGTCACCTCTGACTCTCGTAGCGTCTCCAGAAGAAGCCGAGTACGATGTCCTTTAGTGTTGAGCCTGGACAAATCTTCCCTTCGGGCGCCTTGTATCAGGCTATGCAACCCCCGTATCGACCGCAAGCTCCTGTGGATGCGAATCACTCCCCTCCATTCAACCCATATAGCCAGGATCAGCCTGCTTACACGCCTGGGGCCCCGCCTTTGCCTCCCACAGCGCTCGCTTCCACTGAGACAGGGAAGCTCAGGAAGACACCTTCGCGATCTCAGCCTGTGTCTCAGCCAGCCACACAGGGTTCACCTCAGCAGTTACCTGGACCGTCCAGGGCTCATCGTGGACTGCCTCCACAACTAGCTCCTGTTGGCCCACTTCCTCAGCCGCCAACCGCTGCCGTGCCATCCCAGCCCAGCGACCCCGTACGTCCGACGCTGCAGCAGTGGCCATCGCAACGATCCCACGTACGGTTCGAGTCGCCTTCGAGGCCTGAAGTACGACCTCCGTTGAAGCAGGGTTCGGTAGACGAGGCGTATAACGGCATTGAGATACCAAGGCCTCCGCCTCCGCCTGTTGCTCAGAGTGCGTTACCCCCACAGCAGCCTCTGCGTCCGCCCCAAGCGGCTATGCCTCCGCCTCCGCCCCCACCCCAGTCGAGACCATCGTCAATGTACATGACATCGTCCCAGAACGAGTCGGCGCTACCCCGTCCCGATATCCCTCTTCCTCCGCGCCGCTCCCAGTCACAGGCACCGCTACCGCCGCGTCATCGGCCTAAGCAGCTTATCATGCCTACTCCCCTGCAGCCCCTTGAGGACCAACGCAAGGCTGAGGCTGCTCGGCTAGCACAGCTACACAGGGCGCAGGCGATACCCCAGGGTAGACATTTGGAGGAGGGCCCACCCAGGCACGGAGACATCCACGCTCACGGCGGACGGCATATGTCACATCATTCCATGTCGCATCGCCCGCCGCCTATCGCGCAAGGTCAAGAGAGCACGAACCTCGCGAGGGCCGCTAGCCAAGGACAGAACAGGCCACAGTCTGTATCTATCTCTGCCGGACCGAAGGTCTTGCGCAAGCGATCTGTTAACAATGCATCCACACCTTTGGTTGGGCCCGAGATGGCTCCGTCGAACGCTGCTGCAGCGATGTTCGCGGCCCGCGTCGTCGGTGACAGCCAGCACGGCAGGGCAGTCGAGCGTGTCACGAGTGGCGTGTGGATGAGGGATCGCGTAAAAGAAGAGGAGATCCAGCGCGAGCTTGCGAGAGAACCAAAGGTTGCAAGGAAGCTGAGCAAGCTGACGAGGAAGCTACGGTGAGCCATGGTATTCATGGTGTCGAGTGAAACCCCGGAGCAATGTTGGCGTGTTGCTGATCTGACTGCCGAGTCAGCGGTGAACACTACTCCCGTCATATTTGACTAACGACTTCACGTTTTCTGCCCTTCTGGTCTGCCATTATAATCATGCAATCCCTGCTTGTGTTTTATGACCACGGACTTGTTTCGTATCTTGGGCTGTTGTCGCCATTTACTAATACTTTACATCTCGTTGCAAGTTACGGATACTCGGTATGCTCATCGTATCTCCTGTCAATGCTATAGAACACGCTCCTGTTGTAATCGCCAATGTCTTCCGCTCTGTAGCATCGCTGTAACCACCCCTCGCTTACTTACTTGCAGTGTTACGTTGTGGACTGTTGATCCGCTCTAACCTCTATGTACTTGTATGTCGTTGCAATTGCATGTCATTGTACACTGTTACGAATCACCGATACGTGAATTGTAGCGGTGCACTGATGCTCAACTCTATCGGTTTCGCCACGCTCATAAGCTGTTACTGTACGTCGACGAGGTGACCAACAGAGTATCATACCTATATACATAGACACGGTAGCCACGTCGGAGCGCTACAGGTGTATTTCCCGAGGAGGAGGAGGTACTTCGTGTAGTGACTAGTCGGCCAAGGCTGAGCAAGTCACGCAACAATGTACTATATGGAACTGCCAGGAGCGAATGATAACGAATGCATGCTGATATATCGTTCTACACATGGTCGGGGATGCGTATCAATCACACTGCGCCCCACATGCGGCGCCCAACCCTGCATAATTTCGTAAGTATCAGACATGGGACTCGGCGAAGCTGCATCCACCTTGAGCATATATCGGCGTGCGATGTGACCTCGTGCGGTAGAACGTAGTGCACATGCTCCCATAGCGATGTGGTATGATTACAGAAGGTATACCATGTGCTGAAGAATGAGTGCGCCAGCATTCTTCCTACCGGACGTTACAGATATCGGGAGGCAGGGCTTCGGAGACGCTGTCGTCGCTAAGGCTCGAGAGAGGAAGCGGCGCGCAAACGTGCTTGCGGGGCGATCTGACCAGTCGCACATGCACCCTGAAGCACAACTGTGCGTGCCGAGTAGGGTGCCCATATGTTCAAACGCGGATGCAATTCCAATGTAAAGAGACATATAAGAGACTGGCTGTCGTCGGGCAACCACAACGAGCCTAGCCTTGCCTCACTTCGCAACCTTTCCTCGGTCCTAATGAAGTTCTCTGCGGCCTGCATTTTGCTCTCGGCGCTCCTGGTTAGCTGCCAGGCGGCAGGACTCGTCGCAAAACGTCAATCCAGCGGATGCACCTGCGGTGGTCAGTGCACCACATGAGATGTAGTCTATGTCATTGGACTGAACGATTACTGAACCCTCACCGACACATATAGGCAACTCATACACCTCTTCCGATATCAAGGACGGCATAGAGGCTGCAAAGGACGGAGGTTCAGGGTAAGTAGTCGCATGATCTAAAGTGAGACGTACCCTTACCTAGTTCCTGTAGGGACTACCCTCATCAATACCATGACTATGAGGTAAGCAGTACTTCACCTCAACGCCCGGCGGTGAGCCCACAGAGATCGCATACAGGGCTTCGACTTCCCGTCATGCAGCGGAACGTTCTACGAGTACCCACTCGAGTCTGGGTCCGCTTACGACGGCGGTAGCCCGGGTGCTGACCGTGTCATCTACGATGATGACGGTGATTTTTGCGGTAAGACCTAAATGTCGAATCGTCGATTCCCATTCCTGAGTTCTCGCGCTCTAGCATGCATCACCCATACCGGTGCTTCCAGTAATGACGGATTTGTCGAGTGTTAGATACCTGCACAACCATGCTGTACTCTTCTGCATACTATCGCACCATTGGCTGGCAAAGAACCTAGTCAGAAATCATATCGCATAAGGCAGTATCAACGGCGTCACCGAATGGCAGACTCGACAGCAATGCATGATGATACAGTGGGGAAATCAGTAGCGAAGACGGAACATGAACTGGAAACTATACTGCTTGGTGTCTGGGTCCCAATGCGACCAGTTCCAGTATCCGGCGTCGTCCGACTCATCCTCGATTTCTCGGGCGGGGATACGAAACGCAATCGTCTCGTACGGCTCCGCTGCGACCTTAGAATGATGAAGGATGAGCTCGGGAAGATGTAGTGGGATATGGACTCACAATTAGGTACTGATAGGCTTTATTTGGCGGCTCTCTCTTCTGCTCCCAAGCACTCATGAACCGTCTCCTGGGGATCACGCCAGGCTTGATTTGTGGCAAGTGCACCTGCACCATCATTCCTTCTTTTCCCGTGTCCCTGTCACGAACTTTCGTGACGCGGTAACCGGGGCGACCAATCTTTAAGAAGACTTTTCGCTGCACATTACTTTGAGCAGGTGCGATCATCAGCTGTGTCTCCTTCAGGTCGCGCGCGGCACGCCGGGCGAGATTGGTCTGATGCTTTTTGCCTTGCGTGTGCGCAAGGTATGAGCCCTCGTTGGTATGAAGGGTGAGACATAGTCGGCATTCCAAAGAACCAAGGTGGTTGCGGAGGATGTATGGGTCCTACATAGCCGTCATGAGAGTTCCCTGAAACAACAGCACAGTGAGACGTACCTTGGCGAGATCAATAGTCTCAAGAGCTAGCTTTCTCAAACGTTCCCTCCTATCGACATTCGTCTCTGAAGCACCGGCAACACCGCCACCTCCGAACTTGGAGCCGACTCGATTCTGCACTCGATGAGCAATCGTCGCTCAGCATGGCATGTACAAAGACTATACCTGGTAATCTGTACAGACAAATCAGCATGTTACACTGAATTTCAAGCAGCGAGCCTTTCCTCACCCATGCTGAATGATCAATGGAAAGAAATGAAGACGGCTCGTGAGTGACGAACGCAGGGATGAACGTGAGGACGATGAAGCGCTCGTCGAGCCCGAGGACGCGTCTGACTTGGCGCCGGATCGTGCGCAGATCTAGATCTTCCCGGTGGCTGAAATTTTGGCTCGAATTACATGCACTCGGTCGAAGAGCAGTGCTTCTTCCATCTCCAGCCGTGCAGCAGGGCGGATTTCTTATTCAAAACATCCTCCAAGCCTCAAGCCGACTCTGCCATTTGCTCTAGTCCTGCTCGAATCATGGCTGCTCACAAGAAACGCGCTCTGGAGGACGCGTCTGTGAATCCTAAAAGCAAGAAGACCAAGACCGAGAGCGCGGCATCGAAGGACAAGGGCGCTGACGTCCATGCATCTACCTCGTCAAATGTTGTGGTTGGAGAAGTTGATTTTCCTCGAGGCGGCGGAACAAGTTTCACTCCGTTAGAGGTCAAGGCAATTCGTGCCGAAGCAGCCAAGGAGGCAAATGACGAGCTATTCACCGTAAGTCGCCGTATTGGCGGGACAATCCAATCCTCTCGTACCTTGAATATATGCTCACACATATACTGCTAGGACAAGACGGAAGAACGTAAGAAACGGAAGTCAGCCGTACCAGCCTCTGGGAAGAAGGCAGCCAAAGGGGAGAAGGGAGATGCAATCCGTGTCGAGCATTTGAACTATAAGGTGCGACAAATGACTCTCTCAAGTCACATTTTAACTCATCGTTTGGGTATCAGCGAGTTGCTCCAGGAATGAAGGTCCTTGGGCAAATTGTGTCTATACAGCCTCTTGCTCTCATCATCTCTCTACCCAACCAACTATTCGCGCATGTCCCTATCACAGAGATATCCTCTCAACTCACGTCCATGCTTGAGGCAATGGACGAGGACGATGCATCCTCTTCATCCGACGGCGAAGATGCAGCGGAAGGAGTCCCAAAGCCCCGGGTTCCCGAATTATTTCAAGTTTTCCGCGTAGGACAGTACGTACGTGCTGTCGTCTCAGCTGTCCACGCGCCCGGTACCACGGATCCTACTGGTCTTTCTCGAGCTCGAGACGAGATACAGAAAGCAAGTCGTAGAGTCGAGCTCAGTCTCGTACCGAGCAAAGTGAACGACGGCGTATCGAAGACCGACCTTCGCACTGGCTTTGTGTGTACACATATTCTTTATGTGAAAGGAATGGATGGACTCATAATGACCTTGCTTCAACCCAGACGCTTACTGCGGCCGTCAAGAGCAAGGAAGACCATGGTTATATTCTCGATCTCGGCATCTCCGATGTTTCCGGTTTTTTGTCCTTCAAGGACGCCGCGAAGGGACCCTTCGACGAACCTAAGAATCTTCACATCGGCGGTCTACTGGACGTCGCTGTCACAAAGACGTCTGGAAATGGCAGGACCTGCAATGTCACCGCCGATTCGGCGACCTGCAGTACCTCATCGGTTTGTAGAACTGTACTCTTCACGATTGTCGCTCTGACGCGACATGCCACTTTAGCTCACAGAAGTGACGAGTGTAACCTCCATCCTTCCTGGCACCCTGGTGCAGTCACTAATCACTGCCGTGGTCCCTGACGGCCTCAATTTGCAAGTTCTGGGGTACTTCGGTGGCACAGTTGACCAATATCACCTTGCACCGGGTGACCCAGAACAGAACTACAAGGTCGGACAAAAGGTCAAGGCCAGGATCCTCTACGACATCAATCCTTCTAGCCCGCCTCGATTTGCCTTGTCCTTGGCAGAGCATCTCATCCTGATGGCTCCAAAGAGCGTGGCAGGATCTAGTCTCCCGGATGTGTACCCCATAGGGACCATGTTGGATGCGGTGAAGGTCATCCGTGTCGAAACTGCGCGCGGATTAGTTGTAGAGGCATCGGACGACGTGGAAGGTCATGTCCATGTGAGTGCACGAACTCGACTTGAGACTAATTGACGTCTGTGGACTTACGTATGATCGTTCCAGATATCTCAAGTATCGGACGACCACGTCCCGTCCCTGTCAGCATCGTCTGGTCACTGGAAGATCGGAACCGTGCACAAGGCTCGTGTCACCGGGTACTTCCCTTTGGACGGATACCTGCAGCTCTCCTTCCGGCAATCAGTTCTCCAACAGAAGTTCCTGCAGGTCGGCGAGGTGCAAGTCGGCGAGGTTATCAAAGGCACAGTCAAGAAACTGACGGACTCAGCGTTGTTCGTATCCATCTCGGGCACGGTGGACGGTGTCATCTGGCCAAACCACTACGCCGATATTCCATTGAAGCACCCTCAGAAACGCTTCAAACCTGGCGGGACTATTAAGTGCCGAGTACGTGGTATCGATGTGACATTCAATACTGCGTATTCACTCTCGCAAATAGGTCCTCGTTGTCGACCCGGAACGTAGACGGATTGTCTTGACTGCGAAGAAGACACTAATCGACTCTACTCTACCGATAGTGTCGGGGCTTGAGGATGCGAGGGAAGGGCCCATTACCCATGCAGTCGTCTTCAAAGCTTCAGACAAGAGCGTCCAGGTCGAATTTTACAACAATCTGAAGGCCATCGTTCCGGCGCGTGAAGCGAGGTTAGTCCTACCACAACAATATGTGCTTGTCGGGCTCATTGTTCGACAGCGAGACCGCGGTTGGTTCTCTGTCTGAAGCGTTCCCGGTCGGCAAGCCGGTGAAGGTTAAGATTCTCTCTGTTGACAACGAGAGTTCTCGCATCCTTGCCAGTATTCGACAGGCAGCGCCGAACTTCAAGGCAGCCATCACGGACATCAGCGGCGTCGAGATCGGAGACTCTGTTGAGGGTGTTGTTGCTGAGATACAAAAGGAGAAGGTCGTTGTGATCTTGCAACCGACGCAAGTCCGCGCCCTACTCTCGCTCAATAACCTGGCCAACAAGCGGGGAGTCTCCGCGGCGCAGCTTCGGGCGTCATTGAAGGTCGAAGAGAAGCTGCAGGAACTCGTTGTCGTATCCCGGAACCCCGACAAGGGAATCGTACTGGTTGCTACCAAGCCTAAGGAGAAGGATGTCTTGCTGCACAAGAGTTCGCTGAGTCTGGATACGATCCAGGTTGGTCAGCTTGTCGGTGGTCGGGTAATTCGTCACGGGCGACAGGGCGCCCTCGTCAAGTTGACGAACACCATTTCCGGCACACTTCACCCCACTGACGTTTCCGACGACTATGAATCAGGAGCACCCTTCCCTCCCGTTGACGCTATATTGAAGGCAGTTGTACTCGCCGTCGATAAGGAGAAGCGGCAGCTGACATTGTCCACTCGACTTTCGCGCATGCATCCCGACCAGGACAAGACTGTCGTGGACAAGGAGATCAAGGATCTGAATAATCTCAAGGTCGGCGACACTGTTCGCGGATTCGTCAAGAACGTCGCGGATCATGGTCTTTTCGTCATGCTTGGTCGTAACATCGACGCGCGCGTTCAGATCAAGGAACTGTTCGATCAGGTAAGGCGCAGTGCATCATGCACGTCCAATGGCTGACAGAATGCTTTGTAGTACGTGAAGGAATGGAAGAATCATTTCTCTGCGAATCAGCTTGTCAAAGGACGTATTCTGAGGTGGGTTCTATGGCCCAGTGTCTGCATATGCGGCTAATAAGCTTGATAGCATCAACCGCGAGAAGAAACAGGTTGAGATGTCGTTCCGTTCCGGTGATCTTCAAAGAGACATGCGTCCCAGTGTCACTCTTGCCGACCTGGCTGAGGGCCAGAAAGTCGACGGCCGTGTTAAGAAAATCGAAGACTACGGTATCTTCGTCGAGATCGAAGGCTCTAAAGTCAGTGGGCTGTGCCACAAGTCTGAGGTAAGTGGGTCGCCATGACACTCTGTTCGTCACTCATCCGTCGCGTTCAGCTCTCCGATAACAAGGATGCGGACGTTACGTTAGCCTTGCGAAGCTTCCGCGAAGGCGACCATGTAAAGGCTGTCATTCTCTCAATCGATACCGAGAAACGACGAATCTCTTTTGGTCTCAAACCTTCCTACTTTGCCGAAAGTGACTTCGAGATGAGCGAATCTGAGGAGGACGCCCAAGAGGATGGCGCCGATGACGCTCTTGGAGTTGTAGACGATGAAGATGCAGAGATGCACGCGTTGGACGTGGCACACTTGGACCAATCTGCATCAGATGAAGACGACTCCGACGATGAGTCCCAATCCGATGCTGATCAGGGTGTCATGGACGTTGACATGAACATCGACGCCGACGATCGGCGACGCAGCTCTCAGGCGAAGACAGGCACCTCAAATGCTCTCTCATTGTCGCTCGATCTGAAGGAAGGCTTTCAATGGACGACTTCCCAAGACCTTGAGTCCGACGTTGGCATGTCTTCATCAGACGATGACGAAGACGATGGACAGGAACGCAAAAAGAAGAGACGAAAGCGTAAGGAGATCGAACAGGACCTCACAGCGGACATGCACACAAAGGTCCCGGAGTCCAACTCTGACTTCGAGCGAGTCCTTCTCGGATCACCGAATTCTTCTTATCTATGGATCCAGTATATGTCTTTCCAGTTGCAGATATCCGAAGTGGATAAGGCACGAGAGATTGCCAAACGGGCGCTGCGAACCATCAACTTCCGCGAGGAGCAGGAAAAGCTCAACGTGTGGACTGCTCTGCTCAACCTCGAGAATGTCTACGGGACCGACGAATCCCTCGAAGCGGCGTTCAAGGACGCGGCGCGGCACAACGACTCCAAGACGATTCATCTGCGCATGGCTGCCATCTTCGACCAGAGCGGCAAGTCTGAGGCAAGTACTTGTGTCTCATGTCGCGGATTATCATCACTCATGTGCACGATAGAAAGCTGAGGAGATGTACAAGCGCACTTGCAAGAAATTCGGGCAAAGTTCGAAGGTCTGGACTCTCTTTGGAGAACACTACCTGAAGCGGGGCAAGCTGGAGGAGGCCCGTAAGCTGTTGCCGCGTAGTCTGCAGAGTCTGGAGAAACGGAAACGTGAGTACTCTGCAGTCCTGAAGTGATCCCATTTACCGAAACTCCTTTTGCAGACCTCAAGACGATCTCGAAGTTTGCCCAGCTTGAGTACAAGTTCGGTGATCCAGAGCGTGGCAAGACAGTATTCGAGGGCATTGTCGACTCCCATCCGAAGCGATGGGACCTGTGGTCTGTTTACATAGATATGGAGGCAGGACAGGGCGACATAATGAGCGTGAGGTACGTCACTTTCGCCTCCGTGTCTTCGTCTCTCCCTGACGTCCTTCAAGAAACATACTTGATCGGGTGCTCTCTCTCAAGATGACCAGTCATAAGGCGAAGTGCGTATCTGTCGCTCACAATGTGACGGTGTAACTCATCACTCGATGCAGGGCGTTCTTCAAGAAGTGGCTTGAATTAGAACGTCGTATTGGTGACGAGGAAGGTGCAAATGCTGTCAAAGCGAAAGCTATTGAATGGACCCAGCGCGCTGCGGGGTCGTCATGAGCGAATTAGTACAGCATTCATATTCGAAGCGCTAGTCTAATATTTTACCGAGGAATATACCACGAGACAGCAGTTGACAGAGTAGCCTAGAGTGAGATGTGCGAAAACAAAATCGAGCGGTAATGAGTGACTAGGGTATATGCAAATAAATACCAAATGAGTGTCATGAACGGGATCTCGTACGCTCATGTCCCGGTGAATTCGAATCATAGTCCATGAGAGGCCGCCGATTGCTCATCGAGCTGGCCAGCTGTCGTTGCCAGTCATCCAGCTGGGTCGACAAGTGCTCAAACGCCATAGCGTTTTCTGAACTAGACGTGCTCACCGGTCGCTCTGAGACACCGGAGATTGGTCGTCCATGACCAAACGGAGGCTGATCCACCTCTAGTAGGAGACCGATTTTATGCTGGAGCTGCTCGTTCTCCCGCTTGAGCGTCGTGTTCTCGTTGCTGAGCTGCTCCAGCAACGTTTCATCGTGGCCACCACGAGCGATGACCAGCGAATTTTGTAGTCGCTCGACGTCTTGCTCGAGCTCCTCGATGCGGGAGAGTCGCTCGTCAGACTCGCGTTGAGATGCAATGACGTTGTCTCGCATGTGTTCGAGATCGCGCTCGAGGGCGTCAATGCGTTCGCGAAGCTCCCGGTTATCGTTGTTCAGACGTTGAACTTGACGCTGGGCGTCTGTGAGTTGGTTCCGCAAGAGCTCGTGGCCATCGTCTGATGAAGGCGTGCCACGGCCGTTCATGCCCCGGACACGAGAAGAGGCTGATGAACCGGGCTCGATGCTTGATCCTCGATCAAGCTCCGACTGGATGCTTTGGTTGAGGGCCTTCTGTTTGGTTAGCTCGTCCTTCATCTTGCGCATCATTTTCTCCGTCCCCCTAAGGCAATCATAGTCAGACCGGGTATATATTAATTAGACACTCATAAATGTGCTCACTTGACGTAATGCACCGCAAGCTGATAGTCCTCCTCGAGTTGCTGCAGACGAGCCTTGTAGCTCGCTTCAGTTTCGTCGAGTTTACGTTCAGCCTCCAGAACGCGAGCCTCAGAGCCGCTGTCTACGCCGTTCTGACGCACGGGGCTTCGAGACGCACGCAGCCGCTCTAACTCAGCCGACAACGTGTCCAGCTGCGTCTCCGCTTCCTCTTTCTGCCGCAAGGCAGATTGTAGATCACGCTCCGTCATCTCCTGCAACCGCATCGCTTCTGCCAGCTTGTTCTCGAGATTTGCGAGTCGTGCTGGTGACACGCCTCCTGAAGGGGAGGGCAGATCTTCGCCTTCGGCAACGATACCGTGGTCGGCCAAATACTTCCGGAGCGTTCCGTGTCGTATTGTCGCAGTGGAAGCCTCCTTGATGTGCGCAAGGAGTTCGGTATCTTTCGCGAGGAGATCCTTGCGTAGTCGACCACCCTCCGCCAGTGCGTTCGACAACTGCATCCGGAGACCAGCAATCTGAGAACGTAAAGACAACGTCTCTGAGTCGGCCTCCTGCGCCTTGCGGCGCTCGCGATTGAGCTCCGACTGTGTCTCATCAGCACGCCGCGTTACGTCCCTCAGCATGTCGCGTAGCGACGAGATCTCGCGCTGCAGCGCCTCAACCTTCTCCGCATGGCCGCGAGCGAGACGATCCTCATCACTCCTGAGGTCACGATGAGAGTCGAGCAGCTCGCCTAAGCTCCCGGTGGTGACGGCACGAAGCGCGTCCGCCTCTTCCCGAGACTTTGCCCACGAGTTCTCCAGCTCCAAGATGCGCACGCGAGCATTCTCGGCCTCTGTCGTACGTGCTTCCAGCTCGCCTCGCAGGTCCGCTAAATCCGCCTCCAGCTGGGCCGCCTGGTCGCGCGCACGAAGGTGCTGGCGATCGACTTCTGTAGCACGAGCAGATGCGGCCTCCATGGCCCCACGCGCCTGCTCCAGGGTACGGATATGCTGCTCGTGCGAGAACATGAGCTCCTTGAGCTGAGTCTCAGCCCTCAAATGGTCCGCCTCGCGTTGCTCGATGATGGAACTCTGCTCAAGGAGGCGAGTAGCATGTTCCCTCAGAGCGGATTCGACGCCGGTGTGCTTCTCCTGTAGTGCCATGTATGCCTCCGAGCTGCGATCGTGCGACTGGGACAGCAGGTCGGCGCGTCTGAGGGCGTCGTCGGCCCGAGCCTCGGCCTGCTCCGCGATCGTGGTCTGCAAAGCAAGAGAATCGCGCAGCTCCCTGATCTTTCGCTCTCTTTCGGTGGCCTCAGCCATAGCCGACGAAAGCTGCCGCTCGAGCTCGGCCGTGCGATCTCGCTCTGCACGGGCGATGTCCGCTCCAGAACCACTCTCCATCGCAGCGACCTTCGCGCGATAGAAAGCAGCCTCCTGCAGAGCACTAGCCCGGATGCCTTCAGCCTCCTGCACGCGCACCGACGCTGCGTGAGCCTGCTCCATGAGGTTTGCCTGCCCAACACAATCAGCATGCGTGGAACATCAACCATCAGCATAGTTATCCTCACCTGCAGCTTCGCATGCAACTGCTTGAAGTTGACAATCATCTGCGCGACCTTCTGGCCGTCGATGTCGTCTTCGTCCGCACTTGCAAGTATGTCACCCTCGGACTGGTCGTAGATGAAGCCTGAGCGCGCCGCCTTGGACAGGGCCGCGCGCATCCAAGCATCCCGCTTTTTCATCGCCTCCACCTCGGCCTCCTTCTGCTTGAGGTCCCGAATGAGGTCGGCCGTCACGTTGCCAGTCGACCCCTTGCTGTACGGCGAACCGTTGGGGATAGGCGAGCCAGCTTTGGCAGAGTAGAACGCATCCGTGGGTGCCCTGCTCCTGTCAACGTTCGGGGATGGGCTTCGCCCCGAGACACCGTTCCTGCTCATCATCGCAGTTGCCATACTTATGGGCTCCTGACCATCGCCAGGGCCAACAGGAGATGTCGCACGACTGGCACCGGCGTAAAGCTGTGGGCTCTTCGCACGGCCTTGACCTTGGTCTGGCGTACGCGCACGCTCGTGCACATCGGTCGTGGAGTGCTCAGGACTGCTGTCGCCGCCGTCCATCTCATCGTTGCCGCGCCTTGGCATGACTTGGGCGATACCCGACAGAGACTGTTGAGTCATGCCATTAGGGGTCCTCGATCGCGCGTTCGGGGGAGATAGCGCTCTGCGGACCTCTTCGACATCGGACATCTGTTGCTCGGGGGATATTGGTCGGCTGCCATTGACAGACGCGCCAGGAGCCGCTTGCGGACCTGTAATCGAAGTCTTCCGGGTAGTTGCTCCACCATTACTAGGAGTGATCGCGTTTGATTTGTCTGAGCTGGGATACTTGATATGCTCTGCAAAAAACGCAATCAGTATAAGGCATTCTATGAAGCTATCACGAAGACGTACTCGTATCCAAGACGTGAATGAGAGTCGGGTCATCTGACTTAGCCGGGTTTCCGAGAGATTCTCCACCCAAGCCTCCAAGTACGAATACGCGAGACCCCATTGATGCCATGGCATGCCCAGAGCGAGGAGTAGGCGCGGGGCCCATCTTCTGGAACATATACCAACGCTGGTCTATACTGGTGTCAAAGGAGGGTCGTGATTGACTATATCTGTGGTACTCACTGGAGATCTTGAACGCGCCCAGATCACCAAGGTCTTTCCCGTCAACACCTCTACCGCCGAACACATACACGACATCGTCGACCAGAGCAGCAGCATGACCTTCTCTTGGAGACGGGATGAAGCCTATACACGTTAGTTCCGACCACGTATTGGTGATGGTATCGAAGACCCAAGTGTCGTTGTAATGATATTGGCAATCAGTGCCGCCGAAGCTAGGGATGCCGTTAGGTCAGAACAGTGATCTTGATCAATCAAGGGCTGACTGACAGGAAGATCTTGTTCTCAAAGGTCACGCAGGCGTGCCCCGTCCGCTGTGCGGGCCGTGGCGAGCCTTCCGCGGGCTCAACAAGTTCCCACTGAGCTTTCGTTCGGACTGCAGAAAGTTGAGCTCAGTCCGGGCTAAGTTGCTAGTGACTTACGAGGCGACTTACGAGAATTGAGATCGAACGCCCAGAGGTCGTTCAAGAACTCGCCATCCACTTGGCCACCGAACACGTAGAACTTGGATCCGACCATGGTGACAGCATGACCATATCGGCCAACGGGAGCAGGGCCATATGTCGCTACTCGTGTCCATTCTCGCGAAACTGAACGCCGCAGACGACATTGAGTACGTAGTCGCACAGTGACGACGGACGAAACGCACCAAGGTTCAGCAGATACAACCCATCATCCTGTTTATCGCCAGGCTTTGCCTTCCCATTCGTCTTCGTATCACCACCCCAGACGATAAGAACACTCCCAACAAGCGCGCTTGCATGTCCGACGCGAGGGCTTGGCACCTCACCAGCCGTCTGCAGGAGTGTCGCTGACAAATCCCGTGTCGATAGCAGGTACAGGTCATTCCTGACGGTCTCCTTGACAAGCCCACCAAACAGGAATAGCTCGCCTGTCGCGGTGGCCGTCGCAGGCAGCGCGTGGCCGTACCGAGGGAAGGGTGATGGTGATGGGTTCGTCGGAGGAGCGACTCCCGGCTTCGGGATGGTGACTGGAGGTGGAAGTTGTAGCCGACGCTGTGACCATGGATATGCTGGTCGCTGCTGCTGCTGTTGGGCCTGTTGGGCCTGCTGCTGGCCAGATGGACCTTGAACGGAGGGCTGCGGTGCGGCCTGCTGTAAGCCCATAGGACTGCCATTGACGGAGTCTACGTTCACACTGCCGTTGCGGCCCTGGCGCTCGCGCTGGACTTGCGGGGGCACGCCATTCATGACAACGTTCGGGCTGCCTCGCCCATTGAGGCCGCTGCGCGTTTGCGTTAGAAATGGGTTGGGCTTCCGGAACGACGACATGGAGTGCAATGCGAAAGAACGTAAGGACGTAAAATGATATGAAACCCGAAGCGCGGATATAGCCCTGCCACGAAACGCGGATACGACGCTCACCTCTCGTAGCTGGACTCCTTCGCGAGCTGCTTCGCCGGGCCCTGGGGAATCGACGGCTGCTGGAGCTGAGCTAGAGCGGCGCTGGGGCTTTGGACGACAGCGACGTTTGCAGGCTGCGGCGGGGGATTGTGCTTCTTCCGTGAGAAGAAGGACATTCTTCTGGATCTGGTACCAAACAGGGACTGTATGGCGGCAGAGGGCGCACGGTGCGCACGGCGAAGAGAGGTCGGTGGTTGAGAGGAGGGGAGGAGGACAGGACGCCGACGAGGATGCTCAGCAGGCCCGCCTGAATGAGCGGTGGACAGAGCACTCGTACCTGGCCTTCGCGACGCGCGCTTGCTGGCAACCGCCTCGCGCTGATTCCGTTTGTGTCTGTTTGCCCGTTGTCCCGCCGGCGCCTACGCCTTCCAGCGGCACCGACTCCTACTCCCGCATACTTCGGGGCGAGAGACTCTAGATTCACTTTAGACTTTTCAATCCATCTATTCGTCTCGCAATGGCTATCGCGCTGCACCCTGGACACAGGTGGGCGCAGAGCCAGATGGTCGGTCCTCGCCGCAGTGCGGCAGCTCCAGCGCTGCATACCAGCTGACATATTGGGAGCAGTCGCGTCTCTGGATCGCCGAGAGCATGCACCCAATCTACATATACACAGACCAGACACTGGAAGGTCTTTCTGAGACATATTAGCCAGCAGGGCCAATCTCGTGTGACACTGTGCTATTCAGACGGAGGACAGCCGTTGAGCTTAAGCTCTGGTAACGTTACAGCAGAGTAGAGATGTCGCAAAGATACCCCTGGGGGATACGGCGTTGTCTGCGTGGGCGACGTCCGAGCTTCGGAAACCCCGTACGCGGGGAAGAGGCGTTTAGTGTTGGGATAGCACCATCCAATGTTGAGCTCGTTCCCTCGCGAACAGCAGACCCGTCTATGCTTCTCGTGCCTGAGACTGACTAGACACGAGCCCGACACGAGCAGTCCGGGAGGCTCGAATGCGGGATTCCTGCCGCCGACATGAATGCCCTTCTCACACGAGCAAGTGAAATGGATGCTCACACCGAAACACATGGGGGACTGCACGAGACCTTCGCCGCATCGATGCACCGCGGTCACCAAACTTTATTCATTCCAGGTGATGATATCGGCCGTTTCTTCACTGTCATGGTCGCGTTTCCGGTGGGCCATGAGACGATCACGGTTAGGAAACAGTCTATTGCACTTATCGAGCGCACAGATGTATATAGGTGTCCTGTAGCATCGTTCCTGTCAGAAACATCAAGGCTGCATAAGCAACATTGCTTACTCGTTAGGGTTCGTTACTCGAGCGACGCCAGTCTCCAGTTGCGCAGGTGTTGTCGTGACTGGGACGTATGTCAGATCCTGCTGTGGGAATGATATTGAGCGCGCACCATCCTGAAGCGCAGGCGCAGAGGGCAGTACAGAAGGCAAGCTCGGCTGCTGGCTCATACCGAAAGACGACCAGACGAGGAACAGATGCGACTCTCAGGCGACTCGGTGCAACAGCTCGAAGGCCAGACGCGCGACGCGAGTAATATTCGCGTGACGTCACAGCCGTGACCACGCGTCAGTGCTCCTCGTCCGCACCCGCTGGCAGCAGACTGGGCCAGAGGCTGCCAGAGGCCAGTCCGACAGCCATATGGACCGCTACGCCCCGCACAACGGCACCGAGCCCTCTTCCCGCAACACCGTCACCTCCCGCTTGCACTCTCTCTTTTCGTCCCAGCAGAGTCGCAAGGACACGCAGCAAGACATGAGGCCGCCGCGCGCACCAGCCGCCGCGGGCGCCCGAGCGGGCTCGGGGTCGCGGACACACTCACGACCGCAGAGTCTGACTTTCCCAGTGGCGGGACCGTCTCAAAGTCATACGCAGAGCTCGGAGAAGCCCCACCCTGTCCTTCGCTGGATATCAGGCAAGCACTCCTCATCCAAATCCCTTTCGTCCTCCCCAGCACCTTCCCCGACCCGTTCATCTCCTGTTGATACCCCCTCCTCCGGCTTGAGCACACCATCCTCCGCCGTCTCTGCATTGGTGGACGCCTTCAATGACAACCCTCTCCTCATTCCCGCACACCATACGGGCTTCAACAAGTCCTCCTCATCTCTCGTCTCCTTGCCTACACGCCCCGAGGCTGCTCGCCTCCCTCCACACTTCCGAGCGACCCGCCCACCACGCTACCTGTCCGAACTCACAAGGACCACATTACCCAGCGCCTCGATATCACCGCCCTTGCAGCCATACGACGAGGAGGCATTCCAGAATCCGGTACGGTACACCGACCCTTTTGCCCCAGATCAGCACCACGATGCGGACAGGGAACGGGACCTAGACATTCTATACAGTCCTACGCCGAAGCCTCTAGCAATACCGCACTCGCCCGCTCGCGCGCACTTAGGGCGGCAGCGCTCTGGTACCATGTCGACGTCGTCTACGCAGTCTTCCCTGGATACGCTTAGGTCGATACACGAACGAGGTCGGAGTATACACACGGCATCGCCGCCGCAGCTGAAGATTAGCCTTCTACCCGATTCGCTGAAGAACTGGTTCGGCGGAGAGGAGAGCGTGGATAGCAAGGCCATGCATAACATGTTGAGCGAAGAGGACCAGCGAGGGAGCAGGCAGGCTGAGAGGGAGCACATAAAGAAGAAATGTAGGTTAAGAGTGGGAAGGTGCTTCAGCGTACTCACGTAGCTATTAACAGACTATGGGCCGAAGAACCCTGTCGTGTTCTGCCACGGGCTCCTCGGCTTCGACACGGTCACCGTCGGGCCCTCCATTGCGTCTCTACAGGTCACCCATTGGCGAGGCATCAAGGAGGCGTTCGAAACGAATGGCGTTGAGGTCCTGATGACTCGCGTACCTGCGACCAGCACGCCCATTGACCGGGCGAAGGTACTCTGCGAAAAGATCAGCGAAGTCTACCCTGGGCGGAGCGTACACCTCATCGGTGAGCATAGGCTCGCCTCGTCACGCTAGAGTGCTCATGCAGACCGTAGGGCTCGCGACATAGGTCACAGCATGGTATGCATCTGCACCTTGTTGCTGTCCATTCTAGTCTAACTAACACATTTCCACAGGGTGGCCTTGATTGCAGATACCTAACAACCCATCTCACCGACCGGCCCTTCAAGGTCCTTAGCATTACGACCATCTCCTCGCCGCACCGGGGCTCCTCGTTTGCGGACCATTTTCTCTCGACGATCGGCAGGGACCGGATGCCGTCCGTCCTTTCACTGCTTGACCTTCTTCCGAACGGCGGAGGCGACGGCAAGGCGTTCGAGTTTCTGACGGTGGAGAACATGGCGAAGTTCAACGAGGACACTCCGGACGTGCCCGGGGTGAAGTACTTCAGTTGGGGCGCGACTTACGACCCAGGGTTGATTGACACATGGAAGTGAGTATCGCTCGTAACGAGCCGTGCCCAAAGGTGCTAAGCTTTGATTCTAGATGGTCACATACCGTGGTCTTGGAGAAAGAGGGCCCTAATGACGGGCTAGTCTCACTCAAGTCAGCCAAATGGGTATGCTTTCTACTGTTCGTTCCATTCTGTGTTTCTCTTGTAACTGAGACGTGACGCGCAGGGAACGTACCTCGGCACACTCGAAGGCGTGAACCACCTCGATCTGATCGGCTGGGTGAACACTGCGCGCTACAAGTGGGCAGAGATCATGGGACGCGAGGTCAAGTTCAAGCCTGTCACGTTCTATCTAGGCATAGCCGATCACCTGGCGAGGGTGGTGGAGGGACAAGGACAAGAGGAAGGTGCCGGCACGAGCGGAGAAACGCGGGCAGCGGGAGAGGCAAGCGACGAGGGTCGGGCTGCCCCGGGCGCGACAGCAGGAGAGACGAGTGAAGAACGGGAAGAGCGCGAGGAGATCCGGAGGGAGGGCGAGCGCGCCGAGATGGCGGATAGTCTGGGGAAGGGCGGTTCGTTGGTTCGCGAAGGCAGCGAGACTGCGGAGAGGAGTGCGGGGGAAAGGGACGGACAGTCTGGGGAACGGTGACACAAATTGGCGGAAGGTACAATATAGGTATCATCTTGGATAAGGGACTTCACAGCGCATATCCAGTCTTGCTAGCAACTCACGATGCACACGACACGATGTATGGTAGTTCCGTATAATGCACATAATATCTGGAGCTCTCTACGCTATGCTGTACGACCGGGAGGAGGTCGGGGTGCCTGTGGCGGGGATGATCAGATGAGGCGATCGGGTGATCAGGCATGGGAGGAAGAAAGAACGGGGGCTGGTCCGGACATGAAGTCATCATCGATGTCCCCGGTCATGCTCGCCCCGTTCCGTCCGCGAACCCGTCTCACTTTCTCAGCTCGCGCGCTGCACTCACCACATCCCATCCTCTCGCTTCCTTATCCCCGCCCGCCGCGAACACCCTGCGCGCACGCCTGACATTCCAATTCAGATACGGTATGAGCGCCCTCGAGAAGCTATCCAGCAACAAGGCCTTTGGCGGCGAACTCATCAAGTACAAGTTCAAGGTGGGTGGCTTGTGCAGGCAGTCGAGGGCCGTCTGAGCCAGACCTTATCTGCCGCGCAGAGTACCGCCCTCGGTGGGCTCGACGCCAGGTTTAACCTGTTCCTGCCCCCTAACGCGGCCAATGGCAAGGTCCCCATCCTGTATTACCTCTCGGGATTGACCTGCACGGAAGACAATGGGTACGTCTGTTACGGCAATCGTATCGCATATGGTGCTGAATTGCAATATAGTGCCCAGAAAGGGAGCTTCCTCGGGCCCGCGTCTCAGGAAGGGATCGCCATCCTGTTCCCGGACACCTCCCCCCGTGGCGCGGGCATTGAGGGTGAAGACAACGACTGGGACTTTGGTACTGGTATGTAATGTAGCCTTCGCTTCGGTGAGGCCACAGGCTAAGCTGCATTCCGCAAAGGCGCCGGCTTCTACCTGAACGCGACGAACCCGAAGTATGCTAAGCACTACAACATGCTCACCCACGTCACCGTCGAAATCCCCGAGGTCATTGAGGCGTCCGGTCTTCCAATCGTATGTCAACTCAGCCGCTCAGCGTGTCGCGAGTCCTCACACTGCCTTGGTTCACAGGACACGACCCGCCAATCAATCTTCGGGCACTCTATGGGCGGACACGGCGCGCTGACACTCTACCTCAGTTCTGTGCTGAATGGGCAGAAACAGTTCCGTTCCGCCTCCGCCTTCTCGCCAATCTCGAACCCCACCAAGTGTGCATGGGGCGAGAAGGCGTTCAAGGGCTACCTCCAGGGCGGCATCGAGGAGGCCAAAGAAAAGTACGACGCGACGGAGCTGATCGGCAAGACGAACAGAGAGCCGCTGCACGTCCTCATTGACTACGTCAGTCGCTTCCCCGGCTGCGCCGTGTGGTAGGATGGATGCTCACAGAGGCTCGGTGTGCAGGGCACGGGCGACAACTTCTACCAGCAGGGCCAGCTGCTCCCGGAGAACTTCCTGAAGGCTGCGCGCGACGCTGGGTACGACGAGGTACAGGTGCGGGTGCGCAGCCAGGAGGGCTACGACCACAGCTACTTCTTCGTGCGTCTCTCCAAATCCCCCTCACGGCAATTCCTCGGTGGTGCTGACCTCGCCCTGGCGCGTGCTTCCCGCAGATTTCGACCTTTGGCGCGGATCACGTCCATTGTAAGTCTGATGATGACAGTCGTGCTCTTCTTGTTGCGCGGGCACTGATCAAATGGGCTGGCTTGGCTTGCAGTCCATGCAAACTTCCTCAAGGCGTAAGCGGTCGGCGGACCTGCAAGGGTGCTGCGATGCGGAGTAAGCAGAGCGAAGGAGGAAGGGTAGGAAAGTGTAGGATCCACGAAGAAGACATAACCTTGTATTACGGATGTACTCATACCTGGGGGGGCCGAAACTGTATCGATGTCAATCTCCGGTGGTTCGAGCTTCCCTTTCGTGGCACTCGCAGCGCGTGAAGTCTGTCGGACTGCCCGGATAGTCCATATTAATCGAACACGCCATCAATTCACATGAAATAAGGGTATGTTTTTACATGGCACACTGACACCGATGAGAGGGTAGCAATGGCGTTTTGGCAGTGAGGATGCGACAGAACAATTGCGTATACATGACGGAAGGGAAGGCATGGTCGGATGATTCTTGCCAGGAAAGACCGGAGCAGAACGTCGGCACAGCAAGGGCAGGGGCACAGCACCAGAAAAGCTTCAAGGTCCGCAGTGTTGTCTGGTTCGTTGTGGCGCCCGCTGAGTGAGGAGGGACTCGTTGCGTTCTCAGCTGGATCCGATTCGCTCCCGGTAGGCGGCCTCCAGCTCGGGCAGTTCACGGCTGAACCAGTCGCTCCTCAGAGCAGAGTGTACCGTAGCGCGGTCCAAGGGATCATAGACGAGCAGATTGCCGCAAAGCATTCGAGCTAGAGGTCACCCGAAAAACTCAGCATGCGAGTGACATAAACAGCGGCTTCCTGGCGGCCGTATCGTTGAGTGAGTGTGTAGCAGTGAAGTGCGTACCGTCAGGGATAGAACTCCATATGTACGACGGAAACTCGACCTCGCCATGGACAATGCGCTTCTTCACCATACGGTCGCTTTGAACAGACGTCTGCGAGAGATCGCCAAGTTGGGAGTGGTCGAAATCCTCCGAGGGTCGATATGAGTACCAGGTTGACTCTCCGTCCTGCTTGTCGTAGTCGAACGGGTGGCCACCGCTACATTCCCGTGAGTGTGACGCAGGATGAGTCGGACAATATGATCCGCGACATAGGACCACTTACGCGAGCATGATGTACATGATAACCCCCGCTGACCAGCAGTCGGCCGGCATCCCAACATAGCCCAGGTGTTTGTGGTCTAGGGCCAGGATGCCTTCGGGAGGGAGGTATGACACTGTACCGCAGACGTTGAAGGTCTCTTGGTAAGCCTTTGGACGAGCCAACCCGAAGTCGGCGATCTGGATCCGAGGATAAGGTCCCGGCGTGTAGAGAAGTATATTTTCGGGCTTTGGCGTGTTCAGTTAGCATCCGACAACAAGCTGCACGCTGCGCCGAAACGACGGTACATCGTACGCACCTTGAGGTCTTGAACGTGAGATGTGAAAACTGTCCTGTGGCTCTGTCATCTAAAGACAACGCGCGGTCGAAACATACCACGATGAGAAATCAGTCGGTCATGAAGGTACTTGAGCCCCTTGACAAGCTGGAACATAATGTATTTGGCTTCGCTTTCGCACAGCCGGGAGTCTTCGTGGCCGACTATGTACGAGAAGAGATCGCCTCCGGTGCACAGCTCGAGGAATATGTGCCTGCGAGTATCGCCGATGAATTGGTTAGGAGCGCACATGATGATTCTTACTGACACAAAGTTATTGTCATGTCTGGCCGCCCAGACACGGTTGATGTTCGGCTGCGATTGTAATGTCAACAGCAGGCCGATGGAGGGGCGCGAACATCCTGGGAGACTCACATGGTCGAGAGAAAGGAGAATATCGACTTCCTTCATCACTTTGTCGACCTTGTCCTTACTTTTACGTTTGATTGTCTTGCATGCGGCTTGCCTAGATGCTGACGTATCCATGGCTAGGTGCACAGTGGCAAAGCTTCCACTCCCAAGGCAATGGCTCGTGACAAGATAGCGACCGATGCGCTGTAAAGGGAAACCGCTTTACCCGTCTGATGTCGCATCTGAGGTTGCGACAGCATACCTTCGTTTTGAGTGACGGATTCCTGGGAGGTGTTGGGTCAAATATATTCGCCTTTTGCGGCGACTTTTGCGTGTGTATGCATTCAAACTCTGCATATATGCGTTTTCAATGGCCGCCACGGTTCTCATGAGTACTCACTCTGTGAATGCGGAATCTGGATGGTATCCCCATCCATAAGGAGAATCGACGTTTTACGAATTTTGTGCCCGTTGAGCAAAAGCCCATTGGTAGAGAGATCCTTCCAGACCGTCGATCGACCTTGAATACAATACCTTCCATATATGACTGTCGCTTACCGAACATGACACCAGAACTCCACCGTTGCTGGGTCGGACGCTGTAGGAAGTCTTGGGTGAATAGATCGCGACGAGCTCCAAACGGGGTGGCGCTCACGCGTACAGCTTGCAATGAATGCCAGAAGCCACGATGTCGGGTACAACATACGAGCTGCGATTACACCGTGATTGGATACGACCGAAGGGTAGCGAAACGAACGCGGGGCTAGGCACATACCATGAAGGGTGTCGGCCAATAGTCAGCGGTCGGTCGATGCTCAACTCCAAAACTATGGAAGAGGCGTAGAAATTAGCATCCGTTACTTCTTACATGCGCTGGTATCTACCTTCTCTACGACCTTGCTTGTTGACGGTCACCAGTCTTGCGCATATACTCGACGAATTAATCCATTCAGCAGGTGTGGGAGGCGAAGCAGACCAGTCAATCAGCCCACACATCGCGGAAGGAGTAGTAGACGGCATCTTCAACTGTATGATAAGAAGAGCAACCAGCCTTATGTCAGCTACCAGCAAGTAAGTTATCACAGAGGTGACGAGAGGAGGTGAAGATGCGGGCGCTCTGGACGCGTCCTCCGAGAAACGAGAAACTGGGCGATAGTCACATGATCGTATGTACTTTCGAGTGGTAACTTACTGTGTCCTAGCCGAACTCGGGAAGACTCCTAGTGCTTTGTGAACACTACGCGCGTTGCATATCGAGCTGCGATACATTTCATCAGGATTACGGCTACAGTCAGGCTACAGTGGAAATATGCAACAATCCGGAACGCTACACGACGATCCAAATCAAGTTAATCATAACCTCTACCACTCCGTTGCTTAACTCTCTTTGGTTTCTTGTGATGTTTCTTGCCGTCCAGGCTGGCCTCGCCACCGGCATTCGCAAGGACCGCTGCGATCCTCGCCCTTCGACCAGTGACCGCAGTGCCATCATCGGCGAGAGCATTCTGGTGCGGATATGCCTGCATACGAGACACCTCCTGGCCATGTCTCGCAGAGCCCTGCATGCGAGGCCGCATAGACGACGACGGACTACTCGCGAAAAAGTCCCGGTCGAGACTCTGAGACTTCGTGCTCGAGCCCACCCCTACGGCTGAAGCCGTGCTTGTACCCAACGTCGGTGCGTTCTGGGGTACAAACGTATCAGCGCCCTTGACCACCCGAGTCGTCGGTGCCCGTTTCTTTCCCAGCGCACGTTGAAGGGCCATCTGTCGTGTCTCCCCATTGAACTCGTCGTCGGAGATGCCGGACGGCGGGTGGCAGTATAGCAGCTTCGCATTGACGTAGTCTTTCAGGACGTATCTGGCAGCTCGTGCCTCGTCTGGGTTACCCTGACCGGAGCGCATAAAGCCTCTGCCGACTACGATGGACATCATCAGTATTGAGAACGATTATACGTACACATAACTCACTAGCATATGCAACCAGGAAATCTTCTGGAGTGATCTGACCATTGCCGCCTTCTTCGGCGGTCCTGCTTTTGACGTCTAGACCGTACGTGGCATCGAGAACCTCTTTGGCGATCCTCTTGACTACCAGCGCCATGGGGCCAGTATGCTCCTTCATCTGATCGATGGGCAGAACCCCATCGCAAACGAGGTCGGCTTTTGTCGTAGTGAATTGAGGGAATACCAAACCCGGACAGTCGCATAGCATGAGAGTGGGCGATAGATTGATTGTTTGGAAGTGTTTCGTCTTGCCCGGTGTGGAGGAAACACTGACTTTCTTCTCGCCAAGTAGAGCGTTGATTGTACTGGACTTGCCCACGTTTGGATAACCCACGAGACCGACGACCAATCTCGATGGGTGATTTCCCGAGGAGTCCGTGAACGCTGACAGGCTTTCGGTCAATGTTGATCGTGTCATGGGAAGCGTACTACTCACTGCTCAAATCAGGCGCAGCGCGTACGAACAAGTCCTCGAGCTCCAGCACTGACAAAACCTTCACTCTCGGGTCCCGTGCGTCCTCGCTGTCCTCCTCTGGAGGAAGGCGGTAGAGACTATTGGTGTCCGCATCCGAGACCGATTCGTCATCGGATACGTCTCCGTCTGTATACTCGGAGCTTTCGCTACCACCGTCGACATCTGCATTGCTCGGAGGCACTTCGGAGATGGTACCGTTTTCGTGAGCTTCTACGTTCTCTCCACTGTTTTCAACTGGTGCCTGAGCTTCTGCAGCTGCCAACGCCTCCTGGCGAGCTTTCTGAAGCGCGACAGCGTTTGCGGCGGAGAAGAACGCGTAGTTCACGCCTTGCGTGTCAAAGTAGTCCGCCCATAGCCGCCTGCAACATGGCCCTTGTTGAATTTTCATTCAACAAACGTGTGTTGCGCCGACTCACCTTTGCTTCGGCGTCAGAAGATCAGCCTTATTGATGAGAAGTAAGCTGCGGCGTTTGTTCTTTCCTGTTCCAGCTTCACCCTCAGCTCCTTCGACGTCTTGCACATATGCCTCCAGATCTTCACACCGAAAGCGGAGAGGGTTGCGAGCATCGACGATCTGGACTACGAGGTGTGATCGTTCTAGGACTCGCCAAAGCTGCCGCCAGACTTCGATATTGCGCTCAAAGGGGGTGAGCAGAAATAGGTCTCTATCCTGAAGTCTGAGTTTGGGTAGATGAAGGGGGATGGAATGAGTACTGATCCCGCGGCATGACTGGAAAGGACATACTCCGCTAGCCCCCTTCTCCACTCCAGGAATGCATCCTTTTCCTGTCTGTCTAACTGCGCAGGCGACATGTCCTTCGTCCATGGCGGGCGCCTAGGTACCCGCAGCCGTTGCCGATTCTCGCGATGCTTCTGCAGTGTGCTCCTTTCCTCATCCTCCGAGAGAAGGTACGGATTATGTTGCGATGTGACAGGTGAATTGAGAATCTTGACGTTCCGACGTTCTAACAGCATAATGAAGGATTAAGATCTTGGCTAGTCGAAGAAGCTTACCAGCTGTGAACTGGGTGCCGGCCAACTGCGCTGTGTTCAGGAACTCGTCCAAATCCCGTTCTTGTGTGATCGACTGCAACCGAGTGGTAGAGTCGATGTCGGTGGTGTACTGCAATATTGCGCATCGTGGTAATCAATCCACTCAAAAGGCATAGTAGGCCGCGTACCATTCCACTCTCCCGAACCCTGTGTGCATCCTTTACCTTGCGGTTGATAATGGCACGCCCCAGTCCGCTCGGGTTGGGATTCTTTCCCTTTAGTGGGGGCTACAGGGTGTATGAGTTGAGAAAAATAGGCAAAGCGAGAAGTATGATGCGACATACCATGTTGTAATGCCTGTGCTGTGTGTAGCGTGGCTGGTAAGTAGATGTTCGGTCACGGTAGGGCTGCCACTGGCACTGAGTACTGAAGCCACTCGGGTCGCTCACTCAGCGATGAAGCGCCCGCGTCATTTTCCAGATCTTAAGATCTTCGCCGAGATGTCTCGATCTGGTAGGCAAAACAACACCCGCCACCCCGCCCGTCTTCCGCCACGCCACACCCGCCGTCGTCCACCCTCCTCGTCGCGTCGGCCACGGATACACTCAGAAGTAAGTTACTACTACTGCCTGCCGGTGAGGCCTCGAGGAGTACTGTGGAGTCTTCGTGCAGCCAGGTAATCCCGCCATGCGATCAATTGAATCACTTTACATCCGACGATCATAGGTAAGTAGTCACATTAATCCCGTAGCCAGACTGTCCTTGCAAATGGCACGCCTTGGCGGTCTTCTTGGAATATACCAGGCTCCATGCCCGAATGCAGTCCAACTGCGCCCGGGGCTGCCAGAATTGAGGCATCCCTCGGAGGCTCATCAACCGAGGATGAGTCCGCGATCCTTCGCACCGTGTACAATCCTTTTTTGGTACTGTACTCGTGACACTACTGGAAACGATGTTCCCAAGCAGACTCACGCATCGTCAGAGACTCGGAACGCTAGCTAAGCAGTGACAGCTTTGGACTCGCGGACATGACTTGTGGGAACAAGTCCACCATTTGATACGTTCCGTGGAGGTCCAGGTCATCTCATCGCGGCACTGTGCCGTCACTGCGAAGTATCCGGGAATAGCACTGTGTCCAGCAACCTGTATTCACAAACTCCAAGCTCTCTGGTATGTACCCACGGAGGTCATTCAGTTCTTAGCACATTGAATTAACTGCTACCGCAGTGGGTGTATCACGTTCGCCCTAAGTTGCGCAAGGATAGTCTAGACATGTGCATGAAGGGTCAATGTTCTCGCTTGCGTTCTACATGTGATGAGGTATCCTTAGCTGTTTGCATTGCCATGCGCAGGCCCCGCGATTTCTCCGATGTACATGTGTACAGTGTTAGCCACCTTGAGGGGCTCCATACGTGCGTAGCGAGGACCGTTACCCTTGGCGACGCATATATAAGCGGATGTCGATGGGCCTGTCTCCCCGTCGTAGTCTCTACGAGAACTCTAGCCATCAAGATGAGGTTCGCGAAAACTCTCCTCAGCCTGCTCTCGGTGCTCGCCACCTCTCAGCATGCTCTCGGTCAGTTCGCCACCCGCTTGGGGGGTGTCAACACAGCCGGTTACGACTTCAGTGTTGTGAGTAGCTCGGCAGGGTTGTCTAGTGATGACATCATTGACATTTTGTTCAGGACACTAACGGAGACTACTCCGGCACTGGTATGTGCGAGCGACGGCGAAGTGGATTCGCTATTCTAACAGATACTTGATAGCTGCCCCTCCCCCGACGTCTCAGTACACCCACTTCACCTCGGAAGGCGCCAACCTCTACCGTATTCGTGAGTCTGCTATGATTTATCAGGAAACGATTGGCGTGTGCTGACAGTGGCTATCACAGCTTTCGGTATGGTCCCTATGCCGACTCATGTTGCATTTTATGGATACTGACCATCGTGACAGCCTGGCAGCTGATGACCCCCACTCTGGGAGGCACCATCGACTCCACCTTCTTCTCGGAGTACGACCAGACTGTTCAGGCTGCTCTGTCCTCCGGCTCTGGCGTCTACGTCATTGTTGACTTGGTACGCATTAGTTTGGCTGTCGGGCTGCAAAGGCTGATATGATTGTGTTGCAGCACAACTACGCCCGCTGGAACGGCGACATCGTCGGCCAAGGTGGCCCGACCAACGCCCAGCTCGCCTCGATCTGGACCCAGCTCGCCTCCAAGTACGGCTCCAACGAGCAAGTCATCTTGTGAGATACCGTCACTGTCAGTCCCCAACGATCGCGATCTGACACAGGGCTACAGCGGTCTCATGAACGAGCCGCACGACCTCAACGTCACTGAGTGGGCTGCGACCCTCCAATACGTCGTCAACGAGCTCCGCTCTGCCGGCTCGGAGAATTACCTGCTTCTCCCTGGTTCTACCTACTCGTCTGCCGAAGCTTTCCCCACGGAAGCCGGCCCCTACCTGGTTCAGATCACTGACCCTCTCGGCGGCACTGGAAAGCTGCTCTTTGATGGTGAGTGTCTGGAATTGTACCACTCAGGAGTGCACTCAACCGTCTTTAGTCCACCAGTACCTTGACTCTGACAACAGCGGCACTCACGACACTTGTGTCACGGTGCGTGAAATTTGATATCTATAGGAGCGCTGCCTAAACGGCCACACCGCGCAGACCAACGTCGCTACCCTCGAGACGCTTGTCAGCTTCCTCCAGAACAACGGTAACCGTCAGGCCATCCTTAGCGAGACGGGTGGAGGCGAGACGACCAGTTGCTACACCGAGTACGTACCCTCTGCATCTCCGACATTGTACGCGCATTCAGCTGAACTGTCCCCTTTAGCCTCGGCGAGGAGCTCTCGTATGTGAAGTCTGCCTATCCTACCCTCGTTGGATTCTCGGCCTGGTCTGCTGGCTCTTTCGACACGACCTACGTCTTGACGCTCACTCCCTACTCCAACGGCACGGATGAGACTCTCTGGACCGAGGCTGGTAAGTGATAGTGCCCTTCTTCATCGAGATCATGCCCTCATCACGATGAACAGTCCGCCCGTACCTCCCTTGAAGGGCATACTAGGATTCTAGAAGTGATGGATCTTTGAGAAGTCTTGTACATCCAAGTTGTCGGCGACCGCTTCTTGTACAAATGTGTCTGCATGTTCGCGGTTTTCCATCAACCGCAGAAATATAGCTACGCTGATCTTGACTTGTTATGGAAAATAAACAGTCAACACGGAGAATTCGACCGACTAGCTTGTGATGTCAGCTACCTCCTGCCTGGGCTCTCATAGAACGAGTTACTAACGTTCTAACCCGTCTGCAATAGCCTTGTGTATGAAAGTGATTGGATTATAGCTGGCCACCAGCATGAAGCCATTCGAAACATTGCTCCGCCAATTGCTCGCCGTGGTCTACACAAGACGCAACGAAGGATGAGTCGTGTTTCACGTACCCGCGGAGAACACACAACTTGAACGTACTGATACAGAATGCATGCGGGATGTCAGGGTGCCCATGAATTACCTTGACAGACCCGGGATCGGCGTGGAAGGCTCTCAGGACTGATCCCTTCTGCTCGCCCACCCAGCCGTCCTCGTCTGCAAAGTACATGTGTAGACGATGAGCGTATGTTTGAAGAAGCGCCGCATCAAGGTCCCGTATGGTCTTCATCTCCTGATCGGCTAGACAGAGAGAGGCGTATATAGCGCTTGGTGAGTTTAAAAACTTGCGCAAGACCAGAATCTGGGGTAGGGGCCAATCGGGGAAGAGGAGTCGTAATGCAGCCAGAGGCAACATCCAAGTCAGGATAGACACAGACGAGATCAGGCGGGGAAAGGGGTATCGGAAAAGCCACTGCAGTGATATTAGCGAGACATATACATGCGTAGTAGAACATAGCAACGTACGGAGAGTGACTGCCCATTGGGAGTTGTAACGATGTGTGAGATCGTTGGGAAGAGGAGGAAGAGCGAAGTAACAATGTCTGGCTTCGCTCGTAGCACCTCATGGCAGAATGCCATCGTCAGCTTACGGCTCGTATACTCATAAGTAGTATGGAGTCCTACCTGTAAGGTGATCCAACAACCCATACTATGCCCCGCGATGACGAGCTGGGCCTGCGGATAGGCATCGTGTAGCGCTTGTGTTGCTTCAATGGCACTCTCTACCTGAGCCGTTAGACTGATGCTAGACGAGTCTTTGTACATATCTCCGCGGGGGATAGTCGGAGAGTGACCGAGATGACCGTGTGCGAGTATGGATATATTCTGCGCACACTTCTCGTGGATGGCAGTCAAAAATGGCGTGTAGAACTCCACGAGCCCAGGATTACCTGTTCACAGTATTCAGTTGAAGTGTATTTGACATACTATATCGATGGGATAGGCCACTCGTAATCCAATGTACCTGGTATGAAGAGAAGGATGGTACGAGGCTGCTGAACACCGGCGGGCCACCATAATGCGTGTGCAGCCGCGCTAAGCTTTGGGTGGGGGAATATAGCGTTCGCGCATGGCTCCTGTATGGCAGAACTCGGTGGTGCTGGTCGTAAGAAGGCAGGGAGCGTGGCCATGGAACCAATATTAATGGCGCCAAAGTGTAACTTGAGCCTCGTGGCAAGACACCAAACCGCGGCGGACGAGCTTGGCGGAGCGTAACATCCTAATCTCAGATTGCCGCCCGTCGCGGGGTCGCGCTCAAGCCTGATGCGGCAGGATGCAATGGTGACCAGCTGCACAGCGTCGGGCTGTCTCTGGCCTGCTTCCTCCGATTATGTCTCGACTGCCTCCCAGTTCCTCCAATAATTACGGACGCTCGAGATCAGGTTCTGTCCGCCAGAATCCCCCGCCTACTTCGCCTCCCGTACGGCCGCTGCAGATTAACCGAACGCCTACCGGCACGCGCCCTACCTCACCGAGTTCCACAATCTCTGGTTCTTCTGCCGCGCCTAGGGGACCAATACGGCCGACGCGGTCTGGTCTGAGAGACAGACAAGTCTCCGACGTCTCTACATCTGATCGAGCCTCGGTGGACTCACGCGCAGCTCCGGACTCGAGGACATCAGAGGATCGCCTGGAGGCCCGACGCGGGGAGCCATCCAGAATACGTAATGGGGTAGCGGTCCCGTCCTACAGGTCTAACGGAAGCTCGCAAATTGTCGCTTCACCTATATCTCCCATGTCGCCAGAGTCAGCGTTGTCACCGTCGTCCATAGCGGCCGTGGTCGCCTTCCAGGCCTTGGGCAGGAAGAGGGGGATGTCTAATGACAGCATGATGGACGCGGAGTATGAGAGAGAAAAGGCGCAGGAACGCGAGGCGGAACGAGCGCGGCAGCAGCGGCTGAGAGACAGGGTACCAGGAAGGAAACCTACCGGGAAGACCAAAGCTGGGGATATCGATGGTGAGTACAGTCGCTAGGCTCTTGCTGTCCTTCGGCGCCAAGTCCACAAGGGATGGTACGTTGACCTGACCATGTAGCCGTACTCAACGAGATTAGGGGAGAATGGGAGGTATGCATGGACCCGGACGTGAGTGTCGCGATCGACATGCTGCAGTCATCGGCCTGAGTGATGGTAGTTCAAACCGGTAGAACTTGCCTTGCAACTGCTGGACCAATCGTCATTGGGGAAGGATATTGACTCGTTCCGGCGTACTAAGGACTTGCTGTCGAATGCTCTGAAAGGGTCGGTGGACAGTGCGTTGCTTCTTAGTGACAACATGATGGTCAATCACGACTGACGCGTGTCAAGAGTACTACCAGGCATTTGCCGGTGCACTACCCCATCATGCCGCACTCCTGAGCCATCTTGGGACAACTCAGGACCAAGTTCGGGATGCACGAACTGCCCTGCAAGAAGCAAAGGACACCCTAGGCAGCAAACGTGCCGACCTCGTTCAACTCTGGTCTAGGAGTCAAACTGTTGACGAGATGATGCGTATACTTGATCAGATGTATGGCGTCGTATATGCACTGTTGTCCGGCTGACGATATATTCAACTCTGTTGCAGTGAACGCTTAAGAGCTGTCCCAGACGCCCTGGAGAGCTTGATATCAGAGAAGCGACTGCTACAGGCCGCAGTGCTACTGGTACGAAGTCTGAAGCTGATCAACAAGCAGGATATGTTGGACGTTGGTGCGGTGTCCGACCTACGCAGCTATCTAGTGGCGCAAGAGGCGGTCAGTGTCACTATCTCGATATCATCAGCACGAGTCCTTACGCCTACTCAACTCAACTACACTCAGGCACTTCGAGAAATTCTAGTCGACGAACTTAATAGCCATTTATATCTCAAGTCATTTTGGTGTGAATCACGATGGGCAGTCTACACTCCTGGCCAACAATCATGTGAGTTATGTGCTCGACTTCACACTGTTTACCGTCACGAGACTTTTCCAGTCCCCAAGGTCGATATTCAGCATCTAGCTGGTTCTGACATGAAAGACCCATCGCCCTCCTCACCCATTTCCCGATCTACGTCAATCAGCAAGTTCTTAATGGACCTCACCGTACGCCCGAACGACCCTCCATACGCCCTCGACGAGCAGAACTATCGCGACAGTACTTCTGGAGCCGCTTTGGCGGCATCTGCAAGTTCTGGCGCGCTAGGGATGTCAGCTGCTCAGTCATCAATATCGCTCGCTGGCATGCTTACCGGCACTGGCATGCAAGTACCACCCCCACAAAATCCCGAGGCCGACTCGTTTTCCTATATCGAGACGCTGTTGGAGGCACTCGCAGTCCTCGGAAGGCTGGGAAGCGCCCTCGATGTCGTCGCACAGAAGCTACCACAGGAGATCTACTCGGTTGTGGAGTCGACCTTGGACGAGGTGGAAGAGAGAGCAGAATTCGGCCGACGAAATTCTGTGATAACATCTGGCTCTGGCGCAGGGAGACTGGACAGCAGCCTTCTGCTCACTGGTCCGGGGGCAGTGTCGAGCATGGCTATGGGCACTGGCATCACCGGGGTATCCGTGGCGCCAGGATCGGCTGTGGGTGCTCTAACTAATAGAGCGCCACCGCTTAAAGCTACGGCCCTGCGGCTGGCTGCTCTGGAGGCGTCTACGAAGTATACCGACCAGGAGACCTTGCGAGACTTCTTCTGGACACTCTATTCCAAGCTAGATGCTGTAACGCAAGGACTGCGAGTGGTATATGAGGTGTCGAATCGAATAGGTTCGGTGAGTGACCTCGCATCCGTTGCCTGATCCAATTTAACATAGAGACTGAATCCCATCTTAGAGACGAAACTTCAAAGACTCTTCAGGGGCGAAACCTGGTTCTCTTTTCCCACTCGCGGAAGTGTGGATGCCGATACAAGCGGAGGTTCGTCCTGCTTCTCCACGGCTGTAATCGTTTGATTGTAATTGGTGCCGTACCAGGTGAGGACCCTTATCGGTGACTATGTAACCGACGAGGAACAGGGTACAGTATCCGGAAGGAACCCTATCTCCTCAATCAACGAAGTTCTCCGAGAAGGGAAGTTCACTAGAGACAAGAGCAAGGTCAGTAACAAACAACACGCGTTCTCTGTGCACGATCGCTCATCACCGGAATAGCCCGTCTTCAGATTCGCAGACACCGATGCGAAATACAGCATCAAGGCGCTCAAATCGCACGAAGACGAGCTCACTCGAGTGCTCAGAGACACCGTGCCTGGTCTGGTCCAGGGTTCCGCAGACAATGCCGTACAGGCGACGCTGTCTGCTGTCGGGACAGACGATCGGTTGTCCGGGACCAGTCAACACCACCGTGTCCTGATTCGCCCGGACGCATTCCACGTCAGCATGCTGTTCCAGCCAACGCTGGCGTGGCTGGACCGCATAGCGGAGGTCCTACCCTCTGGCATGGAGGCGGCACGGTCAACAAGCATGGTGCTGGAGGACTTCGTGCTGGACGTGTACTTACCGCAGCTAGAAGACAAGGTCTCCGAGTTGTTCCATCAAGCGGTGACGAGTCCAGATGCTTTCGAGCCTGATCCTGCCACGAACAAACTGTCGCCGCAGCCGCTTGTCAAGGTATGTGTCTCTGGTATTATTCAATGAAAACCGACCGATCACATTTCTCTCCGTAGGCAAGCGTACAGGTCATGGCTCTGATCAACTCACTATGTGCCATGCTCCGGACGACGCCGTTCCATCGAGAGAACTACTCGCGACTTATCCTGACAGTCATAGGCCAGTTCTATCAGCGGTGTAGCGATCGGTTCTACGACCTCGTCGCTGTCAGAAACAACATGCAGCCAGACGCAGCCCCGAGGATAGTTCTTGGTGCGCAGTGGGCGCAGAAGGCAGATCTCGGCGCATGCCTGTCGGAACTGCTGAGGATCATTGGCGAAGACTCGGAGTCCGCTAAGAAGCTCCGGCTCTGTCGACAGGAAGCGCACCTCGAGCAGGCCCTGTTGGGCGAACAGACTATCTCCAAGCAGGACCTGATCTCGTCCGCGCGGAACATGTCTAGCCTGGCGAGCCTGTATCGCAGTGTCGTACGTCATACTTGTTCTTCGCTGGGAGGTTTCATCTGACAGCGCTTGCAGACGTGGTTCTTCAACGAACTGGATGCTCTGAAGTCAGCTCCAGAAAGTGCGCTCTCACCAACAACACCGCTGCGCCTCGAACCCGTCAGCGCAGTGACCCCGTATACCCCATACCTCCCCGCCATTGCTCCCGTACAAGCGAATGAACCGCTCAGCCTACCGCTCTCCTCCGCTATGGCCATGCGATTCCAGGCACTGCACATGACATACGCTCAACTAGCGGAGCTCATTCTGTACGCGCTGCGCATCGACATCCGGTGCCGCGCTACGCACTACATCGACCTTGCGCTGAGACATGTAGGTGCTCCCATGTTCGTCTCATCGGCGGTGGCTGACGTGTTTGCGCGTAGGGAATTTACAAAGTCGACCGCGAGGTTGGCGAGCCCGACCCGAACGTGATCGACCTCAATGTCGAGCTCAGCAAATGCGACGACTGGGCGTCGTCAACGCTTCCTGAGCGAGAACGGAGGTACGCTGCGCTGTAGCTGAGCTCGGGCGACTGGCTCACTAGCGCTGGTAGATATGTGTTCGAAGGCCTGCCGCACCTCATGGAGCGTCTCCTGATCTCGAACGCGCGGCTCATCCGCTCGCTGAACGCCTTCGGTATCAAGAAGATGAACCGGAACATGCTCGCGCTGCAGCAGAACATCAAGACGATCACCCAGAACAGCGACGACGTCGAGTTCGAACGCGCGAAGCGGTACTACTCGCTGTTCTCCATGTCGCCGCAGGTAAGTAGCTCCCCGCTCCTCGCCATTCTGCACGCTTGCTGACTACAGTGGCTTATAGGACATGCTCGACAGCATCCGCAAGAAGCAGGAGTTCAGTTTCGACGAGTACAAGGCGATGTTGGACCTGCAGTGCGGCGTCGACCCGACAAACAGCGAGCAGAGTGCTGCGCAGGCCACTGACCGTAACTACAGCCTGTACGTTATCGACCTGCACGGCCTCGAGCTACAGGACGCCGTGGACGAGGTCTCGTCATGACACGTAACCATGCTGTGATATCCGGAGGAACCTAGTAATGACTAACGACAAAGTATTTATGTAGTATGAACACTCGCGTTCTCCTGTACACGCTGTTCCAGGGGCTTGTTCAACGGGCGTGTGCGCGTCTGTTTCTGGCCCTAGGCTCTGCTTTGATCGTGTTAAACCACGCCACGTCAGTCTCATGTGCGAAGTTGGTGTGGAGGCTATCCTGCTCCGGGGAGAGCGTTGCCGTGTAAACCCGCGTGATGAGCCCGTCTATCTTCTTGCTCTGCTCGCGCGGGTGCAAGTACGTGAGCATGGGCAGCCGCCTCAGCAAGCTTATGAACCGCCGCCTGAGGAAGCGCGGCGAGAGGTGGTGATTCGCGAAGGCTGGTTCATCCGAGTTGAGCAGACGGCCCGTCGTCGCGAGCGAGAGGACCTCTTCAAAAAGGCCCAGTCCTTGCAAAGCCAGCGGGCGGACGCCGGCTTGCTGCAACGTCTCCGCGTCCACCCGACGCTCCTGCGAATGGAGAGTCGGATTCTGCTCCCGGTCCACGCCAACATCGAGGGGCGGGTAGATCATCCGGATGTTGTCGTTGAAATACTTGCGCCGGATGTTGACCTCTCTTCGTTTGCTGAAAGGACCTAGTATCCGCGCTTCATAGGAACCTGGGTCGGCTCGGTTGGGAAGTATGGGGGGATGTAAGATATGTTGATGAGGAATTCCCTTGGTCTTGTGTGACACATTGCTGGTCATCAATGCCGCGAGCTCCGGTGAGAGCACAGGAGGTCTTGAGGCCTGTACGGAAGGGATGATGGGGTCTGGTAGTGGAGACGCGGGGTCTGTCATAATGGGCTAGCAATCCCAGATAGGTCAGCGAGCGGCGGCAACAAATGACAGAGCGCGGAGGAACCTCGCACCTCGAGCAGTTCCCATCTGAGCTTCCCCTTTCTTCCGTAGGCGAGATCGAGTACATGGTCGAATTTAATAGCGAGGCCGCGGTTTGCTAGACGCAGGTTGTTCAGCTCCTGGATGACGCACGAGCATTAGACCACGTCAGAACACAGCAAGCCGGGGCGCACCTTTTGGACACGTTTCATCCTCTTGGCACGTTGATGGAGATCGTAGACTCTCAGAAGAGCTCTGGCGTCGTCGCCCAGTTTGATCTTGTAGAACTGCCTACAGAGGTTCGGTTAGTTCGACTGTACGCAGCAAGGGAGGCATAGTACATGCCGGAGATAATTGGTAGGCAGGAGACGAATCTCCCTGTGGAACGCGCGGTACAGAGAGACGACGGCATTTGCGTCGGCAGCCATGTTGACGGCGACGACGTTGAGGGGTGGCAGCGGTGGCGGGCGACGCGGTCGAGGACTTGTCGAGGACACCGAGGATCCTCCAAGCGCCCACATGTGATCGTCCTTCGATCGCGTCGTGACGCGTTAGCGCCCGCGTCGCTTGGTTCCATCGCCCACCGAGGCAGCACCCAAGCTGCTGGGCCGGGGCCAAGCAGCACCAGCTGCACCGCGTCCGCTGCCTGTGCCAGACAGACAGACACTGCCCCCGAGCGTCCAGCCTCGAACGTGCCAATCCTGTGTCTTCCTCGATGCTTCTTTTCTCCACGCGTATACTCCCGACGCCCTTGAACACACGGCTTAAGCTTGCAGTGGACCTATGGAGCTCTCATTTAATTTGCTCTGTGAACACTTCATGCCGCCATCGATAGGGTGCAAAATATGGAGAAGAAACGAGCTCGAAATAGCGCCGTGACAGTGCGCTGAGTCAACGACTCGCAGTCGTACCGCGTCGAGGTGACCCACGTTCCCAGCGATTGTGACCCTGTGCGAACGCGTCGTCGCTCGCGCGTGGACATCCAAAAATCCCGCGATTCTTCCGTTGCCTGTGTTCTTCTCTCGCCCATTGTTAACTTTGTACGGGCTCAATAACTGTCGAGTATATATTACATAGTGCACGACGGGTCAGTAGGCCACTTTGCGACAGCGAACAGCAAACCAAAATGTTTTCCGCCCTTGCGCTCCTCTCTGCGGCCCTTGTGCCGCAGCTCGTCAGCGGCCAGGTTCCGCGCCTCGGCGGTGTCAATACTGCTGGGTTCGACTTTACAGTGGTATGTTCATTGGTACGGTGGTGTGAGGCCTGGAGTTGACAAATGTTCTAGTACACCAATGGCAGCTTCACCAACAACGGTATGTCCTTAGTTACACAACTTACCTTGGGTCCTTTGTCTGAATGTGGCATGCAGCTGCGGCTCCGCCCACTTGGCAGTACGCCCACTTCTCTGGCGAGGGTGCTAATCTCTACCGTATCCGTAAGTGTCCTGGGTTCACCTCTGACGAGGTGAGTCAACTGACCGACCTCAATCCATAGCGTTCGCATGGCAGGAGATGACGCCCACTCTTGGTGGCCCGATCAATGAGACCTTCTTTTACGAGGAATACAACCCCATCGTGCAGGCCGCTCTCGCATCTGGCCCTGACTCTTATATCATTGTCGACGTCGTACGTTCATTATTCGCTGGCGTGTCTTTTAAGTATCTCTCAGATCTGCCGGCCTAGCACAACTACGCTCGCTGGAACGGCGAGATCATCGCTCAAGGCGGACCCACCAACGAGGAGTACGCCTCGCTCTGGTCGCAGCTCTCCACCTTGTACGGGGGCAACACGCGTCTCCTGTTGTACGTCCGTCAACCCTATTCATACAGTATCGCACGCTGAGAGGTACCGTATTCGCGCAGCGGCCTAATGAACGAGCCGCACGACCTCGACATCCCCACCTGGGCCGAGTCCGTGCAGTACGTCGTCAACGCGATCCGCGCCGCCGGCGCGCAGAACTACCTCCTGCTCCCCGGCTCAAACTACACCTCCGCCGCGACCTTCCCGACGGGCGCCGGTCCCTACCTGCTCAACGTCACGGACCCGCTCGGTGGCACCGAAAAGCTCATTTTTGACGGTCAGCATCCCAGATACGGACGCGTGATAGACTTATTACTGAAGCGTGATCCACAGTGCACAGGTACCTCGACTACGACAACAGCGGTACCCACGCCGAGTGCGTCACCGTAAGTTCCCACCCGCCCCCCAGGGCAATGAAGCGTCATTTTAACTGGAAACATCCCCCAGAACAACACGGAAGTCTTCGAGACACTCGTCAGCTGGTTGCAGGAGAACGGCAACCGTCAGGCCATCCTGAGCGAGACCGGCGGAGGCAACACCGCCAGCTGCGACGAATAGTACGCTTCACAATCCATCCGAGACCCCCTGAATCCTAGCCACTGACCCGCTTCCCTCACAGCCTCTACCAGGAGCTCGCGTACATCAAGGCCACCTACCCGAGCATGGTCGGCTTCTCCGTCTGGGCCGCGGGCTCCTTCGCGACGAACTACATCCTTTCGATGACGCCCTACTCGAACGGCACCGACCAGCCCCTCTGGAACGTCGCCGGTGAGTACACCTCTCGCTCTCGCCGTGGTCGATGTTGGGTTGCTGATTGTTCTGCCTGTCTCCAGTGAGGCCGAACTTGCCTGCTCCGGTGTAATCGAACGTAGTACAGTAGTACTCATATGGGGCTTTCACGTTGAGTAAGCCTCCAAACAAATGCATATCGCGGTGCGAATACCGAACGTCCTGCTGTGCTTCTATTCAACGTCAGCTCGAAGTAAGTGTCGCCCAGTTCCGGCGAATCTGGGCAATTACTGTGCGCCCACCAGGTGTTTTCACCACAGGTCAGGGGGCTTCAGTTACCGTTACTAAAATGCTGCCTCACCCGTGTATGTGCTGCAACTTCAATCCGGCGATGCATCAGTGGACGCAGACGCAGTAGTCGCCTCAATAAGCAGCATGTTCAATTGAAGAATCATGCTGTTTGACGACATTCTCAAGATGCTCCTAGACTCCAATATCAACCCTACACGGAGATAAAACAAAAAGTCTGGCCAACGCCGGGGTCGAACCGACGACCTTGGCGTAACATTTTATTAGCACCACGCTCTAACCAACTGAGCTAGTCGGCCATGCAAGGGTCCAGAAGCAATTTTAGATCTATCCAAGCCCAGATTTAAAAGCCACTGGCAACTTCACACAGGTTCTCTAAGTATCGTCCGAACGCTTTGTGGTGGAGTATTGCACTACGTACGCAGATGTAGCACAGCTAGAGTGACGAAGTACCAGCACTTGCGGTTGCCTCATCGTATCACGAAATGCTTAGGTCTCGAGATGCGACCACTGTGCCCCCAGTAGGCAGACCTCTTGAATATGATACTGGATCCTGCACTACTAGTAGTAGTCAGTAGTCACGACGTACGTCAACGTTTCGCGAAGAGATTGTTCGCATAACGCACATAGCCTTATCCTCTGACGATCCTTAGGCTACGACGTGCACATACGGATGAAAGGAAAGAGACGAGACAAATGACTTGGATACATTGCTTCAGTCGAAGACGGTTATAGATGCTACAGTGAGGACTCGGAGACGCTAATACTACAGATGCGGGAGAAGACTAAGTCAAGAGATGGTATGGGGGAAGATACACGAATATATGGGATAATTGTTAGCGTGTGTATGTGCTAGTACCAGAGTGTACGTGATGGTATGTTGACTAGACTGTTGCCAGAGTCCATGAGGGTTGGATAGTCGAGGTAATAGATATATGCGTAGTATGAACTTGAAGTCTCTTCTGCGCGAACTTGTTTATGTAGAGTGACCGAAGCTGACGTTGATAGCGCGACCGGGCGACGCTGGGGTACGCATGAGCCGCCGAGTAAACGTAGACGAACTAGCGCAGACGTACCTCCAAACACGAACTGTCCACCGCTGCCTCCTGCGGCCCTTCTAGTACCCGGGGGCATCCTCTGAGACATCGACGTAAGTAGACAATCATAAGGATATCGCGGTGATGCTTACCTTCATCGGGCGGGACCGACTCGGAGGCTGACCATTTCCGGGTACTCCCTGTGAGCCTGACGCTGAACGCTGCGCGTTGCCAGGGTGAGGTCGAGGCCCAACGGACGAAGCGGGGGCAGCGATGTATGAACGAGGGGCGGCTGTAGGTGCGACGCCACCAGTAGCGTTGAGTGCGTTCGAGTCACGGTGGCGCTTGGGTGGAGGTCCCTGCATCGAGCCCGGCCTATTGACGACAGGGACATTCTGCGACGGAGCGAAGTTGTACGACGGCGCCATGCGACTGATAACGGTTGTTGCTTGTACACTGCCTTGCGTTGATGAAGACGGCTGGCCTGAAAGGGCCGTCAGCAAAGCCTGCGTGCCTATCATCAGTAAGAGGCAGGAGCTATGTATTCCGGTCACTTACACAAGGAGGTACCTTCTGGGCTTCCGTCTTGCGCGGGCTTGCCGAAGTTGTCGCAACGGGCAACTGGATGGCGAAGTTCTTGTCCCCCTGTCGGTAGATGTACTGACGTGGCTGGACGTTCCTGAGCGATGGCGTGGTCGCATTGGCAGGAATAGCATGAACGCGGCTGCTTTCGGTCTGAGACACAGATACAAGCCATGCCTGTACAAGAGAACGGCGAGCAGCGTTGTCGACGACCTGATCAAGCGGATTATGAGTAGGCGAACGTAGAATATGACGCTTTGAACTCACTGCGGTGGGATGCCTTGCTGCCGTCCTCTGTGAAACTGGCACGATGCCGTTCTTGGCGCGAGCTAGCACCGACTCTGCCATCTCAACGTCCTCGGAGGCGAGTTTCTTGTCTGCCGTGCTCTCGTCCATCTCGATGTCGGACGTGGGTTCGTCGAGCATAGGGGAGGTTGTCGCCTTGTTGAAGTCGGGAAAGAGCATCATCTCGTCCACATCGGGGGAAAACGTAGGCTTGGCCATGCAGTCGTCCACGCTTTGCGGCACCCTGAGGGTCGTTGAGCCGTCGGCGCCAGCCCTGCGTGGGCATGTCACCTTCCCCTGGCCACTGATCGCCATGTCTGCGAACACGCTGACAATATCGTCGATGGCATTGTCATCGTCAACGTCCTGCAGCATTTTGCATCAGAGGGGCATGCTACGGACAAAGATGGACCAACGTACCATGCGAACTGGTAAGGGCTCGACATCGCGTTCGCGGATGGTCGTGCGGTGCAACGCTGCCGTAAGAGTGACGAAGGGGTTGGTGTCACGGTTCACACAAGGCAAGAACGGAGAAGCCGCAGCGGAGCACCCTAAGGCTGGAGACCAAATAGGAGAGGAGCAGGAGAGAGCTGGGCTGGCCAAGGCATTGGCGGCCTGGCGTATCGACGCCCACAAGGAAGGGGCCACCGGTGACGTCGGAATGCTGTGTGCGATGGACGGCATCACCGTCGAAGACTCAAAGAGCTCTGGAGTGTCCGGTACGATGATGGTAGATTCCCGTATCGCAGTCCATGACGAAGAGACTGACGAAGAGACTGACGAAGACATAACGGTCACTGTAGAACTGATCGGTGTGTCGGGAGCTGGGGTCTCCTTGGGAATGCTCTGTGAATAGAACCCAGTCAGCCCACTGTCAGAGGCTACGGAAAAAAATGGATTGGTACCTTTGGCTCCGGAACCGCGTCGTCGACAACAGTAGAAATCTCAATCTCGGGATCGTCAAAGCTGAGGTTAGCGAGGTCCTCCACGACGCTGTCAACAACAGGGTTAGGACTAAGCACCGCTGGGTCGCGAATGTTGAAATCGACCAGGTCCTCTACGAGCTGCTCGAATGCAGGGCAGGTGCGATGAAGCAGAGGAGACATGGGCAAAGTGAACCTGACCAGAGGAGACGAGTTCGACGAGGTGGTAGAGAGTGCTGGGCTAGACATGTGGGGAATGATGTACTGAAGGCTGATCGTCGTTTCGATGAATTCGCACGGGCTGTCGGGGAGGGGGATGCCAGCGGCATCTATGTCGTCGAGAAGACAGGCGGGGGATTCTATTATGCTTGAGCTATGGGGCGTATAGGCTGGGAGAGGAACAGATGCGTTGATAGGAAGGTGTTGCAGTCCGTCTTCATCTTGATCGCTCATGACAGATTCGGAAAAGGAAACAACAGATGACGAGGGTGACGAATTCAGGAGGATAAACATAGGACTGTGTTGGTGAGACAACAAGGTGGGCTCGTCGATTTGGTGCTGGTCGTTGATCGACGCAGGCATGAGGATCCCGAGGCCGATGGTCGTGGATGCGGTAGAGTGTTGAGAAGCGCAGCGCAGACGAGGAGTGAAATACGGTGTTTGTTTTTGGACTTCAGGTGTGTCCATGGCAGGTGAAGGCGGCGCCAACGGTGAGACGGGGTGGGAAGGAGTGTTCGTACGAGGGGATATGACACCTGGTGAGGTGTACTCATCCATTGCTGAGACAGGGGAAGCCATAGCAGCGATTGAAAGTGCAGCTCCTACGTCGAGCAACATGAGCTGGTGGGCGTCGGCTACACCTGGGCTAATCGCGTCGCTGATGCTGAATGCTGCCGTGAGCTCGGGAAGGGATGATGAAGCCGTAACGATGGTCGACGAGGCGCTGTCACGAGCGACTCGGGCGAACGATGCGAGCGTGGCAATGGCGGTCAGGCATCTCCTTGCGGCGAGGTCGAGGACAACGCGAAGAGCCTTGGAGACGATGACCGCGACGACATGGGCGATGTGTGCTCCTGTCCTGACACCAACCATCGCGCGCGACATTGACCGAGCGATGATACCAGGGGCAGCTGCAACGAAAGGTCGAAGACGTCCGACGTACACGTCCGAAATGTGGATGACGGCGGGTTGCATGTCACCAGAGATGGCGACGGCGATACTGATATAAACATCGACGATGGCGGGAAGCATAGGTGAGGTGAGCAGGAGGCTATGGGCTTTTGTCAATGGATAGTTCGTCTTTGAAGGTTGACACTTACGCGAGTGCGGCATTGAAAACGTTCTGTACCTTGTACCACACGCTGAGGCCCTCCGTGGCGGTGATAACGGTTGCGGCCGCAACCAGAACAATGGCGAGGAGCGCGAACCGCATTGCCTGCGTACCTATGGGAGGTACAGAAGGCATCGCGTGGAAGCTATGAAGAGGCATCCTTGGGCTGAGGTGAAGGTGAGTGGGCGTCGGCGGGGACGGGGTGCCTGGGAGGCGGGGAGCGCAAGGCAGGGGAGAGGGACGGCAGGTTGTGCGCGCCCTTTTATAGGTGCGCGTCGCGTCGCGGTTGAACGTCTCACGTGGGGCATTCAACAACGACCAAGTGCATTCGCTGTCAACGGCGGCGAGCGGCGGGGCGACTGAGCCCGCTGTCAGTGTCACCGGCGGAGGAAGTACCGACGTCGCGGCACGCCGATCGCTCCACGGTGGCCGGCGGCGTGTGGGGGTCCCTCTGGGCTCGCCATGGGGGAGAACGACGAGGACCTGTGTTACAGTGTACGTCCCGACATCAGTATACGAGCAGACATGCGGGTAGGCGTACGTACCGTCTGTGTCGGAGTCGCCGCCGTCCAAATACCGTACACGTCTTCGCGGCCGCGGTGAGCTCAATCCTGCGTTCGTCTATCGCTGTCGCTGTCGAGAAACGGTCGTACTGCGGTCGTCCCGACCCGCGAACCCCGCGCGGGGGACCCTAACCACGTAATAAGACCAAAGCCGTGGGAAGCGGAGGGCGATGGCCATAACAGGAAGAGGTGGCCCGTCGCGACAGCTCGCGACCCCCGTACTTGAGCGCTGCTTGAGCTCGCAGCTGCCGCCTCTCGACCACGCGTTCCGACGCGCCTGGACGCGTCTTGTCGCGACCATCATGCCTGAGCCTCCTCCAGATCCTGCTCTGCTCTTCACCCCGCCACCAGCCCGGGCGCACCCTGACAGCCCCGCCAGGCTATCGAGCGTCGCTGACGGTCCACCTACTTCCGATTTCCTCGTGCGCTCACGGTCGAGTTCGCTTAGTTCCCCTGACGAAAGCGTGTCCCTTGGCCTCCCGTCGGCGCGCCAGCGTACGCGTGAGCAGCCATTTTACATCGACGTCCCACCACTACCCGAAGAAGAAAAGGCGCTGTATCTCCCCTTTGCAGAGCAGCTCATGTCAATCGAGTCTGCTTTTGACGATTTCTCGGAGATTGTGGGGGTGCACGAAATTGACGGAGTGCTGCATTACTTTGCGCGTGACTCGGACGGGATTTTACATCGGGTGAGTGCAGCTTCAACTTCCCTGTGCACATCTGCTCGCTTAGTGTACTGGCGGTGCCTTGGCCACACGCCGTACGGTGTATATAATCTCTGTCCCAGCAGCCGGAGCGAGCGAGCATGTTGCTGCTCGACGTCATCCTTGACTTTCGACGTGCTCGGCTTGTATGAGGGTATCACTTCTACCCAAGCACATGCACAATCGGCCATGGCCACTGCTACCTGAACTTTCTCGTAGCCCCAATTCCGCTGCGCAGGTGTCGACTCTGATTTCCACTTCGCGACATTCTTGAGTTGTGGCCACACCAATCCGCCTTTGTCATAAAATAGGACTGACGAATCGCTGCAGTTCCCCGTCGACGAATTTAAGCACGCCCGACCAGATCTAGTAAAGAAATACGGTGCGATTCTCTGGCCTCCATGCAGAAGCCCTAGTTCTGACCTTCTCTTCCAGAACAAGCGAAGAAAGCCGGTACATTAGGTCCCTTCGATCCCTCAGCGAGCTACGTCCACATCAACTCGAGGGTCCGCCTTCAAGTCCACATCAAGCGTCCCGCTCCCACTCGCAAGCGTCGTCTCAGGCCGAGAAGCTCGAGCACCGACGAGCTCGCCGCGAGCTTCCATTCCGACTCTGACAGCCCCCCGGCGCGTGGGTACAAAGGCGGAGCGTCCGCAGGTGGCAAGGGCAAGGGCCGCGAGCTGCCTTTCAGCCCGAAGAAGACGCGCTCGCGGGGCCGCGCGGTCGTCGCGCGGGGCTCGGACGCGGAGAGCGATAGCGACGTGCAGGAGGTTGTCGCGCCCCGGCGGTCGTCGCGCTCGAAGAGGTCGGTGAGGTCCAACCTTAGGGACGCGGACATCATAGTGGACTCGGAGGATGAGGAATATGACGACTCGGATGAGGAAGAGTACGCCGAGAGGAAACCCGGCAAGAAGAGCGCGAAGAAGAAGCGGGTGAAGAAGAGGGGCTCGCGCGCCGCGTATGGCCACTTCCGGCCCATCGCGGATATGGAGGCGGACGAGCGGGTTGACGAGGAGGGTGATATGTTGAGGATACACAGACAGACGTGCGAGAAGTGCCACACGCTGCCTACGCACCAGGCTATGGTACAGGCGAGGAAGAAGAAACCAGGCAGACGCAAGAAGAAGGGCAGCGACGATGAATCGAGTGAGGACGAGCTGGCCCGTCTAGAGGCACTCGGTGGCTGGGTACGATGGTAGGTCACACTTGCGCTCTGTGCTGACCCTCAGCTCACACTGTTCCTGCAGCCTGAAGTGTCCTGTAGTAGCGCATTGGGCATGCCTCGCGAAGACCCAACGTGACGAGATACTGAAGGCAGCCTTTGAGCGCGACAAAATCGAGTGGCAGGCCGCGAAAGACAGAGCTCTCGCGGAGGGCGATGAGTTCACAGAACCAGCAATGACTAAACGGTCGCAGCTAGAGCAATGGCAGTCTACGGACTTCATCTGCACATCCTGTATGAAGGGCGGTGTATGCATGGCCTGCCGAGAGGTGGTCGTTAAGCCGGATGTCATTGAGGCCAAGACAGAGGAGCAGCAGCCTGATGCTGTTGCTGCTGCTGCACGCTCCGGAGATGTCGAAATGGCCGACGCAACCGCAGAGGCAACGTCCGAGAAGGCAGCCGAGGACGACAAGGACAATGAGCAAGACGAGGACGGCAAGGAGCTCGCATTCCGGTGCATCACCTGCAAGCGTCTCGCGCACTACGCGCATCTCCCCATCCCAGCGGACTGGGAGTACGATCCTGACGACGTGACGCCGGCCATGCTCGCGGACCATTACCAGACCACCACCAACTGGCAGTGCGGGGACTGCTCGTCGTTCGTCTACAACGTCGAGCACATCCTCGCGTGGCGGCCCTACCCCGAGGACGCCGTGGAGCCTGCGCGACCCGCGGGCGAGCCAGTGAACTACAAGGCGATGCTGCCTCGCGAGTACCTCGTCAAGTGGGCGGACCGTAGCTACAGGCGGACGTCGTGGGTGCCACACGGGTGGCTCCTCGCTACGTCGGGAGCCAGGCTCAAGAACTTCCTCCAGGGGGGCTCTAAGATCCGGCTGCTCCCGGAGCCTGTGGAGGAGGAGAAAGTCGACGAGCCCGCCGCGAGCCAGGGCCCGTCCTTCGAGATCGGAGAGGAGTCTACGGATGGTCAGGCACCCGAGGAGAAGAAGGTGGTGTCGGTGTTGTCTGCGATGCCGGATGCAGAGCGCAGGATCCCGCCCGTGTGGAAACGCGTCGATCGTGTCCTAGACGTGCTCTTGTGGCATCCTGAGGCACGGCTCGGGACGACGAAGCAGACGGCTGGGCGTAAGGGTAAAGGGAAGGGCAAGGGCAAGAAGCGTGAGGACAGCGACGAGGAGGAAATGGACGAAGACGAGCCTCGGATGGTGGCAGTTCGTAGGGAACTGGACGCTGCTTACGAACTCGGAGAGCAACCCAGCCAGGACTTGATCGAGACAGTCGAGGAGTATGAGGAGAGGACGAACAAGACGCTGAGACCCGATGACATCCACCGCGTAGTCTGGGCATTCTTCAAGTGGGACGATTTAGGCTATGAAGATGGTACCCGTTCCTCACCGCTTTGCATGAGTTGATGTCTCATACAATTTCGTTCTAGCATCTTGGGATTCCCCACCGCGACCTGGGTCGGCGAGTTACACGGCATTTGATACTGCGTTCGAACGCTATCTCAGGGCCCGTTCGGTCACGGTCCCGCTGAAGAACAGGAAGGAGGAGGACTTGTTCGACAACACTCGCCCGAAGAATGCATGGAGGAAGAAGTATGCGTTCACTCCCGAGCAGCAGCCCGAGAACGGTCAAGAATCTCAGTTCAAGTTGATGCCGTTCCAAGTTGACGGCGTGAATTGGCTCTGCGACAACTGGTGGAACCATCAGAATTGCATCCTGGCCGATGAGATGGGCCTAGTAAGTCGACCAGACATCTTGTGATACGGCTCGAGCTAAGCTTGTCTACACGGCACTAGGGGAAGACAGTACAGATTGCGTCTTTTATCGGACACGTAGCCACACAACACGAGGCTTTCCCGGTCCTCGTAGTGGTTCCGAACTCGACGATCTCGAACTGGGTGCGCGAGTTCGAGCGGTGGGCCCCCAGGCTTCGGGTCGTCCCCTTCTACGGAGAATCGAAGGCTCGGGAGATCATCAAGAAGTACGAGCTGTTCCATCCAAAGGACAACGTCCTGCCGAAGACCACTGGGGCGAAGTATCATGTTCTCGTCACGACGTACGAGATGATCACCAATCCGAAAGACTTCACTCCGGTCTTCAAGAACACGCCTCGGTGGGAAGTTCTTGTCGTTGATGAGGGCCAGAGGCGTAAGCAATGCTTTGCTATTGTGTATGTGATATGCTGAAGGTTTACCAGTCAAGAGCGATGCGAGTCTCATATTCAAGAAGCTCAAGGATCTGAACACAATGCACCGCGTCATCATGACGGGGGTATGGTTGCTGTTCCCTTGTCCTTGCTTCGTGCTGACGCTTCGCACAGACGCCTCTGAATAACAACATCAGAGAACTGTTCAACCTCATGAACTTCTTGGATCCCGGGGAATGGACTGACCTTGCTGGTCTGGCGAGGCAGTACGAAGAGCTGACAGAAGACAAGGTCAAGGAGCTTCACGCAAAGCTTAAGCCGTACTTCCTGCGTCGTATCAAGTCAGAGGTGCTACAGCTGCCGCCCAAGGTCAAACTGCTCAATACTTGTTGATGTGCTTTCGCTCACACTGCGGCATCAGAACGAGGTCATCGTGCCCATTAGCATGGCGCCACTCCAGAAGGAGGTTTACCGGTCCATCCTGAGTGAGTATTAACGACCGTTGGGCGCCTTTCCGTCTGACTCTCGCTCTAGGCCAGAATCTGGGTCTCTTGCGTGTTCTCGCCACAGGGTCTACCGGGGCTCGAGTGAGCGCCGCAGTCAGCAAGGCCAACATGAACAACATCTTAATGCAGCTTCGGAAGTGGGTTGCCTGTGCTCCGGGCAGCACGTCAGCGACTGATTACCGTGTAGATGTCTACAACACCCTTACCTCGTCTCGGAGGAGATTGAGCCGAAAGGCCTGTCTCAAGAAGAGACGCACGCTAAGCTCATTGACGCTAGCGCGAAGCTCGGACTCCTCAAGACGATGTTACCCAAGCTACGCGAGCGAGGGCATCGCGTACTGCTGTTCAGTCAGGTATGTCGTACTAGCGACGAAGCATGCCGCGCGCACTCACCGTGCATAGTTCTCTATCGCCCTTGATGTCATCGAAGATTTCCTGATCGGAGAGGGGGTCAAGTATCTTCGTTTGGTATGTAAAACTGTCTGCCTCCCGTTTGTCTGCGCAGATATTCATATACCCTTTCAGGACGGTAACACCAAACAAGCGGACCGACAGAAAGGCATGGACGAGTTCAACAAGCCTGACTCAGATGTCTTCATATACCTCTTGACGACACGCGCTGGCGGTGTCGGCATCAATCTTTGGACGGCGGATACTGTCATTATCTTCGATCCCGACTTCAACCCCCACCAGGTATGTCTATTGTTCCCCTCCTAGCCTTGAGACTGAGATGCACTCTCAATAGGACCTACAAGTAAGGATCACTTCTGGCATATTGCTGTTTTGTACTTACGGTCGAGACAATAGGCTATCGCACGAGCTCACCGCTTTGGTCAGAAGAAGACATGCCTCGTTTTCAAGCTGATGGTCAAGGGCTCAGCAGAAGGTAGGATAATGCAGTATATATCGCTCCGTCCAGTAGACTGATTCAGTGTGAAGACAAGATTGTACAAACCGGCAAGAAGAAGCTTGTACTCGATCATCTCATCGTGCAGAAGATGGATGACGAAGATGGCTCGAAAGAGGATGTCCAGTCTATCCTCATGTTTGGAGCGCAGGCTCTGTTCCAAGAAGAGCAGAATGCTGAAGATCGTCAGATACATTGTCGGTGATTACATTGACTGGGGTACACCATATGTTGACACCCGAGTAGATTCTGAGCATGACATCGACAAGCTCATCGAACGGACCGAGCAGGAAGGTGATGAGGTCGAGTCGGAATCGAACGCCAACGCAGCCTTCTCATTCGCCAAGATATGGTCTGCGGACAAGGACGAGCTCGAGGAAGTCCAAGAAGACACGAACGAGGATCAGGCAGATTCCTGGGCGCAAACGTTGGAGCGCATAGCTGCAGAGCGGGTGAAGGTCCAGGCCGCAGAGACGACGGGCCGCGGTGTCCGTCGCAAAGCAGCTGCTGTGTTCCCCCAGGTACGTGCTGAGTGCGTGAGTCTCACTTGGTGCTCATCCGGTGCCGTCTCTAGCAAGACCTCGGGCAAGATGATTTGGATACGCCACATAAGGATGCAAAGAAGACTGGCAAAGGGAGAGGGAAAGGCAAGAAGTCGAAGTCCCATATCTCAGACGACTCCGACGTGTACGCCGCGCCTGGCACTGCATCTGACAGCGACAGCAATTCGAGTCACCCGGCGTCCCTTCGGGAGGACGATCTACTCTCAGACATCGCTAAGCACCAGCATGGAGTACTTGCTGATCCAGACATCCCTCTTGCTTCGACCTCGACGATCCTACTTCCACCTGCTCAGCCGAAGGCAACTCGTGACAGTCAGAAGCTCACTTCTGGTGCGCTCGAGCGGGTGGAGAGTCCTCAGCCACTCTCGCCCATAGAAAACACAAGCGAACCTCGATGTGGGCTCTGCGGCGAATCTCATGGAGATCAGCCGTGTGACATGACAGAGAGCCCCGAGAACCTGGCTCAGTACAGGCTCATGCTGCTCGTCCATGCTGGAGATGAACCTGTTGAGGATCGTGTACGTACCCCCTCCTCGTTTTGTGGAGTCGATCTCTGACCCCTCGGTCCGAAACAGCGCGCCGCAATACAAGTCATTGACGAGACGCTGCACAAACGGGGCATGATTCACCTGATCTACGGCCAACCCCTGCATCTGCTGGAGAGACCGGCGAAGGAGGGCAAACCGTTGCACAGGAAACCCAAGCCTGAGGCGCCATTGCCACTGCAGTCGCTGAAGCGGGCTGTGTTGCCGTCCTCCAGTAAAGTCAGTGGTAACTCCGGCGGTTCACAAAGCACGAAGCCTCAGATGAATGGCGCCAAGCCTCTCCTGTCCCCCAAGGTCGAGGCAGGTTCGTCTTCACTCGGACGCACAGAGCGAGGGAAGGGCATAATACCCTCGCCTCACGCACGTCCATCTGGAACTACCAGTGCCATTGCAGGACCATCCAAGCGCCCCCCGTCCCCTCCGATGCCCACAGACTCTCCTAAACTGAAGAAGGTCAAGAGCCTCGGTGGTGCGGGATGTCCGATATGCGGTGCAATGGTACACCATCTAGTCAAGGATTGTCCAGAGGTCAAGGCGGGTCCCAAGAGGTACGAGGTCACAATATGCCATGCATGCCCTGACTCCGATGACTGATTGGGTTGCAGAGTGAAAAGGGCTATCAGGAGACTGGAAAATGATCCAGCTCATACGGCCACGGTCAATGTACTTCGTCACATACTCACTAAGCAGCAGAGGAAAGCTCTGGCGAACGCGGCGGCGCCCGCGCCGCCTGCCATTGAACTCAGCGACTAGTATTGCACTAATATATAGCCTACGACCGGTCGGCGTATCGCCAACAGCATTTATCATATCTTGTAGATCCATACATCATGTTATTGCTACAGTATTTTATTTCTAGACGCGCGCAGAGAAACTGGCAAGTTTAGTGAGTGGCGGACGGTCTGAGTCAGGCAAGTCTCGTGAGAGCGAGCCACGCATGAAGTGAACGTGTGGCTGCGAGCGGACCCACAAAAACAACTCTAAACGCTACCATAACGAGCCCTCACGATTCCTCTCGCCCGGCAGATTGGACCAGTCGGACAATCGCCATCGACACGACTGGCGATTCTTTGATGGTGAAAGCGCAAGTCAAAGGCTATAGCATGCAGTCCGATGCTCAAAGATGGTCGACCCCCCCTGCTGGTGCGTCCTCTGGCTCGCCAGCGCCGTCCCCATTTCTCACACAACCATTCGCAGACGGCACGTGGTCCTCCACTACCTCCGCCGCAGGCCCAGCAGCAGCAAAACCTCCCCATACCCCAGGCTTGAAGCGCCCGCGTTCTCCTTCCAACGCTATGGAGCAGTACCCTCCTGCGCCCAAGTTGCGTGGCGACATTATCCTAGAGGTCTTCACGCACAAGAGTCTGCGATTCCCCGGCGCGCCGATAAATGAGGACTCGGAGTTCGGCGACAACGAGCGGCTGTCTGTGCTGGGGGAAAGAGTGCTCGAGCTCGCTGTAACGTTCGCGTTGTTCAGCAAGAGGCCGATGTTGAAAGCAGAGGATATAGAGGTGTGCCACTCATGAGACCTAGCCGAGCAGTATACTGATCGTGCGCGATCCAGGCACAAAGGCACGAAACACTGTCAGACATGAACATCGAGAATTGGGTCGTCACGTATAAGATGAGGGAGAAAGTCCGTTGCAGTGCCGACGCAGTGTCGTTGCTCTCCACTTCCAAGGTGGCGTAACGTCTTCCATATGCACAAGCTTGCTCACGCCTAATTCGCATACAGGAAGCACGTCTTCTTTTCTACTCGTATGTGGGCGGCGTCTACGCCCAGAACGGCATGGACACCGTTGTGAACTGGATAGGACAGCTAGTTGATCCTGAATACGAGCCTAGCTATGGACAGGGCGGCGAGGTAGAAATGTACAACGCATACAAGAAGGTCAAGACCGAACCCATGGCCTCTCCGCCGCCTCCGACCATGGCGCCACCTCCGCCGCCACCGACCATCCCGCCGCCCCCGATGCCGATGTTGAACCCCCTCGCACCTGCTCAGCCACAGACGGCGTTCTTGCCGCTGTTCAACCAGACTGCCAACCAGCGCAGGCTGACGGTGGAGTATCCTGCTCAATTCGCGGGTCCGGCTCATGCTGGTCGCTGGACCGTACAGTGTGTCGGTATGTTGATTGTCTGCTCGCCCGAGTTGTCGTCAACCTGATTCCCTCTCCCAGTGAACGGTATTCCCAAAGGTGAAGGCGCTGGTGCTAGCAAGCAACTTGCTAAAGAGGAGGCCGCCAGACAAGCTTACTATGCCATGGGCTGGGCACCACGTATGTCAAGTGCCTCCTTGTTGCCGCACGGGATCGACTCACTCTCTCTGTAGGTGCCTGAGCTCTTATCAGTTCCTAAACTGTGACCGCTGGTTCGTTCAAGGTGTATTTGTACCATCACACGCTAGCATGGTGGGCCGAGTCATAACCGTCGCGCTCTTGAGTGTGACGGCTCTGACGCGGTTCCTCCGGGAATATATATGGGTATCACTCGCATGCATATGCTGTGTTCCATGCTAGTTTGCAATGGTCCAAATTTGAGCCGTGCTTATGAGCACCAAGGTATGGTACAACCCATTGCAACTCGCTCGCTTGAGAGAAAGCCCGCCTAAGTGAGAGAGGTGGGACGCGGGCAGGGGAGTGGCCAGGCGTATCCACAGATGATGGCGTTCAAGTGCATCTCACTCAAGCCTTGCTTTCAGGCGAGCGAACTGCGGTGGTTTGACCCAACTTGTGGGTCACATAAGTGACCACTTCATCGCCCGCCTCTCCACCAACCGCACTCGAAGTGCAAAAACAGAGCGCCTGGCGCGCCTCCAATCTTGAAGGGCCCAACAACTGCCATACGCTGTCAGTTCCTGCTGAATAACTGTATCTTGCTGCACTTTGGTCTATTTCTTGCCGTATGTCTTCATAAGTCCAGTCGCACCTCGCTCTCCGTGTCCGATCTTGTAGCTCTGTTACTGTACTCTTCGAATATAACACTACAATTTGCCTCGTCTGCCTCGCGGCCTCCTCGCTGCAGCACCATTCGAAGAGTCTGTCTTCCTCTGGTAGACGTAAGTCTCTGGCATGTTATCTGGATGTGTGGTCCGCAAGAAATGCGACTTGTCGCTGAGTGAATGCATCTACATAGGGCCCGTTATCTTGACGGCGCCCCGCAAGTGGCGAAGGCTGCATGGACGGAGATGGAGATGAATTCATAACAAGCTCAGCCCAGTCTTCTACGTATTGTGTGGGTTGACTTCCTTGTCAGGTCCAGCTCGCGCATACGGTACATTGATTACCGTAGAGTCACTGCGCCCGAGTCGTATGGATGATCCCTGCCGGGCCTGCCCTGCAGAAGCGCGCCAATTCCGAATGAAGGCACGCTCTCGAGTCTAATAGGTCAGACGTGAACGAAGCACCGCACAGGGCAACCTAATAGTGCGAAGCCAGGCCTTCGGTATCCCAGCTGCGACGTAGATGAGTAGGCTACCGCATGTGCCGAGTCACGAATGTTGCCGAGGAAGGACAGTATGTCTCATGGCATGCCAGCATTGCACCTGAACAGCGTCGGGTTTGTGGATTCTGCAGAGCTTGTGTCGGCCTCAGCCGGAGTACGAAGAGGCAACCTAAGTAGTGTTCCGCGGACGATCTGTCGCGGATTTGTCAACATGTATCATAATTCGAGAGCTCGGTCTAGCTGACTTCCCGTGCTGATTACTAAGGGAAGCTACACCTTGCTCGACCCTGACAAAGCCAGCCAGCTCAAGACGATCTATCAGTCTGGTACGTTTACCGATCAAACCTAGTCATAGGGGGGGTTTGAAGAAAGGGCGGTCCGCCGCGAACAGGTTTCAACCACTCTGCGGGACGGGAATGATTCAAATTGAAGACACGGCGGACGCACATGAACAGACCAATTGGCCCGGGGAACGTGTTCTGTCAACCTTGAGCTTGAGTACTGACCGCAATGGCTAGGTTGAACAGGAATTGGAAACTCACTGTACCGCACAGACCGCACCTCAATATATAGTGTATCTGCACGTCCGAACTGGGTTGATACAGAACTTCCCATGGGAAAGCACACCACAACCAACTACGCTTGGCGCAAGACGGAGCGGATACATTTCAACGCGTCGTCTTTCAGTTGAAAAAGGTACCTGCACCTTCAATTCGATGGAAGCCACTCCCGGCGCTGACGACGTGTACCATGGGCTGATCTAGACCGAAAGCAAACCGCATGCGGTCCATTTTCAATCCTCCTTCCGTCCTTTTGGTCAGCATGTGATGCAGTGTAACGCGCAGCCTTTCTGTGGGATGTGAATTTCTGACATTGCGGATCAGAGAGTCAGAACATACGCCTCTGCGCATCCACCTACTCAAGGTAATTGATAATTAAACCACGCGTCAATCGCGCCTGCCAAACACTGAAATGATAGCAGGGCTGTACATACTGCGCCGGCGAAACAGAGCAGTGTCCACGGCGGACAGGCGTATAAGTCGAGCAGTTGTCGTAGTACCAGATAGCCAGCAAGAGTGGTACGAGGACGCACCGCGTAAGTGAGGAACCACACGAGACTTCCCGAGGTCGGGGGGAGCGATGACAGGGAGTCTGACAAATGCACCGGGATACCGATAGGGACTTGAGTTTGGCCGAAGGCCCTTTCCCCGGATTATGAGGTGGCCAACCTGTGTCAACCGCGGATCTCGGTGGAATGACTAATGGGCGTCGTTTGCGACACTGCAAGTAGAGTCGCGGTGGCGAGTATGCGGGCCTCCCACATCTCGGTCCCAGCATCTTCCACCAGTTGTCGTCTTCGCTCTGCCATCGCATTGCCCGCCGCGAACACAGGAAGAGCCACAATTGTTCACGCGGAGTAAGCTGTGGCCTGCCGGAGCCGCAGAGACAAAAGGGGAGAGGTGAGAGTTTTGTCCCTCTTGCGTTGCTCTTGCGTGTCCGCCCTGCTGAGTCACGTGTATAAGCAGAGCCCCTAGGGCGCTCGTCAAGCTCAACTGCCCTCGGTATTTGACCTGAACGACCCCGGCCTCGCCGTCGCGCGAGTTCTTCCTTCCTATAATTCTTGACGACCTCCTCGGCCACTCACAGCCCGGAGAGCACCAATGTCGTCGCCAAGCTCTACCAGTACAGCCTCGCACGGAGCATCTCACTCTGCTCTGCCGGCAATGCAACACTACTCTCGGTCGAATCCTATTGACTTGACACTCGATGACGACGACCGCGATCCATATCAGCCCGAGGACAGGCTTCTCAAAAGACCATGCCCCAGCTCGCGCAGCTTTAACGCCTCATGCGAATCGATGTCGGAGGAGCGAGCGCGCTCTCAACCACAGTCCTCCGGTCTTACACCCGTGATGTCCGCTTCCGCGATCCTTCCCCCCATAGGACAGCCAAACATGCCCCCGCATTCATCTCCATGGCAGCACCAACCTCATCTTCGAGGGCCGCAAGCTCTAATACCATCTTCCATTCGCCCGCCACCGTTCAATGGCCCATCTACTTCCTCTGCGTTTTTCCCGGACCGAGCCAAGCCTGAGGCCACACAGCGACTCTCAATACCTGCGCCGTCCCCGTCTCGCCATGGACTTATGCGATCAAGTAGCTCGTCCCGGCAAGTCATTGATCTGACGAGTTCTCCATCCCCTCCCCCGGTCGCGCTTCATCCGCCCCAACCACAGCAGGGAAATTTGCCGCCGGACTTACCTCCCAAGACACCCGTATGTATCGGGCAATTGACGGTCACAGCGCTCGTCTTGTACCCGATACCATATCTCCTTGCTCAAGAGCATGCTGACGCCGAGTGGGCGCCGGTACGCTTGACTTACGAGCATACGCCACACAAGGCAGCAGGCTCGGAGACGATTCATATCAAGACGCCTTCTAGCAAGTCTCCAGCGGGCGAGGTCTTGCAGGGCGAGAGTTTCGCATTTGTCGAGCAGAAGGCCGCCGCCTTCTTGGGCCCCATGCTGGGGAAGGGCCTCATCCGATTAGATGCTAAGGTGCGGCGTGGTATGCCTAATGTGAGTCCCCCTGTGTTGTATCCGTGTGTTGTCTAACGTGGTTTGCAAGCTTCCTATATTGCCTCTACAGTTGCTAGTCTACACGCCCAAGGGCAATATTCCAGTCGTCGCGGGCTACCTACAACAGTCTGGGCTTCTGCTTGATCACCCCACGCTCCCTGGAGACATCCACCGCGTAATGAGCCAATATTACTACAACCCTCATAATCCTCCGCCGGGCGGTCACAATCGAAATAACTACCAGAACGGCCGCGTGGGCTACTCCGGGCCAGGGGGCAACAACATGGGCCGATGGGCCGCTCCTGGAGTATCCGGCAAGAGTGTTGAAATTCAGCGCAGCCAGGTCGACGAGTTATTCAAGAGCTTGCGAGATGGAGACGAATTGCAGGAGACTGAACCTAGTAAGTGTTCCTCGAGCTTTGCCTCTGGTGGTGCACTTTGACTCAAATCCTCGCGTTCTACAGCACCTGAGATAGCGACCACACTCTACCCTCACCAGAAGAAGGCGCTGACGTTTCTTTTGGAACGAGAAAGGGAGCGTCCCGGCTCGGGCCCGTCTGGCAAGCATTCGTCTCTCTGGCAGGAGCGAGTGAATCCTATCACGGGTCAACGCTCGTGGATGCACCTCATCACGCAGCGAGAGACTCATCGAGACCCTCAGGAAGCTAAGAGCTGTATACTCGCCGACGATGTGCGTGCTAAAAACACTGATTGTATGCTTGTGAACTGACTGTTTCCTCGTCGCAGATGGGTTTGGGCAAGACCATCACATGCGTATCTCTCATCGCCGCGACATTACCCTCTGCACGTCAATACGCTGCTACGCCCATTGTGCGGCCGAGCGCGCTACCCGAGCTCTCGGAGCCTACATTGACTGCCGATCATTTCGCCGGAAGTGTGTGGGGCATGCCGACGCAGCACGGACAAGGCAGTTCTTCCAAGGGCAAGGCGAAGTCCAGCCGGGAGCAGGATCGCGAGGATGCCGGGTACGCGAGGGCATGTCGCATCAAGGTCCGGACCCGCGCGACACTCATCATCTGCCCGCTATCGACGGTATCCAACTGGGAAGACCAGTTCCGAGAGCATTGGCGGGGTGAAGTTCAGGTCGTGGGAGGCGGCGGCGGCGTCGGGGGTAGTGCTACTAGTGGGACTTCTACGCCCTGCCCCAATGCCCTTCCCAATGGCTCAGGATTGTACACCTTTGCGACCAGCTCTGCGTCGACCTTGGTGAAGGCAGAGCCACATACGACTCTTGGGCGCATCCGCGAGGGAGCGCCCCTCCGCGTCTATGTCTACCACGGCAATGCACGACGCCCCGATCCTACGTTCCTGGCGGACTTCGACGCGGTTATCACCACGTACTCGACTCTAGCTTCGGAGTTTTCGAAGCAGACGAAGAGCATGGCCTCCGCGGAGGACGACGATGACGAGGACGACAATAGCTCGGACGGCGAGCGTCTCGAGGTCGACGAAAGGGGAAATCAGTTTATCAAGCTCTCGAAGCCGAAGAAGGCTGGGAAGAAGAGAAAGAAGTGTGGCAATGGCGTGGAGGTGACGAGTCCTTTGCAGAGCGTCGACTGGTTCAGAGTCGTTCTCGACGAAGCCCAGTAGGTCATCGTCTCTTTCTCAGCGTCGGCATTTGTTGACTCGCGTTGGCTAGCTCGATCAAGGAGACGAGTACTGTCGCCTGCCGGGCCTCGTGCGATCTCGTTGCAGATCGCCGACTATGCCTGACGGGTACCCCCGTTCAGAATAAGCTGGATGACGTATACGCTCTCATCAAGTTCCTCCGCTTAGAGCCGCTCGACGACAAGGGCATCTGGACGGAGTTCATTGGCACGCCTGTCAAATACGGACAACCCCTTGGCGTTGCGCGTCTGCAAACGATTATGAAGTGCATTACTCTTCGTCGCACGAAGGAGTCGACAGCGGAAGACGGTCGCAAGATCCTCTCGCTTCCACCGAGGAAGGACGAGTTACGCTATCTGAAGTTCGACGCAGAGGAGCAGGCGATATACGACCAGTTCTTCACCGAGTCGAAGGCCGAGTTCAACGAGCTATCAGACAAGAATGAAGTCATGAAGAACTATGTCGGCATCCTCCAGAAGATCCTCCGCCTGCGTCAGATCTGTGATCACTTCGAGCTCGTACGGGACAAGGGACTTGGCCTCATCGGCGATGGACAGGATCAGTCGGTCTCCTACGACGACATTGTAGCGACGGTCGCTCGAGAGGGCCTCAATCCGCAGCGCGCCACGACGATCTTCGCCCTCCTCAGGGAAGCAGGCGTCACGCAGTGCGTCGAGTGTGGTTGCGAGCTTGCCGGCTCGCAGGACAACCTTGACGGCGGTCTGGGCGAGATGGACGGCGCCACAGGTTCTGGCAAGCGCGGCAGGAAACCCAAAGCCGGATCATCCCGAACGTCGACACGTCAGAATAGTCCGTCTGCGCCGCATCCCATCCTCACTCGCTGTCAACACCTCTTCTGCATTCTCTGCTTCCGTAATTCCGTCGCTCCTGGTTGGCCCAATGTCTCGCATGACATCGGGCGGTGTTGTTCTGTGTGTCAGACTGGGCTCAACTTCTACGACGTTGTCGAAGTCAATCCTGAAACGGCTACGCCGGACTCACTGGCAAAGAAGAAAGCAATCAAGAAGGAGAAGAGGCAGAAAGGTATCCTGCTAGAGAACTTCCATCCGTCCACGAAGGTGAAGGCTCTCCTGTCCGATCTAATGGAGTCCTCGAGAGGGAATCCGTACTCGGCGAACTACGATCCATCATCGATTGAACTACAAATGGTCGACGGTGATGGCAATGCCATCGGGGATGGTGTGGTAAAGACGGTGGTCTTGTGTGTATCTCCTTTTCAAGTTGCCCGCCAGTCTACTTACTGACAACCTACGTAGCTCGCAATGGACGACCATGCTCGATAAGTGAGTGTCTTCAGTGCATTCATTCGGGAAGGGTGTCTGACCATATCATCCACAGGGTCGAAGACGCGTTGGAAATTGCGGGCATCCGCTACAGTCGGTTGGATGGCACCATGAAGCGTGATGAACGAACACGAGCTATGGAATCATTGAAGCATGATCCTTCCTGCGAGGTTCTACTTGTCAGCTTGAAGGCTGGCGGAGTAGGTCTCAATCTTACCGCCGCTCAGCGCGTCTATTTGATGGATCCGTATTGGTATGTTACTCGTAGCGTAATCGAGACCCGCGCTGACGAGGTTTGCAGGAATCCTGCTGTGGAGAACCAAGCCGTCGATCGTATTGTATGCCCGCCTTACTGAAGTAGTGCGCCTGTTTTGCTGACGACAACTCCTTACAGCATCGACTCGGTCAAACACGGCCTGTCCTCACGGTCAAATTCATCATCGAGAATTCCATTGAGGATCGGCTGCTGGAAGTGCAAAGGAAGAAGACCGAGCTCGCGAATATGACCTTGGGGGGTTCGAGCTTCAGCAAGGCGGAGATGCTTCATCGCCGCCTCGAAGAATTGAGCGAGTTGTTTGGGGGCTAGGTAACATATTGATATGATATTTTGCTAGACGATCCCAACTGTACGACCGTCCTGTACCTTAGTTCTCCTGGATGTAATAGCTGTCGCGCTTTGAAATGAGTAGTAATCCTTCCATTGCTGTTGAAGTACACTGAACAGGCACGTATAGGAATGCAACGGATCCCAGGTGATTCTCCTAGAAGCCGAAGTGACCCCCAGACTTCCTACCACCCCAGGAGTAGACTAGCATCGCAGCCAGGAAGAGGCCCAGTGTCACACCAATGCCGACTTCGATCATGCGCACACCCAAGTCGAAACTGTTGCTGTACTCTTGCGACGACGTGTTGTAGCTGCCAATGAGCCCACCACCATTCCCGAGCGCAGACTGGTCACGTCATCTGTCAATTCGGGTGACGACAAAGTGGATGGTGCGTACGCACCGGGACCAGGAACAAGACACCCGTCACCATGACTGTGAACGCTGTTCCACCGCCGAGTCGAGACCAGATGTTACCACATACGCCAATGACGACCGAGCCAACTGCAGAGACCATCTCGGGCCGATTTGAGAAAACAAGGTTGGCTCCCCTGTTGGCGGCATAGGCAGCGCATGAGAAAACCACCATGGCCGCCATTTGCGCACTCCTGATGGCCTGAAGATTTGCCAATGACGAGCAAAACGAGTAGAGCGGAACCAGAAAGAACGCCGTCCACCACGGGAATGGCTGCCTCCACCACGGCCAAGTCGGATCACGATAGCATCCTGAGCAAGTGTATGATGAAGTCTTGCTGACTAGTGGGTTAAGGATCGGGGACCACTAACCTTTGATGACGCGACTCTGTGCCTGACTAATGTCCGTGAACGACCAGGTGCCGGACGTCTGCGCAAGTGGTATGGACGCGTTGTTGTTGAGCAGATAGCCGTGATATGTATGACTTTCTAGCAGAGTGGTGATGTCTTGCGCTTTCCGAGCCTCGGGGACGATGACTAGGAAGAGTTCGGAACCGATCGTCAAGCCGAATCCCTGGGCACGGCATCAGCATTGATTTTTTAGTTCCACTGAGGACTCACGAGGAAGAGCGTGTAGATGACTGCATAGACCATCCGTACAGACCCGCACATGATGTTCTGTGCTGTGAGTTCAAGCGCAGAGACCACTGACAGACTATGTCACTATGACATCTTACAGAAGACACGCATGCGTCACTTACACACTGTAAATCCAGGGAGAACGAGTACGACGCCTCCTGAAGAGATGGCGCTGAAACAAAAGATCTGGTTCGGAACGGTCCCAAAGCCACGGGCGACAAAGGACACGATGATGGAGACAGAGATCCTGTACGAAGTATATGAGTTAGCCCACCGTTGACCAAATGTTCAAAACCGCTCACTCATAAACGTTCGCATATACAGAGCTCTTCGCCGCCGCCCGCAAGCCGAGTAGTTGCAGTATCGACGCAGCTGCACCCGCAAGGAACATATCCAGTAGGGAACCACCGAACGCCAAAACGCAGATTATCGACGCGCAAATAAACGCCAGCAGGCACCGAAAGTAAATCGAGTAGTGTGGTTTGGCACGGAGGATCTCATCGAGCTTCTTCACACCCTCGTCAGTGCTGAGCCTGTCATGAAGGACTTCCCGGTAGACGGTATGAACCCTGTGCAGCGATGTGAGGGCAACCCGACCACTTGCGCGGATGAAGTGGATCTCGTTGGTGCTCCCTTGTGGACTCTGGAATGTCACCATGATCATGTTCGGGAAGTGCACGAAGCGCGCATCGAGGCGGAGGACGTGCGAGGCGGACTGGAGTTGCGATTCGATTCGGTGAGAGGGTGCGCCGAAGGCAAGGAGTGCTTTGGCAAGCTTCATGACAAACTTCTCTCGCTTGATACTCGCTGTAGAATTGCATGGTGAGGCTCATCTGACAATTGATTTACTAGAAGCAGACTTACTCGTGGTTAGCCTCTTGCAGCCCGGGCGCACATTCTCGCCATTCCTCATCTTCTGAACCTTCTCCCGGTACGCGTGTTTTGACCGCCCTGGAGGGCTTCCCTCGAGTTCATCCTTGCTCTGATTTCTGCCGAATGGCCAGAATACCCTCGAGCCCTTCCTGTCACCATTGTCGGGCTTTTCCTCGTCTGGAGGAGGGACAAGTGTGACAGACGATGTGGTCGAGTCACGGTGACCAGTGGTGGAGGCGCTGTCATTTGTGCGGATGGTATCTGCCGTCTGGTCCATGCCTTCCGCACGTTGTCTCTCCTGGGGTGCATAGCTCTTAAAAGGCGTATAGCCCTCGACAGGCGTAGACTTTGGTGACACTTCTTCATGGGCATTCGGAGCATTCAGGTGTCGACTTCCTGGGGCTGCCAATCCCTTTCTGAACGAGAAGTAATCCGTATCGTTGACAGACTGCCCAAACTTGTAATCGCCGAACAGGCCAGAGGCGTCTTCATGATCGGAGGCGAACCGAGGTGCATTAACATCGTCGTCTTCCACTACATCGTGGCTGGTCCCGACTACTCTTTCATCGCTAGCGCGGGAGGGTCGGCGCCTTTCGAGGTAGATACCTGGCGTAGGAGCTTGGTCGTAGCGCCTGCCGAAGCGCATCCTAGTCCCGCTGCTAGCAGGCGAGTCGACCTCTTGTATGCTGGTATCAGGCGGCCTTGGTGGGCCACTCAATGGCGCAGAGACTTGGGATGCCGAGGCGGGAATGTATGTGTCGTCCGCAAGCTCATCCGCTCCGATGCTGAGTGGGGATGCAGTCTCCTCTTCTGCTACAACGAGGCCAGATCGGCTCCGTCGTAGCTCGGAGGGCGGGCGAGAGTTGGGAGTAGGGAAGTAGTCATGGGGGTTGCTAGCACCCGTAGTATTGTAGCAGCTGCTAGTCGGGGAGTCCACGGTGTAAACACTGGGAGGCGACGGTACCTCTGGACCACCAATACTCCGCGCACTGTCTGTTCTCCACCCAGTAAGAGCTGGACTACGAACTCCGGGAACGTCGATGTTTGAAGTCCCAGGTACCGAGACCGAAGCCTCCGTATGCTTGAAGTCGTAGTCCTGGTTGAGACTCGTGCTTCGAGTTCTGGTATCGGTGGAGGGCCATACGTCGACAGCGTTAACGCTACGAGGCCTAGAACTAGTATGACTGAAGGAGGGTTTTCGGGAGGAAGACATGCTGGCAAATGCAGGAATGACAGGTCGATCAAGAACTAAATCCGGAAGGAGAAAGACCAGCTTTCAGTACCAGTAGAGAGCGCAGCACTCTGTGAGGAAGTTAAGGCAAGAGGAAGCAGTCAGAGACCCGTGCTAACCAAGCACGCGCGTGGATGAGGCTGACAGGCCGTCCTTTCGATCTAGTCCGCCGGTTGAGATTAAGATTGAGCTCCGAGTCCACCTTGAGCGCGGCATTACTAGGATCTGCGAGAGGCGTGTAATTCGTGAGTGTGATTAAATGAGAAAGAAAGCATTTCCAGAACCGTCCGAGCAGGAGCCTTGTGCCACTCCATCGTGTATGCAGCAACGACGCGCTTTGGGGCACATACACGTGATCGTGTCGCACCGTTTAGGCTCAGGCTGAGCACCGTCTGTGTCGCGCAGGTGTCGCGGTCCAAGAAGCATGTGTCATGCAAGTGCGTGGAACTGGAAGGGCAGATTCCTGTATACGTGTGAACCATCCTAAGAAAAGTGGAAGCATAAGAGGACGGGGCCGCAGTACGTCCGCCTACCTGCATCATGGACACGATCGACTTACCGTGAACGGGGACATGGTGCCCAGCTCGTGCGAATACACTCTTCATAGTCGTAACAACTACACAGTAGGCTACAAATCGTCCCTGAAGCTGTCCTCTCCAAAGACATAAGTGGTATCATGGAATCCTGTCAAACCACCAATCACAAGTCCGGCATGCCCCCTATGACTCACTGTCTAGCCGTACCTTCGTCCCTACCATGACCCTAATTGACCGGCTGAACCCCATCAAGTCTTCCCCCCTCGCGTGTCTCCGCGCGTCCAGGATGTCTTGCCGCAGTCGCTCTTCCTCGAGCATCTCTGCTCGCGTGATGGGGTCCCTACGGGGATAATGCCACCCGTTCAGGACCATGCTATACCAGAGCGATACGCGCGCACGAACATCACTATCAATCAGCCAACGTCAGCCCGGTATACCCACGTCAAATCAGACGGACGACAGCATGAGAGCGGACATACCTCCGGTACCTCTCCAGCCACCCCTCGAACTTCTCCCTCAGCCCGCTCTCCGCAAAGTCTGCCTCCTCCCAGCCGCACTCGTCCCTCAGCCTCCTCGCCTCGTCCGGCCTCCCCACGCGCACGATGAGCTCCTCCCACATCGCCTCCTTCACGCTCAGCACGAACCCGAGCGCGCGGAAGAGCTGCATGTTCAGGCTGTGCTCGGGCAGCGACAGGATCGTCTCCATGGGGAAGAACTGTGCGTCCCCGAGCGACGTGCTGTCGTCCGTGCGCAGGTCCCCCGCGGGCACGCTCGGCCGGTCCGTCGCGCTCGATCCGGAGGTGCGCGAGATCGAGTACGAGTCGCGGTGCGGCGCGCCCGAATGCGAGTCGCGGGAGGTGCCCGTTTGCGAGGTGAGAGACGGTCGCGAGCCGCTGCTGCCGCGCGTGCTGCGTGTCGACTTCATGCTAGGGCTCGGACTGAGGGGTGTTGGTGGACTGGTATTCGGAGGGCTTGTATGCGGAGTCGGGCTATGACGCGTACTGTCAGGAGTACTGGTACGCTGGTTTGGCTGGACAAGGGGAAGGTGGCTCATCGAGGAGCGTGCGCTATAAGTTGTTGGCTCTGTGCTTATGACAGAGTCAAGCGTCGGCGTGCTTGAATGAGGGAGAGACTGCGACGCGTCGGTCGCGCTGTTTGCGGACGGAAGGGAATCGGAACTTCCGCGTGACGGCTCTGGCTCACGGGCAGGTTCTGACGCAGTAGAGGAGGCCGAGAGATGCAATTGCAGGCCTTCCAGCTCGACGGGGAGAGGCGCTAGAGGTGCAAGCGGAGGCATCGGAAACTGAAGGACGGGCGGGGAAACGACTTGTCCGAAAATCGCGGAGAAGTATACTGGCAGACACGCTACCGAGCGAATGAGCTTCAGCACATCACGTAGAACCACCATGTCCGCAACTCACAGCTCGGTGTCGGGTTAATAAAGCGGTTTTCGAACACATCATGAAAGAGGCTCTCTAGAAACGCGTGCTCGTGCGGCTCTTCCTGGGACTCTTCATCACGCCCGTAGCGCTCGACCGTCGGCGATGGTGGAGGGAAGTTCGGAGAGCCGCCGGGGCCCGGGAAGTGCGCTCCGGGGCCTCGGATGTGCGCATGCAGCGGCTCCGTGAACCACCGGGGCAGCACGGGGAAGATAGCATCTGAGCATGCGGCGATGAGAACGATGGTGTATGAATGTGGGGAGGCGCGCCATTCGGTCAGTTGCCAGATTGTGTGCACAGAAGCCAGGGGAGTGTGGACACACCTTCCTCAACCTGCTCGATGGTCCCACCAGTCTTCAAGACGCGCCGAATGTCCTGGGAAAGAGAGTCTGCATTCATCGAAGGAACAGTGAGAGAGGCGCGGAAATACCTCGTAAAGGAACATCCACTGACGTGATAGAAGGGGGGAGATTTGAGTTCAACGGACGCGCGCGCGACGAGGGGGATGAGTGACCTTGTTTTCTGGGACTGCGAACGCGAGCCCATGGATGTGCACGAAGTCAAACTCCTCGTCCTCGAATGGGAGACGTTGTCTTAGACTAGTGTCCGGTGTGAAAAGCAATAGACAAGGGTGCCCGAAGGTGGGACGTACAGGTTACCATGTGCCCATTCGATGCGCTCGGCTATGTCGTCCTCCAGTGCCCATAGCGGGATTTGGACGTTCATCAAGTCATAGCCCACCTACTCCCTCTCAGATATGGATATGCATCTTCCGGTGGCACAGGAGTGACTCACGAACGTGCAGTCTGGCCAATCCCTTGCTGCGGCGATTGTCCATGCACCCATCTAGCGCCAGCGCTCAGTTCAGGCTTTGGGCCGCGTCGCGCTCATACGCACCCCGCATCCAAGGTCCAGACATCGTTTCGGGGTTTCTCCTGGGAAGTCTATGAATGTACCCGAGCCACGCTTGGCGGTACGGATGAGCTCGTGGTCGAGGAGGACACTGGACAGTGGGTACTGTGTGGGTGGTGCGTACGCGACTCGATTGCACCGGGACAGACTCACAGCTCGAGGTCCTCGCGGTTATAGCTTGCTGGATAAGGGGCCTTGTCGCGGCTGTAGCTGTGAAGTTTTGAGCCATACTGGATGAGAAAACGCTCCTCGCGTGGGGGATGTCTCCTGGATTCTGCTGGTGCGGAGGGCGGGAGGTAGGGTTCGCGGGGAGGGCTATCGCTGCGACGGGATTCAGAGGACTGGGAGGAGGTAGGGCCGGGCCTGACGGACGGGGTAGGGCGGACGAGCATGGCGGTGGGGGGTAGGCGTGAGGAGTAGGCGTCTGGCTGTGGATAGATGCTATAAGGTACGACGGATCGGGGGACACTTCCACGGGTCGGCCGCTTCGCGCTCGATCAACCAGCCCAAAGTAGCTCTCTGCCTGCTGATTCGCGGCGGCGTCCTCTCTTCGGCTCACGCGCATGCCACCTGCGTCGAGGCGACGACGCTGCTAGCGCACCGCGTGTCCTGCGCAGGCCCAGGGAGAGCGACCACTGCACCCGGACTGTTGCGGTCGTGGGTCGTGGCACTGGGTGGAGACGCGAGCGCGGGCGCGTCGCTGCGACTCAGCTGAGGGAAGGAGCATCCCAGCGAGATCAGAGAGGAGTCGCTGTGTTTGGCAGGTCTCGCAGGTATCGAGATGAGCATGAGGCTCAGCTGGCGACGAGCAGTGCTGATGGGGCGCGCACTGTCTGCGAGCGCGACCCGGATGTTTCCCAAGCCTTTCCAAATCTGGTGTCCGGCCCAAGCTTAATTGGGCGTCTATCGAGATCCCTGAAACCCCAGATTCTGATCGTACTGGACGCCCTCTCAGCCACCGCCTCTCCCCTGCCCCCCATGCCCCCGCGCAAGAAGCCCTTCTCTGCCAAGCAGAAGAAGGAACAGACCAAGCTCAAGCGCGCAGTAAAACGAGGCGACGCCGAACCCCCGCCCAAGCTCGACCGTCACGGCCGGCCCCAGAACAAACAGACATCGCTAGACAGCCCGTCCCAGGCCGCCGATGCGTCGCGCCGTCTCCAATCATCCTTCGTCAGATTACCCGCCGACTTCTTGGATGCCACGCGCAAACTTGCGTCCGAGCTCCCGCTCACTAGACCGATCCCGCCTCAGGCCGCGATCTGGCAAGAACAATCAGACGGACTCGGATCTGCCGGCAAACCGAATTTGACCTTGACGTGTCCGAAGCGACCCAAATGGCGGTATGACATGTCCAAGAAAGAAGTCGAGGCCAACGAGGAAGGCCTCTTCGCAAAGTGGCTCGCGCAGACCGATGTCGCCGTCGACCACTGGGCTGCCCCAGTGAGCCAGCCAGATCCCGACGACCCCGCCCCCGCCGCCAAAATGCCCAGTGCACCCACCTCCTATGAGCGCAACCTTGAAGTCTGGCGACAGCTGTACGTCCCCCGCCCTTCCTTCCTCAGCCGAGTTCTCCTCAACCTCGACGCTCTACGGCAGTTGGCGCGTGACCGAGATCTCCCAGATCTTCCTCATCCTCCTCGACTCTCGCTGTCCCTTGCTGCACTACCCACCAGCCCTCTCCTCATATCTCACTGGCCTTCCGTATGCGTCGCGTACGCGCATCATTCTGGTCCTCACAAAGGTCGACATCGTGGGCCCCGCACGCGCCGATGCATGGGCCGCGTACCTACGAGCGAAGTACCCGGGCACACGCGTCGTGCAAGTCGAGTCATACGCTGAATTAGAGAGCGCTCCACCTCCCGCTCAGGGAAAGAAGAAGACACTGGAAGCCCGACTACCCTTCCCTTTTCGCCGCACGCTCGTCGGGGCACTCAAGGACGCGCATGAGGAGCTCCTCACACCGCCCGAGTACGTGCGGGGCGATCCCGCAAAGCTCGAGCGATGGAAGCCGCGCGTGCGGCGTGAGGTTGATTGGACGGCTGTCCTCGAGGCGGAGGGTGAGCGCGTAGGCAGCGTCGTCGGTGGTGCAGCGGCGCCCCGCCCGGCCACTCATCCTCACGAAGGCTCTGTGGATCAGGAAGGTCCTCCGCCCGCGGACGAAGGTGATGAAGAGAGGGCAGATGGAGATGCTACGGAAACGGAGTTCCTAACGATCGGCCTTATAGGTTTGTGGTCCATCTATGATGTCTGACTATCGAAGTCGCGGTCCCTGTTCACACTCGTGATAGGCCAGCCAAACGTAGGAAAGTCTTCCCTCCTGAACGCGCTCTTCGGGCAGCACAAGGTGAAGGCGTCCCGAACGCCGGGCAAGGTGTGTGCGAGCCCCGGAGACCTTCCCACCTCAGCTCACTCGATGCCGTTGTACGAACAGACGAAGCACTTCCAGACGCTCTTCTGGACGCACGATGTGCGCCTCGTTGATTGCCCCGGGCTGGTCATGCCCAACTATGTCCCCATGGAGACTCAGGTGAGCAGCACCACCTACACTTCTAGCCTTCTCCCGCGTTCCTCGGCGCAACTGACCGGGCGCATCGGCACTGACACACACTTCTATTGTTTTCTACACACCGCGATCGCACCTGCCAACTAACCCATACTATTCTATTTGCCAGGTCCTCTCTGCGATCTTGCCCATCTCGCGCGTCTCCGCAGTCGCCCTCTGCACGCACCACGCCGCGCAGCTCCTCCCCCTCGAGCGCATCCTCCAACTCACCCACCCCACCCTCGCATCTCCACCGCCCGAGGACCGCCGGACCTGGCGCGCGGGCATGCGGCCGCGCGCGGAGGCTGGCAGCGAGGCGCGAGTGTGGACGGCGATGGACGTGCTGACGGCGCACGCGCTCCGCAAGGGCTGGGTGACCGCGAAGGCGGGTCGGCCGGATGTCAGCCGCGCGGGGAACGCGAGTGAGTGCTCATGGCCATAAGCTTTTAGGGTTGGCTGACGGATGCTGTGTGATCGCGGTGCGTGTTGCCAGTCCTGCGTGCCCTCGCGGAGGCGAGGATCCGCTGGGCGTTCTGGCCGCCCGGGACGGACCCGCGTGTCGTCGAGGAACACCAGGACGGCGTCGAGGGTGCTGGGATATGGATCTCGGCTGACATTGACCATGATGTGGACGTCGAGAGCGACGATGTCGCCACGGCAGAGTCGGATCGCGAGAAGTCAGCCGCCGAGGAGGAGACGGAGGATGAGGAGTTAGAGGATCCAACCCCAGTCGTGGGCGGTGCTTCGAGTCGATTTGCAGCCCTCTCGATGGAGAACGACGACTCGGATGCCTCCGATGAGTGACTGAACCATGACAGCATATAACTATACGCACTCATGCATTCTCATGACGCACATCGTATCTGGTACAACACTCCATGTACTATTATCGGCAATCAATGCATACTCGCACAGACCGTGTTTGACAAGATGAGGACAGAACCGTTTGTCATCTATATAAGCGAGCGAAGCGTGCAGGAGACATCAGTATAGACATGAACAAGAACAGAGGATACAAAGATAAGTACTGGTAAAAGCGAAGAATGTACAACGAAATAACTTGGGGTAACGAGCAATAGTACTTCCGATCGTTGTCCATCGCAGCCTCCACGCATCAAGAACCACGGCGTAGCATTGTTATAGCCACGGATAGCTGAACATTGACTAGTGGCATACCAGAGGCTCACAGCACTTGTGTAGGCGAGAAGACACGACTAGCGACGTCCACGAGAAGATGAAGCACAAGCGCACAGCGTCAAGGAGAACCACGAACGGAGGGTGTATTCTCACCGGGTAAGTAGGGCGGGTACGGACACGAGGGGGGCAAGGAACAGAGAATAACAGCGGGCATGGAAGGGGCACGGAGGACGGTCACCTCGCAGGGGAGGGCCGGAACAACAAAGTAATAAGGTATCTTGAATAGATCTCTTGCGTTCATATCCATACACAAACTTCAGCAACAGCGGACCGGAGGCGACGGTCTTCTACCTGCGCCGAAGCGCCGTCCCTCCACAGCGGCTCAGGCGCGGTTTAGTACCGCACCTGGTTGGCCGCGGTGCCGTTGTAGTAACCACCCTGGTAGGCCGACACGCTGTACGGGTCGGCGGCGTAGTTCGCGTGCGAGACGCTCGGGCCACGCTGGAGCTCGCCCATCTGCGGGGAAGGGCTCGGGCCGCGTTGGAGGTCGGCGTAGCCACCGACAGGGGCGAGCGCGTTCGGGCCGGCGGTGAAGTCGTGGTCCGGGATCGGGTTAAGCTGCGAGGGGTTGCCGTGACCATGGCCGCTGTCCGAACCATAGGCACCGTCGTTGTGACCGGCGCCGGACTGGAAGGAACCGTGCGAAGCGGCCGAGATGCGGCGGTGCCTCGGGATGCCGTCGTCGTTGTCGAGGGTGGGCTGCCAGTCGATGGGGGCCATGCGGTCGTCGAAGTGCGCAGACGGGCGGAGCTTCCACTTGCGGAAGAGCGTCCACGCGATGGCAACAAACCCAACGGAACCGGCGACCGAGACGATCACAACGAGGGTAGTCTTCGTGACCTTGGACGTGCTGGAAGCAGAAGCAGCGTTGGCAGCTGCGGTAGCGCTCGCGGGCGTGGTCACAGTGCTGGTGACGCGGTGGGAGGAGCCGGTGGCACCAGAGTCCTGGGTATCAGTAGGGGTTGCTGTAGCAGCGTCGGTACCGGCATCTGAGGTCTGAGAAGCAGATGTAGCACTGGTAGAAGACGCAGAGCTAGTACTCGAGGCACTGGAGCTCGAGGCGCTGCTCGAACTGGATGAGGCGGACGACGAGGACGCGCTAGACGAGGCCGAGCTCGACGATGCCTATTGGTGCGTTTTGAGATGAGTACGTTGAACAAACGCAAGCACGAGCTACATACCGAAGAGCTGGCACTCGAGGAAGCAGCGCTGGAAGCACTGGACGAGGCGGAGGTCGCGGATGCGGCGGAGCTGGAGGCCGCCGACGAAGCCGCACTGCTCGCAGCGGTGCTAGACGCGGTAGCAGACGTACTGCTACCCGCCGCCGGGGGATCGTCACCGAGGCCGACCAGGCCAGCCAGCCCCGGGGTGCGCTTCTTGATCATGCGTCGTACGTCGACATGGTCGCGACGTTGGGGGGATAAGTCATTGGCCTCTGAGAAAGTGGCCAGTGCGAGGATAGCGAGGCAAAGGAGCGTGAGGGTTGTAGTCTTCCTGGATTTTGTAACGAACATCATGGCGTGGATCCGTGCCGACTGACGTGTTCACTTGTGGGCGGGCTGGAGACAATGTCAGCGGGGCTGGTACGAGCGAGGATCACAAAGGCTGCAGCTGGTGCAGCGTCGTTGTTGGTAGAAGAAAAGGGCCGGCCGGGGATGATGGGTGGGAAAGAAGAGTATTTGGAGGACTTACATGGCACTTGGCAGGCGGTCGGAGGTGGGAGGAAGGAGAGTGGGAGAAATGAGCGAGATAAGGCGGGGTGCGCCGTCGGGGTGCTAGCGCAGTGTTCGTCGGGAGGAAGGAGTCGAGGGGACGTTGCTGGGAAACCAACCACCCCAAATAGGCGCTTCTTTCAGCGCTCCCTCCCGACACGCACAGCCGCATGCATGTTAGCCGAGGCAGCCCACGGCCAGCCTCACCCGCTGCGCAACAGCATCCTTCTCACTCGCACGCTGGCCAGAAGGTATACTTAGATGCGATTCAGAAGACGAACCGTCCAGGTAGTAGAGACGAAATAACTAGAACCGCTACATTATGCTAAAACTGCGTCCGTCACTGTCATGAAAGGGTCCTGGCCCACGCGAACGAAAAGATACGGTAGTATGTGCCTTTCCATCAGTTGCTCGCCCCGTTCTCGCCGTGGCTCGTCAGTGACCACTCCGACACCGACACCGACGGCGGCGACGTCGTGTAGTCGCTCGAAGACAGATCCGGCCACTGCGGGCTGAACAACACCTGCAAGCTATACTCGCCTGCCGGGAGGTCAATCATGATCACCGTCACGCCAGTGTTCGGCAGATCCGCCTGTCCCTCGGGCGGCGGAGGATCCGTGCTAAGACCTGAAGCAGGCGTCTGCGTGCTCAGAGTGTAGCCAGTGGACGGGCTGAGAATCGTCATCTCGAGCTTTTCGTTGCCGATCTGCAACGAGAAACCGTTCGAGTTCTTGGTCACAGTCGCGTTCGTGTGCATACGCCATTGGATGCCCGCCGACGCCGTGATGTCGTCCTGCAGCAGCACCTGTTTCCTGCTGTTGAGCGTGCGGATACCACGCTGGTACGACGTACTATGAATAGAAGGTTAGCAGAAGGCAGGTTAAGCGCGCTTAAACGACTTACACGTTGGCATAGGCACTCGCGAGATCAGCCGTGAAGAACGCTGTGGAGCCATCAGGGACGTCGAAGACGGTAGTACCGCCCGTCTGCTTGATACCGTCCGTGCCGTTGGTGATCGTAGGCTGAGCGGTGACTAGCTGGTTGGCCCCACCGACGAGGATGGCATTTTGGCCCTCCGTACGCTTGCGGTAGTACAGCCAGCGCTGACTGTCCTGCTCGTCGTTGCTGAAGTAGCCAGTGACGAGGTAGTTCTCATCACCGAGCTCTCCAGCCCACCGCGTGCCGAGGGCATCGAGCACAAAGTCACCGCAGTCGAGGTCGTTGTGCGTCTGGTGGCCCTGCAGGGTACCCGCCTTCATCGCGACGTAGAGCGCGCTCTCGTCCGTCCAGCTGGAACGCATCGACGCCCACTGGTCGGTGTGGTTGGTGAAGAACGCGTCCAAAGGCAGGCCATCCCAGAATGCACCGGAGACGGAGGGCTCGTACCAGAACATACTCCAGGGTTCGGGTGCATCGTGCTGGTCGCGCTGGAACAGTTGGTATTCGGGGTGGTTGAAGACAGAGCCGTAGAATAGCATGGCGTTGGCGTTGGTCGAGTACAAGTTGACACCGTTGTCACCCCACTCGAACATCGATGCAGGGCCGGTGACATGCATATGGAACTGACCAGTGAGCTCGACACCGGGGTTCGTGGTAAGCATGTCGTAGTCGGAACCGGTCGCCGTCATGAGTGCTGAGATCATCTCCGCCATACCAGTCACACCGAAGTACCAGTAATTGGGAGTCTCTTGCCAGGTTCCGTCGGAGGAGGGCCCCTGCGCACAATTGAGGAGGGCGTTGGGAACTGTGTAGCCCAGGATCTGTTCGGCGGTACCGGTGGGGTCATCGCCTATGATCGCGAGGGCACCCAGCGTCAAGCCGCCATTGCAAACACAGTTCCAGTTGCCCTGCGTTTGTTTGTTCCACCAGCCGTAGTACAACGGGTCGCCTGTCTCGTAGGCGGCCAGACCAGCGTCGAGACCGTAGGTGATCATGGTCCACATGATGTTGGCCTTCTGCTCATCGAGCCACGCATCATACATCCAGTCGTACGCAATCGCATACGCATTGACCATCTCCGCCGTATCGAGGAAGTGAATCGGGTTCCAACGAGTCGAGTTATCGGGACCGAACGAGCTGCCCGTCAGGTTTCCGGCGGCGTTCTGCACGAGCGCGCGAAGGTGAGCTACAGCACTAGCCTTCACTGCTACAAAACATACCTGTAACTCCTTGTATGCCCTATCAACCCACTTGGTGTTGTTCGACATGCGGTATGCATACGAAAACGCCTTGATCCTCATCTTGATCTGACGAGCGACATCGAGGATACCGTTGCCACTGTCCAGGAAATACGGTACGACCGGTTGATTGTAGTACTCGGTTGCATTGGCGAAAATCGAGTCGTTCCAGTACTTCAAGTAGGGCTCGTTCTGGATGAGCGTCGGGAGAGCGTCCCACTTGTACTTGGGTGCGATGATGCGAGGGCGGTCAGGGCGGACTGAGGTGGGCGCCGGGCTGGACGGGGTGAATGTCTCAGTAGGCCAGCTAAGGCCGGACGCCTGTGCCTGGAATGTGGGTGTAGAGAAGGCTGCAGAGTTGGTCTAATGCTAATCAGGAAGAAGCTCCGAAGAGAAGACGCGGCGCGACGTACCGTCGAAGGGTAGAGAGGAAGCATGTACAGGCTGTTCGTGCCAGTCGCGAATACACCGACGTCCTCCTTCGCGCTGGCGGCAGAGCTGGCTGCTGCTGCGCCCGTGACGGCGGCGGCGGATGATGCTGATCCGTTGTTATGGGCCTTGCTACCGAGGACACCGCCGACGACGGCAGCGACGATCACAATGATAGCGATGGGCACGCCAAACTTGACCCAGTTGCTGACACCGCCCTTCTTTGCCCCAGCCTGCGGCGGTGCGATGTAGCCGGAGGACTCATTGTAGTACGGGTCGCCGGAGCCGTACGGGGTGGGATAGGAGGTCGGGGTGGCAGACTTGAGGTGGCTAGTGCTCTCCGCCGCCTGGGTGTACTGGTACGCCATGGCGGGGGGGAGAGGGAGAAGACAAAAGAGGGGCAGGCAGTGGGGACTGCGAAGGGGGCGGACTGGAGTCGCGACGGGGCGAGGAGGCCGGGAGATGGATGTGGTTGTATACCAAGCCGCCCACGAGACGCGCCAATTTCTCAACAGGCGCCGGCAGCCCCCGCTCGGCATGTCTATTCTCGGCACGGCCAGCCACGGCCACACACACCGGCACTCTGCCATGCACACGCCTCTCCTCGCCCTCACTGGACACCAGCTGAACGCCACGGCTCCTGTGATGCAGCCGGGCATGCTAGCCGCATTCGCTGCCTCCTCAGCTGCAGCCAGTTGCCGTAATTCGGTCCACATTCGGCCGTACCTCGCCATGGGTGACTTCATAGCACTGAGCAGAACAACTCGGAACACCGGAGACACTGGCACACAGATCCAGAAATACGCAGAAGGATGAATACATGCATACGTCGTCAAGGGCTGGCGAAGAATTAATAGCCACCAGTCTCCCACCATCACTGCTCGCCGACAAACACACCTGCGGCACCCATGCCGGTCCCAATGCACATCGAGGTCACCAAGATCTGCAGCGGCCGCCGTGATGAACAACGCACATCATCCATGAGAACGCTGAACACTAACCTTGCCTTTTCGCCTCGATAGTTCGTTGAGTCCTGTGGCAATTTGTCGCGCGCCGGTACAGCGTAGATACACAGAGGCAGAATTAGCTAGCGTGTCCGAGCGGAGCGCACGAAGCTAGATACTCATCTAGAGGATGTCCGAGCGCAATCGCACCGCCGTTTACATTCACCTTCTCGGGATCAAGGCCTACTGTCCGGATGCAGTACACCATCATGGACGCAAAAGCCTCGTTGACCTAATACAAACAGTAGCGTCAGTCACTCGTCCACAATTCGCGTTCAGAACACCCACCTCAAAAATGTCAACGTCTTCTTTCGTAATACCGGCCTGTTCGAGCACCATGGGAATAGCAATTGACGGACCGATGCCCATCACCCGCGGTGCCAGACCGGTCACTGCGGTGGTGACATGCTTGGCTATAATCGACAATCCCAGCTCTTCCGCCTTCCTCCTCGTCATGAGCATGACTGCAGCCGCCCCGTCCGTGATCTGACTCGCATTCCCGCCTGTGGTATTCGAAGGCTTCCACTGAGGGAACGCCGCGCGAACCTTTAAAAGCTTCTCCTTGGTCGTCCCCGGCCTAATCCCGTCGTCCTTGGCGACCACTTTCGGCTCGCGCTTGCCTGTCTCTGGGTCTGGCTTGCCGTACGCGGTGATGGGCACAATCTCCTTTTCGAAGTACCCCGCCTTGTCTGCCTTCTCGGCACGCTGGAACGAAATGGCTGCCCACTCGTCCATGTCTTCACGCGAGATGCCAAAGTCACCGGCTACATTCTCGGAAGTCCAGCCCATGGGCAAAGTTGCCTCATAGGCCGCCGTATGCGCCTTGACTGCGTCACTGTACACTGGAGCACCGTTGTCCGGACTGTCAACGCCGCATTTTAGACTTTCATCTTCATCTGATGTCGGGAGCGACGTGGGAAACGCACTTTTGTGACATGCTCTCGAAGCCAATGGCCAGACCAACCTCAATTTGTCCGACCCGAATCTTGTTCGAGATGTCCGTCACCGCCATGAGACCGGACGAACAGAAGCGGTTGACCGTCTGGATCGGCACAGACTCTGGTATCCCAGCGACAAGGGCGGCACACCGAGCTTCATAGGTGGCGGCGGGGGACAGGACAGTCCCGACGGTGATGTCTCCGATTAGCTTGGGGTCGACCTTTGAGTGGTCGATAACTTTCTGTGACCAGACATCCCTCCAACGTCAATCATACTGACAGTAGTACGCAGCCAACACGCGTACCTTGAATATTTCCGTCAGGAGCTCGTCGCTCCTGGGACGGGATGAGGTCAGACAGCCACGGGTCTGGCCATGGACGCTAACTCACTTTGTATACGCGAATCCTCCGCCTTTGGCCTTGCACAAGGGCGAACGGATAGCCAGCGTGATGACCACGTCGTCTGGGCTCTTGCGCTCCAATGCAGCGACGCCCCTGGACGTGCCAGACATGTGCGACACCAGCTGCTTCACGCGTTCCATAGCCATGGCGATTGCGAGGAATCGGTAACAGCAAGAGATGGACTGGTCGATATGGCAGCCTCAGGCTACTTTGTACAAGGGGAAAGATAAGCTGGCGTCGGACTGGACGCGTACTTAGGCGTTCGTCGAGTGGAAGGGGGTCGGCGATGACAGCCTCGCCGACAGTATCCCCCGCATGTGTGAATGGCTCCCAGACTCATGTGATACCGGGCCAGGCGACTGCCAGGCGCGTCAGGAGATCCGTCTTCGGGTCTGGGTATGCCAAGGCCAGTGTCAGGCGGTCAGAGACAGGTCAGAAAGACCACATTCGTCGTGAAGAAATGTCCTGAATATTTTGGAGCAGCCTGCAGCTCGCCGTGTGCGTCGCGCTAATATGCGGGCAAGCAAGCCGATGCTCCGCACCGATGAATGGGCGCTTGCACGATCGCCAGATCGAGATTGGACGCGGTCGTCTTCAGCCACTTCACTGCCCTGCGCAGCAAAGCCGCAGGCGCGTTCGACCCAACCTGAACTCGTTTGCAGTACGTCTCACGAGTCAGCAACATCCGAACTCTGAGGATTCACCTTGTAGGTGCATGAGCAAGCGGCCCTGTACCTGGACCATCAGAAACCCTCATTTGACCGGATACTGGCCATTGCCACTGTCTCGTCTTAGATATTCAAACCCTCCGTTCAGTGCACGAGTATTCCAAACAACTCAACAACACATACATACTCGCGCTGTACTCAATATGCCAGTCACAGTTATCTCCGCCAAACCGACTCAAGAGGTGAGGGGCAACTTCAGGTACATCGGTAAGATCTACGTCCTACGGCGACGGTTCATCCTCTGAGCGGAACATATTGACTCGCATTGATGGTCAGACATTGGCGGTAGGTACACCTCTGGTTCTTTCAAGTCGTGCGGCTGATACAGTGCTCCCAGTGAACCTGACAGATCCCGTATTCAGAGGGTATCACCATGGCAGGCGGAAACACGACGGTAAATATCTCTTCAACCCGAGCACCGCGTCTAGATATACTTGACGGATCCGAGTCATCGTTTTCAGATGACCTCGAAGCCATGCTCGAGCGCTCTCGTGCCGCAGGGGTGAAGTCGATGATCATTACTGGCGGGAGCCTGCACGAGTCCAGGGAAGCATTGGAGCTCGCGAAGCAGCTAGGGTTCTACGCCACCGTAGGCTGCCATCCGACGCGTTCGAAGCAATTCGATGACTTCAGGGGCGGACCGGACGCGTACCTGGCTGCACTGGATCAACTCATTGGACAGAATCTCAAGGGAAAGGGAAGGGTTGTCGCTATTGGAGAGTGTGGACTAGGTGCGTCGGAGCGTCATAGGCAGTCAACGCGAGACAATGAACGGCAACAGATTATGACAGGACGCATTTCGCCTTACCGGACGTTCAGCGGAGACATTTTCGTGAGTACGCATTGGAAGCATAGCAATTCACCATCCGAACGTCTGTTCTGTCAACTTAGGATCGCAGCTCGCTCTAGCGAAGAAATACCACCTGCCATTGTTCCTCCATTCCCGAGCGGCGCATGCCGACTTCGTGCGGATCCTCCGAGAAGAGGGTTTTGGCGAAGATGGAGGAAGAGCTGTTGGGGCGAATGGCGGCGTCGTACATAGCTTCACAGGATCAGCGGAAGAGGTCACAGAACTGGTGAGGCTCTGCTCTTGACGGAAGAACTCGCGTTGACCGAAGGGTGGAAGATGGGCATGGGCTTTCACATAGGGTACGTTGCCGACTGATGTTGCCTGTCCACGCCACCTCATGTCCACCCGCTAGGGTGAATGGATGCTCCCTCAAGACCCCAGAGAACCTTGCCGCGTCCAAAATGATCCGCCCTGAGAAACTGATGCTTGAGACAGGTCAGTTGTGTCTCGACGCCGTTCCTTCGCTGCTTGACACTCCACCCTCCGCAGACGCGCCCTGGTGCTCGATGACATCGACGCACGCATCGAAACAACACCTCGCTTCCCTCCCGCCGTCTCTCAACGCGCTATATTTTCCGCCTGCAACGAAGCCGGAAGCCTTCGTGTACGGGAAGCCAGTGAAGGGACGCAACGAGCCGTGTGCGACCGGGGGCGTGGCGTGGGTGATACACAGGCTGAACGATGGTGTGCCATTCGAGAAGGTGACGGAGAAGGCATGGAAGAACACCGTGCAGTTGTTCGCACTGCACGAGCTCGTTGATCAGTGAGTCGTAGTAGCATATTGGGGCTGTCCGAATGGGACACGGTTTGGAATTGGATGTGTCCGCATGTCCGCGGCAGAGGATCTGATCCCTCCTATTACAGTTACATCGAGTCACAACTAGTAATGCTTTCCTAGATCACTAGGAATACAAGATATTGATACATAGATCTCCAGTAGAAAAATACAATCCAATGCACGATCTCGGCCTGATTTTGATCATTGGCACCCCACATATTATCTGTGCTCTATCTGTTCAGTAGCACTGCTTAGATGTTCTGGTGATACTTACAACACTTTGTGGATGATTGAAACAATGGACATTGTCATATTAAGTTGAGAAGTTCATGGTAATGTTCATGCAAGGCATGATCTATCACCTCCTGTAGATGGCATGAAAAATGTTGATTGTCACAATGTGTAAGACCCCATACCTCAGGTGAATTGAATGTTGCATGACACATACTGGACTGCGAAATGTCCACATGCTGGCAGACATAGTACAGACCAGAGTCCAGTTCTGGAGTAGAGTCCTGTGCTGGACTGGGTATGGAAATTGGCTTCAAGTGGGTTGCCTGTAACTCTGCAAGCTGAAATTTGAGCCTCTGGATCTCCTCCCTGAGTTCTGTCTCCTGTGCAGCATGCCTGCTACATATGTCATTGTTCATCATATCCTTGGTATTGGCAAGTTCAAGGGCAGCCATGATATCTTCATTCTCCATCAAAAGCTGGATGTTCTCAATGGTCTTTGCGGACAACATTTGTTCCAGCTCCTGCACTCGGCTGTGTGCATACTGTAGCTCTTGCTTGAATCTCTGGTTCTGCAAGACTACCGCGTCCTGAGAATGCACTGCTTAGATACATTCATGATACGGGCACACCAGAAACATACCAATATTTGACCATCAATGTTCACCGGTTGCATTGAGGCTATAAGTGACACCCAAGAATGCGACTGGACACGACCGATTCAACGGCTTGAGTTCAGTTACATCGTACAGTCGTGTAAACGGACCTCGGGTAGGACATGTAAAGAGCGACTACTACTCATCAGTCGATGGCGCGCATAGTAGGTACAAACTACTACTTACCTTAACCTCGATGCATAACTCAAGAGGTGAACGTGAACGTCGATAGTGTCGCCGCGGTGAATCACCGTCACGGTCCGAGTCGATGTCCTTCTCAACCTTTCTCAACCGAGGCTCGAGCGCGCAACGTGGCTGAAGATTATGTAATGTGTGCATTATCTTCAGCTGCTGCTGCTCCAATCTTCAAGCATTCGGACGCTCCGCCGTCAGACACGAAAAGATGCTATTGTTTGTCTATACATACAACTGCTGGGTATTTAACATGATCCATATATGTTACACCTCCTTCAACGCATAAATAAGTCAGATAGATAGCTAAGCAGCTACACGATGTCTCTTGAAGGCGGCCTGAACATCGCCTGCACTGTACTCCAGGCTGACGCCCATGTCCTTGTAGCACTGGTCAATCCTCTTCACGAACAAATCCGTGATCCTGAGCAATTCGTCTTCGCACGCCTTCCACACGCCGACCATGACAGTCCCCGAGGCAATGCCTGTGCTGACGTCTTCGGACGTAGCCTTTTCTGAGGCCTCCGTGAAGTGCTTCTCGACCCTCTTGAAGAGAGAGTCGATATGCTTCCGTACGTCCTTCGAGTTGTACTCCTTGACGACCTTCTTCAACGCGGACTTGGAATAACTGCTGTTGGACGGGACCTCCGATGGCGCTGTGGTCTTCAAGACACGCTCAATACCCTCGAAGTAATCCTGTCACCAAGATCAGTGAATCGTTCGTAGGCCCGTAATCCGTGACAGCTTACGATGAGCTTGAAGAACGGTCGTCTCAGCACTATCTTCACATATGCGTTCAGGTTTTCCTCATAAATGGCCTCTGCTCGTTTCAAGAAGGTCGCGACTGAGCCTAATTGAAGTAGGGAGACCTCCGCGACGAAGTAATGCATGTTCTCTGACAATGTACCGTTTAGGGCGCGCAGCAGAATGACCGCGCGATGTGTAACTCACCTATGAGAATGACATGGTAGTTCAGCTGGCCTTTGTCTTCGCCCTCTCCGTCCAACTTTGCCATGTGCTTCAGCGCGTCAAACATTGACTGTACGATCTTGTCGTAGGCCTGATCGACAGTTTGGCGTATCTCAAGAGTATCTGCACCGATGAGCTGTGTTTCCACGCGCCCGATGTAGACAGGGAAGTATTTGATGAATGGGGCAACTCCGTTGCGTTTCTTGCTTGTGAGCCTCATGTCCTCTATTGTCTTGATTTGCTCGTTCTATTGTTACGACTGTTACGACTGTACCTAACGGAGGCATGGTTATGTGACTTACCACCCGACGTTCAAACAGACCTTTCAGACGGACATGCTGCTTCTCCAACAAGCTTAGCACGAATGCATTGCCTCGCTCTTCGGCTTCGCCAAGGAACCTCTCCAGAGCCACGACGATGCCTATGATTTGCCTTGTGTTGATCTGGTCAGATAGGTCGACGCGAGGGACCTTTGTCTGACTTACAGACCGTCCTTGCTCATGGCGCCATCCAGCCATGCCTTGAGTTCAGTGGGGAGGAATCCAAAAATCAAGTCCAGGGCACCCCGCATGAGCTTCAGGGTCGCTTGACTGAGGCCAGCGAATCTCGCAGCCTGACGACGGAAGTAGTTCTCGAGGCCCATGTAATCGGCGAACGTGAGACCTGCGTCGTTGATCTGCAAGAAGTCGGCAATGAACTCTTCCTCGTGATATATGATAGAAGCGATTTCTTCGAGGACAAGTGACAAGGCCTGGCGTATCGTGAAATTCTATCGTCATTGTGGAAGAAGAATTTACTCACGTCAGCCGCTGTCATATCGCCATCTGGCCGTTCTTTCTTTCCTCTGCGCCCTTCTAGAGGTGACCGTGCGATGGTACCAGCTCTACGCAAGCCAGATGCAGCCTTGGAGGATGTCGTTGTTGGCGTAATCCCACCGAACCCTGGTTAACGTTGAGCGACATGGCCATGTAGTCGGTATCAAACACATACCTTCCGCGTCATCGTCAGCGGTCTCCTTGATCATGGAACTGCAGGTGCTGAGGAGTGCTCGTACTTGCGTGTTGTGAAGGCCACTAGCAGCGGCGAAATAGGCCTTTAGAGGATGAAGGAAAGTCAAGCAACTTGCACGAGAACAAGCCGATTTGACGCACGGCACAAAGTTTCGCGTACACGCCCTCATCCATCTCTTTGAGATACAGGAGTAGGCCACCATAACGACCGAGATACGTCTCCATAGTTCGATGGTTCATCAAGGATGGTCTGCCTTGCGGAGATTTCACCACACCATCGGTGTCACCCAAGAGCATCTTGGCCTAGCACACAGCGTCATGAGATCACTCATTGAACATGACCCGTGATCTTACCTGGGCAGTGATCATGAAGGTCAAGTACTCGAGGACGCGCTTGCAGAAGTGTGCATTGTGCGTCCTGTACTCATCGAGCCGCTCGAACGTAGCCGCCATGTCTGCACAAGTGTCAACGCTTGTCGAGCAATGCTCAGATGCTCACTTACCGCGATCCTTGCTCGCTTGAAGGGCCTTGTAGAGTTCTGTTGCAGCACCCTCCAGTCGTTGTATGCTTGCTGGCTTCTCTAACGACTCCTGTGTCAGGGCGAGCAGAGCTTCCTTATCCACATGAACAGTTTGCTTCGTAGAATGTCAGCATGCCTCGGCCAAGTAACCCAGATTTCGGTAGACGCACCAGCAACTCTTCGAGCTCATTAGTAAGCGCTCGTTGATTTTGTATTTGCACCTGTAGACCACGGTTCTGTGACTGGATGAAGCCGATATCCTCATTGACAGCCTGCAGTAGCGCGGTCAGCTCGGAGAGCTGGAACGGAGGACGGATCACGCACGTTCAAGTGGATCTTGTACGAGGATATGACACTGTCCATACTGTCGAGCTCCGATATCGCGTCCTCGAGGAATTTTAGAACGATATTCACCCGATCATCAGACTCGATGAACGAGTGTATGTTCGCCTACATGAACGCTCACTCTAAGGTGACGGTTGCGACACAAGCTGTTTGCCATACCTTGTCTAATGCCATCAACTCGTCCAGTAGTCGTGCTTCCATCCGGTCGGCCGCACCTGTCATCGACCTTCGACCCATGATGTCGTCTGTAGCCCACTCGTAACCCTCCAGCATCTCCTCCATGCTGTCCAGTGTGGCTTGTGCTGTCGTGTCCTCCATGACCCGGGTGCTCTCGCCTTCGTCATCGATGGACTCGTACATAACAACATCACCGGACAGCAGCTGGTTGAGCGTGGCCTGATTGGGAGGATCATAGAAGGATACACGAGCGTTTTGCTCGCGGCGCGGCTGACCAGTGTCGGGATCCATAGTCGGAGTCCGCGAGGGCTTTTTCCGGAGAGGGAGACTTTGTTCAGGTAAGGGAACGGAAAGGTTGTCCGGCGTCGATGGATATGTTGACATAGGTGACGGTTGAGAGGATGATGACCCGTCGGGCACGCCCAACGTTCCATTTGCGTAAACCCCATTGTATCTGGTAGGGATACTGATTGGAGGGGCCTGGGGGGTAGCACGCTTGACTGCTCCATTCGCAGCTGGTGGAGTTGCTGAGCGGTATGGTGCAGCACCAGCAACAGCCAGCATGGACGATCCCGCGCTGGCGGTAGAGGCAACATTTGATGTTCTCCTTGCATGAACTCCGGCTCGCAGCGCAGGCGGAATAGTTGAAGTCTGTGATGATGGTGTTCCAGGTCGAGTGCGAGAAGGTGTTCCCGGCCGTTCAGTGCCGACAACTACCGGCGGAGGACGAGACGGAGAGTCCGAAAACTCGGACTGCGCAGGGGTTGCTGCCCGACGCGACCTTGGCGGCGTGTTCGCGGCAGGCGAAGGAGAATCATCAAAACGTTGACTGCGACTACTATTCCGCGCATGTCCATTTGTACGATCGTTCGCAACGGGTCTCCTAGGTGACGCGGGTGGTAGTGGGGTACCGTTAGGTGGCGTAGGAGCGCGCTCCATTCGCCTAACATTTCCGGGGTCTATTGGCTGAGGTCTTGGTGCTGTCGCGTTCCATTGAATGCGTTGATTGTATAGCAAAGCTAGTCACGTACTAGAAGCGGCAGCGGCAGCGGAGATATTGAAGCCTCTGATGTTGAGCGGTTGAGAGCCCTGCGTCACGGTGTGGAATAGCTGAATCAATGCGGCTATGAAGTTCAGCTGCTCCTTCGGATTCTCTGTCTGCCACCGATAGGTTCTTGTAATGGTGATATTGAAGTTAATGGGCTACGATGCAGTCGAGCAGCATTAACCCACTGGCAGATATTGTAATTACGAGGCACGTACATTGATCACCTCAACACCTCTGAGCTCTGTGACTTGCCATGTCTTTCCGACAGAGAAGGTGCCGTTCTGGTTGGACTTGGATTTATGAATGGATCCACCATCGGGTGACTCTACGTTGCCTGGTCATGACCGGCACGACGAAACACAGGCAAAGACATACGTGACAAGATGATATATCTTGACTTCCTGGAGCCATCCCCTTCCTCCTCCCAGATCTTGAGGTGAGCTACATACTCCTCCTGTTGGCCGGACGCGCTAAGCTTGGCAAAGACAGAGGATGTAATCCGCTGTCGGGTCGAATCATAGTCAGACATCCGCTAACTGGGCCGTAGACCTCGGGAGGAGTAAAGGGACCCAGGATGAAGTAGACAAGAACGAGTATAGGCCTCGTCGCTTTGAAGAGCAGAACCCCGCGTGAAGTGCTCGATCACCGGCAACGCTGGGGCTGTATATGGTAGCAGCTCACATGAGTGGAAGTACTGTTTGGACGTGTTGCCCAAAGGCTTTGACGCCCGATGTTTGCCTGTTTTGGTCGTACTCACATCCATGACGTATTGATTGTACGCTACTCAACATTGCCGACGCTACTCTACATGCTGCGAAGATACTCTCGTCGAGGTCATACACGTTCAGATGCAAATAGTGGCATGCAGATGTGCCGTCCATCAATACGGCAGGTTCGGGGTTATCACTACTACTAGTAGGGCCTGCCCAAGAGGTCCGAGGTCATTTAGCCATCGCCTCAACAAGCGCGAGTCGAAAAGTCGCGGCGTGAGGTTATAGCTGAACTGCCGTTGAGGTCTGGTGTGATCATTGTGAAACTTCGAGAGGCTCGTATCCGCGACTAGACGTCCTGCTACCCATCCCAAACCAACCATTCCCTTCACTGTGTGCTAGCTTGACCTCGCCATTCCGCAACACCTGGTACCGCCTCCCTCTCCACTCCACTTCGCTCCCAAAAACAGCGAAGACCCATATGGGGAAGGCCAACGATTCCCTCGCGGACCATGCGCCGATGAAAGCCAACCGAGCTTGCAGTGGGGCACGTTGCCCGGATAACGAGTCGCAGACGTCCAAATCCACGAGAAGCCATAGAATGAAGTGAAGAGGTAGGAACAGCCAAGGCGTGATGCCGAATAGGTAGCGCAAGCCAATCGCTGCGAGGCTGCCCGCCATGAAGGACTCCGTGAAGGGTTCAACTAATGTTGCGGCAAGGACCATGTGCTTCCTAACTCTGATCCATCGCACACGACGCCAAATGTAGTCAGCTAGGCTCATATTGCCAACCGCATTCCTCGCCACATCGCATGACAGTTCATGCCGCAACCCAAGCTCGTGCCATAGAGCAGCGGCGATCATGTTGTCTTCGGCAAGGAAGCGGCCAAAGGCGGCGAGCCCCTTCGGCCCAGGTTGACTGCCCCCTTCTGCCGCGTTGGCAATAGGTTTGAGTGAGCCATCCACGCGTTCCAGATCCGAGCGGCGGTAAAGGTTCGATTTGCCCATGACGCAGCTGTCGATAGCTACAGTATTGATAGCGATGTACATCTTGGCGTGATTTGTATCGAGGAAGGCTTCTTCAATACGTGAACCCAGCGCGTACTCGCTCGACCAAGCGAATGGTACATGGTGTACTAGGGCGATCCGTCGACGCGACGATGGTAGGTCGGCGGGTCCGTCGAGGGCTTCTACTGAATGAGCCAGAGTGCCTGGGGCGACCATGACGTTGGAGTCGAGTACCCAGAGAATATCATTCGCCGCAGCTCGGTAGGAACGCATGAGATTGTTTATTTTAGGATTGACTCCTACGAGTTCTTCGCCTGACGTAACGTCAGTGGATGTAACGCCAGTGGTCTTCCACGCTCCCAAGGCTATGACACCCACCTATCATTAGACGTGCATTCACATTCGGATACTTTGCCATGAGATCGCGCACAATTGGTAGTGCCTGGTCATTCTCGTCTGCCACGCAGAGGAAGATTTCGTAGTTTGGGTAGTCTTGAGTGAATGTGGATTCCAGGTTTTCGTACAGGTTCGTATCGAGCCCTTTCAGAGGTCGTAATATGGATACACCAGGCACAGCGGACGCGTCTGCGGATGCGAGTGGAGATGGTCGTCGATTCCTGTACCTTCTGCGCCTTCGGAGGGAGTCAGCACGTTAGGCGGGAGACAATAGGGTGAGACGCACGCAGCACGACAGCCCAGGAGTCCCAGAGACCACAGGGCGATGTACCAGACGACGATGGCCCACGCAAGGCAGAGCTGAAGGGTGCTGTAGCCGTCCGCGGCGGTCATGACTGCGGCGGCCAGGACATGCAAGGCAGCGTAGCCTCGTTGCTGCGTAGGTGGGACGGCTTCGGAGGCGGCCTCGCTCGGCGGCGAGTCGGTGTGTGTGCAGGTCCGGCGAGGCGCGTCACGGTCACACAGGGCGATCGAGATTTCGGGAGGCGATCGAACGCGAGCGCGTGGCCGAGTCCGCGTCCGCGTCCGCCTCGAGTCGTGCCACCACCCGTCCCTCGCTTCAGCCCATTGTCGCTGGTCTCGCCGGCACCGCGCACGATCCTTTCGTATCTATGTCTTCCTGGAAGCAGCTATTTCACAAAGGGATCGCCATGTTCCGCGCCGGACAGTTGGACGATGCATTGGCATTGTTTGCGGAGGTAGGTCATGTAGTCCGCAGAGTTATGCGGCCTTGCTAAGCTGTCAATGTGGTGCACCAGGCACTCACTCTCGAGCCGGACGAGTACACCCTGTATGACTCTTGTGCGGCGGTCAAGGAGAAACTTGGCAAGACAAGGGATGCGCTCCGAGACTCGAAGAGAGTCATCGACCTCGCGCCCCAGCGATGGCAGGTGCGGATCTATCGCCACATCCTACTTTGCTCTGTCTAACCCAGCTGTAGGGCTACGCTCGCTCTGCACGCCTGTTCTTCAAAATCAGAAAGTACGACAACGCTCTCCATATGCTTAAACTTGCCCTAGAACGCGTGGGCGCGGATGACCGCAAGAGGCGTGGGGAACTAGAGGCACTGCGAAGTCAGATACTTGATGCGGTCGATGAGCAGCGCGAGCGTGTCTCGAGGACTTCGTACCACTTTGGGAAGCTTCCCTTGGAGCTTGCATCGGACATCTTCGCTTCCGCATTGGCGGAGGATCACGCCCGAGTCGTCGTACTTGCGCAGGTCTGCAAGAACTGGCGACTGACCATCACCAATACCCCTCGCTTGTGGAACGACGTTGTTCTCTCGAAACAGAACCCAGTCAAGAAAGCGAAGGTGTGGAGAACCCGGTCGAGGGGGAGGATAGTCCACCTAACCCTCCGGGAGAGCCTGAAGGGGACGCCGTGGGCCCTCGACGAGCTGCAGGACCTTTCTCTGGAGTCACTGCGCACTCTACGTCTTGCGGACTTCCCGATCAGCGCAGTCCGGAAGCGTTTGCCGAACCTCACTAGTGACATCCTCCGCAAACTGGACGTCCTAGAAGTCGACAACCGCACAGAGGCGCGCCCTGTATCATGGCTTTGGACAGACCCCACCATGGCAACACGTTCCCTCTCTGTCTATTTCACCGTATTCGACTGGGCCTCCCTTATCGCATACTTCCCCAACCTCGAACACTTCGCTTTCAAAGGCCCCCTAGTCGATATCCCGCTCAGCGCCATTTCGGACTTCTTACGCGCACATACACGTCTGCGTTCGTTGACCTTGAGTATCATGGACTTCGTCTACCATCGCGCTCCCGACCGCGGGCAACCACCGGTGCATCTCCCTCACCTGGAGCGACTCGAGATCGAATTCCACGATTTCGCCATGAGCTTCATGTTCCCCTTACTCCAGCTATCAACTCTGCAGTCCCTGACCATCTCCCGGGGTGTGCATTCAATCGACACGTCGCTGCAGCACTTGATCGCCAGTGGTGCTGGGAAGAGCCTGCGAGAGCTCAGGATAACCCTATGCGCTGTCTCGGCGGGCTGTGTCATCGACTTGCTCCGCCAAGCGGAGGGGCTCGAGGTGCTGGAGCTAACGTACCTCGGGGGCAACCAGGCGAATGCAGTCTTGCATGCTCTATCTCAGCCGCCGAAGCCTGCTCCCGCAGGCGATGACGGAGAAAACGGTGGGCAGGATCGTGCAAGCGCGCCCTCGCTGTTGTGTCCGTCGCTCAGACACGTCAACTTCTCCCACTGTCCCGACGTCAAGAGCGGACCACTCATGGAACTGGTGAAGGCCCGGCTGCCCAGTACCACCGACGACGATACGACGGACGTCGCGCCAACGCAATCCGAATGTTTACAACAGGCGCAAATAAATACCCTCATTGTGGACGGGTGTCCGTCCGTAGAGACGGACATCCTACCGTGGCTACGAAGCAAGGTGCGCTTCGTCAGTTGCGTGTATCTGTCGAAGAAAGACGCCAAACGGCGAAGGTGATTCATACACGGACCATAAACATAGTCTTTGGGTTTCGGGAAACGGACAGATCCTGCTGTGTACGATTTGTAATATATAACACAATCAGATACCCTGGCATCTTTCGTCCATTCCTTTCGGATTCACTAACTCGTGCCTCCAGGCGGAGCGGAGGCCTTTCGCTGGTTAGATCTTGTAAGGCTCGGACTCTGGGTACGCCGGCGGCTCAGAGGAATACGAAGACGAGGCTGCAGAACTCGACCCTGAGGACTGAGAGGAGATCGAGGCCGCTGAATACGCGTGTGCTGGGACCGGACGTTGATGGTTCGCAGCAGCCGCAGGCGCCTGGAGACCGTTCATCAGGGCTGGCCCATACGCGCTCCAGAGTCCCCTGGCCATGTCGATGGGACTCGTCGGAGGAGCGCCAGACTGCCCCTGCGGCTGGGCACCAGCGTTGGCGGCCGCCTTGGTAGCAGCATCGACGAAGCTCTGCCAAAGCGTAGCGAAGCGGCTCTGAATGAAGGCAACGATGTTGGCCTTCGCAGCGGCGATGCTGGCATCTATGTTCGCCTCGTTCTTGCTAAGGTACGGGTGCACGAACATCTGGAACACCCATGTAGAACCCTGTGTAGCACCACTCGTCAGTGGATATTCTTCGCACGTGGAATGTGTGAACGGATTTACCTGCGTCTGAGGCAGAGACAGGTACAAGAGCACCAGGATTTTTGCTTCCCAGTAGAATGGAAGCCTGAATGACACGTCAGAAAGCACTCGACATTACTATGTGAGACATCTCACTCACCAGCTGACGAACCACTCTGCGACGTGCTCAAACGCGATAAAAGCGCCCATGACGGACCAATACATCGCCCAGCGTTCCAACTCGGGTTCGGAGACAGGGCGGTGTGCGAGAGACTTCCATGTTCCGTAGGAAGGCAGAAGAAGAGAAAACCAAGCACTAGAAAGCGTGCCCATGTTAGCTCAACTGTCGTCACCAACGGCACACGAGCACTCGCGGATTTCATATGCACCTAATGAGATTGGATGCCAGGGATGTGAGCATCATGGTGAATGAAAAATGAGATAGCAAGGGCTAGAACAGATCAGCAAGGAACCTTGGACTGCAGAAAGAAGAAGAGTCAGACTCTGTACAGCGAGATGAGCTGTACGGAGAGAAGAGAATACACTGCCCCGGCGCTCGCGCGCTGAATGTATCCCAAACACAGGCGTCTATTGCTTGCCGAGTTGATGATCGAGACTGGATTGGCCGCATTTGGAAACCACGTTGTAGTCTGGCCTAGTCTGACACAGTGAAATATGTGATTCATGAAGTACTCGGGAGGTATACAAGCCAAGCACAACCTGCAAACAGGCATTCGCTTCCGTGTGCGCGTAGTATCTTGATAGCTTTGCTATGGGCAGAGTAGGAAAATAGAGTAGCGACGATCTACAGATAACCAAAGAGTCCGGGCTAACGGCCTGAAGTGGAGATCGTCTTGTCGTTCCGTCTCTCAAGATCTCACGTTGAATTGTGAACGTGAGATAGGCAGCATCTGCGCTCGAGATTTCGGGAAGGCCGGACCCTCATAGACCCCATAGAGCGTTGATTGATTGACAATATCGGACGACCTTGCTTCAAAGCCTATTCAGTCTCGGCCGAGCATATCGCAAAACCACGATTGCGCTCGTGTTGCGCAAGCTGTCAACGCGCAAATTCCGTGCGGGTTTCGAAGAGATCATCTTGAGCATTTATCTCCCTGTGATGGTGCAAGGGGCTGTACCGCATTAGTGCGTCTAAGACTTGGAAAGTTGAGGCACATGACAGTGAGACCAAGAAGCAGAAGACTTCATAAGAGCGGAGGTCCGATATAGCGATGCTTCGAAGTAGCACTGCGTCTTAGAGTTTTGATTGTCCTAAGACATTTCATGATAGTACGACCGGAAGGGTGAGGATGTTTGGACCGGAGCAGACGTCGGGCGTACCTTGGCGCGGGCTAGCGGAAGCACGAGATTCGACCATCCACATAGGTCCGTCTGTCAAGCTAGCGTCGCATACTGGGCACACGCCCTACGGGTTAGGCTGTCGGAGCACGCTAGGTTTCTGCCTCCTTGCGATCGCGAAGCCTGGAAAGCAAGTGGAAGAACTCGGGCTGGTTAGCACCTCGAGAAATTTTAGTGTTCTGTGTGTACCCTGAACGTGAGACGTGCCCGAATGCGATCCACGGGGGCTCTCGGGGGAGAGGAAGGAACGTGTGCCAGTGTGTCGCCCGACGAGGTGGTCACGGTCAGCATGTCAGCGCGTCTAATGTCCATATATGTCTCGCTTGTCCTTGTTTGCGAGCGCGAAGCAGCGGACTGATGCCTTCGCCCTTCTCATCCAATCACCCCGACCGACTTTGCTGCTCTCTCCTCCCGCTGCCCTGATTGTCCTTGCAGACAGCGGCTACGACCGTCTACTCTGCTTTCGACACCATCCCTCTCACGATGGACCACAATGGCGGTAGCACCTCCATCAAGAAACAAGACGATGGGGACGCGTCCGATTCCAAGGGCACCCCGAAGGGCGACACGAAGCCTAGTGTCCGGACCCTCAATCGAGTACCCCGTACGTTACGCATGTGACTATTAGATGCAGCCGTGTCTGACATGACTTTCGATAACCCGCAGGTGCCTGTGTAAGTGACTGCAAGCATGTGTGCGTTCATCCGTTATAATCCCGCTCCAGAATGCTTGCCGGAAGCAGAAGATGAGGTGCGAAGGTGCAGAGAATCCGCCCTGTCGAAGATGTAGACACGCAGGCCTGGAGTGTCTATTCGAGAAGCCACAGAGGGAAGCTAGTCTTACGGGTGAAGCGGGCTTAGAGTAAGTAACGAGTTCTCCAACGTCGCTTGTCCTCAATAATCCTGTCCAGACGTATACGGAGCCTTGAGGCCCACGTCGCGGATATACGTCAGACTCAAACCGCAATTCAGAACACATTACTGGAAATTGCTTCTCATCTTCGCGGGGGCCCTCCCTTCCATTCCCGGTCCCCATCGTTTCCGGCGTTCGTACATCAGTCACCGAGCGCCCTATCTATGGGGTCTCCGAGCGTTTCAACACCTACCACAGTACAACATCCTCCGCAGCTCATGTTGGATACCTCACATGCTGGACCGACGTCGCCTTCAAGTAACGGGGCGATGACTCACGGTTCTGGGCCTATGTCCGCCACGATGAATTCAACTGCTCATCGGCCAAATCGCGATCCGACGCCCACCCATTATCGGAGCCCTTCATTGGGGGCGACAGGTCGCCGTCCTGTTAGCCAACACGATGCCCACAACTCGCAGCTCTCAAGCTCTAGCAGTATGATGTACCCGCCCCCGAATCCGCCTACACACCGTATGTCCGCACAGGGAACTACTCTTCCACCTTTCTCAAGCATATCAAGCATAGAAACCATGGGCCCACCCCGGAGTCAGCCTCCGAATGTTTCCTCCGTGCGATACAACCCGGGCGAAGGCTCGCGGCAAGTCCACCGAACTGCCAACGGTCAGGAAGCCACGGTCGGGTCGAAGAGGGCTGCACCCACCTCAAATGTCACCAGCGCGGACTCCTCTGACGTCGAAGACGATGACGGGGAACTTCCTGCGTCTGGCCTAGTAGCGCCCTGGGAAGTCTTGCGTGGCCTGGCCGACGTCGCCATCCAGCGAGCCGCTAAGGTAATGACGCAGCGCATTTAATTACTGGTGTCGATGTCCTGACCATCACATCTATTACGACAGGAGAACGGGGGTGAGGTGAGCGAGCCTCCGAGTCGCGCGCGAACCCCGTCACCGGACCCGCGTCAGCCTCGACCACCGAAGCGGCGAAAAGTTACCCATAAACAGCCTAGGTTTGCCACTTTCCCTGATGGTAATGATCTCATCTGTCGCTGTGTCCACGGAGCTCACGATGTATCTACAGTTGTCACAAAGAAGATCATACCGGAGTCAGAAGCTCGAGAACTATTCCGGATGTAAGTAGGAGCTTTCTCCCGCGAATACCTATCTGACGTGCAAAGTAGATTCTACCACGGCTGCTCTACGTTCTTACCCATATTTGATGCCAATGTGGATACCTTCGAAGCCCTCCATGAACGCTCGCCATTTGCCGTGGATTGTATTTGTATGGTTGCAGCGCAAGTACGAGACGGAGGAGGTAAGCGATACTCAATGCGGTACATGGCCCTGCCTGAATGGATGGCTCACAGGCAAGCCGAGCGAAACCTTCCTCAAATGCCAGGAAGAAGTGCAGGCCATATCTTGTGCTACCCTGTTTTCACCTGTGACCCGACAAGAAGCTGTACAAGCGATGAGTGAGTAGTCAGTTCAGGCATTCTACCGTATCACCAGCACTTACGTATGCCGCTATAGTTCTTGTGTCCGGATGGTCAGATAACGGTTGGTTGAGCGGAGGACACGCAGTACGTATGGCCATGGAGTTGTGTAGGTCCCACACCGCTGTTATCATGTATGCGAATATTGACGTTATTCTAGCGATGCACAAGGCCTGGCCCGAGTTGCTGAAGAGAATGAAGGCCAACAAGGCATCTGACTCGCCGAAGGATCGCCAGCTGGTAATCGCTGCCAGAACCTGGTTTTGCTTGTATCTCTTCGAACATCAGTACGTCACGAGCTTGGTCGACACGCGTATGCATACCGACATTGTACCAGGATGTCCTACGGGACGGGTAGGCCGTCGATCCTCAAGGATGATGAAAGTATCTGGCAATGTCGGCACTTGTTGCAGCACCCGCTTGCCATCGAGGACGACATGCGGCTGGTCTCTACCGTTGAACTCATGGCTATCCGAGAACGGGTCAACAACAATCTATCGCCGCTGTTCGACAAGCCCGTCGATGACATCACGTTCAATGTCCTGCGCGAAGCTGACATGGAATTCCGCAACTGGTACGCTACGTGGGATCAGGCCTTTTCGCGGAAGTATGAGGACGCTGGTAAGTATTCGCGTGTTGATCGCAGCACAGGATAGTTACTCAGAATGCCGTAGCTTTCTATCGTCAGAGTCTGCAGATACAGCATCTTCATGCCGAGCTATACCACAATGCCACGGCCCTCAGAGGTGTCGACAGTCCAGAAGACGTTCTCAGAATACCTGCTGCTCAGCGCGACTTGGCCATCAGGTCTATCCAGATAGGACGGCAGGTACTCGATATCACTGTCAATTCCCCTGCATACCGAGAAGGCATGAAATATGGTATGTTGTCTCTCCGCGATGTAGACCATTCGCTGATATTCTGTCCTAGCTGTGCATTATACCCATGCAACTGCAACTTTTTCCGCCTCATTTTTGTTGCGCTTGGCACGGCTATTGTGCGTGTACAATGGACTCATAGTATATGCTTATTGGCTGACTGCTTGCAGCCCCGATCAGTACGATTTGCAGGAAGTGCGTACGACGGTGGAACGTCTTGCCATGCTTCTCGCTGAAGGTTCGTGGCTTCATTGACTGGGTACGAGCGTGCTAATGCAACCTATTTTAGTGCCTGGGCGGCGTTATGCGCTTACGTTGCAGCTAATGTTGAAGCGTTTCCGGAAACGCTCTGCCTCCACTTCTCGCTCGCCGCGGACCGCTCGTCCGCGGTCACATAGTAACGCGAGTTACAGCCACGAGTCGATGGGTTCTGCGCCGAGCCAGCAACCCGCGTCGTCCACATATGATGCGTCGTATTCGAACCATCCAGGTCAAACCGCCATGGGTCAAATGCAAATTGGGTACTCTCAACCCATGACACAGTATGCCCCGAACGCGGACCCAAGCATAGATCTCATATGGCGTGGATTCGATACGACGGCCAACGAGCAGCTTCCGGTGTGGCTGTCTGACCAAACCCTGGGTGGCGGCTCCGTCATGCAGAATGGTATGGATGCATTCCTATTGCCGAACGACTATTTGCCGCCTGCGCCGCAAATCTGGTGATGTACGCTCTGTAGCGATATCGGCAATTTTCCTTTGTTGTATATATTACCTTTGTACTCATGCTGGCCAAGGCGCACCTGCTGTTGTGATCGCGTAGTTAATAGCCGTACGTATCGTTCGCGCTGGGACGTTCCGTGTACTCGATATGAGTTATACTTGCTATCCTGCTGTATCGCTACTGGAATGCATTTTGGTTATCTGCCATGTAAACAATATTTGTTGGCGTGAGTAGAGCTGGAGCGATGGACTTGCATAGGCAGCGTATGTACATGCGCGTCGCGCACACGGCCGAGGAGTAAGTAGGCGCTTGTTAAGCAATCCCACCAATTGGGCGCCAAATTATAATCCCTGTCGTAGTTTGCCATCTCGAGCACGTGCATTTTTTTCAGATCGCCCATCCTTCCTTTCCTCCTACCACTATGCCTGTAGCTGTGGACGGGGTGCGTCCCAGCTCACCATCGAGGCCCAAGGACAAGGAAACTAGACAGCCTCAGGATGTACCCCTCCCGGAGACCCCCAAACCATCGGGAAAGCGTAAACGGAAGGGGAAAGAAGTGGCGGAGACGAGTCCTCCGAGTGCACCGCAGATCACGGATGAGAGTCCGTGGTCTTGGAAGTCTTTGACAGAGGAGTCGGCGAGCAGGGTCCCACCATTTTTCACGAAAGATGGACGGTGCGTATTGGCCTACATATCAGCGCACTGCATCTGACGCTTGCGCAGATACTTTTTCTATGTTACTGGATCTGCTGTGAAGATCTACTCTTCTACCACAGGCCAAGTCGTGTCCACGCTCAAACAGCTCAGCGTGAACAGTTTTGGGGGTCACCAAGACCCTCTTGCGTCGCATGTCATCACCTCTGCAATTCTGTCCCCGCACAATCCTTTCCAGTTGATCACTGGATCCTCTGACGGTTATATCCGTCTATGGGACTTCCTAGATGCCGTCCTTCTCCAAACGATCAATGTCAAGAAGCCAATCATGCAAGTCGCTGCTCACGAGTCGATCAAGGGTTATGTCTTCGTTTCCGTCGATCAAGGGACTAAGAGGAAGACTAGTAAAGGTATTATCAGCTGCGTTCACTCGACAACGGTCTGTACTGACTTATCTGGCTACTAGCGAAGCGCGAGACTTCTGAAATCAACGGCTCAGTACATCGTGTGTCGTTGCGACCATCTGCTGCTACGGCCGGCTCGCCGGTCCAACTCCCTGCAGAGACCGCTTTTGTTGGGAAGACGCGCGCAACAATGGGCTTGTCCGTGTCACCAAGTGGTGCTTGGGTAGTGGCAATCGGCGGTCACAAAGCCTACGTTTGTCCGACGTCCAACCTATCGGCCGGCTTCACCAAGTTTGTCTCACCTCAGAAGCTCACATGTTTGGCCTTTCACCCATCGGACGACTATTTCGCCACTGGAGATATCACGGGCTGCATACGCTTGTGGTATTGTTTGGACGCGGGCCTTACGAAGACTTTCGGCGTGCAGAGAACAGCTCAGACGACCACTATGCACTGGCATGCCCACGCTGTGTCGTCTGTTACGTTCACCACCAACGGAGCCTATCTCCTGAGCGGCGGTGAGGAGGCTGTACTCGTCATCTGGCAGCTACACTCGGGCAGAAAGGAATTCGTTCCCCGAGTCGGCGCACCTATCGTACATGTCGCTTTGTCGAAGACGCCCGAAGGCGAAGAGGAATATCTTCTTACCCTCGCCGACGCTTCATTTGTCTTCGTTCGCTCTGGCACGCTCAAGATTTCTAGATCCATTGCTCGCGTCAAGATAGGTATGTCAATCATACATAGCCCACTGGCGTATCGGGCTCATGCGTCTCATCGTTAGACCCCGCAATGTCTCATAATCGACCGCCTGCTTCTACTTCCTCACCCCTAGTCTTCCATGCACGGACATCCACCATCATCCTGCCGTCGTCGCATCCGTCATCCCTTCAGATCTATGACCCAGTATCCTCCAGACTCGTATCGGAACTCGAAGTTTCGCCATCGAACAGAATAGCGCGTAGAGACGAGAAACCGTTACTTCCCGCCCGTGTGGAACACGCTGTGGTGTCAGACTCGGGGGAGTGGATGGCGACTCTGGATCACCGCGACCCAGACGGGACTTTCCACGGAGAAGTCCACTTGAAGATATGGTGGTGGGACCACAAGTCCGAGTTCTGGATATTGAATACCCGTATAGAGCGTCCGCACGGGTTGTCGAGGGTGTCAGCTCTAGCGTTCCGACCAAGGGCCAGTGGTAACGATGATCTGTTCCTCGTTACAGTCGGGGCGGATGGCAACATAAAGTCGTGGGGCATCCGTACAGCGAAGCAGAAGTCTGGCAACGTGGAGGGTATGTCACTCATTTCAGCATTCAGGAACCGTAGTCTCAACTGTTCGCAGCGTTCTGGGTTGCTCGTTCCACTATGCGGTATCGTACCGAGGTCCCAACCCACGTATCGTGGTCAGCGGATGGCTCGTTGTTCGCTGTCTCCGTTGGCCCTCATGTCGCTCTCTACGACGGGAATACGAACGCCCTCCATCAAGTGTTGACTTGCGCGGATTGCGAACGTGCGGCGTCGGCGTACTTTGTGGGCATCAGCGGTCGCCATATCGCCGTAGTGGGGCAGAGAGATGTGATGCTATGGGATCTACTTACGCGCTCAAGTGAGTGCCCTCCCCTTCTATGGGAACGTGTGCCTCATGCCTTTATCTAGTGCGTTGGCGATACACAAATATTAACGTGGTTGACCGATTGGTGGTCCACCACACCGAAGAGTCCTTCGCCGTTCTCGAGCGTTGTGCTACATCCGGTCACGCATCACCATCCTCAAGAGTCATCATCCTCCACACCGCTTCCCCAGTGCCGACCGCAATACGGACGCTACCCTTCAACATTCGTGTTGCAATGTCCCATCCATCACTCGATTCGTTCTCTGCTAAACCTTCGTCATTCGTCCTCGTGGGTATTACTCACAAGTGGAGCGTCGCCGTCTTCGGTGATGAAGTACGACTACCAGAGGATAAAGGCTCCTCTGCTCGGAGTATCGGCAACGAGAGTGTGGCGGGCCCTTCCAAGCGCACGCTCTTCCATGATATCTTTGGGGCGTCTGCGCTAGTTGAGACTACGCCGAATGCAACGCTCCCACTGGAACCCGACATCACTCACTCGTGGAGGGGCAAAGAGGTCGCGGAGATTTTCGACGCGCCGACATATCTCATGCCTCCCGTTACATCACTCTTTGACACCCTAGTAGACTCTTTCCTGACTGTGAAAACGTCAGATAGAACCGCGAAGCCAGAAGAAGAGGAGGAAGAGGAGCGACAAGACGAGGATATCGAGATGGAGGACGGCACAGAGCCCCTGATTACCGAGGATCGTATCGAGCGCGTAGTGAACAAACGCGAGATGGAAGCCTTCGTTGACCTGTTCAAAAATTGTGCAATGAGAGGTAAGTACATCCTCGCTTGAGGCTTGCTCCATGTTCAACGTAACGTATCACCGCTGCAGAACCTGTCGCAACGCACCATGATGCACCAAGGAACGGCCTACACCATGCAAATGGCGGCCATCCGCCACACGCAAACGACGTTCCTCCCGCCGCACCCTCATTCGCCAAAACCAACGGCGCCAAACAAAGCTTGCCTACGCCCGCCTCCACGCCCGCGCGGACTGCCAAGGAACCGCCAACATCGCCGTCAAAAACCTCGCCCGCCGTACAGGTCGGCCAAAAACGCAAAAAGTCACTGGGATAATACAGGTAGTTGGGAGGGGTTCGTCGTCATGTAGTGCTAGCATTTCTCGCATACCATCTGCATCGATAGTCATCGCTGTCCTGTCTTACCACATGCACGCAATCTACCTTATTGGTATCACTAGCTAGTTCTCGTTGTATGCACAATTCATTTGAGGGAAACGTTGGATGGAACCGACCGATACCGGGTTCGCAACAAGGCGCATATTCTTGTGTATCTCATCATGCATCACGACCTCTCGCAATCGCTCCGCGACACGATGATGGAATACACGACACGATGCATCGCCCACATCTTCCGTAGATACAAGTCTCAAAACGTGGAACATCCCCGTCCTCGTCACATGAATCGATCAAGTGCGACCTCCTCCAGCGTGCTTGAGACCCAGAAGCAGAGAAGCACCCTCAATCATATCCACAGGGAAGAGAGCGCGGTATTCAGCAGGAATCGGAATATCGGGGTAAAATGTCTGGCTCTTCGAATTGTCGGGGCCTTCGTCCAGCTCAACACGATGCTTGCCTGTTCTCAGTACGTCCAGGTCAGAGGATATGTCCGGCGACCATTGACTCCTGCAGGCGCTGGTCCGAATTCGAGACCGCTTCTCCGCACGCGCACAGGCCCATTCGAGGTCCGGTTTCCTCATCCCAGCGATTGGGGTTCGCACTTGGTGACTAGCGATGACTGGGCCGAACACATCGTCTTCGAACAGCAGCATAGATGGACTGGCGGTGTCGATCGAAGTGTGAACCAGAGCAGGCGTCGGCGGAGACGAGGGCATGTGCGCCCAGATGTCCTGGGCGTAGGCCTCTTCACGGCGGAGACTAGGCGTAGCGTTGGCAGACCTCCCAGCAGAGACACTAGGAGTGGGCGTAGCGGTACGCTCCCTGCTAGAACGGTCCTTTCTGACAGATGGCGATTCCTTCTCTGAGCTAGCGGGCTCTGGGGTCAGACCCAATAGAAGTCTTGTCGATGGTCCCAATTCGAGTGGTGCAGGCTCCACGATCCGGCCTGTCTCCTCTCTGTTAGTGAACCTCCTACTCTTCCTCCGATTCGTCTGCCGCTTGTTCTGGAACCAGATGGTGATGTTCTTCAACGGTCTTTCACAGTAAAAAGTAAGGATCAGTCGTGCTCGTTGAGAGATAATTTGACATACAGGCCGACATCGTTAGCAAGTGATTGTTTGACCTGCCGACTGGGATGTGTATTCTCTTCGTACAACGCTTCTAGACGATCCAGCTGGTGGCGGGTGATGCGGTGACGCGGCTTCTTCTCCTTCATGTTACCTGCTTCAAATACATTCTCGGTATTGTCGTTTGTGAACTGTGCCGGGATGCCTTGAACTCGACTGGGGGCGGGCTCAGAAGGAGGAGCACCGACTTGGGAGCGTGTCGTCGGGCGCATGTTGTAGTAGACAGATTCTCTGTCTTGATCATACGGGAGGGTCAATGCATGCTAGAGAATATAAGTATGGGGAGTGGGAGGCTGACTGGAGGGTAGTGACAAGTCGCACCAGGCTGCCAGCCTCAACGTCCGGCGGCCGGCCGACGGCCGTGGCCCGTTAGCCACTCACACGCGTCGCGATCCCGTGATCGTGTTCAGCGCGCTCGCGCGGGCCGTGCGGCCGACGGCTGTCCGTTCGCTTCGCTGGCATTGTTTGAACAAGACTTGCTTAATAGTCTAAGTATCCTTTAGAAAACGTTAAAATCGAGGTTGTCATGAAGGAAACAGTATACTGTTTCCACAAACCTCGTCTTCGAGGCACGTACACATCTCTAACATACAACAACACGTATGCACCAGGAATGTCCCTACACCGCACGTACTCGTAAAAGTCGTTTCGTGCTCAGTCCAAAACATGCACCACATTATGAAAAAACGAAGTACCTTCCAACTATCCTTCCGGAACTACTACTGCAATGCACAGTAATAGACAATCATAGTGACGGTCGACCCATGAAACCAAGGAGCGCCATAGCAGCCTCCATGTCCTGAGCTGGCGCGACATCGTCGTCTCGTTTACTAGGCAGCGACACCGTCGGTGACTGCAGCCCATCAAGGTGCACCGCACTGACGTCGGGTGTAATCGCCTCGTACTCTTCTGTTTCTGTATCATCGCCGTCTGCGCCCGCGCCCCTCGCCTCTCCGTCGAGTACCAACATTGGTACGTCACAGTCTTCCTCGTCCAAGACGTCCGGGTGAGGAATCTTATTCCCCCTTGCCTTCGCACATGCCCACTCTAGCGAGCGCAACGACTTGGTGCGTCGTGGGAGTGCAGAGAAGCGCACACTGTCAGCACTGGGGGAGGATGGGGCGACGGGAGGTGACGATGGTATATGCTCCCAGATGTTCGTTGGTGGGGCACGGCTAGGGGAAGCATAGCGTCGGATCGCATTTATGCGGCGCGGGGTCAGAGGCGGTCGGGTAGGGGACGCTGGCTCGGGGGTGACTCTTCGCTCGCGGGCCGACACGACGCAGTCCAGCGAGATTGCAGACTCTGATCTCGTGAGGTGCCTCTTCCTTGGGTAGGCAGGATATGCGATGCCTTCGTATTGGTTCTCTTGAGAGGGACGAGTCCAAACGAGGGACTTCTTCTTGACGCTCCGCCGCTTGTTTTGGAACCATGCGCTGACGGTCTTGAGCTCACTGCGGCGGGAATCAACATTAGCACAGTGAGGACAGACGATAGGGATATTGAGCGTACATGCCGAGCTCCTCCGCGAGCGCAGTGCGGACATCCTTCGAGGGATGGGTTTGGTACTCAAAGATAGCGGAGAGCACCACCGTCTGCTCATGTTGAAGACGTCTTCGTACGAAGGGAATTTCTCCGACGGGCTTGTTCGATTTCGGGGTAGCTGGTACGTCCGAGACCGAGTCGATAGAGGACGAATCAACGGAGGAGCAGGAAAGGACGGAGCCAGTGCGTTCGACAGGCATAATCTTGACGGCTTCGGAGGACCTCAGATGAATGTTGGGAGAGGGGGAGTGGGCACCATATGGAGACGCCAAATCGAACAGAACGCGAACGCGACGAACCGCGTCTCTTCGACGCGTCTACACGTCCAAACAACGCGTCTGCCCCATGCACGTGGGCATGTCACCACCGCGCGCCTATATCTGAACGTTGAACACAACGGGCAGGCTCGTCAGCGATGTGATTGGCCATACTATTATTACTGGATCTACGATACAAGTAAGACAAAGCGGGGTGTCAAATGAACGTATACAGTGGGGATAGCGACGAGAGCATATACAAGACTGATACAGCAAAAATTATAGCAGTCAAACGCAGCAGCAGTCAGCAAGGAAGTTCTGGGGCCAAAGGAGCGTACAAGATCAATGAATACAGTAAGGATCGTCGTTCTTCATGATTAACGGAGACGCCGCAGGCGTACCAATAGAACCCAAGTCGTTGTTCGTAAAGTTGCACAAGAAATTCATGTCAACATTCCCCTGACGCGGAAGCTCTGGTCGAGCGCGATGCGGATTTTGTGCTCCTCCGTGGTGAGATGATGCGGGTGGTTGCGCACGAGCTGGATCCGCTTATCGAGGAACGCCAGCGGGGCCTTCTGCTGGGGTGTGTACTCCTTCCACTTCTCCTCGGGGATCGCGACCACAGACAAAGGCAAGAGGAAATCGTCCCTCCCCTTCGCGAAGAAGGCCAGCTCATCGGCGGGTATCTTGTTCGTGACGAGCGTGGTCAGGTTGGGGTTCATGTGGTGCATAAACCCATGGGAAGATCTGAACGGTTCCTGGCTGAACGGATGGCTGTCATCCCTCCACTCCTGGGGGTCGGCAAGGAGGTAGCGGAACACCGCGGGGCTGTTCAAGCTCTCGATCTTTAGCACGCGCAGGTTGATCATCGAGTCGAACCACTTCATAATGTGCTCCCTCGCCGTGGTGTTGTCCTCGAACTGGACGACCGTGAGCTCGAGCACCTCTATCCACTGGAAACGCCACGTGAGCATCTCGAACAAGGGCGTGTAGTCCGCGCCCGTCATCGAGAGGAGCGCGAGGATGTGGACCTCGGGCGCGTGCATGCAGCGCAGGATGTTCATCGCCGACTGGCAGCTCATGTCGCCGAGGCGCAGTTCGCGCAGGTTCGGCATAAAGACCGGCTCGAGGAGGAGCGGCCCCTCGAACTGCGGGACGGTGGAGTGGAGGTAGAGCTTCATGAGGTTCGGTGCCTGCAGCAGCACGCGGAACTGCTGGACCGTCGGGGCCACGTCCCGCGTGAGGCGGCGGATGTCTAGAGCCCTCAGGTTCGCGGTGTTGACGGTGTCCCAGTTGAGGCTGATGCCGTTCAGGATGAGGGTCTTCAGGCTCGGCGTGTTCCCGCCGAGGAGGACGAGCGGCTCCCTGCTCTCGGGGTTCCTGAAGTGACTCGCGCTCCAGAGGTAGGGCTCCCAGCCGCGGTCGACCTGCAGGAGCTCGAGCCTGTTCGCGTTGTCCACGTTCTCGAACATCTTGAGCGCGAACCACGGGCACAGCCAGTCGCTCAGGGAGAAGATCAGGGAGCGGATGTTGTGGGCCTTCGTCCGGAAGATCTCGACGAGGAACATAACTTGCTGGTGGCTGATCGTGGGCACCTTCGGGAAGGCTATGTCGTTGATGCAGATGTCGAGGGGAGCCTCGGCGGCCCTCTCGAAGAACGTGAGGGATCGCGACCACGGGGACGGGTCGGTGAAAAGGATCCTACTCCACAACACCCCATCCCCAATAGCAACCTCGCGGAACCGCCTACACACCCAGGTGAGACGCAGCTTCTGGGTAGCTTCGCCTCGCATAACGTGCGTGCTCAGCACGACGTAGCGGAATATCTCGACGAGGAGCTCCGCGGGGAGCTCGTTGACGCGGAACATCTGCCACGCCAGCACCTTGCGCCTAAACATCTCCTTCGCGAGGTCGCTGTCGATCTGCGCGCTTTGGCGCGGGAGGATCTGCTTGCGAAGGATGTTCAGATCGCGAATGCGGGCGCGGGAACATTTGACGCGCGCATGGATGCGGCCAGTCTCCATTACCTGGTCGTAAGTCGGCTCCGGCAGGCGGTGCAGATACGTCTGGAAGAGCGCATCGTCGTTCCAATGGTCGCTGATGCGTGTTTCTTCGGCCACGGTAGGACTAAGGGGAGGGTACAGATTGAGAAGAGTCTGAGCCATCTGAGAAAATGTCAGTCGGCGACGTCGCGAAGGTCTATGAGATCTCTCACCGTCAATCTGGTCCGAGCGCCTGGAGACGTTGAGTGTGCGTCCACGGGTGAGCGAGAGAGAAGTCGAGGGAAGAGCTGGGAGTGTAATGTCGGGCAGACGGGGAGAGAAAGTGGTGGGCTGTCCGAAACCTCGTAGCTGCCTATATATGCGTTCGAGTGGCACTTGTATTCCGAAACGTAGGATGTCGCGATGGCAGATGGCATATCGGAGGCAAATTTACGACTTTAGTAGTGGCACCAAACAGAGGGTGTTTGGCAATGTGGGCGTCATTGGTAACTTGACCCAAAGTAGTAAGCCACTCACCGCCCAAACGCATCTGCCGCCTCCCGAAACCGGCCATGCTTGTCCAGACAATGCAACTGACCTTTGCTTCCTTGTGACTATACGAAGGTGAGTAACCATTGTGTGATATCACATCACCAATCCATGACTTTCTCAATCGGCTGATACCCGATCTTCATAGAACACTTGTAAGCGTTAGAGCAAACTCATCTATTCTCCCGCTGCATGGGACAAACGAGTGGCAATGGATTCATATAATCTTCAATGAATCACTCGCAGCCCTGCCGGCAGGCATGTTACGGGGCTCGATTTTCCTACAGCGGCCAGTAAGCACGTCGCTGCCACAATGTTGAATGGATGGCATGGAGACCGTGGGCAGGATCACTCACGGAACGGGGCATGCGCCAACGTGGCCTCAATGGGCGACCAAAAGGCTCCAAAAGGGAGGGACAATGGAGTAGCAGACCATTGCCTGATTGGGATGCAGCGGAAGCATCTCGATCGTGTGGTGTCGATCTCTCTCAACAGCCGCCGTCGCCCATTCATCGAATTTTCATCACGTAAAACAGCGAGCCACGTCGTTCGAGATGTACCGACGTGTGGATTACAGGCAAACTACGCTCGAGCCATTACATCTCGCCTCGTGGTGTACTCAGAACTGCAACTTCTGCGCGTCAGCCGTTCCACTGTCATACTTGCGAACGTCTTCGTGATAGTCATCGCGAGCGTCACCCTTGAAGAACTCGACGTCCTCGCTGTCCATCGACCCCGAGACATGGTCAGCTTGCCACTTCTTGATCGCGAAGCCGGGGCCCGTGTGTGAGTAGTCCTTCTCGTTCGCTTGGTCCTTGTGGTACTTGACCTGGGGGAAGTCCGAGTCCGCCGTGTCTGGATCCAGAGACAGAGACACGAGCGCGTTGATGGTGGTTGACTTGACACCACCAGGGAACGTCCACGTCTGCTCGGGAGTTGTGACTGGTGAACACTAGGTCCAACTCAACTTGTCCTCACCTGCTCATTCTTGAACTGGATCAAGAGCGGGTCATTCCTGATGACCTCATATCCCTCGTTCTTGCTCTCCTTGAACAGCTTCGGGAGCGCGAACCACTGCCCCGCCATCTTGTATCGGTCGTTGGCGTACACGAACTGGTCGTCGTACACGCAGTCTGGGGTGTAGCGTTTGACGCGCTCGCGCGTGGGCTGGCACGAGTACAGCGCGATGATGTCGTCGAGGAGGCGCTGGCGCGCGGGCGGCAGGGGGATGGAGTTGGCTGGGTTGGGGTGCATGTCGGACGAGGTGGCCGTCTGGCGGACCTCGAAGTGCTCTCCCGGCAGGGACGAGTCGTTCGGCAGGTCGATCTTCGTCTGGGATGCAAGCGCGGTCATGGTGCGGATGGATAGGCGGGGAGCGAAGGCTGAGTATATGCGCGGAACGAAGAGCATTGCTGGGCTCAGCCTATATACGACCAGGCCAGGCGGGGGGCGCGGCGATGACGCAGGGAAAGCAGATGCTTGTCACAACTTAGGCACTACAGGCTTGCGATCGGGCACGCGTCACATCCTCTCAAAAGGCCTCGGACACAACAAGTATCATTCTAAGGATCACATTTACCCCCAATATCGATACACTAACGCCTCAAGCTACGCCTTCCGATCCTCTGCGTGCGGACGACTTCACATCCAGTACTTATTGCCGTGCTGCGACACGAAGGCACCGCTCTCCTCAATCGTAGCCTTCTCCAGGACCTCCAGCTGCATCCTCACGCTCTCCTCTGGCTCCAGCGGCTTGCCGTTCCAGTCAGGGTAGAACTTCTCCAGGCGATCCTTGAGCGCGACCATTTCTGCCTGCACAGCTGGCGGCGCTGACATCCAAAAGAGCCGTCAATCGCACGAATATACTATGTGCACGGAGAACGACGTACGCGGGCCCTGCTGGGTGTTCACCAGTCCGGGGCTGATCGACAGGAAGACGATGCCCTCGTCTCTGAACCGCACGGCGTACTTGACTACGACCATGTTCAGCGCGGCCTTGGAGACGGAATACGGCCCCGCGATGGCAATGCCGACGTTGAGCGCGGCGTCGAGGTCGCCCTGCGCGGAACTCAGGGCGAGCACTTTCTTCATGGTGCCCTTGCGGATGAGCGGGAGAAACGCGTTGACGGTCTGGATGACACCAATCACGTTGACCTCGAACTGTCATAGGTCTTGTGTGAGCTGCAGCCGTTTGTTCGAGGAAAAGGGGCTCACAGAGTCACGGAGATCCTTGGCGAGGAATTCTTCGGGGCTGAGAAGCAGGTTCGTCAACACATTCATGAAGATTGTTCGCCTCGCTCACTAGGCATCCAAGGTTAGGTGCCTACGCTCCATCTCGAGGAACGCAGCATTGTTGATCAAACAGTCTAGGGTACCGTCGGTGATCTTTGCAACCTCAGTTGCAGCTTCCTACTTCACGTGAGCACCGGCCATTGACATATACGCGCGAGGTCACGACCCCACCTTCAGTGCCTGCGCATCTGCGATGTCCGCTTGCAGGACGTGAACATTGGACGAGCCATCCGCGAGCTCGAGCAGCTTTGTGGCCGTGCTCTTGTTGCGCACCAAGCCGAACACGACATTATCGGGTTGTACGCTCTACGAACATTGAAGTTGGAGCTGCCCGCGACGCTCACAGAGGGGACGTACAAGCTGGCGGACGAACTCAAACTACGCTCGACCTCGTAGTGAGTAACCTCCCACTTCGGCATCAAGATACAGACCAGGACGTACCCCTATACCACGAGCTGCTCCAGTAATCACGTAGGACGGCATATTTCCTGACGAGATAGATGTCTGTCAGTCCGATATCAGCGTATGCAGTTGAGAGCAGGTGCCTCAGGGGTGTATTATCGACTACCACTGCAGCCCTCATATACGATTCCGGGCATGTCCCAGTCGCAGCCTGAGGCCCCAGAAAATGTCCGCTCCTCAGTCATCCCAATCAATTAACCGTGTCGGACAATCGACCCACGGGGAACCCTCAGAGCGCGCGCACATATTCAGTATGTCACAGACGTGTCAAGAGCCGATGGACGATCTCCGGCGCCGGGAAACGCAATGCATGAGACGCCTGACAGATTGTGCTGCAGTGATCTGCGCTGAGCGATACTACTTACGACATATGTAATCTGCGCGCTGGATGCACTGCAGACGACTGGTACTGAAGTACTGAAGTTTTGTCAGGGTCCTTCCGATCAGGGTAAGCAGTGAGCACCGCTGGACTGGTAAAGCCGTACCGCATCGATGTAGGCTTGTACAACAGAACTCTCCAGCAAGTCAATCATCGCGGTCGTATATTCCATCGGTACCCAACAAGAATATCACAGTACGAAGGCAGGTCATTCAAAATCGTACAGTACGATAACGTACCCATCATCAGGGCATCATATGTCTGTAATCGTACACCACTCGTACAACAGCTCGATCGTCCATCCATACCAGATAGCCATAAGACAACTCAGCGCAAGAACAGTAACACGCAAGAAAGCAAGAAACAGCACAATCTACGTCACTCAATCGAAAAGCGTCGCCGTAAGGCTCGTCTTAGCCTCAGGCTGGCGCGAGCGCGAACCCGAGCCAGACGCCACGGGCTGCCTCTGGGGCGACATCAACAGCAGGTCCTCGACGATCTCGCTCACGGCGTTGTCCTCCGCGTCAGGGGACAGCTCCTTCCTGCCCTGCACGCGCGCGCGCACCATCGCGGGGAGGCCCGGGTAGTTCTCCGCGGTGAACCCCATCTGTGGACGCACGCGGCCGGATGAGAAACAAATCCTGGACATGAAGAAGGCGACAACTCACATCACCAAGGCGCCGGGTGATGGCTTGCACCGCGGGCGGCACGGGCGGCGGTATGGGCGGGGGCGGCACGGAGGGCGAGGAGGGCCCGTTGCTCACACGGCGTGTGCGAGAGGTCGGGGTCTGCACGGTGTGGCGACGCGTAGGGACGGTGAACATCTCCAGCTGGGGGAACGGGCCACGCGCGTTGCTGATGATTTGTACAGCAGAGTCCGGTCTCTCAGGAGTTTGCGTGGGCTTGGTGGGCGTTTGCGGAGCTTTGCTGGGGGTAGCCACGACAGGGTTCGAGGTAGAAGCCTCAGGAGCTTTGTCCCTGTTCTCAGCGGCCGGAGGCACAGGCTGCGGCTGAGAGCTACCGCTGTGTGCCACAGAACGATCAGTCAAGCAGCCGATACCTTTCCTCTAAGCGAGCTTACCTCTGCTCAATCTGCCTCATCCTCTCCCGCTGTTTCCTGCGTTCCTCCCTTTCATGGCGGTACCTCGCCTTCTCCGCCTTATACTTCTCCTTCGCCTCGTCCAGCGACTTTTTCAGCTCATCCCTCGACGCCCTCGGACTCGCCGCCGCCCCATACATCGTGACCTCCGCGCGGGGGACATGGTCAATTGGACTCACTTCCACCGAGCTGTCGCTCGACTCCGTGTCCTCCAAAGGGGCCCAGTCAGAGTGCGCACGCCGGTGGCGGGACCGTTCTGCGGCGGCGGGGTAGAACATGGGCACCCACTTCCTGTGGCTGTGCCTCCCGACGCCATGACGGTCCTTGGTACCGAAGACGTCGTCGCGGGACGAACCCCAGCTGAAGCTCTCTCCATGACGGTGACGGCGGCCGGAATGGCCCCAAGGCTGCGCCGAAGGGCCAGAGAACCATTCACGATAGTACGGCGCGGGAGGCGGCGGCGGGACCGGCGGTGGAGGAGGAACGATAGGTGCGCGCGAGAGCCTTGGCGGCGGCGGGGGCACTGGTGGGACAGGCACAGCAGGCGGGGGAGGCGGTGGCGGGATGTCGTTGCGGTAGCCCCAGCGGCCACTTGAGTTCGGCCACGGACCATGTCTGCCTCCATTAGCATGTCGGTCGCTCCTGCCGCCGTCCTCCGTCTCCCATTCGCTCATCCAGCCAAACGGGTCGCGACTGATGCGGCCAGAGTCCCAGCCACTATCAGCGGTGTGCCGACGGTAGGCATTCGGGCGATGGCCAAACTGCGGCGGGGGCGGGGGCGGGATGCTGCGGTTGCGCTGCTCCTGGCCTCCGCGCTGAGAGCGCGGCGTCGACGTCGTCGGGCCAGAATCGTTTGTCACGCTGAGCCTCACATCGCCAATAGTTCGTACGACGTTCGCGATAGCCTCCGCCACCCGGCGGCCAGCAGCCTCTTCCTGGGCCCTGCGCGCTTCAGGCGTACTCTCACGGGTGTTCCCAGTTGTCTGGACGCTCAGGCGGAAGCTATCCGCAGTACGCGCGACGGACTGGCGGTGCGCCTGCCAGTAGGACCCGTTGGTAGCTTTGCGAACGATAGTACGCACGTTCTCTGAGAGCTCCGGGTGCGACGCGACGACGCCCGAGAGTGTATTGAAGAGGTTCGCTACGTCGGCGGTTAGCGACGGGTTCGCGCGGAGCGGCGGCGGTGGGATGGCATCCAAGTCGGGGAGGGGCGGATCCGGCGCACCGTCGGGGGTTGTGGGCGTTTTGGATGTCGACGTGGCGCGGCTGGACAGTTTGGTAGGCTTGGGAGGCGACACCTCGCGGAATGCAGAAGACAGCGTCCTGCGGGTCTCTGAGATATCCTCGCCCGTCATGGCATTCATGTCCACGACGTGGATAGGGTACTTCTTCGGGTCGGTAGAGCCGCCGACAATCGAGGCGGTCGACGAGCCAGAGGTAACGGTGGACGCACGCTGCTTGCCTTTGTCCCTGATCGGTATGGGCACCGGCGTCGAGTCCGTCATATCCGAGTCCGCAATCGTCACTGCCTCCTGCTTCTCCTCAGCAATGGCAGCGGCCTGTTCCTGCTCGACGCGCTCGCGCTCGGCCTCGCTCTCAACGCTCTCCAAGAACGCATGCGGGCCCGAGCTCTCCGACTCCGGCGGCGGCGCGCCGAAGATCGAGCCCAGGCCGGGCGCGATGCCCTGCCAGCCGTCCTCGTCCTCGACGTCGTACATCATCGGCACGCTCTGCCCAAACGTGTTGCGGTAGTTCGAGCTGCGCGGGGTGGCCGGGAGCGGCTTGTTCCTCTCCGCGCCGAGGTCGACGACGGCGAACTTCGCGACCTTGGACTCGCCGGGCGCGCCCGGCGGGACGCCGCGATAGAAGTCCTGGAGCTCGCCCTCGGAGCTGAGCGTGACCTCGTCGCCGTCGGCGTCCACGTACGCGACGGCGACGTCGCCCCGCGGGATGTGGTAGAGCGCCTCGATCTTCGCGGCGAGCTCGTCCCAGGTGGGCGGTGTGTCGAAGGTGATGCGGCGGGTGAGCCCGTCGGGCGGCTTGGTGAGCTTGATCTGGATGTGTGGTGCGGCCATGATGGGACTTCAAGCGAATACGGTGTGCATGCGGGGAGCAGAGCAAGTCTTATAGCGTTCAAACCCCGCCGCTGCGGTGTATATGATCGAGACGAGGCCCTGCCTAGTTTAGCACCCATGACGCAGTCCTTTCACAGCCGCGTATCCATCCAGTCTCACTGCGACGCTGCGTCCGCTGTCACAGCAAAACATCCGGCTGAGCAACACACACTTTACGCAGTTATTGCGACAACACAAATCTAGACATTCACGTGTAGGTTATATGTATGGTACAGTGTACACACAACATTCTTTATTCTTCCCGCTCGACGCAGCCTCTCACGCGAAGATCGCCATGCGCGGGTCAATGTCAGCCGGGTCGTTGAGCTGTGCACAGCAGCGTCAGAACCTCGCTCGAGCTAAACAGGAGACCGGGAATACGCACCCGGAGGTTGATGTTCAGCGAGCTGATCGCCTTCACCTCGTCCTCACCGAGCGTGAACTTGTCGACGTCGAGGTTCTGCACCAGACGGTCGTGGTTGTTCGACTTGGGGATGACGGCGAGACCCTGCTGCACAGCCCAGCGGAGCAGCACCTGCGCCGTAGCTGCGTAGGTGGAAAATTGACATCAGCATCCCGACGCAGCCCGCGCGCACGCAGCGTTGTATGACTCACTCTTCGAGTGCTTCGACGCGATGCTCTGGATCGCGTTGTGCTCCATGAGGTTCTGCGCGCCCTTGTCAGCGCCGAGCTCGACGTAGCTCTGCGGGCCGAGCGAAGAGTACGCCGTGATCGCGATGCCGAGGGTCTTGCAGAGCTTGACGAGGGGCTCCTGCGTGAGGTAGGGGTGGAGCTCAACCTGGTTCACGGCAGGCTCGTAGCGCGCATAGCGGAGGATGTCGAGGAGGATGGAGCCCTGGCAGTTCCTGCAGGCGTACGTCTCAGCGATGCGCACTGCACATGCGAATCAACTACGCACGAGACACCAATGTTCTTTGCCACTCCGGCATCCACGAGCTCCTCCATGGCGCCCCAGGTCTCCTGGAAGGGGACCTTGGCTGCACACGCTATGAGTCCCGACATATGCCGCATACATTGAGTCTGGGACGTACCGAGGTGCACCTTCTTGTCATCGCCCCACCACTCGGGCGGGTAGCGGTGGCTGGGGTCGACGTACTCGAGCGCGATCGGGAAGTGGACGAGGAAGAGGTCGAAGTAGTCGATGCCCCAGAGGCCGAGCTGCTTCTTCGCAAGCGCGTTTACCTAGTGACGTCTGTAAGCAAAGTCGCTCGACAATGTGGGGAAAATGCACATACGTGCTCACGGGCGTGGAAAGTGTTCCAGAGCTAGTACGGCACATTCTTGTCAGGCGCCGCATGCGAAAAAGTATCTGTGGTGAGTACACACCTTGGAGGTGACCCCTGTGATAATGCGGCTGCGGTCAATAGTGGCTCTGGGAAGACATGACATGGATTCACTCACAAACATCCTCGCGCTTCACGATGCCGTCGGCAATAGCACGACGGAGGCCCTCTCCAGCCTCCTTCTCGTTACCGTAGTCACCAGCACCATCGAGGAGACGGTAGCCAGCCTTGATGGCATTGTACACGGTCTGAGTGCGTAGTTAAATGAGTATTTGTGTGCCCGTAGTGACACGGGATCCTACGCACGTCCGCGCAAGTAGACTTGGTGACCTGCGGGATGCGTCGTTAGTGCCCGAATCGTCAGCCACTGCCTAGGAGCGGACATACCTTCCAGAGACCGAAGCTGACGACATGGGTGCGCGTGGTTAGCTGTCGTCGATCATATTATGTACTCGAGGGAGGATCTCACCCGACGAGCGGCATCTGGCGCGCGTGCAAGATGTCATGAGCGTCAGACGGAAGCGAGACGTCGGGGAGCGTACCTTGGCACCGGTCCTCTTGAGCGCGACGGTAGCGTGCTGGGCCATTGCTGGGTGAGTGCGAGTGTGTGGTGGGAGGTGAGGGAGGGGGAGACGGAGAAAAGCTGGGGCGCGGGGAGGATTTATGTGGGGAGGGACGGGGTGTCGCGGGCCGTGGCTAGGAAGGGGGCATCGATGGGGGCGATAGAAGACGGGCAGATGCGCGGCTCATCGAATTGTCAGGGGGCCCTCTGTCCGCCAGCCAGTGGCAGTCTGGACAGCGTCCTCCTCGGCCTCTTCTCGGTTCATCCCCTCAACGCCATCCCCGGCCCCTGCCGCGGGCCGCCCGATCACCCGTCCCGCCACCACCGTCGCGTCGCGTCCGCCACGTCCTCGACGCGGCCTGCACAGCGATGCACATCCACGTCCTCGGCTTTGGCGCCATCGGCACCCTCGTCTCCCACTACCTCCGCGCGGCCCTCGACCCCAAGCACACCGTCTCCGTCGTCCACAAGACCGCCGCCACCGCTATCAAGGCGTCCCACCTCCCTGGTGTCAAGCTCGAACGCAACGGCGTCGTGCGCACCGAGCGGGGCATCCTGCACGTGGCCAGCGACCCGTCTGCCTATGCCCTCCTCAAGGAGCAAGAGGCGACCCTGCACCCCGCGGCGCAACGCGAGACTGACGAGCCTCCGACGCAGACCGAGCCGGTGCAGCAGCACAGCGCAGGTCCCATCGAGTCTCTCATAGTTGCCACCAAGGCCCCCGAGGCCGTCAGTGGCATCCGCGCCCTTCTCCCGCGCCTCTCCGCCGCCAGCACCATCGTTCTTCTCCACAACGGCATGGGCGTCTACGAGCAGCTCATCGGGGACGTCTTCCGCAACAGACTGCACCGACCGCACATCGTCGTCTCGGTGAACAACCATGGAGCCTTCGTCAAGGACTTCGGCCAGGTCGTCCACACCGGCGTTGGCAGCATTGAGCTGGGTATCATGGCCGACACGCACGGGCGCGACTTCGAGGGGAGCATCGACACCTCCCTCCCCAAGGAGGAGCAGAAGCCGGAGCTCAACGACATCACGCCCCTCCAGCGCGACCCCGACGCGACGCGCTACCTCTCCCTGCGCAACACCATCTCCGCCCTCACGAGCACCACCGCGCTCGACGTGTCCTGGCGCCCGCTGGCCGACGTCCAGCTCGCGATGCACCGCAAGCTCGCGGTGAACTGCGTCATCAACCCCCTCACCGCGCTCCTCGCCTGCCGCAACGGCGACCTCTTCAAGCACCCCTCCGGACGCCGCCTCGCCGCGCAGATCTGCCAAGAAATTTCCAACGTCTTCTACGCAGAGTGGCGGCGGGAGGTCTGGAAGATCCCTGCGGGGAAAGGCGAGGACGAAGCCTCGGCAGCAACGGACGACTCCACAGATGAAGACGTTACATTCGTCCCATCCTCCATAGCATTTTTACCTGTGTCCCGCAGAATCGTCCTTCAGAACCCCTTCCCGGCGGGTCTGCACCAGCAGCAGCTCCTCGATGAGTGCGCCCGCGTCGCGGAGCTCACCCGCGCCAACGTGTCCTCGATGCTCGTCGACATCCGCCGCGGCCGTCCGACGGAGATCCACTGCCTCAACGGCTACATCCTCAAGCTCGCGAAGAAGCACAGGGTCAGCGTGCCCGTCACCGCCGCTCTGATCGACCTCATCCACCTGCGGCAAAAGATCCCTATCGATAAGCCGGTCCCTTTGCTCTCGGTGCTGTAAAGAAGGCCCGCAGACGCGTCGCGCGTGCGGGTGAGTAGCCTGCCCCCACTTAATCTCGGCGGCTCCGTAATGCTCATGATTGTCATTCGAAGTGTGGGGTGGATACCCCGGACTTCCCCACGAAGATAGCTTGCGCTCGGAACAGACGGTTGCGACCGTCAGGCCACTGGGAAGGTCCCCGTCCACCGTGAGGAGAATACTTACCCGCCTGGGGTGGACGTTCAGTTCTACCGCGGACGCGGACGGACCTAATGCTCATCAGAAGACCGTGACGCGTAGCTCGATAATCTCCTCTGAACGAGCTGCTCGCGATGCGCTGGATGGATCGGCAGTACCACGGCACCCTGCACGGAGCCCATCTTTCCGTTCCGCAACCTTCGCACTGACGCACACCGGGGGGCGTCGGGCAGGGATCCGGAGTTGATTGTACGTTCTACACGGTGTCTATCATTTGCAATATCATTCCTACGAGCCTACCGGCTCACTTGCGTTCAAGTTGGTTGAGATGCATGTGGTGCGTCCCATACAACCACATATGTAACCCGTAACGCGTTCCGTCGGGCTCTCCGTCCTGTCTGTCGCGGATAAATGTCGACAGAATACTCGCTCATACCTACGGCCGGTATCACATCGATACAGCGTCGCTCTGATGGAGGAAGCGACGTCTGGCAGTTCCGCTCCATGAGTCTGCGTCGAAAGCGCCTTCACGTCTATTCGCGAATGTACCGCGGCAAGCCTATCTACATGGTACATATGGTATGAAACGCGGTGCACTATCCAAACCCTGATAATGGTCATCTCGCTGCACTTGAACCCTTTTGTTCTACCTGGGTAGAGCCTTCTCCTTGATGAACACCGCAAACACGATGGTCAGCGCGGACAGCGACACCGCGAACCACAGCGACCTCTGCGCCGCGTCCTGGTACGAGCTCCGCACCAGCGCGCGGACCTCCGGGCTGAGCTCGTCGATGTAGCTGAGCGACTCGCGCACGCGTTTGATTATCTGCGGATCAAGAGTGGTCGGTGAGACTAACATGAGAAGGGATGGAGGTGGTCACGGACCTCCTCAACGTCGGCGCCCGTGAGACGCGCGCGCAGGTGCTGGCGCAGGGTCTCTTGCGTGAGGGTCATTGACGCGGAGAGTATGACGACGCCACCCAAGGAACGGAACAGATACGAGACTGGAAGGAAGAATGGTCCGTCAGTGAGCGCGCCTCTCGATGAAAGGGCAGACTGACCAGCTGTTGCAACGGCCTGATTTTGCTGCCCGGCGTTTGCGAGCATGGCTACAAGCGTGGTAGTCAAGCTGCCCCCTGCAAGTCATAGATGGTCTCAGCACAGCGCAACACACCCATGCTGCGAACTACTCACATCCTCCGAAGTTCATCAATGCCAGACCTGCAGGGATGTCAACACAGACTATCAAGTATATTCTCAAAGTACTTACCGGTGCACAGGCCAGCAAGGGTGAACGCCACAGGGCCGGTCACCCCCGCAATGATCACATTGCCAACGAACGACAGGAAATAGAGCAGGATCGTGAACAAGTAGTACTTTCCAGTCGCCTTGATGACCAGCCCAGCGAGCACGCTACCGATCGCCCCGGCAATGACGTTCGACAGAAGGGTCAGCCCGACCTGGCTGGGCGTGAACCGCCGGACGGCCTGCAGATACAGCGGGACCGTGAAGAGCATCGTCATGTTCGCGCCAACCATAAGGAAGTTCGCCATATAGATGCAGAACAGGGTGCGGTTCCCGACGATGTGCCCCGGCGTGATGGGCTCCGACGCTACGTACACCTCGATGATGATGAACAGGGCGGTCAAGGCGCCGGACACTGCGAAGGCCGCGATGGTGAAACGGTCCGACCACGCGACGTTGCCACCGCGGTCGAGCGCGAGGAGGAGCGCGAAGATGGCGATCACAAGTGTGAAGGCGCCAGCGAAGTCGATGCGCTTGAGCTTCGCTTTGACGTCTTCCTGATTTTCTTTGGGAGGGAGCTTGAGGCCGAAGCCTATTGACAGTAGTGCTAGGATGGCTATGGGCACCTGGATGATGAATGCCCATCTCCACCCGATTGTATCTGCGAAAAGACCTCCAATCGGCGCACCAGTCGCCTGGCCGCTTGCGAACACAACGTTGCCTATTCCTTGCAACGTTCCCCGGCTACGCAACGGGACGATGTCAGACATCAGGATGACACTGACTCTGTAGGTCCATGAGGGTGTTGAGCTCTGAGTCTTGGAATATGTGAATTTCACTTACGTTGCAACACCTCCGCCGCCAATACCCGCGATTGCGCGTGCGATGACCAGAGAATTCATGTCGGGAGCGAGGCCGCATAGCAGACTACCGACGGCAAAGATAGACATGGCACACATGAGGCATGCCTTCCGCCCGAAGATGTCACTGAGCTAGATTTGTTCTCAGTTCCGGCAGTCACATACAGTGCACATGGACGCGACAGACCTTCCCGTATAGTGGTCTACGGAGACAACGTCAGAGTATGCTCAAACTGGGCAATCACATGTATACGCACTGGAAGCTCGTCATTGTGAGCATGTATCCGGTGGCGATCCAGCTGGTGTTTTCTAAACGATGGAACTCACTGCCAATGGAGGCATACGTCGAGGCTACAATGGTTCCATCCAGTGCCATGAGGAAGATGCCAAGCATCATGGAACTCATCTAGTAGAAAAAGACATTAGCATGCGCATAACCTGCTTCCGCTCGCATAGTACGGAGGCCAGCGCTGGATGCATATTGGGCAGAATATAGCCTGGCGTACCACTGCTGGCATAGACACCTGGAGCTTCGGGGCACCCTCATCTTGTGGACATGCCGCCTCGTCAACACCGTTTTGTGCGTGCCCATTCGTGTTCACTTCCTCCTGGGCATCGTTCAGCAAGGGTGTCCGTTCGTCGACAGCCATTCCGAGTCCGCGAGTCTGCACAGCGGACGAGTACCTCGTCTGTTCACCCAGCTACGGGCGCACTCAAGTTGAAGATAAGAGGATAGCCATGGGATGATTACTGTAAGTCCTCGGACTCCAGACGGTTTCGTTCGGCCAGGACCCAGCGTCGGTGACGACGTTCGGTAGTGTTTGATTGCGATGAGACTCCCGCGCGCCCGAACCCAGTCCAGATTGGGTTGTGAAACGCTGTTGTGGGGAAAGCAAGCACCAAGACCTAGGTGGTTCAGCCGGAGCGAGGCATTGCATGACTATTCCGCGCGAGCAGTAAGTATGGATGTGACTGCAGTGGGAGGACGACACACGCAATCAGGCATCATGCTCATTGAATCCGACGAAGTCGTGAAAGACGCCGCCGCCGGGCGATCGCCGTCAACCAGGACCGGTACCGTCGATCATGACCGCCACGGACACAAATCACAAGCGTCCAACTCGCGACTGGTCGGCGAGAACATATAGCATTCATCAAATATTCAAGCTCAAAGTTCGAACATGACCCAGTGCCTGAAGTACCAGTCAAATGGAAATATCGATGTGCGTGTATATCCGAGGTGTACAATCGTAAGCTACAGTTTGAATCAAGGCATGCAAGAAGGATCCCCAAAATTCCAGGGTATAGTGTTTTCAAAATCAATGTGTAGATGGCGTGTCGAAAGAAAGCTTGCGGTTCCCCAGAGTTCCCCTGCGAACCCACGAACAACCTACCTGGTCGTCCTCGGGGAACAGGGTCTGGAGTTCCTGTGTGGGCAGCAACCGGCCGCGTTTGTGGGCATTGTCCAGATGGACGCCTTCGAAGAACCGTCCAAAAATAGAGCGATTCACGAACATACGTCTGATTACGTCGGGCCTCACGTCGACAGGGTAAAGGTCCTCTTCCGCCGCGTCTGTGCAACGCGTGTGAGCTATGTGACGGATGCAATGAAACTCAAGACATACAACGTTTGCTCCCGTCGACGGAGACGACCCAGTAGAAGGGCTGGTTCCAGCCCCGAGTAAGCCTCTGTACCTCCATCACCGGCGACAAGTCCTCCTTTGCTAAGCACATCGGCTGTAGGGACCACAGTGAGCAAATAGCCGCTCAAGCCCGAAGACAACCACTTACGTGCCAGCCAATAATGCAGCCAGCATACTCGTACTTCTTGTGCTGAACGATCAGCCCGACGAAGTACATGACCGAACGCTCCCCAGTGCGAGGCCACACTGTCCGCGCAAACTCCTCGTCCGTCTCCACGAGCTTCTCGCAGTGCTTCGCAAGGATCTCGCGCGCCGGCGGATTGAGAGCTGGGCAGACCACATCATTGAGGACTGCCAGGGCATCAAGGGGCTTGGAGTCCATGTTCTGCGAGAGGGCTTGGTTGTCCTGGGACTGCAAGAGGGAGATGCAGAACGCTGCATAGCTGCACCACGCGTGGTTCTCGGTAAGCGAGCCTGCCGCCCGACGCTGGTTCCAACGCACGGCAATGATCGTGTTGGCTGCCGCACGATGGAGAATCGTACCGACCTTGCACGGACGGATGATCTCCGCAGGCATATCCGGTCGCAGGCCGATGTCGACCAACATCTGACGCAGGTCGCGGCTGGTGAAGATCAGGGGCTGGGATTGCCCGCACACGTCGAAGAGCATCTCGTTCTGTTCTGGGTCTATCGGGTCGATATGGCATAGAACCTTGCCTGGGTAGTTTGTTGGTGATGCACGGATGCCCAGCTTCCGAGCGACAGATGTGTACACGTAGACGAGGCCCATTGGTATCGTCTTACGACTCTCGGTACGCATGAAAGCATGGGGGAACTGGTTAAGGGGATTATAGAAGTCGTCGCCTGAGGAGGCAAGCACTTAACTATTGCAATGCTACGATCTCAGCAATGGTACGCACCTTCGGCAATACAGAACCCCATTCCGCGTAGGGTCTCCCGCAGACGCACCACGAGAGATGGTAGGTCATAATCAGGGCTGACCGGGTCCAGCTCGATGCCGCCAGCGGTCAGCTGCACTCGGCAGTCGTGTGCAAGCATTCCAAGCCATGAGGATATCTGGGACACATTGGACTATGGCTCAGCCATTGAAATGGAAGAGCGAACGTAGAAGTACTCACATGCTTCGGCGACTGATCGTAGAAGGCTGACAGACCTGCTAGAGCATCTTCAAACGTGACTGAATGTTCCTCTTCCTCCGCAGAGTACAGGCTGGCCCATTTCTGTAGGGTATGATGACGGGCGACGACACCCATCATGGCCTTAGCCCAGTATCTCCGCGGCAAGACATGAGGAATGTCATCCACATGCGCATCCATGTCGACGTCCTCGTCCAGATACCCTCCGTCGTTCCCTGAGAGCAAGTACGCCGGGACGGGCAACTGCGCCTCCCTCTCGAGCGCATTCCACACATCAAAGGAGAACTCCTTGACGAACGCAGCGGCTCTCGCATGGCGCCCACTGAGCTGCAGCCTGATCTCGTCGACGGCCTCTAGCGCCCTCCGGTCCAGCTTCCTCCGCGCGATGTACATCCGCCTGTAGTCCCCCTTGGTCTTCTCCCGCCGCTGCGCCTCCCGCTCCTCCACGCATTCCGTGTACCGCGCGCAATAATGGTGTTTCCAAACGGAGGGCTGCAGCGCGGCTACACGGAGCTGCGAGTGCGCGCCGAGGCAGTTGACGAGCGTCTTTACACTTGTGTCCGCGAAGTCATCATCCGGCGGGAGGAACCTGAGCACGTCCGCGTAGAGCTCCGTGGGCAACCAGGGCCAGTGCCTCTGCATTCTTGCTCAGCGTATGTCGAACGTAGGAGTGGGTGAACTGGCACGGCAACCAGCAGGGAGAAACAGTGATAAGCAAGCAACGCGCAATAGTACTACCGGGGATTTTTGACGCATTCGCGAGTGCGGGACCCACCTGATTGTGTGCTTCGGCAAGGATGCTCGCAAAGCCGGCAGATAGTACTAATTGCTGTCCAGAGCTACCCGGGAGACGATATTCGCGGCGATGGGAGGTGCAGCGAGAGCAATTGGATCCGCGGCATTCGCGCGGCCCATTATATCGTGCGCACGCTAGGCTGTGAGACGGAAGGGCGTCTCGCCGGCGGGCCCAACTGGACTGGAGGAGCAGATAGTTGAGAGGATGCAGAAGTGCTCCCGGCACGGGCGAGCACTGGCATGGCAAAAGGACCGCGGAGATGTAGCAGGAATAAGCAAGGGGCACGCCGCAGCGGCTAAGTGTGGATCAACGCCCGAGGCTTTGTGGCGAACTGGGCGCGGGCATCACGCGGGCAGCGCGCCCAAACGTACGAGCGGGTACCAGTTTGAATACGATTACGGAATACATAAAAACGATCGTGCTAGAATCAGTGTCCACAGTCCAAACATGAATACGGAGGCAGCAATAAGTCCAGTGTTAGTACAGTAATATTTTGAGCTTTAGCGTCGAAGTTCGACAGTATGTCCTTTCCCTCCCGGACGCGACGGCGAGATAGGTCTCGCAGGCCGAGGCGCAACAACTGCATTGCGATTGAGGAGCACCGACAGGCACGACGGTCGGACACCCTGAGACGGGTCTTCGGCGACCACTCGCAGCCTCCGGCCTTAGTGGTCGTCAGCACCCTTGTAGCCCCACTTGATCGTACGCGTCGCGCCATCTTGCCAATCTTCCACGCGCCGCCGTGAAACTGTCGAATAAGTCGAGCGGTCCGTGCCGACGAAGCCCATGGCACTTGACTGGATCGCTGCATCGAGGAATACAGGGTACCTAACGCGGACATGGCCATCAACGTGGGTTCAATTCCAGGCGGCTGGCACAAGACACAATCACGGAACGTACCACTTTCCGTAGTTCTGTTCGGTCTCCCAGGCGTCATGGTCAATCTTCACCCATCCGAGGGCAGTCACCTCGTCCCACCAAGCCTGGTCCTTCTCGTCGCTAGTGAGGATCACATGGGTGTCCGGTATGTCTATACCCTTGCGCAACCTGATCTCATCCTGAATTTCCCTGCCAGGCAAGTGGTACATACGTCAGGCGCGATACCAAAGAGGCACGCGGACTTTACTCACCGAACACGCCTCTGTATGACGGAGATCGGGGCGAAGCAGTCCTCCGTGTTGTCCGGGTCAGTGCACCAGTTCTTGAAATCACCATGACGTTGGTGTATGGCAATGTACTAGGCGCACAATTAGCCCAATGGTCGGTCCAGGACGGCATCAACTTACAGGAGGTACTTCAGCACCATCTTCAAGACCGAAAGCCCGTCGCACGTAAGCATATGCGAGCTCTTGGAGTTCCGGAGTCCAGTGCATGTACGCCCCAACGAATCGCCAAGCGGGGGCAAAGTCATGCTCAAACTCGTCATCCTGGGCATACTGGTCGGCATCGTACTGGCAAAATGAACAGGGGGACGTACCCTTTGCGCAACAACGTAGTACAGGTAGTCATAGCAGACCACCTGCTCATCAGGGGGCAGCTGCACCTGATGCTCCGGTGATGGGAGGTTTGACACGAGATTCTCTGGGCGTTCGAGTTCTTCGCGGAAGGCTAGCCTTGCCAGCTGCCAGAACGCGGCCGACCTGCTATGGACGTAGTTCGGGATCAACTTCACCCATTCCGGAGCACGGGTATAGGAGATGTCTGTTGGATTTGCTCAACCATTTGCGATAAACTGGAGATGGTAACGACAGACTTACCTAGGCGAAGATGGAACGGAACCCAGCTACCTCTGGGCTGCGGTTCCGAAGGATTTGTCACCTCCCAAACGTTCCAGCAGCCGATGTCATCGAGAACCTCGCTCTCGGGATCCTTGACTTCTCTCCATTCCAGGATGTCGATACCAGACTCGTTGATGAAGCGCGGCACGTCGAATACATCGCCGAACGGCACGTTCTCGCCTCCCACGACATGGGACGCTGTAAACATCCCAACAATGGGGACGCGACTTGTGATGACGCCGAGGTAAATGAGATTCATGTAGGTCATGACGTCGTTAGCTACAGTTCACGAGAAGGGAGGGTCAGATTCAGTCAAAAAGCCGGACAGAAAGATGCCAAACGCACTCCAGCCAGCTGAGATCCAGGATGTGATGTACTGCACATCGTCGCGTAGGTTGTCGCGGAAACTCTCGGTCGGTGGTCCAAGAACATACGGTGAGTATGGGGTCGTATCATTGTCATACAGGACGGCATCAGACTGGGGGGCCTCTGGTTGCGACGGTGATGGGTCGGCATGTGTAACGGATTCGATAGCAAGGGAAGATGCGGAAAGCAAGGAGATGGATGCGAACGCGAGGATAGTGATGATGGAGAACGATGCAACGATAATGAGGAGACGGCGTAGGGAGGCATTAGCGAGGAGAGGTTTAGGCTTAGGGAATGAGAAGGCTGGCGACCATGGTGTCCGCGGCGAGGAGGGAGAGTCGTACAACAAAGGTTCGCTGGACTCTGTGCGGTGGTGCATGTCTACGCGGAGGTCCTCGAGGTCAGCCTGGCGCCGGGAAGTCATGGTTGGGAAGTAGAGCGGCCAGACAGGGCCCGAGAGGGTTGCAACGAGGGAGTAGAAAGGCAGGAGGATGGCCGCAGAGAGACCGCAACGGGCGCATGTTGAGGGTGGCTGAGCGTGTCGCCTGCGAAAGTGCCGCCACCCCGCGTTCTCGGTTCTGCATACCCGATGGATCTAAGGCGTCCGCATCAAGGACCCGGCTTCGCGGTCCCCGATCATGTAAGCCCGCCTGATTAATTTGTGAAGCGCCCGCCCTGGCCCGCCTCCGCCTCGCGCCGACGCGCACGGACGCCCCACTCGCCGATTCGCGCAGCGCCCCTCTTCGTCAGTCTCGGAGACACCACAAGTCAGCCACGGCGAGCGCGCGGGCCCATCTGACCGTAGCTCGCACTCGGTGAGCCTAACGTCATACAGCAGATGGAACTCTGATAACTTAGCCTCGTGCCCGACTCGATGGCCTATGTCCGTACCGGAAGTCTTCGTTTTGCTCCAGATTTCTCCATCCAGCTGCGCCCAATCCAGTAACGCGGAGGAACACACTCCCATGACTGGACCCGGCCAGCGAGTCCCTGGACTACTCTCGTCCCTCATGAATGAGATTCCATCGACCGGCGACTCGATGGCCGCCGCACTTCTGCCCCTCCGTTGCGCCGCACCCTAACCTTGCCCTGACCGCATCTCGACGTAAGGCGCCTGTCAAACAAACCTGCATCGAATCAGGCGTACTATCATTGACCGTGCAAGAGTCCCTCACCTTTGGAACGTTTGCCCGCAGCCCGCAGCGTCCCTCCTGCCCTCGTTACAGACGACGATGTCCTCCGCAAACAACAAAGACGGCGCAGAGCCATGGAAGATTGCTTCGGTGGTCTCCTTCTACATGTGCGCTGCGCTTGTGGTAAGTTCAATACATCGACTCACGATGATCACTCACCTCATTGGCTATACTGGTCTATAGATGGTCTTCGTGTAGGTCTACTACAGTCTCGCGCAAAGCTTGTCTGAAAGTTTGCTGTGCAGGAACAAGGCCGTCTTGAATTCCTCACCTGAGCTGCCTATGCTCTTCTTGTTCATCCAGCTATCCTTAGCGGTGATCCTGTTACATGGCGCGGCGTTTGTTTCTCACAAGGTTGAGATCCCGAGATTGGACGCGGCGAGCGCAAAGAAGCTTACCCCGCTCATCCTCGTCAATGTCATCGGCTTGGTGTTCAATACTCTCTGCCTGCGAGGCGTCGATGCATCTTTCTTCCAGGTGCGGCGTATATGCTCTATGCAGGCGCAATAAGCTCAACGACGCCACAGATCGCCCGAGGTCTTGTCCTGCCTCTCACCATCGCGGTCTCTTCGCTGCACACGCGTACGACACCGTCCATGCGTGTAGTCCTGGCTGCGACAATGGTCACCATCGGTTTCTTCCTCGGCGTCGCACCGTCATCGTTCCCGAGCTTCGATGTCGAAGCCGAGCCCACGCCCTCGCGCACAAACACGAGCGGACTGTCTATATTCTACGGCGTCTTGTCATCTGTCTTCATCGCTGTCCACTCGGTGCTCATCAAGATGTCTCTCCCACACGCCAACAACTCAACCATCCAACTCGCGTACTGGCAGAACCTTGGCTCAGCGCTCTTCCTCGCGCCTGTCCTCCTGCTCCAAGGTGAAATTGGCAAACTCTCGGAGCTCGCTAGCCTGCCCTCTTGGAATGGCTCTGTCTTCGTTTGGGGCAGCTTGGTGACTGGCGTATTCGGGTTCCTGCTATGCGTGGCCGGACTGCTTAGCGTCAAGGTGACAAGCCCCATCACACACATGTTCTCGAGCGTACGTCTTCTCCTGTCTATCTGTATTGCGGGACGACAGCGTATCCGATCCGACCTGCTGTCGGGTGCGCTGTCCACGTCCAAAGTCTCCGCCGCCTTTCGACCACTGATGCTGATTTTTCGAATCCAGGCTGCTCGTTCAGTTATTCAAACCTTGCTTGGCGCCTGGCTGTTCAATGATCTGCTAACCACGTACGTATTCTCGTAATATCTCCGAGCGGGGGCGTTGCGCCGTTGAGAGTGCATGCACTCCTCATGCCACGCCATTGCGAGTCGGCGCCACATACCTCCTTCGAGGTGTCTTCCACTCGCCCAATAGGGTTCTGTTTCACGATGTAATTCTTGTGGCACCGGTGATTTTGGCTGATCTTCCACGCTTGCCAGAAACCGCGCCGCCTCGATACTCGTCATCACCCTCGGCACCGTGTACTATACTTGGGTCAAGGCCGTCGAAACCGCTCCCCGGCCGCAGCTTCGCGACAAGGATCTCGAGGCGCACAGCAGCCTGATGAAGGGCGACGACGACACCCTCGAAGAAGCCGCAATGGAGATGCAAAATCATCCCGAGAAGAAGATGGCCCGGGGTTAGCTGATGATGATATCTGGTTTTGCGTTGTCTGCGATCATGCTAGGGTGATGTTGCGTTGCAAGCGACTGACGGGACGCCGGGAAGCGAGCTGGGGGGGTTCCATAAGGTGCGGCTATGCGAAGTGTGGAGCCGCCGCGACGTGATGAACGCACGACTGCATAGAACTGAACTGATACATACGATGATGGCTGCCTGCATGTACTGGACTGTTCGCTACGGACTTCATACTGGACTTGCAATGTACCCACGACGACTGCTGGCTTGCATCCGAGTCTCGAATAGGGTGAGTGCGTCGGCCGACGATACAACAAGGGGTGCCTTGAATTATGGCTCCGTCCAGGGCGGCCACAGGGCCAGGCCACGTTGCGACTTCACATCGAAAAGATCGGCCAACATGGATCTAGTCCCCCGGTCCAGGTACCAATTCAACCTGTGGTAATTACTCCTGTCCCAGGACCGCGAACTACGAGATGCTTCATCTTCAAAATGGGCGGCATGGGCCGACAGTTCGGAGCGCGACCCATCGGACAGTCGAGCTGATTATCCTTTTCCTGACGTGAGACACTCCTATTGTTGGACTTTTCGCGACGTCGATGGGCCAGTCCACGTGGAAACGAAGGCAGCAGCGTTGCACGAGAAACCCCGTTAGACGGAGGGAACGCCAATCGATATAGCGGCGGGCGAAGTGACGCCGTCCTAGTTCTGGCTTCGCAGCTCGTTGCATGCGGTGGCAAGCGTGACGCTTTCCACGGCATGCAACGAGCTGCGAAGCTTCGCGTACGTTCGTTGGCCATATCCTGAATCGCACGACGACCATACTCCGGGTGGGCAGATGAGTCGAAGTAGCGTAGTCCCGGTCCAGGGGAGCACTAGTTGACCAGGAATACTTAGGAGTTCTCGCTACCATTCCGGATCTGGCGTGGTGATTGCCTCTTTTGGACCGCCGCATCTGCCCAGAGGCCCGCATTTTGAGTGTGATCACTGACAGCGCCCTCACGGCCCGAGTCGAATGATTCGACCTCCTATTCTGAATGACGGCACGGGCGCATCTGTCGCATCCCGGGTCCTCGGGACAGGGTATGATTGGCGTCACCGTACAGGGTCGCCCGAGAGCCTAACGTGTGGATAGGTAGGTTGTCGCGACGCCTGGCAGTCGAAGTCTTGTGGGAGCATTCAGCGAACGACTGTCGCGTCGATGAGTCGAGCTACCCTGCGTTCTTCGATGTATGGACGGCATAGAGCGTTTCTTCGCCTTTGTTTTTTCCAACCGGTATTTTCGGCAAAGTGCCGCCGGAAACCACTACAATGGCAAGCCCCGCAGGAGCGCTGCTGCGCGCAAATATTCTCCGGACTGGTTGAAAATGAGCAGTTCGCGGCGCCGCTCGCAGCCTAAGGTCCCTGGATGCCTGAGTCTGTCCCGAGCCATGGCTTCCCGGTGTTAGGCCCCTGAATGAGGTACCCGCATACCTGAAATCTTGCTGTCGATCACTGATTCCGCCACAGGCCTAATGGCTGTCCGAAGACCTGGATTCCTCTGCTCGACCGTGTTCCTCGTCTAAAGCGCACTGTCGGCGGCGTTCGAGGGACGGAGACAGGACGGAGAGCTGGGAAAACCTTATCGAATGGATCGAGCCTGGTCGAGACGATCACATCTGTCCGGAAAGTTGTTCACACGGCGGCTTCGCGCAGACTTCGCGGGTCCTCGACAGATGGGCATCCGCACCTAACCCCAGACTAGGCGTAGTGGAGCGAGAGTATCAGCCGATGGAGCAGGTGCGATAGACGAACACAGGTGCGCAGCCGTGACACCCCGTCTGACGCAGGGGCGGCGTGGCCCTGGCATGGCCTGCCGACCTCCCAATCCCTGCTAGCCTTTTTCCGCCCCGCGTCTTGCCCGCACCTTCGACGGTTACTTCGACCACGCAGCAGCCCCTCGCTCTCCGTGGCGCCGGCTCTGTCAATCGGCTCTTCTGGCAGGGTTCTTGATTCTTCCAAGAACGGCGTCTCGGCTTGCCCAAATCCTGGCCAATTTGCTCCTTCGACCATGTTGACGCTCCAATTTCCCCGACCGACGCCCCCCGTACATATGCGCCTTACGTCCGCGTTAATGAAAATCGGTCTGGCGCCCATTTTGCGACCGATCTTGCACCCGTCATTTAGTTCGGGTTCCCGCACGTCTTGTGTTGAGACTGGCCCTGTCGTGTCTGCCTCGTTTTCCCCACAACCATGTCCTCGCGCTCCAACATCCCGACGCCTCCGCCGGTCGACGGCGAGGAAGACAGGACCTTCATCGGCAAGCCATCGCCAGATGTCGCGACCTCTTCCCGGTCCGCCGTATACGAGCGCAAGATGGGCGACACCGAGCTCTCGTACTTTTTGCCGTCTCGCCAGACGGGTGTGAATGACATGTGAGTAAGACCACAGCGCACTAGGTATCGTTAGTTCGAGACTGAGCGTCCTGCGGCAGGTACTTACATCTCGCATTCGACGCCCCACTGCATCTTCTGCGTCGTGCACGCGTTCGACTAGTTTGGGCCATTCTCAGGCTGCGACATCCCCTGTTGTCCGCCGAAGTTGTGATGCACGATTACGATGATGTGCGCTTCATGTGAGTGCTTAGACTTGCTGCAAACTTCCTTCATGATCTTACTCGACGTCGAAGTTACAACGTGCCATCGGACCCAGAGGAGGCCTTGGGTAGCGCCGAGGCCGCATTAGAGTTCCGTTCCCAGACTAAGGATGGTACGCCGTCTCCTAAGCTCTGCATAGACTACGTCAATTCAAGGCTGTTATCCAGAGCTTGTCGACTCGTACCTTAACGGCCCGCGGACGCTATCCAACTCTCGACTCTCCTACCTCGTCATATCTCAGCCCGCACTTAGCGCCATCCCCACACCGCCTCGGACGCCCTCTCCGACTCGTGACGGATTCACGGCGACAGAAGACCTATCGATGTCGACAGGCCTCGAGCGAAATCTGAATGCATCGATCGGTCGGTTTGACGTCCTCTTCGCCGCGATGCACTTTCTCGGCGATGGCATGGCATTGCATCAATGTGCAAATGACTTCTTCAGGCTTGTGGCATGCGGGAAGAGCGATGATGAGCTCGCCACGGTCCTGGGAGACGAGTGGGAAAGACGGTTCGGAGGAGATGTCGCTGCCATTTCCTCGGATCCGGCACTGCCAGTGCCCCTGGAGGCCAGGCTCGCCGACCCCACTACCCGTTTCCAGAAAGTCGCTACCGAAGTGGACTTCCACCTCTCCCAGAGCACCCTAGTCGGAGGCCAGACGTTCCCGAAGCGGAAACACCCCGACCGCCATACCGTCCTGCTGAACAAGGACTACCCTTCCGACCTGACGAAGGCGATCTTGAGGAAGTGCAAGCAGAATGGAGTGAGCATCAGTGCCGCGGTCTTCGCTCTATGCAACATCGCGTGGGCGAGAATGGGAGGAGGAAAGCCCGAACTGCCGACGTTGATGTACTCCGCGCTGAACCTGAGGCCATGCTTCAAGCCCGCGAAGTTGCTGCACGACTCGTACTGGTTCCTCGCTATCGGATACTTCAACGTCATCCTCCCCAGCTTCGTGCCCAAGTCTGACCAGGAGAAGACGTTCTGGCATCGTGCGCGTCAAGCAAGGGTGCAGAGCACGCAGGCGGCGAAGAACATGATGATCGTATCGCGCACCCGCGAGATGGCCAAAGAGAGAGGGGAGCGTGCGCGCGGTTGGGCGAAGGAAGATGACGAGAGGGAGCGAGGCACTTGGGTCGCGCCGGCTCCTGCCCCTGCTGCCCCCAGCGTCAAGGACATCCTCCCGGCTCGCCCGCCCGCGCCGTCCGCTGCGCTCATGGGCCTGTCGCTTCTGGGCAACCTTGATGCCATATATACGGCTGCAGAGTATCCAGACGTGAAGCTGCAGGGGTTGACAACGGGATCCAGGCAACGGCATGGTGCCATGCTGCTCTTCGGATTCACGTTCGCAGGCAAGCTCTGCCTGAGCTTGGGTTATGACGAGAACGGATTCGCCGAAGGGGTTGTTGAGAAATTCTGGGAGGAGATGCAGCGTTGCACGGACGAGTTCTTGGTGTAAAGAGGACGATGCACGGACTAGGGAACATTGACTGATACGAACGCTAATATTGGACGCTGCTAGGGACTGATTAAGTGGTTGATTGGGAATGACTGTAATATCTTTGTACAATTCGAGCACTTACTGTGTACGAGCCGTTCTGACTTCACCAGTACTTGGTTTCATGTCATATGCGCCGAATTGCGAGGGTACGTCGCAGAGTCTGCGATAAGGCTCGCGGATGGCCCAGTTCACAAGGTGTTCGACCTTCTCATGGCCAACAACGTGCCATAGCATACATGGTCGCGGTATATAGCAGGGAGTTGTCGATCATGTCCAGGAGGTCCGAGGATGTATGCATGAGTTGACACTGGGGATAGGCAACCCCCCTTAGCTGGACGGCCAGCGTCTATTTGTGCCGGGATCACGGCCGCGTAATCTGGTGACATCTAAACGAGCGATAGTGCAATATCTCATCTTATCGTTGTCGTGCCGATCACACAGAACGCGATATCGTAGATAGGCATGGTACATAGTGCTAGGAGGTATCGGTGTGCAGTGGGAAAGAGTGGTAACTGTATAAAATGAGTGCTGGAGGTACGTTACATGGATTTTCTGAATTATAGGTATAGATAAACCTGTTGTATATATGCAAAGTCACAAGTGGATCGTAGAGATCCGCCGGCGGTAGGTAGAATGGGGGATTGTGAAACTCATCGTTTTGGGAGTACGAACATCGGTCCGCCCACGCTCGAAGCCGAGCTCGTCGGGGTCGGGGCGGAGGTCGATCACATCGACGTCAGTGAGCTGCTCATCTGCACTGGCAAGAGCGACGCGGCTGTCTCGTCCTCCGCGGTCCAAGTCCACCAGTGAGCGCGAGCCTTGTGCCATGCCCGCGCGGTGCTTGCCAGGTACCTGTGATCCTCTCTTGACTGGCCAGTCTTGGTAGGGTGTGCAGGCGTCGGGAGCGTGAGCACGGCAACGGTGCTGGCCGCGCGGAGGGGAGCTCCGGAGAGCGGGGGCCAGGGCAGCTGCGAAGTTGTGGCTGCCTGAGAGTCCGAGACGGTGCCAGCAACACAGAGGTTGGTTCGATGTATGGGTGTGGGAGCCACACTGCAATTGGTGCGAGACGTGGTGAGTGTGTCGTGCGAGTAGAGCTAGAGACTGCCGCTGCCGTGGTGGTAAGGATCCAGTAGTATTAGCAGTGCTGGTGAGTTTCGTTTGAGCTCGCCGCCCGAATCAACCTTCTTGTCCCCGGTGTACTAGACGTCCCCCTCGTTCTCCTAGTCAATACTGATGTCCATATTGATGTCCCGCGACGCGCGCTGCTTCTGCTTCAGGCCAGACACAGATCCCGCGACGCGATCACGAGAGCAATGCGCCGGGCAGGCGTCCGCAGCGGCTTCAATGTACGCACCTTGTCGATGAGCTTGAGATCTTGAAAGTAGGAAACAGTTTTGACGAGCACGTCCAGCACAGCCTCTTGAATTTCTGGCATGTCACACTCCGCTCGCGAGTCCCTCCGCAAATTCAACCACTCCCGCATCGGAAGGCCCGCCAGACCAAGATCAGCCTGGCAGACGCCTGTGACACTGTGTGCACTTATCAGTGAGGCTGAGCAGGAGAACCCCTAGGAAGCCGGCGAAAAACGAGGCAAGACGAATGCGAAGGGCAGGATGGACTCGTGCCAGGCTTGCGGCCGCGACGGGTCACGGCGCTGGGCTTGTATCACTTCGTCGCCAGAGTTGGAGTGGAGTGCGTCTGGCAAGCTGGTCCTAGAAACAGCGCTATTGCGAAGGATGGCACTGGCCGGCAGTGAGTACCGTCACGGTACCGCCGTCGTGACACACCGAGGTCCACGTCGATGCGGTGCTGGCAACACAGTTGCACACAGTGGTAACGTGAATATGACTCACCGTGTTGCCAACGATAACATGGGTTCCTCGTCGGAAGGCAATTGCCCGCGTTATAAGTTACTTGCAGCGCAGACATCCAGCATCCCAGTGGCACACGTACTACGGCGCTTGGGCGATGTATGGGGACAGGCCGCTTATGTAAGCTGTACCACGAAGTTCAGACTCAAGAAACTCACCAATTCGCACCTGACGGTTATGAGAGAAGTTGAACCAACATTCATGGACTCAATCTAAAAGTACCCCAACTACATTGGATAGCCAACGTTGAGCATACTGACAGGGGACACGCACATGGCAGCCTCATCCCACACGGGCGCTTGATCTGCGAACCTCGAAAACGGCACCTTTTGTGTGGTCTCGCAACGACAACATTTCACCCATCCAACTTTCGGGATGACCGTTTTTTGATACGACGAGTCGAACCTTCGTTGCCAAATTTTCACTGCTTCTCATTTAATGCACAATCTCAGCATGCATATAGCGAGATCAGTTACTTCTCGACACACAACAAAAAATCAGCAACCAACGTTTTGCTTAGAATCCTTATCGTAAACGCACTGTGTACAAGATCTACGAATAAAGCCGCTGTTGCAGACCACAGTTTTCGGTACCGTTTGCTGCTCACTGTGGCGCCTGATATGAAGACGATCGCTGGACTATCTGCAAGAGATTATATGGCATCTCGGCACGATGGCCAGCTACCATCAATCGTGTCCGCTTCCGTCCTCGGGCGCTTGGCCGCGCGCTAAGGCCATTTGGCGGGGGCGTTGCCTATCCCCATAATGACACGACGACTCCCGGACACGGTCGTAAGGAGTGTGACGTGACAGACGCGTGACAGACGCGTCCATTTGAGCCCACGGCCGTCACATTGTCCTCAACCGCGACTTGCGAGTCGGTCTACACAAAATGAGCGCCGCATACGCCGCGTCCCCCATTCAGAGGACGGGTTCGACGGCACCGCACCGTACATCTCAGGCTAAACAGCTGCGCCCGACTGTGACAGACGACTATGAACGTAAGTGCGTAGCATTTCTCCCGCGTCCTCTGCTTCACTGCGACATACAGGATGGTACACCGAGGGCACGCCGAACAACCGCATGCTGCTTGCGCTCCGCTCGGGCATCGACTCAGAGGTCTCTTGGGCGTTGGACCGCCTCACCCGTTTATGTAATAACGAGCAATTCGTGCTCCAAGCCATCCCGGGGCTGACGGACGCGCTGTTCGAGTGGCCTGTCTGGTACGTCGAAGTCGGAGCGGCGCTCTGTTCACGCGCGACTACGTTATTCGCTCTTCCGCAAGAATGGGAGCAAAGACGAAAGCACGCGCTGGAGTCGATCCTAATTCTGCGCAACGCTGCCGTCAACGAGCCAAACGCGCACGAGCTCTCGGAACATCGCCGGACACGCTCTCTCATCCTGCTCGCGCTGCACAACATCAAGCCCGATAGCGATGCAAACGTTGAATTCGTCCTCTATGTGATCGAGCTACTGCATTCCATCTCCGCTGGGTTGAGCCTTCCGCCTCCCGATGCTCCTGCGTTGGCCATTCCCGTGCAGCCCTTGCACGAAATTGCAGGGACATCCTCAAATCGTACGCTCATCCTAGTTGCTATGACCACACTGAACTTGCTGCTGTCCAATCCTGCCAATGTCGCCCACCTCACCGAGGAATCGCCTACGTTGGAAGCCTCAATCAGGTATCTTCCGTTGCTGACGGACAAAGCTCTACTGGATGCCTCTGTGAACTACCTGTACACACATCTCTCGCACCCCGCAATGACAAAGGCTTTCCTTCTTCACCCCAAAATGCCGGGTGTACTTAGGCTTCTTGTCTCGCTCCTTCTCTCAGAGCAAGTCGAAGAAACCGTCTCCGTCGACATAGCTGGACCAATCCACACCGCTCCATCGTCGTTCACGACCGTGAAGGATCACGAATTGTCGAAGGAGGAACTCGAGAGGCTGGTTTCTCTTCCCGAGCCGCAGCGCTGCTTCGAATGGTGTGTTCCTTACCAAAAGCCATGGCTCGGCTTGCTCACCGGATGTTCCATGAAGGATGAGGACTATGTTCATCGCCAAGGCGGATGGCGAACTGACCCAAGTTGAATTCTGGAATCTGTACAAAGACGCCTTCACGCCTTACGTCGCGCAGCATCCAATGCTAGCGGCGTCAGACGTCATCAAGAATGTCAATATGGTTTACCCTCCTGCGCAAGCCATGGTCCTTGTAAACCCACACCGGTTCGTTGTACGCGGCGTTGACAGGCGAAAAGAAAGGTCGGCGATCGAGCAACAGTTCAAGTGCCTGTGGGACAGCTCTCAATGCTCAAGCCGAACCTTTGGGTCGACGGCAGAGCTCTTCGAGCACGTCGTTAACGCACACATCGATCCTCACAGCGGGAGCGAGGTCGCATGTTCATGGGCATCATGTTCACATGCATCCCTTCCGAAAGCTCTCCTTCGTGGTCACGTACTGACCCACCTCCCGAACTCACAATCCGCTCCAAAAGACCCTGGTCAGACCGACGTCACTCTCCCATACGAAAACTACCCGCACCCCATCCCGAATCCTACCTCGCGGCCACTACCCCCGCCACGCACCGCGAAGCTCACGTACAAGCGGCCCGTATCCGATCCGCCGTCCACATCGCTCACTGCGCTGCTGTGCATCCGGGTACTCTTCCGTGCTTCGTTCGCGTCGTCGGACGCCGCTCCGCGTGCAGACGAGGACCACTTCGGCTTCCCGGGGATCGTGGAGGAGACGGAAGATGCAGAGGTCATGATCGCACGGAGTGCCGGAAATGACCGCGAGAGGGAAGGAGAGAGGAGAGGAAGGAAGGCGTTCATTGGCATCCGACACCTGCTCGAGAACGTCACAATCAAGGACGAGGCGTTGATGGGGTGGATCACGGAGATGGTGGATGCTGGGATTACTGGGACGACATAGCGGGATATGTTTTGAATCTCTTGAAGCCACGTTAGAAGTCTTCGCGACTCGCAATGGGTCCCGTTCGTGGCTGCCAGTGGCCCGGGAGCCTATTCAGTTGGGGAACTTCGCAGGGGGGTGATTCCAACTTCCCATAGTACCCGGCGGCCCGCGCCCGCTGTCTTAGTATGTATGCATTCAGACGGTTGAGCCTGTCGTTCGCTCCGCGGCAGATGTTTTACATGAATGTGTTCTTGGCAATACGAGATGCTATTGCGCTCTCTGAAGTTGTTCTTTGTATGTACGATCGTACCGCACCCAAGAAATGACGCCAGTACTGAGTACTGCGGTCCGGCGTCTCTGATCATGCTATACTTGCTGTGCACCAGTATGGTCATGTTCCCGTTCGATGTCCGTACTCTCATCTCGCCGTGAGTCGCTGTCGTCGAGGTTCGTGACGACGTATAACAGGCTGTTACATGCAAGAGATCCTTTCTCGCAAAGTATTCTAACCACTTACGACCTCTTCAGGGCCTCACCCCAGACAAGATCGCTCCGCACCAGGATGTGGCCAAGTTCTGGTTGGACGTGTTCGAACTGGAGGTCGACTCGGACTTCCTCTCAGCGACGCTGACTGAGCTGAGCAAGGAGGCTTGCCTGGGCCCTGCTAAGGTGCGTCCTGACTGACAATGGTCTTGCGGGTGCTCGAAACAGACTCATGCGCTGCTCTAGTAGTCGAGTTTGAATGCGGTCGTTCTGGCATGTCTGCAGTCCGCCCGTACGCGACCTGACGAAGACACGCGCAAGCGTCATGCTGTAGAGACCCTGTGCATTTTGAGTAAATGTCTGCTCAGGAAGAACTTGTCGGGATGGGAGGTCATGGAGATCTTTGCAGGAGGAGTGAACGAGAGTGACAAGGTCTTCGGTGTGCGTGCTCAACCTTTGTCTATGGTGCATTCGTCTAACTGAGAGCGTGTAGGATCTGACAGCTATGGTTCACGAGATTCTAGGCGATCGCAACGCTCCTGGTACAGTCTCTCAGTGCAACTCAACGTGAGGGAGTACTCAATGCGTGCTCTGTTGCAGCCCCTATACGGCACCAAGTCCTCCAATTGGCGGTGATATTCGTGTCCGGCATCAGCCAACTCAGCCCTGGGGCGTACTTCCTTCGCCGAGACCTCTTCCCCTGCATTGTTACGGTGCGTGCGATGTACTGCTGTCAGATTTACACAGTTCTAATGCTGTCGGTGTACATCAGATCATCACTTCTCCGGAAACCGAACAATTTACATTCGAGGCTTCCGTATTGCTCGCCCTCCTTGCCAATTTCCACAAAACGGACGCAGCCAAAATGAACCCTTACCTCAGATGCATACGGGAAACGAAGACCGAGAGGCTCATGCGCAAGATCTGTTGGGCCTCCAACTTCGCCGCTGACGCCGTTGTCAAGTATGTGTCGGTTATTGAACTTGTCGGTCTTTGCTGACGCTTAGGTAGATCGTACCAAAACGTCTCAGATGATTCGCCGCCCTCTCTGAGCGCGACATTCGGTGCATTTCTCTCGTCAATGCGCCCAGATCGAGCGCTGTCGTCGACGCCAGTTGACCTACCGCGCGAACTCTTCAAATACCAGTATGTCCGGATCGCTCGTGAACCCTCGTATGAGGCTGACGATGTCAGGCCTATAGAAGCTTGTGTAATACTACTGCCAATATTCGAGTTTCTCCACGCCAATGAAAGGTTTCATACAATCCTCTTGGAGCCACTTACGGTTGATGCGGAACAGCAAGCGACTGCACGGACCCCTCCGTTACCCTACACACTCTTGACACTTGCTTCCTACTTGCTCACACACGCATCATCGGTGCATGCACCGCGTGCCATAGGCTATGCTCATCTGTCACTCAACATATTGCTCGTCATGGCGGAGAGCAAGATCATCATGGAGGTGTTCTGCAACAGGGGTGATGCAAATATCAGACTGTGCCATCAAGTGAGTTCTTGTCGCTCGCGTCATGGCGAGGCTGTCTGACAACAGCGAACAGAGACCCCCGTTGCTTGCGTTTACCGGCCCCAGAAAGCCTGTTTGCGCTATCCTTGACTGTTGTGTGCTATGGCTGCGGCACAACCTGCACAAGCGTCTCGAAGTGCATTCCTACTTGTGAGTCCCTTCCATAAATAATCTGAACATCCGGCCCAATATTCCTTAGAAACTGCACGCGCGTGTGTTATCATGTCTTGTGGTATTTGAAAAAAGAACGTATCAGTCTAGGTGAGTACGACCAACCTACTCGTTGACTTGGGTACGATCTCATTCCCGGACAGAATATCACTGGCTGGAGTTATGGAAGGCCCTCATCGGGCTACTCGACTTCCTTGCCAACAAGCTCGACGGCCTCATCACTACAGGCGGAGTCGAGCGACTCATTCAGGAGGTTCGTCTTGCATTGCTCATGGAAAAGGCTATATGCTCACCGCGCGTCCCCAGACGTTGATGATATTGGACCTTGCGTTGTGCCATTCAGGTGCCATTCTGCCGAATGCTGTCGCTGTGCACGAGCTAGTGGTAAGTTTCGGCGACGGGTACCGTGTGGACGTGCACTGAGCGCTTGACTTCCAGTACGAGGTGGTTCGCTCGGTCGAAGTTCTCAGGAAGCAGCAGACGACCCTGGACAAGTTGGCTCTCCCTGGGTCCGGCTCTCGACGCCGACAATCCGTGATGAACTATAACTCGGATGCTCTTGCAAATATCCTTGCTGTGACAGCCCTCTATGAACTCAGAATCCGGGAGGCGAAGGCGACATCAGCCAGGAGCGCACTGCGAGCTGTGGCGAAGGAGATTGACCGCGACGGTCTCAGCTATGGGAAAGATCTCCACGGCGACGAGCCACCGTGAGTGCATATTTTGTTGAGTAGACCTGACGTTCAGATGTCTTGCTATCTAGGAAACAAGCCGAGGACGTTGTTGGCATGGTCCGCTATGCCTATGCTGACGCCATGTCTCTCATGCCTTGACCGAAATGCATCACCCGCTTTGGTATCTACAGTCACGGCTTTGTGCTTCTGAGTGTTGTTGTATTGGGTCATCTACACTTGTCATTTCTATCGACTATCGACTGTCGTCCTGAGTCTCCGAGCTGGATTGTTGGAAATATATTGATCGTCGGCGTCCCAAAGAGGCAAGCTGGCGGGCGATATCTCGTCGGACGAGCGACGGAACCGAGTCAATGAGACGGGGTGGAAAAGTTTTTTCTATCTAGACGCCGATCCCACAGTCCCGTTTACGTCCGTCAGTTCCAGATCGTGGGCGGGCCCATCACAGCCGGTGATACAGCTATCTGGGCGCGGGGACGACCTGGGACGACTTCTGAGTTGCTACGGCCGCACTGGCGAGGACTGTTGCTGAAGACCGGCCGGCTGGAGGGCATATTTAGGGGTTTGGGTTGCAGCGGACTCGGGGCAAGGATCGACGGCGCCTATGCGGGGAGGCGGAGCGCTGGCGGGGGTGACGTCCTGCGCATCGGGGGATGTCCATATACGGCAGGGCCCTGCTTGGACGATAAGGAGGCGTTATAGCTCTTACTCGGTGAATGGCTCGGTGAATCCTCCATTTTCGTTATGTTCCCACTTCGCCCCCACTCCTCTCTTCGCCCCGTCCATCTCTGTCTCTGCTTGCCCCGTCGAGCCCGCCGTCCCCCATGGCGGCCCTGCGGTGCGCGGTACGCGTCTCTGCTCACACCACTCAACTTCGCGCAGGTGCACTTGCCGTCTCGAGACATGGACACAAGAAGCGGCGCTGTTTCGCGACGGCGACTTCGCCGTCCTCCTTGCTGTCGGCGTTAGACACTTTCCAGGACCGTCACGTTGGCCCGGACGGCAGCGAGGTCAAGCATATGCTGTCTGCCCTTGGATATGAGTCCATGGATGCTTTCGTGGATGCTACCGTGCCGTCGAAGATCAGAGTCGCGTCGTCTTCTGTGAGCAACGACAGCATCGCCGCTCTGAGCGAGTCGGAGCTCTACAAGCGGGCGAGGGAGCTTGCGAAGGCGAACAAACCGTTCAAGAGCTACATCGGTATGGGCTACCACAATGCTGTTGTACCGCCCGTCATTCTCCGTAATGTAATGCGTTTGCTTCTCTTATGCTGCCAAAATTGTGACCGCAGGCACTGCTCAGATCATGGAGAGTCCCGCTTGGTATACCCCGTATACCCCGTACCAGCCTGAGATCGCACAAGGTAACGTCTCATAGTTCAGTGTGCATGCGGACACTCCCACTCATGGGTACGTGCAGGTCGCCTGGAGTCACTCGTGAACTACCAGACGATGATCATGTCATTGACGGCTATGGACATCGCGAACGCTTCGTTGCTCGACGAAGCGACTGCTGCAGCAGAAGGAATGGTCATGGCTTTTGCGTCCACGAATCAGAAGAAGCGCGTCTTCCTCGTCGACAAGGGTGTTCTTCCTCAGACAATGGCTGTTCTGCAAACTCGTGCCAAAGGCTTCGGTATTCAACTGGTCGTCGGTGACGTCTTCTCACTTGCCAAGGACAACTCGACCGAAATTTGCGGCGCCTTGGTTCAGTACCCGGACGTCAACGGAAGTGTCTTCGAGTACGGTCAACTCGCCGAAACGATTCATAAGGCTGGAGGGCTTGTCGTGTGTGCCACGGACCTGTTGGCATTGACCATGCTCAAACCGCCGGGCGAGTGGGGCGCAGACATCGTTCTCGGTAACTCCGCGCGGTTCGGTGTACCCGCAGGTTATGGTGGCCCACACGGTGCATTCTTCTCGTGCACGGACAAGTTGAAGCGCAAGATGCCCGGCCGTCTGATCGGCAGGAGCAAGGACGTCTATGGCAAACCCGCGTACAGATTGGCTCTGCAGAGTAGGTCTCACCTGCTTACCATTGTGACATATGCTCACGGACAACCTGTAGCCCGTGAACAACACATTCGACGAGAGAAGGCAACTAGCAACATTTGCACGGCGCAGGCTCTACTTGCGAACATGGCTGCGATGTATGCTGTCTACCACGGCCCGGTTGGCCTAAGGCGCATCGCGGAGAAGGTCCACACCCTAACATCCATCTTGAAGTCGGAAGTCGAGGCACTTGGCTACAAGGCGATTAACCCGAGCTTCTTTGACACGCTCACTTTTGAAGTCAACAGCGCCGCGCCTCATGCGGAGACCGTCCATGACGTAGCCGCGAAGTTGAACGTCAACCTGCGAAGGATTGATGAGAAGCACGTCGGCGTCACCCTGGACGAGAGTGTGTCCAAGGAGGACGTCGAAACGCTGGTTCAGGTCTTCGCGTCTGCTGCCTCGAAGGAGCGCAGCTCGGTGACGGCTCCGGGGTCCTCAGCTATCCCTCAGACCCTCCAACGCACGTCGGAATACCTCCCGCACCCCGTCTTCAACACGCACCACTCCGAGACTGAGATGCTCCGGTACATCTACCACCTCCAGTCGAAGGACCTCGGGCTCGTGCACGCGATGATCCCGCTCGGCAGCTGCACCATGAAGCTCAACAGCACGAGCAGCATGATCCCGCTGACCTGGCCCGAGTTCTGCAACGTCCATCCGTTTGCGCCGACAGATCAAGTCAAGGGCTACGTCGAGATGATCAAGGTACGCTCGACGACGTGATGCTTCTCTAGGAGGAGTGCTCATGATGCTGTGTAGGAACTGGAGTCGGATTTGTGCAAGATCACCGGCTTCCACGCCTGCTCCGTGCAGCCTAACTCTGGTGCTGCGGGCGAGTATGCGGGTCTCTCCGTCATCAAGGCGTACCACGAGTCTCGTGATGAGGGCCACAGAGATATCTGCCTGATCCCTGTCAGTGCACATGGAACCAACCCCGCAGTAAGTTCGCGATCTTCGTGACCCGAGATATTATCCTAACACGCGCTTTAGTCAGCTGTCATGGCTGGTCTGAAGGTTGTCCCTGTCAAGACACACCCAGACGGTAATCTTGACCTCGAGGACCTCCGTGCTAAGGCGGAGAAGCACAAGGACAACCTCGCCGCCTTCATGGTAAGCAGCAGCAGTAGACATCCACGACATGATGTTGACCACTGGTAGATCACATACCCTTCGACGTTCGGCGTCTTCGAGGACGGTGTCCAGGATGTCAGTCCACGATGCCCTTTGACCGACGTTATGACTGACCTCATTCTATTCAGGCTTGCAAGATCATTCACGAGAACGGCGGTCAAGTGTACCTGGATGGTAAGTCGTGGTCCTTAAGTAGCGATTCAGGCATTGTGAGCAGCGTTCGACAGGTGCGAATCTGAATGCGCAGATTGGCTTGACCAACCCCGCGACATGCGGCGGCGACGTCTGCCACATGAACCTTCATAAGACGTTTGCGATGTAAGTGAGGACTACCCACAGATATGCGCTGTGTCTCATCCCGTCGTCTACAGTCCCCATGGTGGCGGTGGCCCCGGAGTCGGGTGAGTGCCGAAGACGAAACGATCGCAACGTCTCGCTAACGGAGTCCGCAGACCCATTTGTGTAGCAGAGCACCTCGCACCCTTCCTCCCCTCCCACCCGATTGTACCTACTGGCGGTGACAAAGGCATCAGCGCCGTCGCCGCTGCGCCGTACGGCAGCGCGTCCATCCTCCTCATCTCCTGGGCATACATCAAGATGCTCGGCGGCCACGGCCTCTCAGCCGCCTCCGCTGTCGCTCTGCTGAACGCGAATTACATGGCTCATCGCCTCTCGGGACATTACACCCTGCGCTACAAGAACGGGAACGGCCGTGTTGCCCACGAGTTGCTCATCGACCTCGCCGATTTTGAAAAGGCTGCCGGGCTGAAGGTCACCGACTTCGCGAAGCGTCTGCAGGTGAGTCCGAATGTTGACCTGTGCTTGTCGGCGGAGCTGACGCGCTATCAGGACTACGGCTTTCACCCGCCCACTTGCTCCTGGCCCATCTCTACCTGCATGCTGATTGAGCCTACCGAATCTGAACCATTGGAGGAGATTGACAGGTGCGTTGAAAAGAGTAGATGTCTGTGGTCACGATTGTGGCTGACATATTTTGCGTAGATTCTGCGACGCGATGATTCAGATCCGTAAAGAGGCAGAGGATATCATTACGGGAAAACAGCCGAAGGACAGCAACGTCCTGAAGAACGCCCCACACCCGGTCTCCGTTATTGCTTTGCCTGACGACCAATGGAACCGGTAGGCTTCCTCATTAATCTCTTGGTCCACGCTCTTTACAGTGACTTGCAGACCCTACTCGAGACAAACGGCCGCCTTCCCAATGCCATGGCTGATGGAAAGGAAGTTCTGGCCGACAGTCTCTCGCATCGATGACGGTGAGTATCAATTGTAGGCTATGTTGCAATCGTACCCTGACCTCTGTTATCTAGCCTATGGCGACCTGAACCTCATTGTGAGTCTGCTCCGAATGTACCAAGGGGCATCACTGACGCTTTGCCTTGCAGTGTGACTGTCCTTCCGTGGAAGAAACAGCTGCACATTAGATACTACTTCATGACACACATAGACATGCCTGGGGTGCATCACTCTACTGATACTCCTAGACGAGCTTGCGCGTCCGTGACGTTCAACCGCCGCGCCATCTGTATGAATACCGGTACATATTACTGTAATAATGACATAGCCCTCCTGCCTCAGGGATCATTAGAGCTTTCGCCATATCTCTGGGAGATACTGCTTGATGCGCTCGAGAACTACCTCTTGCTCGTTCTTGGGTGACGCAAAAGAGAGAATGATGCGCGCGCATTCGACGTCTGGAGCGATCTTGTACTGTCCCCTCCACGCATCCATCTCTATGCACAGGACCTTCAACGCCTCCTCGAAACGACCCATCCGGCACAAACACTCCAGCCACGCCTTCCAGTGCCGCATGTTCAGTGGGAAGCGAGTCGCCGTGAGGTCGTCCCAGATCTTCGTCGCCCTGCCGTACGCATTGGCGTACGCACAAGCGTCCAGGATGACACTGACACTGGCGTTGTCGTGGAGCGACGAGTGATACATGATATCCCAGATGGACAGCGCGTCCTCGAAACACTGCGCGCGTTGGTACGTGTCCATCAACTGGGTCCATAGCTTGGTATCGGGTGTGAGCGAATCAAGACGGAGCGCCTGGTGCACATGCTTAATTTGCGCGGCCACTCGTGTGAGCTCTGCCTGGCGATCCTCCAGAGGAACCTTGGCGTTGGCAGAGATCTTACTAGCGAATATCGCGAGTCGTTGCAAGACCATGTTGTACACCTCTGCCGACGCAGGGAAGCCGGCTGCGCGCATATCCTTGATGATTTGGAAGAAGAGGTGAGCAGAAGGAATCTGAGTGGAAGGGACTCTGTGGTAGAAGGTATGCAATACGGCGGCGTAGCCTTTTGCGTCGAGATGGTGCTTCCCGGACTGGGTAAAGGACCGATAGGCCTCGTAGGCCTCTTTGTACGTCGGAGAGGTGCGCATGAGAAGGACGATGAGTGATGTCGAGGTCATCGCGTCGATGGCGAGGTCGCGGGAATGTAGGTCTTCCACCAGGGATAAGGCGATAGGAAAGTACTTCTTGATATTCGCTGAGGATGCCACAGCGCGTAGAAGAGTGTTGTAAATAGCAATGTCAGGCGTCGGAACATTGCTTTTTCGGCGGCCCTCCTCTGTCTGGTCCTGTGCGGCATCGGACGTGGGGCCGTCACCGGGGATAGATTCCGCATCCTGGTGAACCTTTGTGAATTGCCGGTACAGGTCGATGGCACGGTCGATGGAGGCCTCGGTAGGCGGTCGAAGGCTCCCTGAGCATAGGGCGCGGAGTACAGGGTGCAGCAGCGCCGTCGATGGGCGGACACCGCTTTTCAGAGCCGTTTCATAGAGAGCAACAGCAGTGGCAGCGCTAGATTTGACGGACGCGTTATGGACCAGCTTTGCCCACACAGTAGCATCCGCCTTGAGACAGAGTGCTTTCTCGTAGAACTCCAGCAGTTCCGTGTCAAAGCTTTCGCTAAGGAGTGCGCGGAGCGTTCGCTGAGTCGTCACGTAGCCGTTCTTCTTGTATCGTTTGTGTAGGCTCAGCGCCAACCGTTTGCCTTCCTGGTAGGCAACCGTAGCCAAACGTGCCTCTAAGTCGGCGTCAGACAAAGACAAATTACGACCAGAGGATTTGGGCTCCTCCGGAGTCACGGTGGTAGGAGGCGACGACTCCGGCGCCTTGCGGGCACAATGCACCGCACGATGTCCTTCAAGAGAAATAAACCAGTAGCGCGGGACGGCAAGGCTCCTATGGCAAGCTAAGCATGTCCTCGCAGGTGCGAAGGCAATTGCGGGGTTGTACGCAGAGCGGCAAAAGACTCGTCTAGCAACATGACAAGCTAGGCACATTCATGCGCGCACTAGAGCGAGTATGAGTTACGATCCTATAGCGTATAAGAAGAGGGCATACCTCGCTGTCAGCGTGAGGGTCCGCCGTTGTATGACCAAGGGCTGGCAGTGGTAGACCGGAAAGTACGAGGTCGACGACTACGGTGCTGTGTCACGTGTCGCCATAGACCACGATCGCAGCGTACGGGTTCCACGTCTCTACCACTTCCACGTCCCGAGCCCGTCCCCCTATCCTCAGTCACCCCGCTGCTCTCCTCCACCTTCCTTTCGTTCACCGCGCAACATGTCTGAAAAGTTGAAGGAGTTCACGGAGATCCCCCAGGAGTTCGTGCGAGACGGCAAGCAGGTACGTATCCATATTGCTCCTGGTGCGACGGATCCTAACACTCCGTCAGTTCCTCGTTCGCTGCACAAAGCCCTCCCAAAAAGGTCGCCTACATTTGAATGCGACATAGTTTCCTTCTGACGATGGTGCTACAGAGTTCTTGCAGATCTGCAAGGCAGTGTCCATCGGGTTTGCAGTAATGGGATTCATCGGCTATTTCGTCAAGCTCATCCATATCCCTATGTACGTCCCCCGCGATCTGACTAATTTTCCGTTGAGCTCATTGAATCATGTAGCAATAACATTCTTGTGTACGTCGAAGTGTTGTCTTATCCCCATACTATGCTCATGGCTCTCGCAGGGGTGGTGCATGACGATGTGCTGGCGGTGGTGTCGATTGGTTCCGGGTTCTTGGGCAGGTCTGGGTTCTACTCTGCTGTCCTCTGTTCTACTATTATGCATCTCTTACTGCGATACCTTCAGTGGCCTTGCGCCAGAATGAGCAGATGCCTACGCACATAACGACCCACAGTGCCCGGACAGATCATTGGTGCTGTGTCCTCCAACGACATGTCAGTTCCTCAGTATGTTTACGGAGGCATGATTACACCGCAGTCACTACTCTGTCTCGGGGAAACCTTGTCCTCCAAGACATCGCTGACGCTCTTAGGACTGTCCTGGGTCGAACAGATCCATGCACTGGAAGCCATTCTCTCGCCCATGTCTGGGACGGTCGCTGATGAAGGTGAATATCGTCTCTTGAAGCACGGGAACCAGATGAGTACGATATCCTTGCTCAGTGTCAGCATGCGATCGTGTACGTGAAAGTCCAGTAACCGGGCAACCTACTTCCTGCATACCGAAGACGACGAAAGCTATGAGTGGCAATATCATACGTGTCAGTCGAGACGCATGACATCGCTGCATCGAACACCTACAAGAGGCTTGCACTAGGTACGGATATACGTTGGTGGAGCCCGGTACACTTAGCAGATACGCACAGCGGCTCTGACGCACTCAGCCGTGCTACGTATACTCGACCTGACTCAAAGTACAGAACCTACCCTATCGTGGCCCAAGAAAATGCCATGAATACACCGGCCTTGGTCCTTCATGTGTATCACTCGTGTCATCGAAGCTTGCTACTGGTCACGCGTACTCACACGGAGGCAGGGCTGGCAACGACGGCCGCTTCATGAAAGCATTTGAAAAGGCCTGTTTGGCTCTTCGCCGCGTCCGGTAACACTCGACCATGACGGCCGCCATCAATAGGATGAGGTATGGGTTGATGCACCATACCTTCAAACGCGAAGGAAATTTCCGCAAACTAGAGGGACAGTGAACCGGGAACTGCATGAGCATCGTCAGCCAAACGGCGATTCGTAGGCTGCAACAAGTATTTCACGTCTTCAGGTCCATCGCACAGTATATACATGCCATTATCGACGTTCAGTGAGTTCGCGTGGTGCGTCGCCTCCTATGAGGTTACGACCAAGTGTTTCGAGAGCGGCAGGAGTACTTAGGTTTGCTAAACAACTGCCCGCGCTGCGTCCGGCAGCAGGTAGACACGGTAGGATGGATGCAACTCACTATCTCTGACACCAAATCCCAGTGGTCCCCGCGCGGCGCGTAGCTCCACCCAGCGAGAAGGAATAGCGACAGATCTTGATGTGGTCTCATGCTCTGCAAGCTGTAAGTACCATCATGAATGATACTGTATGGCATATGTAGCACTCACCGCAGAAGAGATAAACACGTAGGTCGTTGTAGGTCACTCAGGTGATTGATCTAGATCATTATCATTCTAACGATTTTCTGTACCGCTTCACCATGATAGAACGTCGGCAGTACGTCGCTGCGACCAGGCGGCGACGTTGGATGGTACGAAGAAATTTCTCCACATTAATGCAGCGTTCGAGATCGACGGGGCATCGTTAGAATGCTAGTAAGTCCAGAAGGATTGGTATATACAATGTGCGCGTAGGCGATTGCCTTCACCGGGCAGCTGAACTGCCTACGAGCAACAAGCCAAACCGAGCCGAAGGCTTGACGAGCTCCAATGAGGGGTGGAAGTGCTGCTCGGCTGCTGGTGGCGCATGGCACAGCAGCGCCGAAGACTTGCTCTTGTCTTTTGATAGAGGCGTCGCAGGATGTACCTCGGGAGGAGGGAAGAGGGGTGAGAAGATGATTTGCATTCTTGATAGGTATTCCGAGATACTATCGTCACATTCAAGTTGAGGTTGCTCAATGCCCTGTGAGAATAGCTGAACAGCCATGAGTGTTTGGGCGAACTATTGGAAGTCGCAATACACGAAGTACCTTTGCTCGAACATCGCCTATCCGTTCATCTAGTTGCATTCGGAGCTCTTCATGACCCCATGTAGTCGTCAAATGTCGCATGAACCACAAGTCCCAGTACCGCTGTAGTCCTTGATGCGGTTCTCGTATCTCGACGGCACCATGTTTACAGCTCCGCGAAACGAAGTACGTGATGCAGTCGCCAACTAGTGATCGTTTCCGCACAGGATCAATTGTTGTCCAGAATTCTTGCAGCGACGATGACAGAGACAGCAATGCTTGAACTAGAGCAGCTGAAGGCCGTTTCGGGTGTTCTGTCGATCAGGGATGAGATGCGTGCTAGGCGGCTTGGATGAACAGCCTCTAACGACGACGTACCAGCTGGCCGGAGTCCGGCATCATCTTGACTCCCCGTCCGGGGCCAAATAGTCTTCACGATGTGCTCAACAATGAGCTCTCTCCAGCGCTCGAATGTCTGATCGTGGAGGGCATGCATCCGCTTCCTGAATTCTATGAAGCTCTGATGAGACTCGCTGTCTAGCACAAGCATATGCAGGTCACCAACCATCGACAGCCTCCTGGTTGCAGCCAATCGTCGTAATGAACGACGAAGACGAGGCAAGCTCGTATTGCAACCGCCCCAAGAAAGCTGCTGTACTTCGTAGACCTTCTACATTACTATCAGTATGTTCGTCCTCGAGAGTGCAGAAGGAATGCGTTACCCGTATCGTCGACGTCTTCTTGACAATCATCCAGGATTTGGGTTATGCGGGAACAGAAACCTGCAGCGTCGGGCTGATATGCGTCTCGTAGCCGTGAAGCGAGTACACTAAACGACAATGTTGAGCTTTGGCGAGTGAAATATGAAATAGCTCTTACCCTCCCTCGTGATCAGAAGCCTGCATAGCACCTAGATGTTCTTCGAGGCTATGAGATGACTCTTCTATGGCGCCTAGAACGTCATGGAGAAGCGGCGTCCTTCCGTGGAGCTGTCGGTGCAGCCCGGCCTTGTATCGTTTGAACGGCGCATCCGTTAGGGAGGCATTGATGGTGGTCTGAGAGATTGATGGCAGCGGGAGGGCATGAAAGAGATAGTCGACAGGTTGTGCATCTACGATTGGACATCAATTTGTAGGACAGCATTGCCAGCGCATATGCATTACCTGAAGTACTTTCGTTACAGTGGCTCTGCAGGGCCCGTAGCGCAGCCGTCAGCCTCTCTTGGAACGACATCTCTGCCGAGCTCAAAGCCTTTCGCCAGACCGATACAGTTTGCTGCTGGTAGAGGGCATCCAGCATCGAGCGAATTCGACTCTTTTCGTAAGACTCCACGCCGTCAAGCTTCGAGGTGATCGCGAAGGAAGATGCACGGAGATCCCAGACTTCCTTGACGGTTTCTAGACTCGATAACCATCTCGAGGCCGCTGCTTGGACAGCCTCCAGGGAACGTGAAAACCAGTTGCCAAGCTTCTGCTGCAAGAGGTCCTGTGCGACAGAGGGAGACGCAGACGCAGCACCAATATATGGCTTGTACGATCGGATCGTGTCTGGCAACAGGGTGAAATGGGCGGACGACGGTAGAGAATTGAGTAATGTCTGCGTCGTCATCTGCAGGTCGGAGGGTAGCGATGGAGAGGCCTGCTCCTCTTGTATATACTGGAGGGCTTGTTGCATCATGCCTGCTTTCCCGGAAGCACCATCGGCAAAGATGTCTCGTGCGGCGCGGAGCGTATGCGATATCGAATCCAAAGCGACCTGAAGATTGCGCTTGACCTCTCGGAGGATAGCCTTGCGCGCCCTGCTTGATGTCTTGCCGTATTCGCTTGGAGCAATATTCGCATGTCCGTTCGCCGACTCTGATTGCACCGACGACAGGGTCACCGAGAGGGTCTTAGATCGCTGTGCGAGAAAAATCGATAGCGTCTCTCCTAGAGGCCGAGATTCGAGGATATGAAGAGTCAAAAGAGTCGCACAAATTTCCTATAGGCAACCATCAGAGAAGAGCGGACTGCAGCCAGATATGCACGCACGGCCGACGATGTGCTATGCTCTCGCAACGAAAGCGTCGCTTTATGTGTAATCTGGGAACGAAACTGTGAGACGGTGTCCCATTGCCGCTGCACTAAGGGTATTTGTTCCTGTGCGCGGCACGTCAGCAATGGGAGACTTGCCGCGTCCAGTGAACGCACCGAGACATCGATGCCATAGTCATTCCAACTCTGGTCCATGTCCTCATCCTCTTGCAGGAGCGTTCGGTGAACAACCCTAGCTGTCAGGAAGAGCCAGGCAGCTTTCAAATACATCCTGTGTTCCATGAACCTCCATAGATGTTCCGGTGCGTCTAGCAGAAGCTTGAGATGTGCAGACAGGGATTGCAAGGCCTGTATATGTTTGTCTACGCGTCGCGTGAGTGCGCAAGTCGCACATACTCCCCGAAGCATTACACACCTTCCTCGCCTGCATGGGTTCGTCTTGTCATCCGCGGTGGCTTTGCCGAGCCCACAATATCGCGCATCTCGTCCAAAGCTTGCAAAACGCGTCGAGACGACGCTGCCATTGATATGATGGAGCTCGAGGCTTGCAGAAGATCCCGATACCGTTCCCTGCGCTTTCATGGTATAGATGAGAGGTTAACAACGGGGGCATAGCTATTGACGCACCCAACCATGAGGCGGAGCTCTTCCTGTTTTGCCTCAGCATTGACCCTATAAGCAGGAAACATCGCACACAGTCCACGGTGATCTAATGCAAGCGAAGTACACACCTCAGGCGTTGTTGTACCTTCCTAACCTCCGAGACCGTATGCCTTGCGAATAACTCATCGGGGTCGATTCCGCCAGGGTTTCTTGTCGGGTCTAACACAGGCTCCATAGTAGATGTGGTAGAAGCGGATCTTCCTAGGCGCCATGGGCTACCATTTCCTGAAGGTGCGCGGATACCATTGGGGACCTCCGGATAACCAGTTTTAGATAGTCCTGCGGGAGTGGATGTCGAAGCCACATTTCGAGACATGTCCGGAAGCACAGCCAGGTCAGAGAAGCAGTGCTATGACCGAAAGTTTCGAGACGGACAGGCGGGTATACCGCGCAGCGAGTAACACGAGTGGTGGCCAGCGATGCGAGACGCGGGCGTGAGTGCACTGCTAAGTACGTGGTTACCAAATACAGTCTTGAGCACATACGTATACGTATGCGACTCTCGCGAGCTAGACTGTGATTCATTCACGCCATGGCCTCACTGACTTGCGGGGACATATCTATGCATAGCACTTGTCGTCCGAGTTAGCATACACATCCAGGACCGTACAACTGAGAGATGCCATGACTGTCAACAATAGTGTACATGCTATGCGCTATTCAATTGAAACGACCCGACTAATAGGACGAAGGACTAAAGAGAACACGACGACTACAGTACTCGTAAGAAATACCAGTGGATGTGGACAAATGAAGGGAGCAGGAAGTGAGGTACTGCGATTATGACCATTCGAGCAGCCTGAGTGGGTTGCAGCTCCCTAAGCAGAGCCAGATACCGTCTCTGTTACGTCTGTTTCTCCAGCAGGTTTTTTGGGGCCGGAAGCATCACTGCTAAGACTCGTCGTACTGCTGGCTGCAGGTCGCGACGTTCCATTGCTTGCTGCTGGCCTTGACGGGGACGCGGGCGAAGATGAGGTACCTGCTAAGCGTTGGTCCAGCGCTTTCAGCGCCATGGCCCTACACGAAGGGATGTCAGTAAGCCGTGATGATACCAAGGCGACTGAAGACGTGCCTTCTCCTCTCTGCTTCGGCGCGTGCACCTCCAGGAACAGCGGCGTAACCTCCAGCTTCGACGTCTGAGCCGCTGGCTGGGATCAAATGAAACTTGGAAGCCAGCATGTAGACAGTGTTTCCGAGCCAGGTGATGGGCCCGCTGTAGGAATAGATGCTACGGTGAGTGAACGCGCCGCAGCAATACGGATGTCACTCACTGGATAAGTGGGGGGAACCACGTAACCAATGCAAATGTTTCACTCCTGTCTCCGTACACGGGGCCGCCGGCCAGGTCGCCGGTGTTCTTCTTGTAGAACCGCAGCCAAACCCAGGACACCAGCCATCCAAACTGGATGACAATCCACGGGCATTGGAATCCGATGATGCACATCACGGTTGAGAATGTGACATAAGCCATTGGCAGCGTCTGCAACGACCTTGAGAACACTGGGGGGCCATAAGAGAGAAGTGAAGGTACATACCTTGACTCTAGCCTTGAGGACACCAAACAGCTGCACTTGGTGTTCCGGAATGATTTGTCGGAATGCGACGAGAACACCGATCTGCAACGCCATCTGACCGTGATATTGTTGGCCATACCTAAAGCGGGCTTAGGAGAGGCGAGAGGAGAAGACGAAACGAACTCTTACAGGAGCACCGGTAAGCGCAGCACTATATATTCTATCCAGTTCAACGCGAACGCGATGATGTTCGAAACCGCAATGGTTACGGCGATGAACTTCAACAACTCCACAGAACCCCATAGTCGTTCAAGGTATCTCAGAGATGCTGGTATCACGAGGAGGGTGAATAGCAGCTACTACGCTTTCAGTACTCGCCGCATCACTACAGTGAATACGTACCTCGATGAACGTGGTCTCCACGAAAACGGAGGTCAGGAAGGTCCACGGGTAGAATATGCTTGACCCGGGTATGAGCACGAGGTATGGACAAGAGTATCCCGACCAGCTGAGGACGTAGTACAGCAGAGAAAAGAAGATCGTAGCAGCGGTGTAGGCTCGGGTCGCCGGAGGAATGCCCGCGACGAACTGAGCGGGGGAGAATGCTAGCACTGCCATTTATGTCCACGCGTGCTGGAGATTTGTCCGTCGGGTACTGTAGGGTCTTTGACGGCCAGTTCCTGCCGGAACAGGGGCGAAGAGTGGGGGAGGGAGAGCAACGGACGCGAGACGCAGGCAACTCGAGGAGACCTGGCAAGCACGGCGTCTGCAGGAAGCGGCCGACGCGTGACCCGCAGACGTCGCAGAGAACGCGCGAAGCCGTGACGTTTGTGACACTCGCGTCTTGCTCATGATCCACATCCACGACGTCCATGTCCGACTATGACTTCCGCACTGGCGGCAGCCTCAAGTTGAGAGGCGTTGCTGAGGGTGGGATTGTTAAGAAGTGAGTCCATCCTGTTGCTTCGTCTCGTCTCTGGTCTCATCGCCACCAGGAAGAAGCACAAGTCGAAGTCAAAGGACAAGGAGAGGGAAAAGAATGCAGAGAGTGAGCTGGTAACGGAGCTCGAGTCGCTGAACCAGGAGGAAGCCGCCAAGATTCCCTCTTCATCGGGCAGCGGCAGAAACTCTCCTGCGATCGCAAGTAGTAGCGATAGGAAGACAGCAGCGGAGAGAAGGTTCGAGGAGGTCCAGAGGAAGCGGGTACGGCTTGTCTTGTCTTATACCCGGGTGGTCTTCGCTCACGACTTGATAGCTCGCTGCAAGGGTCGCGAAGCAAGCTAACAAGACACACAAGGACCGTGTCCACGAGTTTAACAGCAAGCTGGAGGCTCTCAGCGAACACCATGACATTCCCAAGGTATGTGTCCCTTCTACTGTTGGTCCAACGCCGTTTGACCCCCGAATGTTCTCAGGTAGGACCAGGCTAATGCGCCTCGTACTGTACTTCGCCGTGTCTCTATAACGTCGCGCTGCTCCTTGTAAACTACACCCTTGTGTCATAACAAAGCCTCTGGCGGTGATGAAACTGTTGTCATACATCATACGGTTGTCTGAGAGGATTGGAGGGTCTCGGATTGGCCAGAGGATGCGGATATTACCATCGTGCCGTATCATTGTTTATCGTGTATTTGTCGCTTGACGGAATTAGAATACGTCGGTCCTATAAACGTGACCACCCGCTTCCGCACCTCACCCTCGTCCATGCTTCCTCTGCACAATCTCAACTACTACCGCCATGAAAGCTGCTGCTGACGCGGCCACCGACAAAAAGGGCCACGTATGCCCGCCGTCGAACGCGACGCACCCGCGCGACCGCTGGGAGACGGCGTTCGTGTACTCGTTCATTTGCAAGTTCACTCAGCTGCGCGCGAAGGTGGAGGGGTTGGATTCACCCATGGCGTGAGTGCACCGCTAGTCTGCTGGATGTTTCTGCATGGTCTGAACAGGCTGGGCCGTGGGTGGTAGATTCGAGGAGGCGTTGCTCTCGCCGGAGCCAAACCCGATAATTACCCAAATCTTGGCACGCTTCATACAGAACTTGAGACCTCAGACGCGTAATCTCAGGTGAACAAACACCCTAAATCCGTCCCATGGCATGGGCACTCATTGTTGACGCGGTCTATTGTCCAGTTCGGACGTGATTTCTGACACTCTGGCCGCTGTGATGCTGGAATACCTCAAGACCCCGGAGCGAAGCATTTTTTGGGATGAGGAGCTGGGAGCGAACTTGAACCCTTTCACGGAGATGCAGAGTGGATTCTTTGCGGCGTCATGGGACTTCAAGGTGAGTGGCGCGTTGGTCGTGGGTTGCGAGAGTCTCAATGGATCCGCGTGGGGTCGACGTGCAGCTCCAAATAATGCGGCAATTCGTCGAGCTACAGCTCTGCCATAGCATGCAGATCAAGGCCATTATCGATCGCGCGTGGGGAGTCATCCACAACAAGCACAAAAAGGAGGCGACGACCGCATCGCCGCCTCCACCCGATGACCCCCAAAGCAGGGAGAACCTACAACTGATACCGATAGGACAGGACAAGGAGCGGAAGCGCTATTGGGTTGTAGATGGTCCGTGCACCTTTTTCTCCTTTGCCTCTGCGAGTTCAAGTATTTGGCCGTATTTGCCTTTGGGGCGAGACAATCCACCTGTAATCGGCATCTTGCGGTTTCCTTTATTCACTTCACTACGTGTTTTTGCAGGAACTCATAAGACCTCATCCTTTACCAGTGTCACCGCGCCTTTATGTGTCTACCAATCCGTGGAAGATCACAGCAACCTTCCAGACGATTTCCTCTACACGGGAGGAGTATGTCGCCGTCATCGACCGACTTCGCGACAGCGCACCGCAGCTCAAAGCAAGCCAGCGACCGACGAAAATCGAAAATGCCCATTTGAATCTTATTGAAGACTTGGACAAGCGATTGGCGGACATAGATGCGGATCTGCTCGTAAGTTCGCGTCTCATCTCAGTCCAATTTGCGCAGGGGAGACGGGAAACTATCCCGAACAACAAACAAACGCCGGACGGCGCACAATGCCCTTCATTGCATGAGAGTCAGTTCCACGTGACTGATTTATGCCTCTTCAGCGTATTCAACGCGCTCGCAAAAAGCTGGAGATGCGCAATCTATTGATAGCCCAGGCAGAAGTACGAGAGACTCGTACTAGGCGGAAGGCAACCCGACCTGATTATGCCTACATGAATGACCCCCTGAGCGAGGTACGTCGACCAGTGATCATATCTGCTGGGTAGCTCTGACATGTATTCAGGATGACCAAGATGAGTACCAGTATCAGGAACAAGACGACGAGGAGTACGACGACCAGGTCGACTTCGATGACATGGTGGGGTTCCGTTCTGGGGACTCATCAACGTCGAATCGCCATGCAGCAACGGGAAAGCGCAGGTCTTCTCGAGCAGCAGCTACCAACGGTCATCGCGCGAGCAATGGGAACGGCCGTGCGAGCAGTGAATGGAAAGGGGAACGACGATCCACGCGGTTGGGGGCGCCAGCCGATATGCAGCTCGACGAACCACCGCCCAAGAGGGCGCGGACGGAGGACAGTATGGTGAGCAGCAACTCTGCTGAGCCTGCACCTGCCGCGCAGAATGGAAAAGGAAAGGGACGTACGTCTATAACGCTGAAGCCGACGGAAACAGCGGTCGAGACGATCCCGGGCAAGAAGAAGAACAAGTACTGGTATTACGCCGTAGAGCCAGTACCCGCTTTAGCAGCCCCGCCACCTGCAGCTGCTGTGTCGTATGACGCAAGGGAGGATGTGCCGATGAACGGTCTACACATTGACGATCGCTCAGAGGTATCGCGAGACAGCGTACAGAGCGAAGACGTGGATATTTATCGGAGAAGTATAGAAGGCAGCTTATCCCCCGCTTCCGCAATGGACGAGTCGTAGTCATAGTCTTACTTATTCACGCTATCCTTACCGCATCACCCGGTTTCGTACATTTGTCTTGGCTTCTCGTTCTGCGTGGCATTAATTGCACATTTGTTTGCACCGTATATCCTCTCCACTAATGCACCCGTATTTTATCACCGGATAGAATCCCCCTTCCAGTGGGGATGTATGTCAGTCAATTGCAGATGCCTGTCTTGCAGTGAGAGAGCGGTGAGCGTGGCGTCTGAATTCGCCCGACGGCCATTGGAGCGTTCGCTGGATGCGATCTGAGATGGAGCAGGCGCCGGGCCGCCACTGACAAAGTCAAATCTGGCTCGCCGCCACCGGGTCCGAGCCCGCAGGTCTTCCTCGAGCCCCGGCTGTCTGCCCGACTTGCTCTCGTCCTCCATCTCTGCCTCATGCTCGCCAAAGCCGCGCGATCTGCGCTCCGCAAGCATGCAAGACGGCCCGCTCAGCTCCGGCTTCACGCGAAGAGGGAGGCACCCCATCTATTCTGTCGAGCCGCCACCGCCACTGCTACAGTCCCATTACCAGCTTCACGCGATGACTCGGACATCATAGTCCTATTCGACCAGCCCAACATCGCTCAGTGGGCGGCCTCCTCATCTTCCACTGGTCTGTTTGGGCACCCGGTGTTGACCAGTCCTTCGGCCTTCAATGCTTTGGCCGACTCTACTCTTCGGCGTGCTCAGGTTCTCACCGAGCGTGTCCTCAGAGCACGCGACTCCCGGGAGGAACTCTTCAAGGTCGTCAAGAACCTTGACAGGTTGAGCGACCTGCTCTGTGGTGTCATTGACCTCGCGGAGCTCATCCGCAACGCACATCCCGACAAAGCTTGGGTACGAAGTGCCGATGCAGTTTACGAACAGTTATGCGAATTCATGAACGTCTTGAATACTCATGTGGGGTTGTATGAGGTGCGTGTCAACAATCCTTACTGCTGCAGACTGACGTGTCAATTGCCGCATCGTAGGTTTTGCATGCGGTTTTCTCCGATCCGGAGGTCGCAAAGTCGCTCAGTCCGGAGGCGCACCAGACCGCACTCATCTTCTGGAGAGACTTTGAGAAGTCGGGAATCGACCTCCCCCCACATCAGCGCGAGCGGTTCGTATCCCTATCGACGGAGATCATGCTATTGGGCCGACAGTTCCTCAACGAAACGGCGACTGCGAAAGCTCCGGCCGCGATCAAGCCCGAAGAGCTCCAGGGTCTGAAGGATATGGGCATGGGTGCACGGTTACGATTGCAGGCACAAGTGACGAAACGCGATCTTCTTGTCTACCCGGGGTCGCTGCAAGCCCAGATGATCATGCGCGCTGCACCGTCGGAGGAGCCTCGGCGGAAGGTGTACATGGCAGCCAATTCCAGCTCCCCGGAGCAGATAGAGGTTTTGGAGAAACTTCTACGAGCGCGCGGGGAGTTGGCTCGCCTAGTTGGGAAGAGCAGCTTCGCGCATATGACGTTGGGTGATAAGATGGCGAAGTCGCCAGGTGCGTGTTGACGACTATGCGTCTCAGCGATCACTGAATGTGCTATGTCTGGTAGAGAACGTGCAGCGATTCCTAGATGCGCTCTTGGACCATACTCGACCTTATGCTAGAGGCGCGCTGCGCACGCTCAGTATGCGCAAGCAAGCGCACCTACATACACCCCCATTCCCTACCATTCAAGCCTGGGACAGGGATTTCTACTGTCCGCCAGAACCTCCCGCACCTCCCGTCGCTCTCCCTCCACTCACGCTCGGCACCGTCTTCATGGCTCTCTCGAGGCTATTCCAGAACCTCTACGGGATATCTCTGCGACTAGCGGAGGTCACTCCAGGAGAAGTCTGGCATAGCGACGTGCGGAAGCTGGAGGTCGTGGACGAAGACACTGGCGTGCTCGGATGGATCTACGCAGACCTCTTCGCGCGGAGAGGGAAGCCCAGTGGCGCAGCGCACTACACTGTGCGATGTTCGCGCCGTGTAGACGACGACGACGTTGAAGGTGACCTCGTCCACGCTGACGAGTATGACAAGGCTGCCATGCAGATGTCGCGCGTCTTCGAGGCCGCTCACCGTCGACAGTTCCCTGGACAGGAGGGTACGTTCCAGTTGCCAGTTGTCGTCTTGCTCTGCGAGTTCGCGAGACCAACCGCCGGACGCGGGCCTACCGTGCTGGAGTGGCACGAAGTCATGACCCTCTTCCACGAGATGGGTCATGCGATGCATTGTACGTGGACAGTCTACGTACATACTGCTCTGTAACTGATGTTGCGTCCTAGCTATGATCGGCCGCACCGAGTACCAGAACGTGTCCGGGACCCGCTGCGCCACCGACTTCGTCGAGCTCCCGTCCATCCTCATGGAACACTTCCTCAACTCTCCCGCTGTCCTCTCCCTCTTCGACCCGACCGGCTCCCTCGACATCCGCCAGGCCGGCAACCACCACGAAGATCCCTGTCGCTCTATCGATACCCACACGCAGATCCTACTCGCGTCGCTCGACCAAATGTATCACTCACCTGCTGTGCTGGACTCGCATTTCGACTCAACGACTGCGCTGGCGAAGCTATATGAGACGCGCGGACTCATTCCCTACGTACCTGGCACATCATGGCAAACGCAATTCGGACATCTGTTCGGGTACGGCGCTACGTACTATTCGTACCTCTTCGATCGTGCCATAGCGTCGAGAGTGTGGCGGAAGCTATTCGCTGGTGACCCCTTGAACAGGGAGACGGGGGAGAAATTCAAACGTGAGGTTTTGCGACATGGTGGCGGAAAGGACCCATGGACTATGGTCAGTACATTACTCGACGCACCACAACTGCGGAGTGGAGACGCGGAAGCAATGGCGGAAGTTGGTAGATGGAAGATAGAGGATGATGTATCCGTACCTGGGCGGCATTGAACTGGGATCACTGGAAGACGACGTGAGTCTCAATGACTGCGGTTGTCGTCCGGCAGTTCTGAGTAACTTGGTTCAGAAACATTGTGACCATGCAGTTCCGCGGATGCATTGGGGAGTGGTGAGGGAAAGAGGATTTTGACAAGATCTCAACCATAGTGCGTGGACTCCGCCCGCATCACATGTATCACGGCAATGCATGTTCAATGAACAGTTCAAGCCAACACCTTCAGTCATTCCTATGGGAAGCTAGAAGTCGAAGCGTGCGCCAACTCGTCGCAAGCATTGTCGCGCTTGCAAAAACTGCAGCACGCGCGCAGAGCACGGCGCAGATTCAGGGCTGCCAAACCAAAGAGATGGACGGCAACAGTTCAGAGACAATACATTAGCAATAAAGTAGACAATCAACAGTGCGGCCGACGGCAAGAACACTGAAACAGAAACACCGCCCACCAGTACGGGAACTACGTGATACACCATGTGAGAGCGAAGGCTATAGCTACAAAGGCTGAGCAGCGTGACCTATAGACAGAGCAAAACCAAGTTCGTGAGGAACACCCAAGTAGCTACCGTTTCAGACGCTTTCACGGTTCAGAAGATCAAGGTTGGCGGAACTAGTGGCATCATGCCGCCGCATATGATAGATAGTGCATCAAACTCCAGTGAGGACCGCTCAAGCAGATGCGTGTCCGTTGACACGTCAGAACTCGAGAAGGTGATCGAGTAGTCCAAGTAACCTTCATCGAACAGGTCGCCGGGCCCAGTGGTTTTTCCAATGCCGTCGGAGTACAGACCAAACGTCGACGCATCTGGTAGTTCATGGAGGAATGTCGAAAGCATGGGAGGCGTAGCAAGGAGGTCTGAGTCCGAGGATGTGCTCGACGCAGACGAAACGGATCGCAACGACGAAAGTGACGACATCCGAGACAAAGTCAACTGAGGGCTGGGAGACGTCCCTGGGGAAGGAGTAGATGGCACACGCGACGATGCACGGGAGCTCGGCGAAGAGTCGCGGGCTTTTGGGATAGAGATGGCGGAGCTGACACCCGATTCGGGTACTCGTCTAGGTAGAGCAGCTGCTTTTCGCCTAGTCGTTCTTCTGCTTGGATATGGCGAAAAGGGTAACGTCGGTTCCAATACAGGCGGGCCATCGCTACCGAGCACTGCTGTCGAGGGTGGGGACAAGGGATGGAGCTCAGCAGTAGCTCCATCTGATTGGACCATTCGAGATGCGTTCTTGCGTCTGCGTACGCGCTTCGGACCCAGCCTACGTATCGGGACCGCAGATGCCCGTCCGCATGCATCAGTGCTTGAATCCTCTTTAGGGGTTCTGCCTGTACCAAGTGTGCGAGTGGTCATTGGTTCATCGACCTGGTGCACGCGCAGATCCGAAACGGTCGTATCGAGCTCGCATCGTGGCCGGCGCTGGCAACTCCAGTTACGACCGCGCCTCGCTTTCGATACGCATTGCTCGCGCCTTGAAGAGCGTAAAAGAGCCGGTAGAGGAGCGGGTTGGGGGATCGTTCCGAACCATACGCTCCAAGTCTGTCGTTGAGGGAACGAGGGTCGGGACAACGACTCGAATCCATCGTCCCTGATGTTCAGCATCTCCAAGCGAACAAGGACATCGGGCGCGTCGGACATTACACACTCGACTGATGAGGATCTAGCCGAGCGATACCAGGGCGTGAAGAACCGACGCGATTCGGCAGCGACAGGGAATGGGTCGTATGGACACAGCGGCGGGTAGCAGACCGGGAAAGCGTGTTGAGGGCGGTCTGAGTGGAATGGGTGAAAGGATCGCGCAGAAACGTCCTGGCACTTCGGCTACATATCACATTGTCAGCAGGCATTTGATTTCTTGGTGCTCGATGGACAGACCTCGTTCGTATGTGGCGGACTCGTTGGCGCGACGGCCATGTACTTTTCCAGAATCCTCACTAATGAGGCCTCGAGATCAGGCGGCAATGGTATGTTGATATGCGGGACCTCCGCAGGGTTACTTGCAGGCACTTGCTTTTTTGAACGATTACGTCGGTTTTGGAACTAAAAGATCGGATTCAGAATCCCTGTGTCAGGAAGGTGTGTCAAGAAGCGCACATACCCAGATATTGATCTGCTTGTACTCCATTTTCGTCTGCTCAGCCAATTGCTGCTTCTCAGCACGGCTGGGACGCGGCGTGTGTCCGAAGAAGCGTTCTAGCGTAGGTACAGCAGCCTGACTACTGTTGAGCAGAAGATTCTGACGATTGTTACTGGGGGTACTTACAGGATTGAAGGGCCGTTTGTTTTCGCGCTCGGCGAGCTGAGATTGTTGACGAGCTTCGTGGATCTCACGAATGCGGGACGAAAGCTTGCTAATAATCTGTGCACGCCAGCTATGTATCGCCTGCAGATACTTCGTAGACATGGCGGAGCAGAACATAGCATTGAGTCTTTCATGGTTGAGAAGCTTCGTGGAGTCCACGTTTGCGGACGCCTGAAGAGCATCCCGGGTACGCGCTTCGGAGTGCTCCTTGAGTCTGAGCGCAGCCCTACAGAAAACTCGATCAATCTTCTCCGCGACGGTAGGGCTGAGGCCCAGAGCTGTGAGGTTGTTGCCGATAGACTGAGGCAAAGGAAATGGGGTAATTGCGACGGGGGCTAGGGCTGCTGCCCGACTCCTCGACACAACAGACGCGAGTAATGGCTGGGTCTTGGTCTTGATGTACCGTGCGTGTGACTCTATCTGTCGCAATATTTTCATGTCAGTATGCGCGAGTTGAGTCATCGTTGAGGGAGGCAGAGGAAAGGACGTGAAACCAGTATCGCTGGTCTCCTTCACAGTAATGTACTGGGTACGGGCCGCCTATTGTTATGGTCCCATCAAGGCCATTCATACGCCACGTGAGTCTATTGTCACGAGCGCTAAACTTATAAGATGATACCGCATTGGGCACACTATGTGGCGCGCGACTTGCCCAAAATGGCGGACAAAGGGCTCCCGGTGTTTGTGCCACTTAAGTGCCACTAGCGCAGCCAAAGCTCACTGACCTACACCAGAAGTGGCATGCCATGAGCCCTGTGCCTTGACCATCTTCGCGAATCGCTACTCTCGACCGTCTGCCATGAGAACTGCATTGTTCACAGCTTAGGAGGTCAACTTGACGGAACGAGTATGCGTGGTGCGCGGAGGTGCGTGGGGATGATCCTCACCGCATGCCGCGGCATGTGCATGAGGTGTAGCACTCCGAGACACGTGGCTGACGCTGTTTGACAAACATTGGCTACAATTGGGCTACAATGGGTCGTGGAAATCTTATGTCATCCTTACTGTGGTAGCGCCAGGCCTTTATATTCTCGCACGTAGACTGGTAAAGTCCCCCACCTGACCCACTCACCTTCATGCCGTCTATACGGGACCGCTTCCTTGCTGCAGAAGATCAGTTCCTCATTGCTGTAGCCGACGGAGACGCAGCGATTGAAACATTCGACCGCTCCTGGCACGCTTTACTCGAAGAAACCCGAATGGCTATGCATACCTCGGCGCTGGACGAGGAAACGACGTATCTTGTTGAAAGCGTCTCCGCTTCAATTGATGTACTCGCATCCTCATTTTCGGATCTCTTCAGCACTTCCGATACTCTGCATTCTGACATGGGCACTGAAGTAGAGGACGCCTTGGCGCGATTGTCACTAGACTCCGATGAGGAGGAGGACCTCATATCGCCGACCTTCATACATTCTCCTCTAGCAATGAAGCACGAAAATGATACGTATGGACGATCCTCCATAGCTTTCGGTACGTCCACGGAGGCTGAGCACGGCAAACTGACAAACTCATGCGCCTTGGGGTAGGATATCCAGCTTTCCTGAACTTCAGGGAACCATCCCTCGTGTCGGACGGCACCTCTGAGGGTGACGACGATGACGACCTTCCGAGTACACCAGTCATTGGCAAACGTTCCCTAGATGATTTCGACCAAGGTGTTGGGCGGATAGCAAAGCGTGCTCGGTCGGTTCTACAACCCGATGCCTATACATCGAACTTACCATCTTTGTCAGATCATTGTCTCATCCATCGGACAACACCCTCGCGTCATGGCCATGGGATTGCGAGCACGACCCTTCCGTTCTCCCTGGACCTCAAACCGATGTGTGCCGTGACACACGTCCTCTCCCACACCGCAAGGCCTTGGGCGCACCGGCAGGCCACTCACCTGCCCGGACGCAGCTCAAGCGTCGATTCTCTGACGCCACTGATTTACCTGCGCCCAAACGACCTCGTGGCCTACAGGCGGAGCCGAGGAGACATACAGTCTCCAATCCTCTTCCAGGTCGTGCCGACGACCTCGAGACTCAAACGCACAACATATATGATTGGGCTTCGACGTTCGAAATCGTTGAGCCGGCTACATTTGCACCTCCAAGCACTTCCCTACCTATGGTGGTGGAAGTCTTCTCGAATTGGCACAAGCGCGATGCTCAACCTTCTATTGGCTTGGCGGATGGTGGTTGCGTCGGTACGTGGGACTGCCACACCTGTTACTATAGACTAGCTGTTGACGTACGCCTCTCGGCGACAGTGATGGACCCACCGTCTGGCATGGAAGCAGAGGAACTACGTCTCGAGACACCTGGGGACTCCGTACTCGTTGCTGACAGCACGAACGCTAGTGCTCTAGGCGCCATGACTGAGCCTATGGCTAGCGCCTACGTGGCGCTATCTTCGCTGGACGAACAGGTCGGTAGCCCTCGGGACGAGGACGGCGCGTCTGGGGAGCCACGTCAATCGCTGTCAACGTCGGAACATAGCATCTCGGACGCCACTCTTTTGGCTTCACACGAGTTCACCCCTTCTTCAACCTCCGCTATGTTGCCCGCCCTCCTTGATGCCACGGAACATTCTGCTTCAACTTCTGCAGTCGAGACCTCCGTTGAGCCGCCTAGTCGCTCTCCATCGCCATTCGAAACGCCGCCTCCTTCCTTTGAGCGTGCAATGGCTAGGGTTTCTGATCCTGATCTGCCTGGCTGCTCATCGCTTGACCTATACGCTCCAATGGGATCCTCTGCTCTTCCGCCACCATGTGAATACTCCTCCAATACTAAGCGTCGGTCGACCAATACCATTGGCAGCAAAGGCAACTTACTGGATGTCGGCGCGCTCCTCGCCGAGCTACTTCCTTTCACATCTGCCGGAGAGAAGCACGGCTTTATGGACGCGTTCCATAAATATGTGCATGTCCCGCGGGCGGGCTTTGCAATCACCATATAAGTAAGCATCCAGGTCTCTTGCCACGTCCTGCCACTCACCGCACACAGGCACTGCACACAGGTCCCACCGCACACAGGTCCTTGGGCTCTTACCTCGTTTGACTATCTTTATGATATGTATCGCTGGATACCCTTCCCGAGCCCCCGCTATACCCCGCCGATCCTTCTACTACTGTATACCCCGTAATGTCGCGCGGATCGCGCAATCCTGTGTAAAATGGAAGGCGGTGTCATCTTGAAGAAGATGTAATACAGTGGTCGGCTTTGTTCTTGAACATCAGGAGGCGTGCTCATCGATGGTACACTGACTGATACGCTTGAGCAGCGAGCTCCGAACAGCATGCCATTAATGATTGCAGTTGGATGGTTCTTGGATGGTTCCGCCGTAGCCTCTCGATCACGATCGTTGTGGTGCCAGTTGGTCGTTGGCGGTTAAAGGGATTGCGCAGCGAAACTCGTCACTTGGCGACGAGACGTCCGAGCGCTAAGAATCAGATTGATGTCGCCGCTATGCAGCGGTTGTACCTGGGTTGTACGACTTTGTACGATGACCTGACGATGACTGCGAGTTGTCGATGGGCCGTCCTAGAAGCCGATGGTGCTCAGAATAGCAAAGCGGTATGTTAACATGCAGATTGACTGCCATCTAGTCCAGGTCGGGCTTGTCATTCATTATGACGACGGCAGTGACCGTCTGAGTGCGCATGCAGTGACCCATCGCGGACAGCAGGGCTCGGCGCGCCCCTGCAAAGGGTGCCGTACCCCGGTGTATGTCCCAACGGGCTCTCGGTGGCACGACAAGTTTGGAATTGCCTGAAGGGGTGGCGGGTAGACCTAGAAACATGCCTGATTAGGAAATGACGTTACTCATGCACTATGACTAGGGGTGCACGGCTGCTGGTGCCGCGGGGGGTTCGGGGCCTCTGGAGCATTGTCTGTGCCCGGCGGCTTGGCGGCGGGCGTACGAGGGTGCCCGGCGCTGTCACGTCGGATGTTGCTTGCACCGCGAGGCACACAGAGCGATTGGATCTCCATCCGACCCACACGGATGGCCTTCTATATAAGCAGGGGCCATGCACTCACCTGCGCCCGCTGTACCTCCGCTTTCACGCATGGCATCTACTGACCCTCGGACACAAGTAGCTCAGCCAGCCCTCGACGACCCCAACTCTGCGTCTGCGCGAGCGTATGAGCCTGACCGTCAGTCTCATGACAGCGGCCGGGAGGGGACACTAACTTCTGGTTCGGACGGCCCAGAAAAGTCCAACAAACCTTCCGCGGAGAAGCAAGCGCATGCTATCCCAGATGACGGTGTCATCATCGTAGACTGGGACGGTCCTGACGACCCAGCCAATCCGAGAAAGTGCGCCCTAGTTACATTCTGTAGAGGGTCAGCAGGAGACTGAACCCGCACTTACAGTTGGTCGACGAAGAAAAAATGGGCCGCGGCGGCGACTGTGTCGGCCTTCACATTTATTTCACCGATATCGTCGTCCATGGTCGCCCCGGCAGCTGCGCAAATCGCTGAGCAGTTCCACATAACGAGCAGCGCGGAGGCCAGTCTGACCGTATCGGTATTCGTCCTCGCATACGGTAAGAATTCGATGGTCAATTGATATTCAAACATCTAACAGAGTACGTACCGTCGCTAGCTGTCGGGCCACTATTCCTAGGGCCGCTCAGTGAAATGTATGGACGAGTTCATGTCCTCCGGGGTGGCAACTTGTGGTATACTGGTAAGCTAGATCACATGTCGAAGCAAACCTCGTCGCTTACGCCTTATCCCTCTTACAGCATGGAACCTAGGTTGTGGATTCGCACAGAACAGCGGCCAGCTGATTGCGTTCCGTTTCCTCGCCGGTCTTGGTGGTAGTGCGCCTCTGGCAGTGAGTAACATTGCAGATAATATGCAGCAGTCAAACTGACCTTTGAGGCAGACGGGTGGTGCCGTCCTAAGCGACATGTGGATTCCAGAGCAGCGTGGGCAGGCCATCGCCATCTACTCCCTGGCGCCGCTGCTAGGTCCTGTCATCGGCCCAGTCGCAGGTGGTTGGATCGCGGAACGGTCTACCTGGCGATGGGTCTTCTGGGCGACAACCATCGTCGCTGCTTTAATCCAGCTCTGCGGACTCATCTTCCTCAAAGAAAGTGCGTACCCAGCGTGCGTGATCTGAACAATGTCTCACCCTGTATCCGTTGCAGCGTACGCTCCAATACTCTTGGAGCAGAAGGCAGCTGGAATCCGCAAGGGGATGGACCCCGAGAAAGGGAATGTGCGGGAAATCCGCACTGCGCAGTCGACTGGCAAACAGAAGTAAGTATTCAATGTTACTCTCCTATGGAACGTTGCTGACCGCATGCATAGCATGGGAGCACTCTGGCGAAAGTCGCTTACCCGTCCGTTCATTATGTTCGCGCAGGAACCGATCATCCAGCTGTTCGGCCTATACATGGCCTTTATCTACGGTGTCATATATCGTATGTCCCGCACGTTCACTCACCTGGTCCTGGCACTATGCTCACCAGGACTTGCAGTGGTATTGACGACGATCCCCGCGATCTTCTCCAATGTGTACCACGAGGATGTCGGTATTGGCGGCCTGCACTACATCGCCCTTGGCCTTGGTGCGTACCATGAGTCAACATCACGTCGTCCGCGCAGCTAATCACCTTGTAGGCTTGTTCGTTACCACACAAATCAACGCTCGTATCATCGATCGTGTATACCGAAAGATGAAGGCGCGCAACGGTGGAGTCGGGCTGCCCGAGTTCAGATTGTGTACGTCCGCGGTGTGGTTGGTTGACCGACGACTGACTGATATATCCGCATGTCAGTGACTGTGTTCCCAGGCACCGTTCTCATCCCCGTAGGGTTGCTCATGGCTGGTTGGGGAACGCATACGCACTGGATTGTCGTTGACATCGTGCGTTCACCTGCCTTATTAGTTGTATATCAGTCTTCTAACCTACCGTCTCATAGGGTCTGGCAATGATCGGCTCCGGGATGATCTTGACGTTCCAGGGTATGCAGACCTACGTTATCGACGCCTTCACTATGCACGCTGCGTCAGGTACGTTCAGTACTCCCTACCGTATATGTCCGCTCGTGCTGATCAGCACGAACAGCACTCGCGGCCGTCTCGTTCCTCCGCTCAATAGCAGGTTTCGGTTTTCCACTATTCGCGCCTGCGATGTACAACGCGCTGGGCTACGGCGTGGGCGACACAATACTCGCAGCATTCGCGGCAGTTGTTGGACCGCCAGCGTACGTACCTCACTACTATGGCGATACACTGGTCAGCTAACATGGAGCGATTTGTAGGGTATTCACCTTCTGGAAGTACGGAGAGAGGATCCGTGGCATGAGTCGGTATGCTCAACGCGCTATCGTCGCCAAGAAGTGACGCAATGGCGCCGATGACGGTGAACGAAACGATGCACGCACCTACGAGCCTGCACAACGCTGAGGTAGCAACACTTACCTTGCATCAACCGGTCGATATCATACCTTCTCCCTTCTACCCGGCGAGGAGACGTACGTACCTGCATCCCCGTCGCCCATGTGCCCTCGATCCTGAGATGTTTGAAGGCCGGGCGACGACGACGACGCATTAAATTATCCTTCTGCTTCCATCATGGGACTGTTCCTTGGTTTAGTGAGTTGATGATCGCATACACATACTATACCTACCATCGCATGTCTATAACATACCTAAGCGCCGCTGTTAATCTGTAACCCAAACACTCTTTAGCTGGACAATCCAAAGCATCGGTCAGCGAGGAAGGCGACGATGCGCTACACATATACAGTACGGAGTGGAGTGGGTGAAGATATGATGCTCACCTCCGAATGATTGTTGTGTGACTAATGGAATCAGTGGCGCACACATGAGGACCGAGGACGTTGCTCACCTGGACCACCCATATATCGATGGACGATCATCTTACACGGTGCAGAGGGTCTGCAGAAATGATGGGGGGACAATGGAAGGGAGGGGGGACGAAAGCAGTAAGGCGGGATGGGGGTGCGTAATGGGAGGAAGGCGGGCGCACCGACCAGCGGCGGGCAGCTTATGTGAAGTGATCCGGGCACGCTTTGGCCTTTCCCTTATCAGGAGAACAATGGTCTGATCACTGGCATGCCGGCTGGCTCGAAGGCCAAAGCGGTGTTGCCTACTGGGCCAAAGCACCCATACTATGAGGGGCACTTATAACAAGAGGCGAATACAACAAGTCTGATAGAAGTGAGGGTAAGTAGGAATACTGATGAAGTAAGAAACAATCGCTTACTTGACTATTGTATCGGGCCGGGATCTCGGTCACTGGCAAGGCCCAAGCTACTTGGCGGCCAGCCTGCCAGTGTTTCTCTCCAGCTTCAGCGCATCATCGCATGAGGCTTAAGACAGCACTCGTTACTTGACTCTAGCTTTCCAATAGTGTACTCGCTGTGAGCAGAAGACGAGGAAGAAACTCGCCCATGGCGTTCGACTGGCCGAGTAGTACGCTATTTCAACCGGCCGATCGCGAGGTCCCGTGCCAGCGTCGCGTCGCGTCACGGTGTGACCGGACGCGGTAGGCATGGAACAGTTGGATTCCTCTTCGCTCTTCCACCTGCCGAGTTCTACGCGTCTTTGATACCTTCGACGCGCCCTCTGTGCTCTGTGCCGCGCATCTGTCGTCCCATCTCGCTCGACATGTCCGTTCAACGCTGCATCACGAAACGCGCCTCGCTGGACGAACTACACAACGAGTTGCTACTCGAGATCTTGTCCTATTTCGGGGACCAGAAAAATCTTCCCAAGCAATACAGAGCTACCTACACGCTCTCGCATGTGAATCGGCGCTTGCGTGCCTTCGCGCTATCGATCCTTAACCAGGATCTTTTTGTGCCTACATGCAAGCAATTCATAGCCGCTCTCTCATCTCTCCGACAAAACGGCCGTGCACGCCGTATACGGTACGTATCGCAGTACATACCAGCTTTTATGATGCTCAGTCGGATTCAGCCACGTACGCATAGGCCAGTCGAAGGAGCCCATGCCGTACATAGGTTCGTTGCCGGTGCCCTGGTGCACGTATATGTCCGGTAGCCTACCGCGACTGAAGTCGTTCTCTTGTTGGCAAAGCATTATAATGCCTTCACACCTGTGCCTTCTCCAAGGCTCGCGGCACCTCACCGACCTGAACATCGTGCTATTGGAAGCCGAGTTCCCCGTGGACTTCAGGCGCTGGCGCAAACTGTGCACGCTCCGTGTCGAATTCTGCGCCAAGATTGGAGACTTCGTCTATGACCATCCAGTGTCATTCCCCTCCTACGCCCACCTCACCACTCTCGCCGTGGACGACCACGTTGGCTCGGAATGGCTAGATGATCACCTTCGCCGCGCCCATTTTCCGAGCCTTCGTGTTCTGAACCTACAGAACGCGACATCCCCGCCATGGCTCGTCTACCAATTCGTACACAGGCATCCAACCCTCCTTGAGGTCAACGTCAGCTTTGACGAAGACCTAGATTGCTGGCTCGCCTTCGATCGCCTGTGTAAACTCATCAACGGTACCGGAACGTGGGGACCCGAAGACTCCGAGTCGAAAGTCGACGACCCAAATTTTACCATACAGGGGATTCCATCGTTGGCCGAGGAAACATATTGTGTGCCGACGCGGTTCGCCTTTTCCCGTGTCCCGCTATATCCCGAGGCGACGCTGGCGGACCAGCCGGAGGGCCCGCAGCGAGAACGTTACACAGCTACGGGTCTGGCGCTGCACATCGTCGACCAGTGCTTCTGGGAAGACTACGGTCCAGAAGTCGTACGGCTGCACCAATTCCTGGAGCGGATGCCACGCGTGTTTCCACAGCTGGCGGAGCTGCGTCTCGCATACGACACGCCGTACATAGATGATAGCTTCCAAAGAATCATGCAGTCCTGCGCCGAAAGTCTGTCGAGCTGGAGCTCCCTCCGCAGACTGACGTTCTCGTGGGGAAGACTGGCCGACGATGAAGCAGATCCATCCACCGATTTCTCTTGGCACCCCTCACAGGCTCCCGAATATTTGGGATACGTACTCGATGGCATTCATCCTCCGATATACATCCCGCGGGAAATGTTTGAGACGCGTCCAGAGCTAATGGAGGAATTGCCACCGACGGGCGAGCCGTACACTTTCGATCAACTGGAGATGGTGTTCGGTCTGCACCCACGCGAGGCCGAAATCATGAAACGCATTATCCGCGCCGAGTGCGACCAGGATATGGACGACGACACTCTCATGCATACCCCAGGTCTTCCGCTGCAAGCATGGGTCGCCAGACACGAACCCTTCGTGCTGAAGATGATGCGCCAGCTCGCCGTCAACTGCCCTACCCTCGAGTCGATCGCATGGTATCCCATCGGTCAGGCCATCTGGTGCTGGCCTGCTCGCTGGCTCTGGAGGGTGCACAGAGAGAAGGAGTCGCACTCCGTTCGCATGCTCACGAACGAGTTCACCTATCGGGGTTGTTCGAAGGGTGACCCTCCGGAGTTCCACATCCTCGTGGGACAAGAGTTGGCGGTGGCTGAAGAACACCCCGCGATGGTACGTAGGAAGGACAGGCTATAGAAGGTCACCAAGGACTTAATGGTATCGTTCTTTTGATCTTGATCTTGAGTGCAACAGCGGCTCGTTTCAGTCCGCGTTGTGTCGACGAACTGCTTCACCCTTATTGAGGTTCATCAGTGCCGTATTCTTTGCCTGAATCTTTCTATTTGCTTCTTGGTGCTTGGAGGTAGTAGTGTACTCACCCTTGTGTAACAGTTTAGTGCGACCCTTATACATCACGTTCTGCCAGTCATTCACGAATGTCTGAAGAATTGCCCATGACAGGACGGACTCAAGAGGTACGTATACAACCGACTTATATGTCAGTCGATTTATTACACGAGTAAATAGTTCTAGGCTAGCACCGATCTACATCACAGTATAATACAGTTTGCTCCCCCAGCTACATCTCAGAGCTCTCCAACCTTCGTCGTCTGGGCTCCGCTGGTGGCGGGGTATGGGTTGCCAACGACGTGGGGACCAGACTCGAGAGGTGCTGTGCTGGCGGGGACACCGTCTGGCTTGCCCGTCGCAGGGCCACTGGTGCCAGTACTGCCGGCGACATACGTCTTCGCCTTCTCGATGTGTGGCTGCGCGGCGGTCTGCGCGGAGGCGAGGTATTCCTTGCCCGTCTGAAGCGCAGTCTGCGCAGTTGACTGGACGGTGGAAGAAAGATTCTGGGTCGTCGAACCCTCCTGCGCCTGACTGTTGTATAGTGCCTAGAAAGCAGATCAGAGGTGCTATCAACATGGAACATTCAAGGTTGCATACCTGAGCGGTCGCATATGCGCTATTAGCAATGTTCTTCGCCTGCTCGACAGCCGTAGTAGCGGTGGCGCCAGCCGTGTTTCTCGCCGCCTCGACGTCGAACTTGCCCTGTTCTGTTGCCTGAGTGGTGGCCTCACTCAAAGCGCGTTGAGCCTCAAGCTCGTTCACTGCAGAGATGACCTGAGGCTCGATTACCTACAAGGGAGGGCACGAGTCAATACAAACGGTCCTACGTACATACATCGAACTGACGCACTCGGGCCTCAGAAGCTGCCTGCTGGGCGGCGGTCTGCGCCTGGCTTGCGTTCTTGTTGACCTCGTCGGAGAGCTCCTTGGTCGACATTTCGGCCTGCTGCCACGCAGCGCTAGTCTCCCAGCGAGAATCGGTGCTGCACGCGACCATCAATACTTGACGACAGCGCTACGAAACAACCGAGAATACGCACTTGTTGGGTGCCTGCGCACCGACAGTGGTGGATCCTGCCTTGGTAGAGTTGGACATGGTGGTTGAGTGGGGTATTCGGGGATTTCGTATATAAGTCGTGAAGTTGAGTGAAAGAGGACGGAGATGCTGGCGAGCTGTCTGGCGAGCGCGACATTCTTATAGTGGGCCGTGGTTCCTGGGTGGATACAGCGAGCAATGCGGTCACTGGTGGCTCAGTTGCACCGACGTCATGCAGGTGGCGGCGGCGCCTGATGCGCCTCCGTACGCGCGCCAACTTCAATGACGTCACGCGTAGCAAATGCTTTTCGGCGTCTGCTACATGTCTACGTAGAGCGAGTCGATAGGAACAAAGGACGTAGTACACACATGAGCATACCAGACAACACGCGAGAGGGTATGAAAACACCTGGTATCGCAGAGTGCATCAATAAAGAGAAATTGCGGCAGTCACTGGCGAGTGCAGGAAAGGAAAGGCAGGCGAACATTGCAGAGAGGCTCGGGAAGTGCACGGAAAAGGAGACAGACAGAGAGATCTGAGGGGCGGAGAGACGTTGAAAGTGCAAAGAAAACAGAATCGGAATAAAGACAGACGAACATGACGCTTTTGCGAGAAAAAAAACATAAACACGAATGACCTTCATGGCGAACGGGCCTCTATCTCTACCTCTACTCTTGCTGTTGAACTTGGCTCTGACGGCGTTCGTCGTCTTCGAAGGAGCCCATGCGCAGGAAGCGCGCAAGGACTTCCTCCGAGCTGCGCTTGAACACGTCCACGCCACGCGCGGGGTCCCAAACTCGACCGCCCTTGCGCGAAGGCGGCGCCGCAGTCGCACTGTCAGGTGTCAAGGGCACACCTTGCGTGGAAGGCGACGACGTCAGATTCGTCTCGTTCGATACTGAGCGGGACATCGGAGGCCCGAACGGCGGAGACAATCGGAGGAGCTTAGGAGACGGCGTGCTTGGCGGCGGGGTCGACGTCAGAATAGGCGCAACCTTTGGCGAGACAGGCTTGCTCGGCGGCGAACTGCCAAACGATAATTTGCGAGTCGCTATGAGCTGCTGCTGTTGCGTAGACGATAGCCTACGGGGCGACGCGCCCTTCGGAGTGGAAGGCACCCTGGCGGGACTAGCAGTACCAGACATAGGTGGCGTCGACACCTTGGGCAGAGCGAGAACCCTTGGAGGGCTGGTGACACGCTGGGGCGAGGGTACCTTCGGCGGACTCATCTTTGATGGGGACGGTGCCTTTGGTGGACTCGTGACCTTGGGCGGCGAGTATGTACGAGGAGACCCCAGGATCTGCGGGGACCGCAGCCCAGTTGGCGACGCAGTAGACGGGAACGGCGCCGTCTGTCTGAGGGACTGCGTGAGCCCCGGAGTCGCCTGCCCCATCTGGTCGGGGTCCGTCGCAAAGTCAGGCACCGGCGCAGGTGGTAACAAGGTAGGCGGAGGCAGCAAGCGGCTCTTTGCCAAGATCGGACTGGACGCCATGTCGCGCTTCGTCTTCTCCGGGGCAAGCTTCGACGTCGGGGGTGGCTGCTTGGGATCCCTGAGCCTCGGGCCATCGACGTCCGTGGATGGTGAGCGGATCTTGACCTGGACAGCCTGGTGGCGAGTCTCCACAGAAGTCGTCTGCACCCCACGTCCGCGATACTTCTTCCCCTTCGTAGCTGTAACAGATGCAGTGCTGCCAGACCTCGAGCGGCCTCCAGAATGGCTGCCGCCCCCGTGAGTGCCGTCTTTCGTGCCCTGGCCGTCCCATTCATCGTCATCGTCACCGTCATCCTCGTCATCACCATCCATGCTGCTCGCGTCGTGGCGCGCCTGCACGACACGCTCCCGTTCCTTCTCCCAGCGTCTGTGGCCTTGGTCATCCACCCACTGCGCAGACCGACGGCGTGGCGAGCTGGTGTTCTGGTACGGCACATGCTGGAAGGGAGGCTGATGGTGCGGCCTCACAAGCTTGGACGCGTACTTCTGTATGCTTGGCACCGTGTCCCACGCATTCGCATATGCGAAGTGTCCCGGCAGCCCAATCGTCGGTGGCGATGGCGCTTCGATGTGCAACGCAGGGCGAGTCGGGTCCTGTCCCTGAGGTTGCGGGGACCCACCCTCCGCGTCCGACCAATCCTGCGCCTGTTCATGACCCTGCGCTCCCTCCTGAGGCTGTGTAGATGGCGTCATCCCCTCTTCCTCAATGTACTTCGCGGTAGGCGGAGGCGCATCCGCAGCAGGGAAGACACGTTTCGGAACATGCTGCGGTTTCTGCTCCCAGGGGAAGACCGCCTGCACTTTCGCAGGGTCGGGGACGGGCTGAGCAGGAGGAGACCCAGGCCCTACGGGCGGCGCATGTCCAAAGACGTTTGAGTACTGACCCTGGCGCACCAGTTGCTCCGGGATATGGGCAGGTGGCGGAGGGCGGAAGAACGCATCCGAGTGCGGTGCAGGAACATAGGGGACGGACGGTGAGAAGGCTTGGTGGGCAGCGTCGTGCTGCCGAGACGGCGATTGATCCCATACGTTAGGAAAGTACGTGTCTGTGGGGAATGCATTGACTGCGGGAGGGTTGTTCGGAGGAGGATCGACGGCCGCGTTCCAGGACAACTTCGGAGGTGATGGAGGACGAGGCGGAGAAAGATGGCCCTGCGGCTGGTGATGTTGGTGTGGATGATGGTGGCGATGTTGGTGCTGGTGATACGGAGGTGAATGGTTCTGGGGTGAATGGCCAGGAGAAGGACGATGGTGGACAGGTGGCATCGGGATGGGTTCATGCTCGGGACTACTGTTCTGAGGGGGAGGAGGTGGGTGGCGGAAGGACTGCTGGTGCTGGTAGTGGTGATGCCTTCCTTCATGCTCAGGCGTCGACTGCCAGTGTTGCTGCGAGTGCTGCTGCCGACTTGGACCCTGGTAAGACTGATGAGGACCTTGTGGGTCAGACCACTGTCCGTGTTGGGCAGGAAACGACGGGGCGGGCGGCAAAGATCCGCCGTGGTGGTACGGAGCGGGCGGGACCTCATTGGGACCAGGAGTCGGCAGGGTGTGCATCCTCGGGCCCTCACCGCCTCCTCCACTAGAGTACAATTGCTTGTACTCTTCTTGAGTCGGCGTCAGGTCCCGATCACCGCGGCGCTGACGGGCTCCCTCGGTCCATGCATGCTCGACCTGGGGCTTCAGTTCAGGCTTGGGTCGCATCAAGTCAACACGGCCTCCCAGTGGCATGGAGCGGTATTCGCCCTCTTGGACGGCGTGTTCCGTGTCCGCTACAGTGGCACCAAGGTTGCTCATGCCCTCTACGGCGATCCTCCGTAGATCCTCCAAACCCAACGCACCGCCGGGAGGAGTAGCTGCTTCGCTGAAAGCGATTGGAGGAAGCTCCGCGCCTATTTCGTCGCGCCCGCCGTCGTCCCAGACGGACGCGTACCTCCGGACCTCAAATTCGGCGCGCGCTGTGGGCGCGTCCGAACGGTAATACCTATCGTACACATCGAACCAGCGGTCAACGAGTGAGTCGAAGTCGTACACTTGCTGGCGCTTCTCCTCAGCCGGAATGTTCGGGTCGTGCGGCTGGGAGGACTTGACACCGGGAGCCCGGTACTGTAAGCTTGCCCATGGTTTGTTAGGACCGATGAAGTGGATCGCGGATATTTGCGAACCAAATCGTTCATAAGCGGGAGCATACCTGAGCACAGGCGTGTCATGATGGTAGGTCATAGTAGGTCAGCTGGACGCGACAGACTCACGTGTACGCGGCAGTCGGTGTCGTGTTGTAGGTGAAGCTCAGGCGGTGCCAGTCCCCGCCCCGCCATTCATTGAGGAGTCCTTGATCACCTCCATCCCAGCTGCCCTTGGTCTTGAGCAGCTGGATGAGTTCGTCAAATTTATCTTGTCCGGGGGTAAGGGCGAGTACACCGGAGTTGAAGATATCTGGCCAGCCAACATCCGGAACAGCTGCGAAATCATGGGGGATATTGAACAAGTGCGATAACGGCCGTATCGGAAGGACGTCTGCGTCGAGGAATATTATCTTCTGGTATTGCGTGAGGCGAAATACGTGTAATTTTGTGAGCACATGGCTGAGATCCGGGCGGCCTAGAAGTCACAGTGAGAGAGCAGTCAGCCATATTTATGACGCATATATGAGCAAAGAAGAAGCAAGATATGCCCGTCTGTACGGCATGAGTATTTCTCGAGACGTCGGGCTGGTGACCTCGTCACGGGCCCTAGCTATTGAACGGATCAGGTTCTGCAGCGGCAGAGATCATCCACGCGCCACTGTGCAGACCGTACGCGCTGTAAGATCTGAAGCGACGGGCCTGCACTCCCTTCGATGAAATGGAAGTTACACTCACCGAGTAGTTGTAGACCCTTCTCGTCCTCCTGCTCTATGAGCTCGACGCCAATAACTACATTGAACGCGCGGCGGAGCAGCTTGACGGTGGATACGTCCACACTCTCGGGGGTGACGAGGCACACGGTCTGGAAGTCGACCTCCGGAGCCTGGGCGGGGGTCGGGTGCAGGTCCCGGAGTGCTGCGGCGACTGCAAGGGCGCCGGGCAGGTAATGGTCGGAAGTTACTAGAGATACAAAGGCGAAAGGAGTGGACATGATGCGACGGAGCGCAAGGGGGCGTCGTCGACGCGTCCTCGGTGGGCGGACGGCGGTCGAGGTTGGAAAGAGAATCCAGCGTCTGAGGCTTGGCGCACTCTGAGTTCCGGGCGCTAACGGGTCATCTCGCGTCCTTACGTACGGCGTCTATCACCCCTCCCCGCTGGGAAAACCAGCCCGCCGTCGGCCCCGCGGGGCGTTGGAGTCCGGACTCTCTTCCCCACATCGATGCCCCTCGTTTGCATCCCTCTCCTTTACGAATTTAGCCCAAACTCAACGAAAAATGTTCCTGGACGTGTGCTGACGGCTGCCCCAGCGTATGGTGCCTGCGGAGATTGACCAATTGATGCTGCCATTGCGCCGATCCGCTGGGTGGTAGCAAATACCTATTATAGTAGAGGATATTGAACATCGAGCGCGCAGAAGCACATGAAGACGTAAGAGGATGCTGTAAGGGGAGAAATCGTGTCTAGCACCAATCGGCAAGCGTTGCGTGAGGATATTCACCGCTATATCGCCACGACCGGTTCCGTACGATTGAGATGCGTACTTATTGCGACCGCGAAGCGGGATGGGTGAGCTGTCAGACAAAATCGGGAGTAGTACTTTACTGGCGCTGCATACATAGTATCACGAAGGCTGCGATTGTCGGCAGTCGGGATCATCCACTTATAAGTTACAAGCTTTGGCTGCGAACTCGCCAATTGCAGGCTTCCAAAGGCTCCGAGGAAGACTTCGCTCCCTGTACCACTGCCGCCGGAACTGTGGAAACTCACAAAAATCAAGGTGCACCGGGTTCTGTACTTCTGGCTATAGCGAACATTTCATGGCTTCGTGTCTCTGTCGATTGTTGAGTGCTTGAAGGAAGCGCGAGGCACGAGCGCTTCCTTCAAGTTGAGTCTATGCACGCGTGGCAGCGAGCGCTCGAACATCTTGCGTCTCGCCGCCACCTTCAGCCGACCACCTGTTCGGCGTTACCTGCTTTTGAGACTCTCTTTCTCGGTTTGCGTTCACCATCGACTACCTAGTACCGTCGTATCATCTCTAACCGATGGATCCCAACGGCCAAAATGGCATTCGCGTTCCCGACCCAACTGGTGAGCGGTGCCCGAACTACGAACTAGCCGCGTTTGCGGTGATTAGGCAGGCTATGACGGCCAACGGCGTCATGACGGATGAACAGGCGGTTCAGGCCTTGCGGGACGGTTGGCATGTGCATCATGACGCGCAAATGCAAGCGTGGCAAGCACAGTCGGTAGAAGATCGCCGAGTGGCGGAAGAGGAAGAGCAGCGGACGCGCGAAGAGGAGGAGGCGCGTCGGGCAGAAGAGCAGCGGGCAGCGGCAGAGGAACAGAAGACGCTAGACAAGAAGAAACTCAAGCTCGCAACGGTGGACCCGTCTCGAAGGCCCCCGACCCAGCTCCGTCAGAGGGTAGCGGATTACGCGCGAGAAAAGCTCATGAAACTAGCGTACGTCGAGCTAGACTATTTTACGGCTAAAACCCGTCAGTTGGCAGAGAGCCAGGCGAAGAGCGTCGTCAACGAGACCTACACCCTGGTCTCCGGAGACACAGGCCTGAGCTTGACTCCCGCGTCGTCTCTTAAGGCCATCAAAGGAGTCCGTCGTGACGCAGACCTCCCATTTGAAGAGATGACGACCGCGTGGCCCGTCTTCATTCAGGAGATCACGGACCTTCCAGAAATCTGGCCACAGGCAATCGTGCAGCAATATCTCCGTTTTTTCCTGCAAATCGTGGGGCACCAGGATAGCCAAGACCCGATCGGGCAGCCAGCCCTCATGCGCTACATGGAGGAAGTTCGTTCAGACTGGCACGAGAAAATCATCGCGAAGAACGTCTCGGACCAGACCTACAACATCGGCGTTTTCGAACCAAAGCTGTACGAGCAATGCAAAGCCGATGTGCAGGCAACGTCGGCGAGGCTGCAGATTCAACGGGTGCGTGTCGTCGTCACTCGATTCATTAAGTCTTAGCTGATCAGGCATAATCTTCACTTCCTATCCATTACGTCTCCCTCGATACTCTGGGATACCTTCGATCGCGTCGGCATCGTTATGCCTCATGCGACTTTAACATCGCTCAATACGCGCACATACTCGTCGTCCCACGGGGACCGCGCTTCAAACAACTCGCGGGTATTTACCGCCCTTATCCCTGTTTTCTGTGGGGTCTCGCGACACCCTTTCTGCTTTGACCGGCGTGGTCGCGGTGGCGTCTGACCGGCGTGGTCTTTTCTCTCTCCTCGGGGTTGACCGGCGTGGTCATTGCGTTACCCCCCCCCTTCCTCTCTCTTATGCGAACGGCGGCGTGGTCGTTTCGCGTTTTCTCTCAACCGGCGTGGTTGTCTTTCACACTGGCCGGCGTGGCCCTTTCTTATTGACCGGCGTGGTCATTGTCCCCGTGGCCGGCGTGGCTCAATCCCATTGACCGGCGTGGTCATGTCTTCATAAATGGGCGCGGCGTTAATCTCACGAACCGGCGTGGTCGTGTGTCTTCCTGAACCGGCGTGGTTCCTTTTCGCGGACCGGCGTGGTCTTTATTTTGCGGACCGGCGTGGTCATTGTTTCGGGACCGGCGTGGTCGTATCTCTCTTATGATCGTCTGGTGAACCGTCGTGGTTCGTCCTATCGCGTTTGGCAATGGCATCCCACCGACTTCGTCGTGGTCTTCGCTGGGCTGGGCCCTTGTACATATACGTGCAAACACTATCAGATGCAGAGGCTGAACGACAGCTTCGAATCTCAGCGAGGAAGAGTCTCATCGGGTCAGGCGTCGGGGCGTCGACGTTCACCATCGCCGAGAGACCAGCGTCGGGGAGACGCTCGTAGTTCCGGACAGCAAGGACGTAGTGGTCGGAAGGATGAGGCGGAACCATACAGTCATCACGCACGAGACCGCGAGTCGTCATCGCGTAATGGAAAAGGGCTTTTTCAGAAAGGCGCATCGCGTGCAGCCCTCGCGATCTGCGCCATATGTTTGGGCTGGCACCCTTCAGAAGAGATCGGGAAGTGTCGATCGAGCTCCCTATGGAACGGGCAGCCAGCTTCGTGCGGGAGGAACTCCTCAGGACAGATCATCAACAAAGATGGAGAGACAATCTGTCTCGACTGGCAACGAGTGGGAGGTTGCCGCTCCAACAGTCCCAAGCACATCCACCAGTGTTCAGGATGCGGGGGTCGAAACCACGGAGCGTCGACGTGCAATCTTGCACAGAAAAAATAATCCCCTCACTCCATATCACCCTGACGTCTGGTACAGAATGTTGCGAGAGGCAGATCTTCTTGACAAATATCCTTTTTTGGTTCCTTCACTACGATCGGGTTTCAGCATTGGGATCCCGCGCATCTACGTTACTAGAGCCCCTAATAACAGCCTCTCAATCGAGCAGAACACAGACGCCTTCACGTGTATTATTCAAGACGAGATCCAAAAGCGGAGATACTTGGGCCCATTTTCGCAGCGCGAACTGGAAGACCTCATCGGTCCCTTTCAGTCCTCCCCATTATCCCTCGTGCCGAAGCCGCATAAGCCAGGGGTGTTCCGTCTGGTCCAGAATTTCTCATATCCTCACTCATCTCGAGCAGGACATCAGGAAAACCCTGATTTACTGAAACAGTCTTCAGCTAACATATTTGCACGCCGGCCAGCATATGTGACCATTGGTGATCTTCTCACTACACCAGTGACTGGCTCTGACTATCAATGGCCAACTGAAGTAACGCAAAGTGCCAGTTGCATACACTAATGTAGACTCTATATCAGCTCGGTCAAGTCATTCAACAGCAAGGCAAAGACTCCTGCGGCGTCCAAGACTGCAGCTGGATCATCGAAGGATGCAGCGAACGCAGAGAGTGGACCGTCACGTCCGTCGCGATCGAAGTCCGGCGCGAAGAAGGCCCAGGAGCAAACTTCCAGCAGCGAGCGTGAGGTCGATGAACTCGGCAATGAGTGGTAAGTCAGTCAGTGTCCAGTGGTTTCTTTGTATCTCACTGCGAGAGGTACATCACCAAGATGTCGTAGTTGTCCTGTCGCATCAAGGCCGTGAACGTCATCAACTTTGTCTGTTTCGCGTGGCAGGAGCAGTAGAATCGGCCCATTTCCAAGGCAAGTGTTTCTATGCCCATACCACCTCTATCTACACTTACTCATACGACAATCCTGCAGCTACTATATCTATCATCCTCTGTACTACTACACATCAGACGTGCGTGCCTGCTACGTATCCCACTCCCCCTCTACTACTATTTGCCTGTCTCAGCCGTGGTCGTCATCCCGGCGCCGTCTGACCTCGAGTCTATGCCTATCTGTATCTCTCGTGGACAACATACTTAATCTAACGTGTAGTAGTAGGTACATTCTGAAGAACAAATGTGTCATGCGTCATATGAAGTATGTGTAGGACAGACATACATCAGGAAAAACGTTCGTGTCTTCAGTGGTCTTGTGGAGAGCCAAAAGTGACATTATGTGTCACTATGTGCCACAAGAGCCTTAAGGTAAGTCAATTTCTTATTTTGTCTTACTTAAGTACACGTTTACTTAAATGAGAACAAAAAAGTACCCTTATTGTTCTGCCCCCTTTCACTATTGCTACTTCGTTCCTTCTAATTAAGCACTCAAACATTGTGTTCTTTTTTCTCTTAATTGCACTTCAATGTGTGGTGTCTTTGGCTTCCTTGGTGCTCTTCAGCATCATGCACAATAAACTGCCGTCCATTCATACTATTGATAATACACGACTGGAAACGCATAGCAATGAAGCAGCTCTGCCGCCCGACAACCGTAGACCGACAACCGTAGACGATGTTAATATGTGTGACGTGACTTCAGAGACAATGGCGAAGGAGAGCAGGAGACAGAGCGAGATGGAGAGCGAGAGACGGCACACTATCGTACATCGAACATGCGCAACACACGATTCTTCCCCAGAGTTCAGCGACTCAGCAACGTCATGGCCAGTATGGGTATCTAGATGGGGCAGACCATAACTGAGCTCAGACCTCCGGTTACAATCAAGTCCTTGCTCAACTTACCTTGAAGCATAGACCATGACAACGTACATCAGGAAAAAAAATTCTGTCTTAAGTGGTCTTGTGGAGAGCAATAAGTGTCATCAAGTGTCATTATGTGCCACAAGTGCTTAAGGTAAGTCAATTTCTTCATTTGTCTTAATTAAGTTCCATTAAGTAACCAAAGTAAACACTCATTCCAAGCAAGAATAATGTTTTTTCATCCTTACTGGGGTAACTTCTCTCATGATTCTGCTGTGTTTGTGCATATGCTGTCATAACAGGCATCCCAGATGCAAAAATGTTGCCCAAAATAATCTGCCATTTCCCGGAATTGAACCCCTGACCTGCTACACCAATTTCTCACACTCTCAGCACAAACTTCTGACCACTATGCCATAGGTCCCTGTGCTTGATCCCTTGCACAATAACCTATATTGACTATCTTTCTGGACTTAGAGAAATCTGCAATTGCTGCCCCCTGTTAGCCCAGCCCCTGTGCATCCCTGGGCTCTCAGACTGGCCTCATTTCTTCTTGGCACTATCTGTTGCCTTGCAGACCTTGTGTAGACTCACAATTTGCTCAAGGCCAGGCTTCTTGTCTCACTTTGTATGCTTAAATGTTCTTTTTCTGTCTTTCACCCTTAACAGGCCAAATATGTCCAAATCCTTGACAATATGACTTTGACCACATTGAGCAATCTGACATCTCATCATGCATATTTATTAGTTAAGAGGTCATTTGCCAACTAATGTGTACTTATGCGTCTTAATCTGTAGTACTGAAGTTGCATATCCTCCAACTTGGGGACAAGACAAATTTCTCAAAGGTGCTATAGTTCACTTCAGCGGTCTTCATGCACATAGTGCACTTAATTGAGGAACACAAGTTATGAAAGATTGAATAAGATTAGGTGCTCTTCATTCAAGACTGCTGAAGTTAGAAGTGTTTTTCCTGATGTAGCCAGGAGTCCTCTATCAGACTGTCCCTGTTTGGTCCTCACGAGCCGCGCCTTGTCAGGATGAAATTTGACACTAGATTATGGATCATCCTCTGTGATGAGATGACGGACATGCGTACCTTCACGTTCCTTAGCATCCCCGGCTCTGTCCTCCCTCTCGTCTACCTCGTCGTGCTCGATCTCATCTTCCCCACTTCCGTCCTTCTCGCTGACGTCCTCTGCAGCCACGTCATCATCTGCCTGGGCATTGTGGCTGCTGCGCACAGAAGGGCCCTCTCTACTGATGACGTTGTCGTCGCCCTCCTGACCGCCTTTCTCAGGGCTCGACGAACTGGATGGCTTGGTTGCCGAGACAGTAGGAGCCTTCCTTGTGCTCGAAGGCTTTCCAGCAGGCGAGCCATGCGGCGTTGCATTGCTCCCTCCCAAAACCACGATATCTTGCTCCTCAAGGGCCACATCGAGGAAACCGGTATGCACGCCCACCTCGTCCACATCGTCCGTGTCTTCGAGCCGCGATCTGAGATAGTCAGTGCATTGAGGGATTGATTGCAAAGCAACTGCACACAGCTTACATGATGGACTTCCACACAATACGCTTCATATTCACGTAGGACGGATTGTGCTGAGCCTCCATGAACTCCAAGATTGCCATGACGCCGTCCCATCTGTAAGAAGAAAGATAAGCCTCGATGTTCTGACATATGTGATGAACGTACTTGGCAGCATACTGCTTGTTCGTGAAGAAGTTCTTTGCACCTGGCTTGGCAAACTCCATGAGGGCGGACTCGATCTGTGCGTCACGAATCCGTGAGACCCCATTGTGGATTGAGCTCTGATAGCCATGCGAATGACGGTCTGGACTCACAGCGTTGCACACCACAGCGATCAGGTTGTTCGGCACCTCGCTGAACTCTTCCGTGGCCGCATGCAGGTTCGCGTCCGCTCGAGCTCCAAGGCCCCAGTGCTGGTAAATCAGCTCTGAAATAGCCGGGTGGAGGAACA